ACCTTTGAATTGCAAACCCCCTAAAAGAGGTGTGGTCTGTCTCGCCAGTAAAGACCTTCGTCACTGTTGTTGACAAAGACATTATCGGAGGTACCGCCCTTCTTGATTTTGATTGGTTGGTGGTGAAAACGTGACATTGACAAGTATGGCGAGGTCAGCGTGTAATTTTTTCTTTTTAAATAACTGTATAGATTGTCGATTGATTGATCAGTTGGTCCTGCAACAGCCAAACCTAAATCTGCAGCTGTGTTTTTGCAGCATGAGCAGGACATCAATAATTCATGAGCTCTATATGGGTGAGGGGTTAAAGCCAAGTTTCTTTGTACAGTACCTATAAAACCTGGAGTACTTCAGACAAGGCAGAAACAGCATTTGAGAGGAAAATGGGACGCACATTTAAAAAAGTAGGTTAAGAGTAAAGTGAGTTATGGCAGTTCACCCTCCACTGCTCCATCAGCTCCTGTATGAATGCTTGTTAGGAGCCGGCGTCCTCGCTGCGTCGCAGCTAAACACAGCTCAGACAGGCCTGGGGAGACGACCGCATGGGGCTAGCGCTGAGTCTTAATTGAATGGAGCTGATGCGTTTCCATTAATCAGTAATGGGGAGCCTTGCTGGGCCCGGCCACCACGCACCGCAGCAGGAGGGGCTTCTGATGGGGCCTCTGACATTTTCACAGTGTGTGTTTATGAAAAACATAGAGAGGGGAGCACTCAGGTCTCAGGAGTAAAGATCAGAATGAGGAGAATATTTCATATCAAATGTTTCTCCTTGTACGTTTCTTTACTGAACATTTCTGTTGCTATCTGAGCCCGAGGACACAAAGAGAGCCGTTAAAGCTCTTTATCACGAGGGTACGTCTCCTGCACTTTGCTGATGTGTCTCATACCAGAGAGATCTGCAGCAGTTAACCAGTGAAATATCATGAAAAATACTAATTCTCTGTGCATAAAGACGAACAAGCTTTTCCTCATCTTCACCTTTATCGTTACTACGTTTTGTGCAGCAGCTTACATGCAAAAATATGCAGCTCATAAAGTTTTTCCTTTCTACAGAAACATGGCCTGATGGCCATGTGTCTCTAAGGTCTTCAAAGGAGGATGTGAGCTTCAAGGACAAGATCAATAACATCTATATTATAATTTTCAATGCCCCTGACTACTGTGAGGAGTTGTATGCAAATATTCATGAACTATGTAAAATAAATTTCACTGTAAAAAATATATGTTATTATTTTATATAAATTATAGTTCCTTGAAAGTTCTTCTCAGGAGCTTCAACACAAACATGACTTTACTTTGCTTTACGAATGAAACACAGTTGACTTACACGTCAGTGTAACATTATTACGATTGAAGAGGACCACAGACTGTATGAAGTGTGGACGCCGTCTGCCTCCTTGCTGGGTGAAGCCACAGTGAGAACAGCACCCTCTGGTGACAGGCTGCAGTATAGGTCATAAATCCCGCCTCCTCCAGCAATCCCTATGGAGCTGTGGACAAAATTCTGAAATTAATTACACAGAAATTTTTCTCCCCCTCTGGTTTCGGTGTTGACATGTAGTTACAGTAAGACTGGCTTTTGCTCAAGTCCTCTTTTTCTGTGCAGCTCCATTTTTAAAAGTTATTCGGGGGTTCATGTTTTCTATGATTGACACTTGATACAGCCTATGGGAGTACAAAGATTGCGTAGCTCACCCGGCGTCATCACAGCGACTCTCCTGCCGAATGCATACAATTCTACTGCTTGAGTGGTGAAATCCATACAACGCTACTGTGCAAATTCCCAGAAATACCGAGAGCAATTCAGCTTCAAATTTGAATACTGATGTAAGGCGGAGCCAAGTTGTCCATAGTATACACAGTCTATGAAGAGGACAAAATCTGCCTGTTTTTAAAATTCAGAATAAAAATCATTTTCAAAAGTGTCCGAACATCGTTTGGAGGAATGCTACAGCCAGACAATCAGTGTGGTCTAAACCCCCCTTTTTTTTTTGTGGAAAGCATCTTGGGATAATAACTGTTGTGATTTGGCTCTATATAAATAAAATTTGATCGATTGATTTGAGCTTGCAGCAGCTGCCACTTCTTCTCAAGCTTTGAGAACCACTGTAACATCCCTCTATGAATCAAACTGTGACTCTGTGATTATTTTTAGCCAGTATCAATAACTCATGTTTCACTAAAAGATGGTTGTTGTCAATATTATCAGTATACCTCCACCTTTTCTTACATTTAATTAATTTGTATCCTCGTCTCATGCATACTTTTTAAAACTATACCGCCAAATTTACTAATTTAACTGTATTATTGCTTTCAAAGTAAAGCAGACTAAAGGTGCCAGATCACTTTTTTGCCCTTTATGCCATTTTATTCTGGACTTAAGGACATCCATATGCACAGAAAAATCAATATGCACTCACAGCGGCTGTGGTAAAAACCTATATCAATGTAGGTTTTATTAAAGGAAAATACTGTATTAGAGAAAAAAAGAGGCTGGACCTCCAGAATAGAGCAGAACCTCCAAATATTCACAGTCCCTGAATTCACCACGAGCAGCCATATATGTGCAAATGAGCAGAGTATGAGCCCGCCCCCCTCACACACACACACACACACACACACACACACACACACACACACACACACACACACACACACACACACACACACACACACACACACACACACACACACTCATGCACATACATGCAGTATCTAAAGAGGGAGTCCTCTCTCAGCCTAAGGCACAGTGTGAGAAATAAATATTTGATGGGAGGATGACCTACTTCCTCCGCCCTGAAAAGTTATTTGTCTTTTTCTGCCTCCATCTATAGCACAGAGGCCTCTTTCCCTAAGCCCTGCAGCACAGACAGCCAGAAACAGAGAGAGCGAGAGAGAGAGAGAGAGAGAGTAGAAATAAAGAGGTGAGAGAGAGGAGGAGACGAGATGTATGGAGAGACAAAAGAGTTGGCAAGCAGAGCGAGAGGTGATCTGGAGGGAGAATTGGAGTTTTCCTTTCTCAGAGGCAGAGACAGTTGGTCAAATTACACCTTTAAGTTAGAGGGTTATTGGCTAAATCAAACTGATCTGAAGCCAAGTTACTCATGTAGACAGGAAACATGTGACCTAATGCATTACATAGAGATTTCTCCTCTGACAATGAACTGAAAACATGGTGAGCTGCGATGAAGAGGAGGGGGAGGAGCTTCTGTTTAGTGTTCAGTGTATGGATGATAATAAAGCAGCTTGAGACAGATTTACCCTGTGATACAGGACCATTAAATAAACCTCATTCCTGATATCCTGAGGCTCTCTTAGGATCAGACCAGGCCGTGTTTTTTCAGGCTACTAGAAACATAACAGTACCTTATGAGACAGCATGCATTCACCCTTTCTGTCCTCACCAGTAATGTCTCCTTTCATGACTTGAATTTAAAGCTACTGTGAGCAACTTTTCTTTGTGTTGATTTTGGTGATGCCAACCCCCCTCCCCCGACACTTTTTCCACTGAAAAAGGAAATCTTATTCAAATACAAATCAAATATTTCACTCATTTTAAATGTCTCTCTCTCTATATATTTTTTTATTTCAGTGGGCTGTCAATCATCTGTTGTGACACCTAACCCCTCACAGAGGAAGCAACCAAAATAAAAACCTTGGTAAAGAAGTTTTCAGTCATGTAGCTGGCTGTTTTGTTTGCTTTGGAAGGCCAAATAATGGAGTATCATCAAACATCTGCAAAACACTTCAAACTGCTTTCAGTTTTTTCCAGGAGAAATCCGCTCACCAATCCAAACATCATGTAGAGGTCAGTCAGATCAGTCAGCTCTGTTAGGTAAGGCTCTAAAACAGACTTTAAATCAGTCTGTAGGCTTTAAAACAATGATGTGATCTTTAAGAACCTGGCTCTCTCTCTTATTTTCTTGACTGTTTAAAGCCGTATAAAATCATTATGAGTAGGTGTTGTGCCACCAGCAACGGCTCCAGGTTAAAAGTTCATTCAAAACAAGAACTTAATAAAATATTCAGGATTTCAGAGATTTAATAACTTAGCGGTGTGAGATACAGGCTGCACACTGTCTGCAATATTGAAATACTGCTTTGGTTTGAATGAATGTGTAATTTAAGACTCCGTGCTTCAGGACTTCGACTTGATTCCGCCTGTGTCTAAAGGTCTTTTTGCATAACTGTGCATGTAAATTAGCCTAATCTGTGATGTTCCCTTTAACTTTGCCAAAAAAAATATGACTTACACGTTCAACTCATCAGTTTTTTAGTCGAAGTGGGATAAAAAATTAGGACTACAGTCATACTTTGGTCCAAGTCCTGGATTGAATAACACAGGCCCTGCAAACTGTCAGTGCTTGAATCTGAATCTGGGTCCAATTAATCAATGCCTGACTTTGGCAGGTTTTGATTTTCAGGACTCGAGTAGTACTCAGGTCCCAGTCCTCGACTTCAGGACTGGAACCCCGGCCTTGCAAGAGGAATTTGAAGTTCTCCACTTTAAGAGTCTTGATAAAGTCAATGATCAAGTCCAAGAATAAGTCATCTTTACTTGAGTCCAAGACAGGTCGCAAATCCCAAAAATCTGGACTCATGCACGAAGTCTAAGTTTGAAACTTAAGCAGAACAAAACAGGCCTTACAAGAACCATGTGTCCAAGTCCTTCCCTCCATCTTTTGACTCCTGATACAATCAATGCTTGGATCCAAATTAAATATAGAGCTCTTAGTGTTTAAGTCCAACTTCTGCCATGAATTTGAAAACACTGGTCCTAAATGTTAAACATCTCATAATTCTCCTCTCCATCTTTTGGATCCTAATGCAGCCAGGACTTAAGTTTAAATGGAAGTCCCAAGTTCTTCAGGATTTACGTCAGACCTAGGTCCGAATATTACAACACTGGCTCCAAAAGAGGAGCTCAAAGATCTTTTCCTTTACGTCAAAATAATAACACCTGATTCACATGAAAGTAAAGGACCAGAAACAGGACGCACTTTTTATTTTCACAACAAAATTTATTAGAAGAATAGTGGTTTTGAAAAGAAGGTTCTAGCATCCAGTGAATACTACCTTACACAACATTACAGCTGAAATGTGTGGCAAAAATGGCAATTTTCTTTTTTACCAAATTGAATATAACATAACCAGTAACATATTTTACACATGCACAAAGACAGATCTAATCAGCGTCGCCTGACGTTCAATGCAAAATGAAGTTTAAAAAGCAAACAGTAGGAAATCAAATCATCATCTTTCAATTTTTTGTCAAAAAAATCACAGACATTATGAGACAATATATTATTCATTAGCCCAATCAGAAAATCAGATTTTGCATTCAAAACAGGGAGGGAGTAAAAGAAAAAATAAAATAGTACAGTCAATCAAACTAAAACCAATTATCGTGATCTTTAAGTGCTCATTTACACAGACATCGATAATATAAGCCTAGAAGAATAAAAGTCCAACTCACAAGGTGCAAAATAAGAACGAAAACAAAAAAATTATTGTACATAAATAAAACTACAATATGAGAAAAATATTTTTTAAATTATACAATTTTTTTGTCAAACTGTAAACAGTAGATATTGAAAAAATGAGGTCCATTAGGGTATTTGGAGAACCTGTGTGTAGTGTAGGTACATATGTGTGTGTTTGTTAGAGGTACGGTCCAGGTTGGACCAAAATCGTGAGAGGGGGCTTGGGTGTCCTGAGCATCGGCACAGAGCCCCCCCAGGGCCTGCTGGACCAGAGGAATGAGGTATATCGTCAAACCCAAAAACAAAACTCCGCAGAAAAAGCCCAGCAGGCCCTGCAGCAGGGCGTCCAGCCACCCGTTAAGAACCGAGGTGAGATTACGAAACTTTACAAACCTCAGCGGGACGAAAATCAAGACCAAAGAAAAGAAGAGGTTAGAGTCCAAACCCTTGGTCAACACTTCCTGCGTCTACCCAAACATCACAAAGCAGTTTCCAACCCAATTAGAACTACCTCTATCGCAACGAAATCATGTTCTACTGAAACCAACATCAGGAATGTAGAAAGTAATCTTAAGAGTTCTTAAAACATGAAATACAACTTATTTTCTAAGACTTTTTACACAGTTCTCACCAAACATCACTGATTTGATTGTTGTAAGAGGTACAAAATTTAGGCAAAGTTCAAACACACTCCTGTCATCCAGACCAGAACATCAACAAACTGTTTTTGCATGACGAGTTCTTTCTGAAAATTCAAACCCCCGTAACCAACAGCGTCCACCGTCCGGCTGTGTGAAGCAACACGTTTGCGACAAACAGCAGAGGTTTCCACCGATCACAGCGGAGAAGAGCGGCTGTTTAAAAAGTCCGAGAACAAATGAGAACGATTTCACCAAAAACTGCAACAACACGGATCCTTCTGCCCCAGTTTGTTTGCCTTTCTTCTTCTTCACAGCTCAACACTCCTGCAGGTTTGAACACCCAACGTCCAACTGAGTGAGGTCATTTTCTTTTTCACTTGCTGTGAGTGAGGCTTTACTAAGTTTTCCCTGAAGCTTAAGAAGAACTGAAGGCAGAACTGTCACATTCTGTAAGTGTAACCCCAAATATATTCAACTTTAGCTTAAGTGAACTGAAGAAAGCACTTAAACTAGACGGATACCTGAACATGCGTACTGAAACTGCAGCATTCTTTATTTTTAAACCAACATACTGTACTGTGGAGGCTCATTCACTTTCTGAAAGCCGGACCACGTTTTTTGTGCACTTGTATGAAATGTTTAAGAGGTTAGCTCGGTGTAAGTCATTGTTACGTTGGTGCTATGTAGCCACACGTTAGCGCCGGCTGCATCAGCGAGAGCCGCGGCACCTGATGAAGCTTGCAGGAAGGACAGCGTGTGAGCAAAGACACAACAGTCCTCAACTGAGAAAGAGATAGACATTCATAAAGTAGAACAAAATTTCCAGAGATGTAAAGAATAGATACAAGACAAGAACAGGGAAAGGGAAGAAAAGAGGTGTTGCTTGATTTGCAGACACAGTGGAAGAAAACTTTGAGGGTATGAAAAACTGCTTCTGAACTTCTACGATATTGGCGGTAAGTTTTAGTCTTCATAAGAACAGGCTTATGAAAATAAACCAAAGTAGATCACTGCTAGGCCTCAGTGAAGAGAAAGTACCTGAATAAGAGTGAGAGCAGTGTTGCTGAAGGTCCCTGAGGGTGTCTCGGTGAAATAATTTGGGTCTGTAAGGAGCCCGGAGAGCGGCGTCTTTCCCTGCAGACTGCCAGGATACGTTCAGAGATACAATTCTTCAAATGTGGTCGGTGTTAGATTGAGCTCAGGTAATGTTCCTAAAAACAGCTGAGGTTGAAATGTGGTTGAAAGAGAACTGAGGGAGATTAAAAAAAAGAGCTTTTTCATCGTTTCTTACACAGCCACACAGATTCACACTCATACGCACTTTTTGTTACTTTACACAAGGAAAAAAAGGAAAATGATTGCAAAATAGCTTTAAGCAAAAAACCACTACGAAAGCTGTTGCAGTGACAAACACCTTAGGTGCTTCTTCTTCTGGGGACAGGGTCTTTTTTTTCTTAGGGGCAATATTTTTATATTTAAAAACATCAGAATCTGTCCTGTGGACGACATCCAAAAAAAGTGCTTTTGGATTAACCAGCGTCTTCAAACCAAAGGACTGATACAGGGGTATGTACACCAGCATGCAAAAATATCAAGAGGGTCAACGTTCACAAAAACCATCTGTTGCTCCCAGAAAAACTCCGGGGAGCTGCGTCGTTTTCTTACAACTTCACCGCCTGCTGTGTTCCTCACCCTCCAACCCTCCTCCTTCATTTAAACAGTCTTTTCGAGACATAAAAACACACCAACTGTTTCTCCGCAGTGCCTTCAATGTACAGATCCACCTCACCTGTGAAAAAGACAGGCAAGGCTTGATGGGTAAAGCAGTTTTATATACACAAATGTTTCGAAGACCCCCTAAAAACCTTTCCTGCCCCTCCCCCAAAATGTGGCTCTCACTCCAGAGTCATCTTCATAGCTTTACTGTCCTTACAGTGTTCAACTTCAGGAAAACCCCCACCCCACCCCACCCTTTTTCACAGAATCAGGCTTGAAAAGACTACAACTACATTAGATCCTAGTTTACTACGTCCTCTTCTGTTAACTAAAAAAAGCTCATGTCGCCTGCCCCCTTTGCCCTATGCTACATCATGGGGAGAAAACAAACAAGAACGCAGTAAGAAAACCGAACACCAAAAGCAACAGAGAGAGAGAGAGAGAGAGAGAGAGAGAGAGAGAGTGATTCCACTGAACATACTGCACTTGACTTCTGTACGGTTTCCCTGAATCAATACTGGAAAAGGCTCATCCTCTTCCTTTTCAAGATAAAAGTATATGACATTAGAGATTTGTATATACATATGCATTTGTGTTTGTGTCTGTGTGGGGCTTGTATAGGTATATCTATGTGCACAAATAGAGTAATTCTTATTTTTAAATATGTATAGTTAAATTAGAGGTTAGTTGTGTTTGTTTTTTTTTTTTTTACATTCAGTTTTTAACGATGATAAAGAGCAGATAAGTAGTTAAAGAGAAATAGGAACAGTATGGAAATATGTGGTTTCAAGTGTTCCACGTGTTGTCCTTCAGCCTTCCAGCAAACCCACTTTTGAAATCAGATGTCCATCTTTTACACAAGGTCTGTGGTGTTCTACACACCCATCAACGTGACACAGTGTATCAGCGTCTTATAAAAGTAGGGATGTCCCCATCAGCTTTACTGGCCCTGATCCCCATCTGATTTTTCTAACATTGAGCATCTGCTCAGTCCAGATCCAATTCTTGTGTTTTTTAAACTTTTGTATCTGTTTTTCAGTGCAGTGCATTTCCTCAATGGTGCATGCAATACTGCACCAAGCAGCAACATCCATTCTCCAGAAATGAAGCTAACTCAGACATGCTTCAGTTCCATAAGTGTCCACTAGAGGCCAAATGCAAAAGCAACAGAAGCCCATGACACAACCTTTCTTAAGAGCCTGTTTTTGCAGCAAAAATCACTATGTTCATGGCTCTGGTCTGAACAGCTAAATAAGCTATTAAGGTTATGAGTTTTGCAGCCTTAGAGGCACAGCTGACTTTGCAGACAGGTGGGCACGATGTAGCAGTTAGCGAGGAGGCTAGAGGCCCACCTCAACTTATTTGCCTCCAGTTGGTCTACATCTCCAACCTCTTTTAACGGGTCTTAAAGCTTTGCTTATGAAACAAATGGGTGACTAGACTGGCAGCTGTCACATCATGTTACAAATCCCATTGCTGTGGTGCCTGAGCTGTATGAACAAGACTGCAGGACATTCAAAAGCTGAAAAGAACCTTGGTGCTCTACTTCTGTGGTGGGCTGGTTTTCACCGTTCTTTACAAGTCCAGAGTTTGCCACTTTGGTGCAGCTGCCTCATTTGTTGGTTTAGTGAATGCACCCTATTTCAAAGCAACTTTTAGGTGTCATATCAAATTCATAGCATTGACTATGATTGAGCTGGAGATCGGGACATCCCTACATCGAGGTATCACAAAAAGTAAACCCTCGTGTAGTCTGAAGAACGCCAAGTGGGCTGCGAAAGGTTTTAGACTGAGGGTGATTAGTCACAAGACAGAACACGAATAAAGATGTGAAACTAAAAACGTTCAAAAAATGATTGAACCTCCTTGGGCGCGACAGACTGAGTGGCATAAAATGCACAAGGGTAAAACAAAGACGAAGGATGGAGGATGAAAGTGCCCAGGAGACGAGTGTGGATGGACAGGATCTGACTAGATGTGGAGGTTGTCAAGGTTACATGGATATCTTTTCTGAGGTATTCTGTGTTGTAAGTTTTTTTTCTTCTTCTTTACATTTTTGCACACCAAGAAACACCAAGATGGAAAACATTATCAAAGACTGAAAGAAAGGACAAATACTCGGTGTCACTTTCCCAAATGCAGATCCAAGTCAAAGCGCTCTGTCCGGGAGAACAGCTTTGCTTCATTTGCACTTTCAGGAAGGCAACGCTCTAAGTCTTGTTATTTAGATCTGCAGAGGACCAACGAGGTGGACAGTCAAGTAAGCTCCATGTGAGCCTCCTCTGACATGAGTTATTAGTATTTACAATCCTTGCTGTTTATAAAGCACTGAAAAAGTATTTGGCAGAATCAGTCAAAAAGAATAAAAAGGCTTTTCAAAGATCCTTTTAAGTGATAATGTTCTGGCTTTCAAAAGTCAACGTCCACCAGACGAGTTCAAAGAATTCCACGTAAAAAAACATATGAATCGTTTCTCTTTTGGCAGTGGGAATCATCTGCACGACACGTAATCTTCTGCACTATCAAACTTCCCATTTGAGGACAGAAATCTGCTCACCAAGCGCCGATCTGTCTGATCCGACCTTCATTTACAGCTCTTTGAATGAAAGCTAGTGTGGTTAACTGCATGTAGTGTAGACTTCACAGGTATCAGAGAAAAGTACATGGTTGTTCCAAAGCTGGAAACGTCAAAGCTTGAAAGACTGCGAAAAGAAGCTACAAGAGGATCACAGCAATGCACTGGCAATTTCAACAGAACACAAACCCACTCATTAGCCTTTTTTTTCTTGTTTTTCTGCTTTTAAGCACAAGAACTAAAAGTCAAGCCCGAGCCGATTACCTGGAAACATCAAAACAAGAGATCAGAGACATCATACAACATTAACGGCCAAACCTTTGAAATATTGAGTCTCTTGTGGAGCAAGTTCATTAAATTTTCACCAAGGTTGAAATATTTACTGACTACCAAACATATTATGTGTATGTTAGTGTGTTTTCGCTAGAAACAGTTCTCAGTATTGCAGAGGATAAAACCCACCCTGAAGGAACCTGAAGCCCTGTGTGGTAACAAAAATCTAAATCTACAAGTTCCCCATCAGAGGAGAGCGTGGCAAAGCCTCTGTGAAAAAATAACAGATAGAAAGGAAAAAGAAAGGAAAGACCATGTTCACGGGCCTTTGGGTTGAGCATACAGTCCCAAGAGACAGCGGGGAACTTTATGAAAAGGCCTGATGAGAGGTGAAAGACCCGGGGCTGCCACAGATCACCCCATCTCTCCTGAGATAAACAAGGGCCTGTCAGCCCCGCGGCACTCACGCTCCAGTGGCCAAGGATGCTGCAAGGATGACGAACAGTTAGGGGGCAAGGGTGAAGGGAAGGGGTTTACGACTTTCATCAGAGAAAGTGACAATAAAATCCAACAGATGTGTGGAAGAAAACTCGTGGCCGTGCAGAGTGGCAACATCACAGTGCCGCTCCAGAAACTTCACACGCTTTGAGTGACAGGACAATCAAGATCTGACACTTCTGAGAGACCATTGTAGTGGTCAGGAGACAATCGAGGAATAGTCTGTCTTTAAAGGAGGGGGGATTGTGCCTGTCCACATTTACAACAAAAACTGCAAAGTTACAAAGTTTGGTGTCCATACTACAAAGTTTTAAATCACAAGGTCAATGTATGTTGTCATTATCTGAGAAAGTCGATGTCTGACAAATGTGCGAAAATGTGAGACCTTAGTTGATGTGCAAGATTTACTCAAATTCTTATGGAAGAATTATAGGCTCTCCCTACTGGTTCATCTGTGCCTCCAGCAAAGCGGAGCAGCCTGACTCCATAGGCCACAGACATAATATACATATATATGTACATATACACATACATATATGTATATGTACATACAGCAAAGGGCCTTATTTTTTGCATCAGGATGGCATCCCAAACGTCCTTCGTTTGAGCACGAGCAGAAAGACAAACCAGCACTAGCAGAGCTCAATTTGACAACACATCACCAGAGACCAGCTGGTCCAAGTAAGTGGCTTTAAAGGGCCAGACACACTACCTCATGGGAACAATGCTGCAAGATTTTTATGGCAACACACAAGTGCACCACATGAAATGCACTCTATTCATCCATCTATCTATCACAGAGCATTTTGACCAGATTTCCTTCACACAGCTCTGGGTGTTCTTTTCTACATCTCCCTTCCAACCTGCAGCATCGGCTCTGATATTTTGTGGCGAATAATCCTCTTTCTTCTCTGAGTGGAGTTTCAGATCAGCCTCGGTACCTTTTAATCGAAAAGCAATGTGTCAAAGTAATGTTGGTTTGCGAAGTGAATTTCAGCGTCTTTTCCATTAAAAGCCTGTTGTTTAACGGCGCCGTGGGGGTGGGGATGCTGACCTTCAGCGGCCTTTATTCTTCTGTACTTCACTTAGATTTAATCCTCACACTCCCATCCACCTCCTCAGACGGCGACGTCTATCTGACAGTTTGTCTTTCCACCATCTGTAAGGATGCTTTCTGACGAGGCGGAGGGGTGAGATGTACGCCAGCACCACGGGCTTGTCGGAGGCGAGAACAGCCAGTGTGAGAAAATGTCTGCCTGCGAGCCTTTAACAGTACAACATAATCACAGGGAGGGGGGTTGAATTTAAGCCGACAAATTTGACCTGAATCTCACATGACATTTTGCTTTGACATAAGGATGCTGTTCTTGAAGCAGCTGCTCTGTGATTCAACTCGGGCGGCTATATGTGTGATTAAGAAACCAGCCCTGAAAAATTAGATCTGAGATTGAGATTGGAGTCTTCAAAAGGCACTCTTCATTCTGAAGAACAAATACAACATCATTTTTTTCTCAGCAGCAACATCAGATTGGATGTGAGCAAACATGTTAAGCATGGTTCGAACATTTAAAAGCTTCAGTCATGGCCAAGAAATCAGCACTTCTGAATTAAGTCTAAGCAGGTCTGCAAGTTTGGACCTGATTAACGTGTTCATTTTGGAAGCAGGTGACTTTTAAGGGAGATCTTTTTACTAAATTTATAATAAAGGGAAAAACTGATCGAGTGTAGATCTGATTCGCAGATAGTTGATATGAGCTGTGTTTTAAAGAAGAGTGTCATGGTCAGGGATGAGAAAAAATAGTTGAAATGTTGACAATTAAATCCAAATGCTAAAAACAAAAAATCAATTTTGAGGAAAAGTTAAAATGTCCGAAAAAGGGTAAAAATATTAAAGAGGGTAGAGAATTTTTGAAAATCATGTCAAGTCTTAACATATTAATCTTTTTAAAAAGTTATGACAGGTAAAAGTCAGGGTGTTTTTTTTTTCCTTTTAAAATCCAAAATGTTAGAGTAAAGGATCAATTTAAAAATGTCTGAACTTATTCTTGAGAAAGAGGTTAAAATATTGAGAGAAACAGCAGATGTCAAGATTAAGAGTGAAATTAAAAAACAGGAATGAAAATGAATTCTGAGGAAAAAAAGTATTTTTAAGAGAAAAGTTCAGGCACAATTTGGGGCTGAAAGTTGCTGGTTCTTACGTGATGGCACCACACTAAAGCTTTGAACTGTTCACTCTTTTACTCCCTGGTTTACCCTTTACACCCACATTTTTTTTACAAAACTGTATTTTGACCTTTTTTCAGCTTTTTAAAAAAACTTTTTTCTTCATCCCTGACCTGAACACTCTTGCACACAATGACACAATTTCCTTCTTCACATTACTCATGAGAAATGATCAAGATCGTTAAATTCAGCCAAACTTTCTCCACTGTCACTTGCGGCAGCATGAGGGAGTTCAGAGCATTTTTGGTCGACCTGTCTGTTTGGATTTCTTACGTTGAAAAATTGCAAAAATCAGCCTAAAAACTGCTTTGCTATCACTGTGACCCAGCGGTTTGAAATAAAAACAGATTTTGCTGTGATTTCACTGCGTTGTGTAAAAAGCAATTCTTCCCTCTTGAAAAGAAAGCATTGTTTTGGCCTTTAAACTCCACATGCCCTACGATTCACCATTAAACTTCAGAACTTGGTGTTAAGTAAATCCCAATTAAAGGAAATTTGTTGATTGCAGCAGATCCGCATCGTTCTGGAGGCGTGTCTGGCCTTTTAAGACCCGTACTCAGCTCTGCCCTCAAAGCCAGACTGCTCCTGCAATTGAGCTTGTCACATCTTCACAAATGCCTTGACATTTACAACACTTGGCACTGCACTCCATAACAGGAGAGAATCACAATTTAACAGATCAGTTAGCGTCTCTTTGACAGACCTCTGAGGGATGAGTGTTACAACACACAGGGAGGACTGTTACAGTGTGGTAATGTCATTTAGCAGACACTTTTATCCAAAGCAATGTGCATTTGACTGAACCGCTTTAAAAGAAAAATCCATCTTAGACCGTCATTGTGTGGATTAATCGAGCTGCAGATCAGCCAGTACGTTTACATGATTTTGACCTGATGCCTTACTCTGACTTAGTCCCAAAACTGCCATATGAGATATTACCTGGATCTCATTTATACAAAAAGCGAAGCCTTGTTTCCACTCATGAATGCGCACGTGTCCGTGGATTTGTAGCTAAACAGATCATCTCATCGGTGCCAAAAGTAAGGGAGTGGATTTTATTGATGGATGGATGGAAATCATTAAATACCCGCAGCTCTGGAGGAGAGGCATATATTGACTGATGACTAATAAATCTGACTGTTGTGCCAAACTGCTGAAAATAATCTGGATTTTTTTTTCGCATGTATGACTATAATTTACCGTAATAACATAGCTCAGAGCCACAGTGCTTTAATCGATAAATCAGTTCTTTTTAATCATACAAACTCACTAAAAAACAACAAAAAAAGCAACCAAGAAGGAAAAAAACCTCTATGAATGACAAAGTACTTTCTTTTTAATCAAACCATCTCACTGGAAAACGGGTGGCTAAATTAAAGGAGGTAGCCACTTCACCAGTTGGCAACCTATAAGTTCGGTAGGAACAATTGTACGGTTTCTCCATCCATCACTTAAATTTGGTCATTTGAATCCTCTCCCGGTGATCACAAATCAAAAAATCACCAAGGGTGGATTTTTGCGGGCACCTCAGATATATCAGAGACTAAGTGATTTTTGGTTGACTCATCTTCGTGCTTACCTAAGTGGAAATAGGACATAAAGCACAGAGTAAGACTTTTTTTTTCTATCAATCATGTTCTCTGGTTTCATTCTGAGACATAGACAGTGGTATAATTATATTACTTACTTAACTGTGCATGTAAACGTACTGAGTGACAAATAATCTGGTCTTCCTGCAGCTTCTGCAGTACTGTTTTCTTTTTTTGTTTTTAAAGCCAAAGCGACCTCAAAGAGTCCAACATGGGAACAGCAGTGTTTTCATCCTTGCTGGCTTTCACTCACCAAACAAGATTAAAAAAAAGTTGGCCTTTCAAAATGTTAATTTAACAACGTGGCTTCAAAAGGAGGTGCTACCTTGAGAGTTCATTATGTCCACTAAAAAGTGGATTCAGTCACTGATGTGGGCAGAGAAGACGAGGCAGATAGCAGGAGAAGATGTGAGGGAGAAACCTGAATAACAAAATCACTGCAGGAACACACATAACATCACAGAGCAAGCTAAAGGAGGATTTTTCCTTTAACAACTGTTAAAAAAGAGAGAGACAAACAGTCTTTGTTGAAAGCAAGGAAAAAAAATTAGATTTTCACAGAGGCATTGCCTGCAGTGTCCCAGTGTGCCAGATCAAAATCAGCCAGCGGGGCTGATGTTGTGCAGGCTGTGGACTAAACACACCCACCTGCTTCTAAAGGAGAAGCTGTGCAGACTCCCAGCTTCATAATTATACATATAACTCGCCCACACAAAGTGTGGCTACCTGATGAGGAGAGAAGGAGAGTGTGTGTTTGTAGCCGTAGGTGCGTCATGTCTTTTTATATGTATGTGTGTGCATGTGTGCGTGTGTGTGCGTTCTGCTCTTCCAAGGCTGTATGTGCTAGAGAGAATACAGCTTTGTATTCACATGAACTTGGCTTCTGGCTTGAAGCATTTCTCTTTTCTTTTTATAGGAAAGCAAAGAGAGGAAAAGAAGGTGTCATTAGAATAACAAGAGTACGAACGAACGACGACAACAAGAAACAACAATTATTCAAAAACTGCGCCCGTTGGTTACATTTAAAAATCTGCAATCGAGCTGTACTAAAAATCCTGATTCTTCCTTGTGTTTTGTGTGTGTGTGTGTGTGTGTGTGTGTGTGTGTGTGTGTGTGTGTGTGTGTTTGTGTGTGTTTCTAGTGTACAATCAGCTGCTTTGAAGTGGTCAGACCTGAGGTATAAATGACAACCAGATATGCAGCGTGACACAGAAAGAAACAGAAGAAGCCTCTGTGCAGAGAGGAGCATGGCGATCATATACATTGTTGGGTCTTTCTTTTTCCTGCGAGCCCATAGCATCACACACCATCATGACAGGAAATGGCACATCATGTGGCGCCTACTAAGTAAGATTACAGTAGTTGCTGTTCGACATTTTTTTCTTTGTTTTACCAAGTTCTTAGACAGTCTTTCACTCAAAAGAAAAAGATCAAATCAAAAACCAACCTGAAAAGCAACAGAGGAATCGATCGGTTTACCTGAAGATGCAAAAAACAGTGAAGTATAAGACAAACATTTTCAAAGTATATAGCTTTCATTTCATCATATAAAGGTACATTTCCTGTGTGTTGGGTTTTTTTTGGAATTGAGTGTTAGATATTTTGGATTTTTCTTTCACAAGACAGCAGATAAAGGAAGGTTAACTTGTCCACCTGTCCCCCAATCTCCTCTCTGGGTCTCTGATTCCTCTTAGTGTGAGAAATAAACAAGGCAAAAAACCAAAACAAAAATCCCCCTGTCAGGTTTCTACCTGGAGTTTTGTTACACCTTAAAACGCACAATAAACCCAAAAGAAAGAAAGAGCGAACAAAAACAGCTTGTTCTTTCTAAGGCCGGGTGGGTCCGACCTGACTTCTCGCCTCCAGGGTGAAACCAGACGAGCAAACCCAAAATGTTTTGACTTTTAGAGAAAGAAAGCAGAGGTCGGCAGCTCTCCTACACCAACCTCCTTCAGCACTAAGGACAGGAGCAGCTGTATAATCCCTGCAGCTTTTTCTCAATCTGTTGCTCATAGATACTTTTAGAAGGTTTTGTTGTTGCGCAAAAATACCTGAAAAGAGGTAGGGTTGCAAAAATATTGGTCAGTCAGACACTTGAAGCGTCTCCCCCCGCCCTTCAAAAGAGGGAGGCGAAACAAAGAAAGTAAAAAGAACATCTAATAAAAGATACAGCGGAGCGTACTATATTTCCCAGAGTATCAGTTATCCCTTCGCCAGGCTCCCAGGTAAGGTCTACATAAAGTATGAGGCACGGAAAGGAGTCATTATTCTGAGATTGAGGTATAGCACTTGGTCAGGGCTGACCAAGCTGACATATAGTTTATATACTGAATATATAGATACGTCTATAAATTACATCTAGTACAGGTAGTTAAGTTTGCGCCATTTTCCGACTGACTAATATTGCTGCCCGTTTCGTTGGCTCAATCCTGAGACATTTACAGTACTGAAGGCTACTGTCGCACGCCAGCGTCAGAAAACTGCTGTTTCCAAAGCAAGCAGCGTGAAGTCAAAACTCAAAGAAAAAGAATAAAAACAACAGTCTGTCGTGAGGAAAGTGACAGCGCCGTCTTTCTGCAGGTCACTGTGCTGTTTAGAAAGGTTGAGATATTCATTTCGCTTCACTACATTCATGATGTATCTGTTAATATATGTATATAAATAGATATTTACTGTTCTCTAGAGTATGTTATATATGAGGTTCCTTTTAAACAGCTGTGAGACTCAGGTGCAAGGAGGAGGACTTTTTTGGACAGGGGGAGCCGTTAACCACATGACTTTAAACAATCAAAAAACCCAAGAAAAACCAAATGGAACAAAATAAATATACGCTAAATGGCATGCACCTCAGTAGATACAAGCTGAGCTGAAAGCTGAAAGGGGGCTTTTTATTAGTCAAAGCAAGTCAAATTTAGAGCGAGGAAAAGGTTAAACACCTTTCAAAGGGTAAAGAGGGACGTAATTAATTTAGATGGACATATTTTAGGTGTGAGGAACCGCCCCTCTCAGGCAGATTCGATCTAAGTGCTTTTGGAGGTCATGCAAACAAAAAGTGAAATTCATATTGATACACGAAAGCAAACAAGACCATCAGCTACAAGACTGATGATTATAATGTGGGATTGTAATGTCTGGAAGCAGGTGCAGGAGGGGGAAGGTGTCAGCCAATCAGATGAAGATCAGCCCTGCTTTTACATTTTCAACGTAAAATTTTCAGAATAAATTACCAATTTGATTGTGAAAAGTAAGCCATATGAGCATGTCAGGGACAATATGCGCAATGACTTCTTTGTCCACTGGGGGCGCCAAACTCAGAGCTCCCCACAGGAGCTTTAAGTGCCAATTTTTCTATTTCTATACATCAATTTAAAGTTGCAACAGCATAAATTCATGCCTTACATGAAACGGGCTGTCAGAGAGCCGTGGCTTTGTTCCGTTTTTTAGCTAAAAGGGGACATACTTGTCAAACTGACTTCATAGCTGGCTTTGTGAGCAACTATCATGCCTTTTGTACCAAAAGCATGAGAAGAAGTGCTTTACGATCAACACTAAGATCCTGTTTTCACTATCAGATCAGTGCATTGTCCTATGCTGGCTCCACTTTCAGGTGTTCAACAACCTTTTAGACACTTCAAATGCTCGGCATTGTCAAAGTGTTGGACGCATTTCATGCAGGACGACCTCCAGAGGCGCTGAAGCTCCAGAGGTCCTTTCTACAGCTTTTTAATTGGATGTGCACACCTGCCATTCAAGCTTCAGGTGGATAACCAATAACCGCAGAGGGAAAAAAAATAGGATTGTATGCCACAGGTAGTCAATGGTGATTAATTCATAACTCAGTATGAAGTTGGGCGTCTCAAGCTCAGAGCTAATGTGTCACAAACAGACCAACCCCCAAAATCAGCCGTAAAGTGGTGCATGCCATTTTGAAGAAAATAATCAAAGGAAATAACAAATCAAATAAATAAAATATCCAAAACATTTCAAAAGGAGTGAATCATTATCATTTCATCTGAACAGAGGTACAATTCTCATGTTTAACTCTCACAGACTGGGTGAGCACCAGGCAGTGTCAGGAGCGAAGAGCAACATTTACCACTGAGCAAAACCATAAAAAAAGCATGACAACCAGTTTGATTCTGAGCAAAAGAGCGTTTTTTCTTTCCACGTGTCCTCTGAGAGATATTCTTTCCTCCAATAGGTGTGACAGTTTTTCTATCCCTGGTGCTTTGGTGGCCATGGGAGGGAAAACAACCAGACAACACTACACAAAACTCAACTTGTTCAAGCTGTCAACCTTTTTTTTTTTAGTTTTTTCTTTTTAAATCTATGAAGGAGGTAATCAAGACGGAAACAAAGAGTCCGAGCTGCAGCTTTCTGAAAGTCTTCACACTAAAGCTTTTTCCTCCATCTCTCTGCCCTCCCCATCGTGCCCTGCTCTGTATATCCCCCAGAGAAAAGATACACTACATGCATAACCTCAAACAGCTGTCTTTCTCTCGTTTTTTCTCTTTTTTTTAGTTTGAAAGTGCTATTTTAGAAGTTTAGCGCCACAAGTTCAATCTTCCAACCCATCGTTGAGGTTTTCTGTTCTTTTTCATGATTTGTCAGCAGATCTATCTGCCATGGCGCTGCCATATTTGCTCACATGGCCCCACATGCAGACAAAGCATTAGCGGGGGTCATGTCTCCCGTGTCTTCTTGTCTGTCTGCTATAGGTCCAACAGAAAATGACCATATTTGAAACCCACGTCTTCTGTCTCAGTTACCCTGAGTTATAAATGAGGAGAAGGAAATCATCCAGAATCAAAGATTGGCTTTTACATCATTAGTCACAATAATTTATAATATATTAAATCTGCTTTTCCCTCGCCTTTATCGACATCCCCATCCCACTGCATATGGCCCTCCCACCCTCCCGAAAGAACCCCCTTTATAAATGCACATTGTTGTAGTAAACTGCCTTAAAACTGTTGGAAACGTTTTAGGGAAAAGGTTTTCTTTAAAAGTTTCAGCTAAGCCGCTTCTGCTTAGTTTGATTAGAAAAGGAAAAACAATAAGAAATATGTGGCTTTTAGCTAAGGCTAGCCAAAGCTTTGTATAGGAGCTAGATGATCGACTTGATAGCAGCAGAGTTTCACAAGCTGATCCTAGACAGCCTTCATCTGTTAAAGATTGCCATGAGGGGGTGAGTTCACTTCGGTCACGATTTGGAGATTGACCCGAAGGCGGCTCGAGCAGTCCAGGATCAGCAGCGAGTGACTGACGGAGGTCCATGAGGTAGCATCTCACCTTAAAGCTGATCCATAGTCAGATAACCCCTTCAACTCATCCCACGGAAAAAAGAGGGTTCAGGAGTTTTCACAGATCTGAGTGTGGATCAGCGTACTCAGGCGACGTGCGTCCTCTGACCCATTAAGAGGTTGCGACTGGGCTTTAGAGACACACCATAATAAGTGCATGATGCGAGGGCAACAATGCCGAGGTAACCTGGTCTGTAAGCGCCAGACCCAGAGTGTAGTGCAAAAGAAAGCAAAACAAATCAAATAAAAAGATAGAGGAGAAGATGTTGATTATAGAAGTCAGAAGTGTCCACGAAACTCACAAACATGCATCCCTGAATGACTTTTGTGTCTTTTATCATTCAAAAAGGACGGGTTAATGTTGTTTCGTCCGCACAGAGATAAGCAGAATATCTTAAGGAGGGAAAAAAGTTTGCAGTTAAAGCGTCATGGCTACCTGGCAATAACAGAGCGGGTTTTGATTCAGAACCCTGGTGAGGAATATCAATGGAATGATTAAACCTTTCAGAATAAGAGTCAAATGTAAGAGACAATTCACTTACCAATTTTTAGTACTCCATAGGAGAGGGGAAGCAGTAAAGGGACAAATTTGTCAGTTTTTTCAGGGAATTAATTTTAAACCTTCCCCTCTTTTTCCCCAAATTGGAATGGTCCAAAGCCCACACTGCATTTATAAGCAGAGATGGTTCAGTATCAAGTTCAGAAAAGAGGGGATTGGGTTTTTGGGCGGGGATTATCAGCATGCTAATGGGAATTTCATCAATTGTCATCTACTCGTGTCCTTCTCTGCATTTGTTGAGCCCCTGGACACAAAGGCCGAACAAATGCTTATAAAGTGTTGCCAATGCAACGCTTGTTAAAAACCATCTGATTAGTTATCTCCAGTTTGTTTTAAGAATCCTCCTTATATTATCCCTGCGTTTGTGCTCACCCAGATACTGCAAAGGAAATTGGCACAAATAAAGCCCCATCCGTTTTTAAATTACTTAAGTCATTAGACTGAGGTTTACATGTGTGAGTTGTTTAGTCGATTGGCTTGAAATTGTCATCAATCTCTTCTTTGACATTGTCCTTGAGCTCAGCAGCTGCCAGTGGCTGGCCGTCGTCCTGCGGGGTTGCGGTGGGAGTATTCTCCGACTTGGCGGGATAATCCTGGGCCGTTGCTTCCATCTTCATCATCAGCTTGAGCTTCTTCTTTGGGGGGTTCTTCAGGGTTCCCATACGCTCCTTGACCTTGTACTCCAGGGTGCTGTGTGGGATGCCGTACATGTTCTGAGCCTTGGACACACTCATCTTTCCACTCATCACCACTGCGATGGCCTCCTCCAGGATCTCGCTGTTGTACTGCCGATAGCGGCCTCTCTTCTTCCTCGGTTGCTTGGAGTTTGGGTCGCCTTCCACATCAGAGGTTGAGTACGCTGGCCCAGAACCAGAGTGGTCCAGATCAGAGCTCCAGTAGTCAGCTGCCCCATCCAACAGGCTTCCGAGACTTCCTCCACGGTGGTTTTGCTTCGGTAGGATGGATCTCAGCTTCCGGTTCAGAGTATTCTCTCCATGGCAACCACCCCCAACCCCCATGGCGCCATAGCTGTACAGCTCAGACGCATGGGAGTCCCAGGAGAGATCCATGCCCCGAACCTGGGGGATCTTGAGGTCGACAGGAGGGGAGTGGCCCTGGTCTCTCTTCCCCTCATTGTGGTGGTGCTGGGCCTTGGAGACCTGATTGTGGTGGTGATGGAGGGAACTCTTGTATGAGACAAGGTGGTGGTGATTCTCCAGGAATGTTGGCAGGTCTTTGAGGTCGCTGAGCGCCCCACTCAGAGCTCCACTGGCCTGCTTTAGTTTCAACAGGCTCTCCAGGTGGGCCTTGCTCCCCCAGAACGAGGAGGAACCCTTCTGGCCGAGCAAGGAGTGGGACTGCCGATGACTGAGCAAGCCGGCTGACTCTAGATTGGCCAATGAGAGAGCAGCAGGCTGGCTCAGGAGGCGGTGCTTCTGGCTGAGGAGCTCTTCCTTGATGCGCAGTGAGCGAGCCAGTGGAGGCTTGAAGGAGTTGGAGTTGACGTAATTCTCCCTCAGCCCGTCCTGCAAGCTTCTCTGCAGCAGACCGTCCTCCTCATCCACCTCAGAGAAGGCACGCTCAACTTTGTAAGGACGCCTGGATGGAGAGAAAAGAGGGACAGATTAATATCAGTGTCAGGGATCTTAAATAGACTCTCATGACTGGAGTATGATGCTTACTGCATGTCAGCACTCTAACCTGGACCCATGGACGAAATTTTGATTTCAAAGGTGGGGGGGGGACACACATGTGACTTGAGGACTGTTGAGTACTGTTAAGAAATATAGCCTAGCAAACAGCACATTTTGTACACACAGTAACAGAGGAGGCAATAGGGCCAACGGGTGGATAGAAGTATAAACCAGATACAGGAATGTAAATGAAACCTTTGATGAATGTGACGTTACAGGGGGAAAATGAATGCCGCCCTCCTGTGAACGTACATCGGCAAATAGCGATGTTCATGGACTGACTCTTACGAGCAACTTGCAAGACACTCGTCTGACGGGCATGGAATGACTAACAGCAGGAATAGCCAGTTACACACAAAAAGCGGCCCTGTGGCAGAGCCAATCAAGGACCTTGTGGGCGGTCCAAACCAAGGGAAACCAGTTTTCGGCTTGAGTTGTCGTTTGGTCCTAGTGCGTAATGTATATATGTATATATGCTATAGTGTAAAGTATCATTGTTTTCAGACGGTTAAGACTGCAGGGGACCAAAACAGGCTTTTAAAAGTGTGTGTGTATGGGGGGGAGCATGTCTCCTGTGCCCCCCACAAATTACATCTGTGCCTGGACCCCATGGTGGTGCAGTATATGGTGATCTTAGAAATCTTGAAAAGCCAGTTCGATCTGTCACTCAGAACGCCCCCTTTAGCCTGAGTTGGGAAACTTGGGGGAACTTTGCCAACCCTTACAATCATCTGGAAATGTGACAGCACAAAGAGACTCTAAAAGGGAGTGGAAACAGACATGGTTTCTTTTAATCAGTCTCCAGTCAAACTTTTAGACTTTTCTGCTCTAACAATAAGTCTATGTAAGGTGAAATCAGAGCATAAAGCTTGCCTTTAGTTCAAGCCGCTCACATTTCACTGATTTAAATATCTAGAAACCATCTCCACCGTGTAAATATACATTTTTGAGCAAAGTGCCTTGAATGTTCTTACTGCAAAGTAACCATAGCAACAGTAGAAAAGCTTTTTTTCCTCAATTCTCCCTTGGCCTCATAATAATAGGAAATAGCTTGTCAAGTCAGCGGATGGATGGCTTGGGGGAGAAGAAACTTGAGGGAGATGCTGGATGCTGGTGAAAAGGCGTATGCTGGTGAGCTACAGTGCGACTGGCTGTGCAATGTGGGGAGTCCTCAGCAGGAGCTTAAAGACAGATTAGCGCAGTGGGCGGTCGAGGGCTCGTTGAAAACAATACAGGGTTAATGAGCAGCTTTGGAGTCTACACTAATAGAGCGTTCTGTTACAGTAAGCATCCAGTCATCAGGGAGGCTGTGCCAGACACTAACGCTGGATCTAAGGATTCAGCCTGAGCAGGAAAAGGAAAAAAAAGCAGAGTAAATAAATTCAATATGGCATCCCTGGTGAGGCACAATGATGGCGTGTTTCAGCATCACACTGTACAATCTCTCTGCCCTCCACATCCATATATGAATGCTGTGGCTGATGTAGGTTTTTAGGGAGGAGCATTTTTAACCATCAGTGAACAAATGTATTTTACACATTCATCAATAAACACTGATTAGATTTCTATCAGACACTGTAATATTTTCTTTACAGAAACAACTTTGAAAAAAGAAATCTGTTCTCACTGGAAAAAAAGAAGAAAAGTCAGAGCTATAAATGTCCTGTTGCTTTTTTTTTAATCTGGGAAGAATAACATTTAGAGTGATTAGCACATTTCAGATATACGGAAAATACAGGTAATTTTTCTCACATTTAACTTCATGCATGAAAGATCTCCATATGAAACAAAGCTGGCTGTAATCAGGACATTATTATTTGTACATCTAAAAAAATGTGTGTCGCTCATCTGTACACTGTGCAGGGCTAAACGGTATTTAGAGACCTGACTTTTCCACTTTTTAGCAAGTCTTAGTGTCGTCATGCACCTAAAGTGAGTCAACTGTTTGAGTTTATCAAATGTTAACATTTTCAGTTGTTATTTATTTTGTCTTATTTTGGCTCTTTGTTTTCAATTCTTAATTAGTTTAAGTTTATTTTTGATGCTGAATTTTAATTTCAGCTTTCATTTTTTTAAATTTTTAGTTTTAGTTTCATCAGCTCAAGATTTTTGTAACAAGGGATACTTTACAGGGACAAACCCCCCCTCTCCAAAAATTAACAATATAGAAAAAAATCCATCAGTCATAATTTATGGCTTTAAGTCTTGACTTGTGTTAAAATTATCATAAAATCAATAACAAATACTATTTATCTGTATCTGGGCTCACATGCTTCATGCCACCCCAGCAGTGTCCGTGCAGAGGCTGGGCCCCCTCATCTAAAAAGGTCTGGCACGCCCCTGTTGTTAGGACATATATTGCATATATTGAGTGTGTTATTTTAACTCACACAGACATATGCTGACAGCTTTTCTTTTAGGTCGTATCAGTTTTGTGGTGTGGCAGGTTGACCCGGATTTAATTCTTCCAAACAACAATGGCAACCAGCTTACAGTAACTCTTCAGGGAAACACACCTCAAAAAATGAGGACATGAACACACCACAGTCTCCTACCGTTGAATTCAATACCTCACAAACGGTTGGACTTTTTCCACCTTTTAGTTTAATATATTTTCACATTGCTGACTTTTTAAAAACAGGGGCACTCATGCTAAGTTACTCACAGGTTTGAACCTGCAAAAAACTGGGCTAGGTTAGTGACAGCTGAAGTCAGTGATTGTGGTGAAGTGATCAGCTCGTAACTGATCTTGAGCCCTTATCAGTTAAAGAAATACCCTTATAGGCTCCAGTCCGACAGACGACATCTGGATCGAGACAATCTTTTTCTCCCTCCCTCACACTAACCTCTGTCTTGGATGGATGGATTTGATTTGATTAAGGTGGATCTACACTCTCTGTCTGCCGCTGTACTTAATATTACATGAACTGATCACAAGAGGCCCAATGAAGCTGGGGCCCTTAGGGTTTTTGGGGCCTTAACACCCCTTAGGCAAAAGACACAGTCCCATCCTGAGGGTTTTGAGGTGATGTATCTACTTGTCTTTCAAGCCCACATCAGAAAAAACTTCACTGTGCTGGGTTTTGTCTGTGTCAGCTGGCTATATCTCACAATGTAAAAGGTAAAATTTGATTTAGAAGCCAGCAGTATTCATTGTGTGTCATCCGACTAGTCAAGATGCATTTAATAGTAACCAAAGGGTGTAAACAGCAGAGATGCTTCAAAGGGATTCATTTCGAAATGAAGACCTGAACTATCTGACAAAAGTAAGAAAACACTCTGGAAACAGTCAAACCTAAGTTTATCCAACATAGCTAAACACCTGATCAGAGAGGCTGCAGGTGAACAATGTCAAATTGGTTAGCAGGATGTGGCTAACACTAGCAGAGCCAGCACCACAAACCTCTGTGCCTCATTGCAGGTCAATGTCCACATGCTCACATACAAATGACTCTGGTCACTGAGAATCCAGGCTAAACCTTTCTCTTAAAAATCTGACTAACTGTGCCATGTTATCTTTAATGTGTACTCGTTGACATCTGAGCAGCAGAACATTTTAGCGTTACCACAGAAGGTGTCACTGAGCTACAGCTTCAGCTGGTGGCAAATAGCAGTAATATAGGACCAGCATTTCAAGCCTACAGTAAAAAGGATATTAATAAGTAGCCAACTAGGAATGGTGGAAGGAGATTTGTTACTGCAGTTAATTTGGAACATTTAAAAGAATAAATCAATCCAAAATGACCTTTAAATGCTTTTCAAAACGATTTTTTAATGTTTCTTATCTATTTCCTCTAAAGGCAGAAATCTTCCTTTCTGTAGTTGTCAAAGATTTCAGCCGAAGGATCCTCTGTTGTGTTGGAGGTGTGTTCTGCTGCTTTCAAGAGATGCTACCCACGGGGTGGTTGAAGAACATTCAGACCCACATCTTCCACATCTGCAAATCCTGCATTTGGGAGCTTGGTGCAGTGAACTTTTGCAAATCTATCTTTGACTTATAGATCAAAAGTCTTCTAGGAAAAGGCAGCCACGATTAGTGTCGATTGTGCATCCGCTCTCAGTGGACGAGCCAAGAGTACGATGGGAACGGATTCAAACATGACTTAAAGGCAGACTACATGTTCATCAATAAATGAGCAGGCTGCAATGCTGAGGATTGTCAATACAGGCGCAGACATGGAGAGGAATAGAGAAAGTAGTAAAAGCCTCTTTACTGTTTGACACCCAAAGCCACTGACCCCTCACTCAGGGGTTGAGGGGTCGGACGTAGGAGGGGTCTAAAATAGAACTACCTGCACAGGAGTATGTGCAGCATCGTCATGGGATTGATTGAAGTTCAATTATTGATCAAGTGTGGGAAAAAAAGTGTGATATAAAAGGTGGGAGGCGTTGGCAGAATTTGTCTGTGAACGATAGGGAGAGGATCGAAGTGTTCGCCCCCAAATTGTTAGGAGACCAAGTGGGGCCACGGCCCTTTAAGACCTGCAGAGGTTCTCTTTGCAGCTCCCACAAAGTCGATTTTCTGAAAGTCAATGCTCGAACTACAAGCTATACGGGTTGTTTCTAGCGTTTTTGCAACTGGTGATAGATACGCATATTACTGGAGAGAGAGGAAGACTTGCATGACACTCTTTTGTCATTTTTGTCTTTCTTGGCATTAGTGTGGTCTTTCAGTTTGAGAGAATTATTACAGGCTTCAATCAAACTATTTTGATGCCTCTACTTGAATTTCATTTACTTTTGCTGCAAACAAAGAATACTCCCTCTTTTGGAGATGGATCCTGTTTTAAGTTTCACACCACAGCTTTTGAATCACACAGCTGATGCCCAATGCAGCACTGCCTGATGTTACGATAACCGCCTTGCTGCAGACTTGCTTCTTTTACAGTGGCTTCAGACAGGATGGGAAGGTCTACAGCCATTACTATATCACCCAACATTTTCAGACTTTCTTGCGAAAATTTAAAAAAAAAAAAATCTGATGCAGAAATTTCTCCATTTAGACATTATCAGCTGATCATTGCGCTACAGGTGAGAGAACATGTATCTGTCCTGCATGTCTGAGAATAGCGCTATAATGGATGGGCTTTCTAATGGTACGTTTTTCAGTAAAGAGGCTGAGCGGGGAAGAATCTCCTGAAAGTGTACATTTGCTAATGACAAGCACTTCACGCAACCCCACTTTAAAAACTTCAACCAAGCTTCCAAGTGCAATCATTCTACTTTGAAATACAGAGGCATGCACAGATGCAGCAGCACATGGCCTTCTTTTTGTGCGCTTTCCTGTTCAGGATACTCCCGTAAACTGATGTTACTGCTGCTTGCACCTGCTAGTCATGGGTTTTCACCAGAAATCCCCTGTTACAGAAGAATTTTTATTGCAATTACAACATACAAGCAGCCAGAAACAACCGCAAAAGCCCCCGCTTCTCGATATGCTCCTCACCATTGCCCAATCCAGGTCTTATTTTTGGCTCTAAAACCACGCATCTGTTTGAAGTGTTGTGAATTTGTCTCTCTCCATCTCTCTCTTTCTTCATCCCCCTCTCTCCCCTCTTTAAATCCAGCTCAGTCTCAGCAGAGAACTGTCCAACATGAGTCTGGTTCTGCTCGAGGTTTCTGCCTGTGAAGGAAGTTTTTTCCTTTCCACTGTAACTTGATCTGCTCTTAAGGAAAGGGCTGAGTCTGATCCCATCTGTAAGTTGGTCTTTGTAAACAGAGTTTGGTCTGAACCAGATCTTTCTGTTCAGTGTCTTGAATAATATTAATTGTGAATTGGCACTGATCGATTGATTGATTGACTCACGATTCAGCTGCACTCACTGATCCCTGACGCCACAGTTCAACCACCAGGCTGAGCGCTCCACTGATTAGATCTTTGAATTCAAATGCACAACAACTGGTCCAATGATCAGTATATTTATATATCTAATATAACAAGACAATTAAAGCAAAATTATGCAAGCAGAGATGTTTCACAGTAGTAGTCTAGAAAACAGGCTATCATGATCTTTATTCATCAGAAATAGTAGCCCTATAATTCCTGACACCACAAATTATGGCCAGAAAATTCACATTTTTTTGGAGCTGAAATGTTTATTTCACTTACTACTGAAAACCCCCAAAAATCAGAATGTCCTTAAAATTTATTAAATATATTTATTTATCTTGTTTGATACATTAGATTGTTTTTGGAAATTTATAAATTACAAGAGGACATTTTTATCATCTATCGGACTGTATTCAGGTGGGTTTTTTTTTTAGTAATTTATGATCATATTGACTTGATAGAAGTATATAAAAGTTTGTATCAATTATGATACAAAAGGCGTTAAAAGGCTCGTATCGTTGTGTAATAAGCTGAGTTTAAATGTTTTTAACTCTTTGACTCAAAAAGTTATACTTAAAATTGAAGACATTTGTTGTTTCTGCAATAATTCATGAGCCACAGTGATCAAAAGTCTCACAAACTGCCCTTCTGTTTGGTGCCTTCACTGGCCCCGTGCTGCTGCTGCTTCAGAGCGGTGAAGTCATTGTTTTGCTCATCTTCACTTCATGCATCTTTGATGAAAATGTCTCTGTCCTTTCTGTTTGCTCTCTCTCAGTTACCACATTTGATTTAACGTCTCTTGTTAGCTGCTCTGTGGTTGTGCTGAAATTTGCTAAATGTGCTGTGATGCATTCATGTACCACAAAGATATCAGGCCTAAAAGTACTGACGCTCTATTTATTGTTTGTAAAAGTGGCATTTTTTACTCCAAATTATCCCTTTAAGACCTGACAGCAAGGCTCAGGTACATAAGAGTCTGATGGTAACATAAACTGCAGGAGTGGAGCTGATACTGCAGCTTTTTGGGCTCCAAACACTAAAACCCGGTTCTAAGGCAACATAAGTGGACACTCTGCTGCCAGTCCAAATGAGGTTTTCACTCAGAGTGGGGTCTAAAGCCAACAAGATTCAGTCTCGGCATAATGTGGTGACCTTTAGGGTGTTAAATACTTTCAGTATCAAGTAATTAAAATACTTTTCAGAGTGACAGGTGACATTTAAAGTGCCGAATTTTGCATGGCTCCTATCAGTCCTTTCAATCTAATACAACATAATGAGAGACATATTTGACAGTGATATTACGGCAGCATTTAGAGGACGTCCTTCACTAATTATTGGTGTGGTATCATGAAGTATGAGTCCTCCCATACTTACACTTATAAAAAGGTACAGTGGTGTCAAATTGTCAATCCAAGGTTAATTGGACTTCTTTTTCTTTGTAGTTTAAGTTACAAAAAAAGTATGGCTATAAACTGAAAAGGTAAAGTGGTGCATCACCAAGACTCTAAAACTGATGCGCTGATTTAAACCTAGAGCTTGGCAATTGAGTGGATTTTGATTATAATCGTGGCTTGTTACAATCTTAAAAATACAAAAAAAATGAGACTGATCTATATGGTGCTACCTGCTGTGTCAAACGTTACGTCCTATACATTAAATAAGGTGCACCCTCCCTCTCTTACACTTGATTAAGAGCAGGATGAGCAGCAGGATGATTAAAAGTTTTAAAGGTTTTAAGAGTTTTTAAGTTGCTTTCGTGTGTGTGATGCAAATGTGTACTCATGGATAATCCTCTTTAACAATCAGGATATCAACATCAATCAAAATAACTGTGATTATGAGTTTATCCATAATCAATCAGCTCTATATAAACCAGAATTTTTTTTTTTTTTATTCCTGTTTCACAGCTCTGGCAAGTCATTGGACAGGAAAATAATAAGATTCGATCTACTTATACAAATAGTAATCCTTTATGTATATCCTTCATATTTGATCTGTCCATCACTGATAAATAGAGAAAGAAACTCCATCAAACACTTGCACTCTGTGCTAGGAAGTGTTTTTCCTTAAATTGGATTGTGGACAGAGTCTCATCCAAGGTTCAGTGGCAAAGGGTGACTCTTGAGTACATACCATTGGACTACCCGACGTGTAAACTACACAGCAAAGACGATGTGTTTCGTAAAACATGGGAACCCTTTTTGTCATATGTTGGTTTAAATATTTCTACTATTCTTGCAAAAGGGTTTGTATCATAGCTATGAACATGCTGCCTCGAAAATGACGTCATATTTTATGAATGTTTTTGCCTCTATGTTCCTTTCTTTGAACATATGAACGTATTATGCATGACGACGTGCACTTGATTTATTTTACTTTTATTTTACTTACTTATTTTATTTGCATAAGATGACCTCTGAATCTCTTGCCTGTATAAATTTGAACTTAAACGTGTGTGTGTGTGTGAGCCAAATGTATGTTTTTATGTTTGTTTTTTTGTCATGTGTTCTTGTTTTGTTTCTGGAAAATTTAATAAACATATAAATAAAAAATCCTATTTTATACAAGAAAAAGAATCAAAATATGGAGCACCCCATTTGAAGATGTTCATTTGCAGTAAAATAAACTTGTGCGGCTCACTACACAAGCTGAGCTGTGGTTTAGCATCTATAAACAGCTCTGAATCTGAATCTGAGCCAAACCTCTTCACCTCTGGTCAAGTCTCCACACAGTGTTAAATGTAACACTGATAAGGGCTTTCTGCTGTCGTGCAGAAACACAATAACAGAGGCTGTTTGAACCTCTTCATTGTTGTTTTAGGCACAAGACCAACAGGGACCAGTTTAACTAATCCTGTTGTCTTACCCTTTGACCCCAGGCGCAGGGGGGGAGCCGGTTTTGTGGCTGCCTGCGCTCTGGTTCTTCTTGGTGGAGAGGTCCAGGACGCCGTCTGAGGAAAAAAAAGAGAAAAAAAGATTTAACACAGCTGTGGTTCAATCCTTCAAGTAGTACCACTTTGAGGATTCAGAAAAACACTTCAAAAGACACGGTCAGCAGCACGGTTATATAAACGTACAAAAAACAGAGGGAAGTCTTAGTACCTAAACACGCTTTCCCTCTGCTAGATGGTCAAATAACACTCAATGAACATTTTCAACAAACAAAACAATGTCAGTCCCTGCAGCACAAAACTGAATTTTTGTTTAAAACCTTTCAGCCACAGCGAGAAATCACTGCTCTTCATCTGTTTATCCACGAAAAAAAAACACCATCTAATTCATATCAACAGCGTGCAGCTTGTTTTTCTGCATATAAAAGTAACTTCTGTTTCGTCTTATGACCGGAGGAGGGAAAAAAAAGACTTGAGATATCCTGCACAGTCCAGAACAGGAGGACTCTGTGTGACACTTTAGCGATGAAGTCTGGAGAATATGCTGGCAACATGCTGTGTGTGAAATCTCAGTTTATTTGTGAGTACATCTGTCAGATCAACTCAGACACACGCACACAACCTGCATCACCAGAAAAACTGCTTTGAGTCCAAAAAATGGATCTACTTTTTCAATTTTAGTGGGTTTGTGGAAAATGAGAATCCTTTATGGTTGAAAACTTCCATAACGGGCCTTTAAAATCCAGTTTTCACATGTTATAAGTGTTTTTATAAAGCTTTAAATAACACAGCACTTACACAAATGCAAACCTATAAATTCATGAACAGAGTCTGTGTTTGTCTCTGTGTATTTTGCTGCTGTAATCCCTCGAGTGCAGCTGACCTCCTGACCCCTCTAACCCACACAGCCCTATACGGGCACAGGACTCACTAATCTTTAGGGGCTTTTCTTGTTTAATCGGACCAAAAATAAAACATGAGGTGATATAAAGATGAAAAACAGGCTCTGCATGACCCAGAAGAAGCAGAAAAAAAATCTAGAATGCGTTGTTTTATTAGTAGTTTGTGCTTAATACTGCACTTTATAACTAAAAATGTAAATATCAGGTATTTACAAATAAATTTGGCTACACAATTTGAACATAATCAAAATGCAGATGCTGAAATAGAGATTTCACTGATAAGGTCTTCATGAGGCTTGGAAACATTCACTCTTAAAGCTACATTGTGTAGGCTTGACTTGGTTGTAATTGTATTTCTGTGTTAAATCAAGGCAGAGAAAAGGAGGAAAATTATAAAAAAACAGTTTCCTTTTACAGTAAACATGCGGATTAATGCAGAATGGCTCTTCCAATGCTAATCAGATCATGACCTGCAACTCAGACCAACACAGTACAAATGTTCAGATGTTTATCAGATACTGTGTTTGCTATATTACATATGCACAAACAGACATATAAACAAGTATCACACCATCAGAGGTGCTGCTGGGCACCATAACTGTGCAGACATGGATGTGGTATCCACCATGTAACAGAGGTAACTAAGAGGTGTGCCAAACCCCATTTTAATAGTTCAAATGTCATCAGAATAAAATTTCCGACATAAAAGAAAAATCCAAACAGTATATTATACTTTCAAGGGATTAACTATGACTAAATCATAATGCTTTTCAGGCCCTCCTGATTAAAATGAATGATGCAACAGATGCATTAAATCAGATTCTTCCAATATTAGAGTAAATTTAATATTTATAGGTCAGCATTTGTAAGCCCTGCAGGCTGCATTGATTATATCTCTTAAATTAACCCAAACAAGGATTTCTGTGAGAAAATAACCCCTGTATTATGCAATCAACTGCCTCATGCAGCTGCTTTTCGTTCTTCTTTTTTATTTTGCAATTTTCCCTGACTAAGGTTGCTTTGTATGTAATTTTTTTAATGTGCTTTTATTTTGAAAGGTTAAAAACAGGACCTCAGGTACAATGGAAGCTCTTTTGAGTGATGAAAACAGCGACAACTGTGTCCATTTGGGGTGACTTTCATTGTTTGTTCCTCTATAAAAGTCATAAGCTCTCGTGTTGTTTTAGGTTGTGTAAAAATCTTGAAAACTTTAGATTGAAGCATTGGGAGGTTTACATCCTCACTTCTTATGGATTTTTAAATAGGTGCAGCAGTGGACAGACGGTAACATCAATGAAGTTCAGTGAGTTTAAACCTGATGAACTCGGGTCCAGGATTCACTCTCCTGTTGCTCTCTGGCTCACTTCTAAGCAGCTAAAAGCTCGACCAGGTTTAAAAGCTAATCGAACTGGGCCAGCAGGTTTTTCAGCTAAATTTAGGACAGTGACAGACTGAGAGTTTTGTGGCTATAATCTGATCTGTCTGCTCAATACTATGCCTCGACTATTCACCACTTTCTTTAAGATCTCTGATAATATCATGTGTCCTCTCACTTCATTGTCATTTTTTGACCTTAATGATATTAATTTTAACCAGTAAGACCAGTAAGTGTTGTCACCTTTTTTCTTCCTACTGATGTTCAATCATCAAGTCATAATAACGATAATTTTTATTATTACAATAATCATTATAGTTTTTTATTCATAGCGCGATTTTCAAAACTGAGTTACAAAGTCTTTACAAAGGCAGAAAAATAAAACACAACAAAAGAAGAAAAAAGGAGAAAAAGACCCCCCAAAAAAGAGACAAAAACCCCCTTTAAAGCAAAGGGTAAAAAAGAGACACGAAAGACAAACATAAGATACAAAACAGGGACAGAAGAGAAAAAGACAAAAGGGTCAAAATGAAGAGATTAAGAAGAAGATATATAAACAAAACAACGAAAAGAAAAGAGACGAAACAGAGCAAAAAAAGTGGACAAAACCGACAAAGAGAAAGGAGAGAGAGTCACAGAATACAGGGAGCAAAAAAGACAAATATGCCAACAGAGACAACAAGGGGAGAAAAAACACAAAGAGAAAAATGGGAGACCAAAAGATTAAAAACCCAAAGAAAGAAAAGGGTGATAAAAAAGACAACAAAACAAAGACAAAATATGATAAAAATGGGGACAGAAAAGAGACAAAAAGGAGACAGAAAAGAGTAAAATGAGGCAAAAAAGGGCAAAACAACAAAAGAAAGATTGACAAGATATGAAGAAGACAAAGACAAAATAGACACAGAAAGAAAACAAAAATGACAGACAAGGAGACAAAAACAAAGAAACAAAAAGGAGACAAGAAAGGACAAAATAACATTAGAAAGACTTAGAGGACATGAGGAGGAGACCAAAAAAAGTGGAAAAAGTATAAAAAAATTAAAAAGGGGACAAGAAGAAGGACAAAAAAAGTGACAGAGAAACCAAGAGAGAGAAGAAAGAGTCCTGTCAGAGCCCAGAATGTAACAATGATCTGAAATTTAACAACGACTCAAAATGTAATGAAAAAAAAAGTAATAAAACCTGAAATGTAATAACTGGTCAATAATGTAATCAAAGTGCTGAGCCTGAAAAGAAATGAAACCCTAAAATGTAATAACTGACCAAAAATGTAACGAGTTCTTACGTTTTGGGCAGAAGGTTATTATGTTTTGGCCTCAGCATCTTGTCATATTTTAGGTCACTTATTACATTTTGGGTTTTATTTGACTTTCTGTATCACATTTGGGATTGCTGTTACATTTCAGATTGTTGTTTCTTATCAGGATCTAACACGGCTATTAAGTAACAAAACCAGACAAATACCACAAATAGAAAAGACAAAAAAACTGAAAAATTTGCAGAGCAGTTAAGATCTCTGTGTTCTAGTGACGTTAACACGCGTTTAAATTATTTATTTAACAGTTATTTCTTATTTCTGACTGAGTCTCACTGTAAATATCACTTAATAATCCACCAACACAGGAGTTAAAAGCCACACACAGTCAGACTGAGTTTTTCCTTCTACTGGGAGTCGCTGGAAACTGCGCTGAAGAGTCGACATGCTCCAAACGTTCAGAGATCAAGAGGAGATTTTTATTTCACCAGAGTTTACTTTCGTTCTTTATCTGAACCTGCTCGGCATGGTCCTTTACAGCTGAGACTGAATCAAACTGTAAATGTGGCTGAAAACTCAGTGGAGCTGCAGAGCTCTCTGTGATTCACTGCAGCATTTACATATATGTGTATGTAAAATAACAGCTGAAGCATAAGGAGTATTTTTTTTTTTTTTACTTTATAATTTGTTTCATTTTAAAGAGTGCATGCGTGTGATCCAGCTTTATGGATTATCAGAGGAAAAAATTTGTCTAAACGCTCTTCTCCATACATTTTTATCTGTGTGCGTGAAAAAGAGGAGATCATGTGTGAGCCGGAGGTGGATGTAAATGCCTAAATCTTTTTTTGTAAAAATTAAGGAGGATTACTGTAAGCAGATTCTAAAAAGCTGGTATTACAAAGAGGGAGTGATCACACTGCGACTGAGGTTAAAAAAAAAACGAAGCCAGCCGTAGCGTTGGCCTGTCGTTGATGGAAAGTCAGACCCCCTGCTGGTTTACTTTGATTAAAGGCAGATTGAGCCTGGAGCCACATCCAGAGATCAGTATGGTGCTGCAGAGACTCAATCCAAAAGATGAGGCTGCCTCAATGATCTGTTCCTGAGATGAATCTGTACCTGATGAAGTGCACAGCCAACATGTGCAGCATGAAGTCTGTCCTTCTGATGAAGACAAGGAGATGAGTTCTACTCTTCATCACCTGCTTTACTTACATCACCTAAAGTTTTTTTTACATTACAGAAGCAGTGAGTGTTAATAAGAAGGTGGCTGAGCGAGTTTGGCTGCTATGAAGACTTAATGCTGGGGCTGTTTCCAGTTTCATAAAGCATCTTGTTTGGTAAAAAATCTGCTGAAAAAGCCAAAAAATGTTTCTATGTATTCATCATGTTGACCCCAGATGTGTAAAAAAATTGTTTCAAGGTTTTAAATCAACCAAAACTAGGAACTGTGTCAACAAAGACCCCTCTCTGTGGATACTGATTTAAGCAGGTGTTGTTAGTGTCGTCTAGAGTTGGGTTTGACCAAGCAGCGACCTGCAGGAATGTGAGCCATGCAGGATGCTGCGCTAAAACTACAGTACCTTGAATGTCCACTAGAGCCTAAGTCTGAAAGCCCTGGAAGCAGAATTCACACCTATTCATAAAAGTTTGTCTTTACAGGTATACTCCTTAAACTGACATCTTGCGTTTGTTCTTATTGAAACCTAAACCCGCTGGGCTACAAGATTAACTTTTGTTACTGTTTATTTCCTTTATAATTTCACTTTGTCAGATCATATTTAGTTTAAATTCAAGACCTCGATGTGTTAAGCTTAAATCCTAACAGGTCTGTGTGTGTTGTTCTCACCTTGCTGGCAGGGCTCCGGGTCGTCCTGGCTCTTTTTGACAGAGAGGTCCAGCGGGCCGTCCTGGTCAGCCATGAGAAGCTTGCTGAGGACGGGGTTCTGTGCAGAGGCAACAGCCGTTCCTCCCGCTCCACCCCCGTTGGTGGCTCCCGTACCGTTGCTGCAGGCGGGTGCTGAGGCGGCAGCAGCAGCTGAGGTGGGGCTGAGGCCCGGGGTGGGGGATGGAGAGGAGGAGGCAGACGATGGAGGGGAGCTGGGTGCGGGCAGGGGCCCAGGCGGAGAGCCGGGGGCCTGGGCCAGAGACGCCGCTCTCGGCAGGCTTTGGTCCTTCATGGTGCCGTTGGGCAGGGGCGAGTTGTCCTGAGAAGTTTTTGAGGTATATTCGGCAGCGAACTGGCGGATCATTCGCTGCATGATCTCACGAGCCACTAGAGGAATGTGAGGTTCTGAGAAACTTGGGAGGTCTGCAGAGAAACAGAAACAGAGGAGCAAACATGTCAGCAGCCGCCCGTCCTCCAGGAATTCCCACTGCCTCAAAGTGTTTGCCTGTTTATTTATCTCATTTCATCCTGAAAATGTAATCCCCATGCTGTGCTGAAATAATCCAAAAATCACCCAGAAGCAGCACTTAATCCCGCCTATTGACAGTGGTGAGAGCAACCATGATATGGGTGTTGAGAGCAGATTATTTTTATTGTGTTCAGCTTGTCAGAGTTTAGTGTTGCTCCGGCCTTATTTTTTTTTTATTTTTTACATTGATATGAACTGACTGTTTATCAAGATCATTTTGAAGAGAGTGGTCGCTGGATCACTTTAGTAGTACTGTGGTGAAGTATACTCGCAAAACCATGTTTTTATTTTGAAGTATACAAAATGATAGTATGTTACCAAACTGAATGAAAACAGTAAAAATACAGGTTAGGAAGCGCACTTTTCAAAGGTGAAACCATCTCTCAGAAGGCTGCTACAGCTAGCTCACTATCAGCTGCTGTTCATCTACATTTTCCTTTGTTTTATAACTTGTCAGAACCAGAGTTAGGGAACACTAATATGAACTCACGGTACGACTTTATTTATTTTTTTATTTTTTTGCTTTAGTCTTCACCTGGCTTTGTTACAAGTCACCCACCTGAGTCAAATACTTGATTCTGACTGGTTAAAACCTCTTGGCAAAGGTTATTTATTCTAAACAGCAACAGGGACTGATCACACGTCACATCTATAATTTCTTTAAGAAGTTTCCCTCTTGTTGACAAAAAAGTTAGCTAAAGTGCTAAATAACTTGAAAGATGTTTCAAAACTGCTCTTAATTTATTTGGATTTAAGATTAGGGGTCAGCAACAGAGAGCGGAAGACATAAAATTAAGGATGCTAGAACTCCAAAGGAGCTGAGTAAAAAAGAGACATCAAGCAAATTGAAAAAAACAGACACAAAGCAATGTCAAATCACAATAAGATATGGGCTTTGATTAAGGAAGAGGACCTTATACAAGTCCTGCTGCTAATTTACTCTTCTGTTAACAATGCAAACAGAAAAAAAAGCTAATATTTTGACTGTACCACGAATGAATCAAACATGTTAGAGCAGCTTCAGGTCAAAACGCCATCAGTAGCTGCTGATGTGGCTTACCCAGTGCACAAATATGAAAGTAAAAAATAGGTCAAAGCTCAGGCCTTAATGGAACTGATAAAGACTCTGTAAAGAAAAACAAGTGTCCACTGCATTAAAATTCACAATATCAATGTAGAAGAATTTCTATACTGAGCACAACAAGTACTCATACAGCACCGTGAGTCTGCGAAATAAACACAGATGTCAAAAGTAAACTTTCCATTACCTCCTGCTGTGATAAAACAAAGCCACTCCAAACACCGGTCACTGATCTCATTGGTTAATTCATTCAGAGCAAAACAGAGACAGTGACGACACATTTGTAAATAATGCATTAATCTGGCGTTGTCCCAGATAAGTCAGCTGCACTTATCTCCCCATAACCAGCAGCTATATCATTTAGACTCAATCATGCATGCCATGAGTCAAGCCTCAAATCCTTCAAACAATACATCAGCCCTAAAATCTAATCCTGTAGCTGTGCTGAAATAATCCAAAAATCATTCATATACCGATTTATTTATATTTATATACAGCACTTAATCCTGCTTTTTGCCACAGTAAAGGCAGCATGATATGGATGCACTGCAGGTCATTCTCTTTTTACCCAGCATGCCTTCTGCTTTGAAAGCTATAGCTTTCCAAACTTCTGCTGTTTCAAATTATTTTCTAGTCTCTCTCCTTTTTTATTTTTTCAGTTGAGGTTTCATTGCATTTGAGTCGCCAAAGAAAAAATGTATAATAGCTCCAAAGTTGTCTTTGATTGTAACTTTTTTTACCTGGTTTGATAAGGTTGATATACAAACATCCTGCTTAATGGGAAACATTTATCATATTATGGATACAAAGCATTCAGACTCACCACCTTATATCCTCATGACTCTAACCAGTGCTGATGGTATAAATGCTGCTTAATTTGCTTGAGGGAACCTTCCCCAAAGGATAATTAAAGTTATATCCAATCTAATAGAACTTTTAGAGGCAAATCATATTCTTTAGTTTGTATGATATTGTGATTTTTCATTTAAAGGTTCTTTTTGACATGCTGGGTTGTGAAACTATTGTTATGGGTAGCGGTATATCAAGTATCTGGAATCATATATCATATTGAGTTGTACAGTACTGCGTCATAGCATTGCATATTGTATTATACTGTATCATGTCATTTTGTATTGCACAGTTTTAGACTATATCATATTATATTGAAATTTCTGCTGTTTTTTAAAATTATATCGTAAAGGATTGTGTCATACCCTTTTGTAATGTATCGTATCATATCATGTAATATTGTATTGTATTATACTGTGTCCTATTTTATTGTACTGTACAGAACAAAAAATCTTTTTTAGGTGGTTAAAAGAGCCACTACAAAATTGGACAGTCAGAGTTTATTTTAAAAATGGAGTCAAATCCATCAAGCAAACAGAGATGTGAAAATGATGAAGCTGTTTGTGCTTTGATTTGTTTTAAAGAAGCAGCAATGAACAGATGGGACTAATATCTTGTTATATTTTTTTGTCTTTTAAAACAAAGATATTAACTCGAGTTTCAACGTGAAAATGTGATTAAAGAAATATATGTTTTTCAAATTTAGATCATTTTACAAAAATGTATAACAGCCATCTTTATTCAAGTACAATAAATTATACTTGCTATTTGGTCCTGTAATAATAATGCACCGATAAAATAAAGGTCAACATAAGAGTATTATCTTCATTTTAAAGTTCATGATCTCTTCATTTGAAAAATTGTTTGAGCTCTGATCAGCGGTCTCCATCATCAGGCTTTGACTGCAATAACAGAGATTAAACTGTGTGTTCTCTCAGAGACCCAGGAGCAATTCAAAGATTCACTGAGTAACTAAGCAGATCAAGTGTGGCCTTTTCCCTGCTCTGTCACAATCAAACAGGCCTTAAATGTTCAGGAATCACAGGGAGTGGGTTAAGCTTGCAAGAAGTCTGCCTTCATCATGCAGCTCCTTTCTGACAGGAGCAAGTCTAACGCTACCACCTTAGAAATCTCCAGCAGATACCTCAGTGTGCTGTCTCTCTGGGTTCTTCTGAGCTCACCTGGTTGTGTAACACTACAGCCTTGTGAAAAGTTACACAACAAAGCTCACTCTGCTACACCAGAGCCACATAAGGGGTCCTGCTTTTCTGCGTCAGAGCCAACAAAGTGACTTTCCAGCTGTAGTTTTTTTTAGAGACGTTTCCTGGAGTATTTTAGGAATTCTGCTTCCCCCCTGAAAGAGGAAGCTCAGAACTCCTCTTATGCTTTTAATCCGATCCAAATCAGCATCTCAATCTTTTCTTTTTTTCTTCACTTCTTCCACTGAAAAGTTAATTGAGGCTTGGTTCGGTGCTGTAAATAGTTGTGACGGCAAATTAGTGCTAATTTAGCTGGATCCTTCAGCTGACATGCAGTTCACAGAAAGAGCAAACAAAAATCTTTCAAAGGATCCAGATGTTGTGATTAGATAGACAACAGGCTTTACAGCATACCGAAGAACTGTTTGTATGGTGCTAACAGGTTTATTGCCTCTGTAGGGCAAAACTGACGGGTTTTAGTTATTTATACATTTTAGTAATTCTTTTTCTGTTACACTGCAAAGAGACTGCACTTTGTCTTCTTATTGAAGCAGGTTTAGCTGTAAATTTAAATGTCAAAATACTTTATTCCTTGAATTCTGATGTATTCCATGTTTTTATCGTGTTATTATGTAAATTTTTTCGTATTTTTTGTGTTAGACAGAACTTTTTGATAACACGCTGTAACCAAGACGTTAGGGCGCTCAGTATTACTTAAACTGATAATCACATATAAAACATTACTCCCTGATGGCACTGAAAGAGAAAGAGAGGGGCAGAAAGAATATAAAATTCAGACATGGGTATTACATTTAAATTTTCAGGCTCAGTTATTGGCAGAGGCGACCTTACATAAAGCAAAAAAACATAAAAGCACCATGCAGTGAACATTTTACATATCTTCCAAGTGCTGTCCTTTGACAACTGTGGTCTTTGTTCCACATCAAATTTTATTATGCAGGAAAAACACATTTTAAGTAAATAATTATGAAATCATGATTGGTTTTAAGTTGAGAAAACTGGCTTGTTTCTAATAAATAATTCACACAGAAAGAGCTATTTTTTTCTCTCTTTTTTTGTTGTTAAAAAGCTTCCTTTAAATATTCCCTTTAAGATTTTATTCATACTGCAAAATCAGTTGTGTACAGTTAATATTATGCATACAGTGCCGTGTCCTTTGTATTCTGACATGTTTACAAAACAAAAATCAATAAATAGCCCTGTTTACTGAGAAACAGAATATTAAAATATATTCAGCTGAGGCTACAAGCTGAGAAAAGAGACAACTTTGTGACTAATGAGTAAAAACTCTGCGCACACACGCTGTTTTTGTAATCAGGTTATATGCAAAGGTTCTCCTGCTTCAGTTTTCAGTGATCAGTGAGCATGTTTATATTAAGGTTAGCAGCACAGTAACCACACGGATGAGATCAGCCTCTCAAAATGCTAACAAGCCTGTCAGATATGCTTGGTTTGAAAACAGCAGTGAATGTAGCCAAAGTAAAGCCTTCAAACAATTAGCATTACTTGTTTTAAAAACAGGAAGGCCATGCTCTTACTGTTGCGTGGAATTTTTTAAAGCATACACAGTGCTGCATGGTTTATGCGTCTGTTCACTGACGTTACATAACGACACATTCCTGAGTCTTATTCCTACGTGTTGATAAATGTGCGCTTGTTTTAACTGTGTTCATGCTCCTGACGAAGTGCTGACAGGTCAGCTACTGAGCTAGCGCCTGTATTAGTGTGTGTTTCTGGGTCTGTTTATCTTTCTATATATGGCGGCTCCACGGGCAGCCCGGCCTGTGCGAGTGAAGCCAGATTGATTGGGGCAGAGCATTGATTGGACAGACATCTGCTTCCTCCCTCCCGCCCTCCCGGAAAAAACACAACACGAGCCCCTGAGTCCCCCATCTACCAGGCTCAGCTCTCCTCTGACACTAAATAGCTGCCTGCCTCAGGACAGAACATGATACACTCCCAGTTTGGAGGGGATTATAACAACTCAGCAAGTATTCTGACTTTGAATAGGTGCTGATTTAAGCCATGTACCAAAGCTGACAGTGCATTTACAGTGGCTACAAGCAGCAGAAAAACAGCAACACCCATCATTCTCCATGAAAAACCAGGAACTTTAAGTCATTTCAGCTAGAAATAATAACATTATTAGGAATATTTGGGGTTTTTTATGACAGATGATAAAGAATTGCTGTTTCTTTTACTCAATCTTACTTACTCAAATTGTTCAATCCTGATATCCGCTGGTTTACAGTTTAACTAGTTTGACAAGCTAATCACTTTCATTGGAGAGAAATGATTATTTCAGGTAAGGTTCTGTTTTGACAGCTCCCGGTCCTTCCACATGCATATGTACAACACCAAAGTTTAGGCAGGGAGAGCACACCTCTCCTCCTGCTACACATATGAAAAAAGCCAAAGCAGACCCTCAGAATACAGACCAGAGCAGGCATCAGTGACACAGTTGAAATCAGATGCAGCATAATAATGAGGACGATCTAGTAGGGAGAGTAGAGCTGATGTAGCATGGAGGGTGAGGCTAACTGCAGAAGCCCAGCACTTTGACGAAAGCTAAAATTTGCCAACAACTTGGTAAATTTGGCAGAACGCTGAAACTGCAACTTGCAGAATGTGCAAAGTTAATGTTTTAAGGGATGAGGGTAACGCTGCAAAATGGGAGACAACATTATTCCCAAGCAGGGCTTTTAAGATCTGTTGCATCTTTAAACATTTCTGGTGATGAGCACCTCCTCACATTGATTTTTTTTTTTTTTGTGTGTTAATGCATTTTTGTTTTGGCTAATATCATCTGTGATCGCTGTATACTGTCTTCATCCAGGTGCTATTAAATTCCCCATTTTTGAAGGTTACTTCCTAAATCATTAGTAGCTCCTTGTTTTCACTTTACCTAAAACCACCAAGTAAAATAACCTTGCAGAGTTTCCCACATGGCCTCTCAAAGTAATGATGGCACAGGTCGGAAAAGTGGGTCGGCCTCTCTGGCCCAGATCTTAACCAATTTAGGGTCTACCTGGAGGGTATAAGTGTCTTTGTTCCAGATTTTAAACTTTGACAAAGTTCCATTCGATGTCCCTCAGGGATCAATCCCTGGTCCCCTTTCTCTCTGAACCACTCAAATTGTCAAAATTGTATTGGAGACACACAAGTTCAAATATCAGGCTGGGGATTTGTGCCCTCCTTCATTGTATTCACTGAGGTCCTTGATTTATGTAGGATATTTAGTTTCCCTCACTTGGTGAAGGTTAAATTAAACACCTACTCAAGGCCCTGAAGCTTTTTATGGTTAAATCATGGGGGAAACTCTGTAATACAAAAGAATAGTTAACTTGATAATACTGTAGGGTAAGGAAAGGAGCAACAAACTGATTTCCACTTTGGTCAGTTGTAGATATTTGGGCACAGAAGAGATCTGAAGATAAGAGAAAAATAGCTGCTCAGGATTTTGTGTTACCTTTTCTGTGGAACACAGCATTGAGGAAGTCTTGAGCCTGTCTCTCCAGCCGGCTGATCCGAGACTGCTCCTGTTTGAAGTCTTCCCAATCCGACAGCACCTGGCTGCCTCCACCGTTCTCTACGCCGTGCTCCTACGAAGACAATAAGAAAATGAGTGAGTGAACGACCTCCCTCTCAATCTATAACTTCTCATCCTCCCACACCGGTCATGGTTTGTCTTGATTGTTGATTTTATTCAGTGGTAGACATTCGTGTTTGTGTAGATTGTGATTTGAGAATAAAGAGGTATATGCTGATTTTCTTCAAGTTCAAGCAAAGAGACAGCGCAGTGGTTTTTTCAGGTCAAGACCATGATGTCCAAACACCACAGAAGAAAATAATGTGCATGAGGGCTGAGCAACTCCCCTGAGTGAGTAGTGATTGTAAACAGTGTTTTATAAACTGTGTACACAGCAGCAAATTAAAAACTAACTTGTGATATATTTATATGATGATGACGTAATGGTAGGTTCACTTGATAACATTAAATTAAACCCAACAATACCAGCAGATGCAAAACAAGCTCATAGAAAGACATCTAGGCTCATGTGTAATACAAACAAAACCAACAATAACCAACAAAGTATTGCAGCGTTTCCATCACCAACACCAGCAGTGTTTTCAAAAATCTTCACCCAGGAAGGAATTTTCAAATCCTCTTATCTATTATTTTAGATAATTATTTTAATTTATCTTTATTCAACCAAGTTAAATCATCCCCTATTGGTTTCTGAAGTTTTTGTAGCAGGCTGTGAACATGTTTGATTTTGTCATTACAATGAGGTATTTTGAATAGGTGTGTGTGTGGCATCTGGAGCTTCTGGAGGAAGCCTCAAGTGGACACTAGAGAAACTGCAGCTTACGTGGTAAAAACACAAATTGTAATATTGGTCTTCTTTTTTTACCCACTCATGGAAGAACTTAGAGTCTGATCACTGGTGCATCTGAGCGTTAAAAAGAAAACTGTAAAGCACTGATGATGTGTAATCAGAGCACAGTAGATCTGAGTGTGTCGTAAAAGAGAAGCTCGCCAATCAGGAATAAAATGACACTACAGGGAGAAGAAGTGGTAGAACAGCTCAGTTCAGCTCTGAGGTGTTGGAAGAGAGGCTTTTGTAGCTGCCAATTAGAGATTATTATGAAAGAAGCCATGGCTGAGTGAAAATGTGAATTCAGCCTGTGAGAAGGAGAGGGGATTAACACCACTGTTGACGTTAGTTGTAATGAGCGTTCTCCCATTGTCTTTACAGCACTAAACAGGGAATTTGAGAGCGTGTGCGTGTGTGTGTGTGTGTGTCTGTTTGCATTAAATAAAGGGAGCCAGAGCAACAAACGGAGATTGGAGCGGGTTTTTAAGGCTTTCACTATTCCTTCCGCTCTCTTTATTTGAACCCCCCTCAGCTGGCTCTATCTGCTGGCAGTTTGCATGGCTTCAGATCAATGAATCAATGGTTCCCGCCCACTGAAGCTCCTCTGGCATTTCACAAACAAGCAGAGGGTAATAACAGGGAGACGGAGAGCTTTCAAGCCCTAAAGGATGAATAAAAGATGAAAATTGTGTTGAGGGAGAAGAGGAATATAATTAAGCCTGCTAAAAGTGGCTAACATAATTATTGACTAGTCAGACAATACTGCAGTCTCTATCGGCTGTGTTAAATTGAATTTGCTCAGCTGATGGATTTTGATTTTTTTCTGTAGCAAACATGGCAACTTTGTGGAGCTATTGTGCCAGCATTAGCATGGTTTTATTAGCATGAACAGAGAGAGACAGATGGGGGGCTGAGTGTTAGGGGGTTGGTGGGGATGCAAGGATGTTTTTAGGAGACAGATGGCTGACCTCCGAGGTTAGACCGAGGTCGAGTTGAAAAACAAGCAACGGCTGAAGGAAGGACACCCCCTCCTTACTTCCTTCCCCTCCCTCATTTTCTCCAGTTGCATCCCAAAAATAATAATGGACGAAGGTGAAAAGCATGGGCGAAAAGTCCCTTCTGAGTGCTGCAGCATTTGCGTCTTACATTCTTGCGATGAATTTGTCCTGTTTTCTAAACGTGTTGAATTTAACCCCCAAATGTTCTCATTTTGTATTTGCAAGAAGGCAGATGGTGGTGTGAGGCTGCAACACATGGATGCTTTGTCTACAGAAGAAAACAGAAATGCAGGAACCACAGTCTTCATACATGAACTTCTCTGTTTGCATGCGTGTGTTTAGTAGTAGTCAGCCCCCTAAACCCATTATTATTCTGCCCTCATCACTTTTTAGCTGATGAGAAACTCTTCAGGGGAAGCAGCGCAGTCCCGCTAATTTACACCCATGTCACCATCCTCCTCCTCCCTCCACCTACATGCACATGCACATGTACTTATACATACACAGAAACCTTCAGATCATTATGTCTCTCTTTCTTTTCATAAGCTAAATTGGGGTCAAGACCATGATGGTTGGACAACACAAATAACAAGCATGCAGCAGCAGGAGGAGAACGAAAGATGTGGAGCTTCCAGCAGAAAGCTCAAAAAAGGGGACAAGAAAAGGAGACCGCTAAACATTTAAAATCATGAGGGAGATGGAGAATAACTTTATTATTCTGAAAGGAAAAATGAAAGCAGATCATGCTGTTTAAGGTTAATCGTTATGTATTTTTGAAAATCAATGCAACAGTAAAAATAAAACCACCCGGCCCCTCCCCCCTCAGTCAAACCTGCTGTTTAAACACAGAGTATGGTTTTCTCTTTGTTTCATTCCTCCTGTCTGACATATACTGTGGAGTTTATTCAAGGCTGTTTTCCGTTTTTAAAAACTAACTTATTTATCAAATATCTGCCAAATTTCCTCATTTAAACCTCCATGTTTTAAATGCTCAAGTAGTTCAGATGCCAGTTTTGGCTTTTTAAGAACAGAAAATTTGCATAAAGGAAAACAGGAAAGTAAACAATAGAGGTGGATCATGATATCAACCTCAACACTGGGGTGAGATGCAACTATTGCAAGAGAACTTCTTTAGTGCACAACATGCATTGATTAAAAAAACCTTTTTTGATGATGAGATTAAATAATGGTAACCACGTGTTTGCAGCTTTAGGACATATAGAGTCTCCTCTTACCTTTACTTTTTCACGTCTGAAGCAGCAGAAGAGACAGTTTTCATCGAAGGACCAGTCTGACACTTCTTCTGGCTCGCAGTCTGCAGAGAGAAAGAGTCAGACAACGAAAGTTGTTAAAAAATCCAACTCTAATAGTCTGTTTTTATCTCCTAACTCAATTTTTAGATTTCTGCCAAAGCAATGAAACTACAAGAGCAGCTTTCTTAAATCAATAATTAAATCAATTTAACATTTTGTGTTTTTTTTGTTCATCATTCACATTGAAGCTGCTGCATTCAGTTTGTTTTTTAAAATCAAAACACTGTTGAAACCGAGTTACAAACGAGGTGAAGATGAATAATCAGGAAAATCCTCTGTTTTCCTTCACCGCCCAGTCAAGCCTGTAGGGAGTGAAAGCTGAGAGCCCACCACCACAACAAGGAGAGCTGAAATGATTCACTATTAATCATATCAGCTGATTAAATCACTGCCATGACTAACTTCATTTGTCAACTCTAAAAACTAAGCACTGCTGTGACTGACAGATAAGCTCAGTTCAAGCTGAGATACATCCCTACGTAAAGACCAGAAACAAACGAACTCTGCTGAATGTGTTTGAGTAAATGTGAGTTTTTTTTTCAGATATTCATGCCCTAAAATTGTGTTTTCACTCCACTAATTAGCCAGTTTCATAACTGTGATCTGTTAAATGTGTTTGGGGGGATGGAAAAAATCACAGCTCTCCCTGGTTGTTTGGTTTCTGCACATTATGCAAATGAAACATAGTAAATTCAATCAGGAGGTGTTTCAAGAGCAGCTTCATTTTTACCCCACAGAAAACACAAATAGGGACGTTTGGATGATTATTAAACAAGACTTTGCATGAAATTATGGAGAAAATTTTCAATCCAAATAGGGCTGTTACTGTTAATCAGGTTGTGATTAAGGTCAGGAATGTTTTATTAATTTATTTACTCATTTGAATATTACAGTGCACATCAATCAACGTTTCTGAAACACAGGTCAATGTTAATACGCCAGAATTAGCACATTAGCTCAGTTTCATCTGTTGTCCTGAGGCGGGTAATTGGAGAAAGAGCAGGAAACAGATTTAAAGTAACAGAACACTCCACCACTCAATTCACAAGACAGTTCACAGAGAAAACACAGTTTTAACAAACAAGATGGACACAATTTTTAAACAACAAACTACTCACAAATGGAAAGCTATCTAAAAGCCCTCAGCAGTAGAAGAGGAGATGTACATTATGAAAGATTACAGGACTGGTTTGATTTTTACTATTGTTTAGGTTTCTTTTTACATGTTATGTAGTTATTACCGTCTCTGATATGTGATGGTAATCTGAAACCATGAATGTGCACCTCTTATACACGCCACCTTCTGACTTAAGAGTCGTAAGAGTTAAAAACTTAACAATTATACTGCCTGATGATTTTAAAATAATGGAAATGGAACGGTTTCCTTCCTAGGATTTTGACTGACCTCTTGAAAAAAGATATACTGGGTTTTATTACAGCCCATCAGTCATGCAGGTAAGCTTGAATGTAGCTGAATGTACAGAGAGAAAAGGTCTTCTATGACAGAAATTTGCCAGATTGAACTTTGTGACATTTAAGATTTTCGTAACATGGTCTTTAAAAGTCACATTTGTGTCAAAAATTACAGATATTTACATGTTTCCACCACATCAAGTCTTACTCCATTGACTGGGACACATGGTTGCTGGCTGGCAGGAGAAACACAGGCATATGATCTTTATTGTGTTGGGATGTAAACAGAAGTTCTATAGTCAGACAGTGGAATCATAGGTGCAGATAGTAGAGCTGCAGATTCTTGCTTTGTTTTGGCATGAGCATGTAATACAATGTCATTGGCACATAATTGTACTTTTACATCTTTTACAAAAATTTGGCAGGTCATTAACATAAAAACTGAATAAAATCAGCCCCAGATGGCGCCTTGTTGAACCCCAGCCGTACAATTGAGGCAAGATGAGTTTGACTTTTCAATATACAGCTTCTCTTTCTGTTTGATAAGTATTCAGCAAAGGGCAGTGTTTGAAAAGTTAAAATAAGACATTTTGGTGAGCAACAGTTTATGGTTAATCATGTCAGAATGAGGCTTTTACACCTTCACACCAAACAAATGTTATACAATGAAAAAAGCGTTGGTATTGCACCAGTGTGACAGGCGGAACAAATGTGTGTGGCACTTTGTTCCAGTCAGACCCCTTACAGTGCTACACCATCAGAAGCTCGCTGACTGCTGCGCAGGAGAAAGAGTTTTTCTACTTTAAAGCTGGCGAAAACATACCTCAGATCTACCATGAATGATGACAGATTAAACCGCCACTGCTCACATGAACAAGTAGTCCTCAGCTATGGCCACCCTCTCTGTACCTGGATTGTTTATATCCTGAGATATTAACAGCTGAAGTTGGAGAGGATTGAGTGAGGCAACTTTCTGATATGTCCAGTATATCAATGTTGAAATCAGTCAGAAAATGTTCTACTTGCTCTGTGTTATTTAATATGCTGTGAATGTTAATGTGACCCAGTAAAAGTCCTTTCGGTTTGAAGCAGGAGTCCCAGATTGGTTTTGCGTCTTTATTTTACATGGCAAATACCTCCGAAACATTTTGTCTCAATATATTTGCTATGCAAAATAAAAGCCATTAAAGCCAGTGGCCTGCAAGGACAGCTGCATATTTCACATTTACACTCCTCTCTTTTTTACCCACGCAGCTGCCCCCTCTCTATGAAAAACTAGTAAGAGCTGCTTTGCATGGTTAACATGGACTTAAAAACTTTAAAACTGCAAAATAATAAAACCTTAAACATGTTGTTGAAAATGTTATTAAATGCAATTAACTATCAAAGTTCAGCATTTAATATGCATGCAATAACCATACCATCCAGATTACAAGTTGCTCTGGTGTATAAGACGTATTTAGCTTCGCTGAACTGTCTGAACTGTCTTCCTGTGTTAAACATTCACTGTATTCAGGTAGCTTCGCCACACATCCAGCATGAGTAGCACACTACATAAAAACAGTGACTTCTTCAGGCGCCATTTTCTGGGTAAAACACCACAACACAACCGAATACGGTCCTCTGCATTTAAAACCGGTGTAATAGTCAAACTAGTGCAGCCCTGCATTTCATATTTAGATCAAGCAAAGGTCTTGAAGCTCCCTCATTACCACCAGAGGAATAGTTTAGTGACTTCCTTTAACAAAAACTGCAAAATGCAGTTAATCTCTGCTTAGATAACTTATAATTGGAAATTTTAGGGTTATATTTGTATTAGTGAGTTAGAAAACCGCATTTTTTCTCTCAACTATCAGGTTTGCCATTGCATCACATTTTATTTTCTTGCATTCATTTTATTTCAATCTGAAGTACCTTAAAATTTCAACCATTAATCAGCCAAAAAATACTTTTCCTTAATATTAATTAGACACAGGAGGCATTAAAAGAGTGTATCTCTGTATTTTTAAACATTTATGGACCCAAAGATTGATTTAAAGATTGATTTTCATATGAGTAATATATTCTCTGATGCATTTACAGCCAGTTCAAAACAACAGAGACCTTCATTGTCGTACAGCAGACACAGAAATGATAAGTATATGATGTTTTGTTCAAGTGCTATTAATATTTCCAGAGTCATGCAGTTTTAACGCAATCAGACATTGGTTTTTCTTATCGACATTAATCCTGAGCTTATGATTGATTTAGGTGTTTCAGGCTGTCAGTTCAGCTTCACTGAGACTAGTGTTAGTTCAAAGTATTCACACAGGCTGCGTGTGTATGTAAGTCATTAACCTTCATAATGTGCATACATTTACTCAAACCGAGAACCTTCAAAACTAAAAGAAAGAGACAAAGGAGACGCGGTTGACTTGGTTACAGCTGAGCTGTCACCATGGCACTATACTGCCTTTAAAAACCTATAGTTTAGTCTGAAAACCAGAGTGACAGAGAATGATGGAGAGACATAAAGAAAGAGGTGGGAGAAAGAAAGAGTGGAGTCCACCTGTCTCCTAAACACCACCTTTTCAGCAGCTTAAAGGTTTCAAATTCATCCTTCTGATGTTCCCATGAGGCCCTACTGGATGTTCAAATGAAAACCCTTTCAACACCTTAAAAAAGAAGAGATGGAAACGCTGAAAGAAATGAGCAGATATAGACAACAGAGCAGCAGCAGCAGCTTGTTGACTCCCACAGGTCGATGAGGTGGCTCTGAGTCTATCTGGACGCCTTCTTGTCCCTGTATGTGTGTGTTTGTTCATGCTTTCTTCTTGTCATCCAGCAGATTACACCTCCAGCTTTTCAAACCACACAGTATTGTCAGTGACACGTATGTAACAGGTGGATGGGCGCTCTTTTTTCTAACTGACTTCTTCGAGTAGTGCGTGATGCTGTAATGAAGAAGTCAAGGGCTGCATTTGAACCCTGCAGTGGCGCTGGTCAAATTATCCCTGAGAAGATGCCAATTAGCTCCAGTCCCTTGGCTGATGTAACCCTGCGACCTTTACTGCAGTTAGGTTTTACTGTGAGTGTGTTAGTGACTCTGAGGGAGATGTTTTCATTTTAGCATTGCTATTGCACCTTTGGTTATCTATGTTCGTCAGTACCACTCCCTGCTCTCTGGCCTGGAACTATGACCAACTCATGGGGCTACATTTATGTGTATATCCATAAAAACTATTTTTTCTTTCTGCTTGACAAAAATAAAATCATGTCCACATCAGAGGTGTTTTTGAGTACTTTTCTGTACACTCTGATAATACACACAAACGGGCAGAAATAACATTACGTGCATGCGTATGAGATGCCTTTGAGATGTCATAGTATTAGCTGGAGGCAAAAAAAAAGTCAACCTGAAGACAAACACGCCCTGAGAGTTAGGAGTCTTATGATGTTGTCTTACAGAAGCTTACATCATCTTACAGTAATCGTAGTTTCCTCAAAAACTGAAGTCTACTGTATTTCAGCTGCAACTGCAACCAAACTGAACACAGCAAAACTACTTGTGTGTACAGTGCATACCCCTAATAATGTGTATTTACAGTTGCATGGATGGTTGCCATAATGTTTTTAAAGATTATAATAATAATAATAACAACCACATTGCAGAGTAAACAACTCAGTTTCAGCAATATTCACTCAAATGCTTTGTGCTCCGATTTGATGTCCAAATCAAGAAACTAGTAGGAACTGTTTGGATTGTTAATACAGACTTAAAACAGTTTTAAAATGGAAAATAATGGAATTTTTCACATTTCTAACAAATGAAGTTGAGGGATTAAATGGTGTTTTAAGAACTGTACTATTATCTTGAAAACAAGTTTCACAATTCTATAAAATACAGTCTTTTTCTTGGGAGGCGCGCTGAGAGTTCAAACAATATAAATTGTCTGCATGCATGAAAACTTCCACTGAGTTCAACAATGTGCAGCTTTTGTGGGACTGTGAAGCTCCTTCTCGAAGATCCCATCTGTTATCATCATACTGCAAGCTTCCTGTGGAGTCGCTGGTCTCACCGTAAGGTACCATTAATAGTTGTGAGAGACAAACAGAACCACTGACCACAACCAACTTGCAGAGACTCTTTTGCAGGTCACTTGTGTCAAATTGAAGAGTCTTTTTGAGCAAATCCATACTCCACAGGGTTTTTTTAACGTACTTGTAATTTTAAAATGGCGCTGCTAGGTCAGCTAGGCTATCTTAGCATAGCATACTTGGTGCACTGAAGCGCCATCTTATGGGTATAACACTGTACATCTCTCCATTTTAAACTGGTTTCATTAGTCCTACTGGTGTGCATGATCTAAGTATAATTTTAGATTAAATCAAAGGTATAAAAACCACGTTTCTCTGTTGAGGTACTTTACTGTTACTGCCGAGTAATAAGGTTTCCTGCTCTCATATGGAAACACCCCGGTCACTATTTTCAGACATTAGAGCTCCATGAGGGTTGACTGACAGCAGTAGAGACAACAAGGAAGAGCCCCCTCTTTGAGCAGAATGCTACAGGGAATTCTGGGAAATGTAGAAAATATCTGAGCACTGATGTAGAAGCTGATGACAGCCCTTTGAGGGGAGAATAATTGGACACACAGCTTTGCTTTTGCCTTAAAGTGAGTGAACATTTCACTAACACAAAATGTAACTCAAGCGTTGGTGCAGATTCATTAAATCTAGTGTTGGGGACCTGTTTTTCAGGTTTTAATATCTATATCTGTGACTATGAAGAGGCAAGTGGTGAGTGTGTGTTTGTGTGTGTGTGTGTGTCAGCGTAATGCATGAGTGAAAATGACGTTGAGGAGCCAGAAATATTCTAAAAATGCCTTAAGTTGTTGGGGGAGGGGGTCACATGACTTGGGGACAACATGTTGACCTGGTTTCTCTGTGATTGGAGGAGGAAAAAAGCGAGAAAAGGAGAAAAGGAGAGAAAGAGAGTGTGGTGTTTGATGTCTCTGTTGGCTTTTTTTTTTTACATGTTTGATTTATGTCGTGCAGAGTGGAAAATTCCCTCATTTAGAGCAGTTTGGGTGCTTTGCTGAATATTTTTGAGATACATTACATACCATTTTCCCATCACATGGCTCTGAGGCTCTGTGCTGCTTAAATAGCATGCATATATGCATATTGTTATTTAAGCACTGTGCATTGACCTAGAGATAAAGAAATCACTGCATACATGACTGCATACACAGGGCAGCCTTTACAGTATCCGAAATCCAGGAGATTTTGCACATCAGTGATGCACATTTATACAATCACGCTTCACAACTATTTCAGTTTCTTTTGCATACATGACTTTCTATAGGGTGGTGGTATTAGGGCTTTGGGTGTCTTTTTTTAAGTATGCATGCCCTACAGAGGATACTGAGTGAGCCCGGCAACCGTGAGTCAGCCAGAGGTTTATTAAAGCCTTTAATTTGGCGTGTTGGACACCTTCATTGGGCCTCCTGGTTTGAATATAATTCAAACTGTAAGAAAAACTCGCTGACACAAAAAACTGTAAACATTTCATACATTTTATGTGATTTACTTGTTACAGTCCTGACGCCTGCAGGTCCATGAGTTTCCCTGCACTAAGCTCTCTCTGCTCTGCTCTGCTCAGTCTGACCAACAGCAGGGCTAATTCATGCTGCTCACACAGACAGTAAAGGCTTCATTTTCAATTTGGCAAGCATGCTAACAAGTCTGAGACTCAGACTGTGGCAAGAATCTCAAGGGTAGAAGGCTTTCCTAATTTTACCATGAGCCACTCACGTCTCCCAGCCAGATCTTGGCCGAGCAATCTTGGCTAACAATGTCACCAATGCTATGTCCAGTAATTTTACAGTCTATGGTTGGAGCTTTGCATCAGTGGTTAAACACACCAATGATATTGAACAAATTCCTGATTTAAGTTTACCAAATGGGGACTAAAAATGTTCTTTCTGGATCTTGTTTACTTTGGGATAAAAATGAAAACAAATTAGAGCACACTGACATACTCATACTTTACAGATGGTGAATAAACTGAGGTCAAAAGTTGTGGGGAAATCTGCATTCGTGATAATGCCATAAGGAGTAATAATGAGACAAAACTGTTTGTTTTCCTGTTTAAAGATGCAGAAGAGGAACCAGCAGAACAATTAAAGACCACAACATGACACAAATTATGACTAAAGTATGACCAAACTTAACCACAAACTCCGACCACTTTGAGCGTCTCTTCAACCTTTTCTTAACCTTTCTCACACTGAACCTTTATAAGGAGACTCAGCATTCAGCACATGCTCCAGTGTTCGAAAGCCAGGCTTGAATAGCACAGATGCGTTGCTAGGAAGCTGGGTGGTAATAAAAAAATAAAAAAAACTTGACAAAGTAACAAATGGTACAGAGTTGTCAGGTGTTTTTATAGCGCAATGTTCATCTTATTAGCCTTGTTATGGCATTCTGTCAACTGATTAGACACTTTCTATGCCAACCAGAGCCGGCCTGGTAGAAACAAACTGAAAGGAGGCATGTCACCGCCCACCGTAGTGGAGGCAGACACATGTAAACTGAGACAAGGACAGCAATCCAGTTAAATCACAGAATCAAACCTTAACTGCAGCTTGACTCAACTGTGTATGCAAATGGACTGTATGACTTGAGATCTGGGTGTGAGACCAGAAACCTGTAGGGAAAATGTTCATTATTTACAGGTTTTGGAAGTGATTTTGAGCACATACAGTGATTTACACTACAGAGTCATGTCTGTTTTTAATGCAGCGCTGCAGAGGACCTGAAGATCAGGACCATCCAGTACTCGGTTAGGTCCTTGTCCCCTTTGTTCAGAGATTTATCCAGATTCGCTGAATCCTTTAATGATTTTATGTACTGGAGATGATGAAACCACTCATTCTTTCACATTTTACACTCATGTACATTATTCTGAAACTATTAGCTCACACAGTCTCTCACAGAGTGGTGAAACTCTTCTCAGCTTCCCTGGAAAGTCTTTTTATACTCTGCCGTGTTACTGTCTTGTCAAAAATGTATATCATGAGTTAGAAAGGTTTTCTTTTATCCTTTTTTTACATTATACTTCACACGTCTTTTTCAGCGTTATTTTGTCCTTGTTTATTATTTTTTTGTAACAATGCTTTCATTTAATTCAAACGAGTAAATATTTTAGGAGACACTTATCAGTTTTTACACTTCATATGTTGTTTTTGCCCCATTTTCAGTTTAAGAGTTACAAAAGATTTGGAAGCAATCACATCCTGTCAGTGTCCAAATGATTTTTGGATTTGAGGTTGTATTTGCCTTATGGATGAGATTTTCTTTCTGTTTTCATGAAGTTGTACGTCAAAAATCAAATGTTTGTGTGTTTACCTTGGAAAAGGGTGATATCTTTGACTAGTCCTGGCCCAAACAAGCCTTCCAAGATGCTTTCAAAGCCTGAAAAATAAGAAAAAGTGTGACATTAATACAGACTGACATGTTTACCATCAAAATAACAAAAGACAGCAGCTAAAAACTGCATAAAAATACTGTCAAACTGGATTAAAAGACTCCAGAGATGGTTTCAAAATGCAGTTTCTACACACTGATCATTTTACAGATATTTCAAACATTATTTCATCTTTTAAAAGAAGGGGGGGGGGGGTGCATTAATGAAGTTTTGTTTTCCTGTAGGAGATCTTTGGCTGATGCACAGCAGCCACACAAAAAAACACCAAAAAGGAAAAACACAAACCAGCAGCACAAATCACCTTATCCTTTTATATATGTTTTTCCTTGAAATATTTAATAAACTTTACAACAGTGACATTTTTAAGTTTGTTATTGTTGTTTGTAGAGACACAGCCCTGTCCATACATTCAGAAAATACAGACAGATAAAGAGTAAAGAACGACTGAAGGCACAAAGACAAAGAACAGAGATTTTTTAGGCACACATGAAACACAAGCGTGCAAAAAATCTACAAAGAAGACCATTTCTGATTTGTTATTTTTCAGACATGCACAAACACACACAGTGTAGAAGCATTTCTTAGCCACTCTCAGTGACTGCTACCTTTATAACTGCACAAAAGACCCCCCCCCCCCCCCCACACACACACACACACACACACAAACACACAAAGACACACACCATGGTCTTTCTTTGCAGCTCTTAAAGCGTGTTAGCACTTTCCCTCTAATATACCAAGCTAATGTCACTTACTTTTTATCACTTCAAATACCCTCTTCCAGCAGGCTGCATGGACATGTAATTGTTTTTATAAAATCACTACAGCCGACCTCCTGACAGCAACACTTCAGCAACGACAGTCCGTCACACAACTCAGGACTGTTGGGGAGTTTTGAGTAAATTTCAGTTCAAAATCAAAATGATTAAAAGAAACTGATTAATTATGAATCTGTTTTTTGTTTTGTATGACTCTTTATTAAATACACTGTTTAGTTTTTACAAAAGAGGGCGGGGAACATTTTAAATTTTATTTCCTCTGTGCTACAGGGTTAAGGAATGCAGTAGACTGGGGTTCAAATACTGTTATCAACAGAAGACTGTCTACACCCAGAGCAGAAAATATTTGTGTTTTTCTTTATACCCGATCCTACAAAATAAAAGAGCATGAAGTAATTGGACATGTTTGCAATCTCAATCTGCAATCATTTGTACCCATGCATGGTGTTTTTTGTGATCAATTTTGGAGTCTCTCACATTTCACATCTTACCAAAAAAGGCTGAAAACTACGAAGATGCTGTCCATTGAAATGCACAGGTCTAACTACAACACATGCACTGCACTGTCCTCTGAGTTTGAAGTATTTGGCATAATTACTGATTGCCATCTTTGCAAGATTAAACACCATGTTGGTGCAGACTGACCTTTTATCTTTACCTCATGTGAGACAGTATGTGCAAAAAAATAAAAGTAAAAGCATGATCATCTCTTTTTTTTTAATCTTTCTTTTTAATAAGACATAATTACAGCAAAATATGAATTGTAGCAAGATGTACCAGATTCAAGATTGAGAAATTCCCTTGCTCACTCCTTCGCTGGAGTGAAATGGATGAGAAGCTTTTCTAATGTTTGATAACTTTGATCGACAGGTGCACTTTGGCCTCCAGTATGACGGCGGCCCTTTGTGGAGGAAGACCCCCTCCTAAACCATGTTTATATATTCAGGTGATTGTACACTGATTTAAGCATGCTTATGAATATCATGTTCCATTTCCTTCGAGGCTGTTTTGCTAAATGCCACTTCACGCTGCAACTTGGAAGTCCTCCAGATTAAACTTTGACCTGTGGACTAGGGGGAGTTGAGGATTGAACCATGAACCAAGCAATTATTACCGGTTCTAATATTTTACAAATCCAATGTACTGCAGTTTAACACCCACACAATGAAATATTTGTACCCTAACAGGGGCTGCCCAGTGTTTCCACACCACATATTCAGAAATCCCAACAGTCCAAATCATTTTCCACTGGAACAAAAGCCCAGTGTTACAACAGCCTGGAAACAACAAACCCTTTTTAAACCTCCTCTTAAAAAAAAGTCCCCCTAGACTGATTGGACACCTCGCTGTCCTGGTTTGTGTGAGTGGTTGGAGAATGCATTATGTCTACAGAGGTTCAACAAGCGGTGGAGTACAAGAATATGTGTGAGTGTGGAGACCTGAGGACACATTTTGGGTTTAGTTTGTTTTTGCTGATCCAGCACCATGGACAGAGACAGAGTATCCAAAATCTGTTAGACCAAACTTTATTCCAAGGTTTGAATCCTGAACTTTTCAGGCATAATAGGATTTTGTTCACTGGATAAGAAAAGTGTTTTTGGCTGGCTGCCTTCAGTACACTTTTCAAACCGGATATAACTTGAAGTATTACTTGGTGACATTGACGAGACACCACTGACAGGATTTAGTGTTTTGATCCAGTGCATGTTGATGTGAACACTCTGGAGGATGGTGACTCAAAAACAAAGAGATGTTATGGACTGTAGCATAGAGACTGAGCTGAGTATTTCATAAATCACATGGTCACATCCTTGATCAGACAATAACAACACTCAGAGGATGACAAACACACAGCACAACTTTAAACCAAACAAAAACTTCTTTTCACACTGACCCATGTGGTGATCTGTCAATATCATTAAATCTTATTACGCCGTCTCGATCATTTTCCATTTTCCTGCCATTCATTTTAAAACACTGTTTACAGCTTATTACTGTAAAATACCGAAATCAACTTTAATGTGCTCATTTCAAATCGATAAGCACATTCCTGATGAGTTTATGTTGCAGTAATGCAAAACTAGTATGTATAAGTCGTATTACCCTGCCAAACCTGTGTGTGTGTGTGTGTGTGTGAGTAGCCAAATCCCTCATTACCAACCCTTCATTCCTCCCTGTTTGAGCTGGCACAGTGCCAGGCACTAATTCAGTTTTGTTATTCTTAAGATCCCAAGACCTATCTTGCAGTGATGGTATCTCAGGCACACAACCTCACAAAACACACACACGCACACAAACACACACACACACACACACACACACACACAAACACACACACACACACACACACACACACACACAAACTTACAGAAGAGTCTGAACTATGTAGTAGGAGGTTTGAGCGGATGCATCACTGATAAAACTGCTGCTAACTTCCACTTTTTGAAAGAAGGAAATAAAAAGAAAGTACGAAACTTTAGGGTCCTTAGTTTCTCTGTGTTTAATACTGAAATACATTCAAAATACACTCAAAAAGTGGATACAAAAACTATAAGCTCGCTAAATGAAGCAGCTTAAAGGAAAAAAAACAAGACATCTTTTTGGCGAGACTTTGAGACTGTGAGGTGAGCTGCTGCCAGACTCCTAACATCCTTCATTCAGACAAATATAACTCTTAAAACAACAGAGACGTGTCTTGCAACCAAAAAACTTCATCAGTTGGGGCTTGTAGAAAATTCCACTGAATGTCTGACTCTTGTTGGCAGACTTATGCTCAAATAGAGCTCTGAACCTAAAAAAGAAAATAAAGACAAATCTTTGTATCGAACAGCCAAATCTAATTTGACTGACAAAATCGTGAGCAGGGCATTTTTGCATGACATTTAAAACTATTATTTCGGTCTTCCAGTCGGTCAAAAACACCAGCTGAAATGAAATCTACCCCTTGCAAATTTATTCCTCCTCCTTCCCTACATCCCCTCATTTCTCTCCTCTTTCCTCACCATCTTAAATGAGTATAGTGGTGCAGTAGAAGAGAAATGCACACACACACACACACACATACGCACAAACTGAGGCACATCACAAAGTTCCCTTAAACCTGCACATGCAAAATTCATGCGGCCTACAAAGGCAGCTTTGATAACAAAAAAACGGGAGCTTCAAAGAACTTTCAAAAGCCTCAATTTTTTCCTCGGCTCCAGCTGCCAATATGCAGAGAAACACAGCTCCGCTTTCAAGTCAGGAGGGGGAATAATTAGGATTGCAGTGCTGTAGAGTAAGAAATCAGCCCTGGAAGTCAAAGTTACTCCGGCCCCCTCACTCTTTGGGCCGTGAGATGCTGAGTGTTTTCATATTTAAAGCGACAGTCGGTCACATGTGCGCCCCGAGCAGTGGCCAGCTTAAAGCAGAAGATGACTTCCCCCCCTGCGAGGCAGAGGCTGCCATTGGAGAGATGAGATCGAGGATGTTATTGGACAAACGAGATTAGGGGATGTGATTGGTTCAATGAGATAACAGCCACAGAGTCTCCTGAGCCACAGGCAAAAGGCTCCAGAAATGTAGGTCAGTTAGTGAACACTCTGCACTGTGGGCCCAAAAGCATTCACACATGACATGGTATACACACACACACACACACATACACATATATATGTGTGCACATACATGCATCATGGGGTCTGGGATTCTGTCAGTGTGTTATGCAAAAACGCACACATGGCACACACACACATAGCTGTCCCCAATCTCTGAAACCTCCACTGTGTCACATCCTTTCACTTCAGAGTCCAGCAGCACTGCCCACAGCAGCGTGACACCAACTTAGGGACTCACACATGCACAAAAACACACACAAATATACACACAAATCACAAGACATGGATCTAATACACATTAGCACCAGGAAATACAAAAAAAAAAGGAGTGGGAGCAGATTTGGAACGGCACATTGAACCTTGTTAATTGAGGATCTAGTGCGAGAGCAGAACCTGGTACAGAAACATGATTTACATTTAAAACCAGAGGTGGATTATGAAAATAAACACACCCAAGAAACTCAGTGTTTAGGCTCAGGAAACATCTCTGTGAACGGTTTCATTTCAGGCTGAAATCTTATTTGAATGCTGAGATTTCCTCATGTGTCTTTAAACTGAAGATACTAAGAACGAGCCGCAGTTTCAGACTAAACTCCACAAATTAGAGCCCGAAACAGGAGCTCTTTAGACCAAAAACTGCAGAAATTTTAACGCAAGCCTCATACCATGTACTGAAGATTACACAAATGGGAATTCACCGTTAGAGCCCCCTGTAGGCCACGAGAGGTACTGTTCTCTGATCTAATTTTAAGTTCTGAAGTCAAATCAAGTGAATTTTTCTGCAGCTGGAATCTCTGGAGGTAATGACACTTTTGTTTCCCAAAGATCTCTGTTTCTGCTTTCCCCATGAGAATAATCTCAACCTTCAAAGCCAATTATCAAACCACCAAAACCTCGGTCTAGATTTGGATAAAAAAAACTACGTTTTTAAAAATATGCACAGGTGTGTTAACGTGGCTTGAGTCTCCTCCTGCTGCTGCTCCTTCTTCTTTGCCATTCCTCCAATTTACAGCGGTTGACAACCAGTGTTAAGGAGCACTGCTGCCCCCTACAATGAACCGAGTACTTACAGTGCATATCTGTAAGCTTACTTAAGAAAATATCAAATTGAGTTGATCAAAAGATGTCTTTTGATGATACAGCCATGTCATGTTTGAGTTTTTTTGCAGCAAAACAACCAGCCATGTTCTCAGTTCAGTTCAGTTATGAATCACTTACTTATTGACTCTCAAAATTTTGCACCCAGTCACCTAAATGCATCACCAGTTGACCCAGATCTTCTATTCTATTGTCTTGATAAAAATTCAGCCCCTACCAGGGTCCCACTTCTAAAAAATATAAAAAATGTAGTCCCTGCAAATTATCCAAGACCAATTATTCAATCCATAAGCCCCCTAACAAAATCACTCTTACCCTCCCCCAGTGCTCAATATACTGTAGGTGGGTAATAAGAACAATGCAGACAATGAAAGTGAGGCGGCAGCAGCTACCTATCACTATTACTGTTAATTCTAAAGGTACATTAAAATAACTGCTGTTGTATGAAGTGGAGATGGCTGCCTGCCAGTCGTAAAAACCGGTCATTAAAACGGCTCAAACATGAAGATATAGACGATCAGAGGAGCACCGGAGAAGGATCTGAGCGTGAGGGGGGAGGGGCTACAGCTGAAAACAAACAGAATGAGTGTTTTAATGCGTGCCGCCGGGCAATCAGTGTGGCTGAGCTTCATCAGTATGATAAATCTGATATTAGGAAGCATCAGCCTAACTTTATCTATTAGTCAGATAACGCCCCAAAGACAAAATAGAGGAAGAGTAAGGAACTGTCCAAAAATAAGCAGGAAATGTTTCATATCCGCGTCCCAGTGTGGACAAGAGAAGAAGGGAATCCTTTATGTGCTGCATGAAAACATGTACTGTAAGAGTGGGGAAAAAAAAGGCCTGGAGTGCTGTCGGACCTCCGCACAGAGCCACTGAGCTGCTCAAAAATTAATTCAGGCTGTGCTTGTCAAATCAAAGCTCCGACACACAAACAAGCATCTCTTCAATTTACAACAGCTGCAGAGAAACTCAACACTGAGGGGAGCTGTGCAATCAATCTGAGGACCAAGAGGGAATGAAGAAGGAGAGGAAACAAGGAGGGGAACCAATGTTTGGCTTTCTTGTGACCATTTGACTCGAGCTATAAATAGTCCAACATGAGCATTAATAATTTAGCATGACCCAGGCCCACAGAACAGGGCCCTAGCCTGGGCCTGATCAAATCAATACCTCATTAACCCGAGCAGGGGTCCAGCCTTAAGGGAAGAGGAGGTGAAAATACATGGAGGAGTGAGGAGGGAGAGAAAGGATCAACAAGCCAAGTTAACTCCACACCTCAGAGGTGACACATGTCAGTTTACACAGAGATTTCTGCCCTGTCCCTCCTCCTGAACCAACCTGTGCTCAGGATGATGCCTCTGAGTGTGATTTTACACCAATATACTGCACTGAAGCAGCAAAGGAGGCGACACATGTAAACAAACAGTATGAGCTTTGCATACGCACACGCACACACACACACACACACACACACGCACACACACACACACACAACACTGTCACATTATTCTGACCTCCTTGTTTGTACAGACAGTTATCCACCTCTGTTACCACATCCACCGCCCACCTAATCACTTCATCTGACCATCAACCTTCGAGCCATTTACATCAGACAGCAGGTGGATTTACAGCAGGGCTGCTTCACTATAGAAAAATCATTATCACCACTATTTTGATTGATATTGATATCAGAATTATTAACAAGGATCATTACTAACAAATGTCCTGTGATTTAACATCAGCATCACACACAACTGCACAACCTTAAACCTCTTTTAATCCTAAAAACCCTCAACACAACAACTAAAAACTGTTTTGCCAATTTTCCGTCTATCTGGACGATAAATGTTTTTAAAAAAAGACACATGTACGACTGCTGAAAGGGACCATGCGTCAATTCTTCACTTTAAGGGCTTTGGCTTACTTTTGGTTGATAAAACTCTCCAGATGAAATGCCAGAATTCACATGCAGTAAAGTATTTTTACACTGTGGCATAAAAACTGAAGGATTTAAGCTCTTTTACTGCTTATATTTTATCACAGGCTGCAGATCTAAACAATAAATCAAGCTTTTATAAAACATCCTGTATAACATCAAGACTTCGGCTCGTTTTTTTATTATGATCACAAATGATGTCTCACACTTTTCAGTCCAGGAGTTGTCAGCTTATGATCGCTTCAGTCTCTCTGCTCAATCAGTCCCTTGGCTTTTCAGACACACACAGAGAAACAGTGTCCTCCCGTCCCTCTCCATGCTCTCCTCTCTACGCCTGTCTCTCCCTGCTCTCCTCTCTCATCCTGCCTCCTCCTGCTTTTCTCTCCCTGCTCTTACCTGTGGTTGATTTAAAATAAGACTTTATACCGTTTCTTTTTCAGAATACATACCGAGTTGAGTGTTCCAGGAGAAGAGGGGGTATTTCAAAATTTAGAAGCTGAGGCCGTGTACATAATTGGTGTGAGAGCAGTAAGATGATTCATTGACAAGTTGCACCATCCAGCTTTATGCATTTGACTGGAAGGTACCGCTCTTAAAGGGCATTTAGATGATAAATGAACCACTAATGGTGAAGCATGAATTAACCAGTTGATGCACGGTCAGCTGATGGGAGCATAACGTCAGAACTGAGGCCTCATCTTTGTCTGTTAATGTGCTGAAAGTCTTTAGAGGATGTTAAAACTGGGCTTTTGTTTTTTAAAGGATCATAAAAGCATGCCAAAGAAGGTTTTGTTAGCCACAGGGGCATCTTGTTACTGACCTATTATAAGACACTCACATGGGAAAGGCTTGGAGGAGTTAGCATGTTTTCTGTACAGTTTGTTTCAATAACAACACTGAGCAGGAAAAACTGTTAATAAGTATTATCTGAGCCTTACTTTTCATACTTAAAACCTGATATTTGGCAGTGGAAACTCTAATAAGAGTTTTGATTTGCCTCTAAAAAGTGACCACAGTTAGGTGGTTAGCCGTAGCTGTGATCACCAAGGTGGCTAGAAAGAACAACACAGAGCCTTAGTTACACAAACAGGACAAACACTGATTGTTTTGCTTTGTTCTTACACTGATTTACACATCTAAAAAAGCCTGTGGATCCCTGCAATGCAGAGTTTTGCCCCTCCTGATCTCTGCGCTCTGAATTAGCTCCATGTATCTGCAGCCGTTTCCACAGAGGCTTTTTCTTTCAAAGGAAAAATAACACCACTCTGTATCCTCTGCACTTTGACCCCAATGCAAACCCCCCACAAAGCAACACCGAGGCTTATCCACTGTGGTGACAGTGAGAGACACGACGAGGGGAGTCAGGATTGGGAATGACACGGGGACGTCACATGACAAGTCAGCAACCAGAAACGCTAAAAGAGAAATTTGCTGGCAGACTAATGCATTTTCTCCACACATGTTCCCTGTTGACTGTGTTTTGGATTGGACTAACAGTGGCTTTACAGTATATCTAATGAGGCACATAAGGAACTGGACCAGAGATTGATAAGCAAGATTAATCTTTAGTATGATCTTTTTCATGTCTGAGCATGTTCCTCTGCACGGTTGTCATTTTTAGAGCGGCTATTTTAACACGGCACACTGAACCTCTGCGGTGAATCAACGTAAATGTTTCAGAAATATCAAATTTGTTTTTGTATCAGCTGATTCAGTGCATGTGACTGATACTTGAGTCAGAGGCACTTAAAGGGATATTTTAGTATTTTAAAAGTGGGGTTGCATGATTTACATCTCACTAAATAGTGAGTTAAGATGCCAATCAGCTCTACCCTTTAATGAGAGACTGCAAAAGGAACCAATATGAAAGCAAGGCAACAGCAGAGAGGAACAGCCCTGCCTCATAATTAAGCTACATTTGAGAGAGTCCGATTAAAACACTCGTCTAAGTTTACGTAAACACTCTATGGAGAGATTTTTCAGCATAAGAAAGCCTCCTCGTTTTGGACACTACACAGACACGCTCATCTGCCTGCAGTGCACTCATCGGCTGGTTCAAAGAGACCAAAATATGACCAAATTAAATAATAGGTGAATCTAATCACAATGCTAATATGCCATTTACTGCAGACAGTTTACACATAGGAAAAAGTTGACTCTGTACACCCCTGCCTGGTATTTCAGGTAAACAAACGTAAATTGCTCTGCTTCTCTGATGTGTTGCATATTACAACAGTCTGCAAAACTCATTAGTTTAATGGCTAATGGAATGTATGCTAAATGATGAAAAAAATTACCGGCATGTAAAATAGAGAAACAGACTCGTCTCCTCACTCAATGCAAAGAGTAAGAACAGTATTAAACACAAACTTTACACAGTTTTCTTTCTGTGTGTATGTGTGTGCAGTTACAGTACGATTGTGTGACTATGTGTGTTTGTGCGCTGGGGTATGAGGGGGAAAAATGAATAAAGCAAATATGTGCATGATTGGCTGAAGGCGTGGTGAAACACAGAGATTCAAATAAATGGCAGGAAACACACACACACACACACACACACACACACACAGACATATATATGAAAAAAGAGACACACCCCCTAAACGCAGTGTGTCGATTCAATCTGACGGCTTCTCGGCAAACCAAATCCCTAATCTCATCTCATCTCTCTCTCTCTGAAGTATCCGGTGATGAGCTCAAAGGAGGCTGATGTGCGCTGGCAGCTATTTCTGTGACTAACACACACACACACACACACACACACACACACACACACACACACACACACACACACACAGATACACAAACACAGTTTAAGCAGCAGAAACGGGGCGGTGTCTCCAAAGAGAGCGAGCAGACCATGAAACAGTGGATTTGGAGCTTTTACACTGTATGGCACTGAAAGTGTGACATTCAGACTTCGAACATTTGAACATGGTCATGGCTCAGGGAGGGGAGGGGGGAGGGGGAGAATAAGTAGGTCGAGCTCCCTGATTGGTTGACGAATCAACCCCTAACATCAAAGAGCAGCACATCAGATGATTTCATGTGTGTACGACGAATCGCTCTCCTCCTATATGCGCGCACATGCATGCATGCGCACACACACACACACACACACTAAACACAGCACACAAGGATGGCTCTAAAAAGGAAAACGACTGGTCAAGGTAAATTTGGCTCCCTCTTTTTTCCCATGATGCACCAGCACTTGTACTTACACAGACTCTTATGGGTGTGGCACTGCTCTAAATCCACGCTCCTCTTTGCTCATCCCTGCAGCCAAACAGACGTCACAGCGGGAGGAAAGGGAGAAAAGAATCCGTCCAATTACTCCTCTAATTATCTAATTATTTCAATTATGTCCAAGAGAGCAGGAAGGAGGATGAAGATGCTCTTTGCATTTCCTTTTGCCCTCAGTGCTCCTGCTGATGACACCTGGAAATATTACCTCTCTCGGTGGCCTCCTGCTCTGGATTCTGCTCTTCCTCTTTAGATTTGACCCCCTCTCTCTTGCCACCTCTTTTGTATTTATTTAATTCTCAAAAACACAGTTTCCTTCCTGTTTTCACTTCGCATTATTAAAAAGGAATAAACTCAATGAGAAGGAGGTGCTACCACATGAAAGTGCTAACAAGAAACAAATTGAAAGCAATTAAAAGAGAGATGAGGGAGTTTGTGTGTTTGTGCAAACAGATGAGTATGATGTGTGTTAGAGAGGGGCGGGAGATACTGGTAATTAGTGCCATATTAAAGAATGAGAGTGGTAATTGGTGTAATCTTTTATTGTCTGCCAATTAACTTGGGCACTTAAGAGGTAAACAACAGGAGAGTGATGGAGTAAAGCACCTGAGGAGTTCAGAACTGGATGGACTCCAAACTGGGAGTGTGTGCATCGTCTCTTGTGATTTAGGTCAAATTAAGAACTCTGCATTTGAATTTCATATTTCATTGCATATTGAATTTCCCTTCAGGGATAAATAAAGCTCTACTTCTTCTTCTTCTTCTTGAATTCTGAATGGGGGATGGTTTTTGACCTCTGTCCAGATCTCAGGCTGCTCCCACACTTGTGGCTCATTAGCTTTGTTCAGATTCAGATGAAAAAATGATGTATTATTGCATTGTTTCTATACCTTGTGATATGTTCATAGTCCGATATTTCAGCTGTGCAGGTAAACAAAAGTTATGTGGACTGGTGGCACTAAGCACAGTTGGACACCAGTGTTTCAGTTTCAGGAGTTACCTTGTGATCTATTAACCTAAGCTAGTGCCGCGTTCCAGTTGTACTCTGAAGTCGGAATTTCCGAGCTCCGAGTCAGAAATTTATCTGGAAAGCCTCCCTGAAGTCGGATAATCCTCACCAACACCGACTTGATGCCAACGCCATAATCCAAGATGGCAGTGCAGTCCATCAATAGTAAAGAGTAACAGGGAAAGCTCTCATAATGTATTATTTATTAGCACTTCTGTTTTGCTTTTGTGAAATTAAATAAGTGGTATATGTTGTACTGCCCAACGCCTCACTGTGAACACGGTGCTGTGGTGCTTTTAAGAGTAAAATACTGTGTTATGCGTTTTTCACAACTGGTATCGCTAACAAAAACTGCTGACAACAGCTCAAAACAGCTGACAACTGCTAACAACAACTGACAACCGCTAACAACAACTGACAACCACTAACAACAACTGACAACAGCTACAATTGCAAACTGCAGCTAACAATGGGTAACAGTAGGCGTCCATCTTGGTTTTCCGACTTGTTTACTGGAAAGCTGTCAACTTGGGTGTAACGTCATTTTCTGCTCCGACATTTGATTTCCGAGGTAACTGGAATACAGCATTAATATGTTATTGGTTGTCATGGTTACAACATCTGTTGAAACTTTTGTGAATGCATCTTTGTTTATCTCTTTTTAAGGTCTAAATTTGGCCATTGGCTATGGACGACTTGTAGCTGCAACAGGTGAAATCTAAAAATGTATAAACTTGTGAGTCAGCTGTACAGATCATGGTCATTAAAAGCCAATAAAAAGGTTGCAAGCAATAAAAATGACTTTATATTAGTATCTGGAAAATCATACATGACATAACAAACTGTGGAAAACCTCGATCTGACTCTAATCTGCACAAATTGAGCTTCGTTCAGTGTCTAATCTGGAGTGGAGCTACACTAAATCCATCATGCTTATTTAGAGATAAAGGCAGCCCAAATCTCTGCTCTAATAGCCAAAATCCTTGGAGAAAACTTGGAGAAATGACAGGTGTCTGAACATCTGTCCAACAAAGGGGCTACCGCCAAGTCATGTGACTGGATTCCCATGCACATGGTCAGTTTTGGCCCAAATGACTGCAGGCATGAGTGTACCTATTACTGAAAACAGAGCCAAATGTGGAGGAGAATGAAAGCTGAGGAGATCAGGCTTGGTTGTAAAGACAAGGCAGAATGGGCAACATGATTTTCACTGGTTTATGTTGGTTTGGCTTTCTCCCAGATACAAGACTGCCTCTAAAACCAGAGTTGGAGTTGGTGCTTCTGGCCAGTCGAGATGCACCAGCACCATCTGCACCAGGGGTTCTCAACCATCTGCCTCTGACCCCAAGAGCGAGCTGGCAGAGTAATGCCAATTAACTTCCTGGTTCACCTGCCAAGAATGCGCTTCCTTTTTTTCTCTCTGACAGAAACACATTTGAGTCCCTCTGTTTAACATCTACCACACTCTGTTTCATTCTCTAATCTGTTTCTCCCTCGTATCCATGATGCAAAGCAACATTATAGCACTTTTTATCTGAAGTATTGACTGAAATCTAGCCCACTGCAGTGCCACAAAACATACAAATTAAATGGAAATAAATCAAAATAAACAGGCCAAAAAAAAAAAAGCTGAAATAAGTGCATCGTTCTGCAGGTAAGAAACAAATTGCAATTGAGTAGGGGTATTCTGAAAAAGCTAATTTCCAAGTGGTTTCAAAAACAGGAAAAGTCCGTCTTGGACAGAATGGATACTGTATATCAGAATCTGAGGTTATGCAAACAGCAAAGCTACTATCACCATCCTTGCCATCATCCACATGCCTGTGCCTGCCTGTCAATCAATGTAAGCTAAGTTTAGTTCACCAGGATCAGCCTATATGTAACTTAAGCTCAGATTTCCAGATCAAAATATGCCAAAACATGCCCTTAAATGTCATCGGTTCTCTGTGCTTGACCACTATTATAGCATTATGACATTCGCCTGTAACCATAGCTACTGCTACAGCTAGGGGCTGGGCTAGAGCTGAGACACAACATATTACTAGTTTTTTGGACTAACAATTATCAAGTTGTACATGTATAAATTGTTATTTACTTAACTGAGTAGTTATACTGGTGCCAACTATCAGGAGTGACTAATTCAGACACTACCAGATCTATCTGTTTAAACAAAGCAAGGAAACAGCCTCAATTCTGTTTTTTTTTTTTTTAGTGTATTTTGGATGAGCCGTCTCTCCAGAAACCACAGGGCTTCAGGAGAACCTTAGTCCTGATTCCTTCTCCACACAGCATCTTGCAAATTTCTACTTTGGGTTGAATTTAACTTGTGCAAAATGCAAATGGATCAAATTTGCATGACTTGGCTCACATGGGGCACATTTGTGTCTAAGTATTTACTCTGTATGCAAACACTCTGCAGAAAAAAAACATTTACCTTTTTTATATGAAAACACATTGAGACTGTGAGTTCAGCTGCTGAACAGCATCCTACAGACCTGGACTCTTTCACAAATGCAGACAAGGTCTGAACTTGTGCCTATTAGTAGATGCGTTGACTCTGTTTTATTAAAGTGCCCTTATGTTCTTGATTTAAAGCACTTCATAATGAAAAGAGACTCAAATTCAAAGCAGTAAACGATTAAATGTGATTGACATGACAAGACAGAAGGTGTAAAATGGGTCAATGTCTGTGCGCTGTTGGCAGTGACCTCCAGTAGGACTCCAGTTGTTCGATGTGAACTGTGGCGACCTGCTGCCAAAAGATTAAACACTGATTGAAAAAAAGGACTCTACTCTTTGCCACAGCTTTCTTTCTACCTTTTCTAAAGAAACTAATTTAATTTTTATTCCTTTCTGAAGTACTTTCTGACCTTTGATCCCAACATTTTAAACATCTATCCAACTTCTCCATAAAAAGGTAAGATTTTCTCTGCTCTGTGGCCGGTACATGTTCCTTTCACATTAATGTATCAGTCTTTCATTACCTTTCAAGGCTGAGTAAAAAAAAAAAAGTCCTGCAGAAAATGAGTGCTAAGCAGAGTCAGTAATACTGGTAGCTATGAAAGGAATCTGTTTTTGTTGCCTTTAATTTTTTCTTCAAAATAACTTAAGATTCTTCCCCAGCGGAGGGACGACTTATTCATAGCAGAAATTAAACGAATCTAAAATGTTTCAGCTTGCAAGTGAAAGAAGAGACTCAAAGAGAAAGAGAAAAGGTTTAACTGTGAGCCAGACTGAGACCTTGCCTTTTAATGACAATCTCACTTCTCTGCACTGAGGGCGTCCAACAAGCACTCAAGATTTTTCATCATTTCCAAAAGGGCAGCAATTTGTGATTGACTGAACAGAAACCTTTCAGATATGAGAGGGCGACACGCCGGCCCTCCGTCCTTGAATTTTCCTCCTTTATGTCTTCAACTGACATTTTTGCCTCTGCTAATGGACACCAATTAAACCTCGAGTTGACCTCCACACACATTCCTGGACTTCTCCACCTCCTGTTTACAGACCCACCAACCCAAAAGAGAGCGGTTTGATAAAAGAATTTCTGACACAGTTACACTGCCAGTCTATTTAACCCTGTTTTTAAATATTTGAGAATCAAACTGACTCAAAAAGTTTTGGTCTTGCTCTGATGTGAGATGATGATGCAGCGGAGTTTCGCAGCTCAAGGAAGAACATTTCAGATTATTATTTCATGGAAATGTAAACAGACTGAGATGCAAAGGCAGGAGACCTACAGCGTCTGCAGTGCAAAATGATTATTATAATGATTATTAATTCATGAAAATGAGCTGCAGAACTCGGTGATGGACTTGTCAGGGCTCCCCCACAAACAAGGGGCTGCTGGAAGAGAGTGGGTGAGTTGTGTTTAGTCTCTTTGCTAAAGAAATTAGGCAAAGTTAAAAAGATGTTTGGTGGCAAGTACTGGGACCCTATATGCACTGTTGATGAAGTTAGGTGCTGTTCTGAGCATTATTTGTGGCTAAAGAGTGGCTTTTTGGTTGAGGTTCACGCATGGAGACATAGACTGCTGTGTATTCCTATTGTTGCTAAAGTTGGTAAACCTAAAGAAGCAAGCAGTTGGCAGGGGTTGTCTAACTCGGTGTTATGGTGTGTTTCACCCGAACTTAAATTTACGCCGGAATATCCCTTTAAGTTGGTTCAGTCCACAGCAGAGCAGACCCTTGTGTTGAATTCACTGGAAAGTTTAATGACTTGCGTTACGTTTTCTGTCATTGTTTCTTTTTTTCCTTTGCTAAACCAGAGCAGAGTAAAGCAAGAGTCTCATTCCACAACACAACTGTCCATCATTGTTTTTAATCGTCTTTGAAAAACAATAACTAATTAGGACCAAAGGCCTTACAAAACAAACTTTTTAAGCTTTCAGGCTGTGTTGATTTTGGCGCCCCCTGTGGACAAAGTGATCTTTGCTTGTTTTGTCCAGCACAGGAGTTAGTTAATGAGTTAAAAATATTATTTTCGGTCTGTTTCATGACGATTTGATTAGATTTGATTTTGAATTATGACATCCAGTTTCATATGCAGATCATAAGAGGCTCATACTTCATTTGCATCACAGGAGTTTTTTGTCCTCCAAGGCCACCATCACTTCTGGAGTTTCAACAACAGACAAGGTTAGCAAGGGAGCTTTGCAACCTAGAATCCGACTGCTAGACAAGGCTCAATACTCCCTTTTCTACACGGTGTACCTTTAATAAAAATGTCTCTCTCTGTAGGAGCCTCTCTGTCAGGTAATCTAAAGAACAATCAGAGTTTGACATTAGTAAAACAGCAAGCTATTGATGAAGAAGTGGAGCAGCATTGTGCATGCTCTGCAAGGTAAAACTACTCAATTTGTCTATTAAGTCCAGTGACTTTGATGAGAACAAGGCAGTGACTGTTTCTGGTTTAGAAAAAGGTTGTAATTCATTAAAGCAGACTCCCTGTACCTGACTCCCGGTAGAAAAAAGCACCCGAGATGGCTGCTTTGAAAAACTCTTTGCTATGTCGTTCATCTTGTGTTGAGATTTGAAAAGTAAAAAGTAGTTAATCGGTGTGCAAAAGTATAAAATAAACAAAAAAAGGATGCAGTTGGTGCAGAAAACCCTACCACAATATAGTCTTAGAAGCCAAGGTTCTTGACAAACTCCTGAAGATACTGATGGAAACATGGTGGCTTCACAACTTTTGTATTATGACAACAGAGCTAACCACCAAAACACTACTACAAGCAGATGCTGCAGACATGAATAGTCTTAGATTTGGTATGGATACAGTTTAAGCCACAGCTGAGATAATTTGTAAGACATATGTAATAAAACGAAAAATGCTTTTGACTGTTTGGTAAACTATCTCATCCATGATATTTATTTGCTGTTTGATCTTTCCAGCCTGCAGTTTTTGATCCTCAGAGGACCTAGATGTACACCCCTGATTATTTTGACATGGAAAAAGGATGTTTGCAGCATCATTAAGTTTATGGTGTACAGAGAAGCTCCAAACTTTTGTCTCTTCACACTTTGATTTTTCCCAGAGATTAAAATCTGCGATGTTCTGGTCACAAGTCTGCCTCTCCGAAAACATGAGGCTTGAAATTGTAATTTGGCGAGTCGATGTTTTTCACATGCACAGACTGAACTAGACAGAAACCAACAACGATGAAAATCTAAAAGACAGATCAGGGTCCTTCTCTGATGTTGATCCAGAATCAAATAAATTGAGGCATTAACCAAAATTCAACAAATGACCCAGAACTAAACAAGTGCATGAATTTTTGATCATGAAAATGTAAAAAAAAAGCCAGCTCGATTAATATCTAGTTGCCCAGAAAGGAAGTAAATATTTTGTTTAATGGGAATGAGAGCAAAGGGATCTTGTAATTTGCTTTAATTATTAATGGTCATTATGGGGGAGGTAATTGTTTCTATGGGCCGGAGCACTTCAGTGAATAGGCAGCTAAAGATTAGCTGTTAGCCACAGGCATCATTGTGGGGACAGTATGAAGCAATGAAACTCTGCAATTCCAAGGAGAGAAAGTGCGTTAATAGCACATTTTGTTGAGTTGGCACATCTGAAACCACTTCTCTCTGTGTTTTGTAACGTTACATTCAGTGTCCAAGGTTTTTTCAGTTCAGAACTGAAGAAGCCTTTTGGAAGAGAGGCCAAACTTCTTCAAGAGCCTCAAACAAGTCCAGCTGCCTTTCAACAAAGAATTGGATAACCATGACCTGGATGAATGAAAACCTTTCCAGACATATTCAGTGTTTTGAGAAGGACTTGTGCTACATAAGCTTTCTAGCAGAGTTCTGTTTCCACCCAGAGCAGCTCAGGCAGTGGTCACAGGGTCCAGTCTGAGAGCTGATTGAAATGATGTTCAGGCCTGCTGATCCCAGTTGTCCCTGGAAACTTTGAGTGAACTAGCCTTGTTCTGACGCGTGGCGGAGTTTGAACATTGAATGCAGCACTGTGGGTTAGTTCTTTGACGGTGGCACACGAGTCAACAATCACATGCTGGATCTCCTCGTTAGCATCAAAGAGCTGTGAAACCGAAGCCTGTGTCCGCTTCATTATCTGCTAACACGGAGCCTCTGAGCCCAATCTTCCTCTGGTAATTACCATCAAGCTCTCTGCAAAGGGAGATGGGGGATTTTTACAATCTAAATTACCTTTTTTTTTCAAGAAAGGGAGGCATAATGGCTCTGCTGTGAAACAACAAAAAAAAAAACATCCACAGCACAAATGAGGCGTTGAACTATCAAATGAGAAACACAGATGGAAAGCAAACGAGGCTGACGCCTAATCTTGTTAGTTGAGCTGAAGTCTGAGCTGTGTGTTTCTGTTTCCCCCTGTAATCATAACTTCAACATCATTACAGGGCCGGTCAGTGGCTGGGCTCAAAAAGGGCTGCCTGATTAGATAAAATAAGACTCTCTCAACAAAAAGAATAAAAAAGATGAGGAAGTGGAGAACAACAGGTGCTAGTGAGTTCAACTATACAAGTGAAACCAGTGAAATTGAAGAAGATGAATTAACTGCAACATGGGGAAAAAATAACCTTGTCAAACCAAACAAGAAAACAAAACAAGATGTTTGACATATAACCATCCAATTCAAATGATATGAGTTTTTTTACAGCGAAATGCAGCCCAATTATTTTTTCTGCAATCCACAGACTTTTTATGACCATTTTATATTTCATGTTATGATTATTAAATCAAGCGACTGTGGTCTCTTCGCTCCCTTAATAGAGCCACTTCTCAAACATCAAACCAGCCCACTATATTGTACGCAACAACCACTGGGACTTGAGTGAAATGTTCTGTGAAAATTCATGCTTCCCAGAGGATGATTCACACTGGTTCAAACATCAATTTTATTTTTTCTTTCCTCCAAAACATCTTAACAACTTAAAATTTCCAAAAAGGCCAAATCATGTAAAATTTTCACAGTCTTCATGCTCCTGAGCATAAACAGCTTCAAGTGTCAAATATAGCAAAAATGTGACTTTTCACAATAAATGCCTCGTTGCTTGGTTCTCATACTTGTCCTCGTTGTCATCCAAGTTACTTTATTGCTGTTTTATCTTTCCAGCCTGCACTTTATGATCATGAAAGGACCTAGATTTACTCCCATGATTATTTTGATATAGAAAAATTGCAGTATCATTAATTTATGGTATACAGAGAAGCAAACTTTTGTCTCTTCACACTTTGATTTTTCCCAGAGATTAAAATCTGCAATGTTCTGGTCACAAGTCTGCCTCTCCGAAAATATGAGGCTTGAAATTGTAATTTGGCAAGTCGATGTTTTCCACATGCGCAGGCTTAACTCGACAGAAACCAACAGCGATGAAAATCTGAAAGACAGATCAGGGTCCTCTCTGATGTCGAGCCAGAATCAAATAAATTGGGGTGTGAACCAAAATTCAGCCAATGACCCAGAACTAAAAGGAGGGAATGAATTTTCAATGCTTCATAAAAGCGGGGTGTTTTGTGGGAAATAAAGCTGTTGATCAGTTCAGACAGATTTTCACGCTTTTCTCAAATATTCCCATGCTTCAGAAAATTTGTTTAAAAAACCACTGAAAATAAACACAGGGATGGCAAGGAAAACAGAAAGAATCCTGCAAAACAGCAAAAACCAAAGGGTTATTTTCTGATCTTAGAGGCCCATAAACACGTGTCACAGTGACAACCCTGGTACATATAGTATGGAGAAAATCATTTCAAATCTTTGCACTAAAGCTATGGTTACTGGTCATGTATGTCGAAGCATTTTGGGTGAACAACGATGCAAAACAGCTCACAACTATGTAAATAACCCCCAAATAACCTGCAAAACCATCAATCTAATGCAGAGTTTACACTGTGAGATGAATTTGAAAACTATCACAGTTAAGCTGAAAGTTGAATTGACCACCAGAGATAAAGGTCTTGTAAAAACCTGATGCCAACGAGACCCATTTTAATCTCTTTAGTCTTTCATTATTTTGGCTGTACAGGAGCTTTACATGATTTGCAGCTTGAGAAACTCTTTTTTAAATCTTCTACTGGGGTCTGTCAAAACCCCTCTTTGACCCAGGCCCCTGCCTAAAATGCTTCATCTCAAGTGAAACATATTGAAAGTGTCAGCTTGCGGGTGCTTCTTTTTACAGAGCTTAGTCACTGTGCAACAAATAAAGGGTTTGACTTTAGAGACCATATCTGGGTCTAGCTGTTAGGGCCAACCTAGACCCCAATTAAGCTACATTAGCATACTTCGATTGTAATTTTGTTAGCTGCTGTATTAATGTTGCATATAGGGTCTGATCTACTAAGATAAAATAAGGTGCCCCAAATAAGGGGCGCTAAGTTGCGTGTGCAAACTAAAAAAATTTCATGCGCTATTTGTGGGCGTGTTGCGGGTGATCTATTATCATTGCGTGCGCAATTGATAACAGGTGCAAAAGTGGTGCGGACCGCCCTCTTTAAAAGAGGATTTGGCGTGCGCTATCAGCTGTCACCATGGAGAGTTTGTGAGAGCAGAGTGGTCAAGGATGAAAAAGGAAGTTTGAAGCCATGGAGTTGCTCATATCATTTTGGGGAACTGCATAAAAGGCAAGCAAGACAAGTTTATTTGCTTTTGAGTAAAACCATCTGAGTCCGTACTAAACCAACACAGAGCAGAGTGGCGAAAAAGTCTGGTGATGAGGAGGAGATATCCTTAAAGAGTTCATATTGGACACCACAGGGAAGCATCAGGTTGAGGCCAAGTCTCATGAAGTTATCCAAATGAGCCATTCAGAGATTTTAACAACATCTGTGTGGTCGTGAATGTGAAACTTTGCAGAGGCATAGTACGGAAAGCCAACAGCATGATAGATCTTCAAAAAGTCATCTGTGGCTGTCGAGTCACTCCATGTTCAAAGGCAGGGCTTTGATTTTCATCAACTAACACTATCTTGATCAAAATTTTCAGGATTATGCTTCGACTTTGGGAAACACACGATTTGGGTTAAAAGTGGCGTACGACAGATGCTGCCCAAGAGCAGATTAAACTCCTGACCCTGTGCTGGATTCAACAGTCCGTGAAAACAAATCCAATTACATCGGGGGATTTTGTATTTTTGGAGCCATTGAAAAAGTTGGGACACTCCGCCAGAAGGGCTCTGTGGATGAACTGTAAATGCAACAGAGTCAGACAAACACACTAATGAGATTCAGTGACTTGCAGTACCATCACACACGCAAGTGAATAAATACACACAGTAATACACACACACACGCTGCGTTAAGAAAAACACACTACTTGTTTTGTTTTTGAGCATCAGGCAGCGACACTGCACTAAACAATCTCATCTGCTCCCCACTTGACCCAGATTTCCTTCGAATTAAAACTTAACCAGAGAGAAAGAGAGGGAGGTGAGGAAGAGGGGGAGGAGGGAGAGACAGCGAGGGAAGAAAGAGAGACAGATTTGGAGTGACATCATGCTTAGTGAACAGCTGAGCTACTGGAGAGCAGAAAATCCAATTTGTGCTGGCAGGACAGTAGCCACCTAACACACAGCAGGGAAGACCACCTCCACACTCCGGCCACCACCTCCCCCCTCTTCCAAACACAGCAGCAGCAGAGGGGGGGTGGGCTGTTTTTTTTTTTAAGCTTTTAATGCCAGTGATTAAAGCCAGAGGCGAGGTTTGAGTTTCTCTGCTAAGCACTGAATAAATGTGTTGTTTTTTTTTTTTTTTTACGGCAGAGTGGAGCTGAGCGGACAGATGTGGAGCTTCCAGCATCCGGAGCAGCAGCTGGGATCACGTTTAATCTTCACTGGATGCTCCCAGTTCTGGCTGTGCTGAAAATTTTGACCAAAGTTTGTTCAAAAAATTTAAGCTGTATCACACCTCTAACACCTCTAAAAAATTCAAGTTAAAGCTCCTATAAAAAAAAAAATTCATTCCTGTTCATTTCGGTGCCCCCTGTGGACAAACTAGTACCTTCAATGTCTTTATTACTCTTGTCCAACTACTGACAATCAAACTTTTGCTCAACATGAACATTTTTAGTGAAGATACGTTGTTAAATGAGGCTGATTCTTTGGGACGCCACTGACAAAAATAATGCATTACCGCAAAATTTTGAACAGCAGGGGGCACTATCTGCTTTTGCCAGCTCTTGATTATTCTGAAAAAGAGAATTCTAGCATTGCTTTGCCTTTAAACTAGCCCACTGAGTGTGATTTAACCATAGACTGTATATACCATGGACAACTTGGTTCCGCCTTCCGTCAGTATACAGATTTGAAGCCGAAAAGCTCTCGGTATTTCCATGATTTTACTCCATTTCCTGAAACCAACATTGCGCAGTGACGTTGTACACTCTCCACCACTTGCACAGTAGCATCATACGCATTCGGTATCCCATATCCCCCGGGTGAGCTACGCAATCTTCGTACACCCTTAGGCTGTATCAAGTGTCAACCCTAGAAAACATGAACCCCCTAATAACTTTTAAAAACGGAGGTGTACAGAAAAAAAGAGGACTTGAGTGCAAGGCAGTCTTACAGGAACTACATGTCAACATCACAAACGGGGGGAGAAAAAATAATATTTTGTGAAATAAATTTCTCAAGTTTGTCCACAGCTCCATAAGGATGGCTGGAGGAGGCGGGATTTGTGACCTATACTGCAGCCTGTCACCAGAGGGTGCTGTTCTCAGAGTAACTTCACCCAGCGAGGAGGCAGACGGCGTCCATTCTATATACAGTCAATGAATTTAACACACAAACACAGATACACACACTGAGCGCTGTTCCACCCTGCCTGCTCTGACACCACCTCTTTAGCCTCATTCCACCTCTTCAACATCCTACAGGAAAGGATCAGAGCAGCTCTGCTCCACCATTTCACTGCCATGCAGGAGGTAGACAAAGAACAATGGGTTTTCAATAGACTGTCCTTGAAACAGCAATTTCTGAGAGCAATTTGACACCATTACATCTCTTGTGTAAGTGGCCAAAGAGGCATTGTGGAAAGATTGAAGACAGTGAAGATTTCAGGGTTGAGAATCCATCGCCTTTGTTTTCAGTCAGGTGTGTCGGAGCAAGGTGAGAAGAGAACATTCAGCGACTTCAATGCAACATGGATTAACATGGAAGCTCAAACTACCAAAACCAGTGATGTACAGCTAAACATGATAACACATGATTCATGTATTTTTATAATTCTGGGTTACATGTTGGGTCACATGAGTTGTAGCCATAGACTGCATGTAGAATGGACAACATGCTCTTATTTCAGCCCCAAAACCTCCGAGATCCCACAGCCTATAGCAAATGGATTCTTGTACTTACAGCACCCACTCACAACTCTGCAGGAGCTCCCATTAGTCAGTCAAGATGTCAATCAATCAGCTTCTTAAATGTAAGAAATTACAACCAAACTTGCCAGAAAAATGTGTATTTTGACTTAAATCATCATGATGAGAATGGTCTGCACAGGCGGAAACCAGATTTGAGAAAGATTAAAAGTATAAGGATTAAAAGTATTTATATTGGACAGTTTGGCCCCTGCTACGTACGTGTCCATGGAGGAAGCGGGTTTATAACATTAACTGCAGTTGGCCAGTTGGGGGCGCTCTAACTCTTTTGGCTCTAAAGTTAATAAACACCCATAGGGTCCATTTTAGTATATGGCTCCTGATTATAGTGCACCATCTACCCCCTAGCTGGGGCTTTGATTAACTGCTTCTGCCATGATGCTCGAATGCTCTACACCCCGGATCTAAACGAGCACAGATGACAGATGGAAACTCATAGCGTGGCACAGTTTTCTGATACAGACAATGGAGATGAAGTTGTATGAACACCAAACACAGAAACATTTTATTTACCAGTAGGAACGGGAAGAAGAACAAACTCATTCAAGGAATTTGTTGCTTTGGGACATCCAAACTGTCTCTACAGGTTTAGACTGCTGGGGTACTGGAGCACCTTTTTCTCCTTCTCGATCCTCTTTCTGTCTGTGTGATTAGCTTTGAACCATAATGTCTTATTAGACCGCACAGTCTTTTCTGGTAGTCTCTGAGCTACATCATGCCGTAGGTTACTCTGGATGCAGGCATCGTGCTGCTGTGGACCTGCCTGCTTTCCTGCTGCTGTAACTTCATGCATCAGTCTCACATCTGTCCATCTTTCCCTTTCAGCATCTCCCTCTATCAGTCTCCCTCAATCTGATCCCATCTCTACATGGGGTCTTTATAAATAGAGGATGGTCTAGACTAGCTTTTTGTTAAACGTCTTGGGATAACACTTGTGAATTGGTGCAATGTAAAGAAAGATTGATTAATTGGCACAGGCTTGGATTTGAAACTCTTAATTTTAACTTTTTAAAAATGTTTGTGAAAACTTTGTGTAACGCGGTGTTGTTTCGGTTGATTTTGTTTTCTTGGCTTTTCACAGCCAAGCTCTACATATTTCTCCTCAATATTTGTTAATTGAAAATGTTCAAATGATAATCAGACGAACAAAAAAGGGTCTTGCCGTTTGTTTTGGTGACACAGCACAGCGTTCACATCCTTCACAACTAAACCGAGAGCTGAATCTTAATGTGCCAGCCTCCTCCTCCTCCCCCTTCCACCCCCTCCTCCTCCTCTCATTGTTCAGTTACACCAGGAGCAACACCACAGCGCTGCATCTCCTATTGTACTGAGTTACTGTGCAATGTGTGTCTGCCATTAACCCACCGAGCCACCCAGACGCCCTCCTGCTTCTGTTTTTCTTCACTTTCATCCCCTCTCATTCTCTCACTCCGGTTTAATTTCAGCTCTTGACCTCCTTTCATTACTTCTCTCTTTAATTTTTTGGGTGTATTTGGTGTTTTTTTTTTTATCCTCTTTTAAATATTGACATCAGCTTATACCTCTCACAACAGCCCCCTCTCTCCCCTCTTCTCTTGACCCAACGGGGCATGTGGGTAAATTCCTTATGAGATTTAAATGTCAGATGAGACAAAAGAAAGCAGGAGTGCTCACCACACACACTCACACACACACACACACACTCACACAGAGGGCTTATGTGCTGATTGTGAGCTATATTTACTGTGTGTGGGGGTTAAAGAGAGCGCAGAAGTAAGCGAGCGAGTGAGTGGGGACGAAAGGATTGATGGTTGGACGGACGGGTAGAAAGCGACCTTCAATGGAGATACAATACAAACTCTATTTATACCTTTTCCTCTCTTTTTTTCTCTGCTCATCCTCTTTCTCTGTAATACTCTTAAAATTCCCTCTTTATGTCCCTTTTGATTCAATCCCTCGCCTTTAAGTATTTCCCTCCCTCTCCGTCCTTGCAGACCTCTTCCCTTTCTTCTCCTCTTTACCTAAACTCTCCTTTTTCTCTGTGAATTAGTGGCAGTATATCAGTGAAAGGTTTTGCTCTGTCAAACGTCTGAAAAAAGTCTTTTTTTTCAACCTTCAGACAAAATCTTAAGACATTCAATCTGCCATTGAAATCTGTTTCATTGAGCAGCATGTTTTAATTACTTTGACCTTTAACCCCCTCTGCTTATTTTTCCACTCAATTCTGTGACTGTTTTATCAGTATTTCTTTCTCGGTGTTAATCTCTGATCTGATCTAAGGTTGTTTGAGTGTTGAATGATTCGTGATGGGCAGTTCACTTTTGTCTTTTCTGGAGTTAAAGGGGAGAATCACCTCTGGGAAGAATCAGGTGTGGGAGTACCTGAATGGCTTGAGTGAGACCAGGTGTGGGAAGGTGATTTAAGTCCTTAAGCTCCAGTGCAGAGGGCTGACTCATTGTCTCTACCTTAGAGATTGTGAGAGGATCTACAGTATATGGTCTTTTGAGTTGTAGAAAGGTTCCATTAAAGCACTCATACTTTGTTTATGGTTAAGATTGGGCTGGAGAGACTGGGCCTTTTTTGTTTTTTAACGTTCACACATCCCTGGCAGTCTTGCGTCTTTGTTTAAAAAAGTTAGTTTAGATTTTTCTGAGAGTTTGGTTTGGGTCAGCTGCTCATGTTCTGTGTTTAGGAAGTCTGAACTTGTAGACCTTTATTTTTCCGTCTCCATTTATTGCCCGGAATTTAAGAGGTTACCCCTGCAGGGTGACTTTTAAAATCCCTCCCTGCTTTGGTCTGCAGTTCTCTAATTTCCTCTCCTTCTGAGTTATAAATTTTCACAAAGATTAGGCAAGACCTTAAAAGAAATACTCACCTTGAAAAACTCATTAAAGTTTTAAATTGTATCTATCATCAGTGTTTCTTTACATCCAGAAAGTCTGGAAACTTAATGATTGGTGTTTTTGTGAGCCTTCAAAGCTGAAAATTTCCACACCAGTTAAAAGAGTGTTTGATTTTTTTTAATGATAGTGAAAGTAAAGTTTTGAAAAAGAAGCTTTAGGCATGTTTGTTTTTAACTTTAAAAAAACAGCTCCTCTCTGCATCTTTCTAGGCTAAAGACAGTTATCACCTCAATATTATCATGAATTAGGACTGCACAGTCAATCACAAATTCATCAATTTCTATACAAATTTCAATCATCATTGATCATTATTAGTGAAAGAACAAAAGAGTTTCCAACTCTTAACATTTTCATCACACACACGCTCACCTTTCATTTCTTTCTGACAGGTTCAAGAAACTCTAGACTTCACCTCAAATTTAGAGAAAACAAACAGAGGAAGGGGGCAACAAATAGAGGCGAGTCCAGGATGGGTCCTGGAACCAGCGTGTTTGGAGCTGTAGCCTCGTTACATTCACTGAGCTAAACCAGCAACAGAGTTCAGATACTTTTTACAAGAGCATAGAAAAGACTAAGACAAAAGACAAACAAATCCTGCTTTCATTTTAAGAAACAAAATCCCTCATTCACATCTGATCAGGATAAACAGTACATTTAGTAATATTACAGTAATTTACTGCAGAAATTTTCTTCAATGCCACGGGTCACTGTATGTCCATTTTAGTCAAAGCATGTGTTAGATGGAGGCCTGGGTTATTATGAGTCATGCTTTTATGGCATATTGTAGTCAGATGAAGCTCCGTAAAGTTCATGAAAAAAAGTTTTTTTATAGATATATATACAGTTTTTTTTTCCAGTATCCTGCATCCCTGTGATAAATGTAATCTTCAGTCACACAGATTAGGTTTTTAAAAAACTTTTGTCATGGTTTCAGTTTTTTGAAAGTCTGGATTCGTTTTTGTACGTCAAACTAAGACAACATTTAAAGGGGAGGTTATGTTTGAAACTCTGTTTTTATATTTGTGGATGAAAAAAAAAATTCTTTTTTGTGTTTTTAATGCTGCAGCTACAAGTTTTTATTCTTGACAAGTTCTCTAACAGATATTTCAGAAAAGCTACTTAATGTTTGGAGGTCAGCCTTCAGAGTTTCTGACAGTAAAACTTAATCAAACAGAATAATGTCACTTTTTTTTTTAAAGTTTCTCTGCACTCTCAGTCATCCTTTCTTGTTTTTTTCAGCCTTGTCTGGATTCAGTGTGCTGTTCGAGGTCTCTCACTGTAAAAAAGATCTATCCCAATAAATAAGTTATACCTATTTTTTATTCATGCACATGATAATTGATCTTATTTTTCCGTGCAGAGTCAATACTTTAGCCACAAAACATAAAAGAATCATCAAGCAATAAATTTGAAAAGATGACCATGAATCATCTTTTTTATACCAGCCAAAACATTAACATAAATATCCGACATTTTCAGCGAAGAAAATAAATAAATAAATGAATGAATAAATAGAAACAGCCAAAGGGAAGCAGATCCTGAGCTCTGCAGAGGGACTCAGAAACAAGCTCTGAACAGGCTTCTGTAGTTTTATTAGGACGAATGTCGAATGAAGATGGTGTTACTTTGATGGATGTGATTTTTGGTAACAAACTGTACTGGGTGTTATCAAAAATACATGGATTTAAAATAAAAGAATCAGAGTCATTTCCTTATACAGACATTAGTAAAATCATGCCAAAGTTGTTCATCAGTAGAGGGATGAAGAATTACAAATTGGTTTGTCTCAAAATTTGGACAGAAAATCAGAAATATGTCAAACATAATGTTTATTTGCACCTAAAATGCTGGGCTGAGCATGTGCTGTAGGATTTTTTTTCTGTTTTATTGTTTAACAGAATATTATTTCACATGTTTTAATGGATTTGTAAAAGTTGTCATTAGTTACAGTGTGCAGCCTTTGGTCAGACTCTGGGATATCTTTGAGATTTGGCTCAAAAATGTGAAAATCTAAAATCACAGCGGCTGTAATAAAAAAAAAAAATCCGTCACAAATGATTTTATTTTTATCATTAATTTAATTGAAAATTGTTAATTCACTAATTGATTCTATTTCAACCTTAAAACATCATATCATGATATGACTCTTGTAGATTAAGCGTTTTTATCTGAATCTTTTTATTTTGTGAATTTTTTGTTGCTGTATTTGTAACACATTGGATTTATTCTGTAAGTTTAGACTATTTGCTCTTAATTTACAGAGAAGCTCCTTTATTCATTTTCAGTCTTTTGCATAACTGCAAACATTATCATTTTAAATTTTTGTTTTGGTGGCTTCAAGACGACTGTTGAGCACCTTACAGAAGTTTATGAGAAACCTACAAAAAACAAAAAGCTAATTAATATAAACTTCATAGTTTACCCTAAAAACATGTCAAAATAAATGTACCTTTGCAAATTTAGCAGCTAGTAGGACTCCAGACAGATAATCAAATCATTTGATTGGGCTGCAAATATGACTATAATCTCTGACTTAATACTCAAACTATTTTTACTGGAATATTAACCCTTAAATGTGCAGGATTTTACATCATAGTTTAGATCTGGAGACATGAGAACAACAGAAAATGCTGTGCTGCACACCCCCCTTATCCCCCTCCATCCTCATACAGATCAGGCTTTTACCGAGGCCTCACGCTGGCTCCATGATTGACTGACTCTATATTTGTGTGTGCATGTGTGTATGCCTGTGTTTGAGTGTGTGTGCGCACTGTGCAGGACATGTGCATTAAATGAGAGTCAGAGAGGAGAGAAAAACCACGAAGGACATTACGGTGAAATCTTTAAAAGCTGCCCACACACACACACCAGCAAGCACACACACACACACACACACACACACACACACACACACACACACACACACACACAAACACCCACTCACAGTGGAGGACTAATGCACACTGTCATACACTCACATACACTCCCAACCTCACACACACACACAAACACACACACACACACTCACACTGAGACACACACATATATGCATGCACACTCGGAGCTGAACTAGTTACTCTCTGCAAGGAAATCAAATATCCAGAAGGAGAAATCCTGCAGATTTCTTGGTTTTTAACAAGCAGAAGTCTGATTCTGTCTCCTTTTTTTTTAAGACAAAAACTTTAAATAACCCAAAAAAATCTGTATGAGCATAAAATCAAAAATATAAAGAACTGCACAGATGCATTTTTATGTTGCAAAAATTTGACCAACCAGCCTCGGCCTGCACTGGAATCCCAAATAGAAAGAATCTGTTTCTAAAAGCTGCATTAAAAAATCCACTCTGATTAAATGTTTCATTTTATTATTCCATATATTTCTGAAAACAGAGATAAAAAAAAAAACCTCGGGTAGTTTTTAATGTCTTTAATGTTTTTAAATCTCAGACCGCTGCTTGTTTTTGAAGTTCATTTGTATTTGAATGGTTTTAAATCATTTAATTTCAAATCCTAAAGTCAAACTAAAGTCTTATAAAAAAATATGGTTTTCTGTAAAATTTCACAGATAAACAATATTTATTTTTTCTAATCACATTTTAATTATGGGTCTCATTTTCTTTATGCGTAAGCCTCGCATAGTTGCACAAACAGTTATGCTGACAGAAAAAGATGTTTGTTTAAATAGAAGCAAAAATACTGGATGGTGAGAAACATCAAAACTTGAAACTGAAATCAAATTTTCCACAGACTTGAACACTTTTATGACACATCAGTGATTTATTTTCTCATATTGACTCTGGTTTTATTTCTGTTGAATTTGTTGGATTGATATGAAACACTTTTTTGAGTTGTGTCTGTAAAAAAAAGTATAAATAAAGTTCACTTTGCTTTTTTGACATTTCCTCCATTTAATTGAAGTTAAACTTATTTATTTTCCATTTTTTCAACTTTTCTCTCTAGCCGTTTTCTTTTCTATGTAGGATTAAGTGTGATGTAGGATTTTATACATAAATAAAAAACCTAAAACAAACCTACAGTCCATAGAAAGCTTTTTTCTTTTGCCTTTTTTAATCTAACAACAAATTTTTCCTTTTTTTTATCTTGCCTATTAACCCCTCTCTCCTTCTACCCCCATCCACTTTTCCCACCATCTCTATTCTCTGGTTGTAAAGCTCATTTTTTTGCACAATTTTAAAAGACTGAAATGACTCAGTTGTCACTGAAGCAAATTAGAAATTTGAATCATCCAGAGAAAATGTGTGCTGTGATACAGGAGGAGATAAGTTGTAGAGTGGAGTTTCTGTTGGGGAGGTAAAGAGCTTATTAAAGATTTAGCCTGGCAGAACTAGACTGAAAAATTCAGGAGCTGTAGAAAGAGAGAGAGTGACGTGCTCCCAATCACATCGAGTCTACGAATCAATCTGTGAACTCCACTCAGCTAGAGCCAAAGTTTAGAGAGTATTAGAGGGAGAAAAGAAAATTTAATCTTTTCTTTTTTCAACATTTCCTCAACATAAAAAATACACTGTAACAGCTGATCAGGTTTGTGCTATAAATCAGAAAATACTGCAATATGAGCATTAGCAAAAACCTTAAATTTACAGCAACAAAGAGAGATAATTTAGCATACACAATTTGTGATCTCTCACTCAGCATGTACATTTCCCCATTAAATAAAACCCTGGGTGTAATTGTTTGGGCTTTAACATTTAGATGCAGTCAATGAAGCTAAATTTGTGATAATTTAGTAGAAAAAAACGTTGCAAACACAAGTAGCCTGAAGAGAAGCCAGTGGACAACAGAATTCTAACTTACATAACTCCTGTAACGCTAATTTATTCAGCAGATTTCTTATCAATAAATTAATACTGAACACCGATTTTGCAGACTGCATTTTTTTTTTGATATCTTCAAGCCAAGAGTCAGATTTACTTGTGAAAAGGCTGAACAGAGAGTGTAATAAAAGTAGGAGAGAAGCTCTTATTTTAAAGAAGAAATAGATTAGAAACTTTGATTATAAAAGAGTTGAATATTTATTTGTTTTTATTACTGTGTGTACATGAGTCAGAACTACATGGTCCTACTACCTGCATTTTAAATTATGTATTGCAGTCATTTTTGCTGACAGAAAATGCATTGCGTTTTTTCCACATACACTGTTTTTTCACTGTTGATGCTACAAAGAGACAAAAACTTCAAAATTTGTATTTTCATATATTAATTTTGAAAATAGTCATTAAGATCAAATAAAATCATTATGAACCTACAGTTTGCAATCTTGACTGAGTTTACTCACGAACACACAAATAAAACAAAAAATGACTTTTGTGAAGTCTTCATTTTTAAAACTACATTTTAATCTAAATCTAATAGTTAACATTTCTGATCAAAGCCAAACAAACAGACTCACCTGTGCTGCAGTTTCTCTGGAGCTAGTTCTAGTCTCCCTACTTGAGGAGTTTAAATTTGCATTTAAAAGATCTGTGTTTCTGCTCCTTTAAGACACATAGAAAATACACAAAGACACTACAGCACCTTTATATTTAGAGGTACCATCTTGTCGGGATAATTTTGAATCTGAAACTCATCCTGGAAAAACAGAGAATAACACGGGTTAATGAGTTAGTGTCAGAGGTTGTTGCTAGTGACTCTGCCTTTTAAAAAGGAGGAAGCATTTCCTTAAAAACACAAAATTTACTTTAACATTTACTTTGCAAATAGGGCCAACATAATGTACCTGCTGTGCAAGAAACATTTTGAAAAACAAGACAATCTGGTCTCTTAAATCCCGCTTATAAATTAACTTGTCTCACCATCTCAATGTGCAGCTACAAGGAAAGCGAATGAAAACGGATTATTCTATATGTGTGAGAGCAAAAGTCCATCGCCATGTCTATGTTTTGATTTGATTTGCAGAGAAACATGGTGTGCTTTGTATTTTATGGCACATGGTATAAATGTTAGATTTTAATTAAATTCAGCTCTGCATGCTTTTGTATTAGTGAACATCTGCAGTGAACTGAAAATGCCTAATTTGATAAGTTTGACCCTATTCCCTTTACTTTTACACCTCTACTGTAAATACAGTAATGCACACACAGATAAACTCCAATAAAAGAGGGCTGTAGTCCTAAAACATGGAGTCTCAGGTTTAAAAGAGATCAATTTGTGTGGATTCATTAAAGCTTTTGAGAAAAATTAAACTTGTAAAAGATATTAAAACAAAGCTGTATTTTGCTTTTAAGTTTCATCATGTTCAAGTCGAAAACTTTTGACTTTGGCCACTATATCAAAAGCAACGGCCTTAAAGAGCTTAGTAGCAGCTGCAGCTGTTTGCTTATGTAAATATATTTGCTTTCACAAACGCACATACACACACACATTCACAGCTATATGCCCGAGTGTGCTACACACACACAAACACACACACACAAATAGAGACAGGGATCATTAAACGTCTTTTAGCCTGAGCAGCATGGACCAGATGTGAGGATTGGTGTAGATCTGGGTGGGCTAACGAGGTCAGGAGGCCCTGAGCTGCTCCAACAAAGACATATTTTTGGACTATACTGTGTGTGTGTGTGTGTGTGTGTGTGTGTGTGTGTGTGTGTGTGTGTGTGTGTGTGTGTGTGTGTGTGTGTGTGTGTGTGAATTGTACATACTGTTTGTTTGCAGCTTCTTGTTATCATATGATTTTCACATGAAGTTTGTGCAGAAGGACAAAGGCAGGGATTCACAGGCTGCAGGGCACATCGGGGGAAGGATGTATGCATTAAATAAGAGAAATTCCCCCAAACACACACGCACGCACACACAGAAACACTGTCTGCTGTTTTCTCTGACTTGTTTTTCCAACCATAACCCTGTCTGCCAGCTTTATTATCTGTGAAGATCAAGACTTTGGTTTCAAGCCTTAAATCTACAATTTTACAGGGCTAAGTACTAATAAAGTTAATCCATTTAACCATCCATACTAATCAGAAATGAGGGTTTGAAGTTGTTTTGGGTCAGATAAGCTCTAGATGAATGTTCTCTAAATCATCTTGTGTTACATCTATTCATAATAATTTATGAGGTGTTATAAAAGTTATACCCTTTCAAATGGATTAGCCAGTGTAGAGGATCTCAGCATGAGAAGCTGGAACTGAACAAATCAAGATTGGAAATCACAATTTAGTCAAAAAAAGACAGTGGGATAGTAAATTTACACAAGGACTGTATTGTTGGTAATTTTTATTATCTTTTTTTATTTAACCCTTATTTATTACACGTTATTAGTATAGATAGAGAATAAAATAGGTCCCAAGATCGAACCTTGAGGTACACCTCTAGAAACCTCCAGAAAGGTAGAAGTCATACCAGCCATCTGAGCGCATTCTGACCTCTTGTCCAGATAGTCTGCAAACCAGGATCCTGCTAGGTTTGATAGGCCAATATGCTGAAGTACACTTAAAAGCAGACTATGGTCTACAGTGTCACACACCTTTGACCGGTCTATAAATTTGTCATATTTGCAGGGAACTCCTCCTCCACCTAAGCAGGATAGAGGCTGTTTACTTGACCAAACGTGGTGACTAAGTCTGTCAATTTTTATCTGAATTCAAACCTTCATTCGAACTCTGGGGAAAAAAGGTCATATTCAAACTGTAATGAGCCATTTGAACTCATGTTAATACAGAATACCAGAGCATCAGACCGCGTGAAGTAGCTATGACCTAGCAAGCTCGCTCTCATCATAACCTGGCCACTGAAAGGCACTCTTGACCTTCATGAACTAATACAGTAATGTTTTTCAACAAAAATGGAGGACATTGAGCGGGACAATCATGACACCAAAACATCAGAGAAATGCTGTGTGGAAGTATTTTATGATCAACGCTGTAGATTAATAAATGAAAGACAAAGATAGACGTGTTTTTTGACTTGATACACAGCAGCTGTCTAACTTGTTAACAACAAACTCCTCTCACCAGAGGAACAAAAAAGGCAATCACTTATCAGACTACAAATTTCAGACATGATCAAACATTTACACATCATGTAGATTTTTTTTGACAAACTGACAGCCTTAGTTATGACACAAAGATACATCACGACATGTTCAAGGTCATGTTGTTTTAAAGACTGTCAGGCCTTACTCTCGTGTCCAATCCACATCGTAGCAAACACCAAAGGCTCAGATCTCAAATCTTGGAGGGGGAACACAGACTGTGTGAGCTACAGGAGTTAGTTAGAGTTGGGAAAGAATCATATTTTCCTTAATATTCTTGTTTTTCTGATGAGTTCAGAGCTCCTCTGATGACACAAATACACAGATCAATCCAGGATCAACTTTAGAAAACTATTTGGTAAATCTGACACGTGAAATTATGGTTAATTATCAAATGGGCAAGAATTTCAGATAATGTGATCTCACACCTTCATTGCTAAATAACAAAGGAGTTCCTGGAAGTATGTGACCTTGCAACCCGACCAAATTTGACTGTTAAAACACTCAATTTTGCATTTATTTGGGCAGTAGTTTTAATGCTGTAACGCGAACACAGTAGCAGAGCCACAGCAGGGCCTTTAAGAGGAGATTAACATGTTTTTTAAGTTTTATGAACAAGACGCTCCATTTTGTTTGTATGTGAGTATTTTTTAAAGCGGCAGACTTACACTATAAAAATGCTGATATTATATATATATATATATATATATATATATATATATAAAAGGGATGAATTCCCTAGAGGATAAGAAATTAATCAAGAGAGAGGTTTGTAGATATTCTTTTTCAATCCAAACTGCCTCACACACACACACGTCATTTTACACAGAGAGGTCCGTTAAAAAGTCTTCATACATGTAGCCCGTCTGTGTGATGTTTTTATTAAGTGCTCTTACAAGAAATGCAATAAAAAAAAAAACATGGAGCTAATTCAGGCAAGCCACAGAGCCAAGCTTTGCCGATTAAGTCCTATACACCTGACTAAATATGCAGCTGATTCTTTTACACTGTGCTTGGTGGCACTGTCTCTGATACCTGCTCAGTTCTGTACTATGAAAAGTCTTGAAAAACAAGTGGAGGTGTGTTCTGCCTACCTTGGACTTTCTTGCTCTATTTACTTGGTCAGACATTACAAAGACACATAAAGCGAAGTGGGAATCTTGTCAGAGATTTACTTTATGGCACACCGTTAGCTGTAGCACTGGCTACGTAATAATGCTTCATGTATCATGCTTTCAAGTGCATGCACCATCAGCTAACATGGCTCACCACTGCCAGTTTAAAGCAACAACTTGATCATCTTGGTTGCAGAGAAATATGTTAAATTTTCCTTCAACTCTACATGATGCGGTGATGGCATGAATCTTTTTGTATGACATGTCCTGTAGATATGTTAACCATCTCTTTTTTGGACTTTTTATCTTCATGTGTCACCCTGAAAAAGGCTTTATGAGGATTTTGTGTCCACCACTAAAAGGATGCTTCCATTAGCCTTGTTTCTGTGGTACGCACAGGTCGTTTAAACACATTATGTTCGGGAGGTTGAGGTTGTTTTGAGTGTTTCTATGAGATCAAACTCTAGAAAATTAAAGGAAAAAAGCTGCTACAGTCTGAAGTGTTCAAAGTAGAGCAGGATTAAAATAGGATTTTTTTTACTTATCATGTTCTTAAAACACATCCTGACACAACACGTCATACAATTTATTTTATACAATTCATTCTTTAAACAGGTTTTGTCTGTCTTCATGTTTGTCTTTAGATGCTGCTGTAATTCCATAAAAAGCTTTGAGATCTGGAGCTGTTTATTTAACCTTTATCTAATAATCAAAGAAATCTTGACCTTTACAGCTTCTGTTTGGATATATATAGAAATAAAAGTTCAATAAGTATTTTTTCAGTGACATAAAAAAGAAGCAGGAATTGAAAATGAGAACATCTACGATGAGCTTTGGTAAAACAGAACATGTACCACGAAATTTGAGTGCTTTTGCTGATTTTTAGTTCTTTTGGTGAACTTTATGACCTCTGAAGTAGGTATCATTACCCAGTTATTGCTTTTCTTTTTAGGATTTAATGACCTGCTTGTTTTATTTTTGTTTTTTTTTTATTATTATTATTATTTGATTTTTGGAAAGTTCCTACAAAGTTTATGTTTAGTCCTTGGAATGTACGAAATTTCGGGGGGAAAATGTCTGAAAGTTTTTTTTGTTAAATTACATTTTTAAAATTGACAGTTTCTACATCTGATGCCCCAAAAACTTACTTTCTGGCAGTTCTTACTTTCTGTGCAACCAGTGAAGTTCAGTATTTTCACAAATCGAAAGCGGAGGGACCTCCTGGTTTAGTTTTATCAACTGATTTGCAGACACAATGTTTCAACACATGTGCCCAAACATTTTTTATTAGTGCAATTTCCATCTACAGAGCTGCTGCTGATGCATAGCTATTATTTGTTCACTTTCTGTAACCTAGCAACAGTGAATTGTTGCAGCTTAATCCCGATGAAATGCTAAAAGCAGCTTTATAAGACTTTTGAAAGTCCAGAAAAGAGATTATACTGTTTTTACACTGACATCTGACTCTGTGTGTCTGTGTGCACGAGTCTGTGTCAGTCTGTGTCCATACACACAGACTGCAGTGTGCCCAGGAGAGTTTTAACAACCGGTCATAAATATTTCTGTTTTTGCAAACCAAAGGTGAGCGAGGGAAGAGAGAGAGAGATACAAAAAGGAGGGAGAGAGAGAGAGAAACAAAAAGGAGAGAGAGAGAAAAACAGAAAGGAGAGAGAGAGAGAGAGAGAGAGAGAGAAACAAAAAGGAGAGAGAGAGAGAGAGAGAGAGAAACAAAAAGGAGAGAGAGAGAGAGTTCAATATTGACAGAGAGTCAGAGGTGCCTTCTGGCATTAATATTAGATGATGTTATCACTGATATGGGGGTATAGTCTCCTAGTTAGCTCAGCCTACACTCACACACGTGTACTCACATATACACAAAAATACACAAACAGGAAGTGGTTTACAGCCCTGTCTATCCTTGAACTGTTCCTTAAACCACCTCCTGCCCAATTCCTCTCAGCAGTCCAAAGGTGGACAGTCCAAAGAGCCGCTGATATGCTGAAACACACCTTAGTTCACAAAATGTTCACCACACATTAACCACATCCAAAACCCACACACACTGCCAGACAATGTGACTCAGATAAAGACTTACTGCACGCCTCTTTTTATCGCAGACAAGCAGTTTTTTTCTGCAGAAGCTGAAAATCACTCACTTCATGCTTTTGGGGCAAAATTCAGCAGTGAAGTTTTAACCTCATGACTTCTTTAACTGAAGCTTTAATGAATAAACTTAACTCAAAATCTCTTCAGTAGACTTATAAAAGCATCTGAAGAAATTTTCTATGTTCTATATTTACATACGAACCCACAGGTCTGACGAATGTTGACATTAGAGGTTGATAAGAGATTATACTTTTTTAAAAAGAGGAACAGTTGTGTCACATCTTTTCGCAAAAATGATCATTCTCACACATTTTTTGAATAAAAAAAACCCTGTGTCAATAAGTGGGACAGGTAGCTGTCCACACAATGTTACAATACATAATACAAGGCTAAATTAAACTGTAATAGAAAGTTAAAATACAAGAACTATTTATCATAGAACGAACTCTACTCAAAATACAAACTGTTTTATTATTTTACAAATTAAATATGGTACTTCCATGTTGATTTTTCATCGAATATGACACCTGGAATTCAATGTACTTTACTTGAGTTAATTCAGTATCATTTTTAAATATTTTTGCATTGTGGGGTGTATTTTTTGATTTTTGTTGGTGAATATAATGAAATTTAGATGTATTATGTTGAGTGAGAGTTTATTTGTCTCAGACCACTCAGGAACAGCTGAAAGCTCTTCAGCTACTAAATGTCGTGCCTCAGAGACGGATCCCTGAGGCACCCCACTCAGAAACTTGGCTTTATTATAATTTAACCCATTAACAGAAACATACAGTTCACTGTCCTCTAAGTTATTTTCAAACCATTTCAATGAGACACAGTGAACGCCGTATTTTAACGATTTTGCAATAATTACTCCATAATCCACTGTATAAAATGCTTTTGACAAGTTTATAAATTATACCCAGAGATACTGTTCATGGTCAAAGTCAGAGGAAATTTAATGAGCAAACTGTAAAAAAGCCATTTCTGTCAACATTTCCTGAAACATATTAATGGATGAACAGTAAATTATTATCTAAACATTTCATAATCTTGATTATTCAAATACCAGAATACTGCTCTGATTTATTCACAAGAGATTTATTTTTTTTATGTTCTTTGGCAAAAATTGACCAATTTCAACAAATAAAGTTGTCAATACTTGATCTATATAATAAATCTTTTTTTTTGTAGCGGGTGGTTATTTTGTGAAATGGTTCTTTATTTCTTATAAAAACAGTATTATATACGGTGGGACCAAAAACAATTTTTCTATATAGCTTTTTTTTTTTTTACTGGGGACTTTTTAGACCCACAGAACAGGTGAAAAACATTTATCATACATCGATCTGAATTTAATCATAAAAGTGATATTTACATGGCATTCCCCTCTCTCCCTCCCAGTCTCTTAATTTAACAGAGCCAAATATATCGGTAGAACTTTTACAATCCTTTTCGTTTTAGTAACACATAGTCTGTTAATAATGATTTCAAATCAAAACTGGTTCCTCTATAAAAACAGGATCTGGTTTTTCAAGTCTCCCTCAGATTGAGTCTTAAGCTAGGGGTTGAACACATTTCAGTGTGGTTTATTGGAATAGTTCATTTGCTGATGGTCTCTGTTGCTTTTGTCAGCCTTAAAGAGTCTTCAGTGATACCAGCTAAAAACTCCTAACAGGAGCTTTTACTTTTAATCTCTTAGTTTTGTTTTGTTTTTGTTTTTTTCTGCATCATTTTTTAACTTTTGTAAAATTTGCCATAAAGTTTTAATTGTAAAAACTTTATGGCACAGCTAGTTTTTAATAAAGAAATAAACTAGCACTTATTAGTGTCGTTGCTGTGACTTTTTCCAGCTGTCACACTGAATAGTTTCACAGTGTTTAAATTTGGTGCCTCTCTACAGAGTGACTGGATTAAACTGTGATGGGTGTCTTTGATCAAAGCTGTTTGATATGATTTAACCTCTTTTAGATCCGTGTTTTCTCACAGGTTCAAGCTCACCTGTTAAAAAATAGACTCCTCTTCTGCAAACCAAAGCTGCTCTTGACTCCTCCTGAAGTCTCATTCCTCTCTTTTTTTGTGTACTCTTTTTGTTATGACTCACATGAGCCTGTCCTTGTGGATCTGATCTCTCATACACTCATTTACACTCTGCACCACAGAGCTTTTATTGTTGTGGTTAAACTGCAGCGCTGCAAGATAAAATGTTCTGATCGCGCAAGTCTGCACAGATAATTAGCCGGAGAGAATGAATTTGCCACTGCTTTTTAAGTAAGGAGGAAAAATAACATCAGGCCAGAGAGAGGGAACAAATCCTCAAATCATTCACTTTTTCACAAGATTTTCTTACATGTCTGAAAGGAAAGGAAAGGAAAGGAGGCAGAACAATAGAGCATAATACAGTCAAAACATCTGCACTTAAAAAGACTTCACACCCTCCCTCACCTGCAGGAGTTTACTTCAAAGACTCTGCAGAGACTGAGCATGAGCAGGTGTCTTTCTGCACAACTTCAACTACATTCCTGCTGAGATTATTTCCCATCATGCTCCTGGTGAAAAACCCGTTAATGATTCAGAAAAAATCTTCTTCGATCCTTCAGAAAACGTGACTAATAAGTTATGTTTGTCATCTATTTGGAGGAAAAGCTAATGTGACTGAGCTGCATTATTTTGGTTTTTCCCATCATAGTGAATTTGATGTTTTAACGAACAACAAGAGAAGAAATCTAAAGACGATGTCATAGTTTGCACACATTTTTGTCTGGTATTATTGTTTTAATTGTTTCAGCCTTAAAATTTTACGGATTTGCAACAAAAAGTTGCAGCAACTGTGCATGGTAACTGCTAAATTTATCTGACAGGCTATTAAGAGAACCTCTTGATTTCTGCATTTAGTTTAAAGATTTGTGGGTTTTCTTCTTACCACAATGCCTCCTGGGAGTCGCAGTTGCCTTCCCTCCTGAGTTTTTTGACCCAACAATGTTAAGGTGTTTGAAAAACCAGCACAGTTGCTGACACAGATCTCAACGTCCATCCTGATTTTCGGACAAACTCTTGTGGTCAGTGAGATTTAACTGATTCCACCTCCACCCAAATATAATCCCACCCACTTCACCACCCTGCAGACACCCCCCACCTTCTTTCTTTCTTCGATGATGTTTCAAAGAAATTTGTTCTTCTGGTTTTGACCCTAACATTCATTACGACGGCTCTCAGCTCCTCAGTGTGCCGCACAGAGCGTTCATTGTTCCATTGTCAAAACGGCAACACAGGCAGCTGAAATCTCCAAAATGCATGAGCCTGCCATGTTAATGAAGCAAGGACAAGAGTGTTTCACGCAGCTTTTGGAGCAGAGCACATTAAATGACTGAGAATACGAGTCGCATCAAGGGGAAAAAAAAAACTCTCTTTTCTTCACACTCCAAACTTTTTCCTTTTTTGAACAATGAAAAACAATTACTTTGCATGGATCCGAAAATGATCCTGCAGAAATGCACTTTGATTTTTGTTTATATAATGTGCAGCTTTACTCAACTCCATAAAGAAATCACCTGCTTTTTTGTTGCTTCTTCATGAATACACATTGTCTACACCTTCCATCTGAGGCCAGTGCACGTTTACAGCACAGAAATCTTGACATTTACTTTGTCTGCCCAGAGGTGCATGAAATCTGTGCATGCATGTAAGAAGTCTTGATAATAGTAAGAAGAAAAAAGTATAGCTTAAAAATTAACACTTAAAAGAAAATACATAGAGAGAAAACCAACCTGCCTACGCCTCAATTAAGTCTGAGACGAAAATGTCTTCAGCTATTTGCACTCTGTATATGTGTGTGTGAGTGTGTGTGCGTGTGTGTGTGTGTGTGTATTTGTGTCTGCTTGCACACACTCATATGAAGAGTGGGTGTTGGAAAATAGACCAAGAAAAAGTTGTTGAATATAAGTGCCTCTTGGCAGAAATGAAACAGGGAAAATTCAAGCGCTCCTTCAGCAAACAAGGAACAAATGAGGTTGTTTCTTTCTTTCTTTCTTCATGCCTCAAAAAAAGGACCTGCAGTGACACCACATATTATATCTTACCAACACCACGAAAAAAAGAAGGAAGAATGAAAATCTGTGAGGAAGATAACACTTGTGATGAAGAAAAATTAAATCTGAGGAGCAGCAAAAGGACAAAAGCAGGTACATGATACTAAGGATGAGGAGTGAGGGAGAAGATGAGAGGAAAAACACAAGAGCAATAGAGAGCAGGAGAGAAAAGAGTGGAAAATATGATAACAGAGATGGGGACAGCAAAAAGAAGAGTGATATCGATTTAAGATAAATGCATCTTTAATCAAAAAAAGCAAATTCAGGGAGAAGGATTGAGAGAAAGACTAAGAGGGGAGTGAAGGATGAGCAGATGATGTAGAGGAGAGATGGAGAGGCTGCAGCAGAAAGACGATGAGATAAAAATACAAGTGACATTTTCTCCTGATAGTGACGGGAGTGATGGCGGCGGCAGAGCAGCGTTTGTTGCTTGACCTTCACTTTTATTTGAGTGTGTGCGTGTGTGTGTGCGGACGCTGCAGCCTGGTCGGCTTGACACCTAACTGAGGGTGACACGATCACACACAAAGAAGAGCCCGGAGCCCCCAGCTCTGTCAGCCGGCCGGCCCCTCACACAGCACAGCTGGCCCTGTCACCTCCACTTATCCTGCCCGGCTCCAGCCCGCATTTACAGTAAGTCTGTGTGTGTGTGCGTGCGCATGCACAGTGCAGGGTAAAAGCCAGATGCATGTGGCTCATGAGCATTAAGGTGCATAAAATAAATTTACAGTCCAACTGCAAAACGTAACGATAAATTATAGTTAATAAGCGTTTAAAACATTGCTCAGGGGAGACAAAACACAGAAGGTCAAAAACAAACCTAAATTTTTTAACTCTTGGCTCCACCGACCACATTTTAACAGCAGCTACTTCCCTCAAACATCACGCTCAGACTAGGGACCCTGAAGGCCGTCTTACTGTCATGCTGTTGTGTTCTGTATTGGTTTGTGAGTCGAATGGCTTTGAGTTAGGAGGTAAGCTGGAGGTAAATCTGTCTTTATCTTTATTTTACACATTTGCTACTTTAAAGCCAATATTAGCTCTCGCTGATTTGTTAGGGTTGAAGTTGACTCAATAAAGAAATGTCGTCTCCCTCACTTGTCAGCACCAGTGTTACATGGTTGAATGTGTTATCAAAACCAGTCTTTTCTTTAAGTCCCTGAGCTCCATCATGCTACAGGTTCCTCTGGATCGCTGCTGCAGACATCATTTTGATAGCCTGCCTGCTTCAGTTACAAGCATGTCTCTCCAATCATCCACACACTTCTTTGGGGTATCGGCTTCAGCTAGTACCGAACAGCGGATATGCAAAATGGCCATGCAAATATGGCTAATGGAGTATCTTTAAAAGCATCCTCACTTATGGTCACAGGTACAGATACAAGAGCAACATTAAAGCTACACTTCCTCACAGCTTTCCTAAACTCAATCCATCAGTCGGCTTTGTTTTTAAGACTAATTTCTGAGCTTGCAGACAATGAAATATCCATACACAGGAGAAGAAAATACACCAAATACAACAAGTGACTCACAAACAGGATGAGAAACGTATGTGACTGAGCACACCTACACACTGGATCAACTGTCAAAGCAGCAGGCAGTCTGCAGGAAATGGGAAAAAAAAAACGGGTGAATGACAGGCTGCAGATTTGTAGACAAAGAAACAGAAATGGCTGGTAAGGTGGGAGTTAAGGGGGGCCGGAGGCGGTGCTGAAGAAACAGCTCAGGTCTGGCGAAGAAATCTGCTGTGCGTCCCTCTCAATCTTCTCATTAAATGCAATGACAAAAAAGCACAGACAGCGAAACAAATGCATTATTTTAACCCAGACAAGACGAGACAACTAGAAACCAAACTTAAAAAAAACAATCTGTTGTAGTTTTTATTACCTCGTCCATATTTTAGTTGTCGACATTAATGTGACACCTTTTTTCACCAAACTGTCTGCTTTAAATTCAAACACTCCTTTGATGACCTTTTTTAAATATCAATTACTATCAAAGACAAAAAAAAACCAAAAAAAAACTACAACCCCAGTTATAGCTGCTGGTAGACGCCAAAAACATGCACTGCACCTCAGAATACAGACTAAGTGAATAAGATCCTGCAGCTTTTGCTTTCCTTACATCTTTACTGTGGACATCATGGACACGATTTGTATAATTTATCCAACTATTCCCAAAATTGCAGAAAGGTCAAGTTAATATCAAGATAGCAGAGGCTAACTTTTTGATAAATATATTGCCAACATTTTTGGCACAAAAACAAAAATAGAAACTGATTATCCCTCCTAACAACCCTAATCCATGATCCACTTGTACCACTGATTCTGTGGCGTACAATCTGCAGATTGATTGGAAATTTAACATCATGGTTTCTAAAGCCAAGTTGCACCTCACTTTAGCTGTTTCCTGAAGCTCTGGCTTTTACTTTAAATTAATACAAGCATGAGAAAGAGGCTTCCTTGTGTTAGCCCCGCCCCTGCATGCTCTGAGACAGAGCTGCACTCCAGGTTTACAAACATCGCTCTGGTCTCAAAACACAAAGAAAGAAGGAGAGCAAGGGTGTTCATTTCACGAAACAGACACGTGGGTACAAGAAAGACTGAAATATGAAACTAAACATGAACCTTGGGCCTGAGATTAGTAATCTATTGCATCCTAATCCCTATTAGTTATAAATCCAATTAAGATGATAATTTCTGCAGTAACTCAGAAGATTTTCTCTAAGGTGATTTATGAAATGAAGAAAAAACTCGAGAAAAGGACAAAAGAGAGATCAGTGACCTTCAGATTTATCGTCCTCTTGGGTGTTTATGTAAATCCTCAATCTCTTCCTCTTTTATTTGGAAAAGAAATTGATTTAACATACCAAATCCACTTTTTGGCATATAAGTCGTTTATTTAAGCTGCCATGAAGAACATTTGGGTTATTTATGACTTTGGTGCCCTCTGTGGACAAGATGCATATCTTTTCTCTTTGGCGGGTTTGTTTTGGACATTACAAAGCTCTCTTTCGGACAACAATCTCATCTTGTTTTCTTTCTTTTCACAGTCCAAACTATCTCTCATCGTGAATATTTGCTGTTGAAAACCAGAAAAAAGGCTCTTTTTTCATCCAGTCTTAAACCTACTATCTTACTACTGTTAAAGAAATTAAAAATGATTTCATACCAATTTTCCATGGCATTCCAAGTAGATCTGTTTACATCTGTAGGTCACAAAGATCCATCGCTATTGATTTCAAAGTGTCTCAACCACCCAAAAACTTCACAGAAAAGTTTTAACAACAAAGTTTAACATGCCAAAGACACCCATCACACTGAACCAGCGCCCAGTATTTGCATAATTCATGCATATACCTGCGGACTTCACACGCGTGTTTGTCTCTCTTCTGAAAAAATCATTGATATCTCTTGTGCTCTGCTTTGTTTCTTCTCCTCTCTAGTTACAGCTTAACATCGTGGTGAATAAATCTCTCTTAGACGTGGTGAGCTACACACCACAAACCTTCCCTCTCTCTGCGTTGTCAGAATGAGCTCAATTTCAGAGCTGTCTCCGCCGCCGCCACATTCAACAACACAACAACTACAGACGGTGTCACAGCAATGTCAGTGTGGTTTCAGGCACACAGCCGCCATTGTGTGAAGGGCAGAACCGAGGATGTTCTCCTGTGATGGTTTCTGAAGCTGCAGGCATGTTGGAGTCTGACTCACCTCCCTGTCATTCCTCTACATAAAAACACAGTAAGAAGCTTCTTATATGGACTCGGAGATTCAGCTTTAAACCAGTTTACATTGGTCAAAATCCAGGAGACACTTCAGGATTAACAAAGTAGAGGGTACTTTGGTCTGTTGAAATAGCTGCTGGACGAATCATATTTCAGTCTGTTGGTGGATTTTAAAAAATGTATAGTTTGATGTTGACTGATCTTATGGACTCAAAATCTTTCTCAAAGTTTTACCACAAGAACCAAAATTTCTAGTGTAAAACATTTACATTAATGTCGATTTTAAACTCTAACTGGACCATTTTTTAATGGTTATTATCATGATTTTCAGAAAATAGTTTCTAATGTTTTGGTTGACTTCCCTAAATTCTTTTTCGATACTTCCAACATGGCACCAACATATGTTGTCTAAAATGCAAATATGAAGCCGGAGTGCCTAACTGTTCATGTCTTTATCAACTTTAGGTGCACTGACTGAAGAATGATGGCAACAACAAAAGTTTGTGTCTGTGAATTTCCTTGTTGAGAACTAGTCAGCTATGTAGTTTGTCAAGCTGTGAGCAGACATGGCGTCACATTTTCAGAACTCAGTCACTGAAGAGTGGGCCATTTTGTATCCTTCATACCTACGCTGAACGTTGTATATGCAAAAACTAACCCCTGTTAATGCAACATGGTTAATACCACACTACCATGTCCGGGAGCATTTTACCCTCAACAACGAAAAGAAAAGAAACATACTTTTCCATTTTTAATGGGGTTATTCTCTTCTATTTCTCTCTTTATCATCTCTTTTCTTCCATCTCAACAAAATACTCAGATATTGTTATAGTAACCTCATGTTGCTACATATCAAAACTAAACTCATCTGTTCTACATCAACACCAGATATGATTACAGCCAAGACAAAAGTACAGCTTGAGTTTCGACTTTTAATGACATGTTTTGAGACTCAAGGAGAAATGTTCAATCCAGAAGCTCATAGTTAAACAAGAGACATTAAGTTGTTGAATAATTGTTTGAATAATCCAGGTGTGGTCATTTTCTCCTGATAATCCAGTAATTCTGTGTTTTTATTTTAGCAGAGTGGGGTTTACCTGTCCAAGGCCACACAATAATGAAAAGGTATTTGGGGTTTGAATTGCAAATCATTGCTCATCATTTACGAGTCATTTGTTGTGCAAAACTCGTCCGCCGCGAGTCCTCACAGGGCAAGTTGTGTAAGAGCAACAACTCCACCATCTCTCTCTCTCTCTCTCTCACTCTCTCTAAGCTACTACATTTCCAAGGATGCACCTGTGGGCAGAAGCTGCAGCCCTGGCCTGGCTGCAGTGCCCAGTGGGTGGAGAGTCTTTATTATAATATTTAACACAGATGGAAAGATTGGACCACAACAATACACAAAAACATACACCCACTAACACAGAGCCCTCACCTAAACACAACACTTAACAAACTGAGCTTATGATTAGCAGGGCTCACACAGTCTTACAGTGCAGTACAAACTGAACAAAACGTACGTGAAATCCAAGTTCCCACACGGGTGGAAAACAGAGGCAGACCACACACAGAACATGCTTTTCCCGTCATTGCAGCCAACACGACACACACCAAGCTGTAACTAGAAGATCCTGCAGTGGTATTTGAGTCTCCTGTAAGGGAACATTACGGTTTCCCCCTATGAAATATATGAAATATAACAACAGACAAAAACACTGTTGTTCAAACGCAGCTGCCCCCGGAGTTTCGACAGCCTTAACCTGGTAATTCTTAGCGGGATAAGGAATAAAAAAACGCTGATGGAGTTCTTATAGCTGCAGATTTACTTCTGTATTCAGTCGTTGAAATTGTTGGATTGGTTGCTGCTGCTTCTTTATCTTCTCTCTGTTTTGTGGAAAGTGACAATCGCCCTAAAAAAACACAACTGCCTCCCACAGTGAATAAATTCATCAACTGATATTACTGTAAGCTTACTTTCAGCATAATATCTAAACTTCATCTGTCTAAACAGACTGTTTTTGTCGACACTCGTCATGTTTCTCTGGTCGTTTGACTCTTGCTCATTATTATTGTTGAGCTAGTTTAGCACTTTAGCGACTTGCTATAAAGATGCTTGAAATCTGTGATATTGTTGCTACAATGCTAATACTAAATGCAACTTTCTTTGATCAAACCCCACAACAAGGCTAATTATCATTCTTCTTATTTTGTGATATTTAGTAGAGATTGTTTGACTACTCTGTCTATAAAAAAACAAAATATCCAAAGATGCAAAATTGAAAGATATACTTTTTGCGTCATCGTTTCATGTTTATTTGTTGTGTATGCATGTGTTTGAATATCTACCTGACTGTAATCCAGTTTTTAATTTCATGAGTTACTTTCAGACTCAAGTGTATCTGAGAAGAATAGAGTCGGGTAAATTTCCAAGTCAGAGTTTCTGTTATTTTCTAAGATTTTAAAGAGTACATGTCTGAAAACAGGTTAAGTGCTACATAGAAATCAATTTTGTATGTTCATGGAAAAATAGATGAAGTTATGCAGCCGGGGAGCCGAAATGAGACCTTTAAAATAACATGTTTAGCTACAGAAAATTAGTCATTCTCATAAATTTGAACAAAAACTGGATTTTTTTAATCTAAAGTATTAGGGTTGTCAGTAAGCATCTGGCTGCTGATCCATTGTTTGAGCTCTCATCTGCAGATACACCTGCATTACACCTTTTTTTCATAGCAGTCTGCAGACAACAAGGCTGACATCCTTTAATTGGAAGGGTGCGGATTATTTCTGTAATGTATTAGCACTGGCAGATCAGGTGGTTTTCCGCGGACTGTCCCTTTAACTGTGAACCATGACAGCTTAACTCTGCTTAACCGACTGTTCAGCTCCATTATTATCTCATTAGCCTGTTCCTCTTGTTCAGGAGGAGCGAGGTGCCACTTAGTATTAATTAATTGTTAACGACGGAGCGGATGACACACACTTTTATTTCAATGACATTAATACTGAATCCTCAGGAAGATGCAGGTATTTTTACTCCTACTGTTGAGATAATAAGACTCTTTTCTTAGGTTCTGACCTTCACAGATAAAGTAATTTCCTCCCTGTCCAAAAATGTCCTAAACCTATCCTCACAAAAGGCACAGAAACACACACCTTGTTGTTATTGATTAAATACTTTCAAAGCAGCTCAAAGCTCAAATCTGACCTTCCTCACAAAAGCGTCCATTACTAAAGATCGCAGAGGAATTCAGAGAAGGCGGGTCAGAGTAAACATTCCTGCTGCTCTCAAACCCCGACACCTCTGCATGTGTGTGCAAGTGTGTGTGTTTGTGTGTGTGTGTGCACATGGGTGTGTGTGTACTCCAAACACAGACTCCTTAGCCCACATGGCGTCAGTGTCCAAAGAACTGTACCAAGGAGGTCAGGTAGCTCACATAACAAAAGGACTTAAACACACAAACACACACATACACAGACACACTCACACACACACACACCCACACACACAAACACAATGGAAAGGTTACATAAATTTTGGGTTGGGGCAGGAACGCTGTGTACAAAGTTTAGTTGAAGGCAGAGGACTTTGGTCTGCTGTGAAAATGAAGAAAAGAGAAAACGTGACTCTTGGACTCTTCAGGATTTTTACTCATGAGGTTAAATTCTTCAAACTTTAAACTCTGAGTCTGTGTACGAGGCTGAAATAAGACTCCCTACATAACCCTACAGGATACTGGTGCTTTCAAGATGATTTATTTGCCTTTTTATGTGTGCCTTTAATGCAGATTTTGGAGTTTTACATTTGCATGGGCGCTATTTTCTTTCCCCAAACTTCTCTCAAAATGAAATCTAACCAACTTTTGGTAAATTATCAATAACATTTTAAAACAATATTAAAAATAAATATACTGCGTATTCTTTACAAAGTTTGTTACAGAATCTCTGTGCTGCATTTAATTGCTTTATTTTAATAGTTGATCATGAATAAACATGAATAAATGTTTGAATTTCTATTATTTTCCATTTTAAAAACTGTTATTCAGTCAGTTTGAAAAATAAATGCATTTTTACCTCTGTTTTATTTGGGAATCAGTTAATAGTAATGAAATGAACTGTATGATAATGAATTTTCACTTTTTTTTTTTTGCAAATAAATGCTACACTACACTACATTGCTATACCAGCATTGTCCGAAACCATGACACAAAAGTAGGGGATGGCTTCAAATGCTTATTCTGTAAAAAACAGTCTATTTGTTTTGACTTTTTAAGGATTACTGTCACATATTAAGAAATATGATGGAGTGCGTGTCTAAAATGTCAATGAAGTGTTGCCATGCCCAGAATACCGTTATCCTCAGAAAATTCTGGTTACTCAGTGACATCCAGAGATCCTTAGTTGATTCAAGAGCATTTGCACTTTTGAGGACATGCAGTAAGGCTGCTATCTGTCAACATAGACTGGCCTGCCAAAAATCAAACAAGTGTTTATTTCTTGGATCATCTAGAGCTCTGCAGCAACTCAGACTCTCCAGCTTCAGTATGGTGGGAGCAGGAAGCAGAGAGACACAGACATAGACTAAAATATGATGACTAAAAATCTCTCAGCAATTGCGCAACAATAAAATAGGTCCCAATTCAAGTCTAGAGCCAAAAGCTGCAATAATAAGCTTTAAGAGGTGATTTCTGTGAATTTATTGGCTTAGATGAAATCTTTCATTAGTTATTTTTTGTTCCTTTCTCATTTTCTTTTAATTCAACCATCCATTTCTTCCTGAGTAAACAAAAGTGAAGGGGAAAGAGCGGAAAAGGTGTTAAAATTTAGGTTGATTCTTGACGTCATCAGAGAGCAACAAACCTGCTTCCTGACTTTAAAAACACAGTTCTTCTGCTCTCATGTAGTTTAGATGAATCTTAGCCAACATCAACACACAAATATAAAAAGAAATCTCTCCAAATCAGTCACTAACAACACAAAGTCTTCAAGGGCAGAACTTGCAAAGACTTTCAAACTGAGGTACCTTCAAACTTTTCACATTTAGGACAAAAGGGAAGAGTAACAACAACAACAAAAAAGCTCGCTCACACTCAAAATCAGTTTTTTCTTTTAAAAAAGCTGTCAACCTCAACTAAAACAGGTCATTCTGTGGAATATCCATCTTGTTTCTCTTTGGGCTGGATGAAAAATCAACTCTGTATCCAGGATAAAAGAAGCAGAACGATGACACACATTTGGAAAAATGTGCTGAAAAGATGCTGAAAAGAGCACTGAGCTCAGTGGACAAGTTCTGGATAAATAAAGGTTCACACACACATGATAACACACACACACACACACACACACACACACCTTCCGTCGACATTCACTCAGTGCCAGTGGTGTATTTTGCTTTTCGACAGATTGCACTCAAACCCCCCCACCACCCTAAAGAGAGCAGCCCTCCTCCCACGGGGCTCCTGGTTGGCATGGATCAGCCCTTGAGATAGCTCCACACACACATGCACTTCCACACAGTTTCACACACACATATTACAGCTGAGCACTATATGTGCGTGTGTGTGTGCGTGCGTGCGTTTGTGTGTGCGTGCGTGTGTGTGTGTGCATGTGTAATGAGAAGGGTTCGGAGAGATTTACAGTGTTGGCAGAGGGTCCGGTGGATGGGTGGGATCGCTGCCACTCTCCTCGATAAACGTGCCATGTTTTGTTTCCCTTTTCAAAAAAAAAAAAAACCATGAAAGGAATTAGCAGGTTGAGAAAGTAGCCGGCAGATCTCTGGGGGCGTCCATCTGTCCATTACTGAAATAAAAGACGTCCGCTCAGAGGGGAGGAGAAGGCGGCGTGCTGGAGGGATTTTGTGGACTGATAAGGCGGGGATTTGACTCTGAGTGCACTGTGTAATCGAGGGAGTTCTGATGAAGAGACGGACAGAAATCAGGGAGATCTACTCACTCAACCACACTCTGAATGCAAAAGGATCATCAACCACATCCCAATTTTATATATGATTAATTATGCTGCATATGTGGACCCTGACATGTCCAACCCTCCTGCAAAACAGCAAAATAATTCAACATGCAACAAACCAATAAATGCAGCTCATCAGATTATTTGAAGTTGCTTGAGCAAATCAGATGTGCAGGGGCGTATCCAAGAAGAAAACCTAGGGTGGTGTGAACCCTTGATCTCGGCCACTTAGAGGCCTCAAGAAAGCCGCAGTGAATGTCAACGTTGTTTGAAACTGTGATAACAATATGAAGTTCAATAGAGGGACACCGAAGCGTTCCTATTGGCTTTGAATCACAGTTTTCATGTCTACTTTGTGTTAGAATTTTACATAGTACCTGTGTTTACACATGTCCTTTCATAGTCCAAAACAAACCCAAAAATCAATTCTTTAACCTCTGAAAAGGTAAAGTGCATTGATAAGGGATTATTTTGTAATCTCTTGTGGTAAAACCCTTGATTGAAATGCCCCCCTGCTCACTGCTTACATCGGTGAAGCTACAAAGACAAGAAGCTCCTGTGCTGCATGATAGGTCTGATCCTTAATTTGTCAAGATATTGCCATCAAATCGAGTAATCAAGTATTCTACTGGAAATTCTATCGATTAATATCGAGTAATCTAATGAAGGAGGGGGCGTATGTTTACAGCTGTGCATTATCGATTCATCTGCTGTGTGATTGTAAATGACAGCGCCCGTATGCGCAGCATATACTACATACCCACTTTTTGTGCCACAGCGAGTGCCTGATTAGTTATCTAGTACAACAAAATCCAGGATGATTTAGAAATTCCACCTGGACATATTTTATGGTCTTCAAAAGAGGACATGTCCGGGGGAAAATATGACACCTGGTCTCCCTACGTTAACCTAATTTTACCTTGTGTTGTGTCCTCTGCTCTTGGAGTAAACTGGTGCCTTCAGTGGATATGCTGCAGCATTAAAGATGTACTGCTGTGGTATGCAAGGACTGTCTTACAGGAATTCACTTAACGGCGTTCACTTAGATTTTCAGCTTAAAATACGCACACTTCAACATTTTCTGTGTTTTCTTAGTATCATATTTTGTAATCAAGGTAATCAAATCATTTGAGGAATCGTTTCGGCCCTAATATAAATCCCTTTGCACACAACAACCACTCTCCTCTTTCTCTTCCCAGTAGTGCATTTTGTGCAATATATATAAAAATGTATATAATCATGGTTTGTCCGTGCTGTGGGATTATAGATACATGGTGGTGCAAGATGGCAGCCTCCATGGAGGAGGACCCACTACTATCTTAAGTACAAAATGCTCATTGTAACTCAACAATAATACAAAATTATATAATGAGGTGAGTATTTACTAATAATAATAATAATAATATTGCATCAGATTTCATATAGCGCTTTATCAGAGACCCTCAAAGCGCTTTACATTGGATACATCATTCATTCGCTCACACAGTCACACTTTGGTGGTGGTGGAAACGTGGCTGCCATTCTGCGCCTACGGCCTCTCCGACCACCACCACACAACACTCACAATCATACACCAGTGGAGGACACACACTGGGAGCAAGGTGGGTTAAGTGTCTTGCCAAAGGACACAACGGACAGACTTGGATTAGGGGGGAATCGAACCGCCAACCTTCCGGTTATTGGCCGACCGCTCTACCTCCTGAGCTACTGCCGCCCTAATTCAAACATAATATTCCATTTCTGTTAAGTTTTCTCTGCCAACTAATTGCTACACACTGCACCTTAAACTGGCAAAATGAACTCATGCTTCGTGGCAACTCATCGTTTGTTGACATAAAATAAATGTTTTTGTCAAATTTGAGTCCTTCCATTCAAACAACTTTTTGGTGTTTGGTGTCTGTATTTTGATATAAAGCAGTAATCTTTTTTTGTTGTGGGGAGTAGGTTAAATGATCACCCTAGGTGATGGCCACTGCACTGAAATAAAGTCTGAGGACACACCTGCCAACACTCAACACATCCCAGCACAAGGCCACATCCAGAAAATGTCAGGATCTGAATGTCTGGAAATGATCAAGAGTTGGTCACTCAGATTACCGACAGTGAGCTGTATTTACCAGGTAAAGAAAAAAAAACCTCATGTCCACATTCCTCATCATTTAGCTCAAAAACTCATCTGCCTCTCAGACACTCACCTTTTTTTGTTTGCCACAACCTTTCAGAAATCAAATTAGCTGCACTCTCTTACTCAGAAAATGTGCCAAAGGAATCAGCAGTCGGGCTGTAATTGCTACCAACTAATAATGTTAACCTTTCTGTGGCATACAGGCCAACTTTATTATCAGAGAAGCAGCAGGCGAAAGGGAAGACGAGGCGACAAGCTGTATCCTCTCACTTCACCGAGTGCCCGGAGAGAGTGTGAAAAGTCCACCTGTGTCACCTGACCTTCTTACACCAAATTATCACAATGTGCTTCATAACAAGACGGCTTTTAAGTTCAGCTTTGACTCAAGAGTCACAACAAACTGACATTTAATATTTCATACCAACAGGCTTTTTGTTGTGTGCATATTAGTTTTTATCTTACATTTTAGTCTAATTTTTAAGGTTTGAAATACTGAAATCAACAACTTTAACAACTTTTTTTAAGCTCTGTGTGTTTCTCTAGCTGACCAAATACGTAAGCTTATATAAAGAGATGATTTATTAAAAATACTATTTTTTAAATTCCTATCTGTGAGGGGAAAATGTGCTAGTTACACACTCTCTATTATGTCCATATTTACACAAGACATTTTAGAGGGTTTTGAACTTTTTGAAGTCATTTGTGGAGATAAAGTGTCAAACTTCCCCCAATAAAACACAAAATAAAATTTGCTTCTTTTTTGTCTTGAATGATGCCACAATTAAAACATTTAATTCGACTGGAAAACATCATGTCCAAATAAAATTCACTGTCCAATGAGATAATTTTTAATTAAATAGTTATTTATTACTGATAGGACTGGGCAAAGAAAAAATGATCATAATATATTTTGTCATATTGTCCAATTTCGATTATTATCACAATTTTTTTTAATCCTTTGAAACCGCCAGTTTTAATGCATCTGTAGTTAAAACTGAAGACACTAGAGATTAGTCCAACATTTTATTATCATAGAAAGTAAATAACAAAGCTAATTAAGTACGATTAACATAGAAAAATATAAAAACTATTTTTACTCAACAATACAACAAATGTTGATAAAACATCAAATTATTAAGTGACCTATTTAAGAGTCCTGAGTGTTTTTGCAGATATGCAAGACCCAAAATAAACAAATCGCCCCCTCAGGGTTAATGCAGACGCCTTAAAATGTAAACACAACATGATGTAAACATAGATGATGCCATTGATTGTTGCTTTGGTCTAATGGCTGCACCGCTAGTTGTCGCTAAACTGCTAATGCTACTTGTGCTGTGAGCAGTGACAGACTATGCAGACTACGCTCACGTTTTCACGCTTTTCGCATAGTTACTCGGGAAATAGTCTTTAAAATGATTACACAGATCTGTTGTTTTGTCGGTTTTTGAGGGCACTGACCGCTGACATACCTTGCACACCGGCTTCATTGCTCGACGTCACTTTAGAAAGACCGGAACCACGGCCACACAACCGACGTTGAATAACTTTTCTTCTCAACAATAACATCTTTGGAGGATGACTCAGAATCATGGCTGACATCTATTTTGATGCCCTTAGCTCCGCGTTTAGCTCCACGTTCGGTCATTCTGTTTACTTCTCCTGTTTACTTCTCCGGTAACTTACAGAAGTGAGCAGGAAAAGCTCGACTCTGATTGGCTGCTGTAACGCTCATTTCCGCTGTGTTTGATCGAGTAAATAAACTCGCAGCTGATCACCGTGATCGAACTTAGATTTATCACGATCATCAATCGCCCAGTCCTAATTCCTGGTATCATTCCATTTATTTTAGAGCTGCAAATCTGTAGCATGATAGTTTTAAAAAAAACAGTAAATAATGACCTCTAATTATACACAACAAAGCAGAGGGTTTTTTGATATAGTCCTGCCTGGTATAATATTTGACTGTGAGTATTTACACTTTGACTGCCGTAATGAAAAAGTGCACTTTGTCCACCAATTTCAGAAAGTTCGGGCAACTGTTCAGTGTAATTTCCTGAAGCTTAAAGTGTCTTAATGCCTCTCTTTACCAAAGCTAATGTGCAAAACCCAAAGACTATTCAACAAAATTACAAACAACCACAAATCTGCACTCTTAAGAGGCTTAAACTGAGTGTTTTCTGGAAGTTTGCTTGAAAAAATACTGGAGGAGTCTTTGGATTATGAATATTTTGGAACACGTTTCTCTCTATACAGCTCCAGTGGCCCAAAGATGATCTTGCTGCAGCTGACACTAACATCCCTTTTGCACATTCAAATGGTAAAAGAAACAGAATCATTTGAGGATTAAATGAATGTGATGAAATGGACTATGTGATATTTAATTTACGTTTTTTTTTCATTTTACAAATAAATGCAGTGCTACCCCAGCATGGTCTAAATCCATGACACAGAAGGGGGAGCCTCTCCTTCTAGGAGTTTCTGTTATTAGCGTACAAGAAAACTTAAATGGTTATTCTATTGTTCCTTTCTCATTTTCTGTTAATCAACTTTTAATTCAACCATCCATTTCTTCCTGAGTAAACAAAAATGAAGGGGAAAGAGCGGAAAAGATGTTAAAATTTAGGTTGATTCTTGACGTCATCAGAGAGCAACAAACCTGCTTCCTGACTTTAAAAACACAGTTCTTCTGCTCTCATGTAGTTTAGATGAATCTTATCCAACATCAACACACAAATATAAAAAGAAGTCTCTCCAAACCAGTCACAAACAACACAAAGTCTTCAAGGGCAGAACTTGCAAAGACTTTCAAACTAAAGTACATCTTAGATTTCACATTTAGGAAAAAAGGGATGAGTAACAACAAATACAAAAAAGCCCACTCACACTCAAAAACTGTTTTTTCTTTTAAAAAAGCTGTCAACCTCAACTAAAACAGGTCATTCTGTGAAATATCCATCTTGTTTCTCTTTGGGCCGGATGAAAAATCGACTCTGTATCCAGGATAAAAGAAGCAGAACGATGACACACATTTGGAAAAATGTGCTGAAAAGATGCTGAAAAGAGCACTGAGCTCAGTGGACAAGTTCTGGATAAATAAAGGTTCACACACACATGATAACACACACACACACACACACACCTTCCGTCGACATTCACTCAGTGCCAGTGGTGTATTTTGCTTTTCGACAGATTGCACTCAAACCCCCCCACCACCCTAAAGAGAGCAGCCCTCCTCCCACGGGGCTCCTGGTTGGCATGGATCAGCCCTTGAGATAGCTCCACACACACATGCACTTCCACACAGTTTCACACACACACACACACATTACAGCTGAGCACTGTGTGTGTGTGTGTGTGTGTGTGTGTGTGTGTGTGTGTGTGTGTGTGTGTGTGTGTGTGTGTGTGTGTGTGTGTGTGTGCGTGTGCATGTGTAATGAGAAGGGTTCGGAGAGATTTACAGTGTTGGCAGAGGGTCCGGTGGATGGGTGGGATCGCTGCCACTCTCCTCGATAAACGTGCCATGTTTTGTTTCCCTTTTCAAAAAAAAAAAACCATGAAAGGAATTAGCAGGTTGAGAAAGTAGCCGGCAGATCTCTGGGGGCGTCCATCTGTCCATTACTGAAATAAAAGACGTCCGCTCAGAGGGGAGGAGAAGGCGGCGTGCTGGAGGGATTTTGTGGACTGATAAGGCGGGGATTTGACTCTGAGTGCACTGTGCAATCGAGGGAGTTCTGATGAAGAGACGGACAGAAATCAGGGAGATCTACTCACTCAACCACACTCTGAATGCAAAAAGATCATCAACCACATCCTGACTTCAAATATGATTAAATCATGCTGCATATGTGGACCCTGACATGTCCAACCCTCCTGCAAAACAGCAAAATAATTCAACATGCAACAAACCAATAAACGCAGCTCATCAGATTATTTCAAGTTGCTTGAGCAAACCAGATGTGCAGGGGCGTATCCAAAATAAGAGACCTAGGGTGATGTGAACCCTTGATCTTGGCCACCACAACTTAGAGGCCTCAAGGAAGCTGCAGTGAATGTCAACGTTGTTTGAAACTGCGATAACAATATGAAGTTCAATAGAGGGACACCAAAGTGTTCCTATTGGCTTTGAATAACTAGGGGGTTGTGATTAAATGATCAGCGCAGACGACGGCCTCCCCAGTCCAAAAAGTCTAAAGACACACCTGCAAACACTCAACATATCATATTATCAGCAGTCGGGCTGTAATTGCTACCGACTAATAATGTTAACCTTTCTGTGGCATACAGGCCAACTTTATTATCAGAGGAGCGGCAGGCGAAAGGGAAGACGAGGCGACAAGCTGTATCCTCTCACTTCACTGAGTGCCCGGAGAGAGTGTGAAAAGTCCACCTGTGTCACCTGACCTTCTTACACCAAATTATCACAATGTGCTTCATAACAAGACGGCTTTTAAGTTCAGCTTTGACTCAAGAGTCACAACAAACTGACATTTAATATTTCATACCAACAGGCTTTTTGTTGTGTACATAATAGTTTTTTATCCAACATCTTAGTCAGATTTTTAGGGTTTGAAACACTGAAATCAACAACTCTAACAACTTTTTTAAAGCTCTGTGTGTTTCTCTAGCTGACCAAATACATATGATTATATAAGGATGATTTATTAAAAATACTATTTTTTAAATTCCTACCTGAGGGGAAAATTTTCAAAGATGTGCTAGTTACACACTTTCTATTATGTCCATATTTACACAAGACATCTTTGAAGGTTTTTGAACTTTTTTGAAGTCATTTGTGGAGATAAAGTGTCAAACTTCCCCCAATAAAACCCACAGAATAAAATTGCCTCGTTTTTTTGTCTTAAATAATGCCAAAATCAACATGTTTAAATTTTGGGCTGAGGCTCAGATGAAACGAGACATTTATCTTGACTGTAAAACTTTATCATGTCCCAAACAAAAATCACTGTCTAATGAGATAATTTTTAATTTAATGGTTATTTATTCCTTTTATTTTAGAGCTGCAAATCTGTGGAATGATAGTTTATAAAAACAGTAAATAATGACCTCTAATTATACACAACAAAACAAAGGGTTCACTGATATAGTCCTGACTGGTATAATATTTGACTGTGAGTATTTACACTTTGACTGCAGTAATGAAGAAGTGCACTTTGTCCACCAATTTCAGAAAGTTCGGGCAACTGCTCAGTGTAATTTCCTGGAGCTTAAAGTGTCTTAATGTCTCTCTTTACCAAAGCTAATGTGCAAAACCCAAAGACTATTCAACAAAATTACAAACAACCACAAATCTGCACACTTAAGAGGCTTAAACTGAGTGTTTTCTGGAAGTTTGCTTGAAAAAATACTGGAGGAGTCTTTGGATTATGAATATTTTGGAACACGTTTCTCTCTTTACAGCTCCAGTGGCCCAAAGATGATCTTGCTGCAGCTGACACTAACATCCCTTTTGCACATTCAAACTTTAAAGGAAAAAGCTGAAACAAAGTCCTCCTATGTTCCCATTTCTAACCATTTTATATCTGATCAGCACTTAAACAGGTAAACATGTCAGACCATCTGAGCGCTGATAACTGCAGCTGCTGCGCTCCACCATAAAAGTCATCACGCACAACAAACCGAAGAGCAGTGAGAAGCAGTAACAGAGAATAAAAATAGCTAATATCCACACACACAGAGCGGCTTGTACAGAGTACGGAGAGCTAAAACAAACTGGAAAACCCAACTGTGAGTTCATTTTTCTGCTTCATCTCCTGTGGTATCATTGTGATAATACTGCATGGATTCAACACACACACACAAGTGTGAGACGAGTGTGTTTATACGCTCATGGTTCCTCCATCGACTTTGGCATCATTATAGAAATACTGCAGGGACTTAAACTGTCAGATATCAGATTTATATCCACAGTAAGTGTTTGATTAATTTGAGAGGAACTGCACCGTCCAAAAAGGAGGAAGAAGCACTGAATCCGCTCTGCTTTTAACCCCAACCCACTGACCCACTAAATCATTAAAACTGCTCTAATTAGACTCCAAAGAGGGGCACATTGCATGCAGAGCCATCAGTTTTTATGTTGGGAGCCGGAAATTAGGTTAAAGCTCACTTTCTAGGAGCAACAACAACAGATCTTTGTGCAATGATCTCCAAGAAAAACAGCAAAATAATCAAAGTGCAGGAAGAAGGAGACGCCTTTTGTTTACATTTGCTGCTTGTGATTCCTTATGGCTCTCTGCTGATCACACTATCCAGAGGTCAGAGATTACCAACCTTTTAATTCAACACTTCATCCCCTCATTAGGAGGTTTGCTTTCTAAAAAGCCCCGCCGGCCCGCGCTGGAATCAGGCCATGTGAGTTATTATAAAACGCTCGGATGGGTAAGTAGGTGACAGGTCAGCGCGCAACATCTGGACATACAAGTGCGTCCAAAAACAGCCCCAACATCTCCACCATCTCCAGCTCCGCTGCTGCGGCTGAGATGCTCCGCTGCCACAGCCGATAAAAGCCAGATTAGAAGCCGGGCTGAGAGCCGAGGAGACCCGCAGAGGTTAGGAGATCAGAGGCGAAGAGTGGATGATAATCTTACCATCAGATCAAGATAGGTCAATTAAACTGAGCTAATGAAATACAATAGAAATGGAGGATGGGGGAGGAGGGGGTGTGGTTGGTGCTGGTGGTGGTGGTGGTGGGGTGGGGGGGTTATCGATGAGATATTCCAAAATAAAAGCCGACATGAACTAATGGAGGGAGCGATAAGAAGCACGGTCCAAGAGTGTTTTTATCAAGAGGACAAAGACTGACACGCGCTGCTCATCTTAAGGCAAAGACCAAGAGATCACGTGCTGTCATCAAAATCATAAACATATTAGAAATACTGTATATCTTTAGACAAACTGCACCGCAGAGTTTTCTTCCAAACACACAACAACGCGCCTTCACAACTACCAAACCCGCTTCAAGAGGCGATCAGCGCGGTTTTCCTCCCTGCCACAGCCGTCCCCCTCTTCACCTCCCCCCCTAAAATACAAAAATTATTTCCACTGACATTTCCCCCAATGCATCAATGCGCGCGCCCAAAAGCCGATTTCCAGGGAAGTATAGGAAGGAGGAGGCATGTTTGGAGATTGAGAGCGCGCACTGCCCTCCCCCCTCCGCCAAAAACTCAATCCAGGGTGCGCGCACGCGGGCACGGGCCGGCCTATAGAGAGGGATCTGATTGGCTGAGGCGCAGCTCCATCAGCACACGTGACACTGCCTGCTTACAATAAATAAACAGCTATGGAATAATGTCTAAAAATCCCCCGCGGCTCCAAAGCGCACACACTCTGAATAAAAGAAAAGTCAGCAGTCACACAATTCACAAACACACAATCCGCAGGTGAGACACCTGAAGATAAATCCGACACAAGCGCACAAACTTAGAGCTGAATCTTTTTGGCTGTGTCCGGTGGGAGGCAGGCAGCGCCAGGCAACAAAAAATGACAGCTTCATGAGAGCCTATAGGTTTTCAGTGGACTACAGCCGCAGTGCATTACAGCCGCGGCTCTCTGCTCCTTCAGCCTCCGAAACACACTCAAACACCGGCACCGGCACGCTCCGGCCGTCCGGACCGCGACACACACACGCACACACACGATGCCAAGAGAGCTTACCTACACAGTGAATGAGTTTGTGCCTCCAAGAGTCAAGTTCCTGCCGAAGGCCGCGCCTCTCTATCGTGCATTGCTGCCTTTTGCACAGACTCGCCATTTTCTATCGGCCCCTCCCGTGGGCGCGCACATACTGCTGGGTGCTTCCCTGCGCGCACGTCACCGGTGCTTTTTATTCTGGGGCTGGGTGGAGTGAGATATGAAGGGGACGGGGCTGCAGCATCCCCCTTCTATAGCGCTCATTCGTCCCACCCACCAAAAGCGCCCCCCCCCACCTCACTCCCTCCCTCTCCTCCTCCTCCTCCCCCCTTCATCCCTCTCAGCATCTCTGCGCGAGGATGTGCTGTCATTGGACATCTAACGGGATGTTTGTCTGTTTTAATTTTGTGTAGGGTTCAGCACATGGCGCTTGTGCTCCAAATTTACCGTGGCTCACAGCTAAGTGTGTCAAAGGGCGCGGGCGTGCCGCGGATTTAAAATGCGCATAAAGACGCTGCATTGTTTCAATTAGCGTATGTTCCAGTGCAGCTCCCAAACGCAGCACTCTACAACAATCTATAGACTTATAAGTTACAGATAAAAATATACAGGAGGGGTGTGTTTAAAAAAAAGTAATAATAAAAAATGCTTTATCGAAAGTAACAGAGCCTGGCTGTCCAAAAAGAAAATAAATCCCTATAATGCTCCTGAGAAACTCCCATACTTTAGCCAAACAGCCTATTCAGTCACATTATTAACATTCTTATTTAGCCAATTAAAGGATTATCACAAGTTCTCTTTAAATGGATTAGGCTGTCTTTCCCCACTGAGTAGTTCTGATTAAATAAATCAAAGCTCAACTTTTTTGGCTCGTTCAGTCACTCATTGCATCTTGAGCTCCAGGACAAGCACCGCTCCAAGTTCTGAGTACAGGACTGTAACTCAGTAATAGCCTACAGTCTTGCAGGGAAATGTTTTAAAACTATTTTTTTCTTTCTGTGTAAGGAAATAACTCTACATGTCAGAAGTGTTTTCTGAATATTTCTTTGTCCACAAAGTGCAGATGATAGATAGATAGATAGATAGATAGATAGATAGATAGATAGATAGATAGATAGATAGATAGATAGATAGATACTTTATTAATCGCAAAGGGAAATTCAAAGTCAAAGATGCTCATGCATGCCACACTAGAAAGTGACAGTAATGTGCAACCAGCATGTCAAGTCAAACACCACAGGAGAGCAGTGTACACATGCTTTTCGATTGTGACTGGCAGCTGTTAAAAGTGTTCTTAAAACTGTGCACATCTTGCATCACGGTATTAAGATAAAGAAGAGCAAAAACAAACAGTCAACAGTTACCAAGAAGGTCTGACATCTTGGCACATGTGCAGTGCACATGAAAAAAAATGTCACGCGTCACCTTGAAAGGTGTTTTGGAAACATTCCTTTTCATTTTGAATTGATCTGAATTGTATAGAATGAACTGAATTGAATTAATATTTGTTACCATTTGCACAGATACAGGGCAGTTCAAGTACATTGGAATTTTTGAGCGATGCCTCCAGAGTCAGTATTAAACAAACAAAACATGTATGAAAATATACGCATATTCGTATAAAGGACCAGAATCAACTGTATTTACAGAGTGCAGAAAGTTCTATAAATGTATACTTTCTTAAATATAAGATAAACTACAGAAGGGAGACAAGATAAAAAGAAAATTAACACTTTTAACAAAGAAACACCAAGTACTTCACATCAGCTCCCAGGTCGGTAGTATTATTGAAAAGGTGTAAATTGGTTCCATTTGTAGTAAGTAAATGTGAAAACTTTGCATTTAAACTTGAGAACTGCGGCTCAAGAGTCCATAAAAAAGTGTTATAACCATGCCTGCTTTCCCCTTATTAAAAAACACAGGCCTGCGTTAATGCTCATTCAACATGTTCTCCGTACAGGAATAAACTTCAGGTAGAAGAAACACTGAATCCTGCACATAACCATTGGGGCTCAGTGTACTTAAATCAGTTTAAAAAGAGGTGCTCTTAGACTCCCTGAACACATGACCTCAGACCAGTGATACCTCTGAGTCTTAAAGATTCAGATAATCATACTTTCTTTAATGATTATTTTACAAAGACTAATGCAAATGACGTGAACAGCCTCTGCCTCCTTGCAGCGGCAGTTCGTGGTGGCACTGTGCCACACTCTACAGCATTTATGTCTAAGCCTGTTTAGAATGGCAACAACAAATACTCGACAGATGGCAGAAAACACAAACTCAAAATTAAATCCTCTTCAAGCCCTCTCAGGGTCCAGTTTGAATTCTGCAGGTTAGAGACTGTTAGTCTATCAGCAAAGTCTGGGCTCTCAGAATTTTCAGCAATTTTTGCTCCATTTATAAAATGTCTTGTGTTTTTACAAATTTCCCTTTGGAGATCAATAAAGTTTTCGTATTGTATAGTATTGTACTGCATGTCAAGGGTTTGGCTTAGGGTTTTTTAAGTGCCTTTCCTAAATTTATAAATATTTGACCTAGTTTAAATTGTATTTTTGGAAGTAGTCCCAGTTTTACATTAAAACAGGAAAACAACAAACACAGAATTCAAATTAGAAAAGCTAAACTGACCACATACAAACATACCACACAGCAATCCTAAACTCTGCACTAACAAGCATTCACACATTTAATAAAATCTGTTTTTCGGTGGTGAGGTTTTTCCTGTTACTTTCTCATGATTTGCTCTTATTTAGACTTTCTCATTATCATTAACAATATAGACATTGCTGAGGTAGATCGGTTGTAGCTGTTTCCTCAAGGTCTTGACATGTTAAATGTAATCTTAAGATAATAATGCTTTTTTCTATTGATAATTGGGTATATGTTACTTCAACTTGGTTGTGATTCTTAGGGGTCATACTTGTCTCATTATAACAGAACAGGAATGATTGTTTTTCCATTTTGAACAGTCGAGTTTAGCTCAAGGTTAGAACTGAGTAATTTCCCTATATTTCTTAGGGTTATTAACTATTTTTTCTTGACAGAGGACAATTTCTATCCATAACAGATCAATGTATCTGTGTTTCCCATAAACCAGTTCAACCAATTTCGTTAAGTGAAGTCTCTCTTAAGTTTGTTAAGTTTCCTTTTAGTGTTCTCTAGCTTTAAAATAAGATATGGAGAAAACTAAAACTGCTTGAAAGGGAAAACGGAGGAAATAAGTCTTTCAACGTGCAATGCTTCAATATTATCCACCTCCTTTGTATATACAATTAAAAACAAAACCAGAAAAGCGTCAGAGTTTGACTCCGTTCGTGGGTCACCTTGCTTTCTGATCCTTTTACTGAATGAAACCCCGCTGGCTGTGAATCCACATCACCTCACTTAACTAACCGTCACCACCTCAGTGCAGCTGTTTTAACGCCATAAATCAAGTTCCATAACACTCGCCAAAACGCGGGTCTAATCACCAAATTGAAACGTGAAATGACACAGTATCATTAACAGGAACCTTGCTGCCTTTTTTTACAATCCAACAGAGACGGTTGGCAGCACATAAAACAAGCAAGGGCAAACGCTTTAACGGTGGAGCACTCCGGCTAATTAAGTCGTTGAACCCGATGCCCTCCTCAAAGATGTCTCCCGCTGAGGGTTGGACAGCTGGGGAATAACAGCCAATAGGAACGTGCGGTGAGACGATGTGATGGACTGACAGCCAATCACGTCGCTCCTCCTTGAGGAGACGCCGAGTTGGCTCCACCAAGGAACTAGCAAGCTACGGAAAACGCAAAATAGTCGCTGAGAGGAGCAGAAATCCTCGAACTGCCGCTTTGTTTCAGTGATGTAGAGACAAAGGACTGAGTTGCTCTTAAATAAACAGGTAAATTGATCATTTTATTTCTCCAGGCCACCTTACCGTGTGAATCTGTATGTGTTTAGGGAGGCTGACAGCGTCATGCCGGCAGGATGAAAGGGATTTGGGCGCCGTTACTGTGGCAACATTAGATGGAGGGATACACACTCCTCCTCCCGTCTAATCTGACAGTTTGGCTGATGGCATTTGAGCAGTTATTCAGCCTAACGCACAGGCCTTAGATGTCTCTTTTATTGTTTTGAAGCCTAAACGTTTCTGTTAGGCAGCTTTCGGTGTCTGTCAGACTGTAACTCCATCCTCACTGACGGATACTCCGGGAGAAGCATTGTAAACACAGCCATTTCAGTCCAATCCATTAAAACCACCAGAGCTGTACAAAAGAATCACGCAAAACAAAGAAAGGAGCATTTCACAATGAGAGCAAATAAAGATAAACAATACATAATTAAAATGTGGGATGGACAATCCAGGGGAAACAGGTGTGTCTTCTGTCTAGGTCGGTGGTTCCCAAAGAGGGGGGTTGAAATTCATATTTTATCAAATTTTTGCTGGACTATAAAAAAAATTAGTGATTAAAATTTGAGTGAATTTGAATGCAAAACAAAATCTCAGACTTCTAATGAACTAATGAAAACACCTGTGCACCAGCTTATTAAACAGAAGCCCAATTTCACAGCTTAACATTAAACCCACTCTTGGCATGCTTTTTTCATAAGTACTGTAAGTTTTAGTTTTTTTTGTTGTAATGTCTCTGATCAGCCTTTCGGTTGCCTTTGAGTGAGGTGAATGTACGGGGCAGTGGAAGTTTCTCGTGATTTCAACAGGAAAAGTTGCTCTTTGTTGTGTACTTCTCCCAAATTTCATTAAAAAAAGATTTTCAGTGTCAAATATTGAATCTACAAGCAGAGGTATACTCCTGACTGAGCGTACACCAGTAGAGGTCCACTGATGCATGTGATGATTAACACAAGGAACAGATTTCATGCTGGGGAGATCATGGACAGTGTGGATGAGATTGTTGATATCAGGTTGATAATGGCTGAGATCTGAGATCATGGTGTGAGCTCTAGTGTCCCAACAATGTGAGATATAGGTAAATATGCACGTAGTTTGACTCTTTAGTCCTCAAATGTCTGTGACTGGAATAAAAGATTGATGCCCAGCTGGAGGATATTACTTTAGTCTAGAGGGGAGGCATTAAAGGCGGTGGGGACTGTCTTTGAACCATAGAGAGAGAGAAATGGCTTGGATTCTGCCATTTTTCCTCTGTGATAATAGCAACTTTCAACAACAGTGGTATTTAAAAAAAAACTGGTTTAAAAATGGTGCCAAGATTTTAGATTTGATCTGAAGGTAGGGAACTAAATCCCTTTGTTTTTACTTTCTTTGACACTGTTTTGTCATTTGTTTTTTGGCATCCTGTAGGCCGCTGAAGAATGATTGAGCTGGGGTTCTGATATTGTCGTGGTGTTTAATGAGAGACATAACTGAGTACCTATGAGGAGAGCATGTGTTGGGAGGACAGTAAAGGCCCTGGTATGGAGTTTTGGGGTACTCTACAGGTGATAGGGGCAGACATTATGCCTTATGCCTGAAGGATAAATGAAGAGATATTGTGTAAGTATGATTAAGCAGCTTAAAGAAGCACAGAGCAGAAAAGGGATATCCCCTCTCTCTGGAATATTAAATAAAAAAAGGTATCATTGAACGACATCATGTGGTTACCAAAAGGCCATACAGGCACATAGGGATCTCAAGATAAAGCAACAATTTCATAACACATAAATCCTCTTTTGTGTTACTTAAAAATAAGGTCACAAGCTTGTGGACTTATTTGTTCAGCTACCAGGTGATGCACCCATATTGTAATTAGGACACAATTGTGTGGTTTATTTGCATGAAGTCAGCTGCACCTTTTGCTTTTACTCTCACATTAGTCTGAACAGCTCTGGGGTTTCTCTGAAAAGACCTCCTCCGAGGTTTGTGCAGTTTTATATTTGCATTCATTCCCTCTGAGTGCTGTTTGTTAAATCACATATATGTGCTCCTTGTGTGTTTGTGTTTAGATCTGTGATTTCTGTGTGTTGGTGCTGTGTTTCCCTGCAGGACCCATGACCCTGACACGAGGTTCCTTCAGCTACTCCAACGGCGAGGAGTATCACGGTGAATGGAAAGAAGGTAAGACTGAGCCACTTACTCGCCTGTTCACCTTCATCACTTGATACATTTGCATGCATGCATAACAGAACTGTTTCCATTAGACACTCATGCATAAAATTAGTGTCTGAGTTTATTTAATACAATCCAATAAACACGTTACCTTAATTATAATAGGTTAGGTCAGATATTATGTTAATTGTGCTTCATGCTCCAACTTATATTTGTGTTTATTTACAAAAGACATGTTTCCCTCCAGTTGTCTTTCTCACAAACAAACACCAGGCGTACCTCTCGCCTGTTATCATACGTAACAGTTTTGCCCTCGCCCTGCCTCACTGCTCTTCTCTGCCTGCATGTGTCTGCTCTTTTCACAATGCTTCTTTATATAAAGTTAACTAAATAACTCTACTTCCATATGAATACATTTCACTTCAACTTAGAGTTTCTTTTAAAGCTTATATCATGGGCCTTAACCGAGACACCAGGCACTCACTTTAGAGCTCGCCCTTCGAGGCTTGAATCCCAAATGACGCCCTGAACTACAACAGTTACACAGGGTAATTCAGTCCCAACAGTGCCAATCCAGAGAGGGCTTTGAATGGCTGTGAATCAGTCAGGCATGTTACCTGGGACCAGTTTCCATGTGGGATCAAGTTAAACTGAAAAAGGTGGCGGAACATTCCTCAATACGCAGAAAAGGCTGCATTTAAACACCAGGTCCTCTGGCTGAAAACAAGTATGAAAGTTGAGCAGCTCTTTCTCTGACTGAGTAAAAGTAGAAGTGTTCCATTGTAGATGGAGAACAGTGAACTGAAAATCAGGCTGAATAGACTCTGAGCCTCAGGGATGTAAACAGTGCAGGTTTGAAGTGAAAAACTTTGATTTGTAAATGTTTTAGAAGTAAGGTTGTGCATAAATCATGTTTGTTAGACCTTGAGGCTTCACATTGTTTGTTTTTGTGTGTAACTCTGAATGCAAACACAACTGTAGATTGTTTAAAAGACAAACCCGGAGACCTCCTTTAGGTGATCAAGTTCAAGAGAGCAGCATGTGAATCAACAAAGACTGAGATTACATTCACCCCGTGACTACACCCCCTGAGGTTGTTAATTATTTTCAAATTTGACATAAAATGCTGTCCACCTGGTAATGATGCCACCAGTTTCAGATTCAGTTTAGACATTATTTTACATTGGTAGTATGAAAAGTGTGGAACTTATTTCAGGATTTATGGAAAATACATTTAAAACATGTTTACTTTGGTGACGTTTGGCTTTTTAAATGCCGTCTAATGAAGATTTTTAGTCTACCAATTATGCTTTTTTTCCTGCAAACCACAAGATGGCTTAGGAGGAGACAGAGATCTTAGTTTATGTACAAGGTAGTCCAGGTAGGTCATGTCCAAGCACATGGTAGCCCTGTGCAACCAAATCAAGCTTACACACAGAGATCATAGAAATCTCAGGATCGTATTGACCCTTATATAAGAAAAGTTTTTATTTCTAATATACATCTAAAAAAGTGGGAAAATTACAGATTTATGGACTTGCCCCTTTTATACAGCAGAATACTGTTGTGTCTATAATGCTAAAACTAGGACACTACAGTGTACTGATAGCTCTCCAGTGATTAACTCGACGTGTTTCTGCAATGTCCAGAAGCTTTTCTATCCTAGAATGAAATCTCTGTGTTTTGAGAAACTGTTTGACTTCAGCTGACTATGCAGGACAGAGTTAACCATCTTTGCTTTGGTCTGTTGACTAATCAGAGGCTGTATCTGCAAACAAAAAAATAGTCTTAAAAGGGGCGTAATCTTATCTTAGGGTCAGAACAGTGTGCTGAAAAGAAAGCCATGTAAGAATGACCAGATAATTTTCCTGCCAGAATATGAGCTCAGATGAAAAGTTTGCTTGTGCTCTTGGGCTAATTAGCTGTCTGTAAAATGAAGCCACAATTGTGCAGATTGCAGCTAATAGGCATTTAAAAAGTGCCTAAATGAAGCCAGCCACTACAGAAAATGTACACATTTGCACATACAGACCATCTGGTGCTAGAGCGCCCGCTAAGACAGGATATCACACTACCTAAACCAGAATTTTCACTTTGACAGAAACACCCTGACAACCTTTGGGCAAGGTTAAACAAAGAACAAGAGTTTGGCACCAAAGCAGCGTGAGTGTGCGGGGAGAAACATATGGTCTCTGCATGGTTTGTGAAAAACTGTTAAACTGGTTTGGCTGTGATGAGCTCTGATATGCTCAGGCGTAGCACACAGCAGTGGTTTCTTTTTTCAGTTGACACATTTTCAAGTGATGATTTTCACTGCTACATATCTGCGTTCAGATTTTCAGATTTGTAATGTTGACAGTCAACCAACATGAACAGACAGTCCTTGCTCTAAAAAAAAAAAAAAGGAAATTTAAATGTTTATTTGCGCGAAAATTCCCAAACTCAAAGAAAAGTGCCTGTTTTTCTCCATCTAAAGCCTTTGACTCAAGTTTGCCATACTCTGCTTTGGCAAAAAGATGTGATCAAAGGGGATTCAGCTCCTATAAGAGACAATAAATCATAAATTTTGATAAAAAATATGCTCAAATCTACATTTTTTTAATAAAGTGTGGCTGTTTTGCATCTCACTCATAATCCACTTAGCCCAGTTTGCTCCCAGCTGTGCATTTCATTATCTTAAACAAGACCGCTTTTATCACGGGAAGCATTTGTTTGACTATACTGAGATATTACTGCCTTTGAGATGGCTCCCCATTCACACATTCACTTGTAAATTGCTTTTTTACCTGCTGTTAACATTTCAATTAAATATCCCTCCTTATACTCACAACTGCATGTGTTAACACTCAGCCTTTCTTTTCTAATACACATTAGTCTCTAAATATGTGCCACAACACGTCAATATTCTATCACTAGGAGTTGAATTTTCCCTTCACAATAGCTGTGTATGAATGTGTGAGTAAGTGTGTGTGTGTTCTGGGAGGTGTTGTCATGATCACAGTCTGATGTGTGTGTCATGACTCTCGTCTTTGCGTCCATGCATGTGAGGTGACTGTTTGCACACAAACATGTAGGTGTGTGTCGGACAGAGGTCTATGGTGTCACATGAATAATTCAGTGGAGCGCTTGGTTTGAAGACAGGCACCGGGGGCTATCAGGTTACAGGAAGTCAGGCGGGTACATCTATTCTAGCAGCAGAGGCCATTTACTACTGTACTTTGCCCATGTAGCCGTTTAACATCTATGCATTACCGTTATTGATTGACATAAAAGCCAGACAAATTCAGCTCAACCCTAATTAGCCAGAGACCGTGACCTGACACTGGATTGGGGAGAGGCGTTGCAAAGGAGCTAAGCGACAGATTAGAGTCTGGAGGGAGCAAATCCAAAGTGGCAGAAAGGAAATCACTGTCCCTTATTGCAGCACACCCATGATAATCTTCCCTTCATTCAAAAATAAGTTATTTACTGAGCTGTTTCTCCAGTAGCTGTGTAGCTGAAAATGTTGAAACAACTATTCTCACATCAAAACCTCTTATTTGGCTTTATGTAAAGCATGTGCTCTAAAAGGGACAACCCAAAGAGGATGTCTCTGCACTCTGTGAGAGACCGCATAAGCAAATAGTTGAACAATTCCAGAATAATGTTTCCCAGCAGAAAATGTTCATCCACAGTGCGTGATTTCTTCAAATGATTCTAGGAATCTGGAGAAATCTCTGTGCCAAAGGATCGAGGCAGAGAACCAATACAGGAAAACCATAATCTTCTTGCCCTAATGCAGGTTTGCTTAAAAAACAGATATGACTCTGAAGTGGAAATCACTGCATGAGCTGGAAAACCCCCCCTTAAAACCCCAAACCCTGACTGCAGTTTACTGCTCCATTCACTAATGCAGCAACATTATTTAAAGCAAATAAGATTTTCAGTTTTGTGTTTCCTGTCCCTTTCAAAAAGTTCTAAATTTAAGCATCATGTGCACGTAAGTCATACATCACCTTTTTGGCTGATAAATCTGCTGATATTCAATTATTTGCTAGTACAGATGATACATTTTTTATACAATTATCTGTCATCACTGATATCAACTGCACCTAACTTTTAGACCAGCTGTATGTGAAGGTTTCTATTTAACATAATATGTCGCACCTTGATCAATGCATTGAAATAGATGAAATGTAGGACCTTCCTTCTCATCGCCTGCAGCAGCATGTGTTAGTCAATACATGCTGCAAATGCAAGAGTAAACAGTGAAGGGAGATCATCTCCTGCAGATAGAAAACAGGAACAATTGAAAATCTCAAACAAAAATTGTCAGTTTGTGGGAAACAATGCTATCTGGCCACTGACAGTCCAAAGGCTTTTGCAGCTCACTTATCTAATACCACAAAACTCCCCTTTTCGATGGAAGATTTTGCTCATGAAGTTTTTTATTCAGACAACTTTGGCCTCTTCGACACCCAGTAGAAAACCCTGTGAAACCCCCTCCTCTGGGGCTTTCACTGGCCTCTCGGGGCCCCCCGCAGGCTGGAGGGTTTGGATTTAAGCCCCTGTTGGCCCTCTTTTTTTATTCTCAAATATACTTAATGGTGTCAGGCTCATGCACGCAAACACACTTCTACACATCTGCCCATATGGATGCAGGAGGTTCGAGAGAAGAAAAAGACTTTAAAAACAGATTTAGTTTGGGCCAAATCTCATCACCAAATCTGCCGTGAAAACCCTGCTGAGATTAGGCAGAGGGCAGCACTTTAAGCAGCCCTGACAGATGGACTGCCTAATTTACTTTGCCATTAGCTGGGAGCAAAGGGACAACACTCACTGGGCTCACCCTTGCCTCACCCCGTCCTCCCCCTCCTGCAAATCCCAATCCGCTGCTCCCAGATCTTCCTCACTCCTCTCCCCTCCACTAGCTTTCATGCCACTTGGCGAGCTGGTGGGAAATCCTATTCCTCGCCTACAGCTGCTACGAGGAACCCGGGACCTCCTTGAGCCCGTGTCCAACTGTGCCTCACATCCAGTTATTCTCCTAATTCCCGCTGGGCCTGCTAATAGAGGCTGGCAAGAGAAGAGGAATGCTCTCTTCTTTCCCTGGCGTCTTTTTTTCCCCTTCTAATGGCATGCTGCTGATCCTGAAAATGAGTTGAAGAATTTTGAGGAAAATTAGGTCTCACCTCCCTGGAAACATTTTAAAGAGATGAAAAATTAAAGAGTGCAGCGCATATTTAGCATTTAGCACCATCTCAAGTCTGCTAACTGATCATTTTCAGTAAAATAATTATGTGATTACCCTGTCAAATAATTCCTCTCACATAATTTCCAACTGTTCAACAAAAAAGAAACTCTTTGGAAATCATGGATATTTTATTTACATTGAGATCAAACTTGCTGTCTAACAGATAAGGGGCTGTATTGTTTTTTAAGGCCATTAAGGGTACAGGTAACTAGTAATTAACAAGACTGAGATCCGATATTTTGGAACTGATGTGCAAAGACAGTAAAAATTAGTACATTTTCATTAAAACATGGAATATCACGGACTCCAACACAGCTTTGTTTAAACACCCTTAAACATTTAGTCAAAATTGTAATGTCTTACATCACATACCGAAGTCCACAGTAAAGCCGTTACACTTTTCCTGCACATGTACATCACAAAGTTTTGTAATGTCTCAAAAATTAGTGGTGCAAGACATCAGGCCCAGAGGGAAAGACACACAGACAGTAGAGCCAAAGTAGTGCACTTTAAAATAAGATAATTTCATCTGATATCTGTTCCGTAAAGAGCCGATATAGATAATCAGTCTCATAATCACCAAAAGCCAACAACTGGTCTACACTGCTTTGCCTCACCTGATGTCCCTCCCACAACACTGTCCAATTATTGGCCTTGGTCGATAATCAGCAATGATTAAAACTATTTCTTAAACTTAAAGACCCACTTCGATAAAAATCATGTTGTTCTTGTTTTTTACATGTTCATATGGCATTTTTCTGATGCTACAGGACATATCGTGCGAAATTGCATTCCTTAGTATTTCTGCATTCAAATTGCTGTGAATATCTGGCAGACCCAAGGGGCAGGCTTAGACACAGTAGGATTTCCTACATCACAAATCCAAGCTCCGCCCCTGGAGCCCCGCTACGCAGGCCAGACTCTGATAAATAGAGAGGACAATCGTGGAACAAGCATGTGTGTTAGTGGATTGCAATGCTCGTAAGAAAGCTGATTATGATATTAACTTTCATCATGCCCCTCAAGACATTAGTGTCTAAGAGCTGAATAGTTCCTGTGTTACCTGGTACTTCTACTACACCGGCAGTGTTGGGCTGCAAGCTAGAGGAGTGTGCAGAGCAGTGCTGTCTCCACCCACGACTCAGAGGCGAATTGTTAATGGGCTACTGGAGCTCTGCAGAAGAAAAAACCCTTGAAAATGACACAGGTAACATGATTTTGGCTAAAACCTTCATAATCACAATTTAAAGACCCCTGAGAACACTTTAAGTAGTTTAAAAAAAAAAAAGAACGATTGGAGTGGGACTTTAAGGCATTAAAGCAAAGTCACAGGTATGATTTCTGTTGTGTGGCAGGTTCGTAGTGAGGACCCAGATGCAGACACTGAGACTGAGATCAACTTAAAGAGACTTTTAATGTCCAAAAAAGGGGAGATAGTGCAAACAGAGGAAGTCTAAAGGGCTGGTTGGCTGGCTGTCGTGTGGGCTGGAGACACTGCAGGAGAAAACCAGAGGAGACCGGAGTTAAAGAACATGAAAAGAGTCACTAGGAGCAAAATTCTGATAGGGATACAAACAAGGTTGGCCAGGAGACGCGTCTTTACCGCTAGGAAGGGTAGACAATACTCAGGCGCTGAGACTGAGGGCTGCAGGCTTCTTAAAGTTCCTTGATTGGAGATGAGGAGCAGGTGTGTCGTCTCACTCAGCCTCAGCGCCGGGGAAGGGGAGGAAGCTCTGGAAAAGAGTACAGCCAGACCAGGCAAACAGGGAAAAACAGGAAGTCCAGCCAAAATAAAACAGGATGAGGAGGCGTCTCACCACAATTTTGTAAAATTTCACCTGAAAGTTCTTCACTTTTACTCAGTGCATATCAGTTCTAAAAATCGTTTTTCAGTCTCATAACGTGCAGACAATTAGTATCAGATAGGGCTATCACTTTTTTAAAATTTGAACCTTCATTCAAACTCTGAAGGAAAAAGTCATATTTGAACTGTCATGATAATGCAGTAGGCCTCCTGTAGTAGCTCGCTGTATGATCCAGCAGGTTAAGATCTTCTCATCGTAATCTGACCACCGAATGGCCCTGAACTTGTACGGTAATGTTGTTCTACAAAAATGGAAGACATGGTTAAACAGAGCAGCACTGAGCAGACATTCACAACACCAAAACATCTGAGAAGCTCTCTGTGGAAAAATTTTGGAATCTACACTGTAGATGGAAAAGTAAAGACAAAGATAGGGCTGTGTGTCAACTTTTACAAAACAGCTGTCTTACTTGCCAACAATGGCAAATTTGTGGCCTCACCTGATAACTAACCATGTGAAGTGAAGGAGGCACCACTGTTGATCAGGACAACAGAAAGTGTTCAACCACCGAGGACTGATTTTTTCAGGGCCGGCCCCTCCTCGCTAAAAGCTTAGAAATTTGAATGACCATTTGCTCGCTATGAACAATATTGGTTTAAAGTTGTTGTTTTTAATAAACTAACATCCTTCATATTGCTCTGAAAAAAAGAAAACGGCATCAGTTAACCTCTAGTACAACAAAACTGTACCATTAGTGTAACAAGTGTAACATTCAAAGGATTCACTAGACAGGCTAGAAACTCTGACAGCAGTACATAAAGGTACAAGACCAGTCTAGGAACATTAGAGTTTCCAGCAATGAGATGGATAGATTCCCCCGATTTAATAAGAAAATATAGAGTCCCGTGATATTGCTATGCCAAGCACAAACCAGCTCTACAGCCGATGATGAATGAAAAGAGATGATCTGGACTTGAGGGGTGTGAGCTCCAATCTTGAAAATGTCCCTTACATTTATTCAACTTTTTAGATCCATTGACAGATGCAGATCAGTTTGTTTTTCTTGGAAATGGTGAAGTTCCTGGTAATCATTCTACTTAAGTCCTTTCTATTATGGTTTGATCCTGTATCCTCTGCTCAGTGATTCATGCTAAAGATTTGTCAGTGTAAAAAGAAATAATTGCATAGCTTAAATGGAACACAGTTGAAGGTACAAGGCAGAGGGAAACTAACCTCGAAATCTGTTGTATTTTCAAGGAAACATAATTGGTGCTTCAAACAAATTGGTTGAAGAAATCCAACAATACCAACACAAAGTCAGATCAATGCCACAGGATTCACTCTGAGGACTGTTCTGTTTCAAGTGTGGATTGCTAATAGGGGCATCAGTGTGGATGTTGTCTTTGTATAGAGTATTCATATTTGTATGTCTGGTCTACAGCATTAGTTTGTGAATAAGATCATACAAGGACAAATGGACTCTTTTGTTGGGGTTTCATTAAAGCTTCCTCAGCTCAAGCTTCCTTCAACACACCCGAGTCCTGAGTTTCTATCAGCGCTGCACAAGGCTAAGAGGAATTTATCAAGAGATTATCACTGTGAAGGATAAATCTCAGATTTGAACAATATTTCCTACCAAGACTCACAGACATCTGTGAAGAGATAGAAAATTATTGAGTGAAAGAGGAGAAATGCACACAACCTTTTCTTTTCTCAGGTGTTTTCCAACATCACCTGAGAGTAAATGCAGATAAACTACAGTTCCTCATGTCCACCTGAGGTTTGCTGCAAAAACTGTGCATAGACTGTATATACTATGGATAACTTGGTTCCACCTTCCATCATTATACGAATTTGAATCCGAATTGCTCTCTATGTCCGGGTTTTTCTCCACTTCCTGGAACCACCACTAGCCCAGTAGCATTGTACGCATTCAGCGGTAGAGTTGCTGTGACGACGCCCAGTTGGGCTACGCAATCTTTGTACGCCCATAGGCTGTATCAAGTATCAATTATAGAAAACGGTATTCGGTATAATTAATTTCTAAAGTTTGTCCACAGTCCATTGAGTTTGCTGGAGGAGGCTGTATTTATGACCTATACTGCAGCCCGTCACCAAGGGTTGTTGTTCTCGTGGAGGCTTTACCCAGCGAGCGTGCAGATGACGTTCATTCTATATACAGTCTGGTTAACACTTGTGCTGATCTTCTTTTTTCGTTTAATGGTGGATCACAAACAACGTTCAGGTGCATACCGCTGCCCACTGTACAAGAGTGTGTGGCGTCATATCTCCACCTCTAGATTCTGCCCATCGATTGAGTCTCTTTGAAAAAGTGGAATAAGGCTTTCCTTAAATCTTTGATCTTCTCCCTATCCTCCTCTGATCCAAGAACTCCAGCCAGACTACAGTCGTGCTGAGCTGCTCTAACTCTCCCCCGTATCCTCTCTTTCTCTAAAGCATACTTTTGCACAGTGAATTATTACATGTTCCACATTGTCCTTCACACCACATCTCTCACACTTGTCAGTATTCTTTTTCCCTTTTACATTCAATATGTCTTTCAGAACAGTATGGCTAATTCTAAGCCTCATTATTTTTGCCTTTTGTGCTGTTGCAGGTCTGCGTCACGGCATGGGTCAGCTGACCTTTGGCGACGGGACGTGTTACACAGGACAGTTTGAAAATGGACTCTTTAACGGCTGTGGGGTGCTGGTGTTTCCTGACAGCTCTAGGTCTGTGCGTCACTTCCTGCCTATTTGATCTGTTATTTCTTCAGATAGGATCACTTTGTAATACATGGTTCCTAAAATTCTAGTTCAAAAAGGGTTTTAAAAAAGTAACACAAAAAAATGAAAAAAATAGTAACAGTTGATGTCGAATGTACTTGAATTTTTTGCAATTCAATTTTTTTTTCTGGGTTAGTATTTTTGTTTTCCAAATTGATTCATGTTTCCTAAATATTGATTTTTTTAAATTGCAGTTTCCAAAAATTGTGTTCAAAATTTGTGTCTCTTAAGGGGTGGTATTGTGCTTTTTCGCATTTACAACAAAAAATACAAAGTTACAATGTTTAGTGTCCATACAAGATGTATGTATATTTTTAATTATGATATTTTATATCATGAGGTAAACCTTTGTTGAAATAATCCTAGAAAACATGTATTTTTTAATTTTTATTGCCTTTCTAATATTTTGGTGCCATTGAATATTCCTATGTTGCATTATGAACATACTGTATACCCTTCAGCCAGAAAACATTGTGATGACAGGAACAAGAAGTCGGTTCAGAGCGAGTTTTAACATTTTCTGAACTTCAATGCCTGAGGTTCAGGAAGTTTGGTTTTCAGCCTGAGAAAAATCTCCAAAGATCAGAAGCTCAGAAAATTAGCAGAATGAAGCACAAAATGCAGTCGGTCACCCTCCATCCCAATGCCAATTTAACAAACCACAAGCAGATTTGCAGATAGAGTGCAGTTAGAAACACTTCTCAGCTCAGCACTGTATCAATGTACATCCTTTTAGAGCTTTGAATCGGAGCTTTGTATCATCTGATTTATTAGAAGAGAGTTTCTATGAAGGATGACACTTTTCGAGCCTTTAGAAATATTCAACATTTCTCTGTACTCTCAAACATTCCTCAAACAGACTTTTGACCCTCTCAGCTGCTGCTTCACTCATGCTTTTCATCGGTCTTAATCATCGGTGTATTTAAGAAGCCAATCTAAATGGTTCTGAAACTTTTTCCTTTAATTTAAAAATATTTCAGATATCCAAGGTAAAGTTTGAGCAAGTTCAGCTTTAAAATGAGATTTTTGTGAATGTTAAAGAATTCCTTGGAGTTATTTTTACTGTTTTTATTCTCTATTATAGCATTTTCTTCACTTGTAAAAGGAATTTCATTTTCATTGTTATTTAGGTATGAAGGTGAATTCCTGCAGGGCAAATTTCAAGGCGCTGGCGTCTTTACTCGCTTTGATGGGATGAGGTTTGAAGGCGAGTTTAAAGGAGGATGTGTGGACGGATACGGTAAGATTTATATCATTGTGTACCTGTCAATTCAAATAAATCATCAAATCATCAGGAACAGAATAAAACTCATTAAAAAAAGCCTTGGAGACAATGAAAGGTTTTGAATGATTCACTTTGAAGCAAATTGAGTTGAACTGTGCGAGACTAAGGTGAATCAAATCAAATCAAACGTACTGGACTGAATCAATTGAAACTGAGCTGAATCAAGAGAAACTAAAACTGTCTGTGTTCAAAAGAACCAGATCAGATTTTCTCTGTCGTTAAGAGGAACTAAAGTTCTCCACTTGTGCTTTTGAATTTTAGAAACTGCCAATCAAACGGGACTTTTCATGTAATTTCAAGAAGCTTTAAAGTGTATTTTTGTTGCCAGTTTAGCTAATTTTGACTTGAGTTTCTTGCTTCACTTTGGTTTTCATTCAGTCTATTATCTCTTACTGATGTTACTCCAAGTGTCACTTCTCCAAAAGTAAAGAAACATTATCCATAAAAGTTCTGACATCAATCCAACATTTTCAAAGCGATCTGTATTTCTTTTCTGCTCTTCGCTCGAATTTCAAACATTTCAAACCTCTCTGGATCTTATTAAACAGTGAGAAGTGTTAATTGCCCTGATTGAAACCTCCTGCGTACCTGTGCTGTGAATCTCTGGAGGTAATAAACACCTTTCCTTTTTTTTTGAGGACTGCTGAACAATATGCCAATGTGACAACTTCTTCATTTTTGTGCCTGTAAAAATAGAGCTGCGACGCATAGATCCCCCAGTTTCCTCTGATCAGACCCCCTGAAATCAGAGCTGAGAAGAGCGAGGTGTTTTCAGAGAGAGACTTCGGTTCAAAATGTGTTTTTATGCTACTTATCAGTTAAAGATTAACCAAAGTTCAAGTAACAGTTAACCCTAAACCAGAGGAAAAAAGGAACAACAGCTCAGACGGAGGATAAAGGTGATCAGAAGCAAGATTCAGAGTCTAATTTCAGCTGATAACGATTTCTAAATGTACAGAAGTTAACAGAAGATGTGGAAAAATTACTCCCAAGTTTGAGACAAGTGACGACCTGTTCGTTCAAAGGTTTGTTGTTAATTGTGACAGTTATTCAGGTTTGTTTGGCCTTGCTACTGAAGTTTTTTCTTAACTCTGTCTCCAGATAATTTACATAGAAAATAATAATAAAACATAAAAAAAAAAAAAAGAAACTCAGGAAAGTTCTTGAATAACAAAACTTTCCAAAAAAGTCTAAATCTTTGGATTGATTTCTTCTGTGTCCATGCTCTCAGGTGAGTGTGATTCATAAAAGGATAAACCTGTCCAAACAAACTCACAAAGTGCACAAAAGGTTAAATGCACTAGACATGCACCAATCCATTTTTTTTTCTGATCCAATCCGATAATGATACCTGAGCTGAGCGTATCGGCAAATATGCAATACAGATCCGATTCTACTGTTGAATGAATGAACTGTATACCTTGCCCTGTGAGTGAAGGCATCAGGCTTGACATTAGTCTTGTAAAAAAAAAGGTAGCAAATTAACACAGATATAGATTTACTTAATATTATTCTTTGACAAATAACAAATTGCACATTAGCACACAGCAAAAAGAAGTAAGACTTCCATGTATTAAAAGAAAAATTAATTTAAAGAAAAAAAAGACTGGATCGGAACGCTGGATCGGCGTCATTCATCAGATATCAGATCCAGTTAATGTGTCAATATCAGAGCCGATGTCCGATCCAAATATCGGATCGGTACATTCCTAGAACGTACTTCAAGTTGCACTGCAGAGTAAATAACATCTTTGTGCTCTGATGCAATCTGCATTTATTTAAATAAGTAGAAAAAACCTCTGCCTGTGCAGAGTTAATTTAGTCACAATTATGATAAATGTTTGTATAGGTCTCTTTTTTCCCACAATGTGGTCAATATGATGGCAAACGCAAACATCAGAAAGGGTCAAACCTGCAGCAACACTTGCAGCAAAAGAACAACTTCCTTCATAGACAGATGTATGTAGACTTGCAGTCTTCAACAGGGTCATGATAAAACAAACAACAATCATGCAGCATCTAAATGGGGTTGGTTAAACAAGAGTACACTTTCCATACCGAAGTAGATCAGTAAGAACTGCCCAGCAACACTGCTTTGTGTAAGAGTCAAGGCTACATTATCCGGTTAAAGTAAGGATTCCTGATAATACACAAGTGAGAGTGTAAAGAGAGTGAGATGTTGCTCTACAGATCAAAGCACTTGGTTCAACCTTGATACCAGCGGTTTGTCATTGACAAACAGAATCATTTCAAAGTGAGAGAACATTTTTAAAGAAAGGCTATGTTTTTTCACTGACTACAACTAGAGTTATCACCTACTAACACTACACTAAAACTGTACAGGGTAAAAAAACAACAATTTGACAGCTCAGCAGCAAACCTGTGTTTATTATCGTTACCACAGTGTGCTTTGTGAATCAGATCTTCAGTTGGAGCAAATAGCAGTGAGGATATTCGCCCAAACATGGTGTGTGTTCTTCAGTATTGCACTGTGAACACAGCACGACCCAACAAGCTGGAGGTGTAAAAACACCCTAAGTCTTTTTTGTACTGAGGCTCATACACACGCACTGTTCGTAATTAACTGTATGTAACAACACTGATGCACAGTGACATTATGCACTCTGCAGCACATCCTGCGGTGCATTTAAACCTCCAGGTGTGCTTTGTGAATGAGGCTCTTTTGGTTCATTTGCGAAGGTTCAGCTGTGGAGTTTCTTTTTAAATGACACCCTCAGAGGTTTTTATTTTTATAAAGAGTGTGGTGCTGCTAAGGCAGGTTACTTGAAGTGTCTAACATGGAGTCTGTCTGGTGCAGGTGTGCTGACATTTTCGGACAGAGGTCCCGGTGGCGGCGTCAGCCACGAAGGGCTGTTTGAGACCAGCCAGCTGACGAGGAGAGAGAACAGCCAGGCAGCCGTGCAGAGAGCGCAGGCAGCAGCCGCTAAGGCCCGAGCTTTGGCCATGTGACCAGGACAACATTACCCACAGTGCCACATCAATTGGACCTCCATCCATCCATCAGCCTCCTTCAGGTTTCCTTTATTTCATGCAGTCAGTTTTTCTCTTTACTGCATATCCAGACTTTATTTTTTGCTGTTTTTGTGGATTCTCAGCAACATGTTTATGTTCTTATTTATTTTCTCTCACCTGTGACCTGCAGTATTTTCTTTGGGCATACATGCTGTATGTGGTTCTTTTTATGCATCTGTATATGAAGCCACTGATTCAGGATCAGCTAAGCCAACAACAGGTTGAACTTTTCAGTTTTAACACAGGTGCTAAATTTGCTTCAGGCTCAGTGTGGCTCTCTTTTAATGGAGTGCGTGTAGACGTACAGTAAACACTGATTTGGTGATTTTCAGCTCAAAGAACTTCTAAATATCAGAGTTTAAACTGGGCTTGTTTTTCTTAGGGAATAATTAGGATGTTGAAGCAACTTCACTGATGAATCTGGATGCTTTTTTCTTAGGGAATAATTAGGATGTTGAAGCAACTTCACTGATGAATCTGGATGCTTTTAGGTCCCTGTCTGAATCCTTATCATTCTAATTAGGTTGGATTAGTTAAAGTTCTTACTGCGTAAAACTCAAAAACCATCTATAATTATCTTTTGTAGCCTGAATCGTTCAAGTCTTTAAAGGGAGCTTAATTAGCTTTTACAACCTGAAGCTAAAAACCTGAAAATGAGACAAGCTGCAGAAGGCATTCAGGGCTTTCCTCATCCCCGTTCATACTTTTACCTACAAAAAGTTACGCACCAAGAATCAACGAAACAGAAGTCTGTGTTGGTCTTTTCCACTTCTTGTTTTTCTTCAACTTAACCAGAGAGTTTCATTTTCTTAACTTTGAAAACAGCTTTTGCTTTTCTATCTGTCAAAGCTGATTCATAAAACTGCAGGTGATGTCTCATCCTAATCTGCAAAATTGAGTGCAAACAATATCAAGGAACAAGGACTTAGTAAATGTTTTCTGGGTTATTTTCACATCACACTTTACAAATCAAAAAGGCAAACAGTCCTGATGAATGTGTTACTTGCGTCAAAGTGTAATGAATCTGGGAATCTTGCCAATGAAAAGCCAGAATGATGAAAGAATCTTCATCGTGAGGCCAGTGCTACATCCAGGGTGTGCAGAGCCACCGGCATGTGGATGGAGGAATTCAGATGTGCGGTTCAGAGTGTGTGTGGGGCTTAATGGTTGAAACATAACACAAAACTCCATGTCCCTTATACATATCCTGTATTTTCTCACTTAATCCCTGCAATAATTTCAAGTGAAAGACTTCAACCCCTCAAAAAACAGACAAATACCGGGCTTTGTCTAATACTGACAAAACAAACACAAAGAGGCGCAGATGAGTGTAACCACACTGAAAACACAAATCTGTTGTGTCTATAGATCCCTCTATCACAAGTGACAAAAGGAACATGAGTGATAAAATCAGGCAGATGAACAGAGAGCTGTTTGCTGTCAGGCTCATTACTGTAATTAGTAATGTGATCAATTACTGTCAGAGAAATAAAACTCCTCGAAATGTTAAAATGCAGTAAAATTCTACATACTGCACCTTTAACTGGATATTTAAGAGTTAAAAGAAAGAGTCTAAAATGATGTACAATTAAACATATAACCAAGAGTATGCATAGACCTATAAGTGAAGGACAATAAAATCTATTATGAAATAATGAGATGTGAAAAAGTGAAGAAACAACATCTCTCATCTGCTGCTACAGGTGTAAAAAATTTTTTTTTTTAACTTTTACACAGAGAAAACCACTTTTTCAGAAATGTCAACACATCCACATTTGATTAAGAATTGGACAGAAATAGCTCGAGTTTCTGACGTCAACTGTTCGTCTTAGGTAAAATCACAACTGTTGGAAGTGGTTGATCTTCCAAATGTGGGATTTTAGTCAACTAGTTAGACAAACTATACATTCAAGATGCTCTTGCTCTGGTATCGTGTGAACATGTTCAGCATTTCTGATATTTTTCTAACACCTTCTGGACCTAGTAGTTGTTAAGTAGTGAAAAGAAACTACATGTGTCCCTTTGAAAGAGTGCAGGTGCTAAAAACAGCTCGTAATTGTTACCAAGTGGTCTCTCTTCATTATATATTCCATTGTGTTACATACCTCTATTTCTTAGAGTGATCCTTTGAATGCTGTAGTGTAGTCATTATGAACAGTTTATGTTACATCTAAAGATTTTTGTATGTAGTCGATGCACTGTACATTACGGCTTACAGGCATAATGCAACCTTTGATTCATAATCACTCTTACCAGCACATTAGTAATCTGCATACATGTGATAAAATATGACAAATAGGAGAAAAACAGCGTCTATTTAATTTGGTTTTAGACATAATTTTCAGAGAAGCACCAACAGATTATCTTAAACACTCATTTTGCTCCCTGTCAAATGGAGTCTTTATTGAAAACCTGACTGAGGTGACTCTCTTGATTTTAAGACCAGGACACATTAATTTGATGGTTTTATTCGAACATTTCAGCACGCCACAGTCTTCTGCCTGCAGGTGCTTCAGGCTAAAAAGGAGGAAAAAGAGCAGATTGAAGGAGGGCGAGAGGGATGGAGCCGCATGTGTAAATGTTGGAGAGGAAGAATAACACATAGGAGCTCAGCCAACAGACCTGATGAGGAAGGAGGAGTAAGGGAGGGAGGGAGGGAGTACCAAGGGATGTGAAGACATGATCTACATATTCAACATTTGAGTCCCATCAAGGGAGAAATCGACACTTTGATGCAAAGAATCATCTTATCCATCTGCAGAGTTCAGCTGATTCTCGTTGCTGATTTGTGAGTCACGTTAGATCAGACTTTTTGCTTTGCAGCTCAAAGGGGCTTGAACTCCATCACCAGCCGAGTGGTGCAGCAAAAGTTTGAGAGAAAGGTGGTGATGGAATAAAAAGATGTTTCAAGTCAAGAGGAGATGAGCTGAAGATTGAAATTTTAAGTCCAGTCCGTGTTGAACTCTGATTTACTGAGATCACTGCAGGTGGAGAAATCGTAGAAACCAACTTCTCTATAGCTTCACCACAAGATCATTCTATCATGTTTGTAGGTTGACACAAAATTTAATCACAAAATGAATACACCTTCTTTCGTCTCTCTTTTCTACCTCAAAAATGTTCACAAACCATCATTGAAACTTTCATATAACCATAACTGAGGATTCAGGATCGAATAGTAGCACTTTAAAACCCAGTTTTTGCATAAATATTCCACTTAATAAGCAAATAACCCAGGAAATAAAGAGACGTGCCAAACAGCAAAGATTCACACGGCGCACTGAGTCATTAGACCCTGACTGCTGTTTTTTCACTCACTGAGAAAAAGTTACAAAATCATTAGGTTAAAAAAGACAAAAACTGAATGGCATGAGGGCTTGTGAAGTCTGTCGGACACAAAGTTATAAACTGTGTGGAAGTGAACTGATGGACCTCTTCTCCTCTTTATGGATTCTTGGTAGACTTGGTAGAGTGTGACGCTGCCCCTGGAAGCAAGATGGATGTCGTGCAGTACTTTGGTGTTTCCAGTCAGAAGAAATGTCTGTAATTGACAGATTAATTTATGCAGCGCAAATGTGTTACACCAAACAGTGACGTCAGGAGGTTATTCACAGATGAAGGATGATGGTCCCCAGGTAATACTGAGGGTGCGGTGCTTAAGATGACAGTTTTTGCAGTTATATCAACACTTAGAATGAACACAGATGTCTTCACGTTCTCGTTCTAAATACTCAACCTGAGTCTTCAACCTCTGATCATTTTATTCATTTTGCTGTCGCTCCTCCAGGTTTTCTCCGGTCCCTTGATACAAACATTATCCCCGCCTGCTCGTCAGCCAAATTTGACTTCTCATGCTTGTTTTGTCGTGGCAATTTGAGATTTAGTTGTAATTTTCAAAAATGTGTCGGCTCTGGACACTTTACAGATCTGTTCTGTTGGTAGACATTGTTGGAGACTCAGATATTTTAAAAAAATCCATCAATATTATCAGTTCCTTTGAACTCCATGGTTTGTTCTTATTTTTATTTATACCATCAGTGAAGTTGGAGGATGTGTAAAACATGAATAATCTTTTTCCACCTACGTTTAATTGAAATCACTAGAAAAACAATATATTTAATGTTCAAACTGATAAACTTTATTGTTTTTATTGTAAAAAGTAGGGATCACCTCTCCATCCTGCTCAACAGTCTGGGGTCTCTGTTGTGGTATTTAGGTCTTCATAATACGCCACACATTTTCACTGAGAGTTAGGTGTAGACTACAAGCAGACCAGTCTAGTACCCACTCTCTTTTACGATGAAGCCACGCTGTTGGAACACGTGTAGAATATGTCCTGGGCGTTTTCTTGCTGAGATAAGCAGAGACATCCCTGAAAAAGGCGTGGCTTAGACAACAGCATATGTTGCTCCTAAACCTGTATGTACCTTTCAGCAGTAATGGAGCCTTCACAGATGTGACAGTTAGCCATGGGCACTAACGCACCCCCAGACCATCACAGATGCTAGCTTTGAAATTTTACCTAAGAATAGACTGGATGGTCCTTTTCCTCCTTCGTTCATTTGAAGTTTGGACTCTTCAGACCACAGCACACTTTTCCGCTTTAGGTTAGTCCATCTCAGATGAGCTCGTGTCCAGAGAAGCAGGTGGCCTCATGAGCAAGGTGCTTTATCGATCTGGATTTACATTGGCAAGATTCCCAGATTCACTACACTTGGACACCAGTAACACATTTATCAGGACTCTCTGCCTTTTTGATTTGTAAAGGTGATGTATAAATAACCCAGAAAACATTTAAAATCAAAATTTACTGAATACGAAGGTTATATTCACTAAATTATAAAAAACCCTCACGAGGAAGATCCTTCTAAGCATCCTTGATCAGAGAAAGGATGCCCATTTTTCCTTGATAGAAGTATGTCATTAGGAGCTAATTAATCTGGTTCTGAACACTGTTGAGTTTGAACACCTTCACTTAATTATTCCAATTAACTCCAACATTCCTCGTCTGAATTTAGTGTGCCGAGGCCTTGAAGGCAAAGTTACAGCATCAGAATTTAGGGAGTTTGATTTGTTCTTTTATTTCTAACCTTGGCCGACTTTGAATCATGACAGCCGGAGTCAGATAGACGTGGCTAAAAAAAACAGTCAGTATTAGCCCAGCAAGAAAAGCCTCTGAGTGTTTCCATTAAATAATAGCTATGTGAAATTGGGCGGATAGTTTTCTAGGAAATATTCTCTGGAATTCAACGCCCTCTTTTTACTTTTATGACGCTTCTGTAATCTTTCACTGTCACAAAATACAGGATGATTTCAGACTGGATGTCACACGGACAACAAAACACTGAAAAAGTTGTGCTGTGCTGACAAACTTCTAACCAATTAGATCAATTTGCATCAGGTTAGTTACATGACTGGGTTTAAAAAGGACATTCAAAGAGGCTGAGTCACTCAGAAGGAAAGATGGGAGGAAGTTTAAATTCAGGCGAAATATGAAGGTCTCCCCTGGAAAAAGTCATTGTCTGGATGGCAGCACATGTTGCTCCTAAACCTGTATATATTGTTCAGCATTAATGGAGCCTTCACAGACGTTTAAACTAGCCATGCCGTTGGCTCTAACATTTCCTTATACCGTCAGGGATACTAGCTTTTGAATAATCCCTCCCTTCTTTAGAGACGAGAATGCAGGTTAATGTCTAATTTAGATTCTTTAGGCCACAAAGCAGTTTTCACACAGCCTCATTGGACACAGGCCAAGAGAAAAGGTATCAGGAGTCATTTCACACCATTTTGTGACCCGCTAAAAACACCCCAATGGGACTCTACATACAAGCCAAAATGACAATAAAAAAACAAATATTTTCTCAATATCTGCGAAGTGTGACAAGTAATTTAGAAATTTCCACATAGTAATTTCATAGAAAACTATTGAAAGTAACAGTATTTTGAAGTTCAATATAACCTAGTTGTCTTCTAACAAAACTCCACCCTCTTCACTATCTTGTTTTAATTTTCATCAACAGAATCACCAAATCAGTGCTCGCTGTCTCTCCTGCTTTCCTGTCAAAAGGTGCCCCTTTGCTCTGATATCTGGACCTCGTATTGGTGCTCTGGTATTTAAAAAATAAACTGTTTACTACGAACGAGCAGAGCCTAAGAAGGTCGAAAATCCTTTCACTCAGTGCCGTTACAGCTTAGTCTGATCTCAGATCAGTGGACAAATCCTCCCTCAGTGCCAAACACTCAGTGCCAACAGGCTGGAGCTGATCCAGAATCAGTGGCTTCACGTCAGCGAGGGGGTCAGGGCTCTGTGGAGGGAAGTGCAATGCCTGCAGTGTGACAGGCTGCAGTAATGAGTGCAATTTCTGTATTGGAGGTGCAATTTGATGATGACGTGCAATTTTCAACCTGACAGCAAGAGCCACCATCCTGCTGGTTTTACATCGGGAGAGAAGCTGGTTGCTTTGTCTGCACAGGGAGGCTTTGTTGGTCAAAAAGAGTGTCATCTGATGAAACTGAGGCCTAATTTTAAATGACTCTTGAGCCAGCAGAGTTTCATTCCAGACATACACACAGAAGACCCTCTGTTCGTGTCAAATTTAAAAGCAAAAGTCTGAAAAGAAACAATGGTTTTAGAGATGAAAATAAAATCTGAATTATGCATATAAGACCAGAGAAAAAAAACTCAGAACTTAGAATAACAACAGAAGTGCTATCCTGGCATTTATATACGCATTTATATTTTGGATGTGAAACATGGTCTGAATAATAGAGAAAGATGATAATTTAATGCTATTTGAATGGCCCTGCACTGTGTGTATCTTTAAAATGACACTTTTACCCTCACCTTCTGGACAAAAAAATGCTCAATTATATGTATTTTTTTTCTCTACATACCACCGTCATAATTAATGATGTCACTTTATAAAGTGTGTGCAATTCGCCAAAAATCCTCTCACCTGAAAAGACTCCAAAAAAAAAAAAAAAAAAAGATATTAGCATCTCTATTGAACTTAAATTGTGGTTATAACTAACACGTACAGGTGCAGCTCATACAGTATCATGAAAAAGTTCAGTATATTCAGAGAGTATATTCACGCCAAATTTGGACTCATGGTCATGGTTCAATTATTATAAATATTGTTTATCTGTTGGGTAGAACATGCAACCACAGTCATAGGAAAAATTCTGACTTGACAGATGTAAAGAAGACCATCATGGACCTCTCCATAAGGACAGTAGGCTACAGAGAGTCTTTGCTGAAAAGGCTGGCTGTTCAGAGAACACTGCATGGAGGCAGATTACAGCGACAGGAAGGACTGCGGCCCTGAGAGGACTGTCAAACAAAGAAGATCCAAAACTTAGAGCTTCACAAGGAGTGGACTGAAGCTGCAGCACGAAGAGTCTCACTGGGACCAGGACGAAATTGCTCAGTGGTCCAAAGTAGGTCCCAGAGTCTTGAGGAAGATCAGAGAGGCCCAGAATCCAAGGTGCTTGAAGTCCGACGTGAAGTTTCCACAGTCTGTGATGATTTTGGGTTCCATGTCGTCTGCTACTGCTGTGTCTTCTGTGTTTATCAAGTCCAGAGTCAATGCAGTCTAAAGTGTACCAGGATATTTCAGAGACCTTCACACTTCCATTTGATGACCAAGTAAGTGGAGTTGCTGGTTTTGCACCTGCCCACAGCACCAGAACTTCAACCAAATGGTTTGCTGACTTTGATATCACTGCGCTGGATTAGCCTGCCAACCTGTCCTACCTGAACCCCGCAGAGCCTCTTTAGTCGAGAGGATGATGAGAAACAAAAACTACTGAAGACAAAGGCTGGGAATATTTCACTTTATACGTGACAAAAAGATGAATACAAAAAATTTACCTCTTAAATTTCCAAACAAAATGCCCTTTTTCCTGATTTTTGAACGTTTTGAGCTGCACCTGTATTTTATATGTGTGTTGTGCCTGCCGGGAATCAGCGTCTGTCTGTGTAATGAGACTGGTGTGTAGACATGTAATGTAAGTGTGCGTATGTGTGTGTGTGGTCGTACTGTAAAGGGGGGGTGGGGGGATATTAAAGGGGAGTTAATTGTCGGTTATGTGATTATCTCAAAGTGCGGTTAATTTAGGATGTGGTTTGGGGGCTGATGTCTTCCCCACTGAACGATTTGACAGCGAGTGATGTGGAAAACAGTCAGACTGACGGAGGAATCTCACACCTTTTAATTGGCTCTGGGACGGTAGTAGAGACACTGTTAAACGGAGCTGACTGTTGCCTTAAGTTAAAGGCTGAAATGATTTGTCAGTCTTGAACATGGTGTTATTATCAGGCAAAAACCTCCTGGCTTTGTGTTTTGTGATGGTTTTTATGTTTTGTAAATATCGCTCGATGATCCCACATTCTTTCACTCTTAAAAAAAAAAACACTGAGGGATCACTACACCCTTTAAAAACGCACCTTAAAAATCTCAACTTGAAATGTTGCCGTTGGATATTAACACAAGGTTTCTAGCAGTTGTAACGTGTTAAACACTGTCAGTAGTTGTTTGGAGTCATTTCATGTGTCACTATAATGAGTCTCTATGATGGAGAGTGTGCAATTGAAATCCACACTAAAACAGACTTTAAAAAATCTTAATGACACCACCAGTACATGTATTTGTTGTTTGTGAAGGAGACGGAAGTTTGACCTGGTCTGTCTTCTTGTGGAAGTAAATCACTTTTAATGTCCATAAATGTTTGCGATACGGTCAAAGGTCATTGGACTTACTTGATATGCTTGTTGCCAAATTAAGAAGTCATCTAGACACTAAATAGAGTTTTTAGTTTAAGTGTTTTGGAAGTAGGATCATTTGTTCTCTTGCTGATATAAATCAAAGTTTCAGAGTCAGTCTTATGCACAAAATAAATAGAAAGATATTGTTAAATTTGCTGAGTTAAAGGGGCTTTAAATAGATAAACAAGCTCTGTTTCACACTACCTGCTTAGTAAAATCAAACTGCAGGTGAAAAGCCCAAATGTTTCTGCCAGCTGTGACCCATAACAGTAAAATCACATGTGACGTAGTAGCACATTAGGCTAATTTTATCTTGCTTCTGACTTGTCAACCTTGAACTATTCGCTAAATATTCAGTGGCCATTAGCTGAAAGTTGCCGTTTAAAACATCAAGGTTATTGCAAAACGGCTGTAATTAGACACAAGCAGGTATGAGATATTGATATTAAAGTTATTTGTTAATTTGTTGTTAAGTGGAAAAACACTGTATTTTCCATTGAACCTGGCCAATTTGATTTTCAAACAACACATAGAATATTTAAAACGTTTCTTAATGGGGCACTCACACCAAGCGCGAGTAAAATCAAGTGATAGACGGAGGTTTTTTACAATTTACCAAGTAATCCGACCTCCTCACTCACTTGCCTCCGGGCGAGCTCCTTTTCATTCCAGTTTCGGTAATTAGACAAAAAGGTATCATATAATTCAGGGCACCCACACACCGACATGATCAGTTTGTCCTCCATTTTAGATACCAGTGAACAACCGTCTGTTTTCATATGTCACCAGGCAACCTTCGTGCTGATTATTTATCGCGACACGAATATCTGCTAAAGTTAAGGCATAGTCACCTTCCGCCCAATTCGCGTCATTGGCACCACCAGAGTAGTAGGAGCGTCTAATCCTGGCTTGACATTGACTAAACATGTAATTCATTCACGCGAATGATTTTACTCGCATTGGTGTGTGGAGACAGTCACAAAACACATGTATCAGTATAACATATTACTTGGAACACCTGCCCCACACTTTTGATTCTGGAGGACAAAATGATAAAAGGTGATGTCCGAGAGGCTGGCCTACTTCAAATTAAAAAAAACCCAGCACGTTACACTTTTTAGAGATGTGAACAACTTGCCATTGGCTAACCAACATGAATATTTAAAAGATGCTTTCAGGCAATAAGTTTGGGGAATATGGAGTCCCTGAAGTCCACTGAAGTGATGGTTTTGTCTTGTACACAATCAGGGGGCCTGTACAGTGTGGACTAAACATCTTGAGGAGATAAGTCATTGTTTTGTGCATATAAGTTTTGTGTGCACTAAAATGATCAGTTACCTCATGCAAACAAGTCATCTTTTGCACACGAGTTGACTAGCTTTTTCAGAGTAACCAAGTTAACTAGAATAGTGTATGTATTGAAGCATTTTCTTTAGCTCATAACTACTAGAGTTAATGTATTCTACAGGTTTCTGCTTTGCAGGAGAGTCAAGTAGAGCCAGAATAGGATGTTTGCACCTGGTTCTCCACGTGGCAGGAGACAGCATGCAAAAACCACTTCACAAATGATCCATGCTGCTTCATCCCTATCAGCTCAGATCACTACGCTTTAGTGTGAGGAAGTTGCAGATGTGGCTTAAGCTAATAGTGGATTGCTGTATCTTCAACATATTTGTGCTGTGGCACTATAAACTTTTATGCAACCACAGGTAGAGAGAGGATAGCAGGGAGAGGAGCAGGGAGAGGCCTATGAGCACGTCTGTGTGTGCATTTGGAAAGCCGAGGGGTAGAGCATGACAAGATGCTGCTGCGATTGAGAGCATGCATATAAGCCCTCTCATCTTTGTGCAGAGGAAAGCTTAATATGTTGGTCTGCAGCCTGTGATAAAATGAAGTTCTGGTGATGAAAGAGCTTCAGGTCGTTTTCAGAACTTTTCCATTGATACCCGCTAATTCCATCAAACTATAGACTTAAAAAAGATATGGCCCAAATGATGAGATGAGCTGAAAGTCAAAGACTGAAACACAAGGAAGTCTTGTTATTCAAAAGAAAATATTCATGCAACAGACAAAAAAAAAAGAGCCAGAGAAGATGTCGACCTCCTGATGAGCAGAAACCAATTGAACAGGTGAGCCCAGCCTCCCTATATAACCTCCCACACTCAGCTGATTGCTGCCAGCTGAGGGAGGTCACAGGTGCTGGTTGATGGGTCTTGACTAACCAGTGGAGCTCGTGTTAGCATTACCATCAAAATTAAATAAAAGATGCGAAAGTAAAGTGAAGTATCTGTGATAAAGGTGCAAGATAAAGCTTGTTTTCTTGAGCATTAAAGATAAAAACGGTCACTTTTGTAGGACTTCAGGGTCTATGTGAGGAGGTGAAAACTTGTCTTCAATCTTAAATGCAGCTTTTTTCCTCATTCTTCTGTTTTAGGAGTGATTTCAAACGATCTGAAGAAAACTTGATGCCTTTAAATGTTTGACAGAAATGTTGTCTTCATTGAAGCTACATGCCTGTTTTCATTTTGTTTGTTTTATACCAGGATTGTTGTTCTTTACAGTTTGATTTTAAGTTGAATGTCCTTTATTTATGAGTGTGTTTTAAGAAGCAAAGTCTGTGTTTAGAAAAAAAAAACGTAACTTACTCTTCACACATATTTGAGGTCTGGAGATGTGGTGGTTGTAATTATTTTCATTTGTTCCACAGTGTTCACCTCACACTTTCACATATACACATACACATAGATACATACACTATAGCCTGCACAAAAGCAGACATGATTATAATCACCACCATGATGAGAAAATGAGGAGAGAGAGTCCATGGCTCTGTAATTGCTGTTCAACAAGTATGTGACTGGTAAAAAGAAAAAAAAACATACAGAGGGAGTTTAACAAGTGCCTGAACAAAAACCTTCTTCTACTGTGCTTTGAATACTTTGAGACTGTCTGACTGTTTTACTAACTTTTTCTTACGTGTTGCTGTTTTTTTTAAAGCTGTTCAACCTTCTCTGCCTAATGAAGAGAAGTGAGACAGGCAGTGCGTAGGTGGGTGGCATTAAGTGACCAGTATGTACATATATCACACTCTGCTGAGATTATAGCCTGATGACTAATGACTCGGCCGACTCGCTGCCTTCGCTCACTGCAGGCCTTTACTTTAACTCTCAGTTTTTCGGCAGAAAAATACTTTAAAACTTCTGAAAGCTGGTGAATCAACATTTATAGTCAATGTATAAAAGTTATTCAGGACTTATTTGACTCTCAGCAACACGAGGAAAAGAAAGGAAATAGTTCAGGTCCTCCATTATCTCCAGTTTATTCTGGGAAACATAAATCCAAATTGTTGAAAAAGTGTTATCGGCGTTGATAATGGCTATCTTTACTGAAAATGAAATGGTGCTGCAGTAAGGATACAGGAGTACTGACTGGTTCACAGTGGGGAGATAATGAAGCAGAAGAAGAAGAAGACGAAGAGTCAGTTAATAGCTAGCCTTAACCGCGGAGCTGCAGTACCACTAAATAGAGACTCATGAACCAACTTGTGCTAATAACACAGTAACCTTTCCTCACTTTTGGGTCAGGAGTCGTTGTTTTATTTCTAATGCAGTTATAAATCTGCTGAAACGAAGGCTTGCTATCTGTTAGATTTTAAAAATAGCCTCCTTCTTTCAACAAGTGTAGGCGCCCCCTGCTGGCCATTAGAAAGGAAGCAGCTTTAAGTTGTTTGGAAAGGTTATCCTCGACTTCGACTGACTCGGTTCAGTTTTATGACAAAGACTACATCCTCCAAAAAAAACTGTGATTTCTTGTTAAGGCGCACCTTTAATTGTGAAACCAAACTCACAATACCGTAAAGACAATCTCACACTAGTCTCCACACCTGTCAAAATTTAGTTACAGTCCGCATCCAGGAAACAGCAAATACTCAGGTGTAAAAAATGACCCATACATGGACAGCATTTTAGAACTCTACCAAGTCAGTGTTGTTGTTGTTGTTGTTTTTTCCAGTCAGGGGCTTTGTTATCAATTGACTAAAATTTGAGATGATGTAAAACCACTGACTGAATAAAAAGAGAGATCTCCACCTTCCTGTTGTGCAAAAGTGAAGCCAAAATACATTCACGATGATGCCAAAATTTTGCAAGTGACAGAAAGCGTATTTGTGAAATAATAAAGACGTGTAATTTAATTTTCAAGTGTGACCCATGTCCCATCTGTTCACATGGAGGAGCTGGCTGATATTACAGCCAATCAGTAGTTGAGCTCTAATGTTTTGTCTTCACTTCTAGGAGCTGTCATGTCATCTTTCTGTACAGTCTGTGATTTGATCAGATGGTTTTTTTGTTTTAGAGTAAGAAGGTAAATCATACAGACTCAGCAGGGCTTTAACTTCCCACAGTCTACTCTCTAAAATAATCTGCTTAATGAAATCAGACAATCAGGACCTTTGGGAATATCCCTCTGTCACTCGTGTGTGTTGTGTATTTGAATCAGGGCGTACTCTCTGTTCTGGCACCTTTAAACACTGAAGAAAACAGCATTTGAACACAAAAAAAAAAAACCTGAGACCTGTTGATGTCACTAAGCCATAATGTCATTTTTGTCGTTTTTGATGAATTTGTTGCAAGATGATGTCACGAATAAAAAAAAACAAAAAACAGTGTTTGAGGTTTTAAACAAAGACATCAACTTAAGAGAGGAAATAAATAAAAGTGCATGGAATCCAACTGGACTACAGCCTTTTCTCCTTTGTGTGTGTGTGTGTATGTGTGTGTGTGTGTGTTGTAACCAAGCTGAGGTGTGAGGGAGGCCACTGGGAGACATGAAACACTGAAAACACAGAACAATGAAAGGCGCGCACACACACACACACACACACACAGAGGTATTTTGAACTCTGATCACACATCTTGGCAGGTCTAGCGATTATTTGTGGAGCTCGGCTGTCAGAAACACCACCCCTCCTCCCCTTCCTCTTTCTCCCCTCCCCCTCACCAACTCTCCGCTCTGCTGTCACTAAAATAGCTTTAAGGTGTGTTTAGGTTGGACTTTAACCCCTCCACCTATTTCGTCTCCTTGGAAACAGTCCAGATTTGCCTTAATTTGTATCATGTCAATCTCGAGTGCTGCAGCAGTTTTGTCTGTTCGCCCCTAATCACGGCGCCTGTTGCCATGGCAAAGTAAATATGCTCTGCAGACCATCTTCACCTAACACACAGAAGTGGCAGCTTTGCGATTCTGTGTTTTGCATGTGTTCTTTTGTTCTCTCTCTAAATTCCTTCCTCGAACCTCACGCTTCATATTGACGCTCTTTCTTTGACATTCATCTCCCAAACGCCATATTTCTCATCGCTCTCCTCTCACCATTATTCCCATCTTGTTCCTCAGGGAGGGATCTCCCATTTTTCTATTTCACGCCTTCCTTAAAGGGAGCAGGCTTTGTCTGTTATCTTATCAGTGAAGCTTCACAGCTCCCAAAAGCTTTGGCCATGTTTAGAGCGGAAGTGCACACGGCATACTGATAAGAGAGGCCTGGCACTGCAGGGACGCTCTGTTTCAGCGCACACACTACCAAAAGAAATAAAAACTGGCAGTAAAATGACGACCAAAAGAAGCAGCAGGCAGTTTGCATTTTGCATGTTTTTAATTGCTCTGGGTCCCCTCCCCTCACAACAGCACATTTGGGAGTTAGCGTGTGTGAGTGAGTGTAAACACGCATGCATGAGAGTGTTGAGGGAGGTTTATAATAGGTGTGTTCAACTGCTAAATAAAAATTTCAGCAGCACTCTGAGCGCGCTGCAGCTGGAGGATTACAGGAGGAGGAGGGTTGGATAGAAACATCAGACACACTCTGACTCTTTCTTATTAAAAATCATACATCAGCTGCATCTCAGAGCCTCCAACCTTAAAGACAAAACTAAGCTTGTTATAAGTGGAGAGTTTTAGAATCTGTCTGAAGGCTTTTTATTCTTAGGGGAGGTCTCTCTGATCCTTTTGTGGGATTTGAGTGTTTAGAGTACAAATTAAGGTTATGTTGTAGTGGTGCAAATCTGAAAATGTCATTTTTGGAGTGTGTGTGGGGCTTAATGGTTGAAACATAACACAAAACTCCATGTCCCTTGTATATATCCTGTATTTTCTTACTTAATCCCTGCAGTAATTACAAGCGAAAGACTCCACCCCCTCTAAAACAGACAAATACCAGCCTTTGGTTAATTGTGACAGAGCAAACACAGTGAGGCGCAAATGAGTGTAACCACACTGAAAACACAAATCTGTTGTGTCTATAGATCCCTCTATCACAAGTGACAAAAGGAACATGAGAGTGATAAAATCAGGCAGATAAACAGAGAGCTGTTTGCTGTCAGGCTCATTACTGAAATTAGTAATGTGGTCAATTACTGTCAGCGAAATAAACCGCTCGAGATGTTAAAATGCAGTGATTCTACATACTGCACCTTTAATAGCACTTTTAAGAGTTATTTAAAGGAGTCCAAAGTGATAAAAGATTAAACATACAAACACGTGTATGTAATGTTTGTCAGCGTTCTGAAAAAGTGAAAAACAACACCTCTCATCTGCTGCTTAAACAAAATTCTTTTCAGGTTTAAGTCAGTGTAGGCAACCTCAGAGAAAACTAAGGCTTCGTCTACATGTGGATGAATTGTCTTTTAAAAACGCAAACCAATCTGTTCACATCAGAGGTGAATATTTCCCTCACCACAACATCACAGACATGCAGAAAACACCTGTATGAGCACACCAGACCAGTGCGTGGCAACAATGTGCAATAATCATATAGCAAGTACGTCATGTGGAAAGTAGAAGCTGTCAGTGAAAAGCCGAAGCTTTGCAAATGACACAACTTTAAAATCACGTACAAAACTCAAAAACAAACACAACAGCTGAAATGCACTGCAAATGAGGAAACCTGCTGCTGCTTGGAAGAAGTTTCTGAGAAACCTCACTTTATCAGGAACCTAACAACCTGTTGACGTGGTGATGTAAGGCTGCTATGAAGAGAAAACATGACTCTTTCAGAAATGTCTACATACTACTAGTATGTGGTAAAGCTCCTGCCCATAGACTGTATGTACTATGGACAACTTGGTTCCGCCTTCCGCCAGTAACTTTGAAAAATGGAGCTGTACAGAAAAAAGAGGACTTGAGTACAAACTAGTTTTACAATAACTACATGTCAACATCACAAGCGGGGGGGGGGTGCTGTTATCGGAGTGGCTTCACCCAGCGAGGAGACAGACGGCGTCCATTCTATGTACAGTCTAATTGGTATATTGTGCTTTGGCTTCCTGTCTGCTGCGAAGGGCTCCAGATTGCCAAAAAAACTGAGCTGATAGCAACTCATCGTCAGCGAATTTTGGCATTTGAGTGTGCAGAGCGCGCTTACTGTATACTTGATTTATGGTTTGCTGCTGTTAAAGAATTGGACAGAAATAGCTAGTTGTTAAGTAGTGAAAAGAAACTACATGTGTCCTTTTGAAAGAGTGCAGGTGCTAAAAACAGCTCGTAATTGCTACCAAGTGGTCTCTCTTCATTATATATTCCATTGTGTTACATACCTCTATTTCTTAGAGTGATCCTTTGAATGCTGTAGTGTAGTCATTATGAACAGTTTATGTTACATCTAAAGATTTTTGTATGTAGTCGATGCACTGTACATTACGGCTTACAGGCATAATGCAACCTTTGATTCATAATCACTCTTACCAGCACATTAGTAATCTGTATACATGTGATAAAATATGACAAATAGGAGAAAAACAGCGTCTATTTAATTTGGTTTTAGACATAATTTTCAGAGAAGCACCAACAGATTATATTAAACACTCATTTTGCTCCCTGTCAAATGGAGTCTTTATTGAAAACCTGACTGAGGTGACTCTCTTGATTTTAAGACCAGGACACATTAATTTGATGGTTTTATTCGAACATTTCAGCACGCCACAGCCTTCTGCCTGCAGGTGCTTCAGGCTAAAAAGGAGGAAAAAGAGCAGATTGAAGGAGGGCGAGAGGGATGGAGCTGCATGTGTAAATGTTGGAGAGGAAGAATAACACATAGGAGCTCAGCCAACAGACCTGAGGAGTATTAAATATTTGTGAAAAAAAAAAAAAGTTTATCAGTTTGAAAATTGAAACTTCTTGTCTATGTTGTGTATTTAGTTGACTGTAGGTGGATTTGTAAATCACTGTTAACTGTTTCACAATGTCCCAACTTCACTTTCATTGAGGTTTGTTCAGTTGTTATACTATTAAATACTATGAAATACTATTAAATGTACTGGAATCAAAAACAATGAATGGATTAGAAACTGGAATCAATGAAATTAAAACGGTTTCCAACTCTACTGCTGAATACGCCAAATTGTATAGTTTTATATAGAAAAATGGCAAAGACAGACCCTTACTCTCACGATGATCACTGATTATGTTAAACAGGGAACTTTTGGTTTGCATGTTCTGGAGTTTTTGAAAACTTGATCTTGAGGTGATGAATATGATTAAACCAAACAAACAGCTTTAACTTTTACAGAAATACTGACAAACATCAATGTAAAGTGACGAGTTTAATAGTAGTGGATGGTTCAGAGGCGACATTAAGTCTCTGACTTTATCCAAACAGATTTACAGGCCAAACTAGAAAGAAAAGGGATTTTTTAAAATATTGATCAAGTTTAGTTTGGATGTAGTCTCGAGAGGAGGAAAGGAAAAAGGGAGAAAGGCAGCATCCAAGCACAAGGGAGGAAAGAGGAGAGGATAGGGAAGGAGGGAGAGATGGAAAGGCAAGAAGAGGAGGGGGAGTAATCTGGGAATGTTTCAACACCATTTTTTTTTTAAATCTGGGGCGCTGCCAGAATGAGTGAAAGAGAGAGAGATGAGGGACCAGGCATTACATGGTACACTAAATAGAGAGGTCACCACATCGCCCAGAGGGAGAGAGAAGGGGAGAAAGATAAGAGAGAGAGGAAAAAAAGGAGGGAAAGAATGGATAGGGTGTACAAATAGAGATGAAGAGGGAAGAAAAAGAGGGGAGAGGTGGAGGTAGAGAAGGCAGAGTGAGAGTAACGAGAGAGAGAGAGGAGAAGAGGGAGAGAGAGGATGGAGGAAATATTGAAAGAAAGGGTGAAGAAAGAGGAGAGGGAAGTGAGGGTAAGTGAGTAAGATGGAGAGAGAAAATGACAAAAAAGAAAAGAGGTAGAGGAGGAAGAAAAGAGCAAGGCATAAGAGAGGAAGAGGGGAGGAATGAAGGAGGAGATGTTCAACAATATGTCAGGTGTGGAGAGACGATGAAGTGCAGAGGGAGCAAGAAAAGGTAAGTGTGTGTGTGTGTGTGTGTGTGTGTGTGTGTGTGTGTGTGTGTGTGCGCGCGTGTGTGTGTGATGTCCTCCTCAGTGTCATCGTCACCCTCCTCTCTGTGACGCTGCAGCGCTGAGGGCAGCTTTTGCTGACTCGCCATTTGCTCACCCCAGGAGCAGGAGCGAGATATGAACACGGCCCCTCCCCCCTTCCAATGTGTGTGTATGTGCCCACTGGGAGCTCTGGCATCACCCCCAACCCCCCTTTGGGTGCGGGATCCTCTAATTGAGATCAAAGAAATGCCCTTGACGCAGAGCAGGACGCGCTCAGTGGGGGGTGTCTCCGCCAAGTGGCCACTTTATGGAACTGCAGCTTTGAAGAAGATGGAGAATCAAGTTCAAAATCAACTAAGTTCAGCTTTTTCAATCAACTTAAGGAATAAAAGTTTCAAAAACTAACCTTGACTGCGGCCTTTTTGTTGAGGAGGTAAAGAGACTGAGCTTTATGGGACTTTATGGGAAGTTCAGACTTTACAAACTTGGAGTCTTCAAAATGTTAAGGAGCACAGTTAAAATACAGGTATTCATAAATCTTATTGAAAAATCATCCTTTTTCTGTCTGGTGTAAAGCATTTAAATAGCCGCCCTTGGAGAAGAGCTACGCAGACACGTGTATGAAAAGAATTTGGCTCATAGTGTCAGAAAAATCCTTGAGCAGGTAGTTTAAAAGGTTTGTTGAGTTTGGAGAATCAATACAAACACAACGCTTTAGGAAATTCGTCTCTTTCAACTGGATATATTTTGAAACAGGAAAAGAGACTTCAACCTTGGTTCTCTTCATAACTTTTCTTTGCACAAGAGCAAAAAGCTTTCGTTTGAATAGCAGCGTGCAGCTCTAGCAGCATTTAGCAGAAGGGACTTGATGGAGTCAAAGTTCATAATCAGGATATTGGTCAAACTTTTAACAAAGTATAATGGAAAAAACATGAAGATTTCCTGAGAAATAAAAGTCATATTAGTCAAAAAGGTCAGTATTTCCATATTAGGAAAAAAAAGTCAGTGAAATGGTGTTTTTGGTTCATGTATGACGTTTGACTATTTACCGTTTGAAATTCATCATATTTTTCCAACTTCACATTTGACGTTGAGTTGGTCCCTGATGCAATTTTGTTGCCGTCTTCAGAAAGTGCACCATGAGTTCAAATCTCTTTGATTTGTACTAATTTCTAACTTTCAATGTTTCTCTGTGCATGTTGATAACAGAAACACCACCAGCTACCAGGGCGATGACAGCTCAATATTTACTGTTTTTTTATTTATTTATTTTTTTTTTTACCTTTAACAGCTCTGTGTGTGAACCTTCTTTAAACATAGTTTAAAGATTTGTTATATAGCAAATGTGGCAGGATTTTAAAATGTTAAATAGTAATTTTAAACTGTAGATCATTAATTATGACCACCCAAAAAAAAGAGAGAGCGGTTATTGTGCCCAAAAGAGTTAAAATAAACACTTGACAAATTGAGGATAATGCTTCTCATGCGCCACATAAGCTTCTCGACATAAGGGGTGAGAAAGGGAGCATTTTAATGTTGAATCTAACCGCCAGGTATCCTTAACTAATCCTATTTCCTCACTGTACCTAAAAACTTAAGCATTTGAAAGTCATTTTGAGTCAAAAAGAAGCCGTTTTTGTCATCATTTGTCTCTCATTTCGTCAAAATCATGTCATCATCAAAGCAAACAGTGGTATGACTTAAAGTTTATACATTGTAGAGGGTTGGTTTCATTAAAAAGACAAGAGGTGATGTGTCGTCTCTTGGTGTCCTGGCTTCATCTGGTCTGTAGAGCAGCACTCTATAAGCTTGTACACGCTTGGATCTCAGCTGTTATTGTAAAATAAGGAGAACTCACCAGCCAAAGTTGTACTTCAATATGTCTTTTCACAAACTTTATTTAAAAAATTTATTTGAAATCAGTCATAAATCATCTGTATGTTTTGTGACCCAAGCTCTCATTATACAGTAAACTTGAAAATCATTGAAGTATTTCCTCACTTCTTTAAAAGAAAATACAGAGAGTAAAACTTTTCAAACTAACTAGCTGTTCCTGTCCATGTTTAGGATATTGCACCTGATTGTTGCTCTGCATTCAGCTGATTGCAAAGAAAGGATGAATTTATCATGTAGACCTACATTCAGACACAAACACAGGCGGACATCACTGACTGTATACAAGGAATGGCCTCCTCTGCTTTGTGCACAAAGAGCTGCAGGAGGAGATACCATTTTCCCATCACACTCACGCCAAGCAGCCATAACATCATGAACACCTGAGTGATCTAATGCAATCTGATCCAACAGCTCAGAGGTCCACATGTGATAACTGTTCTTCAAATTAATAGGTGAAGTAGAAGTGGGTGTTGGTACTGGCGCTGAGTTGACGTTTGTTGCCATGGGAGCCCTACCGACCATGGAATCAGAGAGACTATTTTCAAATCAATATAATCGTCTTCAATTAGTTCCGCTGAAAATCATTCTGTTCTTGTTGTCTACATGTTCATATGGCATTTCTCTGATGCTACAGGACATACCATGAGAAAAATAAGTGTGAAATTGCATTTCTGAGTATTTCTTCATTCTAATCTCGGTGAATCTCTGGCAGACCCAAACAGCAGGTTCAGAAACAGTGAGATTTCCTACATCACAACGGCAAGCTCTGCCCCTGGAGCCCCACTATGCAGGCCAGACTCAGAGAAATAGAGAGGACGATTGTGGAACAAGTATGTGCGTTAGCTGATTATAATGCTCGTAAGAAAGCTGATTATGATATTAACTTTCATCAAATCAGCAGAGACATTAGTGTCTGAGAGCTGAATAGCTCCTATGTTACCTGCTATTTCTACTGCACTGGCAATGTTAGGCTGCAAGCTAGCGTGAAGAGGAGTGTAAAGGGGAGTGTGCAGAGCAGCGCTGTCTCCGCCCACGACTAAGAGGTGAATTGCTAATGAGCTACTGGAGCTCTGCAGAAGAAAAGCCCTTGAAAATGACACAGGTAACATGATTTTTGGTAAAAAGTTCATAATCACAGTTTAAAGGTCACTGAGAACACTTTAACTTTTAGGAAGCTGTCATGGCGTCAGTCTTTTGATACAGTCTCAGACACACACACACACACACACACACACACACACACACACACACACACACACACACACACACACACACACACACACTCACAGCCAGCCATTGGAGGAGAAGTCTCTTCTCAGCTGCTGAGTCTCGGCCTCTGTAAGTGGCTGAAGAGGTGATCGACAGGCGCCACCGTGGAAACCAAACCACTCCATTGCCTGCTTCAGGGCGGGGACTCCCAACTTCCTAGTCACCTAGCAACAAAGAGCACTAATCAGTCTCCACACATCCCCTTACCCCCAACAGCTTTAAGAGATGACTCTTACAATAACACAAGTCACTGTTGGATAATAACTGTCTTTGTTGGAGCTTCCAGATTTTTCATGTCGCTGTTACTGGGGTGAAGTCTTGTTTTGGTGGCTTTCTTAAGGGCACTGACATTTCACACACCTGAAAAGACACATTTATGGCCAGAAGCTAATTGTTCTGAGAAATCCCAACATCCAACTCAGGCTCAGAAGCTAGCATTTTAAACCACTTGTTGATACAATATTTTAGAGATCAGTTTGAAAAACCTTAAATAACCAGTGTGCAAAGTAAACATCCCTAAGTGTCACTTGTCCATGCTGTTTCTGCATGAAAATCTATTTTTCAGGAATTCCCCATCTAGATTAAAAAAAATAAATCTTTTTAGCAAAAATGTCCAAACCAAAACAGCAGCAACAAGTTTTACATAAAGAGCAAACAAGAGGAAAGACAAATCAACAGTAAATCTTCTTCTTCTACTACTTCTTCTTCTATCCTGACAAACACCTTCATATTTCAGCAACACAATGACGAACCGCTGAACATTAGAAGAAAACATTTAAACTATGTTTTAATAACTTACTTTACAGCATCCTAAGATTTTTCACTGATCAAATAACCTTTAAACTGTTTCAAAATATTTTTGCTAATATAGCTTGTAGTTTCAGGTAACTTTGATAGAGACAAGTGGGTAAAACCTTTTGGGGCTCAGAAGAGGATATAAATAAAAAGGCAGGTCATTTAGTGCGGCCTTTTTAATATATACTCCAAAATATACCTATGTCTTATTCTCAAGATATAAATATGGGAACTAATGGGAATTGACTCAGTGTTGGAGCCACACTCCAGTGGCCTCTTGAGGTACTGCAGGTTTTGGTCTCTATTCTTGCTTTGATGATCACAAACTGACCTGGGGATTCCTCATTTTGTTTATTAGTTTGTAGTACTTCAAAACACTTCAAAGGACTTTTCATTTAGAGCAATAAATAGACTGAGAAGATAATATGCATGTTAAAGAAAGTTGTCATGTGTTTGGACTGACTAGACTTCATATATATACTGTTCAGAGGCAGATATATCTGATAGTTTGGTTTCATGTCCTCTTAGCAGCCGATAAACACATATCTCTAGACACTAAGACTGGAGAGAATCCTGCAGGTCTACAAAACTGCAGTTTAAACCAGAGAGTGCTGCAGTTTGTGTGTACCCACTGGGGTTTAACGCTCACGCTGGTATTATTTTCAATACGAAAGCAGTTCAGAGAAAATGTGACTAAAGCTGTCACTATTTGCGGTATTTGGTCTCGGAGGACTGCTTGTTGGGTGGTGGATAAAAGCGTCTGCCGTGCAGCAGATGGTACTCACGGTGGCGTTGGGCTCGATGAGGCGCTGCTGCAGGACTCTGGCTTCCTCCCAATGACCAGACACACACAGACGCTCCAACTCACACAGCTCCCGGCCGAGAATGTTAGCCAGTGCACACACTCCCCCGACTGCACCTTAACACAAAGACCAAGAACTCAGTAAAAGGAATTTTCCTTTTTTTACTGCCTCCTTTGAGTCTGTTTTACATAATCAAGTATGTTCTTGACCTCCGGTGCCTCCTCATCCTTTGTCTGTTTTTCTTAAGATTAAGTTAAAGGTGTTCAGGTGAATGAGAGCAGACATTTTGTGGGAAACCAAACAAGTGTGGGGTGATTCACTCCAAGCTAAGTGGGTGTGACAAGGAAGAAAGATTCCAACAAAGGGTTAAACAAAACTCAAAGGCTTCAGGTCAAAGAGGAAACAGACAAGCACCTTAAAGCTTTAAGATGAAGTTTAACAACAGACAGTAAGAATGGAGTCTTAGTGAGGTCAGCCGCTGATTTCTGAGGAAGTGACATAAAGACCACAGCCACCATGTTGGAAACGCTGACCCCGAGTAGGCAGGGAGGCAGAGTTTGAGTCATAGCCTAACTATCCGTCAAACAGCTATTACACCAAAACACCTTATAAATGTCCCTGATAATCTGACTCCAGAAAACTTGACTCAAGTCCTGCTTTCCAGGACTTTGGACCTAATGTAGACTCCAGAACTAAGGTCTTGGACTAGAGCTCGAACAGTAAATCCAGTCAGACTTCAAGGATAATAAAGATGGCTGGTTTAAATGCCTTTGTGAAGCCCATAAAATATGTGGTCACAATTTTTGGTTGATTAAATGTTAGCATGTACTGTATTTTGTCACCAGCACAAATAGTCTATTAGTTAAATGCATTTAACTTAGTTCTCCAAAGCGTTGTTTCTTACATGTATATCACTTTGGATGATAGGTGGCAGCAGAGTGCTTGTTGTAGCAGGATTGTGTTGCATGCAGAGGGTTGCTAGCTTACTATTCTAGCTAGACCTGGACGAAGGGCAGCAAGTTTCTCCTGCTTTATTATTTCTCCTGTTTTACAATTTAGTAGCTGTTTGGAAGCACAAGATACAAAAATCTGCTCAATGAAACTCCTTTAGCTCCATGATGTGTTTATGGGAAGGTAATGTTGCTCTGCATTAGAATCCTGAAACGTGTGCTATGGGGGTTAGCATTATTTTTGCAGAGACTCAACATTCATGTTCTGAACTCCCGAGCACTTGGTCAATTGCTCACAGAGGGTTTAAGAAATATTTACACAGTAATGAAATATTTTGGAATTTTATTAAGCATTTGGTATGACGGAGTATTAGGGCCACATTAAGAAAAAATATATATTAAGACTGAGATTAGATATGAGAATAAAGTCATAACTAATGAGAATAAAGAGTAATTAAGTAATTAATTACAAGAATAAAGTCGTAATCAAATCATTACTTACAAGAATAAAGTCGTAAAGTAATCACTTACGAGAGTAAAGTCAGAATAAAGTCCTTCTAACCTGTTGTTTAAGATGACTGTTGTTGAAATAAGAGTCATGGAGCATTTCATGAAAATGATCTCAATATAGGTTTCTCAAACAAGGATCTTTTGGCACATCAGCACCATATTATCATAAATATCATAATGATTTTACCACGAATTTTTTCTTGTTAGTAATGACTTTATTCTCAAAAATTAACAACTTTAATCTCAAAGTCTAAATTTTTATCTTCTTAATGAGGCCCTAATACTCCGTCGTAATTTGGGGGTTTTATTGAACTTTTTTGAGAAATATTCACATATTTAATGGAATATTTTTACATTTAATAAAATGTTTTTGGTGTCATGAAATGACCTTCAGAGCCACCATACATGTGCATTCTTGCTCAGCTAAAGTCTCCACCACGACGCATATGGAGGAGCAATATTTTTGTTTCTTGTTACAATGAAAGAAAGAGCAGATCAACATTAGAAACAGACAAACTCAAACTTTACCAGACATCTACTGAGAGTGCAGACAGAAAAGCTAGTGAGTTGCTAATGTCAGCCCACTTAGACTATCAATTTCTTTATTGTTTGCAAGCCAATGATAAAACTACTGTAAACTACTGGATCAAAGATGTCTAGATTTTTTTACAATTTTTGTCAATAGTGAGCGAGCTGGAGGTATTTCCACTTTAATTGACATTTGCAGTTGTTAGATGAAATCCAATCAAAATTGAGGAGTGGTCTTAAGATTTAAACCCCTGTTGAGTTTCCACTTAAAAAGAAATGAGCTGTAGAGACTTGAAGCTGCTTTACAGTACCACCTTTATCCAAACAGACAGCTTCAGTTTAGCAGGTAGCTCATGGTCCAGCTCTCTCCGGTTTTCTCTCTTATTCATGTCAGTGACATGTGTAAAGAGGTGACCTGCAGAGTCACATTAAAGCAGCTCAGTGTGTATAATCACTCAACTCGGCACTCGGTGTGTTTAGAATATTCTTACCAATCATGCACAGCGCGCTCATGCATTAGCATGCAGCACTGCGAAGTACAAGATCACTCAAGTTGCCCGAGAGGTCGGAGGATTTCATCAACAGCAGAGAAGCAGGTGATCCTTCAGGTTTCAAATGGACAGGATTCAGAGTTCAAACAGCCGAGGATAAAACAGAAGCACTGAGGACTGACGTATATTTTCTGCCTGGACATATATTCCTCTTATAGAAATCCATCCATCACTGCTCAGGTTTTACATTTAAGGTGTCAAAACACAGACAGAAATGATTAACTGTCACCGTTTTTCCGATACAAGCCAAGCCTTTTGTCTCGCTCTTTTCCTCCGCTGACAGATCAGCAGGCAGCAAGGGTTTTTATGATGTCTCTTTTTTTATTTACAGAGCCAGATACACGTATATTTTCCCAGGCAACAAGATACCATGGCCTCTCAGCGTGACACCTCATTGTCTGTGTCTGCTGGTGGAGGAGAGAAGCAGAGAGCCAGCCTCCGTCCGTGGCCTTGGAGTTGTTGTTGTTGTTTGGGAGAGACGAGCCGGCGGCAGCTGATGGGAGGATTTTTTTATTCTGTCTGATTTATGCTTCTGTGGCCGCCGTCACTCACACCACACAGCTGAGAGCAGCTTACCTAACGCTGATGATTGACAGGCCAGCAGCCCCGCCTTCTCGCTGCACTGAGAGTGACAGCTCGTGAATAGAGAGAGAAACTGATTCAAAATGTCCGGGAGAGAGAGAGGGAACAGGAGGCCAAGATTCACGTCAGAACAAGTGTTCTGGTCTAATATAGACTCAAAGGAGTTAAAGTCAGTGTTCAGATGAGCAGCACAAGAGCATTAACAGGTACGTGTTGTACTTAAGTCATGAGCTGGAAATAAAGAACTGAAATTGACCTTTAGCTAATTATGTTTTATCTTCTATTAATCCACAGACCTTCATGTCTGATAGTAGCTATGCTTTAAGAGTTTCTTTAACCATCAATCAATGAATTTCCCTTCAATGGGGATAAAATTATTCTTATTCTTATCAAGAATTCTACTGCATAGATATAAACTGTTTTGTACTGATGTACAAAGTGAAACAATAACATATCAAATATCACAGAGAACCAACCTCTCTTCTCAGAACTTATTATCTACTTCATCATATAAACCCTTTAAGAACCTTTAAGGGTCTGTGTACACGACTAGAGACGAGCCTGAATCCCAATCTAACAAGCACTAGTGAAGAGATGGACACAGATATTTTCTGGATTGTGTCCCATGCGAAAGATCAGCCGATCACTGATCAACGTTACAGTTTTCTACAATCAGGATGAAGTCAATTGAAAACTGCACCACACTGACCTACAAGAAGGCTCTCTTCTGCTTGTTCTGGCTTTATAAATGGAAATGAACATTGAAACAACAGCACTAAAAAAAAGTCTTTTCTCCGTCACTCCCAGCAGATGTGGCTTTATAGTAACCTATAACATGTACGTAATGACAATAAATAAGAACAGACACACTGAAACAATCATCACTCTGGTGTTTCCTGATGTTTGGCTCCTATCTCCTCTTTTTTGATCTATCTATCATTTTGACAGAGTCAGTGGGTATCTTTGGGGAACTTTCATTTTCACTGAGACCTTTTAGAAAATATGAGGTCTCATTTTTGTTTAATCGAAACTGGAGGTTTTGGTCACTGAAATGAAGGTTTTCAAAAACACCTTCCAAGGTGGATTTTTGTGTGTTTTGTGGACAGCAAAAGCAAAACTTTTGGAAAATATAAACATCATCATGGTGACTGTTTAATATTTATTGCACATGTTCCAAGTTGGCGAGTTAGCGGTTAATGTCTGCTCAGGACTCGGGTTGATGCATGGGAAGATTGGCTTCATTTGACTCTGTTTCCCAGCACAGGAGTGGATAAATATTGTAATTTGAACATACTTCTGCATAACACACTCCATTTCTTCTTCAAAAAAAAAAAAAAAAAAGTGCAGCTACGTTCTACAAAATGTACCTTAAAGGGTTGAAAGTAACTCTGGATTTTAAAAAAATACCTCACAGCTTTTAAAAACCTGTTTGACACACGTCACTTATGCTGTTTGGATCATTTTGCAGACTGTGGGCGGGGCTAATTGGTTTTGATTGACATCTGTCCAGCCTGCTCACAACCTTGGCTCATGTGACAATTCGTGCAGAAGAGCTCTGACCCGTTTGCTAAGGTCGACAGAGTCACAGACAAAAGAAGATCTGAACTTATATAAGTTAGTCACTGCAAGGTAGGTTTGAAATGCTTCACTATCCATATAAGACACACATGCAAGCACATGTTTTGACTGATAGGTGAAAGCCCCGCCCCCTCTTCAGCACTGATTTCATAAAGATGATAAAATCATGAATTTGGACAACGAAACTTAAACACACACTGACAGCTGAGACACATTCACACATCAGAACATCAGTGTTATCATGCTCAGGTTGTCTCACTCTCTCTCTCTCTCTCTCTCACACACACACACACACACACACACACACACACACCACCAATCAATCACATGTTTCAGTTATGCAGATGAGAATACGTCAAGGAGCAAAGATCAAAGGGTTGTAGCTGTGTGTGTGTGTGTGTGTGTGTGTGTGTGTGTGTGTGTGTGTGTGTGTGTGTGTGTGTGTGTGTGTGTTTCATTGGAGGCAGCATGACTCATTAGCTTCCTTAGCATCATACTGATCCTGATCCCTGCTCATGTTATCTAATCCAGGCCTGCTGGCTGGCTGATCGTGGCTGACATGAGAAGAAGTCATCACTTCATAACGCCGCTGACTATGAGTGGCAAGATGCTTTTTATGATTCACTGAAACTTCAAATAAAGTATCAGATGCAGCTCTAAAAAAAAACCTCGACTGAACTACGGCTCAGAAAAATACGCCGAAGTCCAGATGGAGCAGTACGCAGTGAAAGTCTGAGGAGTTTTTAAGATCTGATCTTAATTTTGAAAACATGAGCGAGCCAGTTTGTGCTTCATGTTTACTGTCTTTGCAACGGTTGCATTTGTTAAGCTTCCCTCTCTAGTCAGCTCGCTTCATGATTGGCTAGTCAGTTGCACCATGTGATGATGGACATGCTCAGCCATTCTCAGGGCACCAGTATGTAAGAATTTCTGAACATAAATATTTCACATTAAATATTTACAGTTTTCATATTTACGAGGGTTCGATCGTCTTCCATGCAGATCAGGAGAAGAACAATCTGTCCTCGCACACCTCCCGCGACAAGATAATCCAGCAAGATTATCTTCAAAACTAACAGTTGATCAGGTCTTTACTAACATTTGTTGGAGGGGGTAACTGGGCTTAACATCGGCATGAATATCTAGCAATATCTACAAATTTTCAGTCAGACTAAGGCAATATATCACTTTTTTAAACAACCTGTAAAGATACTGACTGTGAGAGAAGACAGGGTTTATGGTTTGAAGAAAAAACATCCAGAAATAGAAATTTGTGAATAATATGCAGGCCTGTCTTGTAATTCTGCAGGACACAAAATGACAGAAAACAAGGTAAAAAGAAACATCAGAAGAAAGAGAGAAGTCCATCTGGAGTTTCAAATGAAACTGTTGGATCTGTTAGAGGTTATAAGGGCGACTGGCACAGTCAGTGTCAGTTTTAGAGCCTCTTACCAACACAATAGGCAGCCATAAGGAACCCAGCTGAGCCGGCCAACACCTGGAAATCCTGCGTTTTAGTTTTGTGAACAATCAGGCCGATCCGTGTGATCTGAAGAACAGAGAGACACAAAGGCAGAGAAATACATCAGGATGGTCGTCACTCCTCTCTGCTATCAGGACTAATAACTAGAGTGTGTTTTTTTATTTTTTTTAATCCCATGAGAGGCCGTCACAGGAGAAATAAGAAGACAGAGCCAACATCTCACAATGTAAACAAATCGCTCAAATCAAGACGAGCATCGCCTCTTCACATGGCGAAGGTTTTTGGGAAAGGGTGGGGGGAGGTTGGACGTTCAAGATCCAAAACAGGAAGGAGGAAAAAAGAGGAGGAGAAGTAGAGAGAGAGAGAGAGAGAAAAGACAAGTCCCATGTGAGGAATGAAAAAGGAATAAGCTTCAAAAGAGGAGGAGGGGGAGGAGAGGGGAAGGAGGATGGGAAAGCTAATGAATAATTAATGAGCTTCCTATTTTTTTTTTTTTTTTTTTGCCTCTTTTAATTCTCTTTTGTCAATCAGGATATGAAGCACCGAATCCGAAATAAACCTGAAATGTTCAAAGGGAGCGGAGATGACCAAGCGGCTGAAACTCCACAGGGAAACACACCTGCAGCCTTCAGTTTGTGTCTCCGCCGTTGTTACCGGGAAGGGTCTATTTTTAACCGCCTGAGTGTCAATCAGTTTCCTTGTATCAGTCATTTCAAACACGCAGGACTGTAACTAATCACTCAATCAGGTTTCAAGAGCTCCTGCTGCTCTCCTGAAAGCTCCAGTGCTATTTTGATACAACTCCCCAGTGGGAAAATAACAACGCACAGAGAGCTCTGTCTGCCCCGGTGACAGACAAACACTCATTAGCTTTTATTTTTCAGACTCTTGACTGTCGTTAGCCCGCAGTGCGCAACTTTAGAGCAAAGAGAAACCTGACCTTTCTCTGCAGATCCAGTCTTATTCACCCCCACCCTGGTCTCCTCTTCTGGCCTCAGGGCAAAATCATCTGAATTCAGTAATAAAATAATGAGGCGATGAAAGCAGCATGTGCTTCAGATATGCATACAGGTATCAGCTGTGCGCGGACGTGCAGACTTCCTTTGATAATTCAGCACAGGGCAGACCTCATCCAAGGCTTTTAGGATGCTGGTTTGGTTGTTTTGGTTGTTGGGTCAGTACAAGACTTGAGCTGGAGTTCATTACAGTGTTTGGATCAGTATCCCCAGAGGATAACTGGATGTTTGGCTTCATCCAAAAACCAGTACATTCCCGTATCAAGCACTACTTCCAAATGATGGGAAAGCTTCTTTAAAATGAAGTGAACCAAAGAACTTTCCATTAAACTCACAGAACCCACATTTCTTCTTAATGTTTTTGCTATTTTGCTCTTGAAAACTTCTCTTTGATAAGACAAGACACCCTGATGTGCAGAAACTGTGTTCACTTTGGCACTGAATTGATTTTCTTACATATGAAAATGACTGAGAAAATAAATTAAACCTTCCGTTCATTAGGACATATCTACCTCCTGTTCATTCTTAATTACAGAGTAGAGAGAACCTTGTGGATCTGGATTTACGTACAGAGGCTTTAACACTTTTGACACAGGTTTATGACTTACTGCAGTGAAACAGCAATAACATTATTAAATAGTTTTTGATATTATGTTGTGTGAAGGTGCACCTATTTCGAGGAAATCAAATGCAGATCATCCCTGGCTGTGGAAAAGCTGAATTTTAAAATAATGAAAGTTGAAAGATTTGCAATTAGTCTGACAGAGGAGTCTGTGAACACGGAGCCTTAAACTTCATTAAGCCTGTCAGGTTAATCGCCGCTAAGTTTTTCTAACAGTTGATGGGAAAAATAGCAGTGTTAGTGTGACTCTTGTCATGTCACAATTAAGTGCTATTTTTCTGGCGTGAGCCACAGAGGCAGAAATATAAATGTATGCGGGCTCTCTTGGTAGTAGGCATTTTAATTATTTCATTTTAAGAGATGTTAATTGTTTGGATTGAAGAGACAGTTTGAATGTAGTCGGCATGCTGAGGAGGCAGTGACACCTCTGAGGCGCAAAGTAAAAAAAAAAAAAATGGAGTGATAAAAAGCCGGATGTGTGCGCAGCAGTGTGGGAGGAGGAATCAGATTGGTGCAGATTAGGTGAGATGAGATGAAACTTTAATGATCCCTGAGGAGAGAGCTGTTAATACAGCACACCTCTAAACTTCAGGACCAGAAAGTTGTTCAGCGGAGCAGAGTAAAACTACTAGAACTGTTTCTCTTTGTCTTACAAAGAGATCAGACGTGAGACGATGCAGTTGTCTCAGGCTGCACCCAAACATCAGTAGAAGATAAGCAGAAACACAGACAAAAGAAAGCATGGTTCAGAGGAGACCAGACAAGAACATTTCAGCATGTTTCAGACTACCAGTTCAGCTTAGAAAAGGACATTTGCAGCTTTGAGAACCGATACCCAGGAACGATCAGCTTTGAACTTGAGGTCAGGTTTTACATCCTCTAAACAAAAGAGCTGTGGGTCAAGAAACACTGAAAAAGCAAACACACGAAATATGAATGATTTGAGTTTCTGTACTGATTCATTCATAAAACTAATTTCAATGTATGTCAGAGTCAGTTTCATCAGCACCTTTCACTATTTCTCAGTTATTCAAGTACCAGGTCTGATTCAAGCCACTGAGCATTTTTTGGTCTAAAAGAGGTCTAATAGACGTCTAAATGTAGCCTAGATGACTGGTCTAAAATCAGGCTGCCACAGGTCTAAAAATGAACATTTTTTAGATGTCTAAATTTAGACCAAGTTTAGACCAAGTCTAAATCTGGGCTACATCTATACTACACTGTATATTGCTCAACAGCTATCCTTATAATTTTGGTGACGTACTTGGAGATCAGTTTTGCAACTCACAGTTATAAATAAATACTTGTTGAATAATGGGTTAAAATGCAACGTCTAAATTCCATCTGAAAAATACAGAATTTTGGAAATTAGGTCTAAAAAAAAAACACAAAACTAGACATCGAAGAGCCGTCTATTGCTCAGTGGGCAAGCTGCTGTATGCCCCCCCCCCCCCCCCTTTTATTTTTGAGCTGTGTCTGTATATTAGTGATTTTTTAAATATCAGCTTTGTCTCTAGGGCTGTTTGTTTTATGTCGTTAGCTCCACTTAGCATTGATCAGCTTAGAGCCACTTATAAAACATGGCCTGCCTCAAACTGTCACACTCGATCAAGTAACATGAACAATTGTCCACAGGGAAAGGGTACCTGGATTTCATTCCATCAGAAAAAAAGCAGGAATGATAAAAAAAGACTCAATAAAGCTTTCCAAGAACCAGTTTGATGTAATTCTGGATCTGTCAGCGAGGGTTTCAGGCCGGTGTTAGACAATTTAAACTTGGTCTGCAATCCTCTCCATTCTCTTCTCTTCTCAACATGCAGATTTACAGTCTGGTTACATGTCCTTCAGCTTCTGCAAACCCTTTTCACATCTACTTTCAAATTGAGCAAGACTCAGTTCCAACTACCACCACCCGGGCTTTAAGTGTAAGATGACTGCAAAATAGCAGGATGTGACTGCTGTGTTTCTCCCTCCCCTGTTCTTTCTCCAACTTGTCTGCCTTCCTCAAATTGACCCTTCACCCTTTGTTTTCTGTGTTTGGCCTCTTCACGCCTACATTTGAGCCGGGCTGCTCTGTGCTTGAACTCCTCCCACGCTCCTGTCTCCCAGCGAGTGGACAAACATGTTACTTCCTAAACAGAAATCCATTTGCAACTTCTTGCAAACACCTCGCCCACAGACGAGAAGGTTTTAAGAGTTCGACAAGAGCAAAATGTTCGCTTTTTTTTTCAAGTAACTAACCCTGTCTACAACCCTGCAGGAGGAAAACACACACACACGCACACACACGCTTACTGTATATATATACTTTAGTTTTAGGCTGCTCACTCTCTTCTCAACAGCTACTTTCCATAATGTCAGCTGCACATACAAACAAACCACTTGCATTGCTTTTTCTTATAAATATGCAGCTTTCCAAGACCCTAACATTACTGCCACACCATGATGGATGTCTTGCAATCCCTCTATCAAGTTTACATCTGGAAACAAAGGCTGGTAGGGATTTAATATTTTCAGAGTTTAAATAACACGGTTCACAATCAAGCTTCAAAGGAGAGGAGAGGCGGCCTTTAAAAACTGATGTTACCCTGCCTAATACCTCAGTTACATTCCCTCCTTTTTTGGTAAAAAATGCTTTTATTTTGATAGAATGCACAAGAAACTTCCCCTAAATGGTAAAGTAACTACAGTAATTGTTGTTGCGTTAAAATTTAATCAACATTTTACAATATGAATCACGTGTTTGTTTGGTCTCACGTGATTATCAGATTTAGAGAAATTAAAAAACACAAGCTCTTTATGTTTAATTTTAGATTTGTTGGCCTAAAGTTGATTAAATTAAAAAAATCTAGCATCTCAAAATATCAGAAAATTCTACTAAATTACTCAAAGTATCCTCCTGAGGTTAAGCTTAGGAGGTTGGCCAATCAAGCAGAGAACTATCAGACTCAGTCAACTATTTGGTCATAGTTTTGGCGCTGTTGGCAGGCGCAAAGTCTCGCAGGAAAGGAGATCAACAACAGTCACAAGTCTTTATCTTCATAACACCAAGACAAAGGTTTGTATTTCATTAGGATGAGGACTAAAGCCACTCACAAACAATTTTTCCAATGCCTCCGTCTTTTCCTACTCTCCTCTCCCTGCTCTCCTCTCTCCACCTGCGACTGCCTGAACAACTGTCCTGCTGTAGCCTGACACTCTGGAGATACAGCAGTCCTCGATGACCAAACTTCTTCTCACTCCTGAACTTTGCTTCTCATCGTTCTGAGCCAATGACGATTAAGTCTGAGGGGAAGGGCAGCACTCTTTGCTGTTCAGGAGGAGCGAGCCCAAACAGGGCAGGTGGTTCAGTAATCATGTAATGTGGATTGTGTTGCTGTCATGATGGCAGAAAGCCAAAATCATCATTGAAAATCACCCAGTTAGGAGTGAAGGTGTTTCTTACGTCTCCTCCGCTGTCTTTCAAGCCGAAGATGTTTGGATGCTGAGCGAGCTCCACAGTGGCGTCCAGCGGCAGCTCCAGGCCCGTGTTAGCCGGCACGCTGTACAGAACCACTGGCACTGGGCTGCAGTCTGCCACCTGAAGAGGGAAGACACAGAATAACACATCTATGACAGCTCTTGTTCTATTTTCAAGCCCTCTTCCTCTAATCCTCCTCACAAACTCTCAAAATATGAAACAAATCCATCCATGTAGCCGCCTGCTCTTCTTCGGGTGTACCTTTGACTTTAGAGCAAGTTCGCTGCAAAGTCATTAACTGACAACTTATCATTTACCTTTGACGTCACTTTTGGCAGTTTGGACCACAATTTTTTGGTTCACCCACAATTTTATCATTTTTCTTGTACCACTGGGTTTGCTTTCTTCAGTTAAATTGGTCTCTAACAACCTTCTCACTGCATCACTGCAGCTGCAAATCAGCAGAGGCTCAAAGTCCTGTATACGTTGCATCGGTTGCACTGTAATTAGATGTAATAATGCTCCCATGTGTTATTCCTGTCAAATAAAATTATGAAGAAATAAGAAAAAAGGGGAAAAGCTGTTCACTGAAGTGTGTGTCAGACCTTTGTGAAGTGCTGGATCAGAGCGCGGCTGTCCATCTTCCCCTTATAGAAGCAGGGCGTCACCACCAACACAGCATCTGCTCCTGCTGCAGCCATCTTCTCCGTGAGCTGGACGGTGGCTCTGGTGGCTGAGCAGACAAAAGAAAGTGTGAAACTTTTAAAACCTGACACATTTTCATTTGAACCTTTTTTCATTCCACAACAAACCTTTTTTTTTCTATCAAGAAAAGAGCTAAAAGACTGGAGACAGAAATCACAGAGAAGCTCAGGGCGGCAGGAGGATTCATGCGTCTCATTCTGCACTGCCTGTATCTGTTTGTTCTCTCCCTTCAATGTGTTTCTATAGTATACTGAAGCTTGTATGTTCTCATAAAGCATGTGTGCCCTCATTTTCAAGGCCTCCATTTATACCCTATCGACTACGTCTTCCTCCTCCTCCTCCGACTGAAGATACTAAATACAACAACCTTGGCTACCATTATTCACTGTGCACCTACAGCAAAGAGGAGAAAAGATGGAAAGTGTGAACATCAGTGAAAACAGACCTTGGATTAAGTTCTTCCATCAGCAGCACTTAAGGGATTAAAGGCCAAACAGGACTCAGATTATCTCTGGAATAAAAATGCATATGTTCCCCTGAATATTCATTGAATAAACGTGAGTAATTATTGATGAAGGAAAGAGTGCAGTAGCTTTTTCTCTCTTCTCTGAAAGGAGGAAGAGGTTATTAATGCTTCGCCTCTCCCTTCATTATGTCCTATAGAAGTGAGCGGCCCTTACAGTTGTTACAGACTCTATTTGACTTCAATTATAAAGCCATACAAACTAATGACATCAGCCGACCATCCTGATGAGCTGAAAATGAAGGTCACTAAAGTCTAGATTGGAAACATAGAGTCTATATAAGCTCAACGCAGGAAAGTAGACTTTTACAAAGTACATGCATCAGTCTCACCTTTGTCTGCAGCTCCCTCTATTCCCTCTCTAAACCCAGCTCAGTTTCAACAGATGACTGTCTAACATGAGCCTGGTTCTGCCCGAGGTTTCTGCCTGTTAAAGGAAGTTTTTTTCCTCTCCAATGTAACTTGCTAACTTGACCTTTGCTAAATCCAAAATCTCTGCTGTTAGGATTCTCCCCGGTTAGCCAAGCAGCATGCTAAAGGTTTGCAGCCGGCTGAGTGCAAAGCCCCCACTGGTACACAGAGTGACCTTCAGTGTTAGATTTCAATGACCAGGATGTAGGATTTCCACGTGTATTAGAGACGTACATTCACATCCAGATCCGGCCATCAGCAGCTTGCCTGCAGGTAGAGATCTTCTTACTGTCCTCACCACCTCCACCCGCTCCTCTTCAGTCAGGTACGGGTACTCGCCATTGGAGCCCTGAACCACCAGACCTGCAACACAAAACACAAAGTTGTAAAAAGTTAAAAATAAAAGAGTAAATGTTAATTAAGCAGCTAAAACTCTTCTTTTACAGAACAAAACCTAAAAACAATCCTTGACCCTGGAATAATGATACTTTTTATTTGTGTGTCAATTTGGGTTTGCCCTGTTTTTAACGTGTTTGTTTGTATTGTATTTTGTAATGTTTATTTGTATCTGCCAGGCTGCAGAAAATAACCAAAAATAAAGAATAAAAACTTTCAATCATGTTTAGTTTAAGATGTAGTCTGCAAGTAGGGGAGAGTGGGGTAAGTTGTGCCACCCCCTGTTGCTTGGAAATGGTAAAAGAAATTGATCATGTGACCAAATATTTAGGAGATGGCCATCAATTCATGGAGTCTGTGTAGGTTAGAAGTACATGGGTGAAGGGGTGAGATATTTATTTCCCAAAAAAACTTTTTATTACTCTTAAAGTGAAGTTAGTCTGTCATAAGTTTTATTAGAATTGTGTTCAGACCAAAAAAGATCATTTTAAATCAGTTGTGGTATCTACGAGCGACAACATGAGGTCAAAAACCTAACATAAAAGTCCACCATTTTAGTTTAGAGGACTAATAAAGTCATAATACTAGTTCTGGTGTAATAGATAAAAACACACATGAATGTAAAGAAGTGACTGTTATTTAGGGAGAGAGAAGGTGCAGGAGGACTGGGGTGGAGAGTGAGGGGATGGTAGGGATACGGCTCAACTTACCCCGCTCCTATGGTCAACTTACCCCATACACGGGGTAAGTTGACCATAGGAGACCACTTTTTTTGTCATGCTATATTATCAAGACAGTTATGTTTACACTCATTCTGTTGGTTTGCAGGGATGCACACCATCTTGAAATATATACAGATACACGAGTTAGAGACAAAATTATGATTGCCTTGATGTAGTGCTCTGAAATATAAAAAAAGGGCTCATCTTTCCCCACTCTCCCATACTCATAACAAACAGCACCACAAGCAGTCAGTCCTGTCTGATTCCTGGAAAAAAACACATCTGTGATACCTTTGAAAAACCACTAGAGGGCAACAAACACCTGCAAAACAAAGAGGATTTTTCGTTTCTCCCTCCCGCTGGACTTTGTCCTGCCTCTGAAGTCCCTAACTGAGCAAATACTTAAGGCTGGTTATTGACTGACAACCAGCAGGTTTCGCATGTCAGAAAAGAATTCAAAGTTCTATCACGGGTTCCACCAAAGCTACACGCAAAACATCACTTTATTAAAAGTTTTCCCACTTTCCACAAACTCACGCATATTTATTCTGTCTCGGATGACACAGTAAAGTTGAACTTGAATTATCTTCATATACACTAATTGGATCCCTCTGCATTTAACATTCAGCTTTGAGACCTTGTGAGAATTAAGTTGTTCATGTATCTCAGCTCTGACCTTTAAACGGTATCTGTGCATACTTCTGCAGGTTTTCCTCCAGTTTCTGATAGTCCACGTCCTCTTTGTCGGTAAACGGGGTGCCGATAGGCGGGTAGATCCCGCTGAGGTCCAATCTGGCTGCAGACGAGTAGTTGAGAGTTTGTCTCCATGCAGACAGGTGAGCTCCTCTGCCCAGGGGGCTCAGAGCTCTCCATACCCGGGCGCAGAGCATAATGAGGCGGACAGAGAGACCGAGCAGCTCGTTGTCTGTGTGCTGGGACTCTGTGCAGCTGTTTGCACCTGAAGAGGACTGTTAATCACTAACCTGCTCCTGTAAATATTCACTAGGTTTTTGGGGGGGTTTCTGATCAGCTAAAAATTGTCCCAGATGACCCGTGTAGAGGAGGGTTTATTCAGTGGCGTTGTCTCTGCGGACAGACAGCCTTTAAACCCGTTTTTGTTCCACTGTGTTATCAAGATAGATTCACTTACTTCGGTGACAGGTTAAATCATAAGACTGGTGTGCGTTGGAAGACGAAAAGTTTGATAGAAACTCCATATTTTAACTAAAACCACACTGTGCCCACGAAGTTGCTAGCAGACGTTTACAAAGAGATAGCTCCGCCCACCAGAGTTAGGGGATCATCCCTCAACAGTCAGTCCCAGGTAGGGGCCATAGACTGTATATAGAATATGTATAGTTTATAGTGGACACATGAGAATCAGAACTTGACCATGGAGCAAAGACAGGAGGGGACCTGGAGGAACACAAGAAGTTCAATTCATCACTCCAAATCAAGCTTAATGTTTGTAAATGTGAGCCTGCAAGCTCTTTTAGCTGTTTCTGCAGCCCTCAGAGAAATCATCTGCAAGTCTATCATTTACACAGTGTCCATATTCTGACTCTGACAGGTGTCTAAACAAAAGGGTCAAAGTGCAAAGCCAATGGTGTTTGAAGCATCATGTCCCAATTGTTTGCACACTGCATGCAAAGTATGTTCATTATGATAAGGGAAGTCTTTAAAGAACAGAGATTTAACATTTGGTACACGTGTCAGATGTAAAACCACTTAGAAGAGTCCCTCCAGTTCAGAGAGACTTGAGATTCATTTTATTTCTCTGTATTGGACATAGTTGACAATGGCTATTTCTTGGTATATGTTCTGTGTTTGCACAGAGGTTTGCACTGTTGGATTTTCATGCTCCTTTTTTATTCATTCATTTATCGGTGCAATTGTGAATGCAGTTGAGAAAATGCAACACTTGAGTCAATGAGAAACTTGCTAAGGGGAAAATAAAGTATCTCATATCGTCACACGTTGTATCGTTTCATGTTGTGTCATTTTGTGGTCTAAAGCAGAAAGAAAAGTAAGAAGGAGAAAGAGAAAAAAATATCATAAAAGTGACTTTCAATCATACTAATGTCCACCACCAAAGACACACGATAAAATATAAACAAAAAGTGGCATGTTGTCCACATCCCACCGACTCCATTCATCTCTGAAATACTAAATTCTCAAAGTCCCCAAAATGCTGCAGTGCTAAAGTTCAGCCATGTGTCATTACAAAGGGTTTCAAAACTCTTCTGTTTCCATTTCAGCCAAGTTTAAGGTGCATTTACAAGGGACTCAACACATCCTCCAGGTAGATCAACAGGTTATTGGATTAAAATTGATGTGGAAATCTGAGGCCCTCTAGTGGACGGTGACAGAACTATAGCTCAGTAATTCACTGTACAGAAGGAATAGAAATCAACACGTACCAGATTTTTTTAACCCAGCATCCCAGCATCAAGCTTCTGAGCCTCAGCTGTCACAGGTACTCGGGATCACCCAGATGAGTCCATCTGCCAGAGCTGTGGGCCAAACAGCATCAATCCAGTCATCCCAAAGTGATCCTTAACACTGACCACTGTAAGCACCCCCCTTGACGTCCCCACGGATGATCTGAGGGAGCAAGGCATGGCATGGGGATCATTTCACCTCCTATCAATGAGCTGAACACTAAGATCTGTTAGCAAATATATAGGAAGCAGATGGAATACGAAACTAAACCAATTAACGAAAACATGATGGGAAAAGGCGGTTTCAACTACGCGACACAGTCGACAAAACATCTCCCTTCCATTCCATGCACAATTTTGGCTAATTTACAACTGCTTCAGCGTTTTGAGGGTTGGTAAACAGCCCCACACAGCGTTGTCTCACATACCACAGTTCGTCTGTTCACCTGAGCAAAAGCCTAATAGTTATGACTATGAATAATTTTTGGGTGATCTGTTGCTGTCTGTCGCAGAAGGCAGACACCATAGACACCGCGCCACATACAGTGATCAGCCCAATGTTTCTAGTCCACCGCAAATTAATTCGGGATCTCGAGAGAACAGGGTAAAAAAAAAATTTAATAAACCATGTTCGCTCAGGGCTTCCGTAGCTTCCCGTAGGAAACACACCCATTAAATAAAATTCTGTTTTCAATTCAAAATTTCAGTTAAGATAGTTTTGTATTATTATTATCAACATAACAACAAAAATGAAATATTTCTCAATTGCACAAATCCTTTCATAGAAAAAAAAAACACTTTAGTTATTTATCTTGTGCAAGAACAGGAAAGACACTTTTTAAGGTGCATAATCTCCATCTCCAACATAAAAACAATAAAATAGAAACTTTGATTTCTCAATTGCACAAATCCTTCAATAGAGCATTAACAAAACACCTCCAGAAAATCCAGTTATTGCATCAGGAAAGACACTTCTTTAGGTGCAGATTCTCCACCTCCAACATTGCAAAAGACAATCAACCCTGTCTGAGACATGCTCCTGAAATTCTGAGGGCCATTTTGAGAAGGGCCCCCAGATCCTGAGGTTTCCTGAAGTATTGAGGTTTACGAAAAAACTGATATCTCAGCCTCTGTAGCAAATAGAAACAGAATTCAAAAAGTATTTGAGAGCTTACACATGTGGCTTTCAAGCACGCTATCTTTTATTTTTCTGAACCTTCACCACATTATTGAAAACCTTGAACAAACAATCTCAAATGAAATAAAGCGGCTGTATAAATAAAAGTAAAGGCACTGGAGAATGACCAATAATTTGCTTTCTGTAAAACAAGTGGCAGTCATGATACACTGTCAATACAAATGTAAATATAAAAAATAAAGTGTTGAAAGGGTATGCAGCTGCCCCATATTAGTGCCAGTACAGAAGCAGCTCTAAAAACAAACAAATAAGTGTCTGATAGTGTGTATCTCTGTGCTCACCAAAAGTCATGCAACACTCACAGGAAATGCCGATAGTGTAAGCCAAAGACCTCAATATGAAGAGGTTGTTCACACTGCTGGATGTTTCTCCTCCGAAGCTGCTCTCTGCCTCCGTCTTTGTTTACTTTACTCATAAAGCAGTAGCAAGATCCGAGCATGAATCCGATCGCCTTTTTAGCCTATCAGATTCAGACGGGTCTGATGGTTTGATTTAGCCTGGCTGGGCCATCCTGTTGCGTGAATGACTTGCCGTTCCTTCCCATAACAAGTGATCCCACGTCTTATCTAGAAACTATAAAACATTGTAAAAACACTAAAGCTATCAAAACTAAAAGAATATGTGATGAATACATAAATGATTTATAACCTCGAGCATTTTCTTTTCTTTTTAGTTTTTTGTTTGAATTGATGCCTATAAGATTGTTTTGTGACTACCTTTTGTCCTTTGGTTTGTATTTGTACTGTTAATATGTGTCAATAATAATTAAAAAAAAAAAAAAAAAAAAAGTGATCCCACGGCAAGTGATTCACGCCCAGCCAGGCTAGTTACCCGGTTCGCCCGTGCCAAGGACCGCTACTGCTTAGGTAAGCCAACTTTAGCATTAGTTTATCAACTTTAGCATTGCAGGGGGGGTTTACGGGAACTTTACACTCGGTCAAAGATTTATTGAAAATACTGATTCAGCTCACATTTATTTCTCCGGTAATTTTGTTCCCGTTGTAGACGTTGGTCTGCTTCAACCGTCGCCTGCCTGATGAAACCAGTCGAAGAAAAGTTAGACAAATAAACTAGCTAGCTAGTTTCCATTATGTTATTTAAATGTAGCGGTAGTTTTAGTAGTCCTTAGCAGAGTCAAAGTAACTTGACCACTCTGTAGAAATAGCCTAATAATAAAATAAAACGATACCGATATTTGACTGAAAGGTATAGAGTTGTAGCATTACTTGTAAGATGCTTACGTTTGTTTACTTCCAACAACTGCTCAACAATGACAGTGACTAGGAAAGCCATGTTTATTAAAATTAACCTTTGCACTACAGTGTGAATCAAACTGATGAGCAAGAAAAGCAGCTTTATACTGTATTTTGGCTCTGTTTGCAAGTAATATCACCTCAGCCTTCTTTGGGGTTCCAGATCAGGTTGACGCTTTCAGGATCCTGTAGTATGATGGACAAGCAAGAGGAGGATAGACAGCAGCCAGGGGATCAGTCAGCCATGCCCACAAAAAACAAGGATCAGGTGCAGGAGCAGACTCATGTCTCGGAGAATGACAGTGATAATGAGTCGGACACTGATCTGGAAACAGGCCGTAGGTGCAAATGAGATGTTTTTTAAGATACGTGCATTATCTCCAAAGCCCTCACCCCTTCCCTCTTTTTGCTTTTTTTGTCCCACTTGCTTACAGAGGCGACCAATCAGCCAAAGAGCTTGTCTCAAGCTGAAATATACCTGCGGGCCTGCTCGCTGACAAAGACCGCTCCCATCTCTGCCTACCTCCGCCTGAACGAAGCAGATCTGATACTGAACCATTATGGCGTGGGGCCTCGAGGGGCTAAAGCACTGGCCATAGCTCTAAAAGTAAGCGCATCAAAACTTGTCATTTAAGTTCAACAGAAAAAGGTGGAAAATGATGGATCACGATTTCATTTCTGTAATTTCTTTTTAGCAAGGTTGGTCAAGTTATATTCTTTTGCAGAGCTTTTAATGCAGTTTACAAACAAAGACAGAGAAGGAGAGGAAAGTGGAACTGATGTTCCATTCTTAATTTATCTGTAGTTTTTGTTTCTTTGTGTTCTAGACTGATAAAATGGTCACTAATCTTGAGCTGAAGGACAGCAATATTCAAGTAGAGGGGGCACGGTATTTGAGGGAGATGCTTAAAACGAACTGCACCATTGAAAGAATTGTAAGTATCCTATTTACACTTGCTACACTTTCTACATTAATTTAGTACTTACCCAAGTACACAGATACAACACACAAATAAGACAACATGGTGTTTGTGTCAAAAGGAATAATATCTTTTTGAAATTTAAAATAAATGGCATCATGTCTTTGCTTAAGAACCTTTCCAACAACCAACTTGGCCTTGAAGGAGCGCGAGTCATCTGCGACATGCTGTCAGACAGTATCTACATCAAATCTATCAAGTTATCAGGTGATTAACTCTGTCTTTTACCTCACAGGATATTTTGTATTCTCTTATTTTGGACAAAAACACTCTTCTTTGGACAACTTTATCCTTTATCCCTTTAGGAAACCTTTTTGATGACACTGCAGCAACATACTTCGCTGATACTTTGGAGGTCAGGACAAAAAACTGGATGTTCAATCCATGTTGCTTCAAAACCATTTTTTTCTGCAAAGGGATTTTCTCACTTAAGAGTGCATGAAGCATTGGTGTAATATTTTCTTTCTTCACAGTATGACTATTTTTTGAAAGAGCTGGACCTCAGTCACAACAAATTCTGCGAGAGAGGAGGAGAGCACTTGGGTCGTATGTTAGGTAAAGTACTGGTAATTAATTTTAGTGATGTTTGTACTTTTGTTCTAGTGTGCTGCTGATACCAAGTTCATTTAATTTACTAGTTGAATAATTAGTATTTTGTATATGGGGCTTGTGTGAAACAAAACTCACAAATATTAAGAAACAAGCTAAGTTCTTTTAACCCTCTTGAGAATAAAAAGTGAAAGGATGCATGAGCGGATGTGGATTTTTCTCCCCAAAGCACTTTTTCGGACAAATTGTGGGAATTGAATTCAAGCCTCTGGCTATTTAGTTGATATTAAGCATATAATTGTAACTATTTTGGCACTCAGCTTACCATACTTTAAGGAAACAGACTTGATAGCCCTTGAGAACCACTTTTCCAGTTTTGATTTTGTTTTTCTATCAAAGGGAGCAGGCTAGGCTACATACATTCCCAGAAATTTGTACCTTTAATCTCTTGTTATTTGGGCAAAAAAAGTGAAAGTCAGAGTGTCTGTATCTCTAATAATGACTAAAGTGTTTCTGATCTGACTGAAAAGTAAACATCTTGTAAGTGTTTAACAATGCAAGATTCAAACAAACCCCTAAAACACGAAAAGCCTTAAATTACTTAGAAATGCAAAACAATAAAGGTCTGCAGAAAAGCAAAAAGACCACTGGCGCTTCCCTACACTTCCATAATTCTACAATGTTGGGTCAGGATCTAAAGGGCAAAGAAAATCTGCTCAATTGAACCTCTAATACGATCTAAATTGGGTTATTGTTTGTGCAAATCTAGCTGTACAAGAACAAACAAGAAGTGTGCAAAGTAACAGACAAGTTTTAAACCCAGAGTGTGTAACCATCCTCAGTCATCTGTGAATTATGTATTTTTTCACAAACTGACATCCCCTTGCTCTACTAGCCACAGGATCACACTGCAAAATGAGGGGTTAGCGAATTGGTCTAAACCTTAATCTATCTGATGCACTTGCTTTCATAACCTCTTTGCCAAATATTAATAATTTACCACAACACCATGTTTTGAAAGAGAAGTTAGATTGGATTTTAAAAACAGATTTTTTTCTGGATAAAAATATAAACCAAAAAAAAAAAAAAAAAACACTGATCCTGGATTGAAAGCTGCAATTTTGTCTTTCATTTGAACAAACAAGTAGATATCTAAACTCAAACACAAGATCTACCATGTGTTTAGATTTTTCAAGAAACTAATTTCAGTTTAGCTCTAAAATATCTGTCTAGTTTGTTGGAAAATATTTTAATATTTCATTGCATGTCAAGTGTAACTTTTCCTCTAATGTCTCTAAAGCCAAGAATGAGGGCATTGAAGTCCTAAATCTAAGCTATAATCACCTTGATAAGAGCAGTGCAGTGGGATTGTGTGCTGGGCTGAAGGTAACAAACATCTCAGACTAAAAGAATATCCTTCACAGTTGAATTTTTGCTGAGTTTTCCCATCATATTTGCTGTCCATCATCTTCTGATTCCTTCAGGACAACTTCCATCTCATGCAGCTCCAGCTCTCACGGAACGGTTTTGGACAAACTGAGGCAGAATTACTGAGTGAGGCACTGAAACAAAACCACACCCTGGTTTTGCTGGACCTTAGTTGGAACCTTTTAGACGATCAGGCCATGGTGCTTCTCTGCCCAGGCCTCACCACCAATGACACCCTCAAGATTCTCAAGGTGAGCACTCAAACCTCCCTCACTGAGATTTCCTGATGTGTTTGAACATTGTGATTTTGAAGGCTTTGCACTTTTTATTCAAGAAATTTGACTGTTTTTTTGTTGTTGTTCAGCTCTCCCACAACCGCCTGCGGAACACTGGAGCTCTTACACTGCTCAGAGCCATCCAAAAAAACATCAAATCAGCGTTGGAGGTGATTGATTTTTCTGTACGTGTAAGGAATGAAGTTAAATGTGAATCTTGTTTGTAAATATGTGGTGATTAAATCTGCCTCTGTAACACAGAATGTGTTGGTACATGAAGACTTCGGGGAGCTGTTGGAAGAAGTCCGTCAAACCCACCCTGCTTTGGATATTAAGTACACCATGTTGGACTCAGTCATCAAAAACTTATCTGCTCTCCAGATCTTTCAGGTCAGTGGGGGGGGGGGGGGGGGGATTTTTAAACACCCGGTAGGGGATGTCAAATATTCACATATATGATATTGTACACTGTATTTCCAAATTTAAGAAAAGGATGAATGCCATGACCCTATAAATAAGAAACTTCTGCCTGTTTGTTCTTAAGGCCTCCAAAGGGTGTGAGGAGATAGGTCTGAGCTAAGTAGCAGAGAAAACGGCCTTTTTTTTTACATTTCTTAGACAAAATATTCAAAACAATTGGTACATTTGATGGCCAAATGTCAGCGAGATGAGATAGTTGTCAAAAGACACTTGTTATTTTGTAGAAGACAATGTAAGCAAGGATGCTTTGACATCAGGAAGGCACCAAAATAAACACCAACTGAAAGTTCCTCACAGGAGCCTTAACAACAAATTTTAGATATGAAAATATGGTCAAATATTCTCTTAAGATCAAGTAAGTGTATCTAAGAAGAAATTTCCTCCTCTGAGCTGTTGGTGAATGATGATTAATTTCAATCTTCACAGAAATTCTTTGACGAACAAAATGTGAGCATCATGGACTTCTTCAAGGGTTTAGATAAAGAGGGAACCCTGCAGGTCTCCAACTCCACTTTTAGGAAGGCTGTAAAGGTCAGGCTAACTAGTAGAGAACTGAGAATTACACTTCTCAGCCACAGTATTTGAATATTCATTTTATTGAAAAATGTTCATGAAAATGGTGTTTTCATTCTTACAGGAAGCTAAGGTACCTGTGGATCGACGACAGCTTGAGTGGATCATCAGGAAGTTTGACAAAGACTGCACAGGCACCATCCTCTACAGGTCAATGCGCAGACTAGTTTGAGGGCCAATATTTCTAAAGTTGTCTAAAGCATGCACAGAAATACATTTACAATTTCACTTTGGTCCATCAGGGAAACTTTTACACTCTTACCTGATCTCAAAAAAGTATCTGCATGTTCTTCAGTGACTGTAGCTCAGTCGATGTGATTTTTATTCAGTCAAAGTGACTGTTTGCATCCTAGTCTTTAGCCTTGTCCTGGTTCTGATCATATTTGGGACATGAAAGCATTAAACATAAAAAAAAAAAAACCCAGATTTTTTCCCCCAAATTGTCCAAATATGCATGTACCATAATCGCTGATAATCTTCTTCCAGACATGTCTTGATTTCTCTCCTTTTCAGTCATTTTATTTGTACTGACACAACAAGGATGATCAAAAATTTGATCAGATTTCTAAATGTCACACTCTCCTGGTTTCTGTTGTAGTTGTCTAGGAAAGAAATCTGAATTATGGTACCAGAATGATGTTTACATGCGTCTTTTAAAGTCAAGATACTTTAAATCCCGATCACAACATGCACTATTCAAATGAGCTTTGTGTGAATTCTTATGGCAAATGTGCAACTTGGTTTTTTTACCTTTGCTCTGTGTTGCAGTACGTTTGCTGAGCTGTCATAGCTTGTGGTGGGAGCAGAGGAGTCTTCCTGAGTCTTCTCAATGATTTTAATGATTTTATTAATATTTACATAAAAATATTCATATATTTTATTTTGTATTTTATTTTAATATATTGGAATGTTTTATATGATGTTTTTATTTATTCTATTGTATTTGGTTCGAATGTACTTTTAACTTTTAATTTTATTTTCAATTTTAATCTTTCATCTTTTATTTTGTAATGTTCCGTATTTCCATGCATATTGTAAGGTGACCTTGAGTGCCTTGAAAGGTGCCCTAACAAATAAAATGTATTATTATTATTGTTATTATTACATTTTCTGTTTATGTAAAGCACTTTGTGCTACATCTCATTGTATGAAAAATGCTATTCAAACACAGTTTGACTGATTGATTGCTTGATTAATTGATTGATCAATTGATTGACTGATCTTAAGCCATTATACTGATATCTCTCATTCTATATGGAGGACATCCTGACTTTCCAACAAGCAAATGTGATGGGATGTTACTTGAAGTTCTTCCTTTTTCCTACTGAAAAAAAATTTAATCTGAGTGAGTGTTTTTTCCCTGTTTGTAATGAAAATTTTACTTAATATAAGCCATTTTCACTTGACAAGTCTAGATGATTGTTTTTAAACAAACCAAACTAATATAAGACATGAAAAGCTGCTTAAAATCTGTAGAGAAGAATCTGTCCGTGGGAAAGAAAAGCGTACTCTTTAAGTCTCTTGATGTAAGAGATTAGTTGACGGAAATACAAATGCTTTGTTTGATTAAGACACTTTAAGACAGCTAACTGTGGCTATCTGTGGCTAAACTATCAAGATTCACTGTGACTCCAGAAACATTACTAAAGCCTGTGCCTGTTAAAGTAAAAGGAATAAAAGAAACAAAGAATACCCAAATTTACCCCAACCCAAAGTTAGAAGAATACTCAAATCTACCCCAGCCCAACCCCTCATCCCCACCCCACAATCTAATTGCAACAGTAACAGTATTAAAATGCATAAACTTAATGCTTGATTTCGTGGAAACAGGAATGTGTGCACTGAGGAAACATCATTTTAAAACTCAAGATAAGGAACTGAAGGTTTAGGTTATAGTCTAAAAACAAAGAAACTTGGAATGAAATTTAAGAAATTATAAATAAAATGAAATAAAAACAACAGTAAAAGATACTAAACTAAGAGCACCAAAATAAAAGACGATCCTGTGATTAAAACTAAAATAGATAAATGCTAAAACACTTCAACAGAGTTAATGATACAAAATTTAAAAGTTTTGTCTCTAACTAGTGTATCTGCATATATTTCACGATGTTGTGCATCCCTGCAAACCAACAGAATGATTGTAAACATAACTGTCTTGATAATATAGCATGCCAACAAAAGTGGTCTCCTATGGTCAACTTACCCCAAGTGTAGGGTAAGTTGAGCCTAGTCCCTACTACCCACTCTTTCACCCCAGCCCTCCCTCACCTTCATTACAATTATGACTTTATTAGTCTTCTAGGCTAAATTTGTGGACTTTTATACTAGGTTTGACCTCCTGTTGAAGCTCATAGATACCACAATTGATGAATTGATGCCCATCTCCTAAATATTTAGTCATATGGTCAATTTCTTTTACCATTTCCAAGCAACAGGGGGTGGCTCAACTTACCCCACTCTCCCCTACCACAACAAACCCTAAACTTCTGCATTACCACACCTTCAGCTCTTTTTTTCACGGTGAGCGCGAGGCTATTTTTAGAAAGTTACGTCACGCCTCGGTGCAGCTCGCGCCCCTCTCACCAGCAGAACATTATAATCACCGTTTAGGGGATCTGCAGGTCCCTCCTTCTTCCACATGGACCGGGACCACGCAGCACCACGTGACCCAGGATCCCTAGTCTGAACGAGCCCCCCCTCACACCGCATCATGGCTGCGGAGGATGCGGCCGCGCGGTCCCGCAGCGGAGCCCTGCTTTCCCGCGGGGCTCCCCTCTCTCCGTCCCGGCTGCTGCTGCTCTCCCTGTCCGCCCTCTCTCTGCTCCCCACCCCGGCGCTCGCTCTGCTCGGCTTTCGGCCGGAGGAGACCGGGGCGGAGCTGTCCGTTGAGGACGGGGTGCTGAAAACCACCGAAGGGACCCGCTTCATGCTCCGGGTTTACTACTCCACCTCCCCGCAGAGGCTCAACCGCACCTCGGGGACTCGCGCCAACAACGCCGCGCCCTGGATCGCCTTCATTGAGGAGCCAACTCCGGGGAGAGAGGGGCAAGTTCACCCCAAGAGGAACATGTGCATGGACAAGAACGCCAGGACATCCGACATCGAGGTTTTAGGATCTTTTAAGTCCGCGTCCAGTCAGAACTCAGTTTTAGTGGAGCTGCTGGCCAAAGACCTGCGGAGGGGCGAGAAGATCAAGTACTACTCCATGTGCGCCTTTGATGGATCCAAATGGGAGCACTACCGGACCCGAGACTTCTGGGTGGCCGTGAAGGAACGCTCTGATGTCCCGGAGCTTTGGCTGCAGGTTCTCGTGTCAGTGCTCTTACTGGGGCTGTCTGCTCTGTTCAGCGGACTCAACCTGAGCCTGCTGGCGCTGGACCCGGTTGAGCTGCAGGTCCTGCAGAACAGCGGGACCGACAAGGAGCAGAACTACGCGCGGAAGATCGAATCCGTGCGTAGGCATGGCAACTACGTCCTGTGCACTCTGCTACTCGGAACCGCGATCATAAACGCGTCTCTGGCTGTGTGGATGTGCCAGATCCTGGGAATGACCTGGCTCTCCACGGTCATCTGCGCCTTCGGGATCTTCTTCATCGGGGAAATCCTTCCTCACTCGGTGGCGTCACGGCACGGTCTCGCCATCGCATCCAAAACTATCTGGGTGACGCGGCTGCTCATGGTGCTCTCCTTCCCCATCTCCTACCCCATCAGCAAACTCCTAGACCTCATTCTCAACCAGGAGATCTCCAGCTTCTACACCCGGGAGAAGCTCCTGGAGATGCTGCGAGTCACGGACCCGTACCACGACCTGGTCAAAGAGGAACTCAACATCATCCAGGGCGCACTGGAGCTGCGCACCAAGACGGTGGAGGACGTCCTGACTCCGCTTACAGATTGCTTCATGCTGGCCTCGGATGTGGTGCTGGACTTTAACACCATGTCTGACATCATGCAGAGCGGATACACCAGGATCCCTGTGTTTGAGAACGAGAGATCAAACATCGTGGATATCCTGTTCGTTAAGGACCTGGCATTTGTGGATCCGGACGACTGCACCCCACTGAAGACCATCACCCAGTTTTACAAACACCCGCTGCACTGCGTGTTCAACGACACCAAGCTGGACGCCATGCTGGAGGAGTTCAAGAAAGGTGAGAGGTTGTAGAAGGAGAAGTGTCAATAAAACTTTGATTTCTTTTTTAAGTGCTCTTCAGAAAAATACTTTATTTCTACCCTCCTCTTTTTGCCCATCCATTGCTTCACGTTTGCAGTTTTGAAGTTTATGTTCGTGTTGAAATCACCTCATTTTGGAGAGATATAAATGTTTAGTTGCCATGGTAACCCTTGTCTATTTGTGGGCTGTGAGGATGCAGACTGGTGTGTCCATCCTGATCCTTTTGATTCCATTTTTATCTGTGGCTAAACAGAGAGTAATCTGCGTGTCAACCTGGCATCTTCATCATGTTCTCATTTTTCATCTTTGAAGGGAGATGTCTAAACAAAAAGTTATCAGAAGTTAGACATCTGATTAAATGAAAGTTTGAGCATGTTTTTTTAGATTTGGAGATGTGAGATTTTCACTCTGCAGTAAGAGTGTAAGTTTAAGTTCATGCACAGAAAACGTACATGTGTTTATTTAGATCATGCAAAAATAGGGGTGCACAATTGTGACGATTTTGTAATAAGATGTTTCTAAAGGTCCTTTCACACCGGGACCATTTTTTCAGTGCAATTATTTTGGACATCAATATTTTTTTTTCGAACCCGTAACCTGTCAATACAAGCATTCACATCAGCGACGTTTTCCCGTCCTGCGATATTGTGACATTTACTTTTTCGGATCACGGTTGATTTTTCTAAAGTTTTGCATACTGTGTGTCCATTTCTGACCAATCAGATTGCGTGTTGTTGCGACGTCTGATTCACCGGTATATCCAACATGGCTAACCGGCTAATTGTTGACGTGTTGGAGAACAGAGTGCTTTTTGATAAAAGACACAAATATTACAAAGACAACGACCTGAAGGACAACTTGTGGCGAGTCATAGCGTCTGATCTCTCATATGACAATGGTTTGTGTGCTTTAACAGTTTGCTAAACGTCTTTGATTTAACTTTCATCTGTGCTAAGTAACTTTAGCTCGTAAGCTAACCTGTTCAGATACAACATACCATATATATTCTCACTGTCTCAAACTCAATCCCGTTGCTGTCACAGCACCATTAGGTCTTGGTTGTTACCTTAGGTTTATGGATTATAGTTTGATGTGCTTATCTGGTACTGGCCCCAACTCAGTAAATGCTATCTATAGTCCAGCAGAATAGTATGCTACATGCTACAAACAGCCATCTCAACACTAGTGTCTAATCAGAACTGAAAAACAGTCAGTCTGCTGTTGTGTCAGTCTTCTTGCTTCCACCCGGGACGCGTCTTTTCCCCCCCAGAATTTCGCAAAATCGCATCGGGCTTGATGTCTATAGTCAGGCGCGTCAAAATTCTCCCCCGAATATTTCGTAATTTCGTGTTCTATATTCGCGCCGGCCGTGGCGTGTAAGGACCTTTAGAGGACCCAAAAGCAGGTTAAGGAGGCAGTGGCAGCTTTAAGAGATTTTATTGACAGTTTGCTGGTTGTGGAAGTGAGCTCTGAAGTCCGGGGAGTGAAGGATATCCATGGAAAGGAGGGGGAGGGCAGAGTGAGGGCTTGAAGGCGTGCAGGTGATTGAATCCGTGAGAGAGTGTGGCAGTCGTGGCAGAAGTTGGGCAATGCCGGTGATGAGAGGAGGCACTGGAGGAGAACGGGAGGAGAACAGAGATTAGTCACTGTTAAGTTTAAACGCAGATAAATATTCATAAAGTACAATAACTTTGCTCAAGACTAGCCAAGGTGGTGATGACATGATCAGGTGCAGGTGTGAAGGTGCAGGAGGGGCCAGTGCTGATTAAGAGCTGCCCAACCTCTATGACGGGGGAGAGAGACTCACATGCAAAATCAGAGTTGCAAGCAGTAATCATGACACACAATGTTGTTAAAATATCTGGAGATGTTTGCTTTTTTGGTCGTACAGCAGCACAAATTTGATGCACATACAATAACAGACTTTGCACAACAACAACATGCATAATGTTTATTTGCAACGCTTGGAATGCACAGCCGATGGGAGGAACAAAACAACACTTATTTATAACACCAACAAATTAAATGTGCATTTTGAAAACAATGGTTCTGGGGTGACATGTATCAAAGTCAGATGTTGTTTTCTTGTTTTATGTCTGCTTAAAAAACGGACCAACTGTCACAAAAAGAACAGCAAGTGAATTCTTGTGCAGGAGAGACTTGGTAATTTCATGTTGCTCATGAAAAATTCAGTCCTCGTCCCAGAAATCACTGCCTGTTTCATCCAAATGTTTCAGTTTTGGTGCCCAAGCTAACCATGATATGACCTCTTCAAAATTTTGCCCACATGTCGTAAAAGTTTGTCAGATGTGAATGCTTAGGTACGAGGGAGTGAGAGTGTCACAGCTATTGAGTATGAACGTGTCCTTCTGTTGATTACCTTTCCTGTCGATTAATGTTGGTGTTGGTGCACCTTTAAAAGCATAAGTCTGGGACAGCTCTGAGGAGAAATTTAAAGGGACTAGCCACCAAACATCTTTTTATTTTAACTCTCCTTATTTCTTTAGCAAAGAGACTAAACACAACTCACCTACTCTCCTCAAACAGCTGCTTGTTTGTACAGAGAAGAACCACCGCATCTGCAGAGCAAATTGATTAATATGGTGATTATTACTTTAAGGAAATTATAAAGTAATCATAAACTACTGCCTTGAGCTGTTTCAACCCACTGCAGTCGGTGATGGACTCGCCTGAGATCTCCGTACAAACAAGTGGCTGCTGGAAGAGAGTAGGTGAGTTGTGTTTAGTTACTTTGCTAAAGAAATTAGGCAAAGTTAAAAAGATGTTTGGTGGCTTGTACTATGTCTAGGTGCTGTTCTGAGCATTATTTGTGGCTATAGAGTGGCATTTTGGTTGAGGTTTGTTTACGGCCCTCAGACAGCTGTGTATTGCGATCGTGCGTTTGTTACTAAAGTTGGTATAACTAAAGAAGCAAGCAGTCGGCAACAGTCATCTCTCGAGGGTGTGTCTAACACGGTGTTACGGTGTGTTTGACACACGCTGAAATATCCCTTTAAAAGGTAGATAATTTGAGGCTGTCAGACAAGTGGAATTAAAAAGGCAAACGTTTACAGTTTAGGAATTGAAATAAGTCAAAGACTTCTGTTATTCACACTCCCATTTGGTCAGATCTGTTCAGCAGCAGCAGTCTCTAACCTCCTGCTCCTTCGAGGCTGCTCTTAGATCTGTGATTAAGTACAATGAGTCTGCATTCGCTCTCAAAACAGCTGTAAAGAGCTTTGAGTCTGCACAGGCCTCCCTGCATTAAAAAGAGATGAACCCTTTTTGCAGAGCTGCTGCAGCAGAGCACTCTCTCCTCCCACATGAAGTCAGCTGACAGCCCTCCTTGATTTTTTGCAGAGTAAATGGGTGGGGTGCTCAGTGGCCAATCACAGCTCTCAGTGCTTTTCGCTGCCTTGCTGCATGTTCAGGGACTGTGCATAGTCAGCTTTTTTTCTGCAGGGTTTGTAATGAGGACAGGTGGAGATGGAGGTAAACAGAGAAGGACACCTTGAACAATCAGGCATCAGTTTACAGGAAACACGTGAAGACCTATTTCTTTACAGTTCTGCTGATTTTAAAACCATCTGTGACTGCTGCAGATACATGTCATGTTTCTAAGACAGGCTTTCTGTTTTGCTTTGCACATTTTGTAAAAGTGTTGAAGCATCTTTGCAAAGGAATGCAAAAATCTGCAAAAAGAACCTGAAATCTGAGCTGCAGGATAATCTTGCAAATCTGTCTACTCTAACTTTAGCTTCAGTGTGTTTGTGCATCTGAATGGAGTGGTTTTGTCTGTAGACTGATCCCATCAGAATTTGGATTGGATCTGCATCTGATAATCTACATGAACAAGAGGATTATTTCCCTCTTTATCTCTCTGTGTTGTGCTCTTTCCCCTGCTGCACCTCTCGCTGTCTCTCTAACAGCATTTTCAGGCACTGCAGCAGAAAAACACAGGTTCCCTCATTCATTTCAATGAGACCCCTGCAGTGGTTCGGTGTTGCCTCAGAGAGGCCTAAGGGGGAACGAAACAGAGAGCGTAGTAGGAGAAGCTGCAGAGTGTGTTTAAATATTCATTAATCAAACTGGACACAAAATCCTTCAATAGCTTTTAATCTTTAAGGGGTCTACGATAATCTATGTGACATCGAAACCAGTTGATCCCTGAATAATCAAAGTGAAAACTGTATATTCAGCATGAAGTCAGACACACTGTTTTGTGTGAGTTGGCCTCAAGGGTCGCCCTCTTGTCACCAATTCTGTTTGAGATTTTCATGGACAGGAATTCAAGATGCAACCAGGGATAGTTGTCCGTTTCCACCTGTGCTCTTTACAGACCATGTAGTCCTGTGGGGTTCTTGAGGCTCAGTAACGACCGCAAGATCGCAATACACAGCGGTCTCAGGAGCCATACACAAACCTCAACCAAAACACCACTCTATAGCCACAAATAATGCTCAGAACAGCACCTAACTTCATCAACAGTACATATAGGGTCCCAGCCAAAGTACTAGCCATCGAACATCTTTTTAGCTTTGCCTAATTTCTTTAGCAAAGAGACTAAACACAAATTACCTACTCTCTTCCAGCAGCCGCTTGTTTGTAACACAACCTTGACCAGTCCATCATCGACTGCATTAATTTTTTACGCCAGAATTTCCCTTTAAGCTCTGGTGGGCTGTTCTATCTGTATTTCGGGATCTTGTTCATGAGTGACGGCATAATGGATCAGGATAGCGACAGGTTAAAGGCTTTTTCAGTTGTGTTTGTGGGAGTGAACACTGCATGTGTCAGTGTTACGATGACAAAAATGTCGGTATAGGTCGGTTCAGGCTGGCACCATCACTGAGCCTGTGAAATATGTATCAGGTCAAACACTGTATTTGAAAGTTAGTACCATGTGTCTCCACAGGGTGACCAATGACTGAAGTTGAACAATGGGCTCACAAATGTGTAGAGGGGTGGATCTTGATCTTGTATATAAAATATAAAACCGATTAAACACTGTACGACGAAGTTAACGTAACTTCTTGTTTCATGGTGTGCATTATAGTTAAATTTTCTGGACTTCCTGCTAAAATAGAAAGATGAGTTTGAGAGGATTTCTTGCAGGTCGTGGCATAATACATATGCTGCGGTTTCAGTTACCTCGGAATTCGGATGTTGGAGCTGGGCATGATGTTACACCCGGGTTGACGGTGTTCCAGTAAACAAGTTGGAAAACAAAGATGGACGCCTACTGTTAGCCGTTGTTAGCTGTTAGTTACAATTTTCAGCTGTCGTTAGCTGTCGTTAGCCATTATTAGCTGTTATTTACAATTTTCAGCTGTCGTTAGCAGTTGTCAGCTGTTGTTAGCCGTTAGGGGCTGTTGTTAGTTGTTGTTACCTATACCAGTTCTTAACAACACACAACACTGTATTTTACTCTACAAACACCAAAGCACTGTGTTCACAGTCAGACATTGGGCAGCACAGCATAAAACACTTATTTAATTTGTCCATGTTAATAAATGTTAATAAATAATACATTACGAGAGCTTTTACTCTTTAAGGTTGATGCACTGCGTTGCCATCTTGAATGATGACATTGTCATCAAGTCAGGTTGGCGAGGATCATCGGACTTCAGAGGGGCGTTTCAGATGAATTTCCGACTTGGAGCTCAGAAATCCCGACTTCTGAATACAACTGGAACGCAGCAATATGCCCAGCAAAAATCATGCACAAAGGCTGAGCTCAGTGGCAGGGCTGTCTTTCAGAAGGTTTAGAAAAGAAAGAATAATCTTTAGCCTAAGGGATCTTGCACCATGCTTCAGTGTTTGAGCTCATATTACAGATGAGGCTAACTATAAAGTTCAAATCGGATCTTGACTACATATCCAAAGCAATTATTTAAACTGCTGCTGAAACAAAGTCTGCTGCATGTAACCTAGATACGCGAGGGAAAACCAGTGCTTGCAGCAGAGCTCATTAGCTGCAGTAGATGGAAGAGGCAGAATCAGAAGAGTAAAGCTTTCTTTGCCTTCCAACATTCTGTCACTATAAAGACACTGCAGAGGTGTAACAGAGCGCCTGAGGCTCTCCTAAGGCTACAGAGGAATCCTTTGGTCTGAATGCTAAGCAGGACATCTGGCACAAATGATGCTGGCCAAGTTACACCTTTCCCCTGCTGTTAACAATCACAACAGGAGCACGGCGGTACTGGAAACCTTTGCTGTGCCAGGGGGAAACTTGTTCGCATAATGGGAAACTGAGCGGTGGACATTAGAGCCGTAACTCTGGAAGAGAGTATAATCCCCTCTGCCAGAAAGGTGTTAGAGCCAAAACACACACTGGAAGAACATTATTAGCTTCGAAAGACAGATGATCGATGTCTCAGCCCTGCCAAGCAGGAGCTCTGACTTCAGTCCTGTTAAGGATCTGTGGTGAAACTGTCCAACTATCCATCATTCACAAAAACAAGCATGTTTCCATCTCTGTCTAAACTTCCTAAGCATTAGCATGCAAATGAGCAGGATACATTTGTTAGGTTATTGTGAGTCCCAGCATGTCAAGCATGAAATCAGTGCAGCTCCATCACTGTTAGTGTGACATCATGAATGCAACCAACCAACCAAACAAGAGAGCTATGCTGAAAAAGAAGAAAGAGCGCAAGCTTTATAGTCTGAGCAAAAAGCAGAAATTTGTCTTTGGCTTCAGCTGCAGTCCAGTAACAACCTCCTGTGTTGAAAATGAAGCAAAGCAGGTGTGCCTAAACTGCAGTTCCTTCAGTATCCAATAGGGGCTGGACACGAAGGCCAAGAATGCACCGGGCCTGCCTCCAGTCTTCCTTCCTGCGTTTAGATTAACCAAATGGTTGTCAGCTTTTCCAATGTGGCACCTGTCATCGATGAGCTCTTATTCATGCCATCATTTCAACTGTAATTAATGTAGTGTCCTTATGCATTGGTCAAATGTTACTTAACCAGTTCTATAAAACAAAGATTTATTCCTATCACACACCCTCGCCCTTTTCCTGACACATTAACATTTCTTTCTACTCCTTCTCTCTCTAAATCTGTCCCTCTCCCTCTCTGTTTTTGTCACTGTACGGTGTCCCAGAAGGCACATTATAAAATATTTAGCAGCTATATTTCCCATTTGTCTCCCAGCCATCTGCTCTGTTCTCACTTTTAGGCTGATCAGCTCTCATGCTGCATACCCAAGAGTATGGAGGGGAAACCATTTAAGCATATAATATCTTTTCTAGGAAAAGAAAAAAAGAACAAAACTTCTGGAGAATTCTCTGTGAGAAGTGAAGGGGAAACAGGCTGGAGATGTTGATGTTTATTCCTAATGAGGCCTAATTTTTCTATGTGGTTGAAAAATGCTGCTGTGATGTGGTTTGATAACAGAGGTAGTCATAAACAAGAATAGGTTTTATTGTAAGAACAGGCAGCATGTTTATATTCACTAATATGAAACTTATTTAGGACTGTAGAAGAGGTGTTTGTCAGATACAACGGAATACTAGGTCCACACTTCGAGATTAAAGTAATTACTCACGAGAATAAAGTTGTGATATAATATTTACTCACGAGAATAAACTCATAATAAAGTAAATACTCACAAGATTAAAGTCATAAAGTAAATGAAGTCATAAAGCAGCTTTTGTGGAGGAGGAAGTGGCTGGAACTGGTCAACTGCAGAGTTATCAGTGGGTGCATTAGCGGGCCATTCAGAGGGCTTTTATGGTTTCTCAAGAAACAATCCAACTGATGATCAACATTTGCAATCCAGAGGGAGTCGAGCTCCGACGAGCACCATGTCTGTCTCTGAGGCCAGGAGCAACCTACACCTGCAGAGGCACCAACGCCTTATGGCATATAGATTCATACGATAAACTAAAGCCCTATGCTATTGCGACGGCTATTGTCCCCCTCCACATAAGCAGCGATTTCCTTAAAGTCCGCCTGTTTTTTTTTTTTGCGGAAAAGATGCAGTTTCTTGCATATTCTTTTAAGACTCCTGATACTTTGATGATGTGATGCTGATGTGCTGAAAGGTTAAGGATCTCCTTGTTTGTGAAACGTATATTGAAGTACATTTTCATGAAATGCTCCACGCCTCTCATTTCAACAATTATCATCTCAAACAACAGGTTAGAATGTAAGGACTTTATTCTCATAAGTAATGATTTTATTACGGCTTTATTCTTGTGAGTAATTACTTCAATCTGGAAGGCTTTTTTTTTTTCTTAATGCGACCCTAATACTCCATCGTAGTCAGAGGATCAATATCCCTTATTCAGTAATGTGTCCAGACAGTACAATTACTTTATATCACAGAGAGAGTGCATGTCTGAAAACAGCTCTTGACACAACCATCCATCAGGACAAGTTTAATGAGCTTTGAGCGGCAGTTTCAGTGAGCTTCTGAGATGAGCAAAGTGCCAAAACAACAACAAAAATAATTTCAATACACCCCGAAGTTACCAAAACAAAATCTGAAACAAATGAAAAACACATTATAGGAGCGCCTGGCTGAGTTAAACAGGAGGAAAAACAAGGAACAGACTAAACAGACAAAAGGACTATTCACTCCTACACTCATCTCATTTGAAACCTCTACAAGCCACATATCAATCAAACTATCTGTAACAATCTGGTCAAAATATCCAACACACATTCACCATGTCATCAAACAGGCCTCCACAGTTTACACAGATCTAAAATACAGTCTGGTGCTGTTTGGATTTGAAACCAGTCATGATGACCTTTAACCAATCAGACACTTAAATTCTGTTCAAGCTAGCCATTCAGAGGCATTATGCATTTTCTCTATGGCGGCACAGAAAGTAAAACCCTAGTTTAATGAATGCTGCATTTTTGTGGTTTATGTTTTTGTGAAAATGAGCAAATAGCAGTTTGCACTTGTTGACGAAGGCCGCCGTTCCTTCAACAATGGGAGGGGTGAGCATGGGAGCGAGTCAGTTTGGAATCTGACTGCTGTATCTTGCTTAACATTCTACAGACTGTACCTAATAAATGCATCGTGTGTGGTCTTTAACTTTCTTTTTGGTGTTTTCTGATGTGTCTGTGGTTTAAGAATATGCAGTTCTTGTTTTAACTCTGAGGATATAAAGAAAATGTAAGGAGGCTGTGAGGTGAGAGAAATACAACAAGCGAAAAAGAAGCAGAACGCTGAAAATAAACAACTGCTGTTCTTTAAACTGCAGAATTGAGAGAGCAGGTAGTACTTAAAGCTCTAAATGCTGCACCCTCCCTCTTCTCCTTCCCCTCAGCCTGCTCTGTATGTAAGACTGACCCATTTAGCCCAGCACTGCTTTGCCAGTTTTGTGTGCATTTGTGTGAGTCTGTGTGTGCGTTAATGTGTGTGGCTGTGTGTATTAGGTAGTAATTGGCAGGCAGAGGGTGTAGACACGGAGAGAGGATCTCATTGAGGTTGAGGTTGAACTGAAGCCAGAAAAGGGCTACAAACTGTGATCCACTCTGTTTTCTGTCAACGCTTACAGTATATTTATTCAAGCTTACATGTGCAGATTATGTTACAGTAAAATTATGCAACAATGAGACGAGAGATGTAACACACAACTGCAGCCGTCTGCAGTGTGTGACAGACTAAGTCTTCTACATGGACTTTAGTCCTATAGCAGCCATGTTTTTGAGGCATCACACTCAGATAGGGTGCATATATGAAAAAAAAACACCTAACCCCAAAAGATTTTAACAAAAAGTTTTCCCAGCTGTTTTTTTATAATATTGGGTGTGCTTAATAATATACTAAAAGTTTACCAAAGTTTGACCAGTAGAAAGGTATCATTTTCAAAATGGCATCCATGATGAGTAGAAAACAGATATCACCATGAAACTTCCCAAGTTTAGAACTTACATTGAGATATTTTTTTTTTTGTATCACAAGTTTTGTCAAATGTTATGTTTGAATATGTAAATGAAGCAGAACCCAAAACTGAACAATGGATAAATACGCTAATTAGAATATTAGATGAACAAAACATGTATCAGGCACTTGTATTCCTGGTCTAGAAGGAATACAAAGGAGTAATGGTCATTTTAAAGACCTGAAGAAAAAAAAACACATGGAGATATTTGAATTTTTAGGGGTGTTGACAGTATTTTCTCATTTACAGAGTGATAAAAAGAGATATCCAAAGTCTCCCCCCCCGCTTCTGACTCTAGTATGTCAACAAAGTAACAAACAAGAATTTTGAAAGGGGCTTTATCCATATCACTTACATATTCAAACATAACATTTGACAAAACTTGAATTACAAAAAAATATTTGTCTTAGAGTAAGTAAGAAACTTGGGAAGTTTTATGGTGATATCTGTTAGTTCAAAATTTTATCCTATTCACCTGGGATGTCTCCCTGGGCTTCCTACCCATCATGGACGCCATCTTGAAAATGACACCTTTCTAGTGGTTAAACTTTGGTAAACTTTTATTATGCTATTAAGGACACCTAATACTATAAAAAAACAGCTGAGAAAACTTTTTTTTTTTTTTGGGGGGGGGTCAAGTCATATTTGCACCTTACTACAGATAGGGTGGCTCATCTACTGTGTTTCAGGTTGTAACCCTGACTAGTTTTGGACATTTCACTCCCTGATTAATAGGCTACAAAGGCAATAAATAGCACAAATCGAGAGACGGTAGACCATAGTTGCTCATATCAGAACCAAGCTAACATTAGGATTCAGCCACTTCTGTGTTAGAAAAATGTATTAAACTCACAGGTTTGATGGGAAAAGCAAAAAATGATAATAATAATAATAATTGCTAACATATATCTTTTACTTTTTAACTCTTGTTGACTAGCTGAAAACACAATGTTAAAATACTGTAGGGGGAGTCTCACCTTCAGTAGTGTCAGGATTGTCTTGAATACATCACTGAGGCACATATCTCTGACAAAAAAGGTCTGTGTATAGTAGAATAAGCTGCAACGGTAACTTTTAGTAAAATACTGAGGTTGTTGTCATAGTAACATGGTGAAATTCATCAGTTAAAAGGGTCACCTGCTGAGCTGTAACATTTAAGAGCAGCTACAGCTCCGTCTTTGCCTCATCCTCTGTTTTCCTGAGTGAGTTTTCCACCCAGCAGCACACAGATTTTTAATAATTTTCTTGTCTTTGGAGACGTTCAGAGGTTTTTTTCCTGCTCAAACACACACTCATCATCACACAGCAGAAACACCGCAGACCCTAAGAGTCACCCGGCTGTTTTTACCCAATGGATTGTGTTTTTGTCCTCTCTCACTATGTGTTTATATGTGTGTTTGTGTTTTGCATTAAACTCTCCCTGTTGGTACACCCACTCCACTCAGCTCCTGCCGCTGCTCCACTTACTGACTGCAGAGCTGCTCTCCCACTCCGTGTGAGTCAGACATCACATGTGAGGAGAAACAGCTTTAATTTTAATGTACAATGGTTTTATGTGACCTGATGCAGCCATTTTTACTGCACTGTTATTGCATGTTCGCTGCAAATCTCCTGAATCTTTAGGGACTTGTGCACAAAAACATTGGCACCTTGTCCTAAAGATGGTTTTGGGGGGGGGGCTTTTATTTGATTGAACACTCAAGAGAGAGAGAGAGAGAGAGAGAGAGAAATAAGTGGTGAGAGAGCGAGGCTGTGAGCATGTGCATTTGCAGAGGAGGTTAAAGTTAACTGTGGTTTTAACTTCATTATCCATCAATCTACAAATCAAATCTGTTTACTTGCCCCCTCATCTACCAAACCTGTATACCACAACTACAACGACTGCATTTGTACACTCTACACACACCTCACCAGCAATAAGGCCACTCAAATGGACTGCACAACCCTGCAGTAACTACACTCTGCAGCAGCACATAATCCTCACTAAAGCTCATCTTAACTTTTGGTCTAATCTGAGGCACTGAATCAACTCATTGTTTGGAGTTCACTTCTCCTGTTTCTCTGTCTATCCACTATTTTCTCTTCAGTTTGAGAGACTCTTTGTTCCTCACTTCAGAGTGCTAAAAAGCAGCATTTCCAAGCTCAGACTGAACTCAGGCAACGTGTAAAAAACTGGTTTGAGGAGCGTGTCTGATAAAAACAATCAGAGTAATGGAGAAGGTCAGTGAGTCATGGTGGTAGTATCCCTGTCAGAGTCTTATATAAGAAGAGATGTCAGTGAATGTCACCCAGAGAGGACCACCCAGCCGAATACGATGATGGGTCTCAGAACAGAATAACAAAGATGTTTGATGGTCTTGGAGAGCTGGAACTTGTAAGTTATATAATTGCGTTTATATATGTGTGCTCATGTGTGTACATTATCTTGATTGCATAAACCCTATGTTACCAATGACTGACAGGGATCCAAATAAAAAACCTCCTTTTCTACCTGTTGTAAGGGGCATGGCCTGTCGAAATTTAGAAACTTAATTATCGCACAGATCTGAATCAACAACTGGAGAATCTAAATGGGTATTTAATAAGATTATGAATGCTGATCTGCAAAAAAACCCTTGACCTATTCTTGATGTAAAGCTGCAAATTTGAATCCTAAAAAGACCTTTGATTTCTGAGTTGAGAAAAAGGATTTAAAGGGATATTCCGGCACAAAATTTAAATTAGATTCAAACACACCATAACACTGAGTTAGACACACCGCCAAGAGATGAATGTTGCCGACCGCTTGCTTGTCTAGTTATACCAACTTATAACAACGGCAGATAGCTACACTATAGGCACTCTATAGGCACAAATAATGCTCAGAACAGCACCTAACTTTATCAACAGTACATATAGAGTCCCAGCCATAGTAGCAACCATCAAACATCTTTTTAGCTTTGCCTGATTTCTTTAGCAAAGAGATGAAACACAACTCATCCACTCTATTCCAACAGCCGCTTGTTTGTACGGAGACCTCCGGGCGAGTCCATTGACTGCAGCGGGGTGACGCAGCTCAAAGAGGAACAATAACATTATTACTTCACGGAAATGCAATCAGACCGAGACCCGAAGACAGAAGAACTACCGCGTCTGCAGTGCAAAATGATTAACATGATGATTAGTACTTCAATGAAATGATAAAGTAATGATCCTTTATGTGAAGGAGCGGCGTCCTCACTGACTGCGGGCAGCGCATGGAGTCAGTCACACATACCCATATACACGCCAAACATTTCCCTACCCACTAGCGTCGCTAATTACCCTCTAAACAGCGCTACTTTTTCTTCTCCCTTGTCTGTTGGATAGGGTAACCAAGTTTGCACACGTGGAGCTCTATCAGTTAACTTAAACATTCACAAAGACATTCATCCCTCCACTTACCTGCCGGGCGTCCATTCACGCCATCATGCCGACTCATGTTTCCAAATGAGAAACAGAGCGCGCGATTTCCGGGTTGTATATAGGTGGGTATGGAGGGTCAAAGTGGTCACATGATGCAAGAAAAATGAATTCCCTTGTTGTTTGCCGTGAATCCCTAAAAATTAATGCGCCATTGATTTGTGTAAAAACCTAGAAAAAATGGCAAAAACTTACAGAAAAAGGTCTGTAGGTTGAGAATGGTAAAACTTGTTAATAAATGTGTTTTTTCTAAATTTATGTAATTAATAACGCCCACTGGGAGGGGCTAGGGGCTTTTTAAAGAAGGCTTTCTGGGCCTTTCTCTGAATGTGGAGTCTGTTGCATTAACAGTAACTGTCAAACTGACTTTTGTACTACTGCTGTTTCTGATTTTTTTTTCTTGAGTGAGAATCTTGAGTTATAGTGGAATTACTGCCTTGTTGGCATTTTTTTTTTTTTTTGCCTGGTACATTTTGTAAATAGTATTTGACCATTTTTTGCACTGTTGTCAATATTTTTGCACTGCACCTTGGAAGGCCGACTCTAAATGAATATCACCATCATCGTATTTTTAAGACTACACCTATGTTTTTCCACTATATTTTGATTGTTTGAGTGAGATCCCCACGACGGGGAGCTTTGCACATATTTAGTAAAATACTCTGGGTGAGGAGTCACATGTGAAAAAGACATTTTTTTTTTTTTATGACGTCAGTAAGTGGCAAAGCAGTGCTGGTGACGCTGTTGTGATATCGGTTTCATGGCTAAGCGACATGGACAGCTCGATCCGAGGGATAATGTAAAATAATAAGTATCAATAAAAATGGTACACAGTTGGTTTCCCACCATGTGCACTGTCAGCAGAACATTTTTTTTTCACAACTCAACTACTGATTAATTGTATAAAGTACATTTTGTGGATACCTTGTTGTTTAATATGCATGCATGCTAAAGTCATTTTCTGGCAAATGAGGAACCAGTGGTTGCTTTCATTTTAAAGACGAACCAGCCAGCTACAAACACTTTGTTACAGATTGCTATTGCAGTAAAGGTCAGTACAGAGCTGGATTTGCTTTAACAGTGACCCCTGTTAATAAAAAAAAAGAGATTTTTATCAACAGTTTGTGACCCAACAGCACACATACTGTCAATGAGTGTCACCACTTTGTGATATTATCGACAGGTTATTTGAAGAAACATTTTGCTACTGGCATGGATTTAACGTCTTTTTTAAGTGTTTTTTGACCTCTGCATTCGTCTGCATCTGTCTGAACCCTCTCCTCTTCAGTCAGGCAGCCAATCAATGTCGTGCATATACTCACATGCTGCATACAAGCTGAAGGGCCAGTGCATGGGATCTTAAATGTTTTAAAATCTAATTAGTTATTGTTTTTTGTGTCCAATGACTGAAGTTTTCTGTATCCTGGTGTAGCTGTCTGGACCTGCAGCTCTACATTTAAAGGATGGGCGGTAAAGTGATACTGACCTGTTGTGTTGGTTTGCTTCTGCAGGGAAATCCCACCTGGCTATTGTTCAGCGTGTCAACAATGAGGGTGAGGGTGACCCCTTCTATGAAGTGATGGGTATCGTCACGCTAGAGGACGTCATCGAGGAGATCATCAAGTCAGAGATCCTGGATGAGACAGACCTCTACAGTATGAATGGAAACACAAACACAAACACAGAGAAATGGGATGTCATTGTTCATATCACTTGAAAAGCAAAGTGTTGATTCTGTGTGTCTGCAGCTGATAATCGAACAAAGAGACGGGTTTCTCACCACGAGCGGAAGCAGCAGGACTTCTCGATCTTCAAACTGTCAGAGAACGAGATGAAGGTGAAGATGTCTCCTCAGCTCCTCCTGGCAACACATCGCTTCCTCTCCACAGGTAACAGCCAATCAGAGCACAGCTAGGCTTGTCCTGTTTATGCCAGTATTGTCTTTTGTTATACCTCGTGTCAAACATTTGCAGGTTGACTTTGGCTGTAAAATCTTGACTAAAAATAAGATAATGTGAGGTTCAAACATAGAAATATCTCAATAAAGAGACCCAATTTCAGGTCAAATAAGTAAATAAATAACTCCCAAACACGGCTGTTGTTCTTCTCCCGTCAGAGGTGGAGCCCTTCAAACCAGCTCATATCTCTGAGAAGATCCTGCTCCGGCTCATCAAACACCCTAGTGTGGTTCAGGATCTCAAGTTTGATGAGAAGAACAAGCGAGCGCTGCAGCACTTCTTATTCCAGCGCAACAAACCCGTGGACTACTTCATCCTGGTGCTGCAGGTGCAAAATCTGTCTCAGTGACTTTGGATTAGTGCTTTCATTTTTGAGGCCCCCTCCATGAAGTTTTGAGAGGATTTCTGTAGCTGCAGTTGCGCTAAAATAATACCACAGATTTAACTATAAAGAACCAATGCTGCACTCACAGAACCTCTGTGTGTGTCTCTTCAGGGTCGAGTCGAGGTGGAGTTCGGGAAAGAGGCTCTGAAGTTTGAGAATGGGGCTTTTTCATACTTTGGAGTTCCTGCCATCATGCCAGCAGGTACAGAAACACAATTAAAACTTTTTGCTAGTATTCTCAGAGGAGATTTTAAACCCAGGACTCATTAACTCACAAAGTTAACCCAACTTTTGACCCAATGGTTAGTCTCTGACAATGATTTACTCTCTCTGAGCGACTACGATCAGTTTTTCTTCAAATCCTTCCCTCATTAGTTTACAATTGCTCTAACAGGTTTAATAGCAGCTGAGAAATACTCATGCAATGCACGAAAAGTCCTGATATATATACACTTTCAAAAGCATGCACCAAGCATGACTTAAAAACTACTGACAAATCAACAATCTGAGAGGGTGTGCTGCATGTTAAGGTAAAGAATTTTTTTCCAGAATTTCTCACTCTTTGCTCTCAAAAAAGCAGGAAGTTTGTGAACACTTAGCTGCCAAACTCATAAGTGCAACTTTCACTAAATAAAATGACTGAGACAAGTGAGGGTTTTCAGATTTTCCCCATGGTGAAAAAAAGATAGCATCCCTCATCGAAGGACAACGAGTGAGAAACGAAAACACCCTCTCTCTTCATTTTTTTTAATGAAACGCTTTAAGTGTGTGTTTCCAATGCAGTCCACAGATCCCCGTCTCACAGCAGTGGTCTGGACCGCTCTGAGTCTATGCTGTATGGAGGGAGCATGGGTCAGCTGAACGGAGGAGGGAACGTCTACCTGCCTGACTACTCTGTCAGGCAGCTCACACACCTACAGATCATGAAGGTAATGCCTGGTCATGATCACAAGATGCATCAGATTAACAGCAGGTCCTATGAGCACATTATTCACACAGAACCAATTGATGTCTTAGAAGGCGTCAAGAAACCCAAAGCTGCTGGTCACCATATCAGAAACGACAACTTTGTCTTACTTTCAGTCAATCTGGAAACTGGTGAAAAGGCCAAACTCTTGGTCTGTAAATAATAATAAAAGAGTAATAATCAAAGTTTTCTTCCCGTCATGCTTTCATCAACACAGAAATGAGATATTGAGCCCAAACTGCTCATGTTCTAGGTTGTAAACAGGTTTATTTCTGCTCTACAAACCTGCTTTTTAACATGGGGTCCAATGGGGATGGCCTGGATTTTGGGACCAGCCTCAAGTGGACACTCTGGGAACTGCAGTTTTTGTACTGCAGCTTCATTTTTCAGTTGTTGCTTGGTTTCAGATCACACGGAGTCACTACCAGAATGCCGTAACAGCCACACGGATGGACAGCTCTCCTCAGACGCCTGATGCTGATGCCCATCTGACTGAAGGAAACACCCTGACCCCAGAGCCCCCAACTACAGGGTACTCAGCCACCTTAATGCCTCCACAACACACCACCACCACCACCACCCTCATGCCCCCTCCTAGAGAGCCATGTCGGCCTGGCTCAGCCCGCACCAGAGGACAGCAGTCCAGCGTCCCCCACAGCACATCTCTGCTGAACGAGAAGAACCGCATCGTCCGTAAGTACCCAGAGAGTCATCCTGCCGCAGATTTACAGTCCAGACTCATGTCAAGACAAGATGACTGGAGGCATCACAGGCAGACATACAAAGCTGCTCCTAAAATGAGTTTCTCAGAATCCATTAGGGTATTATACTGAGGATAAATAGAGTTCAATAACCCCTGACAGCTAAAGCTGCAAAGAGAGGGTTTGAAAACAGGACAGAGACTCTGACAGAGGAGGAAAACTGACTGACAAAGAGAACGGCTTGAATAAGAACCAGGAGGAAAAAACAGCTACAAGATGTACAGTTGAAGGCTTAGCTGCTAGAACATCTTCATGGATTACATTTGTGTGTTACAATCCTGCAACAACATCACAGCAGCCTGGATTAGGTTCACAGACAGCATTTCTCAGATTGAATAAAAGATTGATATTACATTATGAACCTCTGTGGCTCACTAAGATGACTTACTGAGCTGGACTCACTCCACACCAGACTGCACTGTTCAAGCCACATGTAGGTCACCACATTTGGTTTTTGTTCTGTTTGGTGCGTCACAAAATCAGTTCGGGTTGGTTGTTTTTTATGCATATTGTTTTTTTTTATGTTTGTGATCTGTTCATGTGCTGCAGGGAGTAAGTCTGATGGCCAGAAGAGTCCAAGTGATTCGGTTTTTCTCAGGATGGATGAGATCCCTTACATCAGAGAAGACAGAGTGGAGGCGGAGCCAAACACGGGTATGACATTGACCATCCAGGGCTGTGATATGGCTCTCTGGAAGGTCAGAGAGATTGTAAATAAATATGAAACCGTTAAAGGGATATTCCGGCGTAAAATTAAGTTAGGGTCAAACACACCGTAACACCGAGTTAGACACCATCGAGAGATGAATGCTGCCGACCACTTGCTTCTCTGGTTATACCAGCATTAGTAACGACCGCATGATAGCAATACAGAGAACCACACTAAAAACCCGCTCTATAGCCACAAATAATGCTTAGAACAGCACCTTCATCAACAGTACATACAGGGTCTGAGCCACAGCACTAGCCACCAAACATCAACATTTTGAGCTTTGCCTAATTTCTTTAGCAAAGAGAATAAACACAACTCACCCACTCTCTTCCAGCAGCCGCTTGTTTGTATGGTGAGTCCATCGACTATAAAGGAATATCCCTTTAATACAGAGGAAAAACTAAAACAGATACTGAATTTCACAAGTGTGTCTTCAATACACAGTAAACAGTTCTAAAAAAAACTTTTTTACAAATTTGTGTTTTTAGTTTAACAGCACACAATCAAAAGTAATTTTTCTTATTTACAGAGTCAGTCAGTCACTCACAACTATCCATATCTGAGTATATATAGTTATTTGGTGCTCAGCGCTGCTGAAATAAGCCTACAATCATAGCTGTATATCTGTTGTTTTTCTCTACAGTCAGGGTGAAGTTAGGGCAAATGTCCACCCTTGGTTAGACCAAGTGGGAATTTAGCCAGAATAATTACTTTAAAAGTCCAGTTTCAGTCAGACTAAGGAAATACAATATTTTTTCAATATCATGTAGACATACTGAGTGAAACTGAGAAACATACGGATGTAATAGCTGATGGCACCATTTACTTTACACCATTAGAACATGCAATCAACTGCTTGGTCTTAATGTCTTTTGTGCTCATGTTTTACTATCAGTGAACGGGAAAAGAACTTAAAGAGAGTTTATAATGAACAGAGAGAGTGTTATAAACTGCAGGAAATATGTCCTGGAAATACTCCGTAAGGCAGCAGGTTGTGAAAAGTGGGTGAGCAAGATGTCCGCAGTTTCACCTTAAACACAAACTCAGCAGAGGGTTGTGTAGGACTCTGTCCTCCAAAGGGACTGAAACTGTTTATCATCGAAGGGTCATGATTCTTTCTCTCTCTCCTTCTTTCTCTCTCTCTCTTACAGACATGGCCTCTGTTCCCATAGAAACGGACACTTCTCCTTTCATTAGCAGCCTATCCCTGAGTGGCTCAGAGGACACACTCGGAAAGAAACTCCTGCTCAAACTCAGTTAGTCTCACCCTCACATACACACACACACACACACACACACACACACACACGTTTGTCTTACTGTTCTTGTGGGGACCATCGCTAGCAGTGTGCGTTGTTTGGACACGAGCCCCAGTTTTAATTTCACAACCAAATACCTGAATTTAGCTCTGATCTTCATCCTAAAACCTCTCTTTTTCAAATACTTTTCAGTGTTGAGCACAGACCAGAACAGTGCAAATTGTCCTCGCTGCTATGGTGCAAACCTGAGTGAGGTCCTCACAAAGATAGAAAAACATCCTCCACCCACACACACTGACACCCTCACCACTTCTTCACCAGTGCTTTTTGTGCCTTTCTGTCTCTTTTCCTTCTTCATTCACATGCAAACCATAGAAAACACAAATGGACCACACACACACACACACACACACACACACACACATACATACACAAGCGCACATGCACATACACACACACACACACACGCCTTAGCATTCAAATGCCACTTCTTAAAGCACCATACCAGACAGCTATACAATATCATCGGCTGCTTTGTCAAACCATGATGAGATGATGAGTAGAAATGCCCCTTAAAATAAAAAAATAAGGTTGACAAACTTAAAAAGTTGTTGGGTTACACATGAGTAACTAACAACTGCTTAACCATAAGTAAACTTTAATTGAACAGGTAGATAAAGAACCAAAATATTGCATTTTTACTGTGAAACCAAATATTACTTAACCAAATGGTAGAAAATGAGCAGCTTATCCAACACATGTGTAACTAACTGACATGGGTTCATCCAAGGGCCAGTCTACCAAGGCCTGTAAACTCCATACTTGGGGTGCCTACTCTATAAACTGAGCTAAACCAGCACCCCTGAGACCTAACCTTTACCTAGCTGTCCCCTTGAACATGTCTTGTCTCCTCAGGTCATAAGAAGAGGAAAAAATCTCGTGAAGGAGAAAAAACCCCTGAGGACATTTCAGAGCAGCCGCTGGTGAAAACCTAGCAGAGAGTCGGGCTTGAACTCTCCATCGTCTGATGGTTATTTAAGAGACCACATACAAACTGAACTATCAGAGTTTTATCTGAAACAACATACTTCGTACACCCCTGCTCCAGAACACCTTAAAGTGGATCCATCTCCAGGACTGTACTGAACGTGCAGGTGGACCATACCATTTTGATAAGAGCAGGGGGTTTCCAGCTTTTGGCAATATGCATTAAACAGTAGCTTCTCATCTTCACAGGTTTTTCTTGCTGATGCTTGTTTATGAAAGACTGACTGTGAATGTAAAACGAGTTTTTATACGCTCTCATGTGATAACTTCTATGGAGCTAAGGGGAATAACGGGACATGAAGACAGATGGAGGGCACCAAAGATGTTTCTGATACTGCTCCAAGTTGCACAGAGGAGAATCATGTTCAGGTCTTTATCTTAAATCACTTTATAAATGCTTGCTTAAGGTCTGTAGTCTAACCTGCTAATGTAGAGAAGCGCTTTTAATCTCATATTTATCTGAAGAGAGCATTTCTCGTCCAGACTGTGCCTGGATGCCTGTTCACTTTTCTGGTTTACTTGGTAAATGACATATACGTCTGTTTTATAAGCTAATGGGATCGAAGGGTTTGGACTGCTGGGGCACAAGGGGACGTGTATTCAAACTTTTTATTTGCTCCATTTTACTCTAAGAAGAAGAAGAAACTTTTAGTTGTTTCCTGAGGTTTTATGTGTAAACTTCATCACTGGCTTTCTCGTGCTTTACTGTACAAACTCAGATCTGACTCTAAGCGAGTGAATTTATCTGAAAGAATCTTAAAGATCTGGTAAAATCTTTTTGTTTGTCTGGACTTGTCAGATGAATGTGGCTTATATCAAGACTTACTAAAGGTGGCCCTGAAGGTCAATAGCACAAATATTTCAGAAAAGATATTTAAAAAAATCATAAAACACAAAAGAACTTTGCAAAACACAAAGTATGTTTTTAAGGAAACACAATTAAATGATTTAAGTGTGAAACTATTATGGAAACAAATGTACATTTAAAAAAACTCATTTGTGTTTTCAAAAATTTGTCTCCAAATATTTTTCTGTTTTTTAACCTTATTTTTTAGTTCTAAAATTTTCAATGTTTATATCATTTGTTTGTGTTTTCTTAAACATACTTTGCGTCTGTGTGAAATGCTTTTGTCGTTGTCGTTATAAAATACTTGTGCCATTGACCTTCAGGGTTACCGTACTTAAAGGACATTTTATACCATAAATAAGAGAAATACTATGAGATTTGATATAATTCAATTAATTCAAATTTTTTAAAATTAAAAACATATTGTAAAAAATCACGTTTTAACAAGTCCTTATGTCCTTAATTTTTTCTTTTTAATTTCTCATTTGGCATAATTGAAAGCCATACTCTGTTTATTTGATTTTTGAATATGAAAGTTCTAATCATCTGATGTTGAGTTGAGATCTTGAGGAAAATACTCTGATGGGAACATGGAGTGAATAAAATTTTTGGATGCATGTCTGTTTTTTGATCACAGCAAGTTTTTTTCATGCTTTTTATTTTATTCACAAACCCCCCTTTTTTAATTAAATCTCCACTTTTCAGAGGAAAATGAGACACAGTGATTAAGGGACAGATGGACAGGCTAAAACTGTCTGTCTGCATAACGATTCACACTTTCATTTAACTCCAGATTTATTCATCGCACGATTCATGACCACTGAACCTCTTCAAAGAATCATCACTTGAGCTGAGCCGCCTTTAATTGGATTTACTTCAGTAATGAATGAATCTTGTTTAACAGCATCTCTTCAAGAGAAAGGCCTTTAGGGTTTTTAGGACTTTTATTTAATTTGAGTTTTTTTAAATCACTGTAACAAACTGCAAGATAATTCAGACAAATATTCTCCGACTGAGTCAGTATCACAAAAATGTATAAAGATATTTTTGTTTGCCTCTTGGTTTCATGGATCTGAGTGCAGATCTGCAGGTGACTGGATGGAGCTGCTGGAGTTACATTTTAATTACCTAATGCTCTAAATGCAGCATGATTTCATGCTAACCACAGCGCTTTAGGAAGCTTGGCTCCTCTTTCTCTGTTGCTGCAGTCCCACATGCTTCCATCTTTTTGTATCAGCAGTACAGTGAACACTAAACAAGATTAAAAAAAAACTCCATTTTAAAGCTAGAGACACTTTTAGAGGGATTTCATATTATTAATGACTTTATAGAGAGAAAAAAAGTGTTTTTATCAAACAGAGCTGCAAGGATTAGTCGGCATTTGAACTGAATGATCAACAGAAACATAAAATCAGCACCAGCATGTTTTTACAGCACCTCAGATAACAAGAGAACTGATGCATTCTCTGTTTTATACAGTCTTTCACTGAATATCTGTGGATGATTTATATTGTTTTTCAGTAAAAGAAGGAATTATTATGCATAAAGCAGTCAAGTAAATACATCAACAAGTTGATCGTTTGATACTTTTGTGGCTCAGAAGGTCAATATTTCAAAAATTAGAAAAACTTTAAAAACACAAAAATGAACCCAAAATATATTTGAGAAAACAAGAATTGTAAAAACATAAATCTATTTGATAATACAAATTACCCTAATGTTATATGTCTTTCGAAGTATTTTTACTTTCTTAAATGTGTTTTTTTCTCAGATAAATTTGTTTTAATTTATTTTCATTTTCAACATGTTTTGGTTCTCTGATTAAGCTGTTTTCTGATATCTTTATATTTATTTAAAACATATTTTAAAATATGATTTATGTCCATGTGAAACATTTCTGATTTGTAAAATGTTTGTGTTTTTTTAATGAAATATTTGTTGCCCTCTTGACGTGTATTTGACATTGACCTTTAGGGCCACCGTACAAAAAGAACTACTGGGATGATTAGTTTGCGTAAAAATTGCAGGAAATGCCAAGTTTCAGATCTGCAGTGTTTATGCTCTCCCTGTGGAGCCGCTGAAGTTCTGTAAATGCGATGGTTTTCTCTTGAGTGCAAAAGTTATTTGACTGACAGTCATTTGGAAAGTCTTCTCTTTTGCCATGTTTGATGAACCAGAAATGGACTTTCACCTCTGGCTGCAACACATGATTTATTCTGGTGACAACAGAGGCAGATAAAATACGTAGAGGTGATAATAAAAGGGAATCGTAATGGAAACTTTAAGCAATAATGAAGTTACTTGTGGGCCGATGTGATACCACAGAGATTAATGTTGAAGCTAGAGTGTAGCTGCTGAAGCTTCATGTGGTGAGCCGGACAATGAGATCATTTTGATGCATCAACAAACCATGAGGTGCAGTCTCAACTAGGGCTAGGAGATAAAATCAGTTTAACCAATTATTTGTGACTCAGAAAATGTTTTGGAAGCAAAAGATTTGATTTTCTTTCCTCAGCTGCTTCTTGCAGTTTGCACCTTCTCTACCAGTTTACTCTCTACCAAAAGAGCAACATGGCTGCTAGAGTTAATGCCCAAGTTTACACTATTGACTCCAGGAATGTGACACTGTGCTTTATCTGTGCAAGCCTGCATGTGGAAAAATTTGGGTTTATCCCCTGATAACAGACATTTGGCTCAGACAAACCAGCCTCACATGAGACTTTCGGTGCATTCAATAAACATTTGGATGAGTAAGTGAGCTAATCACCCAAGGTCTAAAAACCTGTTTGGTGTTACTACTTGGTCATTTGTTTTGTTTATTTTAAAGAAGTATGAGAAACTTTGATTAAACTGTGCATCAAGCTTGCTGCGAAAAGATCAGGGGTCGAAAACTGCATCGGCTAAGTGTGACTGTCCTTCAACCTTTTAATACTTCAGTGCCTCACAGCGTTTGAGCGCTGGCTGGCCTCTGAACTAGATTTTATTTGGCTGGCCAAATTGCTCAGCTCTTCCCGCAGCCTTTCCTGGGAAAAAAAGAGACTTTCATTCCATGCAAAAGACCAGTTTCACTGAAATGATCTCAAAAAATGCCCTACAAAGTATGTACAAAATCAATACAGCGAATTAGTGGTTAACAACATTTAATGACAAACAGTGGCAATCAGAATCATTGCTGGTGCTTAGTTCACACAGGTTAATAACTTACATTAAATGTCTTCTGTATGAAGGTTTAACTTACCACAGTATGAAACTTCAGGGGCCCCTTTTCTTCTCTGTTTTATATCATTTTAAAATGAATTTCTTCCTGTTCTTAAAAATACAAACATGACTTTTGAGATTTCTTTTTTTTAACCCTTTTTCAAATATTTAACAAACAAAAGATGATTATTCCAGAAAATTATTGGTATGAATGATGAAAACAACAGTTAGGTGTAGCTCCAGTTTTATCACGACTACTGAACCTAAACTGGATGAAAATAAAAGAAGAAATAACTGAGAACTGGGGCTGCTACTGTTCTCCAAGTCTGACCACATACCAACATGAAGCTCACTTTGCTGCCTGCATATTGAAGGTTTTGTGCTCACATTTTTTTACAGCACTGACTGCATGTGGATGATACATTTAATATTGATATTAAAATAGATACAAGTCTATAAATATGTCTTGAACAACAGTCCAACTATAGCTCACATTGATCAGACTGGGAGGGTTTGGATTTCTTTAATGCATCACTTTCTCCGCAGTTATTCTGGTGTTGTGTCTGAACTTGCAGCTCTTTGTTTTTTGTTTGCACGGTGCTTAGAGGAAAAGGATGGACGGGCGTGGCTTCAACTGACTGGGTTTGCGCTTCTGCAGTAGGAGGAGGAGGGGAAGGAGGAGGAGGAGGAAGAAGAGGGGAAAGGGGATGCGGGATGGATGAGACTGCAGAGAAGTCTAATGTTTCAGATGTGACAGATATAGCTGCTGATAGATGTTTAACCTTGTCATATTTCTGCCTGGACTAATTCATAAATTCAACTGCAGACTTTTATTCTGGAGACATGTTTATCATTGGGAGGTCACATGGTATGTTTGTGTGAGATAAAGTTGCTCAGGAGACAGTTCAGATGTAGTTTTAACAACATGACAATCAGTGAATACAGAGATTGTAAATCTTGGTAATAAATTCGTCTATTAGCCGCTCCCTGTTGTATTGGCTTTTAAACAACTAAATCGACCCGTCGCAGGCTGGGCAGAGGGAGGGGGCGCTCCCGGACTCACCTCATTGGCTATTGTAACTGGCGGGGGGGCGGGGGTTCTCTCCTGGGGGCCATATATCAAACCTGCTGAGTCACTTTGCTGCATTGGAGCGTCGACCACAGCCAACCAGAATCATCGTTTAAGGTCATAGTCGGACCGCACGTGATCCTGCTGCAGGATGTTGGTTTGATTGAAATGTTTCCCCTGCAGCTGATCTGTTAACTATGCAGACATCAGGAGGTTCTAATGAAGAGGGTTTTTTTCACTTATTCTGCAAAGAGCAAATATCTCTGATTGATGCTTTAGAGAAGTTTCTGTTGTTTTAGCTCCTCTGATTTGTGAAAGTTTGACAGAATGAAGAAAATGTCCCGGGGAAAGTAAGAAAATGAGACTATATGTAATGTAGAAAGAAAGTATGTGATGGTATTTTGCATCAAAATACACAGAAATAAAAAGCTCCACCATGTACTGAGAACTCTCTGTGCTCATTTCAGTCTTGTAAGAGTTAACGAGATAAAGCAGTATTGGCTGGTCTTGTCATCTGTCTGCTTAAGCAGGTTTAGTCTCAATGTCAACCCTCACATCCAACACCATCCATCCATTTTCTACTGTTTATTCTCGTTCCCGGGGTCGCTGGAGCCTATCTCAGCATCTTTGGGCGAGGGCAGGGGACACCCTGGACAAGTCGCCACTTCATCGCAGGGCTGACATATAGAGATGAACAACCATCCACGCCCACATTCACACCTACGGGCAATTTGAAAGTGGCCAATTAACATAACCCCACTTAGGCATGTTTTTGGGATGTGGGAGGAAACCCACGCGCACACACAGGGAGAACATGTGAACTCCACACAGAAACACCCTGAGCCGGATTCGAACTCAGGACCTTCTTGCTGTGAGGCGACAGTGCTAACCACTACACCACTGTGCCGCCCCACATCCAACACCATAACATGGAAATTATCTTTAAAAAAAGATAAATAAGGCGTGATGAAGTCTCAACATTAATGTTCCTCCCTTTCTCATTTAAAGCTGTAGAAATATGAATATTATTTTACCAAATCTCCCCGATTTCACTTCACTTTTAAGAGCAAAAAAACAGTCAAAAACACAAAAACTTGGTTATTACAGTATAGGAACATAAATATTACTGTGTGCCACAACAAAGACAAACACCACATAATGGGAGTATGGTCATGTGAGCTCTGAGGTCTCATGACGACATCAGAGAGGCTTTCAGTAACACAATAAGGGCACTGCAGGGTGGAAACAACATAAGAACAGAGAGGAGAGAAAACAGAGAGGTGATTTTGTTCAGAATGGCACCGAGTCATTTAGTGAACTAACATGACCGTCTTTAGCTGCACCGTCTGACAAGGCAAAAACCAACAACATCAGGCACACACTTTTATCTTTAAAAGGACTTTTCAACCGTTTTACATGATGGCGACCGTTACTCTGATGACGCCATCGTTTCAACCTCAAAATGACACAGGAGGAGATGGAACCAGTTCAAAGGTAACGCTGCAAATCCTCGTACAGAAATAATGATTGATCAGGAGGTATAAGAGGACGTCTAAGTGCTGACATGAAGCAGGAGTTCTGTGCTTCTGAAGGAAATCATAGGACCTCTTACAGTGATTACATCTATTTACATTACCAGCATTTTGTTCAAGAATAAAGACGCAGCATCTTCAATCACTTGAAGAGCTTTACATGAACAAGGAAGCACTAAAATGAAGTTAAAATTCTTTTCAGCCAGAGATTCACGTGAGCATTTGAGACCAGAAATGATGAGTGCAGCACATCAACAGTGAATCTACAAATTAACAGACCTGATAGATATTTACTCTGCTGGCGGTGAGGCCTGGCTGTGTGTGCGTTCAAGTGTCTTCCTAAAAAATCATTGCACCTCCCAAAAAGGTTTTACCTTCATGTGAGAAAAGAAAATCCTCCCATTGGTTTAGCTGCTGCAGTTAAACCAATGAGAGGGCAGGATAAGCAGAGAAGGCAGGGCAACAGGTCAAACATACACATGACGGTACTTCCTGTGGCGTACAGGAGGCAGGTGGTGGGCGGAGAGAGCGAGCCCGTTACTGGATACTGGTGACGGTCTCGTGGATGGACTGAGCCACGTAGTCAATGTTCTTGGTGGTGATGCCGCACATGTTGATGCGACCGCTCGCCATCAGGTAGACGTGCTTCTCTTTGATCATGAACTCCACCTGTTTGGCTGCAGAGACAGAACGACGTGGAGACAGTCACACAGAGCACGGAAAAGAGGAAGAGATTCTCTGTCATGCTTTCTTATGGTCCATTTATATTGAAAATTAATTTCCCTCGATATCAATATAAAACATGGTCAATGTGCTTTTTGATAGTCATCATTCTGCCATGTTTTGGTGGCCTATACAAAAATAATATACAAAATACAAATTTACAAATTAAAAATGTCCAAATATCATGAAAAAAGAGATTTTTTTTTTAGTTTCAACATTTGATTTGATTTGTTGTCGTCACAATTTCAGTTAAATAAAGTTTTAAAGTCTTTATCAACACTTAAAAACAACTTTTCAGATTTGTATAGCTGTTGTCCCTCTACACTCAACAAGATCAGATTGCATTTTAAAGGTGAATACTGCCACCTGCTGTGCTGGAGTCTGCAGAAAACAGAACCAGATCGTCTAATAATATAAAGGCGTCTTTGAATAGGCAGCGGTGGTACCTTTGACTTGATACTTTCTCTTTGATACGTGTGTGTGTGTGTATCCACTCACGGTTCAGGCCGGTGAAGCTGAACATGCCGATCTGCTGAGTGATGTGGTCCCAGGTCCCTGGGGTCCCCAGGGCCTGCAGCTTGGACTTCAGCTGATCCCTCATCAAGAGGACTCGATCTGCCATAGTCTTCACGTTACTCTTCCTGCAGCCGAGAGAGAATAATGACAGGACTGATGAGCCGCACCACATCTCCACCTAAACTGAAAACCCTGTTAGCTGACAGAGAGGAGGACTGCGCTGAAATAATAAACTACAAAAATGTCGTCTTGAAACTGTTCAGCACTTCAAATCCTGCTGAACTGAGATGCAAAAATATCAAAGATTACAACACATCAGTGGCTCATAAGTCAAGGACCTGATGTATGAGATGCTCATCAGTGCACTGTACTGCGTCTGTGAATAGTACAGAAACCAACAGGGCTTTGTGACGACAAAGTAAAGAGCTGAATATCTTTACAACACTGTGGAGCGAACAAACCCACTAAGACCACTAAGTTATTTTTAACCAGCTAAATTATGTAGAGGAGCTGACTCCGTCTGCAGCAGCCGTTAGCTTAGCTTCTGTTCTGCTTCTCTGGCTGGTTTCACAACAGAAGGAGCCAAGCTGACAGGGACACACTCGGTAAACACAAGAAAGACAGACGAACTATCCCTTTAATGTATGAGACTTCAAGGTGTCTACATTTCTATTTGTGTCTTTTTACAGTCCTAACTTCAACAGCTGTATGACCACATGTGACTTGTATCTTATTAAGCCGATAAACATCACGAGCAAGACTCATGACCAAACTCTGAAAAACCATCTTGTCTCTGTTATCAGTGACATTCTTGTATTTGTCTGAAATAAAGCTCCATGGTGCTGCAAAACAAGAAGAAGAAGATTTCAGGACTCAGTAAAGATCGTACCATTCATCGAAAAGCTCGGGGCTGTTGAGCGTCTTGCTGACGATGCGAGCTCCCTGAGATGGGGGGTTGGACCAAGTTGTCCTGACGATCTTCTCCATCTGGGACAGGATGCGGGTCAGGTTGTCGTTGTCCTTGGCGACAACTGTCAGGTTACCGACTCTTTCATCTGATACGAGAGACAGACTACATTAGATCAAAAGTGGCCTGCAGGTAAGGCACAGAGATGTTTTAAATCACAGTCCTAAAAGCCGTGTATTGCACTAAACCACCAACACGACCGTGTCTGCACACAGATAAGGTGTACTCACTGTAAAGGCCAAAGTTTTTGGAGAAGGACTGAGCCACCAAAAGCTCAAAGCCCTCAGAGACAAAGTAGCGGATGGCCCAGGCGTCTTTCTCCAGACTGCCAGAGGCGAAACCCTGATAGGCTGAATCGAAGAAGACAAACAGATTCCTCCGCTAGAAAAAAACAAATAACACAAAGTATGACAAGGACCGCAGTTTACAGCAACGGCGAAAGAATGAGGAAATAACAGTATACTAATGACTGCTGAACTAAGAAGTAGAAGCTACAGCTTTTCTTTGTGTAAGAGCAGAAATATACCGACAGAAGGGACAGAGTGTTAAAAAAAATTAACCAGATAATAAAAAGTTCCAGCAAGAACATCACCTGACCTTCATGACCTCTGCGATCTTTTTCCACTGCTCCTGGTTGGGGTCAGTGCCGGTGGGGTTGTGCGCACAGGCATGAAGGACAAAGATGGAGTGTTCTGGAGCTTTCTGTTGAGAGAGGAAAGGTCATTTTATATACAGTAAAAGCACAAAATCAATAACTGAGAGGTTATTGATGAGAAACTCTTGATTATACTGCAGAAAACTGGACCTTCAAAGTTTGGATGACAGGATGACACTAAATGCAACTTTGAGACAAGTGTAGGATTGAAGCAGGACAGCCAGGCAGGCAAAAACATCAGAAAAGCTCTAAAAGTCTGGAGGGACTTAAACCTGGGCTGCATAATTTATTTAATTCCAGTCATGATCCTTTGTGAGAAACACTAGCCAGTGTCAGGTACCGCTACTTTCTCCTTTTTAAATGTGTACAGGTGTGCTCTTGTTTTATAGCCTGTAACCTATTTTCTTTAAAGCTTCGGGAGGAACTTTCAGCTTGTGTAAATTTTGTCCCCCCTGAAGACAAAACAATCTTTGATGTCTTGTCTTCTACATGCTTTAGTGATGTTTGTAGACAAAAAAATAATAAGTCAATGGACCAATCACAGGCCTTCCAGTCTGTGTCATGTTGATGCTTTTTGAGGTGGCGGTGCACATCAGGCTACCTTAAAAGACTCTTGTGTAGGTAAAGGACTAAAAAAACTAAAAATCAGATATCAACATCAGAGTTTCCTTCTCACCTCCAGGTCGTCAAGGAGCCCAGCGAGGTCCAAACCTCTATTGGCAGCGTCCCAGTAATGGTATGGCCGGATGTCTTTAAAACCAGCATCAGCAAACACAGCGTTGTGGTTCTCTGTGAGGAGAGAAGATACAGGTGATTCTAAAATCTGAAATACAACAAGAAGTGGATGCGTTCCTGTTGCGCCAATAACAATACAAACATTTACTAAAACTCCTTAAAAAAATTAACTTTAGGTTGAACCCAAAGTAAATCATCTAGGATTCAGTCTTTCAGGGTCACAGCTGTGTACAGACCCCAGGTAGGTGCAGAGACGTAGACAGGTGTTGCTGTGTTGTTGACGCCGTTGTACCAACGCCGCAGGAATTCTGCCCCAATCCTCAATGCACCTGTCCCACCCAGAGCCTGGACCCCTCCCACCTGAGAGAGAAAACAACAGGATGAAGCCTAAGTCTTTGGAGAGGAATTTAGAGATCTGCCTAAAGAGACAACTTGAAAATGCAAAACAGTTTCAAAAGTTTGCAAAAATAAACAAACACTATATTTCATTAATAAATATTTTAATACAAACGTCAAACCAAAACCTTTTTGAATGATCAGTTTTTGAAAGGTTTTGTGAACCTTCAACAGATCAGGATCTTCTTTGTCCTATTTTTAGTGTCATGATGCTCCAAATGTTTCTAAAAACAGGTGACAAGTCAGGACTGCAGTCAGGCCAGTTCAGTAGCAGGACTCTTCTACTACAGAGCCATGCTGTTGTAACACATGCAGAATGTGGTTTGTTACTGTCTTGCTCAAATATGAAGGCCTTCCCTGAAAAAGTCTTTGTCTGGATGGCAGCAGATGCTGCCTCTAAACCTGTAGATACTGTTCAGCATTAATGGACCCTTCACAGATGTGGAAGCTACCCATGACATGGACTCTTATGATCCCCTGACCATCAGGGGTGCTGGCTTTGAACTGGGGGCTCAGAACCAGTCGGACAGACCCTTTACTCTTTAGAAACAGGGATAAAGAATCCATGATTTCCAAATAGAATGTCAAATTTTAATTCATCAGCCCTAAGGACAGTTTTCCTCTGAAATGTGCTCAGGTCCAGAGAAGTCTCTGATGTTTCTGGATCATGTTTGGTTTCCTCTTTGCATGGTTCAGTTATAACATTATTTGTGGATGCAGTGATGAACTGTGTTCATAGACAAGGATTTTGAGCCCATGCAGTGACTTCCAGTACACAGTCCTGTCAGTTTTTGATGCAGTGCTTCCTGGGGGCCCGAAGATCAAGATTATCTAGTATTGATTTTAGTCCTTGTCCCGTCTTTTGTTCAGAGATATTCCTGTGGGTTTTTTGTTTGATTTACAGACCTTTTTTTGTTTTTGTCTGTGTTTTAATGTCCTGTTATGTTAATAAAATGTTGCTCTTATTGAATTTAAAATGAGGTGCGTTCTCTTAGTACAGTTTTAATTAAAAAAAAGGATTTAAAAACCATCAAATTCTGCTTTCTGTCTCTGGCATTGGGTTTGTATTACTCCTTAAAGCTTCCTTTCAGAAAGTGTCCCTGATGTTCAGACAGCTTTACAGCACACCTTGTGTACACTGTGAACATGTTTAATGAGGGTGTCTCACTCTGTTGTCTTTGATGGCAGGGCTGTCCTCTCCAAGGGCGACTTTAGAGGAAGCTGAGCGGAATTCTGGCAGACCAAGAATGGGCAGGTACTCGTGGTTCAGACTGCTGTCCTCCACGATCAGCCGCTCCACCTTCTTCACCACCGGCAGTACCCAGGGTTGACAGTCATCAGTACGGTAAGCTGGAGGGGAAAAAAAGGTAATACAGTAATGCAGCCTCACTTACACCATGAAAACAATCCTGAAATATGAAACGGAAAAGACAGAAGGACACAGTGCAAGAAAAGAATGGAGATGAGTTAGAAAAAGACTTTTGATATTTAATGTTACACACTGTCTGTAGGCGCTTGTGTGTGTGTGTTGCACAAATTTGACTCCTTAAGAATTTGTGCTGCTTCAAACTGTGTGCCGGCCTGTGCAGAGCTGTATCATATATCAGACCTTTACTACAGCTGAAGTGAGGATCAGAGGGTCAACGCTGCTAAAAGGTCAAATAAGGAGCTTGTTAGTTTGTATCTATAAATCACCTTGAGGGACATATGTCGGCTGTTAAAAATATTTACAGTAGGTTAAAGCTTAAGTGATTAAAATGTAAAAAACAGCTAGAAAAACAAAGCGCAGAGCGTTTTTGTCATAGTGCTGAGTGTGAAATGTGACTTCTTTCCTCACAGATCATGTATCTGAATTTATGTGCTGTTCTCCAACTCGTGCCTGAGCCCCATTGAACAGAAGCCAAAAGCCACGGCACACAAAGGTCCAGCTTACAGAAACTTTTGTCCACTGCCAACTGCTTCAAGGCCACATTGGTTTGGTGCATACACAAACACGTTTTAGAAACTAGGAGGAGGAAAGCTGCAGCTGAGGTTCACTCCCATATGACGCCACAGGTCTCCTTTGTTAACCCTGTACGAGTGAGTTTGGTCGCTTTCAAACAAAAACTCATGCTGAGGTTTTCATAACACTCATACAATAATGCCAAATCAAAGCTTATCTCTGATATTTTCCTGGCCTTATGAAGTCTGCTTGAAGGATCCTAAATTTGTCTGTCTAAGTGGGTGAGTAGAATCCCAAAATAATTCAAAGAGAGCAAAAAGATGTCAAGATCCTATGGCATTAAGGAAACACACAATCTAATAAGTTCTCAGCATTGGTGTTTATTTTTTCAGATATGCACTGTTACAATAGCTACCCCTGTTAATACACTTTTTTTATGCTTCACACTCTGAGTGAATCAGAAAAGGAGTTCATTTTGTGTTGCAGAGTAAACCCCGACATTACAGTGAACAACAGTGGGACAAACATGAAAATTACAGTGTCAGAGGAGGACAGAGAAGTTTACAGTTTGCAAAACATGTACGGAGACAGTTCTGATGGCAATGACACCAAGCTCTTTTACCCTCTTATTTTTATATTCCAGGGATTATAAGTACAAAAGTGTCATTTACGAGGTGTCCTTGGCATCTACACAAGGTACTCAAAGATACGGAGCCCAGTGATTGATAGTAAGCAGCTGTCCTGCAGCTTTATCCTTCAAAGCAGAGCAAACACTATAGCAGCTAAAACAAGGATTGGTGTTTAGATATACTACAAGTAGGGCTGGGTGATAAAACGATAACAATATATATTGTAAATTAATGTTTCATATCAATATGAAACATGGTCAATGTTCTTTCCGATAGCCGGCATTCTGCCATGTTTTGGTGGCCCTAACAAATAGCCAATGAAAAGGGGGGTTGGTCTGGGTCCGCTTTGTGCTGAACCAATCATGTGCTGAATTAGAACCAAGTAGCAAACAACTGCGTAGTAGTAGGCTGCAGCTACACGCAACCATAACACTTTAACAGGTGAAGGTGACTGCACTGTCGGTGAGAAAAAAAAGAAAAGTGTTCCCCCCGGTAGAAATGCAGAAGAAGGCTCAACAGATGAGGACATCGTTGACGGTATTTCAGTTTTTTTGGAGGTCGGACATGAAGCAGAGTAATGTGCACTGCAAATCATGTCGAGTACATGTTCTCGTAATGTCGGGGAATTCCTCAAATCTTTTTCACCACCTGTGCCAGTTCCATACGGCAGAGCATGTGCAAGGCAAAAGTTTACAAACCCTGAGCGGAGCAAGGAGCCCATGGCGCCTGTGCAGCTGAAACAGGCGACCAGTCAGTCCGCTCTCTCTAGCGTAACACCTTACGACAAAAAGTCAGAGACGCAAAGACCTCACAGGTGCAGTAGCTTATTATACTGCAAAAGACATGCTACCAATAACCACAGTTAAATCCAATTTTTTATATCGTGATATATATATATATCGATATCTCCTAATATGAAAAAAATATATTGTGATAAACTTTTTCCCATATCGCCCAGCCCTAACTACAGGACAACCAACTTTAAGTGCAGCTTTCCTATACAACAACTTCTGTTGTCTGTGCAACATGACTGCATCTACTTATTAAAACTATCAAAACACTTTTGGTTACCATTATTGATCTGGTTTTTGTTTGTTTGTTTATTACTGCTCTTATGCAATGTGTTTTCTCTGTGTAAGGGATTTTAATATGTATTTCTTTTAATTCTGTGCACCAGACTAAAGTATAAGTATTGACTAACAGGGCTGTCATTAACTTAACATTATTAGTAACATATTAAACCACAGCTAGCGCGCAATAATTCGTCAGTTATACGACCAGCATGACTAAAAGATCAGGTTAGCTTCGTTGATGTTGCCAAACTAGTCCCTACACCAATAAATAACATCTTCAGTGGGTGTAATATTTAGAAAATGGTGCGTTCAAGGACACAGGGACAGTGGGGAATATAAGAGAGAAAGCTCTAGAGAATATCTGACATAATGCCAGACTTACTTGGTACAAAAGCAGTCATAAATAGGTCTGCTTTTTCCAAGTGTCGTTTCGGTCATTATCACAGATATAGCAGTTGTAGCATTCATACTGCGCTGGCAGGAGTAACAACATCCAGCGGTCAATATGAATGGAAGACAGTGTCTGCGTTAGCTTCACTGCTAGCTTGAGGCGAAGGTCAAATCAAAGAGCTGCTACTGTTTAATACTATGATAACTCAGCACCGCACCTTGGAATCACTCAAAGCTAAACAGCTAATTAAAGCTACCAACCACAGCCACAGAGAGAGAGAGAGAGAGAGAGCCGAGACGACTCACTGTCACCAAGCTAACTTAGCATGTAGCATGTAGCATCTCTTACCTCCAACTCCCAGATTCACCTTCTGCGGGTGGCTGTCCTCCCTGAAATCAGCCGTCAGTTTGAAGACAGCTACCGGAGGAGCCTGTGGGACGTCGCTGAAAATGGACATGGCTCAGGACGAGGTGGACGATCCCTGTGCAGGAGGAGGTGGAGGAGGAAACGGGGGAGAAAGTGCTCCTAACGGTGGGCTTAGGGTGAGAGAGACGGGCCGGGTTCACCTTCACTCCGCTGAATCAGGACGGACACAAATGGGCGTCAAATCAGCAGCCAATCAGATGGTACGCAAGAGTGACGTAGATGACACGGTAGCAAATGAGAGGAGAGTAATAGGAAACACACTGATTGAGTTAAACCATAGACTGTATATAGAAACCATAGACTGTATAGAATAGAAGCACCGTCGCCTATCTAATCTCTTCTCCTGTTTTACACAGGATCCTTATCTGTTTGCTGGACCCATTCTGGGATCTGTAACATTTTAAATATCTGTTTACTAAAAATTAGCGAATTGGAGAGGGACACTTGCCATTGAAATTAAATTTTTGAGCAGAATAAGAGGATTGTGGGTGCAAAACTGGATGGGATGGAAACAAACTTAAAGGGATGTTCCAGCGTAAAATTAATTTAGGGTCAAACACACTGTAACACCAAGTCATGCTTGTAGTGCTTGTCTGTGGGGCCCCACTCATGGGCAGCAGTGATTTTGGCAAAATGCCAACAGCATGATATCACGGGCTACTTACATCAGCAAAACATCCAGCTGATTTAATGTAGCTGTTTTGATCTTTGCAGTGTTAACCATCTTACTTCATGTTTGTATGCTAATACCTACTACTTAGCACCTACATAAAACAAAACAAAGCTTGGCTGTAGGAAATGTTAATGGTTCATCATGTATTTGGTCACTTACAAGAGTATTAAACTACGCCTTTTTGGTACTGCTTGAGGTAATGTCAAGGGATCAGCCAATTTAAAGCAATCACCTGTGCTACAGGGCCCAAACTTCAATCTAACATAGTTCAAATTCAAAGTGCAAATCAAAGTTTTGTTCTGGACCAAGTAATGGCTAATCAGACCAACACTGTACTTTCCACAGTGATCCTGCAACACAAGCTAAAAATAAACATGTTATCAAAAAACCCCGACCAGCTTGTTCCCTGAGGCAGATGACCTCTTGGTTATGACAATAGTTCAGCCATGGGTTTATATAAGAGTACTAACTGTGGACTTTATTTAAAATACTGTTTTATTCAACATTTAAAACATTTTTTAAATACACATAACATTTTTCTCTATCACACAGCTGACCAGACTACATGTAAAATGATATCAAGTGGTAATGAAGATTTAAAACTGCATTAATCAATTTTGATTTTCACAAGGGAAAACTAAAGTCTCGTCTTCTCGTCCATTCCAATAGTTGCCTGCAGCATAAACAAAGCTGGTGAGATAAAATCACTATTCAGTAGTGAAAAAAGGTAGTAATTCAGTCACAGATACATTCAAGGAGCTAATGGACCGTTCTTTGTGTTATTTTTGGATAAGTTGGTTATACTTTCATTATGATTACTTCTAGAAAACAAAGTTAGGTTTCTTTAAAGTTTCAGGAAGTTGAATCATTTCATTGGTAAATTACAGTTGCTTATCATGTTCTACATTTTATGGGTCTTGTTGGAATTACTACATTTGTTTATGAGAGATACAGATGATTGGGTTAAAAATTAAGCAGGCTACCTTTGGCCTCCCTTTTGTGCTTGTTTTCCAGTCATTTACAATCTATATTTTTGTGTTGGCTAACACTTAAGTTGTCACGTCAATGACTTTTGATGCATCAGCTTCTTTCCCATTTTGTCGTTCGCCCCCTAGTGGTCCAACATTAATTACTGCAGTTTTAAACAGCAGCGGATTCTACATTTGTATGAATTTGACAGACATGTAATGTTAAAGGTAAAAGTCAAGCATCTGTCCTTTATACATTTATACATAAATAGTTGATGTTATAAAAATAGAAAATAATCAGGTGCCAAATATGCACTGAATCTACAAGACTTGTTTAAATTACTATTTAAAAAATGCTATAAAACCACAAAAAAACATATCTTTGTCTGTACTCATTACACATCAAAATCTTAACTCATTAAAAAGCCCTCTGTTCACAGGCTGCTAAATGCAGTGAGGGTATGAAAGAACATAGTCTTTATCTTGACGGCTGAGTCCAGGTACTTTGCTTATATTTTCTGCTCCAAATGCACGGGAAAGAGCTCTCCGGCACATCTGCTTCAGGCGCTCTGGCCGATGCTTCCGATAGGGAACCGTGAGCTTGCAGGATGAACTGGTGTAATAAGTGAGCAGGACAAAGAGAGAGGGAAAAGTCCTGTTGCTGCCATACAGACTGAAGTGGAGATTGTTCAGCTGGACCCGCACACTTGTCGGCCCGTCATCACTTTGATAACTCAGAGTGAAGAAAACGTCTGATCGGCCACTGTCTCTGCAATCAAACCACAACAAAAAAGAGTTAGTGCCTTTTAATTTGAAAATGTATGTTTTATGTCATGTTTTGTGATGCTCCCATTAAACATATATTAAGCAATGTGTTAAGATTAAGTTCACATTCACACCAGGAAGATGATTTTAATTGAAGAATCACAAAAGCATACTAAGTAAAACAAACAAATCAACACTATAAACTCCTGGTGTACTGTCGAGTAGTTACCTCCACTGCCAATAAATGAGGTTACTGTTAGAGCCAACAACTGCAATTCCCATAGAGGCCACTAGAGGGTGGCTCTTAATTTGTTCGTGCCTTCAAAGTTTGTTTTTATCTTTTCAAGCAAATACCTTTAGATATCATCTATGACTTGGTTGTTAATTGTAGAAAAAAAAAACAATCTATAGTTTTCATTGGCTTATAAAAACGGTATGTCAAAGTCATGATATATGCAAGTCATCCATAATTTATTTAACATTATTAAGGAGCAACTAACCCAAAAAATAGCAATTTCATAAGACACCGACAGCTTTGAGAAAAATTGCACAGCAGTTAAAAAAAGTTCAATCCAGGTTAGAGAAGTGATCTGCAAGGGAGAAGATTGAGATATCAGGGTCAAACATTGCAGAAAATTCAGAACCTCAATCTTCCAAGACAGTCTTACCGGATTAAAAAGGTGCCCAGAGGTTCTTTTGAGAGAATACTGTGAGCCTCCTCCATGGTCATTGCTCCCCAGTAGTATCCGCTGTGTTGAAGCTGCAGGTAAGTGTACTTCACTAGTTTATACTCTTCTGTGCTGCTGAATGGACGGAGGTGTGTGGGCAAACTCACAACATCAGGGCCCGATAATGGCTAAAGAAGAGAAAGTGAAAATGAACAAAACAGTCTGATAAAAGAGCTGCGCCTTCTTTCATTGAACCCATAAAAGTGATTACAACCACTGATTCCTCCTGCTCTTGATCTAAACAGCTTTTGTGGTTTTATACACAGCGCTCCCATCTCTACACTTAGCAAATGTCCGCTCCCTGGCAAATAAGATGGAAGAACTGCTGCTCCTCACTCCGGGAAATAAGGACTTTCAGCCCCCTGTGTTTTACCAAAGCATGGATCAGTGAACACATCCCCTACAGCGCACTACAGCTGCCGGGGATGATAGTCTGTACTGACCCCCCATCTTCACTCAGATCTTTAACAGATCTCTGGAGCTATGTGAAGTCCCCTCCTGCTTAAAACACTCTCCAAAAAACCCTCCATCACAGGGTTAAATGTCTACAGGACTGTAGTCATTGGTCTTACGAACAATCATGTTTTAAAAAGAGTTAATTTGATGGGGAAAAAACTGAGTATTTTGCTTTGTAAGATACTATTTGATTGGCAATGGTTGCTTAAAGCAAATTGATACTTCTTTACTCTCACATAAGCCAGTTTTTGGGTGCTACTTTTAGTACTTTCACACCTTACATTAGCTGGATAAAACCCGAGTGTTTGATTTCCATATTGATTGCCCCCCTAGCCATCTGTTAATAGCAAGATCCCTGAGATTAACTCCCCAGACTGTGAGTTACCCTGAGTAAGCTGTGATCACTTTACCTGCTGCCAGGTGTCAGGTTCCTCCCTTAAGATGAGTTTGTTCCAGTGCAGAAAATCAAGCTGCCTCTCTCTCAGTTCTGGGCTTTCTGGTTTATCCCTCTCTGGACTCCTTCCTTGTTCATGTCCCGCAGGCTCTTCTGGTCGTTGATTTTGGCTCTCGGCTACTTGGCTCGCTTCCTGACTCTGAACTACCGATTTATCAAGATTGTCTCTCACCATCCTACAAAAATGAGTCTTTCGCTTGTCTGTCTGTTGCACCATGTCCTCGGCTTTTCAGCAACAGATTCTCCATCTCTGAGTCCTCCCTGGCCTATCAGCGGCAGCTCTGTCCTTTTGGGGACTCCATGTAAATCATGGAATGCTTTGAAGTCTTATAGGCTGGGTGTGCTCTGACATCTGAGGGACTTCTGATCAACTGAAAAACAGACAATCAATCATTATTTTTTAACCTATGTGCATATTTTATTATTTTGTTTTCAAAAGCAAAAACTTGTGTCCCTTTTCTGGCCACTGGGGACAGTAGACAAATATCATTGCACATCATCCCTCTTGTATGTTATATTTGTATATCATCTTTATAATGTTTCTTTTTATCTCACTTGCCATGAATATACATTTGTAAGCATTTTTGACAACTGTACATTTACCATGTTTTCTGTTTTACATCAACATGTTCAGTCCTTTAAAAATAATTTAAAAAAAAGAAATAACTTGCCAAATTTTCCTCTGTGTCCACCTGATAACTGTTACCTCTGTCAGTCTGGTGCTTTGCTCTACAGGTAGTTTGCACTCAAAATTAATTTGGAAAAGATTGTACTGCCAGTGCCTGGAGAGTCACAATAAAGTTAAGAAGTATGGCTAGAAGCTTTAAATAAGGGATAAAAGCAAGTCTAAAATTAGCTCATCAACTGTTTGCACATAACTCCAAGCTTACCATTTCCTTTAATCAACCCTGGCGTGTTTTTTTTCCTGTCTAAATGGCTAGAAACCTTTTAACTAGAAAACAGAACAATCAAAAGCATGTGTGCTTTTCAGAAAAGCAGCATGCTGACATGTTGGCTGTACAGATCCAAAATAGATTTCAAGCGAAATGTGAAATCTATTGTAGTTTCAACTATGAGTCCAAAAAGACTTATCAGAGTGTTATTGTTCAAGAAATACCTGTAATATAGATTCTAGTTTAAATTATAGATTACAACTGATTGATTTTAGCAAGCAGCAAAAGCTTTTACTCCAAACATTCATCCTATATCAGTCAGTGCTTCATGATTTAATTGCACGGTGTTATTGTAACATCTTATCTAATGGCTTTTGTGTGTATGTATTAACGAGAAAAGGTCATGTGACTGACCCTAAAAGTGTATTACTGGGAAGAGTGGATACTTGAATTATAAGAGGAATGCTTTCACTTTCTCTCTCAAGCCACAAAAAAGAAGAACAAAAATCTGTGGATTTTTTTTGTGTTGGTTGAGAGAAACTTTTGCAGCACTGATTAAGATACTCTCCGACACAAAAGCACAAAAAGCCTGAACACAAAATAGTCAAGCTCCACATCTACAAACCAATGCATTCATGTAAGAACTAGAAAAAGTAAGAACAAAGAGGTCTAGGTAAACCCTCAACATTTTACATTTAAATCTCCTGTAAGAAGCTTTTTACATCTGTGACATTGACTAAAATTTATATTGATGCCCTTTCATGAAATATCGATGCAAACAAGAATACAATATTTTTTTAATGTCTTTTATAGGGGAGGAGTCTTGTGATACACAGAGGGCAAGATAAGCAAAACAGTTTTATCTGCAGGGGGTGACCGAATTGATAAAAGCCAAAAGTTCCTCACAGGATTTTTAAGTATTTAAGTATGTTAGTAAAATCTACTATTCAGTGCATGAACACAATATTACTGGGATCCTCATCTGCCCACATATTAAATTTGTGAGAAACTTTTCGGATTGTATAAATTTGGTGCCCTCTGTGAATGAAGTGATCACTCGTTTATTTGCTTATCTTGTCTTAGCTGTTTCACCATCTGCTTGACTCCTACCTATCCCCTGGCACTGGTTTTGAGCATTGAAATCTACAAAGTAAAAGCCATTAATCATGTTGGTTATGGTCTTGTTTGCTTTTGGGTATCATAAAGGAGCATCAGTATGATTTTTAAACTGATGTTAATGATGTTTTTGGGTTTGCTGTCCTGTTTTAAACTATTTTTGTTTTCCAACATTGAAAGCAACTGTGAAAACCTCTCATCTGAGCACACATACCTGGAAAAAAAAGATTTTTTTCATCAGGCTTGCACAACCTTGCAAAACAAAAGGACCAGGGTGGGGCTGTGATTCCTGTGCTGTTGACACAAATGGAAACTAAAACTCCAAAACTCAATCTCATGGGCAGAATTTTGTTTAGTTTACTTTGAAATCAATGTATTAAACAAAGTCAACTCAGCAAAATAAAATACATCTAAACTGTTCATTAGGCACTAATGTCTTCTGAAAATCGCCTTCTATACTAGCAGTGTGTACTAATATGTCCAAATGCAGTGTGCAGTATGCAAACAAATGCAATAGTCACAGTATACCAAAATACCCAGATGGCATACTGATTTGGGAAAATTTCACAGTATGTGTCAGACTCATCTCAGAGTTTACTGTGCCATGATGTGAATCAAATGCCGCCTGAATTATGAGTTGTTGAATTAACTAAATCCATTTTGGTTATAGGGATGTAAAATTTCAGAAAATGTAAATGAAACACTTAACAGATTTTTTTCAGTGCATAAATGGATGGACAACAGAGTAACTTATACACAAACATTAGGGGACAAGACATGCTCAAAAGTTTCATGCAGGAAACAGTAGCCTACAAATGCAGACATTAACATTGTGATGTTGCAAAATTAGACCAATAACAAATGCATCTTAGATGGTGAAATATTATTCATCTACAAGACACTCTTTAAAAATATAACAGTTCTATAAATCTGTACAGATTAATCAAAGTTCAAACCACACATTAAAACCCATCTGTTCAAATCTGCTTGTAACTTAGTGAAAATAGATGAAAAAGACAGGCAGAAATACAGTTAAATTAAGTCGTAGTTATTTGTTTTTATCCTATACGGTTTTCTCCTCGTAAAGTGACATTAAGTGCCTCAAAAATGGCTATATACATAAATGCATTATTCTTATCAAGCATACTGCACAATAAGGGTCGAACGCAGTACACAGCGCGCAGTATGTAGTTACCAGTAGGCGGTTTCTAGTGGGGCCAGCCCTTCCTACTCACCCCCTGTATCTGCCTGTCAGAGTCCGCCGGGTTGGTCTGCACAGCTGAGAGTTGCAGCTCGTCTTCAGCACCGAACATCTTTACTTTCGGTTAAGACTTTAACTGCGGGGGAAGGCGGGGCCTGCGGTTCAAACAACCTACTAATAAATTGAACAGTTTGACTAGTCTTCCTTTCCGCCAATGAGAGATGATTAACAGAATGCTGCGTGCGCCCTTTGTACACGCGCGCACGCTGACACACACAAAAATCGGAGACTGCTGTACCGGTTCAGGTGTTGATAGGAAGCTTTCGCTTTCACTCTCACACGTAGATCCAGAGGCTGCAAATTCAGAGCGCCTTTCTGAAAGCCTCCTTTATTACAGCGCTGCATTAGGTCGCAGTAGACCGCATTTGTAGGCTACTGATGGATGTAAGCTTCTGCACATACTGCTAATCGAAACATTAGCTCTCACTCTCACTTGTAGCAACAATACAATGTTGCTAGAGATGCGGTCTCACATTTGCGGCCATGAAACAGCAGGCTCCGGCTCTGCAGACACAGGCTTACAGAAAATCACGTGATCTACAAGCAGAGCGCTTCCTTCGCATGCATTTATGATAGGCTGTTTTTAACATTTTAGTTTTTTTCTTAATTAAAAAATGAAAGTTTAACTTGCTTGAATGCAAAGATATTACAAGTGCAAGATTAAAGAATTCAAATACATTTCATTTTGAAGCACATTTACCTTCACTAAAACAATGACAGAACAATGCAGTCAAAATGAAAGTGAAGGGCTTTTGTCAGCATTTAAAGTCGTGAAATTCATACGCATTTAGGTGAATTTACGCATTTAGGTTAAAATGCTGCACAGCCTCAGAAAACTCAACATTAAAATTCTCAGGATAACAAATAAAGAACCTATTTCACAGCCTGAGCCTCGGCTAACAAACAAAAAGCAGAGGCTCAATATTTGTGCACATAACAAACAGGCTATTTAGTTATTTGTTAAACTTATCCACACTTTTATTGTTTACAACAGGTTCAAAGGGTTGCTTTAATATTTTGTGGTGCCTGCTACCACAGACAGAATTGACAACTAATATTAGAGAAAAGGTCACAAAAATAATACAATTTATCAAACACACAATATATATAAATATATATATATATATAGTGACAAAAGCAAAGTTGAATTACTTACCTGCAGTTGCTATTCCCCATGGGTGGTGCTTAGACAAAGATTTAAAATATAACCATGAATAGCTGTCTATATGCTCAGACAGCGCTGTTGAATTCATGAATTATCAAAATTGAAGACCCTCAGTGTTTCAGGGGATGCTCTGAAACCCAGAGTTTGCCTACATCATACTGCCTCGGAAACACATTAGGCCTGTCAGCTTCTAATCCTTCAACACTCAAGTCCTACTCTCAATTCATAAATGTATGTCTTTTAAAAAATGAAATTTTGACATTTAGTTAAGGGTTTAACGTTGTAACTCAAATAGAAAAAAGGGAAAATTGTAATTATGTTTCAATCCATTCAGCCACAAATGGACATCTAGTGGAGAAACTGTTTTACTGCACCCACATAAATACCCACAATCACCCTCTCTGATATGATGGCAACGGAGGGAGACTCTGAATAATGGCCACACAACAATGTACAATTAAACAGAATTTATTAATAGGGTACAGGTGGAGTCCTGTCAGTTTCCTTCCATCGTTTAGGTGGAGCTGGACGTCTGGGGCTCTTTTTTGTTTTGTCTGCGCATGAAGTAGGCAGCTGCAGCCGCAGCAAAGACCCCGTAAGTGGCCAGCACACACTGAAAGAGAAAGAGGAGAGTCATATGAGACAAAGGAAAAAAGGAAGCATACATTCCTGTAAATGTTGTCATCCAGAGCCAAACTATGTCAGCATAATTTACGTTTCGGCGGCCCTGTAGTGTGTAGCTGTTGAAGTATTTCCTCAAACCAGTCAGTTCCACAGAAGTTGGGGCCTTAATGCCGAACAGCTGCTTCTGAAAAACACAAAAATTCCACAAACCAAACCAGTAAGAGGAAGTGCTACAGTGAGAGTGCTTCATATTTTGTCATTATCTTATTAATGGGATTTTCCGGCGTAAAATTAAGTTATGGTCAAACACACGGTAACACTGAGTTAGACACCCCCGTCGAGAGATGAATATTGCTGACCACTTGCTTCTCTAGTTATACCAACTTTAGTAATGACCACACGATAGCAATACACAGCGGTCTATGGATCCATTCGCACACCTCAACCAAAAAGCCACTCTTTAGCCACAAATAATGCTCAGAACAGCACCTAACTTCATCAACAGTACTTTATAATTTCCTTGAAGTAATAATCATTATATTAATCATTTTGCATGGCAGACCCGGTAGTTCTTCTGCCTTAGCATCTCGGCCTGATTGCATTTCCATGAAGAAATGATCATAAATGCTCTTCCTTAAGCTGCATCACCCCGATACAGTCAGTGATGGACTCATCCAAGCTCTCCCTACAAACAAGCGGCTGCTGGAAGAGAGTGGGTGGGTTGTGTTTTGTCTCTTTGCTAAAGAAATCAGGCAAAGCTAAAAAGATGTTTGGTGGCTAGTAGTACTATGACGGGACCTGTACTGTTAGCTAATTGTTGATTCTGGGGATTCTAAGCAATAGTCGTCACTTTAGTAAAAATTTGTAGAGAGAAGTTATATTTCAAGGGAAAAAAATCAAACATGACAAGCCATTGGCAACAGTTAGTGTAAGAATTTCGCCGGTTTCTTGACACTAAAACATCCACTGATCCTAACGAACATCATGTTTTCTAACTCTACAACAGTAATATAAGCTCTCTGTTACTTTCTTACAGTAGTATTAGATAGCAAGTGGCTGGATGCTAAAATTACCTGTTGTCTAGTCTACAGTAGCTTATGATTTCCCTGAAACTCTGTTTGGACAGATATTGCATATTACAAAGCATAAGAGCTGTGTGCTGTCATACTGAAAGTGAAACCATAAATGACAGGATCATCTGTCATCACAGCATTATTACTGCTGTGATAAAGCGTTGCACGCAACTATGAAACACAGTCTTTATCTGAGAACTGTGTGACAAGAAAATGTGAAACTTCTTTGAATGCCTTAGTGTCAGTTGAGACCAAAACATCAAGGCATGTTGAAACATGTGGTTTGTTGGCTGATGTGATAAGACTGGATTGGGAAAACAAACTGTTTTGGGACTCAGGAAATCACATTAAAAAAGCAGGTTAAATTAGAGTGAAGTGGATTATTCATCAGCAGGAACTCCTGCGAACCATCAGGACCACTGCACTCAGGACCACTGCACTGTTACTGCCATGAGAGCTGGACTGTGTGATAAAAGCTTTAATCTGTAATCTAACTTTTTTTTTTCTTTTTCTGCATGTGTTAAGATAATTTACAGAACTGCTAGATTCTGAAAAAATATGTGAATATCTTACTTTACATATTATTATTATATTGGTATTTTACAAAACCATATCTGCACTGAAATACCATGAGGAACTTTCGCTTTTTGTCAATTTTGGCGCCTCCAAGTGGACCAAAAAGTTTTTGCTTATCTCATAATGCTATTTTCAGGGTCCTTTTTTCCCCCATTGTTGAAGCTCAATTTACTGTCTGCCTTTTCATCGGCTTTGTTATACATGTCTCTTTAATTTTGTAAAATAAGTAGTGGATTTACTTTTTTGTTGTTTATTGTATTTTGTTATTTGTTTTAATTTTTTGAATTGTCTTGGAGGAGTGGTATATAACAGAGCTAGATAAATTTGGCATGACTTTCGACTTTTTAACATGACATAAATTTCGCCTGCCAGCCCCAATAAAGCCTACAAATAAACATGTTTTATCCTGTTTGCTTTAAAACTAAGGTTCAAAAGTGACACATGCTTTCACCCCAAATTATATTGTAGGTTTTTTCCTGGGTCAAACACAGCTGCTTCCACTGCTTTCAGCTTTTATGCTAAAAGGTTAACCATGTGGTATTCGCTGTGAAGTTAAGAAGAAAAAGTTTGACATTGAGGGAATTCATAAAACGACTTCCTTTCTCACAGCTGAATGTGATGACTGATCTCACTCTCATGTCTAAACAAATATCAACGAAGTCACAGTCAGGACACTGCGAGCTTAAACTTGGCACAGAGACTGGAAGTTTATCAAAACAAGAAGCTTGACTTTGCCAGCAGTAGACAAAATCTGCTCACGATCATGTCTAAGGCTCATGTCAGAGCGTTTACTACAAATAAAAAAAGGGAAGACAGAAAAGATGCTTATATATATGTAACATTTAGATCTTTTAAAAGTGTAAAGCAAGAAATGTAATCCAATGCTTATAATCTTAGTCTCTTTTTATTCAGAGCTATTGTATTCTTTTGAGTATTAATCTATGTCTGTAGTTTCACATGAAAGAGGACTAATTTCTATTGTTAACATGAGACTTGTATGAAATGTGCCAGAAGCAACAGCAGAGTGCTGACGAGGCCGCTCTGCTCTGTAATTCTGATTTATCTTGAAATGGGTTTCAGCGGAGGAAAACCTCTTTTTCCTCCTCCAGCCTTCCACATATTGGACTTGAAAGCGCACAGTTGACTGAAGAGATACGAGGGACTGAAAGTTCAAAATAATTTCGAAACAGCAGCTGTGCTCTGTTTGATACTGCTGAGCTTTGTTGTTGTTTTTTTTTTTAAATTGAAAACTCTTTGACTGTAAATTCGTGTTTTACTCCGACAAACAAGTTCAAAGCGGCCGTGGTGCTGCAGCCCTGTAATTCCGCGTCTTGCTTGAGGTCACTTCTTAATGAGGAAACACACATTAAAAGGCCTGTGTCCACTAACTGGACAGAATGGACTTGAAGCACTTTGTGACACTCTCAAATGTACAGTAAGATTGTAACTATATTTGTACAGGTTTTATCACATACTGTCCTGAGAGAAAAATCAGCCTTGGCAACTGTTTTTTCTCCCTGTACTAGTTATGACTCGATTAAGTGATTTAACTGGACTCCCTCTTTCAGCTTGTTACTGTCAGTCATCTCCCAATTCTGTGCTAGTCTTCCAAAAAACCTTCAAGAATCTGCACACACTGTACTGTGAGTGAACACAGCTGTTGATAACGATATCAGGCCTGTTAAAACACATCCCTATGTTTCCGGAGTAAGATTTACACCCTGTTCTGTGACCTTAAACACATCACATTACAGCTTTATTAACAGCTTATTAAGATACTCGGGGTTCATAACTCTGATGACAATACACAGCATGGCCCTGGCTGTAATGTTAAAAGCTTAAGCACAGTGTCACTCTAGCAGAGAAACAGGGAGCCTGAGTTGGCAGGATTGTCAGGGATGGTTGACTCGGACAAGCAGCTCTACATTAATGCCAATGAACTGATCTATGGTGTGTGAACTACAGCACTACACTGCCATGTACAACAGATTCCCAAAGAAGTGACTACATCTCTCGTCTTTGCAGTGCTCCAATGACCTAAATGGGAGATTTTATTTTCCTCAAATTTTTATTGTTCCTTCAGATCGAAGATAAGCACAAAAGAGGCTGATAAACTGATCATTATAATGTTATCACTAGACAGTATCAGACTTTCTTGTCACTTTGTTTATCAGCGCTGTGCCCGTTGTGTGTCTGTTTGTTTTGGTTACTCATTTATGGCAAACCAAATCTACTTACAGGTCCAAATAAAAACAACCTTGAACCTTTGTAAGATAATATAGATAAACAACTCAGAGATAGCATCCTGCATGGTGCAGCCCCACATTCATGAACTCACATACTGTACCGTATCTCCATCTCAAATATGTTATTATTATTCATTTTTAACTGATAAATTGGTAAGGTAATTTACAGTGACAATCTCCATTTGGAATTAGATAATCAAACATACTGTGTGCCAAAATGAGCAATCCCTGTTACAAGCCTTTCACATTTACATCTGTCATCGTGGTGCCACACTTTTAAACATGAGATCATTGATAGAGACTGTCATTGTTATTACCGAGTAGATTTCTTTGCACAGCATTCTGTATATTTGAAAAATTAGTGGAAAAGTAAATAGCCAGTTTCAGTAAAACGTCAAATCTGATAGCTCTAGTTTCTCATCTTCTCTCTGTTTGGATAGCATCACTTACAAACTCCCGTAAGAAACTTGTGGTTTTTCTATGGTAACATCCCACCTGGACTATTGCAACTCCCTTCTCATTAGTCTCCCCCAGAGGTCCTTTCACAAGCTTCAACTGGTCCAGAACGCTGCCGCCTGTATCATCACCAGAACACCATCTACCAGTCCCATCACGCCTGTTCTCCGCCAACTTCACTGGCTTCCCATCAAATACCGCTTGGACTACAAAATTCTGCTGCACCTCCATACCTCTCTGACCTCTTCCACATCAACACTCCCACCCGTACTCTCAGGTCTGCCTCCTCCATCAGCCTCATTATGCCTCCGGCCCGTCTGTCCACCATGGGATCCAGAGCCTTCAGCCGCTCTGCTCCCTGCCTTTGGAACTCCCTCCCCCCCTGACATTAGGAACATTGACTCACTCTCTATCTTCAAATCCCATCTGAGAACTCATTATTTCAGACAGGTCTACTCAGACTAACATTTTATGTCCCACTGTAGAGTCCAGACTTACAACTTTTTTATTTAAAACTTTTTTTGTGTTGATGTGTATTTTATTGATTTTACTATTCTACTGAAGTGTCTTTTAATTGTTCTGTAAGGTGTCCTTGAGTGCCCTGAAAGGCGCCTATACATAAAATGTATTATTATCATCATTATTATTATTGTCTATGCTGATTTTAGCACCCCCCTGTGGACAAAGGGCTATCTCTTATCCTTTTGAGCAGTACATGCCAGTGTGTAGTCCTAAAAAGTGCCACTCACTGTGAATCTTTGCAGTGTGCTCATCAGTTTCTCTGACACAGACCCTGCAGAAGTGGTTTCAGGCATTAATGAGAACAATCCAGAGAACAATCACTCAATCTGGAGAATAATCACTCTTGTCACTGATAGACTTGTTTCCTTTCATAGGTCCTTCAGTTGCATCAGTATTAATTTCAGTGATATGTAGGCATAATTTCTGCATTTAAGGATGAACTCCTAAGGAAAGAAAGAGACTCAGAGAGAGTCACAGTCCTTTATCTACCATTTCAGCATGGAAGTTTACTGTTAGACCCGCTCCTGTTGCTCTCATATAGTTAATTTTAAACTAAGTTGTTATCTGCTTATAATAGATTAAAAAATAAGGGAAAGTTAAGCTCAGTTAGAAACTTAGAACATCAGATTCAATATTTCAAAACATGACAGCACAGATCACATGGAGATCACAGAAGATGGAACCCTATAATTGTCTATTTCAAACTATCAACTTGAAATCTTTATACCTATATTTACTTATTGACCAAATCCAGGGTATTTAAATGGTTAATGGAGAGATTAGAAGAAATTTGCCTTGTTACAAGATGTTTTTTATTCCTTTCCCTACTTATTTTGTTTTATATGTATGTAAACGATGGCACACGTGTGTATGAATACATACTTAGTTGCTAACTTTGGATCAAGGTTTACTAAGGCCAAATATATGATGCCTTATCTTTTCTTTGCTGAGTATTAATTTAACTACTTTATCAAGTAGAGAAGAGATATTTTATGAACTAAATGGAAATGCTGAATTTATGAACCGTAATCTGAATGCGTTTGGATATTTGTGTGAACAGGGCAACCACAATTTATTTGTATATCCACCTTTAATAGGGGCCTAATGAATTATATTACTATTTTCAGTCTGAAATTTATTTTTGTTACTCTTTTTTAATGAACTGAAAGAGGAATTAGAAAAACTATTGGAAAAATTGTGTGAAAATGGTTTGAGATGGAGGACACCCACAAGTCTGCCACATAATATGCACATTGGGAGCTATATATTTATTTTTTTTGTTTATTGTATTTTTTTTTCTTTTCTTCCTTTTTCTCCTTGTGTGACTCTGAATTTGTGTATATTATTTTGTGTAATGTATGTTTATACAGAAAATAAAATTGTTGTACCCTGTGGCAAATGGAAATAAAAACTTAATATGTTCATAAAAATAAATAAATTAATAAATAAATAGTGAATAGTAACTTAACTAACCTTTTCTATTTTTCTGAATGTTTTTATGAATCTGAACATCTTTCTGTCCATCAGCTGATGTTTTGTCCTGACTTTGTTTTCAGTTTCTGTGAAAATGCAATTTCTCACAAGGGTTTAATGATGTTTATTCTTTCCTCATACACACTTATCATTTTATTGTCCTCTTTTTTTTTTTTTACTTGTGTAAAGAAGAAAAATCAATGTTTTGACCAAGTCCTGGTTCACTCTCATATGAAAGGCTTTAAAGATCTTTCTGAGTCACTTTTGAAGTTTACAAACATGTTTTTATATCTGCTCTTTTATCTCTACTTTTACTGTTTCTTGTAGATGCTGCTTTTGGTCAAAATACTGCTTTAACTAATAACAGCATCGGTCAATTAAGATTTCCAGGTAGTTAAGTGTGCATTCACTGTAAAACAGAGATTAAGTAATGCAATAAAAGAGATTATTTAATGTAAAGACTCAACATCTCGCTCTTACCTTCACCTCTGTTATGAGATGACCGAAGCTGGTCAGAGGGATCCGCGTATTCACAGGAGACGTCGGCATTTCTGCAGAGTCTGGAGAGAAAATGTCACGTTACACCGTCTGTCCTGTTTCACACATTTACTCTAAAATCTTCAAATAAATATTGGGTTCATGCTTACCGGTCTGTCCTTTGAGGAGGGAAAGGCAGGGGCTGTGTCTTCCGGGAGTGTGACGTACAGCTTATTCTGTCCAATCATGTGCAAAGGTGGGTCTCGCTGACCAATAGAATGTGGGGTTGTGGGTGGGGCTTGTGAGTGCTTACACAAACAGCAGGTTCACGTGTCATTGTCGTTTGCCCATTTAGCCACAAGATGGCGGAAGATGAAAGTTAAAGAAAAGGTGCGTCATCTACACCTGTACAGTCAGCTACAGAAATGAGCAAAAAAAAAAAAAAAAAAAGGTATAATCTGAAAAGTATTTTTTTTTAATCTATTATCTCTTTTACCTCTATCTTATTTCTACTTACTGTCCTTTTAGCCTTTGTTTTATTTATAATCTTTTCTTATTTAACCTTTTAGGCCTTTTATTGATTTTATTGTTTTTTCCTGCTAATTTTTGTTATTTCATTTTATCAATAATATTACCATAATTATTATTTTATTATCACTATCAATATCGTCTTTTTATCCTGTTTCCTGCTTTCAACCCCCCTTTTTATTACATTTCTTTTTCTTACCTATTTTATGTTTTTATTTTGGTCCTCATGGTGTCATTTTATGTTGTAGGGTTCTTGTATTGTCTGGGTTTCTTATGACAAATGAAATTTGCCTTCAATTAAAAGGACTTGTTTTTAACTGAGCTTTTGTTTTTTATTTGTTATTTCCATATGGTGATGCCTTGCAACTGTTTGTCAAAGCACTTTGTAAACTTCTGTTTTTAAAAGTGCTATAGAGACAAAGTTATTATTATTATTATTATTATTTTAGCTTCAGGGATGCTGTTTTATTTAACTTTACAACATTATCAAACCAGGCTGTTCCCTCACTCTCCATATCAGAGGATATAGGGTCCAAGATTTTCAAAAGAATGTCAAACTTTTACATTGGTGTGTTCAGTACTTTAACGCAGGGTTTTTGCGTGCACAGCATTGTTGTGGTGCTACTTCAACTCAAGTAAAACATTAAATTTGTTTGCATCAACCTGTTTTGAAGTTCAACACTAGAGGGGAGCAGTGTTGTGAGTTTGGAGAACATCTTGAGAGTGTTTTCCTTATTAAAGTAGTACAGCACTCAAGCACTGCAGCTTTACTAACAAGACATGTTAAGACTAAAACTGGCTGACTTTGGAGAAACTCCCAGAGAAAGAGGTGTGTCAGTTCAAAGCTAAGACTCCGTAGATTTAGGTCTATGACTCAGTCAGAGAGTGTTTTATTTGAAATAGCAGCTTTGCAAACAGCTCTTCTCAGAAAATTCTTGGCGAAGACCCTCTGGAAGGACTTGTAGTGGTGAGATGAAGTCTTTTAAGGATGAGACCCCTGGGTCAAACAGCAAAACTCCTCTCCATCTCATGATTCACAAACAGTAGAAACCCTCCAAGGCAGGCTTAAAGATCTTAAAGCCTGTTTGTCCTCAGTGATAAAAGGCTGACAAACAGACAAAAACAGGAATAACAGTTTTGAAGAGCTGGAATTGACACCCACTTTCCACCGAGTTTTTGCATGGGCATGAAAACTGGCAAAGTTCCATGAACATCCCAAACTCTTTTCTTTTCATCTTCCCACTTGTACCGCCAACAGTCTATGCTCTATGCTTTACCTCAGAGTCTGCAGTGATGAAGAGGAAGAGAGCATTCAGAGAAAAGAAGGAGGGCTGTCAATGAGACTGGGTTATCCTCAGAACGCCTATTTCACCCCAGCTCTACCTCTTAACTTCTGACGGATCTTTTGTAACCATGACGACTCTTTTCCTGGTAGACAACATGTTGCACCTTGTTCTTTTCAAGCATACTATTAATCCTTTTTCATTGCTTTTTCTTCATCGGATTTAATGGGTCCAAATGCAGAACTCTGAGAGGCCTAACAAGGCTTTTATTTTACCGATGGTCAGCTCTAGTCCATTTTTACCAAAAAAAATCATGTAAAGAATATAAATTGCACCAAGACGAACAGTAGGAATTTTAACCTAAATTTGATCACCAATGTTAATTAAAAAAATTTATTCTGGGAAAATGTAAAACCAAAATTACGAACAACAAAAACAGCGTGTATAAGTGTCATTAGTTGTTTTTTAATGAGCAATTTTCATACCTGAAGTGATGAATATTTAATCTTTTGTACTGCGTGAATTCTTTATAGGGAGAAGTGAGTTGGAATAAGTCTACACAGTTCCTTTTATATGTTTTTTTTCCTTCTTTTTCTCTGAATAGCAAATTAATCAGTTTTTTCTTGAGATCTCGACTTTTTTTCCCTGGGATAACAGAGCTTATTTTCTCGTGATAACAAAACACTTTTCTGGTGATCTTGAAAACAAAACAATAATGATACGCCATGCTGCCGTCACTTACACCGATGAAATAAGTTGAGTCAATTTCTACATGTGTTTTGTAATTTTACTACTTGGGAGACACAAGATGATTATAGATGCCTTTGTAAGTCAAGATGTCAACAACTGGAATCAGCTTGTTGACTCAGGAATATGGAGTGTAAAGTTGCATTTTTAGTTGAGTCTTCCATAATTTTCTGATCTGCACTGAAATCACCATATATATATATATATATATCCACCAAGCAGTTCATGTCCCCCCTTTTATTGTGATTCACACCAAAACTTTTACTGTTACGTGTCTTTTATTAACTTTTATTTGTGTTCAAACTGGTATGTTCACTGTTCATAATGTTCCTAAAACAACAAAGCTCATACTAGATACATAAATACATGATTTATTATGCAATATTTGTAAGCGTACACTTCCTTGTATCTTTATTGGTTATCTTTCAGCATTAAAAATTCCAACGACACCCTTATTTTTGTGTGTTCTGGATCACAGTATCCGGAATTTTGTCTGGATCAGGATCAACCTTTGACACCTCATAAAACTCATTGAGATCCTTTTATGTATTTTTTTTACTAAAGACTCTGGCCATTTTTATAGAGTTAAATGCAAAAATTCCAAAATTTGCCCTATCTCACAATGATAAAGAATCCTTCAAAAAATTCCTGGATCCAGAGGCAATCCGGATCACCACCAAAATGTAACGAGATCCTCCTGGGGCTGAGACGCACCTCTGGTGAAAATTTCAGGTCAATCTGTCTGTAACTTTCTCCGTAAAGTTGCTAACAGACAAACAAACAAACAAACAAACAAACAAACAAACCAACGCTACTGAAAACATAACCTCCTTGGGCGGAGGTAAATATCCAAAAAGTCAGTAGTGTTTACCTTCCTTCAACAGGATGTGCAGCAGTGTGTTGGAGTTTGTCATGTGAGAGCCCACTCGGAGTGTTTTCTCTCTCAAGGTTTTAGCATCCGTTTAAATCAAAGCTTATTTAGTGCATCAATCTAAATGTATTCATGATCTTTTTTTAAATTCCATATTGCCTGCAACTCTCATTATGTTTTTTGGGGGGTAAGGCGTCTGTGTATTTGCTGTGGCTGCTTTGGCTGTTTAGAGCTGTGGGCAGGTGACAGATGAACACCTTTTGAAACCACTTTCTCACTCTCAACCTGTAACATGACAGGTTCAGGGGACAGTGGTTTGTGTCATTCACACATAACCTCCCACACACAACATGGCTGGTCCGTAACAATTCATCCAGCTCTTAGATTTGATGTCATCAAAAGGGATACAGAGTCTAAACTAAACCTCAGTCAATGTTTTTTTCAATACATTAGCAAGAAAACATCTTAGAGTACATACCCACAAGGCCTTGTTTCCAGCTGAGGTTAGGGGCCACAGGAAAGAGGAAAAAAACACACAAGTGAGATAAGTACGATTTCAAGAATAACACTGTAGTTTAACAGGAAATTGTCATGTAAACTTAAGCTGTAGCAGTATGAGATGAATGCATCAGGAACAAAGATAAAGTCATAATGTTACAAAAATACAGCCTGATGTTGTCGGACCCATCAGCCAGCTCTTATTCCTTTGTGCTGGCAGGTGGGTCTTGGACTGCTGTCAGTCTAAATGATTTGGTGCTAGATATATCAGACCAATCACAGCCAATATTTAAAAATGTGGTGTGCTCCATGCCTAGAAGAAAAGAATGCCTTGATCTGTCCTGGGCCTGATGATGCCAGGCAATAAAGTTGCAATACTATGAGAGCAAAGTTGTAAGAATGTAAAGTTGCTGTGCAAGACTGCTTTGCCCACAGGAGGCGCCAAAACTGACAAAAACTGAAAGTTCCTCACAGAAGCTTTAAATGGTGACTAACTGCTCATTCAGTGTTCCCTCATATAATAGTACTGACACACAGGTAAATCATTGACCAGAATTACGGCCAGTGCCCCAGTTAGACCACCCCTGCCCAAAACCTAGACACACTCCTGTTTAGACCCAGCGCCTTGGCTACTGAAACTTCAGGTAAGGTTTAGCGAGTGGCACTCTTAGAACTTGAAGGCTATTGTCCAACAATAACACATATCCCAATAATATACATAACATATATAATATAACAGCAGTCAACAGAGATGAGAAAAACAAGTTTCATGTAGGCAGCACTCATCAGACTATCAATGGAAACCAGAACACATGAAACAGGAGCATTTTGCCTCCTCGTCTCACTGGAGAAGGCCAAACAGCAAAGGGACGTGGCCGGGGCCTGAACCAGCAACCACAGAGATATGGACCACAGCCTCAACCACTTGGCCAAACCAGTGCCCCAGATTCTGCATTTTCACCCATAATGTGTAAATGGAGGAGACAATGAAACACATATTGAGGCATGTGGTTATTTTCTACTACCAGCAATACTAATATTTGAATAAGACATTTTTATGGTGAAGAGGAATGATTTTAGTAAAACTTGTTTTAAGGCCGTCTGATTCTAGTTTAAGAAAATTGGAAACACAAGTCCAATTTGAATTTTCTGTACTAAGCTTGAATTTTGTTCATTTAAAATTCTGATGAAGACTGATCATGCAGGTTGTATTTATAAGCAGTCACACCAAATAATACTATTGTCAACACCAAAGCAGTCTTCAAATCTTAAACTAAAAAACTTAATTCCCATCATCAGTGTTGGAGCTCCTGTGAGGAGTTTTTACCTGGTAGTAAAAGAGATTGATATTAATGCTTCACGATCTACAAAAGGAAAAAAAAAACATGAGAGGACCAACAATTTCTAGATTTTAATTTTTGATGGGGGTGGGTGGCAGACCTTATATCGCCCTTTTTAACTTTTTTTCACAGCACATAGGGATGAGGGACATACTTGATTGTTCAAGTATAAAAGAAAGCGGAATAAGAATTTAGCCAAAAACGTTTACAAAGTGATAAGCTTATCTAATCTATAACTACAGGGGGAGCTAAAGTTGACACAAACTTAAAGTTGCAAACAGCTGCTTTAAAGAAGGAATCAAAGCAGCAAAAGTTGCTGTCATTACAAAATTACAAGCCTAGAAATAATTTGTCATTCTGCATTAAATTTCCCTTATCCAAGCATGTCAGACCAAGTGCAAATGTCTTGCTTTGTCCTGAAAAAATGCAGAAAAATATACAAAAGATCTTTGAGTTATAGGAACTGTATAAATCCTATCATCTTTCTTTTTCACAACTGTTGAATTCTTACTTGTAGGAATATTATTTTCTTTAAATTGGGTGTTGTGTTTGTGACTATTTCTTGGTCAGGTGTCATAGCATCTAGGTGAGATAAGTCATAGAGACTGCATATTCATCAAATGAGCTTAGTGGAGAGTGGCGGTATAATGAGCCATTTTCATATTTCGGATCACTGGATCAAGGCATCATAGTTTTGTCTCTAACTAGTGTATCTCTATATATTTCAAGATGTTGTGCATCCCCGCAAATCACCACAATGAATGTAAACATAACTGTCTTGATAATATAGCATGCCAAAAAAAGAGTAGTCTCCTATGGTCAATTTAACCCGTGTATGGGGTAAGTTGACCATAGGAGCGGGGTAAGTTGAGCCGTATCCCTATGGGAGACTATTATACCAGGTTTTTGACCTAATGTTGTCGCTCATAGATACCACAATTGATGTAAAACAAATTTAAAATAAGCTTTGGTCTGAACACAATTCTGATAAAACTTATGACAGACTAAATTCACTTCCAAAATGTTTATTTGGAAATGTCTAACCTCTTCACCCTTGTGCTTCTAACCTTCACAGACTCCATGAATTGATGCCCATCTCCTAAATATTTGGTCACATGATTAATTTCTTTAACCATTTCCAAGCAACAGGGGGTGGCTCAACTTACCCTTTGGCTCATCTTACCCCACTCTCTCCTACGTGGTCGACCACCAAGTCTCCTCTCACATTTAGCTAACATTAAACACAACAGAATTTGTGTTACATAACCCAAACTACAATTGTGTAAGAAAGAACCACAAGGCGATAACAAGGAATGGCTAGCTCAGATGGAAAACTGTGGTGAGGCCTAATCAAACTGATCAAGATACTCTAACCATTATCAGCATATCTGCCTAAACCCGAACCTGAGGCCTTGAGAGGCTGCATAAGTCCACCTTCAAGGTAAGGTGTCCACGCTGTATCTGTGTGTGTTTCTTTAGTCATGCTACTGAAAGTATGCAGCACTTGTGGTTTAACTTGTGTTGCTATTGGATTGCTCCACAGGCGTGACCTGTAAACAGCTGTACACACATGTTGTAGTTTTGGTGTCAAAGAGAGGAGGGGGGCGGAGGAGGAAGGCAGAAACGAAGAGAGAGAGAGAGAGGAGGAGGAGGAGGAAGAAGAGGAGAGAGGGGGAGTTGAGGGCTGAAACACATCAACGAGGACGGGCAAGCAAGCGAGCGAGCGGCACGGGGACCTGCCGGAAGAAGGAGCAGCAGCAGCAGCTTCGGCGCGAGATAGACGCAGACCGACCAAACACCGGCAGCACGAGCGACACCAAGGCGGCCAGCGGGGCGGAGAGGAGGAGGAGGAGGAGGAGGCACCTGCACCGCGACTCGTTCTACCCCGCTGCCTCCGTCGTCTCTTCCCTCTGTCTCTCTGCTCTCTCCTCACCTCTCGTCTCTCTCGGACCGCCGCCGCCGCTTCCTCGTTAAGATGGCTGACCCCAACAGCGACGGAGAGGTACCGGAGAGCGCGCGCGGATTCGCCCGACAGGGAGCCCTCCGTCAGAAGAATGTGCACGAGGTGAAGAACCACAAGTTCATCGCGCGCTTCTTCAAGCAGCCAACCTTCTGCAGCCACTGCACGGACTTCATCTGGTGAGTGTGTATGAGAGTGTGTGTGTGTGTGAGGACACAGGTGATTCACTTGCTGCTGCCGCTGCTGCGGCTCCGCTCGGCCTCCTTCCACACTGTTCAGACACCACCGCAGTGTTTCATTCATTGTCATTGTCAAAAACACCGCGATGCGCCATCTCCTCCACCTCTCCACAATGCGACAGCACCAGCAGGCCTTACGAAGGGGGGGAGATGATGTCGGCAGCCGCAGAACAGTCGCTGCTGCTCGGCGTTTACCGCATCATCGCCCCGCCACCCATCTCTGAAACTGGAGGTCTGGTGGAGGAATGCAGCTGGAGACATACAGACACAGGGCCCCTCTGTTGCTGCAGCAGCTGTGTGTGTGTGTGTGTTTATGTGTGTGTAGGTGTGATTGAATATCCTAGTGTGTGTGTGTGTGTGTATGTGTGTGTGTGTGTGTGCATGCGTCATAGTCTGTGCACCCAAAAAAATCTCACATCCTTGTCTTGTGTCCACAGGGGCTTTGGGAAGCAGGGATTCCAGTGCCAAGGTAAGAGCAGAGCCTCATTCACAAATCTCTCTGCTGCATATGGCTGTGGGTGTGTGGACGGATGTTCACTGTCTGCAGAAGTGTTGCTATCCTGTTTTCTTTTTTTGTGTGTGTGCATGTTTGTTGTATTTCAGGGCCTCTGGTCTGCACACTGTTAGAGTGACCTGTTGGCTCTTTTCTTGGTAGATGATGTGTTGGTGTTGGCAGACAGGTGTCAAACTCAAAGCAGGTGCTTGCCAACAGTGATAAATGAGAGTGAGAATCCTCTGAAGAGGCTCAGGCAGCAGAGACAGTGTGAGATGTAAGAGTAGAAGAGTCGGCAGAGGGCTGAAAGCTGAGATGTCTGCGTTTGACCGAGCAGAAATGAGAAAGCAAGGCAAACCAGGAAGTTCGATTTTCTCAAGCTTTATTCGTCTCTCTTCAAAGCCAGTTTTAAACTTGATTGGATTTGTGTGAAATACTGTGTCTGTGTGTGGTTGTGGTCGGTTGTGGGTGGATGTGGTTGTGGGTGGATAGCCAGACATGCACCTCTGCTCAAAAGGGTTTCATAAACAGGTCCCCTCACAGCAACATGTTGACACCCCTCACTCACTTGCATGCCACAGTATGTGACTGCAGCAAATGATGGCGTTCTGCTCGCAGTATCACTTCCTCTTCACTGATCCATCCTCTTCCTCAGACACCCACCTCTGCTCATCTGGCCTCTGTCATGTGACCGTGAGTGGAAGAAAATGACCAAAGTTTCCACACCATCCTCTTGCTCAAGACTTCATTAATTCAGAAGAGTTTACATAAGGTTGTGAAACTAAAAGCTGTAAAAAGCCCCCCTAGACTCCTGACAGCGGCTCTGGTGGTAATACAGGAAACACACTGAGAGAGGAGAAGAGTTAACACTTCATGTGCTTGAGTAACACCTGCTTAAGTGAGCCAGTGTCTGGTGAAGTGCCCCCTGAGCTGTTAACACATGCACGCACTTCAAAAAGCAGTGACCAGTCAGAGGGCTGCATAGGTAGAGCTGTGGTCAGGTTAGGTTTCATGGTGAGTTTCCGACAGTTAACTCACAAAACAAGTAGAGTCTTGTAAAAACAAACTGCTTCGATGATTGTTTGTGATGCCAGTGATCACTGTTTACATTAGAGATGCAAATAATCAGAATCAGTACAGAATAATAGTAGAGATGTGCAAAATAAAGAATATAGAAATATATTTAAAATATAGATCAGTAAAAAGCTTTTTCACAGCAATAATATGACTGTCAAGGAACTTCCGAAGCTACTGGGTAGCAGTAGCCTCGAAGGTAGAGCGGTCGTCCAACAACTGGAAGGTTGGCAGTTCAATTCCCCCCTACTTCTAGTCTGTCCGTTGTCTCCTTGGGCAAGACACTTGACCGGTCTTGCTCCCAGTGTGTGTTTTCCACTAGTGTATGACTGGTACGTACGTCACTTTGGATAGAAAAGCGTCTGCGAAATGACACGGTAGTATTGTAACAGAATTATCAAAGCTCATGTAAGCAACTTTTGGTTTGCGACGATTTTTGCTTGGAGTTACAAAACAAAAAATGTCTCACAGGAGCTCTAAATAACAAAAACTACATAAAAAGAACAAAAAGTAAATTAGGTACATTTCTGTTAAATCTTGAGTAATTTGGAAATTGTACCAGGTAGACCTTGTCTGTGGTCATTTTATCTACTGATACCAACTACCTGTAATAGAAATGCCTCCTGTACTATCTTAAATGGGGGTTACTTATTGGCTTGTACAGCAGTCTATGCACCAATCCGATAGCATTATCAATTAGCTGTGAAACACTTGTTTTACTAAAAAATCAATTCTTCATTTACAGCAAGTATTGTTGCCAACATGGATTAAACTGTTTGCCAACAGCACTTGCTGTTTTACAGCGGCAGAGAAGAGCTGATGCCAGGTTAGTTTTTAAGTGATGAAAGCAAACAAAAGCAGTGCGGTGCAAGCAGAGAGTGTAGCGTCAGAAATGTGCCGGTATTTTTCCACAATGTCGGGTCTGAATCCTCCAAGTATTCTGGGGTTCAGTTCTGAGAAGTGGCATTAGTGTTTCTATGATAGACTGAAGTAGCAGTCTATGTATGAGTCACCATATTGGAAAAGCTTACTCCTGCGTACCTGCGGAAATGCATACCTCTTGTCATTCCTTGTTATGTTAATCTCGGCAAAACTTTCACCCTTAAAGCTCCTGAAATGAACTTCTGGTATCTATTAATCTCAACCTCCTGAATTTTTACCATCAAATATATTTATTTAAATTTGTTCTGAATATTTAATGTGGAAATCTTTGAAAAAGGATATTGAGACCTATCCTTTCACATAAGTTTCAGGCATTAAAAATAACAGTACAAATTGTCACCAATGGTCTTGTTTACCTTCAGATATGATCAAAAAAGTAGCAATATGGATTTCATTTATGTTCACAGATGTCAAAAAACCCTTACAGAAGCTTTAGAAAACCAAAATATGAGTTTAAAAATCAGTCTGCATACAGTGTGTACAAACAGACAAGTCATATATTGAAATGAAAACAGGATGTTAGCATTTGTTTCTTCTGAAAAAATGAGCATAACATGAGTGTTTGAACCTTCAAGTGGCAGGTAATGGTGGAAAATGTTAATCAGTTTTTCAAAACACCAATCTAAAGTTACCAAATGCCTAATTTTGATTTCTATCCAAAGATATTCATCTTAGAGTTGTAAATAAAGCAGACAATGTTGACATTAGTAATGTTTGCATCATTAACAGCAGCTTGTATTAAAAAGTAAAGTACTCAAACTGGTTAAATGATTGTCAGGGTAGTTGGTCCTTTAGGTACAAATTGATCGCTTTATCAAAAAAAATAGATTAATCCTGTAACCCATCAAATTTCCCCTCAGGAAAAATAAAGTTCTTCTCATCTCATCTCATCTCATCTCATCTCAGCTCAGCTTAGTTTAGTTTAGCTCCTTTGTCCAATAGACACTTTTCACACATTTAAAACACATGACAGAAAGAAGAGGCACTTTTCAGTTTGTAGTGTCTTGTCTGAACTGTATGAAAAAAAGCCCCACTGTGACTGCTTCAAAAAAAAAAAGATGGTGTTGCAGATTATTAAATAAGAGTTGTCTTTTTGGATTATGTGAGCCCGTCTAAAGGCTTTTTTGAATGAGACTCTGAATGATATAACTGTAGAATCAGCATGGATCAGACAAATCTTCACCACAAACACACACTAAGCTCGGATTTGATGACCTCAGCATGAATTAAAAAGAAGCTTGTGGTCCAAATCCATTTAAAATGTATCTGCTTTATATGCAGCTGTCTCTTTCGTTTTTAAAAGGTCTCATAAGGTAATAAAGAGCCAATTTCTTTATGAAAATGGCAAAAGATTCTTCTAGAGATCCAGAGCAGCATTAAAAAGAAGTCTTGTATCTTTGCAGGGATTGTCTGATTTTGTTTGCTAGATGCAAGATACATGTTTTTCAGACACTAAATCTAGTAATATTGTTGTCTAGTTTTCACTGGTGGGTTTACTCTGATCCCCACTCCCCAGAATGGGGGCATCTGAAAGACTGGGTATGTGTTATACGTACCAAATGTGTGAAAAGGAAACAAAAGCTGACAATTGTTTACCTCTCAATAACAGATGATCAAAGTATGACATTATGGCGATTATTGGATTCACCTTACAACACTTTACAAAATACTCAGTGGGGATCCACAGGGGATCTTACTGGCAATTACAACTACTGCATCTACATACTTTGCGTATATACTACCAAGGCCGATATTATTTACACAGAGAGCACTCCAGCAACTACCGAACCCAATACATGCACACATCACCAACCACCATGAGCACACTATGAGCTGTGTCACACCAACTAAACCACAGGGTCTGAAGCGTATGGCACGAAGTAAACTAGAGCATCTGACCATATTTTCCTGTTCAATAAGCACACAGCATGATCAGTGTCAGCGACAGTTATATCTCCAGACTGTAAAAAATACTCCTTAGATGTGTGTGACCACCACAGACATTTTATTACGAGTGAACTCAGCTGTGCGTCTCTGTGCGTAAAAGACAAAAACAAGCAGGTTGTCAGCTCTTAATACCCTTTTTTACCCTCTCACTAATATGAATGTCTCACCAAAATGCTTGACGCCGGGTTGATGACAGGGCCACATGTCAATCTTAAGCTCAGCAGGTGAACCACGATTTGACAGCGTTGACGGGTCCTTTAAAATGTTCTTAGTAGTGAAGACGTTTTGTACCTTTTTGTACTTTCCTAGTGGGTTCATGGTGTATACATGTGCATAGACTACACCACTGCCCTGAATCATATTGCATTGTTAATATCCGTCAAAATATTGCAGTACGATTTATTTCCGCAGACCAGATTTTTATTTGACCTGTCTTAAATTAAGATGAGCAAACAAACTGATTGTTACCTCTAAAAGCTTTGGTTTAGCTTAAAAACTGACCTTAATATATCCCAAAAGGTCATTTTAAGACAAAAAGTTCAACAGTTGAACATGTAAGTAGTGTTTATTTTTATGAGCTCGGTTGGCATGTGGTATTTTACCACAAAATGTTATGAGTGAACAGCTGTCTTAGCCAATCTCAGTAGCAGAGAAGTTGTGACCTCCTTTGTTTTCCCTGAGCCATTTCCATTTGAATACAATCAGACAAACGCAGACACATCTACAATGCGCAGATAACTCAAGATATATGATCATGCTCTGAGGGCTGGCTTTCTATTGTCTGCCATTCAGAGCTGCAAAAGCCATTAAATGAAACTTTATTACTGCACCTATCATGTTCTGATAACTGTCGTTCGGCTGAAAATAGCGGAACATGCAACTCTGTTTTGACATCTTCTGAATCCATGTCATGATGACACTGACAGAGATGTTACAGACAGACTCTGTGTGTCAACGGCATCAAACTATTATAGTTCAGAGATTCTTCTACTTACTGACAAACTACAGACATATTATGCACTTTGTCCACCAATGTAAGTGTGTAAAAATATAGGACTTCAGTGGAAAAACATGGAGCTGCTTTCATTTGGAGAGTTTCGATGCATATTTCACTCACTGCCAGCATTACATTGTTACCCAAATACCCAAACCTGATAGAATTTCAGGCTTAGAAATCAGCTTTTTTAATTGGTGTATTGACTGTAATCCTAATTGATCATCTTAGACAGAACTAGAGGCTGATAGTGAGTCTGGTATCTGCATCTCTGTTTGACAGATTTTCTTTAACTTACCTGATGCTGGAAATGGAAAATACTTTAAAACACTCACTTACAGATCTGTGTTGCTCTCCTGAAGCTTTCAAGTGCGCCTTTTTAAATCAACAACATATTTTAATACCCCTAGTTCTGTTTGTTTGAAGATGTTTTTTTGGGTTTAAAATTTGGGTGGTTTTAATTGTTTTCGGCATTTCTGTAAGATGTACTTCACAGTAAAATACAACAAAATCAAATACTATTAAAACATCAAAAAGTGAATTCAAGCACATTCAAACACATGTTTCTCTACCATAAAAAAGAGGAAGTGAGAGAGAGGGGACGTGCTTATATAGGGTAAAACTACTTAAAAGGCTGTGGTGCACTGCAAGAAATCCCACCAAGTGTTTTTGGGTCTTATTAAAACACTCTTATTTGACTCAACTGAGGCGACAATCGCCTGACAGGTCCAGCTGATGATTTTTTTTACAGGAATTAACCTGATTTAAGCTCAGATGTCATGTGACAAAATGGAAACTTCTGTTTTGGTTTTAGGATTTGGACATATTAATACATTCTTGTGCCGCTTGTGCTTTTTGCTTCTCCTTCTCTAAAAACCGGGAGATTTGAGAAGTAGAAACAGTGAGGCAGTGTTGTCTTAAAGAGAGCTCAGGAAGGTGCAGGGTGTAAGAGGCAGAGCTGCATGAATGAGAGGTGTTCATATAAACACATGCACACACTCACTTTAACACACACATGCCAGCCCTCAGCACACTCACACACGCAAACTATCAACACTCATCTCGGTCCAGAGGAATTTCAGACATGTGGCACAAACTTGTTCAGACACGCAGGCTGGAGTATGTGTGTTTGTGCGACAAAGGTGCTTTGTGGGTGTGTTTTAATACCTGTTTTGCAGGTGGCAAAGATTTTCGTTCTCTCTCTCTTGCCTTTAGCTTTTTTTCTGTGGCTGTTAATTTGTATGTGTGTGCACATGCGTGTGTGTGCAAAGGGCAAAAAGAGGAAGCTAACCTTGTGTCATTTCCTGCTGAACCAGATGTCTGATCTGAGTTTGGACTTTCAGGGTCAGCTTTCTCTTTTCTTTAGATATCATTCCGGAGAACTTGAGACAGACTTTCTCAAGTGTAGTTCTCTAGAAAATACACATAATGCAGAGCCAACAGATGAAATCTTGTTGAAGAAATCCCAGCAATATGTAGCAGATCCGTCTGTGTGGTTACGCTTCAACAAAGACTGATTTCCCAGCAGAAATTTCAGCTTGTCACAGTAAGAAAATCACAAAAGTGAACAGTGTCACAGTTGTAATTAACTGTCTCAGTAAACCATGACACTGAGCCAAAACGCACAAGACAAGAACCATAAAACTAACTGAACAAAATACAATTCAACCAGCATTTACTTGGGTAAATAATCAAATTATGAAACCTCAACTCGTGCTTCTTTTTTCTGTAAAAAGAAAAGGGTTGATACTATTAAAGTTACTGCTGAAGATGACATCCAAAGTTTTCCAAAAGTCAGAAACCCTGATCCCTGAAGTTCACTGAGTCCACAGCCATGCAGGTCAGCCTATGTCCCAAAGGTTTCTTGGTAAGGGGGACTGTCTTTACAGTTCAGATTTGTTGAAAGGATACATAAAGATGGTCAGTGAGAGTCCAGGTTTAATAGTTATAAGAGAGTTTGTGCTACTGTGGAGATATCAACAGCTAAAGTCAAGAGAAAAAATAACCAACACCTTGATTAACATACAATTAATTGCTGCTGAGTAACAACCTACTGAGCAATAGACGTCCATTAGACGTCTAGTTATTTTTTAGACCTAATTTCAACTGTCTAGACTCTGTATAGACAGAATTTAGACATTGCACTTTAACCTGCTATTCGTTAAGTATTTATTTCAAAAAGCAACTGTGAGTCACATAACTGATCTCCAAGTACTAAACCAAAATAATTATGGTAGCCGTTGAGCAATATACTGGTAGACCTCTGTTTGCTGACTAGTCTAAACTCGGTCTAAATTTAGACATCTAAAAAATGTTCATTTTTAGACCTGTGGTAGCCTGATGTTAGAGCAGTCGTCTAGACTACATTTAGACGTGTATTAGACCTCTTTTAGACCAAAAAAATGCTCAGTGGGAAGGATGGCAATTGTTACTTGTTCTGTTTACGAAACACACTGATAGCTTAGACCAGTGGTTCCCAAACTTTTTCTGCCGGGCCCCCCCTTTGGCAGATAAAAATTGTTTCAGGCCCCCCTACACCTGACTGTACGCATCAACATTTAAATGAAAACTATGTGAATGTATAAAAAAACACACCATCACAAATTGCTATTGTTTTTCCAATTCACTTCAATGAAATTTTTGTAGAAATAACAACAGCAATACCTTTTAAACATTTTTGAAAATTCTTCATTTCTGAAGATGAACAATTTAAAAACTTAGGGAACATCTTTTAAAATATATTCATTCAGCCCTAAAATAAGTCAGTGGCTACACTGCGTTTGTTTAGTGCCACAGATCTTCCCCAGTCTTGGGTGCAGCTGTGAGACTGCCACTCTCAGTTCATTTTCGATGTCCAGTATTGATCGGTACTTGGTCGGTCGGTCCAGTTGTCCAAATCACATGACCTATCACCTTGTTGCTCTGCGCCACTTTGCTCAGGTGTGATGAGAGATTTAAGCCCTGAAGTTGTAAATCAGCTTGTTGCTGCAGTTACATTGTGCAAGTCTTCACTGTAACGTGCCAGAAATTCATCCGAACTGGTCAGAAGCGGCTGATGAGAACCATAACCTGGTCAGGGTTGAAAATAAGATGTGTGACCCAAAATTCAGGTCAGAAACAGCATGGTGTGTGCATGGTCTGAGGGTCCTTGTCATAACTTCCACTCAATCTTAAATTCAAATAAAGTCAAAAGATTTGTGTTAAGTTTCTATTCCTGAGCTAAGAGTAATCAGTGTTTTTAGATAAATAACGTGGGAAGTGACTGACTGAAATATTAGTTCTCTGTGACACCTCTTAAAGTTGACAGGAGCGAAATATGCTCTTCGTCTTGCTGAGGAGGCCTTTGATTTTCACTGATGTTTCCACTTCACACCTCTCTGACCACATTAATGATCTGCTCTTGAACAGTGTTCAAACCAAAATGTGCAAATCTGTAATGAGAAGGAGAAGCTTGTTTCTGTGCCCACATTGAAGCTGTTACAGCTTCAGTGACTCAAACAAAGAAGAGAGAAAGAAACAAAGCTGGTTTCCCAGGCCTGTCACTGCTGTTGAACAGATCGAGCCGTGGCTGACATTTAATCCTGCTCACTGTCTGATCAGTGGATGAAGAAGTATCTTTGTTATTGATCGGGTGCCCACCTAAGATGTTCGTTACAGGACTGTTAGTGACCCTGTGGTTTTGCAAACAAACTCATTCTTTATTATGGAGAAGCAAAGTCCAAAAGTGACTGCTCATGAGAAAGCTCCTTCACAATGAATTTTAAAGCTGGGAGTTTTCAGATGGCAGATGTCTCAGTTACAGATTAGTTTTTGATCATTTTGAGAAAGCTACTCAGAATGTCACAGGATGGGGAGGAAAATAAAACGAGTATATCGAGATTTGATTTCTAAAACATCGAGGATACAATCACTCTTTTTTTGACCCCATATCAAAACTTAATTTGGTAATTTTATAAAATCATAACTATTGTGCTTGTCTTACCTTTAGTCCCAAGACAGCATGAATCAGCTGACACTGGTATGTTGTACCTTAAGTGACCTCTGTCTGGTATCAGAGTCTCTGGAAATCTTATCAGACTTCATTAGAATCATAAACATTAGACTAACACCACAACAGATGCATATAGTATACCGATAGATCTTATTTTTATCCATTCTTAATCCAAGAATGCTCCAAAGAAATGATATTTAGTCCTTTGAAACAGTCTGTCACAGTGATGGGCCAGTGGCTTACTTTAAGTGGAGTTGGCAGGTTTTTTTCTTCCTTAGATAGAAATATAGTAAATCTGATTAAATGATGCTCCAGTGTTCTTTTAAGTTCAAAAACAGTTTGCTGGAACAAGAAAACACATGTATAGTTGAAAAAAGACAAAGCTGATACTAAAGAAGAGACTGCTGTGTAGGTGAAAAACCCAAAATGTTCAGTAAATGTTCTGTTTAATGTTTGTGAACAAACACAGCACCAAAAGTATAGAGTCAAAACAAAGAATAGAAAGTGCACATGATACTGTTTTTTAAGTGTTTTCTGTTGGTTTTCCCCTGAACAATCGTATTTGTACAGTGTTTTCTTAAAAAAAAAAAAAACGAATTGTCTTTATTCTAGAAGAGACATCTGAACACACCATAATGAGGTGTTGTTTGCTTTTGCTTAATTCTTGTTTTACAGACAGAACACCTCACAATGTAATCACGTGTTCCTTTGGTTAGTGAGCCAATGAACTTTTATCCTGCTGATGTCAACAAGGATTTTTTGACACCAGTTTATGACTTTAAGCGAATAGGACTTGCTTGAAGTCTGGGTGCGCTTACCTGGGCTGTTTTGGATGGGAAAGGAGGATGGCAGCCCCATGGCAGCAGCAGCAGATGTCGTAGCAGCAGGGACAGCTTGAGTTGATGAAATTGTTTCAAGCCACAGACAGTCCAAGGTGCTAAATTTTGGCTTGATTTGATGCTTGCCCATGGAGGTTGCGCCTTCTTACGAGAAATTACTTTGCAACATAAATTTTATGTCGACACACTTTGGACCTCTGCACTATCAGCCATCATCAAAAGCAGTTGACCACCAGAATTCTTCTTTGGGCTTTTTAATACTTTTAGGCTAATTGTTTTCAAATACTTCAAGATCCTGTGAGGATTTATAGTTTTTAGTCAAATTTGGTGCCCCTTGTGGACAAAACTATCTTTGTCTCTCTTGTTCTCTACATGCTTAGATAGTGTAATCATACAAAAAGTATCCTGCCGACTTTTGATGGTTAAATTTATAATTTATTGTGACTATTTTATGTGGAATATATACAAACTAGGCTGTTTCTTGCTGCTTGGTTGACACCTACCCCAGGGCTCGACAGTGCGACCGTTTTACTCGCATTTGCAACTAAAAATAGATATGTGTTAATTGTAAAATGTATTTAGGTGCACATCTACCCATAAAAAAATCGGTCGAGGCAACAAATGTTTTTTCATGTAAATACCGTGGTGAAATTAGTTTAAAGTTAGAGAATGAACAGACATTCAATGCGGATCTACCGGTGTCTTCTTACTTTCCATAACTGGGAACGGCATCAGCAGCGCGGCTTGGCACCCTTGCTGTCAACGTCAGGTGTTGAATAAGGGACCATCAATAAATTGGTTGATGTTCTCAAAAAAAGGCTGTTTTCCTTCAATAGCTTCCTGGTCACTTGAGCAATTGACCTAAAATTGATTTCAAATACTAGTACTAAGGACGATAATACACACATTATTTAATCAATTTTCATTGTGCCCCTTAAGTTCTTTGTGTGCTCCTTATTGTTTCAACTTAGGAACACACATGCTCCTAAGTTGTCAAGCCCTGTACCCTCTCTCACTAAATATATGCATCAAAATTATACTATCACAATCATCCATCTTGTCCCTGGTGGTTTTCCTTGCTGTTGCTGTTATCATAAAAAGTCATCGATATGAATTTCAGTCTGTTTCATAAACACCAAAAAAACTCCTTACAGTAGCTTTAATTAGACGGATCACTAACGTGCACACAGCATTGATTTAATTAACATGATGTGGCTTAACTCAAAGTCTGACGTTTCTTCGTGGGACCCAAGAGACCCCGTGGCAGAATCCATGAGGTCAAGCATTATTGATCCCCTTCAGTCTCATGCAGTATACACACCATAATTGATTACATCACTGTTTTAGAGTGAGTGTGTCGTTTTGCCTCACAAGGTGATGCTGATGCAGCACTCAAGCGTTTATAGATTGTTTCACTTTTGGACCAACTTAATTGAAATTTTAATGAGTAATTTTAAAACAGCTCGTAAACAAGCAGATAGAAATCCATACTAACTGTTCTCTAAGGGGACTGAGTCACTTCTTTTAGTGTTTAATGTATTTATCCCAAAGTGTTTCTGGTGAAGCTTTTGCAGCCATGTTTTCTAACAGCTTGTGGATGCTTCTGTTGTTCTTTTTGTTTTTGTCTCCAGCCAAAATTGAAAACAAAGAGGCAGATTTGATTGTTTATTCTATTGCAAGCGCTCACAATCATGTTTCAGCCGAAACTACTCATTTGATACTCCATTAGTTGTCAGCCATTGGATTAAACAAGAACTTAGTGATGAAATGTGATTAGTTTGGTGGTTGATTCAGAGGAAAACAAGCCTTACCTTTATTATCTGGTTTCTTGACTCTTCTAGTAGAAACCCTCTTCAGTCCACTGAACTCAGTATGTTCACACGCACAGTTAAGTTGATATGTGGGGTTATATCTCATTTAGGTCATTTAACCGAGCTACTGTCCATATCCCACTGTCAGTTTGGATATGGGCTTTCCTCAAGTTGACCTACTACGTCACATATCAAAAGAATTGACAAACACACCACCATTACTACATATAAAACAGATTTTTTCTTTTTCTACTTCCCTTCTTGTTCTGTTAAGGTTTTGTTTACTTACCTTAATACTGTTCAACTTCTGGGTCAAAGTCCAGTGTGTGAATTGTGTAGCATGTGCAGAACACCTGGGGTAGTTGGGGCTCAAATTGAGGTGTATGCAAAACCCCCCCCCAAAAAAAACCAATCCCCGTCCAGATTACTTTGGTTCATTAGTGCAACGATAAGAAATTTGACTTAGTGTGATTTCAGTCAGACTAACATTTTAACATGCGTTGTAAAAGTCCAGTTTCAATCAGACTAATGCCATAAATTGATGTTTTGAACAATATGTAAACATGCTGACTGTATCTGTTTTTAAGCTTTTTGAATGTCAGTATTTTTTTAGCCTCTTTTTGAAAATAAACTGGGCTCCCTTGGTTGTTTACAAATCAATTAGACATCTAAGGACATCATCTTGGGCTTTCAGATATATTGATTGTCTGTTTTTCAGACCTCTCTGATGGTCTGCCGTCCAAACAACAAACTGGTAGTCGAGGAAAATCTGCTCGGTTCACATGACTGTGAATGTCAGCTGGAGCTCTGGAGGCATCGGTCTTCAGAGAGCTGTTCGCTAACAGAGTCTGATCTCTGTGCTTTCACTTTCTTCAGGCATGCTGAGGCCTGATCGATGATAATGGGTGGCTCCTCCGTCTGTGGGTTTTTGAATCAGCGTCGATGATCCAAGATAGGGGGAGCCTCCTGACGCTCCCGTTGATGTGAAACTGTCAGCCCGCCGTCAATCCCACAAAATGGGGCGGTGTGTGTGTGTATGTGTGTAGACTCAACTGTAGGGCTCAGCCTGGTTGCTAGGCAACAGAGCAAAGACCTCCTCGGCAGGTCACTAGGCCTGTCTTTGAGTAGCGTGTGTGTATGTGCCTGCACAGGTGTGTGTGACAGAGCAGATTTATGAACAAAAAGCTATGAAGTTGGACTCCGACACACAAATAAATTCCCCGCCCCCTCACACTGCCTCAAACCCAGCTGTGCCCCCATCCCTTCATGCCCACACACACATGCACACACATACACACTGACTATCTGTTCGACTTGATTTAATCTTCACTCTTCCTTTTCCTTCCTTCTTTCTCTTTGCATTTCCCTTTTTTCACTCACAGTCAGTTCCTTCATTTGAATCGAGCAGAGACAGAGACAGACACACTTCAGTCCTGCTTCACCTGGACAAACACCAAGAAACTGGCCTCTTCCTTTGTTTCTTTCTTTTTTTTTTTTGTTAAAACCTGCACTTTGCACGCGAGGTCCCTCAGGTGTGCACAGACGTCTCTCCGGCTTGTGCTTAAGCACTCTGTTGCTTAACGGCTAGAAACCTGCAGAAAGTGCAGCCAGTGTCCACAGCGGCTCATGAAACTGTAACGAGAATGTGAATAATTAAGATTAAACCAGAGCGTAATGTCACCCAGCGTGTGTGTGTGTGTGTGTGTGTGTGTGTGTGTGTGTGTGTGTGTGTGTTTGTTCTGTGTTTGAAGTGGCTGTTGTTACGACATTAATGTTTGCATAATCAGGTTCATCAGTTCTGTACAAATGTGCAACCAAACCGACTACTTCTATTTTTTGTGCAAAATGTAAGTCACTGTTAAGTGGAAGTGGATTAAATCAGCACTTTCCTTTTTATGGTCAAAAATTACACCTTAAAAATGAGGTTCACCAATATTGTCAATGTACTGTAGAGTTGACTGCTCTGTCCTACTTAACTTCTGTAAATGGAGATCTGCTGTTGGTCATGTTCAGATCTCAGTCCGCAGAGAGTGACTGATCAAAATTTAAAGGCATTTACATTACTGTGTGTACCTGTTTTAAGAATGTGCATATGAGGTATATTCTGACTGTCTGAACCCGGACCAGCAGGATGTTTGAAGGATCTAAAGCAGCTTTGCTCAAAAATCGTCCTCTGCGCTTTATGGTTAGTCTTTAACAGTACAGATCACATTTGTTAAGGCTGCAATCTCAGAACCTGCAACCATCGTCTATCATCATGTCTAAACAATTGAATGTCACCCTCATATTCTGCACCACAATAACTTATCCAATCAAAGAATTTGTATCATTTTGATTCCATAATGCTGGTCCTATGTTGTTAAAGATGAGGTAGAGACCCGACCACTCGCCTGGGTAGTTGCTCCTGTTCATGATAACTGATGCCAGCGTGTTTTAATTCTCCACTATCTGGATGTAAACACACGCAGTTGCTGAATGGCATCTTGCAGTTTTGTGGTGCTCTGATCTAGAAAATTGTGAAAAAATTGTGTCCAATTAAACTGGCATGTAACCACTGGACTGAAGCGGTGTGTGTAGATGTTAACCTACCAGAAGGGTTGAAGGCTGGTGGTGCCAGCTCTGCTAGAGTTGGCCACTCTTGCTGAACCAAATGTATTTTCATGATTTACCCTTGGACTCTGTGATTGTATGTTTAGCCATGTCAAAAAGTGCTCTTTTATGATATTTTTCATGCCGTAAGATGAGTCAATCATCTGCTTTTGGTGGGTCTAATGTCAACAGTAGATAGTAAAATTACTCAGAGGTTTCACTTTGACCGACTTTGGGTTAATAAAACTAGAAAAACGATTTACTTAGTATTAACAGATCTTTATTTAGCTGAAATGGCATGATTATGGAGACTTGTTAAAAAGATAACACAGCAGAGTACTAGTTTAGCCTAGTGATAAAGGCAGGCCCACATTTATAGATGCTGTAGTACTGGTCGCAGAAAACACAAGTCCAAGTCCCTGCTACGGCCCTTTGCGACATGCAAGTCCCCGCTCCGGTCTTTATTGAAACATGAGATGACAAGCAACTGCTAACACAAGGCCAGATCAGGCCCATATGGACCCTTATCCCTCATCAGGATTGTTCTGAATCAGTCACTTAATGAATAAACATGAACAATAAATATTTCACATTTCTCTTCACACACAGCGCTAATGCACTGAGCGGCTATTCTCGTGTTGGTATGACATGAAAAATTAAGAGTTTCATGAGTTATAGCAGGAAGGTCTATCATTGCACATGAGAATTGCCATGGATAGGTAGAGAGTGGGTGGTACCTATTGTGGCTGAACACATGCGTACACACTGCCGGAGCACTGCGGACCAATCTGTCCCGCACCACCTCTATATGCAGCCTGAGTGATCAGATTATCGTCGTCTGGGCGTATTGAGGTGTGTTCAGACCGGTATATACAGCTGTCCACTTGTGATTTCATTATTGTAGAGGGACTTTAAAGCCATGTAAAAGGACGAATGTAACTCTTCTAACTCATGAAAACCTCTGTGCAAAAACATCCCATCTGAAGTGGAGTCAGTATCTACTGAATGGTGCCATCTTTGAAGTGCCCAAAGTAAAACTGATCCACAGACCTTTTTGATCATGTACTGAAAAACTGTAAGGCTTTCTAGATGGTTAGACCTCTTTTTACACAATCAACTCTGGAAGACTCTGAAGCTTCAGATGAGAAATGGTTAAATCGGGGGCTCTTGACCAGTGGTTTAGATGACAAAGAATTCAGCTCATCTCATTGGTCAAGTATCAAAAATATTCCCGTTAGAGTTGTTCAGAAAGACCAGCTATCCCACCTTCAGGGGATTTTGAGGTAGGGACTGAAAGAGGTAAAAAAAAATCTTTTTGAGCAGAACTGCTTTTGTAGACGGAGAAAAACGCAAATTTGGCCACTGCATTTTCCTCCCAAATCCATTATTGCGGTCAGTCTGTACCCTGAATGATTTCTACTTCAAGCAGTGAAACGTCCTGCTGCTATTTGAATCTGCCTTGAAAGTAACATGCTTCTGCTTCGATGTTATTGGTGGAGACTTTGAGCGTTCCCACCATGCTGTGGTTAAATATAAATCCTTCTAAACTGAGGCAATAAAACTAAATATAGGTGTCAACTGCAGGGAAAAAAGAAAAGGGAACTGCTGAAATATGAGAGGCCTATTGTGCAATGAGTAATGCCACATTATTGACATATTGATTCATCTCTTTGTTGCTTTTGTGGCGCCTTATTTGGCTTTGTAAAGAAGGCTGAGTTGACATTTGCTTTTTCTTTTTTCTCCCTCTTCAGTGTGCTGTTTTGTGGTTCATAAGCGCTGTCATGAATTCGTCACCTTTTCGTGTCCGGGGGCCGACAAAGGACCTGCTTCTGATGTAAGTAGAGAAACCATACATTTAGATGCACTCTTGGATTGACAACAGACATATATACACAGTTTCATTAATATCTGTCTACAGAGATTAATGGGAATACAAATTTATCACACTGCTGTCAGGTACCAAACTCTGATTTATAGGTATCAGTGGCATTGTGTAAGCACATCTGATTAAACCCAGCAACCTTAGATTTCTGTCTACATCAAGCCTGCAGCTTGTCCAAGTAACAGTTCAAGGTGAAGAGCCTTTTATCCCCTTTTTCTTCTTGACACACCACTGGCTGCATAAAAATGGTTGGCACACTACTCGTTCAGAAGTGAGGCCAAACACTCACCTAAAAGGCGCTGACGTTTACAGCCAAAGTTGGGATCAGTTAGTGAAATGAAAGTATTTACATCCTGCCCTTCCTGCATTTAACTTATCTTAATGGTTATGAATGCTGCAGAAACATCAAACAGATGTTAAACAGCCAAGAATTATGATGTAAAAGAGTGTAATTTCTAAAACTGTGGAGCCTGAAGAGATAGCATGAGTAATTGAGTAATTGAGGTATATGTCCTTAACCTGGCCATCTTGATTTTCATGGTTTTAAAATGCTAATGTACTGTACTATTGGTGCCAGATTTGATTTGATTCAAACACAACAATTCAGTGTTAGAAAAACATTTGTGGTGAGTTTTTTTAACCATTATAATCAATCAAAATGGTTTTCTTTACATATAATAACGTGGAAATGGAAGGGGTCATCCTATATTCAGAGCAATGTGGTATAATAACAGAAACCATCTTTATAGAATATTTAGTCAACCTTTACCAGATTTAACATGTGACTCATCTCTGATCTGTTTACATGGAGGAGGCGGAGCTTATGATTGCTACCACAGCCAGGCGTTTGAGGACTGTGCTTCACACTTTGGCTTCAATTTTGGAGAGTTATCATGATGCTCATCTTTGAAACAGTTGATAGCTGTGCATTTTCACACGCTGGCATGGATGTAATCTATGACTGAGCTTAATTAGTATCATAATAACAGTATTTTAGAACAGTCAGCCAAACATCCTGCTATCATGCATTAATCTATAGTGTAAATATAGTAGTAGGTTATCAGTAAGAAATTAAACAGAATATAGAAATGAACTGGATGGACCCTATTTCACAGAATTAGAGTCTAAAGTGTGGCTCAGCTGGTTTAGCTCAGTTGGTAGAGCAGATGCCTCTTACACAAGGACAAAGTCCAACACTGCAGCCGCCCCAGGGTCGACTCCAAGCCTTGGCCTTTTGCTGTGTGTCCACCCCGCTCTCTCTTTATCTAGTATTTTCTCTCTCTGCTCAGCTGTGGTACTGTTGTAGCTGGTTTCTTTTTATAATCTTCTTGCTGATGGATGCACATTAAGGGTTAAAAGTTAGTGAAATTAATCTTGACCTGAATTTGACCGTGGTAGTTCTGCAGCAGGATCCCATAAACCCCCTTTTTCCACCAAAGAACACCCCAGACGAGTCTTATCTTTACAGATAAACATGTTTAAATATTTGGATGGCACTGACTCCTCAGGCTGCGGACTCTCACGGTTTGCATGTGAGCAGCTGGTAGTCCTGCTATGTGAACTATTCATGTTTTAGTTTGAACCAGATTGTAACCACCTTTGGCCTCTATTTGTTGTCAGGCTTGGTTTTGCCCTCTGATTTTGGGCGCAGGCTTGTTCTGTCTCTCCTCTCATGCAGACCAGAGAGTCACTTTGAACTTCACAGTGTTCTCCATTTGAGTATTTTGGGCATAGAAGACCAATCATGCGTCCACCTTCCAATCCAGTTGAAAGTCAGGTGTGTTTTCCTGCCTCTCCTGGCTATATCATAGCAACATATGTTGGATTGTACCAGTGAACACACTGAGCCTTGATAAACCACGCCACTAAACACTATATTTTCAAGGTTGGGTTTTAGCAAAGCTCTAAAGCGACAATCTGTGGCGCCATCTTGGTAGATGTACTTTTGACTCTGGGGTCGTCGCGCTGACAGAAGCTGAACAGTCACAGAGCATCCGAACACCCATTGTTCAGTAACTCTAGATCATTTCTTCCTGTAAGCACACAGAAAACATTATTTCTACATTGTATAGGAGTTTTTTAATCGTCTATAATGCCACATGCAACATGTACATTTGCACACTCATAGCTCGGTCATAGCTGAATTAGCCGAGTCCGCTGTTCTTGTCCAGTTAATAGGCAATTAATGACAGAAGCATGTACACCTCCACTACTGTAGGAGGTGACATGCTCCTTTTCAGCTCATTACTACTGAGTCGTCTCCCAGTTGACATATTATGTGTCAAATCAGCCGACAAAATGCGTTAGCAAGAGGCTAACAAGATATATATATTGAATGATCGAAACACTGCCAGTTTTACAGTTCTGTACAGTTTTTTAAGTCCTCTCTTTGTCAGTCAAAGATTCGTACATACTCGGCTTCCTAGCAAAGAATTCTTGCAGTCCATCTTTTAACTTAAAGCTTGGCATGTGAACACTAGAGCATGCTTAGCCAGCTTTAGTCCGATCGAGTCGTATCCATGACAGAGAAAACTGAATCTAGATTTGATAGTCCATCTAGAGAAGTTTGCATTCGTGCAATTTTAGTGGGTCTGATGTATTTACATGTTTTTAAAGTCCAGTCTCAGTCACACCAGGGCAATATATCGATTCTTTTGAACGTGATGTAAATGTACTCGCTGTTTCAATGTGGGCACTGACAAAAATACTGTCCTCCTCATGTAAACGGTAATTACATATTTCTGTGTAAATTCCAGCATATTTTTTTTGCTTCTCATCATTGCACTGTCGTCTTCCGTTGTTTCTGTTTGTTTAATATCTAATGTAGGCTTACAAACAGAAGGATAATGTGTAGTGAGTGGGTGGTTAGGTGAACTAGAATCCTCACAGGGCGAGAAGAGACCTGTTGTGATGTGTCAGCTTTAATTCGATAAATGTGCCCGACTCCTCTTTCCCTCCTTTCAGATTGGCTCGATATGATGTGTGTCTCTGTATTACCTTACAGAGTAGAGATTGTAGGGACCATTCTGAGTGAAATAGGGAGGCTTTTATTTTAAAACATTTGAATATTATCAAGAATTAGACATTTTACCTTCTCTTTAATGGTAGAAATTATCTGCAGTTATTACAGAAAGAGCAAAAATCACAACACAGTTACCATGGCATGTAAAAAGACAGAGATTTGAAGTCTGATAATTAAATGTACATATTAACTCACAGTTTTTGTCAGAAGCTGGTGTGTTTTGGGTTTACATTAATTTATGGTTGCTGTATGTCTGTCTAAATCCAGAGTATAACCAAAGGGCAGAATTTTTCACCACTAATATGACACTGATAAACCTAATAGTAGCTGATAGCTAGCTTAAGACTCCTCTGACTGAGTGTAAACAACATGAAAGCATGACCATTACACTCAGCTGCCTGTCCAAAAGGTAAAATATACACGTGCCAACTAAGAAATCATTGCCTTTAGAAATAAAATATTTGCATTTGTAGACATACTATAAACTGTGTGATGTGTTAATGGAGTGTTTAAAAACCGAAATAACAATGAAGCTGCAGCTTGTTGAGCATGCATAAGTGGTGAACCATATTAAGGTCCATAAACGAATGATGCACAATCCTACACTTCACTCATGTGAAAAATTTGACTATTTATTATGTTCATGGAGGGTGATTGTTTCCTGTCAAAGGTTCATTTATAGCATCAGCCAAGTCAGCGCGGGCTTTTGGTGTTTGCGCACCTTCGTGTGGTTCCTGTAAATTCTGCTAAATTAACACATACACGCACGCGCGCACACACACACACACACACACTCACGCGCACAGATGTAACCTCTTGTCCTCCCTCCTGCTGAGCTGTCAGCCTCAAATCACACAGAGACATGTTAGGAAAGAGAGAAAGTGCTGCCTGGCTGCCTCAGGTTAATGAACCAGTATCTCTTATTCACACACCCACAAAAAAACATAAACACACAAAACACACAATGTGTGAGTCAGCATGGATTTGAAGTCCTATGACTGATGTTTATTTGTCTCTAACTCCTCTGTCTTTTCTTGTTTGTGTTACATCACCCAAGCTGTTTTGTTGTTTCCCATTTTTCAGCCATCAGTGATTAAATTTTGCTTAGTTATTTAACATTTGCTCCCTGTTAAAATTAACAGTTAAAGGATTACTTCACTAAAGCTAATTATTAATCAATAATCCAGGCATGACTGTGGTTTGGGCATAGAAAAAAAAGAGAATTAGAGCAGTGATAGTATTCAGCACAACTGCACCAATGTGAGTGTGGTGATTCTTTTAAAAGAGGCTTATATTCTGAACCGCAATCCCTACTAAACCATGAAAAAGTTCCATAACATGATATACACCAATGGTGGCATAATCTTGTTTCCATGCATGGCCAGGACTTGTCTTCAGGTTGTGCAGCACTGTCAAAGAAGTGCCCACCCTGAAGCTGGATAGTCTACCTCACTGCGTGTCTTTTTGAATGTGGGAGCTAAGTGGGGGCCAACAGATCCCACTGTGCAATGCGACGTCAAAATGACATCTATTTAACGTATTTTTCGACTCTGAAGTACAAATGTAGATGTCGTTTCAACGTCTAAAAGAGGTCCAATAATGACGTCTAAATCTTGAATCCTTTTTGCACGCTGTGCCGACGTCTAGATTTGGTCTTCAGATGACGTCCAAATTCTAAACGTCAGAGCGATGTTAAAAAAAGGTCCAATTTGGACGTCGAAATTTCTAACCTAGTTTGCACGTTGCTCTGACGTCTAGATGTGGTCTTTGACGGACCGTATCTGTACGTCTCTGTGACGTTCGATGTTTGGTGGGATACCCTTAGATGTTTTTTTTTTTGTGAGGGCATAACTTTTGAGTCTTTCTTTGTTTTTTGTTTTTTTAGGTCTTTAACCAATATCTTTATTGAGATTTTCAGAATAAAAAACTACTACACATTGAGTGGAGTGAACCAGGTTTAAAGAATACAAAAGAAGGAAAGATATTGTTAAAAATCGGCCAATTTGAAAGAGGAACATGAGTTGCACTGCTCCATCAATTGCTCAGTCTATCTCAGTAGGTACAGGCACCTAGTGAGAACAGTGGGTAGCACACAAGTGAATTCCTGGTTGTGCTGAGCAAGATGATCCAGAAGGTTGCCACATATCAGAGAATTTACTAAGTCTATTACGGCTGGGACGATATGCTTTTCACCCAATCCGATTCTTCTACGATTATTTTGGATGCCGATTCGATTTAAATTGATTTTCTCGATTTTTAGTCTGCATTTTTAACACCAGTGAAACAGTATACATCTCATGTAAGTCAGTTTTTAAGATTTATTCTTAAATTTAACACACAAAAAAAAAAAGATTTTTAAACATAAAAATTGATTTAAAAGTTGTAAAACAAAAAATCATGATATTTGTGTGAATCGATTTTTTTCTCCCACCCCTAAAGTCTATCCCTCCCATTTTGGATTTTCTCCATATGTATTGTATTTGTAACCTGAGTTACCAAGTCTTAAACTGAGGCTAGTATCTGACGTCTAAATCACATTGAGACAGTATGACCTTAAAGGTTCAAACAGACAGGCTTACTTTTTAGAAAACCACCTCAGTATCTCACAACAAAAATGATCCAGGTTGGATGAGAGAGCTCTGTACAGATTAATATTAGTCACATAAGGAAGAAAAAAAATGTGTGGTTTAGTTTTTTGGGGTTGTTTCTGACAACTAGACTGTGTAAAAGTAACACCCCAAAGGAAGTGTAAAGCATCTGTGAAAAGTTGTGGTGTTATAGTTAAGAAGAAAGGAAGTTTCAGTCTGAACTCTTCACAGGACTCTGCAGCACCAGGAACAGGAACAGACCTGAAAACTCTTGGATGACTTAAATATTATGTTTCAATGTTTCTGTCTCTGCAGGATCCTCGGAGTAAACACAAGTTTAAAGTCCACACCTACTCCAGCCCGACGTTCTGTGACCACTGTGGATCTCTCCTCTATGGGCTGATACACCAGGGCATGAAATGTGACCGTACGTAGACGGATGTGTGTGTGTGTGCGTGTGTGTGAAATGCCTTTAATATGTGAAAATGTCGCTCTCTTTAAGACGTTTGCACATTTTATGTTTTATATATCAAACCTGAAAACTGTCCCATGTCCACATGTCGAGGCTGTCTAATTTCGGTTACGCTGTATTACTTTGCGGCCTCTGTAATCTACCTTTAATTTGTGTCCACGGGTTGTTGACTACAGTCCGGCTTATACACGATTTCTAAATATAGATTAAATTCATCATTTACCATAATCAGCTGGCTCATGAGTCATAATAACAAACAAGTTAAATAGATATGATCATCTGAATGACATCTGCTCACATATCATCAGCTGCTCATAACCATTATGGAGTAGTCTCTACAGTCCTGCTGCCGTCTTGTCTTTACTGCTGACCATTTGCGTGTTATTGGCAACAAACACACTAACAGGAAGTGGGCTTTAACTCTGCATCTCCAGCCATGAATGACATTATTCAGCAGGTAAACAGTTCCTCTTTGTACCAGCTATCAGCACATGTAGTTTGACTCTGCAGCAGTACGCATGTTCAGTCATCAGATGAAAAAGTGGCGTGTTCATCTTCCTCCTGGAATGACTGCAGCTGCTCGGTTAACACAATTCACAGAGACGTTTTCAGGTTGAAAACCTGTTTAAACAAATGAAAACAGCAGACGCTCTGTGGCCTTTTTTGCAAATTTTATTCAAATGACCGACTTCCTCTGAGAAGCAAAGATATTTGATGTTTGACGTTAATGAGGTGAGGGAAGCGAGACTCCAGTGGTTTGAGTTCGATCCGGTGTCATTATGTTAGGTGTCTGGTTTCTGTTATAAGATGTTACAGGTCCCAGAGTTAGGTCCTATAAGCAGATAAGGTTCTTGTATAAACAGAGGAGTCAGGTGAAAGTGCTTTTTTGGTTCAGCTCTTCTCAGCACAGTGAGAAAGCAACAAAAGTCTACTAGCAAAGAGAGCCTAAGGGAGAAGCACAGCGCCACACTGCCTCCTGCTGGCGACACTTCGTGATACTATACTGAGGGAATTCAGTCATTAGAAAACATTAGTGGCCTTTTATGGTACATATTACAGTGTTTCTTCAACAGGAAACATCACTACTGTGCAAATATGATTACATATAATATATTACATGTATTAAATTAGATGATATATTTTGAGTGGGTCACAAAGACACTCAAAAGGAAACTCAAGTATTTTTAAACATGGTTTTATTTTTACATACCATGCGGTCTGAGCGTCAGACAGGTTCAAAAATGGCCGGACTAGATTTCCTCAGCCAGCAGCTGTGAGACGGACTGCAGTGGCTGCAGCTTTATATCAAGACCGGTCAAAATACATCATCTGAAAGTGCCTGATTGTGGCAGGTCAGGCTGTTATTTTATAGTCCGTGTAGAGATGAATATATCCCTTCTGGTGTCTGACACGACACTTTCATCACTTTCATGACTCAAACAAAACAAAGTCCTTTTTCATAATCTGACTCACTTTTTCATCTGAAGTCTCCCTGCAAAACGTCCTTTTTTTCACAAAATTTTCAAAGTCTTCTCTTTGGGCCAGACTGAAGTTTTTTGGTTCATATAAAGTTCTCTCTCTTTGGAAATACTCCCCATTACATTGCTTGGAAACTAGAATCACAACCTGGCCTTGTCTTTGCTAAAACAAGCCCCTAAAGTCGACACACTTTGATCATGTGTAATAGCTCACAGGGATTATGAGCCAGCCATCATAACTTGTTTTGGACCCGACAGCTGAGGCGTTCAGCACCTTTTAATTCCAAAGCTTTTTTAGAGGATCATACTTATCATTTATCTCAGGAGCTTATGAGTTACACGGTAATATCCTGGTTCTACCTAAAAAACAACCACGTCTTTCTTTTACAGTCCAGTTCCAGCTTACATACTTGGTCATTTGAAGGCATTTAGTAGGTTCACGTTCATAATCCAATGTTGTTAAGCAGATGCTTTTTATCCAAATCAATGGACTTTCAAAAACAGCTGGGCACAGCCAGCAGGGGGCATGTGGGGTAAAGTGTCTTGACCAAGGACACTTCAGCAAGAAACAAAAATGTCATCTTTAAACCACCTACAGTGAGAGGAGTGAGACGTGTCCGTCAGAGTAGTCTGACCTCTAGTGGACAAACTGAGAAATTACATGAAGAGTGCTTTGGCTTTTATTCACCATTGCCAGAGACCGATACTAAAGAATAAATCTGAAAACTTTGCATAAGAATTCTCATTAACAGTCAGACAACTGAGTCTTTTGATGACCTTTTCATAATTAACATACTCCAGCTGTCTGAATTACTAAGTTTTAAAGTCAGTATGCTTTAAATTCAACCTCAGAAATGTTTCCATAAAAACAAATATGTGGGCTGAGTGTCAGTTTTAGCCAGAGTAGATTGATTAAATGCTCAGACAGGAAGCTACATTGTAGGTGGGTGTGAAAAGGGAGAATGGCAATTTCCAAAATGACTCAGAAAAACTAAAATAAACCCCCAAATGATGGTTTATTAAGCTAAAGGAACAAGAGCGTGTTTCCCAGTTTGTTTTTTGGCGGGATAATTTTTTGTACCTTTTGCTGGTTATTTAAGGGAGGTTCCACCAGTTTGAAACATGGAAATCATTGGATTTCATGTTCCTTAATGAAAGTGCAAAATGAAGTTGCCGCAGAGCCTTTTAAACTGGTGATACTGTATGGCACCCACAGCATTGTGATGACAGAGGCAGAGCACTTTGATGATGTCTTGTTTATCATTTCAAACAAATGAAAGGTGAAATAGTTTTAGCTTTAGTTCATATTGTGTTTAAAATGCTGACCTACATCAGACCTGAACCATGCAGAATCAAAAAGATAATTGCCATGTCTGCCACCCCTACTTGGTGCATCACTAAAACGCAAGTCCTAAAAATGACAGCTCACAGGGAAATGGAAAAGAAGGTCAAAACTTTTGTGCATTGTGTCAAGCTTCCTAAAGTGTGCGTTTTTGTGCATCTGTGCCCAGATTGTATGATGAACATCCACAAGAGGTGCGTGGCCAACGTTCCGAGCCTGTGCGGGACCGATCACACCGAGAGGAGAGGACGCATCCACATCACTGCCCAGATCACCGGAGAGGCTCTGGCTGTCACCAGTGAGTGTGCTCTCCTTCTGCACGTCTCTCTCTCTCTCTTTATGCCCACTTCTGTCCATCTGGAACACACACAAAAACACACACACTCACACAAATAGCTCTTTCGCTGCCTAAGACTGTAACTGGAAAGTCCATTAGTCGATCAATGGTCCAACGATTGACCCACATCGCCACTAGGACATGCAGCATCCACGTGTTTGCGCGCTCTCTCTCTCTCTCTCTCTCTCTCTCTCTCTCTCTCTCTCAGACAGCTGTGGATTGATTATAGGACACAAACTAAACAGTTGTTAAGTGTTGTCAGATGTGAGTTATTTAGGCCAGGACACAACTGGACTCAAACCAACTCTTACAGATCCTGCTGCTCTCCGCAAAAGACCAAATCCATTCTCCAAAAATTTAATGTGTGTTTAATCCTGGGATCTTTCTCTTCTTATTCACTTTTACTGATCATGTCCTCAACAGTCAAAGAGGCCAAGAACCTGGTGCCCATGGACCCCAATGGTCTCTCAGACCCATACGTCAAGCTCAAGCTGATCCCAGACCCCAAGAGTGAGAGCAAGCAGAAGACCAAGACCATCAAATGTTGCTTGAACCCCGTCTGGAATGAAGCCTTCACTTTGTGAGACATGTCTCCTTCTGTTTCAGACGTGGCTTGAGCGATAGTAACCTGCTGCTAACAACCGATACAGATAGACGTAGATTAAACTATCTTTTTACATTGTCATATTTTATCAAATATGACTTATGCATCTCTTCTCATCTCTTAGCAACAAGCTATATTCAACATTAGCAGGTTGAATATCTGGTCTTCTACCCTGTAAAAAGGTGATCATCAGGACTGTGAATCCAGCGATTTTTTTTTTCACTGATTCAAATCAGCGCTATATCACTTTTTGCTGGTGCGGCTACTGCTGCTTCATATTCTTGGAAGAGGATGTCTTTTCAGATGAATTAACTTCGGTGAAGGAAACACAATTCTCACTATCTGTAGAATTGTTTCAGGTCTCTGTATGTCCTGTAGTTTGTGAATGCGAAGGCTGGTAATTAAGATAAGAATAATAAGAATAGCTGTATTGATCCCTGAAGGGAAATTTAATTGTCTGTCGTCTCATTTGTCATGTCTCAAAAGTCATCTACTATTTATACAAGAGTTGTAATCGTAAAATTCTATCATCAGATAAAAACTCCTCTTTTCAGGCTGATAGATATAAGTTGATGGGTTTAAAGTTTGGATTTTAGAGATAAAAACACAAAGCAAACTGAAGCTGATGCAAGTGACCCTTTCTCCATCCTGTATCCTGTTTGTGCCTTTAGCTTTTCTCTGATGTCTGCCATGCTAAATCCATACAAACTAGACACAGACTTAAAAGACAGACCACTTCACAAGGTAATGAGAGATTTGGTTTCATTAAAAAAAAAAAACAAAGGCCAAGAGAAACCCTTTAACTTTGATTCAAAATTTCTTAGTTTTTACATTCATGTGTTTTTCATTTTAGATGGAGCCGTCAATGTGTGATTGTCAGACAGTGATTGCTGACATTTTTCTTGCATGTAACATCAGTAAATTTTTTGGCAGCAGCCCACTGTTCTTCTTTGTTACTGTAAAAAAAAAAAAGCGGCAGATTTTGCTGGAAGGGATATAAATATTGTTGCTGTGTAGGATGATGTTTGGAGGAAAGGAACACTCTGTTTTTGTTTTGGGTTTTGGTAAATTAGCAGTAGATGTGGCAAACGGACTGTTACAACGTAGTGCATTTAGAGCTGTTTGGAACAGTTTCAACCAAAAGAGATCAAATTTCCTGGCTTTGTTATTAAGTTGAGATCTCAGTTTCCTTTTTTAGATATTTAAGAATTTTCTGTATGATTTTTTTATTAGCTTCTCTCCTTCTTTGTCTCTTAGCAACCTAAAAGAAAGTGATAAGGACCGCCGTCTTTCTGTGGAGATCTGGGACTGGGATCTGACCAGCAGGAACGACTTCATGGGCTCCCTGTCTTTTGGGATCTCAGAGCTGCAGAAACAAGGAGTGGATGGATGGTAAGATGTCGGTGTGAGGAGACAGGAGTTGGTGGGAATTTTGGGGCGTTTACCCAGGTGCAGACTGAGATAACAAAAGCCAAGTGAAACAATAAAGGCCAAAACTTGGGGGTGCAACAATAATTCTTGATTTAATCTGATATTTTTATGTTTTTATTCTTGGGTTTAGGTTTAAGCTGCTCTCTCAGGAGGAAGGAGAATACTTTAATGTTCCAGTCCAGCCAGATGGAGAAGATGGTAATGAGGAGTTGCGACAAAAATTTGAGGTAGATGCAAAGAAAAAGCCATAAAACCACAACAGATTTACAAAGTTATAATTCATTACAGCTGATTCCATCCTCTTCCTCATTATTTGGTTCTTCCCTGTTATTTCTTTCCTCTTCAGAGAGCGAGGGTGGGTCCAGGGAAGCCCACAGACTCATCTTCATCCTCTGCTGTGTGCAAGTATGACAGCAACGGCAACCAGGACCGAGTCAAGCTGTCGGATTTCAACTTCATCATGGTTTTGGGCAAAGGCAGCTTTGGCAAGGTGAAGCACAATTCCAAAGATCTTTTCTAAAGCTGGTGGTTTGCAAACGTAAACTGAGGAACTGTAAACACTCCTTCTTCCTCTTTTGTCTGTCTTCAGGTGATGCTCGCTGAGAGGAAGGGCACTGATGAGTTGTATGCCATCAAAATCCTGAAGAAGGACGTGGTGATCCAGGACGATGATGTGGAGTGTACCATGGTGGAGAAGCGGGTCCTCGCTCTGTCTGGGAAACCTCCTTTCCTCACTCAGCTGCACTCCTGTTTCCAAACCATGGTACATGTAGAAATATAAACCATTTCACCCTTGAATGAGTTTACATGCACAGTAGTTTTCCTTTTGAGAATTCAGAAAATGTAAACAGAGGCAGAATTTTACACTTAGGTATTTGACATTTTGGCCCCCTGCTCATCAAGTCAGAGCCAAAACAGCCCTCACCTGACGAGATGTAGACTTGAGCAATTTCCAGGACTCAACGCAGATTCCTTCGAAGTCCTGGAAAATTGTGCGGTGGGGAATCCATTGATTGGATCTGGATGTCCCACTGATGCTTGATCAAGATCTAAGAAATGAAGAGGCCAAATTAGTACCATAAAGTCATCCAGGTTATCTTCTTCACTGCTCTCTGGTCCAATTTGATCCAGTTTGAATGCTGACTCTCTTATTCTTCTGTTTTTTTTTTAAAACCACATTGGCTTGCTTTGCTCTCAAGAGCATCGTTGAACCTTGTCTGCCAATGACCCTGTCACTGGTCCACTGGTTTTCCTTCCCCGATGTTTTTTTGGCTGGAACGCAGTAGACTAGAAACACCCCATAAGAGCAACAGTTCTGGTGATGCTCTGATTCAGTCCATTTGCGTATAGTATTACTTCAGGCTTGCCATGAAGTCAAGCTCAGCCCACAGTCCATCAGCTGATCCTTAAGTCAGACCGTATCATCTGACAGCTCAGCCTTAGATTACCTTCAGTGTATCCAATGCCAAAATAGGTGTTGTATTTAACCTGCTTTAACCTGCCTTCTCTTGCTGCTTATCAAAAAACACAACAACACAGCTCTTCTTTTGTATGCTGTGTCTGATTTTACCAGTGTCATCTTTATCGTCTCTAATGGCAGCTGTGTTCTGTACCCTTTGGGGTGTTTGCTGCTGATCTCTCTGCCTTGGCTTTTCATGTACGCACATGAAATGGAGAGGAGGTGTGCTCTCCCTACCACACATACACTCGTGGAAGAGCAGCGAGCTCTCAGACAGCTGTACCACCATGTGAACATATTGTGTGAATTATTTCTCTTTGATCAAAGTGGCTCTGCCTGAACAAGTCTTTTCATTTGAGTCACTCACATCCTTTATGCTAGACCCTTTTATCTGCTTCACACACATTACATTTGTGAACAAAGTGATTGCTTGTGATCCCACTGAGTAACAGACGGCTATTAGACATTAGTTTTTTTTTAGACCTAATTTCAACCGTCTAGATTCTGTATATTTTTAGACAGAATTAAGACGTTGCACTTCAACCCATTATTCAATAACTATTTATTTTAAAAAGCAACTGTGAACTGCATAACTGATCTCCAAGTACTTAACCAAAATAATTATGATAGCTGTTGAGCAATATACAGCGTAGCATAAATAGAGCCCAGATTTGGATTTAGTATAAACTTGGTCTAAATTTAGACGTCTGAAAAACTTTCATTTTTAGACCTGTGGTAGCCTGATTTTAGACCAGTCGTTTTGGCTACATTTAGACGTCTATTAGACCTCTTTTAGACCAAAAATGCTCAGTGGGATCCTTATGTTAAAACCAATCAGCATATATGGCTCATTTAAACTCATTCTGTGCACAGTGCACAGGTGTTTTGTGGGTTTCTGGGGATTTTCTTTGGACTGTGGTTCTACAATCTGCACTTCAATCGGGCTTTTCAATCAAATTGGTGACACAGTTTCTGCCTTTCAGTCCCTTGTGTCAGTAGACCATTACAGCAAAGCTGAGTTAGACATGTGGAAAAGAAAACCCTGAATTTCAACATGGGAAGAGAAAAACCCCTACGTCTTGAAGAATCTTTTGCATTTTTACATCTAAGTATCCTCAGCCAATTTTGCCTGAAAGCTGGTTGTAGTAACAATGGAGAAAAGCTGTTTGGCATATTCATATGTAAAAACAGTCAGAGTAAAGGCAAACCCTGCAGATTTTCTGCATTTTCACTCTTTCTCCTCCTCTTCCTTCCCTCTTCCTCTTTTGTCCTCAAGGACCGATTGTATTTTGTCATGGAGTACATAAACGGAGGAGACCTCATGTACCAGATCCAACAAGTCGGCAAGTTCAAGGAGCCTCATGCCGTGTGAGTACACACACACACACATACACAGAGGGGTTGAACACATTATGATGTTTTTGTGCTCCTCTGTTTCTCTTCATAATGTCAGTTTTGTATGATTTTCTCTGCTTGATCGTGATTTTCAGAGATTTCAAACCCTTAAACAGTCTTTATCATTTCACCCCAAAATAAAACAACTCATTCTGTTTTGGCTGATCTTTCTGCAAATACTCAGATAAATGTATCAACGGTTATTTGTTTGTATTTAAGGTTTTACGCTGCTGAGATTGCCATCGGACTCTTCTTCCTTCACTCCAAAGGCATCGTGTATCGGTGAGTCAGCCTGTGATTCAGCCCTCAGCGTTTACAGTCATTTAGGCTATGAGTATGAGTAACACTTGTGTATGTGTTTGTGTGTCCGTGTGTGTCTGTTTTCAGGGATCTGAAGCTGGACAACGTGATGCTGGACTCTGAAGGCCATATTAAGATCGCTGACTTTGGCATGTGCAAAGAGAACATGTTTGATGGGATCACAACAAAGACCTTTTGTGGGACACCAGACTACATCGCTCCGGAGGTGTGCTTTTTGAAGAGGTTTATCCTGTTAAGTTATTCTTCATAACTTCTGAATCCTATACTCTGCAACGTTTTGTCTTGTAGATCATAGCTTATCAGCCTTATGGGAAATCCGTGGACTGGTGGGCCTTTGGAGTTCTGCTGTATGAAATGCTTGCCGGACAGGTTTGTATGCGATCACTGGGTGTTTGCAAAAGTGAGGCTTTATCATTTTGATAAGAACTGTTCATGATGATGCCTATTTATGCTCATTCAGCCACCTTTTGATGGAGAGGATGAAGATGAGCTGTTCCAGTCCATCATGGAGCATCATGTCTCTTATCCTAAATCCATGTCCAAAGAAGCTGTTGCAATCTGCAAGGGGGTGAGTACAGAAACTTCAAAGACTGATGCAACAATTCAGCAGCTGGGAGGCATGCTGTTTGTCTGTCTGTGTTGATGATGATGGATGCTGGGACTAGACAGCAGTGCCCCTAAATTTAAAGACCTCTTTAAGTTCACATACACCATGGTGGATCTTTTTTTTTCTCATATATGTTAATATAGCATGATTGCACTCTAATCTTCAAATTTTTTGGACTTTAGATGGGGCTAAAAGTACCCCAGATTTCTCAACAGAGCTTATTTCTTCACCAACCATACCTTACTTTCAGCCTCTGTTCAATTACACATTTTTTGTTTCATGATATGCAGCTGCAGCATATCATGAAGTTGGAGGTGGTTTTGCAGATTGAGAAAAAGTTCCTGTAACAAAGAATTCTGTGATTCTCTCTCCTTAAAGGCTAAAACAGAGAGCAGCTCTGCTAAAGATACGTAGCGAGTCTATTTTTGCTGCTCTACACTTCCAATTCGCGTCAATCCACACAGAGAAGATCGTTCTAGACAGGAAGTCAAGCACGAAAACTGCGCATATCATCCGGTATTTCAAAATAAAACACAATATGCGAACTCCCGACTGTGAATCAGGTCGTGTAGATGAGAAATACTTATTTATCAGTAACACAGAACAATCCGATGGTCAATCCCTGATCCATGTGGACCCCAACAGGAATTTTAACTGCTAACTCAGTCTGAAGGTAACAGCACAGCATAAAGGAACATAATTTACAATATTAAACACAAGTAAACCTGCAAAAACCAAAACTGTAAAATCACGTTGCTTTTTCACATATAGTAGAGGCTCAACAATCACTGAATTATATCCAAATTATCAGGAAATAGACCACAGAAAGGCAAAACAAGCTGTTGTGAGCATGTTGTCTCCTCTATACTGAGCCCAGCTGGCCGGGGCTGCACGACGTTGCTGCCATGCTCCAAATACACATCTGTATGCAATACCCAATTCTGCTCTACGGAACAATGTATGTTTTCAGCTTAAGATTTAAAATGAAGATTTTTGCCATAATTCAAAGTTTTGATGAGCTGTTTGAACTGTCCTATGCACATGTTTTATGGAAAAGACATATAGACACAAAAGAGACATATTTCCTACAGTGTTAAGTACTAAATAAATGAAATAAGCCTTATGTAAATGGAAAGAAAGCTACTCGCAGCCTGTCACGACACAGTCTTCATAATTTTCACAATCCCCCCACTTCTGACATAAGTTAGCCAATCAGCATTTAGGATTTTGAGACAGCCAAACGGATTTCAAGAGGGGCCCATGCCTCCTCTGGCCACCCCTCAGGCACACTCATAGTAATTAATCCACATTTTCTATGCAGGCATGGCAGCTTCAAAACACTTGATACAATATTTATGAATATACTGGGACATTTTCCCCGACATGTAAATGTGTCAAATTCTTAAAGTTTGAAGACATAAGGACGTAGTAGAGCTTTGGTTAGGTGACTGTAGTCTCTGAAACTGCAGCCACTTTGGCATTTATTGAAGAGCATCCAGTGTGTGAATGAAGCAAGCTGTAGTGAAGCGCTGGCATCTGTTAGGATACAAGAGCAATAATGTAAACACACATACCTGCAGACTCCTCTCACTGTGTGTGCTTTGTGTGTGTGTGTTTGTGTGTTTATGTGTGGTTTTAGCTGATGACCAAGCACCCAGGTAAGCGTCTAGGCTGTGGCCCAGAGGGGGAGAGAGATATCAAGGAGCATGCCTTCTTCCGCTATATAGACTGGGAAAAACTGGAGAACAAAGAGGTCCAGCCGCCTTTCAAACCTAAAGCTGTGAGTATATCAAAGATTTTCTGCCTTCAGTCTGTCACCTATTACTGCCCTGCACTGACAACTGCAGGGGTTGTCTCAGTATGGAGGGAGGTGACGTACCTGATTGAACAGCCCACGTAAGTTTTGGAGAGTATTAGATTGTCCATTTCCCTTAACCCCTCCATCGCCTGCCATTGGTCACTACTCTGACAAATGTAAATTTGTGAGCGTTGTCACCAATGATGAAGCTGTGATGTCACTAGCTCACAAACGGACCAATGGAATTCCACAGTTTTTGGCTGTGAGTGATTTGATTGGTTGATGCCATGCTTTAGTTGTATTTCTCTTTTTTCTCTTTGTTGTCGTCCTTTTTTCTTCACATACTCATCAAACTCACTCCATCTTGCATCCATATTTCTCTCCCTCTCCATCCCTCTCTCTCTCTCTCTCTCTCTCCTTCTCTATTCTCTCTCTCTCATCTTTCCATGGCAGTGTGGGCGTGAGGCGGAGAACTTTGATCGCTTTTTCACACGCCACCCCCCAGAGCTGACCCCCCCAGATCAAGAGCTTATAGCCAACCTGGACCAGGAGGAATTCCAAGGCTTTTCATTTGTTAACCCTGAGTACCCTAACTCAACTCACTGACCATGCCACATATCACTGGGCTGCAGTAGAAATCCCCCACTCCTCAAAAATGAAGTGAAAAATGAAAACAAAATAAAATATCACCATGTTGTCATATCCAGGCCACATCCCGCGGGGTGAAATGTTCAGGAATGTTCAAGGTTTTGGGAAGTTGGTTTCGAGGATTGATGCCAGTCTTAAACGTGTGCATAATCTACAGAGCTGCAGTCAGCAGGTGATTTAGCCTAGCTTCGTGCTCAGACTCCAAGTATGGGGAATCAACCAGCCTTTCTCTCTACAAGGTTAGTAAGATCACGATCCCTGTAACCTCTGACTGAACTCTTCTGCAGTTTGTCCAACATCGGTAAATATAAAATCTTTTCTTTTTAGGATTAAAGTGATGTAGTTATCACATATCTTGTCATCACAGTAAAATAAAAAGCAGGGATGCTGTGCTTTATATGTACGATAAAGCTTTGTACAGCTTTATTGTACAACTCTTTGTAAACCTAAACATTTTTACAGAAGCGTCTTTAACCCGCAAGGTAAGGGTCACATGACAACAGGAGACAGCATAAGAGGCTAGTTATAAAAATGCTAACAACTCCATGGCAGAGTGTAAACCCAGCATGCGTTTTCCTGTCTCTTCAGTAGCTTAGCGGTACCTTATCACTGTGATTCGAATGTTTTCAAGGAAAAAGAACACTATCATTCTCAGCTATACTTTTTTACTTGGTTATAATTACCGAATAGTGATCTGGAAACTTAGGTAAATACTGTAACCATTATTCACAAAATGATCATGATGCTTAATTAAAAATCCTAAAACTAGCCACTAAAATTTGAAACTTTATTAGCAAACTTTGCCGAAGTAATAAACTGAAATGAAGGATCTTTCTTTCTCTCTAACTTACAAACAACTGGATTTCTTTGGGCAACCAGTAGGACCCCCTATGGACCATTAGAAAATATGCACATTTAAAGCACTTCCCAATTGGCATCACTTTTCAGTCCTTGATGCTAAGTCCACTTCTAGTATACAGACTATATTTCAGCATGTCAAGGTTAGTGTAAGCTCAGAGCACCTTTGTGCCTAGGTACAATAATGTCAGTCGCATGAGGAAGTCTAAGATGAACAGCCATTAGTGTTTTGCATGCTAGCAGAAAAGTTCAGTAGCAGTAGTCTTGGTTACTTGTTTGTGTAACCCTTGCCTTTCTTCTCAAATATCTTCCCTGTAGAAAGGAAAATCTCAAAGCTCCCCAGCTCTGTATTTAATGTACCCACTTAAAAGTGGTATCAATCCCACCAACTTGGTCTCTGCACGAAAACTCAATGTTTTTTTTTTTTTTTTTTTTTTTAAATGCAACAAACTGTTTCTTTCAATAATATGCAGATGGAAATGCAGACAGTCACTCCAGTGCTAACAAGCTGGAAAAATAACCTTAATTAAATGTGTCAAGTTGCCAGCAAAACTGGTCTGGTTTCCAGTGATGAAACTCTTTTAGTTTGGTTTAGCACGCCATGGTACACTGCTGCTCTCACATCAGCTCTACTGGCTGTATTTCTATCTTAAGTGCAGAAATTGTGGCTCTTGAATGCTGCCCGGCTGCTCACATCAGCAAGTTCATGTCTGAGTCTGACCTTTGGACTGACCTGAACCTGCTCTGTCTCTGTGTCACCCTTTTTCTGATTGCATATTGACTATGACAACCTATCATTGATATTGATGAGTGTACTATGATCACATATTGGTAATATTCATTCAGTGTAAGTGAAAACTGACAAATGCTTTGCTATGATTGTTTGAGTACTGATCAGTTTCCTAATGTTGACTTTCCTTATCAATAGGACCAAACACTTCTACACTTTATGTTCAGTCAGTGCTGTGGTGAGCTTATCTTAAAACTTTTGCTGATTTACTTTTCAAAGAGTCATAGGATAGAGGTCTGTATACTTGCATTCTGCAAGAGTGTAAGTCGGCATCAAGCTTGTGACTTTTGACTGAAAGCTCATTTCTTTTCTCAGTTCTTTACTTAAAACATTCACCACGTAACACTGTGTTTTATCGACAGAGGGCATATCTCTTAGACTGTACACAAACATTTTTGGAGGATTTGACATGTGAAAAAAGCTCAGTTGAGTCTTGTGAACCTGGTAGTCTGTTAGCTTGTAAAAATCAGAATGTCCAAAAGTGCCAAAATAGGATTCAGAATCATGAGGATGATTGTCCTCAATAACTGTGATGAAGTGCAGCCATTTTGTGCCATTTTGCAGTACATGTATAACTGTTAGAATATGCATTATAGCTTATTTGTTCTCCAACAACACAATACCCCTGGAAAGTTATTTTCATGTATAAAATGAATGTCTGACAGGAGGTGTTTTATTGTGAGGCAGATTGTATTTTTCTTTTGTAACGGTGTAACGATGCCGGATAGTAATGTGTCAAATCTTGTTCTTTGAGCTTGTATCAAAAAAGGGGGTGGGTGGGGGGCATCACAGATTTGTTTCTGTCATACAAAACTGCTGGCTGAGAGGACAAAGAGGACAAAAAGGCAAAGGGAAAACTGAAAGCACTTATCATGATGATGCTTTATTGTGACAAATCAAAGGTGACATAATGGGGGACAGGAGAGGGATATATATATATATATATATATATACACACACACATATATATATATATATACACATATATTTATATATGTGTATATATATATATACACATATATTTTATATATGTGTGTGTATATATATATATATATATATATATATATACACACACACACACACACACACACACATATATATATATATATATATATATATATATATATATACACATATATTTTATATATGTGTGTGTATATATATATATATATATATATCACAGAAATATTTGGATAAATTGTTCTGGATGAGAGAGATGCTTCTGTGAATTGTGTAATTGTCCTGTATGACTGAAAACTGATAATATACTCACTGGTGCCTACCAGACTACTTCTTTGTCTGCCTTGTTAATGCTGCAGCAAACAAAGCGCTAACACTTCAGTCAAGCACTGTGCATTTATCCGGTTTCTCTCTGGGAAAAGACTTCAAACTAAAAGTTGAATGAGAATTTCAATACCACTCCAGCTGAAAGCCAAACAAAAGCAAGATGACTGGTATAGAAGATAAAAAGAAACAGGGAACATTAGCAAAGTTTCTAAACCAAATTAATTCTAGAACCTAGAAATTTTGGTTATATTTCAGCTTCTTGCAAAGGATGTGCATATATCAAAAGTTTGAAAAATTATCATATGAGCTCCACGAAAAAGAAAATCAGAGATAAGGCAATGCTGATCCAAATCCTAAAATTTGAAATATTGTGGAAAAGTTTGATGTTTTCTCTGAATCATTAGTTAGTCATTAGTTATTACTAACAAACTGCTTAATACTTTTAGCTTTTCAGACATACTTATAATAATGTACATTACCTCTTTTCCTATAAACATAACAAAGGCATACAAAGCAGTAAGATAAAACCACACATCTGTACATCTCCAGTACAATGACTATTATAATAATGTTTGTTTGTATAGCACTTATCAACAGACTTTTCAGAGTGTTTTACATTCCAGTGATGCAAGCAATAGTAAAGGGGAAACAATAAGGCTATGCAATCTACAGAAGGGGAACAAATTAAAACAGAGATGAAGTAAAGAATAAAAAAGGGTCAAAATAGTGGCTGAACAAAAGAATCCACAAAACTTCAGAATCATGTACCTCAAATAAAATGCTGAAATGACCCTGCTTATTAATTAAAGATGTTTTAAAATAAACTTAAATAAACATGATAAACATGTGATAAACCCACATTGCAGACATAAATGTGGAGAGGCACAGCTGCCTCGTACCAAGACTGAACCGGTACATGAATTCATGGACTAGTAGTAGAGGTGGGAATGTTTCCAGCACCTCCTCATTTCAGGTGGAGGCCCAGTGATCAGACAAGTGGAGGAGGTAGGAAATGAAATGCCTTTTGTGTGTATGTGTGATACATGTGTCTTGCCTGGGGCTCACTGCTTTACCTCACTGTGTGAAATCCTTTTGGTTGGTGGTTTGGTCTGCAGCTGGTCTGTTTTATTGATTCTTGTCTGTTCTCCACTGAAAGCTCTTTCTGGCTTTAGAAGTTTGTCTTGGATCTTTCTTGCATCTGTTGTTGTCTGCTGTTGAAATGTTGCGGTGGGTCCTCTTCATCTTTTTGCTGTGTCTCTTGGCTTTTTTGGCAGGGTGTGTTTGTTCTTTGTCGACTTGCTCCCCCAGTCCTGTATGGAGTCACTGGTGTGTTTTGCTGAGTCTAGACTCCTTGTGTTGCCACCATTTAAAATGATCAGAGGTGTGGACTAGACTGCACTAAGTTAACCAAAAAACACATGCAAGTTGACTTCATATACAGCTTCAAGAACTCATAGATAAATTGAGACTTTAGTTATTGAATTTTCAAGTTTTTATAGGGCCTTGGGGAATGGAGCCTCAAATCCAAAAAAGCTAGGACTCAGTGCAAAATGTTAATAAAACCAAAGTTTGATGGTTTATAAATCACTTAAGCCCTATATTGAAATGGGGCAAAGTAAAAAGAAAAAAAAAACAAGAAAATGTAAGTCAGTTTTAAATTTGGTGGTTGTTGAATGCATTAGTGGCCATGGCATATAGGGAGGCACTATTAATGCTGAAAATTATATAGAGGTTTTAGAGCTACATATGCTGCCATCCAGACCATTCTTTTTTCAAAGAGGACCTTGCATAATTCAGCAAGAGGATACCAAAGCAATTTATTGCATGTATTACATCAGCATGGCTCCATTGTAGAGGAGTCTGGAGGCTAAGATGGCCTGCCTGTAGTTGCAATTTGTCAATTGAAAACATTTGTTGCATCATAAAATGAAACATACAGTAAAGGAGGCCCATATTGTTGAACAGCTGGTTTTCAACTCAGCAGTTCCCCAACAATTTTATTGTTACAAAAATATTGTTTTTCTGAAATTCATTGCTGGCATTGAATTTAAATTACATATTAGAAAATTTAGATATTTTTCACTCTAACATTTTTATGTTCAGCATTTTATGTTACTTTTGCACAATATGTAGTTAAACATGGGGTCTGAGTGATTTGCAAACTATCGAATTCTGTTTTATTGGCACTCAATGTGGGATCCCAAGTTATAGGAAATTAAAAATGTAATTCTTTAAAACATTGTGAAACAGGCTGCAGGCTTGGTTAGGTGTAAAAACCACAATGCTAGGATAGTTGTGATTTCATTTTTTTTTTTTTTAATAAAAAGTCAATAAGCAGGTTTTGTGTTAAAAAGGACTCCAGTCTGCTTGTGAAAGTCCTGCATTTAGCTCCTTCATCAACCCAAACTTCTCTTCACTCAGACTTGGTCATCCCTTTTGCTAATTTAGCAATAAGAATCAAAGTATACATATCTCTTGAGAATTTTGGTAGAGTAACCATTTACACATAAGCATATATTCTAATTACATATAAAGGTTGATCAACACATCTTATGAACTTTGATGTACTGTGGCGTAAGTTGATATGTACAACAGTAATGATTCATAAAGCATTGTTTTTTCCCACCTCTCCAGATTATTGTGTTTTCTGTGTGCTGATACAATCAAGCTCCTCTCTACCTTTCATCATTGTGCTTTAAGGGGACAGTTGACTGTTTCATTTGTCAACCGTCTGCTGTCTTGACAGCCTATTTTTAAGGCTCCACAAAATACTAAAACTTCATCCGTCTAACATATTGTTGTCCTCCTTTTCTTTCTTCCTGCCACAGAAATCTCGCCGGGATGTGGGCAACTTTGACAAAGAGTTCACAAAGATGGTGGTGGAGCTGACCCCCACTGACAAGCTCTTCATTATGAATCTGGATCAGAATGAGTTTCAGGGCTTCTCCTATACCAACCCAGAATTCGTCATACAAGTCTGAAGATTTCATGTTTGATACACGCAGCAAGACAAGACTTTTATTGCCAGTTTCATTCATCAAGGACCCAAACAAATATCACACTAACCTGTGCTCAGTACCCTGAAGCTAAAGCAACAGCATTTTATGTCATTCCAAATCAGTCCAAACCAGCATTTAAATGGAAGAACAATCACGAACCATCACATTTGTGACATAGTCTTATCTACAAACACAAAAGCAGCAGTTTAACATAAAACTGCTGTTTGCTCCAGTCTCTGTTTGTAGGAAAAATTGAACAGTAATCAGGGACCAGTTTTCAGAAAACTCGAAGTATGTGTAGTATTCACCAAATCTTGTGGTGAGCGGGTCAAAACAAAGGCCAGCGCTCATGAGTCACAGTGAATGTGCATATCTGCTTAGTGCTCTTATTGATCCACAATAGTGTGTATGTTTGTTTACTTGATTTTTCTTTTTTTGACCAGTAAAAGTTGCGTCATACACATTCCACAATCAATAACTCATATATGTCCTCACAACCAACAAACATACAGACGTGTACACTTGGTTGGTGAGGACCCTAATCGATAGTGCATTCTAAACACCCACGAACCCTAACCTCCAGGAAAGACTTACTGAGAAAACCAGCCAAAAATATCCTTATATTCAAAGAGGTCCCCATTTGAAAGGTTTGAAACTCACATTAAGTCCCCACATGCACTATGTACAAGAATATTCACACACACAGATTTACTTCAGGAACGTTTGGGGACATAACATTAACTTTGATTCCTTTTCCTGAGACTTACCCTCATTTTAGTGTTTCCCTCATCTCAACCACTGACCAAACTATTTTCCTGTATTAGGAACTCTTTTTTTTTTTTTTTCAGTTAGACTATCCACCCTCAATAAAGGAGTCTATCACATGTCCCTTGAAGCAGACTAAGTCAGAACCACACAGCCCTAGCAGTGGTATAGAAGGACGAAAACGGTTGAGTGGTGAAAGTTCTTAATAAGTTCTCGTCTAAGTTAGTTTTGAACTTAGTCTTAAGCACGTCTTGTCCGCCAAACTGACGCAAAAAAAAAGAAAAAAAAAAAAGGAAATCCCCAAATTGCCCAAATGGCAGTAATATTAAAAAATGTCTGTCTTTCTTTCCTCTTGCTCTTTCTCTTTTTTATGGCACTGTGTAAGCAGTGGGTCAGTGCTGTGTAGGCCTATACAGTCTTTGTGGTGCAGCTCCTCTATGCATGCCATATTTGTTGGTACAGTAGCTCCCTAAAATTTGCTTTTGACATCACAGAGAAAGAAAAATACCCTCAGTGTGTTGTATTTATTGATGCAAGTGAGTCTTAGTCTGTCCATGCTCAAGTTTTAGTTTTTAACCCAGATGCCGAGTACACCATCTCTTGTGTGAAAAAATATGTGGCTAAGAGTTTGCTGTACAAAGCATGGAGCAAAGTTTTTTGCTGTCCTTGATAAGAAAATATGAGTGAAATGAACATATAAAGTCAATGTTACAATTCTATATGTTTCAGTGTATGTGTAAATAAGAAAGGGATTCAAAACTAAACGTGGTTCCATGTTATTGTACACTTCTCTGCTACTCCTCACAGCCCCATCTCCCCATATCTTTCTGCACTTTATCCTTACCAGCACTCTCAGCTGTCAATATCTCCCCTCTGCTGTGTATTTTTCCATCCCCAAGTCCTCCTTTTTAACCTGGTTAATTCTCACATCAATTTAAAGAGAACTGGGAGAAGAAGACAAGAGTAAGACAAAAGGGAGGGCGGAAAAGATGGGAGTAATAAGTGTTTTCTATGCAAAAGACAGGAGAAGAAGATGAGGAGGAGACGGCAACTTTTATTAAGAAAATAAGGATATTGTGTGACAGGACAGTATACATGTGTTGCATGTGCTGTCTTTACCTGAGACACTTAGAGTAAACTATCTACATTAAAGTGAATACCAGAATACCATTTTCAGTAACTCTGGCTGTTGTGTTTATTGGTTTGTATATGTCACCTCTGCAGCATTTGTGTGCCAAAAGTAAAAATCCTGCACAGATGCCACAGAGGTCTGACCAGCATGTTGTAAAGGTTTGTTGTTTCCAGAAGAAGTGGGGCAGCGGGTTTTTAAATGAAGTTGAAGAGATTTTAAAATTCATTGTATCCATATAAGCAATATAACATCTTGACGGCTACAGGAGGCATTTCAGTGTGTGGTTACTCTTTAAACATGGACTTCTACGTGACCTTAGGGCAGTAACTACTACATTATATGCATGCTCTCTGTAACAAATTATTCAAGTGAAAACTGTTAATAAACTTTTTTTAAAAAACATTATAGTGGTGTTCTGTATTAAGAGTTGTTAGCACAACAGATCAAAAATACAGGATAAGATGTCATGTAGGCAGCATTACTGCAACCCGGGATATTTTTTTAGTTTAGTTTAGTTTTTTTGGAGGTTTATTGTTTTCTTTTCTGGGTTTTTATTTCTTTTGACTTTTTAGATGTTTTTAAGTCAGCTAAATGACAGAGAAAAACTTAAGATTAATCAAGTTTGGTAAGTCAAAATTGTTGATATGTGAACAGTAAACAGAATGATACAAAGCTGAAAGTAAGCACTGGATACTGTAAGGTTAAATATTTTTGTTTTATTTGTTTTAATTGTTTTAGTATTTATTATTAGTTGATAAATTGGAAAGAGTGTTTAATGAAGCTAAGGTAAACAGATCATCTAGTTTCCCTTATTACTGTCGTGCTTAAGCCAAACAAGGACCCTTTAAAATTTGCAGGATATCGCCTTATCTCTCACCGTAATTCAGAGAGGAAAATTTAACATAACATCTGGTCTGCAGCCCTTTCATCTGAGCCAGTAAAAGTATTAAAGGTTAAATTTAAATCTTTGCTTTTTTGGCTGATTTTTTTTCTTAACAGCAAAAATAGGAATTAAAACAAATGTATGAATGTATGGGTTTAGGAATAAGGGAGAAATGTGTAGCTATACTTTCCTTTTAAAGTCTGTCGAGAAAAATCCGGGGTTGCTTGCTAAATGGATTAAATTAAATTATTTGGCTTTTTGTAATGGTAACATAAAGTAGGATAACCAATCATCAATTATTCTGCCACATACATTTGCAATAGAACAGAAAACCATGACTTTTTCTTCTCAAATCAAAACAGCTTTAGTCCTTTTGTTGCTGTCCATGGTGCTGAACTAGCTGTGAGCATGGTGAACTGAAGCAGGGTAAACACACACACACACACACACACACACACACACACACACACACACACACACACACACACACACACACACACACACACACACAAGGAGGCGTGGTTTACTTGAAGTTACAGCCTCATAGAGTTGAACTACAGTGAACCAGACCGTGCCCAAAGAGCGCTCCTTTTTTCTTTCAGAATAATTTTGATTAATCCTAGAACTTTTTCAATTTGTTTTGATTTTCTTTAATTGTGTTATTTAATGTCTGTTTTTAACTTTTACCTCTTTGATTCTTGTTTTGTGCCTCACCTCAGCACATCCCGTGATCCTCTGATGCGCCCCTGACATGGAAATGTACCAACTCCGTGTGTGGTTCAAGGGCGAATGACTCGCCCTGATCGCCTGTACAGTTTTCGACTAGATCAGCGAAGTCCGAGAAAATGTACACAAGTTCTGAGTTTCCTTTAGTCGCCTGGATCCACACAAAGAAAAGACACCGGGCTAAAGTTTCTAAAAGTTTCTGAACCCTGCTGGCGTCCGTCCACCGGAGGACATGAGGGTGTGTAACCGGGGTGTGATGATGCTGCTGACCACAGCGGGGGCTTTCTGCGCCTTCAGCCTCATGACCATCGCTGTAGGCACGGACTACTGGTTGTACTCCCGCGGGGTGTGCCGCTCCAAGAGCCAGAACGATAACGACACCGTCCGCAAGAACGAGGAGGTCCTGACCCACTCCGGACTGTGGCGGACCTGCTGCACCGAGGGTAGGACGGCTAAAGCTGACAGCTGAGTTTATAAAGTTTTAGTTCATTAGGCCTACTGGTTTTCTGCTAATGCAAGGTGACCAAAAATCTGAACAGAACTTAATACATGTGCTTTATCAACATACATAAGCTAACAATCCCACTATCATAGAAATAGAGCACAGGAACAACAAAGCTTTCAAATGAAAATAGTAAAACACTTAAAGCCATGTATATGTATGGGTGCCTTTGTATAGAAAATATAGCCTAGTCAGTCAGGGATATTAAGATAGTAAAAGAGTTTGTAATGTTTCTTTTTAATGCAGTATTCCCTGTTTTTACATTAACTAAGAGTGAAACAGCTTTATTGTATGGACATAAATGATGATACTGTATAGCCTACTTACTTTAATGCATTTTGTAAAAGATAGATAGATAGATAGATAGATAGATAGATAGATAGATAGATAGATAGATAGATAGATAGATACTGAGGCAGCACCAATTAAACACAGTACACATTCTACTAACACTGTGACAAATAAAATATCAATAAAAACAGTCTATAAGAAGACATACTACGGTAAATAGATGCCAAAGTTTAAAAGTTGTCAATAACTCATCCTGTTTTTAAAAGGTTACCTAGAAATGGTTAATAGTAACCATTACGGTACACAAGTAAAAAGAAAAGTCCCTGTAAATTTAAGTCTTTCAAAGTCAGATTATTAGGTTTAGAGAAAACCACAGCTTATCGTGACTTTAAGGTTGTTTAATTAATCCCACTGCTTTACAAGTTTGGGTTAGGTATATATAGATTGTGTAGTAATGCTCACTTACAAGTGTCTCAAAATTTAAACTAACAGTGCCATAAAATAAAATAAACTCAGAGACACCTTAGAATTTCAAAACGAGAACACTAAAGTTTGAGAAATGTAGTTCATATTAGTGTTTTCTCAAAGTTGAAAATTAGAGGTATTGTTTTGAGTGATCTGACGCAGAGGGGAAGTTTTTGAGCAAAAAGAGACTTTATCCAGTTTCCATTAATCAGCCTTTTAAACAAAAGTGTTTATTTACAAATGATCAAAAAAATATGTATCTTCTGTAAAAGTTATTGGATCTACTTTTTGATTTTTTGAATCTTTTTATGCCTTCTTAAAACTTACAAAAAAAAACCAAAAACAACAAATCTTCAGAAAAACTCCACTCACGTACTCCGTCTTTAACTTAGAGTGATTTATTATTTAAATTGAAGTGGCAGGAGGGGGAGGGGTTTGAATCTTGGATATGTAATTTATGGAAATGACATTTTCAATTATTTAACGCATATCACCCCTCTTTCACTTACCTTGTGATTGCCAATCTAATTTTCTGAAAGAAATGAAAAAGTTCAGCTCCATTATTTCTCTCATTGTTATCCCTCTGCTGCTCTCATCCCCTCCCTCTGCTGCTGCTCCCTCTGACTCTCAGCCCAGTCTCTTAATGGTTTAATGGATAGGTTAAAAAAAAAAAAAGAAAACGCCTGCAGCCTCTGTGTTTGTGTGTCATAGCAGTGACTGGTCTCTATGAAAAAGAAACCTGTCTTGAATTAGTTTTTTAAAGAGACCTGTCAGGATAAATATCATTTTTCAGTATAGGATCACAATAGAAGTAATAATTAATGCTTAAGGCATAAGTGGTGAGACAAAATACAAATCTAGCAATATATTGTCATTCAGCTCTGTGTGATACAATTACTGTGTAGCTGGTACCAAACATCAACATTCTGACTCATATCATAACATGTCGTATCATTATCGTATCACATCATAGAATAATATGTATCTTACTGTCTCGATCTTGTGTTATCTCGTGTCGCCTCTAATTGTACTGCAACATATCGTATATCACATTTCGTATCATTGCATATCGTAACATATCATTCTTTACTGTATTAAATTTTATTGCTGTGATCGTCAACCTTAGGGTACAAACTCAGATGGAGGTTTGTGAGATAATTCATGAAGACTTCGTGATGGTTGGGGATAGATAAAAAAAAAACACACATTAAACATGAATTAGCATATTTTTTTAGACTTGGTAATGGTTATTATGATAAACCCACAATACCAAAGTCTTACTTTGTTTTAGTGCTGTTTCAGACAGGCAGCATGTTTGTTGTGTGATAGCTACAGGTGAGGGCTCTCACTTAACCCATCATGGTACTCACATGCATATTGCAACATGGCTACATGGGCCACAAACACCAATGATTCAATTTTTGGAGGTTGATAACCACTGTAGTAGTCTGTGACATCATATCATATCATATCATATCATATCAAACATTACATACAAAAACATATCATATCATATACCATCGTACATGATATATCATATCAGATTGTGTTTTATATCATATCATATCAAACCAGATACAAACCACATCATATCAAGTTATATATCATACCGTATCATATCATACATCATACCATAAAATTGCATCAAATAGTAATGTATGGTATAATTTCATCATGTCGTCAATTTTTTTATTTATCACATTATCATATCATATTGAAGGTGTTGTATGAGGCCATTACATACAATGTGTATTGCATCATACTGTAATGTTGTGTTTTATAATCAATCTTATCATCTCATTATATCATATCATTTAATCTCATATATCATGGCATTTTATATCATAATATCAAATCATATCATAGTGTGTCACATATTGTGATTTTTCACCATTTTTAATATTATAAAGATTACAACAGGACCATGACCAGGACACACAAAAGAGAGCATTTGTAAAAACTTGCTTTATACAGACTCTAATGATGTCAAACAGTATCTCCCATGGTCAAAGTGCTGTGTATCCTCTTTTTATGTTAAGATGAAACAGAATTTAGTGAGGTTTGTAAATGAAGATTAAAAATACTTTAGTAAAAAGAAAAATCTTCTGCATCTCCTCTTGGTGAGGAGAAACATTGCAAAACAACTGTAATCTCACTCTTTTTGTATCCCCGCAGTAATTAGAATAAAAGCAGCATCCTCAATAGTTTGCTTTTTCTCTCTGACCTACTCATCAGGCCTGAGTTGTAGCAGCTGAATGAGTATTGTTTTGGTAACTATGGCGACTGAGTCACAGCATCAATAACTGGTCAATCAGTGCGGCACAGAGGGACATGATTATCAATAAATCTCTGTTTGAAATGCTGAAAGGCACAGCTGGGCCAAAGGTTACTGGAAACAGGAAACAGCGTGCAGCTGGTTTATGGGTGTTTGCAGGTTATCACAGAGATGGTCTGTTTGTTTAGAGTCTGGATGATTAGAGGGACTATTATTTGTGTAGCTTTTTACAGTCTGTTAATGGGTTCCTGCCTTCACAATCTCTTATCATATTGGACATGTCGGATACATTTCTATTTGACATCTGTAGAGCTCCATTAGAAGCAGCGGGGCAAACCTTTCCAGAAATAACAGGCAACACAAAAATGGAATACGGAAAAGAAAAACTTAAACTGATTCAGTTTTATTCACAGTATGACAAATATAAAAAGCTTGGAAAGGCTGCTACGCTCGGTTGTGGTGCATTTTCATTATGCCCAAGCATTACTGAACTTTTGCAGGTGAAAAAGAAATAAATTACTCTTCCTTTGTGAGTCACATCTCAAGGAAAACTGTGTTTTTGTTTTTAAGAAAAATCATGTATTCCTCAATGTAAATGTCCATCTGACTATAATGTGGTCTTGGAAGTACTTACAAATTAAATCAGTTCCTAAAGTTAAACAAGTTTACTCTCTGTGTGACACGTATAGCTGGCGATTACAAACTATGTGTTATCAGTGACGGTGCTTCATTGTTTTTCTTAATGATTCTGCAGGGACATTTCGAGGTGTCTGCAAAGACATCGACCACTTTGCTGAGGATGCAGACTATGAGCAGGATGCTGCAGAGTATTTACTACGTGAGTGACAAATGCCCTTTAGTAAAATCTATAATGGATGTCTCTTTGGTTGTTGTAAATGCCTCACTCTATCTTCTTCTCCTCCTGTCTTCAGGAGCAGTACGAGCCTCCAGCCTCTTCCCCATCCTCAGTGTGGGATTGTTATTCCTGGGAGGTGTATGTGTAGCTGCTAGTGAGTTCTACAAGTCCCGCTACAATGTCATCCTCAGTGCTGGGATACTCTTTGTCTCTGCAGGTGAGAAACCAACTCCATTTAAATTGTGTACTGTCAAATATGAGCAAAAGTTGAAGGACACCCCCAAGAGCATCATCTTTGTCTTGTTATTTGAACATGAATCCACCATGAACAAACATGTTGCAAAAGTGGAATGGGAAAACTTCCTTCCAGTAGGCAGAAAATTAAAGCAGAAATAGACATATGGGTGGACGGGTAGGAACCAGATTGGTCTGGGGAAAAAGTGGGACAGAGGGGGGGACAAAGCCAAACAGAGCTGAACTTTAAGTGACTCACAAAAAATACTGATAACAAAAATGACCATTATTGATGTTTTTAGGCTCCCTTTACAGAGTGCCTTTAAACCCGATTTACAGATTTAAAAGAGCCTTGTGTTTCTCACTCTGGTGTACTGAAATATCATTACTTCAGCCTCCCTCTGAAACCTAATGCAGCGGAGTTTCGCAGCTCAAGGAAGAACATTTATGATCATTACTTAATGGAAATGCAATCAGACCGAGACGCTAAGGCAGAAGAATGATTGCGTCTGCAGTGCAAAATGATTAATATGATGATTATTAATTCATGGAAATGATCCGCCGCACGCAGTGATGGACTTGTCAGGGCTCCCCTCACAAACAAGCGACTGCTGGAGGACAGTGGGTGAGTTGTGTTTAGTCTCTATGCTAAAAAAAAACAGGCAAACCTATAAAGATGCTTGATGGATAGTACTATGGCTGGGACCCTAGTTAGGTGCTGTTCTGAGCATTATTTGTGGCTATAGAGTGGCTTTTTGGTTGAGATTTGCGCGTGGACTGGTAGACCGCTGTGTATTGCTATCCTACAGTCTTTATTAAAGTTGGTATAACTAGAGAAGCAAGCAGTCGGCAACATTCATCTGTAGAGGGGGTGTCTAACTCTGTGTTTGACTCTGACTTAATTTTACGCCGGAATAGCCCTTTAAGAATTACAATATAAGAACAGTCACTCTTGTTATTGATGGTCTTGTTTGCTTTAAAATATATATCTATAAAAGCATCATTATAAACTTCAGTCTATTTCATTACAATAAAAAAATCTCCTCACAGGAGCTCTATCTATTAGTACTTGTAATGTGTTTGTGGAACCAACCTGTTGCTGTTTTTGCAGAGTAAATTAATCCATGTTTTGTTTTGTCTGCCTGTTCGTCTTCTTTTGTTTTTTCTTTTATTTTTCTAACTGTAACTATTTCTGTCTGTCTTTTTCCTTTTCCTTTTCTGTCTTACAGTCCATTTTACTGCTGTCTAACTCAGCACCCCAGCCTCTCTGTCAGTCAATCTGTCTGTCCGTCTCTCTAGCCTTTCATCTGCCAGCTCACCCAGTCTGTAGAAGCAGATAACTTTTCATCGTTGGCTGTGGTTCTGTTTGTAGTTTTTGCCAGTTTTCCCTTGACAAATGTTTGTTCTCTGTAAACCAAATGAGTTATGTTTGCATGAAATGTGCATTATTATTGATTTGAGCAGCACTTCTATACAAACGTTAACTTAGCGCTACTTGGATTGAATGGATAGATATATAATATAATTGTGTATATCTGATAAATAATAACCTGTTTACTCTCTCAAGGTCTCAGCAACATTATTGGCATCATTGTGTACATATCAGCCAACTCAGGTGACCCCAGCCAGAGCGACAACAAGAAGAGCTACTCGTACGGCTGGTCGTTTTATTTTGGAGCTCTGTCCTTCGTGCTGGCTGAGATGGTGGGCGTCCTGGCTGTGCACGTCTTCATAGAAAAACACCGGCAGCTGCGCACCAAAGGCCGGCCATCCCTCATGAAGCCGCCTGCCTCCCGCAGCTCATCTTACTTTCGCAACCGTTACTACCAGAACTGCGGCCGCAGGTACAGCAACAGAAGCAACCACAGTTTGGGGGACCCTAACTCTCACTCCTTTCAAACGTCCCTGGTGCGAGACAGAGAGCCATCGCTTTCAAATGAGTCTAAGATCACAATGGCAGGTTTGCCTACACCTGTGACAATGGGGTCAGAGTACATGCTCTATACTTTGGCATCGCCTCTCAAAGATGGTAAGATTGACATGGATGTGGAGGATTTAACTAATGCAGCTGCACACAACAACACAGAGATACTGCCTGGAAACTGTGCAGCCAACAGAAGGACGACGCCTGTCTGAGTGGAGAGGAATGAAGGGGAACCTCTACGGCAGGACAACTTTGAATAAGAGGAAGTCTGATCACTTTCTTTGTGAACTAAGAGGGAGAATTTAGTTCACTGGACTGGAGATGCATTGTTTAATCTTTGCCAATCATGCAAAGTATCACACATGACCAAACTTGAAGTCACAAAAATGTTAGAGAATCCAGACCAACAAACAAACAAAAAAACAATTATCTATTACTGAACATGATGTTTCAAAATTGTTTTTTTTCTTTCTATAAATATTCTTAAATCAGAACCAGAGGATGTTAATACTGCAATGCTATACCACAAATAAATCAGAAAAACTTGTTTCTGAGAGGCTAGAATTATAAAATATTACTCACCAATCATCTTATTGTTCCAGCTCATTTGTGTTGTTGATTTACTGTTGATATAACATGGGAAAATGAGATTTATTGAGATCAAATAGTTGTGTGCTCTTTTTATGTCATCTGCTCTGCTGTTATGTTTGTTATATCTATAGTATATCTTTTGAGTGTGTGAATGATGAACATGTGTGTTAAGTAATAGGAGCATGTATGAGACAGTCACGCAGAGAGAGACAGAAAGGAGTCCATGGAAAAAAAGACTCTACCACATGCACATACTGAAAGAGCAATGGCATAACAAATGATGTCCTTTGCTGGTCCACCTTTTTGTGAGGGAAAAATAAAAGCCCGTCAAATCCAGATCTCTTTCTTCTTCTCTGTTTGTGTGTCTGAGTATGTATTGTATCATACTGCAAGCGTAAGTGTAACAAAAGTTTCTACCCTTTTGATTATGTCAGCAAGTCTCTGTTTACATCAAATAAAGATTATAAAATGACACAAAATGTTATACATGAGTGTGGATCAAGGTGAAGCAGCAATGCTTTTGTACTGATCAGGGCCGCCTCAGGAGTCTGTCTGGCAAGTCAAACTGAAAAGAGAATAATGAAGTTTGTCCTTGCATGAGCGGCAGGGACAAAAGCGAATGGCACTAATCGAAAAAGTAAGATCCTGACATATCATCAGAAATGAATGAGCCCTCTGTGCTGGGATATGCATGAGTGAGCATATATGATGATTGGACAGTATGAACAGCAGAACAGCGGGCAGACCAAAAGAACCTGATGCGTTGCCATGGCAGCAGCATTCAAGGCAGATGTGCTAACACTGTTCACAGTCCCATCCCCCACTGATCACAGGAAAATCACCAGGCAACACCATCAACTGTGCAGACACTATACATGTTGTTCGACAAAGGAAGTTACCATTATTAAACAGTGTTCTTTCACTTGTATGTATCATTTTAGTCTTCTTACTTTAATGTAATCTCAGAGTCACTGCTAAAAAATAACAAGAGAATATTCAGATTTGAATCCCCCACCCCATGAAGAAGAAGGAGCTCTGGACCACTCTACCACTCTACCTCTTCAATACCTTTATCAAAAGCTGAGTTTAAATGTAAATCCTTTTTTGTTATTTCATTCACAAATAAAAGCTGGAGTGCAGATTTGATGATATACCTACTTTGCAGAAGCCCAGCACCAACTTAACATACTAAAGAGAGAGAAAAAAAAGGTGTTACGTGGGCTCTACAGAAGAGGATAAGGGCCCCTGGGAAAAAAAAAATTTATGAGATCCAGTGTATATATTATTTTTATTCTAAGAAAAAGTCACAATTCTGAGGTCATGTCCGAATTCTGAGATTAAAATCAGAGTTCTGAGAAAAGTCAGACTTATATAACATATATCCGACCTTTTTTACCCCAGTGGCCCTAAACCTATTCCCTAGGGCTATGCCTCTGGTCTTCATCAGCATTGTTGCTGCTGAGTTTTGCTGCAGCTAAGGCTGGGAAATGTTCTTGTTAAGGAGGACCAGAAAGAAGAGCACAACAACATTTGACTCTGCATATGAAAAAAGCATGAAGGAAGGTCTCTACATTGGTTTGAGAGAGAAACTGTCACACTGGCAATGTTTTTCAGGTGAGAAAAAGCTTTTTTGGATATCTCATTGACATGTGGTTCAAAGCTTTGGTCTGAATCAAATATCACTCTCAAGTTTTTGGACTTGCCGACATTAGCTCGAAAAAAGTGCTTTGAGTTTTGCCTCCAGTACCATGGCAAAAAAAGTTTTTGTCCCAGTTGAACTGTAAAAAGTTCTATAGCATCCATTACTTGACATCTCAATTGCAGTTACAGAGGGTGTCAATGAGTCATGGGTCAGCGGGGAAAGGAAATACAAAGTTGTACGCCATCTACCTCTACATACGTATAACTTCAATATAATTGTTAAGGACTATTGAGTTAGCCATGCAGATAAAGGCTACTCAACATCAGAGTTCGCATAATGAGACATGGGGCTGCAAAACTAACAATTAAAATTTTATTTGAGCGTTTATGGTCCCCAGGGGAACTGTAGTATTTTTCATATAGTTGCCTAGTTGCCTAGTCTAGACAAGCTCTAAGTATTTTGTGATTAGAGGTGCTGCGAAACCAATTAACAGCATTCTGAACAGCTGAATCCGTCTTGGATATTGTCATCACAAAACCTTGGCAGCGGTGGGATTCGAACCCACGCCCCCGGAGAGACTGGGACCTTAATCCAGCGCCTTGGACCGCTCGGCCACGCTACCATATACTGTATGCATTATCCATCAAAATACGAATTGCCAAGCGTTATCTTTCTGTAGAGTTGTGTAAAGTTTAAGTACTTTGTCTCATTCATGATGAAAATTAAGATAAAATGGAGCCTTGTAGCAATACTACGACACAACCGAAGACAAACTGGTAGGAAAGATGGTTCAGGTTTTCTCAGTTCAATTTTTTCTTCTTCTTCGTCGGTTTTGTGGCGGTTGACAAACAACTTGTAGGTGCATTACCGCCACCCTCTGGACTGGAGTGTGGAACAGACTGTAAAACGTACTAAACTCTATTTATAAGCCTTGTTGCTTCTATGAACATCAAAACCACTACCTTCCCTGAATTCCTCCTCGGTAGTTCTGTTAGATTAAAAAGTATCTTATTTCCATGGAATGCTGCTCAGATTGTCTATCTCTGGGTTTGGTGTGTTGGACACTGGAAGAGGATATGCTCTACTGTTTCTCCTGACCCACAATATTCACAATTTCCTGTCTATGTTTTAAGAATAATGTGCAATTTAAAACACTATGACCAAAGCTCATGCAACATATGATGCCCTCATCCTTGCTTCTCCTGTAACTGTCTCTCATTTCTCCAACCTTCATTTGTACAATATAAAATTTGACGACCATTTCTGAATCATCTCTGATTTGACTAAACTTTTAATCTCTGCTTTACTGTGTGTCAAAACTATTGATATCTGTTCGTTCCTTGTTGCATTCTTGGCATATTTATTGGCTAATTTATTACCCTAAACTCCTCTGTATGCTGGAACCCAAATGAACATGACCTCTACTCCTGTTGTCTTTCTTCCCTGTAACATATGTGACATTTCCAATATTATATATTGTCTTGTGTCTGACCAACTGTGATGAATACTGATCAATGCACTGCTGGAATCTGATGCTATCAGCACTTTACTTGATCTGACCTCCTGCACCCAGTTCAATGCCATATAAATGGCCAGAAGCTCTCCTATGTATACTGCTAACTTATTGCTGACTCTTCTATTTATTACAATATTTAAATCTGGAACTGCAAGTGCTATGCCTACCCTGTTTTACGGTGGCCGAGAACTGCCACTGCTGCAAATAAAAAATAATGCCAAATAAAGAAGCCACAACAGAAGTTACCGATACAAAAAAAAAAAAGAACTTGAAGCCCGCTGAAAAAAAAAAAGACAGTGCAGATAAAAAAAAAGCCACAATGGAAGTAAACAACACAACGGTTGTTGTACAGTTATTAATTTATCACACACTAAACTTTTTGGCAATCGTCCCCAGCAGCTCACTTCCATTGTGACTTTTTTTATGCACATCTTTTTTTTCCTGCATTTAGTAACTTTTTTTTTTTTTTTGCATTGCCACTTTTTTTTGCGTACTTAACTTCCGTTGTGGCTTTTTTTTTTTAAAAAATGGCACCGTTTCTTTTTTTATTTGCATTGGGCTTCAGTTTCTTTTTTTTCACTGGTAACTTCCATTGTGGCAAAATAAATAGATAAAGAAAGAAAGAAAGAAAGAAAGAAAGAAAGAAAGAAAGAAAGAAAGAAAGAAAGAATATTAAAAAACAATTTGAAAATCTTCCGTTGTGGCTTCTTTTTTTGTGGCATTCTTTTTTTTTATTTGCAGCAGTGGCGGTTCTCGGCCACCGTACTGTTTTGCTCTGATTTGGATGCATCTGTGTATACTTTTAGTGAATTGACCGTACTTACTCACTTCATTCACACTCATTCCACTCGGTTTACTGCAGTGCTTGCTGTGAAGCTACTGCTCTTGCCTCTTTGCGTACTCTTTGGGTGGCCCCTAGATACATCCGTTTCCGCCCGGCGCCATTTTGATGAAACAGCGAGGAGACGAGCAGCGCGGATAACCGTAATGGACTGCATGGATAAGAAATAAAATTACAATTGGATTCTTTTTTTTTCTTTGTGGAAAACGTTGCATGACGAAAAGTATTCTTCGCGCCATAGCACTATAATTTTCAGGTTATAAACTAGGCAAATTGTGAGCATTGTACCGTTTATCATTAGCCGATAGCTGTTGTTCGCGTAGTGTTCCCATGATGTACAGAGGGAACGGGAGCTAATCTCCGGGCGTTCAACGTAGCCTAAGCGTTAGCTTCCTAGCTAATTTAACTGCTATTCGGTGTAATTCGTTTTTCAGAATAACATTTCGCGGTCTCAGCAGCGAAAACGTCGACTTTCCGGACTCGAGGAGGCTGTAAGGACTCTATTTGGTGTTTGTCCCGGCATGTAAAGAACTGCTCCTACAAGGCAAACATGACCCACACGGACTGATGCTCGGGGAACCCCGGGCCTGCTGCTAGCCACATTAGCGGCCTGTGGCGAGGCGGCAAGGGCTTCCCACCAAGGACAATTCTCCACGGACTCTGTCTTTAACTCCCCCTCGTCTTAGATTTTCTCTATCCTACTCGGACTGTTCTAGGATTTGTTGGCATCCTGTTGTGTTTAATCGGACTCAAAAAGGACTGTCGAGGCGCTCTGGCCTCACAACAACTCAGTTATTTTTCTTTGGAAATAACATGGACTTTGACGCCATCTGCGACCTGAACCCTTCCCTACTTTAGTTCCTTCTCTGTCCACTGTATTTTCATCGAGTTTAAGAACGTTTCCTATTAAAATAATCAGATTAAGCATCCTGTGTTCAGTGTTAACGCTGTATAACTTTGTTATATCACAGGCCTGTGGTTTTTTCTTGTGCTTGGTTGACTTGAGTTCATAGACCTGTCAAAATGTCGTGTGTTCACTATAAGTTTTCCTCCAAACTGGACTACAACACAGTCACTTTCGATGGGCTGCATATCACCCTCAGCGAGCTGAAGAAGCAGATCATGGGCCGAGAGCGCCTCAAGGCCACAGACTGCGACCTACAGATCACCAATGCGCAGACTCGAGAAGGTAGGCTGTCAGCTGACTAAAAGAGACGTGAGACATACACCATCCTGTGTTTTTAAGCTTTGCACACTATCAGCAGATATTTCATCATGTGTCAGTAATGTTTGTTCCTGAAAAAGGGGGGCAAGTGAGTCATCATCATGAATCATTGGGATGCCTTTTCTTTTAGCTGATATCTCCTATTTTTAAATCCATTTTGGGGATATAGATAAACACTGACCAGTCATAACGTTAAAAAACCTGGGCAGTCTTAGGCAATCTCAAAACGACACTTTCAGCATCTGTTGACATGGTTGGAGAGGTGGGGGTTGTACGTAATTGTTGCAGACTATGTGGGTGGTGGTTGTGCACTAGAGTTTGTTTTTTTATTGGACGTTGCTCTTTAGATAATTGTCAACATATGAGAGATACCTTATGGTGTAATGCACTCCAGTACACCACCATTTAAACTGCCTAATTTGACCATACCTCAGAGAGAAAGATGATTTTCAAATATCGACATTTATTTAAAGGTCTTTTGTCTGTTCTTGACAATACAGAAATGCATCCACACAGCTGACAAATTGAATCACATTGGCCTGGGTAACACATACAGTTACTGATGAGCTAATAAGTGACTATAACAGTATTACGCCGATAATATGCTTCCTAAGTGAAATATCATTAAGGGGCTGGACCTCATGTTGACAGAGCCATTTTAAATTGTTGAAAGACTTGTCTGTCATGCCAGTAAAATGAGAAAATGTTCGTTGCAACAAAATTAGTAAAAGTAGAAAGGAGTGTGAATTCAAGAAAGACATTTAAAGGCTGGTTTCTCAATTTGAGGCATCAGCTTATAGTTACGAAGGATTCACTAATATATGAAATAATTGAGCAACTGTGATATGGTGAACTGTTGAATTTTAATGTTAATATTGCATGGTTTATAAATAATATGAATACCAGTCCTGATTTGATGTGTGGGGAAAATGTGACATGTACTAATGGTTAGTCCTAGTTTTTATTGTGATTGGTGTTTTCTAATACATTTTTGTCTGCTGTTTTAAAGAATACACAGATGATGAAGCCCACATCCCAAAGCATTCATCAGTGATCGTCCGCCGCACTCCAATCGGTGGAGTCAAACCTGCTGGCAGGACGTTCATTGTGTAAGTATACTTGGATAAAGTTTTTGCTGGAGTTTTGATTCAGGGGTACACTTGGACTTGAAGCCTTGAAAAAAAAAAGCGTATGGAAAACTGGGTGGTGCAGTCAGTCCTTGGTTGGCTGTAAAGTAACAGGTTTATAATCGGATTAATTTCTGTCTTCTGTTTGTTTCTGCAGAGATCGTTCTGACACAGCTGTGGTGGGATCTTCCAGACCCGTATGTAAAACAAACCCAAAATCAACACTCACTCCTCCTCCTCCTACTCCTCCTCCTCTCACCTCTCTCCCTCTCCCCCTCTTTCTGGCTTTGGTCACCTTTCTTGAGAACATTCTGTCAACAAGGATTGAGTTTTGTGTATCTTCTGTTCACTGTGTGTTGGTTACATTTGTGTTGAAAACTCAACTTCTATGTGTTATTTGATGTCTTTGGGAGGCTATCTTGAGGTTCCACAGTTAAAGTAGTTTGTTGTTTCTCTCTGAAAAACCAGCTGTTTGTTTTGAGCAGATTAAAGTTTTTCAATGTTGTTGAGTGAGATGACATGATCTGAGAGAGAAACAACAGACTAGTAACCATTGTTTTTGAATGCTTCAAACTTATCGAGTGTTGAAATGTTGCCACTTTATCAATGATTAAGAAATCATTACATCTGTAAATGACTGTCTTTCATAATGAAATGGTTCTGTAGCCTGCTCCAGGCCAGATAAATGTATTTTTAAAGGGGTTTGTAAAAGGAAAATATGCTATTTTTGTATTTATAACTCATGTCATTTTATTTTCTGTGAAAATATTTTTTGTGGCTCCTTCACCAAATGGAGTTAAATGTGGCTGGGATTTTACTGTATTTAACTGCAGTTACAGTTACGAGACTCATCAGTGATTTTTCTTTTGAAATCTTACCCTGCTTAACTTCAACAGTCTTCAGTATGTTGTTCAGTAACACCTGCCAATGTCAATGATTTTGTCTTGTACAATTTCACCATGATCATGATCAACTTTGCTCTGAGTATGGACTGAACGTAACACCTAAACCCTGAAGGTTCACAGAATCACTCTGATGAGTTAAATGTTTGAAAATGATACAGATTCTTACGTTTCTGTTTAACGAAGAAGCAGGATCTAGATCCAAGTGTATCTAACTGTCTAACTGTGGTTTGGTTTGGGGGATTAGTAAGAAGCTAGTTTTTGAAAACTAAGGTGCTGTGACTTTGTCACTGAAGTAGAATGTTGCGACATGATCACAAAGTACAATGACACAGTATCCGTAAACTAAATATCTTGTTAACCTCTGAAGGCCTACATGGTTGCTGCAGTGAGACGTATACTGGTGTAGTGTGTCCTGTAAGCTGTAAGCTGCAGAACCTGTCAATAAAGTTGTTCAGCGGTTCAGTGTCAGAACCGCTTGCACCAGATCCCTGTGTGTTCCCTCCACAGCATTCTGCAATACCCAGTCTTTCCTCCGAGCCCCACATATGATGATGGACAACTTCTGCCTGCTTGTTTTTAATACTTACAGATTTCTAGATAATTATTTTCACAGAAGTTAGACTCAGCAACTCTTTGGCGCGGGACAAAACTTTGATTTAATCATTTTTTGTTGTTCTTGGGATCTAATGATGATGTTCAGTGTAGTGTTGAAGAGATTGTCAGGGGAGCAATAACAAAGAAATACTGACTAGTTGTGTTAGTTCCTTTTAAATTTTCATCTGGCAGTTTCTTGAAAGAGACACTACTGTCCCAGCATGATTCCCTGGCTGACCTTTTTAGTGTTTGCCCTTTTTTACTGAAGCTCTTTAACCCATGACTTGCAGCCTGATAGAATCGCAGAAAAAACCCTGTAGCTTTTTTGTTATGAAAACTCCTTTTGATAACTTGGTGCAAAAACTTAAGTGGCCTGGTTACAAGTAACTAACTGCGTGCTAAGATGACATGTTTAATGTCTTTTTTTAAGTATGGAAGCACGGTCTTTAGGATTCCTCCTTGTTGTTTGCTCGATTTTTTTAAAATTTTACAGACCTAATTTTAAGCAGTTTAACAATGTTTATTAAAGTCCTCAAGTGTTTCTGCCCACTGACAAACCTTTTTGAATGTTTTCTTTAGAAATTAAACACACAAAAGCGTATTTTTACCACATAGCTCTAGTCATTCCAAGGAAGAGGCATTTCCTCACGCATAGAAACTTTTTTTGAGCAGCTCGCCAGACATAAAAATCCATCCTTTTAAAGACCGTCTGAAGGGTAATTATACGATGTTTAAGGATTTTTATAGAACTGTGCTGCTGACAGTTTGGATGTCTTGGTTTAAACAGCCCTGAAAAGACACAACCTGAGTTCAGGCTTTCAAAATATTTTCCTTTGGATTAAGAATCAGTGCTGTCAGCGCAGGGATTATCACTGCATGGACAAGTAAACCTGTCTGATTTAAACCCTTGCCATCATATACCTGTGTATATTTCATGCACTTGGAGTCATTTTGATGTGAAGATTTAGATGGAGACAGAGAGGGACTGGACACACGTGGTGGGGAACTATCTGGGCTCGTATCTTCCACTGTTTATCTATTACATATTGTGTTAATACTTCAATATCTGTACTCTGATTCTCCTGCAGACGGATTCTTCTCCCTCTTTGTCACTTGCCCAACTCACAAAGGTACTGTTTGTATTCATGCTGGGGTACTTCCAGAAAAAAAAGTTTTTAAGTAGATGTGTCCTTTTTCCCGGTGGCCCTGATGACATTTTCTACTCTTTTTTTTCTGCTTCATTTCATTTTGTATTTTAGACTGCCAACCTGGTTGATGCAAATGCATCAGAAGAGGACAAAATCAAAGCCATGATGACTCAATCCAACCATGAATATGACCCAGTGCAGTAAGTATACAACAGAAAATAAGAACTGCACCCTCATGGCTAAAGTAAAAAAAAATAATAATAATAAATCCCTCTTGTCTCTTCAGTTACTCCAAGAAACCAGTTGGACCTCCACCTGCTCACTACACCTGCTTCCGTTGTGGAAAGGCTGGTCACTACATTCGTCAGTGCCCTTTGCTGATGGTAATTATCACATGTCAATTTTATATTCATTTCACAACAAAGCAGCTTGACTTCCTAAAGCTCAAACATAAACTGGTGGTGTTGCTTTTGTTTCATTTCACCCTGTTAGGTCCAGGACAAGAGTGTGGAGGGGCCAAAGCCTGTTAGAACTAGTAAAGGCATCCCTCAGAGCTTCATGGTGAAAGCAGAGCCCGGCACAAAGGGAGCCATGTTAACCAGCACTGGAGAATATGCAATACCTGCCATAGATGCGTACGTCTCAACCCATTGCACCTAAAACTACACACTGTTAAATTTACTATTAAATAAAGTTTGTCAAACGGAGTCTTTGTCAGTCCACGTAATGAAAGCAAATCTGTCTCTACAGGGAGGCGTACGCACAGGGAAAGAAAGAGCGCCCTCCGTTTGTTCCACACAACCAGTCATCATCTGAAGATGATTCAGACCCGATTCCCGATGAGCTCTTGTGTCCCATCTGCAACGACCTGATGACTGATGCTGTAGTGATACCCTGCTGTGGAAACAGCTACTGTGATGACTGTGAGTTCTTTTGAATTATTATGTACACTTGTGACGATCTACATTTGCACCGATCGTAAAATAATTATAAAAAAGCAAAGCAGTTGTTGGTTCAAAGATCATACTTTTTGTGATTTGATTCCTCCGCGTAATTGTCTTGAAGGAATTGTTATGTGCAGAAAGTAAACACCCTATTTGTGTGTCAAATATTTGTAACATCTCTTGATTTTTCATAGTGAATTTGGTCACTAACACTTATTTTTGGGGATGCTTAAAATGATGTGTGCTACAGGTATCAGTAGACTATGCAGGTTACAGGAAAGTCCCTTTCACATCACTGTTGATGACACTTTTGTTATTTTTAGGTATCAGGACTACTTTGTTGGACTCCGAAGAGCACATCTGCTTCACATGCAAACAGTCCGATGTTTCTCCTGATAATCTCATCGCAAACAAGTTTCTCCGACAGGTAACCCTTACGCACATTGTTTGGTGTATTCCATTCTTTTACTCTAACTTAAAGAAAAGGTATAAAGTGTATCGTATCTTTCAAAGAGTCACCTTACTTTCTTTATACAGGCTGTGAATAACTTCAAGAATGAGACGGGATACACCAAACGGACTCGCAAACAGCTCCAAAATACAGCCCCGCCTCCACCGCGCCCTCAGTTGCTCAGGCCCCTGCACTCAAGACAGCAAGACCCACTGTTAGCCAATGTTTCTCATCCTCCTCCTCCTACTGCGAGCGTCCCCGTCACAGCCCCTCAAGTGCAGGTCCCTACTTCTGCACCTACATCTGCACCTGCACCCGCACCTGCTCCCGCTCCCGCTGTCTCCACCGTTTCAACTGCTGCTTCCACTCCTCCTCATTCTGCTGCTGCAGTCGAAGAGCATGTATCATCACCAGCACCTCCACCTGTTGTAGACCAACATTCTCCTATGCACACCACCAGCCAGGGTGAACCACCTCCACCTGGGTAGGTTTATCTCCAGATACAGTCATTGTGCAATCATCTGGTGATATTTTAAACCAAGACTGCTTTAAAATGTTTATTTATTTATTTATTTTTTAGTGAGACTGATCCAGAACCAACTGTGACACCAGAATCATCTCAAGCTTCAGAAAGCAGATCACAGGTGAGCCTGCTTTCATCTTCTACATACCTATACGCCGAACCTATTTTTAATCTCTATAATTGATGAGTAATTGCAACAAGAAAGTATTTGCAGACAGTTATTTATTTATATTTATAACTTAGTCTAATTTGGATAAGAAAATGCACCTCTTCAAGGTTATGGTAAAAGGTTCAAAAATAGTTTAAAGATTTCGTCATCTACTGTTGGTGATGTTATTCAAAGGTTGACAATCTGGAGAAGAAGCTGTACAAAAAGGAAAGTCAAAAGTGCAGTTGGATGTTGAATTTTTAGGCCCTCGGGCAGCACTGGAGTGTTATTGGCACATATTTCAGAATCCAGCATCTCTGATGTAATGTCCCTACACAGTACATCCAGGTTTTGAAGCAACATATGCTGCCCTATGGACAGTGCCTTTTAAGGAAGACCTTGTCCAGTAGACTGTGTTGTTACACACTGAAAACAGTCGCCCATCATGTAACAAATGTGGCAAAGACAACCTTGAGCTGTTGAGCAGCTTCTACTTTACGAGAGTAAAATACGATTTCTATTTCAAAACTTCAGGAATGGTTTCCATTCTGTGGTACCCTCATGTTTACAGTGTGTTGTTAAAAGAAGTGAGGCGAACATGCTCCAATCAAAGTTATATTGGGCGTATAAAACACTGTATTACACTTTTCAGTTTCCCCATTGGATGCTTTACACTGTGATTTGTCATACAGGGCTACCATTCAGCTTATGTTGGACACCTCCCACCTGTGAGACCGTCTCATTCATCAGGTAAGACGTTTATTCTGAGATATCTGAGAACTTTAAGAGAAGGCTTCAAGAGAAAGATTGACTAATTGTCTTTTGGTCCCGCTAGCTCATCAATCACGACCCCACCACTGTAACAGAGGGGGAGGCAGACACTGGGAGAGGTAAGATCTTATTTGGCTTCTTTTCTCCTGCTGAAATTAGTTTGGTAACATCTGAGTCTCATAGTGTTTCGATTTTTCTCTTTCTTTGTAGGTCTTTCAGAAGTAGAGGAGAACACACCTCCACCCAGCTCCACACAGCTCCACCTCCTGCCCCTGTTCCTCCAGTATACCCAGCCCCATCCCTTTACCCACCCCCACCACAGACCTACCCTCCACCCTTCGCCCCTGGCCCCGGTCTCATCCCTCCTGCGCTCAGTTACCAGCCCCAGCCTGTTTATGCCCCCGGACCACCAGTGCTCAATCCTCCATGGGTTGCCCCTGGCACCCAGCCTCCTCTCCTCCCCCTTCCTCCCTCCCTCGCTCAGCCTCCCCTCTCTAAGGAGGAATTCTACAGACAGAGGCATCACAGACAGGACAAGTGAGTTTTCCCTTATCGTGTCAGTTATTTCATGGAAAGAGTTTAATTTAAAGAGGGTGTTTTCAGTGTCAAACATAATGTCCAATATTATCAGATTCTTCAGATATTCCTCCCTTTGTCCTGGATTTTCAAGTCTGCTGATTTTTCAACAGCAGCACTTAATGAAACGATTAAAGACAACTTAACGCAGATCAGTAACAACATTTAATATCTGCGATGACTCCAGGCTAGTCTGTTATTCTGATTGCGCTGGGAATCAGTTTCTGATTGGAAACTTGTACATTTGCAGAACGAAATGCTGCTCAGCGAGGCATTTAATGAAAATTTCAACAGGACACGGGGATTGAAGTTTGGTTTTATCGCAGTAGAGCTTGTTGCTGGATAAAACAAAGATCTGAAAGTGACACTGTGTTTGTTCTTGTATCCGCAGAGCTACATCCAAATTAGATGAGTTTACAAAGGACTTTCACAAAGAGCTAATGAAGTACAGAAACGCACCAAAGAGACCAAGACCATCTTATTCCAGGTAACTTTAAGAAGACAGCTTATCTAATGAGGTTTAAGGTCTTACATTAATGACATAATCCTTAAAGCTGTTTGTAACTTCCTTTGCGTAACCTTTTTTTGTTTTTTTTCTGTGTCCTTCTGGTTTTCTCTGCTGTCCTTTTCCAGGTCACGGTCGTACAGCCGCTCTCCATTCAGCCGTTCTCCTTACTCTCGTTCACGGTCAAGATCCAGATCCAGGTCCAGATCTAGGTCCTATTCGTATTCCCCGAGTAGATCCCGCTCACGTTCACGCTCTCACGGGCGCTCCTATCCACGCTCCCCTTATTCCAGACGCAATGGACGCAGCTACGGACGCTCGCGCTCAAGGTCCCGCTCTCGTTCGAGGTCTTTTGGATATCGGCGCTCTGGCTCACCACGGACCCCTCCTTCCTACAGGGGAGGAGCCTGGGAGGGACCAGAAGGAGCAGGGCCCTTCAGGTCAAGGTCACGGTCTCGCTCTCCTGGTGGTTACAGGAGCCGAAGCCCCGGTGGGAGAAAGCCCCCTCCACGGGAGCTCGAGCCGTATGAACTGAAGGGTTTGAGTCCTGGGGGACATGATCGCTGGGAAAGAGAACGGTATCGACAGTGGGAGAAGCAGTACGCAGACTGGTACAACAAATACTATGAACACCAACACCCCTCAATGCATCACAGAGGTGGTCGTAGCAGCAGAGACAGGGAGAGGGACAGGATGTCTCCATTACCCAGAGATTACTCCCCCCAGGGGAGAGGGAGAAGAGGGAGAGAGGAAAGAGGTCCTCCACCTCACCATCCTCCATCCTCATCTTCATCAGGAAATAAGACCAGCACTAAAGTTCTAAAGACAAAGAAAGTGAAGAGGAGGAGGACTGGAGAGGAATCTGAGCCTTCGCAGTCCATGGACAGAGGTGATGCGACACCTGTCAGAGATGAACCAATGGATGAAGTCCCTTCACTCAGTAAAACTCCTCCCATGTCCTCAAAGCCACCTGGTGGCACAACAACCACCAAAACTGCAGCCTCCAAAAGCTCTGCAGCATCTGCGAAACCCTCAACCAAGGTGGCGTCAAAACCTCAGTCTGATAAGACGAAGAAAGACAAGCCCCAGAAGGTGAAAGCTAAAGTCAAGGTGGAGGGCGTGAAAGTGAAGAGTGACAAAGTAAGGAAAAAGACCGCAGAGGTAGTGATCCCCAAAAAGAAAGAATCCTCCTCCTCCTCCTCTTCATCGTTCTCTAGACAAGTGAAGCCTGTTAGAAAACCTGAAGAGGCCTCAAACTCCACAACCCCCAAAAAAGAGAAGAGTAAAACATCTGCAGTGAGGCCTGCCCTCCTTAAGACCCCGCCTATCCCCCCCCACAACCTCGCTCTACACCACCCTTCCCTCCATGACGGCCCTCGATCAGGTCATGACATCCGGGGGAGAAGAGATCTCCCTCAAGGTGGTGGTCTCCTCCCCCTTCCCCATCAGCACGGACCTCCGCTCTTGCACAGGCCTCCCTCCCCAGTGGACAGTCGTAGAAGGATGGGGATGGAAGGCCGCTCTTTGCTTGGACCCCCTCCTGGGAAGCTGAGGAGGATAGATGGGTTGGAGGGGGGTGTCCTGTCTCTTCAGCACTTGTCTCATCAGCCCCCGCTCCACAGACTCCCACCCTCCTCAGACAGGCCTGGTCTTCTTCCTTTACCAGGGAGCCGTGAGATGAGCCGAGATGACACAGATCGAGGATCCATCAGGCCTTTGATGGACCTTCAGGTGGGTTTCATGCTTTTACGAGCCCCAGATATGACAGAAGACAAAGATGTTGAATTTTTAGGATTAATTTTTTTCTGTTTAGCTGGTTTTTGATCAGACTTTTTCTGTTGAGCCATGGTTTTGACGACATTGTCTCTGACTTTTCCCCATGTCCAGGTGAAGCCCCTGGCCCAGAGGAGGATCAAGCTAAATCGAGATCTAGGGAGAAAAGGCAGCACTGAAACACCACCCTCAGACAGAACACCATCAGGTCCTGAGAAGACGACTTCCACTTCAGACCGATCAGCTGCCTCGAACACCTCTGAAGGAGATCGACCAAGCAGCACAGCAGAAAGAAAAGAAGACAGAAAAGAGGAAAGAAAAGAGGACAGAAAAGAGCGCTCCTCATCTGCTGAGAAGGGAGGGTCCAGGGAAAGACCAGGAAGTGCCGGAGAGAGACTGCAGAGCTCAGACAGGGAGCAGAACAGAAGCTCAGGAGCAGACAGAGAGCGAGACAGAGCTTCAGGATCTGAACGAGACCGAGACCGAGATAGAGGAGTGGGCTCTGACCGAGAGAGAGACAGGGGGCAGGGCTCCAACTCACAAAAGGTTTCAGTAACAGTGGAGAGAGACGCTGACGGAGAAAGGTCGGTGAGGACGGAGAGAAAAGGCTCCAGTAGTGGAGGAGGGAGATCTGTCTCGTTGGATAAAATGACCATAGCAGAGAAATCAGCTGTCACCAAGAGAACCACAGACCATCAGGAGAAACCGAGCGTGTCCTCGAAGGAGAGAGGGGAGGGGTCAGAGAGAGCTTCTAAATCTGACAGGTGTGTTCTAGTGATCCTCTGCTGCTTGTCAAACCATCACTCAGATCGGTGATTAAAAGGGAGCCTGTTTTAGTGGTTCTGTAAACACTGTTATTGAATGTAATTACATCTTCCTGTTTCTCCCAGGAGTCTTTCCAAGGACAGAGCAGAGAGGAGTGTGCCCTCAGGAGAGAAACCGGCTGCCGCTCACAGAGAAGGTAATTTGAATCTCTGTGTGTGTCCATGCCCTCAAGACCAGATGATAACTTTGATTTCATTTGGTGCCACCTTGTTAAGCATTGATTAAAAGTGTTGTCTCGCTGTCATCCTCCTCTTCCAGCAGTGAAGGATGGCGAGGAGCCTGCTGTGAAGCGCAGACCAAGGATCAGTCGTAAGGCACTCGTGAGCAGCGCAGGAAGCTCCTCTAGGTGAGGCTACTGTCCATTCGTTACAAACACATTTGATCTTCCAATACTCGATTCTTATTTTTTATATTAATCATTTTATACAAATTTAAATCAGAGCTGATGAGTAGATGTAGTTCTTTGCACAGTTATTATCAAACAGAATGTTTCTGTCAAAATGAGCTGAGAATATTCAGATCCAAAAACTAGCATAATACTTCAAGTGAAAAACGTAGAATTATAAAGTTTATTTACTTTTGTTTAATTGAAAGAAAAAAAAATCTGCTGCTAGCCCTAGATTGACTAGTTGCAGTTGGTTGCTACTAGTGTTGGACGGTATGAACCTTATGTCACGGTATGAGTAATTTCACATCATGGTAACAGTATATATCACAGTATGTTTTTCCCCACTGTAAATTCAATTTCTGGTTTAAAATAACCAAACTGTCGCATTTGTTCATTTTCTTTTTATTTTTCAACTCGGATTTGTAAACAAATGCAAACTAAACCTCTGGCTAGTTTGGTGATTTTTTTATGATATGGCGGACCTTTGGCGAAAGACTCTGCCAAGTTCTTTCGTATGAGAGGAGCTGCTGCAGCTTTCGTTTTTGGTGCAGCGGGTTCGCAACGCATCTTTTGGCTCTCATAATTGAGCTTGGCGTGTTCCATCTTTAGGTGGTAGAAGAGGTTTGCTCGCAACGACTTTGCATAGTATCGTTTTCTGATCATCGTTGGATTTTCTAAATCCGAAGAATAGCCAGACAACCGATGTTGCCCTTTTTCGGAGCAAGTTCCTCTTCCTCCTCCTCTTCCTCATGTTGGGTGGGTCGGACTGCCTCCGTTTGCTCGGTACTGCCACTAATCTCCGCGTCCGCCATGACCACCGCCAGTGAAGCCGTTTCTCCTTAGTCAAAACTGTGCCAAGCAGTCTGCTGGACATGCTGGTGATTATAAGGAGCACACCCAAACCTGACCAATCAAACGGAGCGAACAAACTCCTCCTGACACGCTGTTAAATAAACATAAACGCACTAAAATGAATGTGCTCCAGCTTTCCTGTTAGCGAGCGCAGACAACTACACACTGACTAGCAAAATTTCCCTCGGTACACACTTCATACCGTCACACGGTATATGTCGTCATACCAACCAACACTAGTTACCACCCATTTAACACACGAGGATGACTTCGTGGATGTAGTTTTAACCACAGGTCTGTGTGAAGTTGCACACTCTGCCGGCTGACATCAGTGTGGTAAACTGCATCTGTATGCTCGGCTTGTGCGCAGTAGCTCAAAGTTGAAGCATTGGCTTATCGACTGAGCCATCTGGGATTTTTTTTTTTACAGTAAAATGTGCCGTTCAAAAGAGCAGTGGTGATGTTTTCCCTCAAAGTGGCAGCAGGAAGATGCCACAGCAGCTTAACTTTGAAGAAGTTAAAGTGCCAATTTTGGACCTTTTAAGTGCGATTAAGACATCTACATGCCAATTTTGATAAGGCTGTGTTGCATTTGAATCAAAATTCAGTTTGTTTTAGATAACTGGAGAAATGTTTTCCAATATCTGCTCATTTTCCTCCTCCTCTAGTAATAGTTTTCACTCCTCATCTCTGTTTAAAGCAAGCAGTTATGGGCCACATCAACCACAGGGGTGACAAACCATGCTGGCTGATTTGAAAAACATGAATCTTTAAAGCGATTTTATTTTAAACGTCCATTTTAAGTCTAACCCCTAATGCATGCAATCCTTTGTTGATGCATTACTCTTCCAAATGTGTCTGTTTTTTCTCAGCTCAAGGTCAACTCAAGATACAAAGCGGGACTCAGACAGAGAACAGAAGAGCGAACCATCCAAACCCGCGGAGCTGCCCCCATCAAGTCCTGTGATCAGCAGAGACCGCAGCCCAAGTGTCAGCCCACAACCCAGCCCGGTCAGCGAGGAGCCACTCATTCAGCCTCCTCCTCGCTCCAAATGGGAGAGAGAGGACGATGAAGAGGGCCAGGAAAACGGACTCAGTGCCCCCAAGGAGCCATCACCAGTGCCTCAAAGGGGCAGAGGCAGAGAAGTGCAGGCTGAACCTTCAAAGCCCATCAGGACTGAAGGCAAGGAAGCTAGAAGGGAGGAGAGGAGAGGAGCTGTGAGAGAGGAGAAAAAAGGGAAGGCACCAAAGGAAGAGGGTAAAAGTGGCAGGTCAGCACAAACTAATTCTGATAAGCCCAAAGTAAAACTTGTGAGGGAGGATGTGAGAGGAGCGAGAGAAGAAGGCAGAGCTGCAGCAAGAGAGGAGGGCAGAGGAGGAGGAAGAGAGGAGGGGCGAGGAGGGACAGGGAAGGAGGAAAGAGCAGCAGAGGGGAGAGGTGGAGGAGGAAGAGAGGAGAGTCGTGGCCCTGAGCCCCGGAGACAGCGTTTGTGTTCTGACCTTGGTCGCGAGACAGACGAAGCAGCGTTTGTGCCGGATTACAGCGAAGGGGAGGGCTCAGAACCAGAGCGAGGAAGGAGCGGCAGCCCGAGCCCCTCCCTCAGCCAGCCGTCCCACAGCCCGACTCCCAGCAACCAAAGCGGCTCGGTAACCACCGCCGACAAGAAGAAGAAGAAACACAAGAAACACAAAAAACACAAAAAGCACAAGAAGCACGGCAGCCAGGAGAAAGAAGGGGAACACAAGAAGCACAAGCACAAGAAGAAGAAACACAAAAAGAACAAAGACAAAGACGCGGAGGAGGAGGAAGAGAAGTCGGAGAAAGCAGAGGAAGGCGCTCCGTGCTAACAGGGGCCCAAATCTGTAACCTTGAGATAATGACATATCTGGGAATAACAGCTTAGAGTGTCATGCTGCTTCATGTGGCACTCTTAAGGGAAGGGATGAAATGGATCTTTGATTGTCCCGGTCACCGAAGGAGGGCTTTGTGACTGTTACTGAAACACTTCATGTCACTGCAGGACCCCTAAACTCACACAGTACTTTGTCGTGCCTGGCTCACAGCTGATCAAGTTTCCTTTATATTCAATGTGAGGCTCCGTGGTGACTTAAGGTCAGGAAAAACTCGGGAGACATGCTGTGCTGCACTATAGTGATCAGCGTAGAGCCAGTCAGAAAAAGACTGGAAGATAATAACTGATCACACAGCAGTCAATCTGAGCGGTCGGAATAAGAAGCGCTGTACTCAGGGATGTGATTGCTTCTTTGCAGAGGAGGAATTGCTTTTTCTCTGTATGATTCATTTGTAAATAGAGATAAACTGTTGCTTCACATAATAATTTTCCTGTTCGTTCTGCTCACATCCCTGTGTGCCGTTCAAGGTTTAAATACTGAATAACCCTCACTGCAGAGCGTACTCTCGGATGCTCTTTTCAAAGACTGTTTGTTTTGCATGTTTAGCACATTAGCTACAAATTCGGTACATTATCCATTCCTGCTGACCTTTCCTACGAGTAGACTCTCTTTTTTTTTTTCCACACTCACTTGTTTCAGTTTCAGCGAAGATTGGTCTAAAAATTTAAAAAAGCAACAAGAAAATACAGATAAGGTTTAAGAAAAGTTTAATCTGCAAAAAAAAGGATATTTTCAAATCCAGTTATTACGGACAGGGTTAGAAAAGTCTTCAGAAATGGTCAGCAGTCAAGTATTTGTGATCAATGTGCTTTTAAATGCAAAACTACGAGAATGATCTCTAAGTGAAATGAAACAGGAAGCATTCATGCTACACTGAATTGTAAACATCTAGGATGTGTTCATTAATAACTGAAAATCAATCTGCATGTTTTCGTTCCAAAGGTTCAGTAAATGTCCATTATAACGTCTGAGTGTGCGGATGTGTATGTGGTGGTGTGTGAAAGTGAAATGTGACTTCGGGATGAAGTGAGGAGGACTAGTGTTCTTACAAAATGAGTTGTTCTTTTTCTTTTTTTTAATTAAAATGTTTTGACCCGATGAAAGCGTCTGAGTTTTGTTTTAATCAGTGTTTGAGATACTAGCGGTGTTATGATCAGAAAATGAAGTGTGGACTGTGTGCAGCTTGTTGCACAAAGCTGATAATGTCCTAATGAGTTGTACTTTTAGTATTGTTTGAATATTTCTGGCTTTTTAAATTTCTTTGGTTAAATAATTGCAAAAGTCAACACTAATTTATAACACTGAATTTTTAATTTAAAATTTTTTTATTAAGTGTAAACACGGTAATCAGGAACTGTAATTGTACCATACTGCAGTCACTCCAGGATCATAAACAGGTCACTGTCTCCTTAAATCATATTTAATATATTAAAGTATGGGACTCTAATCACTCTAATTGTTTGGGGTTCACAAATGCTTAACACCAGGATGTCATATCTACTCATAAACATATGGTGAATATTTCCACACCTGCTCTCAGTGAGCCAGCTGGGTGGGTGTAAACAACTTAAAATGTGGTACTCTATAATTAAAGTGGTAAGGGGGATAATGTAATAATCCCACTGAGGATATGGTAAAGATGATCTTACATCAGCACAGAGTGATAGGAATGAATCCAACATAAACAGAGATTACTGGGTGTACTAAACTGTTCGATTTAATGCTCTCATATGTCCATGAAAAAAACAGTTTTTGGCACACATTTGGAATTTTCCCTAAGAGGCTGATTATTCACTTGATCCCACCGTGCATCAATCCCTCAGGAATCTTAGGGAAGTTTTACATCGTCCAAAAACATGCCACCCTCCCTTCTCCACGTAAGGAGTTTTATTTAGTGAACTATTATCAGTGCGTAAAATTATTAACTTTATCAATACAGCAATTACTGAACCAAAAAGTTCTAACATAAACATACACCTCAGTGGAGAAACAAAATAGGGAGGTTGACAGCATCTAGAGATCTACTCGGTCATCTCTCTCTGTATGTATGGAAGCCTATCCAGGACAGGGGTTGTGAATTACCTATTGTTAGAAACATGTATGCATGGCATCTCCTTTGTACACACTGTGAAGCAACTTCTTATGCATTTGTCCCTGAAACAAACAAACTAACAAAATGATAAAAAACAAAGTTAAAGTGACCCAAGAGCCTGCATGTCGGTGCAGTGGTTAGTGCCACCATTCTTGCTTTGAGTCCTCTGGTAGAAGGCAGAAGCCGCTCTGTGTGGGGTTGGTTGGTCTTTGCACTTGCTTTATAAATCATCCTTTTCTAAGGGATTATGCTCACTGCTTATAACCTTTCTACTGTCAACTTTATTTCACCTTCATAAATGTAACTTGCTAAAGTTATTACATAATAAAGACATCAAATAAAAAAGCTTTCTGTTTATTGTTTTTGATTTACTTGCCTACTTGCGAATAATCATCTTCTCTGCAATGAAGAGACTGTTTTCAATTTTTAATACTGTTTTCCTGTCTGCATTTATAACAGGAAGCCCAGAGTAGCCTACATGAGGGATAAATAGAAAACCAGCATGTTAGTGATAAAAGAACAAAGATGAACCGCGGCTCGTGGATTATCAGATATATTCTCCGATAACTGGATTTGTCTAGCAGGATGTCCTCGAAAGCGGCTCCCTCTGACACAATGGTGACTTTCATGGTCTTTGGCAGCTCATTCCTTTATAAACATGAATTATTAAACGCCAAATGTCCCGGAGGGAATCAGCTGCAGTGAGACAGACTGAACACTGTGTGGAGCTGTGAGTCCTGCAACTTTTCACAGGAGGGGGAGGCAGATTAACAATAAAAATCTTCCCCTATATGCATCCGCTCCCAAACACAGCCCTTTATACTCGCCTCTCTCTCTTTCTCCCATAGCACACAGCAATAAGCTTCGTTGTTTTTGTGTGTCAGAGTATGTGTGTGTGAGTGTGTGAGTGTGTTGTTAGTGTACGTACCCGGCTGGGGGGATGGCGTGACTGGTGGATCACAGATGAAGCTGGTTGAAGGCAGGAGATGAGTTCACATGCAGGTTGAGGGAGTGCTGAGATGTGAAAGAGCTGCAGATGTATTATTTTCCTCAAACAGCAGAATATAAAAGCAAATCCTCAGCTTAGTCCATGCATTGTAAAGTGTATGTGTGTATGTGCGAGTGTGTATGCATGTGTGTTTACATATCGAAGGTTATCCTTAATGGACTCATGGATCAGTGAGACCATTAGAGAAGATTAATATATTGTTTTAACCCCTGCCCAGATTATCATCACAACTCATTATTCCTCTCAAATATCAGCCTGTGTGGGTCACTCTGCCTGTGTGTGTCTGTGTCTACACATACACACAAATGTGCACTTGTAAGTGTGCAGTCTGGGTATTTGTGTGACTGCTTGTGTTGTGTCTTACAAGCCTGACATCATTTCCTGTCATCAAGGCCAAAGGTTGCTTAGCAACTTCACTTCTGCCGACTGTCAGAAAAGAAGCTTCTCCGCTGACTGGCTCACAAACTAACTCTGCCTTATCTCTCCGTCATAAATGTACCATGTGTCTACGAGACGCTGCTGTGTGTGCATGACTGCCCATGCATCTGTATGGACCGCTGTGCATTTGTGCTCACAGACACAGACAAAAGCTGAGTGAGAGAGGAGAGAGGAGAGTGGGTTTGGGGAATGTATTGTCTGACAGATTTCTGTTTTTCCTGGAACTAATAAAAAGCATGAGTCAGTAATGTGGCTCTATGCTAGAATCACTGTTGTTGTTGATCTAATATATGGCAAAATATGCAGCTGTGAGCTGGTGAGAAAAGTTACTGGCTTCTTTTATTTGTGACTCGGAGTTGCATATAAAAGGCTCGGTTTGATGAGCGATGCAATCAATTTTTATACAGCACACATATTAAAGTCTGTAATAAAACAAGGGGGAGCCTGAAAGGACATCAAAGTCTACATTCATTTTAAAGTTAGTAATTAATAATTGTTAACTTCAATAGAAAGCTAGAGCAAAAGTAAAAGGGTCATTGTTAATTCAGTTTGTTAATGCACTCTGATCAGGTCGAGATGATGGCCAAGTGTGTACATCTGCGTGAAAAGACACATTAAGGTTACTCAGAAGCTGGAAAGGACAGATGTACAGCTGAGAGAGACGGATAATAACTTTGACCCCGCGCTCTGAAAACTGACACTTTAAGATGAGATGACACTGCCGTTCAGGCTGTGTGTTTGTGTGTGGGTGTGTGCGCATGTACGTGTGTGTGCACGCTCCTTTAGCCTCTCCATGTACCACTAATTTAACCAGGTCAGGTAGAGTAGTATGAGGGGGCTCGGTGTCACGGTGATCATGTGTTCCTGCACACATGTGTGAATGTTTGTATTGTGTGTGTGGGTGTGGGTGTGTGTATGTATGTGTGTGTCTGCATGGTCAGTGTCAGGATGTGCCAGTATCAGGATGTGCCCTAAGGTGGTTGTCATGGCATTTTCAACAATTGATCAGGATTATCGATCTGTAATCCAATTCCAACAGTGTGTATGTGCCTGTATTTGTGACAATGGCACGGAAATAAAACACTTCCACACATATGTAATGTTATGAGATGGTCACCATGGAAACACACCCAAGGGGCATTTGCCTCACACTGATAATAATGTTTGGCCTAGATACCCATCCTCAACCGATAACAGAGGGAATGTATTTCTGACCACGTGTGTGTGTGTGTGTGTGTGTGTGTGTGTGTGTGTGTGTGTTCAGTGACTAATGTAAACCATCATTTGAACAGCACACTGTCAGAGCTCCGGTAAAAAATGCATGAAATAATCCCATGGAGCAGAAGGAGTCTTGCTGGAGTTACACGAGACAGTAAGTGTAAGCAGGAGGAGACGAACTGGAAGCGTAGAAGAAAATGAACAGGAGTGGGAGTGGGAGTGGAATCACACAGCCGGGGAGACCCAGTAGCAACCGATTACTGCCAACGCACACAGAGACACAATCACACAAACATACAGCGGCTCCCAACAAGGCTAATCAGTTTTCCTTTTTGTGAGATGTTTGCAGCAGAGGTCTGTGTGAGTGTTTGTGCGGTTCAATGTGTCCTAGATATCTTAAACTGTGCTGTTGAGACACACTAAATGTTTGATGTGTGCTGCTGCTGTAAGAGGGATGATAGCAGAGGGAGTCTGTCTGCTGTGGGCGTTGATGGGGTATTGCACGGTGTTTCCCAGCTCTGAGAAAAAAATCTTATCTTGGTTTTTTAGCCACAGCGCTGGTGAATCTGTCGGTCAGCAACAACTCTACCAATTTAGTCAACTGAAAAATATCTCTGCTATTTTCTCTCAGTTTGGTGCCGATATTTGCAGCAGCAGAAAAATAAACAGATTGACTTTGACGATCCACTGACTTCATATCAGATAAATGTTGATAAAGTTTCCTCCAGGTCATATGAGTTCATGTCTTTTCATACAGATTTAAACAGACAAAACATAAAACCTTATATTATGGGCTGTGTAAAACATGGACAAGATGACAGTCCCCTAAAAGTGAAGCCAAGACATTTGAAGCTCCACCTACAGAGCAGCTGCAGTATTAGTCTTAAGGTCCTTACACACCAGGAACGACGCAAATATACAATGAGAAATTACAAGATATTTGGAGGCAAATTTTGACGCAATGCGATTTTGCACTTTCCAGGGGGAAAAAAGACGCGTCCCGGGTGGAAGCGAGAAGACTGACACGACACCAGACTGACTGTTTTTCAGTTCTGATTAGACACTTGTGTTGAGATGGCTGTCTGTCATGATAGCATGTACTGAGTTGAAGCCAGTACCAGATAAGCACATTAAACTATAATCCATAAACATAAGGTAAAAACCGAGACCTAATGGTGCTGTGACAGCAACGCGGTTGAGTATAAGAAAGTGAAAATACATACGGTATGTTGTTTCTGAACAGGTTAGCTTATGAGCTAAAGTTACTTAGCACAGATGAAAGTGAAAACAAAGACGTTAAGCAAACTGTTGGTCAAAAGTGGACACACAGTATGCAAAACTACAGCAATATCACAGGACTGGAAACATCGCTGATGTGAATGCTTGTATTGACAGGATATGGGTTTGAAAAAAAAATTGACATCCAAAATAATAGCACAAAAAAAAAAAAAAAAGCTCCAGGTGTGTAAAGACCTTTACTCTCTTGCCATGTTGTGATGGGTCCTGCTACAGTGTGACTGCCATCTTTTTGATTGGATCCAGCACCTCTTTCCTCGCATAACTGTCAATAAATCTAGTGTAGATAAGGTTGTTCCAAAAATTTCACGCAACATTGTGTATCTTGCTACTGCTGTTCACTCATGTCTCTGTAGTTTTGGAGGTATATTTGATAAATCCCACAAAAAAAAACACTTTCTGTGTTTATTCTTTCCTCTTTAATTACTAAAAAATCTCATTTTTTCCTAATTGTATGAATTTTTATCTCATTTTTATAAAAGGCAGTATAGAGTGCGAGGTCAGACCACGGTCATGTCATGTTAGTGTGCAGTGCGGAAGATTTGCAAACGTCACCAGATCCCTTTACTGAAGTTGATGTTACTGTCTATAGTTTGATTGAGCACAGCAGGAGGGAAGACAGCAAAAAGGCAATCAACTTTAGTGATCTTTGTTTTGAACTGATGAGTCTGTCAGACCCAAAGCAGATCAAAGTTGTTACAATGAAGGGTGCTAGTGATAAATTTAACAGCAGCAGCACGGCAACATGCAGCATTATGAGGAGCAGCAGCAACAGCAACAGAGGTTTGTATCACCAGCAAAAATGACCAAGATAAACATGTGAAGGAGGGAAAGGAAACAATGATTTCTTGCGCATATAGGTAGAGGTGTTATCACTTATTGTGTATGAGCCCAAGGCACTGTGCAATCTTAATGTGGTCCGTGACTCTTGGTTGAGTACCTGACCTGTCAGGACAGCAATATGCCTGTTTTCCGGTACCTCGGGGTTTACAAATTAACCTCTGAGTACATGCCAAGTATTGTCTAGGATTGGGATGGGACAGGATTGCACAGGAACATTGGGCTGAGGAAGAACAAAGAGAGAAAATGCAACAAACAGAACTTTCTACAGCTGTGAGTGTTTGCTCCTAAATGACTCAGGAATCTGTTATATTTTGGCCTTCATCACTTTGAGCAACCTCTGAGGTGTATCATTAGGTTAAATCTGTGTTTTGGCAAGCAAAAAGGGCACGACATCAACATCACAGCTCTGCCAGCCAATCTCTGTTACACACACACACTCTTGCTCCAAACTACATCACCAGCACTTTATGTCACGCTCATTGCAGCAGTTTTCTAAGTTCACTTTTGTGCTACAGGAGGAGGGGGTTGTTTGTTGTCCACCTTTACATGCAGTCAATTCTTTTAAGCAAAGGTGTTGCCCCACAATAGGACTCCAGAACAGCGTAGATGCTCCTCATTGTAACAGTGCAAGTCTCTGGACTGTTAACCGGCTGAATAAACATCATTCTTTCCACACATATTTGTGTTTTATTAATCCGTCTGGACTTTGTCATACCTTTTCCAGAAACACATCTCCTTATGCCCTGTATGGAGGCATCTGTGTTTGTTATTTTACCTCACTCATTATCTCTGCCATCCACAAGCCTGGAGGGGATCATGTGTGTGTGACTGGGTATCTTCCAGTCTGCAGTTTATTCTGCAACCTACTGGACCCATCAATCTTTTATTTTTAGTGAATTTACAGGACTTTATGTTTAATGTCCTCGAGTGTTTTTAGTGATTAAAAGCATAAGAAAAATCTTAATTGACTGACTCTTTACAGCCACCATTGACTTCTTACTGCTCTAAACCAACGGCAGGGACAACAAGTGATCAAACCACTGCCTCAGAAATCCAGTTATATCCATGAGAATGCTGTGGCTGCTAATAAGAGGTACACAGTGAAGGAATTAGTGCTGGCTATGGAGAGCACCTTCGAGACAAAAACAAACTGACAGAGAAACAAATTTCAACAGAACACCAGCTCTTTTATGATCAAGACAGCAATGTCATCATGCTGGACATTATGGGATTAAATTAATCTGTAGTTTATGGAAACAATATGCCGCCAATCAAGTTTGAATACACTGATCATTGGAGGTTTTAATTTTTTATGTACCGAGTAACTCTATGATAGTAGTCTGATTGCAAAAACATACATGGTTTTGGTGTAGAAACAGAAATGGTTCACTTTTTTGCTAGCATGAAAAACAATTTATTGGATTTTCTGTTTGCGTCACATCACTTGTCTCTGTTGATGCTATGCTAGACTATCGATGAGTCCAGTGGATAATTTGGGTCCCATTTTGGGTCGTATCACCGCATCACTGCATAAGCTGGCATTATCAGAGGCATTTACCATCTCTGGTTTTGATATCAGAACAATGCTACTGTTCTTAATATGCTTCTAATCCTTGCAGAAATTGAACATATTTGAAATGCCATTTTTGTTGATGATTTAAGCACATAATTAACTGCTGATTCCTCATCCTCAGTACTTAGGTGCCAGTAACCATGAATGTTAAATAACAAGAGGTGGTTGTGTTAGTATAAGCAGGTTCAAATCCTGATAGACACAACCAGAGGATCCAGGGGGATCTGGACTCAGCTGAGCACTCTTTCGAGTATATGAAGTTTTTGATTTGTTAGCTGAGTGCTGTCTTACTTTTATATTGCGTTGAACACTTACATGGCTTGCCGATCTGCTCCATTCACTGGGCTTTTGAGTTAAAATACTTAATGGAGAAAAAAAACTTCAAAAATTCAAGCCAAATGGGGCAAAAAAAGCTAATTTTCAGCCTCCATTACCAACACATTTTCTTTCCTTTTGACAAGATACCATCCAAACAGATGTCAGCTGTTTTCAACATAAGCAAACACATCATCCATCTGCACAGAACTAGTCTGTAACTTTCCTGGATCTTAAAACTTGCCTCCAGTTGCAGCTCCTTTCAAATTCCAAATGCTACTTCTATACCTCCAGCCCCTGCCTACCTGTAATCCTTAACCCAGGTCTAGGTCTCGCCCACAATGCTCTGCCAATAAAAAGCACCCGCTAGTCCAGTCACGACAGGGCCTCAGGTCTCAAGCCGGGCTCTCCCGTATTGTTCCTTTGGAAAAGTCCCCTTCTAACTCATGTCTTTTGAGAAAAACTATGCAGTTAAGTTAGACTCTTCTCCTCTGTGCTATAATGAGTTTTCCAACTGTATTTGATCCACACAGTCCCTTTCTACCTCTGGGGCCAGCTCTCTGTGATCAACCTGACACTTGGTGATTTGGTGCTAAAGTGCTGATGCTATGGTGAAAATCTTATTTAGAAAAAAGAAAAAAAACAGCTTCTTTACACCTTGTGCATTTTCTCTTCTCTCCTTTCTGGGCTTTGTTTGTGTTGTACCAACTCTCAGATGTACGTCACTCTGGACAAAAGCATCTGCTTACTGGCATTGTAACACTGTAAATTAAATTGTACCAGCAAAATCTTACAATGATTCCCTCAGTTGGTGTTTTCTTAACATCCAGCATCTGCATGCACGACTCTCACTGGGATGGATCTGGATTTTCAGACTTAAGTTGAGCTCATATGCAATCACTCCTCACTATATTCTGATTGACATTAAGAAAGATCACACTCCCTGGAAATGAAGAGACGAGCGTGAGAGTCCAAGATGTTTATATGTTACCCCTGCACACTGGGAACAACCTTTTGATTCAAGCTAACAACATGGTTTTCTTCCAGCACAGCTAATAAGATCTAAGAATAGCAAAGTTGTCTATTTATAATCCACCCAAATTTGTTCTCTAGCATGTAAGGATAATTATGGGCCCTCAGTGTCACAACCCTGGGACTCCTGTATTCTATCTAATGGTGTGTAAACATAAAAAATACACCTCCAGAAAATTACTCAAAAGCTATGTAGATATAAAAAAATTAGCAGGGGAGCATTTACAACTAAGGCTCCCTGTAAGCTGTTTGTGTAGACCCAGTGTATACTGTGCTGCTAGTATTAGTTCCCAAAGTGGGCTCTATGGATTGCCAGTGGCCTTTAGGGAATAGAGTGGAGCCCCCAGGAAAAATGAGCAGTAGTTAAGTTTCTGTGCTATTTTAAGACATTGAGAATGCCTATTCTGCCTTTTTCCATCTCTGCTTTGTTGGCAGTTGCCCAGTCTCAGGGTAAAACATGGACATGTTTTCCATTATGACAGATGGTAAATGTGAATTTAATCAAATAATTAAAGTGAATTTGATTACATGTGCAATTTGACGTGTGTAAGTTAGAGGATAATTTCGAACATCTTCTAGACCAGCTTCTTGACATCTTATCCCAAAAAACTGTGACTGTACACCAGAAAAATTGACACTCATGGTGTCTGTGAAATCTTTGTAAGGTGAGTGTGTCTAATTTTGGAGCAGCAACTCTTCCCTGAGTTGAGGATCTTTATATACCTGCCTCCTTTATTATGGAAATGATTTTCTATACAGCACAGTGTCTGTCAGAAGTAATTCCTTGTCCTCTGAAACCTGACATGACATAAGCTGATTCAAAGGTATTGTGTTGGAGCACTGCCACCTCCTTGGGTTTAGTGAATCGACATCCCTACTGAGTGTGACTCTGCTGCATCATCTCATGTATGACAGTAGCACCCACCCACACACCGCCCACACTTACACATACACCCACACACACACACCTCAGTTACACACAATCACTATCCGGGGTCGCAGGATGGTGAGACAACCGCCTGGCAGAGAGAGAAGCTGGGATGAGGTGGAGGTGAAGTGAGGCAGAGGAGAGGGGATAAGTCACATGCTTTGAGTTGCTCCATCACTGTCAAGCTGTAATTTTTTAAGAATAAAGGTCTCCACTCAAAACCTTCAAAATAAAGCTGTTAAATGTTACGCGACAGCGTTACATACATGGGTGTATCGAACTTACCTACTCTTGCTGGCGTGACTGTTTGGACGCTGTCCTCCTCGATGGAAACAATGAGGACGATAAAGTATACGATGTTATTTCACACCAAGGACACGAACCGAACAGCAGAAGCAAATTTTTTAGTGTTTCCTGGAAAAGAAGTGGCGTTACCGGGCAGAAAGTAGTTAACTGTTGGCTAGCATTGCGAGCACAGAGCATGTAGCCTTCCTCAAGTTGTGATGGGAAAGAAGCTACTTGTTTGAGAGTGTTATTTTTAATATTTCTTAAATTATGAGTTAGTTAGTGGTAATGATGTTTGAAAAGAATGAAGTTTAGCTTCCAAAAAAGTTGAAAGGATAAGCTTATGTCAGCTAACAAACTTCCGTGTCTGCGTGTAGCTTAAATTTGATGACTAGCAGGTATGTTAGCCCACCATGTAAGCTAACTTCGGTTTTGTTGCGCTTTTAAAACAAACTGCAGTTGTTTTTCTCGTGTTTAAAGACCTGCCAGCCGCTATTATTTCACATAGTATACTTTATTTATAATGTCACTGGTTTTAAACGGGCAGCTTCCGGGAAAAGTCAGCCTTATTTTGAAGGTTATGTTCGCGCGTTTCCAGCTCGTCTCGTTGTGGCTGACTTGACGCGGCTCCCCCTCTCCCCGGTGCGCCTGAACTCCGGTACCTGACACCGCAGAGCGTGTCCAGCGGCTGAGGGGACGCGGACGCACGGGGAGCCGCTCGGCTCTACACAACTTTACTTTTCTAGGTTATTACAACTTCTGCGTCTTCGTCCGCTCACATTTTCCCTTCTTTTTTATCACCCAAGAAAGACTGAAGGACTGAGTTTGGATATCGGCAGGGGGGGGAGGAGGCAGAGGACCAGCGGGCTGCTCTCAGATGGAGCAGCGGGGCTCCGGGAGCTCAGGGCGCACGGCGGACCCGGAGTAAATGACGCCGGTGGATGGACGCTGCTCCTCCCAGGTAAGGATAAAGTTTTTCTTTTTATTGTTATAATGTACTTTTCATCTGCCCCCCTGTCCCGGGTTGTGCGCTTCAGAAATGCCCGTGATACAATGGAAATTGCTCAGATTATAGGATGTCGCTCTTTGACAATGTTGGTGCGTATTACACAAAATTGGACAGATGGAAGGTGGTACTGTATGACAAGTTATAAACCTTATCTACTTTATGATGGGTTTGTTTGTTTGCATCATATGCTATGATTAAATACTGAGGCTTCTTTCTGCTTTATTTCATTTTATATAATTCTAATGTTTATTTTAGGGTTAACTGCACTGTTTCTCGTTTGTGTGCTCCAAACCAGAGTAATACTGGGACATGCCAGAGCCACAGATGCCGTCAGCATAAGCTTCTAGCTGGACAAGGATGTCACTGTATGGTTTATGAAGCAAAAACTTAAATACTGTGAAAATCTTTAGTACAGTCTGGTTTTATTGAGCATGAAGCTACAGAAAAATTTGGGTCAATTTGTGCATTTTTGTGTGCAGTGCCAATACAGAGCTTAATGGGTTTTCGAGGTATTATAAATGGGTGAATATATTTTGTTCTAGGGACTGGTTGTGATTCAGTGGGATGATTTAATTTCCACATGGCCTAGCTGTTAGCGCAGGGAGGCTCATAATGAGTTTTTAAACTGTTTTGAAAGGACTCATCAGCAGGTTTTCAACTGCGTACAAGAATGCTTTCTCTTTTTTCCATGGCCAATTGATGTTGGTCCAACAGCTACTATTCAAACACAACAAAAAGCCTTAAACGGTGCGGCCCTGGACTCCTCACTCAGTCTAGGCTACATGCCCATGATAGAGAATACACAGGAAAGAAGGCTACTGGCAGATTCAATCTCATTATTTCCATCAAACACTCTCACACTGATACACTCCTCTCTGCGCTGCAAGCTTGCATGCCAGCCCTCCTGTTGTCCTGTCACTCTGTACACTCTGTAGGGGAGACCATGTAGCCCTGCATGGACTCGTGGTTGGCTTGACTTCTATTGTCCTTTATATTCCTTATCCAAATAATCCAGCTCTTGCTCCAACTCGATAACAAATTGGTATCTTTGGAATAAATTTGCCAGGATCTCTCTGGGGATCAATAAGCAATTGGAATAAGCAGACTGTGGACCTGTGAGGAGCTTTCACTGTGTGCTTGTGACAGTGTGGACTGTGTCACATGCTCCATCTCTCATCTTTTCCTGGCAAAGCCCAACTGCTTAGTGCCCAATAAAGCAGAAAATGTGATGAAATTAAAAAGAAAAAGGAGTCGAGAGAGAGACATGCATCCGCTCTTAATTTAAACAGAGATTATCATTCAATTTGACATTTCCTTCATGGTGTTGCAATGCTTCAAGAAATTCCTGATAATGCTTAAACAAATTAACCGTGGCTGCTGAGGCTCAACAGTGTCACCATGTTTCATTAGATCTGATCACAAATTACAGCTTTAGAAAAAAATAAAAAACACTATCTGTAATGAACAGAAATGGATGAAAATGAAAAAGGAAGTAGTGGACAATGTTAGAATTAAACTTAACACTTAATTCTACTTATTGCAATATGAGAGAAAATGTCTAAGCTACTTTATCTGTATGTCCAGATTGTTCAAAGCCAGTCAGGATTACAGACATCAGCAGTAATGGCCTGTTGTCATCACTGAATTGTACAGCTGTAGGATTATAATGAAGGGGTCTTAGTGCTTCCTGTGGCCTCCGCTGACTCTTGTGTTTGCACCTTTTCTGGTGTCTGTTAGTCTCTTCTGTTTAGCTTTATGTAGATTTATACTTCCTGCCCAAGACTGCTGCTGGCTGTGATTCTTCTCCTGAAGGTCGCTTTTTGTTTTAGAGAAATACACAGAAGCAAGTTTTTTTTTTTCCTCTTTTCTTTTGCTGTTTTGCTAGAGGGTGAAGGGTCTCATGGACAGGATGGCAGCCTTGACAGTCAGCGCAGTTCCGGTTTGTTTTTGCAGAACTGCAGTGCCAGCCAAAGCGGCAACACAGCAGAAACACACACACACACATATACACAGTACCATAAATACCCAACAGAGCTGCATAATATATCACATTTTCATCAATGTCTCAATGTGAGCACTCATAAACACTTTGCAAAAGTCTGAATTTTTGTGCAAGAAAAACATATTTTATGTAAACAAACAATACTTGTGTCCCAGAATGCACACATTGTCGTCTTTGAATGTGGGAGTTAGCATAATGGCTTTACTCTTACACCATTTTGTTGCTCAAGCTAACTCTCAGACATCCTCACATAAAGAACTCCTTTATTCAAGATACTTTTATCATGTATATTAGATTTTGCCAATATTCGATATGCTAATATTTCAGGCTCATTGAGTTTCCCCTCAGGGATAAGTAGAGTAGATCCTTTTGGCAGATACCAATACCAACATCAACTCAGATATAGCCAACTTTCCTTCTCTGTCAAGAACACCAAGTCTCTGTTGGACTAGATTTTCGCTTTAACTCTCGTGGTGACAGTTTGTTTGTTTTAGAAATGGATAAAATTCTAGACAAACAACATTTGACTCTTCTATAAATGATAAATGTGTACTTTTTCAAATGTCGACACGCAGTATTTTGTCTGCTGTCTGTTTAACACTTAATAATACTTCCATTCAGTTGAGATGCTGAAGCTTGTTGTTTGCAAGTGAGCTCTGCACATAATGTATTACTTAATGGGTTGTACACATCTTTATAGGTCTGCTGATACCCCAAATTAACTCGACCAATTTCCTGCTAATAAAATCCTGCGTTGCTAGTTTACCGCACTTTATATTGTTAGCTTAATCATCAGTAATATTAAATTTGTTGAATATTGTGCATGCCTAACACACACACACACATATGCATCCATCCATATATTGCTGTCTGCTTCCACACCATCCTTTTGTTAACTTAAGGTTCAGGCTGTTCCCAGCACGGCCATGACAGGCACCCAGGACCCAGACCTGCATGAGCAGCGCAGAGGACCAACGCAGGAGGAGGGGGACGAGGAAGAGGAGGGGGAGAGGGTGCATGTGTCAGTGGAGAGAGAGGAGAGGGAGCGGGACGGTGAAGAAGAAGAAGAAGAGGAGGAGGAGGAGGAGGAGGAGGAAAAAGAGGAGCTGCCGTACCCCACCCTAGCACCCGTGGTTCTCTTGGCTCTGACCCAAACGAGCCCACCCCGCTCCTGGTGCCTCCGAGCCGTCTGCCACCCATATCCTCCACCTATAGCGCAGCAAACGTGCGCGAGTGAAAACTAGAGTGTGGCTGTTTGTAATGTAAGAGAATGATTGTGTGATTGTGTTGAAGCTCTGCACTCTCTCAAATCTGTCGTACCTACACGGCACTTTGCGCTTTAATGTTTACATAAGGGGGATGAGAAAAAGGTCAGCATGTGTGTGTATGTGTGTGTATGTGTGTTTGGAGTACCTCATGTATTTCCTCGGACCCATTAACTGTAGGAAAAGATGGCAAACATTTTTCCCAATTGGGGGTTTCCATAGTGACAAGCCCCTAATGAATCTCCAGGGTTACAGCCGCCTGTCAGTTGCATTGTTACCGGCCTCCATTTTTACAGCACAGGGAGTCACAAATAGTAAAAAAACTCACATCACCTCCCGGACCTCGCTCCGGTTCTGTCTTCATTGTCTCACCTCTCATTCCCCTCCCTGTCTCTCACTCTCTCTCTCAGCCACTTCTGCTGTAGATGTGAAGGTGCGATTGTGTGTGTGTGTGTGTAGTTATCAACACTCTGGTGTGTGAGTGTGTATTAGCAGCAATGAATACTCCGAAGCATGCCTAAACGTCAGTAACACCTCAGGGATTTGTCAAGGCTCTCCAAATTGAATATTTTCCACCAGTTATGACTCCATGTGTGCATGTGGTATGTGGGTGTGTGAGCTCCCTGGCTTGTGCGCGTGTCGTTGTGCGCCTGTCTGTGGGTATTTGCCATTGTCAGCACTCTGTGTTCTCCATGAAATATAAATACATAATTGCTGAATAAATAAAAATGTACACCAAGAGGGTAAGAAAAAGAATAAACTACAAATGCCAAGCTCCTCTGTCGCCTGCTGAACATTGTACTCTCAGTGTGTCAGCACCAACTTACCGGACACACTCACATTCACAAGAGAGCACATACACACACACAACAGCGAGCGAGTGCCCTCACACAAGTGAGGGAATCTCCCACGGAGAGGCTCTTTAGAGGAATCACCTGGTTGCTTGGCAACAGTGTAGCTCCGCCTCGACGGCCCTGTTACTTCCGATTGCAATGTTTGTTTTTGTGTTCCAGTTTGTCTGTCTTCTTACGGCCGGCCATGCAGAGCCACTACAGACATGTCCTGCTCATGTTTATCTGTATTAACTTTGCATTTGATGGTGTGTGTGTGTGTGTGTGTTTGCGTTTGTGCCTGTTTGTGTGTTTCTTTGAGTGATCTGCGGGGGAAGTAATGTGGGTGGACATTGTTCGACAGGGACATTAATGTGAGCGCACCAGGGTGGGGGCAGTTCCCAAGAGCTAGAAGTCACATTTTCCCTGAGGTGACCCCTCTTTACTTTCCTTTTTTCTTTTTCTTTTTTGCACTCAGTGGGTATTATAAAATTAATTACCTATCTCCTTGGCTTCCTTTTCCTCCCTCTGTGAAAACACACTCATCCTCCTTTTGTGCCGTGTTTACAACATACTGTACATCTATCCACTCAGGCGCACATCTAACAAATTTATTTGGAACAAAAACAAGATTTGCTTTCACTATTATATAACACTCTCTTGTCTTCCTTCCAAGCTGCATTGATTTCTGTTATTTCCGTTTTTCTCCTCTACTTTGTGAAGTGCTGAGCTTTCAACGTGGCAGTCATTACGCTCCTTTAAAGTGTAACGTATGATAGGCATAGAAACACGCGCACACATGTAGGGAGAAGTGGGGGGAGTCACACACACACACACACACTAACACGGGACATAAGTTATTCAGTAGTGCATAAAACATTCAGAGCATTTCCTTTTGTTTAAAGATGAGAAAAGCTGTATCTGTCACTCCTTTACAAGTACCTTTCTCTTCCTGCCTTTCTTCTTCTTCTTCTGCTCTCCATCTCTCATCCCTCCTTACTCAGTATCACTCCTCTGTCCTGCTGTTTATTCCTCTTTCACTCTCCTGTTTCATAAACTGCCTCTTAATTGGGCCGAGGTGTGTGTGTGAGTGTGTGTGCGTGTGCGGGGCTGATAGGGAGACGGCAATGGATAAGAGGCGGTCTTACTCAAACTAGGGTGAGCTGTCAGAATCATTTCAGCCAATTAGCATGATTCCAGCAAGCGTTTCCACGGTTACCAGCTATCACACTTATTGTGGGCAAGCCAGAAGACTTGACAACTTGACAGTAACTTTACTTGGTATCTGTTTCAGAGACTCTTTCCCTTCTCTCTTGTTCCAGCACAGAAACATACACTCACTACACATAAGGCTTAACTGTGTGCGTATGGAGTCCAGTGTACAAGTGTGGGTCCAATCAGCAAAGAACATGAGAACACTAGAGAGCAGGTCGCTCATTTACTCACAGCTGTTCACATTTGAGGATTCCCTCCCAGACCATTTTTTAAAATTAAATTCCATCAACAGAATAATAATGACCAAAAATGGATAACGAATCAGCTTTATTTCATCATTAAGAAACACTCTTGGCTCAGTTTTGCGGCTCTTCCCTCATTTTCAGGTTACAGTCTAACAGGAGGATCTTTATGCCAGAACAGTGCTGTGACCATGATTTATAAAAGGTGGATGTAATCTTGGTGGCGTCACCCATTGGTTTCCAAAGTGGCGATTTGAAACCCTATGATAGCCGTAGTCACATTGGAAATGCTGACTCAACCTGGCTTTTGGTCAACCTAGAAACTGACAAAGAGGGTCAAGACAGGCCTTAAGCCTCCTGGCACACAGCTACGTCTCGCTGAGCTGACAGTCAATTCAGTCGTGCCCTTAATTATGCATAACTCAAAGTCTTAATATCTTCTAAACAGCTGAGTTATGAAAAAAAAAACCTCAGCAGCAGCTTGAATGAATAAGGAAATAAACAATTTAGACCAAAACTATTTTGTACCAGGCTGTCAATGTTTATTTCTGCTGTAAAAACAGACACAACAGACCACACACAGAGACTCATTTCACCAGCAGCCAGAGTACAGACTCTTATGCCAAAACAATTCGTAAAGTCCCTTCCGTCAAACGTGACCTTTGAGTAAACAAACATGGCAAACTACAGGAGCAAACAGCTGCTAGAGGCCTCGTGTCCATTTCTTGTCATTGCCTCTCCTTGTGATTTTAATTCACAAGGATTACGTCATCGATTCTATATTTCAGTCTATGTTTCAGGTTTACTATTGTTGCCATGGTTGTATTTGTTGTGTTTCCGTCTTTAGTCAGCTTACTTCCTGATTGGCTATTAAGTTGGTCCACGTGACAAAGGACAGTCTGTATGATTAGCTGTCCTCTGGTTCCCCCAACATGTAAAAATTTTGGATTTTGAATGTTGAATATGTTTAATATTTATGATTCAAAGTTGAACAAGGACCGCAAGTTAGCCACAGCTAGAAGTCCTGCATAATTCGATCCAACAATGCCTGATGTACTGTCCCTGTCAAATAAACGAATGAAAAAAAAAAAAAAAAAGTTGGAGGAAAAATCTCTCCTTACACGCCTCACACCACAGGCAATCTTCAGAACCATCAGATAATCTGACCTTTGCTGACTTTTGTTGATAGGGGGAGGGGATGAGGCCCCAAATCGTCATGATTGTCTTGTAGCGTAGCATGTATACCAGTTTAGGCATCACAGAAAAGACAAAATGTTTAATTGTAGAAAAAATAACAAACAGAGATGTAATTACAATAATAACACTAACATTGTGGAATATTGACTGTAATCCGATGATACAGTCAGAGTTTCAGGAGCAGGTACAGCATCAGTGTTGATTTCTTCACATTAATGTTTGAATAAATAACAGGATGGTGAATCTCTAACTGAGTAGGACATGAACTCCTCTGTGATGCTCTGAAGGAAGAGACACCCTGACTTAATGTGGTTGTCCTAAATGGAGTTGTGCAGTCCCCAAGAGCTACTCCTGTGGTGTTTCTGTTTGTGGTTGTTTTAAAGTTGATGAAGCTAGACAGGGGAGGTGGACGTTGGTACTAACTGCAGACGGAGACAACTCCTGTTTACCTTTGACTTCAGCTTTACTACAAATTCGTTGTTTGTCCAAGTGATTATTTTGACCTTATGGTGCAATGAAGTATCATTACATCATATGAATGCTAATTATTCACACTCGAGACAAGCCTTCAAATAATTGTTTGAACTTTTTCGGATGATTTTATTCCCCTCCTTTACACAGCTAAAGTGAGAGGTGTGTATCAGACAGTGCAGTTTCTCAGCTTGACGTTGTCTGGATATTTCTTCAGTCGGAGCCTGCTGGTGGACTACATGCTCAAAAGATGGAAGGCTAAAAGTTTGAGTGCAGCAATGGTGCAGGGCAGCGGTGGCATTGGCAAAGTAGTGAAATTTGTGCAGCTTAAAGGGATATTCCAGCATAAAATTAATTTAGGGTCAAACACATTTACACTGAGTTAGACATCCCCTTGAGAGATGAATGTTGCCGACCGCTTGCTTCTCTAGTTATACCAACTTAGTAAGAACCACACGATAGCAATATACATCGGTCTGAGGAGCCATAAACAAACCTCAACCAAAAAGCCACTCTATAGCCACAAATAATGCTCAGAACATCACCTAACTTCATCAACAGTACATATAGGGTCCCAGCCACAGCACTAGCCACGAATCATCTTTTTAACTTTGCCTAATTTCTTTAGCAAAGAGACTTAACACAACTTACCTACTCTCTTCCAGCAGCCACTTGTTTGTAGCGAGACCTCGGGCTAATCCATTACGGACTGCAGCATTGTGACGCAGCTCAAGGAAGAACGTGAACTGTATACCTTGCCCTGGTTGTTGGTGCTGTTCTGAGCATTATTTGTGGCTATAGAGTGGCGTTTTGGTTGAGGTTTGTGTGTGGCTCCTCAGGCCGCTGTGTATTGCTATCATGCGGTCGTTCGTAAGGTTGGTATAACTAGAGATGCAAGTGGTCAGCAACATTCATCTCTCGACGGGGTGTCTAACTCGGTGTTGTGGTGTGTTTGACCCTAAATTAATTTCTAGCTGGAATACCCCTTTAAGTTGCCTGTCTGAAATATCTCTCAGGCTCAGAGCCATTTATGGTAAGGATGAAAATTAGCCAAATTAAATAAAGCATCGTAATGTTGTTCAAATAGATAACCCAGGGTCGACTTTTTGGTTTAAATGAAAACCGGGTCTCTAGATGGAAACTCTGCATGATTTCACTCATAAAAGGCAGCATACTTCTGCCAAAAGTTGACGTAATCTGTCCTTCTACCTCTGCGCTGAAAGCAGTTGCTTAAATAATGCCCCAGGCGTAGTTGCACTTGGTGCTAAAATGATTCTTTTGAGTCCTTTGAGACACTGAGGGTTGTGGCAGATTGTCTGTATTTGATCTTTTGGAAACTGTATGAAGTAGATGAGCAATCCAGACTTACAGGAGTGTGTACCCCAGCTACTGTGACTAATAGTGTGTCAGCTTTAATTGTGAGGAAGGACTTTAAGGTTACACATAAGCCTGTGTATGTTTATAAATGTTAGTGAGTCAATAGCAAACACCTTTTACAAAAACCCATCAAGTCAGCTGCAATTTTGTGCCAACGATCCACTCATAAATAGGTTAAGCCCACTCTCTGTAGAGCTCTACAGATGTTGAGTGGTTCAATGGTCCACTTGAGAGGTCTTCCTGATCAACCTAGGGGTTAACTAATAAAATAAGTGCCACTTTGAAGGAGGATATTAAACAGCCAAAGGGTTCTTATGACCTGCCAAGACGTTGTTCATATTAATGATTCTTAACTGGAATTTAAATCTGTAAGATGCAACCTTTACCCTTTTATAAAGGGCGCCATATAAGACAGTGGTACCGCTTTGATAAAACCCACTGAGGCATGTATGGGGGGGAGAAAAAATCGTGTCCGCTTGTATCCAGACGGCCCTCGTGTCCCCAGGGATGATCCTTTTAAGTTAATGAATGTTGCATATGAAAACGTTGCCGCATGCTGGCTTTAGCATGTGTATCTGAGCCAAGGGTGGAGAATGATGCCAGAGAGATCAGAGTGACGTGATCTGATTTGATTTATAATGTCTGCCTGACCTTTATTACCTGTGTTGGCACTCAAGGAGAGAGAGTTGCAGTGGTGGAGATCATAGGAGATGAGGATGATGATTATGAGGCGGAGGGGGGAAAAGGAGGAGGAGGAGGAAGGGGGAAGGGGGATTCTTGGAGAGTGAGAGGTCGAGAGGATGAAGCAATTAGGAGGAGAGGAAGCGTGCAGAAAAACATAACGTTTTTAGTTGTTTACACTCAAAGCTTAAGTCGTCAGGGTCTTAACCTCTCCGTCCCACAGCTTGGTTGTTTTTTTCCTTTTGGCATTAAGCCAGTTTTCTCCCCCTCATCCCTTACTGTACTTGTTTCTTCTCTGTTTCTCTCTTGACCCTCCTTTTTCTTGTATTCAAATCTCCATTCACACCCTTCCATCTCTTTGACAGTGTTAATTATTAAGCATAGAAGTAGTTTATCTGTTGGCTGAGACTCCTAACCGAGACAAAGCTCTGCCCAAGGGCGGTCGTACGTGGATGATGGCAGAAAGAGATGGAGCAGGCGCAGAAGGGAAGCAGCTGGGAGGGAAAGGAGAGCATATGAGCACGAAAGAGGATGAGAGAGAGGCAAAAGAGAAAAAAGATATGCGAGAAATGATATGGAATAAAGATGGGAAATTATACGGCACATATAAAAGAAGAAGAGGGAGAGACAGAGCAGGAGCAGAGCGGAGAGAAAAATAATTGGGCCAAAGAGAGGGGAAAAGGCTGTAGAGAGAAATGAGAGATGATAGAGGGAAAGGTTGAGTTTTAGGAGGGGAGATAAGGGAAGGAATACAGGAGTGAACTATTTGTTTAGTTTCCTATTCGGATCATTAGCCATCACCAAGGTAGCAGCTACTCTTTCTAGGGTCTAACACAACAGGCGAATCCACAAAACTATACCTCCTCAAATCAGAAGAGAGACAGAAATAATAATCATGATGAACAATGATAACGGTAACGACCAATAACAGGCAGAAACAAAACAGAGGAAAGCGTAAAATTAATTTCAGTCAATATTAATGATTCCACCAAAAAAAACACAGAAGCAATCTCTCACAGTACTCTCACATTATATCCATCCAATTAATGAAACAGGCTGTGTTAGACTCTTTCTGTCTAAACACTAATAGAAAGACCCACTGTATCAAAAAACCGTGGAACAATGTAAAAACAATTATGAAAATACTTGTACCAATGGTAATGATAACAATAACAAATATCCTTTTTAATCCAAAATCAGACTGTGGAACTGATTTAAGAAAACATGAATGCACCAGTCAAAAACCATCATTGCAATGTTTCAGTGCCCACTTTGTATCAGTTCTTTTTGAAGCAGTGTGTATATGGACTAACAACACAGTCTTAAAAATGGCGTGGATATTCTCATGAGTGATTTTGTGTTAATATTGTGTTGACAGCAATCAGAGCCCATTGTGTGACAACAAGAAATGCCTCAAAGCTCCTGTAAGGACTTTTGCACATTCATGAATTAATCAAAATTCATATTGGTTAGGGGTGGGAATCACCAGTGGCCCTACGATACGATATTATCAAGATACTTGCAAACCTTATGTATATTTGTTGTACTAACTTTCTCCTGTTCTATGATGTCACCTCTTCCAACCTCACTGGACAAACAGTTTAATTTATTTTTACATTATCATAGATTTGACTGAATATTAGCAATTAATTTGAAAAATCGATACTTGGTTAATGAGATGATACGATGTATCACCAGACAAAATATTGCGATATTCTGTTGGATTGACTTTTTCTCCCAACCCTAATATTGATGCATTTTTCTGACATCCAAAAGCAAAAGAAACTGATTTCCTTGAGATTTGCCCGCAATTAAGAAGTCTGAGGTTTGCCTTGATAACAACATTGTTATTCATGCGCAAACTTTGTCAGGTCTGTTCTCCAGAACAGAAAAAAACAACTTAAAAACTGTTTGTTTGTTGCAGGTCCCATCAGGCATTTCTGATGCATTCAGGAACCAGGAGATCTTGATGCTAATTGTTAAGCAGATTAGTCACTCGCTTTGAAATTTGAATTTACAGGGTGGGTTGTTAGCTGGTTTTTCATGCAGATGTCTGTCTGCAGAGATGGGATGTCATTCAGTGGATCATGTTTCACCCGCTTTTGGTCTCTCCTGCGTACACTAGAGCCACCTGATGCATGATGGTCAGTGATACTCAAACTACAAAGATAAAGTCTGGACACCAGAATCCAGGCCACAATTACAGTTTTTGCAATTCTTGTACATTCAGCATTTTTGTTTAGATTTCTGGCTCTGTAAATAGAGAATATACAGAGAGGGGCAGGTATTCTGTGACTTTAGATAGATGAATATCCCAAATAGACGTGCACTGATCCATTATTTTCCAATCCGATACCGATACCTGGGCTGAACATATTGGCCGATATCCAATACCTATCCAATACTACTGTTTAATTAATGAACTGTATACATTGCCCTGTGAGTGAAGGCATCAGGCTTGACATAAGCCTTGTTAAAAAAGGTAACAAATTAACACAGATGTAAATTTGCTTAATATTATATATGAACAAATGACAAATTGCACATTAGCACACAGCAAAATGAAGTAAGAAAAATTAGTTAAAAGAAAAAAAAAAACCTAGATCGGAATGCTCAATTGGCATCTTTCATCAGATATCCGATCCAGTTTATTTGTCACTTTGGAGCCGATATCCGATCCAAATAACGGATCCGTGCTTCTCTAATCCCAAAACTGTTCTTGAAAACTGTAGTATGAATTAATCCTGGTGGTTGACATCTCCATGCTGTTTTACAGGAAAGTGCATGGCCTTGCAACTGTAAATGTCAAACCGCCTCCTGTGGCACGCTTAGTTCAGTAATTCTGGCCATTCCTACTGTTGGACAAATGATTAATTGTAACATTTGTAATTTTAGCTGGTACAATATTTCTCAAAAGGCAGAGCAGAGGAATGAAGGAGATGGAGGAGAGGACATCCACTCTGTGCTTGAATGATGGGCTAAGCGTGGAAAAACTCCTATCTCATCCATCACTCACACCTTGACCCTGCCCCATCTCCTGTTTAACTATGCGTACGCGCGTCTCCTGCTGTTGGTGTCTTTTTATGGACACACCGGGTTATTTAAGACGCTGTAATTTACACTGATAAAGCAGGATTAAAAAGGTCCTCATAAGCATTGAGGAAATGAAGGATGCTGCAGCAGTAGTTGTGCTGAAGGACATCATTTTCTATTGTATGTGTGTGTTTGTGTGTGTGTGTGTTTACATAAGTGTGTGTTTGTTTGTGTGGTTGTGTGTGTGTGTGTATTAATTGTGTTTCCAGTCCAGACAGGATGCAAGCGGATTGTGAAACTCAGAAGTCAGTTCCCACGGTGAGATGGGGGTTCCCATGGCAACCACAGCAAAGGGAGGACACTGGATTACCCCAGCTCTGTCTCTCTCTCTCTCTCTCTTTCTGTTTCTCTCTTTTTTTCACTTCTCCCCTCTTTCTGTTTCCCACCCTCTTTTCCCCTCCCTCTTCTCTCTGTTCATCTCATGCTTTTTCTGTCTCTTCTATTTTGTCTCACCCTCTTTCTCTCCAACTCTGTCACCCCCCTCGGTTTTTTCTCCTCTCCCTTCCTCTCACTCTACTTCACCCTCTCCCCCTCTCTCTCTTTTTCTGTCTCAAGGGTGATAAAGGATTGTACTCTCATTAATTTTTCTGCCCTCTTGAGAGCAAAGTGTCCGGGAAAGGGGACTCTGCGTGTCAGCCTGCGTGTGTTCTCACATGTGTCATTTTGTGTGTGTACATGTGTATGCTCCTGGCTTTGTTATGTATGCGTCCTTGGTTCCTGGGTACATCGTTGTCAACCATTCCACGGTTTTCACATTTGCGAACAAATGCGAGAGTGTGTATGTTTGTTTGAATCCAACACGATTATTCCTTCAACTTTCGACTTCAGACTATTTTCCTTCTTTTCAAACTCTCCGCTTTCACTTCTGAGCCCTCTCTTTCTGCTAGTTTGACAGCTAGCAGGCAAAGCAGATACACAAATACACAAATACACACACACTATACACGAGTTTACACTTAAAGTGACTTTAAACGTGTTGCAGTCTGTTTCATGGTAGCTGTCTTTCTTTTGTAGTTGCGCACATGAAACGTGTTGAATGCTCCGTCAGACGTCGTGCTCGTAAATTAAAGTTGATACATTTAAGCCTATCATTACAAGTTTCCACTCTTATTGAAGTTGTTGTTTTTTTGAAGGTTAGTACATTCGGTTCTGTGCTGGCAGATTTAATTTTTCAAGCAGTGAGCCACGAGATGCACACATGGGTTTGAGGCTCCTTGCACACTCAAATGGATATATTCAGCCCTGGCATGTTGTGTGCACTGCAACACAAACATGCCCGAATCTTGCATATATACCTAAGATTTCTCAGAGTGCAGACATTTTTTTATTGCAAATACCTCTTGAGAGAGAGGACATGTCAAAGACAAATACTGAATAAAAAGAGAGACCTGATTAATGTAGATGAATCCACACAGGGCGAGGGGTCATTGAACGGCTTGATGAGAATGAAAATTATGTGAATATTATTAACAATACCCTCACAGTAGCAGGATTTTAGCAGGGGACTGAAGAAAAACATGCATGCTTTAACAATTATCTCGTAAGGTCATGTGGTGTGTTTCCTGGTTGGGTGTTTTGCCCAAAAATTACAGTTTAGGAACTCTAGGTGCAGCTGAAGGTGGACAGCAGTTTATTCTGTTTGAAGTGGTTGTCTCAGTCTATCGATCAGTCAATTATATTTCCTTACAATTGCTCAAACACATCTCTTAAAACCTTCCACCCTTTTCCTAAGCTGTTACACAAGACCCAATTTTCAGACTTCATTTACAAAACCTCAAAACTTTAACCATCAAAACAGTTTCACAGTAACTGCACTCTGAATTAAACACCATTTTCACATCAAACACAGCTGTCAAAATAAAAACACCACTGAGTAGACCTTACACACTCACATTTGTTAAAAAAATGGTCAGGGATTGCAGCAAAAAAAAAAAAAAAAGTTGATTTCTGGTATATAAGTTTGTGAGCCAGTCTGTAAAGTTCACTATATTAAATGATACAATTACAAAAACATGCAGTTGAAGCTCCTCTGAGGATTTTTAAGAAATAGATTCATATTGATGCCTTTTTATGACATTCAGAGGCAAACAAGACCATGACAGTATCAGCGGTGCAGAAGAAGAAACAGCCCTGTTTTTACATTTGATTTTTACAAAAGACTGTAAATTTTATCCTCAGTAGTCAACAAGATGAGATTCTTTGTCAGATGACATGACCTCAGCAGGTAGAGGACAAGTTTTGGTCAACTTTGGTGACGCCAAAGTTGACTGAAACTGCAAGTTCCTCACCGGAGTTTGAGGAATTTCCAAAATAAATCTTCAAATTACAAAAATATTGCACACCTAAGCAGATGTATTGGAGAGAAGCTGACAGTCAAACACAAAAGGACACTGTCATCTACACTTGTAATTTTGAGATTTACCGAATTGCTTCTTGATGCTGCGGTGCTTTGTCCTTTATTAGGTTGGTTTATCATTGGAGTCAGCGGCATATCCTCTAATGGAGCAGACACTCTATGGAGATTACACTTGTGCATTTGCAGGGTTTTGCAGAGATGATAAACACAGAGACAGAGCCTTACTCTGTTTTTGGTCTTGGTCTACCTCATCTTCTCTCTCCTTCTCATGATAAACCACTTCTCAAACATCCTCTTCTTCCTCTACTTCAACTCACTTTTGACTTCTTATTTGTCACATGTTGGTTTGATCACACCTTTAGCAACAAGAGCTTTATGTTGTGAGTCGTGTGTAAACTTTAACACCTGTGCCATTATGTGTCACAGTGCAAAATATGTTTGTAAGTGAGAATGTGTTTTGCAAAGAATAATGAATAAGATCTGCAAAGTGTGCCCGACTTGATGAAAGTATTGAGAGGGATTTTGTGTGTGTGTGTGTGTGTTTTTTTACTGTGAGAGAAACTTCATGTACATGCACATCAACATGAAAGGTGCCCATATTGAATACAGTGATTGAATGTTCAGTATTTGCCATGTTGTTGATCTTTAACCTTGTGTCACATGGTTTGAGCGTGTGAGCATTTTGGCCATTCTGCTGAACTGCGTGACCCTGGGGATGTTTCAGCCCTGTGGCCACACCCCATATGTGCTGCAGGTAAGCTCACACACATACACACACACACACACACACACATAATTACAACCTAATTATGTTCTGCTTTGAGACTTTATTATCAAGAGCCTGAAAAGTTTTTGCTTTAATTTTTTCCTTCTTAATCTGTTGACGTTAATCCTCTTGGTGTGTGTTCCCCTGCGTGTGTGTATGTGTGTGTCTGTGTGCACAAAGGCTCTGGACGACGGCATCTTTGTGTTCTTCGCTGGGGAAATGGTGGTGAAGATGGTGGCCCTAGGGGTCATAGGTCAGACCGGTTACCTTGGCGACACATGGAACAGATTGGACTTCTTCATTGTTATAATTGGGTGAGTGTTTGATGGACCCACACATACCCCACACACATCCCGCACAAACATGCGCATGTGACATTAAATATGAGCCAAAAGTGTGTGTGTATGTGTGTGTTTTGTGTAAAGCTTAGACACTTGTTTAATGCCAGTTAAATGTCAAGCCTGTGTGTGTGTGTGTGCACGTGGATGTTGTGGGTTGTGTGTGTGTGCAACAACTCTGTAGAATGACAATGGCATCACTCAGTCCTGAGAGACAGAGACCTCAGTGATTGGTAGTTAAAAGGCAATGTATCCCAGAGACGCTGCTCTGCATTCGGCTGGATTCCCTGTAGACACTCAGGGTTTGCCAAGGTCAGGCTGATCAGGATGCCACTGACACTGTGGTGGCTTTCCTTTCTGCAGAATGCTGGAGTACTCCCTTGATGGACACAACGTCAGCCTATCAGCAATTAGGACGGTCCGGGTTCTCCGCCCGCTGCGAGCCATCAACAGAGTTCCCAGTGAGTTTCTCTCTTCTTTCTTTTAAACTCACAGAGTATTATGAGTTTTTATTGTCTGTCATTGTTTTGTCTCTGTGTTCACACACTTTGGATTTTAAATTAAACAGTGACTCTGAGGTTAAAGTGCTGACTTTAATTTTCTAAAGCTTTAAAGTGTGTTCACATCCAATTTGGGAGTAGAGGACTCACTTGACTTTAGGACAAAGCAATAGGTCAGGGATTGTAAAAGGAGCAGCAAGAGGGCAACTAAGGAGATTTTCTTGGTCAAAGCGTATAATGTTCTTGACTGGACGAGCTGCTGACCTGACAGCAATCCAACACATTGTGTGTTTGACTCACTGAGGAGCAGATTTAAGCCCTGGAAATGAGCAAGAAGGGAAGATGACTGCAGTACAAGGCTGGCAGAGCATAAGTAGGAAATATACAAAGTGTCAGCTGACGACTGAGAGTTGTCAGACTTTTTACTGACTGTGTATAAAGATTCACGTTGCATCACCATCTCCTCCTGTTGCTCTGAGGTGAAGCCAAAATACTCACTGTGATGGGTACTGACATCTTGCCTGATTATATCATCATTATGTCATCATAGAGACTGGGTAGTGGAAATTATCTGGTAGAGCCTGCAGGTTGATGTCCCACCCTTTTGGCTAACCAAGACACCCATGATAAAATGGAAAGGATCCCTCACCCCCCATTTTTTACCACATCCGGGACGGCTACGAAAAGGCTACAAAAAGCCGATCGTAGCCGAGCGTAACCATTCAAGTTAATGTGTCAATTTCCACCGGCTTCCTTCCATTCCACTGCGGATCACCAGACTCCACCGCTGATCGCAAGAGAGTATTTTTTCCGGCTGCAGGAGAATGCCAGATAAACTCAGCACAGATTAACCCGTGCTGGAAAGCGATTGCACATGAATCTGTGAAATTCGCCCCACAAACGGAGCCAGTAGGAATTGGCGGACGGCAAAAATTTCCGCTGTTTGAGATCAGAGCCGTTCCGTATGCGCTGGAAATTCAGGGTTGATTGGTACAGCTCATAGCAGAACAGAAACCGATACTGCTTTTTGAATTGTTTCCTTCTTTTTGCCTCGTCACCATCATTATCAGTAGAGCTGTCAATCATGGCTTTTAAAGGCCCCAAACAATTATTTAACACTACCTTCTTAAAAAACAAACACTTGGACACAACTCGGCTTAACAAGAACTTACTATAATAACAGGAGCACTGCAGTCAACCGGTTTGGCTTCACTTTAAGGCAGACCTGGGCATTTTACGGCCCGAGGGCCACATCCGACCCTTTGGATGTCCCTGCCCGGCCCTTCGTGAGGTCCATCAATCAAATCATCAACATGCTATACAAGTGTGTTGCTTTTATTTTGAAAACCTAGCCGTTGTTTTATTTCCGTTTGGACGCACGTGCGTACATCTGAGATCGTGAGATCTGCATTCGTGAACAGAGTTCAAACATCGGCCTTATAGTTGCCAAGTCCACTTATTATAAACGACTTCAGGCTTGTTTATCTCAGGCTTGTAAAACTCGTAAGTCGCGGGTGCGCTTCTTTGGGCTTGTTTTTAACTCGTAGTTGCTTATTAGGGCTTGCTTTTCTGAATGTGTGAACCCACCTGATTTGAAGTTGAAGTTAAAGTTATTGTTGGTTCGGCCCTACAATACAATGCAGGTTTCTCATGTGGCCCCATGTAAAAATTAATAGCCCACCCCTGCTTTAAGGTCATCAAACCCAAGACCACAATAGTGTAACTGATTACAACTGAGTACCTGTCAGCTTTGGGCATGAAACCTACATTTCAAGGGACCCAGGTAGAGTGAGAACAGCACAGTAAAACTTCAGGGGACTAGAGTAGCATGGTGAAATTAGGGCTGGCCAGCAGAGAATACCAGCAAAGGTAATCGACAAACTGCCCAGCGGAGGTTAAAACATTTGTACTGTTCCCCATTCCATCGATTGGTGCTGTCAGTCCGTCATCTGCTCGTACCCGTGTGATTTCAGTGATCTTTAAAGTTCACCACTGCTATCATCTTCTTCATCAGCTGTTTATTTACAACACCCCGGAGCTCTTTCCTATCAGATCAAAAAAGACTTCAGCCACTCTGAGCTGTGAATCTGCTGTCTGACTAACACAGTAGGAAAAAGACGAAATAATACAGCAAGTTATGTTACAGGCATGAGGTTAAACACAGAGTAACACCTCTAACATTAAGTCCTGTTGGTCGTACCCCTCAGAAAGCCTTCATCTGACAAGGGTAATGATTATGACAACTGTGCATGACTACTTCCAGCTAACTGTATGTTAACTTTATTAATCAACTTTCTGACTCCTATAATTGGTGGATCATGGGTAGAATGAGAGTCACTTCCTACTGTGATCATCCGATGTGGGAACACCCTCAGCTAAAAGCCAGCATCCTCATTAGTCACAGCTGAGACATCCTAAAATGTGTCACTGTCCTTGTGTTCTCTGTAAACTCCTTTTTATTTCCTTACCGAGCTTACCTCCGCTGCCTGCTGCTTTTAAACTGCAGCAGCTTTCCTTTTGATGGATTCATGTGTAAACAAATCAGGGCACGGAGAACAAAGTCATGGGAATCATTGTGATGCTTGTGTTGTCCGAAACAGCTCAATGCACAAACCGGCCAGCCAACTTGATTTTTTTTTTTACAACTCTGTGACCTTGGCAGAGCTCACACTGAGTTCTTGTAACAGTGGAGAGTGTGTTTGAAGTAGCCAAGTCTAAGAGCAGTAAAGAGGAAGATTTCAGATCTGTGCTCTTCAGCAGAGTGGAGTGGAGGCCAATTATCAGTGTTTGAACTCTAATTATTGCCCATTCAATTAATTGCACTGCTCCAGTTTCCTGCAGAATACATAAAGGGATTTTCTCCTGGCTGGCAACTACTTGTGACTGACGTTGAGCTTTGAATGTAGATTTTTGCAAGGCTGTAGTATATGATTGCTAATGTTGTAAGACTGCTGAAAGTGTTTTCTTTTAAAGTACTTATGCTTTACTTCCAAACTTCTCAACCAAACACAGAAGGTCTAATGATGCATAATGATTTGAGTCATTATTCAGCAATTTTAAGTCCAAGTAATAGCTGTTTTTTTCCTGGTTGGTATGACGAAAATGGACTTTTTACAAAATAACGTCAGGATCACAACTCTTTAAAAGGAACTTATATTTTCTTTCAGTGAACCAACTTTTAAATGAATATATTTTTGGTTTTCATGGTTGAACCACAGAAAGAGTTCTTGCAAAGTCATCCTAGTTCAGTTTTGGTTGTTTAATCAAATTGTACCCACCGGATATCTCTTTAATAAAACAGCAAGTCAAGGTTGGCCACAGTTATGCAAATATTTAACGTATTAACCCTTGATCAGTTAAGGAAGACACAGACCCAGATAACAGTTGATCAAACACTGAACCTTAAATCTTCAAAGGAACATTATCCATCTCACTGCGTAAGAGCAGGACTTGAATAATTCCTCTTCCTCCATTAAACAACCTCAGCGAACGCTCCTGATGATGGGATTCAGATCTTACAGCAGTGATCCAGATAATTTGGCTCAGCAAGGAACCACCTCTTGTGGCTCTTAAACGGCTCTTTTGAAGTACAGTTTTGGCTCTCAAGAGTTTCCTCTTAGAGCTGAGTCATGCCAGTCCGACACATGCTTGGCCCAGCTAGCCAAGTTGTGTATTTGTCTACAATTAAAATAAATAATTTTGTCTCATCAAAATTTTTACGGTGGTTTAATTCTTAGGACTGTACTGATGAGCAGAAGAGATGCTGCATGTCTACATGCTGACTGGGTTTGGGTAATATCGTAGCTTTTGATGCACAAGTTAACCAAAACGAAAAGCAGGGCGAACAAATGTTTACTGGCCAGTGAAAAGGCATCTAACATCCAGATATGAAGAGACAAGTAATAAGTGAAAGTCAGAGTTATGGATAAGAGGATTTCATTTTTACACAACAATTATATCATTAAACAAATTATTTTACCGAGCAAGCCAGAAAAACAAAATAATTATGACCCTTGTGTCAGTATTTTATTATTAGGAAGTCTGTTTTTGACCCACATCTCACACATAGTGGTCTTGCGTGCTTGTCTGTGGTTTGGGTTTCTTATTTAAAGACATAAATCTCAGAGTCTATGTCTTTGATAATTGATCATCTTTACATAACCACAGATAAGTTATTGATAAACATATAGTTTTTCTTATGTAAAAATGCAGGGTTCTCCAAAAACACCTAAACACTGAATATTTGCCCTCATGCTGATTTGAAAGCCATCCAGTTGGGCAGTCATCGTGACTTTTGGTGGTTAATCCCCTTTTTAACAAGTTTTGTAGCAAAATTTTAGGTTTTGACACAACTTTTGCCTTAGTTATTTACAGTATTTTTGCCCTCTGTGTGTGTTTGTGTGTTTTGGCAGGTATGCGTATTCTGGTAACCCTCCTCCTCGACACACTTCCAATGCTGGGCAACGTGCTGGCACTGTGCTTTTTTGTCTTCTTCATCTTCGGCATCGTCGGGGTGCAGCTGTGGGCAGGGCTTCTCAGAAACCGCTGTTTCATGGGAGAGGAAATCAAGATGTGAGTTACCATAGCAACCGACAGATGTGACATCACGGGACACCCTGGCCTCATTACCCCAAACCTGTTGTCAGAAGTTTTCGCACAACTGATTAGCCTCTTTCACCCAGCTGTTATTTGTAAAAGGGGATCAATAACACAGATAGTCTGATCCTGTTTGTTCTCTAATCAGTGCCGTCTGGGAGGAAGTTAATGTGCAAATGTGTTCCCCGCTGGAACCTCAAGCATTAGAGATCACAAATCAGGGGATTAAGGAGGCTAAGTGAATTCTGTGTGTTGTTATTCAGACACTCAGGGGCTGTTTCAGCACCTACCCTCTGAGTTTTTCTGTCACTTCTGGTCTCTTCACATTCCCTGGTGCCATGTTCAATTTGTTTGGGACACGGTCTCCCTCTGCTCCTCACATGGTCTCAAAACACGGTCATATAGTCTCACATAACATCAGCTGACATCATACCCACCTCATGGCCTCATGTCTAGTCAACCATCCTGCAAGATAAAAATCCCTGACATTGGTGTGGAGGTTTATATCCAGTTCAGGGTGCATTTTGGGACAGCCTACATTTTAATGCTACATAAATCTGCCAGATAAGATCAGCTGTATTTATAGTATCCATCTCGATACAAACAGGATGCCAATTAACCTCCCTTTTCCAATGGCAGAATACTTTAAGTTCAAGTTAAACATCTTCTCTGCCTCTGACCTTTGATAGCTCTTTGTCAAAGATGTAATTATCCCAGTCTGGGGATATGTGAGAGAGCACGTCTAGTAAAACCATTTACAGTTTTGATCAGCTCTGAATCATCAGAGATGATAATGCATTTGGGAGCAAATGAATGAAATGTCTGTCTAGTGCACAGTTAGGGACAATCAACAGAGTGGAAAATCACAAAAATTGAAGCAAAACAAAACAAGGTGCTGAGCATTTTTTTTTGTCTAAACTGTGACTCGATAATACAGATACCAAAATGAATCCTGGGCAACCTACAGCTCAATGTACGATAATGACATTCAGACAAGTTTTCAAGGAAGCCTAAGATACAAAACAACACAATCAGAAAAATTTGGGAAAGAGAGGACAAAAGTAGAGCAACCCATGACTTCTAATAAATACAATGACCTTACATGCCATCATCCCTCTATGATTATATTAAATTTTATGATTTATCTGCATCACCAGCCCCATGAGCAGCACTTTTATTTGGTTTTTTGATTTTTTTTTTTTCGTCTTGAGCTGAAGTTGCTTTATTTGCTGCATTGTCAAGCCAGGCTTTTATTTTGAAATAAAATGCTTACGGTAGATTGTAAGTTTTGGGGCTGAATAAAAACAGTTCAAGAACGGTTAAAAGGTATAAATGATCAGTTGAGTTGTTGAATCTTGAACATTAGCTTGAAAAATGTAGCTAACATGTTAGCAAGGCAGCGTCTCACTGCCTCGCCTCTCCTCTGTTTTATGACATGTGTGAAGAACCAGGTCTACAAACTAATGGTATTATGGCAGTCTTATTTTTAGCGTGCTATCGCTATTAATTTATGATTTTTTTTAAGGCTCACTCCAATCATGTTTTTTACTTCTCAAAGTGCTGTCAGTGGTCTTTAAATTTTGATTATGAAGTTTTTACCAAAAATCGCGTTAACTGTGTCATTGTCAAGAGCTTTTCTTCTGCAGAGCTCCAGTAGATCATTGGCAATTCGCCTGAGTCGTGGCCGGAGACAGCGCTGCTCTGCACACTCGTCTTCACATTAGCTTGCAGCCTAACATTGACGGTTTAGTAGAAGTGGCAGGTAACATAGGAGCTATTCAGCTCTCGGACACTTTATGGACACGATGAAAGCTAATGTCATAATTAGCTTTCTTACGGGCATTGCAATCCACTAACGTACACACTTGTTACGCAATCGTCCTCTGTATTTCTCCTCTATATGCAGAGTGTGGCCTGTATAGTGGGGCCCCAGGGGCGAAACTTAGATTGGTTACATATGAAACCTCACTGTTTCTGAACCTGCCGTTTGGGTCTGCCAGAGATTCACAGAGATTTGAATGAAAAAATTCTCAGAAAAGCAATTTCGCATTGAGTTTTCTCATGATATGTCCTGTAGCATCAGAAAAATGCCACATGAACGTATGAAAAACACGATTTTCATTGGAGTGGGTCTTTAAAGACTATTATCGTCAATATGGGTGTACTGTGCTATCAGTAACATTCAGTGACTAATGCAACAAAAAAAGTAATAAAAGAGCTTAAATGGAAAAAAGGGTCAGGTTAGGCTGGTTATTTGTTCAGCAGTGTGACTGAGACAATGGGCTTTGTCATGTCTAACTGAGGATGGTAAAGTATCTGTGAAGAGTCCCTCGTGATTTTATTTGGCTGTCTGACAAGAGTCACTCTATAATAGCCTGAAATACACTTGGCACTAACATTGAATGAACACAAACCAGTGTTCATGATACAATAAATAGTATGAGAACAGCAAACCCAATAAAACACTCCAGTGCAGGCTGGTTTTGATTGAAGAAGTTTTAAGATTTGACTCTTTGAATACTTGCCGGTAATTCTCTGTTGTCACGGTAGAGTAGAAGAGGTATTATGACTGCAGCTCAGCTTTATGACGGATGTTATGTTTTCTTGGGGTTACTTTCTGGCACTTGCTCTGACTCTTCTTCATGATTTTATGATGTCTTTTTTTATGTGGAGCAGCAAACAATAACACTCACACTCAGAGAAATCTCCCCTCAAGGAAGATAAAGTTTACACTCTCTTTGTGAGTAAAAAAAACAGACAAAGAGAGGAGCACAAACAGTGAACAAAAGAGAGGAAGCAGGCGTCTGTAATTACATTTCAAATGTACTGCAGTTGTGTCAGGAAAGGCATTATCATGGTGTTATTTGCTGCTCCTTTGTTCACATCTGGTCATATTTACCTGCTGCTTACAGTCTGATTCAAACTTCTCCGTGTATAGATTTTGTTTTCCGTCAGTAATTTGGATTTCTTTCCGCTCCATAAACAACAAAATGACCTTTTCTAATGAGAAGTGAGGGAGTAGCGCTCCTCTGTGACCTCACTCCACAACACACATGATTGATTGCTTAACTCTCTGCCGCAAACACCCTCTCTCTTTTCGTCTCTTCCCTTTATCTGTGATTCTCTCTCTGTTTCCTCTCGGTGTCCTTTAGTGAATTTCATACTGTCTTCCTGTTTTCTGCAATAAAAAAGACATTTAATCCAAACGTAAAGATTGAAAAAGCACTTAATCCCCTTGAACTCCTTGACTCCATCTGAATTTGTCTCAAAAATATATGTTTTAGATCTTGTTTGGATTTTGTTTTGAAGAAGTACAGATATTTAACTGAATTTTAACAAATCCCCTGTTAGGCATTAAACCAACAGAGTATCGATTTTTCTAACAGGAATTATTTTTTCAGCTGAAGCTTGAAATCTCTGTGCCATTAAGCGCTGGTGTTGTCCAAAAACACACAGTGGCTCACACGGCCTTTCTTTCAAAATGAGCACTGTCGCTTTAGTTTATTTTGAGTCTCATACCCTGCTGTTTTAAGTACCCACTAGCACACCAAATGTCGTGGCTGAAAATAGTCCTTAACAACCACAATATTTTCACCTGTCTATGAAATTATAGCTAGATTTACAGAGCCCAGCTTTTATGTTAGAGTACTGCATTTAAATTTTTGGTGACCCATTTTTAAAGAAACAAGAAGGCTGGGGAAAAAGCTGGTTTAAACTCAGTTTCAGTGTTGTTGATTTAAGTATTTTTGTGGGTATGTTGACATTAAGAAAACCTCCTGTTGTGTTTGGCTCTTTGATTTAATTACTGAATTTTAATAGATTAAAAATCCCAATATAAAAAGGTTTACTTACCTTGTTAAACACTGTCAAGAAACAGATTTTGATGGTTTGTATATTGTTTCATATTTAACTGAAAGGTGTTCACGGTCAACATATCAAATGTTAAAACTAAAATGTTTTATCATTTTGTGACAAAAAAAGCTCAATTTAACTTGGATACCAGCAATACATTTCAAAAAGTTTGGACAGGGGCATGTTGTTTTGTGTTGCATCACCTCCTCTTTTAACAACACTGTTAATGTTTGGGAACCAAGCAGACCGGTGTCTGGAGTTTTGAAAGTGAAATGTCATCCTGTTCTTGCCAAGGATTTCAGCTGCTCAACAATTCAGGGTCTCCTTTGTCATTTGTTTAATTACTCATCTACCATGCAGTTGTAATACAACATGTAGTTTGGCATCTTCTTGCTGTATTATGCAAGACATCGTCTGGATGGCGGCATATATTGCTCCAAAACTGTCCAGCACTATCGTTGCCTTATGTGATGTGTAAGCCACTCATACCAAGGGTTCCTCCACATTTCCATACCATCACAGATGCTGACGTTTAAACTTTACTCTGATAACAAGCCTGAATGGTCCCTCTCCATTTTGCAAACTGAATGTTAAACATGGATTTATCATACCACAGGATACTTTTCCACTTTGCCTCAGTCCATCTTGAACTCAGGCACAGAGGAATTGCCTTCGTTTCTGGATCATGAACCTGTTTGCACTGTACAGTTTTAACCTCCATCTACATACCGTATGAAGCGATGAAGTGTGTTCACATGCAGGAGATTTTTTTAGAGTGACTTTGAGTTCATGCAGTGGTCCCTACTTCAAATCTCTTGTCCTATTTGTTGGAGAGCCTGATGGGTTTTTGACCTTGTCCCTTTTGGACAGAGACTTCCCTCAATTCTCATGGTTGTTATATATCATGTAGTCCCCAGAATTTTTGCAGTTTCTTGCTGATGAACACCTAAAGTTCTCACAGAGAGGTAAACCTCTCCTCAACTTCATTTGTGAGAGACTGTGCCCCTCTGTAATGTCCTTTTAATTCTCTGTCATATCACTAACTTGTTGCAAATGAACCTTAAATATTTGGAGGTTTTTCTCCAGGTGTTATTTTAAGCATGACACAACTTTTTCAGCTTTTTTTTGTCCAAGTCCCAACTTTTTCACGTGCTGCTCACATCAAGTTTTAAATGACCATATATTTTTTCTGGAAAACTAAATTTGCTTATTTTCAACGCTTGATTTGTTGTTTTTGCACTATTTTATATTGAAGTTGGGGTTTGATTTGCAAAGACAGTTTTTGGAATTGGGGTTATAGTCTGAAACACCTCCCAAAAATGTAAATGTTTTTATTATTTATCTTTCTGTCTTCATCTCCAGGAGATATAACATTTCCTTCCTGAGTGGCTACTATAGACCAGATGGCGGTGATGACCACCCCTTCATCTGCTCAACACAGAGAGAAAACGGGATGCTTCGATGCTCCGACGTGCCTCACCGCCGTGTGGCCGGGAATTCGTGCCTCCTGAGCGCTGAGGAAGCTTTCCCAGAGATCAGACCTACAGTGGAACAACCAGTGTCATGTGTGAACTGGTACCAGTATTATAACGAGTGTCGGGCTGGGGAAGTAAACCCACACAAAGGAGCTATAAACTTTGATAACATTGGATATGCATGGATTGCTATTTTTCAGGTAAAGGGTTACAGCATTATGTGCATGAATTCACCTTTGGTCCATGAGTGGTATGAACTCAGCACAGCTCATATCACTGTATTTCTGTGTGTGTGTGTGTGTGTGTGTGTGTGTGTGTGTGTGTGTGTGTGTGTGTGTGTGCTTTCATACAGGTGATTACCCTGGAAGGCTGGGTCGACATCATGTACTACGTCATGGATGCACACTCTTTTTATAATTTCATCTACTTCATCTTCCTCATCATCGTAAGTGCACGCACTCGCACGCACACACACTTGAAGTGGCCTGTTAACAGCCAAATGTCGCGCCTTGTACTGTGTGTGTAATATACATGTTGTCGTGACCAGGTGGGCTCCTTCTTCATGATCAACTTGTGCCTGGTTGTCATAGCAACACAGTTTTCTGAAACCAAGCAGAGAGAACACGCCTTAATGAAATCGGAGCAGCACGCCCGCCAGCTCCACCAATCGGCTTCCACATTGGCGAGCGACAGCCAACCAGGAAGCTGCTACGAGGAGATTATCCGCTACCTGGCGCACCTGGGCCGCAAGGCGTGGCGGCGGTTGTCACGCTGGTACACCCAGAAACGCACGCACTTCCACTGTGTGTGTGTATGCAAGAGAAACAGAGGGCTGGGATCCACCAGAGGGAGCGGGGTTGGGGAAATGAACGGACTTGCCCATAGGCACTCGGGCCACGCCCCTAATGACCTGTCACACCTTCATCAGCTCTATCATCATCATCAGCAGCATCACCAGCTGCCTGTGCCGCAGCCATCTGAGCCCGTTGTCAGTAACGGAGGGAACGGATTTAATTATCCCTTCATAGCGCCGCTTTTCAGTCACCTGGATGCAAAGGACCAGGACCAGAAGCGGCCGGTTGCCACGGAGAATGTCAACAGACTGCCTCAGCTGGTGGTGGAACACGGTGAGAATGAAGGAGTGTGTGTTTGTGAGTGTGTGTGTGTGTGTGTGCTCCCAAAGGTGGATGCACAGGTGTAGAGGCACTTTGCAGAGACTAATAACAACTGTAGTGAAGCTACTCTCACACTTCTAACCTCAGAAATTGTCAGCTTTAGTGTGCCTCTGTTTGGGTTTGTGAGAGATTCAGGTAACTTGAGTCTTTTTATTCACTCCTTTGAGAAATAATCTTTCAGGCTCAGTTCCCCTAAGTTACAAAAGGACATGTTTTTTTCCTCACTTACCCTCAGTCACATTTAGACATGTGGATCACAGACTTCAGCCGTCTCTGACACAGCAGAAATGAATTTAATTTAGTTTTTTTTGTGCTGAAAGCATTAGAATTAAAAAGAAAGATCAGCTTCAGAGGGCTCAAGTCTGCACAGTTTTCCTGTGACGTTGGCAAGCTTTTACTTTACAGACCTTGATCAGGTCTGTATGACAAGCTGACAGTGAAAATGCTGTGGTGTTGCTATGCTTCCAGGTAATTAGCCCAGAGCCAACACATCTGTGTGTCTCTTACGTAAGATCCTACCTAGGGTACTGTAATCCCCTGGCCTTTTAGGAGCGTAAATATGGAGAATAAGGGATTAAAAGTTTGAAAGATTGAAAAAGCAAACAAAAATTTACAGCAGATGTGTTTTTCATTAACAAAAACATCTGACAGATGTTTTCATACCTGATAACACAATCTCTCAGAAAGGCAAATGTGTGGAATTAGAGCATAACGCTCACATTAACTCCCCAGACGTCTCTGAGTTTACTCTCTGTCCAGATCTCCTCCTGTCTGTCTGTAACACGTTTTGATTCCCTGAGTACTAAGGGCAGATGTAGGACAAGATTGGAAAGTTCAAAAGTGATTACTCATGAAAACAACTTGCAGGTCCATGAGGACTTTTTCCTTTATTCATCGCTCAATGTGTGATAACAGCTCTGATTGGAAACCTTTTACTTATTTGAAGAATACACACAGTTGTCACCACGGGAGTTCCTTAGAGCTTTATTAAAGTCAATTTGCAACAGTTTGAACAGGAACATCCCCGTTCAGAGATAAAGTCAAGTTACTCTGGATAAGCCACACATCCTTTTTATGACTTAAGAGCAAAGGAAATACCCCAAACTTTCACTTACAGATGGTCCTCGAGGACTTGAAGGTGTTGATTTCCCAGATGTGAAGGGTTCAAAGGGTGCTTGATAAAATTGCTCTTCCATCAAATTGGGGCACTTACTTCAGTGAAATTGAAAATGGATTGCTAAATTATAGCTTTAGAAGCTAAGAGATCTTGACTCATGAATCCTTGGTTAAGCTTTGGAAACACAAAATATTTGACAAATTTCACAGCCCAAATTGATCTTCTATCAGAAATGTCTTTTTTCTAAAATAATCTGATTTGTAACAACAGATTAACGATTAAAGCTCCTGTGAGGAGTTTTTTGACATTGATGAAATACTTTTTAATTCATATTGATGCCTAATCATGGTACACAAAAACAAACAAGACCATTTCTGAAGAGCAAACTTTAGTTTTTGTATTTTTTTAATGCCTTGAAATGGTGTGAGGGAGAAGGTCTTGGGCCCATTTTGGCACTTAATAGAGGAGAATAATTAGAATTAAATATTTTGTCCGTTACATGAGTTATTAATATTTGATCCAACTAGCTAGGTCTGTAGCTCCTGTTAAAAGCTATTGACATGCTCTACTACAAACAGAGGTAGCACAATGCAGTTTGGCAGTAGTTGTGTGTGTAGTTGTATCATCACATATGTATGTGAAGCCAAGTTGTATGTTGGCTGTGTCGAGTTTATGTGGCATTATAAATCAACTGGAGTACAGGCATGTGAGTTTGTGACTGCTGTAGAGTAAGGGTGCACTGCGCTAGAAATAAAAAGTATGACAACTTTTTTAAAAACATTTCAAATATTAGGTCTCTTTCAACAACTGCTCTTGAGATTCCTTCTTGAAAGTTTTCACACAGATTTGCTAAATACTTGTTCTTGGATAAAAACCAAATTTGTAAACTCTTAAGCATGTACTTGCACAAACATGAGGCTTAATTTGCCAGTGCAGGTTAATCGTTTTTCTTGTTTTATATCATTATGTTGCGATAAAGCACATAAACCTACTTTTGGCCAGCTCTCTGTTTCTTTTTCCCTCTCAAAATCAAGATGAGGCTTTTTGGATGACACCTTTCTCGATGCAGTATCATGTAATCTCTTCATGGGGTTAATTTAACATAAATATCACATACAAATTAGCTTGTTTGTGTTTCAGTCACACTAGTACTACCTCCATTTCAAGTTCTTCTTACATTTGAGGTCACATCACGGTTATGTTTCATATTCATTTCCAATCTTTTGTGACCGTATTATGCACACACACCAGTCTTATCTATGCTGATAATGAAAATATAACGCAACCTTTAAATTCACAAGGACAAGTTATAAGTCGACTAAAGTTTACAGGTGTGAACTTGTACGCATTTGAAAAAAAGAGTCATAAATCTGCTTTTTTTTTAATAATTCATGAAAAACTGGAGAAGACATGTAGAAGACTCAGTTGTAGAGCAGGCTAGGCGCCCCATGTACAGAGACTACAGTCTTCTTAGCTGGGGTCTTGTGATTGATTCCCAGTAGTGACAGTATTTGGTGCATGTCACCCCCTACCACCAACCCTCCTCCTCCCACATCTGTTTTTTTTCCCCAAGATTTTCCCTCTGACAAAGGCAAAAAGCCCCAAAAGAAACAGAGAGATGGTTATGAAAGAGGCTTTAAAAATGTTCTATAAAAAGAGTTTTCATGTTCGCATATACTGGAATCCATAAGAGGCAACAAAATTATGCTAATGGATTACTGATATATGGGCCTGGCATAAATATTCTCAGACTCCAAAGAGCTCCCCTGGTCTCAGATGACATGAAATAGTTCCACAGCAGGCTGGATTGCACCCCCCACGATGAGGGAGCTAACCATGATGTGTGAAATCGGATGAATAACTGAGAATAGATATCTCAATTTAATACAATACATAATAATATATTCTAATTGCAGCTGGGGCGCTTCCCATGGACAAAAGTGCAGTAGAAATAATTCAGTATGCTGTTACATGCACTGGGGATCCTGGGCTCAAACGCTGGAAATCACAGTGTATTTTAGGCATATATAATGCAGAGCCATTTTCTTTTTTGAAGTCTGTCTGCTGAAAGTTTCCTTGCAGCCCATATTATCTATAGACACACACCACAGAACGGCTAGATTGGATTTACTATATCAGTCTCGGGCGAAACATGAGTTTGTTGTAATTGTGATGACAAGTGAACTGCTCGTGCAAGATTAGCATTTGTTGTTATGTCACTGGAGCGTTCCTCCCGAGCTGCTCGCTAATGAATTCTGCTGAAATCTTACTCCCGCCTCACTCCACGCTCCTTCCCCCTAACGCACTCACATACACACCCAGAGAACCACACATCCCTGTTCTAATAAAAGAACTCCCCCTCTGCTCAGAAGCATCCCAACTGCTCAGTTGCTTCCATGTTATTGAATTTTGTCTCCCAGAAATGAAATGAAGGTGCTCTTCTCTACCAAGCAGCCAATATATATTGTGTGACATAATGTCAACACTCAGAATTAACTATTTACAACCCCCTTGTGCATGTGTGACCTTTCCATAACATCCTATCCGTCCGTCTGAGCAGGTGGGTGCTCTGGACATCCTGCAATAACGTTGCCAGGTGAAGTACCAGTGGAGTCCCCAGCATGCCCATACTGCATCTACTACAACCAGCTTGGTGACACTGAAAATGTTAATGAGCAGACTGAAGACGAGCAGCATGGGTACATCAATTCATGCCCTGGCAACAGCCCGTGTCACAGTAACAGCCCCTGTGATTGTGGCAGCCCCTGTCGAGCTGATGCCCAGGTACCTGAGCCAAAGAAAAGGCTGCTGGAGCAGTGCTGGGCGGGACTCCGAACCAAACTGGATCTCATCGTTGGCAGCAGATACTTCAACAGAGGAATCATGATTGCCATCCTCATTAACACGCTGTCGATGGGCATTGAGTACCACGAACAGGTATGTTTGTATTGCCGAAAGAGGCGGCATGTGTCTGTGTGTGTATGTGCATATCTGCGTGTGTTTATGCAACCGCGGCTTGATTGAAAATGGATGTGCTAATCACCGTGTGCGGCGCAGTCAATGAACTTACCCTCCAATCAACACTTACAGCAGTAGGCATATGGGATCACGGCACGCGTGTGTGCGAGAGTGTGTGTATGTGCCCGCACATGTATCAGGAGATGGAGAAACTCATAAGACCTGAAGTGTTAATTAAAGCGTGACCCTGGGACAGGAAAGAGAGCGAGCTGTGCAGAGATGGGCCAGAGTGAGAGGAGCGAGCAGGAGAGGATGGAGATGTAAGGAGGGAGAGGAGGGGAGCAGATCTGACTTTGTGATTGGCTGAAAGGCAAGAGTAGACCGAGGGAGATGAGGGAAGATTTCATATGGCCCATTTCCTGAACAATATGACAGATATGGACGGCCTTAACTGCTTGAATGGCTTAAGGATGATTTATTTTTCATAACCAAAAAAAGGATCTGAAGAGACTGAAAACCAACAATGAGAATGTATTAATGCTAAGAGTAATGTATGAATACACTGTCAAGTCCTGATACAGCTTTTCTTCTCTATGCTATAGAAATGTATCTAAAAACCTTTTCAGCGCAAACACAGAGCCATGCAGCTTCAGTGGGCAACATTCCCTCATTTCAGTGAACACGGCCACTGCAGCTCAGTCTGACACCTCAGGGACTTGTGTTTTCTGATCTCTGGAGAGTAGCTCTGTGTCAAGCAGATGTCACTGAGCATGCTCAGACACACAGTTACATGTTTACTCTGCTTTGTTGGTCTGATGAGTTTGGGAGGAAAAGGCACAGTTGTTGTGTACAGGGATATGTTATCTAATGCCACCATGCAGCTTTTTTTTTTTTTACATGTACAAGCTTGTAATAAAGAGCAGAGAAATATAAGACCTTGATTAAAAAAAAAACAAAACACAGTGAACTACTAGTTATTTCTTTTTTTTCAGCTCTTATTTTGAGCACCTTTTGCCTTTTTATTGACCACTATAGGATGCATGTAGGACACATGCTTAAATGTACAGACACACTGGTGTCCCAATGACTGGTTAAATTTTGTTTGCCATTTTAAAGCAGAAAACCCCGTTACCGTACAATAGTCAATTTGTGTTGTCTCACAATTATGCTGTACGACTCCTTAAAACTTATTTCAGACTAACGGGTTAATCAAAATCCAAAAATGGGGATTAATGGGGATCAAAGGGTAACAAAAAATTAGTAAACAGCCATGGCTATAACATATTTTATATAAAAAGAATACGGTATGTTAAAAAATAAGGGCTATAAAGCAAGTTTTTCAATCGCAGTTCATCTCAGAATTTCTGTAGTTAACTGAGGTCAATCCTGTTTCTAATGCATTATGAAAATTCTTTTGATTTTACAGCTCAAAACCGATTTTTGTTAACATAAAATTAACATAACATAAAGTAAATCTTTCCAGTGTTTTGATTTGGGAGTGCCAGGTCCAATCAGTGTTAATAGTGACTGCAGTTACTCAGAGTTTTTCTCTTGCTGCTCTCTCTGTTTAATATAAATTCTGTAGGCATGAAACTATTCTTCCTTGTAAAGCCTCTGACTGGTCTCAGTTGTAACCCATTAAGCAAGAGCTGCAGTTAACTACTGTGATGTAGTATTTTTATCCACAGGTCATTGGCTGTGACCTGTGAAACAGGGCAAAATGGAGTCCTGCTGGTCTTTGTGATGGGGTTGCCCGCTGACATCCATCTGATTAGCTGCAAATGTATGCTGGGCTTGTAGGTGGTAGCTCAAACTCACGGCACTTTAGTGATGTTTTAATCCCTTTAAGACAAAGTAAATATTTCTTTTTTAGCTGAGCTGTCTGTGAATTTTTCAGGTGAAAGGTGCCACTCAAAAGTGAAGTGGTGTTGTTAGTTTTAATCATGGTGGCATCAAGCAAATATGTTTGCTTGATGAGTATACTCTTTATTTCCTCCCCAAATTTGATTTATCTGGCTTTAAATGTTTGGAGGTCTTGAATTTTTCTCAATAACCTCAAAACTTTTCATTAAAACTCGACTTTAAATCTTTCTTCAAGTTTTGTGTTTAGTTTTCTCCTGCAAGGTCATTATGACCACACAGGGACTTCTCAGTATCAGTAGTATTAATGATAAAAATTCTTGCGCTCCCTTTTCTCCAAAGGATTGTGGGAAGAAGCCTGACTATGTTCACATCCTGGGGCAGCTTCCCCTAGAGACTTTGTTCACATAAACTTAAACTGTTGCCATGAGAGACATTTTAGAAATTCATCACATGTTGACTTTATTGCGTGTCTCAGTGCCAGTCTGAGTTCCTTTGTTTGTTTGTGTTTTTCCTCCCTTTGCTTGTTCCATATCTGTGCATCAATCTCTCCTCCTCTCCCTCCTCCTCCTCCTCAGCCGCAGGAGCTGACAGATGTTTTGGAGATCAGTAACATGGTGTTCACCAGCCTGTTCAGTCTGGAGATGCTGCTCAAAGTTCTGGCTCTCGGGCTCTTTGGCTACATCAAAAACCCCTACAACGGTTTTGACAGCGTCATCGTTATCATCAGGTAAAGCCCTGATGAAGGATCTCGGTCCGTCAGTGTACATGAATTTAGTTGATATTTATTTGTTTTGTCATTTGAAAGTCCTCAATGCGAGTCAGCAGCATTGCATTTACATCATCTGAGACTGTCACGTTGATGCTGCCTTTGGCAGTGAGGCCATTTACTTGGACCCTTTCAGTCCAGAGGGTCTGTATTCACTCCATTATGTAGTACTACTAGCTAAATTATGTATCCACACTTGAAGGCTGTGCTTGTTTACTGTGCCAGTGCACACTGTTTTCACCGTCTTTATTGGCTGGTTAGTTGTGAACAATTTTGGCCAATTTACCTTTATTTAGTTGCCACATGCCCCAATGAAAATAAGTGATCACTTTTCAACCTGGACAGGGGGGCTTTTGTAGACAAACCTAGTGCTGACTTCAGAAACTTCCTGGTAGCTTTAATGTAAGTTTGACTTTGTCCCAAGAGCCTGTTTGTAATCTGTGTGTGTGTGTGTGTGTGTGTGTGTGTGTGTGTTTGTGTGTGTTTATGTGTAGTGTATGGGAGATAGTGGGTGAGGCAGAGGGAGGCTTGTCTGTGCTTCGTACCTTCCGCCTGCTGAGAGTTTTGAAGCTGGTCCGGTTCCTTCCTGCTCTGAGGAGGCAGCTGGTGGTGCTGATGAAGACAATGGATAATGTGGCCACGTTCTGCATGCTGCTGATGCTCTTTATTTTCATATTCAGGTACATTTTTACAGGTTTCTGCTTTAAAGGTGCAGGGGTTAGCTAAGAATCAGAAGCATTTCACAGCTATAATAACACTGGTTTTGTCTCACAAAAGCCACAAACATTGCAACTGACCTTTTCCTACATTTTTTACAGAACGTGTGTGACATGTACGAGAGCACAGCTATTCATGCAGGCAGCAGTTTGACAGCTTGTTGCACAGCATACATATTAAGTTCTTATGAAAGTTCTCTCTTCCTTTGTTTGCATGCTCGTCCCAGTATCCTTGGGATGCATCTTTTCGGCTGTAAATTTGGTCTGCAGCAGAACAGCGGAGACACTTTGCCTGACAGGAAGAACTTTGACTCCCTGCTCTGGGCGACTGTCACCGTGTTTCAGGTCAGAAAAATATCCCTGAAAGGAAAGACGGAGCACACAAATGCAATAAAATAATAGATGATGTCTAATTTAGAGAGATCTCTATGAACTTCTGCGGCATGGAGCTTTTTAAATTAATTGGGATGAGATTCATTCAGCAGCTGCTCCTGTCACTTGTATTAGCGCTGATGATCTTCTACATTATTTAATTCCCTCCAATTTGGTGGAGCCACACTCGGCTTTTTCTGCAAAACATAGAAACTCTCCCAGTGGGCAGGTGAAATACACAAGCTAAGAGGGAGGAGGAGTGATGAAACACACACTCCACAGGAACTCATTTAACACTGATGAGCATCATTACTGTTCAGCTAACAATGAGATATTAAACAGGAACGCGCTCCTGTTATTTTTGATATGAACCCCAGTCCTCATTCCTGTCCTGATGGCTGCATTTCTGGTTCATTTAAACATCTTTTAATGAGGATTTTTTATGTTGATGAAACTACTGTATTATATGAGATCATTAATAAGGGGGTGTTATTGCAGGTTATCCCACTTGATACACGACTAATCACTGTAGAAATCAAAACATTTTTGCTGTCTTAAGGGGATATTCCGGTGTAAAATTAATTTAGGGTCAAACACACCGAGTTAGACACCCCCTCGAGAGATGAATGTTGCCGACCGCTTGCTTCACTAGTTAGACCAATTTTTGTAACAACTGCAGGATAGCAATACACAGCAGTCTCAGGAGCCACACACAAACCTCAACCAAAGAGACTAAACACAACTCACCTACACTCTTCCACCAGCTGCTTGTTTGTAGCAAGACCTCAGGCCAGTCCATTACGGACTGCAACTGGGGGACGCAGCTCAAGGAAGAACATTTATGATCATTTTTTTATGGCAATGCAATCAGACCAAGACACTAAGGGAGAAGAACTACCGTGTCTGCAGTGCAAAATGTTTAATATGGTGATTATAACTTCAAGGAAATGATAAAGTAATGATCATAAATGTTCTTCCTTGAGCTGTGTCACCCCCCTGTAGTCCGTAATGGACTGGCCCGAGGTCTCGCTACAAACTAGCGGCTGCTGGAAGAAGAAGGTGAGTTGTGTTTAGTCTCTTTGCTAAAGAAATCAGGCAAAGTTAAAAAGATGTTTGGTGGCTAGTACTGTGGCTGGGACCCTGTATGTACTGTTGATGAAGTTAGGTGCTGTTCTGAGCATTATTTGTGGCTATAGAGTGGCGTTTGGTTGAGGTTTGTTTATGGCTCCTCAGACCGCTGTGTATTGCTAACGTGTGGTCGTCACTAAAGTTGGTATAACTAGAGAAGCAAGCGGTCGGCAACATTCATCTCTTGACAGGGTGTCTAACTCGGTGTTACGGTGTGTTTGACTCTAAATTAATTTTACGCCAGAATATCCTTTTAAAGCTACTATAAAGAACTTTTATTTTGTGTCAATCTTGGGGCCTTGTAGACAAAGTGATACTGTCTCTTGTTCTGTACATGTGAAAGTCGTGTTTTCAATCAAATACCTAATTGCCCCTCTCACGGCACCTTCAGGCATTAAAAACCATGACAGAGAACTTATCAGTCTTGTCACAAAAGGTCTTGTTTGTTTACGGAGTTCATCAGAATTAGTTTCGGTCCGTTTCTTTACCAGTTAAAAACTCCTTTTAGTGCTTTTTAAATGAGGTAGGTTAGCTGCTCTTAAAAAAAATAAACTGAAAATCTCCATTGAGCAAAACAAAGTAAATGAAAAACTGTGCCACACCTGATTAAGTTATGAGTCTGAGTCATTTTTCAGTCTCTAAGCACCACCATTACCAGACTGTGTTTCATTAATTGTTTACTTCACACTCCACAGCATCTTCCATTTTGTAGATTTCATAGTCAAAGACTGTATAAAGCCCAGACATAGTCTCTGGGATTTCTTAAGCAGAGTTAAGATGCATATCAATGGTAGTTGCCATGCTGGGATTGCTGACTCAGCCTAACTTTCAGTCAACTTAACAACAAACAAAGAGGTGGAGTTTTCATGAGACTTCTCTTTATATTGTCTTTCAAGTACTGTGTGATCATCGCTTCCTTTGACAGTATTTCCTCTACATCTCCAATCCGCAGATCCTCACCCAGGAGGACTGGAATGCGGTGCTCTATAACGGCATGGCCTCCACCACCCCGCTGGCTGCCCTCTATTTCGTCGCCCTCATGACTTTCGGCAACTACGTCCTCTTCAACCTGCTCGTTGCCATTTTAGTGGAGGGCTTTCAAGCCGAGGTAAGGGCAAAGAGGGGGTTTTATTCCAGCTACTTAGAGAACGAGGCGGAGAGAACGAGACTAATTGAGCTCTGTTGTGCTGTTGATACCAAAGCTGCTTACAAGAGAATAATCTCTACCATCCTGTCTGTGTGGCTGCTCCCCTCACTCTCTTTATCCATCAATCGTTTTCTCTTCCTCTACCCATTTCTCTCTATATCCTTCTCTCTCTTTCTCTCTATCTTTCCTCCTTGCAGTTTCACGCTGTAACACGCACACATACACACACAAAATACTCTCCAGAGGTGGGATATGTTTGATATCGCCTGCCATTCACAGCTGGTGAGCTTTGTTGTTTAGTTTTCATCTTTTATCTCCAGCATCAGAGAACACTTGCTCTCTCTCTCTCTCTCTTTCTCTCTCACTCTCTTTCTCTCTCACTCTCTCACCATATCACACACACACACTAACACATAGATACCCTTTGCCAAAGCCGTCTGCCTCCATCTTTCTGGCGTGAATTTTAATTAAATTCAGTAAAGCTTTATTGGCGTGACTACAGGAGATCGCTGCCAAAGCCATGCACATAACTCAACCAGGGAACACTGGAGAGCCCCTCTGCCCGTCCTTTTGTCTCAAACTCACATTTTTCACTTTTACAACAGTCAACAGACAGCGAGAAAAGGAAGGGGATGAGTATGAGGATTACGTCCATGATAGTGATACCGTTGCTTTGTGTGTTTTTATGTGTGTGTGTGGTTTTAGGGAGATGCAAACAGATCTGAGGCTGACGAAGAGAGACAGTCTCTCACATACGAGGATGAGGAGAAGTTGAGGGAACTCTACGCTGCAGGTACAAACTCTCAGACACAGAAATATATTACACTCATTTTCTCACAATAATGCTTCAGGACTAATAATTCGTTTATTCTTAATAAAGCATTAAAGCTGAGAGACATTGTCGATATTAAACTATAAGCGATTCTTTAGAAAGTTAAAAACAATATAATTTCAAAAAGTATGAAGAACCTCTTTAAACTAAGAGTTAGTAGTTATAATTTAAGAGGTTTGGATCATTTTGAACATAGTTACGTAAGAACAAATGTTAAATCCAGATGTGTTTCTATTATTGGTAAAAAGTCATGGCATGGACTTGATGGAGAATATAAATTATGTACATTCTTGTCAACATTTAAAAGATGTCTCAAACAGAAAAGGATCAGTGACTGTCAAAACCATGTATGAGAACATAAACCTGAACTTTTGTCTATATCATGTTTGATTGTATATGAAACTGTAATGTGAAGCTGTGAAGCATTATTTCAATCAATCAACTTTATTTCTACAGAACATTTAAAAGAACCACAAGGGTAGCCAAAGTGCTGTACAATGACACCTAAAACAAATAAAACAATCAAAGAACAAGATAAAGCGAGCAGAAATACATTAATGCAAAAGAATAAATAAGTATATAAATAAATATTTGTTGTTAGTGTAAACAGGATAAGTCAAATTTGGGCATTGCTTCAGCATATTCCTTTTTTTGGTTTCACTTAAAATCAAAAATAAAACCATATCTATCTATCTAGGATCAGTTTTCAGGATCACAGTTGGTGCTTTTACCTCTCCTGTTAGTTAAAATAACCACATTTAACTTACCAAGGTAACTGCTGAGAGTTTAATCCTTTTCAATATGAACTCCTGACACGTTTTAAATGATTTCAGGACACTGTTACTCTGATAGTTTCAGGAACTTGCCTTTTATACGTGCACCTCTTAGCAAGAGATTATCTGTGACGGTTGCGCTCCCACAGCTCAACAAAGTTATTTGATTTAGGTGAGGGAGGACAGCTGGGTGACTAAATGGCAGTAGCAAAAGGAGCAGATATGAAAAAAGGCCATTTTGAGAGTAAAAAGACGAAGTAGAGACCGGTTGAATGTGGTGTAACATTCAGTGGAAAAGAGATGGTAGTCAACCTGCTTAGAGGTCATGAAATGGCTCCTAAAGTTTTGAAGGAGCCGATAAGGATTTTCATTGACACTGCATTCAAAGGTAAACAGATATTTTCAAAAACAGATTTTTTTTCTTCTCTCTGTTTTCAAAAGAGATCCTGTCCACACCAGATGTGAATGTCGAAAAGGTTGAAACCACTGACATAAGCGTGCCTCACCAGTTGATGGCAATAACAAGAAGTCATTCTGTCACATTTGACAACATAAAAGAGCTTTGTGCTTTTGTGCATTTAGCCTCCCATCAAGTGAGCAGCAGCTGTGAACACTGCTGTTAAGACCCCTTCTCCCACATCTGCGGTATACTAATACTAAAGCTAGGTTTCTTTGTAAACAGAAAATAAAGCCTCATAGCACTATGCACATGTGATGGTACATGCAACACTACATAATAATGATACAGTAAGGTAGATATATCACAGCATAGCTCACAGCTCTTTGTCCCAACACAAATAAAGCAGAAATAGCTTCAGTAGACTAAAATTCTGCATAAATAAAATTGTGTTTGTATTTGTGCACACACAGAGCTGAAGATCCAGGCCATGATGTTGAGTCCAAACGGTCTCCTGAACCCTAAAGCCTCCATGCCCCCACATCCTCAGCCTCCTCTACCTACCCTGCCTCCTCTGCCTGTCATCACTCACACTGCAGCCACGCCCACCATAAACTCCGGCCAGTCACGCCGGGCGAGTGCCGCCTCCATGGATGTCAATAGTATTGAGCAGAGGTCAACGGTAAGTCCAGGATGCATGCTTTTACTCATATAACTGCCACATACGACATCTGTACTGAAGCTGATTTAGTGAGGCACTTAAACTGAGAAACAAGACCGAAGGACTGAGGTCTGAGTTTTAAATCTTAGATTTTGTCATTTTCTTAGACAGTCAAAAACCTTCAAAAATACCAGATGATATAATTGTAATAAAGGACAAAAAGAACAATCCAACTAAACTCACTTAAAGATGCCTCATTGAGTTTAGTTGGTTTAATTTTGTTGATAGTCTATGTAGATGGATCTCCCACTGTTGTTCTAAAGTGATGCAGAAATACACCCACTGCTGGTGTATTTGCAGTCTGAGTCTGTTCAGTTGGGATCAGCTGTCATAGCACTTACCTACAATTATATCCTGCCCCTTCCTGGAACCAAAACACACATTTAACTCACTAATAAGGCTGCACAGATCCCGCAGGTTGGTTTTGTCTACAGCAGAGCAGATCACTTAGTCAGTTTGAAGCAGACAGTTACAGGTAAAAAGACGTTAATGACTCTTGTCCTGGTGTTTGTTATGTCTCCTCTCACAGTTCCTCCTCTTCTCTGCTATTCCAGCGCACACAGGAGTAGAAACAGGCGGCAAATTTTTCAACAGAGCAGAAAATCATGTTTGTTATACCTCTTTTACTGCTTCAAGTAACTAATGAAAGCTTACCTTGTTAAAAATTTTAACAAATGGTGAGTAACAACTAGGGTTATAATTTTTTGACATTTTTATTTAGTTTTGATTTGGGTTTTTGGTGTCAATTTCAGTTTTTTTTTTTTGATTAGTTCTAAAGGCTGGATTTTTAGTTTGGTTTCTATTTTCTGAAAATTAGATTTGATTTATTTATTTATTTAAATTATCAGTTTTTTGTTACATGGGATATTAGTCAGGGGCAAGACCTCCCAAAAACTGTACACTGTGAAAAAAAACATGATCTCATTTGGCTATTTGTCAGAGATGAGATTTATGTGAAAATCAAGGATACAGCCAGTGTTACAATGCAGGTACAATAATAAATGTTTTGTATTGGTGTGTGGGTTTGTCTGCTTCATACCACCCCAGTAGTGTCAGTGCCCGTGTTCGGCCACCAGTCAAAAAGGTCTGACCTCACCCCAAGTGTCTTATTTTTGCAGCAGACTGATCCATGGGTAACAGATAGATAGAAAAGAGAAGGAACTCAAAATACAGGTAAAAGACAACATGTCAGGGATTTATGTCCACGAAGAGCGCCACTTTCACTACAATTAACAGTTTTGTTGATCTTTGTATAAAGTAATCCCTCTACAGCACCACCATCAATATAAACAAATAACAGGTCAGTCCATACAGATCATCAAAAATAGGAGAATTTCTTTAACAGAACCAGAAAAACAGTGTCATAAATAACGTTTTTTACTTCACTGTCCACAGTAAATTAAAGGAAAGACAGTATTTGAAGAACAACAGCTGCTTTACGTGCGTCAGTCAGAGTATTAACAGTCAGGTGAACAGGAAGTAGTCTCAGTGTCTCGGTAATACCTCAAGCAAACTCTTGAAAATGGCCTACCCAACATGCTAGGCGATAGAATAATAAAGAGAAATGGTTTTAACTTCTGCTCTTTAAAGGACAGTCTAACCAAAATCAAACCCCTAAAAAATTAAAGACATTTTATTTTGTTTTGTAAACAGTCAATACAGTTTTAGTACATTTTGTCAATGATGTTGTAATTTTCAGTGATTTCATTGGTTTTTTGTAATAATGATAACCTTGGTGCCAACTGTACTGACTGACCATGTGAATAGAATATTAGATAATATAGTTTGACTCATGTTCCATCTGTTCACATGGAGGAGATGGAGGTTCTGACATAGACTGCAGGCAGTCAGCATGGAGAGCTTTACATCTTTTAGCATCACTTATGGGAAGCTGTCATGTTGTCCATATATTATACATTGAATAGATTATGTTCAGTGTTTGTCATTGCTGATATAAGACTGAATGCATCCCTTCTGTACACTTCTTTACACCAAAAATATATAGAAAATATGAATATTTTTGTTGTGAGCATTGTTTACTCTGGCAGTCTGGTTGTCAAAGAGGTGTTTTTTTTTTTTTAAGCATATTGCCTTATTTCTCTGGCGCCTTGCTACTGCTTATTGTTTATCAGTTGAGTCATACAGCCTTCCTCTTATTCAAAGGCAAACCTTGATGTGTTTAAGGCAAACACCAGCTGGGTTTATCATGATTTGGCTTGTGTGTTTGATTATTTCTGGCTGATGTTAGGTGTTTTAAGAACATTAGCTAATTGAATTGATCGACCATCTCCTTGTAAATGCTGTTTTGTTGGTGTCTTGTTTGTCCTTTTTCATGTGATGAGGTTTTCACTGGTCATCTTTATAGCAGCAGAGTTGACCCATATACACACTAGTCGAGCCAGGTTCCAGCACTATTTAGTCTCTAACCTAATTGAGTCTGACTGCTAATCTCCTCTATTGACTCAAGTCTCAGCTCTCTGTGTGAATACGTCTGATGCACGAGTGGATCCGGGCAAACGTCCTATCAGCTTTGATCACACGGTGAAGGAGAAGAATGTGGTTTTCGAGGCGTGACAGAAAGTGCAACCTGTGCAGTGCAGGGAAAAATCACACGCATTGCTGCTCTTTTCGACTGTCGCTGCCTGTTAATTGGTGGCACGCTGCTGTCAGTGTTGGTGTTCTCTCCAGCTGTGGATGTTTGAGAGCTTAGCGGTGGGGATTTTCCACTGAAGTCCTGCCTCGCCTTTTTGTGTTGTTTCAGGTGATTGTGCTTATTTACAGTGTTTCTTTAACAGCACAAGACACACTTTTTTTTCACAGTACAATCACACAATTTTTGTTGCATTTGTTCTTCTAAGCCTCATCTTGGATTCATATAACTAATTTGTCCCTGAAAAGCTTCCCTTCTCATTGCAATTTACTCCTTTAACACACACACATATATATATTTTTACATTTGTACACATCGAAATCCTGTCCTGCACCTTTTTTCTCACTTTGTCAAATAGGAGAGTGCTCACTTGCCGTTTGTTTATCAATCTTAGGCAGGAATTAGGAGTGTTAGTTTTGAAGCAGGAGATCTCCCTTCAAATAATTTTTTGGCAGTATCATTATCTTATGGGAGAGAGATTGAATAAGGGCCTTAATCAAGCACAGAATACAGAACAAAACTATCACTGAAGCATTGTTCCAGATTTCCACAGGGTACCTTTAATCTGTAAACAAGTAAGTCTTAGTTTGCACTGGAAAAAACAGAATTTTAATCGGCTGTTACTATTTTTCGCAGCTGTCTTCACAGTCTCTGTGGGACAGTGGCCCAGAGAGCCGTCGCTCCAGCTGGACCAGCATAGGCCGAGCTCCCAGCATCCACAGGAAGAGCCAGTCAGGAGAGATGGAGTCCCTGCTATCAGACACACACACCAGCTCCATCCCCAGCAGCAGGGAGCAGTCTTTGGACCAGTCGGAGTACCTGCAGGTGCCCATGCTGCACCAGACAGACTGCAATGGCACCACCCTTCATCTCCCGGACTACTACTATGAAGATGCGCCACTGACCACGCATTACCCTAGCGATCAGGAGGAGGAGGAAGCAGAGGAGGTGCAGCCCTTTGTGCTTTTTGCTCTGTTTCTGTTTACCAAGATGCCAATATAGATATCAAAGGGGTTCATGGCACGCTAATGGTCACACTGCGGTTATTTTCACTTACAAAGAGTCAACAAAAGAACTTGTGTAGGCGTGCACAAAAGTTCAAAAACCGCTGCTAATTAACTTGCAAAGGCATTAATTCCAGTCTCAGTGACCTTAGACACTCATGCGTCTTAGAAAATATCTAATGAGCTCATTTTCAGTTAGAGGCAGACTCAAATAAACATTGTTTGAAAATCTGTTGTAATAGATTATAATTTATGCACAGATCAGCAACCCTGCATAGTTTTGGTAACTTGATACATGATTATAAGTTTTATTATAAGTTTTTATATCCTCTTTAACTTTATATCTGTCATATTATCATATTGCATCAGATTATATTCTATTGTATGGTATCGTATAATATTGCATTGTATTTTATGTGGTCCTAATTCATCAAATCATACTTGTTGTATCGTATCCTGTCATATTGTATTATAGCATATAGTCTTTTTATATTTCATTGTTTCCTAGTGTATTGTATGTAGCTTATACATATTGTTCTTTGCAAATCTGTGTCTGTGTGCAGAGTTTATGCAAGAAGCTGAAGAGGATACTGGAGCCATATGAGCCTCAGTGGTGCCTTGAGCATGAAGAGTGGTCCCTCTATCTGTTCGCTCCACACAACCAGTAAATACACACCACACAACCCCCCACACACACATACACAGTCCTTGATATCCTCCTGAGCGCTCCAGGTGGCTTAAGCCTCGTCATGTGCGAAAATTCCCAGCTTAGGTGTGAAGGATACCGCTTAGGCTTAGTAACACAATTTTCACATTTATCAATTAAAACTGGCAGGGTGGAGGCTGCTTACACATTATGGTGACAAATGCAGTGACGGGTAATAATCACGTTCACAACAAAGATAAAAAAGTAGCTGCTGACGTTCTCTCCCTGTCTTTTTCTGTCGCGTCACTCACTCTCTTTCTCTATCTAGGTTGCGCATTTGGTGCCAGAAGGTCATAGGTCACAAGATGTTCGATCACGTCATCCTCCTCTTCATCTTCCTGAATTGCATCACCATTGCTCTGGAGAGACCTGACATACAGCCCAACAGCATGGTAACACTCATGCCAACACATGCATTCACACATATTCATCTATATTTGTGAAGTCCCTAATTTACACCGTGCATCTGACCTTTAAAATGGTTGCAGCTCAACTGTGAGCCTGTGTTCCTTACGTGTTGCAGCTTTACATGAAATTTGTTGGTGCTAACCTTTTTCTTTTATTGTTTAAGCACCATTACTAAACTGTCAAATGTGTGCAAGACAGATTCCTCTGTGGAGTATGGTAGCAGAGCGTAGCGTTGCATTGCGTAGCATTGCATTGGATTGTGTTGCCTCATATAGTTTTGTTCCATTTTGTTTCATTTCATATCATATTGTATTGTATTGTGTCACATCATATAGCATCATATCGTATCAGTTGTATCATTTTATATCATACTGTATCATATCTGTTTTATATTATCATATCATATCAGTCATATCATATCCTATCATATTATATCCAATCATTATGTATCATTTCATATCGTATCATATTGTAACATAACGTAACGTAACCTGACTGTTATCCTACTGTTTCATGTGTTCACTGCTTTTTCCCTTATTGTGAGCATGAACATAGTTCTCATTGGTTTTTGATTGGAACTTATCTTTTGGTCGACCTTGCTAGAGGTCAAGAGGCAGAGTGGAGTCAAGCCTCATGGCTAATATGTAATGTGTGCTCATATTGTATTAAATAGAAATACATCACATTGTATTATAGTCTTTAGTATCATGTTGGATCAGCATGTACCATATCCTATCATATCATATATTTTTATATTGTATCATACAAAACATAACATAAAATATCACACCATGTTTGATTTTATCCCATTATATCATATGGAATTTAATCATATTGTGTTGTTCCTTATCATATTGTATTGTACTGTGTGCTGTCACATGTCAGGTTCAGTATAAAATTGCATGTTTGTATCACATTAAATTTTTATGTATTTTATTTCATCTCATTCTGCTGTAATGTAACACATCACATCATGTCCTGATGTATCTTAGCATATCACATTGAATCATATTGTATCCTATTATATCTATCTTATTGTATGGTTTAAAATATCACATCATAATTCATTGTATCTTAATGTATCACATTGTACTGTATTGTATCATATCCTATCATGTTGTTTTATATCATTCAACGTATCCTCATGTGCAGTATTGTACTTCAGTGTGTTCTATCCTTTATTGTCTAATCTTGTATTGCATTTGAGTATTCATTTTTTACAGCATTTTGATAGTTATTGTCTTAATGCATTTTTGTGTAAGCTAAGCACTGTGAACTTAACATGCACTACCTAAACAAAATTCAACTCTTTCCACTACTCTGACATCTTTTTTTTTTTTTTTTTAAACCTAAAACAGTCAGAAACAGAGAAGATGTCTATAGAAAAAAGTTTGAAACCCTGGATTGGTTCTCACAAGGATAGACAGACACTCACAAACACACACACTAACAACACATGCTTCATACGCTGATCTGCTTGTTGCAGTAAGTGGGGGTCATTATGGAAACATGTGCTGCTCTCAGTATGTTTTTTTGTTTTCTTTCTACTACAGTGGTAATGGATTTATTTCAGCTCATTATGTAACACATTGCTGTTGGTTTGAGTTCAGAATCAAAGCTGACACCGCAGTGACACAAAGCCCTTAAACTGATGGATGTGTGTGTGTGTGTGTGTTTGACAGGAGCGCGTATTCCTCAGCGTGTCCAATTACATCTTCACTGTGATCTTCGTGGGTGAAATGATGATCAAGGTAACCATAACAAGACAAGTTTCACTCCAAAGTCATTTTCTCTCCATACTCATAAATGGAAAATTATCCTCCTGGTTGGGGATCAGAATTGCTTTTAGTATCATTTTACACCTCATATTATTTCATTATTTGGGTAATTTAGCTGGAGCTCTGGGTTTCTCTGTGTGTGATTGTGTGAAGGTGGTAGCTATGGGCCTGTACTTCGGGAAGGGTGTGTACCTGCAGAGCAGCTGGAACGTCTTAGATGGAGTTTTGGTGTTTGTGTCGCTGGTGGACATCCTGGTCTCCGTCGCATCAGCAGGCGGGAATCGAATCTTTGGGATCCTCAGAGTGCTACGTCTTCTTCGTACGCTGAGACCACTCAGGTAGTTAAACAAGGATTTCCCGTGTGTGCTTACTGCATTCACACAACCTAGTGTGTAGCCTGTGTGTAAGTGTGTGTATTTGTGTGTATCCTAGGGTGATAAGTCGAGCTCCTGGTCTCAAATTGGTGGTTGAAACCCTGATCACATCTCTCAGACCCATCGGGAACATCGTCCTCATCTGCTGTGCTTTTTTCATTGTGTTTGGAATTCTGGGAGTTCAGGTAAACGTTTATACAGTAAAGTCCTCGTTCATCCCCGGGTGTTTGAAGATAAGCTTCATTATTTTGCCGGGGAAAATACTTATTTTCACCCGGATTATGAACCCAAACATCCAAAGCTTGTTGTCTTCCCTGCTGCACCAAGACACTGTTGAGCGAGCTTTAGAATAAATGAGGCATATCTCAGGAAATGCCTCAGGTAATAAAAAGTGGAGGGAAAAAAATTGGAAGAAAATGCAAATGCTGCTGATTTTGTACCAGAAATCCCTGAAAGTAATTTAAAAAAAAAAATACAATGGTTTAACTAGAGGGGGGGCTGTGCTGAGAATTTGTTTTCTAATTAAATTCTCATTTATTCTTGTATCAGTGGATTAATGAAATGTACTCATTTTAGATAATATTTGTCAGTTTTTTTTAATAATCGCAAACGAATGATGAATGATGTTCATTTTAGAAAAACTTAACAATAATGAGGCCCGATTGACTGAGTGAGATGAGCATGTTGTTTAACAGTGCCTTCGAGGAGATAAAGCTGGTTTAGGGTGCAGGAGAAGTACAAAACCATTCATTTCATCACTGCTTTAAACGAGTGATGCTGCTTTTCAGAAGTTTCACCTCTGCAGGCCTTGAAACATTTTAAAAAATCTCACTGTGAAATTTCTGTCTGATGATTCTGCTCTTTGGTTGAACTGCCCATAATTTACATGCACGCTGCAGCTTTTCAAAGGGGTGACAAGGTTTAAGGTTGTGAAACGGTACAATACCGTTTTTGCAGAGTCATGCTGCTAAATCAAAAGTGATGTTTTGGATTTGAAGCCAGTCATTGCAAAGCTTTTGATAAATCCTACTCCTCTGTAAGTTTTCAATCTTGCAAATATAATTTACAGAGTATTTAAACTAATGATTGCATGAGAAATGATGCTTCTATCAAGTTATGAAGTGCAAAATCAACAGTGCAATATTATTTATAGAAGGACTCAGCATAATTCACCAGGAAGCAAGAACTTAGCAGCCGTAGTGAAGAAAAACTTCCTTTAACAGGCAGAAACCCTTAAGCAGAGCCTGACTTATTCCCAAACAACCAATGAGACTAAATGGGTTAATATTTCTTATTTTGTTGAATTCTTATTAATTTGAAAATAATGCTTATATTTGATTCTAGAGTCCACTGTTGATAAAAAAAATAACCCCACTCCTGCTTATTTTTCTGTGAAGTACCTTCTTAACGACTTTCCTTGCAAAGATTTTTTCGGCTTTGTCCATTTATCCCCCAAGGTTTGGAGGCTCGTATCTTTGTTATTACTTTTTCACAAGCAGGATGCACTATTTTACAAAAATACCAGTCCTTTTCTGAGCAGCATCCCAGCAACCGATCCCAGAATGTTGCTACTTTTGGACACTTTCAACCAAATTCTCTCCAATATTAAGAGCTTGCGGATGAATGCTGTGAGCTTCTTATTTGAATGCCATTTCTCATGAGATATGTCTGTGTTCGGTTCTTTTAGATTTTATGCAACCAGTATTATTTTCTTTCTGCTTTTGTGAGCACTGCTGTAGCCTGGAAATGATTCTCTTGCTTGCTTGCTTGTTGAGACAGTGTGGTTAGGACAAATGCCTTCCTGTTATTCCAGGTTCCAGCCTTTATCCTGTAGATATCTCTAAAAAAAAATCATTGCTTTGCAGTTGAAATACTTTTTGCAGTTCTCCAAAACGTTTGTGCTTCATAAAAAAAGCTTTTGTTAGAAAGGGGGATGTCTGCCTCTCCCACCTACACAGGCAGCTGACTCCAAAGAGGAAAGGGATTGAAGGCTCTATCTCTTGAAGCCTTCAGGTGCCATTCTTGATAAATATTGCAGCTCATAATAACAACATCAATCTCTAAAACACACTGCCACTAGTTTAGTTTCTAATGAGAACATGCTGGAGTGCTTCTAATGACTGTGAGGCAGACTGCAGCAGATGGTACTCCAACATCTAAGCAGTAACATACAGTAAGCCTGCAGCGCTCCCGGTGTAATTTCACTGTACATCAAAACGTGTGCCTTCCCTCGCTCCAGGAGGCTTTGTGTACCTTTAAGTTACACTTAGTATCTATGTCCGTGTGTACACATCTGTCTGAGTGTGTTAATGTTTGTGTGTGCAGCTCTTTAAAGGGAAGTTCTTCTACTGTGAAGGGCTCAATGTGAGCAACATCACCAACAAAACCCAGTGCCTGGAGGCAGGACACCGCTGGACTCGGCGGAAATATAACTTTGATAACCTGGGACAGGTTTGACACACACACACACACAGATACACACAAATCCTCGATGGCTGTGACACATGTTCCAACAAAATGATTGACAGCCTGACACTGATTAATGTGTGTCTCTCCCTGCCAGGCGCTGATGTCACTCTTTGTGCTGTCATGTAAAGACGGCTGGGTCAGCATCATGTATGACGGCCTGGATGCTGTCGGAGTGGACCAGCAGGTATACAGACACACACAAACACACGCAGAGGGAAAAAGAGAGGTTGTGGGGAGTGAAAGTGAATAACAGAGACTCTTTTTAGGCAGTGTGTATTGTATTTTGCAGTGTTTTGTTCCTGCTTTTTGTCAGCTTCAGGCAGAATTTAAGTTTCTCTAAAAGCAGAAAAGCAAAATATTTCAGGAGAGAGTGGAGTGTAAGGAAAGAAAAGGGCAGACAGATAAATAGATGTGAGTTGACAGTGTTTGCTGCTTCACTGCTGACTCAGGATTTACATTGTCTTCTTGTTTATGCTCTCCTTCCTCTCCTCGCTCTTCACCCCCCTGTTGTCACTCTTTGGTCCTCCTTTCTTTTCCCCCTTTTTGTCCCTGTGTTACCTCCTTTTCTGAATTCTCTCCCCACCTTTCCCTCCCTGCAGCCTATAAGAAACAACAACCCGTGGATGCTGCTGTTTTTCATTTCTTTCCTGCTCATCGTCAGCTTCTTCGTGCTCAACATGTTCGTGGGCGTGGTGGTGGAGAACTTTCACAAGTGTCGGCAGCAGCAGGAGGAGGAGGAGGCGCGGCTGAGGGAGGAGAAACGACAAAGACGGTTGGAGAAAAGGAGGAGAAGTGAGAAAACAGGAGGGGGAGGGGGAACACAAGACATGTACAGTATATGGCAGTATACAGATGCGTTGGCATCACATCCATATGTTATTGCTGAGCCAGTTGTTCTGAAAGTATGAGTGCTAATCTGCTTCTGCTGTGAGTGCCCCCACACTTTTAGAAAGGCTTCCTTATGACAACAGCGTTTAGGAGCTGAGCTTCAGGTATTTGCTTCCATTCAGCTATAAGAACATCACGCTCAGTGTGGGCAATTTTTGGCAAAAACAGGATTTGCTGCTTTTGTGTGACAGTCTCTCTGCCATCTTTGAAATAAGAACTACTTTTCCTGGATCAGCTCAAGTTTTAGAGGTTTAAAATTAACTTGAAAATAGGCTTTGAGCTCCTGCGGGGGGCCTTTCATATTGAGTTGGTTTCGCGCCCTGTGGACAAAGTGGTACCTTTGTATTTAAATTACCTTGTCTTATTTATGTGTAACGAGTATTGCTGATGAAAACCTTGCATTGCTTTGTCTTAATGCTGAATTTTTTGAATTAATAGATAAATGCTGTTTGGGCGATCGCCTCATAAGACAGCTGTCAGATGAATTCAGGTCACCAAATCTTAAGTTACAGTCCAGTACCTAGTCTAAAAAGGACTCTTAGTCTAGTCCTTATTACTTGAGTTTGAGTCAGAGCCAGAGTCCTAATTATTAACTCTGAAATTTAATATTTAGGAAGACAGCTACCAATTTTACTCAGTGTATGAACCACAATGGTCTGTGTGGGAGTTTTTGGAAGCATAGTAAACACATTAACATCATATCCTGACTGATCCTGTCAGTGTGTCACATGATTTAACTTGTCAATAAGAGTCACAGCAGAGTTTGTCATGCATACATATACAGTGCATCTCTGACTCTGAGTCATTCTGCTGTGGTGGAATATCTGCAGAATGGAACAAAAACACAAAAATACCTGCAATCCACACAGTATTCATTATAATTATAAGCATTATGGTCATTTATGAGTGATTATAACTATAGTAATACAGTGCTATAACATGATTATAACGCATTATGCCTATATTTATAATGTGTTGTAGAGATAGGCGTCAAATAAAGTGCTACCAAAAAAAAAAAACATCTTAGAGAAGTGCAGGGTGATGCAGTGATCAGCTTGATGTCTCACAGCACACCTGGTTTGAATCCCAGCTGGAGCCATTCTGTGTGCAGTTTGCATGTTGTCACTGTTCAAGGATCCCCGTGTGGATAGTTGAGCTTCCCTTGTAGTCCAAAAGCCATGTTTATCAAGTCAATTAGTCACTCTGAATTACCTGTAGAAGTGAGTGTGTCTGGTTGTTTGCCCGGTGATAGGCTGGGGACAGAAACATCATTTCCTAAACAACTTCCCACTTCCTGCTTTTGCTTGTATTTTCTGTAAATGCTGTCGGTGCTTGAGTCTGAGTCCAGCGCTTGGGTTCAAATCTGGTCATAATTTCTGAATATTTGGACTTGAGTCAGACTTTGGTGTGAGTCATGAACTGCAGTGCGATAATACTTGTTTTCAGACATTCAAAGTTTCTCTATAGCTGTGGTAAATCTTCTCTTCTAGTCTGTTTGCCTTTTGTATATTCATTGGATTTTCACATATTCTTTAAACTCTATAATCATTCACAATTTTGAATGAGCATTTGCTGCTTCTTAAGGACAGTATTTGCAGAAAAGAAACCATAGCAAATAAAGTAATATGCATCCATAATAGCCCATCAAATTAAGAATGTATATCGGAAAGCAAAGTTTATAAAAACAAAGAGAATTTCCCCTTTTTCATGTTTCAATGCAAATCCAAACAAGACAACATGCTGTGATTGGTATCATGAATAATTGAAGTGCATCCACATTGATCATAAGTTCAGTGGTAGATTTTTAATAATTAATCTTTCAAACACATATAATTTATTTATCGCATATATTGCACATACAATGTATGAGAAATGCTGCTGAACGAGCGCTTAAAAACATTCACCGTTGATATACTCTCAGTCAATATCTGAAACATGGTAAGGGTGTAACAGAGCTGCGGTGCAACTACAGTGTGATGAGTTTACACTCAGTGGACATTGAGGATTAGTTAGATCTGGATCACTGATGTTGAGCGATAAGTTCACCCCAGAGGTATTAGATTGGGTTGAAACCTCGGCTCCGAGTTGGCTAGACAAGTTTTTTTTTTTTTCCAACAATCAGGAAAACAATCTAGTTATTGATCCTGCTTTTGCTGCTGGACATTATTTAAGGTCTTCCTCAAAGTACTGAATGCCTGATATTAAATAGTGCAGCATTATTCAATTCTGCTGTGGCTTCTTTACTTAATCTTACAAAAACCTCTAAATCAAGACAACTTATGTCCTCATACTTTGACTGCTGATCTGCACTTATATAACACGTTTTCACTCAATGTGCTCTTCACTATATGTCAACATTCAACCCTTCACACACTAATGACTCATCATCATTTAATTCCTTTACACCCGAAGGATCTCGCTGTTATGCGACCGCCCGCTCTACCTCCTGAGCCACAGCTGCCCTGTACATTATGATACATATATGTAACATAACACACACATGATAAACCTCTTCCTGCATACATACTGTATGAAAAACATGCATAATTTCTGCTCACATATGCTCAGATACACACATAGACACTTCACACACCCTAGTCCTCATTGGTGTGTCCCTCTGTCCTTCCTCTCTGCATTGTAATCTCTCGTAGTGCTTTCCTCTTCGTCCGTTAACTGTCTGGCAGCAGGCAGCGAGGGTTTCTGCCCAAAGACACCTTGAGGTGCCATGAAGTGTGTGTAAGTGTGTGTGTTTGTGAGTGTGATGGAAAGGACTGAACCCCTGAGGTGGCACTTTGAGTGTGCACACACGGATATGCACACTCTCACACACACAGCAGTGCACCCACTTGGCACGCTCTTTATCAGTGACTTCATAGCTTGTACCGTATTTCCTCTCTCAGAAGCATTTTAATGACTCTGTGTGCGTGTGTGTGTGTGTGTGTGTGTGCGACACAGGGGCCCAGGAGAAGCCGTATTATGCCGACTACTCGCCGCTACGTCGATCCATCCACACCGTGTGCACCAGCAACTACCTGGATCTTTTCATCACCATCATCATCTTCACAAACCTCCTCACCATGAGCATGGAGCACTACAACCAGCCTCAGGTAACCATAGCAACACCTTCTTCCACCTGCCCTAGAACCATAGTAATGAAGCCGAGTGCGGCGGTACAGTACAGCCACAGCGGGCCCTTTTGAAGTGTGTGAGCCTCTTTTGTCTGCGTGTCCCGCAGTACCTGGAGGAAATCCTGAAGTACTGCAATTACGTCTTCACCGTGGTTTTTGTCATCGAGGCCATCCTCAAACTCATCGCTTTCGGCCTCCGCCGCTTTTTCAAAGAGAGGTATACAAACAAAGAGACACTTTTAAACATGCATTTCCATGCTGGGGAAAGCTGATATTGTTGATGCGTTTGTTTTAGATGGAACCAGCTGGACCTCGCCATTGTGCTGCTGTCCATTATGGGCATCACACTGGAGGAAATAGACCTGAATGCCTCTTTGCCCATCAACCCGACCATTATACGCATCATGAGAGTCCTAAGAATAACAAGAGGTACACACACAAACACCACAAACACGATGACACACACTCGCAGGATGCTATGTGCTTGATAAGAGCTGACACGCTGCGATGTTTCAGTGCTGAAGCTGTTGAAGATGGCTACAGGAATGAGAGCTCTGCTGGACACAGTCATGCAAGCTCTGCCTCAGGTAAGAGGCGGCACTCATGCTGTAAAACGTAAGATGTTTCTGTAACTGCCAGCCTGGTTTCCAGATCTGAAGGACTGTAGACAGCTCGTTTTTCCTTGTGATTTATCAGGGCTGGCTCTGAGTCCCTCCCCACATGATTTACTAACATCGTTGAACTCCCCCCAAAAGACTGTTCAGAGTAAAACCAGTGTCACCAAATAAAACATTCTATTATTAGCTAAAGGCTGATCGCTAGTCTTTTAATTTTTCAGAGTGGCTTTGGTGCCATTGTTTTTCCTACTGGCTATCTGTGAGGAGATAAAATATGAGGCAGACAGTCCAGCCTGAGAGCTTATCATACATAAAGACTCCACACAGCAATTTATTCTCCTTTGAGGCAGGATTGTAAAACTCTGTCAAGTTATCACAGCAGCAGTATTTTTTCAGTTCAGTTTAAGTGCTCGCAGAGTAAAGAGTCAAATTAACAGGATGCTAAGAATAAATATTGTCCTGGCATGGACACAGTTTCATATCTGATTGGCCAGAGCTGAGCAGTTCTGTATGTGGTTTAATGCCTGTTGAAAGCTTATTCTGGTTGAGTAGGTAGAGTCAACATCATCAGTACCTTGAGCTGGTTTGGATGTAGCTGGGTCTGCATGTTTAGGGTGGCGCTGTAGAGTGGCGATGCTGCTTAAGCTTTGTGAGAAGCTTTTGTCAGTCAAAAGTGATGGATGGTGCAATGAGAGGGGTCTCCTCTCTGAATATAAGGTGGCCAAGGTAGCAATCATGATTGAAGAAATACATCAAATGAAAGGTAGGTCTAATTTTTTGTGTTACCTCAGAGTTCTCATTAGTATGGAAGACGAGAACAGCCATGGATTTTTTTTAATGCACTGTTATCTCGTGATAACGACTTGTTTTGTTATCTTGATAAAACAAAGTTTGCTTTCTTGTGGGACTCAGATAATTATTTTCATTATCTCGACATAAAAAAGATCATTAGCTCTTGGAAACAAGTTATTTTGCCAACCTAAAACATTAACTTTTAAACACACCCTCCAGATTAGGATATTTTTCCACCATGGGGCTGTGGTGTCGGGGTTTTCAATAAAATCGCTGACGTCATGCTACATTTTGCACATTACACTTCCAGTGTGGGAACTTTTGACTGCCATGCGTGAATCGGACAATGACAGTAACAATAGCCAACACAAATTTAAATTATTCTTTATCATGAGAAACGATCTTTGTTATGTTGAGATAACGAAAATGAAATAATTTGTTATCACGAGAAAACCAACTTTGTTACATCGAGATAACAAGACAAGTCATTATCATGAGGTAACAGTGCATAAAAAAAAAAAATTAATGACCATTCTCGTCCTCCCTAAAGTAGTAATCTGATCAATGTGATTTAGGTCAGCAGATAAATCCTTTAATTTAAAATGAATGTGATTTTGTCTCTTTACAAACTGCTGCCACCATGACGGAAAATAATAGCACCACGCTCTTATAAAGGGCCTATTCCACTCCCAGGTGTCTCAGTTGACAAAGTTATTTGCAAAATTAGAATACTGCATGAGTTGGAGCTATCTGCCAAGCTAAGCATTCAGGTGCAGCTAATCTGAATGATATCAGCTGGTTTTCCCGTCCAAAATGCTTGCAGAACGTTAATTTGAAGTGCAGAAATTAATACACAGACTTGTGAATGAAGCTAATTTAAAGAAGCTAATACAGGATTTAAAACAGTTTTTACATACGAAATTGTGGTAATTTAATCATTCAGTTAGTGATGCATTTGGTTGTTATTAACAAGTAAAATTCAGCATTTTATAATGATAAAAATTGATCTTTTGACAACTCAGTTCTTATCTAAGTTTTCCTCGAGAAGTTAATAAAAGCCCATGTCATCCATCAAACATAAGATAGTTTAAAACTCTTTAAATTAATGATTTAAAAGCCTTTCTGTATACAGCCCATGGCAAATATTAATATGTTTACACTTTGAACACAGCACCTTCTGAACATGAGCATTTCCACCCAAATCACTACAAACTTTTTTTCCTCAGGAGCTTCTGTCAGAGGCACCCAAAGGTTACTTCAGTCCCTTGTTGCCTGTTTTCCACAGAATATAAAAGACCCACACAAATGAGGCCATTTAGTCCAATGAATACTCTGGAACTTTGATGTCGTCTAAACTGTCGGGCAGACAGGTTTCCATATTCCTGCTGGATTTAATCCTCATTAAAAATTCTCAACAGGGCCTTAACTCTGCTGTCAGTCCATCTGTTGTACTCTTTCTTCTGTGTCTGCATTGATGTGCTGAAGCGCAGTGAACCAAAAAAAAATAAAAAAATACACTCCGGGTTGATGCTACAGATTTAAAAATAAAAAGGTAGCTGAAGGAAAATGAAGGGAAGTCCCAGCCCAAAAGTTTCCCTTCTTTGAGAAGAGCTACCCCTGAGCAGGGACTCTTTTGGCCATGGTTGGTACTTCAGCCACATGTCTTTGTTTGGAAAGGCTCGGACTTCCTTGAAATGTTCACTATCTCTGGGGAAAGTTCCTGTAGTCTAAGCACGTTTTCAGACATGACTGAACATGAATAGTCTAAATAGTGAGTGGGGAATTAGGATAGTGTACTAGGATGTTGGCTCTGGTGTAGAGGAAATCTCCAGGAAGGATCTATTACAGCTCCTAGGCTCGGTCGACCCTCGGGGAAGTCAGTGAGTAATGAGACAATAGAGCAAGAAAGGAGGAGGGGGGGAGAGTGGTGCTGGGTAAATGAGAACTAACAGGTATTCAGTGGAAGTAGATAATCAAACAGTGGAGGTCCTGATACTTAACTACAACTTCATTATATGTGGTTTAAATTTGCCTCCTGGCTTTGAAAGAGTAAGTCAGGATTATAGAGTACCAGCCCCCATAGATCCAATGTTCACGCATGTTCCTACAAACCACCGAGAATCTCTAGAGTAGCAGAGCTCCCCTGAGACCCCCGCGCTGCCTTCCCACCCACGAATAATGCCAGTTGTCTTTGAAGTGATGGATCATTCTTGGGGTTTGAACCCTGATCTTCGCAGCGCTGCACTTTGTCTGAAAATTCTCCATACTTCTTACCATGAGGGAAGGATGCCAAGCCCCTGAAAATTGCTCTCTGATTGGAATAAACAGGACGGTTTGTGGTTCCCAAGGACTGGATCCAGGCTGTTACAGTGCACTTCTGTTTCTCTGACTTCAACTCTAAGACATAATTGAACTCCAGATATTAGGATGGCTTCTTGTAGCTAGTAAAATGTATTAAACATCAATGCAGTAAAACTTAGCAGTCTCTGTCTATAGCCTCTTTCTATCTGTTTGCATGCGTACGTCTCTTTCGATGTATACTGTACATGTCTTTATTTTTCTGTGTATCATACACTGTATATATCTGTGTGTGCGTGTAACATGTCCGTCTAGGTGGGGAATCTGGGTCTGCTCTTCATGTTGCTGTTCTTCATCTATGCAGCTCTGGGAGTTGAGCTCTTTGGAAAACTGGGTTAGTGTGTGTGTGCTAGACATGCATGCATGTGCCTGAGTGAGTGTGTGCGTATGTGTGTGTGGGTGTGAAAATGTGCAAGCATGTGAGTGTGTGCATGCATAAAAATTGATGCTGATGTGTGTGTGTGTGTGTGAGCCACAGCTGACAGTGGTGAGATATTGGTGGATTACGTAACATACATAAATTGTGTTGTTACTTACATTAATTATGTCAATTTCGAATCAGTGCTGTAATCAGCGCTGTAATCTGCACACAATTCTTCTCCTTCTTCTCCCCCCCTTATCTTTTACTTTCACACTCACTTCCTCTTACACTCTTTACCCTTCTCTTCATCCTCTTTCAGAGTGTTCAGAAGAAAACCCATGTGAGGGTCTTAGTCGCCACGCTACCTTTGACAACTTCGGCATGGCTTTCCTCACACTCTTCAGGGTGTCTACCGGGGACAACTGGAATGGGATTATGAAGGTTATTTTCCCTTTCTCTCCTCTGCTCTGTGGGAGTTTTTGTAAAGAAGATGGATGGAGGAAGAAGTCTGTCTTTGTGTCTTTGCATATGTGTGTGTGTGTGTGTCTGGGAGCATCGCTTATGAGACAGGCGTAGCATTAAGCAGAGAGAAGATCACTGTTTTTATGACAGACTAAAAGCTGCTGACATTAGAGGGTTAGAAAAGTATATTACTCTTCTGTGACAGGTTGGAGGCTTGTTCACACTCAAATCAACATCTCCCCCTGTTGGAGTAAAGAGAAAGTGCAGCATAGTGGAATAATAGATCACCTTAAATACCTCTATCTAATATCATCCTTCCTCAATAAGCCTAATCCTCTTTTCTCACATTTGTTGACCAGGACACATTACGGGAGTGTCGCCCCCGGGACCGCCACTGCCTCTCCTACCTGCCCCTGATTTCCCCTGTTTACTTTGTCACCTTTGTCCTCACGGCTCAGTTCGTTCTGGTCAACGTAGTCGTAGCCGTTCTCATGAAGCACCTGGAGGACAGCAACAAGGAGGCGCAGCTGGAAGAGATGGAGGAGAGAGAGGAGAAGAGGCTGAGGGAGGAGCAGGAGGAGGCCAACCGGCGTCAGAGCATGGCGTCCTTGGGCGGAGACCTGCAGGGCCCGAGTGCTGACACACCTGCCCAGGTAACACACACAGCCTGCGTGTTCACATTTCTGCACGTGTTATTAAAGGGGAGCTGGCGTGGAGGTGACAAAAACTATGACAGTAACGTTGACTTCATATGGCAGGTGCAGGTGGAGGATGAGGAGTGTTCCCATGGCAACCTACAGAGCATGGGACGCATGCTGTCTCTCCCCAGCGACAGCTACGTTCAGCCACTCAGATGCTCCCCCTATCCTCTTATTGGCCAGGAGTCTTACTCCATCTACAGCTACTCAGGTAGTTTGGCTGTTATTTTCCCATATAGCCAATTAAATTAAAGAACAGTTTTCACTCCGCTGGAACCACCAACTGATGCTGTAAAGATTATTGCTTCCTGGAATAGCAGAGAAGCCAGTTAAAGTGTGATGAGGTACGACCGGAGGCAGTGTCATTATAGACCTCAAGGAGAGAGAGAGATTTTTTAATGTTAGTGACAATTTGGCAGAATTAGTGTACGCCCATGAAGCATATGTTTTTTTCAGTGCTGCTGCTGCTTCTAAAATCCAAGCCTCAGTATTTTCAATTTTGACATCTCACTGGGGGGCAATTTAGGATAGTCTGGTTAAAATTGCAAATCCAGTCAAGTGCTAAAAATCTTGCTCTCAGTTTTGACTCGCTCTGTGATTTTGGGGCTTTTTTTTCCCTATCTTATCCCAGTCTGTTAAAAATACTTGTGTACCATCTTCATCCCACTCCTTTGTAGTGTTGTAGTGTTTTCACATCACAATTAAAAAACTGATTTTTAGGATATGACTTGGAAGCCGTTTGATGTAATATACTGAATTTTCTTTGATTATTTTGTGTTCTTGCCCCTACATAGTGACTTTTAGGGCCCAAACAACGCTGCAAGCCCTATTGAAATTGCAGAAATTATTATTATTATTATTATTATTTTATTTATTATTTTTTTTATATATATATATTCTTTATTATCATTATTATTATAAAATTTATTTTTCTTCAACTTTTTCACCCTCTAGATGGGCTCGAAAACTCGGGCCCGTCTCAAATTCACATATTTTGCCATGCCCCTATATATATGAAAATAATGGCTTTCTAGCGCACCCTACAGTTTTAATGCTCTGGAAGTTTCCTGTATAACTTCCCAAATACTGGTTCTGACTCCACAAGATTTTTCTCATTTGATTACGGTCCAGCACCGCACAATTTGACATGAAACTTTTATCTGTATGTTATAGCGCCACCTGGTGGCAGAGGGGAATGCGTTTTTCTGTGAATGGCCTGTAACTCCTTCTTTATTGATGGGATGCAGCTGAGATTTGTTCAGGACACACCTGATAGGGTTCCAGATAGCCTAGAAAATCAGTACCTTGTTACGTTAAAATGCGCCTAGGTGGCGCTATGAAATGTCTCTAAAAATAAATAGCAATCTGTGATATTGGTATAGATGTGCATAGAAGTTAGGTACACAGATCAGGAGGGGCGTCCTCTTGAGGGCTCCAGTGTCAAAATGGAGGTCCAATTAAAAATGGCTATGGAATCAATGGCACTTATGTTGGACCCCAAGACGAACAAAAGAAGGAGGGGGTCCACAGAGGTGGCGGTGCGACACGGCTTGGGCCTGTTGGTGCCTTGTTAGTGTTTTTTTTTTTTGCAGAATGTGACTTTAACCTTGTGTTGAATCTAGCTCTTCCCCTCAATCTATCTCGTACTCTGATGTTGTGCTGTCTGCAGCATTAATAGTCAATCCACACAGTTAGAAACAGGTCAGGTGTCTGCAACCAGCCAGCAAGCAGCCTCCAGAGCAGGCAGGGTAAAATAAAGAAGGATTAAAGAAGACAACAGTAACAATGGAGAGACCCCTTAGAGCTAGTTCAGGCATGCAGCTCAAGCCTGCACTGATTTCACACTTGGCATGCTTCACCTCACAAACACCTGAAGATGTAGCCCTTCAATTTGGCGGTCTATTTAAGCTGCAAGATGCTCGGTCTATCCCTCTGCTCCGTCACTGCCCCGTGTCGGCCTCACTTTCTCCTCAGCATCCACCTGCAGGCTCTAATAGAGGGAGTTAACGACATTACCACATCACTCCTCAAACGTCTGCATGTAAAACAAATCTACCAAGAGTGATGAGGTTAAAGCTGAGACGCCGTTTACTTCTTTCCCTGTCCTCTCTGCACTATTAATAGGGAAATTACATCTCGCCTCCCTGTAATCTCACAGAGCGCGGCCCATTCGTAATGACTGACTTTCCATTATAAAAAGCCCCAGATACATATTTAAATATCTTTTAAAAATGAGTAGATCTTCTCTTAAACAGCAGGGTGCTGCGGCTTTCCTCGAACATTACTCAAACCGCCAAACAGGGGAGTATTATCAGGGGTGTATTTTCAGCTGCAGATTGATTCATATTTACTTCATCAGTAATTATTTACTGTTGCAGGTCTGTGTATGAGCTGCAGACTCAAAATAAACCACACTGTTTATATTGATGTTAATGAGGGAAGGTGTCAGCCTGTGCAAAAAGCCACTCACTGAGGAGTTTCAGGTGTTTGTACAGAAAAAGGAGTTGTCAGCACAAACAATGAGCTATATCAAGCTTTACAAACACCGTTTGAGCTTATTAGTAAGTCTTAGGAGTTCTTTACGATAAAACTCCAAAGCTGTGTTATCACTGGAAGTATTTGTGACTTGAGGCCAAGGAGCTTAGTTTTTAGGGATTAAAAGTTTTCTCGTCTGCATGTTTGTCTCAGTTTCCTTTGAGATCTTAAAACCTGGAAAGTGAAGGCAAACTAGTCTGTGAATATAAGAAGAGTCTCCTCGGTGTTGCGAGTATTGGACCTATCTCAAATATGCAGTGCAGGAAGTACTACCTCTAAAGTTTGTGTACTTATAGAAGTCTCTGATGACTACATAGACCCTATGTAGAGACCCTTTTCTTATACTGAGCACTCCCTGAAATTCCTGGGCCTGAATCAAGGTTTCTTGAGACTTTCTGAAAGTGTCTTCTGCTTATCAGAAATGCTCTCTCAGTTTGAGTAAGTTACACAGTGAAGTAATTAAGACATAACATAACAATATAGTTGCATGATGATGGGTTTCATATTTTTTAAGGGACATCATTTTCATAAAATTTTAGGTTTCTGAAATTTAAAAGCTGATGGTGTGCTTGAATGTGAGGGGGGCTGGCTTTAGTATATATCACTATGTTTGAAATCCATAACCAAAGCTTATTATGGTTTTTCTTTATTCAGAGTGTCTTCTTTGCCACATTATTTTCTGCAGGCTCCATGTCATCTTTAGGCTCCAGTGGCGGCGGCTCTCTGCTGCAGGTTCCTGGAGCTCTGCCGACCATCAGCCATGCCTCCCTGGGATCTGGACGCAGCAGCAGGCCGAAGATCTTCCTCAGCACGTCTCAGAGCATCGACAGGCACTCTTCATACAGGCTGAGTCCCACTAACAGCATAGAAGGATACAGGTTTAGCCCGGCTCACAGGATAAACAGACACAGACTCAACTCTGCACACAGTATCGATGGATACAGGTTCAGTCCAGCTCACCGGATTACCAGACACAGACTGAGCTCCACTCGGAGCATGGACGGATACAGGCTGAATCCAGACCACAGCTCAGACAGACCTACACTCATGTCCAGTCACAGTATAGACAGACACTCCTCGCTCAGGCTGAGCCCCACACACAGTGCCAGCAGACGTCATTCTCACTGGCTCAACCCTGAAGACAGTCTGGACAGAAACAAGCTGAGTCCGTCCTACGTTCCAGAAAGTTCAGCCCTGAGGAGACCCTCGTCCCTTCGTACTGCGAGCAGACAGCTACGGAGACAGGTTTGTTGTTGTCCAATTATTTCTCCCTGCCTTATACTGGAACTGTAACAAACAATAATTTCATTTTTCATCTTTGGTCCCACAGAATTATTTCAATAACTATTTTAAAAAATCATCAAAACCGCACAAAGTCTTCAAATAGTTACTTTTTCCTCCCAATAGACTCAAACCCAAGACTTGTTAATTACCTCCAGATAAAAAGGAGAAGCTGCAAATCATTGCTTCAAACAGCTGCAACCTGCAAACGTTGACATTTCTGCTTTAGAAACAACTAATTTATAATTTAAAGCTGCTGTGAGGAGTTTTTAGCCGGTTATAAAACAGACAGAAATTAATATTGATGACTCTGAATGACCAACTCAGGCAAACAAAACCATCAAGGACATGAGTGATATTTTTGATAAAGTCATTTTGAATTTCAGCGCAGGTGTCAAACTTTTTTTTTCACATTTTCTACAAAAAAAGATTGATATTAAATAAGTGAAAGGGATTTTTAATTAGAAAAAGAAAAACTCTCAGAATCAACAAAAGGTAAGAGGGGGTACTTAAGTCAAAGCAAACTCCAATTTCTTCACTGGAGCTTAAATTTTCTCTTTGTCTGCAAACTCATAAATGAGATATGATTGCAGTTGCACTGAATCTTTTTCCTTTTCGGTTTCTTAAGCTTAAATTCAGTCGTATATTGTCTTGCTTGAATTGAATTCTAATTTTCATTTGCAACACGTGATTTTACGTTCTTGAATTGCCAATTTATCTATTTATCTGTTATCAATTTGCCCACTCAGTTCAGAAACAGAGCAGACTCTTGAGTATGCTAGGTGTGAAAATCATCACAGAGTAATTAGTAGCTGATGACCCATGTTGACATGGGGAAGCTGACTCGTCTCAATGGTTCAGTCATATATTCCAGGTGCAGAGGCTACAGTTGTCATAGCTACCATCATGTTATTTGCCACATGTCATGCCCGACCCCCTTTAGCCTCTTTCCTACTGTTGTCATATCTTTCTAAAAAAGACATAAGGCTCACGAAAAATGCAATTAAAACAAAGTGAACCAACACAAAGTATGTCTTGAATGAGACATAACACATCAAAGTAACCCAAACACAGCAGCAAACTACCTCCTTTTAAATCTAGAGGATGAGAAATGATGAGAAATGACTGTAAGGAAAGCGGACAGACATGCAAATAACTAGTAATTTTTATTTAAACCCTTTGAGACAATGAAGGTGAATGAATCACAGTTGGATTATGATCTTTTTAAACGTTCTCCAACAGTTCAGACTGTTTCAGATAAAAAAAATTCATCTTGGTGTACATTTACATTTCTGTCTCGATTAGCTTTTACTTTTTCCTGAAGTAACTGCTTCCACTTAAAAACAATACGTGCATGAGAAAGATGCACACCTTCAGTGACACAGAGGGGACAAAGAGGCACAAATCTAAGTGTGTGTTGAATGTCAGTAGAATAATTAAACCTAAAGAAATAGGTTGCATTTTCAGCACTGAGACAGTTGGTCATCATAACAGATGCCTTTAGGACATCCGGCTAAAAAATGCTGGGTGCAGTGCTTGAATAGCAGTCCAAGAAAAATAATTCCCCCGATACGCCATGTAGATGATTATAAATTAAGTAATGAAACAAATAACTTCACTATTGCCGAATAGAAACAGAAACTGCAGCCACTGGTCAGAGATGAAGCAATGTGTCACTCAAACATTGCTGTTAGAGTGATTTTCATGGTAAAAACACCCAAAACATGAACAGAGTGGGAACATGGAGGTGTTTAATTCACCGTACCGGAGCACTTCACATGACCTATGATTGCACACAGCTAGAGCACTGACACACTGCTGATTTCTGATTTGAGCCTGTGAGTGAGATGCATGCAGATGCCTTCAGAGTCACTGCGCCTGTAATTGCACAGCTAGAGCCACGGCTTAGTGCGGAGTAGAAAAGTAAAACAAAAGGCTTGTTTTTTTTTTTCTTTTTTCTTTTGGCAATCTAAAAAAAAATGATTTATGATCCTCGATCTGTTCTCCAAACTGATGAGAAATCAGTCAAGATCATCTTGACCTCACTTGTCTATATGTGCATTAAAAGAGTCTCTGTTCTGGTTTTTACTCTGAGCATTAACTGTGAAGATTTCTCCTCCTGTCATAGTTCAGACAAAGTTAAAGGGACATTCCAGTGTAAAATTAATTTAGGGTCAAACGCACTGTAACACAGATTTAGACACCCCCTTGAGAGATTAATGTTGCCAACCACTTGGGTCTCTAGTTATACCAACTTTAGTAACAACCCCACAAAGCAATACACAGCGGTCTGAGGAGCCATAAACAAACCTCAACCAAAACACCACTCTATAGCCACAAATAATGCTCAGAACAGCACCTAACTTCATCAACAGTACATATAGGGTCCCAGCTATAGTTCTAGCCACCAAACATCTTTTTAGCTTTGCCTAATTTCTTAAGCAAAGAGACTAAACACAACTCATCTACTCTCTTCCAGCAGCCGCTTGTTTGTAGCGAGACCTCGGGCCAGTCCATTATGGACTGCAACGGGGTGACACAGCTCAAGGAAGAACATTTATGATCATTACTTTATGGAAACGCAATCAGACCAAGACGCTAAGGCAGAAGAACTACAGCTTCTGCAGTGCAAAATGATTAATATAATGATTATTACTTCAAGAAAATGATAAAGTACTGTTGATGAAGTTAGGTGCTGTTCTGAGCATTATTTGTGGCTATAGAGTGGCTTTTTGGTTGAGGTTTGCATATGGCTCCTCAGACCGCTGTGTATTGCTATCGTGCGGTTGTTACTAAAGTTGGTATAACTAGAGAAGCAAGCGGTCAGCAACATTCATCTCTCTCGGGGGTGTCTAACTCTGTGTTACGGTGTGTTTGACCCTAAATTAATTTTACGCCGGAGTATCCCTTTAATTATAAATAAAGACAGTAAGGATGAATACAGAAATCCGACTCTGACATTTCACAGAAGTAGCCTCTAAACTACACTTCATTAAAGTTCCCTTTTTTGGTTCTTCTTGTTCAAGCTCGACTGATACAAAAAAGCAACAATGCCCATATTATGTGTTTCACTTGACTCAGCAACTCAGACTGCTCCAGCTTTAGATCACTTTCAAGGCTGCTCAGAACAGAAGAATACAGAACAGAACTAGATTTTTCCCCTTGAGTCGAATTACTCCAAGAAGAGATTGAACAAGACAATGTGTTTTTCTGTGCTGGTGGGAGTCTATTTCCTACAACATTTTGAACCCAACACAAAATCTCTATTAAGTTGGTGTTCTTGTGTTTGTGTCCGCAGGAGGCGGTGCGCTCTGACTCTGTGGATCAAAGCGGCTCAGCTGATGATCTGGTAGAGACGCGCCTCGCAGTTCCAGCTGTCTCCCCGACACCGCCACGCCAGCGATCATCCAGTGTGCACACACTGAAATATGCACACGCCCAGAGGGTCATCCCATGCAGGGGCCACAGTCAGAGCCACAGTGAAACCGCTGGGCAGGAACAGGTACCTGAGCCTGCCGTCTGTGGCTCACAAACAGAGGTGGAGAAGAGGCCCGCCAGCACGCAGAACCTCTCAAGTCTGAAGGTCCCCGGCGGTGACTCCAATCTTTCAGCATCACCCAGCTCCGGCTTGGACTCTAGCCCCCATTTAGACGCCGCTGATGAGGAAGTGAGCCACATAAACAGTTCTGTTCACACACACTCACACACACAACCTCCCCCCGGCTCTTCACACAAAAGTAGGCTCCTTTCTCCGAGCCCAGGGGAGCACCGGAGACGCTTCAGCCAATCAGTATCTCCAGTGTCCGGCAGGAACAGGAAGCAGAGGGTGAGCCCGCCGCCAGGAGAGGAGCCTGTCACTATAGCAACCCAGCTGATGGACAGCAGTGTAGAGCTGAGGAGGCGGACTCTGTCGTTTGATGCCACAACCCTCTCTCCTAATCACCCAGAGGAAAGTTCAGTGGACGACTAAAGAAACTCTGCGAGGCAGGAAGGATTACTTTCTCGTGAGGACAAGCGTGACGTGCCGCTGGGGCACACGAAGGAGGCGGGAGCAGCGATCCACAACGGGAGGGACACCTGCTACTTTTTTAAGGCCCCTCCTCTCGCCTCATCCTGTCTAATGACGAGATTCTCACAGGGTGTTTGAGCAGAACTCTTTCAGGCTATGCGTGTGTATGAGCGTGAATGCGTTTAAAGACCTGTTGTGAAGTTTGCACTCAAGATGCACACAAGAAGACGCTTCCTTTTCTTCTACCATAGTCCTAGCTTTAGGTCAGACACAGTAGCCCCGTCTCCCCTACAGTATGTACTCCAACACTAAAACCCGCCCCTTTGCTTGATCCCTTCCTCCTGCTTTTGCTCTCATTCTTTTCCTCACACCTTAAGCCTTGGTCGGAGTGCAAGATGTAGCTACACAAAAGCTGCAGCATGGATTCAGTCACTGCTTGTGTACTTGTTGATACAGAGGAAACACAGCCTCTGACTACATCTGATGACATCTTTAGTTATTGTTCAAACTTCTACTTATTTCTTTCAGAGCAGTTAATGTCTTGATCTATGAAACACCAGAAAGAATAGTAAAAGATTCATCACATCCTCTCTAAATATCTTTTCACATCACTTTTTTTTTTTGTCCTATGAAGTGTCCGAAATCCAAAGATCTTCTATACCCAATTATGTTGGACAAGAAAGCTACAGCTCTTTTATTTTAGAGGCTGAAAGCATCAACTATTCATCAGTTTTGCTTCATAAAAGATAAATCAGCCATTAGATAACTGCAGATTCATTTTCTGCTAAATGACGAACCGTTTAATTGTTTCCAAGCTCAACAAACAGCATCTCATTCGCGGTGTTTTAATAACTCACTTCAAGTACTGCTATGTTTTAGAGAACAGCAGTTATGTTTTATTAAAACAAAACAACTTTAAGTAATAAAAGTAAATCCTGTTAAAGCTAATAAATGTTTTTTTAATGTAAATGCTTAATTTGTCTACTGCATACTTACTCCTCCAAGAAAAACAGATACAGTACGCTTGTTCAAGTTTAAGCAAAGTGGGACTTATATTTAATCAAGTTGGAATTAAGTGTTTTTTAATAAAACCTTAATTTTCTTACCTCCTTATATCTACTCTAAACTGCCACTGGAGTCATCAGTTTTTAACCGTTTTCAAAAAACAGCCAAATCAAAAATACGAATATCTTCCTTTTATTGAATCCTGACAGTCCAAAAAATTTTCAACTTGCACTCTGAGTTCAAATTGTGTCAAACAACCTCGGCTCTTGTAGTTTCTACCTCACTTTTTTTCCTGACCCTACCTAATCCAATATTTGTTCTGCTTAGTTTCTCAGCCCCCACCCTACCCCCTTCCCTCCCTTTGCCCACCCCACCCTTTGTCCTAGTATTCTCAGGGTAGAGGTAGTCCAGACGCAGGTGAGTATGATGATGATGATGAAGCATATGATCAGAGGTCTGCAGAGGTAGACTGCCCCCTGCTGTCCGAAGCAGGAGCTGATTCGTCTCTCGGGGGTGAGGCGTGGACTAGTGCAGATGTACAGAAGGGCTTTTTCAGGTGATTGGAGGGCGTGTGTAACTTTGTAGACAAAGGTTAAGATTATATTTTATTAACACAGCAGCAATGACATGAGGACTACAGAAGTGAATTTATACATTTTTGAATGTTAATGCATCTGCTGGTGGATGGATGATGATGATGATGAGTATGTGAGCGCTATAGGATGTTGATTATAATGATGATGATGATTACAATGGCGACTTCTAGATGATGCAAGTGTTTATAATATTGTTGTGCAGAATGAAAGCAGGGATTGATATGCTCACCTGCCGTAACGTGAGGATTGGAAAGTGATGGAATAAAACCACTTCCTGACTTTCATTTGACTCCGCCACCTTGTTTCTAAATTCATTCTTCCTCCATTTATAAAGAGTTAAAGTCTGCGTCTTTCCCGCAACATCCAAAAATAAAGCTAACAAACAGCTGCTGCCTGCTGCCGCTAATGAATTCAACACAACGCTTTCTAATTATGGACTTTCAGCAGATGTTGTTTAATATGCTCAACACATCCTTGGATCTTGGTCTCGATACATAATCATGTTAAAAAGAGTGTCACACATAGCAAGAAGCTAAGGAATTATTAAAAGGGGATGTGCACATAGGCAGACGCACAGCTGTGATGTAGGCAGTGGTTGTGGTGGATAGATTTTATTTTTCATATTTCATTTTGCCACTTCAGCATATCACAATAAAATATTTAATCACATGAATATTTCACACTGAAACACTACAGCATTCAGAATGCATTAAGCCATCCTGCCTTTATTTCCTTGCCAAGAAAATGTACCGAAATTCCTCATCCCGTTTCCTAACATTCTGTTGGTCAAGCTGTATGTCAGTCACAATCCAATGAGAGGCCACAGGTCTGCAAGCTTGTAATCGGACAAGCAAACTGAGGGCAAACAGAAGCAGATAAACAGAGCTGCAGCGCTGCACCCTTTGTGTTTCCTCCACTACAGACTCTTTTTCTAAGGCAGATGAAGCTTCATCACTGATCTACTGGACGTCTATGTTACCTGCACTGCACCATATGAACATGCAGTCAAGATGTGCATGTGTGTGTGTGTGTATGTGTGTCGTCCAAGTGTATATACACGTGTTTCCAGGTGTGTGTGAGAGTACAGCTGTGTTTACGTGCGCTGGTTTCCATCTGTGTGCGTGAGTGACTGAGTGTACATGAGCTGAAGACAGTTATCTTGACACAACAGAGATACAACTAACTAAGCAGAGCCAGCAGTTGCCATGGTGAAAATAGGACTTTCATCACGTGACCCCAAATTTCCCTCCAATCCCCGGAGAGGAGGAAAAGCTGCTAACTATCCAGGCAGGAAGTGGTCCACGCCCGCGCTGTTTTTAGTGTCGATCCTGCACCTCCTCTTTCTATCTGCCTTACGGTGTATCTGTCTCTAGAAGGCAGGAGCCATGGGTCTCTGCTGTGTGAGCTTCTGCGGGTCCAGGGTTTCAGTGAAGGGCGGGGCTTGATAGGGGTTGGTGGTTACTATGGTAGCCCCGTTGGCGATGGGGTACGGTGTGGCTCGAGCGTTGCTGGGGGCGGGGTCCAAGTGTTGCCATGTGAACAAGTTTTGGCTGCTGCCAGTCAAGAAGCGGCGCAGGGCGCTCAGCGTCAGCACAGCCTGTTAGTAACACACAAACAAACACACACACACGCACAGCAGAAGGTGTTAGTCACACTACGTTCACACCAGAGAGTGGAGAGATAGGCAACATGACAGCTCCTGTAGAGTGAAGCCAAAACACGTAGAGCTCCCCCTAGTGATTGGCTGCAGTGTAGGTTAAAAAGCCTGCCTCCTACTTGCTGATAGATGGGACAAGGGTCAGAATTTAAAATTTTAAAATATACGTCAAACAAATTTATCCCAAATATAGTTTTGTCAAAATACTCGGAACTTAATATTCTAATTAGCTCTAAATATTAGTTTGTTTTAAAACTCCTGTAAGCAACTTGAGGACACCCCCGTAGACAAAACGGTCTTCACCATACAAGTTAAACTAGTACTTTTAGGGAATAAAATCCCATTCTACCAAGTCAAAAATATAATTAATCAAAAATGTTAAAGAAAGATTGTTTGGCTTATACAGGGTTTGGTTGCTTACTTTTTCTGACACTTTCTGGAAATAATCCTTACACTGTTGGCCTGAGTTAATTTTGAAGCTAACCAGCTAAAAACTCTTCATAGTAGCCTAAATTTGTTATTTAATGCAAAGAAATAAAAGTTGAAGATGTCTTTTAGTTAGAAGAAGAGTCAGGATATTAATAACTTTAGCAAGTTACCTGATGCACGAACTGGCTACAAATATACAAGATTTCAAAGGCCATAGTAAGGGAGTATTTCGCTACAGACAGAGCACTAAAGTAGAAAAAAACATGATTTGACTCTGCCACTTGCTATAAATGACCCAAAGAAGAATAATTTTATAATTCATACAAAGACCAGTTGAAAAAAAACAAGTTTGAAGACAAAAATAAGATCTTTTTTATCACACTTCTCATCTCTGACACAATTACAGCTTAACCACTGTGCTTTCTCTGACAGAGAGATGAATGGCTGCGATAGGTTTGGTGAGGAGACTGATTGAATAGGTGCTGCTGGGTTATCAGTAGGTGATAAATCAGACAGATTGGCCAAGTTTTATCTTATTTGAGCAGGAAGTTTGTCTATGAGGAGTTCTTTTCAGGAGTGTTATGCTCCTGTGCCCACATCCTCACCTGAACACTATTCAGGTACACTGAGGTCTGACTTGTTGTTGGCTGTTTAGGGATCAGGTTTCCTGCTCAAGGGCATACACACACTGCTGATGCTGATAGAATATGGGCATCTCTAATTGGAATAATGGAGAAAAATGCACAATTCTCTATCCATAAATGTTAATGAGAGAGTCATCCTGAATTTTTGTTAATGGCATAATCTGAGCCCACTCAAATACTCGCATCTTTTGACCTACCAGTAAGTACATGAGTGTTTGTTTGTCTGTGTGTTTAAGTTAGTGTGTTAGACTAGAGAAAGAGTGGGAGGGGTTCTTGGCAGGAGCCTCTGCTTGTCCTCCATAAATGAAATGCTCTTAAATCTGCTCATTTCCAGCAGACACTGATATCCCTGAAAACAAACAACACACACAATGGTGGATACACACACCCACATGGATCGACGCACATAATGAGGACACGTCTGCACACACAAACACAGAAAGATGCTGTCAAAGAAAAATCATACAAACCCAGGAAAGGATGGAGAAGAAGCAAAAAGCGATGGTGGCTCTGGCAGCATCGGAGCCCTGAGCCAATGGCAGTTCGTCTGGAGAGGTTGCTTGCCACTGATTGGCCAGAAAGCAGAAGCCAACGAACCACAGGAAGCTGGCAACCCCTGAAGGACGGACACAGAGGAGTCAGGAAGGTCAATGCATGTTTCACCACCATTATCTTGCATCACATACACCTTAGTTAAAAAGTGACTTAAATCAAAGAACCTGTCCTTAAAGAGTAAACAGCAAAACATCAATAAAAATCAGTTTAACAAAAAGTCGTAGTTAGTGAGTATTCAGAATGTTAAGTACTTCTGGTAGGACATCATTGGACAAGCTGTTTCTTGCTGAACTGTTAGCTAGCTAGCAGATGGCAGTAGCTTCAAGTTAACTGTTCAAACAATAAAATTCAAATTGAAGTAATCCTGAAAACGGAGTATAAGGGCCACATTAAGAAAAAAAATTAAGACTTTGAGACTAATTTACGAGAATGAAGTCATTACTAACGAAAATAAAGTCAATACTTATGAGAATGAAGTCATAATAAAATCATTACTTGCGAAAATTAAGTCGTAACAAAATCATTACTTATAAAAATAAATTTGTAATAAGGCAATTACTTATGAGGGTCAAAATAAAGTCCTTATATTCTAACCTGCTGTTTAAAATGATAATTGTTAAAATGAGAGCAACAGAGCATTTCATGAAAATGAACTTCAATAAACGTTCGAGCCACACTGTACCCCATTCTCAAACAAGGATTGTTTGGCACATTATCAAAAGTATAATGATTTGACTACGACTTAATTCTCATAAGTAATTATTTTATTACAACTTTGTTCTCATAATTATTTTAGTACGTCTTTATTCTCATTAGTAATGACTTTATTCTCATAAATTAACGACTTTAATCTCGAAATCTAGATTTTTTTTTTTTCTTAATGTGGCCCTAACTTCATCGTACATCCTTGATATCTAATCTTAAAAATGTATTGTACAAGGAAGTATTCTTTTCGTATTGCCAATCAGTGGCGTTGACCTCAGCAGCATTTTAATATCTCTGCCTAAGAATATCATGGTCTCTGTGTTTTTCACCAGGGTTTTAAAATGAGCTCTTGATTTTGTGTAAAAATTTGTAGAAAGTTGAAACACAGCCATGGAGAATCTATTTGAATTTAGCGTCACAAGGATGATAATATCAAAACCACAAACATCTTGGCTACAGTCTGAGAGATCAAAGATATTTTCTGGTATTGTGTTTCCCTTATCTACCAGGTTTAAAAGTGGTTTAAAAGGTTTTCAAGCTTTCTTCGTATGTGCTTTTTATGTGACCGTCCTATAGCTAAAAGTACTCTATCTAACATACTTTTTTAACAGCAGTTTATTTATAATTTACCATACCAGAGAAGATGAGGTCCAGCAGAACGGCACGTCTTCTGTCCTTGACGCTGCTGATGGAGGGAAAGTAATAGTCTAGGATCAGGAAAAAGATGCTGCCGAGGAAACAGGCCACGCCAATGGTGATGCCGTAGTTGCAGGCATCAGCGTTGTTGTTGAAGACACAGAGCAAACGCTCACTACCAATGTTGATGTAGCCCTCGTTCACAATGCAGCTGAACACCACCATGGAGAAAACCTGCAGGGAAGCGCACGTGGACAGATTTATCATCTAACAGGAAGAAGAGAATGAACTCACACGAGTGTATGAATGCCTGTCATTCCTCATACACGCCACATGCAGACACGTTAAAAAAAACAACTCCTTCCAGACACAAAAATACACCTCTGTATGTTTGAAAGAGTTATTTTGGGTGAACAGACGACTAAGAACAGAGATAGAGACAAGTAACAAGCAGATGAAAGCAGGCAGTCCTGAGGAAAAAGAGGATTAAAGAACTAAAAACCAGTCTCAGGGAACAGCTGATGAGAGTCAGAGCAGCTGAAGGGCTCAGACACACAGGCCTAGTTCATAAAGATCCCTGATTAACTTCTCCAGGACTAAAAGTCTGGGACTACAGCAAGCAGAAATAAGAAAACCTTTTAGCAATCAACCAATCGATGTAGCCTTGAAATCCTTGAAAGAGGTCTGTAAGGTTGCCAATTAATCCAGATTATCTCCCTCCCCAGGTCTAAGTGAAGCACCTCGATTTAAGCTCTACGTTATTCATTTACAGGAACCTTAAAGGTACAATCAACCATATTCAGCTCCTTTCTTCTCACACCACGCTCCAGGTGTGGAGCTCAAGATTCAGGGATTATGTTGTACTGCTGTAAATTATTAAATTAAGGAACCCTGATGAGAGTTATTAACTCAGTACTTTTTGATTAATGAACAACTTAAAAGATACAGCTAATTTGATCAACCTTAAGCGATCGTATATCAACAGCTAACATTAGCAGTCACCCAATTCTTCGCTAGTACGCTGTTATTGTGGGGGTCAATTCCTAGCTAACATTACAAACACTAGGGATAAACTCTACAATACCTATATATTAGCCAGTAGTATTAGCTTAAATGTAAAAGCTAAAGTTAGCCATTGTCTGAGCGTGGCTAACAGGTTATCGTATATTTCTTTGAAACCTGTAATATGTCGAGTTTTTCATGCACAATTCTTAACTAATCAATTAAGTAATACGATTCTTGTGACCCTATAAGTTTTGGGCTTAATTTGGGGTATTTTTGTTGAGACAGGCTACAAGAAACACAAACATTTCCCCCTTGGGTTTGGTATGAAGAGAATGATGGCTGTGTGAACCATAGAAATGATATACGTAGACGCCTAAAAGCCTGACGCTGCCTATTGGAGCTCACATATCAGGACGGCCACCATCTTGGATGGGTCCCCCATGAGCCTCCAGTGCATTAAGGTAGGTAGGAATGCCCAAACATGTTGATAATAACTCTCCAAATCTCTGCCCAATTTTCACACTGTTTGGTTTGTTACAATGGCAGGGATGTAGCCATAATACAGGACAATGTCACACATTAAAAATAAACCAAGTTATTTTTCAGTCCTATTGGGAAATGTAATCCTACGTGATCTGGTTTCAATGATGCTGGATTACGCTCCAGCATGTAACAAGGTGTCTACGTATAAAATGTCTATGGTGTGAACACTTGGGATGGGCATAAAAAATAACAAAACTGAATTGTTAGACGTAGGTCATAGGTCGTAGGTCATAAAGAAGCACCACTGTTCATTTCAATTTGTTTTAAAATTAGACAAAAATCCCTCACTGGAGCTTTAAAGGTCATGATACACTTTCTAATGGTCTAAATCTGGTGGCAGAAACCTCACTCTGATCTTTGCCAAAGTAAAATCATTTTTATTTAGATTTTATTAGAGTTAGCTGAAGTAACTTCCCACCAATGACTGATCCGTTGGCATCAGTTGCACAGAAAAATGTCCTTTCAACAGGCAGAAACCTTGAGCAGAATCAGACTTAATGTCTACTTAATGTGAGCTGCTAAGACTGGGTGGGATAAGAAATTGGGATTTTAAAGCTCATGTCTTCTGCACTTCATAAGGAGGATTCACTTTGATCTCAGCTGTTTCTTGTTGCATTTCTGAATGCCTCAGTGTATTATGTAATGAGAGGATGATTAGCGATGCTCTCGAGGATAGATCCTGTTAGTCTTGCAGCTGTAACACTGAAGCCATTTACAGCCACTTTGATATATCACTGTGAGGCTTCATTTTTTGAGATGAGATCATTTCAATCTATGAGTTTGATCTGAAAAATGACTATTAAGTTGAACATTGGCTTCCAAAATGTGGAGAAGTGCATGTATAAAGGAGTATAGATTTGACTGCAGTCCACTTACAATGCCCATAACAAAAATGTATGTTCCACTATGCTGATCTGTTTCAGTTCCTGTTTTATCTTCTCTGACTATGATGTTACTCCTGTGTCTTCTTTCACTGCCCCCATGTGTTTTGTTATAATGGCTCAGGTCATCTGGTCCAAACAAATCCAGTAATTGAATCCAGAATTGAATTATGAGACACGGACAGAGGGTTTGTGTCCTCCCTTTGACTGTCTGTGTCTGCTATAAAACAGAATTATTACTCCTTTTGCCTTCAGGGTACACATTAGCTGCTGTGTGGTGACTCACGGCTGCACAGAGATGACACACAGAGGTGTTACATTCTGGCTAGCGGGGATTTATCCAAAACACTGAGACCCATCTAGACACAAAGAGGCTCCTGATAAACATATGGTAATAAGAGGCTGCTGCTGCTGGAGCTCCAGCTGTATCTCTCACATGATATCTGACTATTTCACTAAACTGAAATTGACAACACTACAAAGATTTGCCTCAAAAATGACAGATCTTTAATGAAACACTGATTTATATAGACACTGAGCAGACAGGATTGACGAGCTGAGCGCGAAGACAGACAATGTGAATGAGACAGAGAGGGGGGGCTGCAGGTAGGCCTGTTCATTGATAGAAAGCCGCACATTGCAGAGAAGCCTCACTTACCCACGACATCAGCCTGAGGATGGTGCGGGGATGCGTGAAGAAGGCGACCGCATCGAAGTGGACGCTCCCGGCCTTCCCGGCGCCGTACGCGCCCGCTGGCTGCATCCCTTTCGGCTTTCTGCTTCACGGACGGCCGCTGAAGGAGAAGAGGAGACGGAGAGAGAGAGCAGCTCGGAGCGGCGGCGTCCACCTCCAGCCTCCGTGTGAAGTCACAGCGCGTCACCGAGAGACGATCACTGCCTGCTCCGCACAATGGCACCAACAACAAGTACCATTTAGACCACCGTTTATGTATAATTTTTCACCACATTTAACTGCTTTATTTTGACGAAATGATCACCATTCTAATTTTTCTTTCCTTTTGTAGATTCAAGTCATTTTTCAACTCACATTAATAGCCCAAAGATATAATCATGTATAATCATGGGTCATTTTAACCCTAGAACACTATCGCTAAAATTAGTAACACCATCACTATCGCTGGGTGATTTTTACCATAAATAAAATACCCGAGAAAAAGTACTTGTTATTAAAATATATCAAAATAGGACAATACGTGACATATTAAAGTAGTTTTCTTTTATTTTTAACTGTGCAGTGTCCAAAGGGAGGAAAATAGCCATGAGGAGATCATATAAAAATGCAAAAAAATAACTGAAATTAGGCATTAATGAATTATATTTATATATAAACTGTAAACTTTGTTTCTTTTCCATTCATTCCTAGGGCATGTAGGTCCCCCTGGTGAATACTCAGGGTCCTTGGCACAATAACAGCTGCAGGTGAGAGAAACAAAATATAAAATATGTCAAGTGAGAAAAAATGACAAACTGACTAAAATTAAATATATCACAACTATGTGATCCCACTGAGCATTTTTGGTCTTAAAGAGGTCTAATAGACGTCTACATGTAGCCTAGATTACTGGTCTAAAATCAGGCTACGACAGGTCTAAAAATGAACGTTTTTTAGACGTCTAAATTTAGACCAAGTTTAGTCAGCTTTGCCTAATTTCTTTAGCAAAGAGACTAAGCATAACTCACTTACTCTCTTCCAGCAGCCGCTTGTTTGTAGTGAGACCTCGGACCAGTTCATTACTGACTGCAGCGGGGTGATGCAGCTCAAGGAAGAACATTTATGATCATTACTTTATCATTTCCTTGAAGTAATGATTTTTATATATTTTTTTTATCTGGTCAGTTCAGATGCAAACACTGTGCCGATGTAATTAGAAATGTGACTCATCACTTTTTAGGAAATTAGGGTAACCAGTTTTGAATTATCAGATGGCTTGACTGACAATCTTGCACACTGTAGCTGTTTTCTGGATTTCCACCAGATCTTTGTTCGGCCCAATGCCATGCCAATCTGGTTTGGCTCTGAGCACCCTCATTCATCAACACCCACTGGCTGTGTTTTCAGAGTGCAGTACAGAGCAGCGTCTTTAGACTGCTGGAGTCACAGGACCAAGGAGCAGAATCAGTGGTTTTCTACCTCCACAATGAGCTTTAAAAACCACTGACCTGTTGACTCTAGGCCTGACTCTACTCAATATGACAGACTGGTGTGGTCAAGAGAAATATGAGCTCGGGTTTGATTTTGAAAATAAGCTGGATGTTTTAATGTTATCTGTGCTGACAGATGCATCATGCTCTGGCATCTGTCAGAAATTGAAGTCATATATTTGGAATTTAGGGGTCAGTGAGAGGACTACAGATCCGTCTCAACCTCACCTCTTAGCTTCATACAAGACCAACCCACAGTTAGTTTGACTCAGCATTTTCAGTATGACGTTGCTCCTCAACTTGAGAAACTAGAGGGTGACATCATGTTAAAACTATGTTAACGTTCATGTAGTCTGGATATTTCATTCCCACTGTGCAGTAAAACGTGTTTCCAACCTGCCGCATTTGTTTATATGAAGATGCAGAGTTAAGCATGACTATTCAGAATTAAAGGGTGTGGCTGATTTTAATGACAGGTGTTGTAGCTGTTTGTCAGGCAGCAAAGCTGTCGTCTCGACTCCACCTCTCTGCAAGTTTCTAGGTTAGTCAGAGATTAGTTGAGTCACCATTTCCAATATGGTGTCAAATATTTTTAGGCTTCAGAACAGTAATGGGTTAGGGTAAGATCATGTAACTCTGTTTGAGCAGGATGGAAATGTTGGAGTGTCTGCCCAAACGTACAAAAACTGGCAAATGTATAAAGTAAGCTGGGGTTATTAATCAGCCATCTTTCTTTATTCAAAACTAAATGAAGTAAGCCTCCATCTAGAAATCTCACAACATGACAGTGACAGAGACAAACTGAGCACAATAAATGAGATTAGTCTTGCAAACTCCAGAGTTTTTATCCTCGAGGACTTTATAAAACCTTATTTGATGGACAGACAGAGATGGCATTGGTAAAAAGATAAAAGCAGATCTGTCTCCAGAGAGAAACGACGAAAAGGTATCAAACCTACACAGACACACATGCACACACAGAGTACTCTCATTGTTCGCGGATTAAAGCTCATCTTTGGTTTTGTTGGCTTTTTTTGCTTCTTCAGCTTTCATGGCCTCGATGTACTTCCTCCTGTCTTCATCCTCCTGCAGACACAAAAGAAAGGAGTTTTATTTATAACGCAGACAGAATAGAGCAGCTCAAATGAACTCAAACCACTGCTGATGCTGATGCTGCTGTTTCTTGGGCAAAGTGATGAGGTGGATGATTTACCACTACTCTGTATTTCTTAGCTTCCTCCATCTCTTTATCCAGAAACTTTATCAGGTGCTTCAGCTGTCTTTTCCCGGTGTAAACCACCACCTAACAGGAACAAAGATATCACATACGAACATTGTTAGTTCAATAAATGTCAAGTCACTCCACAGAGCAGGTACGACACTTGAAATATCAAACTTTACAGCAGTCTTTTGATAAATATTTGCTGATTTAATGGGCTGTAGTCTCACAGAAATACTGTCAGATCATTGCATGAAAAAGAAATGAAAAATAGCCCCGTAAAAATACTTGAAGTAACCAGGAATCCAGTACCCTTTCAGTATACAGAGCAGGGAACAGGCAGAGCGACGGGTACGAGCCCTGCATGGACATGTTGATGTCATTGGCTGAGGCGTCCATGCGAGCGATGATCACATCCTCTCGGTCCTTGACAGCCTCTGCTAACTCCTCCCACAGAGGAAACACCTCATGGGACGCCTTACTGTAGGGAAGATCTGAAATACACATTTAATTTAGACCCTCAGGTATAAGTGATGTACACACATGTACTACAAAATTCTGAGTAAACACTTTGACAATAAGTGTGGATAATTCTGATTAAGGTCACATGAAATCTTTAGTTAATTTGGTTGATTGTTAAAATTAGAAATTGTTTCTGACACATCCAGATATTTGCCAGTTAAAGGTACAGTGTGCATGTTTTGCTGTTGGAGGAGCATTGCAGTTTAAGATAGCAGCCTCTGTAGAAGGGGACCTGCTCCGGATGTTGTTACAGGGGTTCATTTTTAGAAAACAACAACACAATTTTCAGCCTAAGGTGATTACACTCTTTGTTAAAAATTACTACAAATTGTAGTGTTTAAGTAGAGGGAGTATTTACGTACAAAAGAGTACAAAAACCGTCTTGTTTGGGTTAAAGGTGACTTTCTCCAGAGTCATCCCCACCAGCTCCTTCACCGGTTGCTCCTCCCATCCCTCAGGTATCGGCTCACTCTGCATCTTTGGCTGTTCAAACACATTATTTATATCAGGACTGGCTCATGTCTCAAACACCTGACTGAATGTTTTTTTTTTTTTTTTTTTTTTTTTTACCTTCGCTGTGCCCTCCAGGTAGGACTGACAGAATGTTTTAATAGTTTCTACATCTAGATTCTCAGAGGGCAGGTGATAGGTCACATGATTTGTCAGGTTGACGATTCGGATGAGAGGAGCCTCGAAATCCCGAACCCGAAAATATTCCATCATCCTGCCGTTACGAGGCTCATCCACATTCACCCAGATGAACAAAATCTGAAAGCAGACACACTCAGAGGTGAAGCGCTCCAACAATTTACAGGAAGATTATTCTATGATCACTTTCTTTGACTAAGTTGTGGGTGTGTGTTTTGTTTTACCCTCAGCCTGAAAGCTTCTGCAGCGCTGTTAAATGCAGAGAGGATCTGATTGAAATCAGCAGAGCTTTCTTTGATGAACAGCAGGGCGTGGTTTAACACAGGAGATGATAATATCTGCGGAGCTGTCTGTAAGAGAAAGAAAACCCTTGTGTAGCAAAAGAGTTATTCTATATGAGATCTCTGTGAGCAAAAAGCATCACAGCTTCTGACAATATGAACAAAAACACAACCTTCTACCTTTAAGAGTAAACTCAAAACTTTAATAACCCAAATTTACCAGACTTATACAGTTTGTGTCAATATCATGAAACATCAGACCTAACTGTGTACACTGTGTATTTAGATTAACACCCTAAAAATGGAAACTGAAACCAAGACATAAAGTCCATATCAATTATTTAGTGAACTATCATAGAGAAGCAGACTATCTTACTTGGTTTTTAGACAAAATATACCCACATAACATAACTCGACTTGGGGAATTGCATTTTTATTTGTACTGAAAATGATGCATTAATCTCAAACACTACCTGTCCTGTGTATTCAGTGGCTGGATCCATTTGGTAGACTGAGATAAAAACGATCAGCTCCTCTTTAGATGTCTGAGGCGTCATATTGTAAGCCTGGATGAGCTTAGACTGCAGCAGACAAACACAGACACACACGCGTGCGCACACACACACACACACACACACACACACACGCAGTTAGAATGGATGAACTTCTGCATTTGAATTTCAATTTTATACATTTCACCTGCTTCATCTGGTGTCTTACATCGGAAATGCAAAAGTGTAAACCACCAAGAGTACATTGAGAGAATAATGGCATTTAAACATAGACAGTCACCTCTATGAAGTGTATGTGTCTAATGATTGTGTATGAAGTACCTTTTTGAGCAAGAACACAACATCATGTGTGAACCCGTATTTGGTGATAACTTCATTGCTCTGAGTCACAGCAAATCTGACATCAGGGAGGTCTATCGCTGCAGCATAGAACACCTGCACGTAATCATGGTTCAGCTCCTACACACGCGTCAAAACAAGAAACAAAGGGATTCAGATCCTTGATTACACTGCAACATTGAAGAAAAGCTGAAGATTAAAGGTGTTGGTATTCACCTTAAAGAACCCAATCACTGTAAGTTCCTCTGCGGCCTCTAATTGGCTTAAATCAGTGATGAGATCAGCAGCAGACCCCGCCCTCCTCCTCAGCCAGGTCAAGATGGAGGCTGGACTCTGAGGAACTTAAACACAAATCCATAAAACTGCATCAATAACTGTTTACCATGACTACTAACAATTATACAGCCTGTTTGATATTAAAGCTTCAGTAAGGGGTTTTTATCTGATTTTGTAACAGGCAGAAATCAATATTGTTGCCCAAATATGACCATGCAAAGTAAAATGAGACCATTAGCAATGACAAAAGCAACAATTATTTAAAAATAGTACATTTTACAGTTTGTGAGCCCACACAGTAGCTCTGCTGCAGGGGTAGGTGTCAGATAAAGCGAGTTAAATAGTCAAACATTATTTTCCACAATAGTTCCACTGTGAATTCCATTTGTTCAGTAACAGATAGCAGGATGGGACTTTTCATTAGAAAAAATATGGTCATATATAAATGGGACAAGATCAGCAAAGTGATAAGATATGACATACAATGTTGTCCACAGGGGGCGCCAAAATGATACAAACCAACAGTTCTTCTTTGGAGCTTTAATTGAATACTTAAAGACTGAAAAATGGGCTTATTTGCATCATTGTCATTTTCAGGATTTAACCATCACTCTAAAGGCAGGTGTGATTAGCATAGCTCAAAGTAGCATAATGGAGAAAAACATCTAGCATGTCTTTCCTGGTACCTTCATTTATATGCCAGTATGTCTGTAGTCAAATGCAGTTATTAAATGTATAAATAAATACACATATCTGGACATACTGGATACTCTTCAAAACAAGCTGTTATCCTAAAGGGTTTAAAACTCTGGAAAAGCTCAGCTAGTAGTTTTTCCTCAAGTCTTATCCGAGTTAAAACTTCTAAGCTCAACTTTCGGGGACTCAAAAATAAAGGAGTTCCTGGGAATCAAAATTTTAAGCGCTTCAAAACAAGCAAGAGAAATCTTGCACACCGTGTAAGCAGGTAAATACAATTAATGTTCATGTTTAGATACCAAACTAATGCCAATAAATGTATCAGATTGTTAGACAGTGTTTCCTAAAATCAGAAAAAAAAGAACAAATAAAGTTAACTCTATTTTAAAAAGGAGAGAGAAAGAGAGAAAACTGAAGGCTTGTTGCAACACGGTCCAAATAGCTGATTTTTACAAAAATCCCACCTTTAACAAGGCGAGCTGGATTCTGGGGTGGACAGTAACTCCCAGGCTAATCTTTTTCCCCAAACTGATATTAATAAACATTTAAAAGTTTCATTTGCACTTACCTGGCGCGGGCACAGGGTTGTGTTTATCCCCAGAGAGGTACAGCCAGATTGTGTTTTCTGTCACATTGAGCTCTTTAGCCAGGTCCTTCTCCTTTGCCACATCAAAGACTGCCAGTTTGACCTCTGACCCCTGAAGCTCTGCAGCAGCTCCCTCTAACGCCTCTAAGACACGATGGTCTTGTAGAGTTAAAGTGGCATCTGCACACAGAAATACATGGTGAGTGAGTATGAATAATGAAATCATGAAAATGCAGCAGTATAGATCAGGTCAGTCGTGTGTTACTTACAGAAGTACACCAGCAGCTGCTCATATCTTCTCAGTGCTCGGTTGAAATGATTTTTCCTCAGCTGTAAAACCCCGTCCTTCTCAGGTATTGATGTCTCTGCTTGTTGGTCAGGTTGTGTGTCAGCGGACACATACACACAAAAACACAAGGCCAACACTTCCAGCAGCAACAGTGTCCTCATGATGGTTCAGAGTGACAGACACGACACAAAGACAAGCATGAAGGGAAGGTGCGGAGGGAGTGGTGAGAGAAAGAGCTAATGCGATACTGTGAAAACTGTGAGTGTGTGTCTATCAGTGCTGAGCTTGTAGTTGTGAATGCTTTTGTTATCTGCCGACCAGACCCTCCAATCTGTTGTTGATTAACTTTCCTATCTGAGCCTTGCTGTATCTCTGCTATTGGCTGCGACTCATATCAAGAAAATCACTAATATGTAAATGCCCTTGTGCTGACACTATTAACTTAAACAAGGTCAAAATGCGACCACGAAAGCAGACACACTTCTCACTCACTAAAACAAAGTTTTGTGCAAAGTATTCACATGAGAAATCAAAGAAAAACATAACAGCTTTTTCAGAGAAACCAAGGCCAATTTTATTTCTCTATCAACATGATAGATTGATAAATAACAATACTATGACAACATTATAAAAGAGAGTAAAATTTGGCACTCTTACCAAGTGTTATGTTACAGGTAACCTGACAACGGGTTAAATAAACACATTATAACGTCTTTGTATGTAAATATTAAACCTTAGCATCAGTTTCACACACAATCCTCAACCTAATTTCTTTACCTAGTAATCACAGCAGGTTAATATCACAGTACATATCAAATCTATGTCATTAATGTCAATAATTGTAGTTCAACGCAGTGCAGTATCTTGTCTGCTAGCTAGAAGTGGTTAGCATAGCCAGAAACTGCAAACAAGTGGAAACAGCTCATCTTGTTCAATCTAAAAGTAACATCTATTTTCAGCATCTCTTAATCTGAAGCTACTAGTTAGTTTTAGTTCTATGTTAAAGATGGACAGATGGATAGTTGAGACTGAAAAAGAGGTCAGGTAAATTGTTAAAGAGGCTAAATGGAAGTCAAGAGATTTTTAGCTTCACTGACACTGACTATGTCCCCTCAAGGGGATTAACCTGCACAACATTCTCCAAAATGCCAAATGAGTACAGTCAGTTCAGCCTAATTTGGCCCACTCAAACTCAGTTTTATCGCTATCTGTACATAAATTTCTTCCACACTGAATAAATTGGAGTCACAGTAAACACATTATTATAAAGAATCATGTTTCTTAACTTATTATGAATCACTTTATATTTACAGGTTAAAAATTTACCACTGTAAACATTTAACAACAACAAATCATTGTTTTCATGCAGTTATATTCTTGTACCCCTCTTTGTGTTTAACGGTCCTTCATTTGATTGGCAAAGTTTTACAGCAAACTAAAGCCTAAGCTTACGTTCAAGCTGAGCAGAGCCTTCGCTCGTATTATATGAGGTCACTTCACTCCTGTGTACTTAATAATGATGATAACAGTGCTTTATATATGTAACAGCTTAACAGGTGCAATAAAGCTTGCAGTGGAGGGTGGGAGGAAAACAGTCTGTACACGCCCACACAGCACTGAGTGATCAGATCCACCTAATGATGTAAATCACGTGTGGATGTGCAAGAATAATAAAGCAGCAAAATCCAAAACTTCCTCATCTCAAGTCAGCGTGACGTGTCAGCTGTGACAAAGACAACTGTGTCTAACATTCAAGCTTGGACCATTGACTGTTTAAACATCATGGCAACTCCACAAAAAGTGAAGCCAAAACACTTCAAGGTACCCTGACTGACTGGGTGTAGTATACGTTTGGTCTAAGAGCCCACCTCCTGTCACGTTGTGGACACAAAACAGAAGGGAAGACCCACATGTAGAACTTAAAACTATTTTATCAAAGAAAAATCAAAAAGGAAAAGTCCAACAAAAACTTACTAATCAAAATGTCCAACAGAAAAATCTTAAGGGAAAAACAAAAAAAAAACACTGCGGTTGTTTTAGCAGAATCAGACAACTCTGCGCATGTCCAAATGCTTCTGATCTGGATAAGGCTTGGTGCATGTATACGCACATCATGATCTGATAATTTGATTTTGCACCCATATAAACAGTGGATTCAGATTATCAGATCCCTCAAATTTTTAATCAGATCAAGAAAATTTGCCCATGTAAACATGGCTACTGACAATGAACCACAAAGAGGGAGGGCTACACAGGGAGAAAATTGATTACAAAAATTAGAAAAGCTTAATAAATAAGAACCGATCATGACACCTCCTCCATGTTGACTATGGGGCATGGGTCAAACAATGGGATGAAACTAAACATTTTCACTCAAATACTATTTCTATTTTCACAATTGTTTGTTTTCATGCAGATTTATGTCCATGTTTTTCACTCACAGGGATGTTCTGGCCTCAATTTTGTACCATTTTTATATAAAGCCAATGGCTCAGTCAGGTTGTCTCCTTCATTGATAAAGTAAACATGACTTCTTGCTGTATGCATCAGCAAACAATTCAAGATTTGTTCTTTTTGTATCAAAATATAGAAAATACTTCATCTAACTGGCATAAGACAAAACTCTGAATTTTATTCCTTAATAAACTGTCATTTTGTGTTTCATAGGAGTCTGTGTGACGAATCCAGACACCAAATCCTCCTGTACCTTTTTATATAAGAGGAATTTTGCCAAGTTTTCTTGTATACCTCAGAAATGCTTGTTTGCCTGTGAGGGACTCTTTGAGAAAATGTACAGAGGAGGCATCTTGACGGTCAGAGATGAAAATGGTTGGAAAGATGAAAATGAGATGTTTTAAAGCATCATGCATGTTTTGACCTCCATAAAGATAAGCTGAGTACATTTGAATTTCTGAGAGTATGGCAAGTGTGTAAAGTTTTTTTCAGTGTAAAATATGTAAAAAAATGTCAGAGGAAACTTCTCAAACAGGTCCTGCTGCAAGATCTACTCCTCTGTCCATATCTTTGTTCAATATCTACATTTCAAACCTGTGATTCTACAATTTTTACAAACCAAATAAACTCACTGTGTATCATGAGTAGTGAGCCAACAATATTACCGACAAAAATACATCACAAATGTTGTTGTGAGATTTTGGGTTGACCCTTGAGGAGAGAGGTCATATTTATCCTGCCGGTGTCATCTCGTGTATGTGTAAAGATGTTTTCCACAGTTCGGGCAGGAATGATGCGCATCCTGAAGGCTACGTACCATGAATGGGATCAGACAGAAACCACAGACCAACCTGAAACACACATGCAGAGAAAACACACACAGATGAAGCTTTGTTTAGCTCTCTGACGTAGGAAATCAAGTGTGTGTGGGTCTGTGTCTCACCCCATCAAGGTGAGAAGTATACACATGCACCAGGCAGCCTTTCCAGGCTGGTATGTGACTTTGCTGGTGACAACGTGGCGGCAGTGCGGGCAGTGTACCACGGCGGGGTTGTCTTCCAGGTATGACAATGTGACAGGAACAGGCTGCGGCTGGGTCACCACTGGCTGTGTTTGTCTCCTGCCGACAGACGACGATGATACTCCAACTGGCATTCAGAGGGTATAGGAAAGATGGGGGCGGGTAACAGGAAGAAAATAAGATGCAAATGAAACACGGTGTACATGCTGATTGAGTTTATTTGCATTCTGTAAAAAGAAATACTCAGAGGAGATGGACTACTTTGTGTAGTTGGATGGATGATGACTCCAGTGTTTTGTGAAGGAGATGACGCAGAAGTTGGCAGCCGAGGTGGAGTCAGGACTGGAAAAGGATCTGGCTGGACTGTTACTGGAAAGAAAGAAAGACTTTTGTCACTTTTTGGGCCCCAGTCCAGATATTGAGGGTGTTTTTCCTCCTCCTCCTGTGTGATGCATTACTAGAGATCATAAATACCTGAGGATTAAAGCTGTTCTGTAAGGGGTTACGAGAGCAAACAACAAACAAACAATATTAAAATCAGTGATTTGGGGCTGCTTGTGTGATGTACGGTGAAGTCTACCTCCTCAATAATATTAATATCTTCTGCAATTTCTGAAGCAGATAACAATAAGCACAGAAATTTAGCTTTGTTCCCAGAACTTTGATAGGGATGTACTCGTTTTTGCATCCTGATTGTAAATTGAAAAACATTTTGGTATGCAACTTAAAAAATCTTGTTTGCAATCAATGGCCTACATTTGGGGGAGTATTTTGTTGTATAGTCTGACATAGAAAATGTTGATTTTGAAAGGAAACTAGAGGTTTTCTGACAACTCTGAAGGGGTGTACTCATTTATGCTGAGCACTGTACTTGGATCTAAATAAACAAAGAAACAATAATTTTCTCATTCAATTTTGGATTTAATAAGGGATGTAACTTTAGACTGTGTCCACTGGTGTGTAATTATTAAAAATGGCACGTATTGCACATGAATAATCGCCCTAGATAATCACTGTTATGTGGCATGTGTAAATGATTTTGAAGAGTTTGATGAAAAGAAAAAGCATTAGTTTTCCAGAAAAAAACAAAGCAAAACAAATAGAGATCCAGCCTTAAAAGAGGGCTCAAATGGTCCCTGGATAGATGTTGTACTGTTTTTGACTTACGCCTGCAGTGAAAAGAGGCAAGTGAGATTTACTCCTACCTGCTTCTCCATAGGTGGGGGGTGGTGTTGGGGGAGCGTGGAGGGACACATCATAAGACGGGGGAGGGGGGATATTATATCCTTGTGAGCTGAGTGCAGGAGGGTGGAAACGGGCCTCCTCATATGAAGGAGGTTCCATCAGGAGATCATCCAGTCAGGCAGAAAGCTAAAGAGATGAAACAGAAGGTAAACTGCAAACACAAACACACAATACTCTATATGTCACCAAATGTACACACAGCCACGCTCATGAGCATTTATCACATGATGTAGTCCCAAACCCAGCTGCAGTTTGCTCATCTAGATTTATTGTTTTAATACACTTTTGGTGCACCTGCATTATGCAATTCAATCTCAGAGCTCTATAACCTCTGGGGTTGATGCTCAACTATGTGGAGCTTTAGCGGATTTATTTGAAGACATGAATCAATGCAAAGTCATTATCAGATTAACGCCAGTTTAATCCAGGGTTTTATCGTGGCTAATTATGCTTTTCGCTATTTTCTTGGACTGATTTCTGGCACAGGGTGGATCCAGACTTTTTCACTGAGGTGTTGACTCAAGAAGGGTGGCGTTAAATACATGTGGTCATCTTATCATAATAAGCATTAATAACCCTTTTCTATCGCAACCAACAATACTCTCTGTAAGTACTGTATCGAGATTTCATTTTTTAAAAAGGTGTTTTATTCCCATGTCTATTCATTTTTATTTTTAAAGTACCGCAGCATTGGGATAAAAACAAGTATAAAGGGCAATTTTGTCAAACATACTCAAGAATAAAGTGAAGTAATGAGCAGTCAGTCACTTTAGGATGATGGTGCATTCTAAGATCAACTTTGAATGTTTCACGAATAACTAAATACTCAGTCTTATGACTTTATTCTCCCAATATTATGAATCTAATCAAAAGTAAGTGTGCAACATTGAAATGCAAAGAAATCTACCAACAGCATGTCCCATCACAGTCCCAATACATTCTTTTTTTTTCAGGCAATTAACGAGTCCTACTCGTGGCCAATCAGGTTATAAGGGAATCCACGCAACCCCTCTGAATAATTGCATGCAAAGCAAGCTGAGACAGAGAGGACATTTCTCACGCTACAATTACCAGAAATTACACTAATACCCAAACCAAGCCCTGTAAAATTAAATTCAGCTCAATTCAATTTTCTCAATTCAAATTGTTGTAAATCAATTCAATTCAATTCTTTCCTGAATTCAACTGATTCTACCAATCTTATTCAGTTCAGTTTGATTCTATTAATGACTTCATCTATCCCTCTTAGTGCGTTTGTTAGTCAGGCAGTGATAACACTGATAACACCGTTCCCTCTTTTACCACGTTTCTCAGTTTTGTGTTCATTCAGGAAAAGCTAATTTTTAACCCAACCCAGTGTGTTCAAACATGCTCAGTAAAAACTCAGCAAATAAAACTGTCATTTATCTTCTATAGCAACATCTCTGAATCATTCTTCCTTAAAAGAAATTTAAGAACCATCAATGCCAAAGCCTCACATCACAGAGCAGTTTTCGCCTGACTGTATCTGGATACATTTACAAATCTGTCACTGAGTCTTTCATGGAGCAAGTTTCTTGTAACCTGCAGTTCTTTCTCTCTGCCAACTATGTCAAAGTTGACCCTCATAGCATCAAAACTCTCAGGCTGATTCCTCACATGTGAAAACCTCCACTCAAACTTCATCTGACTGCCTCAGGTGGTGGGACTTCCTGGTATCATTTCCCCTCTTCATTACTGCCCCTCAATAAAAGAGAGGTTAGCTACAGAGCATTATGTGTTGGCCAGTTTCAGAGAGGAGCAGAGGTTTAAAGTGACCGCATTAACACACACCCTAAAACATCACAGGGAAATACAGAGTACTTTAACACTCATGTGTGGTGATATTGCAATATTCTTTATTTTAATGTGTTTAAAAACAAAAGAAGTAGCAATTCTATGTGTGATTTTGGAATGATATTATATAAGATCTATTTTTAATTCATTGTTAGAGCAAGGTGGAGTGTTAAAAGTAGGTCACAATCTCCCTAAATTCTTATTTAACACATAAAGCTTAAAATAACACCACAGCGTCACTGAATCCTGATCGTTAAAACTTCACTGCTTAACCTCAAGATGTGATTTCCAGCCAACATGATACTTAAAACCAACCGTATCAGACATTAAACACATTATCTGAATGCAGTCAAGTAATTCAAGCTCACATGGGATTCTTCTCTTATGTAAACAAGAAGCAGCCGAGCCCAGGAGTCTGATCCAAACAGGCACAGACCTGCGATACGCCATGTACAAAAACACTCCAGATACAGCCCGCAGAGTCAAACCTGTCCTCCTCCTCGAATTAAACACACATAAGCGAGACAGTGAATCAAAGAAGTGGTCTTACCTGGGACGAATGAGGAAGTTGGGCTGGCAGGAGGAAACACGTACCATGTTGGTGACAGGTGTGACATCACAGCCTGTTGAACCTGTTTTACTCTGGAATTAGAAACATTTTACTTTCCACAAGCTGGAAACCAACTCTGGACCTGTTTACCTTCTCTGCCGGCTGTACCCTGATCAATATATCTTTGAACAGACTCCTGCTTACCAAACACCTAAAAAAAAGTACAACTTCATTCATGATACAGCAATTTATGAGAGTTAATGAAGGAATTTACTGAGTATTTTACTTCAATGAGCCTATGAGCTACCAAAATATAAATGAAATGAAAATGATTGGATTTGTTTTACAGGAAAAGCCAAAAGCAAATTTGACAAAATTATAAAATAGTGTAGAAATACTGTATATTACGCTATTATATAAAAACAAATACTTATAAATTCTCCATAAACTGGTGATGTTTACCAGCTTTTAATGGGCTGTTTGTACAAAAGCTTTCTTCATTTGTTACAATTACTCATCTTTATTTTGACAACCTGGTCCCATAACAGTGAGTCACTAGCCTGGATCAAAGCGTTGGATAATTCATTTATAAAATAATACAAATGGTTAGTAAATATAAAGATTCAAATCATTCACAATAAAAAAAAATAAAATAAAAATAATAATAATAATAATAATAATAATAATAATAAAATAATAATAATTAAAAAGAATAAAACGTGATAATACGGTTTAGTCTGTAGAAATTAGAATATTGAGCATTATCTAAAGATCAGATTAAAATGCTCTCTTGCTCACCCCTCCTACAAGTGAGGTGAGGACAAAAGGACAAAAGCTTTTTTGAATACGATCCTGTACTTTACCAGTAAAATGGAGAAGTAGGCACATGTCTGTTAATATGTCAGCTGTTAATTTGCAAAACCTTTCTCAAAACTTTTCACGTGAATTAAATGAACATGGCAAATACACAATAATTAATTCATATATTTCTGTCAGTTTTTTTTTAATTGAGTGTTTAACTTAAATCTGAGTTTTTTGTTTTTCTTTTTTTTTAGCTCATCAACATAGGATGTGAAGATAATCATCTACCAGCAGGCAAAGTTATTTATAGGACACCTGTTCAGCTGGTGAGCCACCCTGAGCTCTCATGAGGGAACCAGTCAAAAAAGTTGATTTATCTTACTTCAGTAAAGAGCATTAGATTTACAAATCTTTATTTTTCATATTTCAAACCAGAATGAGATCAGCAGAGATTTAGAAAATTGGAAAAGTGTTTTTTTTTTCTATTTATTTTGTTTGGACCATTTGACTCCACGTAAAACTTTTTAACTCTTCTGCACTCGGGCACCACATGCTGCTTTTCTGAACACTGACAGAGCACAAAAATCCTTAGAAATGATCAGCTGGGCCTTTAATTTTCCCAACATGAATTACCACACATCTGTTGGTCTATCATGTGGATGTTACTAAAGAATGAGGAACTCAACAAAAAACAAGACTGCACACACACACACAAAAAAAACAGTTGTGTTGGACTTTCAGGTTTTTAATCTCATAAACAGAATGTTACTGAGTCTTTTTATCACAAAAGTTTTAATGTGTTGAAGGTTTTAATCACTATAAAAAGTCTGAGTCTGGTCTGTTTGATTAAACAATGTAACTGGCTTGTTAAAAAGGACACCACTCGGGTTAAATGGCTCTGTCATTGTTCACAGTGATGTAGTGAAGAAGCTCTAACTGAGTATCAGGAAAACCTGATTAAGTCTGTTTACTGTGTCATGGACGCAAAGGGCATCACTGTTTGTAAACCACTGTTGTTTTATTAAGAAAAATTGGAAGATGCTAGGTTGATCCTGATTGGCCGGAAAGCAAAGTGACATCACAGCTCATCCTTGGGTGGCTCTTTAGTTGCTTCATCAGCCTCCTAAAGAAAGACGTAAATGATGTGAGATTGGAGATCAGAGTTGATTTATCCTTATGAGAAATTGTCGAAGTTGTAAATATACAAACCTTGCTGTCATCGCCACTCTCTTCCTTCTTTTCTTCGCTGTCATCATCCTCAACTTCATCTTCGCCATCTTCATCATCACTTTCCTCCGGAGGAAGCACTCCTCCATTATCGAGGAACTTGGACATGGTCTCCAGATCTCTGGCTCCAGTGTAGTCGATGACCTGCAGGGAAAAAAAACAGAAAATTAAAAAAGGAAGAAAGGGTGAAATATTGACTAATCTAACAATGCGCCTGTGCTTTCATACCTTTTTATCTTCACCAGCTGGAAAATATTTGAGAGTTGGGAAACTCTTCACATTTACAGACTCCACCTCATTGGCTGTAGCGTCCATCTTGGCGATGATGATGTCTTCTTTATCAGCATATTTTTCACCCAGCTGATCCCAGATTGGAGTCAGCTGCTTACAGTGTCCACACCAAGGAGCATCTAAACACACAAACACACATGTTTCTGTTCAGCCTTTTTAACATGTACATCCTGCTGTTATGCTTACAAGAAATCCAAGATGGCTGGTGAAGCAGAATATGACACTGTGATGAATGTGTTTAACTTTATATCAATTTTGGTTTTCTATTTGCTAACCTGCTGGGCTATAAAGCGTATACTGACATTACTTTGAGGTCTATGATACACTTTTTAAGCTCCAGTTTTATCCGGCAGAGAGCTGAATTTAACTTTAACTCAAATAAAACAATTTAGATGAATTGAATAGTTTGCTTCATCCAAGAGAAAAAACCCAACAGAAACTTTGTTGTCGTACTCTAAAGTGAGAATTAAATAGCCAAACATCTGGGGGTTATTTTGAAAAGGAATAGTTGTCTACATTCAAAGTTAATTTACAGTTATGACTCATAATAAAAAGTCATAAAGCTGAAACATTCATCCTTTCACATATATCACTGAATTCTAAGCCTGCACTTTAATTAAACTGTAAAAAGAAAAACAGAGCCGTCAGCAGTGGGTGAAGATCTTCAAGGAGGCAGGTCTTTTATAATTAAACTGTTCTTAGGACTGACCCAGGAGAGAGAAAGAGAAAGTCTGATGTATGAATAACGAATGACTCTCAGTCCTGAAGTATCTCAGTTCAGTTTCGGTCTGTGTCTGTTTGTTAAGCAAAATGAGCTGAAACTACAGCTCACTGCGTGGGTGATAACACTGGAGGTGAGCGGGTGGAGCAGCTGTAAGGTAACTATGTTCATGGGGATTCAGGTGAGGACTATAACTCTTATTTTTGTTGTAAGTGTGGGCACCTAACTTTTTAGCATGAGCATGAGCTTTACTGTGATACTGTTTATCAAGTAGAAAATGAGGAGAAATTTCGTCCTGGACCTGAAAAAAACCTTTTTTGAGGATTTATTTCACAAAGACCAAGATAATGACTGAACTCTTACTCATTTTTACCTAAATGTGGCTTTGTTCCCTGAAAATAAGATTGTTCAAAATGAGTGAATTTGCTTCATGTTGGCTGTCAACTTACAGAACTCCACAAAGACGTTTTTGGTGGGGTCCATAGCTACTGAGTCAAAGTTTTTGCCCACCAGCACTTTCACTGGTCCTTTATCCCAGTCCTCTGGGACGTCCTCAGACCGGTAGTAGGGCTGCATCACAAGACACGACATGATATAAGGATTAATGTGATTGTTTGCCTTTTGATGGCCTATATGCTTAACTGTGTCTGTGTTTGTGTCACCTTTGCAGTCTCATCAAGCACCCCCTGACACAGCTCTTCCAGTGACTTCACAGTCAGAGCATCTGAATCGATGGCAAATTTCTTTCCTGAAACCATGCTGACGACACGTACGGTGGGGACGTCTTTGTCAGACACACCAAAGTAGTTCAGCACGTGAGAAAGAGGTTCTGTGACGTCTATTGAAACGAACAGCATCTGTGAGAAAACACAAGAGACACACCATCAAAAAGACAACAACAGATAAGTTTCATGTCAGTCTGTTCCTCAGTTTCCCTCCACACTCCACTCAGTGGCGTGAAAACGTAACTGACATGGGTTTTGGCATTAATTCAAATGGAGCCATGTCACCCCGCTTACACACACAAACACACATCAGATCATCACCTTGCCCTTGAATTTTTTGGCCACAGCCCTGGATTCATCGATCAGAGTCATGTGAGTCTCCACAGATGAGTTGATGAATAGCAGACAGTGCGTGGTGATGCCAGAGGTGAAGACCTTGTCGGCAACCTGAGAGCAAAAACCCGGAGAATAATGTGAGAATAATTTTAAAGCCAATCCTCATTTTGCCGTCATGTTCATGTGTGCACGTGTGTGTGTTACCTCCTGGTTGAATGGGATGACCAGCGGCAGGCTTTTAGCTTTGATGAACATGGTCAGGTTACCTTTGTCCAGAGTGCCATCTTCTGATAACTCAAAGTCTGCTCTGCCCTCATCAAACTACAAAAACACACACAGACAGACAACTTTAAACTTCTGAGTATGGTCATTTCTTCTTATCATTTGTGAGTTTTCTTTCTTTAGCAAAACTAAACCAAAACAAAAAATAGAATATACACAGGACAGAGACATACAAGAAGTAAATTGGAGGAAATACTGATAGAATAAATATAACTAAATACAGATTTTGAGACAATTTGCACCCTGACTTTTCATGGATAAACTCCTCCTAGGGTTCAAAAGTGAAACTGACACAACAATGACCTAGATTTTGTGTTACTTATCATGTTCTGACTCTCTTTTTGTCACTATTATCTGTTTGTAGTCAGACTGTGTCCTATAGAGTTGCATTTTGTCCCTTAGTTCTTCATGTTTTCTGTGTTTGTGTAATATTTCTACACCGGCTGGTTTTTAAGCTTTAAAGTGAGGCATGAAGAGGCAATAACACTTCATAACATTCAGACACAAAGACTGTGATAATGTTTCTAAATTAACCTTACTTTTATTTTCCCATGAAATTTAACGGCTAAGTTGATTTACTCTGATAATAGCCAAGAAATAAATCTGAAAATATGCATCTCCCAAACCCTTGCTGAAGATGTTGTCAACTTCAAACACAACCCTAAAGATTTACATATTAAAGAAGAAGCAGCCACACACTGTATGTAGATGTCACTATCCTTTCAAGCGAGACTGCATGTCCCATCTTCAGACACTAGATGGCAGCAACACTATCAATGTTACAGCTAGGTGTCACCTGTCTGAAGTAAAAATAAAACTAACATAGCGTGTTCATACCTTTTTGAAGAGCACCACAGAGTTTGCTTTTGCTTCATACTTCTTGAAAACCTCAGGACTCGCTGAGAGACCAAACTCTGTGTCTGTAAGTTCATAAGCAATCTCCTTTAACACCTTGACGGCCTCACTCTCCAGATCCTGTAAAGGTCAAAAAACACTTTAAATATTTAAACATAACTTTAAAGTTTTCAGATGCATTAAATGAGGCATGTAAATGAGATGGTATACCTCAAAAAATCCTACAACAGTGATGTTTTGTGAGTCGATGAACTGAGCTACAGAGTCTACAGAGTCGAGCACAGCAGCAGGAGGACTGATACGGCGCTTCATCCACTGCTGAATTCCCACCACTGTCCTCTTACCTAAAAACACAAAACACACACAAATAAAAGCATCAGCCACACCTTCAAGACATGTCAGAGTTACTCCACATGGTTTGACACAACAGGATTGAGGATAAAAGAAAACAAAGCAGTACCATTTGTTCAAATCTTTGCAATGTTTGTACTTGTGAGGTTCAGAAAATCCCACAAACACACAAACTGTAAAAACTTCTCTGCTGACTGGCTGCTGTATAGAGCTGGCCTCCTCCGTTATTACAGATGGAACTTGAGTTGTGGTAGAAAATTATAATACACGGCAAAGAATATAAGAAAAAGTTTTAATGTTATTTGATGTTAAAAAGAGGGAAAGTGATGTTAGGACTGATAGCTCCAACATGGGCTACTTTACCAGACGATCGCTGAACCTATTATAGCTGTGACTGTCCACTTCAACTCATCATTTGATAATTTTGGAACCAAATTACGTTACTATCTAAAGACGCAGTGCCTATCGTGGAGATAATTTGGCTCATTTCATTTAGAAGGAGGTGGACTCAATGGGAGAAAACAATTTGCCGTATTTCAAGAACCAGCACTACACCGTACTACTACAGAAATTATAAAACGTTTACAGAAGTACTTTTAACTTAGCTAAAAGTCAGGTCATAATATTGATACCATTCTGTGCATGAAGACTGAAACAAAGAGGCAGAAGATTGTCAATACCACTCTTAGGCCTGTGTACTTACTGTAGAGCACCTACAGAAAAGCTGTTAGCTCAGTGTGAAGACCAGCGGCTCGCCTGGCTCTGTTTAAAGTAAAATAACCACCTTCACGACACTTAACTTCATAAAAGGATCTGAAGTTTGAGATGACTTTTGTTTCTTTGTTTACTGTGAAGCTAAAGCTAGGTTTTCTGGGGAAACAGATCTTTGTTCTGTCTATAGTGTTTTTTTTTTTTCATCTGTTAAAAATGTTTATTTAGTGTCCTAAGATTTCGTTAAGATGATATATACCCTCATTTTTTTTTACATGTACTGGGAGGCTACAGTAGCCCAAACATACAGCAATAGCTTAGTTAACCTAATACAGTCAGTTATCATGGTATATTTTTAGACAGAATTTAGACGTTTAGTCTAAATTTGGTCTAAATTTTAAACGTCTGAAAAACTTTCCTTTTTAGACCTGTGGTGGCCTGATTTTAGACCAGTCGTCTAGGCTACATTTAGTCATCTATAAGACCTCTGTAAGACCGAAAAAATGCTCAGTGAGTTACTTTTTAATGTATGTCAGGTGAGCGGATTTATTCCTCCTTAAAGTCTACAGCTAATATGAAGCTACAGCCTTTGGTTGGTTAGCGCATCATGGTGTATAGACTTGTAAACAGGAATAAAGCTAATATTCTCTCCAGCTGCCATATTATTGAACATATATTTTCTTTTTCTCCTTTCAACAGCTGAATATTTTCAGGATATTTTGCTTGAATGGCACACTTGGTAAGCTACTAGACTGTTACTGTTACCAAACTATTATATTTGCAAGTTAATTAAGACGTGGCATTAAACAAATACTCTTTTTTCAGATGTAGTTAATGTGTGCTTGTGAAACTTTATGAACAGAGGTAAATAGTAATTAATTTGATGAAATAGCTGCACCTGAAAGCTGGTGGACAGGTTCAGCAGTCAGATAAGGTAAACACACACACACACTGAAGCCACTGCAGAGGTGGCTGTTCAGGATACAGTCAGGTTTAAATGATGACGTACAGTTTCTAATCTGTACAGCGGCTTCAACAGTGTGTGACACAGATAGATGTGTGTTAGTGTGTGTGTTTACCGCTGAAGTCAACGGTCTCCTTGCGTTCTCCTTTGGTGAACAGTTTCAAAGTGGGGAAGCCTCCGATGTCAAACTCCTCAGCCAGCTCCTTCTCCTCTATGGCGTCCACTTTGGCCAAACGCACCGATGGCAGCTCTGTCCTGAGTTTCCCAGCAGCCTCAGCATAAACAGGCTCCAGCTGTTTACAGTGACCACACCAGGGAGCATCTACACACACACACACACACACACACACACACACACACACACACACACACACACACACACACACACACACACACACACACACACACACACACACACACACATAGAGTCTATGTAGCAGCATTGACCTGAGTTTGAATGTGTTTACCATGTAGAGGAGATAACATGAAGCCTCCACAAAGGCCTCTGCTCAGTTAGTTCTGTCTTTAGTTCGCTCACAGATATACATGGAAATAAGCTGCTGATAGCAACAGTGGCTGTTGGGATAAGGCCGTCCCTTATTCCCCTTTGTTCGTTTCCTTGTCATGACCTCTCCACTCACAGCGTGGAGCTCGTTGGTGGGAGAGTTGAATCAAGGAAGCATCTGGAGAGGGGAGGCCACGTGTGTGCACATTTTTTAACACCTCAGTACTCCAGGGGGAGGGCAGAGAATTAAAACTCTAATAATTTTATAGCTGTAACATCAAATTAAAGTGAAGTTGAACTAAATTAGTGATTCATAGAGCTTTCAGTCATATGTGAGGCTTTCTTTGCTTAATTTGAGCAGTTTTTTCTCTAGAATAGACTTCTATGTTCATCTTTTAACTCGACTTTAACTCTGTCTTTACAAAAGTGCACATCTGCCTCAAAAAGGTATTTCTGCAGTTTTGTGACACATTTTGAGGACAACAGTGTTTTTATGACTGAATGATAAAAATAACCACTCTACTAGATTGGATATAAGTCATAAATACTCACAGAATTCAACCAGCAGATACTCAAATTCACTAAGAGCTCTGGCAAAGTTGTTGATGTGGAGAACCAGCACGTCTTTCTCCTCCTCTATCTCTGTTGTTTTCTCCTTCTGTGGCGCCTGTTCCTCCTCTTCATCTTTATCTTCTGAGTCATCTGTTAATGTCTCTTCCTCTGCTGTTTCTTCTTTTTGTTTTGCTTCTGTCTCCTGGTCAGTTTCAGCGTCTGTGTCGTCGGCCTGGGTGTATGAGGCCCACAGCAGCAGACCCAGCAGAGTCAGGGACAGAAGTGTGCGTGTCCTCATGTTTGCTGCTCCGGCTCCTCAGCTCAGGTACCTGCAAAACATGTGTCCTTGAAAGATCGTACCTTTATTTGAGTAAGATGGAGAGTGTGTGTCAAAATTTTACTGGCCTACCTGCTCAGCCAATCAAATGCTTGGGACTCTTCTCAGTCTGAACCAATCAAATGGTGCCCTGTAGATTATGAATTGGGCAAACTGGCAGATCATCCATCAACTTTTTAAAAGTTTACTTTCCCAGCTATCTTTTTTGTCTGTTTTTTGTCCATTCCAGAAAAATTACCCCTAGACTGAAGCATGAGCACACTTCATGACTTTGTTTCTTTTCAGACCTTATCAGACTGTCATATGCCTATAAATGGTAAGGGTGCAGCAATTACATGTTTGGTTCTTCCTCTTTTTCACTGCTCTCTGTATTGGCCATGTCCATTTACTCAAACTAGAACAAGCGTATGTGCCCCCCCTTTCTCCCTAATAATCTCTCTGCTCTTAAACTTTAAGGACAAGTTCAGCGAAGAGATCCAGTGAATGGGACTGATTGGTCCACAGGGGGCGCCAAAATTGACACAAATGAAAAATTCCTCACAGGAGCTTTAATTCTGTTATTACTCAGCACTCTGTCCAACAATCCAGCTGTGTTATAAATTTTATTCTGATTGGTCAAAACCAACAATTTAGTAGCAAAGGCATTATTAATGTCTATCAGAAAACAATCTAATGACTCACAACACATTTAAAATAATTTGATATGGAGTTACGGCACATCTAATACGCTGTTTATGATTTGACAAAATCATTGCTGAAAACATGATAAATATTTTCAATGCTACACTCATTTTTTGGAGTGCTCAAAACTAGATTGGTTGTTAATGGCTGACTTGACACCAGCAGAGAGAAGTGCACAAGAAGTGACCAATTCAGACCATACACTGCAAAACAATATGGGCTTTGGCAGATTTAAACAGCAGAAATAGCAACACTTGAGGAGGTCACCCTTAAGTTATGGCACAGATCAGGGTAAAAAAGGGGCAACAGTGGCAGCACAAGTGTTGTGTGAGGCCATTAAATGAGGCCTGACAAGACAATGAAGTGTGTTGCTTTTTGTAACAGTAGTCTGCCTCTACACTGCATCTGCTGTCTGCATACAACTTGTGGCTGGATATGCACAGCATACGCACCAAACCGGCTGTAAGGATGGATGGCAGCTATCATGTATTTGTGCATGATGGTCACTAGCATAGCAAGAAGCAAGTGGCGTATATCTCAAGTCCAAGTGAGGTCAAGGAGAAGAAGAACTTATGGAACAGAAAGGAAAAATTATACTGGAAAAAAATATGTTCTCTAACCTTATGCATTAAATATTTTTGTATTCTATTTTATGCTAGATAGATAGATAGATAGATAGATAGATAGATAGATAGATAGATAGATAGATAGATAGATAGATAGATAGATAGATAGATAGATAGATTTGGATTTAATTTCAATTAATTTTGCCCCAAATCCTTTATTTGTTCTAATGTTTTTGAGAATTTGTTATTGGGAATATATCACTAATAGTTTAACAGCGCCCTCTGCTGGCTTGCCCCTGCAAATTTGAGTATTGCCTGTCTATCGATTTGGGTCTGCTCTGCTGTATACCTTTCTCATGGTAGGTAGACTTGTAACGAGGTCCACTGGGTAAAAGTTTGTGATGTTGTTGTTTTGTTGTGGAGTTATTTAAGTCTCATTATGTTGTTGTGTTTTGCTGGCTAAAACCATGATGTAGCCTGCTAATGGACGGCTAATTTGTTGTCTCTTTCTTGTAAAAAAAATAAAAATTAAAAAAATTAAAAATGGCACCATAGAATACTAAAAACCATCAAAACTGTGTAGCTATTTGTTGTATGTGTATAAATAAAGGCACAATTTAGAGTCATGCCAAAAAAAACCTAACATTAAGAAACGAAACCCTGAATGAGCCAGTTGAGGTCAAAGAGGCTATACTTTGTGTTATTTGATGTAATTTAGGTGTAATGGTCCCTCACACCAAGATTCACACAAACCAGTTTCAAAACACCACACTGAGGTTTTTTTTTTCTTTATTAATTTTTTTGCAAATTTATATCAAATGAAAAAGTCATTGAAAAAGTATTTTGTGTATCTACTGCTGCATAAGTGCACTCTCTGTCAGTGTGTGTGTAAGCTCTGGGTTAGGGTCCCAGTTTGCCAGCAGGTCACTGAAGTCCGGTTGAGCGCTGTCGAGGGTGTTTGTGTTGTGCTGCAGCAGATTGTAGTGAATGTTTGTGTTGTTTTCTGAGTGTGCACTGTCCTGTAAAGAAATGTCACTGGTTGTATGGGACATGTCAGAGGTGTTAAAACAGACCGGAGAGCAGCACGGGATTGGCTCAGTCCAGAAACTTAGCGGGAGATGACGCTTGATCATTGGGCGTCCGCGGCCCTGACTATGACCTCTGTGGTCAAACAGCTCAGCTAGAGGCCCCAAACTGCCAACCTCCTGGTCCCCCCCACAAGTCACAGAGCTGTTCTCCTGCTCCTCAGGACTTCCTGCTCTTGCGATTTTAAGCAGGTCGTCGTAATATCGCAGACGTCCGCTAGCTGTCTCTGAGATCGAGTCACTGTAGATGTCACAGGTCTCTTGATCAGCGGTACATCGACCAAAATACCGTTGGACATCACGACTGATAAGGTCTGCAAACCTCAGGAGCTGCTTGGTCACATCCAGAGTACAGTGGGTGGGGCTTAAGTAAACCTCCTCCAAACCTTCCTGATCTTCCTCTTGAGCTTCAGATCCGTCTTCTTCCACCTCCTCCTCCTCCTCCTCCTCCTCCTCTTCATCTATCTCTTTTTCTTCTTCCTCGTCCTGTAGTTCTGGTTTTTCTTGCATATCCTCCTCGTCTTCCCTGCATGGAGAGTTTTGGAAAATCAGAGGGAGATAGGCTGGTGGCGGGGCCCGGATGAGGAAGTTCGTCATCACACCGGCTGCCATGTTGGTTAATTTAACCTGGAGGGACATTTACAGAAGAGAAGGAGTAAAAATTAAACAAAAATATAGTCTGAGGGATAAAAATGTCGAATGTGTGAGGTTTGATTACCTGGTGGAGCTCAGTCAGTCTGCAGGTTTGGGTTGCTCTGTCCTGCAGTCAGGAGAAAGGTCTGTCCTGGGTCACTTATGGATCAACTTTCTCTGTGTGTGTGTGCATTTGTAATCCAGGACTGTCAGGATGGTTGTTGTATATATACCTCTGCTCACCACCACAGCCGTGTGTGTCTCCTGTCTGTGATGAGACAGCTTCCAGAACAAATATTTGCGTGCCGGATTGGCCAAACACACTCTGTTTACTTTATCACTGGGCAACCAGAGAGGGGGTCCAGAGCTAATGGATCCTCTGCCAGGGGATGATGGAGAGATGTTACACACACACACACACACACACACACACACACACACACACACACACACACACACACACACACACACACACACACACATCATTGTTTTTTTCCGTCCCTGTTATCAGGCTAGTTAAAGAATAAAAGAGCATGAAATCGAATCATACGCTGTTTTGACTTTAAGAGGGGGAACACTCTGAACTGACTGAAGACTGAGAAACAACACAACCTCATCAGACATGACTCAACACACAACAAGACGTACTTTGATGTTTTTTGATAGAGACAAGATGCAAATTCTTATCCTTGGAGGGCAACTGAATAAAAACTCTCCCTAAAAAACAGAAACTGCTTTATTGTGATCATTCAATTTGATTAATACCACCACCACCTACCCTATCTACCTACCCATGATCATTGAAATAATATATACTACATAGTTGGGTACATAGTACTGTACAATTGGATAAACGTGGGTCTGATTTAGTGTTTCAAATATTTCCTCCTCTCACTTTTCTATAATTAATGTTCACACTTCTATTTATCTTTGCAGGCACCGTTGATCTTAATCCGTCTAATACTTTTGTATTCAAATCAGTAATCTAGTTGAGCTATATCATACCTTATCCCGCCTTTGCTCTATTTCTTGTGTGTTCCACAGGGCTCAATCTTCGATCCTCTTCTATTATCTTCCTCAATTATATAACTGTAGCTCCAGTTAGAATACTCATTCTGATGAAGACGCTGGTTCAGCTTGTTTTTGACAACTTTGGATCTCCGACCAGCTATGTAAGTGTCCCAGATCTTATCTAAAAATCTTGGAGTAATATACAGTAATGGGCTGAATTTTAATGAACAGGTTAACACAGTTATCAAATCCATCTTTTTCCAGTGAAAATCAGTATTCCAGAGCAGGAGTAGTATGACTGGTTTTAAAGTCAGATACTGTCTCCTCTGGGTTTATTTACCAAATCATTTCCATTCATCCCGCAGTTATTGAGATGTTAGCAGCACTAGTGTTGTCAAAATGTATTTATTTCATGCAATATCCTACCAAAATCACTTTAAACACGGTCTGTTTTTAAATGGCTAAACTCAACAGCATCTCCAACTCATTAAAGGAATTAAATCCAACTGTTTCCATGTGAAGCTCTTGATTTAGTTGCACATTTCTGGAACATTCAGCAGATTTTTGAGACTTTCTGAATTAGTCAAAAGGTCATTTTGCAATTGTAATGTAAATAAAGTGCAGCAAAGTAAATAATACAGTAAATTAATTCAAACAAATAGCCTGTAACAGAATGTTCAATATTTCAAACATGGAGGAAGTGATTAACTGATATTAAACATCGCTGATTAAATCCAGCACTTTAACGGCTTTTACTGACATCTGCAACTCTGTAAATAAATGCTTGTGTGTTCTTTTATACATGCATGTTGTGTATTAATGTGTGTTGGTGTGCGTGTGTGTGTGTGTTATCAGGACACCCTGACTCCGCTGGCCTGCCTGTCATCAGTATCCAGGCTTCTGTGTTGATTTTGGGACCAAAGATCAATAACAGCAATATGTCAGCTCTCAAGAGCCTGACGATGAATTACACACGCTTTTAGGCACACAAGCACATGGACACACACACACATAAAACACACACAGAGGCAGGTAGGTCATATGTGTGTTAAGTCATCATTAAAATTAGGAAAATTATACATGCAACAAGTCATATCAGTGTTTCAGAAAGTAGTTTTATTGCGTTTTTGTAGATTACAATAAGAGGTTAAATACTGTTTGTCAAATCATTTGATATACACATGATTTCAAAGGGGTGATAAATGTCACTTTCAGTGGAAAAAGTAAAAAAAAAGTGAAGTCAGCATTCCCATTTGGGCAACCACCTTCAAACAGCTTCAGAAACCAATGTCAATGTCACTGAGACTAGATCCATGTTTTGGTATGCTCCTCGTCTGTCTTTTATATCGCTGGTGGGCAGTGTTAGAATAAGCAGCCGTCAGATAAGTAGAAAAAGATGTAGCTGATGGGGGGACAAGGGAGATGGGGGCGGATTGTGACATGAGTTCAAAAGTGTGTTTCAAGGTTATAAAGTGATTTTTTACTTGGAAAAAAAGGCATATTCTGGTCAATAAAGTTGATTTAGGATTGAAAAAAGACTGAAATCAAACACTGAAAGGGATATTCCGGCGTAAAATTAATTTAGGGTCAAACACACCAGTCCATTACGGACTGCAGCGGGGTGACGCAGCTCAAGGAAGAACATTTATGACCATTTCTTCATGCAAAAGCAATCAGACCGAGACGCTAAGGCAGAAGAACTACCGCATCTGCAGTGCAAAATGATTAATGTGGTGATTATTACTTGAAGGAAATGATAAAAGTAATCATCATAAATGTTCTTCCTTGAGCTGCGTCACCCCGCTGTAGTCCATAATGGACTGGCCCGAGGTCTCGCTACAAACAAGCGGCTGCTGGAAGAGAGTGGGTGAGTTGTGTTCAGTCTCTTTGTTAAAGAAATTAGGCAAAGTTAAAAAGATGTGTCATGGCTGGGACCCTATATGTACTGTTGTTGAAGTAAGGTGCTGTTCTGAGCATTATTTGTGGCTATAGAGTGGTGCTTTGGTTGAGGTTTATGTATGGCTCCTTAGAATGCTGTGTATTGCTATGGTGCGGTTGTTACTAAAGTTGGTATAACTAGAAAAGCAAGCAGTCTGCAACATTTATCTCTCGACGGTCTAACTCTGTGTTACAGTGTGTTTGACCCTAAATTAATTATACGCCGGAATATCTCTTTAATACTATCCCACAGTATCATCGAATCAAATCTTACTGACTGACTCATTTTTCATGATAGCTGCCCTCAAGTTTTGCCAGAATCTGGGGATCTGGTTTTCATCATCGGGCCACTCTAGATACGTCCTGGAGTTCATGACCTTTCGCAGTTTACAGAACTTTTTAGGGATGGTGTCTTTGTCGATGGGTTCCAACAGAATCAGCACAATGGTGTCGTCGTTATGATCAAACAGTCTGAAATGAGTGTAGTCCAGCTCATACTTGCACCATTCACTGTTGACGAAATGTTGTGAGAGGACAAACAGAGTTCGGTGACTGCTCTCTATGGCGTCCATGATGTTGTCCAGGATCCAGCCTCCGGGAAGAAAGTCTCTCTTGTGAAGGCAGAGTCGTAGAGGAGGCTGGACCTGCTCCAGCTGTGGGACCAGGTGTGCATCCACCCAACCAGAGTCCATTTCACTATAGGACACAAAGGCGTCAAAGTTAAGCTCTCCTTTCTTTAACTTTGGCTTCCTCTTTGCTTTCAGCCAGGTCCAGGTCATCTTCAGATACCATAAAATGCTGAATTTTCGACACAGACCTGCGAAAGCCAGAATGACCGCCAGGATTCCCAAGAAGAGAAGAGAAAAGGCCAAAATTGTGTGGCACTCAAACACGGACAACGTCACATCTCTGACACTTTTGCCTCTCTCAGCATCAGGAGAGTCGCAGACATACAACCTGAAATCATCTCTGATTGTAACTCGATGCTTTGCTACTTCACTTTTCATGAACGCTACAAAGTCACACGAGCAGATGTATGAGTTTGTACTTCCCTCAAGAGTCTCCAGTTTCTCATACTTATTCAGAATACTTTCACTCAGGGTCTGGTGGTTGTTATCTTGAATGGATAGAAATACAAGACGTGGGAAGAAACCACCATCTGGCAAACTGGTGAGTTTATTTCCAGAGATGTATAAGTCTGTGAGAAAAGGAAGCTCGATGCTAAATACAGTCAACATATTATTTGAGAGATCAAGAATGCGTAGACTTCTCGGCAAACAAGAAGTAACTTTTGTTAGCCGTAAGGATGAAAGGTTCATAAATCGGAGAGTGGGCGGCCAGTCACAAGTCTCAGGCAAACTATGGATCTTATTTGCACTCATGTCTATGTTTTCAAGCTTATCCAGTTTGGCAAATATCTGGCCATTAAATGTTAGCAAGTGATTCCGGCTGACATTTAGGGTTTGAAGTCTTGGTAGGTCAGCTTCGCCATCGCACATCATCTCAGTGAAAGCCGAATCAGTTAAATAGTTGTCACTCATATCTATGTTCTCCAGGTGTGAGAAATGGCCCATAGATTGACATGGAATGAGAAACATCTTGCAGTTTATGACAGTCACCCTGGACACCACGGCCAGCAAGGGTTGTAGGAATATGAGGGCCGGGAAACTGTAGAACTCAGGAAGATCAATATTTTTGAATACTACCTCCTCCAGTTGGTCAATATGCGGGATTTCATCAATACGCTCAAAAAATAAGAAAAGTTTTACATCTTCAAATGTTACTTTAGTTAAGTTTGAGTTTGCCATCTGATTAATAAAGGCTAAACAGGCTGCGGTTGATAAGGTCACCTTTTTAAAGACAATGTTTCTCGTTCCACCCTGCGAAAGCACATTAAATGGGATCATTTGATTTGAAAAGAAAAACCAAGTGTCAAGGAATGTCAGGGTTGTGTTTGGGTGAACGACATCTGACAATACGTCTCTTACAGGAGATCTAAATCCTGGAAGTGGAAAAAGCAGATTAAGTGTTACATGCGTGATTGGCCTAGTAAGCCTTAAACTTCCTCTGTCATAATATTTCAGTTTGCTCCCGTCAAAAATGACATCTTCAAGCTGACTGAGGCCAGAAAAGTCGTTTTTGTTGACAGACTCAAGTCCCCCAAAATAAAGGCTCCTTAACTTCCTCAGCGGTAAGAAAAGATTGCCTTGACCCAGTGTTGTATATCTGTTCTCTAAAAGATTCAAATGCCTGAGAGAGGACAGATGTTTGAACCACTCTGCCGACAAATTCTCCAGCCGGTTAAAGGACAAGTCCAAATTTTCCAAAAGAGTGAGCATGTCAAACGCCTGCTCGTGGATCTCTGTGATGTTATTGTTGCTCAGGTTTAAAGACTGTAGACTAACATATGAGTCAAAGTCATCTTTACTTATTCTCTTTAGGGTGTTGGATGACAGATTGATTTCAGTGATGATCCGTGATGGGGCTGCAGGGACTCTGTCCAGGTTTTGCCCCGAGCAGTCACAGGTTGTTTGTTCACAGCTTCGACACTGTGGACCAGAGAGCGAGAAACTTTGATGCATCAGCAGGACAAACATGAGGACTGATGGAGGCGTCATCTTGAGTCCCTGTAAGCAAAAAAAACAAAAAAAAAAACATTTCATTTCCTCTGAGAAACTTTCTTGTATGATAAAATATTATATTATATATTATAATGTTATACTATATTGTATTCCATTTCTATGCAGTGAGTATCTAAGCCACAAAATATTGCACACTGCATCTTTAATCAGGCTGTTTTTGCAAACAAACTAAATTAAAACTAGATATTGAGTTTAAAGATAAAAGCCTAGTTTATTTGACAAAAAAAAAAAAAATTCTGAGATAAATATGACACAAAATATCTTATAAATATGACTTCCTCTAAGAAGTATTCAAGGAAATCAAACCAAAGACAAGATGCTTTAGGAGAGTTACACATAAATCACGTCTTCAATTGTCATCTAAATATTACTAAATTTTAAAATATTTATTCTTTTAAGTCTGTTTTAAAAATAAATCTCTGAATTTCAAATACAACTCCAAAACTTGGGGGTGTTAGATTGGGTCAGTGGTAATTCATCAGATTTCATACAGCGCTTCACATTGGATACATCATTCATTCGCTCACACAGTCACACCCTGGTGATGTTCACTACCTTAGTAGTCACAGCTGCCCTGGGGCAGACTGACAAAAATGTGGCTGCCAGTTTGCACCTACGGCCTCTCCGACCACCACCACACAACACTCACAATCATACACCAGTAGAGGACACACACTGGGAGCAAGGTGGGCTAAGTGTCTTGCCCAAGGACACAACAAACAGACTGGGGATAGAGGAGAATTGAACCACTAACCTTCTGGTTAATGGACAACTGCTTTACCTCCAGGTTGACTTTGTGCACAGCCAGTAGTCCTTAAACAGCAAGTCCCGTCTGTGGCATGCTGTTACCTGCTCTCTCTCCTATCAGTGTCCTGCTCAATTCGGCATTCTATTCTCTCAACGAAGGCTGAAAATAGAACCAAAAAATCATTGCAAAACATGCATGCCCTTTAAATTTTCTTTTTACAAAATAATTGGCACCACATCCCCCGCACTGTAAATGCACCACAGAGCATCACAGGTAGTCATTCTTGCCTGTATCCATCAAACTTTGTAACTCCTTTCTCTGACTGTCTCTGGACTTATTTCTCATGTAGTCACTGTAAGCTTCTCCACTGCATATAATTACGTTTCACTGTGCAAAAAAAGCAGTCAAAATTCAATAATTTAAGCATTCAATACTAATAATACATTGTTAATCAAGCTAAACTTTGCAATATCCTGTCTAGCTTAATTTTCCTCTGTTTAAAAAGTATTCTAATTCTGATCAGGCAAATGTACACTGCACATACAGTGAAATGGAGACACAAACAGTGTAAATAATGAGATAACATACCTTCCTCTTGTGGCTCACAGGTCAAAATTCCCCCTCTGCACCGCCGTGATGTGACAGAGTGACAGACAGATGAGCTGACTGACTTGCATGCCTTCAGGAAAACTTCTCTTCTGTACAAATGATGAGCCTGTACCTCCCCCCTTTCTTTTTTTCTCTCTATAAGCACTAGGGAGTGGTCTGTTAAAAATAAAAATGAGAAGATGAGCTTTAGGGTCCTCTCTCCGCCAACAGTTACAGTGTTGATAAGTTTGTGGCTATTTCAGAGCACATAAAAATAGTGAGTTTCTTTTCGTCAGCAGTAAACTTCATCTTGTGATCGACTGAAAATGAAGCAGATAGTTAACAAGTGCAGAATTATGTACAGTCTATATGTGGTTTTACTCAATAGAATAACAAGAGTGTGAAGAATCCATGACATTACTGCACTCCCTACACAACCCATCATTTAACGCCGCTCATGCCCATGCAGTGTTGTCATTTGTTTTAGCCTGAAGTCTGATTTGCTCAATGCTTTTCACTCAGCTTCTTGTGTTCACGGAGTTCCCCCTCTCCCCCGGGGATAAAGCAAGAATTATAATACTCTGTGTGACTTTCTTTCCTTTTTTTCGACCCTTTCCTTCTGTTGACTGGTTTGCTATTAAACACACATCTTTATCTTTCGGCTAAATTGATAATAATAGCAAGATTGTTATTAGGTTACTAGTTTGATTCGACTGGTAGAGCAGGCACAAGGTGAACACGGTCGCCCCTGAGCTCTCAAACTAAAGGTAAAAAGCTATTGCTGGTAGGTTTAATGTTAGAGGAAACCATCCATTAGAATGATGCTGGGTAATTAAAGAAAGAACGACTTCAAATACAAAACCTTTTTTTTTATTTTCTATGAACAAAACTGCAAAACATCTAGAAAAATATACAACAAATGCTGAACCTTTCACAACATTTAACATTTGAAAATGAGAACATAAAAGAATAGGAATATTCACATTTCCCCCATTTATGATAAAAGAACATTCATTTTTATTTCCTTTCTTTAACATATCAATGTTTTATGTTTGCACTCATTGTTAAGGGCTGCCGTTTGTTTTTTTTGTTTTTTTATATTAAACATCTCCGCAGTAGCCAGAGTCGTTGGAGAGCTGTGAGTTGGAGCTTCGGTTGGAGGAAGAGTTCCAGATGTCCAGGTTCATGTGAGGGCCGAACGGGTGGAAGCCGGGGTACTGGATGGGAGCGCACCTCCCCTCTTGCTCCCTGCTGAAGGGAGAGTGAGGAGGGGTGATGGGGGACACCGGGGAGATGGGGGCGGATCGCTCGGGCTGGAAGTGGTGGCTCTGGTAGGGCTCGCTCTGAGGGGTCCAGATGGATCCAAACAGGCTGGACATTGGGGAGAGGCTGCGGGTCCCAGAGAAGTATGGCTGTGGAGGAAGACAAAGAGAGAGTTGATGAGAGCAGCTTTTTAAAACTAGAGTATTTTAGCGAGTTTCTGCCCGGTCCAGAGGTGTGTGAAACTACTGTAACATTTACAGAGCTTTCTTTAGCATACATTCTTCATATTTGGTTGAAAATCTGGAGAGACTATTTCTGAAGAATCTTGGTAAATTGTTTATTAAGTCAAAATGCAATTGCTTACAAAAACAACTAAACTATTTAAAAATTAAGCTAGGAAGTACAAGCAAAAATACGTTTGCACAGCATGAGCTAAAATTCCCCCTGAAACAGAAATACTGTAATTCAGTTCAGCATTCGGCAGAGTACCTAAATAATAAGAGGAAAACCGTGTTCTCAACATCTGTACAGAAAAGAAGAAGCTCCACTCAGGGAGAAGTACATACTAAGCCAGTTTAAGTGAAACTTCATGACTTGATGAAACCACACAGACTTGTTCCTCATTTCCAACCAGAATCTTACTGCAGTGGTCAAAGTACAAGAGTAGGTAACTTCCTCTTAGTATAGTATGTGAATCACGGAAATTAATCCGGTGTTGGCTGGTCATCAGGAGCTTTGAGCAGACAGAAGTTAGGAGACAGGTTGATAAGAAGACGGTGATCATTGTGACAGGTTTGAGACAGCTGTCTAGTCCATGTTTCACACTCACATCTCTGTCTGTGCAACATCCCAAAGGTGTCTCTTTTGCAGTGTCATCACAGCAAAGGCAGTCGTCTCAGCAGCTGTAGTTCCTCATCTGCTGCTCTTTGATTCAGTTCACTGTCAACAGGTACTGTTGGCAGCTCGGGTACGACTTACTCTACCTTAGTGTCTGAACTGTGCTCGCTCATCTGAATCATGGCTGTAACGATTATTTTGTTTAGACCTAACACATTTTTCACCACATCCTGTATGACTATTTTGGTCATACTGTGACCTTTTGTGGTTTAGACATCCCTCATTTTTTAATAGCATAAATAAACTTAAGAAGTCCAACTGCAAGAATCTTTACTCAAATAAAACCCTCTACCAGAGTGAAGCACCTCTCTGACTTTGTTGCACCCAGAAGGAGACTTTTGATTCTCCTCCTTATCTGAAATTCGATGAGACAGATTTGAATACGACAGGAGAGCAGCCCGGTATTTCAGTGGTGTGACTTCTCACCTTGCTGCCCACACAGGCTGCTGTTTCCCAGGTTGAGGGTGATTCCTGAGGCTGTTCCTCACTCCAGTTGGTCTGGCTGCAGTGTGCATTCTGACTCTCCTGACCGGGGTAGCCACTCGTAAATGTTCCATTACCTGTAAGATTACGGAGAAAATGCTGAACTCCTGATATTTTGGGTCTTCTCTCTGATCAAATTTAAGTCAGGTGTTTGTACCTATGTAGTTGTTCTCCTCACAGTAGGTGTAGGGACTGTTGCAATGGCTGTTGGCACTACTCCAAGTGAACCTGCAAGAAACAAGGAAGCATTTGATGCAACAGTTTCAACAGAGAGAGAGAGATAAAAACTCAACACTGACCGACTTTACTACACTGACACAGAAGTGTGGGGCTAAGAGGGTCATTATTCAAACTATAAACCAGAATCAGTTACCAAACCAGGAAGGAACTACAGTTTGTCATGATTAACAAAACACTGGTGGATTATTGATTTAAAAATTCAAGCCCCTCCTTCCTGTCCTTTCTGTTACTGCGATGTACTCCTCTGAACACCGAGCTTCACATCCTGTTTTTCTGTTTATTTATCACATCAGTTTCTTGAGGTGGAATTCAACTTTCACCTGCACTTAAAAACCTACCCGCTGTATGGCGCGGTGGTTGCTGGCTGAGGTATGTAGGGCAGAGCTTCAGTGGTGTTGTATCTGAACTCATTGGTGAGAGGGATGGATGGAGCAGACCACTGCTCTTCAGGCAGATACTGACCTGTCAGGTCTGAGAGAGGCATGAAAAAACATTTCAGTTCATGTCAAAGGAAATGTTGAAGCCATTGGCAGGTGTGACTAAACTAATATGTTCTGATAAGTTCATGTCTTTACCTGTGTTCCTGTCCACTCCTGCAGCAACTGCAGCAAAACTCGGGGCAAAGCTGGGAGCTGTGGGGTCTGGGCTTTGGCAAACCTCTTTGCAATACAAGATATTCATGCTACAAAAGAAAATGTGCAAAAGTCAAGCCGAGAGAGTCTGAGGAGAAAAGTGAATTTCCTCTAGTTTTCTTCAGATGACTATGTTCATAATAAACACATTAACCTCTAGTAACATCTAATCGAGTCCTCACAAGGAGGATATTTTTTAGTAATAAAAAGAAAATACATTTCTGTTGTATGAAACTATATTTGAACTTTGTGGAGTTCTTCAGTCAGAGGAAACATTATCCATCCTCCTTGTTCTCATTTATCCTCAAAGTTTTATATTTAGTAAGGCTGCACGATATTGGAAAAAACTAACATTGCAATTTTTTTTTCCAACACTGTGATATATATTGCGACATTAAAAAAATAGAGGAATTTTCACCAGATGACCTGAATAACACTTTATGTCATGCTGAACTGAAAATGTTAGTAGAATGGCTTCTGTCTGTCTGGGAGATATTTTGAACTTGCTTTTATTTTGCTGGGATGTTATTGTGGCAACGGATAGAAGGCACTGCTGACACAGAACATGTGTTTCTTCTTTTAACTGAAATAATTCCAGATAACTGACGTTGCTTTTCTTTTTGCCAACAAGTCTTCATTTTTGGTGGTTTTCTCTTTTTCATTTCTCATTTTGCAATGGTTGTGGTTGTTCCTGGTGTTGTGCCGAGAAATGCATGTCCGCTGGGAATTGCATGCCCCTCGCAAAACGTGCACCGCTTATATTAGAGTGGTCCACGGATATGTACAACTTAAAACCCATAAATTCTTATTTGTGGAGCTAAATAGTGATGAGTAATGTTCTGAAAGTAATTCTCAGCGGTCACACGTCTCGGCACAACACCGGCAGCGCTAGCGACTCGCTCCATGTGCAGGGGCGTGGTTTCCTCCTCTCTGATTTTGATTGACACCTAGCAGGGTAGTCTCATTGGCAACTGAGTAAAGAATGAATGTGATTGGTGGATCGCTGCACAGCACATGCAGAGTCACATGCAGAGTATCTCAGTCAGAAATCCTTGAAATTAGATGAGTTCATTAGCCTCCTACATCGCAGGCTCTGCAGTGTGACTAACGCGCACATGTACATCGCCATGACGATGCTCAAACGATACATCGTGCAGCCCTAACATTTAGCATGATTTACGTAAAAAACACATTTCAAAAAAAGGAGCAGCAAATCCTGTCTACAATAAGAGTGACATGCAGAGTGATTCATCTTTAGAGAACTGCTAAAAGCTTTAATGTGTGTTTGTTGAGGTACCTGTGAGCTTTGTAGTTCGCTTTCATGTTCTGATAGCAGTCTTGCTCTGCTGGGTAGACGCCGTACTGTGTGGATTCCCCTGTGAAATAAAACATAACATTACAGTTACAGATGATTCTCTGGTTCTCGATACTTGTAAAGTATTAACAAGAAACCTGTGGGTGTCGACACGTAGTTAAAAGCTCTAATTCTCCTTGATATGGTTGAGTACAGGGTCTCACTCACTTTTTCTCGATGAGGTAGTGCAGGCGTGTGTGCGGGCACTCGGGTCTTTGTCCCCCTCAATGCTGCTGGCGCTGCTCCAGCTGCCCCAGCTCCCTCTGCTGGCCCTGACGCTGCCTGATGAGCTGCCTGAGTCTGAGCCTGACTCGCACACTCCGGCGCTGCGTCGCTCCGTGGGACACTTGCGTCGAGTACGAATAGGACACACACCTGCTGGACATCCGCAAAGACAAAGACATGAACACCAAAGCGCTGATGTTGGGTTAGTTCTGCTGGACTGTGATAAGGGTGAGGACACCCACCGTTCTGTTTGAGGTGGCTCTCGGCAATCTGTCCAGGCTTTGGCGCTTCTAACTTGGAGCTGTTGCAGCAGCGGTTCCTGTTGCGGGTTCCATTGATGTTGCGTTCTCCTGTTTTCCATTCAGGTTCCTTCTCCCTCTCTGGCATCCCTACTACACTGTGCCCAGGAGCACTACGGCAGACGAAAAATATTAATTCAGATTATCTCACTGTTAGGGCTTCACCTGTATATCAGTTGCCATTTAATCAATTCATTTGCAGATTTTCTGAAAGTTAACACAATCAACAAAAGCATCATGACACCTTCATAATAATGCATGAAAGAAGTGCATTAATTCGTGGATGAATCTAAAGCAGAAATGTCTTTTACCTGGGGACAGTTTCTGTCTTTCTGCGACGACTCTTTCCCTTATTATTTCCTGATGCGGTGCCAGTCTCTGCACTCTGTACCTTCTTCTTCTGCCCTTTTTCATTTTCTCTTAACTAAACAGATAAAAAGCAAGTTGTCATTACTGCTTTTTATTTTATTTTTTTAAATTTTTTTACAGGGTGTTAGGTTTTTCAAAGAACATGGATGAACAAGTAAGATAAATACATTCAACACCTTACATACCTCCATTTCAGTATTGTCCCTTTTCTCAGAGTCGATCTTCTCTGCATAGTGCTCGGTGCAGCTTTTATCAATGGGACTGCAAACCAGCAGGCCTGGTCTGGGTCCCGGGCTCAACATGACGTTATCAGGGAAACCAGCAGGCATTTCCATGGGAAACATAACTGCTGCTGGCTCTCTATCTTCTATAGTGCTGTGGGGCTCCTCTTTAAAGTCTGCAGGTATCTTTTTGTCCAGCTCGCTGATGAAAGCTGGCTCGTTGTTGTTGCAGATATCAGGGTCTGGGGTCAGGGGAGGGTCTGGTGTAAGGTCTTCCTGCTCTTCATCCACCAGCACAGCTCCAGCTGCTGCGGTGGATGAGCTGGACTTGTATTTGGTGTAATAAAGTGAAACTTTGTGTTTCTTCTGGGACTGGGATGGGGTAATGGATGATCCTTTCTTTGAAGATTGAGGACGTGGGGCGGGGCTGTTGGCCAAGGCTGGAGAGCCCCGCCCCTTACCTTTGTCTGATGTGTGACTGGTTTCCACGTAGCTCTTACAACTACCCTTGGTTTTACTGCACAAACAAGAAAGAAACGAGAGAATGGTTATGTCAGAAAAGATTACACAGTATTGATGTTTAAGGGATAATCCGGTGTAAAATTAATTTAGGGTCAAACACACTGTAACACAGAGTTAAACAACCTCAAGAGATGAATGTTGCCAACCGCTTGCTTCTCTGGTTAAACCAACTTTAGTAACAACCACACAATAGCAATACACAGCGGACTCAGGAGCCACGGGCTCAACCAAAACGCCACTCTATAGCCACAAATGATGCTGGGAACAGCACCAAACTTCATCAACAGTACATACAGGGTCTCAGCCACAGCACTAGCCACCAAACATCTTGTTAACTTTGCCTGATTTCTTTAGCAAAGAGACTAAACACAACTCGCCTACTCTCTTCCAGCAGCTGCTTGTTTGTAGTGAGAACTCGGGCTAGTCCATCACTAGCTGCGTTTCCATTACATTTTTTCGCAAAATAAAAGCGATGTTTATCAAATTTCGACAAAGTACAATTGCGATTTGCGGGTGTTTCCATTGAATGGTGTTCAGTGCATAAGCGAGCTGTGTTTGAATGGCCGTTGCCTAGCAACGAGGTAAACTTCCTGCCCTTGCGAGCTCGTATTCCTTAAGCCTTTTTGCACACCAACATGGACGAGACACAAAACATTTTGCGTTTTGGAGCAGCTATTTCTGTGACCATTACTGCTGTTGCCGCTGCTGTCATCAGAAGACGAAGGCAGCGGGTGATAATTCAAAGGCAAAGCCCGAATGTATGGGAGCGGACACGGATGAGGGATTTCTGGGAGAGGATCGTTAATGAGGAATTCACAGACGAATTGTGGATTCAACACTTAAGAAAATACAAATACAATTCAAAACTTCAGAAATAACTCCGTCTCCTCCCCCGTCCACACATACCGCGTCATCTTTGCTTGAAATGAACTGATCACACGACCCGCTACGTCACGTTCGGTGACAGAGAATTGCGAGAATAGTGTTTCCATTACACTTTTGCGATATACTTCTATATCGACACGTCTGAAAAACCACCTCATGAGAGCGTAAAAACTTTTTAGCAATACTTGAGAGGTTTTTCGAAATTTAGCTGTTTCCATTACCAGTTTTCTATTGCGATATTTAGGTTTTGCGCAAATCTATGGGTAATGGAAACGCAGCTACTGACTGCAGCGGGGTGACACAGCTCAAGGAAGAACATTTATGATCATTACTTTATTTCCACTGCAGATGCGGAAGTTCTTCTGCTTTAGCGTCTCGGTCTGATTGCATTTGCATGAAGAAATGATCATAAATGTTCTTCCTTGAGCTGTGTCACCCTGCTGTTGTCAATGAAGGACTAGTCTGAGGTCTCGCTACAAACAAACGGCTGATGGAAGAGAGTAGGTGAGTTGTGTTTAGTCTCTTTGCTAAAGAAATTAGGCAAAGCTAAAAAGATGTTTGATGGCTAGCACTATGGCTGGGACCCTATATGTACTGTTGATGAAGTTAGGTGCTGTTCTGAGCATTATTTGTGGCTATAGAGTGGCATTTTGGTTGAGGTTTGTGTATGGCTCCTCAGACCGCTGTGTATTGCTATCATGCGGTCGTTACTAAAGTTGGTATAACTAGAGAAGCAAGCGGTCGGCAAAATTCATCTCTTGAGGGGGTGTCTAACTCAGTGTTACAGTGTGTTTGACCCTAAATTAATTTTGCGCCGGAATATCCCTTTAAGGTGAGTAGTCAACAGTCGAGGATGAATGTGGGACATACTTCACTCCATTGGGGGTGATATTATTGACAGGGCCGTTATCCCGTGACAGGACAGAGTTGTGGTTGCTCCTGATGCTGGGAGTGGAAAACTCATTCAGGATGTATTGAGCCTGATGAAAAGCCATCAGACACACACCAAACAGAGAGAAGCTGAAACAGAAACAAAGTACAGACACGGGTTACCGATTAAGAATAACTCCTCTGATACACACACTTAAAACCTTGTGGTAATTGTGACTGGTTTGGGATCTCCATGTCTGCACATTCACAAACTTAATGTCAACAGCTGATCTGTCCAGTTCACAAAATGTCAGTAGAGTTTCTTTCAAACACCTAAATGTATTTGGGAGAGGACTGTGGGAGCATTCAATGTACTACTTACCATGTGAAGACAAGTGTGACCACCCAGAAAGTTTCCTCCCAGCTGGGACCGGGCACCACCTGAGCGCAGAGAGGCAGCATGTGGTGTGGCAGCGTCACATTCAGAGTGAATGGGAAGGAAGTGCCGCGTGACGTCACCAAGGTGAGGTCCCGGATGACCCAGGATGAGGTGAAGTCTGGGGTGAACCTGAGGACACAGGAAGGTAGATAAAATCAAGAAAAAGGTAGAGTGGGTAAAAGATGGAACAAGAAGATAGAAAAGAAGAGGAAGAAGAAACAAGCAGGACGAGGAAGTGAAGGGGGAAGTAATAAGAAAAGGGAAACATGCATCGGATGTCAACCCTTCCACAATGACAGAGAAAATATTTTTTTCATGAACTCAGTAACTGATACAGGACAAAAGTGAGCATTAAGAAACATTGTTTGAAGTTTCGACAGTAGAAAGGGTATCCACTGTAAACCTGAGCAAACTTACGCAATAGTGATCTCAGAGGAGCCGTTGTGGTCAAGGCTGAAGGGGCGACATTGCAGGACCTCAAATCCAAATCCCTGACACTTATATCCGTTTATATTCATGGACATGACAGTCAGGGGAAGCTCGCCTGCATTCTCCACTTTAAAACTCTTCCTGATGGCAAACAGCGGCTTGTTGGAGCGCAGACCTGGATACGACACACAGGATCCGTCTGTTTGATGTATCACTTTCTCTTACTGTTAACAGTAAACAGGCACCTCGAAACTTGATTACTCTACAGTCATGTGGAAACAGGAAGTTCAAACAGTCTCACCATCTCGACACTCCATGAGAGTCGACTGCGGAACATTGAAGCGCAGAGATGCTCCTGGGCCTGGAAGTTTACCTCCAACTCTCAGCAGCTCTTTGGCCCCGTAGCCCTGCACCATCATCATGTCGAACACCGTCAGGTTGTTCCTACAACGTAACAGAAAAAAAGTCAGTAAGTATCACAATGGATGGACAATGCTTCAGTTAGAAAATGTTTCCAAAAATCTTTGTCGAGACTTAGGTGTTCACTTTGAATTTCTCTGTACGTCCTGTATTATTTTTATGTGGTTATCAATATTTGTACCCTGAACTCAAGTTAAAGCAGTACGTATATCAGCAGTGGTAAAAACCCCTTTTTTACCAAGTCAGCAGTTGAAATAGGGAAGTTGAATAAGCCTGAATAAAAATATAACTAATTTTAATAAAGAACTTCCACAATATAAGACATAACTGGCACTTTCTCATCTACGATAATTTGCTGCATGTGCTGCAAAAACAAGGGCAGAGCACCATAAAGTATTGAATAAACTACACAAGTCAGCATTTTTTTAACCATCCAAAAAGTACTATTTGCATCATATGGTTTACGTGGCATGTAAAGAAGTTTTCATTGAAACCACTAAAAAAACTAGATAGATACTGAGAACTCTGGTTTCCTAGATCGTATCCATCATGGTCTTCAGTTTTTCTATATCTCACAGATCTGTTACATCTACTTCACAATCAGTGGTGCAATTTAGCAGAAAGTAGACACGTTGAAAGTTGTTGGTATTAGGCCTTCTTTCAAAAAGCTCATATAAGCCTCAACAATGGGAGAGGTGTTGATCAAATTCAAAGAACTCGCGTTCAGCTGCTTTAGATTCAGAGCTCCAGTATCGTTCATGCTAACTCACAAAGTCAGGTAATGCACCATAAATCTACTGAGAAATGTAAAATCAATTTTAATCTTCAAAAATGCAATACCAAACACAACTCAGTACTATTTATCATTACCTGATGATGAAAATGGTCGAGCTGGGTTTGTGTCCAGAGGGTGTCAGGACTACAGCAACTTCTCTGGCCTCCCAGGGCTGCAGCAGCAATCGCACAACGCCTTCTCCTGTTATGTCCTCCACACTCTCACCCTCCTGATCGCAAAAGCACAGGGAGAGGGAAATATCAGTTTCAATATCAATAAGACGGTAATAGAAAGGAACAGCAAACTTTACATGTCATCTATGCGATTGCGAAAAAGGTTAGGGACACAAATGGATAAATTAATACAAAGACATTTTTTAGAGATAACTTCACTTTTGAGGATGTTTTACCTTTGGGGGAGAGGCCAGCAGTGAGAACTCTGTAGTGCTGATGTTGACAGAGACCGGGCTGATATTAAACCTGCCAATCAAAGCAGAGATTGAGGTCTGACAATCAACATGATGATATAAGAGGTACCATGCTCTCAAGAGTTAAGTACTCCTTTTGAAAATGAGAATGGTACTCCTGATCCATGCCTACCATTTGGTTAGAAGGCCCAGAGCCTCAAGTGGGGCAGGGTACAAGGAGAGGCTTCGAATCTCGACAGAAACCACTGAGGAAGAAGGATTCTTCAGAGTAAACGTCTTCACCTGGAATAACAACCCAAAAATGGATGATTTGTCAGCAGCAAACCTCTTTTTCAGTCCAGATCATTGAACAAAACGTCGTTATTAGTGAGGAGGAGCTAACTTTTGCCCACCTTGCTCTCATTGACGGGTGTAGCACCAAAATCTAGAGGAAGAGACGTCTCTACAGGGAGTCTCGGCCACCTAAGAAGTCAAGACAGCCACAAAGTTAAATACTGCACAAAGACAGATTACATGACATCCATTTGCTTGGACAAGAAAGCCCTGTTTCGTGTGTCTAACCTGCAAGGCAGCTTGTCTTTGTGGCTCTGCCAGCGAGAGCAGAGCTCTGCAGCCAGTTTGCTGTCTGTTTCCCAAGACGAGGTGAAGAAGTCTGGGAGGAGAGAGCGCTGCCACTCTGAACGGCCTGATGGGACAAAAAAAAAGAAATTCATACATAAAACAGAAACAAAAAATACTTTTTCTCACAAGCTGTTATGAGATATGATGCCGCACCTGTTTCTGACAATCTGAGGGGGCAAGGCCTTCCACACTCTCGTTCTGCCTCAAAGACCACCTCCCCCTGCTGGCAAACACATCAACACATCAGCATATCAGAGTCTGTATGATTCTTGACAATAGCCAGCTAAGCGGCCACCAGAGCTCGTGTTTTACCTCGAAAGGAGTAGATTGAAAGTACAGGGGAATGTGCAGTGCTGTTCCCAGGTTGGTGTCCAGACTTAAGGTGGAGAACTGGTTAACAGGCAGGGACCTGCTGAGCAGCTGGAGTGACAGAACGTGCCAGCAGCCCTTTGGGACCCTCTGTGGAGCACTGAAGTTCACCACCTAACAGAAGCGGGGCAGAAGAGACACTTACATCAAAACCTGTACTTGACTCAGAAGTGTGGTGCACTACAGCCATGTCATAGCTCACTCAACATAAACTAGGAGGTTTTCTAATCCTCATGTGTTTGTTCTTGCTTTATATCATCACATAAAGCAAAGCTGCTTACCTTCATCACTCCCTGCAGCTTCTGTGAGAGGTTGACGTTCAGCACAGTGAGGGGCAGGAGGGAGTTAGTCAGCCACAGATCCACCTGGTCTGGATCTCTTTGTTTGAGCTGGACCAGACTGGACAGTTCGCCTGCAGTTGATCTGTAAACACAAAAAGTCATTATTGATATATTTACACCGTCAAACTTCAGTATAACATTTATGGTGCTACGTGACCACTTTGCAATATATTTTTAGGTATAATATGTTTTATCCAAACAGAAAAAATGACTTATAGCACTTTGAGAGACCTTGATGGGCTAATTTGCCAGCTGAAGTGTAAAAGGCTCTAACCTCTGTGTGATACGTAGTCCAGGAAAGTTGAATGTTGTCTGGTTTCCCAGGATTTTTAAACTGATATGACTTGTGCATTTCCTCCCCTGTCCTGGTAATGAACCTGATTGGAGACACAATAAAATTCACAAGAGTTACATAAAATTACATAACCCTTGAGTCAAATGCCACTGCACTTATAACAAGAATTCAGAGGAAATGATTTTAAATTAAATGGGTTTTTACCTCGGCAGCTCAGTGTCGCCACTTCTGTGAGATTTTTCGCTTCTGGTCTCAGAAGAACTTGATTAAACTCCAGACTGGCCTCCACTTTTGACAGCACCTGCATGTCCTGGGGAGATAAATTAGTTTATTATCCGGCTGTGCAAAAGACCTGGATTTAAAAAGGTCGAACCCCAGAAACGACTGTAATTAATTCTCAATTGCAAAAGCGGCATTGGTGATAACCTCATCAGCACATCATGGTAAATGGAGCCCTGAAAGGAGTCCAGCACATTTCATATCTGCCTGTTGCTGCTGAGTGAAAAAAATTGGGTTTGATGGCATTTAATATTGTCAAACACAATGGCACGACCAGCTTGTCTCTGATAGGGAAAAGCGGAGCGTCCTATTCTGCAGTCCAAGTGATAAAAGCTTCACTGAGTGCATCTCTCGAAATGTCAAAAAGCCAGGCTGTTGGAGCGATACTTGGGAATTAAATAAAATCCTAACAGTAAAACTCTTACTGATATTTAAAAGCTGAAATTGATTTTTATTTCGGCGAGTACTTTAATGAAGTAGAGCTTTCAGACTGATGGTGAGATCTAGAAAAAAGAAGGCTCCACCGTTTTTTCTTTCCGCTAGCTGCTGAAAATAAAAACTGACCTTAAAATTTGAGTATAATTTGAAAAAACTTGAATGAAATTTGAATAGGATTGTAGATAAAGACTGCCTTACTGAAACTATTTCTCGTTGCCATAGGATTGGCAAAAATGTTAAAACTTATTCATGTTTTAAGGTGTTTAAACTCTAAAGCTTCAGGAAAGGTCTGAGCATGAACAAATGTCAGCATTGATATTCCTGCAGAAATCCTCTCTTTGTTTGACTTCACCTTTAATGGAAATGTTAAGTTGAATATAAACTATAAGGGAAAGGCAGGCTAATGGTATTTTTTGTTAACTTGTTTGTTTTCAGCTGGTGGCTGAATGAGAAACTAATTGTAAATGGGTATTAATGCAAATAAGATGGGGTTATGCTGTTCACCTCACCTCTGCATAACCACCTACATGTACAAGTTCAATACAGAGCAATTCCTTACCTTTATGTAGAGCTTTTTGCCTCCAGAATTTAACATATAAACTCCTAGCCTCGGTTCCCCTGTAAAACAAACCAGGATGGACAATTAAAAACAGGGTAGTATATAAAACGCATACGTAACGAAGAATACACTCAATGTTCAAAGAGCCAAGGCTGAACACTAGGTCAACATCTGCTGCTGTCAGAAAGACTTCAGGTAAGTAAAGAAAACAAATACGAGAAAAGCAAACACAGTTAGCTTGAGACAGTCTGTATGGGTGAATATGATCTCTTCAGCCTCTGTGTTACTCTGTAAAGTGAGGCTAAAGTTAAATCTCCTTTTGTTGGTGTATTTTCTGACAGCTGTATAATCATTAAAATCACATCATTCCCGATTAATGGAGATGTCTTTATCAGAGTCGAAGTAAACAAGACCTGGTGGACAAAAGCAACCACTTGAAATGTCAGAGAGCCTCATAAAGTCTTTGCTCAGTGTCAAAATCTAAACACTATATTAACCTACTGACCTTTTCCTCGTGATACCATGTACCACAAACCCAGGTCTGGATGAGTGAATGACTCACAACGCTCTCTGAATTCAGCTGTATCATCTTGCTCACTGATGCTAACTCATTTGCCTCCAGACACCAGAACAGGAGGACAAACAAACCCACCTACTGCAGCCGGTCCAGCTGCAGGGGCCATCAGCAGCACCAAAATGTGCTCGATGATGTAAGGTTTGAGCTTGTCCAGGTCAGCAGGCCGGTCGCCGCGAGCAGACAGATTAATCTGCAAACTGAGGCGCTCCTCATTCTGGAGGCAGGAGCCCTGGGACGGGACAGGAAAGGAACATCAATCATTCATCATACAGGAGGATAAATATGGTAGCAACAAGGAGAAATTTGAGAGACAAGACCTTCAGAGACTGTGATGAAGCCAACAATAAAAAAGCGCTGATGATGAAGAGACAAAGATAATGTAGAAAATGTTTCCTCTTTTTTCAGCTGGTGAACAGATGAACAAGCTGGCAGTAACCTACCACTCCCTTCCTTATGAGTAACACCCTACAGAAGCCGACAAGTCAGTGCTGGAAGAGTGCAAATCTCCCTATAAACCAGAGCTGGTCTCAGTGGATGAATCAGCTTTTGACGACCTGTCGACAGAAGCCCTGGCCAGGAGCCATAGGGGCTCAAGGATGCAATAGCAAACCTAATCCCCGTGAAACCAAGACTACTTATAACTTCCTGTGAGGCTCGTTTGGTCTATTTACAGATGCTGACCAAAGGCCAGTCCTTGATTTTCTTAATGAAGTCTTAAAAAAGGAAGGAGAAGCAGGTGCTGATCTGGGATCAGGCCCAAACGTCACAGTTGAGAGAATCATGCAACACTACGCAAGGATGATTTCAGTCAGTATTATCATGACGGTATAGTTAGGCGCCCTGCAGCCAACCCTTGCATCATGTATATTGCGCCACACAAGCACCAGGAGCCACACGTCAATTATAGAAGCTCTTGGGAGAGCAATTAAAAGCCTGGCAAGAGATCTCATCCTCCTTAGGGGTTCTGAAGACAACAGATGACGAGCCGGCCTGTCTGTCTGTTTGAGCAGAAGGCCAGTGCGTCTGAAACTTCGGGGAGTGGGTGAAATGAGAGCCGTGAGAAAGAGTCACCGTTCACAGCTAAGTATGATCAAGCTAAAAACAGTGACTATCACAGTCACTAAAAATGACGTATGTAACTGTGGGAGTAGAGCTGGACTCTCTGATGGTGGTGACAGAGAGGAGGACTTTGTCAGAGTTGCATGAAATCTTGCATGTTATCATCAGAGTGAAAAGTTGTTTTTGTTCTGTTACTGTTACACAAATTAGAAACAGAAAATGGCCAGAAACTGACAGGAAAGGCTTTCTGATTTTATCTGATGATTCAGGAATTGTAGAAAGTTAACAGCATGTAGTTCGAAAACTTTATATGAGGAAAGAGATTTTTTTATGGGTAAAAATCAAGACAATCATAATTATTCAAGGTCTTTAAACATCTGTTTCACTCAGTGTTAAGGTCATCCCTCAATAAGTGTTTGATCATGTACCTGAAGACTGTTGAACAAACTCTTGGGTAAGCTGCACTCCAGAAGCAGACCCAGTATGGTGATGTTAGAGGCATCTTCCTGCAGGAGATAAGAGAAAGACAGATCCTGTGGTTAAAGGTAAGAAAGAAACATTTCATGAAGAACCATCAGCCAAGAGTTTCCTTCAAAGCTTACTAGGACCTTCGTTTACAGATACAAAGCCAAGCTTTACTGAACTCTAGTGGTGCTAGATGTGAACTGCATGCTGGGGAGATTCAGCATGTCTACAGAGCAGGTTTGGTTGGTTAGGTCACTTGTTGAGCAAATAAAAATAAGCAGTAAAACCATTTGGCAAAGTCAGATGGCTGAGAGGGTTTTTGTAGATTTTAATGCTGATTTACTTTGACCAACCAGGTCACAGGTGAACAACATAATGAAAGAGTTTGAGTCAGGAATCAAGAAGTTCATTTTTAAAGTCATCTTAATGCTTTATCTTCTCAACATGCCATGCTCCACGATTGTGACCTCCTCACATCCTCTGAGCAAAGTCTTACAGCTTTTTTGCTTTAAGTACTAAATGCCAGCTTAAATATCACTTGCCAGACAAAGCAGCAATGCAGAAAAAGACAACAAATGTACCAAATATTAATGTGGTTTCACATTTTTATGTAGAATCTGATACAAAGTTGAGGAAATCAGAATGTTTTTGTCAAGCATATGTTAAAAATGTGAAGCTTGTTGAGAGATTATAAGTCTGCATTCGGCACAAGCAGCAGCTGTCTGACTGATACTGGAAGCTCAAGTGTCTCTGCGCTCAGCCAAGCTGACATTTTGCAACTGCCACCCCACTTCCTGTTGCAGAGGCGAGAACTGTCAGATCTCTCACACTTTCAATACCTGTGCTTGCTTCTGAGAAAATGCACTAATTCGATGTTTTTCCAGTGTTTTTGCGTGGCTTTGAAACACGTGTCAGAATGACTGACTGTGGAAAGCACGAGTGCTTTTAAAAATGGGTGTTTGTGTTTCAACTCTGCATGCATGCATTCAAATTTTGAGCAAATAAAACGAGTGTTTGTGAGATCCTTCGCTGACTACACACATATCTATGACAAGAGTTTGTCGCTGTGTGTCACAAGGCCTCTGTGTGCATGCATACAACCAGTCTGTTTATCATGGCGAGCAGGAAAAGGGCGATCAGCTGTTTCCAATGAACAGCTGTTGCTTACTATCATGCATTGGCCTGCACAAACCAACAAACAGACATTTAAACACATACCTGAGTTTGGGTCAGCTTAATGCTCTGGATGTGAGGGAATATTAACAGGCTGTCTTTTCTTTGGACAGACTTTAATGAACCCTGGTGAACTCCCCCACCAAATACCTGGAAAAAGAAGGAGCGGTTACCATAAAAATTAAAAAGGATTAGCTTCACCACAAGCGTTAAGACCTGACATTGTACGAGAAAACAAAGGAGTCATTTAAAGGGTCTGAGCTGGACTTCCGCAGGAGCTTGTTATAAAGTTACTGATAACGTATCTACAGTTATATTGTAGCGTTTTGTCGATGTATTTGCTTTAACTGTTTACATGCACCTAAAAACGGGACTTTGAAACACTAGTTAAGGCTGAATTTAACGCAAGATTACAGCTGATTCATTTGGTAGTTTTAGGACTCTAGAGACAGAATAACTTTGACTGAGCAAATGGTCAATAGCAAGTGACTGACTGAAACTGTTTGAAGCATGTGAAGGGAGTGGCACTGTTGAAGGCGGTGTCTACAAGTTTGGGTGTGTTTGTTTGCATATGAAAAACACTGGACACGTCGCACACGTTCAAAGCCGCTAAACATGACACACATTTCTCAAGTTTTGGGAAATAAAATTTTACACAGGTTCCATTTCACAGCTACATTTTTTTCAAAACAGATGCGATTTTCTCTGACCAAACTGTTCACCCTTGGAAAACATCAATTATCGTGTTAGAAACTTATTTGGGGTTTTAAGAATCATAACTATCACATAATTCTTACTGAGACTTAAAAAAATGTTAGAGTCTGATGACGCAGGACACCCAGTTAAGGTGGAAGAACAAGACTGTCTTCATGGCGGAGGAGCAGGTAAGTCATGAGGATAATGCCGTCTGAGGCATGTGAATGCAAATTAGCAGACAGAACACTAATTACTCTTTGAACAGAGTGAATACACAGAGGTCTCCTGAGGTGAAGTAAACACAAAGTCACCGACAGAGAAGCTGCAAGTGAAGAAACACTGTTAAACAGAGTTATGGAGTTGATGTTTTAGATTATATGTCTCATCTAATGTGATCTAGTCTAATCTAATCTGATAGAGCAATGCTGGGTTCGCTGCCATTTAAACTGGTAAAAGACAACACTAGTGAAAATAATCATGCCGTTAGCAACAATCCTCAGGCCATCAGTAGTCAGGTCTGGTCATATTTTGGATGTCAGCGTTGCAAAAACAGAAAAACACAGTTCGGTATGGTAGCGCTTTGGTTTGGTTGGAGGGGTGACCTCTTGCAATATGATAATTTCATCAGAAATCACAGCACGACTACATGGTCTGAAACTGGACAGCAGGAGGAGTATCAATGAAACTGACCTGGTATGAGAGCAGCCCATGGGCCGATGTGTTTATGAATAATGTGTTTTCTACATTGCCCTCCTCAGACGGGAGGAAAATTAGTTTAAAAGATGCCTTCCCTCTGGGTGGGATCACCTAGGACAGGAAACAGGAGGAGACACTTCAGTTATGTTAACAGTTAACCAGACGTTAGTGCTGATGAATTTATTATACGGAACAAAAAAAAGATAACACAAACCAACAAAGATACACTTACTCTTCTGTGAAAGAAGGGTACGTAAAAATGCCTGCTGGAAGTAAACATTGACAGCAGGGTCACAGGAACTTCCTGGCTGGGGTTTTGTATATATATGGTTTCAGCTCTTGCCAGCCCCAGCGGCCTGTAAAGACAGACAGAATGGCATCATAAACAAAAGGCTCAATGAGGCATTTACCCATAGAGCACCACAGCCAGCTGAGATATTTAATGCCAAATGCTTCCATACATCATCTCATTATCTATAAGTATGCTTACTCATAGAGCTTTATTAAATTAGATCATTCTGCTGCTTTTAAAATGCATTAGGGGTGGTGAAGTTGCAGTGATTAATGTTAATTATTATGAATGTTTAACCATTTAATAGTAAATGTCTACAAAATTCAATTCTTATGCTCTTTTTATATACCGACTCTAATGTCACAACACAATAAATGTGACATTTAAGATGTTAATGTGCCAAATATATCTATTTGCATCTCATATCTAGGTTGAGGAGGACTTTAATTCACTGTGTGTCAGTGTTTTCAAGACAGAGATAAGCCTGCTTATTTGGCCACTGCAGTGAGTCCCTGAATGACAGCTGCTTTGCATTGTGTCAGTATGGGAAAGCTTAGAGAGGAAAATCATCCATTTGCCTCTTTGTGAGTAGCAGGTAAAAAAAACAGTCTTCCTTGTGTGTTTGATGTTTGACAGATTAATATCAGACTCCTTACCCCACCCTGTCTTAGTCAGATTAAACCCATTATTCAGTTATGTTCAATTCATTGAAACACATATCTGTTTTATGACCACATGTTCTAATAGCTGGGTTCTCATAAAGAGGTACATAATACGCAGGTAATTTAACTTGGTACAAGCATTCATTAAGGGTGTTGAATTAATCATGTGGCACTGACTCATGCAGAATGGGAGGGGTTTTCAACTGGGTTACATTACCAGTTTACTAGGTCTCCGAGGTAACCTTGCATAACACACAGTGCATGCATGGCTTAATGTTATTATAGATGTATTCCTTAAGATGAGAACAATAACGTAGACCTTTTTAAAATAATGCAATCTAATAATGTTGAAGAGTTGCTTGTTCACCTCTGTGAAGTTTTTAATACCTTGATTTAGTTAAAGTATTGGAAAGAAAAACACTTTGCACTCGTGTTCAACCTCATTTGGTTTCACATGTTTGTTTAATAAGAGGTACAAAAGTACTTGACGCTTTCTTGTATCACCTGTTGTCAGCAAACAAAAGAGTGCCCTGATAAACCAAAGATAAAAATAAACTAATCTGTGGTGCTGGTCAACTAAGACACACAAATTACACACTAGAGGCAATGTTGTTCTTCTGCAGGCAGTATTAATCTGACAAACTCTTTGGCTTTGGTACCTGACAGATTATCAACATGTATGTTCAAATCTTCAATTAAAATATTGGATTGCAGTTTGTGAGAATAACTGAGAGTAGTTCTGTGGCAGGCGCATCTGTGCCCAACCAGGTTTCAGTGAGAAAAAGGTGATCCAGTTTGTAATCACTGATGAGTTCATTTATGCAGACACACTTATTTGCTGATGCCCTGATGTTAAAAAGTTTGTAGATTTTTTTTACTGTATTGTAGTGAGCTGAGATGATGGGTTTAATGAACTCAGCAAAAGTAGGAGATGTAGCAAACAGTCATGGTGTTATAAAAGGGAAACCCAGCGTTTTGATAGATATATTTCTGGGAATATACATACACGTCTTTCTTCAAAACTTAACTTAACTCTACATTACCTTAAGCAGGAAATTCACAATTTCTTGCACACTGTTAAACTCTGAAGACAAAACGCACAGCATCAGCAGTTTGCTCAACAACTCTGAACTGAGTCAGCCTCATTTTGAGACACTTCTTCAGGGTATGTAAAATTCTTTAACATGAAGTAAACGCACTTGAAATTTAAAAGGGCTCTATTTTAGCTCTAGTTCGGGCAAGTAAAACACTGAGAAATGACTTAACTACATAAATGCTTCGAGCACTTCAAGACATTTCCACCTCAAGATGTCCAGAGAAGAGTAAATCGAAGCATCTTTGACTTCCTATTTGTCTGTGAGAGTTTCAGTTTACTTTCCCTTAAGGCAAATGAACGTCCTACTCCACAGAAGCGCTGTGAATCAGTTGACAGGAAGGTGTACATTTACGTTTTCTGCATATTGGCAAATAACACGCAGTATTTTGGGTTATTTTTGTGGGCTTACCTGATTTTACCAACCCTTTTAAATACAGTCTGCTGTGAACATTGTTGGCTAAATAATCGGTAACCATTCACAAGCCGATAGACATGCAATCTAAAAGTGTTCCACCACATCAGCTTTCTTTTTGTACGTATTTCAACATCTCGTCTATTTATGAACTATATCTCTTTAACCATGTCATCAGCTTGAGCTCATTCATGTCAAAATGTACCCGAAAAGTTCCAACACTAATAATCTAATTATGAACCATCAGGATTGATTACCTGTGAATGCTTGTGACGTAACAGGACAGTTTTTTTTAGAGCTGTTCCCGCAGTTTTCACGGATAAAAATTGGTGAAACTTTTATCTCACATATCTGTTTTGATTTCAAGCACAAAAAAATCCTGGGGCATTATATCAGTGCCCAAATATTTTCCCGGGACTTTTTGGTCAGTCGTCTGTTTTCTGCATTCCATAAGTATGGAAAAAAACACAACAAAATGGATGCAGCTTGTGACTGTTTTCTTTTCGAGGAGCGCTGTGTTCCAACCACAGCATTACGTCTAATGTTCTGGCTGTTTTGGGACTATGGAGGCAAACAGTGAAGTTCTTAACCCCTCTGATGAGGGTCAGCCTTCTCCAGTATGTGTCTGGATGCTGGGAAAGGAAGCTTACTGCCATACTTGGACATCCCTCTGTACTTTAAGACCGAGGGCCCCCCTGCTTTATGAAATGTTTGCTCTGTGCAGCATTGATCAGAACCACAAGTCACATGTGAATATCACTGTCTCTTCATAAATTACTGTCTTATTGTATGTTCTTAATCTTAATATCTCAAGACTAAGCGGTGTTGAAAAGAGGAACATTTGTTACTTGCAGTGTAAGCTAAGGTTTCATCACTTTAAATTCAAACTACATTACCCGTGAGCTTATTAGGGCATGTGAAATTGAACAAGGAAGTGAAAACACGACTTACTGCGTCCCAAAGTCCAACGCTGGGGGCTGAAAATGCAAGGGCCTCCCGATCTCCTGCGTATATGAAGAGGAGCTGGTGGAGAGAAGAAAAACCAAGAGAAAAAAAAGAGGCATGAACACGGTATCTACAATATCTCGCTCGTTTTTCCTGTGCCTTTCTTAAGACAAGTACATGGTGTCCTGTTTTCAAACAGAGTGTGTGACAGTCCACATGAATGAATTTAAAGACAAAACTAACACTGTCTCCAGGATGCTTCTCAAACCACTGAGTACCCTGCCCGAGGGAAACAAGGAGCATTTCTGCGCAGGCACTTGTTGACTAGATGGCAGACAAGAACCAGATGTCTTTGATTACTATAGAAGTAGGGCATTTGCATATGATGATAATTACACATCCTACTTAGGGTTAAAGAAAGAGGAAACACGAAGTTTTTGGGATTACAGATCTCAGCACTGAACACGTGGATCTGCATTAAACAAAACAATAAATAGTACAATAAATCAGGCAGTTACATGAATAATATGAGCATTAATGATTTACACAACTGAGGATCATCTTCAGCTGACGACGTACATATAAAAGCTCAGAGGCCGGGCTAATGGGATAAGGCTTGTAAAACCCTGTGTAACTTGTTCAGCTCACTATGGAACAATCAAAAGACCCTGTTATCTGAGAGTTTATCCCTTCAAGGACAAATCATGAACCTGTCATCTTCTGATACTTCATTTAATCATCAAAAGTCTCAAGTCCAATCTTCAGTTTCAACTGATAGACATTTACTATGTGTCTCAATAAATTTAATGCCATTTCTCATCAATGGGTTATCACTGTCTTTGCACTGAATTCAATTAAACACTCTTCAGGAGAAAAGGAGAGTGTCTTTAAGTCATCCTGTATTTTTGCATATGAATGTCCTTAACCGACAATTGATCTGCATGACTGTCACAAAAAGACTTCCAACTGGAGACCAGCAGGGCTTATACTGCTTAAACTGGAAAGTCTTTCTCCAGCAGAGTCTCTGGGTGCTCCCCGGTGTTTTTATTGGTGACAGTGTGTTTGACATTCTGTGCTAATAACCTCCAGTAATGGTTTCTTCAAAGTGGGGAAGCAGCTGATCTCTGGTTGTTTACAGAGCAGCAACCAGTGAGTCCAGCAGAGCAGTACCTTCACAGACAGGCCTGAACTGGACGGGTTGGCTAAAGAATTGAAATTTCTATCTGTATGACATTTCTTTATCCCCTCTGTTATAACATGTTCATGAAACTGCTTTGCTTTGATAAAGACGAGTGAACCGTGCTGCATGATGGTTGACATGCTGTATGTCAACCTCATAATGAACGATGTGAAAGTGAAGTATTACAACAATGCCTTTTCTTTTGAAACACTAAACTTCAATGAGAAAGCCTCCCACTGCAGGGACATTTAACATCTCTTCAAGTTATTTTCTGATAACCTGCTGTGGGATTTTCATAACCCTGAGGGTGAAGTTATCCATCTGTTAAAAACACACAAGGAGCCTGTTTTAAGATTACTTTTTTTTTACTCTTCATCAGATCTGCCAGCATGTCTTCCAACAAAATACAATTCAAAAGTCTAATATATATGTGTTTATATCCATATAAATAACACAATACTTCAACTGTGAAGTGGCCAGTACTGCTCAAGGATTCATAGATTGTCATGTTCAAAAGACAACATAGCTGTATAAGCAGTAAAATGCTAATAAAGACTTCTTATGGTCTCCTTTCATGTAATGAGAGAGTGAAGCTTACATAGTTATGTAATAAATGCAAATGGTAGAAAAATGTCTTTTCCTGTTCAGGCAGTAATCTCACATGGTTCTCCATACTCTTCCTATAATACAAGAAAAGCTCCTTTCACCAGCCTGCTGTAAAGCTATCACGTCAGGATATCAGAGTGATACTGAGTGATCATAGTTCAACTTGTTGAATGTGAGGGCAGCCACAGTCTGCAGGAAGCTCGGAGGATTGTAAAGATAGATATGTGAACTCTGCTTTGGTGAGTGTGGTTAGTGTTTAAACACAAAAATACTAAACTGTCTTAGTGCTGAGCTAAAAATTACACACATAAAAAAAAACTATTAACCTTGAAACTAACACCCTTTGAGGTGAGGTTTTCTACATGTGTTCTTGTATGCGAAGAAAAGGTTTTTATCTCTGCAGAGGAAAGAGAGAAAAGAGGGTCGTTTGTTTGCTGCTGCTCCCGTTTCTTTCCTTTTTTTTTTTTTTTTTACCCATCTTCATTTACAGTTTGTCACCTGTGCCAAAGCTTAACTGATGTAGATAACTTCTGAGCAGTTATGTAGTCAATGAAAAAAGAAGCACTCTAGCGGAAAATGCTGAGACGACAGAACCCCCCCCCCCACACACACACACACACACACACACACACAGACACACACACACCCCAAGCAACACTTTGTCTTCCTGTCTCTGCGGCCAATCAATAGCTGCTGATTTCTGCCTTGCTGCCTCTACAAGTATCAAAGGAGTGAATAAAAAATAAAGACCTGTGCATTCATCAAGAGCATGGTACAAATGAAACAACAATTCACTGCAAGCTAAAATGCACTTGGTTAATAATGCATGATGGATAACTGCAGCGCGCAACACACACCCATGTTCACACAGGGAGATCAGCAACCTACAGGGATGTGAGACATCGTCAATGACAGAAAGATCCTGTCTTCTGCAAGATGTACATTTTAAAAAATAATAAAAAAAACACAACTTCACTGAATTCCCTCCTACAAAACAAAATGTAATTTTTACTAAACATGAAAAAACTTTAATTGCAGGGTGGTTGAGAGGGTGCTTGTGTTTTGTAAAAGGTGCTGCTAAAACTCAAAACCTTGTATTTAATACATCAATCATAGTTTTAAGGATAAAAATGTCAATATTGAGTGAATTGAACCTGGAATCATGTCAGGATAATAGTTTGTTTTATATTGTATTTCAGAGATAAACCACAAGCCAGAAAAACATTTCCTGACATGTATCACTAGTTTGTTTTTCTGTGGCGCGCTGATGACTGATGTTTTAACAATTGAACATGATGTGATGGTCATTGACGCATCTTGCTAGAATAGAAACAATCTAGAAGTGTGAAAGCATGCACCCAGATTACTCTTGTATTCATGCAGACTACATAAAGAGTATTAGTCAGTGAAGGCAATAAGACTTCATACCCTCACTTCTGGATCATGTGTGTCACCCTGGAAATCCTAGTTGGATTTCTTTACGCGTTTGCGTCTTTCCCACTTACAAAATTTCCTGTTTGCTCGTGGACATTATTTGTAGGTTTTTGTACCGAGTATGCAAGTTTTTAGCTTTAGCTTTCACATACACACTCTAACCAGCATACACACTCATACCTGCTCTTCTATAGCAGGAATGAAGCCTCAAATTGCTTCACGGTTTACCGCCTGTGAGAAAATAGTATTTCCTATTCCTTGTAGATTTAGCTCTTGATAGCAAAGGCAGCAGCACATTTTCAAACAGCAACAAATATGCTGCTGGTGTGGTTTGACTTGATAATAGGTACAGTGTTGTCTCTATTACATAACAAGTGCTCTTGCCTGCCTCTCTCACTGCAGATGTAATTGTTTGTTAATTCCTAACTCGTCATAAAATGAAACCTCAAGCTGTGTGAGTCAGAGCGGAAAAGCTGTGTGTGTGTGGGAGAGCCTATGAGGGGTCATATGTGAAGGGGAAATGAGGTTGTCTGTCTGTGCAGAAAAGCCTTGTGCAGATTCAGCATTCTTATAGAAAACATAAGTTTTAACAACCTTAAAGCATTTATATATCAAAAGCTGCTACCTGGAAAAGCATTCACTACATTATTTTTGATATGCACACGTCAGGTTACATGTCAAGTAGAAACATGCTGCACTCCTAGACATCAAGTAGTTCTAAGCCTTTCCTGTAGTTGCAGCTTCTTGTATACTTCCTTAAAAGGCAGAGGAAGGCATACAGCTTGACATAGGTTTAAGTATTTTCTCCAAATTCAACAGCAGCTGCTCTGAGAGGGAAAACTCCACCTCTCAACACAAGCGCACCACTGAGCTGTAGTCCAAAGGGTTCTGTTCACTGCCGCAGTACAAAAATAACAAGTTATGTTTGGCGCTATTTGATCCCCTGGATCTAACTCAAATAAAGTCAGTGTTAGCTGTGACCTCAGCTGTGCTCCAGGGGAGAGGTTAGGACCAGTGGAGAGTTAGGTCACCTGGTGTTGACATGCTTTCGTACACATGGGGAGACGAGTTAGACTTACATTCAATCCAAATGGCACGTAATTCTAATGCCATAGTATTAACACTAAACTGCAGATAAGAAGGTTTGTGTCTGGATGATATATTTTAAACCAATGGAGATAAGGTTCATTCTGCTACCAAGAATTGTAGTGTTGCTGATTAAAAACAAAGAGGAAAAAAAAAAGAGATGAAAGACATAAAAACAAGCCTAGACTGAGGAGGAGATATCATTAACCTCTGTGTCTGCAGACTGCTTTGCTCCCCAGGCAGGGAGAGAGTGATGGCAGGCCTGCTAAGTGCCTGATAACCCAGGCACGAGAGGCCTTGCAGCTCACAGCTCAGGGGGTCAACCAGCAGCACTAGGCCTTCATTACTTCACACCTCCCTTCATTAAAAATGGCTAGATTCCCACACTGTTCGGTACCACTGTGGGGTCATTAGGGTTATGTTACCCAGACTTTGGAAAAACCCCTGACAGAGCAACACAGGACATGACTAGTACTGCTAATAACTAGTCAGCTGACCTTAGAACTGGCTGGCAGGCTCATACTCGTACTAAAAAATGTATCTTATGTCCTACCAAATAGTATATCTCAAATATCTTCGGATATACTCAGTAAGAGACTCAAAAATCTTGCAGAGAAGGGTCAAATCTAACTGTACTGTGCGTGTGAGGAACATTCTTGTAGGTTTAGGTATATGGTGGGCTGGGCTCTTTACATTACTGCCATGGAAACGCTTGAAAGATAAACAAGGATCTGGAGCCTACACAAACACTTGGATATACATCTGTGACTTGGAAAACTATGTATCCAAAATCTGTGAAAGAGAGGGCTGTTTTTATGAGTATGCTACGCCACATAACGTCATAAATAGTTGATAATTTGCTGCAAACAACCATTTTCCCCGACAATTTTCGACGGGAACAAAAAACAGCTGGGAAAGACAGACCTCCCCTCCTTTTTCTTTCAAGGAGTTTCTAAAATTAGTCAGGAATTCAGTTCTGTGCCTCTCTTATACACGCCCCCAAAACTCTCCCAGTCACACACACGCCCCCACTCACCAACATAAACAACATCGCCTTCTTACAGGGCAGGACTTTTAAAGAGCCCTTTAAGAAAGCTTCAGCCCTATTACACTCAAAACCACACCAAGGCATCTGTCTGCGTGAATTCACCAAAATGCCACAACACTTAACAGAGCTCCGTTACAATTTGTAGCTTTTTGAATATGGTCACATTCAGTAGGAGCATTTTTTTTTGGTCGAGAAGAAACTCATTCACACGACCATTCTGTGGTACAGCAGAGAGGTAGACATGTTTTTCCATTGGTCTGTCTATGCCACAACCCTGCTCTTATTCTGTCTTGCAGTATAATTCTAGTCTACATTATACAAGAGGAACACTTCAGCATGATGCAATCTGTACATTGGTTTGGGGGTTGCTGGTAATTATCATGGTGGTAAGGCTCTACCTATTCCCAAGTGTAATTCAAGAACAGGTGGAAACCTTTCATCATCTTCAACCAGTGCTCTGACCAATGTTTGACCCGGGTAAGTAAGATGGTTAAGATGTCTCTCAGGTCTCATTGCCTGTGTGTTTACTGTCACAGTCATTTCTTACTGAATGTGTGATACATTACATAAAGTGTGTGAATAAGGACAGCAGAAGAGTTTCGATTTTATGCGGTTCCTGTAAACGTGACAGAAAAACAATACCTGTCCTCAACGGGGAGACCATCTTTTCTTCGCTCCTTCTCCACCTGAAAATGAATGAGAAATACACTCAAATCAGTACAGTTCAACAGCACAATGTGAGCTATTTCTTCTTCACTGACACTAAGGCTTTACGATAATTATATCAGCAAGCTCCTGGGGATCACAGTCTACTTGTTACCACATTCAACAAAAAAGCCTGATGCAAATACAAACTGTTATGAAACATTCACTTTGCCATGTGCATTTTATCTCTAACAACATGCCAAAAGTTTATGTTGCACAAAACACAATTTCATTGTAAATAAAGTAAGGAATCCAAGCAGGAAACTGGATCTGCAGTAGGAAACCAAAACTGGCTTTGCATTTGTTGGACTTTGAGGGTTAGACAACAGGCAGCAATTTTTTCGAGGCTTGGCATAGTGCTCTTTAGTTCTCCGAATAAAACTGTGAATATACCGTTTGTTTTGCTATACGTCTTCACACCGCAGTCAAGCTGGGTCAGCATACAAAAGAGTAAAGCTTCTATAAAATTCTTTGACTACATGGAGCATAAAATGTAAAATTTAACCAGCTCTTTACAATGCTGATGGCTGCTGAAATTAGGACTTCTTTCCAGCTCTATATAAAAACACACCATAGTTAAAATACTGCATAATTAAACATGATGATCTTAACTTTAAAATGTAGTTAGTTTGATGTTTCAATGACAAGAATATTTCTGCGCACCTGACAGTCAGCTAACTTTGGTGCTTTAACTGTGGTGGAGAAATATTTAATCAAAAGACATGAATGAAATCAAACATGAAATCTTTTTTTTAATCCATATTTCCTAAATTTGCATCACGATTGATGCTTCATCCTTCAAGATAGTTACAATCACAAATTACTTAATTGTGGTTTATTGTGAGAATCAACTTGTGCTGATTGCAGAACCATGTGCACAGAGCTCACGATTTCCTAACCAGGTTACACTGCGTGTCAACATACTGTGTGTCCCAAGATTTGTTTTGATTCACTCTTCCAGAGGGGAGAGGTGACCAGCAGTTCGCCAGGTGTTTCAACAGACAACACACTGATCAGTCAATGACGTGGAGAAAAACCTTGATAAGTTTGATGACTGTGTGTAACCTTTTTATTCTTGTAGTTTCAAAGCTGATGTGGAAGTTAAGCTCAGTTTGTCAACGATGAAAGGAAATCCTTTTCATCTCAGAAAACATTTCAAAATGCTGCAGAACATACATAAAAGACATAAATTTTACTTTCTATATGATATGGCTTTTGAGGAACTGGCTGAAAATTATAACCTCACCATTCATACGTTAGTTCACACACACTCTTACCCACAGTGTAGTAGGTTATGTTCTCTAAGCATGGCCTACAGAGATAAGCTTTGGTCTGTTCAAACACAGATCATACAGTTTCCATAGGAACAATCAGGGGCCGTAGACTACATCATGGCTTCATAGCCACCCCACTGACAACAGTAATGTAGGACGCGTGGAAGTACAACGACTGCCTCTAACACCATTAGCTCATGATTCAACACATTATCTCTTCTTCAATCTTTCCCTTACTTTCTTCTTCAAACAATCCTGGTTGAGGGTCTAGCCAATGACACAGTTTTGAGAATGTAGGGATACTAGAACATCTTAAAACACACAACATCTGATGTCCTATACTGTGGCATAGTCTTAACAAGGGTTCAGAGGTATGACACTGCTTGCAACAGATCGTAAAGATTTGACAGTGATGCCTGAGAATTTTTCTTTTCGGCAAAGCAAGAGCCTCTCCTTTAAATATATTCCATTATACCTGTGACTCCAAGTGCAAGACACGTAGGACCATTGGATAAATATTTCTGGAACACCTTAGCTTTCTCAATCTTGTATATTTGTGGAGCCAAAAATTTTGTTATACTGTATTTTTCTATACTTGCACAACCATTGTCTTAACATGGCAAACTGTGCATGCTGCAGCTTGAAAAATTCCAGCAGACACAACCTTGTTTTGTTCTGTTTTGTATCCTCCAATACCCCCCAGCACCTCTACAACGTGGCTTAACTGAATGAGACAAAACAGATTTTCCAGCTGATTAGGCTCAACAGTGACGGAACACATTCTGCCACTGCTTTTTGACGCAGGTAAACCAGTAATGCACTGGGAATATTCAGTGGAGCAGCATTTTCTAATAAACTAGATTCAGAATACAGGAATTGAGAAACAAGATGGAAACCTGCACAATATAACAAGTGAGGAGGGACTGGAGGGGACCTAGTCTGACTTGTGACCAATCCAAATATAAAAACTATACACAGGTCAATGTTTTCAAAAATAACAAGAGGTTAATGTGAAAAAATGACCACAACCACAAACTCTTGCCATGTCCTGTCATGATCTTTGCAGCTGAAGAATGATCTCTGCTGCAATCTTTACTACATCTTATGACACTGTATCTCCTGCATCACCACCTCAGTGGGCCCGCAGCAACATACAGTACACTACTTAACCAGCTGACCAGCAGCAGCACTTTAATATAGCGCAAAGAAAGGCACCCATGTCATGCTCTATTTCACATGGCTCATGTAACTGAGACAGTCACTCCATTCACGGCTGCCTATCTAAACATGACACCTAACAATGTCAACAATTCTGCCATCTGCCAATTGGTCAGCAAGGTGGGGATGAATGGAAAGTGCACGCCAAACACTCCAGACTTTTTCCCCTTTCTTCCAACTATGTCCTTTCACAAATCTACTCCTGCAGTAATTCCTGCCATGTGTAAATTTCAACACACATAGAGACACAGTATCTGTGAGTTCTGTACAACTGGCTTGGTAATTTTCAATGATGGTGAGATTTCCACCATCCATTCTTACAAAAGGAATCATTCATTGAAAGTATGTTGGCGTTATTTTGCATCACAATGTTTATTTGTTTTCTAAGCAGTCGTATAAATACTATTCACACCTGTCAACCGCAACCTGTAGGACAATGCCACACCCCCCTCAGGTAACATGACAGTCAGCTGTTGGCCTCCTGACAGGTTATCAGTAAACACTGAACTCCTTCTGTTTGTGCTTATCCTGCTTCTTGATTACATAATCATTACTCCCTCCTACTGATGCCTGATGTTTAGGATATTGCAAGCCAGATAACAACAGAAGCCTGCATAACACAATGCATAAACTATAGAAGCAGGAAATAAATGCAACCTGGTATGCAGGAAATGACTGCGGAGCTGTACTCCTAATTCTCTCAGCATACTCAGAGTGTGCACTGCAGACTCAACTCCACAATGGACACTATGTACAAAAGAAAATAAGGAGGAGCCACATGGCAGGTGGCCTCCCGCTCTGGTTTCATTTCAGGTTTAAACTGTGAATGCTTCCAAAATATAAAAAAATACCATCTGCATGGTGTTAAAACCACAAAACCCGCACGGTTACTGACATTCTTCTCACACAGACACACTAATATGGACTACTTACCTCGCTGCAAACTCGATTCAAACACAATGGGGATGGACCAACCACATGCGTGCTCATGCATGAGGCTGCTATTTTGTTTTTTTTGTGTTTGCGTCTAGATTTCCTGAATCACGCAACATAAACACACCCAAGAGAGAAATAAAGATTACCTGAAGTGGGACTAATGGGTCTGCATCCTCTGGTTGCCAGACCTCGACCACGCTGGTGGACATCTGACTCAGAGCTTTAAGGGGGCAAAAAAAAAATAAAAAAATAAAGAGTAAGATATTTGGTGAAAACTGGACAACGCGGCAAAGAAAACAAATGGGGGAATGCACTCGAGTTAACCAGTATGAATGTTTAAACAGCATATTACCATTTTTGTTATTATAAGTATCGATATGAGATGAGTTAACTTCAACAGCGTGGGTGATAATCATAAAGACAAGTGAGGAAATGACTTCGCCTCGGCAGACTGACAAAGGCTGTTTGCTAGCTTCTTGATTAGCAGACAGGTTAGCTCGGTGGCTAACTAACTTGGACTTAGAAAATTGCAGCAAAAACGACTGTTTTAGCGTTGTAGAGTAGGCTTACAGAAATATTAAGCTTCATTTCAGTGACAGGAATTACAGTACAGTGCCGCTTTAAAGTCCCGATAATACGGCACTTCCCTGCCTGAACAAGTCAACGTTTACACCAAACAGCACAGGGAACTGGAAGCTAGCATGAACTAGCAGGCTGGCAAAACACAAGCAAAAACCGCCTCGAGTCTGAGTAAGAATAAAATACAAATAAGTGGCCACTTGAAAATGTGTACGGGACATTTTTAAGCATTTATATTTCATATGCTGTTTGGGTATTTTCGCCTGACAACCATTTTCCAGTGTGCCGTCTGCTGTCATGTCAGTTAGGCTAACTCAATGGTCGCGGTCCTGCTCCTCCTCCGGAGTGAAAAATAAAAGGTGAGTAACAAACCTTGCAGCTGTGCCCCTCCGTGCTGTACGCAAGGTAAAAGCAATTGTAGTATTCCTAGTAGTATATTGATCCACGTTTTCCTGTGGCAGTGGCTGCCTTGTTTGAAGTCTTGTAGCCCTGCCATGCTGCTCTCTCTCTCTCAGTCAGCAGCCTGCCTTGTGTTTCCCTGTGCTGGTCTTTCTTTCTCTCAGCTCTGAGCAGCAGAAACAGCAGCAGCAGCAGCTCCCTCCCTCCCTCTGCTCCTCCTCCCCGCCTCCTCAAACACATTGTGTAGGGAGAGCAGACACCACTGTCACTTACAACAAGGCTGTTTACGTGTCTGTTGCTGAAGGTAAACCAGAGTCGACCAAGAAGGGGGATAATATAAAGGTATGCATGTGTAATGCACCCTGCAGTGGTGAAAGCAACTTAAACATTTATCCAACAAATGAGAGAAAATTACACTTTCCATGAGAACTAACTGAGCATCTCAAGCTTACTGCTATTGCTGTACATTTCAAAGGGAAATAAGTTTCTTACTTCAGTAGATTTGATTGACAAATTTAGTAACTTGTTATTGTGGATATCATAAAGCAAGTATCCAAACAATACATAAAGATTCAACAGAAATAAATATCTTAAGATAAGATAAAACTTTTATCCCACAGTGAGAAAATTTGCAATCTAGGACCTATACAAAAAAAAAAAAAAAATGCAACAACAAAAAAACTAGAGGAAAAACAGTGAACTAGAAAGAATTCAACATGTTATTGCACATTATTTGAGTTATTATACCTGAGAGAAATGTTGGTGTTTGTAGTTGTAATAAATGTATGTCCTGTCAACATTGCACTTGGTGGTAACATTGTGTTATTGTTCTTTAGTTGTGCTTGAAAGCAAACCTGGACTACTGGAGGCAGGCCTGGTAAAACAGTCTGACTGTAGCAGGAAGGAAGGAAGGACTCATGCTATCTCTCTGTCACACACTGTGGGTGAAGAAGCCTGTCACTGAAGGAGCTGCCCAGTGCTGTTACAGTGCTCTGTAGGGGGTGGGAAACATTCATGAGAGATGATAGCTTAGCCATCATCCTCCTGTCCCCCATTACCTCTATGGGGGCTAAAGGTTGGCCCAGGACACAGGTAGTCTTCCTCACCTTTTCTTTTAGTCTGTTCCTGTCTGCAGTTGTGATGCTGCCGCTCCAGCAGACCACTCCATAGGAGATGGCTGAGGCCACTGTAGAGTCATAAAACGTCTTCTGGAGTGCTCCCTGCACACCAAAGGACCTCAGTTTCCTCAACAGATGGAGTCTAATTTGGCTTTTCTTGTAGAGTGAGTTTGTGTTGTTGGTCCAGTCTAGTTCATTGTTCAGGTGAACACCCAGGTACTTGTAGGAATCCAAAATCTCAATGCCTTTTCTCTGAATGTTCACTGGTGTGAGAAGGGTGGGTCTACATCTGCAGCATTATACCACTAGCTTCTTGGTTTTTCCAATGTTGATCACCAGTCCACAAAGTTCAGGTTCAGCTCTCTGTACTCCTTCTAGCATCATAGGTGATGAGGCCAACAATGGCGGAGCCAAAACTGTCACCTGGGGGCCCCTGTACTACAGACAATAGTGTCAGACACACAGTAACGAGCTCTCACATATCGTGGCCAGTCGGTCAGATAATCCAGCAGCCAAGACGCAAGCTGGTGGTCCAGTTCTGTGTGCTGCAGCTTGTCCCACAAAAGCACAGGTTGTATGGTGTCGAAGGCGCTTGAGAAATCGTAGAACATAATTCTCACAGTGCTCCCAGTCCTCTCCAGGTGTGAAAAAGGTAGATGATAGCATCATCCACCCCGTTGCCTGGCTGATAGGCGAACTAGTGGGTCCATTGATGAGCTCACTGAAGGTGCAGATAGCGCATGACCAACCTCCCCAGGGTCTTCCTCAGGTGCTATGTCAGTGCCACCATCCTGTTGCGGTTGAAATCCTTGGGTGAGAGATCTTTGGCGCCAGTACCATGCAGGAGGTCTTCCATTGCTGTGGCAGCCTCTACAGCTTCAGGCTCATGGTGTAAAGGTGCTCTGTAATCACACACCTGGTCTGCACAGAATCTTAGGAACCTGGAACTGATGCCACCTGGACCCGCAGCCTTTCTGACCTTAACCTCAACAGTTTCCTCTGGACTTAGGTTATGGAGAAGGACAGGAGCTGGGAGACAGGTGTCAAGTGGACAATGGCTGATGAACTACCAAACAGTGTAGAATACAGCTAAAACCAGCTAAGCCATGCTGCCTTCTCTCAGATAGCAAGCAAGCAACTTATGTTAGCTGAAAGTGTGAAATACGTCCTAATATGTAGATCAGATGAAAGTCCTCTTATTGCACAATTATTTCAATATACTGATCTGTCTAAAGGACATATAAACAAAAGAGGCTCTGATTTACAACAGTGTTTATGTCAGTGAGGTTAAACTATGCAGGGCCTTTCAGGAGAGCTTTTGACATTCAGCATGTCAGGCTCATGAATCATAGTCAGGACAGGTTGGGCAGGTACACACATGAACACACACTCAGGTTACTCTTCTGTGGGTGTGTCAGTTCCTCAAAACAAACTCCAGTCAAGAACTTAGAGTATGTTTTTTTTTTTTGCTGGATCAGAGCTGCACATTTCAATAAAAATCTTTGGGCTGCTGCTAAAGAAATATAAATAAAATACATTTTGTGACCTTAGTGATGTATGAATCTGCACATTTTTTGGTAACAGTTTAAATTAACAGTATAAATAACTAATTGTATGCATTAGGAGTCGTTATAAACATAGGCCTTTACCACATTTAAGTCATAATAGACTGCAGGATGTTTGCAAGGATACATACAGTATCTTCCACATAAACTGTCTCTACTTATAAGATCTACAGATCAAAATAACCTGCCATAAGAAACACTGTAAATTCTTTGTGTTGTTGTGGAAATAAAACTAAAAAGTATTAATAGCACAAACAAGCTCACCTCTGATCACATTTGATATTTAAATGATCAAACCCAGACACATAGTCAACTAGGTCACTGGGTAAACAGAACACACGGCCTGTTTTGCATCTGTTTAGCAGAGAAAATCAAGGAAAATAAGCAGGGAAGTGGCCCTTCTGGGCATGTCATGACACCTCTCTTTATTTCATCATACAGAGAGTGAGTGTGCAGCTTTGAAAAGAGTTGTGCATAGCAGATTTTGTAATATTTGTTGGCGATTTCTAGAGAAATTGAAGCACAATAGATACAATGGCAAGTGTGATAATATTTAGCACTGCATCTCACCTTTTTAAAAGAATACAACAGCAGTAGAGGCTCACGAAACTTAAAACATTTTATTTGCAACACAGGAAAATGAGGTAAATTAACTAACATTTAAAGCACTTGGAAACACAACAGTTGTAAACATGGCCTCTCTTGTATTTTTTTATTATAAATCCTAGGGCACTGGAGGACTGGTTGCCCAATAAATGAACAAAAGATAAAAAACAGGAAATGTAGGGAAAATAAAGTCCAAGCATTTCACTCCAAACCATCTGTTTAAACAGTATGAACTACGTCTTTGGCTACACAGATGTGTTAAGTGGTGGTTCCCTTCTATCATCAACTTGGGGTTCTCAGTTTTCATGCAAACAGGTGTCCAAAGAGTCAGGCTGGTAGGTTGTGTTCGTCGCAGAACCCCTTCACCCCACTGGGCCTCTAATGGTTCTCTTCTCTGGTTGCACCAGATCTGCAGATAAAGTCTATCTGCCACAGCATTAATACTGATATCCAGCCTCATCCAAAACCACCAAATCTTTTTTTTTTTCATTTTAACATACAGAACTGAAACTGGAACAGCAGCGATCTGGAAACTGGCTTCAAACTGAAGCTTAAAAATTAAATTTCCAAAACTTTTGGTGGAAACACTGGTAGTCAGTCCAAGTAGTCAAAGTCCTCAGGGATCCCAAAGGCTTTGTTAATGCTGCTGTCATCAAAGGTAAACTTCTTCTTTGTCCATGACTTGATGGCGAAAACATTATCTGCAAATAGAAATCTTTAATGTATCAAAACATACTCCACTGCTATGTGGTGCTGTCTGTGGCAAATACAGTCTCGGATTTGAAAAATAAAGTTGGACGCAAGAGCGATGGATGAGTCCAAGAACAAACCATCTGTCTTATTGCTCTGAGCCACTTTCTCAATGCTGTTTTGGCAAAAGTCAACAGTGATTTTGGCTGCAGAATCCCATAGTCTTTGAAAACAAAACATTTCCTGCGAGTGAAAATCTCACACATCTAAAAATAACTTTGCAATCAGGGTAAGTGAATTGGTCTCAACTTTGGGTGCAGCACAATATTACAAAGCTCCAATTTAGTAATGAGACTGCTTGAGTGGAGAAATTCTGTATGCAAAAATCATGCTTAGTGCATCAGATGGAGCTCTTTCTGATTGAGACTTAGCCATGTTAGCGTTTTCGTCATTTACTTATTTTTGAGTTGAATTTTTGTAAAACTCGTGTAGTGATGTTTTATTTCACATTTCTGGCTGATTTAGCGTTGTTATGAGCTTTACTGTAATCTCTGAAAATTCTCTGATAATATTGATACCCTTTGTAAGGGTTGCTTGTACAATTCCCTCTTGTCAATTTCTATTTAACTTGTAGCTTAATTCACACAGTTGACAGTTATGTTATTACAGCAGATATTGTAGATCTTCTTGTGAGGAAACCTGTTTTGGGCTCATGCACACTGCACATTTTGCTGCCTCCACAAAAGAATTAGGAAATTAATGATTAAAATAGGCAGCAATCAACAATCCACATGCAAAGAGACAGTCATGACACAGACAATCACAAACAACTTCAACTGCCTTTTACTTTTACTGTTAATTTTGCATTATACAGATGTATATATGTGTGAAAGGGAGAAGAACACACTGAAGCTACAGAATTCATACAGCTTGTGTAGACATCGTTTCCAAGTTTGATCGCAGTAGAAAAAAGAAACATTGCACTCTAATTCTGAGCCAACAGCTGTTCTTGGATGGCTTTAAAATAAAACAGTGCTTCTCTGCTTTTGCTACAGACTCTACTGTATGTGCTTTACTTGTTCCATAGAGTCCATCCTGCGTGATGGAAGTAAAACTCACAGAAGAGGCAGATATGACTCACAGTCTCTCAAAATGAACATAATTATATGGAAGTGAAGCAGGAACGTGGCAACTAAAGCTGACAGGGCGACTTTGTTGACCAGCAACAGGCAATGTTGACCCTAAAGAGTCAAAAGACCACAGGCCTGGCTGGTTACCATGATCGCAAAAGGTCAGCTGTCTCCAAGGTTACCGCTTAGGTCAATGAATGCACACAGGGAGCTTCAAGTGTTGACTCCTGGGAGGTGACATGCTGAACACAAAGTGCCCCTGCAGTTTGCACTTTAAAAGAGAAATCAACAGAAAAAGCCCTTCCACAGTGGTTCTTAAGTTAAGAGGCAATTTTCTGCAATTACTACAGAGTCAAATCTTGATTGATGCAAAATTTCATCAATACACTCAACAATGAAAAACACCTTAAACTATTCTGAAAACCTGTTAATAAGCATCTTTTTTTACAGAAGATAAAACTGAGTGTTCATTTCTTCTAGCCTCTCAAACATGTGGAGATAATTGGTTTCTGTTGTATTAAACTGTGAAATGACAGTATTCGCATACTGGACTGCTAATTAAATTAAATAGGATCGCAGAAACACTGCCATGTATTGTCTTTTTACAATCAATAAACTCATCTAGGGAGCAGTTCATCTAGGGAGCACTTTATATCATCTGTCATTGAAAGCAGAAGTCCTGCCAATAAATATTTTTAATATGGCCTATTTAATCTGATAAACTCGATCTAATTACTTGTTTGGTATGAAACATAAAAAGTCTAACAATTTCTCTTCTGCTTAAGTGTTGTTGAAGCATTTTCTCTAAACGTCAACTTTACTGCCAACCAAAACCAGGAAATTCTCCCATAAGAAAAAAAGCAGGAACCGTCAAACGTCAATCACTTTTCTTGAAAAACGGCTTTACGATCATGAGAATCGTTACGGCTGAGCTTTTTGTTGTTGTTGATGAACATCCTGATAAATACATCTATGTTTGTCACTTGATTTCACAACAGTTATACATGAAGATATGAAAATAAACATGAGACTCACCTGTCCACCTGGAAACGGCCTCTTTTGCTACAACATTCGACTTCCCTGCAAGACAAAGTCAGGATGATTATGTACATTCATCATCATGTATGTATTGTCTATCACTCACATTATTGTACCACTTAAAGGGAACCTTTACAGCATGAAATCAACACAATGTTACGGTTTCTCTTATTTCATCAGGCAAAGGTTTGTTAAGCAACATTGCTTAATCCTGAGCATCAGCTGACTGCTTTTGAAAGACAAGGAGTTTTTAACTGGCTACAGAATAGGGGTCAATAGATTTTAGTTAATTTTTCAGGGTAGACACTCATACCAAATATTAGAACTTTATGTAATTAATAACTGATATTTGGTATCAATATGAATTGCCAGGAAAAATGTAGTTTGAAATATTTAAAACTCCAAACTATATTTTTTATCAAAGCAAACGTTCAACATTACATACAGGAGTTAACAGTAAATCAATTATGCTTACAGTCAAGTATCTAACAGTTGTGTGACATCTAGCTGATCAGTTATTATAATTGGGGGAACTTTAGGTGAGGCAGTGGAGAGAGAAAACCGACCTAGAGGGAAAGACACATCCTCAGTGGAGCCAAGTAGCCCACCTTCAAATGGACTGATTTTATCGGCTTCTGATTTTTTGGGCTTCTTCATACCATGAAGATAACAAATGCTTGTTAAATACAATCATACAGTATGTTCATGTTTTTGTGACCTGTTTTTACATGTCAGACACTGTTTTTAATTTGTTTATGAAACAGGCCAACTAAAAAAAATGCTTAATGTAAAATTTAAATTTGGTGCATCAGATCTTTTTAATGAGCTCTGTAAAAGAGGCACACTGGGAAGTGAATGTAAGTGAAGGTCTGGTGCAAACAAGACACTTAGTGGAAAAAATTGCAGCTATTTGATGGTTGAATAACTTAAGTTACTCTGTAAGTGGCCAGTATAAAATTAGAGTGGACACTTTAGCGAGCACCTCCTCTCCTGTTGAAGTCTGTTCAGTGAAAAGCTTTAAAAGTCCTCTTATTATGTTTTAAAAGACACATTTGGCCTCACATACTCTACAATTAAACCCCACAACAACAGCAGGTAACATCATTCAGCTGCCAGGCACCTGAGAAGACTGATTTATAGCTAAAACCTTTTGTTCCATCAAAAGACTGCTGTGCTTAACAGAGTGGGCTGCTGCATCCTCAAATCCAACCAATAAAAGCTATTTAAAGCTGGGCTCAATTTAAAACAGCTTTTGGCAGAAATCAGAACAAAGATCCCGTCTGAAGACAAAATATCTTGTCCCAATTGGTACCAAACGCTGCTTGAGCCTCAAGGTCAGTTCAGCATGAACTGATGATGAAACAGTGTAAACACATGGATTTCAGAATAAAGAGCTGCTGTAGGTGGGAGGGAATGAACTCAGTAACTTCTGACTCATAGACCTGGACATGTTACGATCTGACATTATGCTTGAGAATTTTGATGCCAAGTAGACATTGACGTAAAGAACACATGAGCAAATGCCTCGACCCTAACCAATTACTCTCAGCAGCTGTCGAATCAAAGTGAGCTTTGACTTTTTGTTTGCATGCGATGACTGAAAATGAGTGTGAGTTAGCTATGACTAGTATTATAATTGTTCTCCTTTTCTAACAGTTACAAGGGCACAGCAATGATTGCGTAAAATTATTTATCATGTAAAAGTAACATATGTGACAAAAAAAAACTTAAAGCTTAACCAGGAGCCAAACATGAAAAATGTGTACCAAAAAAAGGATAAGGAATATTTTGACTTTAAAAAGTATGGCTTCCTCACATATCATTTTAAATAACCTTTTTGAATCCATAAACTTCTTTTTTAACTTTGCCTCCTTACTCAGTCTCATTCCTGTCTTGCACACGATTGCAGCTGTGATTTCATTACCCATCCCATGTTTGGTGGGAGTGGTAATGTCATCAAAATGCTGTCTGTCCTCTTGCTGGGCAGCACCAAAGACTGTTTGGCAGGTACGACTGGAACAATTATGGACTTATTTAAGGGTTTACTGCTGTTGAAATTTTGGAATCACCAAAGCTTTGGTGGTTTTTACCTCCACCCATTGCCAAAACAGTGTACAGGTTCCCATGGGTGTAGCAACCATTGTACAAACATGTACAATGGCATAAACATCCCAAAGAAATACGCCACATAATAATTGGTAAATAAAATAAATCAAACACAGATAGAAAGCCGATTTGAGGTTGACTTAATACTCTGTTCATTATTTGTTGGAAGCTTGCTGCAGCTGACACCATTTGGATTTTTCTTTCTAGGTCTTCCTGTAAATATCATGATGAGTATGGTCCAGACCAGCTCTTTTAAGCATCTTCATATAACATTTGTTTTTAAGTGGTGCTATATAAGTTAAAATTGATTGATTGATTGGTTGATTGAGTAAAATTTATACCCCAACACTGACAAAACATCCCATTGTTATCAAGAGCCAACCAATGTTGGGGTCCTGAAAGTCAAGAAAACTCTGTTAGAATTTAACACGTTTAATGCGTGTCACAAAACCTGTTCAGCCTCTTAACTTGAGTTCTATATCTCTGCTCATATATGGGAGATGAATATCTGTTCAAGTTTTCTGTTTTGATTATACTGAGGTTAAGGCTTGTGTATAATTAAAAATAAGGGGGGTTAGGGTTAGAGGGTGCTGAGCTGACTGACATGCAGGTATGTGGTAGCTGTTTGCCTGGCAGCTTGACTATAGACTGAACCTGCCTTCAACAGTTTTACAAGAGTTACAATAAGTTTTATAAGAGTTACAAATGATATGAAGGGTAGTATCTAGATGAAGTCCATTTCCAGTGTTGCAGTTGCCCTCTTTAGTGATCTGACATCACTGGGACTTCATCTCTGTTCATGTTCATGTTCAAGTTTATGGTATGGGGTAACATCATCCCAATAGTGAGTCTTGGTTGTGTTAATTCATGTTAAATAACCCAGTCATTTTAAGTCTTTTTTATAATGTACCCCAAAGTCACATTTTTTGGAGCATAAAACATACAAGATGATATCACCCATTACAGCATTAACTGTAAACATCAAACTAGGTTGAGAATGAGTTGGTGGGTTTTAATCACTTGAACCCCTGTCGCTCTGTTTCAATATTTTGGTCTTAACCCTGGTTGGAAATTTTAAAATTTACTAATTAATAAATATATTTGGAGCATATTGCTCTACAAAATCACATTTCACCATTGGTCTTCACAGATACCGGCTCTAAGGGTGCTCTGTGAAGCACACCTGTAAGGGCCCCATGTGCACTAACAGGCCTGAGCCCATTCTACAGGTTCAATCTAACCCCCTCAGCAGTAGACATAACATATTATCATCGAGTCAGCGCAAAGCTGCATGAAGCTCTCAGAGCACTATTCAAGTTTCACTGAAGAGAGATACTTATCTCGAACAGAGCTGTGTGCATGCACGCGCATGTGTGTGTGTGTGTGTGTGTGTAGTGTAAAAATAAGGGACGAACAAAAGGCCTGAAGGCAAGTGGAGACAGAAATTTTTGAAAACAAAGCACAAGAGTTTGAATGTAAGAGACCTTTTCCTCTTCGTCTCAATAAATCTTGGGTTTATCCACTGAATACGGGTTGCATAATATGTAATTCCGATCTTTATCACATTATATAACTTTCCCTGTTTCATACACATTAAAGTCAAAGTAAGATAATTCACGGTAAGAGTCAGAAACTTTGCCATAGCCTCAATTTCCAGTAAAAACATTTATATCCACAGAGAGCGGAAACAGAAAACTTTACATCAAGCCAGACAGCAGCTCTACAGACATATGTAGATGCCAGTTGAAAGATTAGGAATGTCTGGGGTTGCTCATTTAACTTGTGATAAACATCTAATATATTTGTTCAGTACAAAGTCCTATGACCAGTAAGGCTTCACATTAAAGTGTGACATTTTATAACCCAAAGTTAAGCATTTTTAGATGTCATTATCTTCTAGAGTATTATGTAAAAAAAAGTGTGACTCTTTTGATAGTTTCAAAAACAAAAAAAAAGGTCAGAAGTTTGGCATGTGATTCAAACAGATGTTGCAGTGATTAAGCTTGGCTATTGACTCATGTATTACAGGCACCACGGACAGAGCTTTTACAGAGGGTTTGACAATATAAGGCCCAGTAACTTGTTTTGGACCCCCAAATTATCCAGCAAAAAATACACCCATATTTTAGATGTTAGCTTGTTTCGGCAGCAAGTTACAACTTGCTTGCAACTACAACTCCATTTCAGCTATTTAGGATGCTTTGAAAAATGTTGATAAAACATAGTTTGATGGTCTGCAAATCATTTAGATCTCAGATTTGGTTGAAAATATTGCAAGGACAACATATCAAATGTTTTGACTGAAAAATATTATCAGATATGATTGTGATATGGTAAACAGCACTTGCTTTTTATATGAATTTGAAGCCAGAAACATGTTTGGAAACAGCCAAAACAGGGCAATAAAACACTAGAAGTTTTAATGCCTCGAAAACACCAGAAGAAAACGTGAGTAACATGATTAGGTATAAAAGAAGTCTTCCTGAGGGGCTGAGTCTATCAGAAGTAAAGATGGGAAGAGGTTTATAAACTAACATCAGGAATGACACAAAAATGCAGAATTAACCCTGACATGAGTAGTAAACACATCTGGGAAGGCAGCGTTAAAACTAAACAATATGTCAAGATTGCCTCTACCCAGCCAGTGCCTTTTAAGACCTTACATGTCTTATTACGTATATAAACCTCATTCCGCCTGTATTACAAAATGACATCATGGTTCTGTAGTATCAGAGTCTGGGTGCAGACTCGTCACCTGCTGAAGACATTAAGTGTATCATGGCATTAAAAATATGACCAAGGACACCCTAAACTGTCGAGCAGCTGAAATCCTCAGGCAAGAACGGGACCACATGTCAATTCAACAACTCCAGAAACCGGTCTCCTCAGTTCCAAAAAGTCTGTGGGGGCTTAAGAAGAAGTGATGTAATACAAAAGTGAAGACCCCCATCCCCCACCCCCAAACTTATTTGAAACATGCTGCCGGCTTCTACTTTGAAATAAACATACATTTTTTGTAGACAGACAGAAAGGCTTTCCAGCTTATTTTCAATTAAATAAAGGGTGCAGACTATTAAATTCTGTTAAACATTTTTGCACAACCCGATATTTAAATGGAATTGGTGTTGTAGGTTAGCCTAACTCTGGTCGTCTAGATTTCATCTGTAAATAATCAAATAAGAAAACTAACAGAAACCGTTAAGAATAAATAGTTAACATAGATATACACTGCTGAATATTATACAAAATATGCACTTTTCTTAAAAAATAAGTTGTACAATTTTGTGATTGTGATGCAGCATTCACCTGAATCAATCTCCCTGGTGGTAGACTAAAGCCTCAGCTCTCAATTTGGACTTGATCCCCAAGTCTAAACCTGAAAGGTTCCAATTTTTAAACTGCCCACTGCTCCTGTGATCATTTTTGCAAACATATAATAATCCTTCTATTTATAAAATGTTATAATTGCTCCTAAACTCTGACTTTTTCAGCTGTGCACCTCTTATCTGCATTTTTCTTGATTTTATTATAATTTCGATGCATCGTCCAAAGTAATCTTTACTTAATTGATCAACCTGAACTCAGAGGTTCACTCAATTCCAACTACTTTAAGGATCATAAAAGTCTCAATCAGATTCTGAAAAGATGAGTCAGATTTTTTTTGTCTGCATGTCCCTGTAATTATCAGCAGAAGAGACAATGCTGTCCTGTTGTCTTGGAAAAAAACATAACAGAGTGGATTAATTTATGCATGCTTGGTGCAACATAGGGAGGTGCAGGTGAACACCACAGACATTTTTATGACACTGCACATGTCACATGTGCACATGCAGAAACACACCCCTTCACCACAGGTCAGCTGTGACAGGAACACGGGCCAGAGCAGGAGTTTTCTCATACCACCATTAGCTGTGCTCATTGTGGCAGCCACTCACAAGTTATGGCCAGTGGCCTTGAATTCGTGTTTCAGACGCTGAAAACTCCAAAATGGTTTGAACTGAGGTCAGAGGTTACAAGGAACTGAGCAGTAATGAAAGATGAAACTGAAAATATACAGTTGTAAGACAAAAGAGGGGAGGAAGAGAGAGGCCTCTGTTTAAACAGGAAGTTCAACTGTTCAGACTTGACACCTCCTTTCAAAATGCAGAGGGCGTTTCAGGCTGACATTTAAAATAGCCATAAAAGTGCATCTCAAGTGCATAGAGAGTGACTGCTGGTAATCAGGTTTCACTTCCCTTATCATGTTTGATTTAAACTCTGAGAAGCTGACTCTGCGGCGGAAAAGAGAAATTAAAAGTTTGTTCTGAGAAGTGTAATCTGAGAAAAGGTAGTGATGAGAAGTGAGAGCTTGTTCAAGTATCCAAACGTTGAGGATCTTATGCCTGAGAGTTGAAGCGTTACTTTTACTGATGCAAGCGTGTTTTCAGTTCTGACTGCAAATTCAAACTACACAAAAACTGTGTCTTCCCCGGATGGAGACAAAGAACAAGTTGTAGAAGAAACCAAGAAAGAGCCAAAACTATTTCTGTGTAAAGCAAAGACAAGAGACCACATTGCTAGTTTGAATATCTTAAAAATAATCAACTAAAGAGTTTAAAAAAAGCCATCCAGACATCCCTCTCTTACAAACATGAGGATATCTTTTTAGCTCAGAGGAACAAAACGGGTTAAGTAAAGGTTGAATAAAATTGAATAGAGCGCAGTCATGAGTTTCTGCTCACAATTTAATTTACAGTTATTCTTCCCTGCACCTCTTCGACTCATTTGATTATGCTCATAGCTCCAATAAAGCCATCTGGACACCGAAGATAGCTGCTGTGTGAAATATGTAAGGGAGGCATCGTCAATGCCTTTGTTTTGTTTTCAGTAACATGAGTAGGTGATTTTGAGAGCTGGCCAAGTTCTTGCATCATTGGTTATTTGAGGTTTTATTTTCCTGGGATATTTTTCATTAATGTCCTTGTCTCTTTGCTGAATGATTTATGAACTGGGCAGCTGAGACTAAAACTGTCAATGTTTGCCAACTAAACTAAGATCTTGGTATATTATCCCCCTAAAATATCCTACAACATATATATGTATATATCCCAGGATTTGTGGAATAGGAATTATCGAGTAAATGATCACTTCTTCAAGGCAGTTTGGAAAGCTCCCCAAATGGTTCCTTTTGTGGCTCCTATGGGCCTGATGCTCCCCTTTTTTCTATCTAATGAGCCACCAGATGCTGAACTGCTGCTGCTTGTTCTTTGGTGAGTCAAATAATTTTGGAGGAAAAAACACTGAAAAAATCTCCAGCCACAGGACCCCAAAGTATTGACCCTAAAGGGGGTCCCAGCCAGTTTAGCCTCTTTGTTGAGAACCCAGGAGAGCCAAGATGAAGTCTGGGCTATTGACTGCTCCAGACGGGGTCAGCTGCACCACATGATTTCGCCAATTTCAAAACACTTTCACTTAAAACCACCAGCAGAGTAAGGGGCTGAGTCAACTCAGACTGTTTTCTTCTCTCTTCATATCACCTTTTTTTCTGTTCAATCTAAACGCAGACGTGTGTTTTTCAGACATTCAGCATCCTCGGCGCAAAAACACAGGAAGTGTTAGCTGATTTTTGTCGCTGCAGTCTCAGTTGAAACTAGTTTAACTTTGGAGCACCACTTTGCTCATGATCCCCTGTGGCTTATTGGCTTACTGTTTTACAAGTATGACAAACAAACTCACTTTAAAACTACTGAACTATCCCTTTAATGTATGGCTCAGATTCATGGTGCAGATTTTTTAAATTAACAGATGTGCAAATTAATATTCACCCTAAGTAGGAACATGTGCATCACTAATATTATTGATGCTATATGTTATTTATATCTTTACACTATTGTGTTATTTTGAGTAGTTATCCCTTCATTCTGCCTCATTCTCCAAGATATTTTATCATGAGTAGACAGACAACTTTAATTTGGCCACTTTACTTTCTGTCGTTATCTCCCCACTGCCCCACCCCCTAACATCACAGATACAGCTTTCCTGTCTTTACATAGCTGGTACAAATTTGACAATATTCACCAGCAGCACATTTATAAACAGACGCCTGTATCAGACAAATCGCATATTAATATATTCTATTAAATAGTCTGTTGTCATATCAGGAATATTAAATAAAATGTGTGTATGAGACTTATTAGTGTTGTGGCGTTTCACAATAAAGTGCTAATAAATTTCACAGCTGTATTTATTTTTATAAAAGTGGTTGTCACCTTCAATTGGATGGACAACATTGTTTGGTTGCTCACTGTACTCTATGAGGAAAAGCATTGCTAACTTTATTATTTGGTCAAATTTTGACTTTTTTCTACCCCTTTTTTCCCTCTCTGTTGTTTTTATATTTTACTTGCGCCTTTTATGCTTGTGTTAGTCATATTTTTGCACAACATGTTAGCTATACTGCTAGGAATAAGTCCCAAAACTGACAACGGTGTTTGTACTTTTGCACTTACATTACAGTACGGAATACAGAATAGATGCTGAAAATAGAGTCTGCGTTTAGCATGAGCTTATGAGATTTCCCCTCACAGCTCATTTATGAAGATAATCCTGCTAAACAAAATGTATAAATTACATGACCTTTAGCAAAGGGCTTATTTACTGCAATAATCCAAATCCATGTTAAAAACCTTCGCACTGGATTTTCATTGAGAGGTGCGAACTACTAGGCTGGCTGAGGAAAATACAGAGCACTCTTAAAAACAAATACAAAAATTCCCGTTGTTACAGAACTCTGGAAATACAACTCAACAAAATACCAGTGGTTGGAGTGACCACACTGAGCTCAAGCACCGTTAGCTAAACACAGTCTTAACATGTGGACACTCAAAGTCTAACAGACTTTCTATCAAAACTTGTATCATGTTTAGAGGGGCTGAATTTCTCTCCTCTGTGAGCCCAAAACACTACAATAAGGCTTTCAAAGAAGTTGCCTCTGCACTTACTAATTTCCTCAACCACTTCTGGGTCACACTCTCTGTATTTCTCCAACTCTGCTACCAGCTGAGTTTTCTCCTCTCTCAGAGCCTCCAGCTCCTTCAGCAGAGAGCTCCTGTCCGCCTGCACAAACGCACACAAAGCTTGGGGTGAGATTCAGTCTTAAAGATTATTCAAATCATTTACAAAGTGAACCTTATATAAAAAACGGCTAAAATAAAAATATTCTTACTGTATCTTCACGCCCCAGTTTGGCCTTTTCCACTGCTTTCTCCAGAGTCGCTTTCCGCTGCTTTGCCTCAGAGCGCTATAAAGTAGAAGAGCCTGAAAATTAGGCAGAAAAATATCCAAATAGAAATGTCCCTGTAGCTTTGATATAACACCACAAGCTGGAGAAAAGCCAGAATGAGTGGCTTTTAACTGCAATGTAAATAGCTCTTAAATATTAACATGAGTACTTAACATTGGATAAGAGGCTAATCATTTACAGACATTAATCACGACTTACAGTGTGCAGTTAAATCCTGCTTTATAGGAAGTTGTGTTGTAGTTTGAAACTACATCCAAACTTATTCCAACTTCTTCACCAGACAAATAACTGAAACCTGTACTGATTAACACAGCAGGTTAGTTATGAAAACCATGCTGCCAATCCGGCTTTTATAAAACAATGTTTATCTCACCAACATGGACCCCAGCTTTTCTTGAATTTTTTTTAGCATTTGCTTTGCTCAGATACTTGATAGCAACATGGAATAACTGCAAATTTGTAACATTACCAATGCATCGTTTAAAAGCTTAAGAAAGGAGTAAGAATTATCTTTTTAACGCAGTGAAGCACACAGTTAATGAATCTAACAGCAGTATCAGAGCAGCAGTTTAAGAGAATCCTAGTAATCTTAATCAGCACTAAAAAACAAAGTAGCAGTGCATCCCATCTGGTACATGAAAACATCATAACTTTGTGACAGATTGCTGCTCTGCAGAATTGCACTTCTATCCCAGAAATCTGGTGGCCGACATTCTCTGAGGAGTCACCACCCTCACACCATCTGTCTGCCGCGCAGCAAGAGTGAAAAGTGGGACGCAACAGACGTAGAGAAATTCATAAAAAGAGCAACAGTTTTACTCTCTGTGACAGAAAGTGTCTTCCCAAACATGAGTTTATTCACAGTTTGGGTTAACAGCTTTGTTTTTTTTTCTTGGTTGGAAACTGATCTGAAGTACAAAATTCTATAAAGAAGAGGAAACATGACCAGGTAGAAGTCTAACATATTTTGAAGCATCCTCATACTTTCTTCATCTTTTTTTCCTTTTTTAAAAATCAGCAATGTTCTCGGGTCTGTTCTTTTTATTTGCTGACTTTCTCTCTACTGGAAATCAGAGTGGGCAACATTTTCTAACAAATGACAACCTGTGGTGACATTTTCTTGTAGGAATAAAAGAGCAAAACAGCCACACAGTGTGTCGTCTATTCACCTCCTTTATCAAAAGAAAAGAAGAAACAGTGAAAAGCGTTAAAAACACTGACAAAAGAATAGCTGAACTTTTTCAGATCGTCAAGCCAGATCACTTTAGTGGTCCAAAATATGTAACAAGCTCAATATGTCAGCTAGTGGTGCAACAGATCAAAAAACTCACGGCTCTAAATGTTTCTCGGTTCAGAGTCACGGTTTGGATCATTTTTCGGATCAGCAAAAAAAAAAAATAATAATAATAATAATAATAATTGAGACAAGACAAATAAACATAAGTTTGTCTTTCATTTATTAATATTTGCTAAATTAAAATATATAAAATCAACTTGAAGTGCACAAGGCATAATTAATTCTTTTTAACATAATTAATGAGAAGTAAGTGCGCGATGGGATGTCGTAACGTGGCTAAAGCTCTTTCAGGATGTGTTTAAAGCCCTCGTTTTGCACATCCAAATATGGCCTCATGTCTGCAGCTATAAACACACTGATAGCCTTTGTGATGGCTTTACTTCAGTCAGATTGTGCAGCAAGGGGCTGCTTAAAAGCCGCGGTGATGAGCGGTTGTTGAGCAGCCTTTGTTTTCACTCCTGTCAGTGAAACAGCGGGGCGATGTTGCTTCAAATGCGTGGCCATGCTTGATGTGTTTCCACTGTCATTTGGCTTTCTTGTGCCACAGTGCCGACACACCGTCATGGTTTCATCCACTAACCTCTTTCCTTCATCCTTATATTTGACAGGGAAGCCAAAATGCTCCCATACAGGTGATCTAAACGACAGGGGGCGTTCAAGCTCCTCCATTCCTCCGCTCGCCATGACCACGCTGCTCTTAACAAGTGTGTGTGCTGAATGTGAGACAATTTTTTTTTTCATAAATCAATCTGTGTATCATGTATGCAGAACTGAAGATATTGATCAATGATGATCCGTTGCAGCACTAATGTCAGCGCTGGCTGAGGTGGTTTTCTGCCCTCATTACTGTCAAGTCAATGTATCACACCTTCATGACCACTTACTGAAACTTTACAGCCATCACTCCTGCTTCTCTACGATTATACTTTAACTCTTCATTAGATTTTGTGTTTTGGTTTATTTTCTATATCTTTAGGAAGTGGTTTCATGTTGGCTTCGCCACACCCACGCTTTTGTAGCAACTGTTTTGAATTTTTGTAGTGAAGAAATGATGAAAACTATTTATGTTACTTTGCTGACTAGATCTGATCAAGTTTACCTGTTTTTGCAGCTCCTCCAGTTTGTTATTGCGAGCATTCAGGGCCTTGCTGGGAAAAGCCCAGTAGTAGTTAGACGTCCCCACTCTCTCACAGTCTACCATGTTGTCATCCACCAGGCTCTGCAGCACTTCCTTCACAGTCATGGGAGCTGCGAGCAGCACAGAGAAGAGAAAAACACACACTCACACACCTTCCTCATAAGAAGGTGCACAATCCTCCACTTTCTATCATTACAGGACCTTCCCAGCAGAGATGGTGCTATTTGTGGATCATTGATTTGATTTGAAGAGGACTGGTTCATAGTGGAGGTATCACTGTTCCACAGTCAAAACACTTTCAACACTATAAGAAGTATCTGGCTGTATTGGGGATAGATAGGTAGCTGGTATAGTAATTTAGAATCCACAAGTCAGCATTGGCTCTCATTTTTACTGCTGGCAAGGCTTACCGCTCAAATGTTCACAAAAGTAAACCCACACATCTGCAGCCTATCTGCCCGGTTGTATTCTTATCTAAAGGAGCATTGAGAGCGTTGCATGAGAGGATGTAATAAAGCAGGAACTCCATTTTGAACAGTGTCAGCGGTGAAACGCGATACTACTCCCACACGTTAGCTCAGCCTGCTCATCTGTTGAGCTGTGCTGAGCCCTGAGAGGATGTTAAACAGCAGCAGAAATAAAAACGAGGATGGTGAATGATAAAATTTGGATGGGTGAGCTAAAACTCTGCCAGTGTGTCACTTCTGAACTGTCTCTTTGAGCTCTACATCGCTTAAAAAAAGCTTTCTGGCTTCAAACTATTCTGTCTTATAACAGTCACCAGTATGTTATTGCGTCTTCTGCTTTTTTTTTCAGTTCAACTTAGATCACTCCCTTGGCCCCTTTACAGAAACATTTGCCCATAACACAGAACTCTTGTTACCCCCTCCCCCATCGCTCAATAACTACATAGTGCCTGGTAAGAGGGTCTAAAACATGTGCTTTTAATCAGAGAAACACGATCCAGTTCCTCCAGATTAATGTTATGTCAACTTTAAAACCGAGAAATCCCTCCTTAGTTCACACAACAGTTTTGTTCCTCTGCAGGGCCTGGCACCTAGAATCAAAGTTTATGTTTGTATAAACCCCCCCCTCCATACTTGTGTCATCAGTCTCTGTGTTTGCATTAAGATAATGTGTTTTATTTGAAAACCAAAAGCTTTCAGCAGCTTTCTTGGCTGTGAGATTGCTGCCATAGATAGGTCTGGTTTTGCTTATGCAGACTAAATACTGTTGAGATGGCTGCTGCAGCTTAGCTAGTCCTAGTTGCCATGGTAATTTTGCAACCATGTCAGTACAATGTTTTAAAGAATGCATGAGTGAGCAATGTATACTGATGATGACTTTATGTTTTAACAAATTTATTTAATTAGGACAGGAGTCTTACATTCATTTTGCCAAAAATACACCTGCAGATACTTTCTTATTTAACGTTATTGTTTGCTTGGGATGTAGATTTAACGCTCCCAGGAGGCACTATCAGTTTGTGTCAAATCTGGCGCCCCCTGTGGACAAATCGGTCTTTGCTTATCTTGTTCTCCTCATGCTTTAGTACAGTGGTTCTCAAGTCCAGTCCTCGGGGCCCACTGTCCTGCATGTTTTGGATGTTTCCCTGCTCCAACACACCTGATTCAAATGATCAGCTCGTTATAGAGCTCTGTAATGGCTTAATAACGAGCTGATCATTTGAATCAGGTGTGTTGGAGCAGGGAAACATCCAGAACCTGCAAGACAGTGGGTGTTAGAGGACTGGACTTGAGAACCACTGCTTTAGTAGTTCCATCCGTCAAAACATGTCATCCTGCTGACTTGACAGTTAAGCGTGTTAATTAATGTTACCACTCAATGTGAATATATATGCATATCTATTTGAATATATTACATAGTGTCAAAAAACTTGACAAAAGCAAAGTCTCCTGATGTACATCATAAACTCTACTCCCAGTTTGGAGAAAGTACGTTTCAGGGAAGAGAGATGTCAACTAGGAAAAACAGGGTCACTACAAAAACTCTTTACTAACTATTTCTGTATCAAAGTTCCTTCATATACATTAAGCACTGTGCTTGTGTGTCTTTTAATTATCTATATATCTTTGTCTAACTGATTACACTTATAGGCAAAAGTACTCATTTGGTCTCATATGAAAAAAGAAGAAGGTTTCAAGAGTGTAAATCAGAGTAAAACATCACAAAATGACGAGAACAGGGGAGTTCTTTACTAGTTTGACACCAGATTCCCTGGAAGGGATCATGGCTTAAAAATTGTGTAAAAAATTCAGGAGTGTTATGCAAAGTGAGGATGGTCTAATGCAAAGCTCCATATTATCCAACGCTAATGGCTCTTTGAGTAAGTCTGTTACTCCATCCCTGCTGCATCAGTAAAATATCTGGGGATGGGGGAGGAGCACAGAGCAAAAGAACAGCTGCAGTTGTAACACTGCTGGATGCTGAATCAACACATATGGTTTTATTTTCTTAGAGCGGGTCAATCTGATGCAATGCAATCTTTTTTTCATTTTCATTGACTATCCAACTTGTGTTTCATGTGATGCATCAAAACATGAAAACTGAAATAATATGGTCTATTAAAATAATCAAACGTAAAATGTCTTCAAGTCAAATTGTGAATGTTCTTCCCAAGACCTAGAATCAAGTTAGGGTGTTTTTTTGAGCAGGATGCAAACCTGATCAGCTCCTGTGCCCATGGGTGAATAGACTATTTAGCTCTTTTAGTGTTAAAGATATTTACCTACAAAAACTTGGGATCATTACTCACCAATGCCTTTTGTCTTAGGTGCAATCTTCTCAATGTCTTTCAGCTGAAACACGTCTTTCTACAAAGAAATTAAGAGAACCTTTTTTTATGAATCAAGTCCGTGTTTTTTTCAAGATATGTATTTATCAAACACCGAGGCTCCAAAGATTTTGGTTGCATGCGTTCTGATTTGGTTGTAGAAATATGTGTAACTTCCTTCCTAAATCACCTTAAAAGTTCTGATTGATTGTAATAAACTCTTCAAAAAGGCCCAGAACAGTTCTTAAATTCTCACTTTGAACACTGTCTAAACTAATTGTGCAGGGGCCAGACCAGCTATTAAAAGCATTCATGTGTTTTCCTGTGCAGATGTGTATTTGTATCAAAGACAGAGAAAACCACAAAATGATGCATCACTTCTGCGATGTTACGTCTTAACCGCGAGTGTTCAAAATTAGAAAAGAAAACTTCTCAGAAGGAGAACACAAGTGTCGTCTTTAAATGTATATATAAGTTATAGCTTACTAGTTTATTCCTGTGTACATCTACAAAAAGACTGCAATTTTAATCACTGTAGGCAACAAAGGATTTGAGGCTGTGTAAAAGACAATAAAACATGTAAAAGCTTGCCGCTAAACCTTCTAAAGGTATGTTTACTACTAGGGGTGGGAATCACCAGTTGCCCCATGATACGATGTTATCACGATACTTGGAACACGATACAATATTATTGCTTTTTAAAAACATTTAGTAATACAGTGAGTATTGCGATACAATATATTGCGATTTATATAATTTAAAAAAAAAAAAGTTTCGCGAATTTAGCATTTGTCTTTCCAATGTGTGTCTTATTTAAGCTGTAATTTATTTTCATGTAGCACTTCTTGCAAACCTTATATATATATATATATTTGTTGTACTAACTTTCTCCTTTCTCTATGATGTCACCTCTGCCAACCTCACAGGACAAACCGTAGATTTTATTTTTTCCATTATCATAGATTTGACTTCATATTAGCAATTAATTTGAAAAATCAATACATGGTAAATGAGACGATATGATAAACCACCAGACAAAATATTGCGATACTGTGCTGTATCATATACTTTTCTCCCACCCCTCTTTACCACCCCATGGTAATGAAAACCATTTAGTCGAAAAACTCACAGAGTCAAAGAAAATCTCCATCATGCGAGTCCTCTTTTCCTCAAAACTCAGTCCTTTCTTCTTTGACTGTAACAGATGGTTCAGTATTAAAGATGGCATGGTTAATTCAGTCATAGAAGAAAAATAGTGCTTAGTGTTGCTGACAATAAAACAGTATTCAGAGTAACAAAGTACAAAAACTCATATGAGATAAGTGACACTAAACAGTACATTTCAACCATCTGCAGTATCTTTGAATGTGAACGTAAACTGACGGCTTTCACTGCTGTCTGTGGAAGATAAACTCATCATCACTCTCTTCTCATACTCAGTTGTTGTAATGCAGCTTCCGGCCACTAGAGGCAGCACTGGCCAACACTCGCCTCAGCATGACAGACATTTAGCTGGGAGCTCAATGGTTTTCCAAAGGCTAATAATAACTAACCACAACTAAACAACTATGTCGAGATTTTGTCTGTCTCAACACGCCTGAAGGTCTGTGTCTCTCCTTAAACTAAAACAAGAGTCTATATCTCTTTCGGTGGGTTGCACCATCTGTCTGTGCTTTATTAGTGAACGACTCCTTATCACTATTTCTACATAGCAAACGTTGAAGCAGCACTACGGGGGCAAAAGGTAAAACAACAGTCCGATGAAAAGCTGTTAATAATGCAAACAACTTGAAGAAACTCTCTGTTTAGTTTCTAGATGTTGCTACAAAATGGTAGCGAGAAAAAAAAAATCACGTTTGTGTCGAGCGACTCTGTTTCTGCTAACATGTAAAAGCGTTTGAAACGAATCGACTGCAACTAAATGTAGATTTTTACTTACCATTTTACAACGATGTCTGAACCAGCGAAATAAACGTACAGTAAGATAATTGGATGTTTTCCTCGTAATAAACTGTTATTAAAGCGGTTACTGTAGTCCAACAATAACACAGGAGGACTAAATCTCCCGCGGTTGACTGTCACGGGGTGTCTGATGCCTTCACTGCTCCTCGTAAACGCAAAATTTGGTCCCTGTACTGAAGCTGTTCAATAAGATCGAGAGAAGGTTCTCTCCAAATTTTGACCCACATAATATGTATAACACGTACGAAATGTTTTTTACGGTTAAAATAAAAGCCTTTGCGGGATAAAATATATACCTGGCAACGTTTATTCGCTCTTTAGCTGTAGTCAAAATAATTTCCGACTGCACTAGAAGGCAATGTCGTTTTTACTGACGTGGGTGGGTAGATTTCTTACGCCCTCTGCTGGCTGATATGATACAATTTCAAGTAGGACCATAGATAGATATTCTATAGATAACTAAATATCCACCAGTTTAAAAATGAAATGAAAATATATTTTAAAACAATAACTGGATCTAAAAATAAGAAAGCAATTCAAACTGTGTCGTTGGATTGCTTTTGTCTTGGACAAAACTTTAATAAAACATAAAATTACCTCTTTGGTGTACTGAGTGGAAAGTAACTAAAACTTGCATAAAACTTGCAGCTGCTACATTAAAGTATTGACATGAACCCTACACTGTAAAAACATTTCCAGTTCTATACTCCAGACTATCAACCACCCAGGTTGCCCAACTGAAGTTTTTTACAAAGCCACCCCTCTGATAAGCTAGAGCTGGTTCTGTGCCACTGCCTTCAAATTAGAGTGGCAAGAAGACACCTAACTCTGAAGATCTCAAGATGCTGCTAGAGGTGGATCTTTGTTAACCCCAGTGTTGTGTGTGCTGGTGCCTATTGGCATACAAGAGATGCTCTTTCATATTTTCCCCCAGCCTCTCAAATTCCTCAGTATACCATTGATTAGAAATGTATTTAAAAATTTATATTTGGACTCTCCCCTGAATTGATGGCTTGATCATGAGTGCGAGTAGCTTTCATGCAATACCATACATGGTGATTGATAGAATAACTCAGGTCTACATTCAAATCTATGTCACCACAAGATTCAATTTTATACTATTTTATTCTATACTATTTTGTGTCCCCACATCAGTCTTTGTAGCAAAGTAAATTATGCATGTACATTATAATATACAGTACAAAAAAACAAATGAATTTTCTTTTTTATGGGCACTTTATTTCCATTTGGCATTACAGGTAAAAACAAGACCATGAAAAACAAATAATTTAACAGAGGTGTGTAGAAAATGTGTGACCAAATGCAGGAAAACAAGTAATCAAAACTGTGCTTAAGGACAAATAAGTTTGGACTAAGGCTCTCTACAGTGCATTTTTAAAACACGTCTTAATCACTACTGAACTACGTCTGCATTATTGAAGTTGACGTTTTAAACTAAATCTCATTAGTTCTACAGAGGAAATAAGAGCACATGGAAATGAGTGGTGGTGATGAAAGTTCTGCAGCCTGAGTTGTATGTTGTTCCATTAAAAGTATTGCAGCTTTTTACTGAAATTCACGGATATTTACACTGTGATCACAGCGGATTCTAAATCCTAATGTTAAGAGACTTCATACACAGTACACTCAAACACACAACTGAGTACACAAACACATGCCCCAACACACTGCAGATTGTAAATCAACGTATCAAATGGCTTCTGTTTGGTACCTTAACAATCACAACATACACAATCACTTTATGTGATTTTTGTAAAACCAAATTCAGCAGAAGGTATCAGAGTTTTATTATTAATCACCTGTGTGTTACTTTAGAGTGATGACATGTAACATCCACTAGATATTTTCACAGAGAAGTTGAGGTTTTACTCAAACAGTGCTTCGATTGTAAGTTTCTTTTGGTGCTGTTGTTACTTATCAGCTTAAAGTAGATTTCTATAAGTGCACACTAACTTTTCCGGTGTTTATAAGTAAGAACAGCATGCACAAAGATGCATAATCATGCTTTAAAATACCCTGCTATCTACAGTGTTTTTATGTAATGTGAGGACTTTTAAGAGTATTGAACAGGTAGCTGTAGTTACTGGAATTAGAAATTGATTTCCTTTGTTGTTCAGGTGACTGCACGTGTTTTTACTGTAATACCAGTCTGATATAACTCAGTGTTGAACCAGGAACAAGTGCAACTGTGTTATTTTCCAGTCTTACCACCATCTCATAACACGTCAAACATATGTACAATTTTAGAAGTTAGATCTACAAAAAACTGTGAAGACATTGAAGTAGGTGATGAGTGTCTCCTATAAAGCACCAATCAGCATTAGTCGCCTGAAAGTATCAGAGATCCTCCTGTTTCATTCAAACCACAGTGACTCCTCTTCTGTTTTTTTTGCTCAGTGTTGGATGTGATGCCAGAGACACACAAGTGGAGAACAGTCAAACAGATGGCACAATGACGACAAGGAAGAATGAGTGAGTGGATGAGTGCAAAACTGCCGGTCCCTCAACGCTACCAAGTCCATGTGAGTAAATATCTACACTGTACACTGAAGGTGGAGGGAGGCTACTGCAGGTAGCGGTACACTTTGAAGCAGTGGTTGCCAGAATCTGCGACCACAACATGTCCATCAGAGGTGAGGGCCAGACCCTGTGGGCCATAGAGTGGGTCTGCTGAGGTGTTGATGTAGGACAGGAAAGAACCGCTGCCATCAAACACCTGAGGGAGAGAGAAATACAAAAGCAGAGATGTGTTAATGTTCTGGAAACAAACGGGAGATGTTTAATTAGTATACTTAAAAATCAGATCATGTCTGTTTGTACAATTTCTGCATAAAAAATAAACATCAAATGATAATTTTTGCTTTCAAAAGACCGCAGGATGAGAAACACCAGCAGTAGTAAACAAGGTCTCTCTCTCTGAAAAAAAAGGATTGTCTGGATGGCAGTCTATGTTGCTCCAAAACCTTTATATCTGCTCAGCATTGATGTGTAAGCTACCCATGTGACCCCCATACCATTGTGGATTCTGGCCGTAAACCTGAAAACAAAATGTGTATTCCTTCCCCTCTTTAGAGTGGAAGACGCTGCGTTCATGATTTCCAAACAAAATGTTAAATTTTGATTTGTCAGACCATAGGGGCATTTTCTGCTTTGCTTTGCTTCAGTTCACCGTGTTTTTGTATGGTGTCTTCTTTGCATAGTACTGTTTTTATTGCATTTATGGATGCAACCAAAACTGTGTTCACAGAAAGCAGTCTGTGGATATAATTTCTTTGTGCCCTGCAGTGATTTTTATTATTGGGTCATGTCTTTTTTCATTTTGTGTTTTAATTAGCCATAATATATTACAGAGTATGTATGAAATTTATTCTACAAAGTGTAAAACTTTGCCACTAAGTCAAACACTGGAACCCAAGCGGGTCAAAATCTGCTTTATCTTTCTATCATAGGTCTGTCATACTGACCTGTATCCTGCTGTTGCCCCAGTCTGCCACAATGATGTTCCCATTGACATCCACAGCCACTCCTGTGGGGGCATTGAACTGCCCGTTTCCCTCACCATTTGAACCAAACTTCAGTAGGAACTCTCCTTCTGTGTTGAACACCTACAGTTTCAAAATAGCATGTGCATATTAAAATAAAACTTAAAAGTAAAACAACAATATTCAATTTAAGTGGAACTCCCTTTTGCATTAAACATATCTGGACCAATCCCAATCCTCTAAGTGAATGACTCTGTACATACTTGTCATGCACTCTTCCTGCTCAGACTCTGTACTCACCTTGACTGAGTGGTTGTGGAAGTCTGTCACTATGATCTCATTGTTGTTGTTGACAGCAGCAAAGTGAGGGCCTGCATAAATTATGGAGACAACAAAGACTCAGATCAACGTTAATGTCTTCTTACCTCATTATAACACAACTTCATGAAGGTTGCTTTTAAGAAAACATGCTAGAAAATGCACAAACAAAAGCATACAATGACACAAGAAACCCCCCAAATCAAGACTGAAGTATAAAATATCCAAACCTTAACATGTGGCACAACATGCTGTATGTTGGGACAGCAAAGACCACTTAATTCATTAAGAATTAAATGAGCATTGAGGGATGCTGTAAATGGTTTTAGGGGGAAAAAAACTGTTTTTTGTCAAACTGAAAAACCTCTGAGGTCAAAGGATGATGGGATCCTGGTTTGGCATTCGTCATCATTCCACATGCAGGTGAGATCTGGTCGGAGAGAGAGAGACTGTACGGGGCAGTGCACATATTACCATTGAGTGTACCTGCAAACTGCCTGTCGCCGTTGCCACGGTTACCAAACTTGGTGACCAGCTTGCCATTGAGTTGAAAGATAAAGACACAGCAGGCTTTGTTGTCGACCACGATGATGTGTCCGTTTCTGTCCACTGACACGCCTTTGGGACCCATCAACTTCCCTGAGCCGATTTTATTCTGCAAAATCAAGAATTCATGTCTTATTTCAGCGGTTCAGACACCTAATCATTATACATGATTGTTAACAAAGACAGCTGGCTTACATGACTACAATATCGGTAAAATGCCAAACATTACAGCTATAATCAAGGATAAAATATGTAGAACAGACTCCCATATTTCAAAACTGTATATATGGCTGCACCTTACATGTTTATCGATGTCAGCAGTCATTACCTCATAGTTAGAGATCAGGCTTTATCTCACCTTAAATTTGCCTTCACCCGAGAAGATGCTGACCCATTTGTTGTCGTAGTCAGCAATGATGATGTCACCATTGGGGTGAACGGCCACACCGGTCGGGCGCTGCAGCTGACCTGGGGTCCTGCCTCGGACCCCAAACCGGCTCTTGAACAGACCATCATTAGAAAAAACCTGAAGCAAAAAAACATCAAAAATCAATGTAAAAGATAAGTTTACTCACACTGGAGAGATGGCTGGGTAGAGAATGTTAACAGTGACCTATGGTGCTGCACCAATGATTTATGGTGACCTCTGCTATTTCGGTTGTATTGTGAGAGCACTGGAGGTCATTTATACCTGGACACACTGGTTGTTGCTGTCAGCTATCAGCACCTTTCCCAAAGAGGAGGCGGCCACTCCCTGTAGGTTTGTGAACTCCCCTTTGTTTCTACCTTTAGTACCTGGAAAACATTGAGATCAGTAGATTGACGATTTAGACCCTGTATTTAAAAGATGGATGTATTTTGCTTGAATATAAAATGGCAATAATGATAGAAAAACAGACTGTAGCTCAACAAAAGCCCCGTAAAAACATCTAGTCATAAAAAGCTTTAGAGCATAATTGCAGATCCTGTTTCAAGTATTCAGGGTTACGTTTCAAACAGAACAAGGAGATGTTTGAAAAACATCAGGGATGAATTAATTATGACAAATCAACTAGATGTTAGCATCAAAGCTAAGTGGAAATGAACATAAACAATTTTTATTTTACTAGTTCCACATATAACACAATGTATTTATACCATAGACTGTATATAAGATGGACGCCGTGGTTCCGCCTTCCGCCTGTATACGGATTTGAAGCCAAAAAGCTCTCGGTAATTCCGGGTTTTTCTCCGCTTCCTTGAAACCAGAGCTGTGCAGTAGCGTTGTGCGCATTCGGCCGCGCAGTCGCCGAGAGTCCCTGTGATGACGCTCGGGTCAAACAGCGTATTCCCCCGGAAGAGCTACGCAATCCCTGAACGCCCATAGGCTGTACCAGGTGTCAATCATAGAAAACATGAACCCCCTAATAACTTTTAAAAACGGAGCTGTACAGAAAAAAAAGGACTTGGGCACAAACCAGTCTTACTGTGACTACATGTCAACATCACAAGCAGGGGGGAGAAAAATTTATGTTCTGTGTAATAAATTTCTAAAGTTTGTCCACAGTCCCATAAGTTTTGCTGGCGGAGGCGGGATTTATGACCTGTACTGCAGCCCACCATCAGAGGGTGCTGTTCTCGGAGTGGCTTCACCCAGCGAGGAGGCAGACTCTGTCCATCTTATATACAGTCTATGATTTATACCAACATAAAAATCTTATTACCAACAAACAAAGACATATGATCTTAACTATTTTTCCCTTTGAGGAAAAGAGTCAGAGTATTCACGCAAAGAGATAAATAGAAAATTTGATATTATAAAATTTCAGCAGCCGACAAATCTTATCAGAGATATTTCAAAAGATCCTGATATGATGCAGCTTTTTTCACTGATTCCAGAAAATTTTAAGAGGTTTGATATCCACCCTTTCTGCACAGTCAGGGTCTGTTTTCTCACCGATTCTGAAGATTAGGTCGTCCTCGATGGGGTTCTCTTTCCTCCTCCCGGTGCTGTACATACTGGCTGGCCTCTTGATGGCCTTCTGCTTGATGTGACCACTCCCTGGAGACTTCAGCCTCTTCTTCATGCCATCACAAGTTGGCGACACATCTATAGACTTGGTGGCTTTTATTTTGAAGGGGCTTCCTTTAATGTGTTGGTCGTATAACTGCAGAGATAAGTTAAAAGTCCCCTCTTTAGGAGCTGTGAACAGATACTCATAGGTCCCGTTCTTGTTGTCTAGGATCTCTCCTTCACCTTTGCTGCCGTCAGGTGAGGAGATTTCAGCCCTGATGACTGCGTTTCCCATCTTGCAAAGCTCTCTGTCTTTGTCCTTGGTTGTTATTGTGATGGAGGTGGGAACACCCACCACACAGTGCCGGAGCCCTTCACCTGTAGCTACAGTCTCAGAGGCCACAGCGTTAGTGGTTACAATAGTTCCCAGGTTATGGATGGACTTCTTGAGTCCCTCCGTCTCCACGATGAAGTCCAGCTGGTTGTTCTCTCTGGGCTGCAGAGGAAGCTCCTGGCTGGCAAGCTCAATGAGACGCTCACTCATCTGTTTCTTCACCAGAAGCACCTCGGCCTCTGTGCCATGGCTCAGTGCCTGCTCTGTGAAGTTACAGCTGCTGTTGATTCCATCCTGACCCTGCAGCAGGGTGTCCAGTTGGGCCTGGAGCACCTAAAAACATAATCAGCAGGGGGCAGCAGAGTTACTTTGTGGTAAGACAGACCACTAGCTCCTGTTCTTTCTGAGCTTGAGACCACAGAGTGGAAGTAACAAGTGACTCAATATAACTTTTAATTAACCTAGAAACAGGCAAAAAGGTAGAGCTAATAATGCTTTCTTTTTGTAGGCGCCTTTCCAAGCACTCAAGGTTGCTTTACAAGAGAGGGTTAAAACAAGACAAATAAATCAGTCCACACAATATATGTTAAAACAATGAATATAGGTCTACTGAAAGAAATCAGTCAGACTGAATATGTCAGTTTGAAAAGATGAGTTTTAAGGCAGGGTTTGAAAATAGAGAGAGAGTTAATGTGACAGATGTCTGCTGGGAGGGAGTTCTAAAGTCAGGAAGCCAATGGTGGTCAAACAAGCAGGTGGAAAGAAAGTACAAGAGTACAAAGCAGCAAGGTTATGGATGGTTTTGAAGGTCAGAAGCTGATTCTTGAAATCAATTCAGTTGCTGACCTGAGGTCCGTTTCACGTAGGTGGTTCAACAAACTCTGAGTTAAATCCTTAACTCTGAGTTGATCTACTCTGAGTTAGGAAACTCTGAGTTTCCGGTTTCACAACACCTGATTTGAGACGGTTTTAACAACTCCGAGTAGTTTGACCTGGAGTTAAGCACGTGCACGCCAGACATAAACAGCCAGCATCTGTGGAGCGCAGATTCAATGATCAACCAATGGAAACAGGGAGAAGGAGGGGGCAGCAGCAAGCCAACAGCGAATTACAGCACGTTTTTAAAGAAAGTGCAATACAGCAGCAGCTGCAGAGGAGAGGGAGAGGGCTTGGGAGGAAATCGCTGCTCGCGTCAATGCGTAACTTTAAATCTAGTCTCGTGCAATCACAATGACAGACTGTTGCAGGGAAACTGCTTGAATCATTTTGATCATGTTTTACATTGTCAAGTAAGTATTAAGTGGCAGTTTCATCCCTTAGAAAATGCTCTTTTCACACTCAAAAATGAATTTTACTCTCTTATTATGTTCCGTTAAATGATTAGGAATATTAAACTAACTCTCAGTATGTATATGTACATATATTAAACTAACACACACTACACTCAATATTAGACTTTTACTCAGTAAACAGAAAGAGGGCAGATGCCAGAAAAACGGGTGGTGGTCCAGCAGCCCCACCTTTAACGGAGGCAGAGGAGCTGCCCCCCCTCGACGATCGAAACCCCCACCTCGTGGCAGCGATCGTCGGACTGGTGTGCGTGTGTGTGTGTGTGTGTGTGTGTGTGTGTGTGTGTGTGTCTGTGGGGGGGGGCAGCTCCTCTGCCTCCGTTAAAGGTGGGGCTGCTGGACCACCACCCGTTTTTGTGTTAGTTTAATATTCTTAATCATTTAACGGAACATAATAAGAGAGTAAAATTCAGTTTTGAGTGTGAAAAGAGCATTTTTAAGGGATCAAACTGCCACTTAATACTTACTTGACAATGTAAAACATGATCAAAATGAGAAAATGCCGATGTCTCACCTGAAACTCTGGGTTTACTGAGTTAAACCTGCTCCCGAGCAGGTTAGGTTCACGGAGTCTGTTACTGTGGTAACTGACCGCGAGGTTGAGTTACCTCTCTTTGTGAAACAGGTTAGAGTTACCCCTCTCTCCCTGGTTTAACTAACCCTCCTTTGTGAAACGGAAAACTCAGAGTTTCCCTGATTTCAGGGTTAACAAACTCGGAGTTTCCACTAAACCTGCTACGTGAAACGGACCCCAGGAGCCAGTGTTGATGAGGTTAGGTGCTGTTCTGAGCATTGTTTGTGGCTATAGAGTGGTGTTTTGGTTGAGGTTTGTTTATGGCTCCTCAGAGTGTTGTGTATTGCTATCGTGCGGTCGTTACTAAAGTTGGTATAACTAGAGAAGCTAGAGGTCAGCAACATTCATCTCTTGACAGGGTGTCTAACTCGGTGTTACAGTGTGATTGACCCTAACTTTATGCCAGAATATCCCTTTAAGGTTTCATTATAAGTTATAACCAGGAAACGATGCAGAGAGAACCTGACTACTTTAAAAAAAATGGTTCAGTATTGTAGATTATTATAATTTACAAAGAAATGAACTGGACATAGACGCCACAGAGACACCACTGAATCTCTCTGATAAGGACAGCAGTGTTTAAACTTGTTTGGAAAAACACTTAACTCTGTACAGTAAGTGTACATTTAGGATGTTTGGTTTGGCAGTTGTTATATTCTGCTGCAGTATGTGTATTTTCAGAAGTTTGAGTAAATTGCTGTAAAAAAAAGGAGCTTTTCCTTAATATGGGACCAAATATTATGATTCCTCAGCTTTGGCAGCCAGTCTTAAGTAGATACATTCAGAAGTTACATTTTTGCAAGTCTACGGTGACTTCATTTTTAACACAGGAAGTTGCTGCTTGGTTAGCCAAAAAAAAAAGAAGATTTCTACTTACTACAACTCACAGAGGATAAGGACGCTGAGTTAAACATGGCCAACACTGGTAGCAGAAATTTTTCAGTCTTTTTCTTTCATTCAACCACATGTACTTATCAAGCCCCCTGGGGGAACCCAAACCACAATCGGGAAATCAGTGAGCGAGACTGTTGGTCCACTTTAAAAGCCCACACATTAATCCTAACAGGCTTCACTGTTGTGTAAGAGGCATGTAGGAGTTTTACATCAGACCGTCAGTGTGAAATTGAAGCATTGGGCATGACATGAAAAATTTGAGCTTTGCGATAGAAGAGCAGCAAGGTTTAAATGATCAAAAACACATTAATGTGAACTGTTTTATATGACGATAAGGGTTTTACTCAGCTGCAGGTTCTGGGATTTGTTTATAACCAAAAAAGATAGTTTGGTAAATTGACCACCAAGTCTCTTAGTAAGAACTCCACTATTAAAAAACCCTGCTGCTGACATGATCATCTATAAATCCCTACACAATAACGTATCCACGGACAGCACATTGTACTTACAATTATTCAACAAAGCCATTGTTAAGTGATTATTTCTAACAATGAATAATCCTGAGTCAGTTATTAATGTAATGTAGATTAAGACAGTGGGAATTGTCACCATTTTGGCTCATAATAATGTAACAAAAGTCACAGTTTAGATCATTACAATTTCTGACTGTGATCCTGACTGTGTCCTTTGTCACTAAACTTTTCAACATTTCTCCTTCTCACTGAGATATGACTTCACCCTGTAGACAGAACAAGGACAGACTCACCTCAATCTGGTCATCACACTCCTCCTCTTCAACAACAGCAACAACAGAGGCCATTTATCCATTTAACTCCCACTAGAGTCAAACATTTCCTCTCACCAACTTCAGCTATCTCCTTCACTCTGCACTTCCTCACTCACACGCTGAGGTCTCTGTCCAAACAGACATCTAGTTTTAGGGTAAACAGTGTGTTTACAGCATGACGAGCAGAGCAACTCTGTGTTCCCTCTCTGCTCATGACACACCCAAATCACCAAAACAGTACACTCAGAGCACTGGCTCCATCTAGCTACGAGCAACAACACAGCTGAATCCTCATGTCTGACTTTCCCTCGGGTTCAGCATTTTGACCGCACTTCATCCACTCAGTTGTTAATCAGTAGTGACCCATGTGACGCAGCTCCCTGAGGGGGCGGTGGTTTGCTCATAACCAGACCGTATGATTGGATGTCTGGGTTTGGGTGGTGCTTTATTCCCCAGCCCCCCCCCAATCTCCCTGTTTATCATCTATCGGACCATCTGGGCTCTCTGACACATAGATCAGTGAAAATGGCCTGTGACTGCAATCAGGTCATTACTGTGATCATTTTTAAAAGCTTTTTCTGCATTATCTATTTTATCAAACACATCACAAATTGAACTTACAGCAATCGAATGCCAATAAAGCCAATGTTAAGCAAATATAATGAATAAACAAAAGTAAAATCACAATGTAATGATCCTTGTGAGAAGTAAGTTATTAACTTAAAATCTTTTTATTGAAGGTCTTTCTCAGCCCACATTCAGTTCCTTTACAGCCCAGTGGGGGGCAGCAATGCAGTAATGTCGGTACAGCCACTTCAAGAGGTAGATGATGTACTTTAATCTTGGTCAAAAACTGTAAAAACAAGTGACACAACACCTTTTTTGCTTACAGTTTGGACTGCAAACATGTCATGCAACTTCAACTGCATATACTCAAAATTAAATAAACAATGAAATTGTAACTGCAGTTCTGCAATTGTCCACTTGAGGCTGGCTCCAAAAGACGGAAACCCTCAATGGAGTCAGTTTTTACAGCAGAAAACATGTTTTATAAACTGGTACAAATAAAAACAGTTTTTAATTTTATATGTCTTTTTGAGACAACTTAGATAACTCCTAATTTATTTTGATTAAGTTGAAGAGTTATGTATTATTACGAAGTGTTGCCGTTTGTTTGACTGACAGGTGGATGTATTGTAGCTGCCAGCAGTAAGGCAGTAGTTGGATTCAACATTTCCAACTTGGTGACCTACATCTTTAGGCTTTAAAAAGCCTCTTCAAAAATTGTTGGTGGAGGGTGACATCCCAACACCAACATTGCAAGCCTAGCACTTAAACTTGCCTCTGCATGTGTTTTGGAGTAAACCGAGCAACATTTCTCATGCTATGCGAGTTTACCTTCTGTTTAAGGCCGTAGTTGACCTCCAGCTCCATCAGTAAGACGCTTTTGCGAACGTTCAGAGTCTTCTGCAGCTCATCAAATGTTGTGTGTATGTCATCCTCTATGGAGCTCTTTTGATTGGTCAGCTGCTGCAGGATCTCTGACAGCGTCTGCAAGGCCGAGTCGATTTCTGGTAACCTGAGCGCAACAGCATGAGCAGAGATTGTACAACAGAGTTAACACATAAAAGATGGCTGTGTTTGTTTCATTTGAGTTATAAGAACTGCTACATGCAGACAGACTGATGTACCTCTTCTTGACTGCATCAAGCTGGTCCTGTAATGAGGCCTTGTGTTGTTCCACTACGTCTTTCAGAGGCACAGTTGGGTGTTCTCCGTGTTCTCCGCTCGTACACTCCTGACACATGGCCGTCTCGCAGGGCGGACAGTAAAACTCCATGACCTAAGCAGCAGGAAAAAATGCAGATTGGATTTAAAGACAGGGTGGAGGTTTAGTCCATAATGTTTTAGCCATATGTGCAGTATTCAATGGGAATGTTGGTCACGACTGCTTTGGTCCTGACTGAAATATGTCAGATTGTAATTTAGTTCAGACTTTCATGTGCTGTTCATGAATGAAATCTACCATCCACCTACTTCTCCATTGCAGTGGTCAAGTCTTAGCCTTTGTTGCATGGTGTCACTCACTCTGCCTCACATTTTTTGTCTCTCTTCATCTGTCCTACCCAATAAGGGCAAAAATGCCCAAGACTATAACTTTAAAAAGTACTACACTTTCAAATAAACTTATTTTATAAGTCATCTGTAGAACTGATGTAGATTGCCAAAATCGGCCCAGAGAATCAACCAAGGTGCACATTTACACACAAAGCACAGTGCTGTAACTTTGTTGATAACTTAGTAAAAACCTGAAATTATTTCCTACAAATCCAAAAATCCCACACAAGTCAGCCCCACTTTAAACAGTGAAGGGTTTAGAGTGGAAATCCTCAGGTTATAGACTCAGACACTCAGACTCTGGTGATGGAAACTCAACTTAGATTCTTCTTCTGCGACTAGGACTTAAATACCCCAAACTCTAGACTTAGACAAGAGAGAGGGTTAAATGCAGACAGACACAGTGTGCTCCTGGGCGACCCTTACGTTGCCTCCATGGTTTGGGCAGGACAGCAGTTGTCCAGCAGCCACAGTGGTGATGGTGTTGAGGGCGGCGGCCTCCTGGCTGCAGCTGTCCGGAGCCCGCTGCAGCACGTCCATCAGGTTGGTGATGAAGAAGTTATTCTGCAATGCCGCCACACCTTTCTCCGGCAGGATGGAGGTCTGGCGGCACACAGGGCAGGACAGGGTGAGGCTGTGGGCTGGGATGTAATTCTGAAGGCACCTGTAGGAGGAGGAGGAGGAGGAGGAGGAGGAGAGCAGCAGGGACACTGAGTCTGAGTGGGAGCAGCCTTTAATAAGAGTGATCAAAGACAGTCTGCAGGGAGATGTAGGTGGTGAGATTTATGTGGTTTATGAAGACAGAACAGGAGAGACAGAGGACTCAGCTCTCTGTGCAAAGACAGCGATTTACAGCAGATATACAGCTCGCATTATGATTATAGTGACTTTTTTTTAACTATTACGTGTCTTTATTCCAGTCTTTGTCACCTTTCAAATGATTGTAATTTAAAATGAACACAAATAAGATCTACTAAGTCTTTATCAGTTATGTAATATGAAAAGAATAAAACAAGAGCTTATCAGGACTCTGCTGCCATCTAGAGGTTAAAATATTTTAAACAGAACAAGCTGAGTTTCTTCAAGAAAATTTGACAGTCTTGTGAAGACAGACACGTTATCCCTGCCACGATCCTTGAAATCCTTTCTCTGTCAACCTTTAATTTTAATTTATATTAAAACTTTTTCTATTACAGTATCATATAAACTCTACAGTTACTTTTGACCAGCAGCATTTCGATCATTTAATTGAGTTACAATAAAAATATGTAAAAATACTCTCCCAAAGTGAAAACATATAAAATGAAGCTTGAGTATGCAAACTGTTGAAACAGTTATAGAAATAAAATGAAGTTTTTTTTTTATCATTTATATAAGTACTTGATGACCTCAACAAGCAGAGACTCAATAACAACCTCCATCTGAGTCATCTAATCAGCAACATTGAAAACAGCTGTGTGGGTATACGCAGCCTTTGGGATCTACACACAATACTTAGAATTGAATAAGCTGGTGATGTAGAAAACTAATGATGCTAATGGGTCATTGTTTGGATTATACAACACTGTGTGTCTGCTTTTTAATAAAATGTCATTGTGTTGAGAAACATTAGATCAGAACCAGCTTTATTGACTAAGTATGTGTGCTCATAGAGGGATGTCGTCACTCCTCTCACTAGAGTCAGCAACATGATGAATGTGGTCAGAAACACTTTAAAGCACGGGAGGCTTTAACCCTCCTCCTGTGTTAGGGTCAGCACCGACCTGTTTTTGTTTTTAAATGCTTAAAAGAACCACCATAAATCACATAAATCAGCTTTTTCGCTGTTGACTGGGTTTGATTAATATTTAATAATCAGAGCAAAAACTAAAATCATATTTGCACTTTCAGGCACCACACTGACAGTCCTCTTCCAATCATGTGAAATTCAGGAAATTCTCATTTTGCCATGATTTTACCTGCACAAAAAACAACGTCAGGCATGTCCAGACGTGAGATCAATTCAATATAGATATCTGTATGAGAGGTATACTGACAAAGAAAAGCCCAGAGGCCCACAACAAAATATTATCAGCAATATTTTCATGGATAATGAAGCCTAACAAGGTAACCTAGAGATGAGAACCAAATTGGATGATAGGGAAATGGTTTTAGTGTCATTAACAGCTGATTTAAGACACGGGTTGAAACCGACCCTTAACATAGTGGGTATGTGGTAAAAGCTAACACAGGAAGAAGGTTAAGAATCCATACATAAATCAATACAATAATGCCGAAGTCCATTTCCCCCTGTGTTGTAGTTTCTATTCCTCATGGTTTGAAATACAGTTAAAGGCAAACGTTCTTGAACACAAACAAGTCAAAGATAAACGAATACGCTGAGATCAAATCAATCATTGTTCTGTGTATCAGTGTAATGACTCTCCAGAAGCAACCAGAGTTAGGGGACAGACCGGCACAGTCAACTCTTTCTCTTGGTGGCAGAGACAAGAGACAACTGTCACAGAGGATGACACACACAAACACACAAACAAACAAACACACCGTCTTCATATTGATTTCAAGATCCTGATATTACTGTTACTGTATCTCAGTGATATATATTTATATAACTACATATAGATCATATATAGTGACAGGTAGGGCTGGGCGATAAAGCGATAACGATATATATCGAAAATTAATTTCCCTCAATATCAATATAAAACTTGGTCAATATGCTTTTCAATAGTCAATAGTTCTGACATGTTTTGTTGGACTATACAAATAGTTAATGAAAAGGGGAGTTGGTCCGGGTCCACTTCGCACTGAACTAATCAAGTGCTGAATTAGAACCAAGTAGCAAACAACTGCGTAGTAGCAGGCTGCAGCTACACGCAACCTTAGCACTTCAGTCTTCTTACGCCAAAACGTCGAAGAGACACAAAGACCTCACAGATACATACATTGCAAAAGACATGCTACAAATAAGATTGTTAAATTTCATTTTTTATATCTTGATATATATGGATATCGACTGATATGGAAAAAATATATTGTGATAAACCTTTTCCCATATCACCCAGCTCTAGTGAAAGGTACTTTATTTGGGTGTTTCTGATTGTATATGACTATATTCCTGCTCATCATCTCAAAGGATGATCAAACTCCTCCAGTTACCGACTGTAGCTGTCAGAGGATTGTTTTGACGTCTTGTCCATCTTACTACAGCGTCAAGTTTCATTTTAAATGCAGATGTGTCTGATAAACACAAGGATTGGGTGTTTATTCATGGGCCATGAGAATCCCATTTCTTCTTAATCCAGGTAAACCCTTTAAAAGAAACCTGGGATTAACTGGGAATGCTTTGTCACCAATCTGGAAACAAGTCTGATTTAACAAGCTCCTCGAAGGTGGATTTTTTTTTTTTTTTTTGCATACAGAGTTTATGCAGTGCTGTTGCTTCAACTCCCCTTATATGATTGAAAGATAAAACTTCAGCAACCCAAAATAACTAAATGGGTTAAATGCAGAATGAATGCTGCTATTTTGGTGTAATTTTTTTGTAGTGCATTGTTTGCTCTTAGTATTGTTCTGTATCTTAATGGCATCATTCTTAGTGAAAACATAGTGTAGCTGAAGATAAACGTCTTGACCTTTTCTATTAGGTGTACAACTTTTGTCCAGCGTAGCGTCACGGCATTAAAGAAACAAATAGAATAGTTCTATCTGGACCTTCATAACTGGTTTTGTCTTCCAATAACCATTCACAAATTCAAACCCCAAATCTCCCTCTCACATGGATCTAGTTAACATGCAGTTTAACAAGATTTAAACAGCAAACATTCCCACATTAGGAGCAGTATCTCCACTTACCTCTCACAGAAGGTGTGTAGGCAGGGCAGGACTTTGGGGTTCTCGTAGCGGTCCAGACATATGCTGCAGATCAGGAACTGCTTGTCAATCTGACGGACCACGGGGCTGGGAATAGTGGTGCCTTCACTGGCCATCCTAAAACTCTGACATACGAGTCCCTCTTCCTCTTACCCTGGACCCTGCTGAGGGAAACAGAGAGAGGACACAGAGAGGTGAGGTCACAGCAGGAGTACACCTTATATGATCAAACACACTGTGACGATCCACAGAAGTGAGTGGAAAGCTGCAGGGTGTAAAGATGAAAGGTCAAAGTCAAGTGTCTTTCTTCTTTCTATCCCCTCACTGAGAGAGGAAACACAAACAGAGGCACCAAACAGCTCCTGTGGCTGAGGGAAGCCAAAAACAGTGAACATCTCTCAATTTAGCAGCCCAAAAAGAGTCTTAAAAATAACTGCAAGAAACATGAAAAAAAAAGAACTCAAACTTTTTACTTTGAGTTATGACTTCTCTCAAACATATGACATCAACCTCATTATTCTGAGAATAGAGTCACAATTTTGATAAAAATCAGAATTCAAACTTTTATCGAAGCGTTTAGAGAAAAGAAAATCAGAATCTTGGCTTTAAATTCAGAATTCTGGGAAAAAAATCTGAGTAAAAAAAACTATTAATCTGGGGTCACTGCAACAAAATAATCTAAAACATGGTCATGCTGAGGATAAAATGCTCACATGATTTCTTTTAATAAAACCACTTTTGTTTTATTGTTATAAATTCAGACACTGGGGTGGGGTGATGCTTGTGTGACAATAACAATCAGCATCAGTCATCAGAGATCATTTTCTAATTGTAGGAGTTCTAATTTTGGAGGTCCCATCTGCCGTTTAATTTGTTTTTTCTCTAAATCCTCTGGGAACCAACAAAATAATCTCACCACATGATCCGGAGCTTTTTATCAGAAAACTTCCCTTCACATTTTGTGGAGCGGGACCATCTCTCAGTTTGGTATCCAGTTTATATAATGCACCCACGCATTTAAGTGTCTTAAAGTCCAAAAGAGTTATTTCCCCGACATGATAAAACATTCAACTGCTTCTCTGCATCAAAAAACCAACAGAGTTTATGCAGCAGTTGTTTTGTGAATCATTTAATCACACATTTGTGCCCAATTTGCACCAATCCAGGCTTGAAAACCTCAAACGAGTCTATCCAGGGGATGATATCCTCAAAGACCAGTATAATGGATTCACTCACATGACCACTCAGATTAGCACAGGAGGCACCTCAATGAATTGGATTCTTCCAGATGTGACTGATACAGATGTTTACAACTTTCAGTGTGTGTGTGCTATGTCACATTCTGGATTTAACTAGTTTAGTTTGTTCTTTAGCCTCATTTTGTCCCACATTTAAGATTAATACTGAGATGGCTTTCATACAAATACTTAAAGCAGGGAAAGAATTGTGAATCAGCACCCAGCAGGTACCCTGAGTTGAGGTACCAGGATCAGTTTTGGTCAAGGACATTGGTGATTCTGTGTAGTAATGAAATGATTCATCATACAGAAAAGTATGAAGAAGAGCAACCTCTTTAGGCATTAACTTCCACGTTTTAAGCCAGCGCAGCAGCACCGCTTGAATGAGTGGCGCAGCTTTGAGTGGATATTCCTCTCAAAAAGCACTCTGAGTGATAAATATTTAATTACGAAGCAAACGCAGGCACACCATGTTCAGCTCCCTGCAGCAAGAGACACAACTTACAACCTTACGAAAACACGTGACAGTATTACTACATAACATTTACAGATTCTTCATGGTTTTGCAGGAGTATAAGTTGATCTGTAGTTTTATCTTAAACATGTTTTATAACGTCCTTGCATCTGTCTCCTCGGTAACGTTTATCTGGTTTCTAACTTTGACACAGAAAGTGTGTCAGTGCTTTTATTGTCTCCTCTCATTGAAGATGGAGGACAGAAACAGGCCACCTCTGCTGCTTGAGAGGAAACCCTGCGGGACTGAGTTTTCCTATAGTACACCCTCTCCTTCTCCTCCTTTATGTTCCTTTCCTCAATGCCTTCCTTCACTGTCTGAAAGCAGAGCAAGTAACCTGACATGTGTGGTCTAGTAAGCCTAAAAAAGAAACTAAGAATAGAAACTGCTGTTGGGATGATACCATGAAGGTGTCCTGCTGTCAGTGGGTCATAACCAGATGTTTTCCAATGCTTGTATGTGATGTTTTTAGTGTCTGTTGCCAAATTGCCCAGCTTTAGAGAGGTTTTCTAGCAGTTGAAACTGATACATAAAAGAAGTGTGGCATCAGGATACTAACCTGACCCAAATGTGGCTAAAATTAAGTCTTGTTTTAGACAATCCTAGCACTATTCTCCATTTGGAAATACATGAAATAGCATGTAATATGCAAGCATGGACATGCACATACAGAAGCTTAGCTCCCAGACTGCATGTTAAGAACTTACCGACTCCACAGGGCAGATTAAGCAGATGAACAGAGCGTCAAATATGGCTCTGATTATAAATCCATGCAGACAGACACAACAGGACAACAGAAGCAGCCCTGTGCTGACGGTGCACAAGGTCGAAGCAGCCTCAAAATGCTCCACTCTTACATAATCAGAGCCACACAAGCCGAGCAGAAGAATTCCTGCTGGATTGAGCGATCACTTCATACACATACAGCAGAGTTTACGCATGAGAGGGGGGAATATCAGTGGTGCAGTTCATGCATGATCAGAGGAGTTTTTGCAAATTTAAACAAATATTTCAAAGTTACAATAATGCAAAACATATCAAAGAAACCACAACATGCATTTAAATCTATGAAAAGAAAGACTTACAGTGCTGCATCTATAGGTAGATCAACAGGCGTCATCCACTCCAGCACACACACCTAAACTCTGCCTCCATGTGGGTGAAAACTGCAGGAAAATTCCCTTTAAACCCCCCTTCAGGTCATGTAAGTCCTGACACCAGATGATGCTCCCCTGCAGGTAGCAGCAGCCAGCCGAACGGGAGCTGACGGAGACGCATGTGTGAGTGAGACACACGGCTCCTCGCTGTGTTTTTGGGTCTGCGCACACACGTGAGTCAAGTTGAGGAGAGGCGATTTGTCCAGATTGTATTTCAGCTTTTACATCATCTCCCCCCCTCCCTCGCTCTTTCCTCTTTTACTCGCCCTCATGACTTCCTCTCCTCCAATCACTCTCACTCTTGGCTCAGTCTGTCTCATCCATTCATCTTCCTTTGCTCCCTCTCTCTCTCTCTCTCTCCCTCTCTCTCTGAATAAATGCTGGCTCACTGCAGTGCAGCGAGCGTGTGCAGCATCAGGAGTATGTGACTGGCTGACGGTTGATGATCTAACAAACCAGAGGAGGAAAAAAAAAGGGAACAGCACTTGTGGGTCTCCTCCAGGCTGATAGATTTAAAGCCAAAGGGATTTTTCTGTGTGCAAATGTGTGTGTTTGTGTGGAGGTGCGCATGCTGCTGACTCACTGTGTATGCAAAAACATGGAGGGAAGGTCAGAGGCAAAACAAGAAGAAAAGTAATGAGGAAGAAATAACATGCTGATTAATAATTGCAGGGGAGGAAAGTGTTATATGAATAAGCACCAAAACCAGGGACAGACTTAAATATGCTTATACGCAGACATATTGTGAGGTATGACATACTAGATCACATGGAAACTGATAATGTGCTGTTTCTTCTTCATAGTTTTTTGAAAAAGCTTCATATTGTTTTCTTATTTTTGTGAAAAGGAGAAAATACAGAGCACCAGCAGCATGATATCTGAGGCAGGGATCTCATTTATTGCACTGCACCTCTGAGAGTGTGTGATGACCTAAACTTTTCAGAGCTCTTTGTGCTCACAAAAATAGATCACCTTAATCATGAACATAAAGCTTCAACCTGCAGTAAAACACTGACCCTCCAAAAGGAACTAAGACTCTATATATCTGAATCGATCTGGTACACTGTGTACCAGGCAGACAGGAGAAAGTGGAGACTGATGTGTACGAACTCTACAATATGATTTGGTTCACAGGGTCAGCATTATCTTATACTGTAGCAATGGAAAAGTCCATTGACCCTTGTCCTGCATTTGTCAACTGAGCTGTCAATCAACCATCATTTTAAAATCAAATAACAATACTGTAATGAAACAATAATGACTGTTTAAAAAAAAAAAATCTGTGATCGTGTACAGTTTATGTTCCATCTGTTTACATGGAGGAGGTCAGGTCCATGACAGCCAGCAGAGGAAGCTCAAACTGTTCGTGCATCACGGTAAATGGTATCATCTATTTTGAAACACACGCAATGAATACAATTTGCACATCTGCAAATGGACTTGCTGCACCCCAAATTATGCAAATTTAATCTTACCGCTTGGTCCAACTTAATTAATAAGGACAAGGTTTGAAAATATTACTTGTACAGTGTGTACTAATAAAGAGATGGGCTATACAGACCAAAACTGTTATTTTTTACCAGAGTTTGTCTCTTGTAAATAGAAGGCCAAATGGTGAATCTGGGCCAAAAAAATCAAAAGATGATTAAATTCAAAGCCTCTCTAATAGGATTCATCTGTGTACTTGAAAAGAAAACAAGAACAAAGTGCATCTTTAAGAGAGCAGATCAACACCCGAGGGGGCACGGGGTGGGGGGTCAGATAATCAGTATTTATATGTAGAGAAATACTGGGGTAGATGGTCTCTTGGGAACAACTGAGATGAGTCTTGTTTGAACCCTAACATCAAAAGATTGACTCAATCACTAATTTTGACAATCAAGGAGCCAGTAACAGTTCAAACGGTTCTTTCTGCAAATGGGGTTAAAACCTGCCTCTGCTGTTTCGTCAGAAGTAGTTATTTAATTGATTTGCAGAGGTGGGTTCAAGACCGTGGACCTATCTGTTTATGATATCCACAGATCACAATGTGTTCAAGCAGGGAGCATCACCACCTCTAGATCTCTTGAAATTATAAATGGCATGCCTCAGGGCTCTATTTTGGGACCTCTGTCGTTTACAATTTATTTCAACAGTATTGGTCAAAATGTCTCCAATGCAAATTTTCATTTGTTTACTAGTGAGACTGTCATTTAGTGATCTGCTCCAACACGGTATCAGGCTCTTTGTCTCTCACAACATGCTTTTGATATTGTATGAGACACCTCATGATGTTTACAAACTCCAAGACAGAGCTGCTGATCCTGTCATGTGATTGAGTCTGTATCTTCTTACAAATATGTAGGGTTATTGTTCTCTGTCTCTTCACATACAGAAACTTGTAAAGATACTGAAGCTGCGGCTTGGCTTGTATTTCAGTAATAAGTCACGTTTTTCTTTTGCTGCAAAGAAACAACTTGCTGCTTCATTTATGCCCCTGATTGATTACTGTGATGTTGGAGCTCTGAGATTCGTCATGAATCTTAAGTCTTTAAAAGATTATTTTTGTTTTGTGATGCAGGATATGTTAACATTTTTTAATTCCTTGAATGGGCCTTTAGGAAATGAGACATATGATAAAACTGTGCAAAACTATAATATTCATTTCGAATATAACATAATAATACAAGGCTGCTAGGTTCAGTAGTATGTGAGATGAGCTGCAGACCTACAAACACATGCACTCTCACACACAGGCCCAAACACATGAGCCCTTCAAGTTTACACCTGGTGAAGATTATAAAAGCACAGTGAGGCGGACTGTCGTTGTTTTTTAGCGGTTCCTTCATCAACATGACAGAGGTAATTTTCAGAAAAAATGGTAATGAGTGTCAAACACATTGTTCAATGTCATGACATAGGAATGCTGACCATTTCCCCAGAGGTATCTAGTTTCTAAGGCTGGAATTTACAGCCTCATTTGACTGATTTCATCTTTCAGATTGCTGTTCCTCATCTACCAGTGAATACTAAGTAGAGCGGAGCTTTAAGGGTTTTTATTTTATTCACCCACCCCATCCCATACAATGCATGGTTAAATCTGGACTGAGCTTTTTCACACATTTTATTTTGCCTGGCAGCTCTGAGGCTGTTCCAGTGATCTCATCTTAGCTGCTGCCAAACTCACTGAATCATTCAAAGGAGAAGAACACAGAACAAGAGGAAAGAGAAAAAACATAATGGCCCCTAAGTCAACAGTGCAGATGCATGACATAATCAGTTTTCAGGGCAGTGCTCAGAAGAGTGAGGCTGACAGTGCTGAGGTTCCTGTAATATGGTGAACAATAAGAAAACTGTAGAATAATACTACCTTATCTCTTTGGAAGATCCTTTAACAACAAAAACAAGATATGACGCATGGCAATACTACTGACCATAAACTCTCCAGATTACTTTGTTTACAAGGTTATGGAGGCCACCTTTAATTTGGATAATGCAAATTCTGTTCATAGGCTCAGGCACCAGCTTCTATAGCAAACAACACACTTTTTTATCTCTTTGTCTTTGATATGAAACACTGAAGAAAATCTGAATACAGGGTTTCCACCACAAATCCATGACTCCCAGATAAGCAAACAGGCCTCATTGGAGAAACTCGAACAGTGTTTATCTGGTTCACTATTTCATCAACATATTCAAATAAATATCACCTGCATATTTCTCTTGCACATTTTGTTTCATCGAAGTATGCTCTTTTCATGGTAATATATGCTCAAGTCTTTCAAGTTTATTTAATTCATACAACAGAATTCAAAAACCTCCCAAACTAGCAAGCAAACTTGTTTGGGGAGTGTGCTGACTCCCCTTTTTTAAAACCTGTTATTTCCTGTAAAATGTTTGCACTGGAGTAAATTAGAAAATTTAAAAAGCTCGTAAAACCTTAAAATTATTGTTTGCTTTTATTTTGATATATTTGCCATCGTGTTTGGTTACTTGTTTTTTTTGTAAAGACCAGCCTTTATTTTGAAATAACTTGTATGCAACTTCCACTAGATCACAAGTCACTGAACTGAATCCCAAACATAGACTGTATATAGAATGGACGCCGTCTGCCTCCTCGCTGAGTGAAGCCACCCTGAGAACAGCACCCTTTGGTGATGGGCTGCAGTATAGGTCATAAATCCCGCTTCCGCCAGCAAAGCTTATGGAGATGTGGACCAACTTTAGAAATTTATTACACAGAATATAAATTTTTCTCCCTGCTGCTTGTGATGTTGACATGTAGTTACTCTAAGACTGGTTTGTGCTCAAGTCCTCTTTTTTTCTGTACGGCCCCATTTTCAAAAGTTATTGGGGGGTTCATGTTTTCTATGATTGACACCTACATTACAGCCTATGGGTGTACAAAGATTGCATGGCTCACCCGGGGATACACTGTTTGAGCCGAGCGCTATCATGACGACTCTGCCGCCGAATTCGTACAATGCTACAGTGCAAGTGGTAAAATGCGTACAATGCTACTGCGCAATGTTGGTTTCAGGAAATGGGGAAAAATTGCGGAAATACCGAGAGCTTTTTGGCTTCAAATCCGTATACTGGTGAAAGGTGGAACGAAGTTGTCCATACAGTCTATGATCCCAACAACTTATCAAAAGGATTAGAGAGCATAAATGTTAGGTGCTCAGCCTAGTTTTAAAAGTATTGGATGTGTTCAGAGGACTGCTACAGCTAGCTAGCAAGCTGGTTTATCTTCACAGCTGCTGCTGCCTCTTTGTCTTCCCCCATTTTACAGCAGGTTGCAACTAGCTCAAAGAACCGCAAACCCACTCTACTATTGACCAATTACTTCTAGCTACTACTGTGTGCATATTTTTAGCACAATACATAATTTCCATCTATTCAGTCATTGAAGAAATAAAAAATATCGTTCAGTAATAAAAAGATGTACCAAACAACATTGTCAGTCCAAAGGCAACAGTGAAGCACACCTGAAAATTACAGGTTAGGGTTTGAGCCCTCTCCCTTCGAACCAGATAACAGTGATATTACATCACTGAAAGACACTTGTAGCTCAGAGGGACCGTCACTTAAACACATTCACACTCTGCAGAGAGAACTTGTCACTTGACCTGTTTGTGTTGCTTCACTGCTCACACCCACACTGTGACTCTTCATGCATTAGGAACCTCGAAGGACACCATGAAGCAAAAACAGCAGCTCCAACTGGCTTTCAAGCAGTAATATTCACAAAATAACGTCTGCTAGTTTCTCAATCCATCCACCCATTTTTACCAAGATTAATCTTTAACCAGTGTTGGTAGGTAATCTCAGGCAAGATATGATTGAAACCAGCTCATTTCCCACTCACTGACATGATGACAAAACATAGATCACAATCGGTGTACAGCACTGGTTACTGAGACTCTGACTGTGCAGTAATTTGTTCTTTCGGATCTCTCTCTGGTGTCTTTTCTCTTTCTAGAGCTCTGAGCTCAGCTGTTTTCACCATCTCTCTGTTTCTATCCACACAAAATGCCATGTCACGCTGCACAGTAATGACTAGCCTGGTCTGAACAGAAACACTGTAAAAGAAGAGAAACAAAATGCGGAGAATGCAAACAGGTGGATCTAGACAGGAGAGGAGCTATCCTCTGAGTCACAGAAACACCTGTATATTTAGAGACTGCTGACTTCCTCTTTAAAATCCCCGATTAACACTTTAAAGTGTCAGCTTACATAACTGACAGTTTCATGAAGTTTTACAAGTCTCATTAGTTTGTCAGGTCAGGAGTCCACAAGTCCATTCACATGCAGATCACTGCTTGGCTAATGTTTTATTATCAGTTGAGAGCAGCGCAACTACAACTTAGTTTGATTCAACTTTTAGTGATACAACATTTCACATTCTAAACCAGAGTTAATGATATCATGTTATTCTTTGTACAAGTGTATTTAATGAGTCTTGAAGCAATATTTCAGATAGAGAGAATTCACATTAAGTTTCATTTGTGGTGTTTGCTGCACCTTAACATGGAAGCAAATGAGTGTGATGAGCTAAACATTAACATTTAGGCGACAATGAAAACAGAGGAAACTGCAGGTCTGTTCTAAGATTAAATCTAAGCTCACTATTACCTCTGCAGCTTTAGGCTGAACTCTTGTGACACTGATGCCTCTTTCCTCTGTTATCAGTTTGTTTTCAGCAAATATAAATCTAACATACAAATATATTTTTTAAGGATGCTAAAGAGACTTAACATAATTTCAGTATTTGTCAACCTGTAAGTGAGAAAAGTTAACAATGTTGTGGCTGTGATGGAAGGTGGAGCAAAGACAAGCAATAGACATAAAACATGTTGCATTTTCCTACATGTTACTGCAAAGGTGTGTTTAATAGTTTTGTAGACAGTAACTAATTTGAGAAGTCAGATATAATACTCTTAGTTCCTTTTTTTCTTGTTTACCAAGACTCTCTCTTGGTCTCTCCACAGCAGCTCAAGGTGATGACCTGCTTCCCATAAGGTCTTGGTGCTTTTTGATAAGACTAAATGTAAAAACAGTAGATATTGTATTTTTTTAGATTGCAGGCTATCGAAAAATTATGAAGTACCAAAAAAATGACAACCTTAGTGGACATTACGCCATCATCATAAACCTGAGGATGGCAATAAAGTTGAGGTCAGGTGATCCTTAAAAGTCCTCTAGATTCACCCTCTGGACACCATGAATGTCCACAAAAACGAACCCATCAATCCATCCAACAGCTGTTACGATTTGACAGTCCAGCAGACAGACCAGCAAATCACACTACCTTCATTCTGCTATCATGGCTGAAATGGTTTAGAGACAGTTGCATGTTGTTTCCTGTATGCTAATCCAGGCTAATTGCATCCTTGTTCTTGGTTCATGAGATGAAGATTACCGACTCAGTCAGGCAACAGTGTTCAAATGCCTATTACATTTAAAATCACCATAATCAAGAGAGGATGAATGATACACACTATGTTGACACCAACAGCTACAAACACACCATGTTATCATCATAATAGATGTTTACAGTGTTAAGATTACAGTTTCAGCTTTGTGTTTAGAATCAATTCAACACGACAACTAAATGGCCTTTATGCAAGACTTAAGTTCATGATAATAAAACCATTTCATTTTTGTATCAACAGATTCAGAAAAAAAAATAAAAATAAAATTCTTTATCTGGTTCTTCAACAACTACTCAACACCTGTATGTCACGCGATAGTTTATAAAGGGCTTTGCATGTCTATGGACTTAGGGGACCATGCCTCTAATGCAGCGCAGGGCGGAAAAAAGTCCAGCCCCTGAATTATAACAGTCTTATTCTAATCTAAAGCATTCAATGGGGACAGGAAGATGAGAGATTATAGTAGCAGAGCACGCCTTTACCCTGAACGCCCCTTTATATGACCCCCCACATCACCCCTCCCCCCTTTTATGGGTCTGAACAACAGTTATTATGGTCAGCAGTCGATTACATCTGCTGTGGCAATTTTCACAAGCACCATTTTTGAGTTTTGTAAAGCTTCAGTCCTATAAATTTGAGATCTTTATTAAAGCCTTGTCGTATTTCTGTGGACGTCCCTTCTTTTGGGGTTTGTCGTGTTAAATTCACGTCACTGAGAAAAAGGCTGACCTTCAGTGAATGAGGAAACACACATGAATGCGTCACTTGGTAATATATCTGCCACCCATGCACTCTGGTGCCACAAGATAAGACAGAGCTCTGCCTGGGTGTTTTAGAGCATGTACATTCACTATTGAAAGCCTACAGATGTGCTAACACAGGACTCTTAAAAAATGTCCACACTGCACATCTGTCAACCAAAATCTGATGACGCTCATGTATAATGACCTCATGTCCACACAAAATACAACAAGCGTGAATTAAATGGTACTCAACATTTCATTAGATGAGCAATATCCATTTTTATAGTTTGCAGAATTCCAATTAAGTTAGATATTGTTACTTCAGCAATACATATATATTTACCAGGGATTTATAAAGATCAACCTCCTATGCTAGAAACTAAAAAAAAAAATAACCTGAATGCAACCGTGAAATTGCTTTACTTGCTGTCTGTGATATGGATCAGAATATCCTAACCACTCACAACTTTGCACCAAGACTGCAAATAGCAGAAACCAGCCAGCCCGGGTACAGTGAGAATTTTCTCATTTCCACCAAACTATCAGGTCACTGGTAATTGACAGGCAGCCAGTTAACCTCAGGAAGTTTCTGACAAATCAACCATGGTACAATACTAACAGAGACAGGGATCAATAAATTGTTTGAATTACAATGAATGTCAAACTCGTTTTCATGCTAACGTTTACAGACGACAGATAAGGTGAAACAAGTTATTTCTCTTACTTCTTAGTACACAGTGAGCCAAGTCATTTACTGTATATGATAGAAAATGATCCTCTTTTCAAGACTGACTTTTTACATAAAATCACATTCAATGACTTGAAATTGAAATGGTTCAAGTTAGATTAAATATAGTATGATAATTTAATATTTTCAGATGGTCTTCTCATGTCACACTCTGACACCACATTTCTTGACTTAAGACTTGTTTAGTGTTGCAGCAGCACTGATAACCGTTTTCTTAGAAGTGAAATCATGACTCCACCTCAAGTTGTTAGTTAATATTTGTGCTGTTTGTTCTCTGGTTGGACGTGGCGACTTACACATAACAGATAAGTGTCACCATCCGCTGTTGTAACAAATATTAGTATTTACATGCTGAACCCCCAAATACAGGACAAAAACACTTTTTCTAGATGTATTTCAATGAAAAATTACATTCCAATATTCTAGTCAATGTCGTATTTCCATCTGTTTGAGTCTATCAGCTCGTAGTCAACAGTTGCGAGCTATATATGTTTGATAGACAGTTTTAAAGCTTATTAATCAAATCTAACCATTTTGACACATTTTTAGTGAGTCTTTGGCGGTCTTTTTATCAGGATGACAGTTTGAGCTACAATATCTTTTCGGTTTACTCTTAAAGTGGCAAGCTAACAGCATCGGAGTAACCTGCAAAATCTGGAAGCAGCGTTTTTGATTCCCTCGACATTTCTTCATGATGCTGCAAGAATCAACATTTTATCACATCAGCAGCTCAGACACAGGTCATCACCTTGTTTTCTGTAACGAGTGCTTTTCAATTTGATCAGGGGTCTACAGGGAGACAGTGTTGTATGTTTCACAGACAGAAGTGAAGCCTTTGCAGACAAACTTTGAGTTGGCATTGACTTCTTCTAAAAACACAGAATAAAAACAGAGTGGCACAGAAGGGGTAGGTGCACCTGCAGACTGAGGAGCTGAGGTCACAGAGCATGACAAACAGGAAGGAGGAAATGAAGGGAAAGTAATATTTTCTTGCGTGCATACAGTACATCAAACTCCTGCATAATAAAAGCGCACTGAAGTCCATCTGCCTGCTGTAAACAATCTGAATTTCAATGATAAACTCAACCTTAAACTTTAACTTGCATCTTCCAGGCTTCCAAGTTAATATCCTGGATTTATTGAGGCATGTTTTAATAATGATCTCCCCTACTACACAAACAGACTCACCAAAACTTTAAAAACAGCATATTCTGCATGGAGACTTTCCTAATGCTTCATTTAAAGCAACCCTCCTCCTTTTTAATCATAAATCTTCGTGTTTTTCTTTCCTCTTGTTAATTTCCAAACTCTCACTCACTCTTTCCACTCCTTTTCCTTCTTTAAATCCCAAATATCCCACTTACTTTAACTTCATGGTTGCTGTTTGCTCCTCTTCTCTCCTCTCTCGTCTCTGGGGTAAAAGCAAACGCTGCTCCCTGTCATCTAATCCTCCCCATCTCTGATGTTCACTATGGTTTGTGCAGTGGGCAGTGAGGGGAGCACATGTGAAAGGCCTGGCCTGTTACAATAATCCAAACAGACTGACAGGGAGGCTCTGGGTGAGCACAGACAGGAGGAAGAGGAGGGAGGGGCCTGTTTGAGTGTACAGGAAAATGCAGGGACCAATCAGAGGGTGAGGGGGGTGGGGTTTACAGCTGCTGCGGCTGCTCTTTAACCTCAGGAGGGCAAGAGTCCCAGAGGCACGACGAAAGAAAGTGATAAGGAGAGACAGAGGACAGGGCAACCGATTCTTCTCAGCAGAAGACTGTATTTGACCCTGGTGTAATATAATAGCACAATAGCTCCTTGAATGGTTAGCTTGTTTGTTCTTTTTAGTAAATCAAATACACATAAGATAAAGTTGAACTCTGATGTAATGTCAACAATTTTATCCCTTTTTACAAGAAAGCCTCAAAAAACAATCCAAGCTGGAATTACATCACTCTCTTCGGGGACATGGGTCAAATTTTCAAAACTAAAACCTAAGTCCCAAAAATCCTTGAACATTTATTTATTGACATAAAACTAACACATTTTCTTCACTGAATCACTGATGTAGGACAACAGCTGGTCTAAGTCTCAGAAATTGGTACAAGATGGTTCAGAAATGCTCTCATAAAACAACAATAACTACACAAGTGTTGAGAGTGCAGATACAAACACATGATAGTTAAAAGGGTGAAGCCGGAGTTAAAGGAGCGTGTTACTATCTGTCCTGTTTGCCCCCCGGGGGGGACTCGATGCACTGAAGCAAAGCTGGTAAACAGCCTGACAGAGATGATGAAACAGCGCCAAGACTACATCTCAGAGGAGACCGCATAAAGAGGACTGCTGAGCACAAAGCATTTGGTTGAACCAACACCCAAATACACCAATTATTTTTTTCATTTTTAACCCAAATCAAGTCAAAGAGTTTACTATTCTCTGGGGAGATGTGCTGTGAGGCTCATTATTGTTGGAAGATTACCAAACCCTGGTTCTTGGTACTGACAGCTAATGGGGTGTTTCTTTCATTTGATCTTAGGACTCAGACATTTTAAGATAATAACTTTATTGATCCTGACGGGAAATTCAATAATTTGGAGATGCCCATCGTATATGTCCTACTAAAATCCTTTGAAGAAGACAAAATCAACTTGACATACAGCATTCAGTGGATGCTGCTGCCTGTCGCTTTACACTACGTCACGTACAGCGTTAATCTGGTTGGTTGTACGTCTATATGCTATTGCTTCCAGTCACCTTGGTATGCATGGTAACCATAGACTGTATATACTATGGACAACTTGGTTCTGCCTTCCGCCAGTATACGGATTCAAAGCCGAAAAATTCTTGGTATTTCCACGATTTTTCTCCATTTCCTGAAACCAACATTGTGCAGTAGCGTTGTACACACTCCTCCACTTGCACATTAGCATTGTACGAATTCGGCGGTAGAGTCACTGTGATGACGCGCCGCTCAAACAATGTATCCCCAGCGAGGAGGCAAACGCTGTCCATTCTATATACATGTCTATGATTGTGACCAACATCCCCCAGAAAAATGGAGTAAACCGAATGATACCAGACCCTTCTACTTAGGTGACTTGGTCTCAAATAGGAAACCATGTAATCAGGAGGATTTTGTTGCTTTTGCTCGTTCAGGTTGCACGTTTTTAGTACATGGTTTCATAGTATTAGAGATATTGAAAATGGAATATCTTAAGCAATTTTGACACCAATCAAACAGAAAGTCGTTTACATCTTCTGTACTGTTTTCTTACTGTTAAAAACATGCTTGTTTTGTAAAATAGAATTGGACAAGCTGTGTTCCTTCAGTGTTGATATCAACTGTACTTAAACTTACTTCAGCCTGGTATTCAATAATAGCCAGTGTACATTAAACAGACAGCATTAGTCTTATCTGTAAATCTGATTCCTCAGAACAGTTGCATTAAAAAAGCTTGTATAAAAATTCAACACATTGATAATTACACATATAAAGTAGCTGCTTTGTGGTAACTATGAACACAAACAAAGTAGCTCTACAACAATCGGCTGTCAAGCTTTAAGTTGTCAAGCTTTACCTTTTACCACTGTCTGCAGGTTGTTAAACTGTTGTAAAAGAAAAAAAAAAAAGCAATAACACACTCTAAAAAAAGCCTCACGCTCAGATTAAATCACAGCAATGACGATATTCAGTATGTTGTGTTTCCTAAACAACATCTTATTTTGTCACCAGAGGGGAAACCTCTTTCTACCTGAATCAAAATCATGCTCTGTTTCAATGAAGTCATATTTATGGGCCCACAACAACAAAAACTCTTATGCAGTCTTTTCAGGCTGAACACACCCCTCACAGTTTCCTACCAGAAAAAAACAGGAAAGCACGCACAGAACATAAAACAGACCTGCATGTCCCTTGAGAGTTTCTAATTTCTTAAAAGCTTTAATCTTATTGGCAGGCCACAAATAATGTTTGTAGTAATTATCTAAATGTGTCTGTTTTTCCTCTGTACATCCACTCCAACTTAACTGGATTACTTAGAGTAGAGAGAATGGCCTTGTGCAGACACAGATTTAATATGTTGAAGCTTATCTTTATATAATGTGTCCCAAGTACATATGGAAGGAAACCTAGACCAGATGAAAACTTGAATACACAGCTGTGCATACAGAACCAAGGATAATGTATGTGCAACTTAAATAATTAATGTGGATGTGTGTGAACAAGGGGTTAAACAACAGAGAAAAGTTAAGTGGAGCCTGGTGTATCAAAAATGAGACATAGGTGGAAGAAAAATGAAATAAAGACAATGTCAGGTTGTTGTTTTAGTTGGTAGGTGGGGTTTGTTTGACTATTTCCTCCCTCTTTTCCTCAGGTCAAGAAAACAAAGACAAATTTCTTGATTTAGATGCAAAGAAGAGCAGACATCAAGGAAACACAGAGTAATCTGAATGCAAACAGTCAGTCTCTTTCCTGTGAGCCATCGTTTTTCTTCCATTTCCCTTTTGTTTTTGAGGCTCCCTCACTTTCAAATGAAAACAATGGGCTGAAGTCAGTCATCACAACAGCATAGATTTATGAACCACAGCACCATGTTTATTTCTGGGCACGTCTTTTCATTTAAATGGGATCTGGGGTTGTTTTGGCAGCACAGCAAGGGATTGAATGAGAATGTTCAAGAAGCAATATCCTGAGGTTTTTATGCTTATGGTGATTTTTTTTGGGAGGGAAGGGTTGTGTGTACTTTTGTGTGACACTGATATCATCTGCTGGATAGAGCACGGCATGCATCTTACATTATGAACTGCTTGTTTAAAAAAGCAGGATCAGAGAGTCATCAAATAAAAAGTCATTTGATTGGTACACTGATCAAGAAAAAAACAACATTTAACCTCAGTTAGGCGCTAAAGTATTTCAAATGTTCTCCAAATCAAGTCCACCCACAGCATCTTTCACTCAATCAGCCTCTCAGGACTTTTTGTACAGTGCTGTCCTGTACTGTGCTTGACTGACAGCATCCTGGCTCTCCTGAGTGTTAGATCTCGCCTTATGTAATTCCAATCATACCTGAGCCCACCAACATAATCCTATAATTAGATCATCTATGAAGCAAGATATCAAGTAGGAACATTCAAGTCAGTACAATATCGAGTCTGTGTGATGTGATGACTCTATTCCACTCTATAGCTGATGTACTTTAATATTTCTGTTTTTTGGCTCATTTTAGAGTTGGCACATATTAAATTCTATGGGGACTTGGAACTTGTCCTTTTCTTTACAGTTGGATAAAAGAAATATCTGATTTTTTTGGAAATACGTTGGTCCTCTTTTGCAAATTTGAAATGTTAATATGGCTTTCATGTTTGTTAAGTTCCCCGCTGGAGGATACCCTAGGCCTCAAGACAGAAAACAATGAGACAGAGCTAGCCTGGCTACCCTTAGCATTAAAAAATACTAATATCAAAAGTCCTATAGGGAAAAGAGAACCTGTTTAAAAACAAGCTTTTTTCACCTCCGATACCGATACAGATATCTACAGTTTAGTATCGGCCAATACCGATCCCATTCTGATACAGAAAAGCTGCGATGAATTACCTTTTGTTGTAACCTGAAGTTTTACCACTGCCCTTCGCAATGTTTACTGCGCAGGTACTGCAAGTAGCCGTCAAGCTTGACAGATCGGCCCCTATGCATCCGGCCCATTGTCACAATACCTGATCTAGAATTTTCTTCAGTATTGGGACCAATATCGATATCAAATATTGGATCGGTGCATCCCTAATGTTTAATCTTATTTCTAAGGCTCCTGAGAGGAGTTTTTCGATGTTACTGAAATCGACTGCATTTAAAATTGATGCCTCTTCATGATATCCAAAAGCAAACAAGATCATCAGAAACAAGATTGAAGGTTATTATATCTTAATCTTTAATTCCTGAATCTGTTATGGGGGGAGGGGTTGCCTAGTAGCTGTAGAAACACTCCCAGTAACCGATACAATGATAGTAGTCCAATTAAATCACCTAATCGAGCTATAACCGTAGCCAATTTAACTGTGCATGCAAACCAACTGAGTATCCTATTATAGGCTATACAAGAGACACAGATTACTAGCTAGCATTATCATTAACTCCTGAAAAGTTGGTGCATGAGCTTGCTTACTAAGTAGAAATGATCAATTTAGCTTTCCAAAATGCGAATTAAGAGATTACAAGTTAAGAACAAGTTCAGTTTATATGTCTTGTTTACAGGACTGTGAGACCATAGCCGCTATGTTGGCTACCAAGTGTTTGGATCATATAGAAGCATCCTCTGATTTCACAGTGTCCCGGCTAATAGAAGTCTATGCCTGTGCTGTTTGTTACAGTTGTGCTCCAGTAAACGTTTCCACCCTTAACACACAAACACAGAGTCACTTCAAATCCCTTTCACTCACACACACACAGAGCTACTACTCTGTTAATAGTCACTAATCTGGCTGATGTCCAATCCTAATCAATGAGCTTTAACCAGCCAGACGTAGCGGTAGGGGGACAGCGGAGCTTACAGCACAGAGCTCATTGATCCGCGGAGGTTAAAGTGTCACGGGGCAGCAGGTCAGCCTGCTGCAGGCCTTCTGAAGATAAACATCAATAGAAACACCAGTTGACATTTACAGTGAAAAGAGATGTCTGTCAGTCAGGTTAATTAAATGAACATGGTACAACATCAGCTACATATACTGGATTTATATATGGGGTCTTTATATATATAATGGGGTCTTTCTAAAGGAGCATAAAGAGTCTAGGACTGCTGTGACACTGTCAGTCTGTCCATATTAAAATACATTTATAACCTGATAAGCCTCTAGGATTTAAAAGATAGCAATAAACTGGGAATATACAGTGTAACGCTGCTGATTCTGACCAATATAGTCTATACAACAAAGTACCACTAAATAATATAAATGTATGTGAGCTGGCAACTTCACTATCCTATGTATGTAAAAGGTTAGCTATGGCAGCCTACAGCCACTTTATACATTTCCCTTTAATATCTGAGAGGAAGTTTAGTTTGTGCCAAATCCACGTAACAGAAATGGACTCAGAGGTTGTTACATAAGTTATCTGGACTACTGGCTTTGCACTGTCTGCCTGATACACGTGCACACTTATAACTGAGAGTATATGAATCAAACTACCAGAGTGGTTTACAGTAATAGCAGTTAGTGCGCATTGATATCAGACATGTCAGCTTTATGACAAGTCAGCCGACCATGTCAGGGAGGTTAAATGTACACTCAGCCTATTCAGTGACCTTCAGTCATCTTAGTCTCTGCTGGTGTGTTTTCTAGATTAGCATCAGAGTAGTTGTAGCTCTGCAGCTGCAGTAAAGTGGACTGCTGAGGTGATGCAGCCTTTACTGCATTGCTCTGTATTTCAAGTTCCCTTTATCACTTACTGCATTAAAACACCTCCAATGTCAGAGTGAGTACAAATACTGCTGTGCTAAAACTATACAGAGAGGGCACTGCCACTAATCCCCACCTGACACACACACACACACACACACACACACACACACACACACACACACACACACACACACACACACACACAAACACACAGTGAAGATAGGAGAGTAATGGATGGACAGGGAGTGTGGAAAAATGTAATAAAATCCACTTAGTTTATCTGTGAGGGATAATGGAGCTATCTAATAACATTTATGCACCTGTAACTAACCTTAAACTATTACCACCATCTTCCAAACACTGCCTCATTTTCATTGGATGTTTTAGTTTAAAATCAGAAAAAGAGCTTATTCCATCAAACCAACAACTTTGCCAAAAACGGCTGCCCTTTGCTTCAGCTATATACAAGTTCCTTCTTCAAGTTAGAGTGCAGAGTCCACGTAAAATAATAAAAGCTATTGGGATGCTAAAGCTCTAGCTAAGTGTGTCCTACAACACCAACAACAACAGCACATAAACACATCTGTGTTGTATTCACAAACAGTGCAAAGACAAATAAGCTTTTTCACAGCAAAGATAGGTGCTTAAAATTTTTTAGAGGAACTTACTCTAACACCCAGACAAGGGTTTGGGCTAGAGTTGCTCAAAACTAGCTAAATTAGGTGGCAGATCTGGCTAATAATTTAACAAACTAGCCTAGCTTTCAGGTCACTTCTGCTCAAAGCATGTTGGGATATCTGGCAGAGCAGATGGAGCTAGCAATGCAACTTTTTTTGAGCAGCGCTTAAGTTGTGGAGGCATGTTTGGCTGCCTCGACCAAATGGTATTAAAGGGATATATTCTGATCATTTCTTCATGGAAATGCAACCAGATAGAGACGCTAAGGCAGAAGAACTAGTGTCAGCAGTGCAAAATGATAAATATGGTGCTATTACTTCAAGGAAATGATAAAGTAATGATCATAATGTTCTTCCTTGAGCTGCGTCACCCTGCAGCAGTCCATAATGGACTGGCTGGAGGTCTCACTACAAACAAGCGGCTGCTGGAAGAGAGTAGGTGAGTTGTGTTTAGTCTCTTTGCTAAAGAAATCAGGCAAAGTTAAAAAGGTGTTTGGTGGCTAGGGCTATGGCTAGGACCCTATATGTACTGTTGATGAAGTTAGGTGCTGTTCTAAGCATTATTTGTGGCTATAGAGTGGCGTTTTGGTTAAAGTTTGTGTGTGGTTTCATAAACCGCTGTATATTGCTATTGTGTGGTCGTTACTAAAGTTGGTATAACTAGAGAAGCAAGTGGTCAGCCGGTGTAGCGTTAGCTTCAGTTCAACTTCTTATCGACACAGGTGCTACATGGCCTAACCAAGTGACATATTGAAAAGCAAAGGAGGCGAAATTAAACAATAACCTTTTTTCTAACTTCTTTGCTCGTTTCTTGCCATCGTCTTCTGTGCCTAGATCGTAAAACCCCAGTGCCTCATCATTATTGGTCCCCGACAGCTCACTTCCGTTGTGGCTTTTTTATTTGCATCCTTTTACTTTTGCAGTAAGAAACTTTTTTTTCCCATCGCCACTTTTTTTTTGTGTGTCGTTAATTTCTGTTGTGGCTTTTTTATCTGCAGCAGGCTTCGGTTTTCTTTTTTTTTAATCAATAACTCCTTTTGTCGTTTTTTTCTTTCTTTCTTTTTTTTGCATTCTTTTTTTATTTGCAGCAGTGCCGGTTCTCGGCCTCCATACCTGAGCCATGTAATTGCACATCTCCTATTATTCAGACACTGTGCAGGCCTAGTAGACATCACTCTATATGTGCAGCCAAGAGTTAAACTATCCTGCACTAAACTCCGCCCATGCATCAGAAAGCATAAAAGTTCATTCAAGTTTTCACAGATTTAAGATGCTGAAAGGCACATTTATGAGCCGGATGAGTGACATGCTGCTTTTTATTTCTTTTTTTGTGCCGCTAATGATTATTCAATTATGCCAAACTGATATATCATACACAGGGGTAAGCTTAAACATGCACCTTTTTGTGTTGTGTGTTAATCCAGGAGTAAATTTCTGCATTAACACATCTCCTCAATCATGCACTGACCTAAAAGTCTCCTCCTGAAACAAGTGGAGCCCAGCACGGATCACCCATTCCGCCTCAGCTCCGCAAAAACCTGCATTAAACTTGGATTAACCCATCTAAACGCTACAATATCTGACCGCTGTAGTGATGCAGGAGGATGCGACCTTACCGGACTTTCCCCTGATTGTTTGTCTGTCTGTATCAGTCTGTCCCCTCCTCGTGCACACACCGTCCTGTCTGTCTGCCGCTCCGCGTGAACAAACTCCAGCTGCACCGAGCAGAGCAGAGCAGAGCAGAGCCGGGTGCACTTAGTTCAGCTCTCATATTAAAGGATCCGCCGACAATAAAGAGACCTCAGCCGGATGCAGTCAGAGCTGATCCAGCCCGGAAACAAACTTCATCAATATTACATCAACGCATATAAATAACCTCAGTATCCATGCATTATTTCTACTTTTGCCCTGCAATGGTTATACAAGCAGGTTTTTGTTCATGCCTTATGTAGTAGACAAAGATATACTTAAATTGTTTTCTATTGTAATGGGATATCTTACAGTTGGAATGTTACTAGGCTGCTTGGTGACTACATTGACTTAGACTAACTCAGTCTTATCTTTTTACCACAATTAGGTCAGGGTTCCTAAAACTATTATGAACTTGGACTTGTTTTGACTTGGTGAATGGGGGTCGTTTAGGGGGAAGTTGGACTGGCTATCCAGTGCTCTAAAGGTGGAAGGAGGTCTTAACAGGTCTGGATTGAAGACTGTATTGTTTTCCCTCTAAGTTACAATGGTCAAAGGTAAAGAAAAAACATCTAAACTAAAGAGAAAGTAAACTCTCATAAAGATTAATACCATAGACTGTATATAAAATGGACGCAGTCTGCCTCCTCGCTGAGTGAAGCCACTTCGAGAACAGCACCCTCTGGTGACAGGCTGCAGTATAGGTCATAAATCACACCTCTGCCAGCAAAGCTTATGGAGCTGTGGACAAACTTTAGAAATTTATTACACAGAACATAACTTAATTTCCTCCCTGCTTGCGATGTTGACATGCAGTTATTGAAAGACTGGTTTGTGCTCAAGTCCTCTTTTTTTCTGCACAGCTCAGTTTTTAAAAGTTATTAGGGGGTTCATGTTTTCTATGATTGACACTTGATACAGCCTATGAGCGTATGAAGGTTGATACACTGTTTGAGCAGAGCGTCATCACAGCGACTCTTGGCAACTCTCCCGCTGAATGCGTACAACGCTACAGCGCAATGTTGGTCTCAGGAAATGAAAAAAAAAAACGCGGAATTTCCGAGAGCTTTTTGGCTTCAAATCAGTATACTGGCGGAAGGTGGAACCAAGTTGTCTATAGTATATACAGTCTATGTTTAATACCAGCAGCTTTGATGTAAGTTGCTGGTATTGCAGTGCAATACTGTTGGAGTAAACACAGATAGGAGTTTCACTACAAGTCTTCATAGTATTTTATTTTTCAGTTTTTTTTTCTACAGACTGTGGCAGAGGTAACTTTTCCTATCATTTTTGTTGAAAGTCCACAGATGTGACTTTTTTGATGATTTTCTAAGCGGTCTACAGTGATCACTTTTCCCACTGATTTTCCCGACAGATATGCAACGGTCACTGTTCTCAGCATTTTTCTGTGGTTATGTCTGTGGTGATCCCTTTTTCATTAATTTTGGAATAAGTCTTGGTTGGTGACTTCTCTTATCTTCTAGGCATACTTCTAGGCATAGGCTGAATTCTTGTCCATGGAGCCAAAACAGAGACATTTCCTTTGCTTTAGCTGAGTTTACATTGCCGCACATTAGCTTTAAATAACGAGAACATTAAAGAAAATCACAAGAAATAAAACCCAGTTTAAAAGCAACCCTGCTCTGCTCCTCACAGGACATCCCAGCTCAGTATTAACTGTGATTTCCAGTTAAGCCCCTCCCCTCTTATGAGGGAGGCTGTTGCTGTGACAACCCTGCATTATGCAGCCGCCCATGAAAGACTCTTTTCAGATTAAAAGTAGAAAAGAAAAGAAACAAGTTATTTGCATTCCTTTTCCATTAAAGATTTTGTGTGATAGAAAAAAGGCGCTGTGAGGTTTATTGTCTGATTTGTATCAGAGGAGGAGGAGGAGGAGGAAGAGGAGGAGGAGAAGGGTGAACTTGATGCATTTGAAGGCCTCACAACTGTTTTAGAAAACTAATGCACCGTGTGTGTGTGTGAGTGTGAGTATGTGAGTCACAGTCAAAGGGCACCTGCTTAACATGCAGTGCACAATCACAGGCTGGGTGCAAAAATTTGAGTTATATCAGCATCCCACCTCAGTTCAACCAAAACCACACAGCAGGTACACTCAGGGATTTAGACTCAAACTACATGACAGCCAAACAGAACAAAACACAGACCCACTCCAGCTCTGTTATTTTGAATGAAACACACACATAATGAAGCAGGCTGTAAAACTCGATTCACATTATTAAACTCTGGATGTCAGAGCAAAAGAATCAATACTTGTTGGCCATGAGCGATTCAAATAAAGAATTAAAGGAGAGCATCAAAGAAGAAACGATCAATAAAAACCTACAGCAAACTGCAGCACAAATTTGAGTAACCCTTAGCACCAAGCTATTGGGGATTTGTTTTACACTTGATTTGCCAAAGCAGAGAGGGTTATGACCAGGATTTCATCTTGCTCTGGTCTCTGCCGCCTGCACCTGCCGTCATTAGTCCAGCAGAGCATGCAGGATTAGCACAGACTCTGCTGAATGGTTGCTGAATAATTGACCAACTTCTTTTGTCTCTTTCATGCTGTTTTGATTGAACACATGTTCAGGACCAATTTACCATGAGGGTTTGATGTGGAGGAGATTATTATGGGCCTTTTTTTTTTTTTTCTACGATGAAAGACCTCTTAAGAGACAGTAGTGCAAGGTCCGTGAGATTCAGTGGTCCTTAGCAGTACTGAGTTATCACAGAAGTTGTTTGTGGACAGTAAATGCACACACTTTACTTTGATTGTATAAGATATGTGTTCATTAGCACTTTAAAATACAGCCTGATACACTTTGTAACATTATCTCAAGTTCATTTAGTTTGAAGTCCTTGTGAGTGTATTTCCATTTTATGTCAGTTCAATCTTCCTAGGGGCAGAATAGAATAAAACAATCGTATATTTTATTACTGTGACATTTATCTTATGGTCTGAGGCACAAAGAGTTCCTGTTTTAAATTATTAATGTACAGCAGCAGGTTTTAAGCCTCCCCCTTAAAGTCCCACCTCTTTTCTGAAAATGTATGACATATTAACTCAGTTTAAGGCTCACTGTGACATGTAGCCTTCATGTCCTCTAATATTCATGTATTGTCCAGAACTGAAAGTCTTAAATAAGTCACATCCTTTTTATAGCCTTTTAATTTTTCATGGTTGTCAGAAAACATTTGAATTTATTTTGTTTATTGATAATATGTGGGATAAATTAAGCATCAATTCTTCATATGGTTTCTGCTCTGTAATGTGCTGTTATTTTTAAGCTTTTTAGTTCTGCAAGTGAAAACTTAAAGCTGCTGTGAGTAACTTTTGGTTTGTGTAGGTATTTGCACTGTAGTAGTCAAAGTAATACCTCTTTAACTCTTGGCCTTTACACCTAAAAGTTGTTTTTCCAGAAAAAGAACCTCTTCCTCATGTGTTGGAACAGTGAAATGTATCATCACTGCGAGTATTTGCTGTGTTAAATGCCCAAAAAGGCTGTTTTTCAGCGTGCTGTCAATCATCTGGTCCGACACCTACCCCTTCTCAGCATTCCTCAGCATTACAAATAACTACAGTGAAATTATACAACTTGTTCCTGATGGTCTTTTTTGCTTTTAAAGGCAATTAAGAGGCAGGAGTATCAAATTCAGTCTGTTTCTCAAACAGTTACAAAAGACCCTCACAGGACCTTTAATCTTCTGTTTTGATGACACAATGAGAGTATTTTGTTTAACAAATCTGATTATTATAGCCGCTACTAACAGTTATTCATACAATTGTCTTATTCATTATTTTCTTGCATAGCCAAATTAACTGTTTTGTCTTGTTATTGTTGAAAAGTATCCTAAAAGTTAATAATATAACCAACCAATGACTCTGCATGTGTATGAAGTAACTCCATGAATACAAAACCCCAAGATGTGACAGAGAAAGCAGCAAGTTGATCGGACAAGAAATATCCAACATTTGTTCTAAAAATATGTTGACAGCGATCTTTCACACACACGCGCACACACACATTTATATATATGTATATAAGGATTGTTCCAGCTCTCCAGGATTGTTCATTGTGTAGGAAGTATTGGCCAAACAGGAAAGGGAAACACTTCATCACATTAGCCTGCAGAAGCACTGAGTCTTACCCCATGTCTGTTTTCTCTCCACTGTTTTGTTCCTATGTGCGCCCCCAGGTCCACTTCACTGCCTTGATTTTACCATGTGTTCAGGATTTTTACATCTGCAGACAGAGAGAAACACAAGTATCACAAACAGTGTGTCCTTATTTTGGGCTTAAACTCTCATAAAAAGTCAGAGCAGATATATTTATTATGTTTTTTCTCCTCTACTCTCCACATACTCCTCAGTGATCCTCTGCAGATGTCAGACCGATTATCTCTGTTGTAGTAGACCGAGGCGCAGTGTGTTGTTGATGTGCTGCAGAGGCTGTAGCACGTACAGTACATGGAGTATGTGGATGTAGTGTTTGTTAAAGGTCAGAGTGATTCAGCGAGGAGGATCAGAAGTGACAGAGTGTCCTTTATGTACGGACCATGTAGTGAAACAACAAAATGACCTCCGTTTGGAAGCACATCTTTCAACATAAGGCCTGAAATGTATGATTAAAATATGCATTTAAAGAGTCACTGCGTAATTTTTGCAGTATATTTCATTTTTTGCTGTAAATGCTTAAAAACATCAAGCATGGAAGGTTTCTAAATTGTGCTCAGACAGAGAATTGCACTGCAGTCCTCCCTCCCAGAAGCCCTTGCTGTCTACAATATTCTCACAAACACACAGACACAGATAGATGTGTGACTCACTCCTGCAAGGGACTGTCCTGTTGACGCTTCCTTCCTGTCCAGGTTGTTGTCCCCTCCCACATCTCTGCCTCATGACTCATTTGGCGAGCAGGAGAACATCCTTGAGATGCTCTTTTATTTCTTGAAAAATATCCCAAAAATAGAAAACAAAAGACCTCCACCGGATCTATACCCACAGAGCGAGGATGTAACAATCAGAGTGAGAGTAAGGATCGTGCTCCTCAGGTGTTAGGTTGAGCTCAGGATAAGGAGGGATTGAGATGAGCATAATCCCGAGCACATGGCTACAGCACCTTTCATCTACAGAGAAACGTGCCAAGTCATGAGCACATCTCATGCTAAGGGAGAAGGACACATACAAGAAAACATTTGGCCCAAATTTACAGGAGTATGCCACATTATTTTTATACCAGGCATCAGTATGGTTAGTTTCTTATGTGTGCAAACCTTTTGTCCACTGCACTAGTTTAATTTAATACATGTAAATAGGTACAAAATGTTTATTGATGTTGATTTGAATGAGCTTGACTCGTTCTTTTTAACACAAATCTGTCAACTACCCCTCTTTGAAAGCTGTAGTTCAGATTTTATAAGAATGAAAATGGAGCCACTGAATACTGTACTGAATATGAAGACAATAATCTCTCCTTACACTGAAGGACTGACCTTATCGTTGTACTAAACTTTGGTCCCATCAAATTTCTTGCAAGCTTTAGCTATAAAACTCTCCTATCACCCTCAATATATGCAATAATGTTACTGAAGCTTCAGAGTGATTTAGAAAATACAGAAAACTTACAGAAAACTACAAAAATATTTAATCATAAAAAAAACCTAAAATACATGTGTTAAACCTACAGAGCAACAAACTAACTCCAGAGCTGGCTAAGCTCAGAGTCACATGAGGTGCTCTGCTGCCCTCTAGTGGTTAAAAGGCTGAGGTGACATATTTATAATCTGCATGTTCACAAAATTAAGGCATTTTTCAATAAATAATATTCTTTTTCAGTAACATAATATTTGGTTTAAATTAGCTTTAACCATTTTTTAAAACATTTTTTTTCTGAAAAATATCATATTAAAAATATAAAATTAAGCCTGTCTTCTTAACATAAATCTTTACACAAATGACACTAATCTGACTGAAATATTCTCAACATTAACCCTGACACAATCCATTTTTCTCATTGTTTTTTAACATTTATGTATTTCTCCACTACCCATACAAGGGTGGAAAGCAATTCATTACACTTATGCCACTGTAACTACTGAGTTGCTCTCAAGTGCACTTAAACTTTATTTAAGGAGTTTTTGTGTGATTTTACTTTGACTTAAGTTTATACAAATAAAATAAACAAAAATAAATGAAAAATATAAGATAACTACAGGGATTAAAAGAAAAATATACAAATAAAAATGATTTATGAAGGGGGCATTTGTCTCATTTCTATTAGAAATGTCTCATCAAACTCAACAGAAGCTGCACTGACCTGACAAGTCCAAATATAAATATTATTTCAAGCCAAAACTTGAAACAGCTGTTACAGCTTGTTTGAAGAAAACTTATAAGTAAAGTTTTGCTTTCCATGTTTGCCGAAAGTTTTACTCAGGACATTCTGTTGAGTTCTTATTTTTTGCTGGTAATAACAATCCTCTATGCACAGTCAGCGGCGACATAAAGATACAAGGACCGTCTACAAAGTGCAATACCAACCCTAAAAAATATTAAATAACTTCACCCTGGACAGTTGCAGAGTCAAAATCCCTTCAATCATTCATGCTGCTTGAGAAAGTGTGCTTTCACATAGTTTAGGGGGGCATACACAAGTTAAGTACTCAACATTGACAAAGAGATGACTTTTTTCTTTCATCAAAGTAAATTAACAAACTAATAGTTTTACTTTTTTTAACTTTAATTTTAATGTCCTCAAATTAGTTTTTTAAAAATTTACTCCAGTTCTGATCTTATGCACATATGAATATTATTTTTTTATTCAGTGCTTCATATGATGCTCTTCTTAAAAACAGTTTTTGTGTGCTATTATTCAGTCAGTTAAATATTTGTTCATGGAAATGTATAGAAACTATATTTTTACTATGAATAATAACTATAATGAATAATCCTTCAGGTACTTTGACCCTATATCTGCTGTCATTGACTTATCCATGTGTGTGATCAACACATATGATATGATGTGTCTTTGGAAACACAACAGAGTTCTTTTTTGAGTTTACACAGCAACATGTGATTTTTATTTATTTCTCAGATGTCATCATCAGAAATATGAACCACAGTAAATCCATGACAAATTGCAGCCCCATGGCCAAGTGTTCAGTGCCGATCAATTGCTCATTGCTGTAGTCATCAGTCTTTTCTTTTCACTGGGAGTCTCTGGATAGTAAAAGTCTGAGATAGCTGAGTGAAGCTGAGTGGAGCACCTGTGGACACTGAAGACACCCTTGGGAAAATGAATGCAGAAAGATGACACATTTGATCACTTGGAAAAAAAAAGAAAAACAATAAAAGAAGAGAATGAGCAGCCCTGCGGGTAATGATTCAAAAAGATTCAAACTTGATTATTGATCGCACATTCGAGGAGATTTGCATGAAACAATACCAGTTTAAGCTTTTCTAGGGATTGAAACAGAGCATTGACCTTTCAGTAAGTAATGGTTATTGATGTGTGGACTGCTACTATGGTAACCGCCCCTGTAACGAGGAAGTTGTGGTAAAAAAGGGTGAGAAAGTATTCAAATCTCCTCGACAGAAAAGCCAGGCAAATGCGATGTAAAGGGCATCTATTGTAATGCTGGAGGCCGTTAAAGAGGAGGCAGCAGGGGGCATTGTGGCGTACACAAAGGACGACTTTAGGAACAGACACAGCGTATAAGATCAGGACTGAGTGTACCAACTGTGTAGGTTTACAGCTAAGAGATACATTGGAGGAGCTTTTTTAAAATCAGTTTTAATGTTAAGGAAAGGGGGACATTTTTCTGCTTTTTTTGGTCTTTATTTTGATAAAATTTGGCAATTTTTTTCAAGTTGACGTCACACGTTACTTCAAATATTCTAAATAATTTCTGCACTTCATGGCTTTTTATTTAACAGGGTGTATAATAATGCAAAACTACTGGCTCAAATATGAATTTTTTACATCTTTAAAACAAAGGTCTGTAAATATCGGCCCATTTTAATGAATTGACCATGACCTAATTGTTTGTATGCAGCGATTACCTTAAAGTAGATCAACTTTAAAGTGAAGTGAAAAATATTTCAAATTAGAAGAAAAGTCTTTTATCAAAAAAGTTCTGATTTGAAATATATTTTGGGAAAACTGCAGCTTATTTTGTCGTTTCTTGCTCAAAAAATGAACCTAGAACCTAGTAAAATCTGGTAAAAGCCCTTTTAGTATCTCAGTCTACACTCTGTAAAAAGAGATCCTAATTTAGGCATCATACAGTGAAGACCACACACACTGCGTCATGTCACACTGGGTCCTTTGTGTCATCACTTCATTTGCATTACAGGGAAAAGGAAGACACACACAGCATGCTAACTCACTGCAGGTCAGGACTCTCACCATCTGATAGTATGGATGCTTTGACCGTAGTTCAAATTGTACAGTATGATCTGATATTTCATCTTCTGATGCGATGTAAACATGTTGATAGTCAGAAAAATACTATGTCTTTACAGTATGTACAGAGAGGATCACTAACCAGAAATGTCACTGTTTCAGCTCAGTGAGATGAAATGTAGGAAAAGTTTATACACGTATTTTTTTTAATCATTCAGGAGCTTCTACTGGTGATGGGTCGGCTACATTAAGCTATAAGGCAATGAGCAGCTGAGTGTTGTTGCCACTGAGGTAATGGCACAACGCAGGTTGAAAGGCAAGTGGTGTGAAAAGGTCAAGAGAGCTGAATGCGGCCCCAGTTTGTGTCTTTCATGTGCCTCCTCAAAGATCACAGAGCTAAGCATCCTTTAAAAAATTAAAAATAACCTCTGATGTCTGAAAAATGAGAAGATTTTTAGGCTTTTAGCTGATCTGAGGTGTTACACATCAAAAAAAATTTGCACAGCTTCAAAAGGGTGGATAAATAACAGCTAGTCTGAGTGTGAAGGATGGGATAAACTTTAGGAGTCTAAACTTGGTGTAAACAATGAATCTGTTGACTCATGAGCTACGACCAGATAACTCAAAGCTATCTTTCACAGCTGACTATTAAGGAGGCTAAAGGCACGCCTCAACTCTTCCTCTCTGCCCCCTGCTTGGTCAGTTGAAAGTGAGCTCGAGTCAGGCTTCAAAACTTCACTACACAAACCAATGGGTGATGTTACTAAAGCTAAATCCATGTTTTATTCAGTCTCCAATTGTGCAACACCATCAACGGGTAATGTTTCTGAGCTAACAGTAATGTTAGCTACAAGGTTGATACCAGAGTCAAGATTATTTTTCTCTAGGATGAAATGGGGATATCCACGCCCCCAACCCATTTGATTGGTTTCTAACAGTCTCTCACTTCTCCCTCAAATGCGCCCCCCTCCTGTTTTTAAATTTCACTGCAGTTACCGGTACATCGCCGCCACTAACCCTTACCCTAACCCTAACCTTTACTAACCTCACCCTAACCCCTACTATAGCTTATAACTCTCCCCCTTTCCTATCAGAGGATGAAAACAGGCAAACGAAGAAGAGATCCTGCAGGAACCAATCAAATGGGTTGGGGCGTGGATTTCCCATTTCATCCTAGGGAAAAATTTAGCAAACAGCATATCACATGTGTGATTTCTGTACTTGAATAATGACCTTGTGTGTATCAGTTATGCTGACAGTCACATTTTGGTCAAAGTTCCTCAAATTTAGCTAAGTTGATCCTGTCTGAGTTTATGGACTGGATTCCTGAACAAAGGGAGCTGACCTGGATCTTGGGAAATTGTCTAAAAACTGTTTTTTATTTCCATCCAAAAAATCTGTAGAACTGTCACAAAAGCAGCAGGTGTTTAAATATCGCCAAATTTCGATGCTTAGCACTGAGATTTAAACGCAACAAAACTACATGAGAGGCACAAAGGTTGCTTGGCTCATTTATGACCAATTCTTGCAAGTCAAGAAAGGTGCAGGCCTCGAGAAAATGTGAGATCACTACATTCACAGTAGAAGAATCACGTCAAACTGATAATCGCATGACTGATGATCATGTCAGTGTTGTCTCAGGTGCTTTCAATGCTTTTCTTTCAGAGCATTGGTGTTGATCGTGTGTTAGTCTAAAGGGTACAGGAAACATCTCCTACGTGCACGTCTACTCCATGATAATATGGAGGAGTTCTAACACATTTACAAGCTACTGGAACAAACACACGGTACACGAGTACCACAGTTGATTTACACTAGCTTAAACTGTGACTTTACATATTGTTATGATATTAACATGTGAGGAATTTGTAAAAAGTGACATTGCAGCTTAGACCACGTCATCAGACTCCATATCATGCAGTGCCAAATGAGTGTTTTCTATATTTTCTGCTGGTACAAGGCCACTGCGATCATTCTGAGGTAAAATCAAAGAAATCAAAATAACAGAGCAAAACTCTACAGTAGATTGCCAAGAAAACAAAACAAGACGACACAGTAACAGCAGCAAGTAAAGGTATGAAAAACATGTAACCCTGAATGAAAAAGACACTGGAACTTCGTCTCTTATTGTCAGAGCTATTTAGCAGCATTGTAAAGTCAGCAGTGTTTGACATCAGTCACGGACAAAGACAGCTAAGCAGGCAAAGAAAAATCCATTTGCCATTTGTCGGCTTAACTAAGGTTCCCCACCACTTCAGACACAAAATAAAGTTGTGATATCAGTTTTTTTTTGCGCTCCACCAAGAACAAATGGGGCAGATCATTGCATCTTGCTCTTTGCAATTTATAAACCTGATACAGAGTCAGCTACAGGGGACCTAACAGGGCCGGAAAGCTTCTTGTCTTTTGCATGATGTGAAAAGTTTAAGTGTGCACTTAGATGTGAGACGAGCGAATATCAATGTACATCAATCTCAGGAGGAAAGTCTCTTTTTCTTTCAGTCTTTTTAAGTTAGTCTCCACCTGGTTTGTTTCATTTCCAGGTTGGTTTTGCGCTCCTGCTGGGCGTCACAAAGTCTCGAGTCTGAATGGTCTTTTCTGAAGCGCTATTGGTCTTTCGGACTTCTTCACGGATGTGAGGTGATGGGGGAGTCTCGCTGGCAAAAGCGCTGCTCCTGGACACTTTCACACTTTGTGCCCGTCGCAGACTTGTCCCTTGTGGGCGCTCTTCATTGTTAGGAACTGTCGGAGAGAACTTTGTCTGCTTTACTGAAGTTTGCCGACCGAGAATAGAAGGGGTGCCAGCGGTGGTGGAGGGGACGGGCGGAGGGGCCATGTCCTTCTTCGTCCTGGTAGTTGAAGCTACTGTGTTGCGAGCGAAGCTGGGGATATCGGAGGTGTTTCTTGCGGTGAGAGTGTTAGAGCTGCTGTTCTCAGAAGAAGCTCCACCCTGAACCTGAGCCTGGGCTTGAGCCTGAGCTAAGGCTCTCATGGTGGAGCGGCACATCTTCTCCTCAGGTGGAGGTTTGGGGATGTTCCTCACAGGTTTGGTGCTTGGCTTGTGGACAGAAGGCTTCCTCTGAGTTGCATCATGGGCCCATCTCGAAATGGTGCCCGCAAGTCCACCTCCCCTCTGAGCCTTTGATTCATCGGGAGGCAGACTGGAGTGTCGAAGAGGTCTCGTTGTCTTCTCACTCCTTCCCCTTGGCGGCGTGCTCTGGTCTCGTAGAGGACGGCATATCTCTACACTGTCATTGGTTGAAGTTCTCTCGGCTCTCTTGATGCTTCCTGTCCTCGTGATCTTAGAGATTGGCAAAACTTTCCTCATACCTTGGTTCTCAGTGCTGGTAAGCGTTCGCACACCACGACCTGCGCTTGATTTCGTTGCTTTGCTAGCTTTGCCCTTTGTATGCACGGGTTTCCTGCTGCCTCTCTGCAGATCTTTCTCTGCGCCTGGTCTTCCCTCAGCCGTGTCGCAGCTCTCCGTGTCCCACTCTTCTGTGGTTGCAGATGGAGTCATGGATGCTGCGTCCACAAACTTGGGTTCTGAGAAGTCATTGGTTGACACCGATTGGTCATTGGGAGACATGGAGTCCAGATAAGAGGACAGGGAGCTGGGATCCTGGTGGCTCTCTTGATCTTTGCCCCTAAAATGAAGTCCCTCTTTCATCAGAGACGAGCTCTCAGCCTCAGAGTAATCAAAAGTGACGGAGCAGTCTGTTTCTGTGCAGTCCAGGATATAAAACACTGGTTTCTTATTGGATGTAGATGCCGTATCCAGAGGGAGGGGGGTATCACAGGTTGTTGATGACATTGTACTGTTGTCTTCTTCTTCTCTCTCAGGACTGGCATCAATCTGCAAGCCGATATCTATTTTCCTTTCCCAAGCTGCCCTGGGATCATCTCTTTCCAATACTTTATGTACGAGGTTATCAGGTTGCTCCTTTTCCAAATCTGTCACCACAACATCCCCCTGATTCACAAAGAGCATGTGGTTACTGTTGTTGTTTGGACTAGGAAGGTCAAAAGCTTGAGGAGATGGGACCAAAGTGTGCTTCTCCACATTGATGTTCATGTGGCTGGTAACTGTTGGGTTAGGAAGATTGACAGACTTCTGAAAGACACAGAAGGGGCGAGGCACAGGGCTGCCCTCAGACAACGAAGAGTATTTATTGTTGTTGATGTTGTAGGGATCATTGTCATTCAGACCAGGGGAAGAAAACCTCGCCAGTGGGCTGATAGGATCTGTTTCTGCATGAGGAGAAGTCACGTTCCTGTCACGGTCCAGCTCCCTGTTGTCGTCCTGTGCTAAGATCCAGGGGATCGTCCTCCGCTGGACTGCACGGCCTGTCCGAGGTAGGCTGTTAAATTTGGAGTAGTCAGAAGGATTTCCAGAGCCTCCAAATATCTCCAGGTATCCTTTGAGTTCTCTGTCTGCTATGGATGTCATGGTGTGCCGGTGGCGGCGGGCACTGGCAGAGCGTCCCATGGGGCTATGAGGACTCTGGGACCTCTGCTGGAAGAAGTCCAGCAGGCCTTCTTTGGTGAGCATCTCCACGTCGTTTTCGCTGCTGCTGCGACCAAAAGTCCCACTCGGGTCTACGCCTGACCAAGCAAAGCGTTTCTCCTCCAGCTCTCTCAAACGACGCTCTCTGGCTGCTTCCTTTAACTCGCGATCCATGTTGTCCTGAGAAGAAGAAGAGGGAGGAGGAAAGTTTAGAGGCAAGCACAAGGACAAATTACCAACATTTAATGCAGTGGTTCTCAAGTCCAGTCCTCGAGGCCCACTGTCCTGCATGTTTTGGATGTTTCCCTGCTTCAACACACCTGATTCAAATGATTAGCTCGTTATCAAGCTCTGTAATGGCTTAATACTCTGTGGTTTCTCCTTGTTGTTGTTACTTTAGTAATGAGAGACCATCACCATGAGAAGAGGCTGGGCAAGTTTACAAGAGTTAACGCAACCAAAATCAAAAGGCCGGTTGAGTCTGATGGTGCATATAATGATCTCACAGTGACATCCAATGATATCCAAAACTGTCCGCCCTTTACATCCAAATGTCTTCGCAATTCCTGCTGAGCAGTCTGACAGATGTTAAAACTTGGCTGAAACATCATTTTCAATTGATGCATTTTAAAAAGCTAACCTTCTAGATGACTGCGCTTCTGCTCTCAGCCTTCTAGCTGCTCATAAATCTCAATCTGTCCAAAATCCTGATGAGATTTTTCATGTTTAATTCAATGTTGATAAGCAGACTCCCTCTGTAGTTAAAACCAGCTTTTTCCAGCTGAGACTTTTAGCTAAGGTTGAACTTTTTCTGATCCAAATGACTCTCGATGCCTTTATCACATCAAGACTTGGTTACGGTAAGTCTCTGTATTCTCTGTTGATATTTTCCCTCATTTTTCTCTGAGTCTCTCATTTGTGTGAACCTGTGGCTACACGTTGGCTAATTGAAAAAAAAGAGAACATGACACTTATTTAAGTCTCTCTGTGTTGGCTTCCTGTTTGTTATAGGACTGATTTTAAAATATCTTCAAATGTTTTTCAGCCGTAAGTCAAAGTGATCACTTGTGCCATCACACTCCAGTCAGATAACTGAGGTCCAAAAACCAGCTGTTCCTGTAAATCCCCAAATCTAGACTTAAAGAAAGAAGGAATCCACCCCCTGCATTAGCTTCACCTAAGCTATGATCCAGCCTACCTATGCATGTAAGATCTGCTCAGCCACAGGACAAAGACCCATCAAGAATTCTTTTTAAGCTGACCCTCTCCCCTTGTATCTATTCTACAGTTTTTGCACCAGAGACCAGAGCACTCCTTATTTAATAAATGTGTGTCATTGTGGAAGTAGCTGCTCTGGTATCAGTCCTCTATTTCATTTTTGTAGTCTCCACTCTGGTCAACTCCAGACGTCTCTAAATGTGCTTTATAAATAAATCTGACCTGACTAGTGATGGGAAATGTTTTTGTTAAACTGTGGGGAAGGAATTATGTGTTAAAACTGGCACATTGCACCACAATCCTCGTTAATATCACAAGATGCTTTTATGCAAGACTATTATGTTAGCACCTGGACTCCTTTTGTCCTTACTGCTTATTTGTTTCATACAGTCTGGTTACCACACATGGTTTGGTAAAACTTGACAAATCTGTGCCTGGTGGAGGGTAACACTATGGCTGTTAAGTAGCACCAGATCCTGACCCCTTTGGTTGTTAATCCTTCGCTGTAATGAAACACTTCTAGTCTTGATAATGTCACGTTTTGTGAAGTTGGAAACAATACTGCTTCAACAACACAACTCACACTAATTTAGAGCTTCTTTACAAGACTTTATCTGTGGAAATGATTATCAAAACTACTAGGAGTTTACCAGACAAGAACCTTTTCCTTTAAACTGACCTTCACTGCTTTCTTGAACTTGATGCAGAAGTCCTGAAAGATGCGGAAACACTCGTCCAGCTTAAAGGTGTCTTTATCCTCACAAAAGAAATCGATGAGAGCGTTCCCCTCTTTGCGCAGATCCAGCCTCCGTCTCTTTAGGTCCTGAAGACTCTGGGTTGAACTCTAAGACAGGACATTTTTTATTCATGGACTGTCTTACACTTTTATGGATGGCATCATCTAAAGGACATGAGTCAGCAGAGCCAGCAATGTACAGTGGCCTGTATCCAACTTTCTGTAAGTGTAATGTATTACATAACTACTTCTGCCTCACCTGCAGAAACGGCTCCAACTGCTGCAGCAGCTCCTGGTCTCCTTGAATCTTCTCCTCCAGAGATTTAATCCGAACATATAAAGAGGAGAATTCCACCTCGATGTTTTCCACTGAGACCCTGCATGAAAATGTCACAGCAGATAGATTTAGAGCAGGAAAATGTGCAGAGACATGACGATGACAGACATAGGAACAATGCTGCTGACAAACACTGATGGTGAAAATATTTTGATGGCTGCAGTAAGCTGTCAAACTGTACTCAGTTAAACATGGAGATATAAGCACTTTAGTAATGCATTCACTTATCCTGAAGGGAGGAGGAAAGGGAGGGAGAAGTACTCTGGTCTTTGGTGCAGGATCTGTACTGACTGCACTCAGAGATGACCTTGTGAAGCTGACACAGCCTGACAGCCTTCAGCATCACACTGTGCTCTGAGGAAGACTCTCTAAGTGCTGCACTTAGGTTAAATGTCAGCTCATGTAACGATGCTGGAAGTGGCTGTCAATCAAATTACAAACCAAATACTGAAACCTTAGTTTTAATCAGATTGTTTTTTTTTATATGATCTATCATTTACAATACAGAAATGATGACTTGGTTGTTAGAGGTCATGGTGAGTTAAGGGGATATTCCGGCATAAAATTAATTTAGGGTCAAACACACTGTAACACCGAGTTAGACACCCCGTCGAGAGATGGATGGTGCCGACCGCTTGCTTCTCTAGTTATACCAACTTTAGTAACTACCGCACGATAGCAATACACAGCGGCCCCAGGAGCCACATGCTTAACCAAAAAAGCCACTCTATAGCCACAAATAATGCTGAGAACAGCACCTAACTTCATCAACAGTACATATAGGGTCCTAGCCACAGTTATAGCCACCAAACATCTTTTTAACTTTGCCTAATTTCTTTAGCAAAGAGACTAAACACAACACACCTACTCTCTTCCAGCAGCCGCTTGTTTGTACAGAGACCTCAGATGAGTCCTTTACTGCTGTGGGGTGACGCAGCTCAAGGATGAACATTTATGATCATTTCTTTATTACTTTCTTGAAGTAATAATCACCATATTAATCATTTTGCACTGCAGAAGCCGTAGTTCTTCTGCCCTAGCGCCCCCGTCTGATTTTACCTAGAAGTACTTATATGTACCAGAACCAGTACCTACATGTACTGTTGATGAAGTTTGGTGCTGTTCGGAGCATTATTTATGACCAGAGAGTGGCTTTTTGCTTGTGGCTCCTGGGGTCGTTACTAAAGTTGGTATAACTAGAGAAGCAAACGGTCGGTAACATTCATCTCTCGTGGGGGTGTCTAACTCGGTGTGACGGTGTTTGACTCTAACTTAATTTTATGCCAGAATATCTCTTTGAAATAATCAAGGGTAATAGGGAAACAAAAGTACATCAATTTGCTGCTGGAACACTTCACATGCTAGAATTCAGACTCCTGCGAGGGGATTGTGCGTTTATAAGAAGGGATGTCTCTCCATGCCACAGCCAGGGGGAAAAAAATGTGTGACGGACCTTTATGCCCTAAATGATCTCAAATTCATATGTTTTTAGTGGTTAAAGTACAAAGAAGTTGGTCAAACATGAGCCACACTGTAGTTTGTCTAATACACACGGAATAATGGACTTAAACCACCAGTACCACTGGCAGCCATCTTTGTTTAAAACAAAAACTGACTAAATGGAGCTTAAGCTTGCCCCATATCAGCTTAAAGATTGTGAAAGGCCCAGCCTTATTTAGGTTCGACTGGAATTTTCCCAAACAGGCCAGACCAGACAAATCCCTTTATATAAGTGGATGTGGCCTCTGGCAAAGTGTCTTTAAAACTACAGTCCCTCTCAATGTCCAATCAGAGGTGACTTGACTAGCACAATGAGAAGTTTTACCGTATAAAAACAAACAGTCAACAAAACGTGAAATTCAAGGATTTCAGAGTGAGTTCACAAACCGAATGGTTAGCCAACATGTTTGTCTACTTCACTTCATTTTTAGAGTCTGTGACCTCTAGGTTCTCAGCTCTTAAGGCTGGATAACAACCTTTAGTGCGTTCACTCTGCTTGATACCAGGTTTGCTCATTTAGGAGACTTTGTGTGACTTTGTAGAAGAAGACAGAGGAAGAGGTTTACCTCGCTGCACTCTGGACATTCTGGAGCTTCTCTGGAAACTTCAGCAGAATTTCGTCTTTTTTCTTTGCCTCCTGTGTGAAAAGAAGAGTCAGACAAATAAAATCCATATGTTCACCACATTATCAAGAAACACTGCTGCAGTTTGAAATGCTTTTCTTTGTCTGGTTACATAACAGAGCTTGGCTTGCCTCTCTTGGCTCTATTCTGTTTCCTGTCACCATCTGCTGTCCACCTGCCCTCCTGTTATTTCAGTACTTCTCTATTTACATGAGCAAGACAGCAGAGAAACATGTACACAGAAGCGCCCTAAAAAGCTTCTCTGCATCTCAGTTTGTTTGTTTTCAATCACACAAATTTGAAGTTTTGTGCAGTCCCACCGATACAGACCACACATGTGCTTCCTAACAGAACTAAAACGTGATTTAATCGTGTTGAGTCATCATGAAGATACTTTTATGAAGTCTTCAAAAGAGCTTCTACAGCACAATACTCTCAATCAGTGTATTATATTATACAATACACTGTAATAATACATATTATAAAAGTGTACATTAAACTGTTTAAAGTAAAACGGTCAAAACACATATTTTCAGAAATCATGCTTTACTCTAATTGTTCTATGTTTTTCTACTCAGCCTCTGAATGTTCCTGGTAGGGGTGTTCCGATACGATATTAGATATCGGTCCAATATCAGCATATATCATGGTGATGGTCTCTCGTTACTTAATTTTACTCTGAAATATCCCTTTAAGTCAGATAAACAGGTTGCCACTGAGTGAAAAACTTGTCATGCACAATTTTGTGCTAATATCGGATCAATATCGGTATTGGTCAATATTAAAGGCTACAATATCGGTATCATATTGGAAGTCAAAAAGTTGTATTAGGACACCTCTAGCTCCTGGTTATTGAATTTCTGTTTTTGTGTGATTTTTTTTAAAATTTCTTATCAGGCTCTTTTTCCCTTTTTTATCTTCTATGTCCTTGTTGGTGTTGTTGCAAGTACTTTCAGACTGTTGTCTGTAAACAGTGCTTTATACAGCAATTTACATATCAAACACAGTAGCTACTTCACTGGAGAAAAAAAGCTCATAAGAAAGACCTAAATGGTCACTTTTACTCCTACACTTAAATAGAAGTAGTGACGCTACAGCTTACAGACCACTCCAATGCTTTTAACATCCAATTTTATGCTAATGCAGTGACCTTGTAGCTCCACGCTGCTTTATTTTATCAGACTTAAAAGAGAAGTCTCAAAGTGCTGCAGCCTTTACTAACCATGGCGACAAAGTGCAGCAGGTTCATCCCGGGTTTGTTCGCCTTGGTGTCCGCCAATGAGAGGAGAGACGACAACTTGAAACCTGCAGCATTGCCTGCATAACCGCCCTGAAAACCAGAAGAAAAATAAATCAAATGAAAAGTCAATGAAAAGTAACACATACAGATGGTTAAGAATAAAGCTGCCATGGGTTTTTCTAATTGACCACAAATCTGATAAAAAGGTCAAAACATGCCCTAAATAAGCTAACAAGTGCAGCCTATGTAGCTAAAGCCTGATATAGCTTATCCCTCTGTGCCATAGACCTCAGCTTGTTTCTAGACTGTATTTAAGAATTAGGTCAACATTTAAACAAGAAGTTGGGTTTCAGGAAAATGCTGATTTTGCTACTTGCTTGGAGTAAAAAATTAAATGCCTATACTGTTGTTTCTTTTGTGGAGAAAATTAGAGCAGCAACGCATTAGCCTAGCATGAAGCAAAGGGAAAGGAAAGCAGCCTGACTGATGCTCTTTGTGGCATAAAAAAATGAATTTTATGATATCCAATAAAATGAGCAGAGAGGGTTGAATTTAATGAGTGAGGTTTAGAGGAGTCGTTGGATTTCTATAGAGCTGACCAAGCTTCCTCTGGTTGTTTCCAGTCTTAAAGCTAAGCTACACTCACTATTTCAACCAACTGACAGACTGCTTTGGACAGCAGTTGTTGTCTTAAAAAGAACTCTAAAATAACACCATATTCATGCACTGAGTTGGGCTGATATATTGTCAAATATATAATGAAAACATTACTGTAAAATCATAACTTTAACACTTACAGCATTCAGGATGTTTCCAGCTTGCAGCACAAGATGCAGAATAGCATGAAGCTCCTCACAGTTCATCAGATCTAAAGAGATCAATATGATAACCATTAAACAGGCCACAGGAGATAACACCCAGCTGTAACACACTACTTTACAGCTATTACCATCACCACGCAGCCCAATTATGACCACCCTGGACCAGATTTTACATCTGAAACTCATATTTCAGTGTTAACAGGGAGGCTGAGTGTTAAATTACTTTGCTAAGATTTAATTCAAATGTGCTGAAAGAGTTCAGCTTAATTTGTCCCATGCAGTGTTGAACTGACAGCCCTGCAATGCAGTGAAAAGGTCACAGTACAGTGGCAGAGGTTTAAGAAAAATCCAATACGGCACAGAGAGAGAGAGTGACTCAGCTGAAATGACACAGGCTCAAGTGATGGGAGCAAAACAGCTCTGTTTAAGAGATCTTTTTTTTCAGCTTAGAAACACAATGAGTATGTCAGGAGGGTATGGACACAGCTCTGTATTTGCAGCACTGTCAAGTATTGTCACATGCACAGAAGGTGCTACACTTTGGTTCACTGAATAGCTACAAAACAAATACTATTTAAGTCAGCCCTGAAGTCTGCATGCTAAAGTGCATGGCTAACTTGGTAAATTTGAAATCATCTCAAGATCTGAATTAAAATCTAAATATTAAAGGGTTTCATTGTGATCACTTTATCATGGTAATGCTAGCATTCCACTCAAATGTTGCAGTCCAATAGTGTTGGAACAATTGGAAAAGGAAGATCCTGTGAAGCCAACACCTCTGAAAGTCTTAAAAGGTTTTGAAACACCAGTTGCTAATTTGATGTCAAGTTACACAGAAACATGATGAACAAAGATATACTATTGCATGAGTTTTTGCTTTTACTGCTTAATATGGTTTTAGTTTCTATTGTGCTCTGAACATTGAAAGCTCAAAAGTACACCAAAGTCTTGAAAATGTTAGGATATGCACTCTTCTGAGGGGCATGTGAATGCAGTTGAAGTTCCACAATCCCCAAGCATGGTCAGGGTTTAGCAGTTAGCATGGCTGTAATAGACTGTTTAGTTCATGTTCAGTACAAGTGAGATTGACAAGGGAGAGGATGAGTTAAATATGAAACTTGACAGTAACTCTCAACTTGAAATTAAAAAAGACCAAAGTGAATCTTTGCAAACTTTCGACCAAGTATCATCCACGTACATTTAACCCACAAAAATAAAAAACCCTTCATACTGTATAAAGATGAAACAGCCATGTCTCTTCTGTCTGTATCTCAGGTGACTCATTTCTACACTTTGTTGAGCTCACTGTCAGCTCAAATATCTGGGTTCCCCAACTGAGCGAGTGTTACTCTGTCAGTCTGAGTGTGTTAGTGTTGCACCAACTGTGTTATGTTACCTTTAGTGGCGACACGGACAGTATCGATCTCGTTGCTCATTACGTTACAGGAAGGGAAGAACTCTTCATGGAGCACCATGGCCTCGATCCGAATCTCAAACCTGTCGCAGACAAAGTGAAGAGAGGTCAAATGTGAGATCCACTGAGGTGAATCTTAGTTTGTAGGTTGTGACCAGACAGAAGGAGGTGTCGGACTTCTTTTAAAGCTTTAATTCTCAAAGTGGGGGTCACGTAAACCAATTCAAACCTTTTTTTAAACTATAATGTATCCATGATTGCAAATGAGACATAAAAAATATCAATTTCAGACAAACCCATGCTAACACAAGATGTTTTGTCAGTTTTCTACTTTTTTGACACGTAACTCTTGAGGTGATAATGGCAGATCAACAACTGCAGCAGTTTCAGGGAGATCAATTTAAGGCTGCACATGAAACACAGTGCACAAAGTTCAGCTTCATTTGCATCAAGATTTCTTGTATTCTGCTTTCAGCTTTTGTTCAATTACTGTTAAATAATTGTTTTTTGCTTGTCTTGTTCTTCTGTGTCATTAGCACATTTATTCTTTGGATTAACATATTAGTATGTGCAAAAAAAACAGTGTATCTGTTAAAAAAAACAAACATCAATCTTGGCGTACATCATTTTTGAAACATTTCAGGATGAGAGTGAAGATTCCAAACAATCAATATCAAATACAGATTAAAAACTTATCGATTAACATTTGAGAGCAAGGCAAGAAGCACAAGTTAGTCAAAGTTTCCATAAATCTAACTTTAAAAAATACCACAATGGAAGATGCAAATCCTCTTTTATTAACAATCAATCAATTTTACATTCCCTATTGAGTGAGACGACACGTCTGTACACACCATAAAACCAACTTACCGAGGCACCTGGATCAGGAGGAACATAAAGGAATCGACCAGTGTCAGCTTGTCTGGGTCTCCTTTAAATGACTGAAGCTTCTTGATCTGTGAGTGAAGATAAAGAAAGAGGAAGCTCAGCTGTCTGTGCTGTTTTCGGTCTTTATGATCAGTGCTACTGAAAGGACACAGACCTCGTCAGCGTCGGGCAGGAGCCTCAGCAGGTCTTTGAGCAGCTCTGCTCCGTAAATCTTTCCTTCTCCTTGTCGAATGTCCTCCACGATGGAGCTGTTGGACCTGGATGAGAAATATTTCAATTAGGTTGGATGATGAATAGCACGGGTAATCTCTAGAGATGCTCGTTTGAGTTACAAAAAACTGCCTGGCTTAGCAAAATTTATAGTTAGATACAGTATTTCAAACATGGGGACAGACTGTCACATGTGTTCTTGGAAATCTTGGCCTCATTTAGTGGAGAATTAGGGGCTGATGCTGCTTATAGTATGCCCATAAAAAGTTTTTTTTCTGCTACTAAAAGGTCACAGTTTTAAGTTACTGAAAAAATTTGAAAAAAAAAAGGATCTTAGATAGACATTAGAGATAACATAGCATGTTGTTTTTAAAAACTATATGCAGCCATCAAGTTACTATGTTGTTATGTCTGTGTAGTCAACACTTGAACATTTTTTGAGCGGCCCGCTCTTTCTGACTGTAAACGAAGCCATTCTGAATTTAACTGAAACGATACGAACGAGCAGGAGCGTCTGTTTGTGGGCAGATCTTGCTGGAGCAGAGAGGGAGGGGAGAGGAGGAGCTTAGGGTAAAACTGGTTGGGAGGGGTAGTGTTTACATTCAAGATTTCTCCCCAATTTGGTACTTCCTCAGATCCTGCCTACCTCACCTTTAAGTTCTTGTGTGCTACATAAATATGATGTTTAAAACAAGCAAACCAAAACTAAAAGTCAGATTAGAGAGGCTCAGGTGGCCTACCAACTGAGGTACGTTCTCTATGTGCAGACCTATGGTCCATGTCACAGCAGTTATTAACTGCTCACTGGACGCCTTCTTCACTTTCCTATGTAATAACTTTGAAAATGCCCCGAAAATAACTTAAATAAAGACAAAAATACACAAGCAAAGAAAGATTCAGATTTCCTCAAACAGCCTCAGAGATGTTTCGGTCTTGGTGCACAGCTGTACTGGACAGTTACACTTATTGAATTTAATTGAAGGGGAAGTTAAGTTTATCCAAACCAGTATTAAGTGATGGTAGAGCTGTACATATTAGTCTTTGTATCAAACTTGACCGCCACTCACCCTAAATTAGTCACTGTAATGATGTCAGCGCTCACAGTCAGCCCTGACTCACCCAAGTATGGCCGACAGTCAAATGTCATTGAAATACAGTGGGGAGCAATGCAAATACACTGACATGCAAACACACAACTCCTATACTCTGCTTCAAATTACTTCTTCAACACGACGATTTAAGTGTTGAGTCTGATCAAACACAACTTAAGATTTCCATCTCTAATTAATTATAAACAATGCCGTGCTTAAGACGGCTTATTTCAGTAGCTGATACAGATTTGGAGTCTAATCTCCTGTGGCTTTAAAGCTTTTTCATGGAATCTGCCACAGACTGGCTTAATAATACAAACTAAAAATGGAAAATGTTTTTAATAAGTCTCAAGGACACACGTCTATTCAGTTTTCCTTCATTCTCAAATGATCCAGTTCAAACTTTTCAGATGCATGCCACAATCTGTGTTTTTGCCAAGACACTATGTATAGCTCATATCTTTCACAGCTTCAGCTTCATAATTTAGCCTTTAAGACTCAAGGCTCGAAAACTTTTACACAACTGCACCAAATTTCATAACAAGGGGCCCACAGGAATCTAACAAGTAGACTGTACAGGAAACTAGGTTAGAGAAGGAAAAATTTGATTACATTAGTCTTTAGGTTTCTGCTCAGTAAACAGATAGACATACAGGAAGCTATTGTTCACCCAAACGGTAAGCCATGACTGAACCTCCTGTAGATGTTGCCTGAGATTCAAGTCCCGGATCTGTGACGATAAACACACTCCACAATAAAGCTCTGCTGGCTTTGGTGATGTGGTTTCTCACATCAGTCTGATCAGCAGCACCTGTACGCTGAGCTTTAAGTTGGTGGCTCAGACTTAAAGTACATGGATGGTATTTTAACTTAATTTGACACAAAGTTCATTTTAAATGGGATATATGAACTAAGTGGTCAGGGGAATCTTTTTAAGTGAAATATGATTTTAAAAACGTGTTATTTTTCCATCTTAGCAGAAGCAGGGGCTTAGGTACGCTGTGCCAAAAGAGACTAAAAAACTGCTAATAAGACAATACACTATGCCAATTAAGAAAAAGCTGTGCTGTCACTAATACACCCTCCACTCCGCCCTCGGAGTAAAACAGCAGGACAGACTTACTTTTTGAATTGTTTCAGGAAAATGCCGACATTCATCCCCCTCTTGGAGTCAAGGATGCTGACCTGGAAACACATGAAACACATCTCAAGTCATGCATGATTAGACGGTGCAGTTTGTTCCTCATAAACAACATAAACCCACACCCCTCCCTTCCTCCCGTTACCACACATCGCTGTTGCTGTCGTGAAAAACACAAAAATCCCCACCCCAGCACTACTTATAGTTGCCCTATGGGATACTGAAATTCCACCGGGCCTCATATGAGGTTCACACCTCCCTCATTATCAATGGCTCTCAGTGCTTTTCTTGAACAGGAGACTGTGCAGTATGTACATTTTTAAAAAGACTCCCTAACAACACCTCATTACTGCTTTTAGAAAGGCGTTTCAACTGAAGACAATGACTCCAGCTCAGGTGGAGGAGAGCAGACAAAAGACCACGGGAATAAAATTGACTTTGACGTGTCTTTATATAAACTAAGTGTCATAAAGTAATGAATATATAAAGAATGGTAACAGGACTGTAAGACTCCTCCTTCAATAAAATTCTTCTTCTCCTTCATCTTCTTTAAAATGAGTTATTAATTCAGGTGAAAAGTTTTTAAAAAGTTTTAACTGTTGAGAAAAAACTCCCAAAGGAGAGTTTGATCCGACTGAAAACGGCTCACACTCTGAGGATGGAGTCGCTCCATTGTCCTGACAGAGAGGTGACTTTGTGTCATATGTCTCTATGCTCCATGTACGTAGGTGTTGCTTTACAGCTCACGTGTTTCTTTTCAGGAGTCAATGACGCAAGAATCTGTTGTTTTGTTTATGGGCACAAACAATTTTTTTACACTCAAAGCAAAGCTGTAACTGAGCACAGTTACCTAACTTGTCCCTGCGGAGAGATTTTAGTTCAGTGTGAGTAGAGTTATGTACTGTGGTACAGTAAATCCTGTCTTAAAAGTGTGCTCAGGATCTTTGGTCACCAGCAGGTTTCACACATGTTTGAAGGACAATGGCAGGTGATGCAAAAGTCTATATGTAAATTATTGTTTTTAATTTTTTTTTTACAAAATCAATTTGCATTTTCCAACTACTGATTTTGAAATGACAGATTATTTTAGTAACAAGTCTGAACGTATTTCAGTTAGACCCGATAATGACAGTGTGCCAGACGACTGATGTCAGGAGTCTTAGGGTTAGACCTTACATAGTTTTGGCAGTTGAAACAACCTCAACTCTCTTGTAGAGATACTGTACTCTTACAGTTAGCTCATCTGCCGTAAAAGTCTGGATGCAAATCACTGTCGTGTCACGTTTAATTTCAATATGACAACTGTGCTTGTCAGTGTTTTTCATGAGGAGACCACTGATTAATTTAGTTTTGAAGCGTAACTTTATCGGCTAAGATAAGATAAGAGCCAACTCAGTCCATCTCCTTTTAAACAGCAAGCAAATCTTGTCTGGTATGAAAGACACCTTTTGCTTTTTTACATAATACAGCTAGAATAGAGACATAAAAGAATGCTGTTGTGAATGTGTGACAGGCTACACCAGCTTTATGTCGTCTTTGCGTACCAATCAACTGATTCAAGTTATATAATATGTACTGCAAGTCCTTCATGTGAAATGTAAGGACTTCCCACACAGCGGGCCACTCCAGTCTTATTAGCACTGATGCATGATCTCTATGTGAGTGTTTTGACCTTGTTAATTGTAAAGACACATTTTTTCACCCTGCATGGTGTTACAGCAGAGTCATGACAGACACTCACGTCCTCCTTGCTGCTCTCCTTGTAGGATCGGGACCTGGAGACTCGAGCTGAGGACCCTCTGGCCAATGTTGGCCCACGCACTCCTGTGGACGCCTCCTCCTGCTGCCCGAACAGCTCCTCCACTGACTGCACATCGATCTGGTACTGCTGCTGCCGCACCGCCATAGTCCAGATGTTGGGCTTCTCACGCACCCTCTCCTCCGGTATCGGCTTCCAGAAGAAGCTGCGCACGCGGCGCTTCTTCCTCGTGTTTTGGTTGGTGGACGTGGTAGCCGGAGGTGGAGGGGGCGGAGGTGCATCTGGGGGAGGAGGTGGTGGCAGGGGGGGAGGCGGGGGAGCTTTGTGGCTGGAGGTGTCGGGGTCATCGCTGAGGGAAGGTATGTTGGCGTGAGTGTGTGCGGACATAGAGGACGGGTCAGAGGTGGTGATGGAGGAGGTGGTGCAGCTGCTTCCCTCACTGCTGCAGCTCTCTGGCTCATTGGTTGTAGGTAGAAAACTCATACCAAGCCTCACAGGGAATAACAGCCAGCATATGAGCTCTAATCTGACAGATAGTGGAGCCAAAACTTATTTACCTGATCTTTATTTTCACAAAAAAAGATCTCAGAATAACTGTTTTTTTTATCTTTAGGTACATCAATTTAGCCTAAAATTATCTCAACACTGAGGAAGTGAGGTGTCCCTTCATCTAGTCACAATGAAGGGAGCATGTCCTTTGATTCTGTCCGTCTCCATCACTCAGCTGGTCAGCCATCGTGCTGAGCAGAGCCTTTGAAGGTTACCTCCTGGGGGTAGAGGGCGGAGGTCTGCGATGGCCATGGAGCTGCAAGAGCAACAAAAACAACACAGGACGGATTATATAGAGGCAGTCACGCATGTTGTCGTGCACAGTCCAAAATTAGGGGAAATTAAGGGGTGCCAAAGATCAAAAGAGAGGGGGTACCTAGACAAAGAGGCTCACAATGAGGGAAATAACAAATCCTATTTTTTTTCTACTTTTGAAAGGCTTTGAAGTCAGGCTGTGGGGTGATTAATGGTCACAGACATTACAACCACTGCTAAGATTCTGTTACATAATCAGGTATCAATTTTATCTCAAGACATTTTCCTGTAGCAAGAAAACAAATAGAAACGTGATTACATAAACAGCTGAGAGACTCTCTTATGTGGTCTTAAAGCAGGTGCAAGTTCATTTGGATTCAAGGTAAGATATAAATCTGCCCAATATTTGTCCACTTAATATAATCCACTTAATTTCCATCAGACAGAGTCAAGTAAAATTAACGTTTACAGGATGGATAGATGTCCTCCTGAGTACAGCTTTATTGAAAACAGCCTGCGGTCTCAGCTGTTTTCACATCAACATCACCTGAGGGAAGGGCCTGTCACAGAGTGACACCATTAACAAACATAACAGAGCAACAGCAAAGAGTAGTTAAAGCAGCTTTGTCAGATATCATCAAGCAGCTGTACAAGTGAATAAATGTTATTGTGTAGGACGGTGATTCAACCTGTTGAATGCAGATAATCCACTACAACCCAAGTCCTGGCTACCTTTAACAACAATCTAAGAAGCAACACCAGAGTAATTTTTCTTGCACCTACTGTAAGTGCTTATAGATTGTTCAGTATGTGAGCACGGAAAAAACCCAAGCATTCTCCAACCTCACAGACCAGAAGGAAAGGAGGTGCCTGACCCTCCTCTCTGTCTCTGCCTCTATGTCAGGTTAGCACTGCAGCTCTCAGTTGGAGGGAAACTGGTCCTGTTTCAGGACACACACATCACTCACTGCCATGGTTGACATGGCTGCAGTGATCTGATACTCCTCTCTGCTTCAACAACAGAAGAGAAAGGTGTTTCTGACAAGCAAAAAAAAACAAAAAACAACAGGAGATAATCAGAGGAGAAGTGGTGAACTGGGGTCATAACATGAACTCTCTGGAGCCTGAAAGAAAAGAATTTGGTTTTAGTGATAGTCAGCTTCAAGAACCTTCAAGATAGGACATTTATCTCAGTAAGAATTAATTCAGTCCCTTCACAACACCCTTCTCTGCCTCTTACACAACTACAGTAGGTAACATCTAAGAGGTAATCTCCTATTTGTCAGCAGCTGGGACCACCTGATACTCAGAGTTTATGACTAATTAATAAAGCAGACGTCACAAATGGCCTCATGTTGCCAACATCAGCCTACGCTCTCAACTGCGCTGTCCTCATAGCCGGACCACACCGTCACTCATGTCTAATTCATAAGACTGTGAGAACATCTGACCTCACACTGAGTCAGCCCCTCCTGGTGCTCCAAACTTGTCTATGCTAACAGACCCTGTGGGGAAAATTCAGGAATTAAAAACATGTCACTGACTCACCTGTTGCTCACTGTTTGGTCTCCTTACTGTCAGCTGTCTTAAATGAATAATGAATGTAACGATTGTTATTGTAGTGATGAACAAGAAGCTTTAAGCTCTCTTCTCTGAGCTAAATGTAAGCAAGTTAGCTAGCTTTGGTTAGCTTACTTAGCCATACTACCAAAGGGGATAAAAATAATTAACCTAGCTGCTTTAAAAATGACAGACAATAACATAAACAAAAATGTTCTTTTTTAAAGCTGGCTTTTTTACTGATAGGGTATATGTCTAATCATAAAAGCAGGACTTTGTCTTCATATGCACTGCTGACAACTACCCTCTTGCACCGGTTACAAACATTAAAAATTAACATCTAAAATTTCTCTAAAATTTGTCACTGATGGTTTTGTTTGCTTTCAGTTATTATAGAAAGGCATCAATATGAATTTCAGTCTGTTTCACAAACGTCCAAAACCTCCTCCAACCTTAAAACGTATGTGTAACAACATCTAAACGAGGAAACAGCTTGCTTCATTACTTCTTACATATTCCTGAAACAAATTAATTAATTCCTAGGTTGTTAGTTGAATTTAAACTAATTATATATATTATTTCACCTTAAAATTCTGTTTTTCTGTTTAAGATCCGTACTAAGCTAGCTAACATTATTAACATTATTAACACACAAGCACTGCGTAATTGTACTCAGGCTTTAAGTACAATATCGTTGCCTCTTTAGTTAAATCCCTGTGACAGTGACTGATATCATGGTAAGCTATTTAACTTTCATTTTTCTTAAGAAGTGGGAGGCATAAGGAGGGGGTACTCAACAAGGCTGTGACTGACATCTTTTTCCTGAAAATGATTTACAGATGAGGAAGCAGAGGACTCAGTAACTTTATACACGGGAAACCCTGAAGGAGAGACAGAACAATGTGTTTGACAGTTTCTGGATTCACCTGCTGTCGTGAATGAACACAGACAGATTATGGGGCTTTATTTAAAGGTTCACCTGTCGTCTACCCTTAAGCAGTGCTGCTCCTTTCAGTCTTCATTAGAGACAAGTTTTACCCCACCCACTGTCATTAGTCTTTGACAGGTAACACAGGCCTGGACAACAGATGTTAATGTTAACCAATGAACTGTCTTCTACAGCTCCATTAATAAACTAGTAACTGAGACGTATGGTTGGGGCAGGTTAGGGTAACATTATAAAAAGTCCACTGGGTCAGAGTTCAGCCTCAATATAGCTTGAGGTGTTGTGTGTGTGTTAGAGATGCAACATCATTTTTAGTCACTGTCAAAAAATCTTTTAATTATTTTCTTGGCTAAAATGTGATAGTTGTAGCAAAGGCAGCCAGATAGAAAAACTGGTAGCCAGAGCATTATCGAGGAAATCACACACAAAAGCTTGGGATGGCTGGGCCATAGAACAAAACAAGATCACAAAAGATGCCTTCAGATGGACACCACTGGGCAAAACCAATCCCGGGGGGACCCAAAATCACAAACTGTGACACAGGTGCATGTAAGGATGAACCTTTCATGGAGAGAAGCACAACAGAAGAAGAGGAAACCCAGGGAAATCTTATGCTCCATGATGAAAAAGTCACATGTAAGAGGAGAGTAGTTGGGAACACCTTTTCTCTGTAATGTCAACAAATAAACTACAAATCAAAGTCCAAAAGTTATCTGGGAAAAACACAAACTGGGTAAAAAAACATGAGGCCTAAACCTGAATAAGTGAGTCATGATCCAGTCACTGAGCTGGTTGACTGATATACCATGTTTTCATAGTCACCAGATCTCAACACAGTCTATCTAAAGTATTCTGAAATATCCAAATATGGGAATTTGTGGTGCTAATCCCTCATTTGGAGCTTTACAGATTTAAAGGACCAAAAATAAGCAAGAGGCACATTTTGGTTTAAATATGCAAGGACACTGTGTTGTGACTGAGCTTTGTTACCCATCTACAGTTGCATTGTGGGTAAAAGTGAAGCAGACAGACAGGCAGGGATCTAACATTTTTCACAGGAGACACAGCTGAATGGCAGGCTTACCTCACCAATTACTCAGTGCATGTTATCCCAGTTTACTGTAGCTCAGAATGACATACAGCTGAGCTAATCATGTAAAGATGTTAGTTAAGAGTGGGACAAATTGATGATACAGCCACTGCACACAAGTGAAAACTCAGAGGGTCCTGAATTGACACCTGAAGAGTATAAAGATGCTTTTTTTTTCCTTGCTTGATCTTTCATAAAAAAAACGTAAAAGGATTCTAACCGGAGGTAACTGCCAACAAAAATCCAGGGAGCCATCAAGTCCAAAACAAATAAAATCCACTCACACAATTGCGTACTGCTGAGGGTCGAGGTGCCTCCAGCTGCTATAATAATCCCCTGTTGCTGACTTCCAGTTCAATTTCTTGAGGGTCAGTGAACACGCCACAGGGCTGAGATCTTTCACTCACGCTGTAAGAACGGAGAGGTGTGTTCAGAAGGTATTTGGCCAATTCTGCTACACCATCATTACCATGGGAACGCTCGTTAGCAGAGGGAAGTTTTGCGTAGGCCTCAGTGGGATGTCGCTGTCAGACCTGTTTGTTTTTCATCCCCCCGACAACCTTGATCTCTACTTGTCAAAACGGTGGTAAAGTGGCAGCCAGTGATGGGATTGTGGCCGCAGTGAGATCTTTTTAGTAATCAACATGACTGTAACACATGATTATATAATTCAGGGCCGCTGCTATGGAACTTAAGCTAAGTTATGGACTTATCCATAACTTAGCTTAAGTTCTTTTTCTTTGAAACTAAAAGGTTAAAAGTGATAAATGAATCCAGGAACAGGAGAAGTATTACTGACTGGTTTTGTGATTGTGTTTATATCATAATACTTTCATATCTTCACATCTAAAAAGATGTTTGTAAGGCGAACAAGAGAGAGTAATACGCAGAGAAATTAACCAGCTTTCTAGCGCCCCAAAATTTTCCTGACTTTTACCTGTTGTGTTTACACATCGGCTTACCCGAACTTCTCCTGAGAGTTTTACTGTGGACTTGCAGAAACAAAGTCTGGAAAAAGTCAGGATTAAAGAGTCTGCCGTTTGCATTCACACAAACTTCATCCCACCCAAATAAAGTCTGGAAATTTCAGGAATTTTCTGCAAATGTGAAACGAGCTGTAGTGCCTCCTCACAGTGACGCCCACCAACAAAGATGTGGGCTCTTTGTTTTGCTGCTCGATAAATGAGTTGTAAAACCTTTGCAAATTTTTACCCTTTAGTGACTGAACAATGAATGAACCTTTTAACACAAGTTCAAGAGGGGAACTCGTCGAGTTTTGTCATCAAATAGGGACTTTGCCTCTTTGGATTTGTTTCAGGTCTGTAAACTAACAGTTTTCCAAGCTATAAGATCCTCAAACTACTTGTTTGCAGTTCTAATTTTATTGGAGTCTATACAACGACACACCAGCCCAAACAAAATGAAAGTCAAAGCCTCATTTGTGAGTCCCTATAGGGAATCTCTGATCCTAAAAGCAGGGCTCTTGCACATCAGCCTAACTGCTAAAATTACACCTAAATCTAAATGAAAATCTTCTATTTGTTTTTCATTTTACAATTTGTTTCCAATTTAAAGTTAATGCTGTGTGTTTTTATGTACCTTTCAGCACCTCAGCATGTTTACTGAGACGCCCTTGTTAAAAAGAACTTCCTGTACTCTTGGGACCTTCATTTACAGCCCTGGCTGCACACACTGACCTGGACACGACTGCCCAGACACCAAAGGCAAAATGACTCTGTTGCCAAAATCTTTCTGAACACAGTGGATCTACAGGGAAATTACACCTTTTACTGTCTATTAAGCAAAAAGAGACAAATCTTCTCAATCCGATGATTCTCGGCAAATGCAGAGAAGCTGCAGCTCATCATTCAGATGTAGCAGAAGGTGACAGACTGCAGCAGAATCACTAACGTATGCAAGCTACATAAATCTGGTCCATTACATAAGTCCTATGACCACTTCAGCCTCAAACACAAACGTTTTATACCAAGGTCAAATAAATTCCCTTTTTTGTATAATAATCTTTTTAACACCTGTGATTTTCTCACAGTGTACTCTCATAACAAAAAATGCAAAAAGTTATAAGCCAAACAAAACATGCCTGATGCAGTTTGTTGCACGGGTGTTTACTGCAACACAATACCGGAACAAAACACAGTAGAAAATAAAGTCTGGTTGAGCAACACATGTAAAACAAGGAGCCCATTATTCAGGAAATCCAGGATTTATGAAATACTTTCAAAGCTTGAGCTCTTGGTACCGTCATGTCTGTATTTTACTGAGTGAACTCTGGCAGAACCTGAGGGTGTGAATTATTCAACTCCCCATGAATAAAGTAACTTCTCCATTGACTCAACTGCTGATGTCTTGAGTGGATAGACACTAAGTGGTGCTGACCCAGACGCAGCTCACCTGTGTAACTTCAGGACTTAGTGATACATTTATAACCCCAGAAAAAAAAGAAAAGAACCACCAGACCCACTCTGAAAAAGAAGGGAGGACATTTTGATGCCTTGTGAAGATTCCTGAGAGGTTTACAGAATTATTTATGTTTACAAACAGAGAGGAGAGGAACTCAAAAACTACATACCAACCACATGAAACAGGTTTGAAATACATTCATGACAACCAGTACAGATGATGTTACCATTAAGTGCTGACAGCAAGTGTTTTGCTGGAGTCAAATATAGACGTTTACTATAAAGCACAACTGCTGGCAACAAGCTCAAAAAGACACTCATCCACTACTCCCCACTTCTGACCTGTGAGATCTTTCTAGAAGATTATATGAAAAGTTCACAGACTGAACAAACCTTGTCCAAAACACAGCTCGCTTTCCTGCACTCATAATCACATCACAGCCGTCCCACATTTAGCTATACCCCAGCTGAGGATTAGATATAACCAATTGCACTGATTTCAACAATAACTTATTTTCTTCTGTACCTATTTTCACAAAACATTTAAAGCTACAATCGCTAACTTTTGGTTTGCGTGAACTTTGGCGCCCCATGTGTACAAAGTGGTAAATTGTTTCTCTCTGATGTTTTGCTTGGTACTTTTTGTTTTTGTTTGCAGATAATTCATTTTTCAACTATCACTTGGTGTAAATGAAAAATGAAGGATAAGACTATTTGGTATTGAACACAACAAAGTCATTTCTGCTTTTAAGCCCATAATGATGCACCAGTTTTTATTTCAAACCTGGTTATAATTTCCTCACAGAAGCCTTTAGGTGAGTGAAGTGTTTATCAAAAGATTTCTATTAAGTAATGAAAACTTACTTTTTTGCCACTACTCTTACATTTTTGTAGTCTGTACAGATTATAACTTTGTGCCTCCTCATGAAAAATGCTTTTCTTTTTCTTTTAAACATCTTTTTATTTCACAATGATATAACAACCAAAAAAAGAGTCTGCTCTTTTTTTTCTTTATCCCAAGGGATACAAAAGAAGAAGAAATATGTATATGTATATATAAAATGATAATCAATTATATCAATAAACTCTATCCAAATGTATACATATAGGTTATATATGAACATATGAGCAGCAGCAGATCTTGGACGCACTGATTTAATACTTTCCACTATAGTTTGAATGCTGAGGCTGTGGCAGCTATCACTTTTCAACTGTGTTTTAAGTGAGTGGTTTTGTAATCTGTTAAACTTTGATTTACATTCAATGAGACATACTCACATACTCACTCATTTTAGAGCACCAAAGCTTTAATGGCATTTTACATGTGTTAAAATTGAACTACATGGCTTCATAAATCTAACATCTTAAATTTATACTTCACCGTACAGGAGAAAGGGACAGAGCTTGTGGCTCACTGCACCTGTAAGGCAAGCTGAGGAGAGGTCTGCTAAAAAACAGAAAGACATAAAAAGGTCAGTCTGCTTTTTTTTTTTTTTTTTACTTTTTGCCTTATGCTCCACAGCAGATAGGAGGTGTGTTAATTGTTGATGTCTGGTCCCAGGTTGGTCCGAAAGATAAGAATAAGAAGAACTTTTTTTATCCCTGAAGGAAAATTCAATTCAATATACATAAAGATGGCGCCACACGTACAGTTACGTCATGTGATACCCACAAGTAGCATAAGCAAGAAGAACACCTAAGAGCCAGATGAGGCTAAAGGTAACAACATCTATTATAATAACATCAGATATTATATTGAATCTTAACCCATGTATTGTACTGTGTTGTCTGATTCCTGCCAGCACCCAATGACTTCATGCTGTCACGGGTATTGCACATAAACAGTTACATTAGCTCTTAATTTGCTTGTTGCTCTTCCTTAATCCTCTCATGATCACACACACATCCTCTCTAAGAGAATCAATAAGTTAAAACACTCAAGCTTTCAGCTTTTCCTTGGCAGTGGATGAGCTTGAACATCAATAAATGCGTCAGTTCACATGCAGTCAAATCAGGTGATCCTCATCGTATGGTCCTTTTCTACTTCCTCTACGAGCTAAAACCTGCCTGTTTATCTCTTAACTCCTTAACTACGCCAAAGTTCATGGCTTTGCCTCTCCAAAAATGATCCTGAATTAAATCCAAGGTAGAAGAAGCCAATATCACAGACCAACTGACTGAGAGAGTCAAAGGTGTTGTTTGTGACATTCTTCAAACTACGATGCAGAATCTGGTTAAGATACGTTAAAATTTAGGTTGACTGGTTCGCTACACATAAAGTCTGTCATTCAAAAACAAACAGCCATGCGTGATACAGCCGGCTCTGCATACAGGATTAACATTTCCCAAAACAAAACTCAACAGTTCCTTCACTCTCAAATCTGGCATTAAGGAGATTATTACTCGGAATTATTCGTCTAGAGTGAGGAATGATTTACTAATAAGGTCGAAGTGCAGTTCACCGCACCTAAAGCATTGTGAAACTTAACCTGCATTATTGACTGCTATGGCTCTTTCCATCACAGGTTTATACACTAAAATGCAGCATAATACGCTCTCTCTCAAATAAGTAGGTTAATGTTCTCATTGTAGAGACAGCTAACTACACAACTTTGAAACCATTAAAAAAGTCTCCTGAAAAGCCAGAGGACTCCAGAACAGTCTCTTTAAACTGATCCAAAAACAAGAAGTCATGCTGGTTCATCAGAAAGGCAATTAAATCCACCAGAAAACTGTCCCCGATGTTCCTCTTCACTTACTCAAAATGGCCCACAATTCATAAACGACGCTATAAATAGACTGCACTCTCCTTTCCTGCATCGGAGTGCCATTCAGGGTGACAGGGAAGCTGTCAGCTGGAGGTGACAGGTGAGTGCAGGGTGTCTTTCTTATTCACAAAGTTTAAATGCTGCTCCATTACCAACCTCACAACATCAATTAACTTGTTATTTTATGTAACTGGGTGAAGAATAGCAAAGGTTTGTCATAATTTACAACATTACCTGGTGATTGTCAGTACTTTGCTACTTGATGTATAACTCTAAAGCATTACATTAGGTCTGTTATTGTCGTCTTTGTTGCACAGAATTAGAGAGTGCAAAAGCCTGCAGACAGTCAGGGCAGAAACTATATACAGCTGCGTATCTTTTATATGAAGCATACACCTCTGCAACATGACTTTCTATTGACAGCATGAGGAAATGATTAATGATATGGGACATAGTGGAATTAAAAGCTGCAGACAGCCAAAGTACAAAGGGTGCCAACACCATCAACAATCATATTATAGCTTACATCAGCTGTACATCAAAGTTTTAGCACCATTCAATAAAATACTGTTCCTCTGTGCTGAAGGAGGGCCTGGAGGACAATCTCCTGGAGATGCTTCTTCATTAAAGTAAAACTCTGATTGTAAAGACAAGCTTAATACCGGAGTCTTTTCATTTCGTTTACCTTTTATTGTAGCTAAACACCTGCAGAAAAGACTGTGTGTGATACAGGAGCCCCCCAACACAACTTATCCACCCAGCTTAGCATAAATCTGCTAATAACAGCCTGCATCTGAAAAGAGGTTTTCAGATTTTAAAGATTAAAGCTGCCAGTTTACACTGCACGCATGCCTGCCCTGTCAATAACTGTTTAAACAGGCTTCAGACGGTCTCAGCTAAGACCAATATGAATGACTATCCCAGCTGTATCACAGGTTGTACCACACCTGCTCGCTAACCTGTAACTGCAGAGAGAATTCATTTAATCACACCAGCAGTGAAGGCTTTTAAATCTGACTCAAACAAACAGGAATTTATGCTTATCCTCTTAACAACTGACAAAGCGCAAAAACGTTTTCAACGTCATTCTCATTAAAACCCGATTGGCCAACAGCTGGTCATTTGAAACCATATATCTGTCTCATGAAATACAAAGAAACACCTTTTGCTATGAGAAGATATGAACATGGAAAGTTCAATTTACTGACATTTAAGGGAAATCAAGTTTGACAAGTCTAGTTGAGCACTTTAGCCATATTTAGCCAAAAAAAGTCAAACATTTTTAACCCAACACTGACTATATCCATTTACTGTTGTAAAGTAGATGGCATTTTGTTTCTAGGCTTATAACAGTCCAAGAAAAAAGCTCATGTCTGAAGTTGTCATATAGAGTTTGCCAGGTTTTAAAGGGCATGATCTACATAGGCCACTCTGTTTTTGATGCCTACTTTGGATTTATAAAGGTGAATAAAGAGCAAAAGGATCACTAGCTGGTCTGACCAAGCATCTGAGTGGATGAGAGGCATTGCATGTGTTCCCATATACATGAAAACAGCTCTAATGCTGCGTTCAAGTTACCTCGGAAGTCAGATGTCAGAGCTGAAAATGACATCACACCCGAGTTACCAGCGTTTCAGTTACCAAGTCGGAAGAAAGCAAAATCAGAGGCAGAAACAAGATGGCTACATCTTGACACAACCTTGTCGAGGCAAGCGCTAAAATAACTTTCGTAGATGTAGCCATCTTGTTTTCGCCTCCGATTTTGCTTTTTTCCGACTTGGTAACTGAAACGCTGGTAACTCCAGTCATTTGCAGCTCCGACATCTGACTTCCGAGGTAACTCGAATGCAGCATAAGACCTTGTCCAGTGTGTATCAGTCCGCCCTAGTTATCCCGAATACAGTAAGCTAACATCAGTCTTAATTTATGCGCCTCCAGTTTATAAAGAAGACTTTTATTTCAGATGATGATAGAAACATGCATTAGTTTATCTACAGTAACCATAGGGACTTATAGGGTGTCATGTCAATGTTTGGCATCAACCTAGCATCAACAATCCAGTTTCAGTTAGGCTATAAAAGTCACCATTTGTTCCTCATCATAACATCACACTATTTACTGCTTGTACAACTGTCATGTAAAGGTGCAAAACACCTCACACTCATGTGATATTGCTTAATTACAAAGCATGGGGTTGTTTAATTGTCAGATAATCCGCTGTAGTGTGATATCTAAACTTCTTTGCTAGCTTTGATAGTAGAGCTGCAATAAAAGGTGTTTTTAATGTGTCCTCTGATCAAATAACATTTGTATGGGTAGACTGTAAAGTTAAACCACAGTCTGTCATTTGACAACAATTAAAACTTAGAAGTGAATGTTTCCAGAGGTTGGTTTTATTGCGTTACTGTTGTTTGAGACTGTATTTGTTTAAGATAGGTGTAGTCGAGACACAGTAAACAGAGTTTTTGAGTTTAAAGAGGTTCTGACTGTACTCTGGTGTCCTTTACAGGGTCCAGTATCTGATTCATAGCCAGCAGAGCAGTTGTATCCCAAAGAAGTAAAGGTGAAAAGCCACAGGTGCAGCATTCAAGGACAAAAATTTGTCAAGATTTAATTGAAAAATATTAAACTCAAACTCTCTAACATCCACATTTAGCTAGTGTTATCAAGTCTGAGCATCCACTATGACATGACCTGCAACCTTTGGTTGTTCATTCAGCAAAATAATGAGACCTTACTGATCTGACCGTGACGTAGAGAGTTTTTTTTTACAACTGACTTTAAGAATCAAGGACACAGAAGTCCAAACAAGTCTGGGTCTTTGGGAGAAATCCTCTACAAAACAATCTAACATAATCAAACGAATGTTACCATAATGGATACCTTTGCCAAATAAAGCAACATAAAAATCTGTTTCTATTTTGCTATCTGTATAAGTTTGGATACTGTTCCCATTACAGACATTTAGACATGTGCTTGGATAAGGATTTAACTTGCAGAGGCGTGGGCAGTCGGTGTTTTCTTTTGCTAATCTTTGCAGATGAATGTTTGCAAAACTGTCCCTGTGCAGACCGAAATGATAAAGAAATAACATTAGTGAGTTGCCCATAATAACACTGAAGCATTGCACTGATGCTGCTAAAAAGGTTGGACATTCCCCCGGAGAGGTTTTGTATCATGCTGTTTCTTTTTCATCCAAATAAATTCCAATCTACACAAGTGTTTTCTTTTTCTCTTGTGTGCTAGCTTACATAGCAGTTTAACTAGTCTGAATAAAGTTGAATGAAAGTTAAAGCTGTGGTGTGAATGCTTGGTCAGTTTACTCAGTGCTTCAAGGTCCGTGTGTGTAAATGCCTAGCGTGTCGCTAATAATTGTTTTGAATTGTTTGGATAAAATAACAAGACTCTTTGCTTTCCAATCTTACCTTTATAGACCAAACTATTCAAGAACCTAAACTTCTAAACACCGACATGTACCAGGATAAGACCTTTACTTTCTCACACAATGACACAGCAGCTTCAAAAGTTCTCCGGAGAGTATTTTCGAGAAGTAAATTCCACTGAATCTCTTAATGAAAAACACAAAGGCCGCACACACCCGGAGGAAAAGTAACCCAGGTGAAACAAAACCCAGAGGTAATGACAGGAAGGAGGGACCAGACCAGACAGAGTACACCTTCTGTGGAGCTGCGGATCAAAAAACAGAGCTTTGAATCTCCCTCTGTTTGTTCTTTTGTTAACAGGTGATCAGTGTCTGGCCTGCAGCAGACCACTGCATCTCTATCACCTCTGGCCCTGCTCTCCAATTGTTGCTTCAGCAATCTGAACCCGGTGCCAAGATTAGCTTAAGGCATATCTCACTGCACCCCTTTGCTTTCTCTGCCTGTCCTGTGCAGCTCTGAACCACCGTCTGCTGCCACAGAGGCTTACAGATTAATCACAGCATGTTGAGCACAGTAACACCCCACTGAATGATTTAGTAAAAACTCTGCTTTACTGTGGGCTTAAACCAACAGCAGGTTATTAAACAAAGGGGGAAATAAAGCAGCTGCTTGAGTTGCTATAGAGACGATAGCAGGGAAACAGGGGGGGGAATGTAAACATGTTTACATGGCAGCAGCAGTGGGAGAAGGTGTTTGCCCAAGGGCACAGCGGCACTCCAGGCTTCATTATAAGAACACTCTGTAATACCCAAGAAACAATACTAAAGACAGAACAGGAACAACGATCACATTACCGACTTGTTAAAAGCAACATAGAATTTAGTAAAGCAAAGGTTGTAACTCTGCTGAAACATATAAGATCAAATCTACAAAACATGGTATATTTGTAGTAATTATCCCCATAGTTTGATAACAGGAGCAAGATAAACTAGCCACGCAATATTAAGTATTTTATTGTCCGTAATATGCACATTATCTTCTCTGTTTAATACATTAGCTATGGTGCAATACTCAAACTAATGTGTGGTACAAATGGGATTTTCTGTGCAGTACATATTAAATACTAAGAAACACTCATTAATTTAGGGGGCATTAAATCATCTCAGCATGCAATGCCTGTTAATAGTTTCCAGTCCTCACAATGTAAATATTCAGGACTGAGCAATATGCATTACTGCCCTGCAATAAACGTTATTCTATGTGCATTATAAATGATCTACCATGCAATTTAACCATTTTACTGTACATTACAAGATTAATTTCTTCCAATGCAATACAGCGGTAGATGCTTAACTGTCATACACCTTGGTTACAACATTAGTGAAGGCTTTCTGTTCTGTTTTGTTCTGTTTCTTTGTTTTTTGGACTTTTCTTCACATTTTTTAAGTCTGAAAATGTTCATTCAGAGCCTTTTTCTAATGTAAACAGGAATTGTAATATTCTTATACTCATATTTTCTATTATTTCAAAATATATATCACTTGAATTTTTGCTTTAATTGTACTATTTCCTCATTATTTTTAACCTGCTGATGTAATGACCTGCCTGCTGTGTTCTCTTGCTTTTGTAAAGCACTTTGTAAATTTGATTGTAGAAATGCTTGATAATTTAATGGTTTCCTTTTTGCATTTTCTCAAGGAATATTCCGTTTTTTTCACCCTTGGTTCAATGTTGCATACACGAGACGTAGGTTGCAACATGGGTGGGATTCCTGAGTGTGGCATTCAGGAAAGAAAAAGCCTGAAACCACAACTTTTTAATTTTCTTCTTCTTTTCTCCTGGTTTTGTTTTGTTTTATGTTGTTTCAACAGTTTTTCTGACAGGCTGAGATTGAATTTTTGAGACAAAGACAGATCTTCAGGCAATAAAGACTACTTAAGGTGACCAAACCCCGCAACAACCATTCAACCCCTCTTTGCTCCCACAGAAATAAATCAGCCCCCCAGTGTCTCCCTCCTCAGGATGACGTCAGAGAATTGAGTTTTCCGTGTGTCTCTCTGCTTCCACAGCAACCAAGGGGGGTGTCACCGCCCTCTCCCTTGACCTGACCCGGGAAGAAAGTCCTCTTTTTTCCGTTGGGGTATTGTTCCCCACACTTGAATGGATTGCCCTCTAATTCATCTCAGCATGTATAAAAGTGTACAAAAGCTGAGGAAGCCTCAGTCTGAGGTGCAGAACAAAACCAACAGGGGCAGAGTTATAAAGCTGTGGAGACGAGGACTGAGGATGGGACAGAGAGTTGAGTGTGCGAACCCACAACAACCATCAAAACACTGAAAAGATACTTTGAGTCACTCACAGCAAAATTAATGTCCACATGAGGCTCATGTAATGAAATTCATGTAATGTTTAAAACCCATTTATATTACCATTACAACCAAGACAAGTTTTAAAAGCTTAAAATATTCAAAACTTTAAAGCAGATTCATTGTGATGTCTACTTTATTTTTGGTTGGATAGTGAATTTAAAGTCAGATTGTCATGTTATATAACTCTGATGAGACTAAGTGGATGTAAATACACATTTCATAATGTGAGAACTTTACGTTAGATAACAAAACTGAAAGTTAATGGAAACTATAAAATGGAAGAAATGTTTAAACAATAATACGCCCAATTCAGTCCTGATGAATCACTTAAGTATAGGAAAACTAAAAGGGTCTCTTCATTTAAATAACAGCTGTAAAATATTCAATTTGTAACATTTGTTAAAATCCAAAATACAGTTTTTACTACTCTAAGTACTCTGAAAATACTTTGCCTATCAAAAAATCTTCCAGTATTGACAACTAAAGGTCTTCTGCCAAATTAACTCCAGAGACATAGGGCTTTACATCAATGTTTATATAACTTCAGCTAAAGGCTATACTGTACAGGAACTTCTTGTTGTTATTCAGATCACTGTGTGTTAGCTGGAATGATTTGTCAAAAAAAAAAAAAAACAGCTCTATCTCGTTCAGACTGACACATCATTTGTGGCATAAGTAACAGACTAGCCATTTCAAATGATTATGATGAGATTCGTCTTTCAAATCTTAAAATCAGTATGAAGCAACTAGGAGTTTCACTGATGTTTACACTGACAGCACACAGAAAAGCAACAGATTTGGGCCTCTAACTCCTAAAAATCATCATTATGATGTAATTCTGGAGCTGCACTGCATTGCAGGACACCTTGTGTTGTCACCTCAGAGGCTCCAATAGTAAATACAAACAGTAGTAGGAGGATTCACGCTCCTGCTTAGCTAGCATGGACAGACAGAGTGTCCTCTCACTGTGCTCTCACTTTTTACAGCAGTTACAACATATTTCACATCCACGCACAGACAGCAGGATGCGGCGGAGGAGCCGACCTGCCTCACTTACCGGAGGGATGGGAGGCTTCTGTCGGGACACGTCACGCGCTCCGACCCCGTTGGAGTTAGTGGTCGATACTTTTCAGAGGAGAAAATCTGCGTGTTTCTGGTTATCAGTCAGTCAGGTGAGCTGCTGCTGCTGCTGCGGACGTCCTGGCCGAGCTGCAGCAGGGATACAGTCAGTAACAGCAGTAGCTGCCTGCCTGCAAGCGGCACCACTGTTGTGAGCTTCCTCGTACGTGATTGGGCCAGGTGGAGCAGGCGCGCTCACGTGCAGCCTGCGCGCGCCAAATGCAGGCTTGTGGTGCAATCGCCAGACTGTCACCAGTAATGTACCCTCAGGTGTGTTGATGTAGCGAGGTAGTTTGGTAACACTGAATTGGAAAACTATTCACTCTCAGCACAGTTCAACAAATAAAACACTACTAACTGTTGCTATATTTTTATTTTAACCCGCTTTATTTATTTAGTTTACTGAAGAGTAGGGGAGAGTGGGTTAAGTTGAGCCACCCCCTGTTACTTGGAAATGGTAAAAGAAATTGATCATGTGACCAAATATTCAGGAGATGGGCATCATTTCATGGAGTCTGTGAAGGCTGAAAACACATGGGTGTTAGACATTTATTATTAAAAAAAACAACAATTTTTCATCCTTGAAAGTGAATGTAGTCTGTCATAAGTTTTATCTGAATTGTGTTCAGACAAAAAAAGAAATCATTTTAAATTTGTTTTATACACCAATTGTGGTATCTATGAACTACAACATGAGGTCAAAAACCTAGCATAAAAGTCCACCATTTTAGCTTAGAGGACTAATAAAGTCTAAATTGACTGAATTTTTTGGCATGCTATATTATCAAGACAGTTATGTTTACACTCATTCTGTTGGTTTGCAGGGATGCACAACATCTTTAAATATATGCAGATACACTAGTTAGAGACAAAACTACGAGTGATCCAAAATATGAAAAATGTCTCATCTTACCCCACTCTGCCCTACTCCGGTATGAGTATACTCAATTGCATTAGTTCTGCCTTGCATTAGCAAAGAACTCATCCCACTCAAAGCCATGAGAGTAGATAGCTAGGTAGATATGAATGTGTAAAAATGCATTATTTCTTTATTGCACTCTGTTGATTGACCACCATTAACTTAAGACCACTTAACACGCCACTGTGAGCATGCGTAAAGCAATTTTATTTTCTTGGCGTGCTGTCTAGAGAGCCACAAACGTAAAACACATCACTGACTGAGCTAGTGATCAACATCCTCCAGGCTTTTCTCAGGATTAAAAGGATCCTGTCAAATGTAGGCTGTACCTGTGGGTGTGGTGGTTTTGTGATTATAAAAACCTAAGAGAGAATATAAAAGCACCCAGACCTGTGTAAACACGAGCCGATTTGAATCCATATATCAACAGAACATAAACCACCGCTGTCTATACAGAGGAGAACATGTTGAGAAAAAACAAGGTGAAAGACGAACAGCTTTAGTACGTATATAACTGTAATTTCTCACGATATGTCAAAGCTTCTCCTGCCCCCATATTGTTTGCATTTCAAACCCTTAGTTAAACAATCACACTATAAAGATTTATCCTGCCACAAAGTTCATCTTCAGTGACAAGTCACAGCAACATACACTCAGAAAACCTTTTGGAGATGCTCAAAGAAAAGAACTTTTATTTTCCCAAAGATGTTACACAACATTCAGAGAGGACATCTCCGGTTATTCATCATAACCGTTTATTTTATCTGTAGCACTTAATTGACTGAATGCACTTATTCGTATCTTTCCATCTCTGGCTTATTGTGGTTGAAGTGCATCTATTTTTTACTTGTGCTCAGATTTTCTCCTTATGCCTGTATGTTTTTATGACTTATCATGTACTGGTGTGCTGATGCCTGTTGCAAACCAAATTTCCCATGAGATGATAATAAAGTTGAAGAAGTTGAAGAATCCTTTTTTAACTCAACATTTACTGTTAATGTTTCATTATTAAAAAAGTACAGCTCCACTAGCACATACTAGCACTAGCACATCATTCTGGAAGTCTTCAGGAGATAAAAAAAACAACAAGAAAAAGCCAAACTGCAGCATTGGTCATGGACTACATACTCAGGGTAAAATAGAGATGATTACAAATATAAATCCATCTATTTCAAGCTAGATTGTTGAACACGAGTCACACTCTCAAACTGCTTTGTTGAGCCATAGGAACAGTACAAAGTAAGGACGTTACAGCAGGTTTTCAGTACCAGCGTACAATATGTCCTCTGTGAAAAATAAACTGTTATAAAGTCCAATGAAAGAAACCATTAGCAGCTCTGGCAAAAGATGCTGGTCTTTTAAATTTACAAAACAGTTTTCAAGTGAACCGCATTTTGGTTTTTACCTCACATATTATACAGTTTTTACAAGGTTTTTTGTAATTAGTCTCAATGCATAAATGTGCATGTGTGCAAAACGGATAAATATCTTTGAGAAGAGCAAGTCTCCGTTTATATCAGAGCTCTCTTTTTGTGTGGTGTGGAGTGTTTTAGGATGTAACCTCCCTCTGTGTATTTGTTTGTGTTTGTGTGTGTGCCCACTGAGCAATAGACGGCTATTAGACGTCTAGTTTCTTTAAACGTAATTTCAACCGTCTAAATGTTGCACTTTAACCTGTTATTGGATAACTATTCATTTCCACTTTCAATAACTGATCTCCAAGTACTTAACTAAAATAATTATGATAGCCATCGAGCAATATACAATGTAGTATAGATATAGCCCAGATTTAGACTTGGTCTAAATTTAGACGTCTAATAAACTTTCATTTTTAGACCTGTGGTAGCCTGATTTTAGACCAGTCATTTAGGCTACATTTAGACGTCTATTAGACCTCCTTTAGACCAAAAAAATGCTCAGTGGGTGTGTGTTTGGTCCCTTCCTTAAAGAGAAGAGTTGGTCCCCAAAAACTTGTACTAAGAACACCTGTTTCTAACAACAGGTTCAGGTATGCTCACACAAAGAGGAAAGAGAGGGTCAAATTCAAGAATTAAAGGCACATTTAGTCACAAAAGGCTGGTCCTTCATTTTTGCTGGAAGAAAAAAATAACTATTTGACCCATTCAGTCATGTGCCACGGATTTAGACAAAATAGGAAAATGCTACAAAAGTGGGTATATTAAAAGTGGTATCATGTCAAATTTTCATATCACAACCTGCATGATTTGTTGTGAAAAGCCACTGAATGTCATTTAAAATACTTCGGGCAACTTTGGGAACATATTCTTTGTCTTTATCTCTTACTCAGAGTTGGACAAGGAGACTGACATCACTTTTCTGCAAGTTGAAAATAAAGCAAATCACTGCAGTTCATTAGTTTAGCTCAGCGTAAATGCCAGAATAAGGGGAGAAACTGCGAGCCAAGCTTGATGCTTGAGCCAAAAAATCCTCTCATAAAATCTTTATTTTTCATGCTTTGGGTTTTGAGGTAAATGGGACTTATTTACATCGTTCCCCATGTTGTCTAATCCTTATGCAAAGCCAAGCTAAAAAAGGTGCCATCTAAAACCACATACTGAATATAGATATAAATCTATATGATTTATAAGTGTTGATCTTCTTGTCCAACTCTCAGCAAGACAGTGAATAACTGATTCCCCAAAATGTCAACTACTACTTAAAATGAGTCGATCAGCTTTGCATTAGCACGATCAAAAAGTCTGAATGATGTGTGCCCACTTTAATGGGACGGATGTGAAGTGGAATCATGTTTAAAGTCTCCAGAAGTGTCCCGATATGACTTTTATAAAGCATGTTTTTTTTGTTTGAGAAGGATTGATAGCAGTAATGTCAATAAGGGCAGTCAGTTTGATCCTGTAGCTGCCATTACAGAGCCAACACATCTACCTTACAGAGAGATAACATTCATACGCTGGAGTACAAAAGGCCATTTACAGTTTCCAAATGTGTTTACTGCAGAAACTCCTGTTTTACAGACGTGTCATACAGTATAAAAGTGCATTTCCTATTTTTTCAAAGAACTGCAATATGAAAAGGGTGATTTAACATCAGAGTAAAACAAACCGTGGGACTTCTTCCCAGTTTTCTTTTGTTTTGCAGGAGTCGAAGATTCAAAGTTTTTAGAGTTTGAAAGGCAGTGAAAGTAGAGTTGAAGGAAGGAGAAAGAAGAGGGATCTCTTGTAGTTTTTTTTGTAGAATTTGACATTTCCTGTCAAACCGAGCCACTGTGGCTTCAAAAGGAGCGATTAGTGCTCTTCCAGCCATGATGGACTGTCCCCACCTGGCATTTTCAACTTGATGTGGAACTGCTTGAGTGTCTGTTCCAGCTGCTGTTGGTTTCCAGCGTAGTACGCAGCAATGGCATTGTGGAACAGGATGAGCTGGTTGTGCAATACCTTCACCTGTTTGCATAAAACAGAAACAAAGCTATGATGAGCTCACGTGAATTAAAAACCACCATGTCGGTGCTGGCATGTAGAGCAGAATTACTCCAGCTGACCTTGTTCTCCTCTAAAAACTTCAGCTTGATAGAGACGTCATTTCGCATCTTCTCGTACTTCTCCCGGTGGATCTGAAACTGCTGCTGGGACTGCTCTATCTTGGGCATAGTGGCGGCATCACGTGGTCCCAGATTTAGCTCCTCCAAATCTGTACGGTATGCATCATATTCCACCCTAGAAATGTGTTTCAATTAATCAGCACCAGACATATGAAATATATTAATACAAACTCTGATAGCTGCAAGACATTAATGACCAGCTGCACATCAAGTGTTACATTCCCTTTGTGAAAAACGTAAAATCCACAAACTTTGATTTATCCTGAGACTATAAAGTGGCTCAGTTTTAAGATTTAAGAGTGAAAAACATTTCCATGCATTACCCACCTGGCAATTTCATATTGTTTGATATTCAGCATGGTGTCTTCAATGGTTTTCTCCACCAGAGTGTTAACACTGGAGATGAAAAAGTTGATTGCACCCAGAAGTGTCTCTCCATTTTTCGACAGAAGCTTCTGAGTGTCTGCGTTGTAACCAAACTCCTCCTGAAAGCAATCAAACTTTTAATGACCTCCCAAAAATGAGCAAGTCTGATTCCACTGTGTGAACTTTGAAAGTGATATTTGTGATTCAGAGAAATATGGACTCACATGTAGTTCTGGTGACTTTAGGCTGAGGTCAGCAAAGGCGTCACCCAGCTGTCTCTGCGTCTGCATAATCTGGGACAGCTGATTGGCCAGTGTCTGAGCCAGCTTGATTACATGCTGGTACTTTCTCTTGTTGTCACGCAGGACTTCGATTTGAGCTTCCAGCTCCATGTCCACCGTCCTGGAACCGCGGCCCAGCTTCTCTGACAGGATCTGCCGGGTACACTGCAGAAGACACCAGGGTGATGAACACATACACAGAGTATACTGATACAAGTTTTCATCCAGTTTGAAATAGTAATGCTGCGTTCGAGTTACCTCGGAAGTCAGATGTCGGAGCTGGAAGTGACGTCATACCCGGGTTACCAGTGTTTCAGTTAGTCAGAAGTCAGAAGAAAGCAAAATCAGAGGTGGAAAAAAGGTAGTTACATCTAAGAAAGTTATTTTAGCACTTGCCTTGTCCGAATATAAGTAAGGACGGGGCAAGCGCTGAAATAACTTTTGTAGATGTAGCCATCTTGTTTCTGCCTCAGATTTCGATTTCTTCTGACTTGGTAACTGAAACACTGGTAACTCCGGTGTGACGTCATTCCCAGCTCGGACTTTTGACTTCTGAGGAAATTTGAGTGCAGCATCAGAATGACAGCCAGGAGTCTTTTGAGTACTGAGTAGAGAAAGACTTTAAAGAGGCAGAAAGAGGAACAGAGTGGAACCAGCATATAAAGAGAGGTGAAGACATCATCAAGAGGTACAATAAATTTGTCCAGCAACTCATTGGGAATGAAGAGTGACATTGAAGCTAGAAGAAGAAACAAAGGATTACTTTGTATGTGTTGATGCTCCACTTTCTCACAAGGTCCAGTTTCTCCATGGCCGGGCTCTTTAAGTCATCTGACAGAACCAATGCTCCTCCGCCTGGACAACCAAAAGTCATTTATTTAGTGAGTGATTATGTTAATGAAGCAGGTTAAATTGCCGTGGTAAAAATAAAGGTGGTTCAACTCAATTTTATATCACTGATTGTCAAGAGAACATTGTTTCAATTATATGATTTTACTTCTTTAATTAAAACGATCAATGATGTAAACATTATTAGTCAGAGATCACAACCTTCTTTAATGCAAACATGGAAAGTTATGTGAAGTGGTTTGTAATTTGGGCAAAGAGAGGAAACACTGAAGAGTACTGAGCCCCGAAACTGACACAGTTCAAGATTTTGAGCCAAAAATATACCTCAACTCAAAAAAATAATAATCATAAAAAGGATTTAGTCAATTAAATCATCAACATTCAGACTGAAAATCAGATCAAAACCAAAAACTCTCATAGCTAACAGAGCAAGCCAACTTATGCTTCATTTTAAGAGCACATATTCTTACATTTAACTAAAGACCACAGTGGAAATAAATGATTGACTTCATCATTTATAAATTAAGGATGAACTTTTATAAAACATCTCATCTCTATCCCCCCCACCCCCTTTAAACCAGAATCAATAAGTTTGAAGGAAAAGCTAACAAAATTTGCCACCTAAAAACAGCTTTCCAAAAGATTAGCAAGCTAAGAAAGTGTCAACCTGTTGAAAACATTTTTACAGAAGTTTAAGATATTAAGTGATGCTCAAACAGGTTGTGATACATGCTAACAATAAGGAACACTCGCTGTTGTTTAAGTAGTTAGTATTAGCAAAGTTGCTTGCTGAAACTCAAAGGCTGTTGGTTGTTCGCTTCCTGAGCTTTTGTGTATGTTTAAATACATTTTATCAACTGATTGTGTGAAATGAGATAAAAGCTTCAACTTTTTTCCCCAAATATCACAGGTAAATGCTTCAGTATTTGCTGAAATATCTTATCACACTGCAGTTTTGACTACAACACAAGTCACTGATTTAGTAATCTGACTGTGTTTACAGTTTTTTACTTTGTCAGTTTGAGGGCTCCGCTGAAAGAGACCAGGGGTGCCAACTTTTGCAAGGACAAAGGGGAACAAGCAGGAAAACCCGTTCAGATTAAACGTGAAACCAGTTTTCTTTCCAAGCCAAGCAGATGTTTGAAACATCGGGGGGGTTGCATCAGATCTAAAAATCTTTCGATCTAGATCCAGGGAACTGTCTTATGATTAGTCATTGCAGAGCAGAAAACCTCCTACATTAGCCCGAACCTATGACCAGGTAAAGCTCAGAGAAGCAAAAAGCAAGACAGGAGAAAGAGAGAGGTTTGATTCTGAGTGCAGGACAGCCTGTGGGGGCAAGGAGCTGAAAAATGAGAAGGGTACAGAGAACTGCGGTTAAATTAGTGTGCAAAGAGTGGCTGATTTGGTGTCATCTGTTTCAGACTCCTTGACTGCGGGTACCTTTCTCAGTCTGACTATCGCTGGTAGAGCGTGCCAGGCGGCTAGCAACAGCCGAGCTGGGAGCTACAGGTGCCACAGGGGAAGAGGGCAGGCTTGCTGACCCTGGGAGATATTCAGAGTTACAGTTTGATGCATCAGATTGTCACCATCCCGTTAACAGAAGTGAAAGGAAAAGATTCTTATTGACGCCAATCTCCTGCTTGTGTTTATTCCTCTACTCCAGCTCTCTTCACGTAGCAGGATGAGAGTGTGAATCAACATCTTCAGTATACAATATGAAAAGTAGCCATGGCAACATTGTGGTAAATGGGCTACGCAGCTCAGGCCTCTACGGTGAGTTTCTTATTTGCATGTACAATAAGGGCACGATGATGAAAAGGAAAGGAGGGTTACAACCTGGAGATCAAAGGAAACTTGTTTAATTCAAGTGGTATTCAGCTTTACATATTCAAATGATTTCCTTTATGTTTCAGAGATTAAAAAACAAAAGCGAGGCCCTGGATATCAGAAAAACGGTCTTCAAGCAAAGCAGTCGAATAAAACGATGAATGAAGAAGTTTCTGAGTGTGTTACGAGCTGCTTTGTCACTAAACTCTGATGAGCTAAACGATGAAAATACAGAAAAGACTGAGAGAGTGAAATGGTGTACCTCTGTACGGTACTGATTCAATGATGCCCTCTGTTGTTGAGGAGAAGTTACTGGAGGTGACACAGGACTCGGACAGGTTTAAGGCCCCGGGTCCAGAGTCCTGTTGTGAAAACAAATAAACAGATATTATATTAACAACTTTATGTGAACCTCTTAAACATGCAGCAAAAGGAGAGGTTCCTGTTGTTGTGTTTATGTGTTTGACCCCTAATCCAAATAAAGAATGTGAAAGAGGGTGAAAAACAAATCCATATCACCTGCACCAGGTTATACAAGGCTTCTCTGGAAACCTTTGTTTGGATCTTTTTTCTTTCACACTATGAAAGATGTCTTTGATGAGTGACTGTTTAGCTCTCCATCGGTTTTCAATGACTTTCTCTATTTATTGAAATTTTGCATTTAAATGGATGGCTTGGATCTTTTGAAAGGGTTGTATAAGGTACTTGTCAACAGTCAGTATATAACCAACAAGGGATATCTACCGACTCAGCCCCCAAGCACCTGAACAGAAGCTGGGCTATCAGTCATACTTAATGCAGTATTTGACAAGGTTTGTATTCTACAATGTACAGGCCAAGAGTGGCAGCAAAAATTAAACGTTTAATTTATCTGTTATATTAACACAAAGATGGTCTGGACTCCAATGAGAGCTGCTAAGCTTCTGTATGAGTTTATTGGGCAACAAATAAATAACTACCTTTAAATGGGGCCTTTGTAGATAAGTTTACAGTTAAAAAGCCCAAACAGAGTGAAAATAGTTCATACAATTGCCTCAAACTGGCAAACCAATAATCTTCATTTTGTACTGTTGGTCTCTGGCAGATAATTTCCAATTCTATTTTTCATATTTCATAGACAAAAAAAGTCAATAAAAGTTAATTAATGCTAAAATATACAGTGTTAACTGTCAGCTCAACTTTAAAATATTACACAAGCTCAAATTTATTCATTGTTTAATTTTCTAGCTCCTATGATGATTTTTTTAACCTTGTAAAATCGATTGAAATCAACATTGATGGCTTGCTTGTCAAAAGCAACTCAAACATCACGACAAAGACTGAAGATTGATCATTTCTAGTGGGGAGAGCTGAGGGTTTTTTAATTCTGAAGACCTATCCAAGGTCAAAGGAGAACCAGTCTCTGAGAAACTTTACAGATATTACAAAGTACTGAAACCAGAAGAGTCAGGAACAAGTCCTTACCCTCTGGAAAACTGTCTCTGGGTTCTGATCAAGGTCTCCATTACTGGTAACAGGGATCTCTGCGGCTGAGCTTCTGTGGGGCTCCTCAGCCATTGTGCTCTCCTGTAATAAAGAAAAGAGAGGTTGAAATTAAGAAGGTCATTAATGGAAGTTTTATACAAACAGCTTCACTGGAAGAAAGGAGGACTCTGGATGTACTGATGGGACATTCTGGTTTAGACTGCCATCTTGTGGACTAAGCTGGACTTCTGTACCTTTAGTGCTAACTTTTCAACCCTCTACATTATCTAATGAACATGATTTTATCTTTTAACACTGAACCATATTTTAACACTAAACACTGTTAAAGAGTAAATAAGGATCACATCATTTTCACACCTTAATCATCATTATGTGATAAATAATGCAGATATTTTGCTAACTATTTTTTCATTGTAATGGGCTTGAGCTCAATTCAAATGCAGCCTTCACTCAAATAAAAGCTGAAGTTCTTGTGCAACAACCGTCATCAACTTTCATCAGTCTCCATTTTTACAACACTTGTCTGTTTAATTATTTAACAGCCGACGAAAGCAGGTTACCCAATGAATTAACGTCTCTTAAGGTCCAGAAAGTCATGTAAATACGGCTTCTCTTTAATTGTGTGTATGCGTGTAAACCTTTAGTGCTTAATGCCTCTGCCCATTAATACCTGAAAAAATTATTATCTTTCTCTTTTAACTCCTGTTCTCTACAGCATTATGTTACAAGTACAACACCTGGTCTTTGTCTCAAAGCGAACACAAGGTTTTATGTTCAGAAGTGATATCAGTTTATTTCAGCTTGCATAAAACCCTGTGTCTGGTTTCTACCTGGTTCTTTTGTGATCTGAAACTGAGAATCTTATCACACAGATTCTCCTTGGCCTTAAGCGTAATTAAAAACCATGTGGACAGACCTGTTCTAAACTTTATGAAAACATACAAATCATGGTCTATCTTAATCGTGTGATACATGACATATTGGCTCAGCTTAGGTAGCTGCATATTCATGTGTTGGCTTGCCGCCTGTAGCCACAGGGTGGAGACCACAGTTTTGTGTAGGCTGGAGTAACGTGGCAGCCTGTAGTCGCAGGCTGAAGATCCAACTGTGCTATTTTTAGTCCAAGTTTTGTGGCCTAATCACGGTGGACTTGAGAACAAGGACGATGACCTCACTTCTATAAAGCTTTGCATGCTTTGAAGCTCAACTGTGTGCGTGTGTGTAAATCTGGTTCATGTTGATAGGTGAAACTCCTCTCAGGAGGAGTGAACAACAAAGAGCAAAGTAGTGTGAATCAGTGAATTTGTATCTTTAAATGACAACCCAACTTCATGACAGTTGGGATAAAGGGTCAAATTTTGATAGAAGTAGATCATTTTGGAAATCATTTGAAATTTGCTCATTTTAAATATGATGCTGGCATCATGTTTTAAATAATTGGTGCAGTTTTAACCTGCATTTGTGGGTCATCCTCAGAGTGATTTTTAGGCCCATGCGGTGATTTTCACTGCAGAGTCATGTCTGTTTTTAATGCAGTAAAACCTGAGGGCCTCAAGATCACAGCAATCCAACACTGATTTTCAGCCTCGTCCTTTCTGCCCAGAGATTTCTCCAGATTCTCCAGATTTCTGCTATTGTGTAGACTTTGTTTTCCCTAAACACTCGTTGCAACTTTACACAGTACCACAATTGTGAAACTGTTAACCATTAACTCATCTAGTTGTTTACAGAGTAGTAAACCTCTTCTTATCTTTATTTCTGAATGCCTTAGTCTTCCTAAAATGGTTTTCTTTTCACCCAGTCATATTATTAACCTGCTGTAAATTATGTGAGGATGCTCTCCAGCTGTTCTTTCTGGCGTTTTCAATTTTGTTGCAACTGTCCCAGATAATTACAACATTTCACCAACATCAAACTTATACTGAGCATGTATTATTTCAAGAAACAATGATTTTTTTAGGGTCATCACCTATGTTATAAATGAGCATTTTTAAAATAATGCAAAATTGGGTTATTAAGATTCACACGTCATCATAATCTATTTTAAGCAACATTTAATACAACCTCCAAACTTCTCTGGAAAAGGGTTATAGATCTTTATCTACATATAGACCTTGAGCGGAATCTAAATAATGCAAATAGCTGCTAGATCACCAGGTAACTAGATCTGGGTCCAGACCAAAGAGACTGACTGGTCTCAATTTGAGAACAACAGTATGAGGTTAAGATAAAAGGTATAAGACCAATACCATATTTAATAACAGGACCTGCACATTCCCCTGGGATAAACATTAGCTATCCTGGTTTTGACTATGAATTACAAAGAAATATATGTATCAAAAAATGTATATAAAAATGCAGGTTTGCCCTTTCAAAATAAAATGATCATAAATGAGCAAGCATTGTTAGGCTCTTTGGAGAACTCAGTGACCTCAGTGACTATGACAAGGAGAATACTGAACCAAATCACAACATCATTTTGAAAATCTTTTTAACTGAAGTTTGAATTGAGATGTACTTAGACTCATTCATTAGCTGGGGTTTATTTGGTCAACATGGGTCATCTGAGGCTGTAATTATGGTATTTGAGTTTTAAACCAGCCCAGAAGAAGTCTTATTGAAAACAGCGAGTGTGTTATTTTTTGACAGGAGCTCCAGACTTTTCAAAGACATATTTTGTAATTATAGATATCTGGTGTGCTAAATCAGACTGAAACGCATGAAAAAAGACCAAAGCCACAACACTTAGTTTGTATGGCTTCATGTTGGCCAGGTGTAAAGTAGACTTTAACGGGTACATGTGACAGACACATAAATACTTAAACGCCATATGATCCCGGCATGCAGGCAGGCAGGCAACACAGACAAGCACTGCTTAGCTTGTCTAACCAGCTTCAGCAGATAAGACACACTTTTGTGTTATTGTCATCCTGATATCAAGTTTTAACAGGCTGCCTTTGAGAGTCACGTCTCAGATTTCATGCTTTAAAAAGAGCGTAAATAAAGACTGAGTGTATCAATTTTTTTTAACAAGCGCTGTTTGTATGTATTGCTTTTCTGTAGTTGAAGTGCAACTATCTGTTAATCTTGAGTTCCACAGACCCAGGAAAAAAACAAAAATGACCCAATCGACCATCTGCAACCACTCTGTGAGGATGTCTGTTTACAGGCTGCTGGTGGGCAGGGATGTAAAGTGGCTGCAAACTGATCAGGCGTAAGAAGGAGCAAGGTATGGCCTGTCATAGTGTGCTGCTCCCTATAGCTCAGTATCCTGGATACAAGCTGACATGACATAGGAGGAAAGCATAACAACAATGAGTTAATTGTCCAATTGGCTGTGTCAGCTGAAAAGGAAGAATCATGTCTTGCCTTTCAAACTATGAGGAATGTGACTCAGCCACGTTGCAAATTGTTGGGTTTAAGCTGCAGAACTGGAAAATTCGGCCTGGTTAACCCTCCTGAATTCAGAACTACTATATGGAGAGGGTAAGAGAAGACCTCTGATTTATAATTCTTGCAATCTGGCACGCAGCGCTGGCACTAAGCCCGTCACTGAAAGTGAATCAACACCCTGAGGAGTCACACATTCTAGCAACACCAGAAATGTGGGACTGTTTGCCTGAGAAAGAGCAGTCCAATTCTGTCTCACTTACCCAGCCATGTGACAGATAGCATGGAGAATTCAAAAGCTCTGTGAGGAGATGGTATCATTCACACACTGTGTACATATTGACTCACACACAGCAGATCAGGGCCAAATCAAAGGCAAAAATGTAGAAATCTTGCTCACTGACATGCACATTATATAATTTACATAGACTGCACAGTAATTTATAGATGAGATAAACCCCTCTAAAAACAGCACTGGGTTAAGCCAGCATTAACGCAAAGCAGAGGAAATGTAAAAGGACTTGATCACCCCTAATTACATGAAGCACCTAAAAGGGCAATAAAGGAGGAAAGACACTAAATGCACCATCAACGACAAGCAGCAGCTAAACCAGCTTTCTACCTTTAAAGTCTTTAGCAAAGCAGAATGAAATCAGATACACTCTTGAAAGAAAACAATCTCTGAACAGCTTAATTTGATCCAAAAAAAGTTTTCTCAAGTCTAATTTCAGAGTCACTACAGGGGAAAGAGACCGCCACCAAGCAGATAAAGTTCTAAACAGCAACAGAGCACAGCCAGGAAGTGCTGGAGGGAAGCTGATTGTCCAAAGTGAAGGTAAACGTCACCTTTGTTTCAGTGTGAGACTCTCCACTCTCCTCTGGTGTTTCAGCTCTTTCAACATGATGATTCGTCTCGTGTTCCTCACTTTCTATGCTAACAGACTCCTGTGCAGGATCACCATCTCTGTACGTTACCTCCCTCACAATCTGAACTTCCTTCTCTTCCTCCTCCTCCTTCTCTTCCTCCTTCTCCTCCTCCTTCACTTCCTCCTCTACATCCCTGTCGCTGTCTTCTGGGCATTCTTCAGGACTGTCAATATCGATGTCATACAGCTCTATATCTTCTTCCCCACTACTGCCATCTACACTTTCCTGTTTGACACCCTCACTCAAACCCCCCTCTGCTCTGTCATCCTCCTTATAATCCACCTGAGGGTCCTCGGCTGAGGTCTTCCCCGGTTCAGCCTCAAGACTAACTTCAGACATACCTGAAAACAAACAGACAGGAAGGTATGAAAAGGTCCTACTGAGCCAGTTTGTGTCTGTATGTGACAATAGTATAATTACATGAAAGCAGAGACCTCAGACCTGTTTTTCTTGAAGTTAAAGCTCCTGTGAAGATTTTTTTGTTAAAAAGTGGGAACTCTTCTTTCTTTACTGAACTTATCTGGTACACATTTAAGTCCTGTTTTCTGACAAACAAATAACATCCTGTTGTCTTTTAACAGACAAACAGTCTTACTATGAATCTTTGCTGTGAAAGATGTAAACACAGGCTTTTCACTGACACCTTCCCTACTGCTGAAGGTACAAGCAGTACACGTTACCTAGATCTTGTCACTGATGTTCACTTTTCTGAGTGACTTAGAGGCACCTATACGGTGTGTTTGACCCTAAATTAATTTTATGCCGGAATACCCCTCTAAGTCTTGTCTGAAAGAGAGAGAAAACATTGACTGTAATCAACGCGGACACATCAGGTGCCTACAGAAACCCTATATAGACATCTGACCCATAATTACTTGCATTTGCCTCTGAATTAGCTTATATCTGCTTAGTCTCTGGCATTCAGTAGACTTTTTATCTTTGCTCTGCTGGACGCTTTTGTCGTTGCCAAGGCAAACCTCCATAAGTTATCACAAACCACGCAAGGCTCTACACTGGAGGTAACAACAGCTTAGGATGAAAGTGCCAACTGGCACTGAGCTGAGTGGGTAGAAAACACCGTATACAAATTGCGTTCATTTTTTAACCTATGGTTGCATGTCCACTTGCGACTTCCGTAGTTATCAATGCCATACACATATGTTGTTATGAATGCAGCTAAACAAATGAATGATTACTACACTCAGAAGAGCTTTAGATATCTTTTTGTGGATGTGCACATGCATATGATACCACAGTGGACAACACATTTGCAACGAACACGACTACACCGGAATCGTGTCTATTTAGCAAGGTATACCTGTTGCAGCACAATCACGTGACAAGCCAGGATGGCCAAAAGCTTTTTTTTAACACTTTAAATGCTTCAACAATAAATCTTCAACCACTGTTGCTACATTTTATCATTACAGCTTTGCAAAGAAAATCCTGGTCACGTAAGCAGCAAGTGAATAAATCTTGGCGTGGTCGTGCCTCTCATTCAGTTGGCTCAAAGCTGTTCACTTGTTTGAGTTGCCGTGAATGTGTCACAGCCGTTGACGTGTTGTGTAGCTAACGTTGGTGACGCTAAACATCAAGCAAACACTGAAATGAACAACAATTGATTACACACGCCCACGGGTCTTCAAATGCTCTCATTACATCGACAGACATTCAACCCAACGCCCTTAAGGAATGGCGATGCTTGAAAGTAAAGACATTACCTCTCTGCGGCCGTGGCTAACTGTTTAGCCGTGAACTGTTAGCCGTCGGTAGGTTACAAATCCTTCGCGCCTTGATGCTCTGTCCGGTTATTTTGTAAGACTGCAATCCTGCTCTCCGTAAAACTGATGCATAGATTTTTCTACCAACTTTTCATCTGTGGTCCCTGGCTCTCCCTCCACAAACTAGACCTGCTGTTCGAACCCCGGAAAAAGTGATCCAGATCTACTGGCCCTCTGCTGTCATCAAATGCAGACAGCATCATTTGCTGCCTGCGCTCTCCCCCTGCTGGTCAAATATGCTTACTGCAGTGGATGACTGAACTAAATCAATACAAAATACAAAATAAATTGTCTGGTAAAAGTCATCGGTATTTTTATCGCTTTAAAAAGACAATGACAGGACATTCTACAATATTTAAAAAAAGGAAAAGATTGATTTCACAAAGAAATGTTTGACTGTCAATGGATGTTGATGATTTTCTTTAGTCTTTTGTAGGTACGTGAGTCATTCCATGACATCGGTGCTTTTTGCGTCCCCAAGAAGTAACCTGTCATAAAATTGTGATAACAACAAATTAATATGTAATTTTAAAATATAACATTACCTTTTCTACTCTCCTTAATATATCATCAAATTAAAGTCAATTCAAAACCATTTTAAATAATTGAAATTACTTTTTTGTTGTACTCTCTTTAAAGGTTAACCTTTTAAAATCAAAACATTTTTAGGTCATCAAGTGAACATTATTGAGCTAATAATGATAGATAGATAGATAGATAGATAGATAGATAGATAGATAGATAGATAGATAGATAGATTGATTGATTGATTGATTGATTGATTGATTGATTGATACACCGGTGGAGCGCCAGTTACTGAGTGTTCAGTTACTTTCACTCTTGTCAGCCCTGTTACTGTAACGTCAACCCTGTCGTTGTCATCAATTTGATAAAAATGTGAAAAATGACGACTCAAATGGGCTTTTAACACTCACTATTATAATTTAAATTACATGATATTTTAGATTGGGCTATTTTTCAACATTTCTCTACTAAAAAATATCTCAGACATACATTTAATCATCAGAATGACAAATATCTAATTGGAGAAAAAAAATCCACAAAATAAAATAATCTCAATGGAAAAAGAGACTAAAGTACTGCTAATATATGTACCATTTACTGCATATTTCTAATTAGAAATATTGTATTTTGTTAAGTTTATGTCGGTAACAGGGTTGACAAGATTATGAAAACAGCCAGGAGAAAACTGAAAATTTGTTAAACAGAGAATCATTAATCCCATAAATTTTTGCATCAGTAACTTTAGTTGTGTTTTCTTTTTTTTACATTCTTTTTTTATTTGCAGCAATGGCGGTTCTCGGCCACCGCAGTTTCGTGTTCTGTCATACAAAAAACACATGAATTAACTTCAAAATCAATCTTTGAAAAAATGACGTTAAAGTGGTCTTTTACATAATAAACTCAATTACCCATGAGCCTCAGGGCGGACGACGGACAGTTGCGTTGAGACGCAGGCTGCAGCCTGGTTGAGGCAGTCTAACTAGAGGCCATATTGGAATCTATGAAGTCGGCTTGCACTCTGATGGAACTGAGTGTCTGTCGTTTTGGGAGTCTCTAAATCGCTATCCCGGATTTATACCCCAGTGATTGCGCCCGGCATTCCACTTGAGACTCTGCCAAGTGGGCGGCAAGTTGTCTCGCTTCTTGTGTGGAAAAAATGAGTCCAACCGATGCTAAACGAGGGGCTAAACGCAGGAAGAACAAGCGGGGCGGTGGCAGTAGCTGCAGTGCTGTCTGCAACAGCAGCAGTGGCAAGGCCGGGGCTGCCTCGGCCCTGGGCTGTGCGGGAACAGCAACACCTGCCTCTGTCGTCAGCTTCTTAACACCTGGAGGCACAGGCAGTGGCAATTTGGGCTCTATCACGGGCATAAGCGGAGAGGTAAGAGTGACACACAGTATGAACCGGCAGATGTCTAAACGGGGGCGAGAAGCTAGCAGCGTTATCAACGACACACATCTGACCCGGGCCCAACACTGATGCAAGGGAGGCAGCTGGCTAACCAACCTATGCAACGTAGCTAGAAATTAACCGGCCTAATCAATGCTAATGCTATTGGTTATGCTCCATAAAACACCCTGCCATCTTAAAAGTCTTATAGCTGGGTTTGTGTGTCAGGCTGAGTTTATTAAATTAGATCAAACTACCGTAAACACAAGACTACGTCTGCCCCAAACGCTCTGACCACCATCGTTAGCTGAAGTTGAGGTAACGTAGCTGAATCGACAACTTTGACAACACAGAGCATTATTTTGATCTCATACAGTCCAGGCAGGTGGGGATTACATTCCCCAAAATAGGATTACAGTAGAGTACTATTAGCTTCAACATAGTTTACCATAGGCGCTGTAACATAGATATACAATAATGCTAGCTAAAGCTAACAGCCGAGAGCACCAACAACTTCAGCCCAGCCGGGCCTTGATGTGTTTCTACAAACCGACCTTCCACCTTACGAGCTTCAATTGTGTGAGTTTAACTTGGATATAATATAAGAAGATAATCAAATAAACATACATAAAATAAACCAAGATAAAGTCTCAAGGTAGCACCAAAACATCAATTACCAAGATGTCAGTCCAGTTGGTGTCTATGTACCTAGCTCTATGCAATAATAGCTTGAAATGTCATTTTAAAAATGAAGATCTGCCATCATATGAACATGCTATGTAGCCTTGAATTGTGTACATGTATGACAGGGAAATTTCTTGACTTTTATCCAGTTTATTTGTTTGGTAACCCTTTCTGTAATCAGTTAGTTTTAATATGTCCAAGACAACTCAAACATTTGTGTTTTTAAGACACATGCTCTCCTCCCAACCAATAAGTAACCATTCACCTTGTATATTGTGACCTCTTTATCAGGTGCTCACCATAACTGGTGTAAAAACGTGAGCTAGAGTTTCAGTTTTACTGTTATTCTCTTCAAAAGTCTTTCCAGTGAAGTTATGGAGTATTGATATGTCATGGGTTTAAGATATCCAATTCAAATTGAATGTAAATCAGGTTCAAATGAACTTCCCTTCAAGTTTTATTGGTCAGTGTGATGCAAATTGTTAGAGGAGTACACAAAGGTCTAAGTGCTTACAACTTCCTTGTAGAAATGTTGATTTTAAAAGGGCTGAACTGGCTTTAAAACATTAAAATACTAGTTATAGACACACCTAACTTTAAGCATAGCTTTTCTTGCTAGTGTGGGCAGGCCTGATGGGACAGGCAACTTTCTGTACAGAAAGTAAAACAAATGCAGATAGTTTGGGGGTGAAGAAGGTACTATTCTCTACTAAAAGATTTAAAATGTGATGTTTAATTTATTTATGTACCGGGTTGATCAGCTAAGCATCCCAATAAATGTCTACATTTCTTTGACAGGCAGTCACTTGTATGAAGTGTCTTATCTAAATTTTTCCAAGACTGATTAATAAAGCTAATTAGGTCTGAGATCGATGTTAACACTGAGTTGTTCATATTCTTCAGGTCAAAGTGAACAACAGCATTACTCCCCAGTTTACAGAAGGACCAGTGAACGCTGACTTCTCAGGAGTCCTTCAGGTAAATTTACATCAGATGTTTCCAGAGTTCATCTGAGGACACTGCCAAGTTTTTCTCCCTCACTCATGGCCCACTTGCTCAACAGAGTTTACACATTATTGCCAGAATGTAAAGACTGCTTCAGTGAAATCCACCCATTAAGATGGCTTAAATACCTTTTTAATCACGCTTATCCATTTCATACAATTTTTCGCAACTTTCAGTATCAGGACTAACACATCCATCACTAGCATCAAGGGTATTAAGTTCTACGAGATAAGATAAACCTTAAATTTGCAGTGTTAACAGCAGCAAAAGGTTAACATAGAAGAATAAGCACTCTCATCATGCACACAGTAGTGCACAGACAATTGTATAAAAGTTATCATAGACCTATACAGAAAAGAAGGTGGGAGTTTCTCTGTTATTTGTGTTCAGTCCAAATTTACCGAATATGATGGTAGCATTTCATTGGTGTTGTTGCTGCCTGCCTAAAGTCATTATTAAAAACAGTCATTTAAGTCTTAGCAGGACCAGTGAGGGCTCAGTTCCAGCTTCGTGTGAAGCATTTGGTAAAATTCGAAGCAGAGTCATCAAAGAATTTCTCAAGGACAAAAACAGACTTCAAGCAATATTTGTATTGATTGACCTGGGAAGCAAAATAAAGATCTCCTTATGTAAAAGTTAGCAAGAACTGCTTTCTTAGATATAGATATTGGTTTTAGCACATTTAAAATGACATAATTCCCCTGGTGCTTATTCAGAAACTCATTTGGCTCGTGAGCTCGGCTACCCAGTGCCAGCCTACTTCTTTATTTCTGTTTTGTATAAATGCTGCTTGTGTTATGCTGATAAGAAATAACACTAAACAGGTCAAACTCTACTGCAAAGGTTCAGTATAATGCTATTACAGGATGGAATGTATGAATTGAAAATAGAAACAGGTAGGCATTTGTGCAGGCTGCTTTTTTGTTAAATCTCAATTGTGCTTGATTGTGATCAGTTGCATTGTTCTCATTCATATCATGAGCTGCGATAGTTATCACGCTGTCTGACTTTTACACTACTACAGCGGGTCAAACAGTCAAAATACACCTCTGCCAGGGGAGTGTGTGATATCGTTTAGCCCGAAGCACTCTCAGATTTAGAGCCTCACGGTACGTCTATAAAATGTAGCTGAAATAGTTGCTAACATCCTTCTTTTTACCATCCAGAGGCTTTCTGCTCACTGCCAATCACAGCTGACTTGGAAGCTGCATTGAAACTGGAACGTCTGGCAGTGAATTATGTGTCAGTGCCACTCTGTGGTCTACTCACTGGCAGGGCTGTGCATTGAGAAAAAGTTGGGGTGTTTTATTAGAGAGCAGAAGAGAGTGTTAGACTGCTGGAATATCCATGGAAGTAAAGTTTGACCTGGGTTATACAATGTTAGTGGATTTAATGTTGAGTCAAAGTGGGGAAAAAATACTTAACTAACCAAGTCCTATGAGAAAATTGCCATCATTAATGTTACTTATTGGAAAGAGAATAAGTTCAAAAGTCCAGATTAATGAGCAAAGTTAATATTATACAAACTTACCGGATCAAATAACCAGAAAGTGCTTTCTTGCTTTTTCTTGTTACCTAATGATGTGGCTTTATAAATGAAATCTACACAGTAGCTTCACAAATGTTCTAATTTGGCTGCTCCTCATCGTACTCTTTCTTTCCCTCCTCACCTCAGACCCCATTCACGTTTGGCCTGAACCAGCGGGCCCCCTACACGGCTGGCGATCGCTGCCTCTTATGCCGATGTGAGCGTAAAGACATTGCTGTGCCTTCAGAGGCCGGGATCTCGGGCCAGAATGGTACATCACAGCCCAACAAGACACCCAGTGCTCTCCAGCTGCCTCTGTGGGTGTGCTCGGACTGCAGGCACACGGTGGAGAAGGAGGACCGGCACACAGCTCTGGAGCAGTCGTTGGGGGTAAGAGCTATGAAGCTGTCAGAGACGAATATTAACGCAGATAAAGTGTAGAGTCAGTGCTTTGGCTCTAACCTACATGTCTCAGCACTGATGCTATATATCTGCAGTTGAACCCACACAGCTGTGGTCAGTCTTTCACTGGGTGGTGAAGCTCTTGTTTTCAACTTTTGTTTCTTTGCCAGAAAGCTCTGGCAGATGTAGCAATCGGACAGCTGCTGCAGTTCAGAATCGTCCTAAATGACATACCGTCATCAAGTATTTAGACGCAGTTTTATTCCAAAAGAACAACACGGTAGCATCATGCACAGTATGTCAGAATAATGCAAAGGTCAAACACAACAAAATACTGCGGGTAAAATATTGTAATTTCTAAATGGATTACATTGGTTTTCTTACTGGACGTCAGAGCATGACTGTAAATCACCCGTCCGGCCTACATTTCATGGATGCCATGATGTCTCAGTCTTATCCTTCTTCATATAAAGAGCTTCTTTATGTGAGACAGCCTGCCTGTGTGCTCCGCCTGTGTCTTTGCAGTAACAACACCAACTTAAAGTTGAAAAATCTTGTGATTCAACACAGTTTCAGCTCTGGTACAAAGTGGCTTTTCTTCCTCTTGATTGCTATAACAGGAGTGTAATCAATTACATTTAGAGATAAGGCTGTTGGCTGGGACTACTTTACCTCAAAGTGGACTTAAAAAAATTAGGTGTTCACTTTTGTTCAACTTTAGTAAGTGTTTTCGTGCCTCTTTAGACCAAGAGCGCAATATAACAAGCAAGAGAATGTGTTTCTTTCTGTCTAGACTGTAAGCAGTAGACATTGCATCATTAATTTCTAAGCAGAGCCCAAAGCTGATTGTCATAACTGTGGCTGTACTCCTGCTGCCACTTCACTCTGCTGTGTGTTTGCTCTATTTTTGGTATGTGTGACCTGAGCCGCAAGTAAACTATTGTGAATCAGGAGTAATACTCAGTCTTCTCTTCTCTTCAAACTGCAATTATCGTCTTAACACAGTGTGTATTCTGGTTTATTCACTGTTTGCACATCAGCGTCATGTCTCTGAATTATGGGAAATTTCCAGAATCGTTACTCAACTGTTGGACTGGAAAATTAAAACAAGAAATGAGATTAAGTCTGTATATTGTAGCGGGGTTTCAGGTTTGAAAATAATAACCCTTTGTGCTGCTGGATTGACCTGATAACATTTCACATTTTCACACACTGATCAGATCACCCAGGAAGATAATGTATTTGCATTTCTTCTCCAATACAGACTCCTACAAACTCTTACAAGTCAAACTGATTTTGTTTCATGACTGTTATGAGAAGACTTATTAGTTCCCCAGTGCTTCATGTAGTTGTAGCACTAGTTCATGTAGTATTGACCAGACTTTGGTGACGTCTCGTCAGGTGTGTCAGGGGGTTTGTATTTCCTCAGCTATGGGTGTGGCTGTTTTGGGCCTTCTGTTTGACTTGGGCTTGGTTTCCTCATGAGCGTATTGTTCGTCTCATCCCCATACTACGCCTGCTCACAAAGTCTTGGCCTTTAGGAATACTTAGGGGGCTTTCTAGCAAAAAGCAGCAGCACAAATTTGACCTGAAACAGAAATAAGTCACAGTGGTTCGATCAAAAACCAGAGAGGATTCTGTTAAAGTCACAGAGATTTGTCACTGACTACTAAACTTAGATCTCCAAAAACATCTGATTTTAGGTAAAGGACAATTTTGGTCCCTTGCCATCTCAGCTGTATTGATACAGAGTCAACATAGAGCTACTTGAGCAGACTTGCATGTTATTGCTGAAGAGACTTCCTCTTAAGCTGATGAATCAGTTTTAATATCAATTAGAGTAAATACATTTCCTGCTTCCTGTTACCAGACCTGAGGGTAAGAAATGATTTAGAACCAAGAGATATTATGCAAATGATGCATGTCATTTGACTTAAGTGCGTGCTGCTTACTAGTCTCATTAAAGGTTGTGAAATATCACGTCATGCTTTTCCTCTTTTTCCAGATTTAATCTGAAATAGATGTCTGTCTGATATCAGGGTACAGCTCCTCAGATGAACTCTCAGATGTGACTGTTGTGCATGCAGAGTCTGTAACGATGACGCATGACTGTAAAACATAAACATGCATGTGATGCTGCTGTTGTCAGACACCCCGTCATGTGCTATAGTAAGTTATCTGGATTTGAAGACTCTAGTTCTGCTCCCTGTGCTTGTTAGTGTTGTGGGCACACAAAGAATCAGAGTGTTTACCTTTTAGTCAAGCACATGTACAACATATGTGTAGTGTTGTGGAAAAGTTCATGAGATTCTATAGGTGTATAAACTGCCATCACAGTGCTGGCGACAGAGATGAGAAACTTAAATCATTGTCAGAAGTTATTGATGATGTGCCACTGCAGGTTAAAAAGCTGGATCCAATGTGGTTAAAGTAGGAGGGGGATCTGATATTAAGTAGGGCTGGGACGATATGCTTTTCTCCCGATTCGATTCTTCTACGGTTTTTTGGATGTCAATTCGATGTAAATTGCGATTCTGCGATATTGTCGATTTTCTCAAATCAGTTAAATGATTCTGATTGTCTACTGACTATTCCAGGAACTATATTTCCCAAAAAAATACACGTCACATTAAGTCGGTTATTAAGATTTATTCTTAAATTTAAAAAAACAAACAAAAAATCATTAATTAAAAAATTGTAAAACAAAAAATTGTGATACTTATGTGAATCAATTTTTTTCCCCACACCTAATATTTAGTATTCATGTTTAATATGAAAATGGCGTGTATGATCTTCTAAGTGCAAATTTTTAATCTGCTGAATGCACATGCCAATGCTTTTGCTAAGATTGCACAAAAAAGGTAGAAAGTGATGCTGAAAGTTAGAGGCAGAGAAACTCGAACACATCCTCTTTGTTACTGTATTCAAAGTCAGTCTCTTTGACTCAGAGTGGATGTAATATTTGTAATATTGAAGAATATTTGTCAAATCAAAATTTCTTTCAATTTCCAAAATCGTAGTAAGATGGTGATCAGTGTTTTGCTTGTACTCAGTGAAGTAATTAAATAAAAAGGAAGATACATATGTGTCTTATTGTGTTGTTATTTATATTTTCCCTCAGAGCCAGGACTTCCTTTTGCACATGCCTGTGGGCAACGGAAACATCAGCCAAGAGGCAGCCCCGGGGGACAGATTGACCACTGCTGTGCCTACACTACCCATGCTCCCTGCCCCTGAGCTCACCGCACCAATGCCTGCTGACACCGTGTGCAGTTGTGAAGCCTGCAACGAGAGACGGTCAGTTCAGAGCGACTACGATTGAACAGGCTTTTGATTATTGAATCTCCCTTCTAAAAGTTTTTCTTGTCATCTGTGATCAGGGAAATCTCCGCTGGGTCAGAGAGGGAGTCTCAACAACTGCAGAATCACTGGTCAGAGGTTCGCTACCTTGTGCGCTGCATCTACCGTCAAACAGGAACTCCATTAGCAGATGATCACGACCAGCCTCTTGAAAGAGACAAGGAGGGCATGAAGGAGCTGGTGGACAGGTAGAACTGCTCTCTGAGTGTGTTTGTCCACTAGAGGTCTCTGTTGATCTACAAAAGCCTGCTGTGGGTGCAGGAAATAAGTCTTTGTAAAACAATCAGAGACCTTTGAAAGTGGTGCTGTTAACCAGATAAAGAGTGTTGTTGCAGATAAAATTAGTTGCACTAGGTCTTATATAATGGTATCTTCACTTCCTTGAGTGGTTCCACTGAAATAGGATCTTGTTGAGTGACTCATTGAGGGAACTTCTAGACAGTGGTCAAAAGGGGAAAGAACCTGAAGTTCTCTATTACACCTGCTTATCAAGTGTAAATTTCAGTATTTTTCTCACATTCAGGGATTTATTTCCTTAATTTTTTTCTCATACAGACTCTGTGAGAAGGACCCCTACCAGCTGTATCAGCGGTTGGAGCAGCAGGCCCGAGAATATGTCTTGGAAATGAAGGTGCGGCTACTGAAGCACCTTTCGACAGGCCCCAAGACGGCAGGTCCAGTGGGGAACGTTGCTGCAGTCCAGGGTCCTCCTCAGGCCTACCAGTTAATTTCCCTGCTGCTGGAGGAGTACAGCGCTCTCTGTCAAGCTGCACGCACCATCAGCAGCTTCCTGCTCACCCTGGTCAGTTTACCAGCTCTCCTGCGGCTGGTTGTAGAGAGAGTTCACTCTGCCTTTTCTTGTGTATTCTCTGATTCTAACTTGTGTCCTTTCTTCCTCAGGAGAACGAACATCTCCAGAAATTCCAGGTGACATGGGAGCTGCACAACAAGCACCTTTTCGAGAATCTGGTGTTCTCTGAGCCCATCTTGCACAGCAGTTTGCCTGCACTGGTTGCACAGCTGAAGTAAGAGTTGACAGTAAAATGTCATGTACTTTTCCAGCTGTTTTATTTCATTCAAACTTCAGACTCAAATGAAACAAATTTTCCTTTTTTAAATGCATTTTAACACATTCAGTGCCAGGTTCACTTACGTAATTTTCACCCAGTGCCATCATTGACCGCAATAGAAATTTCCATATCTTTCAGGACCCACAGAATATCTTGTGCTTGGACTAGAATTGAGTGCAATATCTCAAAAGAAAGGGGTGATTCTCTTCTTTCACCAGACAAAAAGTGTGGTCATATCATCTTTGCCGATCTGGAAAAGAAACCTGGGGAAAACACATTTTTTACGGAGAGACTTTCAAGCAGAACGCTGATCGTCTATTTCATTTCACTTCAAACTACGTTACCGGTGGCATCAAGGTCCTCCCTCCTCTGACACCACTCCTCATCTGATTGTGATTGGTCACTTTTTGACGGCTGTGAGTCGTATTGGCCCTGACACCGTGACGTAAACCACACAGACTGCTCGTGTACTCCTCGCCGGGACTGTTGCTTAATTCCGGCTCAGTCTCACTCACTAGTATCGGCACCGGCCGCACAACGACACGCCGGAAAATTGTGTCTTTGATTGTCTGCTGACGATCTGAGGGTCTGGTACCAGGATCTCCACTTGATCCAGAGGCGGTAGCATGGCCCCCACAGAAGCCGATGCACTTAGCTAGTGACTTCGGCATTGTCCGACTCTCCTTATAGAGAAAAAAACACTCCACAACAATGCTAATTATGCTAATTGGCACACTCGATGGCACACTTCTCACTGGCGAGTACTTGTTTTTTGTTATTGTAACATAGTTATGATGTATTTGTCAGCTTTTCTGCATTCAGAATGACCCCAAACTTTGTCGCATGTTGGGGAGGAGCGCCCTCTGGCGGAAAACAAAAAAACAGAAAAATCTGCCAAAATCCGCCATTGGCACTGAATGAGTTAAATATGTTCAAAATCTTTCCTAAGCCACAAAACAAGGTTTGGGTTGTTGTTGTTTTTTATAATTTGTCTCTTTCTGCATCCTTCTTTTCAGACATGGCACAGCCTCGCATGATTCATACAATGAAGACATGTACAGGACCTTGTTAGAGAGCTACCAGCAGCTGCAGCAGGAGATGGCTTCAGTGGCAGCTGAGTGGCAGGAGTGTGAGAAGAGGATCGATGACTATGTAGATGAACAGGTAAACACATCCAAGGCAGAGCATTAAACAGGAAATGATGATTTAGAAAGAAACCTGCAGTCAAAGCTGAAAGAGTCTCTGTTTTTCAGCTGCTTTTGAAGGTCGAGGGTCAGAGTCTCACCAACCAAAGAACAGAGCCACACAAGTCCTTAATTAGCAAAAATGTAAGAGGCATAAAAACACATAAATTTTGTCCTATCATAGTATTTCGCTTTCTTTTACTTAAAGAACTTCATATCGGTTTCATTATTTATCCATTTCCAGACTTTGAAGACCAAGCAGCGAATGCTGAAGGAGGACTGGGAGTTCTTTAAGCAGAGGAGATTTATAGAAGAACAGGTAGAAAAAAACAAAACCAAACGGAGAAAGCAGCCGGCTCATGGCAGGTCCAAATGTTCTCCTCTGCTCCTCACAGAAGTTTTATTTTTAATTTTTGTTGTCTTTGTAGTTACCTAACAGCAAAAAGTCCCCCACCGGAGACAACAACTTCACAGACACTATGAGAATGCTCTCATCTCGGCTGAGTATTCCAGACTGTCCAAACTGCAATTATAGAAGACGGTAAGTTTCCAGCACTCAGCAGTGTGTTATTATCTGCCCCTGGGATCATCAGACTGTTTTTAGATGTATGTAACTGAACAGACACGTGAGGCTGCCTTCATTGAAACACAGGGTTTTCTTTTTTAGATGAGCAGCTATTGCAAAGTTTATGATTCTCTCTTTTCTAATGAGTCAACAGAGGAGTGAAAGAATTTAATTCCCCAGCTAATTATAACGCACATGTTCACATCTGTAATCCTTTGTGATTCAGATGTGAGACCAGGACTAGCTTGACTTAAAACTCTACCAGGGGTGGGCAGTAACCAATCACATCCGCTCCAAATGTGGTAATTGAGTAACTTTTTGTTTACTTGCACTTTTTTTTAATAGTTTTTTTGAAGTCAGCACTTTTACTGACATGTATTTTTGGACAGTATCGTTATTCTCTACTGTTTACATTGCACCCATTACTGAGTAAAAATAAAAAGTGTACAAGCTTTTCATGAGCTGTGTAGATTGGCTAATGGCGACTATCTGACAGTCAGGTGAACTAAGATGTAGCAGGGAGGAAGATCAGGCATGCTGGTGCTAAAATCATGACAAGAAAAACTCTCGTAGGGTTGGAAATGCGTTTGTTTTAGGCCAGTGAATCAATCCCTAAGCATGGCTTTTATAAAACTGAGACCTCGTTCCAAACACAGTAAAGCAGAGAGCGAGCTACAACTTGGTTTTGATCAGTATGGCCCATATTGCTAGCCGGACAGGAACATTTAGCTACTTCAACTCATACAAAATCCCTTCACATATGAGATTGTCTTCTTGTTAGTTCTACCTCATGAATAAGCTCAGAAAAAAAAACACTTTTACATAATTTGGGGGTTATTTATCAGGAATAATTTCAAGGACTCAGTATTTAGAGTAAATTTACTGTTGAGTATTTCTAGTTCATTTTACGTTGGTTGATTCACAGCTTGTTAGTTTTACTCCCACAGAGTAAGTTGTCTTTAAAGTAACTAAACCTTTACCTGAGTAGAGTATTTCAGCTCCCTCCCTTTCTGATTTCTGACCCTTTATTTTAGACCATGTTGTAAATAGGGATGTGAATCACTAGTGGACCCACGATACGACATTGTCACGATACTTGGGCCACTATACGATAATATTGCGATTTTAAACAATTTGCAATACAGTGAGTATTTCGATACAATATATTGCTATGACACAATTTTTTCAACTGTTTAGCTAATTGAGCATTTGTCTTTTCTTTATGTTTGTCTTATTTACGCTGTATTTTATTTTCGTGTAGCACATCTTGTACCTTATATATTTGTTGTACTAACTTTCTGCTGCTTCATGATGCCACCTCTGCCGACCTCACTGGACAAACAGTTGATTTTATTTTTCCATTATCATAGATTTGACTTCATATTAACAAATAATCTGAAAAAATCGATACTTTGTAAATGAGACGATACGATTTATCACCAGACAAAAATATTGCAATACTATGCTGTATCCATTTTTTTCTCCCACCTCTACTTGTAAAATCAGTGTAATGAACATGATCTTTTCTTTACCATGTATTTTAGCTCAATTTTCAATGTGGTAATGTTAGACAACAACGCTCTGTTGATGTTGTGTGTTTTCCTCATCCCCAAAGGTGCACATGTGATGATTGTAGTCTATCCCACATCCTGACTTGTGGCATCATGGACTCTCCCATCGCTGAGGACCTCCACATCAAGCTGCCTATGCAGGGTGAACCTCCTCGAGACTACCTGGCAGAGGTTCACCCTCCCAGCCTCTCCTCCGGGAGTTCAGCATCGGGCTCCAACTCCAGCTCTCCCATCACCATCCAGCAGCACCCACGACTCATCCTGCCTGAGGGGGACACCAACACCTTGTGAGTCAATCTTTATCGTCTCATCGAATGTTCGTTGAGAGGTTTGGTTTTTTCACAGGAACTTTCCCCTGAGAGTCGTGAGGCTTTTGAGTGGGTTTCAACCAGAGTAAGGTCCAAATTAACCCTGCTTTCACGTGCTCCTCAGATTTTCCAAGTAGGGCTGTCAAAAAGTTTTCAGTACTCTCAACACAAATGTGATTATGCCTCGTAATGAAACTATTTGTTTCCCTTTATAACAAATATATTTGCACACCTCTTTTGTAGACAATAATTTCCCTTCTTTCACTTCCTCCTTAACTTGATTACACATTTCTGCCCTCTTCCAGTATTAGCGATGATGACGAAGTGCCTCCATTGTCCAGTAAGTTTGGGGACATCTACCCTATGAGTGGCTATGAGGACAACAGTGTCGTGACGGCTGCTGTGAACGGCCTTCATAATGACATCAACGGGGAAGCTGAAAATGTGGCACTGAAGGCAGGGGTGAGTTATAAAAAGACCGAGAACAGTTGTGAATTTTCCCTGCCGAGTTTCCTAACAATGAAACTACTGTTCATTATGAGTGAGTTAACGGTAATACGGGAAAAGTTCTTACTTAACGGAGTCATCTCTGTTGCAGTCGCCTCACATCAGTAGCAGCAGCAGCTCATCGGAGGGTGACGAGGAGGAGGCTGACGGGGAGGTTGGTCAGGAGCCTCAAGGGCAGCAGGAGGAGCTCTCCTCAGCAAATAACAACAGTCCTCCACCATCGTACAGCCACCAACAGGTGCTGAGACAGTCCCAATGAGCGTTTTTGGTGGAAATACTCAGAAATCCTGTGAATGAATCCCATGTATTCATGTAGCCATATTTCAATGTGATATAAATCAGACATGAGTGTAGTATTAGTGACGTCACTCATCGGTTTCAGAGGAGTAGTTCAGAGATGAATTGATGTCAGGCAACATATTAGAAATGCTGACTCGTGAAATTTAAATGAGGGTAGAAACCAACAAAGAGGTGGTGCTGAGGTGGCACTTATGCCTTCGCTTGAACAGTTACAGCTAGTTATGCTGATTAATGCAGAACTTCTAGCATGCATGTAATCGCACAGATAATATATTTTTTTGTAATTCCCATCCTCATGTTTTTTTTTATTTTTTATTATTATTATTTTTTTGCACATCAACACCTTTTTTTTAATACTAGAAGTTACAGCTTGATTTCCCTCTGTTCTGCATCTATTTATATTGATCTAGTAAGGTATCAAAAAATGTATCCAGGTACTCTTTCTAAAATGTTCTATTGAAATATATTGATTTGAAGGTACAGTGTTAGCAAAACAGTATTAGTAGAGATAGAAAATAGTCAAAAAATATTCACATTCATGTTAAAGTTCATGTAAAATCCCCTGAATTAAAAAAAAATGTATTTGTTGACTAAGAATTGTATCTACATGGTACCTGATCCACAGAGGTGATTACTTTGCACAGCAGCACAAAACAGACAAACTAGTAACATGCATGATTTTGTATTGAGTGAGTAACTGCAGTAAATGCACTGGTTTGAAGAAATAGAAGAAGACAGGGGTGTTGTTATTGTTGTGAGCAAAAAAGGGCCGTTAATGTCAGATGTTTTTGATGGTGAAAAATGAAGACAAATCAAGAATTTGACTGCCAGAATTCACCGGATATCACAATTTCTATACACGGTCTTCTACTCTAACTGTAATGATCAGTAATTGTTTGCAATTGTTGAGATTTAAATCTTGAATCACCAAGACGAAGATAAAGATATTCCTTTTGTCATCAAAGCGGTAAAAAGTTCAAACTGATCGCACTGTGCAGTTAGACCCAAAGAACTTCCATTCAGCATATTCTGACTCTGTGTTACCGCTCTCAGGTCGAACAGCTCCAGCATGCCTGCGAGTGCCACGTGTGCAACCAGGACCCCGGCTCCTCCACCCTGGGCTCTGCCACATGTCTACCCCCCAGTCCTCTCCACGCTGCACCTCCTCCCACTGTCGGGCACCAGTTCTTCACAGACAGCAAGACTCCCCCCACCCACCCCGCCCTCCACCTTTACCCACACATCCACGGCCACCTGCCCCTACACAACTTCTCCCGACCCCTTCTTCACCCCACACTCTACCCCCCCAGTCCTCCTCTCACACACAACAAGGTAAGGATGAATCTCTTCCTGCCTACTTTCTGTAGACAGTAGGAAATGAGAGCGTCTCAGAGGGAAACTGATTTATTTCCTCATTACTGGGGATTTTGCAAGATTCCAGGAACAATACTGGGTTTTGTTGAATCAGTTTCACTTAGTTACGGTTTCATAATCTGCCACAGGGGGGCAGCCTTAAGTCAAAAAATGAATTGCGTAAAATCTTAAAACCTCAGACTAATGTGTCATCATCTTTATCTGTCTTTTTTTCAAAGCCTCTGCCCCCAAACCCAACATCGAACCACTCAGCCGCCAAACAGCCGGCCTTCAGCCCTTCTTTACCCGAGCACGTTTACCAGAACTGTTTTAGCAGTGCCGGTGGAGCAGGGGACTGGAACAGCTCATTGCAGTGCCTCTCGCTCAAGTTTGAGAACCTGTGGGATGCTGCTGTGATGAAGAGCTGGAATCCATCAGTGCTGTTGCCTGAATCCCTGCCAGGTGAGCCTGCGAAAAAAAGTTGTCAAATTAGATCAAGAAAATAAGGATTTGAGATTACAAAGCATCTATAAATAGCCAAGTGAAAATGAAATACATCAACCCAAAAAAACCTACAAGGAAAAAAAGTTCATTTGGCTGTCAAGACTGTGACCTCAGACTCTGTGTGTGTGTTAGATCACATTCTGATTCACATCTGCCTCACTCCACATTTGATCATTTGTGAGTCGCAGCTACGAACACAATGTTTGAGTTGTCTCATTCAGAGACTGCAGGAAACTTGCCTTCTGGTTATTTTTTCATTTCAACTGGTCCATGAACAGAGAAGTAACAAAAAAAGAGGCCCCACAACCCAAATCATCGTCGACAGTGCATGACAGACATGACTCTGTTGGGGAAATCACGACACACATCCTCAATGAAGGTTAAACTGTGCAAAGAGGAAACCATAGATGAACAAAATCTAGAAACACCTGCCAGTTCAACCCATCAAAGCCCATCCTGTCGTCTGACAAATCAAGCATTGACACTCTTCAATCAATCAATCAATCAATCAATCAGTCTTTATTCATATAGCACTTTTCATACACAACCATGTAGCACAAAGTACTTCACACAGAAAAAGGAATAAATAAAATAAAGAATACCCACATCTACCCCAATCCAACCCCTCATTCCCACCCCACGATCCAAAGGCAACAGAAACGGTATTAAAATGCATTAACTTAAAAAAGGGCTTGATTTCGTGGAGACAGGAATGTGCGCACTGAGGAAACGTCATCTTAAAACTCAATATAAGGAAACACTGGAGGTTTAGGTTAAGGTCTAAAAACAAAGTAACATAGAATGACAAAGATATAATGGATAAAATGAAATAAAAACAGTAAAAGATACTAAAATAAGAGCACCAATATAGCTCAATAAAATACGATCCTGTCATTAAAACTAGAAGAGATAAATGCTAAAACATTTAAACAAAGTCAATGATATTAGATTTAGTGAAAAGAAAGACTAAAAAGGTGCATTTTGAGTTTGGTTTTAAAGTCGTTAAGATGAGGTGCAGTACTCAGGTCTTCAGGTAAGCTGTTCCATAGACGGGGGGACGACTATGATATGGGTTGTAGGGCCTCTTTTTGGAAATCATGAATTATATGTCCCTTGCTTTAAAGAAGAGGCTGACGACCCAGTTTGTTATCAGCGCACAGATTAAAAGTCAGCATCTGTGACAGTACAGGGGTTGGATGAGTGCCTATAGCATGAGTCGCTGACACGTATGCTACTTTAAATGCTTAATGGCATGTTCAGGTTTTAGAGCCTGTACTTGCCTCTTCCAGGGAAGACGTTGCGGAATACTGTTAGACAATGTTTGTCGCAGAACTACAAGGCTGATTCATTTTTGTTCCAGGTTTAAAAAAAAAGAAAGGAAAAAGTCAGATGTGAAGCCCTGACAAATCTCCTCCTGTTCTTGTCAACAGGTGACATGCTCGGCCCGCCGCTCGCTGATGTACCCCTCCCTCCCACATCGTCTATCGGCCCCCAAGGGGAACACCGCTCTCTGCCCACTCCGCTACCCCCTTCCTCTTCCACCCCCTCATCGCTGTCATCGTCTTCATCGTCATCCTCCTCGTCATCATGCTCCTCTTCGGAAGCTAAAGAGCAGAAGAAGAGTGGCGCCAAGAAGAAGTGTCTCTACAATTTCCAGGATGCCTTCATGGAGACCAACCGAGTGGTGATGGCCACCTCCGCCTCCACGTCCTCCGTGTCCTGCACTGCCACCACTGTCCAGTCAAGTAATAGCCCACCCATCCACCTAGCATCCAAAAGACCCAACTCTTTAGGTAATATAGGAGGTAGGAGCGGTGCTTAGGTTTGTACTGTTCAGAGGACGTTTCTATCACTTAGTTATGGCCCAGTCCAGATTTAGGACCGTGGTCTGACGCCCTGTAATGACATCATCGATGATGGTTTTGATTTTTCCTCGAAAAGGGAGATTTAAAAAGTTCAGAGAATAACAGTGGCTTTTCTTCACCATGTTCAGCTTAGCCTAACTTAGTTTTAATCAACAAGCATCATGTTTGACTTAAATGAATGAAAGTGTTATTATTCTGTAATTCTCTCTGAATAGTTTCATGTTTGACAGTTTTATTGAAAAAGAAAAAACAATCTTCTCATTGAACACACCTTTGTTTCTTCCAGACGATGTATTTCACAATCTAGGTAAAGAGGACCATAGACAACCTGCTCCAGCCCCTCCTAGAAGCTGCCCTTCAGGACTCACTCCCCTTCCTCCACTCTCAGGCCCCACCTTACCCCCAGCACCCACCACACATCTCCCCACAATGGGATCCCAACCCTTTCCAAAGATGGCCGCTCCAGCCCCGGATTTCATGGAGGCCCACCAGGGCCTGTGCCTCCCACCCGCAGAGCCTCCAACCTCCTCAGTAGATGGTCCTGTCAGTGCCCCACCCAGTGTGTGCAGGTAGGACCACCACTGCATCCCGCAGGATCACAATCAAGGATGCCTGTCGATGAAATGTGACAGTGAGAAAGATGTGAATGTGGAAGTGGTTTGTGATGTGGGGCAGAAGTCATTTCAGGGATCAGTTTTAAGTGTCGTTCCTTTTTTAGTGATCCTGATTGTGAAGGCCATCGCTGTGAGGGGAACGGGACATACGAGCACCCACCGTACGATGGAGAGGAGAGTCCTGACGACGACAGCTGCTCTGAACACAGCTCCTCCACCTCAACATCCACCAACCAGAAAGAAGGAAAATACTGTGACTGCTGCTACTGCGAGTTCTTTGGCCATGGCGGGGTACGATTATCTCATCACTCACTGAAATAAGCTTTTTCACCTCGAATTGGGGGCTATTACCGTAAATATATGACAGTGTTTTTCCTTTTTCCTCCAATGGTTTTATATTATGGTTTTACAGAACTAAAGGAGATATGAATGTAAGATATTTTTTTGTGAGGAAAACATGTGGCTATTATTGAACTGACTGAGTTTTAGTGGAGCTACATAAAGTGGTGACTGTCAGGAGTCAGAATATTTATGTTTGCCCCCTGTGCCCACAAGTCCACACTTCTTGTAATCATAAGACGACCAAACAGCAGCTGCAGCACTTTCAGCCCGGTATAAACATTAGGGCGGAGAGGCAAATCCCGACAGTTATTTTCCAGCAGAGGGAAAACAACAAGTTTGTGCAATTGCTGTGTCACAGTTGGCTTTTGTTTCAAACACTGACATGAGGAGGAGTCGAGGCACTTTGGTCAATGGAGAGTATTCTTTGTGTACAGTAAAGACAACCCATATTTAAAGCAGTGTAGATGGCGCGGAAAAATTCATGTCATGATAGAGTGTGGCACCGGTGACAGTGTTGAAAGTGGTACACCACCCACCCTACATCTGATCTACATGTTTATCACACATTCAGAGCACAATTCTGCATGTTCTCCTAACACCCAGTTAAAGTAGAAATGTCATGCCTCTAAATAGATTATTTTATCCCCCGCTGTGAAAACAATGAAAGTAGTGCTTTGCCCATTTTGGGAAGAATCCTTTTAGACTGTTTGCAATATTTTCTGTTTTTATTCCCAGCCTCCTGCTGCTCCTACCAGTCGAAACTATGCAGAGATGCGAGAAAAGCTGCGCTTGCGTCTGACAAAACGTAAGGAGGAGCAGCCCAAACGCGAGGAACAGCAGCCCATAATAGAACGAGACGGAGGAGTGGAGGACCATAGACGGGTAGAGGACTTGTTGCAGTTCATCAACAGTGCTGACAATAAACCGGCCTCTAGTTCTAAGGCTGCCAAACGGGCCAGGCATAAACAGAAGAAGGTAAGTTAACTCCCTGAAATGTGTTAAAATATCAAAGTGTTGCCGCATAAAGCCTCTCAGTTGGAACCATGTAGATATGTATGATATGTATGATACAATTTTAGTTTTTGTGCGTCACAGCCGTCATATTGCTGAAAGTGTATGTCTCCGATTTCTTCAGATGGAGGAAAAAGCACGCCTGGAGGCAGAGGCCCGCGAAAGAGAAGAGCAGCAGTTGTTGGAAGAGCAGCAACGGCGGCAGCGGCAGGAAGAGGAAGAGGCAGCGCTTCAAAAGGAACTGCTGCGGCTGCAGGAGCTGCAGCAACATCGCGCTGCCAAGAAGAAAAAGAAAGAGAAAACGAAGGAAAACACCGCTCCCCCTCAAAACAACCCACAGCCCCTCAAACAGACAGCTCAGAACGTCCTAGATAACCTACAGAACGGAAAGTCACAGCTGCTTCAAACCCTCATCCGCCTACCCGATCAGAAGGAAACAAGATTTGACCCCATACCCCGGCTTAACTCACTTCACAGCCCCAAACACACCAGTGACAAGGGGTTTTCTTCTGAGACCAACATCTCCAACTCTCCAGCTATCCTCCACAACGGCACTTCTACACCACAGCCCGAGGTTAACGGGAAAATTAAGACAAAGCCGTATTCTAAAGTAGCCCCCTGTGAGACCACTATGAAGAAAGCCCCAGAGTTACCCAAAAGTTCAGATGTGACAGCAAAGCTAGCTAACGGCACCACCCCCACCGCCTCAACAGACACCAAAGCAATGTGGGTCAGACAGGCTGAGGCGCTGACTCCTCTCCCAACTACTGAACCCAGGAGGGAAGACAGGAGTTATAACAGAAGCACTAGTGGAAAGAGGCAGCAGCAACAACAACAGCCGCTGACCCAAATAAAAGAAGACAGGAGAAGTCCACCAGTGTCGAACCCTTCCCCGTCTCCCCCTCCCGCCCTTCAGTCTGAGCAGAACCAGCAAAATGGCAAACCTCCCAGTGCAGAGTCCCCACAGCCGAAAGGCAAGAACAAGAAGAACAAGAAGAAGAAAGGGGACAAGATGAACAGCTCCATAGGTTTGTAGTGTATTATTCACAGTTAGATAGTGAAAGCCCTCCTTCATGCGAACATCACAGCAGAACATTCGCCCTAATATCACCCCTGACTAACGTTATTTCTGAAGAAGCTGATTTGGCTCTGCAGACATCATACTAAGTGAGAGAAATTTGAACTGTGTCCAAAACAGGCGCAGCAACCAGGGTTCAGCTAGATATCTAAAACCCAACTAGTCTCTTGGGTTTTCTGTGCTATATCCATGCAGTTTGCCGCTGCCATTGACATCATACAGGGCTGCATGGAGCTTTTTGTTACAGCTTATTTAGTCACATGTAGTGCTGTTCTGGCCCTTTTTGGTGTCCAAAACCCTCTAGGCTGTCAAGATGCTAGAGGGGGAACAAGAAATCTGCCTCCATAGATTTCCAAAGCCTCACACTGGACGAGATAAGAAATATCCTGACCAAATAACTGTTAATTTAACCTGCTAGCTCTGGGTATTGTGATTAAGAAATATTAATATTACAATTTTTAATTTTTCACATTTTACCCTATCTTGACTGAATGTTCTTTTTTGTTGTAGATGATGTATTCTTGCCCAAAGACATCGATCTGGACAGCACTGAAATGGATGAAACAGAGAGAGAAGTGGAGTATTTCAAAAGGTGTGTGTGGTACAGTACCTTTTTTTTTTTTTCAAACAGACCATATCCTGTTTTCACGTACTGTATATAGTCACTCTTCCTGGAAGCGTCAAGGGCGAGGGTGTCTAAGTGTGATATGTTGACCACAGTTTTGTGTTTCAGAGATCCTTCACAGTATAATAATATAATAGTTCAATGAAATATGAAAATATTTATTTTATACTGTTAACGGAGTATATTGTTTTGCTCAGATTGCGTAACACTTGATGTTTTAGGGGAATACAGACGTCTTAGATGAGATAGGAGGTGATTGTCCTCTATAGATAAAGAGTTCTACCGCTCCACCAGACTGATAGCGTCTCTGCGTGCCCTAGCTTCAAATTACATAACCAGAACTCAACATTTCAGCCTCCTTTTGTACAATAGTAGAGGTACACGATCTGTAATTATACACAGTCCATGGTCCTACATGAAACCCAGAGTTGTACGTGTAAGTAGTTCTTTTTTTTTCTGATGCAGGTTTTGCTTGGACTCTGCCCGACAGAATCGCCAACGACTCTCCATCAACTGGTCAAACTTTAGTCTGAAGAAAGCTACCTTTGCTGCACATTGAGGACTGTCAGGACACAATCAGTACCTTAACAGCTCTACCGACCCACACGGCCCCCTGTACCCTCCACCCCTCATCCCTTTACCCAGCTGTTCTCCTTCCAGACTTTTCTCTTGCTGTGCCCAAATCACACCCTCGCTGCCTTGCTTCGTTTTTGTCGCTGTGTGGTTCCAACACAGACCCATCTGGACTGATCCACCTGCAGAACTTAAAATTAAAAATGAAATGAAACGACACAAAAAGAATCACAAAACTGCTACTTCACATCTGATTAATTTTCCTTGCTTGCTTGTGTGCTTTTAGTCTGAGTTAGGCATTTCTCTTGACTGAAAAGCCATGGTCTGAAATTATTTTCCTATAATGGCTTACCTGTAGTCAAAAGATGCTTACTCTGTCTGGATGGTTTCCTAAAAAAAGAGAGACTAAGGAAACTACAAAAAAAGAGAACTGTAATGAATTAAAAGCTGTATTTGAGATATTGTGGCTTAATATCCCATTGTTTCCCGATCCTCGCACGGCATCTCATCCACATGATTGACAAGGGAATGGGCTTGGTCAGCTGGTCTCCACTCCCTGCCCCCAACCCCCCATCACCACCACCTCCTCCACGCTATTTCACAGAAAGGAGGAAAGCGTAATACTTGACAATGTTCTTTTTTTGGTTTTTAAGTACTGTTTAACAAACTGTTGAGTAAAAGTGTTCCAGTTACAGTTTTTGTTTTCTTTCTTTTTGACCTGTAGCCAGCTTGTATCAGAATACTTTCAGAATGAAATTGAAAAAGAACAATACTCACACTATCAATCTGTTATAGAGTGTATATTGTATTAACACTGAAGCCAAACTGGCTACTTTTAACATATTGTTAAGTAATATTAAATCTTGTCTTTCTTTTTTGAAAGATGGAATACAGTAGTATGGCAGGATTACGTGTCTTGTGTCAAATCTTCTTTCCTACACAGTGGGAGTCGCACATAAAACACTTCAACTACACACAGAAAGAAATATCGGCCGTAATGGGAAAAATGCAAGTCTACTAAAACTACACAATAAGATTCCAAACACCCACATAACTTTACTGTTCAATTTCAATCTTTAATCTAGAAATAGTGATAGTAAAATGAAATGTGCTGATGGGCAGATCAGTCCCAGCTAGTACCTGTTCACGAAAAAACCTCAAATGCTAAATTTGGTCATGGCTTTCATCAAGGTTCGATACTCGGACCCCTAATGTTCCCTTTTTATTCAGTGCTTTATCTAATATTATTGCACTGATGGGCAGACCAGTCCCAGCATGTACCTGTTATAGAGAAGTCCTAAATGCTAAACCTGGTCATGGAGTTCCACAAGGTTTGGTACTTGAACCCCTTGTGTTTACCCAATATGCAACATGCTTTATTTAGTGTTAATGTGCCAATCGGAAGATCGGTCCCAGCCTCTACCTGTTCACATAAATCCTCAAATGCTAAATTTCCACAAGTTTTGGTATTCAGACCCCTTACATTCACCTTACATGCAGTATACTTTGTTTACTATCAAAGGCACATTTTGTTACTTTAAACAGACCCTGAATAATGGCTGCTTCCAGCCTTTGGCTAACCCAGTTGACTCGTATTTAAAGGGTATGTTAAATAGTATTGAAATACTTATATTAGTCTTGCCCCACAAACACTTCACCTCTACAATGTAGAACTTATCCTTGATTAATTTTCCAGTAACTTGTGAAAAAATGAATTATATCAAATTTCCTGTTAATTCACAGTGAAATTGCTCTCATTTGTTGACAAACAATGATTATTTGGGCAACCTTATCCACATATTAGTTGTGTTTTCACCCAGGCTAGCTAAAATGCTGTTTTTAGGTTTGCTAATCATTAAGTAAAGATAACCACCTCCATGCTAACATTTCTGTTTGATAGTGTTGGATGAAATGATACGGTAGGTGATGATAGTTTGCTTACAGAAGCTTTTGGTAGCTAGTGAGGCTATTAGCAAGGAGCTGGTCGAATGCTCACATTAGCATTTGTGATTAAACTGTCAGAACCTACTGAGTAATAAAAATAGTAAATTCCATTTACCCCCTTTAGATTTTCAAATCTGTCTATAATTTAAAAAAAACAAGTATCAAATAAATTTGTACAATTTCCTCTTTCAAAGGTTAAATATAACAGTGTGACAAAATCTGAGCTTCCCACGCTGAGCGTGGTGTCAGAGGAAAATGGCGGCTCTTTGAATATGACAAATAGAGGGTACTGTTTTCCCCAAAGTTACCCATTCTCACTCTGCACCTTGATGAGTCAAACACTCTTGTGCTTTTTGGGAAACCCACTGATTGAACTTCATCTACCCAGAGCCCTCTCTGTAACTTAGTCATGAAGATCCCAGCTTCGGTTTCAAATGAGAGGTACATTAAAGAAGAGAGGTAGGGACTACTTAAGGCATTTACATGTAGCCCCATTTCATAAATGCACATGAAGCTCTAGGGAAATTTAATTTCAGGCAGTTATGAAATCAAGTACATCCCCTCAGGGTGAAGTGAGCTTGAAATGAGGTCATGCTTTGGTTTATCTAGATGTAGATGAGTTAAGACATACCTTTCACCGAGCAGGACGAACTGTACATCAGTCATGTAAAAGTTATGTTTGTTTACATGTTGGTATGAATTAAAAAAGAAGGCTAATTGACATTTTGGTTGAGCTATTAGAGGCTGTTGGTGTTCTCTTTGTGCTAAATTAAAAAGATCTAAAGTTGTAGCTTTCATGGGTAAACTTAAAGAAAATAAGAAATGGCTGTATGTTTTGGTTTGCAGTTTGAGCTGCTAAAATCAAATTTTACTTATTTAACTCTTACATCAAAATAAAACTAATCTCCACATTCAGAATATTTATATCTTTCTTATTTGACATAATAAAAGTAGGACAAAGTAAAGCTGTTTTGATTGTTTAAAAAATGTGAAAATACTGTTTCCTTTAGTTAGAAATGTTCAAATCTTGTGTTTACAAGCAAATGGATTATACAACAAGGAAGCCAGGCACAGTTTTGTCCCCAACAGTGACCATACTTCCTTTTAAGGTCTTCAAGAGTGACTACATCCAAAGAAAAACCTAAAAAGTGTGATTTCACATGAAAAATAACCCCTCAAACAAATTTGATGAATGAGAGAATTGTGGTAAACGTACCTGCTTCAAGACAAGACAAAAGGTTTTGGTTTGTGCGAGCATCCGAGAAGATATGAGTCATAATTTATTTCAGGTATGAATGAGTGTGTGTCTGTATATGCAGAGTATGCTTGCTTTCAGTCACCAGTGATGTAAGATCGGATCTATCGCATTTGAGCAAATGCCCCCAAAAAAGTACACTAACGTCGACAGGCAAAAAAGCACAGAGCAAGACGTCTCAGCCACAAATGTTGGCCATGATCTACATACGAAGTGGCACAGATTTGAGTTGGATTGACAGATACAGAAAAAAATTAAGTCAACTCTGTCCTTCAGTTAACAGTAGGCTTACATGTCTTTTAAAGTCACCGGAGATTTGTTTCTATTATGTCTACTTTAAGTCCTTCCTTGTTTTGATCTTTCCCATTGAAGCTGACTCGGCTGGTAAAGGAAAACAATGGTACACTAAAAGCAGTCTTACAATAACAGGGACAAGCACAAATAGGATTATTAAAAGGGATCACAGCTGCCTTGTAACTTGTAATAACAATGTTGATCTTTTCATTGTCGACTGCCTGGAGCGCTTCAGGATCACATACACTCCTAAAGGAGGGAATCCCCCCCCTTTATATCCCAGATACTATCTGCCAAAACACTGTTTTTGATGGCCGAAACCTTTAACTTCCTTCACAAAAAAAGCTTGAAGAAAACAGCCAGCTTTATCAGCAATTACCTGAACCATATTGTGTGAACTTGGAAATGATCTGTGCAAAATGACAGCACTCCATTTTCAAATAAACTTGTCTGTTTTTTGGGAATTCCCTTGTGATGGCGGGAATTTCCCATCCTTTTAGGATACACATAAGATTAAAGGCTCTATCTATCCCTTCTGCATTTGTCTGGATGAATGTCAGGCTGAAGTTTTCCTTCTTCGTGTAAGTCTGACAGCCACAACAGTATGTCCTGATTATTCGAAACCTATTTTTAAAAGGAACTGATCCACCACCGTCACCTGACTTTTCTTTAATTCATAAAATTTCTTAGAAAAGTTTCCATACACTCAGGTGGGGATTTGTGACCTATTTTTTCCACTCTCAGATTGGTGGGTAGAGCGTTATGTGTGTGGTGGTTAAGTCTCTTATAGACCCTGTTGTAAAAAGTGTGGGTGTGTTCTGGTGGGGGGGAGAATCCCGAGCAGACAGCATGTGGCCTTTTTAGGACCTGTGTGTATTTCTACCAGTGCATGTGGTTGGTTCATAGCTAAGAGGCTAAAGTTGCCCTTTACAGCCAAATTGGAGACAATCTATCTGTGGGCACATAAATTGGAACGGGGCCAGAATGTTATGTAAATGAGATTAATGTTTTGGAAACTTCTCAGCCCAGACCATGGTCCCAAGTTAACTGATGAGTAAGTTAGCATGTGATGCTCACTGCTGTCATTTGAATGCTTGGGGACTTCTGTTACATTTCAGAAGCCAACACTTCATTGTGTTTTCAGAAGTTGACTCTTCAACAGGTTTTTAATCATTTTTTCTAAGATAAAGCATATCTAATCGCCAATACAGATAAAGAATCGACTTATTTTAGGTTTTCTTTCAAACATTTGTCCTCCTTAAAGGAAGTAAAGATATTGGACAACACTGACAGCTGTCAAGCTGAACAGGTAAAAAGGCTGTGTTTAATAGTGACAGAGGTCTCCTGTGATCCCCCTTTAGAGTTCATGATATTCAGTCATGTCTCTCTATTTACACACATAAATGTGTAAAAACATATTTGGCCATTTCTTTTAAGGACCGAACAAACAGCTCTTATCTTTGGTTTACAAAGAGTTGTGGTGTTTTTACACAGTTAGGAAGTGACCTACATTGTTAAATACACTTTTTTTCCAAAATACTGAACATTACTTAGGATGGAGTGAAAACTTTAAGGGAAGTGTTAAATCATCATTTTAGTCATAGTTAGCTTATAATAACAGCTAACAAGCTTGAGGTCATACCAGATTAGGTATATCTAAGGTAACAAAAAGCAGCATATTACTGTAAAAAAAATGAAGCTTTATTTCCTGTGCTTTAATATTTTGTGTTATACTTGATATGCCCTCGCTCCTGATAAGAGATTATCCATTTTTGTTTAAAGCAACAAGAGGAGGGTGTTTTTGCTCACACAAAGGACAGGGTTGTTTAGCAGCTATGTTTTTTCTTTGCGCTGCAACTGCCTACTTCCTTTTAAGCAGGGGATGTCCAGCTTCCTGTGCTTACTTCACCAAACCCATGACAACTGATTCACCAAAGCTCTTAACACTTTGGGCCTGTCTGCGTCAAAATGATACCCTTCAGTGTCAGGCTACAGACTCATTTGGCCTCAAACTGACCCACAGGCAGTTACTGAGGTGTTGGATGTAACCTGAGCTAGCGTCTTGAGCTGGTGTTCTCAGTATATCCCTGTAGTGTTTTTGCTTTAGCCACACAACAGCTGGGAATATGGCTGTCACAGTACAGCGTGCCCATTCAGGCAATGCAGGGAAGGGGTTTTCCAATGTGCACAAGCACACACACGTGACACAGATGGACACACACAAACACACACTCAAAAGACAAGCACATAGATTAGGTAGCGCCAACATTTTCGTGGTTAGGCTGTGATCTGTGGTTTCAGCTCAAGGCTCCAGACTTGAAAAGTTAAATACGGCACGCAATAATGAAGCATATTTAAAGTAATATAAATCACCAAAGTTGAAGGGTTGATATGTCTTTTTTATTACAAAAATAACATGCCAGCTCAAAAATTGTCAGTTGGGATTCGATCTTTACATACATTTTTCCAGTTGTGATGATGTAACTTTTTGATCCCTAAAGATACCCCCCCTCCCAAAAAAAAAAAAAGAAAATATGGCTTTCTTATTACTAAAATGATTTGCCTCTTCCTATTATTTAATAACAGAAAATAAATATCATAGTTATACAATTTATATTTGTTAAAGAATATATAATTTACAGGACTGAAATACATAATGTTCAACTAAAAACAAACAATAGCACCACGTTGTCAACAAGATATCTAGATTCAAAAAAAGAAGCTTATGCATCATGAATCTCTTAATCGCAGGATCCTACGATTACTTTTTGGCTAAATGTCAAGAAAGTGCAAAGGCTGTAATTTGACACATTGAGGTATATGATATTTCCTATAGTGCATCAACATGCACATCCCCACCTAAATAACATCCTGTGTTGAACAGGAGAACACTAAAAATCAGGCCTGGATTTTCCTTTTTTAAAGATGCACCCTTAGAAAATCCCAATAATGTGATTTCTCTTGCAACAGGGAAACTCAAGCGTCAGGTTTTTGCACATAATGCATCAAACCATAAAACCCAGCGGTTTCATTTGTTGTCAAGCCCCTCTGATTAGGAATCTCCACTCAGGTTATTTTCTGATGTTTAGTGCTGCTCTTCAGTGTTCGGTTACTGTCAGCGAGACATATCAGTCTTTTCTAAAAGAGTATTGTTCCTTTTATAGTTTGGCACACTCCTCGCAATGGTTCAGGTACTCTGCTGCATCTGTCTCGTTGAACGTGGCGAGGCAGCGTGGGCACTGTAACTCCGACAGGCCTGGTCGTTCGCTCCAGGTGGGGTTCACTGTTGTTGATGCTGCAGCTGCGGGCTGTTTCTGCATCTCAGCAGGGGTCCTCAGCAGAGGCTCTGAAGGGTCCTTGTGTCGCCTGGAGGAGATCCTGTGTCCTATGTGCACACGACACACGGGAACCACTTCTCTGCTCTCCCTTCCTGCTTCCTGCTGCAAGGACAGTCACACACAAACACTGTAAGGGGAATGCCAACACAGCACGTGAAAGTGCAGTATAACCACTGGCTTTGTTTCAATGCTGATGCCTCACCTGTTTGTGTAGCTGCCGTTTTAACTGATAAACCTGCTCTTTCAGGTCTTCCATTTGGCCCTGAGCTCGCTCCCTATCTGCACGCTCTGACTTGAAGTCGTCTGCATAAATAAGAACCTGTGGTAGGAAAACAACAGTTAGTCCTCTCGTTGCTTCATATTGATCAGTTTTCAATTACTTGTGGTGTTACTAGAGCTGAATTTCTCAGAAACAGATGAGAGATTTACTAAGATCCCCATGCAACACCAACCTGCTGCTCCAGAGTCTGGATGCGCTCTCGATCTTGCCTCCTCATCTCCTCAGCTTCCGTCTCCAGCCGCTCACATTCGTTCATCTTCTCCTCCAACAAGCCGTTGAGCCTGGAAATTTCATGATGAAGCAACCCTGTGTTTACAGAGCCCATGCCAGGAATCAAGCCCTGCCCAGAGGTCTCCTTGAGCCGCTGACACAGTCCTCTGATGTAGTCTTCTCTGCTGGAGTCGTATTTTTGCCACTGAGAATTCAGACCTTGTACCTGAGATATGCACATTGATGACATTAAGTTTTGAATCTTTTTTTGCGTGTATGTGTTTGTGTCAATTTCAAGTTGTTGAAGTTAAATACTTACATAAACAACCCGCTGCCTTAGCTTTTGATTTTCCTCCTTAAGTTGGCGAATTTGAGCATTAACACTGCTCGTCTCAACAGACTGCATTGTCTGTAAAATGATAGAAAATAAGTTACAACAGGGCTGAATAACAGCACCATTCCACCTTACAAAATCTCAAGTGTAAGGGTGGGGAAAAAAACAGCCAAGCCTTGCACACCTCCTTATTCCTTTGTAGCTGAACCTCATCCTCCACTTCTCCCACTCTCTTCTTGTCTATCTCCAGCCTGGCCAGCAGCTCCTGGCACACCTTGACCGTTGCGCCAAGTTGGCTGCGCAGCTGGTCCGCCTCCTCAGCCAGGGACGAGCACAGTACTGCTCTGGTGGCCTCGGACCGCTCCCTTTCCTCTAAGGCGGTGCGCAGCCTCTGGATCTCCTGGTCCTTCTCGTGGTCCGGCTGACACCTGACCTTTTCTAACTCCAGATCCTTTTCTCTCAGCTGAGCTGTCAGGCGCTGGATGTCCTGGTGGACACAGAAATAGTTGCATGTTGCATAAATATATGTATGATGATACTTATACAACAACATAAAATTGGGAATATTACAACTTAAAGTGAATGCTGATCTTTGTTGTGCAGACTCTTCATACTAAACAACCAAATTCTGCTCTAAGCTGGTAAAAAATCTTGACTCAGACTGGTCCTGAGTTGTTGTTTCTTAAATGTTAAATGTTTATTTGCATTCTTGAGGATGCATGTTAACTCCAACAGTCTTGTATTTGTATAGAACCAGTTGAGCAGGTGAGATTAAAGATAAAACAGAGACAGTTTTCCAAAAGGGTTTAAGTGTTTTTAAGTGTGCTATTTTGATTCTTAAAGGGGCTTTTCTTTGCTCCCTGACTAAACAGTCTCCAGCCAAGTGTAAGGTCCAATCTCTGACAACACCCATCAGCATGTAAAATGATATATGAAGCATTTATTATTGATATTGTTGTATTTTACCTCCTCTTGTTGAGATGCCTTCAACTCTAAATCATTCCTCTTCTGTTTCAGTTTGCATATTTCTTTGCACAAGCTCTCCAGCAGGGACTTGGACGGTCCTATGAGCAAAGACTCGCTATCTCCCACGTTCATGTAGATCCTCTCATACCTCCCCAGTCTTGCTTTTAAATCTGCAATAATATTATCCTTTACATAGATCTGTTTGTTCAAAAGCTCCATTTCCTGACGCGTCTCATGATACAGAGAATTTAACGTGTTGTAACTCCGGGTTTTGTCCTTCAGCATGTCGTTATCCGTGTTTACGCCGATGTTATCCATTGCAGGGCTTGGTAGATTTGACAGACGATTCGGTCTTTTAAAAAACCAGCATTTGACGCCTCTGCTTCGAGCCCTTGTGACTGCTGAAATGTACCCGCGATCAATTGTGTTGAAGCTTGTGTGCATCGGTGTCGACAATATCTCCGTCTTGGGGATTTCCTAGGGAACTTCCCCGCGGACTTTTTTGAGATTCGTCAAACTGAGCCGGTCGACCGTCATTTGGGAGGTAAAGGGATTTTGTAGCCTTTAATGACATAGTTGGCATAAAAAGTTGAAGAAAGTACAGCGACAGAAACCTTAAAAAACAGGCTTTAAGAAAGTTTTAGCGAGGAGAGCTACCAACGGCTGACAGGAGGTAATTGTGTTGCCTTCATTACCGTCGGAAATTTGCGTTTTGTCAGATGCACCTTGTTGCATCGATTAGCAAGAGCAAAGAAATGCGGGTAATGTAGGCTCTTGAATTATGTTTGAATTCTCTTCCTTTAAACTGCACCCCAGAGCTTGAGAAAACGTTGCAATTGTATCACGCAGTACACACGAGACAGCTAAATACAGGTTAAACCGTTCAAATGAGTCTTAAATGTAAACATAAATGCTACCGTCCTATTATACGGCAAAAAATGTTTCCTAAAAGAATTCAAACGAAACTAGCTTCAACTATCCAGGCTGAAGTCCCCTATAGAGTTCGCCATTATTAGTCTATTAGTGACATAAACTACAAATTCATGAACTACTAATTTTCCCCAATGGTAGTTCACCGGGTATCCGCATATCCCGCCCTCTAAACGTCACATTAATCGCTAATGGACTGTTTACAACTTTCCAAGCATACAACCCCTACTTTTGTTAGTTATTTCCCGTTCTCCTGGGAAAAGTTGGATTTTTCAATGACATTGAAGGCACCATGACGTCTCTTCTTCGGTGATATTACAGCCTGGATTGCGCAGTTACGGTCATACCGGTGACTGGACCGGTGTGTTATTGTCCACAGTGAGTCGTATGCTATAAGTGACCACTTACAGGCTTTGAATAATCCTCAGGGACATTTCTGCCTTCTGAAATTTGGGTTAAAAACCGAACACACCCCGTACCGTAACAATTGACAAATGATTATTACAGCAACATATTTCTGGTCAGTTTAGACTTCCTTTGCCTCCTATACTCTAGTCCCCCTCTCCTTCCTTACATAATCTGTTAAATGTTTTTCAAGTAAATACCTTAGACTGTTTTTTTTTCTTTTTGCGTGTGGTTAAATTTCACAAAAGAAACAGACAATACTTCCTTATGTATATGATAACTTAAAGAATTCCTCACTGATATGGACTGCTAAAAATATTTAAAAAAAGAAAGAAAACATTTAAGTTTTCTCACTGATATGTTATTTCACTGTTGAAATTACTGTATTGAACTGATTCTGCTATGTTTGGAATTAAAAATTTGTTAACGCTGAATAAAGCATAAAAAAACAATACTTCCTTATGAGAAAAAAAGCATTGGTTTGGCCTGTTAAATAGTTTCAGAGTCATTTAAATTTGGCTTCATGCAATCAGTGAAATTCAGCAAGACCGTTTTCTCCACAGAAATTGAAGAATTAGTCTCATGGCTACAGCTTTGGTTGTGTGTAACATATAACTTTGTTGGCTCTTTTGTAAGAAAATAGTGAAATTGATGTGTTTCAACCTTTATGGTGCAAAGTTAGCAAATGGTCTTTAAACCTGCAAACATCTGGTATGTAACAGAAAAAGTAAGACCTAATTTTGTGCTTCACCTACATGATCAAAACTTCACACCCCTCAGTTTTTGGACCCTGGACCAGCCTACTATCCAGGTCAGAATGAAACTACCGTCTAGACTGTAGGTGTTGAGTAAATCACTTTTGGGCCCTTGTCCAACAGGCCCCATAGGTTGTACCGGTCCTGGAGAGTCCCAGGCAATTCTGGGTTTATCACAGAAATAATGTCATGAGAGAGCTGTTGAGGTGAGTCATTGAGGTCATAAAAGGTAGTCATGTGACAGTTAGAGGAGTCAAGGAGGAATCAAGGCGTGGAGGGAATAAAAACTTTGTACAAATAGGTGCGGCGCAAAAGTGATCAAGTCAGTTGCTAAAGATAGCAGCTGCTTTCACTTTCTGAACATTTTGAAAGACACCAGTGAAGAATATGATCTTTTTCTGTCTTAGGAAAACTGCTGAAAGTGTATTTTTCTACCTGTTGGTGTAATACCAGTTGGTCGTGTAATAATGGGATAAACAAGGTTGCCACATTTTATTGCATTACTGTCTGACAGGGGTTGACACATAGACATGTCAAATAGAGTCAATCTTTCATGGCATGGATTTAAACAGACAGAAATGCCCCACACCTGGTCCCTCTCAACTTTGAAGCAACTGATTTCCCAAAAGAGGTCCAGTTTTGAGATATCTATCTTAAATGGATCATGTTTCTCCTCAGTCCTGTTCCCAATCCTGACACTGATTTGCACGCCTCTCTCTCTTTGTGTAAAATATTGATAATTATATTTGGCAAGTTATGGAAGCAAAACAGAATTATAGCTTTAAGCTGTATAACATCAACTGGACTTGCTTGTCCTTGTATTAGGGATCCACTAATGTTGCATTTAAGTAAAGAGGATCAGTCTCAACCTGACTGAAGTATCATGATCTCCTGTGGAGATCTTTTCATAGTCTTGATTCCTGGTCAGTGAACAAATTTCATTGCTCTGAGAGCAGGGATCATATCAGCTGTTGTTGCAGTCTCGGCATGATATTGGATGTCAGCTCCTCAGAGGAAGATGGAAACTCACCTAGCTTCTTCACTAGAGCCCACTCATTTGCTGTCAGTGAAACTGAGAGTTTTTTATTAATTTGCCATAAAACAGACAAATAAAAAATCAGTTTGAAAATGTATGTTGTCTCTACAACATCATTAATTAATCAAGGATTTAAGATAGGCAAAAATCAGCCTTAAACCTTAGCCTATTCCTGTTTTTGGTCAATATTCATTCATATTATTACAAATGACTTGCAAACCTTTAAAATCCCAACTTTGTCTGGAATTAGGGAGTGTATATTATCCTCTTCTGGTTATATTATCTGTTGAAAAAGTTTTATTTTACATGCCAAAAACTCACAAATAAGACTCAACAACCAAAAAACCTGTAAAACATGTTGGTTAAGTAAAATAGATATAAACTTTTTTTAACTAGTCAAGAGAGTGGAAGAAAACTTTGGCCAACTTTACAAGCAAAGAGAGTCATCTCCTCTTATGTTTTCTTTTTATTGATAAAACTACCGGATGTAAAATTTTAAAATCTCCGTAGATGCCAACATTGAGAGAGTGATAGGAATTGAACAATTCAGTGAACTTTGTCTTATAACTGAAGTCTCTGGGATAACTAGAATCCATATCTGATTATATTTTGCACAGTAAAATGAGTCATTTCAGACATGTCGTTGGCAGCTTTTAATTGCTGAAAACTTTGTACAAGAATAAACGAAAGTAATTGATATTTACACAGTAATACTTTCAAAACAATACTTTATACATAACACACATATATATACTGCCATGATTATCTGCGCATACGAAATGACTGCTCATCAAATCAACATTACCAACCAAAAACTCAGTCATTAACTAATAATACCTACGAATCCAACTTGTGTCACTCAAACAGGGTAACGCTGCAAACCAAATCTTTAAAATGTAACATAATGTGAAAGTCTGTAGTAAAAAAATATTTGTTTTATGGTAGAAAAGCAGTGGCTCAAGTATAAAAAGATTACCAAGAGTATTAAAAGGTTGAACAGGAAGAGAATATAACCAGCTATCTCTTCTTTTTTTGTTGAGAAAAACCACAGAATATAAAAATATGAAAATTACTATGTCTTTGAACATCTCACCACACACACTGGGATCACAGCTTCACTCTATAAGCAAGACACAGATATGAATGCAGGTTTTGAGATATAAAGACTTCATCACTCTAAACTAAAGTCCAGTATTAAACTACTTGACTAACAGCCATGGCCAAAAATCAAATAATTCAGTATTTAAATCTTGTGTTTTTGTTCTTAGAGAAGTTTTGAACCATCCAAACTAGCGTCTGATGATGATTTACACTGTTTCAGGAAAGCCCACAATGCAGATTTCTCACTTTTTGGTTATGATGCAGTTGAAAAAAAAGAAAAAGAAACAAATCCAGTCAAGAAAAAGGACACTCAAATTCAGCCCTGGTGGGAATAAACATTGGGCCACATCTGCCAGTGATTTTTGGAGTCAGTCATGTTTAATCAAAGATTCGGCTAGTCTTAAGTCTGACCATGGGATTTCTGTACACCTGGAACAGCAGCTGAGTGCAATTAACTGCAATTAATAGTGACAGCTCCCTAGAAAAACAAAACACTTCAAATATGACCACAGGGGGGAGACAAATACCCACTAAATGACGGTCAATGGCAGAAGTTGACAAAATATCACATTTTTACAGTTTAAAGCCACAGTGAAGAGTTGAGAAAATGATTTAAATTTATAGTAATGCTCCCATACAAAACCAAACAGGGTGATTAGAAGCTAGACTAAAAGTGTGTATACTGTAACGTCTAGTCAACCACATGACTGGACACCATGACATTTACTTATCCATCGCAAGAGTTACTGGTGGTTAAACGAGTTTTAACGTCTTTATTGTTGTTTGGGCTGTGTTGTGTCCAGCCCACTAGCCAAAGCTATTGACTACTATCTGGATGTAAACAACTACAGAAGATGACAAACGGTATCAAATAGCTCACTACAGTTTGGCAGTATTTTGATTTAGAAAGTGAGAGCCAAAAGCTGGTGCTGCTGACTCTACTAACACTGGCCACACTAAGCAAACCAGCTGAAATGTTTACCTACAGACTATTAGATAAAATGTGTTTAGTTTTGAGTATTTTTTTCTCAATTTTTGACTTGTCTGAATTTAAATTACCGTTTGAATGACTGGCAAATTAGACGCTTTTGAGCATCCCTTACTGAAACTCCCACAGGAGGACAGGTGTTAGGCTCGATGATTGACTGAATGTTACAGAAATAGACTTGTTTTATATTTGTCAGAAGGAGCCATTCAGAGTGAGCCATGTATTTAACCTTGAAATTTTGAACTTTGAAAGCTGAATGAGATTTTATTATTTTTTTTTTGTAGAAATAAGACTACGTGGGCATGTGAAGACAAAATCTGCAAATGGATCAGTGAACATCTTTGTCAAGTGGGGCGCCAAAGTTGACCAAGATCCAAACAGCATCTTTGAAGAGTCGCATGTGTCTGCAGACCAAGAGAGCTGCATTTATAGGGCTGCAATTCTAAGACCCCATTGAACTGCCATTGACTGCTTTTTTAGTGTACAACCATAACCTGAACATTGACTATTGCAAGGACCTAGAGAATTGGTCCAAGAAATGCAGTCCTGAAACTGCAGCTTCTGGCTCTGCAGACACATAATATTTGGCCTTTTCACTTTGTTTTCTGATGCCTGAGTCCAAAATAGACAGAAATATAGGATTAAGCCACTAAAAGAGGTTTTATGTATTAGAATGAGAGTGTGTACCATAACTTTAGTTACTAAGTCAATTAAAATTTGTGTTTTAACCTGGCCTTTATTACCTTTTTGAAGATATTAGGAGTTTTTGTTACCTAAGGTTTCCAAGGGCAAAGACATAACTGTCCTGATCTACAAAATACTTTAACTGCAGCTTTTGTGACATCTTGAGAAAAATAATTGGAAAAATCTGGACTAAACTTTTTTGTTTCAAACAGTGACACATGCCTTTTTTTGTCCCTTAGCACTGCAGCTTGCGGATGCTGCGAGTAATCCTCTTGAACTCCCTATGTCCCTTCTGCCAGCGCTTCAGAGACGTGATGACCAGATCTCCGTCCATCTTCTGACCCATGACCAGGTAGGCGGCGTTGATGTCGTTCATCTCCTCGCACACACACTGCAGGCCGTCCTTCAGCCACAGCACGGTCTTCCTCAGATCGCGCTCCGTCACGCCGTTCAGCTTGTAGATGGTCTTGCTCTTGGTCTCTGGGACAATCTTGGTGTCTCCATTGATGTAGAAGATCTCCTTCACTTTGATCTTCAGGGCTTAATGCAAGCATGAGAGAGAGTCAGGGATGGAGACTGGGAGTGTTTACAGAAAGTGTATGGACATCATCCTATTTGACATGTTGCTCTAATGAAAGCCATCTGAGAGGCTCAAGGCCCATGTATGTACATATGGTTCAGAGCTTAAAATGCATGCAATATGGGAGATAAAAGCAGCGAGGAAAATCCTGGTTGCAGTTCACTTTTTTCTTTGGATTTTCCAGCTTTGGAAGCAAATTCAACAGTAAAAAAACAGCCTTGTGGTTCCTTAAATCTCTTGCCATGTCACTTTTTTTTTTGCCTCTTTCATCACATTTAGTGTAACACTTACAGATATAGGTGGATGTCGGTGCAGGCTACTTACCAAAGTCATTTTTGCAAAGATTGTCAACAATTTCATTGTCATTTTCATCTGTTTCCTTGCAAGCGTCGCACACTCTTGGCACTAAACAAAGTAATGAGACATGGTAAATGTTACACAATATGTTATGCTCCATGCAAAGTTAGACAATCTAAATCTGGTGTACCAGAGAGGAATTGTGTGTTGCAGCAAGTGTACGCAGAAGTAGACTTTTACGCATCCTTCATGTTTTTTCATTTTTCATGAGGTGGGAATTGGCACAAGGATTAAAAATGAATAAAACTTTGATAAAACACAGATTGATGCAATCTCACCTTCTTTGGTGACTGGTGTTAAGTTCTCCATGCCTGCAGGCGGTATGCAGAGGTCATTATCGAGTGGAAATCGGTTGCAGTCCAACATACTTGGCCACGGGAACCCAAACGCGGACATCACGGGCGCGCAGCCGTGCTTGACGCTCTCGCACAAAGACCTGCACGGCTGGATGGGCTCATCCAAGTCGTCCAGACACACTGGAGCGAAAAGAGAGCACAGGAACTTTCTCGTATCCGGGTGGCATTGCCTCCGTACCAGCGGAATCCAGGACGAAGCTTGCTGCAGAACCTCGTTCATGGTTTCGTGCCCAAGCAGGTTCGGGAGACGCATCTCTGTGTACTCGATATCGTGGCACAGGAGGAAGTTTGCAGGGATTGGCTTGCAGTTGTTCTTTTTGGGGAAAAATTCATGCTGGCCAAAGTTGTACAATCCGTGGATAGCCTCCATGCAGGGGATTGTTATCAGCCAGAGAGAGGCCACTGTCAAAATAAAAGCCCTCATTTTGTTTGCGCGTAAAACCTGGAGAATGAAAGTCTTGATCAGGGGCTGTTGAGCGTCAGTCAGAGTGGATGGAGTCTCAGTCAGTGGCCAGCTCTTACTGTAACAAGAGGTTTTCTTCCAGGATGGTCTGGGAGGAGTCTTTTTCCTGTGCGTAAAAACTCCCCTCTGCACTTGGTTTTTCAAATCATGCCTCCAAAGAAAGCCCACATTTTCTCATGTTGCTCTTCAGGTTCTGTTCGAAATGTTTGGTTTCTAATAATACCTCATAGTATTTTATCACCTGAGCTGTTTCCCCCTCTGTATTTCATCTTCAGTCATTCGTGAGACTTATAACAAAACGTGTCTGACAGGTCAAACCCTCATTACGCCCAAATCAACAGAAATATAACCTGAGTGATCCCTTACCTCGCTGTTTTTTGAACCTGTGCAGTAAAACAGTTTGGAAATTTCGAGCCTGGAACAGTTTGCTGTCAGAGAGGACCTTTCAGCTCAGTGAAGTGAAGCGTTAATTTTCCATCATTAGGAGTTTAGAGGGGAAATCCTCCAGGCAGGGCTTCAGGTTCACGCCACATGGTGAAATATTGTTTGCCCAGGAGTGAGGGGCAGACCAGCACTCAGCACACCCATGGGGGGAAACCGAATCTGCCTCCTCCTGCTCTGCAGACCCCCTTCAGCTACGGTCTGGTCTGCAGACAGCAGTGTGGTTCTTCTCAGCACTGACCTTCCTCCATCTGAAACGAGCAAACACTTAAATCTTGTTTGTGGAATTTTTTTTTTGGCAAGAAGGGTCAGCTCACCTAAATTACAGAAACACATTTCCCCATTTTGCCCGGTGGTCTCTCCATATTCAGATATTTATAGTTTGACTTACCCAGGTTTATAGATAGCTGTCACTGAGATTTCTGCTGCCACACCAGAGAAGTATAGGTAACTTCATTATGTCTAGAAAAAATAGCAGGATATCTTTCAGATGACATAAAATAATGAGTACACATCTATGTAAAAGAAACATCCTCAAAAGTACAACATATACATTCCGACTTAATAGGTGGCAGAATGCAATTCAACCATCATATACAGGGAAAAAAACAAGAGCAGCAAATGTCAGAACCTTTAATTTTCTCGGCCTTTAAACCAAATATATGTCCATTATTGTACATCAGACTTGCAAGAGAAAAATATGTCCTGAATTGCATTTTTTAGATCTACTAGTTTGACTAGGAGTGATTGGATTTAGTGGGATTTCAGTAAGACTTCCATGTTTATTTGGATTAAAAGCTCATTTCTAGTCAGACTAATGTGATAACTTGATTTCATGAACAACATTTAAATGTACTAAAAATTGCCATTGCAACAGAAATGTATTGAGGAACTACAAAGCAACAGTGTAGGTAATTACCATGAACACCAAAACAACAAGTGCTGTCCTGTAGATTCAACAGAGACAACCTGAAGCCAAATAAATTCATGACAAATTCAGTCCTTTTGCAGAACTGGATGGCTAACCCTTTCCCATGGTAGAGTCCAATGAGAATTCTCTGTTTGATGGGCCAGTGGCTGGACCAAAAATTGGTAAGTATAATGTTTTTATATAAATGCATCATTGCTTTGGAAATGTAAGCCCTTCTTGCCTTCAGGTGTGCATAAACGACAAATTATCCAATCCAAAAAAAGTCTGTTATCAGTTGGTCATCAAAAGCAAGTCTGCTCTTATAAACAGTTTTAAAAAATCCATATTCTTCACCCCTACTATTACCTAAACCTTTAAGTGTACCGACTCAGCAGCTCCTCTGAACATTCACAAAGGTTTTATTCACTTGTTTTAAGTGGTTGGAAAAAGACTGAAATAAAAGCACAGTTGTACTTTATTTGCTATGAATTAAACCCGCTTTCAAAGTTTATAGCTCTGCCCGTGCCAATTTCTTATGGAGAACGTGACAGAGATACCTTGGCAAGAGGTCCCACTCTGAAGGTTTTTGTCAGCCCCAAAACAAGACGAGACTTGAAAGTGGTTTTGGTGTATAAACAGTACTGCGCCTTGAAATTAGGTGCTTGATTGTTCAGCTACTGTCAAGAAGGTTTGTGGTTTCAGCTCAAATTTAAGAAGGTGTGTCATATAAACTCATGAATCCACTTTATTGCACAGTGAGATTCAGATACACACTACTCACTTTCAGGCAGGAACGCACAGCTGTATGGGTACATGTTTATACTAGTGATTAACGATCTTCTAAGGGTTTTCTTCATATCTCAAGAGCTGATTCACCCAAATTGCGAAAAATAAGATGTGTGGCTGACAGTTTAAAAAGATATACTGTTTTTTCTTACATGCCGACAGTAAACGCTGGGGGGTTACCACTATATGCGGACACTTTCATGTTACATGCAGTCACCTACTAAACAAATTCTAGTTAGGGCTACTTTTAAGGTACTGTAAAAGGCATTTATCAGACCAATAAGCTCTAGCTGTCGGTGAAAACAACAACAGGACTGCTTTAAAAATAACTTAAGGGACAGTGTTGATCAGTGTTTCAGCTAACAGACAGACATGAAGTGTGATTGAAGAAGTTTATTGAGTTACAGATCCAGAAGTTTTGAATTACAGCGTGATGAGTTTTTAAGCAAAATACTGACACTAAGAGGCAAATCATACAAATGTAATCATGGGGTCAATTATTTTGAAGACAACAGTATTATTATTTAAAGCGCAATGCTTGTTTCTCTGCAATTTAAACTGGCATTGTTAACATATGCTTCCGTGATATATGCATTCCTAAAAAATTGTGAAAAATGTCAAAATGGCCTGTTCCTGACATTTTTCAGACTTATTCACACTTGTCAGTGGGATATTTAGGGTCTCAAGTTATGAGATACAAGGGAGAATGAGGCAGCCACGGTATAATATTACAGTCCACACAAGAAGGCAGATATAGGAAGATATCCACTCAACAAGGTGACAGTTTTTGCCTTAAATTTAATGTTAGCATGCCAAGTGTAATTGGAGTAAATCCCAATATTAAGAAATACGTGGAATAAAGCAGCTCCTTTACACCCACAAAGATTGAACTAATTGCACACAGGTCACATGATAAAAACGTTTTCACCCCACTCATGGGGAATTTTCCTGCGATAATATCCTTAGAAATTTTACGGCCACAATAATTGTTAGGTGAAATTCTGATGTTATGACAGCCTAATGCGAATGTAAACAAAACCTGCTTGACTCAGTCGAGGAATGGCTTCTAATAGACAGATAACTTTGCTAAAGGAACCTCTTTAGAGATGTTTTGGGTCTGAAACTGCTCTATTTGTTCTATTATTCTGGGAGACGTTAGCAATGGTGGCATACGGGAGCAATTTACAACCAATCAGATTATTGTAGCATGTGAAGAAGTGCATCAATCAGAAGAAAGGAACGTACTTTTCTAACCGATGAACACTCTATGCACTGCTTTTTGGTCTTTATTGGATGAAAACACATCACCAAAGCAGATTCAACGGACCAACCAGAAGCTGAAGCTGCCATCTTGGTTGTTTACAAATACTGTGAAGCAGTGCTTCTGTGTTGTTGTCTTTCTAAATAAAGAATTGTGATTGGTCCAGTTTATCTGACACTGAGGGAAAACATTCAGAATGATTGAACTTCAAGACTCATATGCCAGGAAAAAAAGATATGAGCTGGCTGATGGGTCTGAAAATGCCAGGCTAGGGAATTTCCCAGATATTCAGGAGCTTAGTGTCTGTTTGAAATGAGCTAATTTGTTAAGAAAGTGGCGCAGAAGCATTAAAGCGGAGATCTAACTCATGTTTAAATGAGTGTCAAAGGTTTGACTTGCTCTTTTTCTTTTTTTTCTTGAAAGTGTGTTTCTTCCATTCACTTCTCTGTAGAAAGTCTTTTACGGCCAGTAAAGAGCTGGAGCCTCCTTGTTAACCTGCAACTGGACTCCTTTAAGCTGAGCAGCAGGTCAGCTGGTTTAACTCTACCTGCGGTGAGGCGGGTCACATGCTAACCTTTCTCTCTAACCTCAAAACATGATCAGCTGTTAATGGCATTGTGATGGTGCTAGGCATACAAACTGTTATGAGACGTGCAAAGAGGCACAAGATGCACAAGAAGTGAGAGTTCAAAGTGTGTAAATGATGGAAAAGGTCCAAAGAGGATAAACAGATGACCAGAAGGATTAGAACAAACTCTAACATGCAGCTCTCTAAACACAGATAACATGCTGTCTGTTTTAAATGCACAGTTTCATGAAAAGTTAGGGTCAGAGGTAAGCTGATCCTAGGTCTGTGCTTAAAGCCACCCCAGCAGGTTCTCATTACAACTTCATCTGAAAATGAAACACAGCTTGTCTAACCAAGAGGTCCATCTGTAGCCCCGTAACCCCCTTTTTTCTTTAACTTTTCCTCCTCTACCATTCATCATTTAGCCCTCAGTTTTATACCGAGACCAAAGGACCGGACTAACAATCCTTGAATGTAAAGTGAAAAGGTCTCAAGAAAATCAAACCTCAGTGGTTTTGTTTGAGGAATTGGTTTATTGAGTTTCCGTGAAGACTCATCTCTCAATGTGAGGGGCATCAAAGACATGAGCAGTGCTATAATGTAAACCAAACCAGCCCAGTTTTAAAACTGTCTTGTTTCTTGGCTAAAATCCACGTCTGCAGATGGGCTACTTAGATCTGCACTTGATTCTGGGAAATTACATCTGATCAGCAAGAGATTAAAGGATTGGTTTGGCTGTAATCCATGTTTTTTTTTTTTTACACATGACACAAAAGAGATCAAGACCGTGAATGAAGTGATCCTGCTTGTCTGTCTTATCAAAGCTTCATCATGCTTATTTTCCCTGAGTCATACTGAAGACTTAAGCTGCCACAATACCACACAGGGTAAAATGTCCCTTTTATGTAAATTTATGAGAATGGGTGCTGGAGTGTTGTAAATCAGTCTTATATGTTCCACGTGCTGCCTTCCAAAGTCACCATGATAAACAAAATTTACATTCATTGGAGGATTAAAGTAGCCTGACACCCACTACCAGACAAAAGTTTGAATGCACCTTCACATTGATTTAACAGAAAAGTGTTAAACAAACCAGACTATGTTTAATATCTGTGATTCTACTGTCACCTTTAGTTGTGATTACAGCTTTGCACACTCTTGGCTTTGTCTCGACCAGCTTCATGAGGTTGTCACCTGGAGTGGTTTTTCTACAGTCTTGGAAGAGTTCCCAGAGTTACTGAGAAACTCTTGGCTGCTTTTTGCCTCACTTTGCTTTCCAACTTAACCCCGAACCAACTCAGCTGGGTTTAGGTTAGGGGAATGTGGAGGCCAGGTCATCTGACGCAGTACTCCAACTCTCCCCTGATTAATCAAACAGCCTGTGCACAGCCTGGAGATGTGTTTGGGGTCCTTGTTCTGTCGGAAACCAAATGATGCTGTGGTAGCATGCTGTGCTGTGTGTCTAACCCTGCCTCTGCAACACACAAATGATAGTCTCAGAAAAAAAGCAAGGAATTGGCTCTTTTGAATCAAACTTTTTACTGCGAGTGTATAAACTCTTTTATGTGAATCAAGTCAAACCCACAGCACCCAGCTGAGTCTGTTAGGGGTTCAGTGTGGAGTATTTAGCAGCAATAGAATATGTCACTTACCTCCATAAAGTGACTTCAGACATAAATTTCAACAAAGAAATTGTCAGTCTTGTCACTGATGATCTTGTTTGGAGTTGTAAGTCGTATAAAGGCATCAGTTTCAATTTCAATCTGTTAACCAGATAACAGCTTTGTTGGTTTTTAATTAGAATGAAACTATTGGACATAAAAAAACAATTTATGACTTTAGCATAACCAAATGGGCACCATGACTCATGTCCCTATTCAATTGTAAAAAAAAAGTTGAGCCCAGTTTTGACATGTTACATAAAAAAGCCACACAAGAGTTTTACTTAACATATGGTGTTGATCTTCAAAAAAATAGAAGTAGGGGTGAAGGCCTGAGACAAAAACAGAAACAGCCTAGGCTTTCTGTTTTTGTCTCTTTTCCATTTAACACAGACAATTAAACATCTTTATCTTCATGTAGGAAGTTTTGAGCAAAAAGCCTCTCTATATCCCACCAAGTACATCAGCTTTGTCCTAAGATAACTAAATGCAAGCATCATATGCATATGGGTGTCTTTTGAAAAATACAGCCATTTGTAGATTAGGAAAGTAAGAGAGGACTGGGACACTGATTTAAATTGTGTTGGTCTCTGTCTTCTTATAAGATGGTTTGAAACACAGACTGTATAGAAAGATAAATAACATGGCAGCCCCCCCAAAAGTGAAGCCAAAACATTTGGCGATCCTTCAAGTCACCGGTTGCAGCACAGGTAATAACTCCGCTCCCTCCATGTAAACAGATGGGACATGGGTCAGACTTTAAAACCAAAATACACATCAGACCCATTTCCTCAAACTTGGTTACAGTTTTTAAATTTAGCTCATATCATGTTGATTATTTTCCAAATTTGTGTGTGTTTTGTGTTGTATAGAACTTTTTTGATGCTAAAAAGTGGATGCGATGTCTCGACTGAGGATCAGCTTCAACACAGTCGAAAGTTCACCACTGCTTTACAGAACTGGTGCTATCAGGTTTTAACTTCCTTGATAAATGAGGGGTATTCTGTTCAAGTCACAAGACTGCACTGTTAGCTCCACAGTCTTGAGACTTATCTTTCTGGCCCCTCGACTGCATACTGAGAGTCAACAATACAGCTCTGCACACAGTCCTGAAGAGCACTAATGAGCTTGTTAACTTCAATCACAGCTCCTACATTGACATTTGGGAAAGAATTTATTCCATCCAAGAGGAATTAATCTCATTAGAGCTCCAGAGTCATATAGACTGGGCCTGCTTGGCATAATTGATGCTGCTATTGTACAGGTCTAATCAACCCAGTGAGGGTTTTCGGAGCAGCTAAAATGTAGACAACAGGCTTTGAAATGGTTAATGCCTAACATCTTTGAGCTTTTGCACTGTTCAAACCTGTACATGAGTATATGGAGATGATACAAGATCATATACATCTCTGGGTTACTCAAGGATATTGAGTTAATTTTGGTCATGTAAATTGGTCATGTAAATTCATCCATCCATCTTCAGCCGCTTATCCGGGGTTGGGTCGCTGAGGCAGCAGTCTGAAGACTTCCCTCTCCCCTGCCACTTTGTCCAGCTCTTCCCGAGGGAAGAAGCCACAGCACCATCCACCAAACATCTTTTTAACTTTGCCTAATTTCTTTCTCAAAGAGACTAAACACAACTCACCTACTCTCTTCCAGCAGCCGCTTGTTTGTAACGAGACCTCGGGCCAATCCATTACAGACTACAGTGGGGTGACACAGCTCAAGGAAGAACATTTATGATCATTTCTTCATGGAAATGTAATCAGACCGAGACGCTAAGGCAGAAGAACTACTGCGTCTGCGGTGCATTATAATATGGTGATTATTACTGAGAGGAAATGACAACGTAATAATCATAAATATTCTTCCTTGAGCTGTGTCTTGCTAAAAACAAGCGACTGCTGGAAGAGAGTAGGTGAGTTGTGTTTAGTCTCTTTGCTAAAGAAATTAGGCAAAGTTAGAAAGATGTTTGGTGGCTAGTGCTGTGGCTAGGACCCTATATGTACTGTTGATGAAGTTAGGTGCTGTTCTGAGCATTATTTGTGGCTATAGAGTGGCGTTTTTGGTTGAGGTTTGTGTGTGATTCCATAGACCACTGTATACTGCTATCCTGTGGTTGTTACTAAAGTTATTATAACTAAAGAAGCAAGCGGTCGGCACCATTCATCTGAGGGGGTGTCTAACTCGGTGTTGGGGTGTGTTTGACCCTAAATTAATTTTACGCTGGAATATCCCTCTAACAAAATCACTGTTAAAGGAATCATAGATGTTTACAGTATTATTACATGGGTCATATGTAGCTGTAGTGCAGGAGCCACCTCCATTAACCCAGGCTATAGCTCTGTTTTATGGTGACTGCCATAATGCTTAAAAGCTCTATAACCCTAGATGTACACAAGCACAGATGACAGATAGATGGCATCTTAGTTCTACATGGTTTGGCAGTATTTTGATCAAGAAAATGATGACAAAATATATGTAGGTTATTTAAATGGTAGTTGATCTTTTTTTGAGTATTTTCTTGTTTTTTTTGACTGGACAAATAGACAAAACTGACTTGGGATTTGATGCATTTCTCAAAATGTCACATTATTTCTCAAATGGGCTGTACCGATTATGAAAGATCTTCAAAATTAGTTCAAAACAATCTCTGTATTTAGAACAGTCCGGTTAGCAACAGCAGTATTGTAATTGTATCCTTATACACAGCACTGAAGCAGGCAGGTTTATGTCTGCAGGATGTCCATTGATCAGTGTGACAGCAGATCCCTCTGTAGGACCCTGCTCTTTGACCCCTGACTGATCCTGACGCTGGAAGATTCACACTGTGAAGGGCTCTATGGGGATATTTTACAACTTAGACCAAAGTCTGAGAGGAGTGTTTTCTGAATGACCCGTACCTGATCTTCATCCCATATGGAGAGGGACAACCCACTGAGCAACTTCACACATTCCCCTCAGAGGGATGTAGCTGTTCTGTGCTTAGTGAGTCACTGAGCTTTTATGAATGGATCTCTTTTGTGAATGGAAACCAGTCGTTAGGTAAATCTGTTTAACTAATACGACGTACTACACCTCTATTTACCTTCAAGTGAGGTTTAAAGTATTTCTTCATCTACTGAACAACAAACTTTGGTCTATATAAGCACAACCTGTTCATCTTACACATATCATTTTTCGCTTTATCATACAATCACTTTACTCACTTTTTCTTTGTGGATCATTGGACAGTTTAAGTTATGAAATATCATCTCACACACCTTCATCTCAGGAATTTGGGGGTTAAGAAAAAAAAAGGAAAGACCTGTCCCTCTTAATTTTAGCGACAGTGGCAGCGGGTAAGCAAGTGACCCACAGTGACCCCTGGAATACCAGACACGGGCTCAAGTGTAAATAAAGGTTTGGTATTCATTCACAGTTGTGACACCCCAACAAGGACACAGTTTGTGTGGATGTAGAGCTCAGAAGAGTGTCTTTCTTTAAGTTGTACTTCTGAAAAAGCAAACAAAATTAACAAGAGTCAAATACAAAAAGAAAAAAATAACAAGACTTGATTATTTTTTTTCATACTAGTCTTTTTTGATGCAAAGAAAAGCATGATAAGATACACTTTTTGCAAAATGGGAGCCCAAGTTGGACCACCTCAGTGAAAAAAAGTTAGTACACACTCCTGAAAAAAGGGCGCACTGTAATCTGTGTGAATATGAGCGCTCCGGGCTTGGAAGTAAAAACAACCTCCATTTTCTGATACAGTCATCCATGTATGTTTTTTAACTGAACTTTCTCTCCTTCATCATTTCATGCCGTTAAAAAGTTTTTCCATCAACTCATGTCTGGCATTCTTGTTTCACCACTCAGAACAGTTTAATGTATAGCCAATTTCCATAAGTAGACACATTCTCATTTATAGCAGTAAATCCTGTTGTAAAAGTGCCAACAATGAAAGTTAGGTAGTCTAACAGACCCACCAACATGTCTCTATTGCTTTCCTGTTGTTTTCAGATAAAGGCAGCAACAATAAAACCCCATGTGCTAAATTCTCCTCCATGGTAACAGAGGAAAAGTACCCTAAATGCTCCAGAGAGAATCATCAAGACCAAGCACTTTATTATTCTTCAGTACATGCACAGAAGAGAGCATGTTAGCACTTAATTACAGTAGCATCAGGACACTGCAAGTGTGTGTATGTGTGTGTGTGTGTGTTTTCGTCTAATGGTGAACGGAGGCAGATGGAACAAGCCTGAGGCAGTGCACATTAAACCTGCAGAGTCCTGTGGAGAAAAGGAGGAAAAGACCCTGAGTTTATTCTAAACTCTTCAGGGAGACACTTCAGTGTGCACACACACACCTCTAAACTGGCCTCACATTAAGGGGAGCTATCATTTAGTTAAACAACCTTGGCTTCTCTTTCCCCAGATATCAAACAAAACCACCTCCAAAGTGCTCCTGCTCAAGACCTGCGACAGTGTCAGAGAGTATCATCACTGAACCATGCAGCATGTGACCAGAAAGTAAACATGACTGTGCTTATCTTTCACCATTTTGTGTAATTAGATATTCTGTAAATCTCTGCTTGACAGTCCTGGTCAAACTATGGTGGTGGCACAATATTGAGTTATAGTGCTCCAACCAAAATACGCCCCTGACTTTGCTTTATTCCGCCAGAGGTTACGTATGCTGTATCAGATTACACATCCAGTGTATACAGACCTAAATCTAACATTTATTCTAATCCATTCCATACATGATGACTGTGTTTTAAGGCGAGCAAGATGTGCCAAACTTGCTTGGTGACAACATACTGGGATCCAGTCGTTTGTCACTGTCACTCAGCCAAAGAAGCACAAGTATGCCATGCTGCTATGTCGCACGTGAAAAAAAAAGGTATTGTTAAGCTGACCTACATTCAAGGGAAAGTTCAGAGTTTTGATGAATGTAAAATGTCTAGTTAAAATGTTTTGAATGAGCGTTTCTTTGAGTTTAGGCCTTGGCAACACAATACTAATTTTATGTAGCACTCAGGAGTTAACAACAGGTTGTCGTAATGAAGCCTGATATTACTCACAACTTTCAAATTGCTTAAATTCAGTCTCATATTCAGAACTTGCATGTATGCATGTTTTGGAAACTCCCATTTCAACCTAAATGAATGACATGTTTGTTTAGCCTGCAAAGTATTCATGCTTCATAATAACAGCATAGACGTTAAGTATCAGCCGACCAAATTGAACCCTCTTTTCTTCATCTTCTTAAAGGAATTTCTTTATTCTTTTTCAATCGCATGGGTGGGACAAGAAAATGACACCACTCCTGTATGGATTTGTTAGATAAAAGGTGATAATCAGGACCAACACAGTTGAAAACAACAACAACAACAACAACAAAAGCACAAGAGCTGACCATGAGTGGCCCCAAAAGACAAGAACAGCGCATATAACACCAATATTAAAATTCAAGTTTTTTACAGTAAGATTAAAAATGTCAACTTGGTATGAAACAAGTATTTTGTTAATTTCTTTGTCTATTTGTGGGGAATTCATCTTCTAGTTTATCTTTTCAGACTTTGTTTTCAGACTTTCATTATTTTGCCTTAACCCTGTTCCATCTGGGACAGCCCCAAAAACTGTACACCAGTTATATTACAGAATTTATGGTGTTTTTGTATTTATACTGTTTGCCTTAGCTTTAAAACACAAGGATGTGTATCTATTTATAACACTGACACTTAAAATAAAACATTTGTGCACCTCTTGGGCACTCCTTTTCTATTACATGGGGTCCGCTCTTGTTATTAATCAGCTGTATGTGCTCTCAATCCGCCTATTCCATGTGATTTTATGTCTGAGCACTGTGTGTAAGAACATTCAGAAGCATAAGCCTGGTCACATTCTTTGCAGTTGCAAATAAACAAAAATATCTCAAAGTATATACAGTCTGCATTTTGCTTCTATACTCCACAGATTATCCTCAAAGTGAGGGGATAAAATGAGCTCCACATGGGACACTGCCTTAGTCCTGCATGACCACTTTCCTATGCCTGGGAACCGCAAACACACACACTCACACACACACTTACACACTGAACTTTCCCTTTTTTTTCCTCCTGTCTTCCACATCTGTGTCTACGGCCTTAATTGTTTAATACCTCTCCCCTTCCAACCTTGCTGTGCAGCCGAGGCACTAATAGGCCCGTCAAAAAAACTGCTGGGGCCTCTTACTCTTGTTACCTTCGGCCCGCAGATGGAGATTTCACCGGTCAGTGGGTGAACTCATGCTTCTCACCACCTGTGTTTATACCACAAGGTTGTTGTGGCTGGCTTGCATATATAAGCTTGAGCAGGAGATGGCAGAGGAGTTTGGATAAAACTGATGAAAACTATTCAGGGGAAAAAAAAGGGTGTAGGGGGGGTTTGCCTGTTTGTTTCAGTCAGTCTGCCCTTAATTTATGTACGCTGTTGACTCCGAACTAAAAAAATTCCTTTTGGTTTTTGCACTGTGTATGATTTTAGCTCTCTTTTTCTGCACTCTCAAAAAGGCTAAAAACTGCAACCACAATAAGGATTGACAAGCACAATAGAGTTGATCTGGCCTACAAAGAGCACCCGGTGACAAAAGAAAAATGCTGAGGTTGGAAAAACTCGACCCTGGAGTTGTTTGATCCCCTTCATCCTCCTGATGTCCCTTCAGACAAAAATGGACGGACTCCTTTTGGACTACAATGGAAGAAAGCTGTCAGTGCCACCTCGTCTATGCTGTGCCATTTGAACCTGAGGCTGGGGCATAAATCTCCACCCTTGGGCCAGCCTTGACATTCTGTTCCCAGATGGTGCCTCCCCTGCTGTGGACTCTGCCCCAAAGGGGGACTGGCATCTCAGCTAGACCTATCCATCACAGGAGAACCAGGCCCCTGAAACTCGGAGCAGAGGCCCCAGTAGGGAGCACCTGCCCTCATGTTTTCACCCCTGTGGCTAAAACAACCCCACCCCCCCAAGTGCACTCAATACCCCACAGCTTTCCTGAGAGGTTAGAGGTCGTTTGAGGGTGTGAGACAACTTTGCATGTCCAGAGACACTCTTTTAAGGTGACATTCACACTCAGGTCTGCAGTTAAAATCTATTAGGCCTCATATTACAAGCAGGTCAAAGGTCGAGGTGTTATTAATGTTGACAAAAGGCCACACAAGCTTCAGACAAATCACTGAAACAATCAGAAGTGGAGACAAACTTATTTTGGGATGAGAGCATGAAACTTGGACAAATGGAGAACATTTGGAAATTAATGGAAAACTGCAAAGAAAAGATCAATTGCCCCTGAAAGGGAAAGAGAAAAAGCTTCTTTTCTCCAACCATCTTTTATACAAAGAACTGTACTCCTCCCATTTTTGGTCCATCTGTTTTATATATTGTGGCCAAAAAACATCACTCATTTGATTGGACCCAAATGTGATGCTTGAGGCTCCTTCATACATCCAAAGCCTGTATGACCCTCCTTCTCCTGCTCTCCTCCAACAAAGTTTCTTTCCCCTCTCCCCACTGGTCTTGTTCAAGGGGCACCAGCCTTAACTACATGTGTGTGTTTGTTTCTGTAAGTGTAATGGAGGTGGGGGGAAAAGGGGTCTCGTCCCAGCTCACTAGGCTGCCAGCTAAGGTCTACGCTATGAGGACTACTCAACCTAAAACCTGTGGATAAAGAATCAAACCACCTGAGCTAAAACAGTTGCTCTGAGAAGTTTTTTGAGTCATCTTTAATTCATAAAAGTTCCTTCAAAACATTCAAACCCTTGTCAAAATGAAAGGCTTTTACTCGGCCCAAGAACAGCTTGCTTTTTGTTTGTTTGTCGCATGCTGCTACCACATTAAAAAAACTAACCACTGCTGTAAAATGGAGCTAAACCATATTTTGGTGTATTTGTTTTATCCAAGTGTTTGGTGATGAACAAAATGTTGAACTAATTAAAACCATCCAGGCAATAGTTGTTGAAACATGTAATTGAAAACCACAAAGACCAACCTCATGGTGGCAAAACAGTCAGAAGATGTCCAAAGTTGTTGTTATTTTTCCTCTTGTAACCAGACACATCTGTATGAAATGCAACCACAATCCATCTGATGTCACTTAAAATGACATAGTCTGTACCAACTGACAGACCACCATGATCATCCCTGTCATACTACCAGAATGTCTACTTAAAAGTATCGGGAGTGGTAACTGGTTAGTTTGTTGCTCTTCTTTAGCAAAGAAACTGGATTGGTAAAATCTACCCTCATCCATGTGTATCCAACTTAAAACCTTCTCTTTCCTATTGAGGTCTCCACATGAACCAGAGAGGTAACTAATATTTATAGTATAGGTTTATCACACAAAACAATGTGAAATTATACAATATCATACAGTCCAGTACAGACAGTATGGTGACGGTATGATTCTATCGGATATAGTACCACAAACACTATGGTACCATATGAAACAACTTTGAAAGGAACAATGTAATACGCAACAATACAGTACTAGTGTGATACGAAACACCCCTATGATCCAATACAATACTATGTGATACTAAATCTGATGCAAAACAACCAAAAAACAGTATGACATGAAATGGTATGATACAAAACAATACAATATGATATAATATGATACAATGTGAAATAAGATGGAATACATTACAATACGATACAGTATGGTATGTTGCAGTACAATGCAATACTGTATGTTATTACACTATATGATGAAATATAATGCAATATGATGTGCCACTGTAAGACATATAATACAATACTAGATGATGCAAAAATAAGATATATTGCAACACGGTATGATGTAATGTGATACGCCAAACCACAGCAGGATCCAATATGATACTATAAAGTAGAATATAATAAGAATTATTTTGATATGATACGGTACAGTTCAATTTCATATGATATAATATGCCATGGTTACCTATGATGGATAGGAACAAATGATGATATGAAACCATACCATACCATACCATATAAAATAAAAGAACCTTTAAACTAATTTATTGTGCAGTGGTTGGTTCATAGTGATTTGATTGATGTACGATTCTAATGGATCTCTTTTGTAATTCAAACAAAAAAATCAGTCTTTGTTTTGTTAGTGCTGCTCTTTATACTATAAACTAACTATAGAGAAGAAAAGGACTGTTTGAACTCTGATTCAACATATTTTGAGTTTTGTACACCAATGGTTTTGACATTTTGTTTTTGACGCTATTTATTTGTCATTCCTAACTACATTTATGATCAATGATCACATTGAAGAAATGATTTGTGTCTTTCCAAAATGTTGTGAATTTTATCAAAGAATTTTCAGGTAAATGACACTAGTAGAGTACTGTAATAGAAGAAATAGTGCCTTGTAACAAACACAAAATATAACAGGGTAAATATTATAGAAAATGATCATCTATTTGGCAGAAATATCTAAAGATTTAACATGAGACTGTTGGGTAAATACCATCTGTGCTGTCGGTAATATGTTTTCCTTTTCATTCCATGTATTTGATGTTATTTAGGTATGAAACTCTGCAGCTGTTAAAGATGAAAAACGAGCCTTGATAAGAGTCTGGAAGAAATCTACCAAACAACAAGCCTCTCTACATGCTCCATATTCCCATCCTTACTTAAACCCCCTGTTCCCCTCTCTGCCTAGCTATCCCACATAACGTCTGTGTTAATCTCCATCAGAACCAGGCACAGCGCTGCACTCTGGCATATATCATCCCACACACTTGTCAAACATATGAAAAGAAGATCGAAAGGATGTCCCACATGGTTTTGATAAAAACAGAGGTAGTCTTTGGTCAGCGTAGTTTCCTCATTCCTCCGCTGTGATTAATTGTGTGCATTGTGTTTCATTTGTGAAGTTGCAAAAAAATGTGAAGGGAAAACTTGCTGTATGATAAATAAACAGTATAATTGCTCTTCATTGTTAATAAATCATGATTGTTAACATTTCTGTCCTCTGCTGTCAAATGTGCCCTTTTTTTGTTGTGGCGAAAAATGGGGGAAGAGAGAGAAAAACAGAAAACATTTGGGGTCTTTCCAGCTTGCAAATGAAGCAGAAAGCATGTTCTCTGCATGACAATGTTTACATGCTCTTTCAGCCAAACAGCTTAGATAAATGTACAGATTTATGGGGAACTATGAAAGTAACTGCACATAAGTTGCCTCCTTTATGAAAACTAAAATTGCATCTTCACTCGGCTCAGGTCTCAACAGTGCAGATACATGTGGCCTGTAACCACTCAATATGGTATTTTAGCTATAATTGTAATTGATCATGAAAGTCTAAAAACCACTTTACTTTGGAACAAAACGGCACCTAAGATCAGACCTTTGCACACAGTCCATCGCATTTACATTTGTCAGCAATAAATCATGTCTACATGTGAGATAACAGACAGTAAAAACACACAAAAAGTATATGGCTGTTATTTTCGTATCATAAAAAACCTGTAAATCATCATTTAAAACTGGCCATCAAACCCTTAAAAACAGAAATGGGAACAATCTATGCTAAAATAAGCCGTGTCTCCGACTGCGGAACCTTTTATCTGCTGATGGAATTTAACCTAAATTCCTCCAGAATATCATAAAGCCACAAGTCTCCTGAGAAACAAACAAAAACCACAACACACAGCTTGTTTTAAAGCCAGTTTACAGTATATCTCAACAGAATACATATAGAGAAACATATGAAATCCAAGTCAGGATGAGCTGACCCACAGCTGTGTTTTATTTCAGATGCTGACTTGTCTTTGTATCCATCAGGCTGGACTATCAGATAATCATCTTTTCTTTTTTTCCTGCAGGAAAAGACCAATTATGAGCTCACTTGTATACAGATTTAAGAATGAATAGTGATTACAGATGATGACACATTCTTATGAGATCTCTATAGCTTCATTAGACTTGGTCCTTCTGAGAATACTCTGGATTGGCTATTACTGGATTAAGGTACACTGATCTGCATGAAATCCTGGTCTGGTTATCAGCTCTTTATACCAGCAGACTGTCTTTTAGGGTCAGGACCCTTTCAGGCTCTACTCTGATCAGCTGGCTGATTTAGTAATGCCATTAACATGGATCTCTCCCTGAAATCCAGCTCTGAACCTCAAGATTTTAACCTTCAATAGTTTTCTTAGTCCAATACGCAAAACAAAAAAGAAATCAGGATCTTTTCAGCTTTCTTAAACTAGTTATGTCAAACTTATGCTAACTTCTAATGTAGTTTCTTGTTGGTTTGACATTATTCTAATACAATACTAGAAAAGCTAAATCCAAGTTTCTAGTTATGTATGCTAAAATCTTGGAAGGACCTTACCTTTGTAACCTGGGTTATTTGAGTTATGTTTGACTGTCATGATAAGGGTCAAGTTTTCTTTATTTTGTTCATTTCATGTCTCATGTCTCCTGTGTGTTTTATTTTGAAGTCACTAACCCCTGTCTCTGCTTCAGATGCGTTCCTGTCTGTCCTGCCCCCTCTTGTCATACCTGTCCCCTGATTACACCTGTCTCCCAACACCCTCTTTACCGATTGTACTTAACCTCATGTCTTTCACAATCTTGTCACCAGTTTGTTGTACTTATTGTCACGTTCCAGCACTGAGGGGAAAACTGGTTGGGAGGGGTAGTATTTACATTCAAGATTTTTCCCCAAAACTGGCACTTCCTCAGATCCTGCCTACCTCACCATTAGTTATTGTGAAATTCAAATATTTTCATTTATCTTTAATAAAATTAGTGAGTATACAGAATGATTCGGCATATACAACACACAGGCTGGCAGGAGGACAAGCGTGCTACTCTGATAACTGTTAGGCTTACTACCAGCCCCCACACAATTCAGCAACAAAAATGTATTGTAAACAAAAAGTGTCTTAATCATAAACTTTGAATTATTTTCAAAATGAGTCTTTCTTTTAGACCCCCTGACCTCTCTGCGTTGCCTGACTGACAGGCATTATTTGATAAAGATCCCTTGAGTAGCTCTTTACTCAGGTATTTGGGACTATCGAGCTGCTGAAACTCATAAGCTTGTTTTTGCCAGATCACCTGATAAAGTGAGAGATCTCCCCCATCACTGTGATCCTGAGGCCAAGGACTCCCTGAAATCACAAATACAGAGCAGGGCAGAGCCCGTAAGACCCGCTGAGGTCAGAATCGAGTCAATAAATAATTATACACCTATCAATGCCTACATGCAGGACACACTTGGCTGGTATGGGGCAGGGCCTGACTGTTTATTGTCTTTCATGAAAGTATCTGATAAAGAGTTTAGCTCCTCAGCTTCCACAGCTCATATGTTCCCTGAGGGCAGCACATTTGGATTAACAGCAGACCAAGTGGAGCCATGTTCAATCAGCATTTCTTTACAATAAACTTAGACAGGCTAAGTTTTCAGATGTTCAGATCACTGTGTTGAGTAGCAAAATAAAACGACTCCAAAGTTGTGAGAGTGTTGTTCTTTACCAGATATGTTTTCATAACTTTGGAGCTACTTAGAAACATTTTTAGGGAAAACATCAGAGTTCATGAAGTTAAGATCCCGCTCTTCACCAGGATGTCCACATCTTTTTTTTTTGTGTGTGTGTGTGTAAAAGCTGTTCATTTATTTCCTAGAAATCCCTGTTTCGGTTTGGATATCATTGAGAGAAAGTGCAAGGAAGCACTACAGGTAGCCATGTGAATAACTGAAATACTATATAACAGAATTACTGTAACTGTAATCCATTACAAATTAATTTAAGTAGTTGGGAGATGATCCTCCAGGTGTTTCTTTTCATGTTACACAGCTTTTTCAGTGTTTAATTATGTCTGACCAACCTTTTTTAAACATGTTGCCACTATCAAATTTGAAATAAACTTATATTTTACAGTTTTTTGTTTCAACAGTTGGTGGGTGGTCTTTGCCTGGGATAGACAAGTGATTTGCAAACCATCAAAATATGTTTTTATCAACATTTTAAGTAGTGTCCCATTTTTTTTTTGGAATGGAGGATGTACCTTGTGTCATATTAGTAGCATAGCTTTGTTATTGAAAAGCTGTGTGTGAAGGTGTTTGTGGTGAAGTGAGAGAAGAAGTGATGTCTGTGCTGAGTGAGAGCAGTGTGAGAGTTAACGATAGATTTTATTACAAGTGTAATGATGAACAGCAAAGTTTGTGCAACAATGATAAAGCCTGCATTATCTCAAGAACCAAGCTGGGCTCCTGTGTGCTGCAGACACACAACTACTGCAGACTAGTTAAGGGAGTGGGTGTTAACCTTAAAGTTAGCATTAACTTTGGCCCTGGAGCAAACCAACAAGTCTCCCTTCGGATGATTTTTGACCAAGGTCGAGTGCTGAAGCAGTGAAAGTTAACACGCAATATCTTGTCCCTTCAACATAACTGTCTTAAGATAGTTAACTTGAGATCTGATCACTGTCAACATTACATTGAAACAAATTGTAGTGTTATTGTCTTGTGTGCACATGATACAAAATAGTAATCTAGTGAAGTTGAAAATGATCCCTCTCCTGACCTCAGAGGCCCTCGACAATGCCCCAAGCTTTGACTTGATAGTTCAAACTCTGAGTTCTTTAATTCAACTTTGACTTGGATACATTTTTAGTTCGACTCTTTCCAATCTCTCACTATTTCATATAAAGTGAATTTTATTAACAGAGTGTCCACACTTAATAGAACAGAAGACAATAATGGCTGGAACAGGCCTTTGTTTTATTTGGGAAGACAGCCATAAAATCTGTAAGTGATTTATAAAAATCCACCATCAGAGGACAAAATAATCCATTTCCTGAATTCAAATAAAGTGTTTAAGAATCCCTCACCAGTTAAGCCATTTTGGACACGTCTTCATGAACCCAATGTCCTACGTAGGTTTTCAAGACATGAACATTAGTATGTCCTAGATTGGAGGATTAAAGCCAGTCTTGTTCCTCAAAGGATTTAATTGCCATTTTATTGGGTGAATATTCTCTCAAAGATGAAGGCAAACATTGGACTGAATTAAAAACAGTTTTTTAATGATGTCAGGGAGGACCTTGGAACAATGTTGCCTTTCTTTGGTTATTAAAGTTAAACCAACCTTGAAAAACGTTCCATTTAGGAGCTGCAACCAATTTCTGTAAGAGAGTGTTTCATTTTCTGCACATACAAACATGTTTACCATAAAACACTTATCAATTAAGTGCCAGCTTGAATTACCTCGCTTATTCAAAGAAGGAGAGAATGAAAGAATGAGCTCAGGCTTTTCCAGAGATTAGTTTTATTACAGAAGTGAGTTATGAAACAAATCAGTTTAAGTATGAAATGGCTTCAAAAGAAAACTTTTTCTGGCACTGTCCATTTGAGACTAAACCCATGAAGCTGATGCATCCTTAGCCGTAAAAACAGGGATAACACAGACTCAACTGGTTTGTCTCTGAAAGTTCTGTATGCATGTCGGTATATGGTTTTTGAAATAACACGTATGAGAATATAATCAAACTAAATCGCGAAATGTCCCTTAAATCGATGTTTTATTTCTGAAGACGATGCATTTAAGATAGAAATAAATGTAGCACAAACTCTATACCTGGATTTCTGCTTCCAGCAAGCTCGCAGTGAGGGGCCCTGAGTCAAGTCTGATACCCCCAACTCCAGTATCAGAGACAACAGGCGAGGCACTGGGAGTTCTTACAGTAAGAGAAGAAAGTGACGGGGAGAAAGTGGGGGTCATGACTGAAGGGGTGAGTCCTGTGTTCCTGGCTAAGGGGGAATAGGCATATCTACTGTGAGGGGGCTTCCTTCTCAGGCTTGGCATCCGCACTGGCTTTCTTGGGGGTACAGTTCTAATGCCAGGCTGGGCCACTCCTGTTATAAGAGGGGGTGGGTACATGAGACAGCTTGCCTCTGCTGCTAAGTCTTCACGGCCTCCTTGTAACTCCTCATCAGGGAGCATCCCAATATCGTTGAAAACTGCAGCCAGGGTTTGGAAGCGTGGTTCCCAGTCCAAAACATTGTCCCAGTTGTAGCTTCCTTGAAGCTGCTCCTCCAAACACAACAGCGAGGAAAGAGAATCTGCAGAAGTGTGGGCACCTGAGAGGGGAGCGTACCCACTCGTCCTCATGCACTCCTCCAAATCCCTAACCCGAAGTACAGCTGGAAGAAGTCCCTCACCTCCTCCCTCCTCTTTGAAGTGGTGGAGACTCTCTGTGCTGACCATTCCTGAGACTAAACATTGTGATAAAATGTGCTCTGGTCCCACATCGATGGAGGTACAAGAGATAGTGTCAGCAGTTAAGTCAGAGTTCTGAATCTCTGCGATGTGGTTGCTTTCAAAAGATTGATCTCTTTTACGGCAGGGGTACTCATTAATCCATTTTATCTCCTGATCTTCAGCTGTCTCACCTTCGGCTGATCCACGGCCACTTGATTCAGACTGAATGTATGGGTTGATAATGTCTCTTTTGGTTACAAAGACATTGGGCCGTTTCATCTCTTGCAGAGAGATGGAACTCTGTGTGCCACTATTTGATCCGCAGAGCGAGCCTGTGCCGTGGTTTATGTTTGCAGCAATGGCTGCAGTTTTCTTGATTGCTGCTTCTTTTATCTTGTACCTCAGAACCAGGCACACAAATATGAGAATAACAAGGAGAAACATGATAAGGGAGACACTCAAACTGAGCATGTGCACATCAAGAGGCATCCCGGTGAGTGCCTCAGCTGAGCTGGAGATGTTGACGAGAACCAGGCAGTTGGTAGTCTTGGAACCCAGTCTGGGACTACCTGCAGACACAACCAGCTTCACCATGTCCTCATGGCTGCCTCGTCTGCGATACACAGGGCCTGACACAAATATGGAACCTGTTGTTTTGTTTATTGAGAAAAATGATGATGACTTGATGAGGGAGTACTCCACCAGCCCATCCACCCCTCTGTCGTGGTCCATTGCCATCACGTAACCAATTGTATCTCCAGGCTTGGCATGATCAGGCAGGAGGAAATGGTACTGCTGCTGGGTGAAGACAGGACTGAACTCATCCACTCCTTTGATGCTCACCTGAACTCTCACTGTAGCTGCTTTGTCGCCTTTGTCTCTGGCCTCCACTACAAAACAGTACTCACTCTCGCGCTCATAATCAAAGGTCTGTCTGGTGTGAATATCACCAGTCAGGGAATCAATGGCAAAGGCCTCCTTCTTCTCAGGACTGCCGCTGCCATAGTCCATGAAGCAGGAGGACAAAATTGAGTAGGTGAGCTGGCCATATAGACCCAAGTCATTGTCAACAGCATGAACTGAACAGGTGTGAGTAAATGCTGGAAGGTTCTCCTGCACGGAGCAGTTAACAGTGGGGAACATGAAGTACGGGGAGTTGTCGTTTTCATCCAACACTGTGATGAAGACCACAGTAAAACCTACCTTATGTTCCTCAGAGGATTCACCGCCATCACTTGCTCGAATGGTGAGAGTGTACTTTGAGTCCTCCTCATAGTCAAGCAAGTGGTTGACAACCAAGAGGCCAGACTGAGGGTCCAAATTCAGGTGACCTTTGCTGTTCCCTGAGATGATTTCATACCGCAACAGTCCGTTGATTCCCAGGTCTGGATCCTGAGCACTGACTTGGACCAGCCTAGTGCCCACATGGCTGTTTTCACTCACCTGTGCATGGTATTCTGTACTGGCAAAGACGGGGGCATTATCATTGCAATCCGTTACAGTCACCATGACTACAGCAGAACTGTTCAGGGACGGTGTTCCTCGATCAGACACAGTCACTGTTAGTGTGTAGCTCTCAGTCATCTCACGGTCCAAGGGGTTACATAGAACAACCTTTCCAACATTTCTGATCAGGCTATCAACCTGAACCATTTTCACTTCCAGACAGAATCGCTTCTCCTCGTTTCCCCTAACAATAGAGTAGTCCAAATGGGTATTTTCAGGGCTCCAGTCTTGGTCGTCGGCAGACAAGGTCAAAAGAGTAGTGTCAGTGGGGGTGTCCTCTGGGACAGTGAGGGTGTAGACATCTTGATGGAATAGTGGTGCGTGGTCATTTGTGTCTACAATTAGCACATCTATGGAGGTGACAGCCGACTGCACAGGATCCCCTTCGTCTCTGGCCTCAACCAGAAGATGGATCAGGTTGTTGTTTGTGATCGCCTTTAAGGGTTTGTTGGTGAAAACAGACCCTGTAAGATAACAAAGGACAAGACAGGACAAGTGAATTAGTTTTTATATCAACAATTAAACCAAACCATCAAATTCCCTACTGTCCTGATGAGCTTTCTGGTTACTTTAAACAAACTTGTTTTTGACTCATTGTACACTACAGCTATGGTTAGTGTCTTATATAACCAGGACAGTGTCTAACCGTGAACAATACCCACAGCGGCCATTTACCCCCAAAGTCCTGCTCAGGGTAAGAGACTTCATGCCATTAAAGTTGTTTTAAAACTGTGTCGAAAATCTGCTAGGCACTTCAATTTGGGGAATTGGATAATTTTTTACAATTTCATTGCTGAAAAGCGCCCAACAGCTGAATCACAGCAGCTAATCCTGGTAGTAATCCAACTGTTAGCCAACAAAGCTGTTCATAACATTTTCATGAGCTAGCTAACATTTACCGCCAAGTTAAAATTGAGTCGCTAATGCTAAGTTGTGGTTTAATGCTGAAGTTTGATACTGCTAATCAAAAAAAGGTATTTCATTTTGAAATATGGTACTGGCTCACATTAGCTAACAAACCAGGAAGAGGTAAAATGATGTTAATTTGTGAGATTCCAGCTCACGTCGTAACATGAAAACACCAGTTTCACATTGTAACAGCATTGAAGCCTATTGTGGTGAGGGACGATCGGGCAGTACTGTGGTCTGGAAATTTGAGAAAGAGGGTTTTTTTGACTGTGTCTAGCCCAGCAGTGATCCCGCTGAGCTATGTTTGAACTATACTGAAATTTCACTATTTAATGACTGTTGTGCTAGATTTGGTTTGTAGTATAGTTCTGCTTTAACGATGTCAAAATTAGTCACTTTACGGCATCAATAACAGCTTTGTAATAGACAAAGCATTTACAATAACAATTTAATGACATTATGAGATTCCTCCGGCCATACTGTCTTCTTCTCTTTTTTTTTTTCAATTAAAACTCACCAAGGGACTATATCAATGATGATATCTGGCCTCACCAATGTCACATTAATATGCTAAATGGTTTAACAAATATCAGATTTATCCTCCCTTAGAATAAGCTCTAAATTACATGCCATCTCATGTAAATAGACTGGGAGCTACATCAAAACTGTTCTTGTCATTGAACACACTGCAACATCATTTCCCTTCTGACTATTGTTTAATGAGTTCCATATGCACAAGAGGAGCAGCCTTTCCTCTAAAAAGACAATGAAGTGTTTGTCCGTCCAACTTATTATTGAGCCTCACCACACTCCAACTTTTCAGCATGATGATTTCACTTATTCTGAGGCTCGACTTAAAAGCAGCAAATTTTCATTGTTTTTGAAACAAATCAACATGAATACACAGAGAAGCTCCAACCACAAAAAAATACCACATACAATTTTTGGATTCCATTTGCTGCACTTTTAACGACACTGATGCAAATTTCACTTTCTATTAGTGTTCCTCACCGCAGGACTGGGAAAACACATTTCCCCGATATTAAACTTAAGGTTCAAACATGGTAAAGGCTCATAAATCACACTTGGGTGGAAAAGGCTGCCAAGAATTGCGGAGGCCTCTTTCGGTTCTACAGAATTCATCGTCTTAACTTGGGTTGAGGGATTTAAAAAGAGGAGATAAGATGACAGACATGGCTCCTCTTGAGCACCTTATCTCACTGAGTTCTGATTCTCTTCTCTGTTGCATTTGTCTCCCGAAGTCAGAGGAATATACTCAATCCTAGATGCAGACACTGGAGAAATATACTTCTACTGGCAGGATAACAACTGTAAGCAGCCTTTAATTCTGAACTCTAAGCTCCCCAAAAGAAGGGAGAAAATTTCTGTGTGCCATTTTCTTTGCCCCCCCACCTTTGCCAGAAAAACAGAATTTAATAGAGGGAATAAAAATGAATTTTACCACCAGACAGTCGTCAGTAATGAAACTTGAAAAGCTTGAGGTAATGTCTTTTACAGAAAATTGACTCAACATTTTGGATCAGTGTTCTGTCCACGTGGTGACTTCTTGACCTCTTCGTTTTTTATAAACATCTACATAAAGAAATATACTGCATGTTTTTGGCTTGCTGCAAACAAGACGTTTATATTCGAGCAACCCCAGAATGTATTTTCCATCTCTCTAGCTGTTCTTACCATTGTCCGGACGGATGTAAAAGCCTTGCAAAGGGGATGAAAGCAGTCTGTAGGTGACCTTCCCATTGAGTTCAGAGTCTTTGTCCACTGCAGACACCGTCAAAACTAACATGTCCGCAGAGACAGACTCTGACATCTCCACCTTAAAGAGAGAACAGTTTATGAACCACATCTGTAGCAAGACCATGATAGAAACTCTTAAACTACAAACCTCATCTTTAGAGGTCTCAGGTCAAATTTGTGAAACAGTTTGTCATTAAATAAAAGCTATCCTAAAGCAGATCCACATAAACAGGCCATGCCTTTGTAGAGCGTTGTTATTGATGTTGTTTTTAATTTGATAAAACATGCATTCACAGTTTTATTCCCCGCCTTGTCAACTCCTCCCTGTGACTTTTTTTAAATAGATGAATGAATATGTCATCAGTACCTGGTAAGAGGCCTCAGTAAAAACTGGTGCGTTGTCATTGACGTCAAGCACTTGGACTTTGACCTCTCCAGTGGTCTGGTGGAGGGAGTCAGAGGCCCAGACTGTCAGCGTGTACTCAGTCTGCTCCTCATAGTCCAGAGCTCGAGTCAGAGTAATCACACCGGTATATCGGTCAATGGCAAAGGGGACATTGGTGCTGCTGTTGTCTGAGAAGCTGTAGGTAATAGTGGAGCTCAGATCCACGTCGTTTGCAGTCACCTGCGTGACCATGTAACCTGCGGGCAGATCTACAGACAGAGAGGGTCAGATAAATGAAGAGACAAAGAACTTATCAGCTGTTTTAGGAGCAGTCAGAGAGCAGTTGGAGGGGTGTGAAGATGTTTACTTTCTGCTATGGGCACAGGCTCCATGGGGGGGATGGCAGGACTGTTGTCATTGACATCCACTACTTGGACTCTGATGGTGGTGGTGCTGCTGAGTGGAGGGTTCCCTCTGTCTGCCGCCTGCAGCACCAACCTGTAATTTAAAAGTGGACAGTAAAAGAAGCCAATAAATGAGTTAAATTTTGATTACACATGGGTGACAAATGTACTTACTGCATTTCTCTAAATGATAGAACTGATGCACTTTTATGTTTATCATAAAAATCACTGATTATATCTTTAAACAAAGGAAGTTAACTGTTGCACTGTTAAACAGAGTCTTGCACAGCTATGCAGTATTCTGATAATAATAATGATTATAATAATCAATAGCACTTTATAAACAGAAGTTTACAGAGTAAATAAAAATCAAGACAGCATAGGAGAAATTGATCGTAAGTCACAGAACAGTGACTGCAAAGATTCTGTTTAAAAGGTTAGAGTGAGACTAATTAAGATGATGCTTGTGTTTATTTAATTGCAAAAGTCTGGGAGTTTAGTGCAGATTAATAATACTGTGTTTTGTAAGATATCAAAAGCAGCCTCTCCCCACGGCTACAGGTATTTTCTCAGATTTCTATCCATGAGCTTAGGAGTGCATTTTCTTGTGTTGGATAATTAGGCCAAAGTGAAAACCGAGCATTACTAACTTGCACAAAGAAAGCTCGGGCCTACCTCTCTAGGAAGGTCTACCAATGATTTGACATTTAAGACAATGGGCTCTATTTTGGTGCCTCGCCGGAGACGTGCCGCAAGCGCAGCGTCAGTCAGATCCGTCGCGCTGACAAGGCGTTCCCAAGCACATTTTGGTATTTTGGTGAGCCGCGCAGCCCGGCGTAAGTATCCCCCCTCCCTAACTCAGCTCCTCCCAGCACCATAAGTCATAGACGGGGAGGAGAAAGGGCGTGAAGTGAGTTTAACACAGTCGAGACCTGTTTTCACCAATCACATAGGCTCCTCTCCTTGCCTTTAAATCCGCCACAGGCGAGGCGTATTACTATTTTCATGAAGTAGTCAAAGAGATCAAGAGATGTCTTAAGACAGTAATGCCACAAGATGGCGACAGAGGGCAGCTCCTCAACAAGTGTCCTCCACACTCTCTCATATGAGCACAGATGGATTTAGTGTGCGTAATGTTGGACCCACTGGTAAGACAAACACCCTTTTCCACAAATAAAGACACTCACATAAAGTTGCATATATTCAAACCTCACGTGACAAAGGTGGGTTGAGCGCACAGATCACAACATAAACTCCAAAAATGGCATTAAAATCGGAACCATCTGTGCGTAAATGACGCATCGCGCTCCGTGGCCTGGCTCTTTCTTTCATAGATGTTGGCATATAAAATAAATTTGGCTCACAAAACTGAATATTATAATATCCGTATGTCGGCTTAAAGTAGATAACGCATCTGAGCACTGAAACAAATCATCTGTTCAGCTGCAGCAGCAGCAAGACGGACAGAGGACATGGAGACGTGTCCAGGTCGAGCTGTGCGAGAAATAAGAGGAAGAGGAAGAAAGAAAAGGAGGGAGACGAATTACATATCTTGTTAACTTCATCATGTGTGAATATTTACTAGATATTTAATTTAATTTGATGCGGTTTCAGCTGTGTTGATTCGGTCAGGTTGTGTGTCCAAACGCGTGCCAAACGCACTCATCAGATCACATATAGATCAGAATATATCGATATAGATCTAAATGTATGTGCTGACTCAGATTAATAGTTGTTGATGATTATTTATTGCACTGAAATCTGCCTGACACTGTGGAAACCTGCCGGTGAGGCATCAGTGACGTATGTCGATACGCCGCCGGTCTACCAAAATACTACTGGACCAGCTGCGTTCAGCCTTGCGCTAAAAGCTGACCAGGTTTGAATCGGCGAGCTTTCAGCGCACTTTACACGCCGTTGGCGAGCACGAAAATGTCACTGCGCCTGCTGATTCTGTCGACACCTCCCCCTGCCACACCACCACGCCCAGCTTGGCGGATCTCGGCTCGCCTCCGTGCGGCTCATGCCACGAAAATACCGAATTGGCCTTACGCTGGGCTCCGCCAGACGAAAATACAACTGCGCGGGCTCGCCGCCCTCCGCCGCCTCACCGGCGTGCACGAAAATAGAGCCCAATGAGTCAAATCAGGATTTGCCCATTTGAATTTGGCAGTAACTTAAGGGGTGTGTTTGTAGTACGATCACAAAATTATACCATAAAGAAAACTTTAGCATCAGTTTTGGATGTTTGTAAACCCTTATTATGCATGCATTTTTAATATTTTAGAGATAGTTTGGTTAGACATAAAGGTCGTACTTGTATGAGGGGGTGATCTCACGATCCAGCAGGACATTTGTAGCAAGAATCCCACGAACTGAGTCCAAGATAAACGCTCCATTCGTGTTCCCGGAAACTATTGAGTACTCAATCTGCCCGTTTACCCCGCTGTCAGCATCAGATGCAAACACCTGCAGGAAATATAGGAAGGATTATTTAAAAAAATGTACGGTGTGTCTGTACGAAAAGGTTTCTACACTGTTGATATTTACCTGCATGATGTAGGTGTTGTGCACTTGCCCCTCCCACACAGCTGTTCTGTAGCTGCTGTGCTCAAACACTGGTGCGTTGTCATTGACATCCAGCAGGTTGATGAAGACTCTGCAGTGAGCCGTCTGCAGACCGTTGTCTGCCAGCACCACTAGCTGGACCTGAGGGCTCACCTCGAAGTCTAGAGAGGTATCTTTCAGCAAACGGATCTCACCTGCAGGAGAGGAAAAGAGTTAGTCATTCTGTCTTTTCTGTCAGCCTTTTTCACCCTGGCCTTGTGATTGATCTATGTGAGGGAAAAAACAGAAAGGAAGGACAGAAAAAGAAAACTTTTGATCTTTTGAAAGAGGTGTTGGCAGAAGTACCTCAGGTTTAGGTTTTTGTGGTTTGTCTGTCAGCGTTTAATTGTGTTTTTGAGTTTGTGTACTTTCTTTCTTCCAAAATTGTGTTTGTTTTGGAGCAGAATAAGATAAAAATCAGAAAGGCAACGATCATAATTCTTTCGGAAACACTTGTTTATAAACAAGAAGCTGAACCAGATTACACAAGGGGAGTTCAGATGAAATTAAACAGTCTGAAAATAGGTTGGAATCTAAGCTCTGATTGGTTAAACATAAACAATGGTGAGGAGCTGGAATCAAAGCTAGTTTTCTGGATGCATTTGTGGAAAATAAAACGGATGAGTGAATGAGAATTTGTGCTATTAGCATAACTTAAATGATGAAAGCATGCATGACGTTCCTGCAAGAACGCCAGCTTTTAATCATAACCAGCGAGCTCCAGAAATAACTGAAAAAACAACAACAAAAAGGGAAGAAAACTTGATTTCTCTTTTAAACTTTTTTTTCTCCTACCCGTGTATTGATTGATGGAGAAAATGAGATTCTCATTGCCACTGAATATGGTGTATATGATCCTCTGTCTGCTGTTTGTTTGGTCACTGGCCTCCACTTTTGCTATCCAAGTGCCTGGAAAGGAAAGAACAAAGACAGAGAGCAGCAGAAGAAGATATTTAAGGGTTTGTTGTTAGACTGTTCCAGTCATTTTTTACAGACTGTATCTCATTTGTGTTAGTAATAAGGAGGACTAAATTGAAACGTACCAGCTCTGCTGTTCTCCTTGATGGTGGCATTGTACGTTTTGCTTGTGAACTGTAGTCCTTTGTGCTCTCCCTTCAGGTGGATGAAAAACAGGCAGGTTGAGGTCAAAGCAGGTCTTCCTCTGTCTGAAACCACAATCTGCAGCTTCCTGCCTGAGAACCCTGCTCTGACTCTTCTCCTCAGAGAGATCTCTCCTGTCTCACTGTTGATGTCAAACAGATTCTCCTCATCGGACAGCATGAACCGAATGGTCCCGTTCTCCCCCTGGTCGTCGTCTGTTGCAGTCACTGTGGTTACTATCTCATTAGGTAGAGTCCTCATTGAGACCCACGCATTGATGGGATTCTCACTGCAAACCGGCACGTTGTCGTTCACATCTTCTACCTGAATGGTCACTGTTGCCATGGAGCTCAGCGGGCCTTGAGTGCAGCTGTCAGTAGCCACAGCTCTGAGGGTGTACGAAGCCCTGCTCTCACGGTCCAGAGACCTGGTGGTGCGAATCATCCCTGTCAGAGGGTCTATGGAGAAGGCCCCCTGGCTGCTGTCCTCTGTCAGAGAATATGTCACATCTCCGTTGGAGCCCTCATCGGGATCGAAGGCGCTGACCTGCAGCACAGAGGCTCCTGCAGGTAGGCCCTCGCTGACAGAGGCGTGGTAACTCTTTTGGGTAAAGGAAGGGATGTTGTCGTTCTGGTCGAGCAGTAGAAGCTGGAGTTGGGTCGAAGAGCTGAGCGGTTTGGGGCCGTAATCACGAGCCTGGATGGTGAGTGTGTAATTCTGCCTGTCCTCTCGGTCGAGGAGCTGTGTGGTGCTGACGGCTCCTGTGTGGCTGTTGATGGTGAAGCGACCTCTGTAGTCCTCACCTGAAAACAGCAGATAGAGATGAATGTTTAACTCCTGCTGATCCCAATCTGGGACTTCAGTTTTTGACATTTTAATTGATTTTGGTCCTGCAAAATTCAACAAAAAAGGTCTTAATGGCTCTTTAATAACACTTAAAGGTGGGGTAGGCATTTTTCTGTTAAAGAAGCATCTTTTTTTGTGTTGTATATACAAAAAAGCTTGGTAATATAATGATATCACTGTGTTCTGTTATGTCTGTGTAGTCAACATTTTAATTTTTTTGAGCAGCACGCTCTTTCTGGCCGTTCTCTGCTTCCCCCAACCTGATTGGTTGTGAGGCATAACAGGCACTTAAAACAGAGGTAGACCAGACAAGAGCTAAGAGGCCGGGTCAACATCAGCATAAATAATAAGGGGCGCTTCGGGATCTTACGGGCCCTGTAACCTTTCTGCTGGACAGGTAAACCGCTTTAACAAAGTGAGCCAAGTGTAACAGAAGTGTTTCTTATCAAACGGGACTTGCTGAGTGTTGTAGTGCCGCTTAACTGTTTACCTCGGGTCCTGAAGTATGTCACTTTATGCTAGTTTTAAAAGTCCTGCAAACATTGTGTTGACTGGGCCCCATTTGTAATTATCTGAAGTATTTTTCTGCTTTATATCTGAATTTAACTGAAACAATATGAGCGAGCAGGAGCGTCTGTTTGTGGGTGGGGCTTGCTGGACCAGAGAGCGAGGGGAGAGGAGGAGCTGAGGGGAAAACTGGTTTTGAGGGGTAGAGTTTACTTTCAAGATTTCTCCCTAAAACTGGAACTCCATCAGATCCTGCCTACCCCACCTTTAATTTTGTTTGGCTTATCCTCAAAATTTCTTAAATCTTTATTCCTCTCCTTCATTTTTGCATCTCATCCAATAGGTGCCCCTGGTAAATATGAAGTCATTTTTGATGGAAAGAATGACTAAAGCCTCACAACTACGGTGCAAATACCCTTCCACATTAGTCAATATCTGGCTTCTTACCTAATATAGAGTAGTGAATGGTTCCATTCTCTCCGTGGTCTGGATCAGAGGCCTGAGCCGTGTAGACAACCCCAGGGAGCAGGTTCTCTGGCAGGCTGATCTGGAAGGAGGACTGCATGAACTCCGGAGGGTTGTCATTGTCATCCAGGACAGAGCACAGCACTGTGGCTGTACCTGACAGAGGCCGGGTGCTGCTGTCACGAGCCTGGACTACAGACAGGAAACAAAAAGAACCACTATTCTTAAAATCCTGGCACCACCAAGATCAATTTCTTTTGTCTTTATGTATAAACGCACCATGATGTATGCCACCGAAACATTTCTGGTTTCCCTTCCGCTGTCCAATCAAATAAAGGCTTTACAGCCCAAATAGACAGTAATAAACAAACAATTAAGTCCTGCTTATTTTTGTGTTTTACATGAATACCTGGGCTCCTAAAGTCCTCATTTAAACATGGATGCTACATCATCATTAGAGTCATTTCTATTTCAGATTGAATTTCCCGTCCTGACTGATAGAGACTGAGACATTGTTATCATTCTACCTGTATAGCTTATCTGGGCACCTGCATCTTCTTCCATACTACAGTCTTGGTGAAACTAGTTAAAGGGGGCAGCTGTGGCTCAGTAGTAGAGTCGGCCATTTTGATCCTTAGCTCTTGCAGTCCACATACAGGACTGAACGGGTGAATGTGACATGTAGTATAATCGTGCTTTAAGTGGTCTTAAGACTAGACAAGAGAAATATATATACAATATAAATCATAGGGGATTTCTCCTTTCACATACCTCAGCAGACATTTGTACCAAAGTTTATGATAAATGGTTGTCATTCTTTTCCTCCCAGCCTCCAGTGGTGAATATACTGAGAAACAGGACAAAATCCAAGTTGCGAAATAGCTCAAAATTGTCACAGACTGTTCCCGTAAAACAGCCTTTAAACACTGATTTACTGTAAATACTGAAAATAGAAATATCACTTGCAGCAGTGTGTGGAAACATACACCCCAATGGTCCAGTCTTACCCCTTTCATCTCCGCTGACCAAAAAGACTGAGTCAGATTTAATCTTTAAAGCAGAACGAACCATGAAAAGAAAAGAGGTCCTGTCATGATAGAGTGTACAGCTACAGATTTTAATACATGCTGAATAGACCGTTATTTCCCTCTAAATTCATCCACAGCCAGAGAAGGTTGTCCCCACATATTTCTCTATTTCCCAACAAGCCTTGTTTCACTCAGGCATACAGTCCAGACCTCCAGGCTTTCCTGTTATTATCATATTTTATTATTATATTTAATTGTTCATCACAGTGCTGACTGTACAAATATTAGGATAAAACATGTGAAAGCAGTTTATCACCAAACAGGGCTGAACAGTCTGAATGTAATGACTGTGTGCCCATGAGAGAGTGTAAGCAAACACAGGAGGAGGCAGAGGGAGCAGCCAGCAGAGGTTAGATATACTGGAGCTCAAACCTTTTAAAGTCTTCTGTTTCCTTGACATAAATCAAAGTGCTGAATAATTCGTCTCTCAGACCTTGAATTCTTTACAGCTTTGGCTGTGAAGCATGACAAAAAAGACAGTCCAGAATGAGAAACAGAGAGGAGTGTCTGTGTTTAGCAGAGACTGGAGAGGACTGCTTTATAAGTTACATTGGAGCAGGTTTGTGGATTTTTGTTTTTATAACTTTGCCAAGGACTGAACTGAGCCAGAAGACTCAGATCTGCTGATCCTTTAACTTTACAAACTAGAACTTTGTTTTTTATAGCTTATTCAACAACTATTTACACTGTATTTCCACATCAACGCCTCAATCTATCTTCCTTATACACACACACTAAGATAAATATATGTATTATAATGTGATATAAAATGTATTTGATCAATTCTTGTATATATTGATCACATTATGTAGCTACATGGCATATTCTGGTGTAAAATTAATTTAGGGTCAAACACACTGTAACACAGAATTAGACACCCCCTCAAGAAATGAATGTTGCCGACCGTTTGCTTCTCTAGTTATACCAACTTTAGTAACGACCTTATGATAGCAATACACAGCAGTCTGAGGAGCCACACACAAACCTCAACCAAAACACCACTGTGTAACCACAAATAATGCTCAGAACAGCACCTAACTTCATCAACAGTACATAAAGGGTCCTAGCCACAGCACTATCATTCTATCATTCCATCATTTCCTCATCCTCCATCTGTTTCTCTGTTCATCCATCCATGCAATACCCATCCATATACTGAACTTATAGCAGTTATTGAAAGTGGTAGTTGTGCTGTTTTAAACCGCAGCTACCTTCTCCTTATTTCCACCATCTGATCTGCTCAAACTTCCCTCTGTTTAAAAGCTGCTTAATGTGCGTAAACAAGCTTTCCCGTAGAGCAACATCCCTTTCCTGAGTAGTTTGTTTTGAGGTGTCTGATTTATGCAGTGTTCATGTTGGTGTATACCTATGTTTGCACTTTCTCACTGCACAATTTAAAAAAAAATGGGTTTTAAGGAAAGCTTACATCCTCACTCAGTGCAGACTCCAAACATGTCCCGTTAATTATGAAGCTAACTTCAGCCTGGTCTATGACCTGCACTTTTTGTTCTCACTCATCAGCTCATGATTGTGATTGATTGTTCTGTTTGTCACTGCACTCCCCAATGCTTCCCCCCTCACACATTACAACATGTCACTCTGATTTATTACCATGAAGAAAACATACAATGTGATGTGATGAACCTGCTGCGATGAGGCATGCAAACACTTACGTGCCTCTTTGTTATCCATGTGGTTAAAAGATGATGGTTGAACAGAAATTTAACTCATTAAATTCTGAGATGTAGAGCCACTGTTTGCTTTCCCTTAAGTTTAATGACGCTTAAAAATTCACAGAAGTTGAATTATTACTTCCAGCGGTCAAAGTGTGTGCTGTATATACGATGAGGCAAAAAACACTGAGGGAAGCCTTACGATCTCGATGTATGGATGTTATTTACCTGTTTCACATCACTCTGTTCTGTCTCTTTGCTGTGTCAAGGCATTGACGTGCATGTGAGTGTGCTTGTGTATAAATCTCACCATGTAATCACGTTTTACCTCTGAGGGTGAACTGCTGTTGCTGCTCTCGGTCCAGGTAGGAGGTGGTGGTGATCAGACCGGTGTAGGGGTTGATGCTGAAGAGTTCGTAGCCGGGGCCAGGCAGCAAACTGTACCACACCACCGCATTCTCCTCTGAAGGGGAAACACAGGAGCTCAATGTGAGTTTAACAAGATTTGGTGTAAGAATCTCTTATTTCATCAGTCTCCGGATGGGGATTATGTTGTATTTTTTTAGGTGTATTTTTGCACATATGTTTCAAAAGTCAATACATTTCAGGTGGACCATATGTGACGCCTAACTGAGAACTAAACCTGTTTAATAATGTGTCACCTGTGAAAGCTGAAGGAAGGGGTGGGAAACATCTATCTAGACCCTGCTGGTCACTAATTAATGGACAAGAGTTTGCTTTGACATTACACACTTCAATCTCTTGTAAGGAACTTTCAATTTTGGTGCCTCCTGTGGACCAAGCAGTCTGTTCCTATCTTGTCTTATGTACATTCAAAAAAGTGTCTCTTGACAAGAAAACACTTTATGACCATTTGTCAATGCACTTTGTAAACCTCTGTGCTGTCTTGTGCTATAAAAATTAAGTTATTAGTATTATAAGGAAAATCTGATAATTTTGACTTTTGACAAACAAACTTATCATTTATGAATGTAAAAAATGAAAAAATGGGGCTGTTGACTGCTTAGCTGACACCTACCCCCATACATTAGTTTCAAAGCATTAAAAATGACAAAATAACAATAGTCAATATTGTTGCTGATAGTCTTGTTTGATTTTGGATAACATAAAAGGACATCAATATAAATTTCAGCCTATTTCATAAATGTTCCCCTAACAGGAGCTTCTTTGCCTGTGATAAATACTTGTGTTTATATCGACAACACGTGAGCTCTTAGTAATATGTATGGTATCACAATTAAGATCCTGTGATCCTTGCTGTGTAGTTCACCTCACAGTCGAAACATTTTCTGCCACAGAAACAAGTCCTCACGCAAAAGCGAGTCAGAAAATATGTTAGTCTTGTAATCTGAGAACACCCACACTTGGAGCAGCTGAGTGATGGGGCAATAACATTACTGCCAATGCTTCTATAATTGGATTGACTCCCATTTCATTAGAAATGGTGTTTTTAGCAGTCTAAATGGTGTGTTGAGTGACAGGTACTGAATGCTGAGGTCCTCCACAAAAGAAATTAGAGCCTTTTTTGCATGCACACATTGTAGCGCTCCAAAATTGATTAAATATTTGCCTGTTCATAAAGATATTAGTGTACCATTAATGGTTTAGAAGATTTGACATCATGTTTGCTGTCTTATTTTAGGCGCACCACCAGTATTTGACATTGAAAGAGACTTTACTCTTAAAGCTCCTGTTAGCGACTTCTTAGATTGTTATAAAAGGAAAAATTTTTATTTTTTTACACACAAAAAGCAAATAAAGACCAGAGGATTGATCACATGCTGTTGGACAACCTTCACACAGAATTTGAATGGGTGATACATTTGAGTTTTACTGTAGGGGGAGATTTTTAAAAGATATGACTCACAAATGTAAATACGGAGGCATGTCATTGTCTACAGGGGGCGTCAGAATTGACATGACAGCAAAGTTCCTCTCAGGAGCTTTAAGTTAGTGAAAGAGGCTCTGTGGCCACATTAATTTGCACTTGTGTTCATTGAGTAAATTATCACAGTGCATTTGTGACAGAAGAGTAATCTCAGGGAGCAGTTTAAAGACATGGAATGTTTATACTATTTGCCCACCAGAAAGAGACTTAAACTGTTATGGGCAAAAAGGACTTCGATGTGACTCAAACTTAAATTGAATTTTAGTCCAAAAACTAAGACTAAATGAACACTGGCAGGTATACAGGCAACATAAAAATGCAGCTTAATGGTCTGACTTCTTTCACTTTTTTCACATTTTCACTGGAAAAAAAAAATCTAGGGATCTAGAGGAAATGTCAGCATGAAAAATAAGCTCTTCATATTTCTACTGTTAACATTAAGCAAACAATTGATAGACTTCAAAGAGTTTAGAACAAAAATGTCAAAAATCAAGTGAGAAACAAACTAGCTTTATCATTTGTTTATGGATATGCACGCCCGCTAAGATGATGTGGTCAAATGGAACCACACAGTTCTCTTTAAACGCTCACAGTTATCTGTTTTTATTAAAGCCTTTTTAAAAAATCAATCGATGACACAAAAATTTGCAAAACAGATGACACACTGAGAGCGACAAATGAATCAGACAATGGTTATATTTGGGGGCAGTATTTGGGGTTAAAAAGCAACACAGACTTTAATCAAATCAGACAAGAGGAGAGCGAGCTGAACTGCCAGACGCAGCGATTCAAGGAGACGGGTGAAAACAGGGCGCCTATTGGCACAGATGGCTTGGATTATGGAAATCATCATGAGCGAGGACCTTTCAGATCTCCCAGAGGAGCAGTGTGCTTGCTGTTCTTGGACAATTCTCACCCCCAAGAATGTTAGTTCACATCTAAAAACCCCCTCCTGTACAGATCCCGCTGCCGCATGTCTCCCACCTCCAGCGTTAAAAGGACTCATACTGTCAACACGGCGAGGAGAAATGGGATTCAGGAGGCCCTGCGCACAAAGTGTTAAAATAAACAGGCCTGATGTGAAGATTTGTGAATATGATGAGGGGTCAGATGAATGAGATTTGCTGGCTGTACAGCGAATGTAAAGCAGATGAAAAAAACACAAACTGAGCAACACATGAGAGGAAAAAGGGGGCAAGGGTTGGTTTCAATTAAACTGCTAATGGAGTGAAACAAAACAGAGGAAAACCTTGATCCACTGAGGTGGTGAGGTTTAATCAAACGAGGCAAGGTGAGCTGCTGATTCGATGTTATATACACTTCAAATAATTCAACAAAAGTAAAGAGTCACACTGTTGCTCAGAAATAAAGTTGAAGGACAGTCTAATCAAGCGTTCTTTGGGCAAGGACAGTCCGTAAAAACAGTTATTGTTTAAAGAAATACCTTTTCATTGGGGCTCTAATTCCTTTCCTTTCTATTTCATGAATTTTTGCTGGATTTTGGGTGCATTAAGTCCATGGGTCGACGCGGTCAGGCTTCCAGGACTTGTGCTAGTGCTGCCATCTAGACTCTTTGGAGGCGTACTACCATCCCAACCTTCACAGAAGGATAATAGGAGGCTAAACTGAATGTTAAAAGTATCGAAACAGAAGTTTTTAAAATTTTTATTCTGTTTTACTTTGTAGAGCAGGCTTGTCTAATAACTTTCTCAGGTGTTTGTCTGACTCAAGTCGCCTGCATGAACAAGCCCTCTTGTTTGTGCTGAAACAAAACAAACACTGATTATTTTACCTGAATCATTATCAGTAGCAGAGACTCGGGTCACAGGCTCGCCAGGGTCTCTGTTCTCAGCCACGCTGGCGTTGTAGACATTCTGAGTAAAGACGGGTGTTTGGTCGTTCACGTCCCACACTTCCACTGTCAGCGTCTGTGTGGAGGAGAGCTCAGACAGGCCGTGGTCCACAGCTCGGACAGTGAGACGGTGGAGACGCTGTGTTTCATAATCCAGAGGGGCAGAGAGGAACAGCAAGCCTGAAGAGGACGTAAAAAATATGGACTTTAATGGGGTGGACCAGAAGAGGGACTGCGTCTTGATAATCCCACAGCAGTGTGTTTTTTTAGGTTGCTTTATTGCCAATTGTTTCTTATTTTGTCAAAACATATCAACAGAAAGATCAGTACAAAGTTACCACAGGGATCTTGGTGGTTATCCATGTTCAGTGTTTTTCCTTCTGTTCTTGACTAAAAACTGAATACATTGCATTTTTTAGATATTTCTTTCTCTTTTTCTTATGTCTTTACCTTTCAAATTAATCTTTGAGTCGTTCACAAGACAAAGAGGCTTTTAATCCATGTGAGAAAATGAGATAATGGTGCACTTCACCCTCTAGTGGCCAAAATGAGTAGTACAAAAATAAACAGAAAAACTTATCAGAAAAACTTAGCTGAGTCTTTGAAAACATTTATTACACATACTTTTTTAGATGGTGAAAAAAAAAATGGACAATTTATAAACTCTAAGTTTATCCTGAAAAAAAACCAAAAACATTTCTATCAGCTGTTTTAGTCATTGACAAAATTACCATAAAACCTGGAATAGAAGCCTACAAAAGACTAATTTAGAAACAGGGTGTGGCTGCATTTATTTTTCTTGCAAAGAAAATTTGTTTTACCCTCACTTAATTGCAACACATCACATTTACTGATTGCCATAGTAACGCTGGAAAAGTGTGGGACCTAAATGGGCTGTCAGACTGTTAAATAAGAGAAAGAGACGTCTTCTAATTTTCAGAGGATGAGAGACAACATTAAGCTGAACCTCAACTGATGTCTGAGAGAGACTTAAAAAAAGTTGGGTCAGGATCCAAAGCACTTGTGCACATTACCAATAAGCAGAATAGTCCTCCAAAGTTGATGAGGAAGAGGGCTGAAGAAGATTCTGCCTCAGTGAGTGACAACAGTGACAGGGGGAGGGCTTTGGTGCTTGTGCAGTAAAGACAATAAAAGGGGAACAATCGCCAAAACCTGACCTCTGTTGGGCCAAAAGTTTCAAAATGATGACCAGATGTGATCATCTTAAGATGTCTCTTATTGACATCTGAGCTAAATAAAGACAGAACGAGCTTACAGACTGAAAAAAAAAGAACCCTGGGCTACTACTTGGAACTTCACAGGAATCACCAGACCTTGCTCACTTGTTCATGAATCCTTCAGCACCCTGTCTATTTAAAAATAAGGTTTCGAAAAATGAAAAGAATCAAACAAAACATCTAAAAAATGCTGTATAAATCTTAGATTTGGAGGCCAAAATCTAAATGAACATCTGAGATTTTAAATAATTATGGAGATACTTAAAACTATTTATTTGGACATTTTAACCACCTGCCCTGAAAAGGCACAGGACAGGACAAATCTAGATGAATAACTAATTTAGACAACATGTAACAGCCTTAATATAACAACATAAATCTCAGGATCAATCTACCTTTTTTGAGTTATGGTCATAAATCTTGTGTCGTACCTGTTTTCTCCTCCAGCGTGAAGAACCCTCTCCTGTTTCCACTCAAGATGAAGTAAGAAACAATCCCATTCTCCCCTTGATCTCCATCTATGGCCACAAAATGATGCAGCAGACTCCCCACCTCTGCATCCTCCATCACTTGCACAGCATCCGCTGACACAAACACTGGCCTGTTATCATTCACATCCAGCAGGAAGACCTGAGCCGTCACCGACGCCTGCTTACGCTCCTCCTTCCTCTTCGCCTGGTCGGTGGCCGTCACAGTGAAGGTGTAGCTGGGAGTGGTCTCCCGGTCTAAAGGCGCCGTCACAGTTAGACTCCCAGTGTATGGGTTGATCTGAAAGGGGAAGCGAGAAGAAGAGCCATACTGTCCAGAGTCAAATGTCAGAGAGTAGCGGAGAGCGCTGTTAGGAAAAGTCCCATCTGCGTCCCTGGCATGAAAAGCAAACGCCAGCGATCCCACCGCAGCATCCTCCGAGAGACCGAATGTGACGAGCTTTTCAGGGAACCAGGGCGTGTGGTCGTTCACGTCCTCCACCATCACGCTCACCAGCACTGACATGTTCACTCCAGCTGCCAGTGTCAAGTCTTCAGCTCGAACCAAGAGGAAATACTGAGCTGCAGACTCGTAATCCAGGGGCTGATTGATGTAAATGTCACCAGACGAGCTGTCGATACCAAAGTGCACGCTCCCATCCCCCTCAGAGATCGAGTAATGGAGTTTTGCTCCGTCTGAAACACGGGCAGAGCCAATCACAGTGGCTGGTTCTGCGTCCTCTTTTACAGTAAAACGCCTCAAGATTTGGTGCTCAGAGTGGCCGTACAGAGCTTCCAGTCCATGAACCTGCAAGAGAAATACAGTTTGTTGATGCTTGTTGTCTTATTTTTGAACTACAACAAGTTTTATTCTTACAGCTTCATTATAAAAAAGGGTTTACTCAATTATAAATTGCATACGCAGAGTTCACTTTAGGATTTGAGTTGCGATTAAGTTTGTATAGTGAATCAAACAGTGGAGCAATGTGAGTTTAGATTTACCTTATAGTTGCTAGATGGATCTTTTCAGATGGATTGATCAGTCGTTTACACTTTCAGGATCAGATTTTTATGTATTTCCTCACTGACATAATTTGCTGCTCTGGTTTTAACTGCAGTTTTACAGTCAATATTTCCTATGTGACACAGTATGCTATCCTATTCATTATTGCAGAGACTGAAGTTTGTTCAAACATGATACCTAACACATGGATAAACCTTAATTTTTATCTTCATAATTGCAGATTTTGCACTTGAAAAAAGTGAGTTTTTCGTAACATTAATTCACTCAAACAAAGACGATGAATCGTGTCTTGAACTGACCTGGACATGGATGAGTGCAGTATTCTCCAGAGCTGGGACGCCGCCGTCTCTGGCTGTAACTTTCAGAGTGTAGTGTGTTTCAGCTAGCTGTGTGAAAACCTCCGAGGTCCTGATGTCTCCACTTTCACTGTCGATCTCAAAGTGTCCGGCGCCTTTGTCTTCTGAATCAACAGAGACATGAGCAGAAACTTACAGGTTAAAAAAGGTGTGGTTGTTATAATGAAATGAGTTCATTAATACAGTTAGTTATTGCTCATCAGTTACCTGTGAGTAGTGAGAGAGTGACGGTCCCATTTTCTCCAGCATCAAAGTCTTTCGCCAACATGTTTGTGACTAAAGATCCTGCTGGTAGACCTGCCCAAATCTGCAACACAGACACAGACACATATATGGAGAGTGTGAATTTTGCTGATATGATACTAAAAATAACACTTTATTTGACGCCTATCTCTATAACGTATTATAAATATATGTATAATGCATTATAATCATATTATAGCCCTGTATAACTATAGTTACAACCACTCATAAATGATCATGATGCTTTATAGCAATAATCATAAAACATTCTAAAGCATTTTATCATGACTTACAATATCAGGTATTATAATGTGTTATAACAACTCACTGACAATAGATAATGCAAGGCAACTGTTGTTAACAGTTATAACACATTATAATACCTGACCTTAAAAGTCATGATAAGATGCTTTATAATGTGTTATGATTATTGCTATAAAGCATTATGATCATTTATGAGTATTTATAACTAAAGTTATACAGTGCTAAAACGTGATTATAATGCATTATACATATATTTATAATGCGTGATAGAGATAAGCGTCAAATAAAGTGTTACTAATAACACACTTCTCCATAAAGAATTTCCTGCTGCAAGCATGCAACTGCATTAAGGGCAAGGAAATATACAGAAAAAAATTATATTGCCCTTTAAGTAACTGTCAGTAACTGTTAAACAACAAGTTTCTATAGTGCTTTAATCAATAAGAAAATCTTTCTTTCATTAAAATGTACCACCTCTGGAAGCTTTAAAGATCTGAAAGAAACTGATGTTTCCGCTTTATTTACCTGAACGTTGAGCTCCCTGCTGACTGGCAAGTGTGTAAACTGAGGAGCGTTGTCATTAATGTCTGTGACCAGGATGTGAACAGTGGCGGTGGCGTTGAGACGGGGGTGTCCCTGGTCTGTCACCATCACCTTCAGACTGTGCTGGCTGTGTTGCTCACGGTCCAATGCGACCCAGTTTATAATCTCACCTGCAACAGTGCAGAGGAGAAAGAGAAAGGTGAGACCACATCTTACGAAGTCTGTAGTGTTATTCTACTTGTTCAGAGCATTGCAGGCCTGTAGGTAGTACCTAACTTATCTATTATGGGAGGTGGAGCTCTAAATGATCAGACCCCTCCCCTTTGGATTCAGCTACAGTTTGGGTCTTGAAGGCAGACGCTCTCTTTACTTTAGCAGACGATTTTTAACTTTCCTGGGGGACTATTCATTTTGAAAATCCAATCAAGTTTAAATTAAACATAATCAAACACAGGGCACTGATGCACTAGAGTGTGGATATGGTATTAACGGGCAAAAGAAGACTGTCGTGGTTGCAAACTTTCGGATTTTTGTGAATAATTTACAAAAGCAAGCAACTAATCAAAAGAAAAACAAAATTCTGGCTTCTGCTGTCTTTATTGGCGGGTGAAAAGCAATAGGCTCACCCAAGTGTATGCTGGTCTTTTCCCTGCCTACCTATGTCACCTCAAGTGGCCACAATCAAATCGAACTAAACTTGGGACAATCAAATAAATCAAAATAAATGTTTTACCTGTTTTGGCGTTGATTCGAAAGAACTTCCCATCTGACAGCAGGATGTAAGACAGCTGGGCGTTTTTTCCAGAATCCTTATCCACAGCTTTAACTGTTCCCACCAAGCCTCGAGGTGACATACCCTCTGACACGGTGAAGTAGTACACCTCCCTGCTGAACACCGGAGCGTTGTCGTTGATGTCCAGCACCAGAACCGTCACTGTGGCTGTCCCCGTCATGTTCACCAGAGAGGCCTCCCTGGACATCGCCAACACTCGAAAACGAAACACAGATTCTGTTTCGTAGTCCAGAGCTTCAGAGAGATACAACCAGCCGGTCTTAGCGTGAACCCGAAATGGAGCGGGAGGGAAACCAGCTTCTCCCTCCAAGGAATAGGTGATTCCTGAGTTTGACGTATGAGCTCCTCGGCTCCTGTGCGCCCTCACCTGGATGACCCTGGAATCCTTCCTGTAGCCCTCACCAATCTCCACCTGGTACACCAGTGTCTCAAAAGTGAGGCTATCTTCATGCACAGTGCGGTCCACTTTGACAGTGAGGGTTAGTGTGGAGCTCAGAGGAGGTTCTCCTTCATCTTTGGCCAAAATTTCCAGGTTGTACCTCTGCTGATCCACCTGCAAACTCTGATTTAGTGTAACCATCCCAAAGTTTCTATCAATGTCAAACAAACCGCTTCTGCCGCTCCTCAGGTAGTACTGCACCCTCCCATTGGCTTCACTGTCGTAGTCGTGTGCGTGTGCTATGAACAGCACTGTCCCCGGGAGTGTGTTCTGAGACACTGTGATGGTGTCTCTGAGTTTGGGGAAAACAGGAGCATTGTCATTGATGTCGGCGATCGTGATGTTGACCTGTGTGGTGCTGTAAACCGGAGATGTGTCAGTGTAGGACTGAAGAACCAGCAGAGCATAAGGCTGAGACTCGTGGTCCAGAGGTTTGATGTTGCTGATCAGACCGGACTTTGAATGGACGGAGAACAACTCCTGAGGGTCTCCTGAGGAGATTCTGTACGACACTGAGTCCATGGAGTCTGTAATGACATACAGATGATCTTACTAGTAGAACAACAAACAAGCTAACAGCTATCTGCTCTGTATTTAAGTCCAGAACTGATTACATTTATGATAATAAATGCGCTCACAAAGTCCTGCAGTTCTGGTTTTGGATCTAGTTTGGATCTCCACTCCGATTGTCTTTTTTAAAAATCATTCCAAGTGTTATCAGTGGTCGTTAAATTGTGTTTTTAGTTTTTAGCCAAAATCACCTGTGTCATTTTCAAGGGCTTTTCTTCTGCAGAGCTCCAGTAGTTCATTAGAAATTTGCCTCTGAGTCATTTGTGACGCTAGCTTATAGCCTAACACTGCTGGTGTAGCAGAAGTGGCAGGTGATATAGGAGCTATTCAGCTCTCAAATACTACTGAAAGCTACTATCACAATGAGCTTTCTTACGAGCATTGGAATCTGCTACTGCACACACTTGTTCCGCCAAGTGTGTGGTAGTGCAATGCTCTGGACAAGTCAAAAAATCCCTGTGTCTGAACTTGCCGTTTGGGTCTGGTTTGAATGCAGAAATACTCAGAAATGCAATTTTGCACTTTGTTTTCTCATGATATGTCCCCTTGCATCAGAAAAATGCCATATGAACATGTAGACAACAAGGAAAACATGATTTTCACCAGAGTGGGTCTTTAATAAGCCCTGCCCACCTCAGCTCCCTGGTGCACAGAGCTGTGCTGGGCTCTCTCATCCTGACAGAGCTAAAATCTGTTCACCATTAACAGAGGTAGTACCAGCCTTTGGCATTGCTCTTGTCCAGTGGTTAAATGCATGCAAACAGTGTATACATCAATACACTCTGTGTTAGTCATTGTGTTGTCATTAAAGCTAAAAAGAATAAGATGGAATAAAAAGTAGACAAAAATAGAAAAGAGAAACCCTCATTTTAATAGAAGACGTGTGCTGTAACATTTGTGGTTGAGTGGGAAAATAAAAGACCTCTATCGGCCTGAGAATGATTGTGTAAAAACTAATCAATAAAATAATCTCAAGAAAATTTTAAAAAGCAGTGAGGGCCAACAAATCTCCATGCTGCACATTTACCATTTCAATATAGTAAGTGATATCCTCACTTATACACAGCACACATACACACACACACACAGACACAAACACACAGAGTAAGCCCGATTAGGTAATTAGAGTGCAGGGCAGAAGATCTCATTAATCCCTGCTGGGTGTTTTCTGTACTTCAGCAGTAATTACAAACCACTGACACAAGCAGAGAGCTTAACACCGCCTAACCCCTGATGAACATGCCCGACTCTTTTGTTTGTGCTGGAAGTTGTTAATCTGCTAATTGACTAGACAACCTGAAATGACTGTCTCATAAAGAAGAGTGTTTTGGCTGCAACAAGGGGACACAGGGGTTAGAGGCACATATCAAGAGGACTTTGGGGGGGATAATCCTTGAAAACTAGAGTGTTGGAAAATGCTCAGAGGAGAGAGGAAAATCAGTCTGTGTTTTTATTTGTTTCATGAGACTTAAAACACAACAGGCAGTGTCTCATTTACCAACAACCCTGATATTTACTGTCGTGTGGGAGCTAACCAGATAAAACTGTGACAGTTAATGCTAAACCGGTCCACATATATTTATGACTGCTCTATCTTTTACTACCAAGAGTAAATACTGTACCTTTTTTCGTGGTTTCAGGCCCCTATCATTTGAACACATGGCCAAAGAGGATTAAAGTTTAAACTGAAGATGTCCTCTTTACTGCTGCGTTTTCATGTGTGGAGGATGTATGAACAAAGACAATCATCACACCAGGGTTTTTCCTGTCATGTTTTAAGCCAAAGAAAACTACACTTTTAATAAATTTGTTTTTTTGGATGTTTTTGTTTATGGTGAATTTCCAAAAGCGCCAGCTTGTTTTACTTGCTACTCTGCAACATAAAATGTTAACGTTTCACATCATATGACCTGCTTTTCTTTGGACTCTGAGAGGGTTACAACAACGACAGAATTTATTGTGATAACAGCTGGGTCAAGATACCATTTCAGGACATATCTAAATGATTTTGAAAGCAAACTGAAAACATACCTTTTTAGTCTTGCTTTTAACTAAATTTTATATCATTAAGAGTTTTAGCATTTATCTCTTCTAATTTTACTGACAGGATCAACTTTTATTGAGCTATTTTGGTGTTGTTGTTTTAGTATGTTTTACTGTTGTTTTTATTTTGTTTTATTTATTATTTCTTCAATTTCATTTTATGTTACATTGTTTTTTGATTTTAAACCCCCGGTGTTTCCTTATCTTGAATTTTAAAATGGCGTTTCCTCAGTGGGCACATTCCTGTTTATATGAAATTGAGCCCTTTTTAAGTTCATGCATTTTAATACGTTTCTATTGTGCTTAGATTGTGGGGTGGGAATGAGGGGTTGGGTTGGGGTAGATCAGGGTTTTCTTTGTTTCTTTTATTCCTCTGCTATGTAAAGCACTTTGTGCTACATTGTTTTTGTATGAAAAGTGCTATACAAATGAAGACTGATTGATTGATTGATTGATTGATTGATATGGCTGTATGTTCCAACTTTATAGTACTGAGTGCTGAGTCTAAAACATGGAGCAATGTCTGGTGCTAAAAAACTGCAGTTCCTTCAATGTCCACTTGAGGGTGGCTTCAAAAGCCATAGAAGCTCCATTACACTTATGTTAAAAATATCCATTTTAACAGCAGAATAAAAATGTTTATGTTATGCATAGATTAGGGGATGTAGCTGTGTGCCAGGTGACCAAATGCCCGCCTATGGCCTTTTCCCCTAACTACGCCCTTCACTTTCAAGATTATTAGCATCTCCAGTGCTAATAACAAAATAATATTATTATTATTATTATTATAAATACACAATCAGAAAGAGCCATGGTCACCTGGTCAAGGTTCAAACACACATTCTTCAAGCCCAGCAGAAGACAACACAAATATCTAGTCATTCTTTGGTGCTAAAAACTGTCCTGGTTTGACTCCTGTCTGTTAGAGTCTGCTGCCACACACACACTCACTCACTCACTCACCTGCTGGGTTTATGGCCCTCACTGTCCCCACAGAGGTCCCGGGTGGAGCACCTTCGGACACCATGAAGGAGTAACGTGACCTCTGGAAAACAGCTGGAGCCTGAGCGCTGCGCAAGACATTGATGGTGACCTCTGCAGGCTTAGCAGAGGTCAAACCCTCCCCGTCCTGAGCCGTTATTGAGAGCTTCACACTGGCTTCACCCAAGTGGGTCAGAGGGGAGGTCAGGAAGAGCATTCCTACAGGGGCAGACAGAGATCAAAGTCACTAAGAGTACATTTCTGCTTTAGCTTCTTCTTCTTCTTTTGTATAGTTTGATGAAAAACAGTCTATTAGTCAGCAGTAATGTTATCCCATTAACAGACAAACTAAGCCCTGATAATAACTGGGTCAGGAACCTGAGTAACTTTTGTCACCTCGATTTACTCTTCAATCCCATATAAGCATCGCCCTATATCCTAAAACCAACAACCACACAGTGAGTTTAAAGGTCATTAACACTTAAAAATCTACATTACATCAGGTGAAAATCCCTGCATTCTCTTATTTCACCTTTGTGCACATTTATTTAGTATTTTGATGAAACATTGTGTACAGATCTCATCTCATTTTGAACCACATGGAGACGTAAGGCTTTTGGCTTTGTGCAGCACTCGTGCTGTGAGCTGACACCAGCAATCACATCATCTGGACTTACAATCATTAAGTAGTTGTTTATCCCTAAAAACACGGGAGCTGTGAGTCACACAAGTCAATTAAAGATAAGTGAGTTGATCAGGACAGGAAAACGCAGATAGATGTTTTTTTTTTTTTTAACTGTGTGACAAAGGAGCACAGTCGTGAGGAATCATACGACCCTTTATGTTCATGTTCATGTAGCCTGTTGAACAACTTTTATAACTGTGTGCTCTGTAGCTGTGCAATTAAGTCAGATATATCCATTTTGTTGCTTTGGAAGTAAATGATTTAGCAAAAAATGTGCAATAAGCGTTGGTTTTGATCATATTTTTATTTTTCAAAATTTTAAAATAACTAACCAAGAACATTTCATGAGACTTATTTCTGACCTGGGCCTTTTCAAATCTAGATTGAAAACGCATTTACGTATGCTGGCTTTTCATACCCAGTAGCGTGGTGACACTTTATTTTATTGCATTGTATCTTATTTCTTTTTATTGTTTTTATATATTCATTTTTATTTACTATGTATTGTATAACACTTTGGTTCACCAAAAGGGTTGTTTTAAAGGGCTGTATAAATAAATAAAGTTTACATTTACATTTCCAAAGATCAATCCCAGAGAATACTCAGAGTTTGCATCCTCGTTTTTACTCTTCCAGCTTGTTTTCTTGTATATTTTTGACTCTGGTGTTGCTTAATTCAGCATGGAAATAAAACAATACTCAAGAATAAATGGATTTTTCTTATGTCCACCCACCTGTGTGTTTGTCCAGTGCAAACAAACTGGACATGTCACCAGGAACGATGCTGTAGGTGACATGTCCAAACCAGCCAGAGTCTCTGTCGGTAGCGATGACGTTGAGGATTTCTGTGCCGGGCTGTGTGTGGCTGCTGATGCTCATGGTGTACTCGTCGGGGTTGAACACAGGAGCGTTATCATTCAGGTCATCTATTTCAATGTGCACGTAGGTTTGAGCGCTCAGGCCTCCCTGAAGTTTCAAAGGTGTGAGAAGTTAGTTCAAACTTGTGTAAATATTTCTCTAAATCTAGTTTTCACATGTGAAATTCACTCACTGGATCTTCGGCTTTGACCAGGATGTCGTAGACCGTCTGTCCCGAGTCTCGATCGATATCCTGAGACACACACAGCTCTCCAGTGTGCGGGTGGATTTTGAAGAGAGGGTGTTTGTCTTGTTTGTCAAAGCCGTCAGACAGAGAGTAGACAAGCGCACCAAACTCATGGCTGTCTGCATCCTTGGCAACAACCTAAGAAGACAAAACAACTGTTTAAGAAAAGAAAATCTTCATTTATCAGAAACTCTCGATTAAAGCTACTGTAAAGAGTTTTTTTTGCAACAGACTTGAACTATTGCTGATGTTTCTTTGTAACCTACAAAAACAAACTGGACAAATGATCAGTGTATTCATGCACTGTGAAAATTCAATATTTGGAGGTTTTGATAAAAGGTAGTTTGTGTAATTTTAAAACCAGGTAATTCATCACTTTACCTCATGAATAATATGGCTCTGCATTTTTTTTCTTGTATCAAAAGAATATTTGACCTGCTTTGACACAAACCTATGACACTGTGCACTTTGTTCACCACTGAGTATACATTATGTTCATCTCTTCCTGCTACTCAATCTGTTCTAACTGTCAGCGTTGTGTATCGTTTGTCAGTGACAAATTTTTAATGTTTAACTCAGAGGGTTACAGTGAATGATTAAAACCTGTCCTATTCTGCTAAAGAAGATCAATATAATAAAAGCAAAGGGACTGCGCCTCAGATCGACCGAGCTCCTTTCATGTGTGACTGCGCCCGTGACAAGAGACACGTATTACAGATAGAGCGCTCACTTTCCTGTCATAAAACATGATATCATCCTCGACTTTATGAACTCTGATCAGAGGTAGCGTTTAGTGACAGGGGTCAAGGTCTGAGTAGATTTAAAACACACCCAGAAAACTCCACTTCCAGGAAGGCCACTATTTAGAACATTTGTACCTATTTTTAAACATTTGGTCATCATTAATATTCAGATTAATTACATGTATACATTATCTTTTTAAAATTATTATTATTATTTATGTCTCTATTGATTCTGGACTTGGTGCCAAACGGCCCTTATGTTTGGTGTGATGACTTGAGCTACATAAGAGTCGCTTTGTTACAGCTTCAGCTTGTGCCAGTGTGGTACCAGGCGTCACATCTGTCATACTGAAGCCACTGAACTGGAGAGAGTGTTTGTGTTGTGCAGGTTTAGGAGTGACACTGATTTCTTTGTGCAAACAGACTGAGAGCTACTTTTGTCCTTTCAGACTGCAAGAGAGGGAGCACAATGACTAATGTTAATACTGTAGATTACTTCGACTTCTCTCAACAAATATCGTGGCTTCTTCAGAGCTATAAGGACCAGAAAATAGTCTTACATTTCATTATTTTAGTTATTTTGGATTATTCTTGATATAGATTCCCTATCCAAATACAGTGAAAATGATTTCAGTTGTTGTCAACAGTGTTCAAACCTTACTTTCAAAACTTTGAGTAGTGGTATCTATCCATGAGAAACATTGTAATTGCTAAAAGGTATTAATTTCTACCGAGGAAATAGTCCCTGTTAAAGGTGCATAAATGTGGTTGATTGTTAAGATTATGCAGGACATGGTTGATACATTTCTGTGGAAAAGTTTAAGTATAAATTTCTGCACAGTGGGGGTAAAGGAGTTTAAGGTAAGGATCTGTTTTATTCCTGAGAGAAGGCTGGACTCTCCTTTAAGAGTAGGTAACTCAAAAGTTGGATATTTAGACAAACTGTTGGCATAGAAAGATTGTTTGTGAGTGTATCTCAGAACTTTTTTTCTGTACTTTAACTTAACAAAACCTTAAAACTGACATATTTTTTAACATACTTGAAGAAAGCAGCTCCCAATGCCACTGTGCTCTGGTATGGAGACGTTGTACAGCTGCTGCTGGAACACCGGCTCGTTGTCATTCACATCCTCCACCTGCACCTTAACTGTAGCTGTAGATGACAGCGCTGGTTCTCCTCCATCAGCCGCAACCACCAGGAACCAAACCTCCGCCCGCGCCTCTCTGTCCAGAACTGCAGTTGTCGTGATCAGGCCGGACTCTGGGTCGATGCTGATCAGGCTGTCCTGGCTGGATTTCAAGATGGAGTATCTGACCTCTGAGTTGACCCCTTCGTCTGCGTCTCGGGCCTGCATGTGGATGATGGAGCTCCCCAGAGGAGCATCCTCAGGGATGCTGATGGCATACACTTCCTTTTCAAAAACAGGGAGGCAGTCGTTGGTGTCCGCCACCCTCAGGAGGAAAACCGTCTCACTGCTTAGAGATGGACTCCCATCATCTGACGCTCGCACCTTCAACTCATACAGATCCTTCTCTTCTCTGTCCAGTTCTGCATCCACACACAAAGCATACAGAAAATCATCCGTCTGTTTCAGGGTGAACTTTCCATCACCCCCCTCAAGTGAGACGCTGACCCGTGCCTCCTTATAGTCTGGGTCGGATACTGAAATCCGGGCGACGTAGTCCCCAACTGCTGCAGCCTCTGACACCACTGAATCTCCTGTCTCGCTGAGAAACAGCACACTGATGATGGGGCTGTTATCGTTGATGTTAAGCACCTTCACCCCCACAAAAGTGCTGCTGTACTCAGGCTGAGCCCCGTTATCTCTGGCGCTGATGATCAACTCATGGAAAGGTTGAGTCTCGTAGTCAAGCGGCTTGTTCAGATACACCACCCCGCTGGTTTCGTTGATGGAGAACACCTCATTTGGATCGCTCTGCCTCCTGTTGATCTCATAAGTGATTCTCGCATTCTCGCCCAAGTCCAGGTCAGTGGCATAGACCTGGCATACTGCAGACATCACTGGGGCATCTTCAGGAAGCGAGGCATGATACTCAGTCTGGTTGAAAACTGGAGGATTGTCGTTCTCGTCCAGGACTTTGATATTCACCCGGAGAGTCCCAGATCTGGCTGGGATGCCACCATCAAAGGCCTCAATGACAAGAGAGTAGAAGTCTTGGGTTTCTCTGTCTAGTTGTCTTGTAAGGATGAGATTTACACTCTGATGGTTTTCAATTCCATTGCGATACTCTAATTGGAGCAAGTCCCCCATCTCACTCTCTGTGATCCTGTATCCTTGGGTACCAAACTCCCCCTCATCCTCATCCTTCGCCCCTTCAAGCTGAAACCGACTCCCTGGTGGGCTCAGCTCTGAGATTTCCAAGTCAACCTCCTCTGAGGGGAACACAGGCGAATGGTCGTTCACATCGTTCACCTCTATGCTCACTCTGATCATCTCACCTGTTAGCGTGGCCGCGACAAACTCGTACTTATCTCTGCGCTCTCTGTCCAGGACCACGGCTGTGGAGATGATCCCCGTGTCCGCATCGATCTCGAGATCTCTGAACACGTAAGAGTCTCTGCTCTCTGAGATGAAGAATCCGGTGCTTGGCCTACTTAACCCTGCTCCTAGGTCCCCAACTATAGTTTTCGCAGGCAGACCCTCTTTTATGGAGAGCGTCAGGTTGAACACCTGTCCCGTGGTCCGTGCGCAAAGCAGGGAGAAAACAAACGCCAAGAGAAGCGTGTTTCTGCGAGCCATATCTCATATAGAGCTCGTTGTTGCAGATTCGAAACTGGACTACATATTTCCAAGTCAAAATCACTCTCCTGAGTCACATTTTAAAGCCCCTCTACAAATATTAACACATGGACAAACCGTGCGTTTTAGCGCGTCGGGAAGCAGGCGGTAGATTTTCTCCATCACTTTTTCCAGTAGTTTGTAGAGGTTTTAGAGGCTAGAAATCAACTCATGTAGGAGCGTAAATCCCCCGGGGTGTCTTCACACACTTCATGGCACCAAGTGACCACAGAGCGCCAACTGTGGACACTGAACACACCTCCTGGCAGGCGGCTCGTCCCACGCAGATCAGCTCCATCTGTGGCCGTTTTTTCTCAAGAGTTAACTAGGCCGAGAGATTACCTACATAGTCGCCTGCTGCAAGATGGTACTGTAAGTGACCTGGCAAGGATCAGAAAGTGTGTTTAACCTCCCTCTTGTGTTGGCTTTTACTACACACCCACCATGTTAAGGGTTTGGCTTTGACCCGTGTCTGTGAATTACACTAAAAACTATTCTCTATCATCCAATTTGGTTCTCATCTCTAGGTTACCTTGTTAGGCTTCATTATCCATGAAAATATTTCTGATAATATTTTTTTGTTGTGGTCTCTGGGCCTTCTTTTGTCAGTATACCCCTCACACAGACATCTGTACTGTATTGGTCTCACATGTCTAGACATGCCTGAGGCTGTTTTTTTATGCAGGGTAAATCACGGAAAAATGAGGATTTCCTAAATCTCACATGATTGTTAGAGGATCTGACAGTCAGTGTGGTGCCTGAAAGTACACTTATGATTTTAGTTTTTGCTCTAATTATTTATTTTTAATCTAACCAGGTAAACAGCAACCCTAACAGGACAAGTACCATAATTTTAACAAGAGCATTTTATAATTTAGTCAATTGAATTGATCTGTTTTTATTTTGTTGAAATAGACGTTCCTGACAAAGTCAACAAGTCTTGATGAAAAAAAAAGCTAATTTAAGTGTTTCTTTTGAGCATTTAAAATCAAAAATGGGTCGGTGCAGAAAAGATGAGCTCAATTTTGGTATAGCAGCCTACATGGTTAAAGTAATGATTAATAAATGTATTACTGGTGTTTACTGTACACACTGAAGCCCAGTGACAAGCTGGCTCCCTCTAGAGGTGAAATTAAAAAAAACTTCAGGCACTGTATTTGGCTCCTATTAGAATAAAAGAGTATCTCAGAGTAATTATCAACACATGTCAGTTTGGAATGTTTGGTTTGTATGGCAGCCCTATGCAGACATGAATCGATAGTTTGAGTACTTTTGGAATTGCAAGTTATCTAAACTACTTGCTACTACCAGCTGTTTGTGAGCCATCAAGAATGTGTTCATAACCCACTTTTGGGTTGGGACCCACCAGTTGAGAACCACTTATATAGAGTATATTAATTCAAAGGACACACAGCTCTATTAGTAATCCCTATTAGTGATTATCAATGTTTTGGTCACTGGTCCAGCAGAGCTTTGATTTGCCTCTACACCGTCTCATGAGCACTTGTTAGTGTTGTAGCCAAGCGACTGGTGTAACCTGAACAGCACACCTGAGCAAACAAGCATCATAGCAACTGAGTCTCTCTTTGTGTGATTGCTCTGTTAAGCAACACCATAAAACTGTGCAAACCCATTGCAGAAGCTTCTTTAAAGATCTTTTTCTCTGAGCTTTTGTTTTCAAAGAAGGGAACATGCCTTCTCACATCATGCTTTCATATCAGTGGGATGATCAGGCTCTTGTGAAAAAGGTCTATGACAGGCTCAAAGAGGATGGTCTGCCTGTGTGGATGGATATCGAAGGAGGGGTGACTGGGAACATTAATGATTCGTGAGTACAGAGGAAAGTGGTTAAACCTCTATGCGCTACATTTTTAAACACTAAAGCTAGAAAATGAATAAATCTGGTTTCATTTTTGTGTTTATAGGATGGCTGCAGGTGTGGAGGAGGCTGTGGTCATCTGCCCGTTTATGACTCCAACCTATCAGGCTTCTCGAAGCTGTAAGAAGGAACTTAACTATGCAGACAGCAGGGAGGTGGTAATTGTGCCCGTCATGCTGGCCAACAACTGGGAGGCAAGTGAGTGGCTGGGGCTGATCACTGCAGGTCTGCTGTGGGTGGATTTCAGGTGAGGAGGCCTGTCTGAAAAAACACATTCATAAAGTTTGTTAAATTGATTTCAGAGCAGCATAGAAAAAGAAGGGCTTTAAGTACCTCTGGAGTTTTATCTCACCTGATCTATCAGCTTTTTTTATAATGTTGCTTTTTTTCAGAAATGCTGATAGTGAGGAGAATTTTGAGATGTGCATCAGCTCTCTACAGGAAGAGATCATGTTCAACGCCAGTCACCTCCTGGCAGTAGAACCTCCATCAGAGCAGGTGGATCAGTCAGAACCACCTAAACATCATCTGAAAAAGAAACCTGGCCGAAGGTTTCGACACGCGCTCACAAAGCTGTACATACGTGATTCAGGCTTCACAGAGGGGGAATGTAAGTAAACATAAATGTGAAGTTGAGGCTACTTTATACCCTTAATTCAATCAGTATCTAAGGTAGGAACTTAAGTGTACTTTTCACTGCACTGCATTGTATAAAGTACAGTCAAAATTTTTACAAACTATTGTGACAGAACTATTCAGTATACTATGTCCGTGAAAGGTGCCAAAATTGACATGAATTAAAAGGTCCAAGTGACAGCTTTTAATTAAATTCAAAATATTGGAAGTTTTTTAATATTTCACAACTTTTTAACCTGTGCTCTAAAGCAAATTAAATGTTACTGGTCAGATAGACATGGCTGTAAAATACTGAACAAGTCAACCTTCAGAGGACCCAGAATGCTTTTACAAACTTCACTGACAGAGACGTAACTTTGCACATCTAAAATTCAGGACAGGTGCGTCAGAGAGCCAGGAATCCAGTAATTCAAACAGAGAGAAAACACCTGCATACTGTCCAACTTGCAGAAAAAGAATCAATTTAGTACTGCGAAGTTTCGGTGCTAGACCTTCCAGGCAAACAATTTGGTCAGCAAGACGAGTTGATGAGTGATAAGTAGGTGCCTGCAGGTGTGAGGCCACCTTCTATTTAACTCGTCTTGCTGACCAAATTGTTTGCCTGATGAAGGTCTAGTACTGAAATGTCGCAGCATTAAATTGATTCTTTTTTCTGCAAGTTGAAAGTGGAAAAAAGAAAGAAAACAGAAAGAATTCCTTCATTTAAATATCAACCTGAAATGTATCTGCATTTATTGACTTCCCTCAAAATCAGTTTGCAGGGTTCCTACCCAAGCATGGAAAGTATGGAATAAATTTGATCAATTTGAAAAAAAAAAAATCAAAAAAAAAAAAAAGACAAATTAACTATGGAAAAATATGTATGTTTCCAGACTATTAACATGGTTCTAAAATAGAAAAGTAGGTATTTCCAAAAACAATTCTAAAAATTAGGGTATGGAAATTCCAATTGTGTAGGAACCCCGAGTTTGTGATACATGTTGTCATGCCACAGTGGAGCAGGTACCCCACTCGGATGGTGACACCAGAAACACTGTGGAGCTCAGTGAGACGGCTGAAAATCACTGTTACTGGGAGGAGATTAAGGGCAACGGCAGCAAACTCTACAGGAATGTCGTCACCCACAGGTACCTCGGTGAGTCCGCACAAAAATCTGCCATGAACAGAAACAGCATGTATGTGAAAAATGACTTTATTCAATGAAGCAAAATAGTCTTCATACCGCAAACTAGAAAAAAGAGCAATGCTGGTTTACAACTGTTAACTCTCTTTGGGACAGGGTTCAAGTCCAGCAGTAACCAGGTCTGCACTGAGACAAGTCCATCTGTGACCGAGGAGTGGCTCATGTTTGTGGATCAGACAGACCAGAGCCACCAGAGAGCCGTCATCATCAAGAACAGACACTCAGGGAAGTTCCTGGCGGTCCAGGATGGCTGCTTCATAGGACTGATGTCATACAATGAGGACTGCAAGTGGTTTTTAGAATAAAGACCGGCAACTGATGTTCATAATAGGATGTGGGTCAGTCAATGACATGTTAGTCAAGGCAAAGTTTCTCTGATGGAAACAGCAGTTAAAGGCCAGACTTGGATGGATGTATGTACAACTGGAGGGTTGGGGGTAATTACCGCAGCATGGGGAATTAATGTAAAAAACAAAAAATAAGAAAAACTAAAATTAGAACAACAACAAAAAAAAAAACCATAATTAGAATCGTTTTCTCTTCAGGATTTCTGGCTTCCAGTTGACTGGATGGCTTTCTTCCGTCTGAAAAACAAAAAAAGAAAAGAAGCGTCAAAGTATCTGTTTCTGCCTGGAAACTACATGCCATGTCAGTACCGAGAGAGAAACTTTGCTGTGGTACAAAGAGTGATACTAATAAAATAATCTAAAAAGGCAAGAGAATACAGGAATAGAAACTAGAAACTTCCCAAGTATTTAACTTCTCAATTCCAAGTATTTAGAGCACAGAAACAGAGATCACACCTTTAAATCATCAAGATGTGAGACATGTGAGCGAAGGTGTTTAAGTCTACTTAAAATAAAGCCCTTCAACTTACAGCTGTGTCGTCCTCTCTGTACACTTTGATGGTTTTGTCAGCCTCTGCAGTGATCAGTCTGCTTTGCGAGTTGTCGAACATGCAGGCGAAGATTCCTGACTCGCTGTCCAGAGACCCCGGCTGCACGGCTGCGTGAATCCGCTGGAAGTTGTAGCCTGTCCTCCAATCCCACATGTGGATGGTGCCATTGTCAGCTGCACAGAGGGTGGAGAGGACTGTGATGCACCGTGGCCTCTCACATGAAAAAAATATCTGCCTTAAAAACATATTTAAAATAGTTCTATACCTCCAGACACCAACACGCCATCAGAATTGACAGCCAGGGTGTTGATGATGGCGTTATGGCCTGACAGATTTTGGATAAAGCTGCCGTCAGGGAACATCCACTGTTTGATGTTATCAGCAGAACCGGAGGCAAAGGTGTATCTGCAAACACAGGGGATGACACACAGCATGATTAACACACTGTATAACAGATTTGAACAGGAGTGTTTTTAAATGATACATGATTGGTTAAACAAGCCCAAACAAGCTTTTACTGTAAAAAAATGAAACAGAGACCAGAAAAGAACAAATACTCAAATTTCTGAAAATGAACCAAAACCAAGAAACACCAAATGTATATATGAGGAGACCAGCAAATTGGTTTAATAATGCAATCAACTTCAGAATCATTTCAGGCCTTGGCTTCTCTACTATAACAAACAAACAAATAAATAAAAACCAAAACTAACAATTAACGCTAACGTTAGGTGACTGAAGTAACTTACTGTCGGGGGTGCAGCACAATAGTTCGGACAGACTTCTTGTGGTTGGTCAGAGTTGCTCTTGTTTTTCCAGCTATCAAATCCCACAGTCTGATAGTCGAGTCGTGGCTGCCTGCAAAAAAGTTCATCAGTTGTCAGCTGGGATCAGAATTTGGAGACCAAAACGCCGTCTACAGTTTGAAGACTTCATGATGACACAGAATCATCTCTTTGGCATTCTTCAGAATGTGACAGGTTTTTCACTTACCGGTGATGATTTGAGGTTCTGCAGCCTGACATCTCACTGTGGCCACCGTGTTTGTGTGGCCGGTGAGCGTGTGCACATTCGCTTTGGTCCTGATGTCCCACACCTGCAAACAGGGTCAAGATGGAGGACATTTTATTCATTAAACTTACTGAGGTCATTTTCTTTTTGTTCCCTGAGGGCTGTGGGGGTTATTACTTTACAGATAACAACATCTGACAGTCAAATTTTAGCACTTCTTGTACAGCAAATTAAAAGATCAACCCCTTGCCAACCATGAAAAGGCAGATGGCAGATGAGACTATACACCACTCAAAAGAAAGTCCTTTAATGTGAATCTCAGTTTATTTACATTCTTAACATTGGTGAAGGATGTATGTAAAGGTGAGAAAATAGCATTCGATCCTGTCCTGTCAATCATACTTTTAGTATCCAACAGGAAAATTATAAGCTTACCCTCGCTGTGGCGTCTCTGCTGCACGTCACCAGCACATCAATGGTTGGATGCAGGTCTAAATCGTACACAGCACTGAGGTGACCATGGTAATGTCTGATGACCTAAAACAAGGACCAACATTGTCAAGAAAACCCAGAATTTGTATCTTAAATGCTTAAGTAACTCTGTCACATTGACCCTCCTGTAGATACACAGTCATACCTTATTATACTCCAGATCCCAACACTTGACCTGCTTGTCTTCTCCACAGGAGAACAGGTACGGGCTGCGACTGCTGACTGCCACACCACGCACTGTGCTGATGTGTCCGGTGAGAGAGAGCTTCAGTTTCCCACTGGCCAGATCCCAGATCTATTGAAACACACACAGTCCGTAAGACATCAGAGCATTTAGAGAGCAAGTTCCTTCACTGAGTCAGTCTACTGAGGTACAGAGATGCAGTAATCAGAGCTGCGGATGAGGACACAACAAAAGCCATGTCGACTTTGATTGCAGGTTCACATGAAAATGCATCTTAGTGGCATCAGGATTACACTGCTATAGATCACTCTGGCATAAATTAAGTTATCATAAAAACAATAAACTGAAATGGATGAGAGGGATGATTAATTGAGAGTAGAAGATGTTTTTTAACAGGTGAGGGTGGGGTTAAAATAAAATCAGTTTTATTACGTTGAAATTCTGTTTAAAAAGTGAGTCAGTAAAACATAAAGCACTCATCGTCACACACAAAATTTGCAGAAAAACCTGCCCCGTGCAAAAACCCTCACACTCCTCCTGACACCGTAATTCTACACTCATTTGTTTTTGTGGAAAGCAAAAAACACACTGATACAGCGATATCACAATGTGACAAAAGGTGGTTGAAAAAAATTAAGTATCTGTATCTGATTTTATGTGATTTGTGCTGTTCACATCATCGTAACAAATACAGATCCCAGTCCCATACATTAGATTTGCATCACTTTTTCCTACAGCGTGAACACTGCCTAGGAAACACCTCAAAGTTTGTGTTATTTTCTGCTTTACTCACCTTTATGGTTCTGTCAGCAGACCCAGTGACAAACCACTGATTCCCTGGCTCCACCGCGATGGATCTCACCCAACCAAGATGACCACTGATGACCTATCAGACAAAATACACTGGTTAAAACTAAAACACAGGCATCTGTCTGAAAATAAGGACCCATCAAGAAAGCTCAATACAGCACCGCGACAGGGCTCGACAGTGTGACCATTTCACTCGCATTTGCGACTAAATATAGATGTTTGCGAATTGTACAATGTATTTAGGGGCACATGTGTGCATAAAAAAAAATCGTCCGAGGCAACAAAGGTTTTTCATGTAAATACCGTGAAGAAGTTAGTTTTAGGTTGGATATTCGACAGACATTCACTGTGCAGCTCTACTGGTGTCTTCTCACTGTCCAGAACCGGGAATAGAAATAACAGCGTGGTTAAATCTACTCAGCACCCTCGCTGTCAACGTCAGGCGTTGAATAAGGGACCATCAATAAATTATCGGTTGATGTTCTCAAGAGGCAAATTTTGAACATTTTCTTCAATAGCTTCCATGTCATGTGACCAAAAGACCTAAAATTGATTTCAAATAATAGTACTTATGTTGACCATCAAGACACGCATTATTTGATCAATTTTCATTGAGCCCCTAAAGCACATGTGCTCCTTGTGAAAAAAGTTAGTGTCAAGTCCTGAGCAGTTAGAATATGTTGAACATACCCTGAACAGTTTCCATGGAGGATGCCACTGAGGTTTGGGCATGGTTGGTGCCTTCCTCATTAGCGATGTATTTCTGGTGCCGCCTCCCTCCAGGAGTGACTGAAATATAACATTCACTATCAGAACTGAAATCCTCACAGAGATTTTATAACACAGAGTTAAAGTGGTGATAGACTGAGAGTTACCACAGCTGAGGACTGGGGGTGAGATCTTTCAGCTCCTCCTGCATGTCGATGGATGTCAGCCACACTGGCTGCTGTGCGACTTGCATCCTGTCTGATAATTTTAAAGCAAAACAAATTCACTACCTATAACTTACTTCAAACCAAGTTACTAATTCTGAAGATCATGAAAAATCTTTACCTGGTCTGCGAGGGCGGCAAAGCAAGTGCCATGGAATGGACTCCTGCTTCGCTTGGGTTCCTGTGCAACTTTGTGTCTGCAGTCAGACCCACCCCTGTTGGGAGAAAATGACTGATGTTTACAGTAGAACAAAGAAGCAGCTCAGCGACTGGGTCTTCTTGACCAAAAAACAGCATTGGTGTTTTTGGTGTTACTGAACTTACCAGGTCCAGATGGATAAGCATGTGTCCCTGTGATTAGGTATTCTGGATCGTCCCCTGAAAGACATCCCACATGAGTCTCACTGTCTCAATTGTCTTTACACCGTTTAAGTTGTTTGCTTTTATTATGAAGCCTGAGCCTTAAAGGGATACTCCGGCGTAAAATCAATTTAGGATCAAACAAACCGCAACACTGAGTTAGACACCTCCTCGAGAGATAAATGTTGCCGACTGCTTGCTTCTCTAGTTATACCAACTTTAGTAACAACCGCACAAGAGCAATACACAGCGCTCTGAGGAGCCTTAAACAAACCTCAACCAAAACGCCACTCAATAACCACAAATAATGCTCAGAACAGCACCTTGCTTCATCAACAGTACATAAAGGGTCCTAGACACAGCACTATCCACCAAACATCTTTTTAGCTTTGCCTGATTTCTTCAGCAAAGAGACTAAATACAACTCACCTACTCTCTTCCAGCAGCCACTTGTTTGTAGCAAGATCTCGAGCCAATCCATTACAGACTGCTGCGGGGTGACGCAGCTCAAGGAACAACATTTATGATCACTTCTTTATCATTTCCTTGAAGTAATAATCACCATTTAGCACTGCAGACGCGGTAGTTCTTCTGCCTTAGCGTCTGGGTCTGATTGCATTTCCATGAAGAAATAATCATAAATGTTCTTCCTTGAGTTGCGTCACTCCGCTGCAGTCTGTAATGGACTGGCCTGAGGTCTCGCTACAATCAAGCGGCTGCTGGAAGAGAGTAGGTGAGATGTGTTTAGTGTCTTTGCGAAAGAAATTAGGCAAAGTTAAAAAGATGTTTGGTGGCTAGGACCCTATATGTACTGTTGATGAAGTTAGGTGCTGTTTTGAGCATTATTTGTGGCTATAGAGCGGCTCTCTGTATATTGCTATTGTGGGGTCGTTACTTAAGTTGGTTTAACTAGAGAAGCAAGCGGTCGGCAACATTCATCTCTTGGGCCGGTGTCTAACTCGGTGTTACAGTGTGTCTGACCCTAACTTAAATTTACACCAGAATACCCCTTCAAACGAAACAATAGCATATCTGTTTTCGTCTTAATTTCAGTGATATTACAGTGTTGACACAAACAGTGAAACATGCAGGGTTTACCTGACTGTGTATAGCCCTGAAGACCTTGCATGCCAAGGGGCTGTGAGAGTCTGTCTTTTCCTTCTTTCAGGACAGGCATGTGTAACACTGCACCGTAATCCGATTTTAGTTTCGCACCGACCTTTACCTTATAGCTGCAACGAAATTAGACAATAATGCATTTTTTTCTTTCCAGGAAAATAATGTGACTCTAAAACCCAACGTGCAGCTAAAACCTACTCCACTATATGGAGGCAAGGCCGAACCAGCAGTACTGCCATTTATTCTGTTAAATGTATTAAACTGTAGCCGGAGTTACCTCTCATCGTCCAGTGCGATGGATTTGGCGTGGTCGGATACAAACATATCATGGGTCCTTTTGAGGGACCTAAAGACCAGAGTGTGGACTGAGTGTTTCTGAACGTCCTGAAGAAAGAAAGACACACGTTAAAAAACTTTACATTTAAAAATGCAGAAAGCCTTTAAACATTTCGATACTCCTAATGTAAAACTGCACACAGAAAGTCGTACTCTGAACGTAACGCAACCCAGCAATTAGCCGGGGCCCGACACAACAGCTAAAGCGGGACGGTAAAGGCAGCCGGAAACGCCTCAAACTCTTAACCTACCTCAGTCATGTTGTTGATATATGCTCCGAAAATCCACAATAGCAGAAATATTCAGCTTTGGATGGTTATATTTTGGTCACACGAGATACAGATATCACAATCTTAGAAACATGCCCACAAACCAGACGACCGATAGCACCGGAAGTAAACAATGCTGACAGACGCTCGTGTACATCAGCGCCGCCTGTCGACCAGGAGGAGTATGTCAGCGCGATTAATTCGAACCATGATCCCCCCCAAAAAAAGAAACCAACGTAGAACTTAACAATTTTGGATTGTCTAACGCACAATATGACATTTTTCTATGACAAAATTTACGAAGATAATCACGAAATAATAGGAAATTTAAATGAGGGAATGAATATCACCTGCTGAGAGTAAATGTCGAAGCTCCGTGCCTTGTGTACCAGGCCATGTTTGTCTAACAGAGTTCACAGATTAATGGTTATGCAGCTCCCCAGAGCCAGAAAAATATACTGTCTGATGTTGCTGCAATGCGAGGGTTGCTATATCATGACATGTGATATTTAATCAATAGTCAGTGATCAGAAAAGCCAACTGAAGGTCAAAATCTTTCAAACTACAAATATAATTGGTCTTGGGCCTCTGTAGGATCAAAACAAAAAAGGGCACATTATATACAAAACGACTCAAAAAAGGCTGGATCTGAAAAGTAAAGGCCCTTTGCACAACAACCTCACTTGCTAAACTGTGCAAGAGCACGAGTCATTTTACAAAATCATTTACAAGAAGCCAGGAGGAATTTGGACTCCACATGTGATTACTAAGGTGGGTGATGCAAGGGGACAAGCACAACCAGTGCTCATAACAGAGTAAATAAACTGTCAAAGTGTGGATCAAAATAAACATAGCGACTGTGACATCTTGATAAGAACAATGTGAAAAAAATGGGTCATGAAAGGGCGTTGGGGTCCAGTTTAATCCCGAAAATCTGACTTTGCAAATATTGCACTTATTCTCAGAAGTCAAGGTTCGTACTGAACGTGCTTTCCTGGAGTCGGCCCATGAAAAGATAGGGCTGGGGGTGTTTATTTACCCACCTAACAAAGCTGAGCTAGTCAGAGTGGCTGTTGAGTTATAGTGAGAAAATAAGAACAGTTGTTAAATGGGTAACGAATCAGAGTCAGACTTAAAAGACAAAATAATCTGGGAATAAAGACATATAAAACTGTACAAAATGTTAGGATTTCTTATTTTTACTTTGTTCGGATTAACTAGAGGAAAAGAAAAAAAACTCAGCATCTTGGTTTTAGAAATTGAATAACGTAGAAGAATTTAGAAGCTGTCTAAGGTTCACCACCCTGTTTATTATTTATCATTTATAAGTTTAACGCGTATCATCCCTATAGAGAACAGAGTTCAGCCTCACTTGGTTAACACTACAGAAAATCCTATTTCTCAGTGTAATGCTTAGTTAGATGTTGGCTTTCCTTAAAATGCCTGAAAAGCCTGATGAATGTAGTAAGGGGTGCTTGTGTGGAAACATTTTCTCCTGTTTGTATTGAAAGTGCACCAAAAGTGTGGGTGAGCATGTTTCGTTTGATGTGATAAAAGCACAAACTGTGTCTACAGTGTGTTTGTTGTTATGTCTATAGAGCAGGCTTGTGCTAACATTTGCGTTTACGTTTTTTTTTTTTTTTTTACATGGATACTAAGCCAGTATTCAGTGCATTTCTAATATAAATGACAATGATAATATCAAATTTGCATCGATTGTGAAGGGCATGTTTGAAGGGGTGACAAGGCATGACCCAGACCCTTCTTGTTGAAATGTTTTGGCCACTCCAAAATTTCTAAACTAGGCTGTTTGCCTCAATGAACCCAGGACATGGGTTGAAAACAACTACTTAGGCTGTGCTACAACAGGCTGCATGGTAAAAAGCCCTCCACTGGTACTGTTCAGTAAACTTTAGTTATGAGGCCATAGAGTCCTCACCAATTATTGTTAAAGCTAAAGAAAGGTGCACATTCCTCTAGCACCCAAGCAATATTGGTTTGAAGCATATACTATACTGCTATACTATAATAGGGGTGTGTGTACTTTTTTTGTCCTTTGGGGGAATTCTGGTTTAAGATCTGTTTTCCTTTTGTGATTGCTGCAGCTTCTCTAACTTAGACTGTCTTCAGGTGAGACTGGACACACCTGAACTCTGTAAGGCTGTGATTAAGGCTGCAGGTAGCAGAGCATATGAGCTGAGTGAAATCAGCAGTCTGGGTGATGTGTGGCTGTGAGGACAGCCAGTTTTGTTGGACTTATGTTGGACAAATATATCATTTTTCTTCCTCTGCATTTTTGCAAAGCATTTAATTAATTGACATTTGTTTGTAATTTTTTTCCTTCCACTCACACTACTTACCATCTGAGAGTATAACAACTTTATTTTAATAAGCATGTTTATTCAAATAAATTAGTTGTCTTTTCTTATCTATTTTTCTGTTCAAGTCTCACATGAACAAAAACTGGGAATATTATTTTAACTGAATTATATTCAACCCTCAAAATTCATTTCCTATCATAAAACAGATCATGTTAAAATTCTTTCACAAAACTCAGCTATTGAGTACATCAAAAGTAATTAATAAATGTGATTTATAAGTCTAAAATGTCCAACAATCAGAAGGCTTGGTTCAAGCAGAATCACTGCACAATGCTGTTACACAACAATAACAATAACAGTAACAGCAAAAAAACTTAAAACATAAAGCATAGCCAAGCAAGCCTGTGGTGTGATTTAGTCCTGGGTCCAAATCCAGCTCAGGTAAAGTTGAGGAAGGATGAGGCAGGAAATAGAAGGTAGAGCAACAAACAACATGAATTTTTACAAAACCCTGAGAGGGCAGAGACCGGGAGGATAGAAAGAGAGAGAGAGAGAGAGAGAGAGAGAGAGAGAGAGAGAGAGAGAGAGAGAGAGAGAGAGAGAGAGAAATGGTAGAGTGAGGTAGAGGGAGGAACCAGGGGAGCCATCAGGGGCGCCTTTCATTTGGCCAATCAGAAACCTCCTTTCGTTTGGCCAATCAGAAACCTCCTTTCATTTGGCCAATCAGAAACCTCCTCAGCTTATTCAGCAAGCCAAAAAAACTTTCTTTTATTTAACAAACAAGATGACTCCTCCCAATCAGCCAATCAGATGCCTCCCTTCCTGAGGTTGATAAGCAGGCTCTTTCATATGGAGCAGAAGGCGACATTCTGTTGGCCAACTGGAGCTCTCCCCTCATTTAACTAATAAGAACCCAGCTGTTAAACAGCCAATAAGAGAGCTTATTTCAAACTAGATTAGAATACATCTTCCCATCTGTTAATCAGAAGGCTGCTTAAATTCAGCCAGTCAGGACACCCTCTTTAGGTTTATTGAACTTGGATTTGAAATTTGAGCGGGTACTCCTGCATGAGTCAGTGCCCCTGTTGGGTCAACTCAGGGGAGACAGTCTGGACACAACCCTGCACACTGTTACAGTACTTCTCATTTATGCTATCTGACCTCATGTAAAAAAGTAAGCACATGCCATGTGTTAATGGAGGATAGCGTTTATTTCAGGTGTTGCATTCGATCACATACAGGAGCACATTTCTGTTCACAGTTTGTGTTACAACCAAAGTTTTCCAGGTTTGATTCAGGCAGTATTTTGTTCTTGTTGTTTTTTTGCTTCTTACAATGTGCTTTTTATCTTGTGTAGACACTGTTTTTACAAAACAGCTGCTTTACAGACAGGCTCTTCACCATTCAGTCCAAACCAGGACTGCATAAAGAAGTGATGACAGATCCTAATATGTTAAGCCAAGACATTTATTATGTGCTCAAAACAACACTAAAGGACAGGTCACCCACACACTACACCAAGACACATCATGAAGTCTCAATTTCTCATAGAGGGACATTATTTTTGCTTAACTTGGTTTCAATGCTGTTGTGCTGAGTAACTTGATTGCCGACGAGCTTTTGAGTCTACTCTTTAAGAAAGTCCGCCGAACTGTTTGACCCCAGTCTGCTGTCCGCCACCTGCTGTCAGACGGCTGAGTGGGATGAGCTTCATGGTGGTCTCTTTGAGGGAGTACCAGCGGTTGTGCCATGTGACCCAAATGATACCATTGTCGAAGCCATGTTCACCTGCATCCTTCTCGGTGTATCTGCCACCTGGAATAAAGATAACAAAAAGGGTTAAGAATGAATTTTCATCTATGTGTATACTTGGGCGATGGCTTTTTCTCAAAGAATTTGGAGGCCAGTGGCTCATTTGTTGTAAAAATGTTATAATTAGGCTTTAAACCTGACCACGGACACACATTAACACTATTGAAAAGGTCTGGCCCTGGTTTTAGCCCTGTGGTCTTACCCGGGTAGTATTTTCCGTTCAAATGTGCAGCGTGACATCTGTTCATCCACCAGCCAGAGCCGTCCTGCTGAGCACAGTTGCCGTCGTACTTGTCGTTGTCCTTGTCGAATGTACTGAACAGCATGCCGTTGTGACTTGTGTAGAACTTGTCACTGGGATCGTCGCCGAAATCAAAGCCGTCGAAAGCATCCCCAGCATCACCACCGAGGTAGTATCCGTAGGTTAAACGATAGTTGTCCGCCTCTGGCCCCACTCTGAACATGGTGTAGTCAGCATATCTGGAAAAAAAACTCAAATGTTAGTTTGTTGTATCCCCTGCTGAACCTTATCCTCAGGGTCATGTTTGCCTTGGCGCTGAGTCCTTTTGCTTCCCTCTTACATAATTTGTTATATTTGGTTGTGTGTACGTACTTTTTGTTGCCGTCCCAGTCAACAAGCTCTATCCTCAGCACAGTTGGGATGGTCGTTCCAAGTGTAAGAAGATGGATCTTCTCGTTTCCAAGCCAGAACTCAGTGGTGTCGTCTGGTGAGAGGTAGCCAAAGCCGTTCTTGTATTGTATCCAGTCTTTGTGGAAGTCAACGCTGCCATCGCGTCTCTGAAAAAGTGAAAAATAATTTACGTTATATTTAAAGATTTTCACTGCTTTTTCGGCAGGAAATAACTCTTATCTTTGAATGCCATGCTGAGAATGGTAGTTCTCTAAGGGAATGTATAAATGTTGCTTGAGGGACCTGGGACTGGAATAAGGTTGGAGATATGGCCTGTGCTTCAAACTTGTAAATATGTATTTAAATCATCCTCTTTCCCTACATTACGCCTGTTTGCACACCAACACTAAAGACTGGTTTTCTTCAAACCAAATAATTTTGAGCAATATGGGGGGTTCCTGTGTGGTTTTCAACTCCGAAAGATGGCTGTATCAATTTTAGCTTAACTGTCCGATTATGGGAATTCACCCACAGCCCCTTGTTGTAACATCTGTATATTGCTTCGCTGACAGAAAAATATAAGACCTTTATTTTAGTATTTATCTTCTTCAGTTGTCAAATAATTAAAAGGGTTTGTCTACTCTAAAATAAAGACAATTCAGAGTGTTTTTCTTGATAATCAATGTGAGGCATACCCTCTGGATTACTGTGAAACCTCGTCCAAAGTTGTCAATCTCACAGTAAACAAGGAACTGCTCGGGAGCTTGAGCTGGTTTAATATAGTACAGACCGTTGGTGGTGGCCCCCTTGTTTGCAACATCCTGACAGTCTGATGATCAAAAATGACAAGAGAAAAAAGAGAAATTCTCACATTATTGGATAAAAATTTTAAAGTTAGGAAACATTTGTTTACATGTGTTTAAATCAAAAGGTGGTACACAACTTTTTTGAAATACAACCACAGCTGATTATATCTTGGATTAGCGTGTTTACTCTGTGATGATGGGTTGTATTGATTTTAGTCTAACTAAACACTGACCAAGGACAAATGTTGTTCAGATGAGTTACTGTTGGGAAACTTCTTGTGAAACGTAGACTGGCCTTAAGGTCATGATCTTTTTTTTTTGTACCTGTTCCAGTGATGGGCTGGATCTCCACACTGTCTTTGCAGGGCTCCTGGCATCTCTGCTGCAGCTGGACAGACAGTTGTTTCAATTCTGCCATTCTCCTTTCATTGGACGAGATTAAATTTTGCAGCTCGCTGAAAAATGGAGAACAAAGATGAGTTATACTAGCTGTGTACACCTTGATTAATCTCCTGGTTCGTTACACACTGAGGAGCACAAATTAAGGATGCTAATTTCAGCTTAAAATCGATTTTTGAAAACAAAAGTTATTATAAAGAGAATAATAGTGGAATTAAATGTAGAAAAGAGATCTGCAATGTGGTTTATGGGTACATTTTTAAATGTTAGGGGTTTGTCTGAGTCCCAATGTAAACGAGATAAAGGGAAGTGGGCGGCAAAACACCCAGAATTTGATCAGTCTGAACTGTGTGGGTGAGCAGTGTGGGTGTAGAGTGACCTGAATGCATGGGGGGCTGGGAGCAGGAAAGGTTATTTATTTATGAAGAAGGACACATTACATAACTCCATTGGAAGTTGTACAGTAGGTAACTGTAAGTCAAAAACTGTGAGCTCTAGTTTGAGAAGATTATTTTTGTTATGCTGTCACAAGCAGTTCTGCACGTTTAAATCACACCATAAAAACTTTCAGCCAAAGAAATGTTATTGATTTACTCCTGATAAAAAGAGGTCTCATAAGACTGAAAATGGGCCACATTCAGCTGACAAAAATCTCATTTAAAGGCATTATGAGCCAAAATTAAAACCTGGGGTGGGGTAAGCAGAATGTACTGATTAATTTTCTTGGGATAAATACGATGCCATAATTTAAGATACAACCTAGTGAATTTTGCAGACTCATCATCAGTTGTTTCGTTATTACAATCAATGCAGGTCTTATTTATGGTTTCTAATGTTTTGAAATGTGGTGTGTATCTGAGCTTTTTAGGCAAATGCATTTATTTTTAATCAAACAAGACTCTTTAAAAGTAGAATTTACACATAACTCTTGTGTAGTTTTGAATTTTGGCAGTGTAGCAGCTGATATAATACAAATGTTATATATCTGCATTTAAGATTTGCGATTGCATTTCCACGACTATCAAACAAAAGTTAAAACTCCTGTGAGGAACTAAGTTTGAGCCAATCTTGTCCTTTATTCAAATTTGTCATTAGGATTTGTTAGCACTGTTTTCTTTTCTTATTTTTCATCTCTTAAGTTAAATGAAAGCTATTTCAGTAATAAGAATTCACTCACTTTCAATGGCAGCAGGGGTTTCAAGCATTTTAAATTACAGTGTAAAAATGTTTGCTCTTGTTGCTGATGGCCTAGTTTGCGTTTGTGGCTCATTATTTTTGATCATCTGTCACAAAACCGGCCAAAAAAACTCTTCACAGGAACTCTCAGATCAGCACATCAGTAAATACGTTGAACAGCTCGGTATTTAGGGATTTATGTCAGGTGTTATAACTACATTGCAGATGAAAACTTACAATATTTGCTGTTCCTGTGTGAGGATGGTCTTCTCAAACCGCAGCACATCGTCCAGCATACCGGTTGATTTTCTGAAGTATGGGTCTGAAATCAAAAGTTATTTAGAGTCATGATTTTGACACAGTTACACAACATTCAAAGTCAAGTCAATCAGCTATGACTCAGACTTGGAGCAGGTGGACACTTTTGTGAAATGATTTTAAAGTACAGACCACAGAGAGGTCCAGGGACAAGATGGTCCCACATTGAAGTTCTTACCTACAGGGGATTGTTTTTGAGCTGAAGTTGTAGAGTCTTTCATGTAGATGACTGTTTCTTCAGCCCCCTGAGTCAAATTGGCTATGTTTTCCAGTTCGTCTAGCATTTTATCTATATCGTCGTCCACCTTTGGAATATATCTCAGCAAGTAATCCGCTACTCCACACGTTGTAGGACAGTACTTCCCCTGTACACAGTGAAGGCAAGGGATAAAAATTGTATGTTTAAAAGGTATTAGGAACTGATGCCATTTTTGCTTAAACTGTCAGTGCACACTTACAAAGCCATCGTTTGGATTGCAATTGGCGGAGTTGACGAGGTTGTCTCCTCGTATTTGCTACACACACGAAAAAAGGAGAAAAAAGAGGTTTGAGTTTTGCATTCAAGAAAACTGTCTCAGTGTTGGATCTGAAGTCTTTGACTTACTGCTGATGAGATAGAGAAAAGTAACAGAAGTCCTCCTGCTGCTGCAAGAAGTGATTGAGCCATGTTGCCTCGGCCACCAGCTGTGGTCTTGCCCTCTTGAAAAATGAAGTGCAGCTTGCCTCAGCGGGATATTTATCCGAACAAGGTCCTGAGTTCAGAGTTTGATAAGGGATTCATGCGCAAACATCCCACTCACTGTGCTGGGACAAAGCTATGACTCAAACGTCCGTCAGCGGTCATTTCCCGAAATGATGAAATCTCTTATTGGCATTTAAGTGGAGCACAAAACTGTTCAGTTTTATGTGACTTAATTTCTTGGATTGGATATTTGTCTAACCTAGTGTCTGATTGATGACAAAGCAGATCAATAAATGCTGACTCACACAAAACATCACTGCTATTTCCATCAAGTGCATGGTGGATCTTTAATCAAACAGGACTTATTCCAGGAAAGGTCAGGTAGAATCAGAGCAAAATAACTTAAAATCACCAAATGATCTAAATTGAAGGCAAAAAGATGTGCCTGAAAAACCTGGATGATCAAGTTGTTTGTGAAACAGGAACATAATTCCACAGAAAACACTCAGTTTAATCTGGCAGACAGAACTTTATCATAGGCTTCAATGTGACCCTGAGAGTATGGAAGCCAAATGCTGCCAAAAAGGAAACAAAACAGAGGAATTTATTAAAAGAAAAAAATAGAAGCGGTCTCAGAGTAACAAAAGAGATGGATGAAGACTAAAACTTGGGAGGCAGTAGCTTAGGAGGTAGAGCGGTTGTCCAACAACTGGAAGGTTGGTGTCTCAATTTCCCACTTTCCCCAGTATGTCCATTGTGTTCTGGGCAAGACACTTAACCGACCTTGCTCCCAGTGTGTGTCCTCCGCTGGTGTATGATTTGTATGTACGTCGCTTTGGATGGAAGTGTTGCTAAATGACATTGTAATTTGTAATTGTGAAAAAAAAAGGACCCTGATGGAATTCTAATAAACATCTTCACCTGCCCACTTTACATGATCATACCTAATACACAACAAACAGCAGGTGTCAACAGGCTGGGGTAAAATGTGCCATAGCCCCTATATAGGGACTGATTTGACTTTTTTGTATACATTGCAAGGGTCCAATGTTCTATCATCTCACAAACTGTATGGTTTATCACATTTACCTCACCTTAATTTGGATTAATTTGTCTTTTTCCTTTAAATTTTATGTAACTGAGCACTTTGTGTTATGCTTTATTCTGTGTCACATTTCTGTATTCAGAGATTCTGAAATAGTTTTTTTGAGTTCTAATTTGACCCCAATTAATCTTATACCATCAAAAGAAAATAAGACAATAATTTTAGTGCACATAAATTGCTCCATTTTTCTTTTTCTTCCAAATATTGTTCTCTTACTATGACCAGTATGTTTCCTTGCCTTGACAAAGAGGGAAATTTTTTTTTTAACCATTTTATCTCCTCATCTTTAATTAAGTTGACGGTCCAAATTCTAATGACACATTCAAAGTTTATTTTTTCCCCAATAATCACCTGTTACCTCTTTTTATTTTATTTATTTATTTTTGCCATTTTCACTCCTTTACAGTCACTCTTTTTTTTCCATTTTCATTGACCAAAATAGGCTTCCATACAAATTTATTAGGACATTTAGTTAATGGTAATAAATCCCTTTCTTCTTTGGAAACTGCTGTTTAAGACTGGTTTGACCTCTTATTTGAAACTTAGCTGCACTTCCACATGAAACCACTAGTTGGAGTGGAAGCATACCAAACCTGGCACCCACCCACACATACCTTAAAATCAATGAACACACTTCCAAAGCACAGACTTAAATCATTTTTATTTTATGTTTTGAATGGAGTTATGACTTTTCTGCTTAGGAGAAAATAAATCTGCTACATAGAAAATACTTGTGGCCAAGACTGGACTAGAGAAGAAAGGCTAGAAAGGCTAAAGAAATTACTTTATTTTAAATAACATGCTTGGTAGAAAATAGTTAATAATTTAGTCTCAATATCACATTTTTAAGAGATTGATTCATGGGAAAATGTAGATTTTGCATGCCAGAAAGTAAGAGGTATTAATTGGATTCTCACAGTCAGCTGGAAATCAGCTTTAGCATATTTTTCTGAGAGGTACAGGTTGAGATTTCCACACAGGGTGCACACAAACACATGTACAGCTAAGCTTTTGTCAACAGCTTTGGAGCTGGAAAACTCTTGCACATGACGGACCCATGAGCAAGAAAGAGGAACTAAGGTTGTTTATTTTCCAGCATCAATAATAATGTACGAGAAAACCATGACAGAACTATTATAATCTTCTTTGTCAAACATTAAAAAAGTCAAATACTGCTCTTGATAAGGGAGTCATCTCCACACATGTACTGTACATTAGTGGTATACACTTAACCTGGAGCATCTCTCAAGCAGTTGTGCTCCCACTTTAAATGTAGATAAATTTAGATCCAGTTTTTGGCTGTGTTTCACTTACCTTTATGAATTGTGGAGTCCCTCAGAGGTCAATACTGGTGCCTTTGTTATTTTAACTTGACATACTTTTTGAAGCTTTCCTTAAGGAGTCTTTAGCTGGGTATGAAGCAGACTAAAATTTATAAAAATGCCCTTACCATGTACAAAAACAAACTAAAATACAAATATGATTAGGAAGTTTGACAGCTTTTAAATGCTGCTGCGAGGTGAGAGGATGACACGGCCAGTTACAATGAACTCTGCCTTCAAACTGACAAAAATATAAGATTTATTGTGAGAAAACATTATTTACAGATGCAAAAACCACCAAAGAAATAATAGGTTCCACTTCATCTTAAGGGAATATTAAAATCAACACAAATTGAAAGGTCCTGACAGGAGGGGTAAACTTGATTTATGTTACTTTTAGAAAATGTTTCTGTTGTAGATAATGTTTTTTAGGTGGTCTTATTTAGTCCTTATGTATTCTATCACTCATTTATTTTAATTATTTATCCACCATGAGTTCTTTGTTTTATTCTTTATTGAATTCTTCACAAATGAACTGTAGATCATCATTGTGAACGAGTTCACCTTTTTTGATTCACTGATTGAGGGCAGTTTGCAATCGTTTACATCACTTTATTAGGGTCTTATTGCTCCAATATTTCAATGCTGTTCAGTTGGTGATAACATTTGTTTAGTGAGTGTTCCTCTGGCTGCGTCAGGACATCACACCTCTTTTTATTACATAAAACAAATATTGCAGGTACATGCAACAGTAAAGCAGAATATGACTTTATATGTGGGCCTCATGTTGACATTAGATAATAAATCTGTCCTTAACTACCTCTGTGTGACCTCGTTTTATTATGTGGAGAGAAACAGACCCAGGATGGGTATGAAGCCTCGCTGACCTGAGAATGAACTGCCAGGCCCATGAACCTAAACAGAGATGAACTCTCGCTGAACTGGCCTCTTTGTGTCGAAACACCAGATGGAAAGTGTCTCTTTCTCTCCCTAAGTGCCATGAAGACTTTGGCACTCTGTCTAGTAGCCGTGTCCAGGATGTTAACATGTGGATAAACTGTTGCTGTTATTGATGTATTGGGACTTCACCAGGATGCAAAGCACCAAAAAAAAAAAAAAAAATCAAGTCTCTTTTATTAGAGGTGGCAGCTAAATTTCTCAGATGTTTCCCCTGTCATTCAAGCTTTGCCAGTATCTTGCTGAATCATTGCTTTTTTCCTGAAAAAACAGGAGAAATGTTTGTAATCAACTTAAGAGAAACAAAGTCAGCATAGTTCACAGGTGGCCTGACCAGGTATTAAATTTAAAGAGCCTTGTTAGGGTCACTCACTGGCCTCAAGTATAAGTATGGAACCATTTGACGGTGGTGTAAATCTCCCTGGACAGAGGCCAAAGGTTTGTTATAATGCTTTCTCTGGGTTCAACCTGTGGTCACAGACGGTAAGTCGACTCAGCTGAATGTGAATGTGAAAATAAAAACATGCTTAGAGCTAGTTTCAACATACACTTTTTAATAACTTAATCATCATATAGGAAAATTGCCCAAAGGATGTCCAAGTTTCTATAAGCAACCCACTTGACCTAGATTTTGTCCTTTTTAATATCAGCTCTGACATATAGTTTATTACACCCTGATATGCTTTCACGTTTATCTGCAAACTTCCCAGTAAGATGAGGATTTATTGGGAACAACAGCTGGGCTTTAATGGCAGGTCACATCATTTATGTTATCATTTAATTCTTCAAAGGTACAGAGATGCATTAGCTAGCACATCGCCCGTAGAGACAATGATTATGCTGTTGGGTTTTAATAGAAATGACTCATTTTTCATGTCTTTGAGACAGAAAATAGCCCCAAACTAACCAGTCAATTCAAATGTAATGAATGAAACAAATGTATTAGGTAAAAAGGATTCCTGTTTATTTATGGCATATTGTCCAACATTTGGTATTCCTGTCTTTAAAGTTGGATGACTCTCTGTGTATTTATTTCCACACATTTATTAGGCCGAAAAGTTCCTGCTATTACATTTGATTGATTGGGAGAAATGGGGGCTATTGGAATTCAGCAGCTCAATCCCTTCTTAACATTGGTAATTGTTGTATTACTCCCATTCAGAAGCCATACTACTCTGGATGTTCATTCGCTCACACAGTCACACTTTGGTGGTGGTGGAAACGTGGCTGCCATTCTGCGCCTACGGCCTCTCCGACCACCACCACACAACACTCACAATCATACACCAGTGGAGGACACACACTGGGAGCAAGGTGGGTTAAGTGTCTTGCCCAAGGACACAACGGACAGACTTGGATTAGGGGGGAATCGAACCGCCAACCTTCCGGTCATTGGACGACCGCTCTACCTCCTGAGCTACTCCCATTCAGAAGCCATACTACTCTGGATGTTATGCTCAGATTCAGTTTTGTGGTCTGTTTAATTGTTTATATGGCTTCAAGGCTTTACATCTGAACAACTAAACTCTCCCATGATTGTGCAGCCAACTCAGTCTTCCAATTAAAACCTATTGGCTCTGAATACCAAGCCTAATACCAAAGACAACCGCCCTCTTACTGTCAAAGCTCCCACTTCATGAGACAATCAGCCTCCTCTCCTCAGAACAGCTCAGGAAAAACACATTTTTAATTTAGATTTCCTTTAATTGCAACTGTGATGACTGGTTGTTGTCAACATGCAGCATTAAGGTCAAATCAGCAACCAGAGCTACAGGCACTATAACCTCTGTATGGCACAGTTTTAAGACTCATGTTCAAACAACATCCCATCAGTGAGAAGTTTTATGAATCTTTTATGACTGTAGAGTGGACGTACTGTCCTTCTCTATATCTTACTTTGACTAATAACATTATAATCATGTAGCAGTTTCTCACTTTGAGTCAGGAAGGATGTGAAAAATACCACACAATGTCCTCAAGTACATCATAAAGAACTTCACCAACACATTTTTCTACTTTATTTTGAATCTATTTTTGCTAAACTGCACTAGTAGTTATTGATAATCACTATGCATAACAAAGCTTCAACATAAATAGTATTTTTCAAATAATGATGCACTCTTACAGACTGAATAACAAACTACAGGATGCTGCCAAAACATAAAACCAAGGATATTAGTAGTCTACCTACATAAAGGAACATTGTAAAACTGGTTAGTTAATTAAAAGGTAGAGTGGGTAGTATTTAATGGCATTTAGAAGAATGGACTTGATAGAAACTGAATATTGATATTCAATATTCAGTCTGTATTCAAACCACTATATATGACCAAACCATTTTTATGCTCTGCACCTTTAATGCTCCTATGAGGAACTGGGGCAATCTTGATGTCCCCCCGTGGAGCCATGGCTTTGCTGATTTTGTATTGTACGTGTAGTCATTGTAAAAGAATTCCAACCTGTTTTGTTTCTTTAGGTAAACATGTGACCTATTGATGATATTTGCCCCCAAAGAGTTAAAACAAATAAAAACAGCCAAGGAGGCATTTAATTCTGACGACTGGCACTTACCCTTCACCAGCGGTTTGAAAACAATCTTAGTGGAAATACATCATCTTTACGCCAATGGGCTTGTTGTCTCTTGTGAATCACAAGGAGACATTCATTTTGGTCTAGTTCATTATTAGTTAAAATCACTTAAAAAGAGCTTTAATGGGTATTGTTATTTTTGACAATATGGCGAGAAATACTCCTGAACCAGATTTTTGAGAAACAAAAGTGGTACTTGAAAAAAGTGTTTTTATGGCGCAGTTTTAAATTTGAATAACAGAGTACGCTTGTTTATGGAGGAGCCCTGACAGGTCGATCACTGTGTGCAGTGGAGTTTCGCAGCTCAAAGAGGAACATTTATGATCATTACTTCATGAAAATGAAATCAGACCGAGACACTAAGGCAGAAGAACTACCGCATCTGCAGTGCAAAATGATTATAATGATGATTTTTACTTCATGAAAATGATCCGCTGCACTCGGTGATGGGCTCGTCAGGGCTCCCCTCACAAACAAGCGGCTGCTGGAGGAGAGTGGGTGAGTTGTGTTTAGTCTCTTTGCTAAATAAACCAGGCAAAGCTAAAAAGATGTTTAGTGGCTAGTGCTATGGCTGAGACCCTATATGTACTGTTGATGAAGTTGAGTGCTGTTCTGAGCATTATTTGTGGCTATAGAGTGGCGTTTTGCTTGAGGCATGGAGACATAGACCGCTGTGTATTGCTATCCTGCGGTCGTTGCTTACATTCGTTGCAACATTCATCTCTTGAGAGGGTGTCTAACTCGGTGTTAGGATGTGTTTGACCATAATTTAAATTTACTGTTTGAAACTGTTCCAGTTAAAAGTTTAAGAGTTGAACTGCATAGTCATAAATCAGACTCACTTCCTATAATGCAAGGTATGCATGCTTTGTAGGTCAACCCCTTTTTCTCATAGTCTGACAAAGCAGCTGCCAGACACTATTTATCCCTTTTGCAGGGTTTAACAAGGTCCCGAATTTAGGTCAGCAAATGTTCTGAAACCAGTGACACTGAATCAAACAGACCTCAGTGTTTCTCAAGGTTTTCTGGGTAAAAAGATATGGTTGAAGTTTACAGGATTATGGTAATCTGGTCAGAGGAATGTTCAATCTCATCATATGCTTCTTCAGGGAAGGTGCAGACTGACTGGCACAGCCTGCTTCTTCCCTGGAGCATGGACCCTGGAGTCATGATGGGACAGAACAGATTAGCCTCTGGGCATCAACAAAGTCCATCACACACAAATTCATTGTCTGAAAGTTAATCAGATTATTGGTCTAATTAGCGGTTTGTTTTGAGTCAACAAAAGGATAAACAAAAGTTGAGATGAGTTGAATTTTTGTACATTTATAGCTTTTTATTAAGATACACTTAGCAAATGAGTGATAAAATAGTTGAACAAGGTTTTCTTTTATCCATAAATAATGCATTTATGAAAGTGTTTGGAACTGAAAATGTTCAAGTTAGCGCTAAACTCAAACTGGAGGTTAATCAGCTTTATGGACTTGCTCGGTTTTGTTTTTCAAATTACAAACATGTCAAATGCTAATTAAACAATTCATTCTTAATTCACATTGCATAATTAAATCCTGAAACCCTGTGATTAATCCAGATTTGAATAATTGTTTATAAAAGCCCTTATTAATTCTGATGGTCACTCAGTGCAAACAGACAGTGCATTTGCAGATAAGTCTATATATATATATATATATATATATACACTCACCGGCCACTTTATTAGGTACACCATGCTAGTAACGGGTTGGACCCCCTTTTGCCTTCAGAACTGCCTCAATTCTTCGTGGCATAGATTCAACAAGGTGCTGGAAGCATTCCTCAGAGAGCTTGGTCCATATTGACATGATGGCATCACACAGTTGCCGCAGATTTGTCGGCTGCACATCCATGATGCGAATCTCCCGTTCCACCACATCCCAAAGATGCTCTATTGGATTGAGATCTGGTGACTGTGGAGGCCATTTGAGTACAGTGAACTCATTGTCATGTTCAAGAAACCAGTCTGAGATGATTCCAGCTTTATGACATGGCGCATTATCCTGCTGAAAGTAGCTATCAGAAGTTGGGTACATTGTGGTCATAAAGGGGATGGACATGGTCAGCAACAATACTCAGGTAGGCTGTGGCGTTGCAACGATGCTCAATTGGTACCAAGGGGCCCAAAGAGAGAGAGAAAATATTCCCCACACCATGACACCACCACCACCAGCCTGAACCGTTGATACAAGGCAGGATGAATCCATGCTTTCATGATGTTGACGCCAAATTCTGACCCTACCATCCGAATGTCGCAGCAGAAATCGAGACTCATCAGACCAGGCAACGTTTTTCCAATCTTCTATTGTCCAATTTCGATGAGCTTGTGCAAATTGTAGCCTCAGTTTCCTGTTCTTAGCTGAAAGGAGTGGCACCCAGCGTGGTCTTCTGCTGCTGTAGCCCATCTGCCTCAAAGTTCGACGTACTGTGCGTTCAGAGATGCTCTTCTGCCTACCTTGGTTGTAACAGGTGGTTATTTGAGTCACTGTTGCCTTTCTATCAGCTCGAACCAGTCTGGCCATTCTCCTCTGACCTCTGGCATCAACAAGGATTTTGTGCCCACAGAACTGCCGCTCACTGGATATTTTTTCTTTTTCGGACCATTCTCTGTAAACCCTAGAGATGGTTGTGCGTGAAAATCCCAGTAGATCAGCAGTTTCTGAAATACTCAGACCAGCCCTTCTGGCACCAACAACCATGCCACGTTCAAAGTCACTCAAATCACCTTTCTTCCCCATACTGATGCTCGGTTTGAACTGCAGGAGATTGTCTTGACCATGTCTACATGCCTAAATGCACTAAGTTGCCGCCATGTGATTGGCTGATTAGAAATTAAGTGTTAACGAGCAGTTGGACAGGTGTACCTAATAAAGTGGCCGGTGAGTGTATGTTACAGCTAAATGAGGCAATTTAACTGGACAACTGTTTACTGACAAAAGTATGTCCACTGACCGATCACATCACATACCAAAAAAATGGACACACAAGTTAGCATGAAGCTAACAATAAGAACATTTTTACTATGTACCAGCTTTGCCTTTTCCTGTCTTCTCCTTTGTTGTGGATTTGTTTACTACCTGGCCTCTGTCAACACATTTACGCTGTTTGACCTGCGGGTGAAAGACAGACGTTTGAGCTGTGATTCATGTACAAAATACCCAGGACCATTTGGGTTTGATCAGGGTGCGTACATGTAAGAGAAAATTGATGCCCAATGGCAGTATCTACATATTGTCACCCTATTAAAATAATGGCCTAAGTCATTTTTTGACGAAAATGAGTTTTTGGCCTAAATCATCTCTTGATAATGTTGGCCATCTCTGATAAAATCGCCTAAATCCTTAGTTGAAAGGATTATGGCATGATCCTCTTTTAGATGCAAAAAAGTAATTTTTTTAGTCACTTAAAGTTATAAAGTCATGAAAAGAAACTAATTTTGGTCAAAAAATGACTTAGGCCATTATAATAATAAGGTGAGGATATGTCAGTACAACCCAAAACAATCTAAACTGTGCAATTCCAGTCAGATCAACATGTTTACATTTATTGAAAAAGGTTTTTCTTTTTTTCATTATACTGTGTTTGTGAATTTGATGTAAATGGGTGAACGTGTAATGAAGCACAACAAGCACTTTAAGTGATCCTTAGACCTGAGAAAGCACCATATCGCTCTATTTACTTAACATCTGGAGCTACTGTCCGTTTGGTATTGGGTGCTAACAGTTAAAGGGGTCACTATTTTATTTTTCATCATAAAAAAAAATAAATTATAACGTTTTTAGTTGTAAATTGAAGGCCAGAAAGAGGGAGCAAACAACTTAAGACACTCCATATGGTTACAGGCTAACTACTGAGAAAGAATTGGGATAATTCCTGTGGGCTTTAACTATGGTGAACATCATACACATGGGAGAAACTGTGTCTATATACCTATACATTAGTGATGTTTTAAGAGTAAAAAACTCTGGTTTTGAGGACTCTGTTGATGTGACAGCTCTTTGTGTTACTGTGTTTGTGTTTACCAGTTTTAAACTTCAACAAAGTATTTTTCAGGACGTCTAAGTGAGAAAGTTCGCGGAAATTGTCGTTGCTGTAATAAAAATCCTACCAATCCACTTCCCTAATCTGCGGTTCATTCACTCTGCATGGTTTGCCTCACTCTACCATCCACAACATTTATTCATTAGTATCAGCTGACCCTCCTCTCCGCGGAAACTTAAAGGAAATATTCGGCTTAACCTCTGAAAAGAAAAAAAAAAAAGATGCTGAGGCGCCTGAAGGAGTGTGCGCACGTGCGCCAAGTGACTCGTGTCCAATCGTGTCCAGGATTTCCTCCGCGCACTCTCTCCTCCTCGTGCCAGAGGAGGATAAAAAGGCTCATGTCCACATTTTCACCCCAAGAACTCTCACCATGCTGCAGCTGTTGACATTCCTGGTGGAGAAGCTCTCTCTTCTCTCCAAATTCAGAATCTTCGAGTCCAGCTGGACTGAAGCTGAGGATGAGGACCTGCAGAGGCACGCGCACCGCTGCCCCCCTCCTGCCCTCCGGAGGGGGGACCTACTGGAGGTCCCTCGAACCCTTTTCACCCACTACGGCATCTATTTAGGCGACAACAGAGTGGCTCATCTCATCCCTGACATCCTGCCCGTGTTCACAAGCGACCAGAAGCTCATCAGCTCGGTCATCACCAACAAGAGACTCATCCTCGGCTGCATGTACAGGTGTGCCACAGTGCGCGTGGACACGTTAGAGGACTTTGCGTACGGCTCCAGTATCCTGGTGAACCGTACTGATAAGATGATGAAGAACCAGGCATTTGCTAATGAAGATGTGGCCAAGAGGGCAGAGAAACTTATCGGAGGAATCCAGTACAGTCTGCTGTGGAATAACTGCGAACACTTTGTGACCTACTGCAGATACGGCTCTGCAGTCAGCAGGCAAACAGAGAAGGTACAGGCCATGCTTTCATACATTCATTCTGCTTTTCTGAAATCTCATACACATTGGTCGGGTATGATTTTCCCCCTCATGCATTATGCAGAAAGACAATAAGTTTCCCCATGGAGAGCATGGAAGTTTGGGGTTATTATTACGCACAAAAAGATGCTGTACTCAAAATCTTAATCCCTTTTTGAGGTTTATTCTTAAATGTACTTAAACTTCTCTGTTTAACTTGTCAGGGTGTGTGTGGCCCATGTTGACCCCTCCTCTCATTCTGTTTAGATCTCCTAAATTTTAGGGTGCTCAAAGCAAAACAATCCCCCAAAAGACAGCATTTCCAGTAGATTAAATATCAGATTAACATTAATCTCCAGTCAATCCATACACACAACAATCAATAAAGATGATATATTCACAACAGAACAAGCAAACCATTTTAGACCTTATTTACACCCTTGGATTGCAACCACAGCTCAAAATAGTGTGTTGTGTTCGACTTTATTTTAGCCCAGTATTTTTTTTTAGGAATGTCGACCATATTTATGGAAGACTGAACCCATGGTATAAAACAAATAAGGCCTTAGAACTACAGTCTGTTTCACCAGACATGACCAAACCTTTAGGTCAGGGTAGTGGTGGGCGATATGGACAAATAAATATATCTCCATTTTTTTTTTTATTTCTCGATAACGATAATCCCACTGAAAAAACTTGCTTTGTCATATAGTACATGTTTGCTGAATGACTCGGCGAGGGTTTGCTGAGTGTGTTGTGCAGCTTTACGCTGCCCATCTTACAAATAACTTTAATTTGACTTACGTAGGTCTTGTCAAACCCAAACAATTTCCAGGTTAAGGACATGAACCCACGTCATGCCATTAAATCATCCGCTGAGACAGGAGACTCCTGCATATTTCCTCCATGTGAGACTTTGTTGTGTTTTGGTTGCTGCTGAGTCACGTGACCGAATCCTGTCCACTGATTAGCTTCTGAGGCACGCATTCGACCAATGAGGACTTTCATGCACCTCTCCTTTGCCGTCTATGCACCGTCCATTTGTTTTTGTCCGAGACAGTATAAATACTCGATATTGTAAAATGGCACATTGTCAAAGCAACGTTTAGGATGTTATCGTAGGCGAAATGTATCGCCCACCACTAGGTCAAGGTTTTCTTAATAGGACACTGTAACAACCCTAAATGATACATTTAAGTATTTTCTAAAGTGATTCAGCTTTCAAGACAAAGTCTGCGGTGGAGTTTCAGAAAAAATGGGAAGTTGAATATCAGACTCAGCGTTTGTGAGGAACTATCTATTTGGTGCCCCCCTGTGGACAAAACAAACTTTAAATTGTTGTAAATTGCTGATTTTGTCCTCTTCTTGTGAGAGTGGTATCTTAGATATAAAAAATATATTCCTGTTGTCTTTTTACAGCTCAATTAATCACTCTCTGCTAATAGTTGCAGTTATAAAGGTAGCCAAGGCTGTTTCTTTGGCGTCTTTGACCCCCTTATAGAAGTAACAAGCATTCAGAATTTAGATATAGAAATTGCCAATCTTTTTGTTGATGGTCTTACTTGCTTACGAACATCATAGAGACACATGACTGTTCATTTTAGCCTATTTCAAAAGCTCTTAAAATTCCTGACAGGAGCTTTAAACTTGGACTGAAACTGAATATAAGTCAAGCTGTTCTCATGGTGAAAAATCTCCCCTATATAAACCCTGACATGTGAAATACTGAGCTATTCTTCTGTCTTTGCAGTTCTGTGAGTGCCTGAAATCCATCATCAGAGACCAGCGCAGCGTGATTGTCACAAGCCTTCTCGGCCTAATCTCCATCATCTCTTTCGGCATGGCGCCAGCAACTACATTACCCACAATCCTCATCCCCTTCACTCTGTGGATGGCTGGTTGAGGTGGCTCAGCCCAATAAGCCTGTAAACAAAGTGAATGTTTTGGACTGACTGGAGACATGCTCCGGGTTTTGCAGGCATGTGAAGCCTTATGAGTCTGTTCTGAAGCGATATGTTGATTGTATTGTGTAGAAGATGTGTAATATTTTGTGTAATATATGTGCATTAATCATGTTTTACATGCCTTATATTTGTCCTGCCATGTGTTGAGGCCTGTAACAAAGCATAGTATTTGTTCGGGAAGGCTATGAAGCCAAGCCTGGCCTACAACACATCAGCTGCTCCTGACACAAACCCATATCAGCTGACAAGGAATTGGCAAATAGCAATGCTTCCTACGCAAACTATTTCGCAACCCTCTACCTCTCGAACCCCCTCGTTTTTACGCTGGATCTGATTTCAAAAGTGCCATATGTGTTTTCACTGATGCCTGCTCTGTTTTGCGCCCTGAATGTCTTCGTTGCTACTCTCCCTGCTTTGGCTTTTCACGTGTGCACACTAAACAGAGGGGAGGTGTGCTCTCCCTGCCTGAAGCCTGTGAATTCCACATTTGCACGTGGAAGAGCAGTACAGAGCCAAGTGGTCCTCACTGAATTTCTGTTATTTTTTATATGAGAATGTGGTTTGCTAACATTTGAGCCACTACAAAGTGAATGTTCCCAAATATCAATGTATATAAATTCAATGTTTTATAGAAGTTTGCTTAATATAATGTTGTAAATATGACAAATGCTTATTAAACAATTTATTTTTACTTGTGTGTTCAGAGAGTAATTCATAAATCAATTAAAAAAGACATATGTTTTTATCATTTGGGCTTTCATGTCTTTCATTGAGAGGACAGGAGAGTGCATGGAGCGGAAAACTGGGAAGCAACAGCAGGGCACAATCTGGGCCCTGAAGACCACAGCCTCTGTCTAAGCCAGTGAAAGAGGAGCTGAATACTAGCCTCTGTGCAACATATATCATTATATTTCTTCATAATAAGAAAGTCAGGTTTGCACCACAGTTGCACACTGTGTAGTTATAATTAGTTTGGATGCACTGCAAAAAAATGTTAATATAAAAGCTACAATTGTGCACTTTTGAGCTTTGGATTTTTCATGGATCAGGTCAATTTGTTGTACTCAACTTTTGCTGAATTTCTGTGACTTCTGTGACTAAAATGTACATTTTCTATACATCCAGAAAAGTGCTGAATAATCATGAACCAAATGTAAAGATTGCAGATTAATGTAAAGACAAAGGCTGTTTATCCAGGCACAATGGCTTAATACGTGTACCTATGTGAATGAATGTGTTCGCCTTCTTACTGAGAACCTTGACCTTAATACAGAAGAAACAAGGGCCAAGTGTCAAAATCTGAACACACGTCAAAGTGCTCAGAAAAAGCTCCTTTATTCATGTCAAAATCGTACTGGAACATTGACCAACATGTAATCCGACTAACCACTGTGGTCCCTCCCAACTCTTGCTCTAATAAAACCGCTCCGAGGCGCTCTCCTGCACATTGCCATCATGTTTCTGTACCAGCTCATCAACTTTTTCTTCGTCTCTTCCCAAAAAGAGGAGGAAAAATCACAGTATGACCTGTCTCTATACAAACGCGGTGATCTATTAGAGGTCCCTCGGACAATGTTCACACACTTTGGCATCTACTTGGGTGACAACCGTGTGGCTCATCTCATCCCGGATATCCTGCCTGTTATCACCAAGGATAAATCTGCAATCTCCACGGTGGTGACGAATAATCGCCTGCTGATTGGGGTCATCACTAAGATTGCAAGTGTGAGAGTGGACTCCGTGTCAGATTTTGGGTACGGCTCAGAGATTCTGGTCAACCGCATGGACGAGGTGTGCAGCCAGCCTCCTCTGGATGGGGATGAGGTGGCGAGACGGGCAGAGAAACTGATGGGCTCTGTCACCTACAGCTTACTGTGGTACAACTGTGAACACTACGTCATGTACTGCAGATACGGAATGGCTATCAGCTATCAGACTTACCAGGTACAGTATCAGGCCTCTGTTGTAGTAGAGAGAGTGAATAACAAACTTTTTTAAACCCAAAAAATTGCAGCAAAAAAAGTTCATTAATACATCTTATCAGAAAAACCTTAAACTTTTCCATTTTTGTTTTATGTCTAAACTGCGAGTTTGTGTTGTTTTGAGCTAACAAAAATAGTCCATAATTTAAAAGTCTTAAGGGGTTTAAACAAGTACTTGGCTTGATTTTAAGTTTTTAGCTGGTTATGAGGCTGAAATGACTGAAGATGTCGCTTTATGAGCTACAAAAACAAATGAAGTCATTGGCATAAAGATTCAAAATTTCTATTCAATGATTTTTGAAGCCTTGTGGCTGTTGCTGCAGGTTAGATGTTGATGTTTTTATTTTCATTTTACTCGCTTTTTTTTCCTGGCAACTATTCTCAATGACAGACACACATGAGTTTTGAAAGAGAGCAGGATGATTCTTGTGATTAAAAGCATGACTCAAATACTCCAAAAACCAACAAAGAGATAAGAGGTTGCGCTATGTTCACAGGGGACACCAAAACAGACACAAGTGCCTCTCAGGTGATTCAGTGACAAAAGTATGAAAGGTGTCCTGTGCTTCTAAGATTGTCTGCTTTTCGGGACACTATTGTATGGAATCCCTCCCTCATGTCTTTACTTTGATTTTCCCCTTTCAGTTCAATATGCAGACATAGAACATAAATGATAGTTTTTTGTCCATTCACTATAAAATCTAAAATTTATCAAAGATAGATCTTGCAGTGATGCATTTCCAGATTTTTTCACCATTGTTCACATTCTCACATAAACATAAGCACACACAGGCTACAAAAATAAATATATAATATGACCTTCAGACATCACCCACAGTGTCATCGATCACATATTGACCCACACTGAAAAAATGTTCCTTCTGGCAGTGAGTTAGTCAGAGCTGTATTGAACAATGTTTTCAAAGCTGTCAAGATAACAGACATTGAATTAAGAAAAATCAAAGACTGGATATAAATGTGTGTGAAATATCACCTGGGCACCCTCTACTATCGTTAACTAAAGCTCCTGTGAGAATTTTTTAGCTAAAATGAATGTGAAATAATAACTTTATTCTTGTTGAACATAGAGGTGTGCAAGAGGGATGGAAAACTATGTACCGCAGTGTTCTTCCAAATCATCATCAACCTTCATTTAAGCTCGTGGAAATGATTGAGGTTTCTCTTATTGAAAATGTTATGAAATTACAATTTTGACTCACCAAATGTAGTCTACAATCAAATCAAGTCATGTTTTGTTTCCTCTGACAAACTTTCCAATTTGAAGGAACATTACAGAGGGGTAATATCTTCACAAACATTTGAAAATGTAATAGTGAATTTTTACCACATCAGAGTTGATGCCTCACAATAGCCCAGGCCGACACTCACACACGTTTTTTTGTAATGAAACTCAGACTTGTACTGTAAAGGCATCAGCCAAATTTCCCTCTACAACTCTCACTACTGAGATGGACAAATAGACCTCTTGGGGTTGTGATACCTTCTGAACATAACAGTTTAATAACAGTCCTCAAAGGGAGCAGCCTGGGTTTGATTCCAGCCTGTGGCCTTCAGCTGCGGGCCACTTGGCACGACCATCTCCTAACCCATGCCCCCACACACAAACACCCCCACATCGTAAGACCTGTTAGTAGGGCAGCATGAAATAAAAAACATTTCCTTTAAAAGCAGATCTTAGAAAATGGAGGCACTTTGCATCTTGTATAACTCAGTTTTTTGCTGACGAACTCAAAGTTTTGCTTAATGACTCTTTATAGACTGTTGCATAACGTTGAAAAGCTTGTTGAATAAAAGTCCTTCACATGACTGTTAATTTGAGCTTCTATTCAGAGATTTATTTATAAACCCTGAATCCACAGGAATCTTTAATTCCTCAATACTTCACACGTCTCTATTTTTATATACCGAAGATTATAGTGTGATAGATGTCACATGTTTTTGTCCAAGACACGTGAAACATTGACATAACCATTGGTCATTCGTCTTGATCAAATATAAAACAGATTACTGGACAAATTAGAATTTAACAGATTAGGAGCAGGTCAAAATATGATTTTGAGCTTTTATATTACATTTGCAGCTTTATTTCTCATCTGGCTTATTTCATGCTAAAATCAGACTGAATGATATAAAGTCATAAATATGCTTTTGTTTGCTTCAGTCCACTCGAGTCTAAATTTACTCATTTATGAGGGGGGCAGCTTCCTCTAGTGGTAGCTTACTTCTTACTGTAATGAGTCCATATGAGGGACAGAAAGACTTTTATTTTACTTCAGTCGAAATCACCTTCTCTTTCTCTCTGCTCCCTCACAGTTTTGCACAGCAGTGAGGAAGATTGTCTGCAGCAGGATGAGCTCTTATTTCACGGCACTGTGCGGCGTAGGAGCCATGCTGTATGTGGGCTGTGCGACACCGCTGACAGTTTTACTGACTGTGCTCATCTCATTCACCATCTGGATGGCGGCCTAAAGGCCTCTAGTGAAAGAGACTTGTTTAACACACTAGTGGAAGCTGAAGTGGAGCCTCACGGTTAAGCTTGGTGTCTAAAATCATTGGGAAACATCTGTGTTACCAATTAAAAAAAGTCACTTTACTTTTTAAGTTCTTTGAATAATCGGTCCCTTTTTTTATTATCAACTGATTTTTGTATGTTTCTTAGTCTTTTAAATTCCTTTTATTTGTGTTTTTAAAGAAGTTTTTTTTTTTAGATATCTATTTTTTAAGTTTTCATTTTTGCACACCTGATAGACCTACCTTTAAATCTCACATGTGAAAGTGACCGACAACCAAGATGGAGTTGAGCAGAGACATTTGAAACAACTGAACACTCTTTAAAGATGGATATTGGATTAAACAAGTGCTTTTTGAGATCAGAGTGATGCTAGACTTGGACAGCTCTGGCAAAATGCTCTGCTTGGACTAAATGCACTTAGTTTTTCGTTATGAAAAGCACAATCAATTTTAAATACTATGACTGACAAATGTCAGATGTGTTTTTCATGTATTTGCACCCATTTCTGTGTGTCTTATTGTATCAAAATAAAAATTCAATTGATAATATAAGTTTTCATATTGTCTGATTTGTGCCACATGGTTGGGTCAAATAAAGACTTTCCAAGGGAACTGTGTTTCACATGGTGTGGTGGTCTGGGCACGATTCCCAAAATTTACTGTTAATTATACAGATCAGAGGAGCAAAATGATCATAATGTCAGATCAACTGAATAACAGGAAGACTTAGTAGTGTGAAAAAATAAGGAAAAAGTCCTCAGGATTAGAGTTAAGATATCATCGTCCAGAGGAGGAAAGTGCTGAGCCACAAATCTTTTTAAAAGAAAAACTGAATAAATCCTTAATTTCCACTAATTTCATGTAAGTCCCTTAAAAATGGTTTTCAAATTGAATTATGTGGTTTAAACTTCCCCTTTATTTCTTAATATCTTCTTGGAATTGAAGAATCTGGGAGTCACAGTGGGTAACGAAGTCTGAAAGGGCAGATGTTGGATAGAAAAAGCCCAAAGAGACAAGCACTGAGATACTGGGACACTGTCAAAAGCTGCAATTGAAGACAAACAAAAAATGCAGATAATCCAAAACTAAAAAAGGGAACTGGGAGCAGGTTGGCAGGTGACGTTAAGGCAAACTGAAAGATTGTAACTTGGAGGCATTTAGTGACATCTACTGGGCAGTAAAGGAACAGCAAGCTCTGTTTTGACAGCAAAGTAAATTGACAAGTTGGTGTTAGAGGAAAAATGCTAAAATGTTATGAAATGGCTGCCCCCTATAAAGCAGACTTCTCAACTTTTGATATAGTGTCAACATGACCAAAACTATGGACGCATTCATGGAAAACTCTGTGCAAATATAAAGGTGGGCATCCACATCTTTCAAAGACGGCTGGCTGTCCTGTGCAGAGTCTGCATGTTCTCCTTGTTCCTGGCTTCCTTCCACGTTCATTAGAGTTAACTGTTGGCTTCACATTGCCTGTAGTTGTGGGAGTGAGTTGTGACTGACTGTGTACCCTGCCTATCTCCCAATAACAGCTGAGACCCGCTCTAAAAATTGCTTTTGGACTTGCCATAAATTGATACAAGGCTGTCTTGCATTAAGCTAAATATGCAGGTTTTCCAGGACATAACATCTAATGTGTGCTTTGAACCTGAGTAAAAAAACAGGCAAAGACCGATGTTAATGAGGGGTAATTGCTTTGACATCACATTCAGGCACGAATCCTGCAGAGAAGCACTACGTATCGATTTAAGGGAGGCTGATGTAATGGCCTGAAACCCCCCAGATCTATTAAGTGGAGTGCAGGTGCAAAGTCCCTGCTGAGATTGAAGAGTAACTGAGTTTTGTCACCTCTGAAATTGATGCCTTTTAGCTTTTGGCCTCAATTCACAGACAAAAATCAGATTTTTATACCTATATCTGCCCTGGGGTTGAGCTAGAAATTATTACATCAAAAATGGATTGCTTGGCGCCTTTGGAAATCAAATTTTCAGTTCTGATGAGTGTGGAGTATAAAATGAATCTATACTGGGAGCACCAACATATGCCTGTCGGTAGGATACAAACACGGTACAATGTCCACAATCATACTGGACATTACAAGACAGAAAAGCACAAGTGTACTATTAATCCTTATGCTTTGTTTATTTCACTTCTGAATCTCTTCCTGTTGGACCAGAGATTAGTGGTAAGTCACTATTTCCTTAATTTGGTCGTTTTTTTTCCCATCTTAACAGCCTGAGGGGGAAGTCAATCCAAAACATCCCAGCTTTGAAATGTTTCCCACACCAAAAAAATACTTTTTGCTCTGTAGTGCAGAGGTCTTCATGAACCAAGCTGTAGTCTGTACTGATCACACAAAAACACATACATCACAAAACATGTATTCAATAAAATAAAACAATGAATATGTCCATCTGCTGCTTTGGATTCAGTTTGGTATGCACAATCTCAGATGCACTCACAATACAAATAGCCAAGTGGAGAGTGAAGTGCTGCTTCTCTGGAGAGTGGGTGCACTTACAGGCAGCGAAATAGGGGAGATATATAAGAGGCTTTAAATTGCAGCTAATGCACATTAGCGCTCCATTTCTCAGAAATGGAGTGGTGATGTGCATCTTTAAACCTTGCCGTTTCCACTTAAAAAACTCACAGTTGGACAAAGGGGGGTCCTGTCAAACCATCAGTACCTGAGGTTATGTCCGTCTGATATACAGTCTGATAAACAGTATTTACGTTTGGTGTGCCACAAAGTTCAGTGTAGGTGCCCCTAGTTTTCTGAAATCTTACAGTTTTAGTGTTGTGTCGTTCGCGAGCGAGTCGTTCAAAAGAACTGAATCTTTTAAGTGAACATACTGAACCGAATCACTCCCTCGAGTGATTTGTTCGTTTCCCACTTCAATTGAGCTGAGGGAGGGACAGCATGCACCAACGCCTGAATCATTTGGTGAACGAATCACGCATTGAACTACACTCTCTGGAATCATTTTCGTCAGACAAAACTCTTTTTTTTTTTCACTGCTAAATTGCAACCACAACAACTTGCATACAATAGGACACAGCATGTAACAAGCAATATATTAAACTCACCACATCCTATCATTGCAGCAGTTTGCGAGGGAAAGGTGCATGTTCAGTGTGAATTCTTCTAAACGTTCAGTGAACGAATCACTCACTGACCCCAGACCTGATAAATAGTATAACATAGGACAGTACACTTAAAACATCATGACTGATAAACAAGTTCATTTTTACAAACCTGTTTGCCAAATTAACACGCCAAATACTCTCCTCTCCCGATCCCAGAAGCTATGAATTGAACTGAATCCTGAACCGTTCAGCTGTGTATCAGTTCAGGAGTTCGGAGTCGCAGACTTCTCCCACCAAGCACTAAGTGATTCGGTGATTTGGTGACCGAATCTTTTGGACGAATCTTTTTAGTAAGCTGATTCCAGTGATTCAGTACATCTAAAAGAACTGCCGTGCCCATCACTATACAGTTTCTTACAGGCGTGGTTCACAAAGAAAAAACTCACTGTTATGACAATATCGTCTACATGACATGAGGTCCTTCTCAGGATCTATACCGTGTATCTCTATGGGATAAAAAGTGTTCAAAAGCTTACCTTTTTGGTGATCTATCAAGGGTTTCCAGGCATTTTTACACCTGCCACAAGGTTTACAATCCAGCCACAAAAATAGGCGTTTGAGCAGAGGCGTTTGATGGTAAATCCGCAGTGATATACCGGTGAAAACATGATTATTTATCATACTGTTGTGATAAAAAAAAAAAAAATCGCTATCGCTAAATGCCGCTAATCTCTTCCGGGTTTGACAAACTGTTTTGATGACGTCTTTTTGTGTCAAACTTTCGACCAATTATATGGTCTCATATTCTTCTTCTATTGTTCTCCTTGACGATAGTGTCCAATAAGACGCAACTAAAGATCAACATGAGACAGGAAAGTTCCCTGCTTGTCTGCAAAATAAGAAATAATGGTCCTTAAAACTTGGAAACAAGCAAAGAAGAGATTATGAGCAGTATGATGTGGCCCTCTGTCTCATCCTGGACAAGAACTGCTCTAAGGAGTGGCATAAACAACTGTAAATAGCAAAAAACGCCTTGAAGAATTAGTGTAAATATGTAAATAGTGTCTGTTGTGTGTTTGTTCCAATCCCAATATTTTCTTTCCTGATAGCCAAGACTTGAGGGAATGATGTGCAGGTGAGAAAGGGCTTGGTGACTCTAAATTTGTGTGTTTTTTGTGCGAAGTAATGTCAGTAATAATTTCAGTTTTTGTTTTTTGGTTAAATTTGATGGTTCTGAATCTACTGTTACATTCATTTTACAAAGTTTTTACACCCATAAACCTACATGTTACCTACATCTTAAATGTAAATGTCATATTACTGCCAAAATAATAACACTTTTGCATCTTAAATATTACTTCACATTTGTTAGGACAGCTTAATAATCGCTGATTATTTATTTCCCTGGTTTTCTGAGCTCTTTTTCCTTGTCAGTCTTGAACAAAGAACACACAGAGACATAATACATGTAAATAGAAAGAGGGGTATCAGCCTTAGCATGTCATTCCAGATGCAATTAAGATCCAGAATTCAGCTTTAGTGTTATTGTGTCTTTGTTTTCTAACCCATGCCATTTTGGCACACTGTGGCAACACGACTGTGACCTCTTTTTTCCTGCTCCTGCTGTGATGAAATTGAATAAAACCACCACTCTGCTAAATGACACATTTCACTTCAAAAATAACTCCCAAAAATACCCTTCAGATGATCCAGCAGCATGTCTGGTCTTCAGTCAGTCAGCACATTACCAAAACAGCACATTATTCCACTGCTCATCTCTCTCCACTGGCTCCCACTTACAGCTCACACCAAATTCAAAACCCTATTTTTTGCTTACAATACTGCAACAAAAATGGCTCCTGCCTACCCAAACTCCCTCATACCTCCTGCCTGCTGTACTCTGCTTCTGAAAGACATCTGCTGTGCCCATCACAACAGAGCCTCAAGTTACTGGCCAGACTCTTCTTCTCTGTCGTGGATGAATCACCAAACTCTATGTGATCTGCATTTATTTTATTTTTTTTTAACCTTTGAGAAAAATTAAGACTCAGGTCTTATGGGAACAGCTAAGCACTTATTTAATCTGTAGTCCCCTGTTGTTAAATGAGTTACCCATCGTATTTGATCTATGCAGCCCTTTTTAACTTTTGTGAAACTCTTCGACCATGGTCTTAGTGATCAAGTCAACGGCATTGGTGATGATGATGGTATTGTGTCTCCATGTTGACGGTATATTCCTAATTGCAGTGGTGATGATATTATTAAATAATAATAAAAAAAAAAATAACATCTCATGCTACGCTTATAGCACTGCAGCACTTTAATGAGTCTTAAGCAGTTTGTGGTTCCTCCTCATGTTGTTTCTTTGCTTGTGTTGTGCCTTCATGCAGATGTAAGTCACTTCAGACTAATTATCTGCTAAATGAAACTGTAATATTGCAACATTGATGGAGTTATGGGGTGTTTTTTGTTTGTGATGCAGTTGCAGCATATATTTAAGTAGGTTATCTAAAAGTCACGATTATTAAGTACATTAATTTGCATTTATTCCATAATCGAGGCATTGGTGAGAACAGATCTACATGGTTGATGTGGAAATAAAGACAGTTTAAAAATGCAAAAACAATCAATCTATACTGATTATTTACTGAAAATCCGTGATTAATCTTGACTGAGTAATTAGTTGTTTATCCTTGTGCCTCACACTGTAGTACAACACGACTTTGGGGACCTTGGCAACATTTCTGTGCAAGATTAAGATAAGAGGGAATGAAAGTAAGGCAGCACTGTTTGGCTCTTACAGCTCAATCTTCACAGTTGAGTAAAAAAAAGTGTTTGTTGCTGTTTTCTTTGAGATGATTTGCTACATTTTATTTAACTGCAGCGTATTGACTGTACATCATTTGAAGACATAATTCTTCTCCCTTCTCATAAACCTTGGACAGAACAATGCATGGTTTTCTTTAGCGTTATAGAGAGGGTTGTTATGGCAGCAGCTGTAGTAATTGTCATGCATACTGAACATAGACTGTCAGACAATAGAAGTGGCTATAAGAGAGCAATGTAGCAATACAATAGTGAACTGTTAATAAACATGTGGGAGGCGTTGAACGTGTGCAAAGGAAGGTCAATGTGTTATCGTTATTTAAATACAAATTTGCAGCAGCTGTTTTTGAAGTTGTACCATGATCACCTAATTCAAATTCATAAAAGAGTCTGGTGTCTCCAGAGGTTCAGATAAAGGTTGAAGTAAACACACCTACTGAGTCATCCTTGGGGTGAAGCCTGTATGTGAATAGGAAATACCTTTAGTAGTTTGGTGTATCTGAAAGAAAACAACTAATTACTACATCCCCGGTTTCAAGTCCCACTGGAGGCTTCAGTTGCATGTGTTTCCTCTGCATCTTGTCCCCCTCATTTCCTGTTGTATATTGACTTCTGCTATCCAAATAAAGACAAAAAAATAACACAGCCTGTTTCAGTAATCATGTTCATTTTGAGTATGAAAAAAGGAGAAACACCAAAATCTATGCAAAAGGACCTTCAGCCAACCAGACAATCGATGTCGGGTAATGCTTTAAAAAAACCTCCATTAATTATAGGTAACGTTGATCAATAAGTATGTTTTTTTCTTGTTGTAGAACCTCACCTTTAAATTAAAATTTGTTCTTTAGGTCATGACATTATGTAGCATTGTGCAGCCCCCTAAAGAAAAGGTGACATTTGGTCAATAATTTGACATAAGGGTCTTATGTAGCTTAGCATATTAATGTCTGTACTATTCAGAATGAAAATAGGGCTCATTTTTTCTGCAGACATTGAGGGTAGGGGACAACCCCCCCTCCTCCTCATGGGTATTTGAATATGTTTCAGTCACTTCAGATATCTCTGGAGGAAGATTCAGTGATGAATCAATAAAGCAACATCCTTCCCCTGCTCTGTGCCGATGCATTCGTTATCAGTTTACTGCATGTTGTTGATGAGATCAGCGGACACAGAGTTTTGATTAACAGGCAGATGATTGAGAAATAGATTTTCTGGTATCAATAGCTGATGAGGGAACAAGAGGATAAAATTACACTGATTCGCATAATCATGTGTCAATACTGTGTCTTTTTACAGAGAAGGACAGGCACCTATTATACAAAGCATTTGCTCTATCGTCATGTACTGTATAAACTGACACTTTTATGTTCTAATAAATAAACCCAGTATTTATTTACTTTACAATGAACTTTTTTTGAATTCTTAATTCAACCATTCATTTATTCGACTAGATAAAAGTGTATCAGTGTGTGAAGCATACACTTTACTGCACTAAATCCTGATTTTAAAATTAAATACCTGCAGGACATACAAAGACTTGCATCTTGCAATTGCAGCATCATAAAAGGAGAATTTTACTTCATTGTGGTAACTACAAGGCAGGTTCATTTTCCTACCTGACCCTGCAACACTATCTGACTTCATTTTGCGATCAGTGAAGCTGATTCCTGCTGCTAGATAAAGTGTCGGGTGCTTTTTCTCTTTTAACAAATTCCCAAATATACATACAGTAGGTCCAAAATTACAAGGTATAGTGGCAGGTATTGAAATATTGTGTTTAGCTAAATTCATAGGCTTTTATTTGGATTCACTGATCAGGTTGAACATCTGTTTTCATGCTTAGAAATCAAAGAGAAAACAAACAGTAAAGATGGCTATGATATGAACCACAAACGTACCCTCGATAATGTTCACTGAACCTGGATGTACCCAGTGACTGTATATACGGTAGTAGGAATAATATGCCTTCATTTCCGCCCATTGTGAAATGTGAAGCCAAAGGGCAGCCTCCATGAGTGCTGATAGTTATGCTGGTGCAGCTATAACATGCAAGGAAGTGAACTAACTGGTAGAGCCCCAGGACTTATGTCACACCCTCTCCTCAAACAAAGCTTGCATATAAATAACAACATAAAAAGTGTTGACATGAATAGTTATGGAACATTCAATGACTTTTGTGTTTTTTATGTTTTTTTTTTTTCTTGTCATTTAACTTCTACTCTGCTGCTTCCAAAAAAAGGGCCGAAGGAGTCCACTTTGGTCAACGGAGTTGTCAATCAAATGTCATTTGAAAATTGAATAGCTGGTCAAAACTTCACTTTTCAGAAAAGTGAACTCTGAAAATGATTGACACGAAAAGAACAAACTATGATAACAGAAACCACTAATAAGAAAAGTGTATTCTGCATGTATTTTGACCATCTGTTGGTATAGAAAAGGTGAGATTTACGACCTATACTGTAACCAGTCAGTAGGGGGAGCTCTAAATCTTGTGTTTTCACAGTCAGTGAGCATTAATGGCATCTGGTTTTAAATACAGTTTATAGAAGTGCTGCAACAGTACATGCCTAACATTTTGTGTCTCTAGCAAGTTGATCCCCCTACTGCCCCCTGCTGGAAGGTGGTGAGAAATGTACATTTTTGTCAAGTTTAAGATGTTCGTCTCTTCAAACGATAGGTGATGCAGCTTGAAGTCTGCACTTAAGGCCCCCAGATGTGATTAATCTGTAACTTCAGGTGAGTAGAAGTCACAAAGCTACATTTGAGTGATTGAACTGTTTGCGATTCTGAACTGTGTCGCTAATTTTTGTAGTTTCTGGAATAAAATATACAAAAAAATAATGGAAAAAAGTGAAAAATATCAAGTTTATAGAAGTTGGAGTTAAAGACCTGAACTTTTTAAATGTCACCGACTTCAAAAAACATTGTGTTTCCTGTTTTTCCTCATTACTTCACCATCTGTGTCATTGCCTTTTTCAAAGATGCTGCTGGACAGTAACTTAATTTCCAACAGCCACATGGTGTCTTTGTTTATAACAGTGCTAATCAAATTTTGAGCCTAATTACATGCCAGAGGCTCAACAATTTTGAAATGGGTCAGCTGTATTGTACTGCACTCTGAATGGAGAACTCATTTCCATTTAAGCAGATAAGAAATGTAAGGGTACTGCTCTCAGTGTTTGTGGAAAAAAATGATCCAAGCTTCAGAATTTAACCAGAAAAGTGTTAGGGTGATTTAATTACTCTGATACCAACTGTGCTAAAATGATGCTCTAGTCTCTATCATGGCAATATTGATGCTTAATTATAATAGCCTCACAACAGTCATTGAGCCTCTCATTAAAGGCCACATTCTGTTTAAGTGGAGGGGAAACTTTAAAGAGTGTGTTGACTCTGTGGTAGACTGGCAACCTGAAAGCTAAACCTGCCTGAATTGCTCTTCGAGCCTGCACCACACACAGCGAACAGATAAATGCAGAAATGATGTTCGTTTGAGAGGAGAGCTTTCAGTACTTTTTCTTGGAGCTGGAAAGGGGCAAAAATGAGGTGTGAACTTGTATTTTTCTCTGCAGTGCAACTCAAGCTGGTTTTTGGGTTAGTTTTTTCCCAGAATCATCTGCTTATGACACAGAGACACACTCAGTAGAAGGTTAGATGGATGGTTTGATTTGGTTTATTGATTCTGAACTTGCAAATTATGTCAGGGACATTTCTCAGGGGATTTCATAAGGTAAACCTGGTGTCTAATTCTTGTTGGAGCAAAGATCCCCGAGGACTGATTTTATTTTCTCTCATTTTTGTCTTTTAGAGCAGGAAATCATGATCCAAACCCTGATCCTCCACAAACGGGGTCACTCATAAATTTGTATGCAGGGACACACTGCACTGAGCAACATATCTCGATTTAACTCCGCAGACAGTTTTCTCACACTGAAGGTCATGAACTCCTCACACTCTGCGTCGACTTTACCATGTAAGGCAAACGCATAGCTCAATTTACTCTTTCTGTAAATAAATCCTCTTGCATTTGGCGGTAACGTCACAATTCCTGCAATCAGCCTCGTTTGGGACGAAGTGAGAGGCGTCATATGTCGGTTTGGAGGATGTCGCCTCAGAGAAAAAAAACGCTGTTCTCTCTCTCTCCCATCACCCCCTCCTCCCTTTGAGTGTCTCTCACAGCCTCACAGCGCAGGTAGTGCGACCTCCATGCCAAACGCTCCGCGGCGCGCACTACCAAACGTTGCGCGCTTTGCCATCGCACGCACACTGCTGCCTTCGAGTATTATCGTTTCTGAGGGTGTTTGTTTCGCACTACTTTGGTTTTCTGGATACCACAGAAGCTAATGCAAAATATTCCCAAACTTCAATGGAGGCAGAAACAACGGGAGGACCCTGAAAATCTGACGAAAACCACCTCTGCAGGTGAGTGTTTTATCTGTTTATACCTTTTTGCCGTTATCACCACAGCATTGCATTTGATGACTACTACTAAAATCTCACTATTATCATGTTTTTTCTCTTTAAAAAAATATCTCCCCAACCAATGGATCTTTAATTAAACTTCTGAGGACTTTTCACCAGATAGATTAAATGCTTGAGAGCTCAGAATGGTCCTATGGTTTGTTTAAAGGTAGTTAAGGAGAATCAGTTTGAGAAGATTTGAATGTTGCTCAACAGTAAACTACTTTATGACAAGTTCTCAGTTTTCAACGCGAAAAAATTAATATGATTAGTAAATGAAAAAATATTAGTGGTTTTTGGTCATATTTCCTCTTGTTTCTCGTGCAGCAGAGGTTCATGCTTTTAATGTGGTGGTCCAAGCTCTTTTACAGTCAGAGTCAAGCCTATAAAGGATGAGTACTTTGATTTTTAATAGAAAAAGACTGTTTAGACTTGGAAATAAAAGCCATCAGATGTCACTTTGTGTGGAATGATTGATAGTGACTGACAGTAGAGGCTAATAGATGCTTTTTCAGGAAACTGTTGATTAGAAAATGTGTGATTCCTTTTGTGAGGATGTCCAACACTTTTGCCATAGTTTTATCGTCTATAGTGGGTTTAGATCCTCATGGAGATATCATCCCTGGTGTGCCTCTGTGATGTTAAGCTTAATTCAAAGGGACTTGTATTAATGAATTGTATTATTTTTCAAAAACAAAACATCACATCCATTGAGACAGGCTTGATCCGAAAGTGGGAAATAAAAACATACAACATAAAAAACATAATTGAACAGGGAGGGTACAAAATGCCATAAGAATCAGTCACACACCCACCAACTACAGACATATTTTCCACCCATTCTGGCACAACCGTAAAACATAAGAGTTGTTCATGTAATTAATTGTATTGGAGCTCTACAGTCCATTGACTCACTTCCTATTTGATTGACTTATCAGTGCTGCCATGCCTCAGTTACATTCCTCTTATTTCCTCTTATTTGGGTTTTAGTCTAAGCCTATATTAGGAAACACCAAGACCGCACAAATAGAAAAAAATGCATTTAGTCTTTATCTTAGAGGTGCTCTTAAGATTCCTCTCAACTGTTGTGTTACAGAAATTTTCTTTTGGATCTAATGACAACATTACATTTTTCTTTTGCTACAGGTAACCAAAACTTTTGAACTGCGACTTTTCCAAACATAATGCATGCAAGTTCCACTTTGCATTTAAAACACAGGCAGATGTTGGGGTCAATTTGGTATTGAATTTGAGGTGTTTGGTTTTCTGAGGGATATCATGTTGCATTTACCCAAATTACAGCAAAAGAAGGTGATATGTTGGAGGATCTTCCTATATCAGAATCAGAATACTTTATTTATCCCCACTGGGAACTTTGGTCATTACAACGTTACACTTGCTCTTGAAAATACAAATATTAATAGGAGAATAGAACCAGGAATGAAATAAGAATAAATAGGAAATGCAACAGTAAGTAAAAAGTGCCGAATATTATAAATAAAGCTACTTACAAAATCCAGAGTGTTTAAGAAACAAGTCATCATAGATTGTATATAGAATGGACGCCATCTGCTGCCTTGCTGGGTGAAGCCACAGTGAGAACAGCACCCTCTGGTGACGGGCTGCAGTATAGGTCATAAATCCCGCCTCCTCCAGCAATCCTTGTGGAGCTGTGGACAAACTTTAGAAATTTATTACACAGAATACACTGTCCAAGATAACATGTAGCTTTGGCACCACCATCAGAGAGTCCAGCTCTACCCCCTGAATGTCACTGGCCTTGTGAATGAGTTTGATAAGTCTGTTGGTGTCTGCTACCCTCAGTCTGCTTCCCCTAGCACACAACAGCAAACAGGATCACACTGTCCACCACAGACTTATAGAACATCCTCAGCATGGACCTGCAGATGTTAAAGGACCTCAGCCTCCTGAGAAAGTAGAGACGACTCAGACCCCTCAGTGTTCTTAGGCAGTCCAGTTTGTCATCCAAGTACAACCCCAGGTACTTGTAGTCCTCTACAATGTCCACACTGACGCCCTGGATGGAAACAGGGGTCACTCGTGCTTTTGTCCTTCTCATATCCACAATCAGTTCCTTGACAAAGTTTACAAAGTTACCCACCACTATCCTGTGTTTAGCTTTGTTGCCCTTCCTGATGCATTCAACTACAGCAGAGTCATCAGAGAACCTCTGAAGGTTGCAAAACTCTGTGTTATAGTTGAAGTCTGTGGTTTAGAGGGCGAAGCGGAAAGGAGACAGGGCTGTCCCCTGCAGGGCCCCAGTGTTGTTGACCACTCTGTCTGACACACAGTATTGTAGGTGTACTGTTGTCTGATGGTCAGATATTCAATGATCCAGGACATGAGTGGAGCCTCCACCTGCATCACTGTCAGCTTCATCCCCAGTAGAGCTGACCTGATGGTGTGAGAAGCACTGGAAAGTCCTCTACTCCCAGGGGAGGTTGGAAGACAAACAAGAGCAGATCCAAGAGGTGCCTGACCATTGGCCTCAGCTGTTCTAGATTCAGTCTCTCCAGGGTCTTCATGATGCGAGATGTCAACGCCACTGGCCTATAGTCCATGGAGCCATTGGGACTAGGCAGGGACCTTTTGAAGACTGAAGATCTTGGTGCAGACATGATAAGGCACTCGACAGAGCCGGGGGGTACAGGACTTGACTGCACGGAGTCTCCTTGGCTGTCCTCTAACCTGGTCAGCTGTGAAGGACACTGTTGGGGTGACTGGAGAGGGGACAGGGTCAACATCTGTGGGAGGGCTGTCAGAGTGAAACGCCAGAAGAGGAGAGGGGATGAGTAAGACCCTTACCTGACTGTAAGGAGAAGCGTGAGGGAAGAGCAGAGGGTGGCCGGGGGCCGTTTCTAGCCTATTAAAGAATAGATTAAGTTTTTTAGCCTTGTCCAGACCACCTTCGACTCCTCCATTGTCAGGTGTCCTGAAGCCTGTGGTAGTCTTCATACCACTCTAGACCCCCCTGTTGATATACACTTTATATATATTTTGCTCAGTATAGCTCATCGAGTTGTTGTAAAGGCCCTGTTTTTCATTGTTTACGTTTTTCAAGAAAAGATTGTTTTAAGGTAATTGTGTCTACTAAAAGATTGAGCCCAAGAATGAGCAAATGAATCTGTCTGTGGAACTCCACTTGTAGTTTTGACCCTACTGAGTAACACAAATACATCATTATCACCAAACACATCTCCACTTACTATGATACTCCTATTATACCATCAATGGAAGAAAATACTTCTTATTCCCAGAGGAAACTTCCTGTTGTTTAAGAGGTACTTTCTACTTTGAATACAGCAGTGTCATCTTTGTTGGCTTGTACACATGGGTTTTACACATACATATTGTAAATCATGCATGCTCTGTAATGAGAGTCGAATATTTGGGTGGCATCAATTCAGTCTTTCTCAAAATGAAAGTTTTTGGAAATCCCTCAAATCTTCATTCAATTAAAGATAATTCAACAGTCACGCTGAATGGGGTAATATACTCAAAATGCCCTTCAGGTAAATTTGCGATTGATTTGTGTTTGCTTGATGCAGCCTGATTAGTTTTTGTGAATTATTCAAACAATGTTTTGCAGATTTATGCCTCTTGACTTAGAAAAAATACATCTGTTTCGTTTGGTGAAAATTTTTAAGCTGTGATTCATGTATATTCAACCATTCCCTGCTCCTAATTTATCATCTGGCAAATTTGGACAATGTTAGCGCAAATTTCCCTCTCAAAATTAAAGTTACATTTACAGTGTCTATGTGTGAAGAGCCATGAAAAGACATATGCAGTATCAAATAATCCCTTTTATCAATGTTGACTTGTTTTTTTAACCCAATTGGCTCATTTTGTTTGGCGTCTTGGAACAAAATGAAGTCAGTTAAAAGTGTCATCAGCCAAACAGACAGCTTTGGTCCAGCCCACGCATGTTTATGTGTAATGCCTAACTGGAACCAATCCAGTATTCATGGTGGCAGAGATAGCATAAAAGGCATGTGTTATCTGGGAGGAAATGATAAGTGAATTTTTTCGTGCCAGATCTTGTTCATCTGTTGTAAAAGCTGTCATTTTTTTCTTCACAGCGTCACTTATGGGGGCTGTTCGCCATGGACACAGCAGAACTCAACACAACTCAAACTGAAGATCCACAGCTCCAACTTAAGTCTTCAAACTGCTGCTCGACTCTGGACATGATAGTTGAGGAGAACATCTTTCAGCTGGACGACAGCACAAAGCTGCTTGGAGTGCGGATCGTTCTTATCCTGGCCTACAGCACAATCATCCTGTTTGGAGTCATCGGAAACTCTTTGGTAATTTATGTTGTCTTCAAGTTTAAAAATTTACGAACTGTTACTAATTTCTTCATCGTGAACTTGGCTGTAGCAGACCTTCTGGTGAATACATTATGTTTGCCTTTCACTCTAGTCTACACGCTGTATGGCGAGTGGAAGTTTGGTCAGGTGTTGTGCTTCATGCTGCCCTGCGCTCAGGGTATCGCCGTCCATGTTTCTACAATCACTTTAAATGTCATTGCACTGGACCGCCACCGCAGCATTGTCTATCACATGGAGACCAAGATGTCCAAAGACATGTGCGCCCTGGTCATTGTCATCACATGGGCTGTAAGCACGCTGTTAGCCAGCCCTCTTGCTATCTTCAGGGAGTATGGGACTCTAGATCTCTCACCGGACGAGTCAATCCAGGTGTGTACTGAGAAGTGGCCGGGAAGTAGCATGAACGGAACTATCTACAGCATTGCAGCGCTTCTGATCCAGTATGGGTTACCTCTGATCATCACCTCTGTTGCCTACATCCGCATCTGGAATAAACTGAAGAATCACATGACCTGTGGAGGACGAAACGACAGGAACCAGCGCAGGAAGAAGACCACAAAGATGCTGCTGACAATGGTGGTTGTGTTTGCCGTCAGCTGGCTGCCATTTCACGCGTTTCAGTTGGCGGTTGACATTGATAGTACGGTGTTGTACATGAAGGATTTTAAGCTACTTTTTACTGTGTTCCACATCATGGCTATGTGCTCCACGTTTGTCAACCCCATCCTGTACGGGTGGATGAACAACAACTACAGAACGGCTTTTTTGTCTGTGTTTAACTGCTACAGACCCTTCAATCGGAGGCAGAGACGATCTAAAGACAGAGAGGGCCAGAGGGATGAAGACAAAGTTTTCACAGACTGTAAATCAACAAATGTTTGAAATGTAGTTGTACAAATGTTACTGGTTGTTGTTTGCGGTATTGTTTCTGTTTGTTTCTATGTTGGCATTTTCACCTCTCAAAAAGAGGTACAACTGCGATTCTAAAAAGTTGGTGCACTATGTAAAATGTTGGAAAAAACAAGATTTGATGGTTGGCCTTTAGACCCTTGATTCAACAGCAAGGACAACCCATTAGATGTTCAAACTAAAACATTTATTGTTGCATGAAAGATATATGCTTGTTTCAAATTCAATGCCAACGACATGTTTTGAATAACTTCAGGCAGGGGGATGTTTACCAAACCTACGTTTGCATCTGTGCTCAGGCCCAGGGAAGCTGCTAGCATTCCTGGATCACGTTGATTTCATTTGATTTATGGCAAAGTTAGACCTTAATTTGCAGATGCAGTTATCCGATCAATGTTTTTGGATGTGATTTTGAGCCCATGCAGTGACTTCCACTACAGAGTCGTATCTGTTTTAATGCAGTAATGCCTGAAGGCCCCAAGATTACAATATTGGTTTTCAGCCTTGTACCTTTTGACAAAACCGCCCAAATCTTGGTAATTTTGTGCTGGAGAATGTCATTCTGAAATTAGGGAACTTTTTGTTCACACAGTCTCTTAGAGAGTGGTGAACCTCTTCCTCCTCTGACACACTCAGCCTCGTGAGATTCCTTTTGCCACGTGGTCATGTTATTTAGCTTTTACAAGCTAATATTACTTGTTGAGAGATTTTCTCTTAGATCTTTTTTTTAATACATCTCGTTCAACATTTTGGAATTCCAGTCACAATTTTTTGACTCGTGTAGCCAGCATCAAATTCAAAATGAAAATGCCTTTCTCATACAACAATATAAGATTAAATTATCATGATCTAATGTGTTGCCTTTGCACACATTAAAAATGATTTTTTTTTTTTTTTTTTTTTTTTTTTTTAAATCTTACAGTGTCTCAACTTTTGATTAAGGGCTGTACAAGATTAAAAAAAAACATTTTAAGTTGGAGGAGACATTTCTAAAAGATCAACTCAAAATCCACCCTCATTTCTAAAGTTGTAATCATCAAATTGTAAATAGTAAGCAGTTAACTGAAAAGTAAATGTTTGCTGGAAGCGGCTACACTAACACCCCCAAAAATTGGTCAACAGTCTAAAAGAGTACAGAATGATAGCTTTGAGTGTAAAGGTTGGTGTCTTTAAGGGTTTGTACCATGAGTATTTTTGTTAAACAACTGTTGTGAATTGATAACTTTTGTTGTTAGTTTGACTTTATTTGCTGTGACCGGACTGTTTCCTTTAAAAGTGTTTGGATGTTTTCAGTCTCAAATAAAAAGAAGGTAACTCAAACTTTGGAGCTCTTTAATCCGCCCGCAGTTCACCTGTCCTTTTTCAGTCTCTCTCATTAGATATCTTGGGTTGAAACAATCTGAAGCAAATATGATTGCCTGTACTGCTACTAGTACCACTGTATGACTACTAAATGCTTATTTCATGACCCTTTACAACGTGAGCAAAATGTAAATGTAAGCCTTTAATAAAACGTCTACAAGTTTATTCTCATCAGTCTTTGTCACACTTTGAATGAGGCTCCTTATACTTCCTTGTTCAATGATGTGATCTTAATTGCATACGCAGGTAAATAAACATTCATTCAGACAAAAAGCTCACAGAATAAACAGTCACTGACATTAAAATGTTGATTTCTGCTCCTCTTTAGTGGGACATTTACTTTTTTTAACCCCAACATTTCAAACAGGGTCAAGGCTGGATGTTAAACCAGCAACTGCATGAGTGTATGAGGTGTGCGCTGAACTGCTAGACTTAACTGTCAACCCTTGAAAGAGAGGCGTACAAGTCCTGGCCTAAACCAGCATTGTGCAACAGGCAACAGAAATGTTTTAGAAAGATGAAGAAAAATACCATCTTACTCTTTAGCTGGGACAGAGCTCTGATACCACTCTGACCTCTCTTCGGATATAGCTTCTTTATTGGCCCGATACAACATTTGTGAAGAATCGGAATAACCAACATTAGGTAAAATAGTGACTGTTTTCAGTGTGATGCTAAGAGAAAAAAAGGCTCATATCTACTTAATCGCTGTCTAAAACTCTCTGAGTAATTACATTAACAAGTGAATCAGTCTTGATTAAATGAAATGGAGAGCCGTCTCGATCGATGAGCCCTTCTGAATCTTGAACAAGAGCCAATTTCTATTTTTCTGAAATATGAAAGTCCTCGCAGCAGCAGCACACAAACCTGCAACATTTTCCCTGTGACTCAGTTGACTTACTGCACTTGATGTTATCGTTGTGTTTCCTACTTGTGGTGTTATAATTTAAAGTAATAACAGGTGTTTTTTGAAAATGTTATTTTTGAATTGTATGTGTAAATGAAGAGATATATTCTCAACAACTGAGATCATAGCTTATAGCTGAATAAATAAATAAAAACTGGAGCCTGTGTGAATAATTCAAAGAGTTCATATTTAATCAAACTTCATATCATGGACTCTCGAGCTGTGCAATAATCAAAACTGTCATGGCTACTGATTACAAAATTAAAGGACCAATTAAATCATGTCTTGAGAATTGTCATCAGGAAGTTTTAGAGAGTTATTTTGATAAATATGAATTTGTTCAAGATTGTAAAAAAGATAGATTAGAGAACAATTAAGCCCAGGATTTATGCAAACACTTAAAAATGGTTATTTAACTTAGAGTGAGATTATCTTCTAGGGAAAACTGGAAAGGTAACAGTTTTTTCTGGTTTTGTTTTTAAGTCTTTTTCCAAAATTTTGTGTGAAGGGCATTTGATAAACTTATCATTACACAGCTGGGCCTGAACACACATAATGTGGATAATAACTTGTCAGTTAGCAGCAGTCAGGTCAAGTTTGCAGAGGTTTGGTGTTGAGTATTAATGCACCTTGAATGATAAACGCATAGATGAATAAGTGTGAGAAGCATGAAGGGCCAGTCATACGAGTTGTATGATAATCTACTTACAACCTTTCCTCAGCTTTGACCTCTATAGGGGTCTTTGTTATGAACTATAAGCTATAGATGGATGCAGATGTCGGTGAGTGTTTGCATAATGACTCCAGGAGGAAATTGTAACAGTGGTTCTTATTAGACAAACGAGAGGAGTTCCTCCCCCACCCCATCTTGTCTTTGTTTGCAGCAAGCGACTAATTACCACTATCTGCTTTTACAGTGATTACACCGGTGCTCAGGTTTTGAAGAGCCCTTCCTGTTGACCAGGTTCTCACTGATTTACTTTGTGCGTACGTGAGGAGCCGAGGCATAGGGACATTAGCTCTGCATCTCCATTTTTAGTAGGCCTTTCATGGTGTATTCAGCGCTGAATCAATAGCTGTTCTTTTAACTGTCCAACCTTATTGAGCAGCAGCTGCAGCCCCAGAGTGAGCCCTGTGAAGGAAGATTTTTTTAATCAAGTCAAAGGAACAATAGCTCTGACAACTAATTCAATTTCTCCTGGTTAGCTGCTTTTGTAAGAGAAGGCACTCAGCTTTCTCCCCACAACTGTCTTTTGGCTTTCTATTCATATAATTTAGTGTTTGATTTATGGCAGCATGTCAGTCCACTGAGGATCTTTTTTTTTTTAGTTAGTTGTATTCCAATTATAGCATAATTAAGTGGAGTCTGTAGTCAAACAAGGTGTGACAGCAGCTGGATCAGAGGTGGTTCCCAGCAGAGTACCTAGGTCTTTAGTGGGTTAATTGTTTATCCATACAGCTCTTTAACTGATTGGACTCATTGAGGGGGGATGAGTTATGCTTCTATTGAAATTATTCTACTGATGAGATTAATAAAAGTTGAAAAAGTCGCTGTAAGTAATCAAAAGTTTGATTGAGCAGACCCAACTTAATAGGAACCCTGATAAGATAGTAGACTGCGCTGCTTTTGGCTAGTTATGTTTTTCTGAATAGTAAAAATTCTAGAGGCATGGTAGGCCTATCTTGGTAAATCAGTTAAAAACAGACTCGGCAATGGTGCAACATCAGGCTAAAACATTTTGTTCTGGAGCTAACATGCATGCTAGCAACAGGTAAACATGTAGCTAACATGTAGCTGCATTAGTATTCATGAGTCGTTTTCTTTTCTTGCTAAAAGATGCTAAAGAGCAAATTTTTTGTTGTGGTTTTAGCTCTGTGTTGTTGCAGATCCTGGAGAAAAACAGCTAAGTCTTTCTAGCCTACAAGTAGTGACTTCTTCCATATCTTGCTAGCTCTAGTGTAGCTAAGATACAGGATATGCTATCACTGCTATACTTGTTGAGTTACTGGAAATCAAACGTGAAATCTGTAAACTGTCAAGTTGATATGTAAAGTGAAAGGATAGTTCTGTGTGTTTGACACTTTGAGAAACACTTTCACATTTTTTTTGGCACAATTAGCCAACAAAAGGCTAGCGCTAGATTCAAGACTGGGATGTTTCAGGAAACGCTGAGCTGCATTAGCATGTGCTTTGAGTAACACATTAAAAGAGTGATGTTTGCCATAGTTTTAGCTTCACTTCATTTCAGACCCCAGAGAGAAACATGATAATCTTGCTAACCTACGACAGACTTTCCTCACTTAGTTCCTTTGAGTGTTGCTTACTTTTCCCTGGTGGTGCAGCTAGCATACAAATCAGAGCGCTCTTTGAATGTTTCTTGGTCAAGCTGCTAAGTGTCAAACATGAAATTTCTTCAATCTGAAACAGTCGAAATGCAGAATTGGGTGATATGTTTCCCTGTATTGGGAACAATTTGTAGTTGACCTTATTTTAGTCACACAGAAGTGACTAGCACAGCCTCAAGCAGTCAATTTAGCAAGTTCTAGTAACTTGTGATTTTAGAGCAGATGCGGATTTTAGGTGTGCCACACACCTAAACACAGTCTGTGGCATGTGTGGTGACAGTTTTCCTTCATGAGAACCCTTTAAGCCATCTCTAGTTTGATAAGAGAGACGCTTTTTCTTTTTTTTAACCTTGAGACGGCTGGCTTTATGCTACAAGAACTAACAACAGTAGCTTATATGCTGAACCATCAATGCTTGTGTGGCAGGCAGCACCTTGCTGCTATTGAATGCAGCTCTCCCCCCTCCTCTAACCCCTCCCTTCCCCTAATCAGGTCAGCTGAACAAAAGGCAGCAGCTCACCTGCAGTCGGCCTTCTGATCTGCTCAGAGTGCTGGTGAGTAGGGTGGCTGGTAACTTTTTAATCTTTAGAGTTTTATGATTGCTTTTAACAGCATGTCCTTTTTGTTTGTAGGTGGTAGACCTGCTGCTGTTTTGTTGCCCCCATTAATTGTAGTTATTTTTGCCTGTTTACTTTGATTGTTTCTGCCCTTTTGATTGGTTTCCCCCCTTACTTGGTTTGTTTCTACTTCTAAGTTTGGTTGTTTTACACAGTTACTCCCCCATTAGTTTGCATTCTGTTCTTAGTTACCCTTAGTTGCTTTTCTCCTTAGTTCCCTCTAGTTTTACCAACTGGGTTCGCTGGTTTGTTTGTTTGTTTCTTTGGTTAATCCTTTTATTTTATTTCAGAGGTTGAGCCCACTAGTTTGGGAGGCTAGGCACCCCGGGTGAGGGCCCTCCACCTTTGCATGAGTTTGACACCGGGTCACAAGACTACACCGATTTTGTTTCTTTTGTTGAAGGTTTGCAGTGTGTGTGCTGTGCTTCACTTGGTGAGTATAAGGGAGCACCCCCCTGCACTTTCCCTCTGTAGTCTGCCTCCCTTCTGGTGGCCTCAGCTTATTTTAAGTTAACTTAGTTTGGGTTTCTTTGATTTAGTTTAAGTTGGGGTTATTGTACTTTTTAACTTTTGTAGAAGGCCTTGTTTTAAATTTTATTATAGAAATAAAATTAACTTTCTTGCCCCCTTATCTGTGTTTTGTTATGTTGTTTTAACTTTATCCCTTTCTTTCCCTCCTAGGTTAAATTTCTCAGTTATATTTACGTTTAACTTCATTTTTTTGATCTAATAAACATTTTGAAATATTTTGAACTCTGTCTCTGCCTCTTCAGAACTTACCTGTGTTGCCTTTATTCTTATTTTAGCTTCCTGTTTTAGTTTGAAAGTTCAGTTTCCTGGGGTGCAAGTCCCCAGGTGGCGTTGCTGGTTGGAGACAATATGTTCTATTTTTGAATAAAATAGCACCCCCTTGCCACATTCGTTTGTTTGCTTGCTTGGGTCATTATCCAAAGGAATATCCCCCTTTTTTTTCTTCTTCTTTGTGTTTTGCTGACTTTCATTCCGAGGACTTGAATGGGATCTTTGACTGATGTTTGACTTGAGTGCTTTAATTCTGAAAAACCCAGCATGATGGAGTCATTATGGAGCTATTAGCTTGGTGTGCTTTATCTTCAGGAGTGTCCTGCCTTCTATATAGAGCATGAGTAATGATATGTGATGTGATGATATAACTCCTATCAATGTCTGTTTACTTTTCATAATCAAAAAGCAACCTCTTATGCTGAGTGATGAGGACAACCCTGTTTCTATACTTTGTAAACTGGCATAAAGAAAGCCGCTTTGTACTAATAGCTGCTGAATCACAGCTGATGTAACAAAGAGTTATGTCACATCGCCTTGTGTCCTGTCGCTCTGTCTCTTCACATCACAGCAGGGGGTCTCACAGGATGGATGCAGGAGCTGATATCTTTCTCCTCAAAAAGGACGGATGATGAAGACCAGGCTACAGGTTGTATTCAGAAATCCACATTTAAACAGATATATCCCCATTCACTGTGATCGTGGTAAGTTTTAATGAGTCAGTTATAGTCATAGTTGTAAATAATAATAATGATAATAATAGTGGATCAGATTTTACAGCGCTTTATCAGAGATCCTCAAAGCACTTTACATTGGATATATCATTCACCCTGGTGGTTGTAAACTACCTTTGTAGTCACAGCTGCCCAGTTTGCGCCTATGGCTGCTCCAACCACCATCACACAACACTCACATTTATACACCAGTGAAGGACACACACTGGGAGCAAGGTGGGGGTTTTGCCCAAGGGACACAATGCACAGACTAAGCATGGGGGGTATTGAACTGCCAACCTTCTTGTTATTGGACGACCTCTCTATCTCCTGAGCTACTGCTGCCCCAATCGTCAACAATTGTGTGTTTTATGTGCCTGATATTTAATGATCATTGTCCTCTTTGAGATGTTTGAAATTATTCTGGCTGACTGAAGCCCAGCAGAGCGTTTTCCTAATCAGCTAATGCTCTTCATCTCTACAGTTCACATACAGACGCTTCCTGCTGTATGAATGAAGGTCTTTATTCAGGAAGACATCAAATTGCGAGAAGCTGGAAAGATAAACACAGTAAGTCTCTTTATTATTACTGCTTCTTGGCAGTTAAATTATTACCTGTGCAATTTGCCAACAAAGATGGGTTAAAACTTCACAATATTACGTACCAAGACAGAAGTGTATTCTCACTGAAATACCGTATTATTCACACTTACTCATTCACAAATCAAAGTGAGCACATTAAACAGGGGTAGGAAATGGGGTATTTGGCCTAAGTGTGTCTGAGTGTTTTTTTTTTCTTCTCTGTGCTTATGAGAGGGGGAATCTACGCAGAGGGATAAGTAGTGATGAGGTCGTGTCCCTCCGGGGGTCTCATTCGAGATCGAGCGTGAGTCTCACAGTACAGCTGCCCTTCTACAAAGAAGTAACCCTTCTGTTTGAGGTTGATGTCACAGTCGTTGCACACGAAACAGCCAGGGTGGCGATATTTGTCTCGTGCCTTCACCACCGTCCCGCTGCAACATAAGAAATACAGAGAGGTCACAAGCAAAGGTGAGTGTATAAATAACTACAAAGGTGAGTCGTTTTTCATCAATATGTAGTCTTGTTTTTTTATATATTAAAGCTCCTGTGAGGAGGTTTTTTAAACATTTATAAAACAGAATGAATTTTAAATCTATGCTTTTTTTATGATATTAAAGCTAACAAGACCACCAGTGGCAAGATCGACAGTGTTTATTCACAAATCTTTATCGTCTGAAATTGGAGTGAGAGGGTAGGTGTCAGCTGAGCAGCTAAAGAAACAGCCTGTGTTGACAGTTTCCCATATTATATGACACATTTGACTGTCAAAAGTCAGCAGGTTAAGTTGACTGCTTTGTCCACTGGAGTCTTAAAATAACTGAACCACAAAGGCCCTGGATGTGAATCACAGATGAGCGCTATTTTTACTTACACAATCCCATTCCCACACTTGTCGCACATGGGCAGTTTCTGCAGGTTTCCTGTGGGAGGAGTCGGTTTGGTTGTTGGAGCTTTGACAGTTCTGGTTACAATGGGGCGAGTGCCTGCGAACATGGTAAGAGAGAATACTCAACAAAACAAGCCTGCACACAGACATGAAACAAAACAAAACACTTGAGAGGTACGAGGCAGGGGCACTTTTCACCTCTTGAATACAGAATGATTCTGCTTTACTCTATCAGGGCACTTTGATGCTTTTCAGCTCATAAAGGAAACACATAGAGGGGCGGTTTCTATAACGCATTGTGTGAATTTATCACAAACTGTCTGAAAAACAAAGGGGACTTATGAAAGTGTGGATTTATGACCTATTCTGCTGGTTTATTTTGAGCCGTTACTGAATAGGTTAATCCGTCATATAACGGCTTCTGTATGAGTGTCAACATATTTTATGGTTATTTTAACGCCTATATTATCTTTAGACTGACTTTGTCTTCAAATCAGCTGTTGAGTTCAAAATATAGTAAGATTTAAAAAAAGGTTTTTGTTCTGGTTACATGTGAATGTGACACTGGACTGAGAACCTGTTCAACAAAATGGTACCTCAAACAGTAAAATGTATAAGTAGTCTAGAAGGCAAAAGTCTAAGTGTTGGCGTACATGTCTTACAAGTAGCAAAGAAAAGAGACAATCATGCTGTTGGCAGACGGTAAAAAGACCTTTGGAGAACACTTAGTAAATGTGAAAAAAGGACTGTGCTCTTGCAGAAACGTCCTATTTTTTTTTGACCGAGCAGAGCGTGTTAAGACTCATCAGACTCTTTCCGATAAAAGCAAAAGGCTCTAGGCGATGGAAACCTTCCTGCAAATTGATTAGGTGTAAGTCAATTTTATCTGAAATAAGCAGCATGAAGTCAGAGAGAAACACAGAAAAATCAACCACTACACATGTTAGTTATCACATGTACACACACACACAATCCTGCTCATCAGGAGATATTAATTGTCTATCACTTACACTCACACTGATGGCACGTCCTTTGAGAGCAATTTGGAGTTGACTTTCTTGCCAAAGTACAATCTAATACTCTCCCTCTCCGAGAGCTGAGGACGAGTCAGTCTATCTCCTGAACTGTAGTGACTGTAAAGAAAACCATCTGTCTTCAACAGACTCTAATGAGTGCTGTGGCACTTCATTAGATGGCTCAAACCATTGCTCATGTCCTGATCACTACCTATGATGTAATGTAATATAAGGATTGATCTCTGTACACTGCAAAAAGGCTTTGACAAAATGAGGAGCTTTTCAAATAGTGAAAGGAACACAAAAAGGTTGTTAAACTAAACACTTCCATTGATAAAATTAGCTGATTTGCATCATATTTTTGAGCATTTAAAAAAAAAAAAAAAAAAAAAATGTGAGAAAAAAAACCCAGCTGATTCCTAAAAAAAAAATGGTAGTAATTTGGTTCAGTCTGGTTGTAATAGCTGCTAAATCTAGATTTGCAAATGGAAGTGTGTGCGACCCCTTCTTCTAAAGAAGCTCCACTAACTTATAAAGATCTCAGAAATAAAATCACTACTAAACTTTACACCCAAAAAAGCTAACCTTTTTTTTTTTGTATGTTTGTGAAGATAGCAATGACTAATACCACATTTAAAGCTCCTGTGAGAAACTTTTGGTTTGTGTTAATTTTGACGCCCTCTGTAGACCAAAAAGTACTTTTCGTCTCTTTGCTAATTTTTTCCCATCCATGTGTCAGTCATGCTATTGGACATAAGATCGCCTTGCTCTCTTTAAAACTTTCCTCTCTCACTTTTCAAAAAATGTTGCTGAAGAAAATATTTGAAGAAAAAAGGTTGTTTCTCCTGCCGATGGTAAATCAGGAGTCAATCACTAAATGACTCCTTCCATGCAGCAGCACTTTTACTCTATAAAAACAACTATAACGCTAAAACTGAGGTTGTTTTTGATAGTTTTGTTTGATTTTATAGTTCATAAAGAGACATCAATACTAATTTTAGGTCATTTTAATGACTGGTGAAAAACTCCTTACAGGAGCTTTAAATATTTTTCTCAATGGACAGAAAAGTGGGGCTTTTCTGAGTTCTGTCCAAAAAAATTACAAATATTTGTCTCTACTTGTAAATATTTCACCCTAATAGAAGTTTTAGTGTGGAATAATTCATGTAAGAGATAGACACCTCACCGTCACTGTCGATATAATCCTGCAGGGCTTTAAAGGAGCCAGACTGGCGAGGCTCCTGCGGTTCCTCCTGGTCCATCTGTAACATCCTGTACACGTCAGAGTCCTCAATTTTGGTCAGAGGCCTGGGGCTGTTACAGAATAAGACACACAAATACATAATGTAATAGCTTCATAACCATTTACCAGTTTAACTCTTTTTTTCCCTTGACTGCCTTAATGGGAGAGTCCTCAGTATAGCAGCAACATGTATGTATTTTAATCTCAAGTCAATTAAAATGAAGATTATTTTTGATCTTAGAGTCACTGAGTAAAAGATATCATGTAAGAAGCTTCTGAAGATTACAGAGCTACATTATGGTGAGTGAACCTTAAAAGGAGAAAAATGTAGGACCTCAAATGTGAGATGAGGATGAATGAAAAAGGATGGTTCAGCTTCTGCATACCAACATGCATACCAAATATTTCCTTATCATCTTTTTCCACAGCATTGCAAAAAAAAATTCTGTTCTGTTATTTATGGTGGTTATGAATGCAAATCAACACCACCTACACCTACACCTGTGTTTTTTGATGCTTTAGTTAAACAGACACAGACATGCCATGGGTCAGATGTGATGTATGTCTAATTCAGAAGCTGAGCAGAAGCCATGGACAGATTCATTCCTGGGGGCCTCAGTAATAAATTCTCAGAGTGACACGTCATATATCAGACAGTCTAATGAAATCCACATGGACAGAGAGGAAGGCTGGAGGGTAACACACTGTAACTCATGGCAGTGTGGTCATATTAAACTGCTTAGCTGACACCTTCAGTGTGAGTGACTCAGGACTCAGGAGGTGAGTCATGAAAAGAGCAGGTGGAATCAATAAGGCATAGTGAGCATTAAATAACAGCTAGACATATGTGATAATAGATGAGTTAATTCATCAACCCACACTGAAAGGATGTTAGGTGAAGAACTTAAATGGTGCTGCTCTAATGATAACAAGATGATATGAAATTGTATTTATAGTGCACTTATCATAACTCAAACTTTGCCTTGCTTTTATCTGCTGAGTCTGAACTGGTGTGATTTGCACCAGTTGATTTACAACATAAACGTATGAGAAATCAAACTTAGCATATGCTTTTCTCAGATCCTCTCTGAGCATTTGACCTGAAGGTGGTGCCAGAAGAAAGCTTATAAATGCTGGACTGACTTAGTTTTAAGTAAGTTCTTTGATGAAATATCCTGAAAGTAGCTCAGCATCTTTGAGGGTTTTGACTGTGGAAATCCAGAAACCTTACCGTACGTTTGGGATCTGACATGCATAAGCTTCAACAACATTTTAGTAAATAAGTTTGTTTATGTTTATAGGATGTGTTCTGTTTTTTTTTAAAGAGCTGATATCAATAAGACATAGTGAACATTAAGTAACTACAGGTAAATGAAAAAATATTCAAAAACTTTCAAAGTTTTGCAGAGGCCATTTATTTTATATGGGAACCCTAAGCAGACAAACAGCCATACAATATATTTACGTAATTTCTTTAACGAGTAAAGCTCTTGTGAGGAGTTCTTTTTAACATTTCTGAGATAGACTGAAATTCATATTGATGCCTTTTTACGACTGCCGTAAAAGTCCCTTGTCTTTAGTTTGTGGAGTTGTTGAAGGACCTGACTGCCGTGTTTGAGCAGTAGCTTGATTGAGAATGCTCACCTCCCAGGCTTTTGGGGTACCAGGCCTTTGATCTGTCCCTGCATGGCGTCCTGAATGTTTCCTGTAGAGTAAAGGCCTATGGGGGTGTTGTAGGACGTACTGACCACCTGACGCGTGTCATCGATGTTAGCTGCCGCAACAAATGGCTGAGCTTTCCGGTTGTGACCTGTGCCGATGGGCTTATATTCCTACAGGCAGAAAAAGCAAATGTAAAAATTCTGCGACAATGTAAATCAAACAGCAAACATGATCTTGAACTGACATGAATGACTTTCTCTGACTCGCCCCACAAACCTGCTGCTCTGCCTCCAGATTCATCTTGTATGGGTGAGCTCTGCCGTCCTCCACGACACGGGGAGACCACATTCTGGAGTCATTCCTGCAAAATGAAAAGATCATCATAACATCCCTGACGAATGTACTGCTGAGTCTTCTTTTTTGAACCAGTGAGTACTGATGAGTCGCCTTTAATTCTCAGCTGTCAAACATCAAAATTGAGGCCAAAGCCTCTGTTTATATGCAGGCCTTTTCCTGTCTAAAATACTTAAAACTATCTGAGTTGGGACTCTGACTAAATTAAGCAAACTAAAGTCATTCAGCATTACAAATTAATGTGATTTTTTTAACCTGCTGGAGACTTGTGTCATGATTCAATCCACAAAATAAAGGAATAAGCATAGGAGCATTGCTAAAAAAGGATAAAACTAGATTGAGAAAGGGTTAGGAAGCTTAATAAGTTAAGCTGTTTGACAGATGTCTTCATTCTTCCACTATCACTTCCAATAAGTATAAAACAGAATAATTTAAACTTCTCAAAAGCTAAATTTATAGGAATTAAATGATAAATTTTTGGGGACATGAGATGACTGGAAGGCACAGAGTTATGCTCCTGTTCCTCTGACTTTCATTGTCTTTGAATCTCTTTTTTTTTTCTCTGAGGAGCTGTGTGAGGTACTTGTTAGAGGTAAGTGTGTTATCCACAGAAGACACCAGACAGCTTAGACACTTTATGGAGAATCTTAATAGACTGATTAGCTGAAACTGTTCCAGACAAAGTGGCTCTCCGATGGCAAAGTAAAATGGGGTAAATTTTCCTCTGGTATTGGTGTTTCTGTCAGATTTCCTCATAATTAGCTCAATTATGTGACGAAATTGCCCCCATCTGCAGCTGTTGATTGCCTTGTTTCTGTGACATTGCTCCAGCTGGCTCAGTGCAGGGGCTGAGCTGACCGGTGGGTAATAAACTCTGTATTAACCTCATTCCTCATACCATCCCATTCCACTGGGGAAAAAAAAGAAAAGTAGACATGCATGGCTGTAAGAAGACAGAGGTTTTGCAAATCAGTGTGTGTTATGGGACTGCAAAGCCGTTAATGACACAACAACAACCATCCAAAACAGCACTACAACAACAGCTGTTAAACTGGAGTTCAATTTCAGTCCCAGCTGTCTGACATCAAAAGGAACAATATGAGTTTTAAATGCAAACTTATCCTATAAAGCATGATGAACATCTATTACATGTCATGTGTGCTGTGCAGGTGTTGCCTTTACTGGGTCCACCACCTGTTTGTGTGTGCATGCTTTCTCTTTCTAACCTTTCGACAGTGAGAGAGAGCTGGCTGGTGGCCTCTTTAATCTTGTTCTGGGCTTCACAGTGCAGCATTTCTGTAGCTGGGGCCCCCTCGATGGCCAGGATGACGTCACCGGGACACAAGTTTGCTACAGCGGCTTTACTGCCGGGGGTGATCTATAACACAGCAGGACAGGGATTACAGGGTCAGGATTAGAGTCATTGTATGGGCCAGGTATGTATGCAGGTATAAGGAATTTGATTTAGGAATAACTTGCTTACAAGCATCAAACAAGAATAAATCATCAAGTGCTACCATAGAAGCAAAAAGTATCAGAACATATCGAATAATATACGATAGAGATAAACAGAAAATAATAAATTAATTAATAACACAAAGATAAAATCACGGAATTTCACAATGTCAGAGTAAGGAAGAGACAGAGAGACATTTTATTCATTGTTTCTAAAAACAGGTTGGATATTTTGTGTTTCAGTTCGTGTGGGTTGGGTAAGCACCTTAACAATTTCATTTTCTGAATCAGTTAGTAGACTTGTAAAGTCAAACACAAAATTCAAACCCTGCACAAGCATTCAAGATGACTATAGAGAAATAAACAAGGTTGTTGCTGATAGTGTTGTTTGACAAAAACAGAAAGTTTCTTGTAGGAGTTTTAAAGATACTGTGAGTAGTTTTTATCTAGGGACCAAACAGACTGGTATCAAAACTGATGATTCTTCATAACTAACAAAAGCAAACAAGTCCACAAGTCTGATTGTTTCTGACAAGTTATTTTGATGTCTAAAATTATCAGTATTTTTGTTTTACATTTTCCAAGAAGATTTTAGATGAGTGTTAAAATAGTGTGAGACAAAAAAACAAAAAACCCCCAAAATACTATTTACACAAGAACATGCCAAAACCAGCAAAAACTGAAGATGTTCCCTTTTGTCCACAGAGGGGCGCCAAAATCTACACAAACTCAAAGTGCCTTACAGGTGTTTTAAGTCGTAAACACACATATCCATTAAAAAATGTTATATTACAATTTAAAAAGGGCTCTTCAGTACTTGCAATCAGTGTAAATAGTTAAAAATGCAGTGAGTCAGATTTTTACTAAAGTTAATTTAAAGAAACCTGTGAAGAAACTTTGACTTGCTGCATGATTTGAGGTTTTGCAGTGTAATGTTGTTCAGTTTTGGATGAAGGAAAAACATTTCCACTTTGCTGACACTGTGGAAAATGTAAAATTTCTGTAAGAAGTAAGTATCACGCTAAATATGTTTAATAAGAGCATGCATCAAGGGTTGATTTGGCTTTGAACTCACAAGTCTGATCAACTTTTATCTGGGACCAGAGTAAACATTTCATTGACTATCTCCAGCCGTTCATTAAAGTTAAATGAATCCTTTTTAAGTCCAGCCTGGTGTATATTCTTTGGCTTTCTGATAGAAGCCATTTGTCACCTTTCTCCTTTAGATTTTTGTTAATAAAAGTTCTACACTGTTCATGAAACAAGACAACACCTGACCTGAAAAATGACAGAACAATTAAATTTTCTCTTTTTGTGTCTCTATAAATCAATACCAGTGCAGTACAGGTTACAGGGGAAGCATAATGATAAAAGGTTCTGGTCTGTTCTCTGTTAACAGCACATCATCTGTCAGTACAGGACTCAGCTGTGAGGCTTGTCCGCATTCCCTCGCTGGGATCACAGCTTTGTAGGATTCATTTGTCTTTCTCTAGAAATGTTATGCCATAAATCGCCTTAAATTTGATCAAATATACTCTGAAAAACACAACCTTTCCTCCAAGATGCATCTGCAGAGTTTCTGTTATACATCACCCCGTCTGGTGTACATGCATGTTAACTGCTTGTCTTGTGTCTGGTAGATAAAATAAATACACACTGCTTCCCACTGAGTGACAGTATCCAGATGGAAGAAGTTTTCTGCAGCACAGGAAGTGATGAGGAGGAATAAGAACTCCCAGAAAGCCACTGGGGTCACCGAGGAGCCCTCAGGGAGCAGCTTCAAACCAAACCCAATGTTTCCACTTCCACTACACGCACACACACACTGAAGACGTGATCTATCCTCAGACAGATTGCGTTATTAGACAACTACACATCGATGTTACACTTAAACTCCAGTGAGGTCATGTGCCTATAAATAACAGCAGATGAAAGTGCTGAGGGGATGTCTCATGCTGCCAAACAGGGAGCAGTAATTTACAGTGGAGCATTTTTGGACGGCTGCTGTCGGACTGTTACTGAATCTGAGCACCTTCAGGATTTTGATTGGAATCTTTTGTTTCCAAGATGCTTAAATGTTGTGTCAAACATTTTACTCACCCATCTTTTAACACTCACCTTTTTTCTCTGTCTGTTTTCTCTCTTACTTTTTTCCTATTTTTTATCTCCCCACTTTCCTAACTGCTTTTCTTGAATTAGGCCTTTCTTCGTCTGTGTTTCTTTGTGTTTTTCCTTTCACATCTAAATGCCTTTTTCTGATCTTTTTAACTGATCTCCAAGCATCAAAAAAGAAGAAACAAAAGACTGCTATCCCTAAAGAAGTAGCACTCTTCAGTTTGTCCCTAAATGTACCACAACAAAGCGCACAATCACACCTCTAGACTAGTTCCATTAAGTGGCTTGATTTGTTTTTAAGAGTGATTGACTGGCATTGTTTTGTATAAATTAAAAAAAGGGCTTTTTCTGTGTGAAAAATTAACTTATATTTAAAAAAAGGTGAGAAATTAGACACCAAAGAAGAGGACTAGATAACAGGATCATATGCAACAGTTTAAGTATTGAACTGAATAATGTTGAATCTAACCTTTTAGTAAAAAAGGTCCTTCTCGGTGACAGACTGAGTAATCCTCTGATCCTGCACATCCTGCCATCTCTGCAGGAGAATTATAGTGTCTTCAAGCACATTGTCTCGGTTTGACAGTTTTTTTGATTTACCATCAACACCATCTCTACTCCCCATATTTCCTGTCCTCAATGCAAGCTTCAAGCAACAACCTCCAGTGGTAAAAAGCAGAAATGCAAAAAACTGCAGTTCCTGATGTGTCCACCTGAGGCAAGAGCGAAGGAAAGGCTACTAACACCATGTTAAAAAGCCCAATTCTACGGCCACAATGACCATGTTGACAGTCTTGTACCAAAGTGTTTTTTAAATCACACCAAATGCAAATAAAAATATTTACTCATATAATTCTCGTTCCATTAAGATGTGATAAATCGTGTCTGCAGAGCCGTATGACTAACACAAGAGAGGAAGGATTCCAGGTCATGTCAGTCTATTTACATCAAACATGACTGAAGTTGTCTACATTGTGGGCTATTGTTGTGTAATCTGCAATAAGCAAGTGCACAATGAAGGTGTTGCGAATTGGCCTCATTCGCATGTATAATTCACTCAATTGGCTCAATTCGTGCCACCTCATTGGAGTCAGTTGGAGTCCCACCTCAGCTCCATCTCTTTGCCTGTAGTGTTTATTAACTCTGCTCCAGAAACTAAGGGGTGACATCGCTGAGACTCCACTTATATTTCATACTCTCTACAGTTCTGACTTCAGCATGGAGCCCTCAGTTTCTGTATTTTAGGTACAAAAGACACATATAGAAAAGGCTACGGTATAACCTGTGAACCATAATAAAAACAACTCATACATCTCCCAGAATGCCTCATGATTGTGTTTCTGTAGAGTCTCCCTGGTTATTAAAAGTCCTTCCTTTATAGCAGATGCTTACTCTCTACTGTGGGTTTGTTGTGACTGTTTCAGCCTAAGACAACTCTGATGATATCAGAAGTGTTGTTTCTCAAACCGACCAACTTCCTGTGCTGCGACCGCAAACAGTACACAGCTGTTTTCACAGGATCAGTTGTTCTCTCACGGACATTAACATCAAGTAAACTGATCTTGAAGTGTAAATTTGGTACTGAGCCCCTCTGAGGCGGCAGAAACAGACGATAATCACTTGTGTTTACTTTCCTGGAGCAGCTGGGAACATCAGCGGCTCATAAAGAGGGAGATGTTCCTGACCAAAAATGGCAGCGGAGGGAGACACTGGATTCTCTCTGTGCTGAAACAAATCCTGAAGGTTCACTGCTGCAACTATTCCTTTTGTTTTAAGCTGATTATATCTGTAAGGTGTTCTTAAATTGCATCATTAATAATGATAAATCAGAGTAATGGTAGATTGTTTCTGTTCCTGTAAAGCGCTGTTGGTGTAACTCCAATCTTATAACTGCATAGAAAAAAAGTTTCATTAATTTGACATTTGTTTGTTTTGATTGGAAAACCAAGAACAGATAAATAAGCAGAGAAAGGCAGATAAGGTTGATGACGCACGAAAACTAAAATCTATGGTACGACAGAAATTTACACTGTTTGACACATGGTATGAGATACAGTGATGTATGACGTTTAAGAACTGATAAATAGAAAATAAATGTAACAGGCTGTGACTGTGAATCAGCAGAGAAACCAGGGGCAGGACTGTTCACTTAGTTTTATTTCACAGATGGAGAAATTATTCAGTTTAATGTGAATATTAATAATCGAGTTAGCTTGTTGAAGAAGCCTGTGTGATAAAAAAAAAGGTTGCAGCTCATACTGTTAAACTATCAGTAGTGGTGGGCACGGCCATTCTTTTAGATGTAATGAATTACTAGAATCAGTTCACCTAAAAGATTTGTTCAAAAGATTCGTTCACCGAATCACTGAATCATTCAGCACTTGGTGGGAGGAGACTGTGACTCATAGCTTCTAGGACCGGGAGATGAGAGTGTTTGGCTGTGTTGCGTTGACAAACAGGTTTGTAAAAATGAACTTGTTTATTAGTCATGATGTTTTAAGTGTACTGTCCTATGGTATGCTATTTATCAGGTCTGCTGGGTAAATTGGGCTCAGAGAGTGATTCGTTCTCCGAACATTTAGAAGAATTCAAACTGAACATGCACCGTTCCCTCACAAACCACTGCAGTGACAGGGTGCTGTTACATGCTGTGTCCTACTGTATGCAAGTTGTTGTGGTGACAATTTAGCAGTAAAAAAAAAAAGTTAGTTTTGTCTGACAAAAAATGACTCGAGAGTTTAGTTCAATGCGTGATTCGTTTACCAAGTGATTCAGGCGTCGGTGCATTCGGTCCCTCGTTCGCTGGCTGCTCGCTTGGCAATGCTGCGTGTCATAGCAGCTGCGCTCATCTGAAGTGAGAAACGAACGAATCACTTGAGGCCGTGATTCGGTTCAGTACGTTCACTTAAATATTTGGTACTTTTGAATGAATCGTTTGGGAATGACACAACACTATCTTTCAGAGTACTTCCAAAGGGAGGAGGGAGTGCTGTTGCATATTTTGGCTCTTCTTGCTTTATGCATGAACCCCCCTTCTGGCTCACTGCAGTAAAGCACACAGCTGTCCTGCAGGAGGATCAATCCATAATGCTGTACCCCTGATAACTCCTGCTCCTCCCTTTCCCCTTACAGCCCCCACACAAGCGCACAGGTAACATAAGAAGATCACAGGACTTATGAACTATCTAGCAAAGATTTCTAAGATGCCTAACAGTACTAAGTGGGTGCATTATGAGACACGATACAGTAGAGAGTGGGAGAAAGTAAGTTTCTCAAACGGAGTGGATCTTACCTCCAGCTGGAGACGAGTTAAAGGCATTTGGGGATAATGTCTACACTTCCAGGGTTAAACAAAACCTCTCTACTTTGTGTGTGGTTCCTGTTCACCTGGTCAGGGTTTCACAGCCTGATTAACTTATCATGAAATGCCTCTTTCCCTCTCTCTCTTTCTAGTCCATCGCACCATAAAGCTTCTCATACTACAGCTCAAATACAGTTAACTGACCCTGGTTCCCCTCTGTCCTCCTTCATCCCAGTCCTCTCTCTCATCACTCTTCTCATATGGACCGCAGACACAACAGGTGTGAGGTTATTTGACAGAGCAGAGGTTTGGAGAGCTAACTATGCTTTTAGTCTGTGTGCTCACCCACTGAGAGATCACCCCCTAAATATAGTCACAGTGGAGCAGGATTACTGGCTCTCTTCACAGCTGATCCTGTGTGACACTGAGGATACACAACATTAACTCTGACTACCGATTAAGACGTCACTGGTCTTCATCAGAACTGTGGATTCTGTCATAAACATACATTTTCCAACTTGTGAGACATACAATGAGTAAGTCATACATGATGTAATTGTGAAAGATTATAGTAATTTTTTTCCTTTTTTCTGGACTATACAAGGAAGTTTCTTGGGTGTCCTGACATTTGAGTTGCATATCAGCAATTTAACATATCAATATTTCAGTGTGATGCTGATGGCTCCCATGAGACTAAAATGGAAGCTTACTCATATTTTTTACCATACACAGCATAATCACAGGGCTGGTGTCAACTGCAGTTTAGAGGCAGACACCAGTGCTACTGTTGTTACTTCACATGAACATTTACATTTATGACCATACTGACTCTATAAACAAGTTATCACGGACCTCAGAGGGTAATAAACTCAAATTTTTATACAAATTATCTCTGCCAGATCTGATAAGGCAAGTGCCAAAGACTGTCTTGTCTCCAATGAACTGAAAATGACACATTCAGCATCTTCACATCTTCAGTGGAAATGATCAACACGTAACCAGTCAACAGCTCTTTCCAGCAAAAGTCTGACTAAGCATTAAAGTTGAAATTTAAATGAGTTAGTTAATTTTTGGGGTTGTAAAGATGTAGGCTTCACCTCCCTAAAGGAGAGCTGCTTTGATTCCTGTTGTGCAAACAGAAACTTTGAGTGAGCTCTTAGTGAAGTTAGAAGCTGCAAACTTCTGATTTTTATTGTAAATGTTCTTTCTTGCCCTAGACTATGGACAACTTTGTTTCGCCTTCCACCAGTACACAGATTCAAAGCCAAAAAGCTCTCTGTATTTCTGCGTTTTTTCTTCACTTCCCAAAACCAACATTGCGCAGTCACGTTGTACGTATTCAGTGGGAGAGCCACCGAGAGTCGCTGTGATGATGCGCCGCTCAAACAGCGTATCCCCTTGGGTGAGCTACGCAATCTTCGTATGCCCATAGGCTATATCAGGTGTCAATCATAGAAAACATGAACCCCCTAATAACTTTAAAAAAAAGAGCTGTACAGAAAAAAGAGGACCTGAGCACAAACCAGTCTGACAGTAACTACATGTCAACATCGCAAGCAAAGGGGAGAAAAAATTATGGTCTGTGTAATAAATTTCTAAAGTTTGTCCACAGCTCCATTAGGATGGCTGGAGGAGGCGGGATTTATGACCTATACTGCAGCCCATCACCAGAGGGTGCTGTTGTCGCAGTGGCTTCACCCAGCGAGGCGGCAGTCACTGTCCATTCAATATCTAGACTATGTCTGATACACCAAGAGAACAGGCAACCAACCCAGCAACATAAAACAAACCATTAAAGATCCATGAATTGAATAAAGAAAACACTTCTAACAGGATCTTTAACTCGGTGATAAAACAGTAGAGATCCTTCCAGTTGGTACAGACCATAGTGTCACAACTGCTTGAGTGGGTCCAAAGCAACAACTCCTGATTATGAAAGGTTCCTAGACTCCTCTGTTAGTGCTGGGGTGTTACCCCCTTCAGTCTGCTTATTCTGTACACACAATGCCATAGAAGCCGCATATGCCATCAATCATAGCTGGAATAAATGAGCCAGTAAGGCTAAACTATCGCTTCCTTATTCGGAAAAGATGACAAAAATATTCTTCAATCAATTTCAAACTTTTAAATAATTCATTTTACTAGAAACAACTTGAGTCTAATTGTTTCTGGAAAACATGCAATATCTCTAAAATAGGTCTAACTTTTACAGCCCAAGCACTGCAGCAGTTACTTCAGTTTTGTAAATGAGTGATTTGTGTCATAGCACAATGGCACGACTAAAGTATTACAGACTGTAAAAATGATACCTGTGTGAGAATGGGTGAGGATTAGTGTAAGGGTGGTGGATTATTTATCTCCTCATTTGTGTTCTTTCATATCCTTGGAGGTAAAATTTAAGACACTAGCGACTGAATAGCCAGACAATTTTTACATAACACAAAAGGACAAATTACAAAGTCATAAGTTGTGTTTGATTTAAATAGCAGGACTGTCTTATGGTAAATGTAGCCTCGGAGTTCACCTCTAAGTTTCCCATGCTGCTTTTTTGGAGGAGACATGGCTCAGACACGACAAGAAACTTAGTGTTCAGAACACTGACCCGACAAAATTAACATCATGAATGCAGCCAAGCTCACGTTGTATACAGCACAAAGCTCTCTCTGCTGGGTGAATTCAACATCACCAATCAACCTGATGAGAGCTACTGCATCTCTATACAGACTCAGAGCAAGCTGGTAAATAAAAACAGGCATTTACCGTCAACCAAGAGAGATAAAAACAGGAATACAGTTTTCTCTCATCAAACTTTGCTTGTTGGAGAGTTGTGCTGTAACTTAGAGTCTTACATTAATGTTGCTTTTGCAGCTGTGTTAACTATTTATAGCCCACCCACCCACCCAATATGACCACTAACTGCCAATGCATAGCATTACACTCTTTCATGAAGCATCAGATAACTAGTTCTCACTGCATTTGGCAGGACGGTCTATTCTCTGATACTATAACTATCTGTAAAGGTGTGCCACAGGGCTCCGTATTAGGTCCCTTTCTGTTCACTATTGTGTGAACAATTTTGGGTGAATTGTACCGAAGACTAGAACAACCATGATTTTTTTTCTTTGTTTTATGCATTTTTTGTTATGTCGAGATAAAAAAAAACTGTTATCACAAGAAACCAAACTTCACGAGATAACAGTACATAAAAAGAAAAGAAAGATCAGTAGAAATGTATGCTACATTTCAATTTTATGTTGTTTTTTTGTGCAGTTGTGTACTGCCATCTTGGCCAGGTCTATCTTAAAAAAGAGATTTTCAATATCAATGGGACTGGTCTTAGAGAACAGTCTGAGAAAAATGGACATTTGGACATTAATCTGTGTAAAGAGCTAATTATAATGACATACGGTTAGAAAAAAAAAATTATTCGATTTTAAAATTTGATTCATGTCACATCTGTCAACATGGCAGAGACCTTATGTTTTGGCATCACTATATTTGTCCTCTTGGTTTCTTTACAACTTATTGTCATAACTCCATGTGATTGAGTTGTCTTGCTGTTTTGATATAAACAGGAAATACCATATTAGCTCCAGGAAATGATCACTCTCAGTCAGAGACAAAAATACATCCTATTGCATAAATCTGAGCCTTTGCCTTTTGAACTGCATGTCTTTATATCTTCAAATTAAGTGTTTTTCCAAAGCATATCTAATTTGGTGATGATGATGATTTTCCTCGAGTGAATTATCCTCAAAGAGGAGAGGGGATGTGTCATCTTTCAGCCCTGCCTGTGCTGTCAGTCTACAAACACGACAAGCTGCATGATGCTGCCTGCTGACCTTAAGCTGACATTTACAAGCTCCTGAACAGCTGAAACATTATAACACACACATACTGTAACACTGTGCTCATCCTCTACAATAACTGATAACTTCATCTTCAGCGTGTCGCCGTCAATTTCATGAGCGTCCTGTAGAATAAATGTCTAAAGTTATCAGGTGGGGTATTTAGCCTTTCTTCGTTTATAGACTTGAGTAAACACCCTCTGCAGGTCTCTTTTGGCAGAAAATCAGAACCGCATGCTGCCCTCAAATTCTTCCACCTAAAATCCCCTCAACAAGACATTTGTGTGTGTGTGTGTGTGTGTGTGCACATTTCAGAGTACAATGTAAGCTGCTATTTGTATCTAAGCCTCTTGCATTTGCTGTGGCACAGGTGCAAACCTCATACCACACCGAGCCCAGACAGATTCTTTGGAGAATGAACCCTTCCTGGAAATGTGATGTTGATGCCGGACTGGATTTCAAACGGATTTAAGTTACATTTTTGACATTTAGTCAAAGATCAAATTCTTGATCAAAGCGATTGCAAACAAAAATGGACGAAAGGATTAGAAAGAATGTAGAGAAGGTATGCAAGTCTGCAGATTAACTTTTTTGTTATTCAGAGCATAAAAAGTAAAAAAAATTGAAGAGAAAGATGCTTGTTACAAAGCTCTGCTCAAACTTACCAAACTCCACTCATAAAAAGCCAGTTTTTACCAGGCAAAAAAGAGGAGTCACCTCATTGTTTTTCTTTCTCTGACAAAAACACCAAAGTGATAAATGACAGAAATAACCAAACAAGGTAAGAGTAGATGAGCAACTCCAATGGTCTGAAAGGTAAAATGACAGTTTTTGTCAATGGAGTTTGGTGGTTTTGGAGAGAGTGATGTTATAGTTGTTTCTGGTTTTAAAAAAAGCATCTTATTTATCACTCGCTCAGTTTTAGAGGGAAAAAAAAATGAAAGCAGAGTATATTTCTTCCTCAGATCTTATCATTGAGACATCCTGTCACTTACTCACCCTGGAGATGGTCAGCGGCTGGTTGAAGTCCTTCCCTCCGGTCAGCCGAAACCCCCAGGGGGCCGGACCGTCCAGCACAACATTGAGTGGCATGACCCTTTAATGTCTCCCCTCCCTGCTGTCAGATCACAACAGTACAGAGAGCGAACAGTGCTGTGAGGAGCACAGTTAAAGAGTAAAGTGATATCAAAGTGATGGAGGATTTGAATCCTGTGGGCGGGCGCAGAGGGAGGAGAAAGGACAGACACCACCCAGGGGAGTGAAGTCATTGGTTAGATTTTAGGAACTGGCTACCAACACTTGTTTCTCAGTTTCTGTTGAATACTTTACCTCATCTGTTCTTTACTCTCATCAGGTAAAACCCCATTTTTAGTCTCGACAATCTACCGAAACTTCAGTCATTTTAACCCATCGTCGGCTTGGCCTCTTTGTGTACTTACATGGATACTTACAGTGAGGATGTAAACCAGCCCCCTCCTTCACATCTCTCTTCATCCCCAGGCAGCTCACGGTCTGGCTGGCCTCATCTCGCTCCGGTTGACGGGTCCTGCTGCTCCTGTCCTTATTTGGTCTGGTGGCGCAGCTCCACTTGGAGGCCCAGTAGGTCCCAGAGGAACATTCCAGCTACTATTGATCTGGATGGGACCCAGGATCTGTACTTACTGCTGAGCTGGTCAACAATTCATATTTCACACATCATCATCTTTATTAGTGTTTGTACTAGAAACTGGTGGTTCTTGGGAGTTATTTTTAATCTCTGAAAGAGTTCTGAAAGAGCTCGACATAATATCAACGTTTATCCCAGCCAGCTGTGGAGGAAAAGTCTCTCTTTTTACCCTGTATCCCTCACATCTGCACTATATCCAAGGTTTAGAAAAAGCACCAAACAATATCACTAAAAAACTTAAACTGAAAGTGAGGCATTACAATCTGTGTGGCGCATGTTTCCATCATGTCAAGATTAAGTAAAAGGCCAGTTTAAACAAGTCTACAATTAGGAAATACACCACAACATCTATCATCTGTGCAGTGTTGACAATCTTGTTCTGTAGGCGTACTTCAAATTGGACCAGATTTATGGTTTGTTCCTGCAGTTGCCACGGTGATGTAACACCCTGACAAATAAGGGCAATTGATGATGATGTATTCATACTCCAAAGTTACTGTGTGTTCCTAAACTCAGTTTAACTCCTTCCTGGGTCAATAATTCACCACTGCAACAAAAGCATGATCACACAGAATCATAAACGAGGACAGTCCTGTCTAATACACCAAAAATCTGACCAATAAACTGTTTAACTTAAATATGAGAGTTTGCATCGATCAAGTCTTTTAAATCAGAGGTTCCCTGCAAAGTTTTTGTTGCATTTATCAGCCAGCGTTTCACAAGGAAGAAAAGCTTTGAATCCTGGTGAAGTGATTTTAAGATTTACATAAATCTGAGACTAAATAAACTTGTAGTTGCAAATCTGAAATCTTGCAGGTTTTTCCAAACTTTTGAGGCTCAATTAAAGCATTGTAAAAATGTCATATGTGTTACTACATCCAGAAATGATGTCAAAGTGAGCTGTGAAACAAAGGTTTCTTTAACTTCACTGTAGCAGGCTGAGAAGTCAAAGACACTCGAAGCTAACGCTAAACTACTTACTGTTCGGTGGTATTGTCGACAACATCTGGTTCTTCTCTCTGCAGTTTTCATCAACTATTTTTGAAAAATGATTTCAAATATCATCAACTTACTTCACACACGTCCAGGAAAACTCCCCAAATTTTCAGGGCGAGATGCATGTGAATGTAAATAGCAAAATTTTCCACCATCTTTACCCAGAGTTTTTCATTTAAGCCCCTTTGTCAAATTAACAAGAGGAATCAGGTGTGAAAGTCGGTAATGGTGAGAAGGTTCTTTCCAGCAGCCAAAAACTGTCATGATAGCATCAGACTGTGCTCCCTATCATATTGGGTATAATCTCAGCTGTTTAGACCAACAAAAAAAACGTTTAAGTTGAATGAAAATCAAACTTGTTTCCCTTTAGAGCAGTTTACATCATTTTCAGGCTCAAATTGAAATCATAAGAGCATTTTGGTGAAGGCTTGTCTGTGAAGATGGAGCACTACTACTACTAGGCAACAACCTTAAGCTCACAGTCGAGCATGAATACAGACCAAGAAAGACCACTGCATTGTTGTGTCATTCTTCTCAAAGGTTTTAGAGAGCATGAGAAATATTTTTGACCTTCTGGCTTCTTGAGAAATCACAGGATTTTCATGTATTTTTCTGCTGTAAGTCGTATGGTTAAATGTTTTGTTGAAATACTGAACAGTCACTTGTTAGAGGAGCATTACACTCCAAAAATATGCTGCATTTATCAATTTTACCACGCTTCTTATGCTCTCATTACTTTGAATCTTTACATCTCCCCTTGACTCATTACCACCACCATCTGTCCACGTGAGTAGCTGCATTAAAGTACAGATAAATTTACTGTATACAGGATCACTGCTGTGCATTGAAAGAAAAGTGTTAGAAATTCTGCAGCTGCTTTAAGTGTGAAAAAATTAGATCTTAAATACCGCAAAGCCAAAAGGAATGAATATTGTGAAATCTTTCATCTACTAGCTGGATTTTATTAGCAATACAGCCCCATAAAATCATCCAACAAATACTAGGATATTGTAGAAATACCAAAGTCCAAGAGTGTGCATTGAATTTGATATGAACATGAATAACATAAGATTTACATTTTTATTACATGTATTATAAACATCAGGATCCAAATTATTCTTTTCAGTCCAAATTTGTCCCTAAAGTCGTATCAAAATTGGTTTGATTTTGTGATCATCTCTGTGCACACGGTCAGACACTGTCCTCATGATTCTACTCTATATATGCATAAATTATTTTTTGCATCACAGAAGAGGTTTACATATACAGTACATGGCTATTAACTTAGTGAGTTGGATGTAAGGCAGCAGTCCCCAACTCTACTCACTCTACCTACGTCAGTTTAAATACGTCACTGGCTCTTAAAACAACAAATAACTGGCGGAAACAGGCCTAGAGCCCGGCTACAGCTATAAGACTGATAAAGTGGAGAGTAGCACCACCGATGAAGGATGTGAAGAAAGAAAGAAAGGAAGAAAGAAAGAAAGAGGAAACCAAATGTGATGGTGGGTGAGAAAAAGTTGACTTTATAAAGCAAAAGTGGATGTTGGCCATTTTACAGCTATCATACAAAAGAGTTACAAAACACACACACACACACACACACACACAAGCACACACAAGCACACAGAGTGATCGCACTCCAGCTCAGTCTCTGGATGACAGAAGGTGGCGTATGATGCATGAATGAGAAAACAAAATATATCTTAAGGTGCTTTAACAATTATTTCGTTGTCAGTGTCCATCAGATGTGAAACATGTAAAATGAGAAACAAACAGACATCAATTCATTCAAATAAGCACTTAGCATAAGAAGATAACGTGGAAATCGTCAGTAAGTCCTAAAAGTATACACCTACTTGAAAGAGTGACACGCTCTCTGTGTTAGAAGATGCCTTCAAAGTCTAGTGGAAAAACTGAAACGCCATTTCATCCTGCATCCGCCTTAAATAATTCAACATAAATATCATGACTCCTGGCATGATTATAACCCACAAAAATACCTTGTTATTTGTGTGGACATGACACTTAATAAAATAACCCTTCAAATGTCGCTGCTGCTGAAAGAAATTAAAAAAAAAAAAACAGGTTTTTGCATCTTTTCTGAAACCATCTGTTTGACCAGCACTTGTCATCTCATAAATATAATACCGAAAAGGTTGGCAACATTTTTGCATACTCTTTTTTTTCAAACATGACCAAAATACCCCAAAGCCTCACAGTCCTAACATCCTCTGCTGTGAAAAGTGAAATCTGAGGTTAAAAAAAAATAAAACCACAAAATTGTGTTAAAGTGCATCAATCCTAGAGTGAAGTTGAAAAACCAACAAATGAACAAATATTTGTGTTTCTAATCTTAAACGTTAAATCTATCGGTTAGGTTTAGACAACACAGGCAGCCAGTAATGATTTCCCACTTCCTCATCAGCCATATTTAAAATAACCGCCTAATAATATTGAGTTGTATCATCATTATATCTGCATCCCCACATTCTTAACAATCAATAATAACATCAACTTAATAACACACACTGATGCATGTATGTCATATATCCTTTTACCTGAATTATCATCTGCACAGCTGAAATCCCTTCAATGCATTTCATCTATCACAGACCTGCTGACAAATATCGTTTTTGCATCACTCTGCGCTGAATGTCTTTGGGGATACTTATGATTAGACGCTAAAACCAAATGTTACACGTGTTTCTGAATGTGAGATTCTGCATAAAAATAAAACTCAATCATAATAACTGCCTTAAAACAGAAAGAGAAAGATCGCTGCAGTGCCCTTTTTTTCTGTCAGATCCTTTGATTTCCTTCCAAAGCTGTCAAAAGTTAAAGGTCACTGACTGGAGCACAAAGTTTGGGTTCTCCTTGATAGAAAAATAAGGATAAGAAGATAAGATTAAAAAAAGGATATTATTATTTCATAGAAGTCTTCCATTAAAGGTGGCTAGTTACAGCTAAATGTTCGGTCTGTGTGAAGCTGTCAGCCGCACAAACACTCTAACACAGAAAACGTGCGAGAGGATCTGGAGGATCAGTGTAGGGAGGTGTTGTCCTGCGAGCGCTGTGCTGAAGGTGATGAAGTGTCACAAAGAGAGGCGGGGTCAGAGAGAGGGGAGTCTGGAATCGTCATTATAGCTGCTTCACGTAGTTTCCTGGGAAGGTTCCAAACAGCTTGCTCCTTCGAGAGGTCCCTGTAAAAACAGAGAATGATAAAATCAGTGGTCAGGGCCTGAAACTCTGCAGCTTGGCAGCAGTTGTCGCTGTTACTATTACGGCTGCAGCTCTGGAGGTCAGCCAAACCTGGAGATCAAAAACATGAAAACATCATCGGGGGGAGAGGTTATTATAATAGACTGTAAAGAGAAAATACTCTGGATGTAAAAAGAGAAACAAACTTTAAGTGTGCTCAGCTGTGCAGGATGATGTTGAGCCCTATAACTGGAGCAGTAATAACATGAGGAGTGGGACCACAGTGACATCTAGTGGTCCAAGTTTACAATAGGAAAGTTACCTACTACATTAACAGCATCAGCTATGTGTTCACATTTGCTGCTACATTAGTTTAATATACCAAGTATAGTTCAAGTGTATGAAAACTTGTAATAATAAGGTAATAAGGTCTTTTTCAAGGGGGGCCTGGCCAAGAATGGCAGCAAAGCAGTTTCAAAACAAAAAACAAACACATTCAAACTCACACAGCTCAACATCAGCGACAAGTACAGTAAAAATAAAACGCCAGCTAAAGCAGTGGCATACGGACAGTTTACTTTCAAGTGTTTTCACCAAAGATTTAAAAACACTCAGAGATTGTAATTTAAATTCAGTCTGCAGGTTATTCCATGCAAAAGGAGCAGAAAACCTAAAGGCCTTCATCCCCAGGTCAGTTTGGACTTTGGGAACAGCGAACTGCATAAATATAAATATGAATTCTTGTGAAAGTAACGGAGCAAAGTCTCAATAACAAACAAACAAACAAACAAACAAACTTCACCCTCATAAAGCTGAGTCAGCTCTCTCTTAAAAGCATAACACTACATAAAACCTTATCAAACAAGGTTTTACTGTAGGACCGCTTTATTACAGTCCATTAGTTCTGGATATATATAAATAATTGAATGGCAGCTGAGAGTGTAAACAAAGCCTGAAATGAAAATACTTAGCTAAAGGTACTTAGTAAAGAAGTGTAAAAATAGAGACATCATTGAATATTGATGTTCTTTAATTGAACAGTAAGGCTCCATCCCATTTCTCATTTTTAGCTCCTTTGTGCTCAGCTGTGTCTGGCCAGTGTCAGTCGTAGAAACACTGAACCCAGATGATGTTAGTCTATCTTTTTCTTTATTTCTAAACAACTGTGTGTTCCCCCTCTTACCAACGAACCAGCCGTCGTCACACTTCTCCATCACATCCACAATGTCGCCCTCCCTCAGCTCCAGCTCATCCTCGTTGCGAGGCTGGTAGTTGTACACGGCCTGGTACCTATTTGTGAAAAAAAAAACAACAACAACGGTGAACCCAGACCTGGTGCTCTAAATGAAGATTTAACATTTTCTACGATGATTACGATGATCACCTTTGCTTTTCTCTCCTGTATCCAGTATTCTCTTTGTTATCTGGTGTTTACATAGACTGTATATACTATGGACAACTTGGTTCTGCCTCCCGCCTGTATACAGATTTGAAGCCAAAAAGCTCTCGGTATATCAAAGATTTTTCTTCACTTCCTGAAACCAACATTGCGCAATAGCATTGTACGCATTCAGCGGGAGAGTCACAGAGAGTCGCTGTGATGACGCTCGGCTCAAACAGCGTTTCCCCCAGTGAGCTATGCAATCCCTGAACGCCAATAGGCTGTACCAGGTGTCAATCATAGAAAACATGAACCCCCTAATAACTTTTAAAAACGGAGTTTCACAGAAAAAAAAAAGACTTGAGCACAAACCAGTCTTACAATAACTACATGTCAACATCGCAACCAGGGGGGAGAAACATTTATATTCTGCGTAATAAATTTCTAAAGTTTGTCCACAGCTCCATAAGCTTTGCAGGAGGAGGCGGGATTTATGACCTATACTGCAGCCCGTTAACAGAGGGTGCTGTTCTCGGAGTGGCTTCGCCCAGTGAGGAGGCAGACGCTGTCCATTCTATATACAGTCTATGGTTTTAAACCAATAAGAGCAAATATAAACAAGCAGTTGATGATTACAATCATGCACTCATCCTTTATACTTTGATAAACCTTTAGTTTATTGAAGAGGGATTCATTATTTGTTTTGGGTTAAAGAAAATCACCAGAATAGAAAGTGTAATATAAAAACAAAGGTCACTTACGGGTCTCCTCCACCCTGGAGTGCATCCTGGACTAATCGCTGTGAGGAAGACAGAAAAAAAGGCAGAAAAAGACATCAATAAGCTCTTTTGGAGGGTCTTTTTTAGCCTTCCAGGTGGCTAAACTGAATCATTCATACATAATTGCCTCTTTTAAGTAAGTTATAATGCCACAAACTTCTATTTAAATGCTCTACAACATATTGAACAATGTGGTAGTTCTAAAGATTTTAGGGTACGATCAGAGCATGGTTGAATGAAGACATGCCCCCCTACCCTTCGACCTCTAATGGGGGACATGTAGGACCTCCGGGACAAGATGGGGCTACGGGGAGGTTTACCACCAACAACTGGATCCTGCTTAACAGGCAGAAAAACCAGAAGCAACACACCGATGAGCTTCAACAATAACTGATTCTGCAGGCTTCAATACGAGCTGAAAACCCTGGAGCACAGGGCTGATGACATGCTGCAAAACATCATCCACGAACATGCTGACCACACCACAAACAACCCATGTGAGCGAAACACATGAGAGTTCAACTATATATGCTGCTGTCAAGAACTACCCAAGGCAATTACTCACGTACAATATATGTTAGTGAACAGATCAAGCAAAAGCAGTTTCAGCAACAACTACAACAAATAATTTTGGACATATCTGTGTATCTTAAAGACCCACTCTGATGAAAATCATGTTTTTCTTGTTTTTTCAAAGTTCATTTAGCATTTTTCTGATGCTACAGGACATATCATGAGAAAACTAAATGAGAAATTGCTTTTCTGAGTATTTCTTTATTCAAATCACTGTGAATCTCTGGCAGACCCAAACAGCAGGTTCAGAAACAGTGAGATTTCATACGTAACCAATCCAAGCTCCGCCCCCGGAGCCCCGCTATACAGGCCACATTCTGCATATAGAGGAGAAATAGAGAGGACGATCATGGAACAAGTGTGTGTGTTAGCAGATTGCAATGCTCGTAAGAAAGCTAGTTATGATTTATTGTGTCCTTAAAGACATTAGTGTCCGAGAGTTGAATAGTTCCAACATCAGTAATGTTAGGCTGCAAGCTAACGTGAAGACGAGTGTGCAGAGCAGCGCTGTCTCTGCCCACGACTCAGAGGCAGATTGATAATGATCTACCAGAGCTCCGCAGAAGAAAAACCCTTGAAATAGGTAATGTGATTTTTGGTAAAAACTTCATAATCACAATTTAAAGACCACTGAGAACACTTGAAGTAGTAAAAAAATACGATCTGAGTGGGACTTTAAAGCTGGGCAATTAATCCGATTTTACAGTCTGGGCCCCCAACAATCATCAACAGCAGAGTGTGGGTACGGCCCCTCCCCTTAAACAAATCTCACTTTCCTTCATCATAAGCAGCTCAGATCAATGTGAAACCAAGTTTGGAAGCACAGGGAAGTTGCATCTCTCTGTGCTCAGAGAGGATCAGGAGGAGGATGGTGTGTGTTTCCTGTTTCCTATGTAAAAGCTGAGGGACAGAAGAGCACCAAGAGAGAGACTGTAGTGCTAACGAGCAAGCATTGGTGCTAACGGGCTAACTGCCAGGCTAAAATGTGTGAGACGACGCTTTGAATCATAACAAAATACAAGCCAAAGTCTTGATGTTATAAAAGATGTTATATGTAAGAGCTAGAAAAGACTGAAGGACTTTTTCAACCTGCAGCCTGTGATAAAATGTAAAAGAGCTCAAACCCTTCCACTTTTTATGAAGCAGTTTGCTGCAAGTGAACTCTGGCATTTAATTGAGTGAGTTTTATCACCAAAATTAAGCCAAAGTGATGCATGGTCCTGTCAATGGTACATACTATCTGCTACTAGTTAGTGAAAGTCCATCATAATTTACTACAGCCCATGTGAGTTCTTTAGAGTACGTGTTAGTCCAACCAACAGTGAAACATGTAGACAATGACATTGAATTAAAAAAGAAATAAGACTGTCATGGCAATTTCTCCACATAAATACCACAAAGATTAATGATACAGTCTGTTATAAGTTCAAACACTGTCCAGCTTTTCAGCCACAAAGAAGAAGAGGCAGTTATTTTAACAGATGAGTTCTTGTTATAATCCTGGACACTGCACACAAAATCTAACTCAAAGCCATTATCTTCACATTCCAGCTTTACCTTCACCTTGGGAGACCTACGTCCGTGATGAGGTACAGTGGGGGGAGTGGGGGGAGAGCGTGGGGTGGCTAGGGGAGGGGAAGGAGGTTTAGGGGGAAGAGGGGTAGGCGATTCTGCGTTGGGGTAGGACATGACGGGATGAGAGCTGGAGACAGAGTGCTGTGAGGGAACGTTCGGAGAGGGGTGAGAGGAGTGGAGGGGAGAGGGTGAGACAGGTGGAGTGGGAGACACTGGAGGCAGCGGTGATGTTAGGAGGCGAGGGAGGGACGGTCGAGGGGAGACAGGGGGAGAGGGAGGGATGGTGGGTCGATCCTGTCGTTGCGTATGAGAGCGGGAAGAAGGGGGGGTAGTGACAACAGGAGGAGAGGATAAGGAAGATGAAGGAAAAGAAGAAGAAGAAGAAGGGGAGGTAGTGACAACAGAAGGAAAGGATAAGGAAGATGAAGGAGAAGAAGAAGAAGAAGGGGAGGTAGTGATAACAGGAGGAGAGGATAAGGAAGATGAAGGAGAAGAAGAAGAAGGAGGGGAGGTAGTGACAACAGAAGGAAAGGATAAGGAAGATGAAGGAAAAGAAGAAGAAGAAGAAGTGGAGGTAGCGATAACAGGAGGAGAGGATAAGGATGAAGAAGAAGAAGAAGAAGGAGGGTGAGGTAATGAAGTTGGAGGAGGTGATACAGGGGTTGAGGGAAGGTTTGGGGAAGACAGCTGTGTCAGAGCGGGAGGGGAGACATCATCCTATGGAGGTAATGACAAACAAATCACTTATGATGCTAAATCAGACGACATGCTAAGGAACTTAAGAAGTCTTTCTGATGAAGCAAATGTGCTGATAACAGAGGTCTGGAAAGGAGGAGGAGGACATGAGCACAGCCTTAGGTCAGGTAGACGACAAAGTCAAGATCAGCCAACAGAACATCTTAATCTTAAAGTCAGCCCATTTCACCTGACAGACGATTATCTTCACATCAGCTGATCAGTTTATGTCAAAATGGGTCTGTTCTGCAGGGAAGGGGGTTTGCTCTTGCTCCAGGCTACGGCATTTCTTGTTTGCCTGTGGAGGGGCGGGGACTGCTCCAAACAGAAATGTACTGCCCAATTTTAACTTACGACATGGGAGTGAAAACTCTTTTGGACTAAAACTGTCATCCAGGCTGAAACTGATTCACAAAGAAAGTATAAAAGAGCCCTCTTTGAATCTCAGGCAAATATTCTTGTGGCTAAAAAGAAGCAAGCTTGCATGGATCCTAGGTGATGCACCTACGCATTACAGATGTCCCTGAAGTTATCATTAACATGCTTGCTTACATTATCAAGATGGTCTGGCAGCAGTTACTATGACGCGCAAGCATTAATAATCAAAAATCTAACACTCAAACCATAAAGATAGTTTATTATTACAGCAGTCTCATTTATGGATTATATATTCAGATAACGCTCCTGTGCAGAACTTTTAGTATGTGTTGATTTGGACGAAGCAATGCCTCTAACCCTTGCCGATGTTGTCTCATACATGAAAAGAACTTCTTAACATTTGACTGAGACTGAGCAGCTGTCTACCACTACTTCACGGTCCTAACAAGAACACTGTAGTTCAAGCTCTTGTTGGGAACTTTTTGACGTTTATGAAATAGGTTGAAATTCATGCTAGTGTCTTGTTACCAGGGGTGTCCCGATCTAATATTATCATCAGATAGTGGTCCAATATCAGCAAAAATAATAAATATCGGATTATATCGGCCTGTATCTAAAATCTCTGATATAAGCATTTTGATACAAGCAGTCCATTCCAGACTCTGCATGCAGAGCCCATGTAATCAAAACAACAGTGTGTACTAAGGTACTACCAAAGTACCTTATTTTTCGCACTATAAGGCGCACCTGATTATAAGGCGCACCATCAATGAACGCGTCTATTTTCATACATAAGGCACACCAGATTATAAAGCGCATTAAGCCAAACATAGCAGTCAGATAAATCAAACTTTATTTAACTCATTCAATAACTCCACAAGGCTGCAATAGCTGCAGTGCTCCGACAAGCCAACAGGCTGTGCGGCTTTGTAGCTTACCGAAGTCGTAATAAAACATTTTGACAGATTTTTGAGCGCTGTATACCACATAAAAACGGTTTGAGGTCAGTAAGAACAACCAGAATTCATACATAAGGCGCACCTGATTATAATGTGCACTGAGGATTTTTGGGAAAATTACAGGATTTTAAGTACGCCTTATAGTGCAAAAAATACAGTAGCAAAAAGAAGGAGTGATGTCAGCTGTGTAGCAGTATTTTTGTTAAGGTCAGAGAAAGATGTTGCAGCTGAGTGCAAATCTTGTCATGCCCAAGTTCCTTTTAATATCGGATCAATATTGGTATCAGCCAATTCTGAAGGCTACAATATTGGCTTCGTATCGGAAGTAAAAAAGGTTGTGTCTGGACACCCCTAATTGTAATGATACAGAAAAGCAAACAAAACCATCAGTGATGGTTTTCATATTGTAGTTAACAATGCCAGAAACTATTGTGAAGGGGTCAGTGTGGGTGAAACACCATCAGAAACAGACTTGTTTTTATCTTTTGCACATCCAGTATTTACAATAAATGGTATATTTGGCTGTTAAAAGTCAGATGGGGGAGATTTTTGTTAGTAGACACTACTGAAGCATGTAGATGACATGATAACGGAAGACTGCTTTTGTTCACAGGGGGCGCCAAAGTTGGCACAAACCAAAAGTTCCTCACAGGAGCTTTAAAAAAAAATCAATTACGATCACATAAGAACTATAAAGTTCACTATCTTATTCCCACAATTTTTATGATTCAAGAGTGTCCCTGTGGGAGTTTCTGGCTTACTTTAACCTGGCTGTTGTTTGAATCTGTTTTTTTGTTTAACAGAAAATTTAAAGGCAGGGTTGCTTTTGTTGATTCGCTATACAATTCCTCTCTCTCCCTTCCAAAGCCCTGTGGTATTTCCAAAGTCAACAGATGCAGCTCACACCATGCTCTACCTGTGGACTCAGTCTCTCATTTTTCATTAAGTCTTTAACATCTTCCTCCTTGTCCTCTTTAGTGTCATCTTCTTCCTCAATAAACAACTCAGTAAATCCCCTTCCTCTCACTGACGGTGGTCTCTGAGACTCCTCTGGTTGCTCATTTTGAGTTTTTACTGGATCTCTCGAAGTGAGGGAAAGCGGCTCCATCGTAACAGGCTTGTGAAACTGCGCCTCTAGTCGAAAGCTGCCTGCTGAGTCACCTGCTGCAGTGTCTGCAGGGGGTATCGCTGCTGGCTGAGGGGGCTCTTCTGTTTTTAGCTTAAACTTGCTCTGGGATAGAGAAGCAAGTGGAGCTGATGGGAGAACTACAGCAGATGATCTTGAAGTGTCAGCATTGTCTGTACTTGAAAATTCCTCAAGAATCATCAAAAGGAGTTCATCATAAGGGTCTTTCACTTGCCGATTGACTTCAGGGATTTTGCTTCTTTTGCTTTCTTCTAATTTTGACTTTTGCCACGAAGGAACCTGTGCCGCTGACTTTACTGGCTCTGACTCTGTGTGGGGCAAAACTTCTGGCTTATAGATATCTATTTCTTCGCCACTTCTGTATCGCACTGAAGGTTCGGGCAGTGGGGAAAAGAATGAGGAATGAGGAAGGGGTAGAGGAGCAGGAAGAGGAGGGGGAGGAGGAGGTGGAGGTGGAGGGGGAGGTGGTGGAGGAGGAGGAGAAAGTGGTGCTGGTTGGGAAAAAGGTAGCATGGCAGAGGAGTGACCTAAACTGGGTCTCCATTCCCTAAAAGGAGGGGTCTGGGTAAATGCCTGGGGTGGCAGGGCAAAGTCTCTCAGTGGCGGTGCTGGTGAACCTGCCTTTGGCTCCTGAGTCTTTGGGAGAGGTGGAAAGTCTGTGGGGAGTGGAGGGGGCGTGGGTGGTATGGGTGTGGTTGTGAGCGAGCGGGTTGGAGTGGACAGAGAGGGCTCCAGTGTGAGGGACAGCCACTCGCTGGTGACAGCTTGCAGGTCAGGCCTTCTCACTGAGGGGTTGGGGGAGGGGAGGTCACGAGTAAAGGAGGATGGAGGTAGATGGTAGAAAGGCTTCAGAGGGTCAAGTGAAAAAGAAGGAACAGTGTCATTTTAAAAACTGGAACAGAGAGTCAAGCTGAAGATTCACCTTTATGCTGATGATGAACCCACTTATTTACCGGAACAAAATCAATTGACAAAACAGATCAATGAGGGGTCCTATGTTCTTGGCATGTGTGACTATTGTTAGCACCAGACAAAAATTAACCCCCCCTTGAGTATAACTTCATTCTTTTTTAAGTTCAGACTGGTTATAGATTTGTGCCTCCGTTGAGGTTGTATTCTTCATTCGGTTCAATAATCCCCCTACCTTAACGGGTGTAGAGCTTGGTGTCCTGCTGCCGGCGTAGCCATGTGGGCTGATGTGGTGGGTGGAGCCCTTGGATGGGGAGCGCTTGATGATGTCAACATATGATACGGGAAATATCCCCTGCTTGGTTGAGTCTGGGATCTTGCCCTCATACCAGTTCTGGTCCACCTGCCTTACTACGATGACTCTCTCACCCTACAGACAAAAACACAATTAGTCCAGCAGTTTAAGTCCGTACATTATAAATCTTGAAAACTAAGAGAGCGTACTGATGGTGTACATGTTTTGACCAGAACTGGACAAGAACTGGTTAAATTAGGAAAAATTAGGATCTAGAGTCCCGTTACAATATTCTAAGAATAGTGCCTTGGGATATAAAATGTTTCAACTGTGTCACAATATAGCTGTGTTTACATAGCAGGTTGGGGGGAGTGGTTCTTAAGGCTTGCTGCCACCTGCCATTAAATGTGAGGCCAGCAGCGAACTAGTTGCAGCAACCCTCTGAATGAAAGGCACTTTCCAGCTGATGACTAATCTTTCTTGTGAACCCAGAATAAACAAAAGAGCTTGCTCCTTTTTAGGGGTACTAATGATTTGAATAATTATACTTTTCTTTTTGCAGTTTTTATTCAGTTATGTAACTTGTAATCCTCCATAAGTTAATTTTGAAATAAAAGAATGTCAATACAATAGAGCGCTGTCCTTAATCCTATTAACTGTGTCATTTTTCTCCAGTTTTCTCCCCCAGCAGTATCATGAAATTATTGTAATGGAAATTTTTTATCCACAGTCAACATGAGGTGAAAATATATTTTTCAAGTTTAAGCTGTTTCAGCTTTTAATTTTTGCACAGAAACAAACAAACAAACAAAAAAAAAAACCCACTACCTTTCTGAGAGACAGCTCCACATTAGTATCAGCATTGAAATTGTAGCGCGCAATTGCCTCTCCGATCTCTCTGATGTGCGCTGGCGGAGGAGGACGAATTGGCTGCTGCTTCTCCGAGGAGGGCATCCTCTGTTTTATGTGTGCATTACAGTCGAAGTGTGTTCAACAGGGAGAGAGAGCAGAGGGTGAGATTACACGCTGCGCACTATATGGTCCATATTTCCACCACTTATCAGATATTTGTTTACCTCAACATATGACATGGGGAAAATGCCAATCCGTCCACGGTGCTCTCCTTCATACCAGTTGTTGTCAATCTGCCGGATGATGTTCACTGCATCACCCTTCTTAAATGTCAGCTCCCTGCAACACATTTTTATTATCAAAATACCAGAGATAAGGTGTGAAGAAGACATGAACCGGCCACCTCAATCAGCAAGGCACATTTCACGCACATGTTGTCAGTTAATGAACGACAGCCCGTGAGGGAAGATGAAAAGATTCAGTACAGAGAAGCTTTATCCATGCAAATATTAAGGCTGTAAGGAATCGATCTGTTAAAGCCATCCAAGTGTGGTAGTAAGATGTGACAGTAAAGCTTCACAAACTTGATGAAAGAAATGTGCAAGAGCTCCTGAAATCATGACACAGAATGCAATGAGTCGTCGAGATGTGTCGATGCGTTAGACATACATGCTCGGCCTCCCTGTGTGTGCACGGTGCATTTACTGTACTCACTTAGCTGTTTGTGCCTTAAAATCATAAATGGCTCTCGCAGGCTGTTTCTGATGGAGGAGAGAGAACAGAATAAGTTGTGTCATCTGTTTATGGGAGACCTGGGAGATGAGAGTGAAGAGAGAGAAAGCCGGCAAGCATTACCAGGGAAAACATTTAAAAGAGCTTCTCAAATCTGGTGACATTTTTCTATTAAGCAGTGGTTAAGTGGAATTGATTTTATTGGAAATAAAAAATAATATTGCCAACCAATTCCTACACATTATGAAGGTGCAGTAAAGGTGTAACAAAAATTATTATTTTGTGACAATACTACTACTAATAATAATAATATATTAATAAATAAGATAATGGTGCCATTTTAAAGTGGTCAATGGCTTCTGGAATACTAGCAATCTGCCTCTAAGTAGTACCTCTCTGTCTGGAGTAGGTCTTCTACTCTGGGGGGTGTGGCGCCCGTCTATAGTGGAATAACTCCTGGAGACATCCTGGTCTATGATTAGCAGAGACACATAAAAAAGGTCACGGGGGTCACAGTCGTCATTACAAGCGTGTCATATGCATGCTAAAAATACAAGATGTGCTCTGGGAATATGATGAGTGGTGAAGTGGTTGCCATTCCAACAGGTAAATGAGGGAATGAAAGCTCAGGTCAAAAACTTCTGTTTTATTTCCATTTTACATGAAGAAAAACAAGGCGTTTGGGACTCTCACAACATGACACATGCACACCTGATGTAAAGATGTAACAAAAAAAATGTAAACTGGCAGGAATACAGTTCAAAATATGATAAGACCATTCAAAACCAGAGGACAAACAAGCAATGGCTCGAGGGAACGTATGACTGTGGGATGATAAATTAAAAAAATAAAACTGCACAACAGACAATAGAACCAAGATAAACAAATTAAAAACACAGAAAAACGCACATTTATTTACACAGGCCGAAGTTATAATCTGTAAATCCTCAAAGACTTCACACATGTATACTCTTAGAATTTACACAGGCTTCCTCTCTTCTCAAACTGCTTCTGTTCTATTTTGCCATCTCCATCTGTCCAACAACACAGCCATGCACCCTTACCTTTCTGCTACACTGACTTTTACTGTTGTTTATCCTCACTGTACGCACTTTAAGATGTTTTTTTTCCCCTGCTATTACTGTCTTCAAGATAAGAGCACTCGCCAAATCCATGCCAGAAAACTCTGCGATGTTTCACATGAAGGACTTTGGTAGCTAAAAGGGCATAATCCTCGAGCTTCACCATCGCTAGCATACCAGATTTCAAATTAGAACGATCATTATTTAAGTGTCTGCTTTTGGTTGAGGATTTACAGATTCACATGGGTCCTGGTAAAAGTCTTATCAACTCTGACACAAACTGTGACTAATGTCTTCAACAAATGAGGGGAAATAGAGCAATGAGATAAGACTTTGAGGATGCATAATGCGACTATGCATAGGTAGGACAAAGTGCACTTGTAAAGTAAGATATGTGTAATACCACCACCTGAATAAAAGAGACCATTCCCATTGCCCTGCTCCTCTCCATATTCATTATTGTTCGAGGTGTCTGAGTGGCGTCCGTAACAGGCATTGGTTGGTGACTGTAGCCGTGGTGACTGTAACCGTGGTGTGGAGGGATCCCCTCTATATGAGCCATATCCAGTGGGGCTCCCATCTGGGTACAAAGACGTAGAAGAGTGACCGCCATGCCAACACCCCCTCCTCCCACGTAATGAGGAGCTTCGTTCAGGCACATTTGGGAGGAGTTCAGCTAGTATTCTTCTCAGGATGCTACCATCAGGTGCCCTGGTCCCTCTGTGACCTCGCTCTGTTTGGATGTGCTCATAAATGTCTCTCAAGGCTGCATCTAATGCTTCATAAATGGCCTGCTTGGACTTTGGTCTGCTGCCTCGATCTCCGCCACCATTGCTTCGTCTAGAGGTAGGTGGTGAGCCCTTTTTTCTGCGAAAAGGCACTGGGCTGACCAGGAAGGCCAGCTTGGACATCGCTTGCTGGGACTGTGAGCTCTGGATTTGAGAATGGCTGCTGCGGCTCTGATGTGAAGGTCTCTGGTGCTCCTGGCGTGCTCGTTCTCTCTCATGGCGAAGCATGGTAGTGAAGCGGGTATAAGAGGCCGGGCATCGGCCTTTGCAGGTGCTTATGAGGTGGCGGTGTTGGTAGCCCTGGCTCTGGCCTAGACTTTGGTGACCTGGGTGGTGGTGGTGATGGTGGTGATGGTGGTGACGGAGGTGGTGATGATGGTGCAGGGTGGAAGAGCCATACAAGCTCTCAGAGGAGGTGAGTGAGCAGTGGTCAAAGTCACTCTCACTGCAAAATGAAGAGCCCTCCACCTGGATGAAGTCACTGAGGTCTGAGGCAACAGCATCTTGTTCACTGTCAGAGTAGTCTGGATTTGCCTGTGAGCCTTGAGGAACAGGGGGAGCAGGAAAGGACCGCCCACGGCCAGGTTCTGGCCCAACCCGAGGCTGGCCCTCAGGTGGGCTGCGAGGTCGATGTAGATGATCTATAGTGTGAGGTAATGATCCACCATTTCCGTTGTTGTCTTCCTCGAGTAAGGATTCTATAGAAAAGCGGCGTTTTGGAAAACTGGGTGTGCCTCCACCGCCACTGCTTGCCCGAGACGATGAGCCACCTGGTGTGGTAGTGCCTGAAGGCACTTCACTGTCACCCAAATTTGGCATGGATTTAGACTTTTTAATAAGGCGCTCATATTCAGTTATACGATTTGGCACCATATCACGTGGCACCTCCACCCCCCAAGACGGTGTCCAAGGAAAGAGGCGGTGTCGATGCAGGTGAGGTTGGCGCTCTAACTCCAGGATGCGAGCCCGGACAGAGCGAATGACATCAGATGGGATGATCTGAGCTCGGTCAATCTGGTGCATTTTACGATAGAGCTGGAGAAAGCCTGGTGAATCATGTGCCCGTCGTCGGTGGGGGCGGGGCAATGAGCAAGTGGATGCGGATCCAGTTGAACCTGAGGGATTCCCATCACAAACGAGTGACCCGGCACTTTCTGAGCGGTTGGCTTTGCGCCCACCAGAGCCAGAATGGCTGTCATTGAGTAAGTCATCACAGCTACGTGACTTAAGCTTGCGAGGGGAGGGCGGCACCTCCTCCACGCTGCTCCACGTCTCAGGATCCTGGCTTTTAGTCTGCCAGCTGTTCTGAAAACAGACAGACTGCTTGGAGGAAGAACTGCCCTCCTGGCTGGTATCTTCGTGGGAAAGGAGGGGGTCAGAGGGGACAGGGGGCGGAAGGGGGGGCGGGCAGGGGGGCTGACAAGGACCTGGGGAGGTCAAACTGTTTGAATACATGTTGCATGCGTCCCCACCTTTTGGATGTCCAATAAAGAGCAGCGTGATAAAAGAGAAGGAGGAAAGTGTGTTAAGCAGAAATACAGAGCCCAGAGATTGAAGAAATGGATGGTGGAGGAACAAATAGAAGAGAAAAGAGGGTGAAAAACGGTGATTTGGCTATTGAGACTCCAGTCTAATCATGAGAACAAGTAATAAAACAATAAAATTCATGACCATACCAGACAGACATTGTGATAAACACAACAAATGACAACAAATCTTCTTTTTTCTGACAGTCTGGTGGTGAGAAAGAAAATACAAAGACACCAAAAGGGAAATACACCAAGTCAAAAAGACGTTAATGTCTGCAGGTGTGTGTACCTTTGGCTCTGGAAGGTGAGGATGGAGAGGAACGGACCACAGGTTTCTTTAGGCTGCTGCTGGGTCTGTAGGCATCCACAGGCTTAGGGGAAGTTACAGCTCTGCCCTGAGGCTGAGCATTAGCTTGAGAGCTGGACGGTTCTGACTTCCTTCTCTTCCTGTAGTCACTGGCAGCACTGTAACACAGTCAGACATCAATGAAAATGACCCTCCAAACACTATTAGCAGATAAATGTAGTTGGCAGAAGGTCAAGTGACCATGCATATGGACTATGGATGTCATGAGAGGATACTCCATCAACGATATTCCTGGAAGTGTTCATGCTTAAAAGCTAGTCAAGTCAAAACAGAATAAATCAAAATCCGACAGCGTTTCAGCGTTTTCATCTCTTTCTGCTCAGTTCTGTAAAACTATAAAAAATCTGAAGCCATTTCTTTTCAGCGAAATTGTTAATGAGGAAATTTAAAGGTCTTCACTGACAGATCTTCATTGTCAATCTGACATTTTCTGGGTCATTTATAGACTGAGAAAAACCTTCATTTTCATTTTGTTTTGAAGCACCTGTGTTCAAAAACACTTTAAATTAAAGTACTCTCGTGGTTATCTTTCAAAAAAATTGGGTGTTTATGACTCAAAAGACGGGACAACAGCTAATGCAACTTCACTTATTTCAAAAATCTTTAAAATCCAATTTGCTTTTAACGGAAAAGTAACCCACTTAATGTCAGTGACATGAATTACATGGTCTATTCATCACATCCCATTTCTGCCCTCTCTTTTCACTGAGGAAAATGCGACTGAATAAGCAGGCCATTTGTGAAAGGGACTGGGACGACGGGAGGAAGAGGGGGGTTGTTGAGGGAAGGATGGGAGGTGAAGGGCAGAATCAATAGCTTTGCTGGGTTAATTTATTCTGGCCCGGTCAGTGCAGTGAACGTGCAAAGATCCCTGCCTTTACTGACAAAAGCAAATAAAGACCAACACTAATCCTTGCAAATTATCATTAACAGCCAACACAGAGGCTATTTGCACCAGAAGACAGGCCAGAAAGAGCAGCATTTGATTCTGCGCTGAATCACAACAAGCACTGCTGGTGTTGAAAGGATGGGGGAGAAGGGGAGGGGGTGGTGCAAAGGGAAATAAAAGAAACAGAGGTTACCTCGCAGGTCTCTCCGGAGCCTTGTCATCGGGAGGGATGTGCAGGGAAGTCTGAAATAGGGCAGACAACGAGAGGGAAAAGTGAGATCCGCAAGAACAAAGACTCGAGTCAGAGCTGCTCACAATGCACAGTCTGCATGCGCTGGTAGCTGTGCCACACTCAAAACCCTCCCCCAGCGTAAGGTGCAATGGATGCTGGTTCCACATGGCACACCTGACTTCGAAGAGGCCTACCGGTGTAAGCAGAGAGGATTAATTTCTGCTCTCTTTTGCGCTGCTCTGAAGGACGATGGCATAGGTGATACAGCAAAAGGATGTTGTGAGCTGAGTGCAGGGGGGGCAAATGTTGCGCTACAAAACCTGGCGTGGATCAGCTGGAATGGGTCTCAGTGGTAAGAATAGACTTTGATTTACTTGAACTGAGACAGATATGGGCGTCTGTTCTTAGGCTGCGACAAAAAAGATTTCGTTCTCAATCTATTTTCTCCTTAGACGAGAAAAGTTCAAGACTTTTAAAACAATTGTTAATAAAAGAAGAGGTTGTAAAGAAAGATTGTAAAGAAGATTTGATGTATATGAACCAACCAGCAGACTTTAAATGCCAAACAAAAAACATGAAAGGCATTTAAAAACTATTTTTCAGACTTCACATAGCAACATCATAACCTCAGCGGTGAATGACAGAAATTCTGATAAAATAATACACTGAATCAGCGCCTTACACAACCCATTCATTCTAACCAATCACATCTTTCTTATTTCAAACAGCATCTGCATTTTGATTTCACTGAATGGTTAGAAACTGTGATAAACACAATGAGAACACTCATGTATGTGAGATTACCTCAATGCGCTGGCGAGCGGAGATGTCTGGATTATAATCCAGCCGTTTTTTAGGAGGCTTGAGCCCAAAGCAGCAGCAGTGAGCAGGAGGAGGAGGAGGAGGAGGAGGAGTAGGAGGAAGAAGGTGAAAATGAGGTGAAGGAGGAGAAGCAGTGGTGACATCATGGGGAGAAACCAACAAACAAGAAAAAAAGGTGGAGAGAGTGACACTCGTTAGAGAATCCGAGTTACCAGAGATGGACTAGATCACAAATGTAGCACATGTGGTTTGCATGTGCGGTTCTTATATATGCACACACTCACAAAGAAACACACACACACCTACATATATGCTTCACCACCAAGAAATGCTTTTTTTTTACTTGACATATTAGTGCGTTCACAATGCTAGAGTCAAAGCTCCAGTTAAATCAGAGTCAAAATCACATAAAGGCTACAGGCTTCTACATCTATCTCCATACCACAAAAACACACACACACAGGAATGTGCCCATGTACCACACACATGCAGAGAGTGAGAGCAAGCTGTGAAGCAAATAAAGCCGGGTGATACACAAGCTGGAGTGTGTTTATTCAAGACTAAAATGCGTTTCACTCTCAAATGCTGTGATTTAGTGCTGCTTTTCAAAACTATTCTTCACTCAGTCGCCCCGAACACCTCATCACATCAACAGACACTCAAACACTGAACATACTGTGAGCTTCTGTCCCAGCCGGACCGGTCAGTGCATTTAGACAAACCGTCTGGACTCTACGGGCTTATTCAGTGCTGTGTAAGGTTCAAAATATTGCAGGTTGGAATCTCAACACACAGCCGTACATGGCTCCGTAAAGTCATGCCGGCATCAGATGTGACATTTTCACCTGAACATTTTGAATAAGCCCGAGATAGAAACAAACAAACAAAAAAACTCCTGATGTCATGCTCTGCTGTGAAGAGACATGACCTCATGACACTTAAACATTTAGGCTGGGGTGATTTGACCCCAAACCCGTGACTAGAGGCAGTTCATGAGCCTCCGGGGTGTTATATTACCTACAACCAGCAGGTGGTGCCAAAGAGTTGAGCTCTATGTAAAGGATTTCTCTCACTGTCAGAAATGTCAAAATGAGCATCTAAAATAGGTCGATTTAAGTCTGATTATCTGATACGTGTGTGAAAATGCACATACTGAATTGGGTTTATGCAGAAGAGTTTCTTGATCATGAATTTAATAGATATGTGTGCTGTGCAGTAGCTCTAAAATCCCTCTGCAAGACTCTTATTTAATTTGGTCAAGATACAATATAGACCTTTAATAAATATAAAAAAATTAATAAATAAAACAATCAAGATGTTTCTGTCAACATTTCACCATCTGCTAGCCACCAGACCAAAAATATAACAAAAACAAAACAGCAATGCGGTCACATAACACAGCCTGTCACAAGGGTGGGGGGAGGAGGTCACAGCACCCAACAAGTACCACATGCCCAAACAACTAGCCCCACCCGAGCTATTGGCAGAGACAGTCAAAAAAAAAAATCATGGGTGGGGTGTAGAAAGTGGGTGTATGCCTACAGCAGGGTTGTGGTTGAGGGTGTGCAGTTATAATGGCCCTGACTTACCGGCCGCCCAAACTCCAGCTCGGAAAAGAACTTATACCAAGGCTCGTTCTCTAAATCTATGTCATCATAGGTCTGGGAAAGCATGACAGTGACAGAGAGAGGAGGCAAAAGATAGTCAGAAGACAGGAAGTGTGGAAAGAAGTCACAGAAAGAGAGAGAGGGAGAGAGAACGAGAGAGAGAGAGAGAGAGACATGGAGCTCATGGTTAGGAATGGGCTCAGGTGGCAGAGGGAGATGGGTACAGGATGAAGATTAAGACTGGCTCATGGGGACAAATGCAATGATCCAAAACCCAATTTGTACTCCAGTTGGAGAAAAAGGAGAAGACTTATTTTCATCATTTTAACTAATGGGAGAGCTGCAAGGAGCAGAGTCATAACAACAGGCGGCTATGAGCCTTTTGAATTGATATTCATTAATCCCACATGCACCAAGACAGATTTGCATTACTCCTACCTTATACTGAGCCGTGGCTTAGGTGATTGATAATGACAATCAGCATGTTAATTTGAGCTTTACATATTTAACACCCAAACTCATTATCCACACCTTAGTGCAGCCCGTGTGGGAGGAATACTAAACTCCCACCATTACATCGAGGATGATAGAAAGGCATGTGTGATATCTAGTTTCAGGACATATGAGGGTTACTCACACTAAGATAACAGCATGTAATTAGCTGACTAGCTTCTAACCTAGCTTCTCTGTATGGACTCTTATAAAGCTGGATTTAAAATAACCTAGTCAAGATGTTTTTTTACACTGAGACTTGTCCTACCACCCAATATTATCCTATCACTTCCTGAATATTACCGGCCAATGACACACAGTGTTTCCCGTCCCACGATTTGCATGCATGACATGTGAACAGGTCAAATTGCCTGTAGAAGGCACGAGTGTATTTGTGCTTGTGTGATGTAATAGATTCTATCACTCAGCTCTGCCTTTGTAGGGCAGAGGATCATTTCCATGTCAAATCCACCTTCAAAAACTGTGTCAGCTGGAATGTGACTATTTCAATACAACAGCAGTGTGCATATAAGCGCACACATACACTTTAGCGATGCCTCAAGTTATCTATCTTTCCTTTATCCATGTTTTAATGTTTAAACTTTTCAAGTGCAGCCCTCTCTGTTTGTTTATATTTGCACACTTCATGATGCACTACAGTCAAGAGCCTCTTCATTTTCTAAGAGCTTCACTGCCGTTTTAACTGTGAAGATGATGCACTGTTTTACTACTCTGTCTGCTCTTTCCAACCTTATTCCCACATGGAGATGGAGTTTTTCATGCCAAGTGAGAACACTGCCAGGAGATGTTTTCTAGGTGTTGCTGTGTTTTCATCTCTCCTGCTAAAAAGAGAATTCAGCTCTGAGACAAATGAGTCACCCTGTGAAAAAAAAAGTGAAGCCTAGTGCGGAGACAGCTTATCACACATGTACTGCGAGCTCTTCAAAAAAAAAAAAAAAAAAAAAAAAAGGAAGCTAAAGGAACAGAGTGCCAGGAAGGCATATTTGTTTTCTATTGCTTGTAATTGCACAAATGGTCGCTTTGCTGAACAGACTGTTCCGAGTGCCGCTTCTGTTCTTGGGAAAAAACAAAATTGTGAGCAGTCGACATACTGTTTTATAGACAGCAGATGAGCCAGAGAGGGTTTACTTCTTCTCTCTGCTGCTCTCTCCTTTGATTGCCTTATCAGGAACTGACTCATGCATTATTGCCCTGGGAGAGCTCACTGCAGTCATCCTATTAAACATCTAAAAAACCTTTACAAAACCCTTTCCTATCAAATCTTTTCCAACATTACAGACTTCACATCTATTATGCTTCATCCATTATCTTGTCCATATCTCAGATACCTCATGACTATTATTTTTTTCCTCCCTCGACATGGTAATTATCTCTGCTGCTGTCTGCTGTGTCATTCACCCCGCACAGAGTGAACAAACGGTACAGTCGCTGGAGGATGCAGCGCTGGAAACCTTTGCTTTTTGACGCCCACACTGTCTGACGGGAAGGAGTCCAAGCAGAAGCCTGGAGTGAAAATCTATTACATAACAGAAATGCCGGCCAAGACTAGCGAGAAGAGGGGCTCAGTGTGTTTGTGGAGCTTTCCTCTCTGTAATATTTGATATATCTTTTTAACATAGATCCATCTGTACACTGTTATTACACCTGACGTGTGCTTGTTTTCTTCTTTGGATGTTAATTTTTTTAGACAAAAAGCACAATCACTGTTTGCTCTACTTTAAACCAGTCATCCATCTGCAGCAAGTCTGCAGGGGTGTGTGTTCTTACCACTTTCCTGCACCTTTCTCAGTGTCACTGGGTGATGGTTTTGTATACAGTCTATGGTAAGTAGCTTAAAGTGGGTAGCAATTAGCTCATTTGTGAAAAGCCTGACACGGGTGCTGTCAAAAAAAATGAGTGCCTCATTAAAACCAGCAGGCTGTGGGATGGGAAGGAAGAAAAAAGATCAGCTTGTGGATACAGTTTGTCACGTCAATGCCGAACATAAGACTGAGTAAATTATTCCCAGTGAGGACAGAGTGCCTTGTGAATACAAGATAGGAGGAAAAAAGCACTACAAATAAAAAAAAGACACTTCAAAACTGGGTACATCCTGGTGTCTGAGAGGTAAATAAGGATGTGTAATGATTCAGTTTTGTATATTTGTGTAAACTCTCTGTCTTTGTGGAATCAGGCAAGGCTGCAACTCGACAGAGCGCCTGTAAACTGTTAGCATGCCGTGCTCCATTTACTGATAGTTTAATTCAATGGCTCAGGCTACCTGGGGGAACAAAAACAGCTATGGGTGAATCATGATTTCTTAACGAGTCATATAAAGACCCCAAGTAATTTAGCCAACATTTACAATTCACGTCCATGATGTGAGTCAGGAAATTCTGTTTTCGAAAAGTTATCTATCCTCATTCTCATTATTTAATCTACTAATCGATTTCTAAAACATGACACTATGGAAGTATAAAAGTTAGATAGGACCTCATTCTCAGCCCAGACAGGTAGACATAGAAAGGAACTGTGTCTCTCTGTTTATAGAAGAAGAACAAAAACACTGGGTGGAAATTAGACCAAAGTTAAGAATGAGATTAAACTGAAAACTTTGCTCTACTGACTTAATCTTGACTAAAACAACATAAAACACAAAGAGCAAAGTATGACAGAAATCAAACATCATTTTCTGAAAATGACCAGAGATAAAACTTTCAAATTTCTGGAAAAAATGAACAAAATGTAAAACGTTCTTGTAAACAAACTAGACAGCAGTCTTTTCAATGTGATAAAGAATTAACTTAACAGCCTAAGCAGATTCCAGATTAGCTCCCACAGGCCTTACAAGTGAATATTACAAGAGGAGAGGAGTTAAGCAAGGAGGAAATCATAATCTATCATAATCAAATGAAACCAGATTTGTTATGTACTTACTGGTCTTTCATGCTCCAAAATAGAGGACTTCCCCGGCTCATATTCAAAAATACTCTTCGGCTCTGCTCGGTACTTTCGTGTGTCCACTTTCCGGTTTGGAGGTCCCCATTCATTCCTGAGAAAAGCCCAAAAAAAAAAACAGTTTTTTTTAAAAGATGATGACAGTTAAATTATTATCCAAGCATATTGAAGAGTGTGATTAAAATGAAAGCAATGTTATCTAAGTTGGCAAAGAGTTCATGCAACCAAATAGGGAAACTTAAAACCATCTTAATTCACCCAATTTATTTCTTTTTCTGTTTTTACTACACCTAAATTTGAACTTACGAGTCAGGTGAGTCTTTCTCGCGGTCACTGTCTCTGGCCCTCAGCTGGAGGAGAGATGGCATGGGTGGAGGAGGTGGAGGTACAGGGGATGGCGAAGGCTCCCGAGGCCCTGGATGCCCTCCGTTGTCAGAGGGGCTTTTGGCAAGCGGCCTGTACGTGTGTGTTCTGGGAGCGGGGTGAGCCATGGTAGTGGTGGGTGACAGGTTGTAGTCATCTGCTGAAGAGAGGAGAGGGAGGACATTTGTGGGAGAAGTAATGAGGCAGAGGGAGAAAAACAGGCTGGGAAGAAATGACTTATTTTTATTACATTTTATTACATATAAATAATCTTACCGTTGTTTATGACAGCATATGTGGCATTGTATGTGTCAGAATAGTCATCATCTGCAAAAGAAAGAATTCAGGACTCGGTGAAACAGAAACAGAGGTTGCAAACTGTATAATCGTCAGCTTCTTTGCTGTCAGATACAAAGTCATTTCCGATAGGGACCCTTTTTACAACAGCACAAAGAAGCATCAAAACCACCCGAGCAGCACAAAATAAACCAACTCTCTTCTGTTCATCCACAAGCTCAGCGTGTTTCGAATGACGGTTTTTTAATCTGCTTCTTTTGGACTTACCAGGAGGACGATAGCACCCTGCAGAAGAAGTCACTTCACTGAAAATGTGTGAACAATCAGAGAGCCATGGGAAATCTCAAAGATGCGTCCAAATGTGTGTGAGTGAGTGTGTGTGTGTGTGCATGTGTGTTTGTGAATTGCAGCAAAAGAAGCCTGAGCAGTTATGAACAAACAAGCCTTGTACTGAATGTGTGATTCTGTTGAGCCCACAAAATGAGAGCAGATTTCCCAGGAAAGCTCCGAGTCTGTTAGAGGTCTCTCTCTGTTCTGCCTTCTCTCCAGTCTCTCTTGCTCTCGTCTAATGAGTTCTGGCTCTGAGGCTCTGCAGGCTGTTTGGTTTAACAAGAACAAGCATGCACAGACACACTAAGGTGCACAAACCCGTGTACGAAGCATGCATGCATGACTGATTCTGCTCATGACGTCAGATGGTCATATCACATCGAATAATGAGACATTTCTCCAGTTCAGAGCGATACACAACAGACTTACCTGCTTTGTGAACCTTGTGGATTTGTTTGAACATCGTCTTGTACCAATCTTTTGGCCTATCCACTGTCTGTGGAGAGAGAGAGAAATAACCGTAAAGGTTTATGTGCTGTGTAATGAAACATTAAATGGATAGCTGAGATAAGAAAGAAGCAATGCTTCCAACTGTTTTAAAGACATTTACTGAGTGGAGAAAAACACATTTTCAGCCCCTCTAGGGATCCATATTTCACTCGCAGGAAATTTCACTTCTGCTGTGGTATGAAGAAAGAATATAGAACACATTTGTCACATCTGATGGTATTATGCATACTATGACGTTGAGTTCGAGGTTGTTCTATCAGTAAAAGCAGAAATCAAAATCATTGCTCACATTGAACACTTAGATAGTCGAGTAAATCACAAAAATAGCCACAAAATGCCCCAAATGACAGTGTTCAAACTAGGGGTGGGAGAAAAAATCGATTCAGCAGAGTATCGCAATATTTTGTCCGGTGATATATCATATCGTCTCATTTACCCAGTATTGATTTTTCAAATTAATTGCTAATATGAAGTCAAATCTACAATAATGGAAAAAATAAAATCAACTGTTTGTCAAGTGAGGTCGGCAGAGGTGACATATATGTTTGTTGTACTAACTTTCTCCTGCTCTATGATAAGGTTTGCAAGATGTGCTACATGAAAATAAAATACAGTGTAAATAAGACAAACATAAAGGAAAGACAAATGCTAAACTAGCTAAACAGTTGAAAAAATTGTATAAAAATTGCAATACATTGTATCGCAATACTCACTGTATTACAAAGTGTTAAAAATCGCAATAATATCGTATCATGGCCCAAGTATCATGATAATATCGTATCTTGGGGCCACTAGTGATTCCTACCCCTGGTTCAAACAATATTGTAAGCATATTTTGGCATAAAATGTATATACTGTATGTGTGTTTTTTTATGTATGTTCAGCGGTTTGATTTGCTAATACAAAAATCAAAGCTGGAGCCTCTGCTGCTCTGCCTGGAAAAACCAAGAAGAGACCCTGGAATGCGTCTTTGTATACACAGTATGGATCTAACAGCCACTTCAAAAAAGAGCTATCAAATGGCAGAGAGACTTAATCCTCTCTTTATTCAGTAGCACTAAACACTGTGTCTGGACTCTGGTCTGAGAGGAGGCGGTTCGGCTCCACAGTGAAAGAGTGTGTTTGACTGAGCATGTAGCGCTGGCGCGACCAAAGATAGGCCAATTACCACTTCACTCTCCATGGTTACGGAATAAAGTGCCCACAAAAATGTTTGTCTGCTCACAATAAGGAGCATCTGTTTCTCTTCTTCCCGACTCTCTTTTCCTTGTCACCTTTCTCCCGCTTCCTTTGCCTGTCCCTCGTTTCTTCTGTAACTTTCTGATTCTGCAGTCTCACATGTCAGCCTTTAAAAGCCACTCTTCAAGAAATGGATAGCTGAGTGAGGTGCTAATATCCAAAAAGCCTTAACGGAGATAACAGACAGGGACACGCTTGGGTGAGTGAGCTGTGAGGATCTCGCAGAGCAAAAGCAGAGACCTTGACTGAGCACATCTCTATAATCAGCGCAGAAAGAGAGAGAGTAAAGGAGACACCACAGATAGTGAGAGTGAGAGAAAAGGGCTTTTATTTTGGGGTCAAAAGCTGCTGACAGCGAAAATTAATCCCCTCTTGTAGGCCTGATCACATATCAAGACAACAAAAATGGGTAAAAAAAACACTCCCATGCAATGCTCTGATACCTAACTGAGTCAAGTCTGCTATAAAACGAGTTCAGCTCTGTGTGGGTTTGTGCTCACCGTGCGGATGGCGATGGGAATGCCAGACTCGTCCACAGGGCCGATCCCTTCATAATGAGGGGCTTTAATGACGGAGACTTTCTTCTCCTCTTCTGAGAAGCGGGCGATGGGCACAGTGCTGCTGACGCTGGTGTGGCCCGACTCCACAGACTCTCTGATAACGGTCTCGCTGCCATCTAGATGAAAAGACAAAAAATGAGAATGAACAAAAATGTGTATGTGATGTTGCTGCTGTTCTGTGTTAAAGATTTTAACAGTAGAGGAACAGCTTTCTACACTCTCTCAGGACCGCAGTAATAACTTTTGGTGTCCTCGATTCAAATACAGGGGGCTCACCTGAGCTCCTGCTCTGTCTCAGGAGTCCAGTGTGGAGTGACGAGGGGGGAGGAGGGTAGGATGGTGGAGAGAGGGGTCTCTGTGGATGGCTGGTGCTTCCGTTCATGGCATGAGAGAGGACCTGGCCCTGCAGGTGAGCCACAAACCAGACACAGAGATGATCAGTCATGACAGATCTCAGATAGCAGCAAAATGCACAATTCTCTGTTCACTAAGGTGGAGAATGTTGTTGACTTCAGGTATTAAAAATGGGAAAACAAAAGGACAATTAGTTAAATAAATCTGTTATTAGTCACCATATTTTTAAAAAAAGAGAAAACAAATAAAGGGGCAGTGCAGCTTAAAATAGTGGTGACTGTCAATGTGGACAGATTTTGAGGCTGGTGTGATTCATGGGACCTGCTGAATCTGAAGTGACTGCACAATGTAAACACAGTTAGTGAGGGGGAGGGGAAACTTATTAAATCACTTCACTTCAAAAAGAACAAAAGATTAGGACAGTGACAGTAAACAAACACAGCTCCTTCAGATTTCATTATAAATTAGTGGTAACACAAACAAGACACAATACAGTTATGATGAGAAGCTGTTCAGATGAACGCGCTCCCATTCAACACGACACAGGAACACGTGATTCCATCTGACAAACGATACAGATGACAAGTTTAAACTGAGCGCTGACTGATCAGACCAAAACTCATAGTAGCTCTAAACCACCGACTACCTTACTTGGAATTTCAACTCTTAATAGTAATCAGATCAGGGATAATAAACACACTGATATAATCTTTACGCCACGTGACGTAAATATATCAGCTGTGTTTTTGAGTGTCTAGCTGGGCTTTGGTGCACAGTTTTAAACTATGGTTCACTAATGATGGAAGATGAAGATGAAAACTTTTCTATTTCATGCTGGAAGGTTGTTTATTTTTCTTTAACAGTAGACATTTTGATATTCTCGTCTATTGGGATGTTTCTCCTCTGTAACCGGCTACAAGTGTCCACTTTCAGTACAGCTTCTTTTGGCACATTAGCATTTTGTTTTTGTAATTTTTATAACTGTACAGGTGAAGAGATAAGAGGCAAAATATTTTCAAGAATTTTAAAGTCCATTTTTTTGGATTCAAATTTAAAGCACCTCTACATCAGCTGCATTTTCCAGCCCAGGAAGTTCGTAATGTCTGTTCTAAATACTCACATTGTCTGCACTCTCCACAGACAGTCTATTTTTTTCTGTTTTACAAGCGTAACTACAGTGATTGTATGTTGGGTTGTGAGGGCAGCCAAAACACTGGTTACAAACACGCCAAACGTATCCTGTTTAGACACAAAAGGTCACATTACTGCTGCTGCTACTGTGATTATAATGCCACAGCTAACAATCTCAACCCAACGGCTTTGAATCCAGCTATTCTGACAGACTTTGAGATCTTTGATCCAAATTTTTGTTGAGGGTTTCAAAAGTCGAGTGAAGCTCTTATGATGGCTGCTGTGTCGGCTAGAGAAGCAAACAAATCATCAGATGAGTTTGTGAATGGGACAGAGAATATTTGGTTTGTAGCTTAAGGGGTTCAAGTTTTGAGAAGCAAACAGTGGGAATGTATCTTTGATTGATATGATACTCACTGAGTTCATTGTTTGGCAATGAGAAGCTAAGGTCAGAGTTAGGGCTGGGAGGTAAAACGATAACAATATATATCGAAAATTAATTTTCCTGAATATCAATATAAAACATGGTCAATATCCTTTTCAATAGTCGGCATTCTGCCATGTTTTGGTAGACTATACGAATAGCCAATGAAAAGGGGAGTTGCTCCGGCTCTGGGTAGAACCAAGTAGCAAACAATGGTGTAATAGCAGACTGCAGCTACATGCAACCATAGCACTTTAACAGTTGAAGGCGACAGCACTGTCAGTGAGGAAAAAAGAAAATGAGTGCTACCCCCCGCAGAAATGCAGATGAAGGCTCAACAGATGATGACATCGTCGACAACACTGGCACGAAAACGTCGGTGGTGTGGTAATGTGCACTGCAAATTATGTTGAGTACATATCCTCACAAAGTTGGGGAATAAATTAAAATCTTTTTCATCACCTGAAGCAGTGCCACGTGGCAGAGCACAGGCAGTCGTGGCCTCTGTGCAGACGAAACAGCTGACCATTCAGTCCGCTTTCTCTAGTGCAACGCCTTACGACGAAACGTTCAAGAGACACAAAGACCTCACAGATGCAGGAGCTTATTGTATTGCAAAAGACATGCTACCAATAAGCACTGTTTACATTTTTTACATTGTGATAACATTTCGATATCGACTGATATGAAAAAGATATATAGTGATAAACTTTTTCTCATATCGCCCAGCCCTAGTCAGAGTATAGAATAAGATCTACATGTAATGGCAATTAAGACTCGGCATGAAGCTCTTTACAAAAGGGATGAGAAGATGCATGTGGTAATATAGGACAGGAAACATACCTCCCTTCTCAAGCATGTTACATTACACCTGCTAACAGTGTCGGCCTCCTACAGCTTCTCAACAAATCTGATATGAAGTGGTATTTTCAATTACACTGGACTGCAGAAGCGACGACAGAGGGATCCAAAGACAGAAAACACACAGAGTTTTGATGACTGCAGACACATTGACATAACAAGGGAACATAGTGGGCTGACTGTAATCCTGGTATCTTACAGGTAGGTTGTAAGTGATGTTAGTAAAAGGTACAAATTGGTAGTGAGACACTTTTATGACAGTTTGGTTCAGCCATCCAAATAAAAGAGGGCAGAGAGGGAACCATTTGTTTTGGTTAATGAAAAGTGTTACAGCAGTGACTTGTTGGGATAATTACGTTAGTGACAGAGGTTGCTGCAGCAGTGGAGGCCACAGAGGTTGTTAGCGCATCATCAGGGCCAGCAGTGGATGTGTAGGCGGAGACGTGGCTGAGGGTGGGCGACGGCGTGGGTGAGGCGCCAGGCGAGTCCAGACTACAGATCTGCAGCTCGTCCAGCAGACCCGCCGTGGATGAAGAGTAGTGACTGAGAGCTGACACTGTCACGGGGGAGGCCGAGGGTGACACGAAACCACCTGCGCCTGGGCTGCTGACTGTGGCAAAGCTCGGCCCGCTCACCACACCGGCTGTGCTGCCCGCACCGCTAGCAACGTACGGGGTGGGCGACAGAGCCTTGGGCATTAGGCTTGAAGGGTAGTCGAGTGATTCTGTGCTGTGGCAGCGAAAGGGGGAGTGCCGTGCCATGGGGTCAGGGGAGGGGGGCCCCTGGTGTTGGAAGGAGAGGCAGTTGATTGGGGGAAAAAGGAGGAAAGGAGGAAGAGTGCTTAGTGACATCACTCATTAGCCACGTCGTCACAAAGGAAGTGCAACTCGTGAGCCTAACAGAGGGTGAAATACGGCTGTGAAGTGTCATGAGGCTGCAGAATCATCGTCATCTGAAACACGATTAACTCTGCGAATCAAAGAGGCTCTGTTAGTTTAAACTGTGGAAGGCAGCATATTCAGAACACAGACAACAACAGGATCAAATTAAATCACTTTAACAGTTAAGACACAGATATCATGAGTTTGCACATGTGTTGAACAACAATTAGTCTGGATGAATGGATAGATGGCAGCATCAGCAACTCAAAAGACAACACACACAGGCAGCACATCCCATCTTTACAACCTTTTTTTTAAGCCTGTACACCAGAGGCTTCAAGTTATACCTCTTTGTTAGACTTCCTGGAGTTTCTTTGTATCATATCACCAAAACAAATTTAAATCAGTTTGGGTACTGAACTTTGACTCCAACCTTTCTTCTTATGGTCTAAGTCATCAAGGCAAAAACCCAATATGTAGTGTTGTTGTGATCCTAACATGAACACAGAAGTGGTCTTTTGATCCGGTATGTACCAACAGTTGTGCAGCAGAGGGTCTTGGTGGGACTGCAGGAGGAGCCTTCGTCACCTCCACTTTAGAGTGTAATGGGGCTGAACTCGGGGTTGGCTTCGAAGCTTGATCTGGGACCTTGAGTTCTTCAGTGTTGCTTGAAGACTGACTTTCTGGATGTGTCAGGTTCTCTGGGCCCCTCCGTGTCTGAGGCGAAGACAGGGTGGGATCCTTTTGTGGAGGTGGTGAAGTGGGTGGAGGGGAACCTGTGGTCTTAGTTTGAGGGTCACTGTGAGAGCTGGTGTGAGCCGGGGGATCAGGGATAGTGACAGGAGTTATTTTAAGGGAGGACACCTTACGCTCTTGGGTCTGTGTGTTAGCAGAGGTAGATGCACTACAGCTGCTGGTGTCATTTGGGACAGTGGACGGGGGTTCCTGTTGGACGGTGTTTGAACTGGTCTCCGAGTAGGAGTAAGAAGCTGTGCTGCGAACAGTGTAGGACTCTTTCAAAACGGCCTTCTCATTCTGAGTGAATGTTAGCATTCCAGGGCTGAGCTCATTAGCCAGGGAAAGGAGGGAGTCATAGTCTAGTGGATTAGCTCCAGTGGGTGAGAAGTGGAAACTCTCTCTCCTTGGGGGTGGCAAAGGCACATGATTCATATCCTTATTGATCAATTAGAAAGCAACAGCCAGCACAAGTTTAAGCGACAAAAACAAAAACAAGAAAAAAATCAGTGCAAAGCTTAAGACATACTGTCATCAAGTCGTTTCCCTCAAGTCTCAGAAATGCAGTTTGGTTCTGTGTTAATTATCCATAATTATGATGGTTTGTGACTCAGAACACAGTTTTTTGATTAAACTTTAAAGAGCAGTAAATAAGAACATCTGTGAGCGGTGTGTGGGGAATCTTACCTGTGTTGACTTTTTCTCCTGTAGGTTGGGTCTAACACTGCGAAAGCCTTTGGCAGCGAGAGATGAGCTGCTGGCATCTCCATTCTTAAGGCCGTCTGTAGCGCTGCGCGACCGCCAAGAATCTGGAGATGAAGTCGATCGCTTTAATATCACACTGAGAGGACTTGATCATGTTTCACAGCCTCTATGTGTGATGTCAGGAGACTTACCCAAGTCTGATGAGTGAGAATCACTCCCTGAGGGATAGAGGAGAAACAGCAACAATAAGATTCATGACAGACAGGCTTATTATAGATATCTCTGTAGGAAGTGTTGTTACTGAGAGCTGAAAGTGTGAAATATACCATAGTGTTCCTCTCAAAAAGATAGAGTGAATGTTAGGTAAGACAAACAGAGACAAGGTACTCGGTTTAAAAGGGATTGACGCAGATTTGAAAAGACACAGACTGAATGGGGAAAGGGACAGTACATAGACATCTTTATCCAGGACTAGAATCCAGAAAATGAGCTGCACCAGTATAGAAGTCCATTTTTGGAGAGTTACAGTTTACCAGAAACCAAATATGTTTAAACGGTGTCCCTCCTTCAATCACCTTAAATCTGTCAGCTTCCTGTACAGTAGCTGAGTACAGCCTACTTCTAAGTTACAATTCTGCCCTCATCAGTTCGCCACCTGTTGTCTTCAAATTAGAAGTATTTTCAATCAAACTAGAACTCCACAGGATCAATCTACTTTACAGCATAATACTGTTTTCTTTGAGAGGTGTTACACAGTGGCGAAACTAAACTGGTCCATCCATCTATCCATCCAGCATGCTTTGCATACTGAAGTGGTTGCTTGCTTCTTCAAGCTCCATTTCTGAAGTAGAACACAGTAACACATTGGAATACCTGTTTACACATTTTATATTGATACAGGTGCAGCTCAAAAATCACAGTCACCTGACAATGTTCATTTTTCCTCATAATTTGATCTCAATTTGAATTAAATGTAAAGTTCCGAGGTAGAGGGTTTTTGATTTTCATGAGCTAATAATTTAAATGTTTTGAGCTCTACCTGTACAATGATCACATGGAAGTGTTGGACGCAGCTAATGTTTTAAGTGGAAAAAAAAAGTATTAAAGGTGTCTTACACACCACATTTTCAGGCAATGCTGATATGACTGACAGTATAGGCTAATGTAACAACATTTTGACCTTCAGTGTGTGTTCTAAACTAGCAGGACTTTGTAAAAAGTCTGCGACCATTTAATCCAGTAATGACTGAGCAGTCATCGTCATTTACTCTTACAGCATCTACTTCTCACACTGAGTCTCATCTAATAACTAATATCCAGCACACTCATTTTAAACTGTATAATTTGCCAACTACATTTTTAAGATTTTTTTCAGTTCAAACACATTTCAAGATATCTATTTGGTCAATTCTCACACAAGAAATCCAAGGTTATGTAATTATAGAGATGATTTTATTTGGGCAACTACATGAGAGTTGGCAGGACACAAAAGGTTCCTCTTTCTGTACAAATTCTCTGTCAGACTGGGGCTCTAATCCAGATGAAATCAGTGCTTCGGTCTTTTGGTACTAAGTTTTGGCAAGCCGCTTCACTCAGAAAACCAGACAAGAAGGAAAAGATCATTGAGCACTCTGTGGCATGAGCAGAATGACGACTGAGCAAGAGGCCATGAATACCCGTGTCACTCTATTTCATTTCCACCTGGCATATGTCCTATAAATGTGACTACTGATTCTCAGCGGTTTGTGCTCACTTCTCATACGAAAACTTCCACTTCAGTGATTTAAAGACTGACAGGAGAAAACTGGGACAAGCTGCATCTGTGTTTCCAACACTCCTCAAATAGCTATAACTCCTTCATGGATCATTTGGATGCTAGCCATGCAAATGTCAAATGTACAGGCTTTCACGGATCATTGTGGAGGTTAATTAGGTGAGGGGGAGATACGCAGTGAGCTAAAATGTTCCAGGTGGCTGTTTCTGTCTCGTGGCCAGGCCCTGAGACCGGCGTTGGAGATGATTCATGTAAACACTATTGTTATTTTGAAAGCTGTAGATGGCTCATTCAGTCTGCCCGGATGAGTATTGTTTTGGCAGGAGTCCTCATTTCTATGAATCTGTATAATGAAGGTGGTGAGTGCAAAGTTAGGGCGTCCCATTGAGGGGAAATATATCAGGATTCAATCATCTTTAAACTTTTTTTTTCTGGTGATATAAACTGTTTTTGCTCATGGTTGGTTAGTTAGCTTATGGAATTTAGATATCTAGTTTCAACCAGGGAGAATAACACAAGTATGACAGTACACTGAACAACCGTGGTCAGTAGAGTGTAGACTCCTGCCAAGGCGAAACATCCCACAGATGCTGATGCCTGCATGTCTTCTCCATAATTATGCTCCGATGGCTACATGCTGGGGCCCAAGGCCTTCTGTAGCCTGTTTTGATCAGTTGTGCTACACTCGTAAAGCTTCCATATCTGACAACAGCTCATCCGTTTTCAGAAGCCCTACTATTGTTTAAAGGAAGCTGACAGTGCTGGATTGCCTACATGGCTGCAGTTGTTAACGTGGATGCTGACAAGGTTCAGACAAAAACATTGCTCTTTCAGCAGAGGACCAGCTGAAGCCTCTGGAAGCCCTGCAAAATACTCTTAAAGAATGAAAGGCTAACATGGATAGAAGATGTGTATTCATGTGAAACTGAAAACAGATCACAAAAAATTAGGCAGCGAGGTGCAGCTTTGGTCTAAACACAAGATTAACCAACATCGACATCACATTACCCCTATTTTAGCATCTTTACATTGGCTTCCAGTTAGTTTTAGAATTGACTTTAAGATTTTACTCATTACTCCTAAGGCAGTAAAGGGTCTGGCTCCAATCTATATAACAGAATCCACACCCTGAGATCCTTGGGTGGGGGCCTCCTGGTTGTTTCAAAGTCGAGACTTGTAACTAAAGGTGACCAGGCCTTTTCCATCAGGGGTCCTGGATTTTGAAATGACCTCCCCGAGGAGATCAGGTGTGCAGAAACAGTCACTGCTTTTAAATCGCGTCTTAAAACTCATTTTCATAGACTTGCTTTTATGTGATTTTGTCTTCTTTAAAACCTTTTACTCTTCTCATTCATGTTTTATAACAGTCCCCTTGGTCTCAGGTTTTTGTGATTGGGTTCCTGTGTTGGCTGGGTATCACGGGTTCTCATAATGTCTGTTTTAATGTCTTGGTTTTCATGACATCTCAGCTCATGTGACATTTATCAAAGCTTTTATGTCTTCCACCAATTTTCATTTCATTTTATTTCTTTATTGGCAGTAATGTGACATTTCCCCCAAGAGTTCTCTTGTTGTTGTTGTGTTGTTTTTTATCTTCTTCGTTTTCCTGCATGTTAAAGCACTTTGTAAACTCTTGTTTGTAAAAGTGCTATATAAATATAGTTATTATTAATATAATTATTAGTATTATCTTCAAGGAGCTGTGTTGTCACTGTCTAAAAAGAGGAGTAATAGGAGTAAACAGAGGTGGAGAAACAGTGATTAAAACACTCAAGACAGCAGGACAGGTGGCTTGAACAACCCACAAAGAGGGAGGAAGACATGGAGCAGCATGAGAGCTAACACATGGAAAATAACATTAACAAGAGAGGGAAAAAAGAAAGTAAAAGAATAACAAGATGAAGCTAAAAAAAATAGCATCCTACATTCCAAGGATTGCTGAAGCATTCTGAGACAGCCGCAGCCTAAATATTTGAAAATATTACAAATGTGCTCAAGCCATATCAGGATGACTAAACCCAACCATGATTCTGAAAAACCACAAGACTCACCTCATGCTTCAAAAGTTCAGCTCGGTCAAAACCCACATGGCCTGCATTTGAGCTAAAAGAAACCCTCTTTTTGTTCCAGCGTGTGTTAATTCGTAGTATTTGTGAGTGTTAGTACCTGTTCCTAGATTTGGTGAGCTCTGGACCCTCTTCATGGGAGAGAGTATGAGTGACAAGGCCGCGCTATGGCGAGCGGTTCCTCCGCTATCTGAGAAATCCAAGCCAGGCAAGTGATCAATAAAGCAGCAGCAGCAGCAGCAGCAGCACACATGCACATGCAGATACCAAAAAAAAAAGAGATGAATACACACTTGTACAAATGTGACCAGGCAAAAATTAAACACCAACAAGTGAAGGCAAAGCACATGCATTTTCAGATCCTGATTTTTTTTTACTGCATGACATCAAAAATGCTTCACAGGGAAGTTTCTCGCATTGGCAACACTAGTCTAAATATTCCATCTGGTAGAGTATACTTGGGTGTAAGATCTTTTTACATTGGATGAACCTTCCAAGGTTCAAATATAAACTCTGGTATATGAAACTCTGGTACTTGTATTAGTTGTCTTTCAACACGTGGCACAGCTATTTTTGTGGCCTCTTCCATATTGCATATTGTAAATACAGGCAAACAACCAAGACAAGCGAGGCTACTACTGGCAGACACGCAGTGGTGGTGTGAATGGAGGAGGTCCAAAGACAGATTACTCATCATTGATTTTCCACCTGAAATACACACTCTAAGCTCAGGATCACTGCCAAGTCTGAGACAGCGTTTTGGACATGTATGAAGGAGGAAATCGTCACTGTGGTAAAAAGTAAAATAGCTCTGTCTAGTCATTGGTGTTTTTAGTCTGAATACTCAAGGCCAAAAATGAACCAATACCAAACTGCTAAAGAGAGACAGAGTTTAAATTAAAGTCTCGTGGCTGTGGTGAGGGGACTACAAAACAGCAGCTTAAGCTGGGTGATCTCATATGAGAGAGAAATTGACTTTTTTTACTGTGGATACAACAGTGTAAACAGAGTGTTAGAGTAAACAGAGGTACAGAACCATGTTATAATTAAGGACATGAACTTGATAGATGATACCCCATGGTTTATGTGTGGGTACGTGTTTGTGTAAGCTTGTATACCTGTATTCATATTGAAGAGCACTTCTTACTGATCTATTGCAGGGGGGCACAATTTCCTGAAAAACAAACACAATCACAGTAAATGTTTCAGACAGAAAAAAATCACACCAGAGAAAAGGCTTTTGTCATCATCACTGATTCACGTTTACAAAGCAGAGATTGTAAATACCGGAGGCATCCATTTTTTTGTGTGTGTAAACCGTTTCGTATCAAATCTCAAATATAAGCATTTACTCTGGAAATTTGCCAATTTCCTGCAGCCCGCTGGCTCATTAGCTTTACTTTGATTCAAATCACATCGCTTAAAGAGCCAAAATCTGTGTGCAGGCTGGGAAAGTCTTAGGAGATTAATGATGTTTAGCAGGGGAAATGCTGACATACTGCAATTGACTTTGAGTCAGCTCATATTTGAACTCTTTTCACTTTACATTTTTCTTCCTCCAGGAAACCAACAGTAAGGGTTGAGGTGTAGACCACTCTGACATGAAGTGGGTCAAACAAAGGGAAGGTCCTATTATTAACAAGCATGGATTCTTTATTAGTGTTTAAACATCAATAAAAAGAAGTCTGGATGAACTTTTGACTTACTAATCGTCCAGTTTTCATGCATGGAGTGGAAGCACAATTACACTGCAGCTGTCTGTGATTAAGAGCAGCTTTAAAGGATGTAAGCCGCTAAAGAGTTAATCGTATCTCCTTATATGAACAGATGAAGTTCTAAGAAGCAGCACTACAAGCTCTGTCACTTTACACTTTCGTTTCTCTTTCACTGAAGCTCGGTGCAAAGACGATGAAATTAAATCAACACATACTGCCTGTCATGTTCAAAAAGACGTTCTAGCCGGAGCTTAAGCCTTCGGATTCCTGGTGTGGGAACAGAGCTTCTCCCATCTGAGAGTGAGAGGCCTGATGGCCTTAGTGAATACCGCATGCCACATAGATGAAACATAAATAACTTGATAAATGATACAGAATGCCATGTTTACCTGACTCTGCCCATATGTGATGCCTGTCTCTTGCTATATGGAGACCTTTTCTTGGAACTGTTGCAGCAGGGTGCGTGATTGATATCAATCCCTCACACATCAAGAAAGCCAAAAACACAATACAGGCTGCTGCATCACTGCAAGAGCACATACACATGTGTGTCATCAAAGGACTTAGTGTGTATGACAGATATTACTACTGACAGCATACAGTGGCTGCAGTGGGGATCATAAATGTCTGGTATGTAAATAACTATGGCATACACATTGCTAACCTTGCCTTACACACATGGACCCACTGTTGTGGGGTTTGAGGAATGTGATGTACAGTAGCTGAGTGGCATTAGTGCTCGTGTAGATAGCTGCAGAACCACTCAGAGGATTATTGGGTATCTTCATAGCTAGAGGCCTATTAAATCAAGAAAAATTAAAGAGATGATTGGGTAAAATATATATATGATTAATGTTAAATGATATAAGTGATTCGTATGCACTGCCTTTCCACATTCGGTGACAGTATATATATTTAAGCCCCGATTCAACTTCAGTAAAGAGTGGATCTAAAGTAGCACTGTCCTAACTAACTTTTCTGTTCCTAATCACTTTTTTAACATTATCAACTGATACTGAGTCCAAATCCCATACTTCTATTTGCCCAGACACTAGAGCTGCACACCTTTTTTTTTTTTGACTAGAAATTAGGACTGAGCGGTTTGGCAAAAAAAACTGATCACGATATATTTTGTCATATAGTCCAATCTCGCTTATTATCATGATTATTTTTTTTTGTAATTTTTCAAACTGCCCGTTTTAAATCATCTGTACTAAAAACTAAAGAAACTAGAGATTAGTTCAACATTTTATTAACATACCAAGTAAATAACAAAGCAAACTGAATAAGATAAACTTAGAAAAATAAAAATAAAAATATTTGAACTCAACAGTAAAAATGTAGGTAAATACTAACTAGGAATCAATCCAGTAAGACTCAGCATGGGGCATGGGGCAAATGTCTATTGTAAAACTAACAGCAGTCATGTTACTTTTGAATCAACTTGTGTGTTGTCACAAACTCTGCAGTAGAGCTCTGGTACAGTGGTGTCTGAAAAGTAGTGATGAGAGTGCAGGACCAGGAGACGTGAATTCACAAGATGGCAAAAAGCTGCATTTTCTATCCCAGGGGTTAGACTGATTTGATTTTTAGGAGTGGGAGAAAAAATCAATACAGCATAGTATCACCATATTTTGTCTGGTGATATATCATATCGTCTTATTTACCAAGTATTGATTTTTCAAATAAATTGCTTATATAAAAAAATAAAAAAAAATCAACTGTTTGTCCAGTGAGGTTGGCAGAGGTAAAATCATAGAGCAGGAGAAAGTTAGTGCAACAAATATATACATATAAGGTTTGCAAGATGTGCAACATGAAAATAAAATACAGTATAAATAAGACAAACATAAAAGAAAGCCAAATGCTACATTAGCCTAATAGTTGAAAAAATTGTATAAATTGCAATATATTGTATTGCAGTACTCACTGTATTGCAAAACGTTAAAAATCCTATTAATATCGTATCATGGGCCACTGGTAATTCCCATCCCTATTGATCTTAGTCATATTTCGGCCCTTTTTCTCTCTCTGGGATATTTATACTTCCACTTAAAGACCACAGTTTGTAACTTCTAACACAAAGTAGTGACTAACTTAGAGATGCACTCACAGTAAAATAGACTTTGTCCCCCAACAAAACACATCAGACGGAATTCAAACTCGCACCATCTGGCAGTGATCTAGAGATGAGAATAGTTCCACCTTAACTCAAAGTTATAATCCTTGATCTTCCTCATTTACTCACATATAAAACTACTTTGTTGAGATTATGTCAAAGTTTTCTGCACATTCTGCCGCTGTTGTGGAGAGGACACTGTTATTTGCAGGGCTACATGGAGACGTGCATCGTGGGATACTTTCAGTCCCAGAAGACCTAACCCTCACCCTCATACAGTACACCCTCGTAAATCTATCTCTGAGACACACACTAACACACACACAGGCGTGCACACGGGGGTAAATCATGGGTCTGGCGTCGCAGGCAGTCTGCATCCAAATGATGGTCAGATTATAAACAGGATCATGTTTCTTGGGGACAGATCAGCGGCGACACAGCAGCTGTGGCCATGGTGTAATGTTATGGCTGGATGATGGGAGAACCCTCGCAGGGCTCCGCACCTCTGAGAAGCCCAGACTATGTGCCCTGATGGACTTTTTCAGCTTTTAAACGCAAAATGTGCCACTCTCTCTCAAGCTGGAGATGTCTCAATAGCAGCTCATGCAGTTTAGCATGCATATCACAGTGAGCGCTGGAGGGGAAACCAAATGTTTCCATTAATATTCATGTGGTGTTTCTTGAAAATGTAACTGATGTAATACTTACAGTGAGAGTAGTAGGAATGAATGCAGATGGATTAAATGCTTGATATCTTTTTATAAGCTAAAAATCAGTTACCTTCAATCTGAAGCCTAAGGTATCTGTGCTGGGCAATGTCTAACGTGCTAAATCAAATAACTGGAAAACCCTCATTCCCAGGGACTAGATTTTTGTCCTAGTTTTGCTGGCCAAAGCATCTGGCATTTCCTCTTTTCGTTTTTGTTTTTTTCACTTTGCCGTGGTTTATTCATCGACTGTAATTTCGGTATTGGTGGGTCACTCTGGAGACTAGTGAGCACGTAATTGCTGAGGGTAATAGCTGTGGGACAGTAAATGCACAAGTCAGATCTTCAAGCCGCAGAAAGCCGTGCTGTCCAACACCACAAGCCCATCGGGTCTCATTAGCCTGCTGAGTGACCCACTGGGACCCATTCAGTTCATACGAGTGGACGCAGGGTCTGAGCTCTGAGTCCTTTTGAAACTCAAGACACTGAAGTAATCATGGTAGGATGCTCATACTTGTCTGCAGAACATTAGCAATGATTGAGCTCATCACTAAAACTCTCCCTGTGGTGATAATGTAATGTTCATAACTGAAGAGGTTTAATATTGTTGGGCTTCATAAAACTCCTATACACCAAAATTTAATTTCCCAAGAGAGTTTACTGGAAATCTAAATGATAAATTATCAAACATAAAACATACTTGATAAACAAAAAGAAAATGAAAGAAAAAATGTAATCCAGAGAGTATGACTGGAAGGATAACACAAACATGTGCTCAAAGAGAACTCATTGGGATGCCATCAGTCAGTGGCAGTCTGCCTGAAAAGTAATTTGTGGACACCCCTCTCTGAAAAAAATGACAAAAATGAAAAGAGAACAAAATGATTGAATTGTCTGAAGCAATATTAGAGTTTCACACGACATTTTATCTTTCAATTTTATGCTTTCAGTAGAACCCAGAGCTACACAGCAAAAGGTTATCCCAATATCCCAATTCCAAAAATGTTTGGCTGCTTTGTAAAATGTTGAAAAAAAGTATTATCCTGTTCGCAGATTACTCAAAGAGTGTTGAAAACTGTGCAAAGATAACATATTTGATCATCTCAGGGTGCCCCAAGTGTTTTCTCTAAATGACAAGTCTGGACTGTCTGTAGTGGAGTATTGTGATATTGCAGTTATCATGAAAACCCTAAAAACCCTAAAAAAAACTTTAAAAAAAATCGTAAATCGCAATCGTAAACTTGTCTGGGACAGTTGAGGTTTAACTTTCAGGCATAAAATCATTATACTTATTTGCTATTTTTGAATCATAAGAGAGCGATAAAAAAGGAAAAAATTGACATGGGACTTCAGACAACTGAATTTCTTCTTATCTTATCTTTAAAGATCCCCTTTGAGAGTCTGCACAAGCTTAAAGGCAGCAGGAGAGAGTGAACGGTTATTGGAGTTAAGCCGACTATAGCCTCAGGGGTCCTGACCCTGTAGTGGCCACTCAGACTGAGACATACTCACTGGATGTCAACTGATACAGCTCCTTAGCAAACCTATTTCAAGACCCCAAAAACACCTCATCAGAGAGTTATTTTCTTTACTGTTCTGTAGACTAAATCTCAGGTGTCAATGCTACATCACATGAAAAGGATGCACCTAAGCGGAAATAAACTAAGACAAAATATCTGATGCAGTGAACATTAGTTATAAGCCAGGGCTGGGTGAGTCTGAAAAGGATAAAATATAGTTAAATCGTACTGGCAGTATCAGAAGGAACTAATCCCTTTTTAAACAAGGCAACAGAATTCCCCTGGAGATCCTACATAAATCCAAGTCCAGACAAGGCTATTCTGAAATCCAACTGACAGGAAGTGTGACCCCTCCAAAAAAGGCAGAATTCAGAATGGCGTCGTTCCATAATCACTCAATTGTGGCCAAGTTTTTTAGAGTGGTGCCTTTCTGTGGTAAAAATGTGGGTAGTGTAGGGTTGTGGTCAGAGAAGAAGACAGGCTTGGGAATCAAAATAAGAGCTCGAAGTAGACACTGTACTCTCTGACTTCAAGTATTTCCGTTAAAGATCTGTTTAACAAGCATTATAACAGCATAAAATTCAGTGCTGCAGGATAAGTATAATTTAACTACCTTTGCTTAGGCAGTTTAAAAGTCAAAATAAAAGTAAACTTCATTTACATTTAACAACTTTCTCTAGTTTTGTCCTAAACCAAAGAGAATAATCTAACTCTGGCAAATGTTATACTTACAAACTACAACAAGCAGGAGAAAATGGATAATTTTAGCTGTGGTTGGTTACATCAGCTGCTGCAAAGATAACTCAACACTTGGCGTATCCAATTCCCATACCTCTTTATAGAAAAGTTCATAATATAACACTGACTGTTGGCCAGCCTGATGGACTGCAGATCTAGTATAGGAACTGTTCACATGATGATGATACACTGATGAATAATGACAGACTCCACTCTGCTTTTTTCAAGGCTGTCATAGTGCAGGGTAAAGTTCAGCTCGGCACACTAGCTACATTAATATTATGTATTTATGAAATTTGCTTATTCATCCTGATGGTGTCATAAACTAAACAAAGTTAGCCTCTAGAACAGCTGGTTATATGCTGTGTTTGAGTTACCTTGGAAATCAGAAGTACGAGCTGGGAATAATGTCATGCCCAAGTTACCAACATTTCAGTTACCAAGTCGGAAAAAAGCAAAATCGGAGGCAGACACAAGATGGCTACATCTACGAAAGTTATTTTAGCGCTTGTTATTTTAGTTATTGAAAGTTATTTTAGCATCCCCTTGTGTCGGAAAAAAGCAAAATCGGAAGCAGAAACAAAATGGCTACTTCTACAAGAGTTATTCTAGCGCTTGTTATTTTAGTTATTTTAAGTTATTTTAGCATTCCCTTTCTTAGATGTAGCCATTTTGTTCACGCCTCAGATTTAGCTTTTTTCTGAACTCGAATGCAGCATTAGTCAAACACACTTTTTCACCACGTTATTTTCACCATGACAAATCTCAAATCAAAGTTAATCTTGGAATGTGACACTAAGTTAGAATCCACTTTGAGAGACGTCTAAAGACTTTCAAGCACAATACAGAGGCTTGTGTAAAAATCCCTATGAGGCTACTTCTTAGCGGCGGTGTTAAAATCCTTTAATGCACACATCACAGCGATTATCCCGCTTATACCTTGGTTCCTTGCCAAAAATGTCTAACGAGAACATTCACATATTTCGCAACACTCTCAAACCAACTTGTCAATCAAATCATGACAAGACAAAAAATGCATTACCACAAAATCAAAAAGTACTTTCTGACACATCACTGCGGACTAAAATGTGCCCCTTTCAGCACTGTCAAAGCTATTTGTTGGGTTATTTCTAAGAGCTGATCAGCACCATGTCCCATTCCACCTTACTGGCAATAGTTGAACAACAACCACGTCCAACAAAGTCTCTGTTATCAGCCTTGTTTGTTCAACCTTGCCACTCATTAGTAGACGCCCCTCTAGCTGTGTGAATGGATAGGGGAGGTCAATACACTGACCCTGCATGCCCACTCACTGCCTGTACAGCAAACAACAGAGGCCAGTGTGTTCTGCAGATTGCATCACAACCCTGCTAACGAGCAGATCTATCGGCCTGAGAGCACTAATGCAATTATGCAACACAAACCCTGGCGCTCTGAGTCGGGGCTATGGGGGGAAGAAAGGATGAATTGGATGTGACAACTCGTGGGTTTGTTATCTTACCATTACTATACAGAGCTGGGGATGCATTTGCTGTATATCGTGATGTGCACGAGTTAAAAGGATATGATAGAGGAGCAAGGACATGCACTGAGGGAGGATCAAATAAAAACACGGGGAGGCAGAGAAAAAGATCAGAGATTGCAGGGAGGAAGGGAGATTAAGAAAAGGAATAATTCAAAGGAGTAAACCCAAACTAAATGACGTAGAATATTAGCATTAAGTGTTATGTAAGCTGTCTGGCTAAAGCTGTGTGAGGGGGCAGAGAATCACTAGTAAACAACACCTCTAGAGAGGCCACTGTTTCATCTCCTCGGCTCACAGATTGAACACATTCAAAGCTCACAAAACACAGGAAACTGGGCCACAAACTGAGACACACAACAAACACAACATAAGCAAAGTAGCAAGGTAGTGATAAGGTTAAGATAGAGGAGCAAGCTCTCTCAGTGCTGAATGCCAAAGCAATTTCAAAGATGGAGCTTGAGCTCATCCTGGCTCGACATTTTGACTTAGTGTTATAGCCGGGCCCCAGTTATGGTTCCAGCTCTTTAAAATGGTTGAGTGAAGGGAGAGCAACTGTTAGTCACCTTGCCATCTGAAACGCATTCAGTTAAAATGTGATGTTCAAACTATAACTCTGTCAGCTGCAGATAAACTAACACACATTATTACACATTTCCTTCCTCACACAACACAACAACAGGCTCAATCCAGCGGAACAGCACCGGGTCTTTTCTAAAAGCTACTTGACGGGATGCTGATCTTGATAAGATATTTCCTTTCTTGACAGCAGGAATCTATGGCGAGTTAATGCCACGAATACCACCACACACACAAAAATGGAAAATACTTTTTTTTTGCTTTTTTTAAGAGTACTCAAGTATCAGCCAGATTAATGTTCTTGGTCCTTCACTAAAGTCACTAAAGGCAAATCTGTTAGAAATACAAAGGAAACAATGTTGACTTAATGTAGCGCCATCTGTTACGGGACTTATTCTGGATGTTTTTTAAGAGGCTTGAAGGAGAAGCACAGGAATATCTAAATGCATTTATCATAGATATAACACAGTATTGGGTACTCCCTTTCTTTTCCCGCTAAATTCTGTACACAATAAATTCTGAATTTTTATTAATCTCTCATGTTTGGACATTAGTTCTGTGAAAGATGCAGCCTGACAGCAGTGTGACTACATTGTCATACTGCAACAAAATTTAGTAAAACCTCAGTAAAAACTCTGCAAAGACTTTGTATTTGTTATTGACTAAATATCTTTAAATCAAATGAGGAAAAAAAAACAAACTATTGTAAAAACAACAAAAAAAGAGGTCCGTCATTCAATGCCGGAGGTGAAGTCAAGAAGAATGGCTATCAGCTGTGGCTAAGATTACATTCTCCATACATAGTCTGGATTCCCTAGGTACCAGGGTTAAGTGGCAAGCATGAAGATAAGAGGACCTTGATTAGCAGGAGTGCTATATTTGCTGCCATTAGACGGGACCTTTTACCCTCTAAGGTGGTCTGGATCATCAGGGAAATCAATCTGAGCAGTCTTTATGTACTCTGGGTGAAAGGTGTCAGGAAATAGTTTTGGTCTTAAACTCACAGGGTGGCTTATCCTCTCAAACATACCTGGGCACACAAAAGGGAGTATCTGAGAGACATGATGGTTGAACATCAGTTTGAAGTCATCAAAGTCGTCAGGCGCCGTGGAAACATTTCAGAAGGTGTTTGAGCGAAGATCTATAGTCGTTTGTAAAACTAGTCTAACAAGAAGTCGATCTCAAACACTTGACGACCACCCTCACAGTTATGTTTGGTTCAGTAAATGTCTTTTTTTGTTTGTTTGTTTTTCATATTGTGATCATCAATAATGCAATCAACCTGTGCTGATGTTAATAAAGTCAAGCGATACACCACTTTGTGGGAGAACGTGTGAATTTACATATTTTTTGTTGTTGAAAAAGAGTAACTTAAGAGCCCTGTGATGGCTGCATTTTGAAAGGATCCTGTTGAACGTCTTTGTCCTTTTGTGGCTTTTAAGCAAATACACAGTACCAGGAAGGAATGAGGAAGAGGAGGGCAGAATGGTGTGATAGTCCCAAGAGAAACAGAGTTTTCCAGCAGGTCAAACTGAAACAGTAGTATATCTGTACAACCCTGATAAGCTCCCTGATTTGCAGGGCACACACATACTTTTCTTTCAGACAAAAATGAACTTGTATTAGTTTCCCTCCAACAGAGTCACTAAACTCTGGACCAACATCACAGACTAAACATTCAAGTCATCTCTGTTCAAATAAAAATCACAGTCCAAGTCTGACCAAAATGTTTCACACAGCAACTGCAGACTCCTGGAAGCAGATCATATAAGAGCAGGACCTGACTGAATCACTTATATGTGTTAGTAACGTCACACTGACCACAGGGAAGTTCAACATGACCTACACAGAAACAAACCCCACCGTATGCGAGAAACAACCCGTCCTACAACTGAAGCTGGGAACCACCCCTCACTGTGCACCCAGGGGGGTCAAGGTGACATTCTACAACACCTCAGAGACCGGACTATTGGAGGGATTGGTGCACGGCTTTTGTCGAGTGGGACAGAGGAGACTATAAAAAAGGTGTGTAACAGGAGATGGAGGCATGCACATAGGGGGAAAAATGAGATTCTCAGTCAAAATGAAGGTGAGAGGAAAGAGGATGGGAAGTTTTGGGACATTTCATTTTAAAACTTCTCTTCATTTTTAAGCAACAAAAATGAAAACTTTGAAAATGAGGTGAAAACTAGAATTTTTGCATTCATGGTAAAAACAGAAAAAGTTTAACATTTTTTCCTCTATGGCCTCAATTAAATATACAAAAAAAAAAAAGGATGCCCACAAGTTATTTTGCGAAGCTATTCCTGAAGTGACCGCGGTCGAGGCCACAGTTTTATTTGACACTATTTCTCCTGTCCACCGTCACAAAAGACAAAAATTCTTCTCTTAGTCTGTAATTTTGGGTTTTGGCAGAACAGATAAATATAATCCTTCTTTGGTGTTCAGGTTATTAAATCTATTCAGATCTTTTAATGTGAATTCCACATAAAGAGTCAGTGTTTTTATTTAAGGATAGTGTTTAAGATCTTAAAACATGACGGTATAATAACCATGTGTTTGTCAGTCAATATTAACCTCCTCTTCTAATTAGAATTACAATTTTTAAATTGAAGAAAGACAGATTTTTTTCAGTGCTATGGTATGTCAAAACAACAACGACAACAACAGAAAACGCTTCCACTTTACTGATTAGATTCAACCCTGCAGTCTGATCTTTTCTGACATTTAACCCGAAAAAGCCTGACCTCTCAGCAAGCTGAGCGCAGGTGCGACAGTCCATCAAGCAGCAGAGAAAATTTGACTCTTACCGTCATAAAACCAAAAGACTGGAGACTTCCTACGAGTCAGGTATAGGTGCGCTGTGAGCCCTCCCTCACTCCCTCTTCTTATGTTCTGATTTGTTTTGTCTTTCTCTCCTCTCAGTCAAGCTTTTACTCCCAGATCGCACCCTGCTTAATGCCTGGGGGCACAGAGACAACAGAACGAGGAGAAAGTTAGAGGGATGGAGAGAGGGAGTGACAAACAGGGAAAGAGAGTTCCCTGTTTGGGTGAAGCAGTGATCAGATACGGCTATTTTCAGACTCAAGCATGCTCGTCTATGAGACTGGAAAGTTACCCCCCAGAGTGGATGGGTGGGGGCTAAGTGACAGGGCTGACTATCTCTATTTTACCACACGCACACATGTTTGCATGCTTGCATACCACACAGTATGCACGCAGAGTTCGCCTACATCTAAATACAAATTCAAATACAGCACAGAAATGAACATGGACGCACACGCTGATATCCCACAATTTGAAATGCAGCAGTTAGGTACACCTCTGACATGTTATGTAAGTAATCCATCTCTCCTACAGGGCTATAATGTCACACAGCAACCCATGTCGTCAGTATGAGGCTATGTAAAGTGAACTCCTCAACACAGAACTGACAGGAGTGTCAAACTGTTCTCACAAGATTTTTTCTCACTCCACGTTGCTGACACATTGATTGCCTGTGGAGACCGCGGGCTCAGAGACGTAAACACACGCACACGGCAACATTTCTCTTTTTATCACAAATAAAGCATGTGTGGTCAGGCTAGTAAATATATACAGACTTATTTTGTGTCCACTCACCTGTGTCATTAATAATATTACTGCTGTGTAACCCATATGGGAATGTATATTTGGAGATGACCACACACACCCTCCTAGGCTGAATATATACAGCAGAGGGGTCAGCCAGAAGCACCTCTAGACCCCAGACTCCCTGCTATTCCCAGAATGATGATGTAACTACTGCTATTAGCATCTCATATTTAGAGCCTGGATACCTAAAACCAACCAGGCAGCTACTGTGCAATATGCTATTTGGCTCACTTCCACCTCCTCCATTCCCACCCGAACTCGTCAACAAACAAAACAGGCACAAAAATCAGTGACTAACAAATTAATGCGTATTAGGTTCAGGAGGAGTTCAGCACTTGCTACAAAGAAATTCCATTAACCTACAGTAATGTGGCTCTATTAGCGGCAAACAAATGCTGATAAGACTGCTAGGTGGTGACTTATTTTTCCTGTAAAAGCAGATAGACAAAACAACAGTCTAAATTCTCACTATGACTGTCACACTGAGTGGTGCTGCTGATTACATATTTTTTCCTGCCTAATTTTAACCTGCCTTTGATGAAGCAGTGCGGGGAAATCACCGTCGCCCAAAGCAATTCTCAAAACACCCAGAAGACTGTAACCGGTACATCCTAAATTGAAATACATTTGTATCTTTTGCTGTTTCACACTCAAATACTGATTGAATCATGCTTACTTGGTGATCACATTTTACCAGTGATCACAAATTTCTGAGTATTTCAGGTTGGTCCCATTAAAATGAAAAAAACTCTTTTTTTAATTTATCAGCCAAAAATTAAAACAATTTAGGCCAACAGCCCACTGTTTCATGACACATCCCTCTACTATGATTAAATTGATGGATCAGGAAAAAAACTGAGCAACCATTAAAGGCAGTTTAGCTCACAGCCCTGCTGAATTCTAATGAAGAAGCTGCCTAGTTTACATACGTTTGTTTTACATCTAAAGAATATACCATTGTCGATACCTACAAACTAGAGTAAAAAAATATGTTTTTTTCTTTATCATTTCTTTGAAGTAATAATCATCATATAAATCATTTTGCACTGCAGATGCAGTAGTTCTTCTGCCGTAGCATCTTGATCTGATTGCATTTCCATGAAAAAATAATCATGAATGTTCTTCCTTGAGTTGCATCAGCCCCAGTAGTCCATAATGGACTGGCTGGAGGTCTTGCTACAAACAAGCAGCTGCTGGAAGAGAGTAGGTGAGTTGTATTTAGTCTCTTTGCTAAAGAAATTAGGCAAAGCTAAAAAGATGTTTGGTGGCTAGTGCTATGGCTGGGACCCTATATATCTTATTGATGAAGTTAGGTGCTGTTCTGAGCATTATTTGTGGCTATAGAGTGGCGTTTTGGTTGAGGTTTGTATATGGTTCCTCAGTCCGCTGTGTATTGCTATCGTGCGGTCGTTACTAAAGTTGGTATAATGAGAGAAGCAAGCGGTCGGCAACATTCATCTCTAGAGGGGGTGTCTAACTCCAGTGTTTGTTACAGTGTGTTTGACCCTAAATTAATTTTACGCCAAATATCCCTTTAAGCCCGCCATCATGTTTCTCCTACAGCATTTTTTTTTAAATGAGCAATTAAAGCAAGAAGAAATTTTCTAGCTAGCTTTGGATCTTTTCCACAAATGGTTTGATTCATAATTTTAAGGGGCAGCACTAATGGTAAAAGCCAACAAAAAGTACAAAAAAGACATATCTACATGGATAAAACAATTAGGGATGGGTGATATGGGCTAAAAAAAATTACCACAATAAATTTTCTCATTCTGGCGATAACAATTAAAAGTCATGATAAAAAACATTATCATTCCAATCCATGTTTTTGACTCATTCTGTCTTGAGAACACCAGCTAGCATAGTCAAATATAAGATACTTAACCACAAGTTTGAGTGGTAGGTTATGGAGAAAACTGGTGACATCAAACAAGTCTGAAATGTGAAAACACTTTCAAAATTTATTGAAAACTCTTATCTCATAGAGTGAACAGCAGCAGCAGATCTACTGTCCGGCACGTCAGGCATACCTGATTGCACTTGTCTAAGCCCTAATCTGGAAGGAAATCCCTCACATGGAGTCTGGTTTACCAACGAGCATCTTAGAGATGTCTTCTTCACCACCATGTTTTATTTGTTCTGCTCTGTGTGAGCTATGGCTGTGAATCCATCAAACACACTTACATCATCAACTTGCATTTATCGTATTTATCGTGAGATGGCAAATACTTATCACAGAGGATTCTTCTGATGATAAATCATAAACAATAATTTATTGCCCATCCTTAAAAAAATATATAGTTAAAAACAGCAATGAGGCAAAATAAAGTTACACCGTCATGCTTCAACACAGTTACTGCCCAAGGGAAAAGGTGGTGATGCAGAGTGCCTTTCTGCAGATACACAGACTTTTGTCCTCATGATAAGTAGCAGTCCTGTAACTCAATGCCCCCTTTTTAAAAGCCCAAGGCAAGCTTCAGACCTTTACAGTCCCATTATGATTGGTGTGTCAGCAGACTTGATCAAACAGCAGCTGGGCTTCAGAATTTTCTGGCCACATGCCAAGGATCATGACGGTATGGTGCAAAGCTAACAACTGACAGGTGTTAATAATGTAACCTCACGAACAGAATCAAAGGAGTATCAGGGGCCTAATAACGAAGTAAACAGCCAAAGCACCTGCATTGTTTTCTATTCACTCCAGACCTAATCCTTTAACCTACAAGAGGCTTTACAGCAGATCTCTATCAGCATCTGAACAAACTTTCTGACTTTGATGGGTGTAATTTCACAGTCCTGGACTCTCATGTAGGAAACGCCTGACAAGTATCTTCTATTGCGTTTTGCAAGCAAATGCATGATTTGAAACAAAAAAAAACAATTTAAACCAACATGACACAGCAACAGCTTAGGAATGATCTCATTAAAGTACCAGAGCAAACTATTTTTATAGCAACTGACACACACTCACACTGAAGCACACAGACACTTTGACCTATGAGCCACTCTGGACTACAGTGGCCGCGTCGACATGGTCTCACCCGTACAGTTTCAACACCTAATTCATTATCAGCTTCTGCAAGGCCCTGCCATTCCCAGTTAAGTAAGTGACAGGTTATAAAAAGCAGAAGAGCTGTGCTTGTACACATTAGTGAGTGTCACTTACTGGAAAACACTTAAACCTGGGAACAGATCAAAAATGGAAAAGTATACCTTTACCTACAATCTATCTCTCAACAGGAACCATGCCATTACTGCTGCTGCTGATCAACAAGCGATGCAGAGATATAAGCAAAAGAAACTCAGAGTTTTTCCTTTTTGATGTACTAAACAAGGTTTTACATGTAATTTAAAGTAATATGAAGGTCGTTAGTTTCACTGGCTGGATCCTACAGAGGTCAAATAATACTGACATACCACTGTACACAGGACTGTCCTCCAACACTTTATCCTAGCTTAGCAGGACAGATGAGTTAATTCTCCTGTTTTGTGTCCTTAATTGGTTTACAGCAAGTCTGTGTAGATCCTTGACAATCATCTTTCTTAATTCAGCATTTTGGACCCTGCTGCAAAATGAGTGATGGTTTTGAGATTCACTGGAACAAATGATTTTATAATGCCAAGATAGATGCCAAGATACATCAAATAAGCACAGGAGAATAACGACACGTGAAGGGTGAGTCTGAATGTTAGATAGTAAAACATTTAATTCAATCAAATTCTTCTTTTAGATTTTTCCAAATTTTATTTTAGGGCTTTTTGTACCCTTTAAGGAGGATAGGACAGTAGATAGAGCAGGAAATAGACATCTACATTACTGCTACATGTAGTAAAGGAGCTGCAGGCAGGAATCAAAGCCAGGGCATGACCTCCATATATGGGGCTTGGTTGAACTCATAGGTCAAGGGGTGCCCAATTTTTCGTATAACTTTTGCAAATATTTTAGAACAAACTTACTGTCTTCCTGTCTTAAGGACACTTAAGGTGCAATGTGTATTATTTCAGCTGCACTAGCATAAAAGATAAGATAAAAATTGGATATAATATTTGTATGTTCAAACTAGTGTAAAACCAACTAGTTTTGTTTTTGTTGACTTAAACTTGTACAGTTACATGGAAGCAGTTTCCTGGTCATGGTGGCTACCATCTTGAACCACATTGTCGTAAAGTTTTTCAGTAGCCAATGCTGACACTGATAAGGAGAGGATGGCTTGACTAATGGCTGATATATAATATGAATATTTGTGTTTTTGCTCCTTTTTTATGCATGACCAAATACAGCAGTTTAATGACACTAACAAAATAATAAAATTAAGTTGCTACACATGAATAAACTTAAATTAAATAACGGTAGACTGAAAAATATTTTGCAAAGTAAAAATTGCCTCAAAAGAATTTTGGTTGACTGTCCAGCCATCTTAAATTATAAAAAATACACAAAAATCCAAGGTTGATGTCACAATTGAAATGAAAATAAGTAATGTATTAATCCTTTTCTTTATGTACATTAAAATGAATTTGTAATCACCGAGGCCAGTTTTAAATAGAATTATAATAGATTTAGAAAACATAATAGTGATATTGGCCTTGTAAGGGCTGATACAGATATGATGCCGACTACTGTAAATGGTATTAATCAGCCCAATAAATCTGGTCCATCTCCACTCTAAATATGAAGTGAATTCAGAACATGGAATGAATTTGATAGTACTCTCTTTCATGGCCTCTGAAACTTGCTTTCCTCAACATAATCATTGTATGTCAATGCAGCAATTTATCTACGCTGAAGGTTCTTCCCTTTGCATTTGTTGTCAGTTCCTGCAATCATGAGAACAGAAAAGAATCATGACATGGTTGTGCTAAAACTCCTTACTTTAATAATTTATACAAAAAGGGCCTGAGCTTTGCATTGATGTAATGTCATTGGCCACGAATGCAGTGGCAGTGAGAATTCTTGATTATCACCATATTAATAATAGAAACATTCAACATGGTTGTAGTATCCCTGTCCAAAGCTGACCCTGAATCACTGATGATTCCAATCAAATCCACTTCTGCTGACAGCAAATCAATATTTTAATAAAAGAGAGAGAATGGCTCAGCAGTTTACAAAAAACCTCAGCATCATCAAAAAGACGGACTATTAAGAAGGCCCTGGTAGCAAACAGCTGGCAGCTTCTGTTATCAGTGCGACCGAGAATTGGGCACACATCACTTGAGCTATGACATCAGCCTCTGAAAGCGGCCAATGAGAGGAAGACACAGGAGGGAAGAGGACCGGAGAGGCAATAAGAAAATAAGAGGGTACCCACACAAGTAAAAGTAGAAAAATTAAAGGAATTATGCTGTATTGAGAGAGACTAATAGAGTCTTAGAGACAGAGAGCTAAGTATGAGCTACCTCCCCGTTACATTCTGTACTTTCAGGGGAAAATGTATCACATTCTCTTATTCCCTACTGGCCTTCCTTGATCCCCTTTCCTCTCCCTCTCTCTGACATAAATACACACAAACACACAACATGCACACACGCAGCCTCTATCAGTTACTCCAAATCGGCAGGTGCAACTGAGTTAACGCTAACAGAGACGTACTTTCTTCCTCATTGGCCATCAATCAGGTCAAAATGCTATGATCGCCCATTAAGTGTGTATATTTAAGCCTCTGTGAGCAGCTGTTTATTGGCGCAGCAACCCCTCATGAGACAGATAGCAGCCAACTGTTGCTCTTCATGTTGCATCCTGCTGTTTCGCTTCCTCTCCCTCTGACACAAGAATGCAGTCATAGAAACAAACTAAAAAATACTGCATCAGAGATACCGTCCAGTAAGGCCTCCATACTCAATGACAGAGGCCAGGTAGGTAGGCCAAAGTGGGAGTGGTATGAGGTTCCCGAAGAGATAATGTTTCACTTTGTGCATACTGGACTCCTCCCAATGCTCCCAGAATTCAAAAGGCTCTCATTGATATCCAGTACTGGCTTTTTCCTTTTTTTTTTCTTCATTACATCATTCTTTTTGCAGGTAGCACCACAAGACACACAGGGGCTGCCTTTTCTTCACTGCTCTTTGTCACATGTGGGATAAAACATCTGTAAAAAAGCAACAGATGAAGCTTTGAATAATAGAAAATACAAGAGTGCAGTGGCACTTGGGACTCGGGGCCTGCAGGGTTTTAGGAGACTGATTGTTGCAAACCTGTTCTCAATGAAACAGCATACCAACCCCAACCCTTACCATCGTTGTTGCAACAAATACGGGTCTAATGTAGTTACTGATATGCAACCTCCAGTTCTGCAGGCGCAAATATACTGATTTTGAAAATAATGGTATGGCAAAATATCATTATCCTAAGAGTAATACAGTACCTGAAACTGCATTAAAGGATCAGTTTGTATATCTTTTAATTAGAAATCAAATTGCATAAATAGTCTACATGATTGTACTTTAATTTTTCCTATGATTGTTGAATTATGATTTTATTGTTACTGTATTTTATTATAATGTGACAGATATCCCTGCCTCATGTATTATAGCCATCATTAAATACATTAAACAAGTCAGAGTCGAACTATATCTTCCTGACAACAAATTAGAGAGATAAAACTGCAAAATTAAAGCTTTATGTCTACATTTGTTCCCTGTAGAAGTTTATTCAAACAATAGGGATTATCCCCAGCATTTCGGATGTAGGTTAAACACGGATCTCAGAATTCCTGCTTATTACAACCGATGAGTCCGATTGTTCCCGGTACTCTGGCTGCTACTCATGTTAAGTAACATTTCTTTTCATCCCACAGCTTAAAAGCTTGTGGTCTGAGTCTTAAACATGTTCCCTGCACTGACCGCATCTTCCCTTTAATGCATTGGAAACATCAATCCACTGGTATGCACTTTAGAGGCGACCTTACCGCATCCCAGATGAGCTGATTCATTCGCCCCTGGTCTCGACTGTTATGACTGTAGTGTCGTTGTAGCATGTAAGGCACTCAAAACACTCGAAATAGCTGATTTCCCTCCTCAAACAATGCGAAATCCTGCTCCAGGTTACAGGTTCTCTGCTGCTGCAGCTGCTAAAACGTGGCTAAGAGGGAAAATAGTCCCTTCAGAACAGCATTTCAATTACAGTGCTGTGTACTCACCTTAAAACTACTGCTGTTTCCTTCGTCTAATTCCGCAACATGTCGACAGGTAAACAGGCTCTTCCATGAGAAATGACTCAAGTCCTCGAGCGGAATTAGCGAGCTACAGCGGCTCGTGGCTAGCGCTGCGTCCGTGTGATGAAGCCGTACACCTGTTTTTCAACTCGCGTGGATGTAGCCGGTGTCCGTCAACAAACTAAAGGCGACTCCCTCCCTCTCTCTCTCTGCGGTGAAGCTGTCCTGTCCTGTTTTCCCCACGCCACAAACCTCCCAGGGCAGCAACGACGCGGCGGCAGAGGCACAAACAGTCACCACATTTCTGACAACAAGCGCCAGTACTCGCACCGCGGTCCCCTAACCGCACCAGCAGCACCACCACTCAACCGGCTCTTAAGCACTCGCCTACATCCAGAAATGGGCTGAACCTGCTTCCCGTTTCCGTTTTTATTATTGTTGAATGATGCCGCGGCTGGCTGGCTTCGTGCGCAAAATGGCTTCTGTGTATTTTCATTCAGTAACAGTCCACCGCGAGCTTCTCATTGGGTCTGCGTGTAGTCATGACAACGCCCGCGGTTCAATCAGTGCACGCAGAGGGCACGCGCAGGGGGCCTGTGTGTTGCTCAGTGCCACTTTGCCTTCATATCCGCAGTAGAGTGACCTCACACATATGAAGGCTACAGCCAGGCTATGTGTTAATGGCCAGGACATGGTTATAATAATGCCAGGCTTAGGAAGTGATTCACAGAGCAGGGCTAGGAATAAGCTACAGCTGTAGTGCCCAAAAAAATATGTCGATATGTGTCCCCGGCTGTTGTCATCAAAATGTTTGAGAGGAAATGTTTGGCTATATATACACATGACAAGTAGATTCTGGTTGGGTTTTCTTAAAGAATTAGTGGGCTGCTTGAGTAAGACCTTGTTTGTGTTTTGAGTCCAGGATTAACAGATCTAGTGGATAGGAGTTGCAAAAGAAAACCCCATAGTAAATCTGCATTGAAGGTCAAGCTAAGTAGGCGAGGTTTTCATTACCCTCACAAAGAAGTGCATGGTAACACTGAGTGAGACTACTCATTGAGGTATATCTACACACAGGGGCAGAGTTAAGGGGTGCTGAGGGGTGGCCATGCCCCGTACCTGAAATCTGATTGGCTGGCTAAACTATGATTTGTTTTTGTCAGAGGTGAGACTGATCCTGCTTAGGTCAGAATTTAAGCATGAATACAGCCCAATCTGGAAGACAGAGTGCCGGGACCCCTTGACCCTGAAAATAGGTCATTGTATTCCATGTAACATGACTCACCCCCAATTTCCACCACATCCTGAATGGCTACGAATAGGCCGTACCCACTGATAGTAGCTGATCGTAACCATTCAAGTTAATGTGTCAATTTCCACCGGCTTCTTTCCATTTCTCCGCGGATTTCAGGTGGATCGTATTTCACACCATGCAAATGGGCAGGGATGAACAAGTGAAAGGTTTAGACAGCATTTCATCTCGATGACACCATGGCTGAGGGGATGCTGATTTTATAAGTCTAGATTTCCTCCTCTGGAAGTACATAATCTACTGTTTATATGGTTAGCCTATGTGGCTAAAGACAACTTGTTATCGTGCAATTGCAGGTGAATCTGCGGGTTCTTGTGAGTTCTTGTAATTCCTGCTGTCTGTAATCCGCCACTAAATTCGCCTCACAAACAGATCCAGTAGGAATTGGCGTACTGCAAAAATTGCCACCATTCCAGATCGGGGCCGTTCTGGATGCGGTGGAAATCCCGAGTTAGCATGTCTGGTTTTTCTGTCTGCCTTCTACAACTTCTACTGTCACTCAGTGATGTTGCAACAACAACCTGCCTTTAATATATGTTGTTGAGGGACTACCACGACTGACTGAAAAGAAAAAAGAAATATAGCCAATAATAGTGGGCCAGACACCCTTCAACAACCCAATGAGTAACTACGGTTTGTCCTAGCATGAATTTAATGTTCTGATTTTGCCTAATTTGATATATTGACCGCATTAATAGGCACAGGCTTAACTACAAGCTTCCCGTAGTTCTTGCATTAAATTGTAACAAATATTCTTTTGTCTGTGCGATACTGCAAAATGTACATAGAAAGGGTAAATGCAAGTAAGTAATTGATGTGTGCTTGCATATTTAATGCCACCCCTGCAATAGTGCCCCAGATTGGCCACCCCAGTGAAAGAGGTCTGACTCCGCCCCTGTCTTTTCAGCAAGTGTTTCAGTGTCAGCATTGATAAAGTGTTAATTTTATAGTGTCAACAATAAGCTGACATAATCTTTTGTCATTGAACCCCTGTAGCCTACTGACCTAAAGGTGTTAAAATTAAAGGTGTTGATTTCTACCAGTACTGGCATGGTGTTGGTTTTTAAATATGATATTAAATGAATTAAAGCTGACAGATTTGCAACAAGTAATTCCTCAGTTGAAAGTTTAGCACCTAGCTACAATCGTTTATTCTGTTTCATTTCAGTGTTTTTCTTGACAAAGCTTTAACTGTTTTTACCAGTTGTTTGTGAAGCAAAGCAACTGAACCATGTCTGATTTTTGATGGCTTAACTAGAGGAATTCTCCCCCTCTGTGTCTATCGGTCTCCCCACTCTCTCTCTCTCCCTCTCCCTCTCTCCTTCTCTGACACACACACACACTCACACCTAGCTGTTAAATTATTTACAGACTGGGTGGTAGCCCCTGCCTGGTATCCTGTGACCATGGCAGAAAACATGGCCTTAACACATTTCTCACATTGTTTTGCTTTAGTTTAAAAGGAGACAGCATGGACAGTCTGTCTTCTGTTTATTTTAGTTCACTTTGACCAACAGGTTCAAAGTTAAATCCATTTGTTAATCGATTTTCTGCTCTAATTATCAATGCAAAATCTATGTGCAGCTTCTACATTCTGGGGTGGTGACAAAGGGAAAGTAAAAGACACATTGCTCATGAATTCTTAAAACCTTTTGAGATGGTCTAGTGAACTGATATGGATTCAGCCCCAAAGCAAAAACATGACTCTTTCACCCTATCTAACTAACTCTTTAGGAATCTGTCTGCTCTTACAAATATTGTCTACGTCTCTTTTTTGAGGTTAATATAGTTCAAAATGCAACGCTTCAAATGTCGTCTGAGATTTAAATAATTACTGAAGTTACATATCCAACAAACAAGGATTCTGCAGCTGTAAAGTGGCAGTGTTGTTTTGTTGTTAACACATGTATAAAGCCCTCTTTCTTCTGTCAGCATAAAAGGTGTACACATTTAGACTGTTATTGATAGCTGACCTTTGTTAAGTGTCACCAAGACCACATCTGTGAGTGTGTGTGCACATTATGCATGCATGTGTTTGGTCTTTTATCACCGGCTCTCATCCGCGGTACAGGCAGCCCTTACTGAATCTTACTGTTGTCGAGTGGGCACCTTTTTATAGATGGTATGTTATCCACAGACATGCTCTTAACGATCCATTGTGACAGAGCCAGGCAGGATGATGACGATACATTATGTCTGGTATGCAGTGGGTCACTGCTGATACAGATGTAGACATCCTCATAGTGAAGCTTAAAAATTACTGCATACTATGAAACACGACATGCATGTCTACATATTGAGTTTACAGAATCTAAAGATTTATGTTTTGGTAGTGTTTGTTTTACTTTTTAAAGTTAAGAAATTTAACATTGTTTAGATACTTGATTTCAGTCATAGTAGATACTATTTGTTGCAATGGAAATGATACATAAATAGTAAATATGGTAATTCTATTCAATTCTCTGTAAACTCACAGAGACTTTAGGCCACCCCTGCAGGAGTCAGTCCACCAATCAAAAGAAAGCCTAGACCTGCCCCTGTTCAAACATTTAAGCTAAACAGAAAATATTAAGGTACTTTATTGGTGAAAAATAAAGAGCGAAATTGCAGGATTCATCAAGGTGAGTTTTAATCCTCCTTATAACATCAAATGGTAAATCATACCATAGGTTGACATTTCAATCTAGAGCACAGAGTTGAACACAAACAGATACACCAACAGACCTACATTTCTATCCATAGAACAGGCTGCAAGTCTGTCTAAATAGACAACAAAGATAGCCTGGCCTCCTGAAGTGTGTCACTACATATAGTCACAGGAATCCTTACCAACCCCCCTGAAAGCCAAGAATGGGCTCTAAGCTGAGGTAGTGGAGGTGCCACCGCTCAGCCACATTCATCCTGCGTGTTGACATGAGTGCATCCAGAAGCTAGCCTTAGATAGGCTGTAGCAGAACCCTGGTTAAAAACACTGCATTAATACCCACACAGAGTATCTGGATCTCTGCCAGACCTTCATCCAAATGCAAATGTGTAATAACGCTTCCCATTATAGCATTTCCCTTTTAGGACAGTAATATGAACCTTATCTTGGAGGATGTGACATCATCAAAAGGGGTCATGGTTTTATGGCCACAGCTACCGATCCTCCTCCCCATCCTATCTGCAATTATCTTCCTGCAGGCCCTAACCTATACTTCTATCACACCCCTGTGGCCTCTCTTATGAATGACCTGCAATAAAGGAGAGCAGACAGAAATATGGATCTTGTGAGAAAATAACTCTTTTATCTCAGCAGGGCCACTGTTTCATATCTGTCCACCGCTGCTCTCCAAAGAGATCCACATTTGGAAACAGCTGATACGGAGGCTTACTTGCCTGGCCTGTGTTAAAGTAGCAGAGTGGTGTTCATTGAGTGGCTGGTGTTGTGAATGTATGAGGACACTGTCTGGCAATGACATCACACCACTTTCCCTTACGCTCCAGACTCGCTTTGATGTCTGAGAGTTGACCAGGTGAAACGTCTCTGCAAATATGTGGGTAGACAAGAGAGCTGATTTCCCTGGAGGGAAGTTCAAGTCCACTCTTTAAATGCTTTCTTGTTCTGTAAGCTTGTGTTTATATAAAGAAATTTTTTCTAAAGGTCCATGCAAGGTGCTGAAAAGATGTGTGTCCTGAGGTTGTCACACCACAGAAATATGTGTTGATGACCAACTAGCCATATTTGAATGATCAGAAAAAGGTCACCAAGTCTTTATAATTAGGCATCAGTCGGCATGTTGGTTTGGAGCAGAAAAGCCCCTCCCTCCTTCTTCTCAGGAGTGTCAATCATCTACAGCATTGTCTGAGATGGACTAATTCATAGACTATCATAAAGGGTGTAGATCCAATTCTAGTGCACTGTTATTGTTTCCTTGTTCCTGCGCAATCATGTCCTGTCAGACACACTTAAATGTAACGCAAAATAAACAGACTCACTTTCACAAATTACATTTTTTCTTTCGGATACTCGTTGTGCTGGGATGGCACCCCAGACACACTGCCCAGGAACATTGCAGGTACATGTTGGGGCATTGATATGAGAGGTAGTGGGTGCCTGTCAATTTACTGGTTCGCTCACAAAGTGTAGCAATTCATGATGCTAAAAGGTAAAATTTTCACTTAAGTGGAATTTTTTTGTGTGTCTGCTAAAACTGCAAAGTGTATCTGTCCTGAATACAATGCCATGTAGTCATGCCAAAGGAAATGAGTTTGGAAGGACATCTCAGTCAGTGCACAGAAGCTACCTGCCTGATTTTTCTATTATTGGTTGATTTTCATCATGTGTTAGAGTTGAAGGTTCAGTTTGCAGCACAGCAGCCAATTTTCACCAGGCCTAACACCATGAATGTAAATGATTACATAACTGACTGTGGGTAACATCTTGTCCCATCCATCCATCCAATTCTGGATAAACATGAGCTGACTTTTCAGGATGGCAAGGTTTTGAAAGAAGAGTTTGTAAAGTAAGTGTGCCTTGTTCACTAAGGAAGAGACAAACATTTATTTTCACTTTCCAACTCAGAGAACTGCTCATATTAAGCTCTTATCTGGTTTACTTCTGTCTGTTGCGTTGTATAAGTTTCTTCTCTTCATTAATTGCAGCCCTGTCAACAAACCATCACTCATCCACCAGCAACAAATTACTCTTCCTCAAACCCTTGTTTCTGACTGTATCATATTAATCAAAAAGAGTCAACACTGCCCGGTGAAAATGGCAGCGTCACTCATCAATCTTAATTTGGAAATAAAGGCTGACGCTGCAGTGTTGTGACTGATGTTGGACAAGGATGAAGAAGAGTAGCTGACACAACAGAATGGAGACAAAATCAGAAGACGTAGAAGGTGACAGATAACACAAGAATGAATGACACAGCGAAGGACATGGAGGGACAGAGATGCAAGACAAGAGTCATAGGTCAGATCTGAGCTTATACAAGCAGACATCATCATTTGTCTACCTGTCTAGACACATTGATCTCATGGAAATCTTCTCCAGATGACGATACATATTATGACTTGACAGGAGTTTCAAACAGTAACACTTAAACTCTGTTTGGGGGAATGTCCTGATAAGATCAGAGCACAAGCAACCTGCATAAGAGCTACCTCATATAGATGGAATGTGAATTGAGATAAAACACTGTGCAAATCATGTGGTGTGGTCAAAGCCTTATCGTTTCACTGAAAAAAATCTAATTGAATTTGAAATTGCTGTCTAAACTGGGCTTCCCTGTGGTTTTCCTTGGACTATTTGCAAAGTAACGCAATGTAAATCAATGATGAGTATTATGACAACATATCAGATGACCGACAACACCAAACTGTGTTGCCCAAAAATTTTCAAGCCTCTTTTAGCCCATCTCTTCCTCTTTTTTTTTCATGTTTTTTCCATGTGAAAATGTTATTTTTCACGTCATTGTGGGTTTTTAGGAGTGCTTGTGGCCTGACAGTCATTACTGAGGCTACAGCTTTCGAAACAAATAGTCTGAGCAATGGTTTCACTACTGTATGTCAAACCTTGTCTTGTGTAGTTGACAGTGTGAATATAAGAAAGCTATGTCACTCACTTTTAGTTTTCTCATATCCAACAGACTCTCCATTTTATGCAGGATAGCTGACACTGTGAGCAACCTTCAAATAAGACATTATGTGTAGCTCAGCAGGGCTTCTTTGCACACTATAAGAAAGGCCTTGCTGTTTCCCCCTCTTCAGATGAGGAGTCAGCAGCTGTCCAACATTCAGAGGCAGCTCACACCAGAGGGGATGTAGTTGAGTAATGAATAGAGTCACGCACTAATTACAACAGCGAGGATGAGGAAGACAACCAGAGGGACTCTTCCCCTCCTTATCTCTTCCTCAAGCAATTTCCAGCAATGTGAAGCTGAGCTTGGCAAGAAGAACTCATTTTAGAATACAAAGAGGAAATCTACTATAATTAAACAATCAGCCTAACATAGCTATAACAAAAAAATCATTACAAAATCAGGGATCAAAACTGTTCGTGGTATGTGTAGTACATGTTTCAGCCTGATCATGACAAAGCAGTCTTTGCTTATCTTGTTTTTTTTTTAAGGAGTCGTGTCTTCAGACAAAATATCTCATTCTGCTGACTTTTGACAGTCAAATTGATCCTTTTTGTGAGTTTTTGATGAATAAAATGTAAAAACAGAGCTTTGTCCAGTGCAGATTTGGACACCTTCCCCCTTGCACCAGTTTCAGGCATTGAAAACCAGTATTAAAAATCTTTTTTGCTTTTTAATCTCGTGAAATGGCACCAAGATGAGTTTCAGTCTATTTCATAAATGTTTGAAAACTCCTAACAGGGGAGCTTTCACAATAATTCATCCCACAAAGGCTTTTAGGAATCTGTTGGTGTAAAAACATTGCATGGACTCTTTGAAAGTTTCAAGTTGCCTCAGTTAGGTTTTCTGAGTTAGTTTGCTTTTGTTCATTATGGAATAACAAAATTAGCACAGTATATTGTCTTACTATGTAAAATGGCCAAAAAGATTGACCCTTATGGTCTTTCTATCAATCATTTGGACTTTTTTCAGTAATACATGGACTGATATTAAATTTCACAGAAACATGCAAAGAGCTAAAAGGGTAAGTTCTACTGAATTTGAGGATGGGTAACCCTGACAGGGGTTTCTCTGACATCAACATGAAGTTTTGCATCAAATTTTTGAACAATCATTTGATGGATCTTGGTGAAATTTGGTAGAGCCATTCTTTTTTTGCTAGGGATGAAATGTTATGATTTCAATTAACAGTAGGACACACATTTAAATGTTTTTCAGTAATTATTAACAACCAAATACAAGCACTTGCAGACCCATCACTTTCAGACTTACTTTGTGTTTAGCTCTAATCAGCTAATGTTGGCATGCAAACACAGTGGAATAAGAAGTTACCAAGTAACAAATTGCTGTGTAGACATGTAAGCACAGTTATATTGAGGACTCTTTGTTACTGAATATCACCTCCATGCCATAGAGATAGACACTCACTGAGCTGCCAGCACGGCTGTTGACTCTCAGCCTCATTCTCACTGTACTTGTAATAATGTCAGTGATTACTGTGATACTAAATAGCCACAGTCTGATCTACTCCACGCTGAAACATCTAATCTGACTCTTGGAGCTCATAACCTCACAGACCTCTTTGCCTTTCCTTATCAGGGCATGCGGTGACAGCAGAGTAGCCAACACTGGTTATGTAACAAACCTCTTTACGTTTCCCACGTGTCTCTTCCAAACACAAACTCAAAGACATTTCTTAGATTACTCTGAACTTCATCCGCCACAGTTCTCCTAACCAACATCAGGAGCCAGTCCCTTTCCATGACTGCTGAGTGAAATGATAAGAGGAGTTGTGGGTGATAAAATGTGGCATAACTGGATGCTGATGCATTTTTTTTACTTGAGTGCTCACACAGAGACCAGGAGAGACGATGTTCATGGGTATGATTACAATGCAGTAAAATGAGAATGTGGCACAGACAAAAAGTATGCAGGGAACAAAGAGAGTGAAGTTACTGAAAATAAGAGCATCACCAAGAGAAAGTGCTTCCATGTTGATATGCCAGCTGGCCCAGACTGTGGGTATTCAACCGATCTCTGAACTCTTCAGGTTCATAAGGTCAGATGTATCATGAGGAAAAACACACTTTCTCTGCTCATGAAAGACACTTTTGACGGATTTTTGGAGGATTATGTTGATGAAGATTCTTAATGAAATATTGATCTGAATCCTAAGAAACACTTTATGGTGGCTGACAAGGCTAACCAATCAATATGGTCTGAATAATTATCTTCTGAGGAAAATATAAAATGGGAGAAAAAAAAGCCAATGAAGGATATCAATAAAGTGAAGTGGATATTTTTTTTTAGCTTAAACTTTACAAAATGTATTGTGCAGATGAAGAAGTGCTATAGTTTGTACCCCAATCATCAGCAGAGTATATATCTGGGGTTCACTACAAAAAAGTTTGTGTTGCAGTAAAAGATTGCGATGAAATTGCTTGAGCTCTTGGTCGGTCTTTTGAATGACTTTATAGTTTGTGCTTTGAGATTACTTTGAACACTGACTTCTGTTAAATTGATGAGTTTGTAAAAGAACAAGCTGTTTGAAGTGTCCCAGATCACAAATCCAGGATTCAGTTAGGTATCAGTTGCTCCTCTTAATCCACCTCAATGTACAGTATATTTCAAACCATAATGTCTGAAAAGGGCAATTAAGCAGGAGATGTGCAGCAGAAGTGTAGTACAGCCTATAAAACGTCACAATACATAAATTTTACTGAAACATTATGAAGACTCAGATACCCTATAAAAAGCATGAGGTGAGGGTTTCTCTTTGGCCCCTGTTTTCACTCAGTGATTGAATGTCCTCTCCAAATGCCACAAATTCAATAAAAGTGCACCATTTATGTATCCATCTGTTTATAATACATTCAATATTCTGTCACTGTATTATTAGCTGGGCATCCAATATATATATACTGTATTTAAAAAGTAAGAGATAGCTGTAACATGTATTTCCTCCATGAAAATTTACCAAACTACCTCAGGCCTAGGGGCAGATTCTGAGGTTGACCAGGGGTGGCCTAGGCCTCCTGTTGGAATCTGATTAACCACCCCCAGGAACCAGTCCTAAACTACTTCAGTTGTCTTTTGTCCTTTTCATAGGCAGGCTTTATGTTGAAATATTGTCTAGCAGGCATTGCAGCCAAACAACAACCTTTAATCCTGAGAAATGAAGCAGATGGGAAGGTGCTACAAACTGCAAATGCTCCATTACATTACAATACAATACAATACACACTCATTCAAAAAGGCCCATCGTAAGAACAAAAATCATATTCAAAGCCTGTTTAAATAACAATATTATTGTGCCAAAAGTTTTTTGTTTTTTTTTAATTCTTTTTTTTTATATGGGTGGTCACAATGAGGCTGTTAGCATTGGACATGAAGCCTTTCTCTGTCGTTGAAGAATCAAGCTAATAAGAGTTATATCTTGTCACTCTGTTGCACTACTTTTGATCAAATAAGCTCCAAAATATTTCCAAGAATGCAATAGGTTTTTGATAGTGAATGTTCACTGTAAAGTAGATATTATAAGTGAAGATATAAAGGGAAAATAAATTGGGCCACACCAGTCAAATAAGTCTGGATCTACCCCTGCTCGAGTCAAAGGTTCTTGTCTCTATGGGGTTTGTTTGAGACTGTAATTATAATATAGATTTACCTGACATTACATAGAATGTGCCTAATGGGTTTTAGAAAAATAGCACATCTTATATGGATGTTTTGACAGCTAAACACCCATGCTAACACTCATATACTGAGTAATTATTGCAATGTTCCACCCCAGCTGGTTCCAGAAGAGGAACCAGCTGGGGTAACTCAGACTGAACTGGCAGAACAATCAGCATCAACCAGCACCTTCCATCATCTGCTGGCTCAATTAGCCTGTTGTTGGATAATATTTATGAAAAAAAAACTGCTTCAGAAATTTGTCCATGATTTATTAGCAAAGCAGTAAATCCTCTTCATAGATTTTCAGCTTCCTCCCAGGCTTGTAATTAAGTAATGGCTCAATTAATCCTATCAAACCTGCATTGCTGGAGGGAGAGAGCAGGGGAAATCATTTGGAACCAACAGGAGATTAATACAGACCTAACACACCGTGCAATTGTAGAGGCACACAGTTGTACTCCAGAGACACACTTGTATTAGGCTGGCAATGTAAATGGAGGAATAAAAAATGTCTAACAACTTCTTGATTATCAAAAGGGGGATTCAAACAATGGCATGAATGCAAGCATGTCTTAATGCAGGGTGGAAACCTACATATGGTTAAACCAGAGTAACACTGATAACAATACCAGTGTTGCAAATCAGTTTAGGCTATTGCTATTTATATCAGCATCTGGTATCGGTATAAGTGGTCAGTGTTGGTACCAGCCACCAATATCTATATCAGCAATGATACAAGTCACTGCAGACTGTATAGAAAGACAGCTGGCTCAACCTACCCCCAACAGAATGATATCTATTGTGATATTATTGAGACAAGAACACAAAATAAAAAGACTGGCCATGTGTTCCAAAGTTCAAGTTGAGTCTAAAGTCTCTGAGGGTCAAGTCTGATTCAAGTCTTAAGTCATATTACTGGCTGCACTTCTTATATGACACTGCTATTTGGGGGATATTCAGGATAAGCTAACACACAGGTTAATGTGTTGGTACTGGAAAATGAGAAGGTAAAACTGGTATTGAGACATCTTTTTATTTTAGTGAAGAAATACAAGAAGAGCAAGGTTTTTCTTCCGTGCATAATACACAGCTTGACTTTTCCATTTTTGCCACCATGGCCCCTTAAATGCCAGAGTTGCAGTATGTGGAACAGCAGCCAGTACCTTTTAAGCATATACTTTCACAGGAAATGGCTATAATGGTTATGTACAGTAGCAAATTGTTCTGGAGGCTTTGTGGCTAGAGCAATCTGTCCAGGCTGAGAATATTTCAGGAGGAGGAATTTGACCCCTGAATCTCCCTCTTCCTTCTTTGGTAACAGAGCTGCCCTGCTACATCAAAAGAGACCTAAATCGCTAAATCATTTTTGACCACATGACCAGGGGAAATATTTGCGTGTTTAGCCAAAGGGGAATGAACTTATTACAGGGGGTGAACTGAGGAAAAATGTCAGGAGTGTTTATTCATTTATTTATTAATTTATTAGAGCTGAAGTCTACATATAATCTCTGCTTGAGCAAAGTCAATACAGTGGGCCCTTCTGGTTTATTTTGTTTGGTAAAATACACTTGAGTCTTTGTCTTGTCTCTTTGACCGAAAATACTCTCTTCCACATAAATTTGGTATTCTATTCATGCAGCACAAATTATGTAAGAAAATGTGAAAAGACAGCTGCAGTTTGAGTCATGTGTCTGAGCTTTCTGGAAGATTATGACTCGACTAAATTAGGATGTTTAGAGACAGCAAATGTAGAATACTTAACTTTCAGTGTTTTCAAATGATGATACCTTATTTTGATGATCAGAGGAAGTCTCACCCATGAAAACATCCGTATGGCTCTTTAAATCAAGACGGCATTAAGCGCCAACTGTTGACTATCACAACAGACTGGGCTGCTGGCACTGGCAGACTGTTGTAGCCACAGATTAAGGTGCTGGCACGCAGCTCTGCCTGCCTCCCCTGCTCTCTGTGTGCTGTTAGAAAGGTGTAATCTCCCTCTGAAAAGGCCACTTGTCTCACAGCTTTTAGCACATGGTCAAAGCCTGGCACTGTCCACTTTTTGCACAAAATGTGTCACAAAATGTCTCTGCACAACAGGGGGCACAAAGCTCTGAGCAGTGTCAGATCTCATTACCACACTATTTGAAGTCATACATAAGAATGACTTTTTCCATCCCCTGATTGATTCAGATTGGTTCAAATTTAAATAACAAAACAGCAAGGTTGAAAAAAGCTAAACAAACCACAAAAAATTCAAATGACTTCAGCTGTGAGGCAACAGCATAAACACCGCAAGGGTTAAAATATGAGGACCAAAACAACCGTCAATATATGAATACTTACTCTTAGCCATACAGGGGCATGTCCAGAGTGAAGGCCAGGGGTGGTATGGCCCTCCATGAAACCTGAATAGCCATCCCAGATGTCACCATAAAAAAGGTGGGGTAGGCAGGATTCTGTTAAAGAAACACCTTTTTTTGTGGTGTACATACAAAAAAGCTTTTAATATCAGTCAATAGCTATTAGTTATTGAAAATATTTGGTAATATAACAATATTGCTGTGTTTTGTTATGCCTGTGTAGTCAACATTTCAAATTTTTGTGCAGCCCACTCTTTCTGACTGTAAACAAAGCCATTCTCCACCTCCACCAACCTGATTGGTTGTGAGGCAGACGCTGATCCCCCATGGTGTGAGGCATGCTCCACACCCGCCAATAACGTGCACGAAACAAATAAAGTTAGCATGCTACAACATCGGACAGTAGAAACCAACAAGAAAGTGCGGAAAACACAAGCAATAAAATAAAGTAAATACAAGAGACTCTGGCGGAATAACGGGCGCTTGAAACGGAGGTAGACCAGACAAGAGCTAAAAGCCGTGTCAACATCAGCATAAAGGATGGGGGACGCTTTAGGATCTTACTGACCCTGTAACCTTTCTGCTAGACAGGTAAACCACTTAAACAAAGTAAACCAAGTGTCTGTAACAGAAGTGTTTCTTGTCAGTCAGGACCTGCTGCGTGTTGTGGTTCCGCTAAACTGTTTACCTCGGGTCCTGGAGTATGTCACTTTATGCTAGTTTTGGAAGTCCTGCAAACATTGTTTTTGCTGGTAGTCTGTTGGCATCTACAGTAGCACCAATGCTTTTTACTTTCACGTTGACTGGGCCCCATTTGTAATTATCTGAAGTATTTATCTGCATTATATCTGAATTTAATTGAAACGATACGAGCGAGCAGGAGTGTCTGTTTGTGGGCGGGGCTTCCTGGAGCAGAGCGGGAGGGGAGAGGAGGAGCTGAGGGGGAAACTGGTTGGGAGGGGTAGTGTTTACATTCAAGGTTTCTCCCAAAAACTGGCCCTTCCTCAGATCCTGCCTACCCCACCTTCAATGTTATGGTGACATCTGGGATATTTTATTATTTTCATCGATTCAGATACAGGGGATTAGAGGAGGTGACTTGAGAAAATATTCAGCACAGCAAAGTAGACCTTACCAAACTGCAGCCCTGATAAGGTTCTCACTTTGCCTCCTCACACACTGAATTGACTCTTCTTGCATTTTACTCGAGCTGCACTGCAGAGAGTTAACAGCATGGTAGTAGATCCATGCTGCTGATTCCAGGTCAGTATTGATGTCCTGTCACCCCTGGGGACCACTTATAGTGAGAAGAGACCTGAGTCAGCACTTACTGAGCACTAGCCGGTGATGAGACGCTCATACCATCAGCTAATGCTCAAATAAAAAAGCGTTACAAAGAATATATTGATGAGTGTGCAACGGCTGCTAATAAAGTTCCATGTTTCAGTGGTGATAAGGTGAAAAGGTGCACTTTTATCCATCATGTGACTTTTATTAATCAAAATAAAGACAAAAGCTTCCACTATTCCTTGGACTGCCCCTCAATAAATAAATGAATACTTATTCTGCTGTGTCTAACACATCTGTTATCCTCTGAGTACAGTAACGCATGGTGGAGTCACCCGAGAACTGAATGAAGATGAAGGAAATCTGCTGTCTTCTCTCGAACATGTGATTTAAATCAAAAAGCACCCCATCCCTCCAGCAAAGGTGTAATAACGTGTGTGATCCTGTCAGGAGCAGACACCACTAGCAGAGTGAGGCGTCTGACCTCCAAACATCATTGGTCAGCAATCTGGGGAGGGGGAGATATACTGCAGTGTCTCTTTTCTGCAGAGGACAGGGAGAACATGCTTTAACATTGCTGCTGCTGCCTGTCGACTGGCAGCACTCCTTGTATGTACATCACCTTTTTTTTCCTCTTCAGCATCTAAAATCCCCTCATCTCACTCACTCTATTTTTCCAGTTTCAGCTCCATCGGCCTTATGTGAAGATAAAACAGGGGATTTACCCCGCCTCTGCTTAAAAATGTCAGTGCAAAGTCAAGCTAACAAAGACTGCAATTACCTCCAATGTCAGCTTTTTAGGGATAATTGCTCCAGTCTTTGTTTTGCTCACTTAAGCTGCACTTTTACAGTAGATTATCAGAGAGTGCATTGCTGTCAGATGAACAAATTACTCTATGGACCATTGATTGTATAAAGTAAAGACAAAGTACCCTCCATGATGGGGGCTGACATCTTGAACTGGTGTAAACATATGGAGCCAGTCTGTGCAGTGCAGGACTTAGCAAGTGGAGGTGCAGGTTTATTTAATAATCTGTATACAACATGGAGGATATTTTTAATTAGAAAAAAATGCACAAAACTTGAGAGTGGTGGTTTACAGTCACCAGCAGAAAGAAGAGACAAGAGGGGAAAAAACAGCGCAGAAAATAGTGATGGATGACACAACACACATGGAGCTGAGAGACAGGTATGGACTTTTGCAGTATTAAGGGGTTTGTTGAGTAAGGCGAAAACAAGGATCCTGTACACATGCTGTTATTTTCTGCCTCCAAGAGCCAACAAGAAACACTGATGTTAAGACTTAATCAGGAATGAAAATGTGAAGTGTTGTGTGATTCATGATAGCAGAGCAGATAATTAAGACTTTACTGTGGAAGAAAAGGTCAAATATAATGTTGATTCCACTTGTGACTTAGCCTACAGGAGCACAGTTGCCATGGAAGCGCTACCAACTAGATTTTTGGAAAAATGAACTTGGAACAGATATCAAACATGACGTGTTAGTGTTTGGATATCTGCGCTCTTTTTGGCGATGGCCTTTTTATGAGCCTGTGACAAAGGGCCTGTCGTAAAAAGTTTGAGTGCTTCACCACTTCAATTGAGGGCCAAGCCATAAAGTGAGCCCCTTTAATTTGTTGTTGTTGTTGATGTGTAAGACAACTTCTTTGGTGAAGCTGACATACAGCTGAATCTTTCTTTCATGTTTTCATCTGCCACATCCTTATTTCAGCTTCTCAGATGTTTTGGTGTAGTGATGTAGTCCAGTCTGTGGCTTTGCTTGACTATGTCCCCCATTTTAGTAGACATAACACCACTGTATTAGTTAGCAGAAGTATATTCGAATAAGAACTTTCCCCTGACAGCCCAAATAAAGGTTTTAAAAGTAACCGCTCCATTCTGGCAAAACTAAATGTATACTGATCACTAAAGAGTTCCAGGCTCTCACCTAACCTCCAAACCTTTACAGGATCTGAAATCAAAATTGTTATATGTTTCATGGACTTGAGACTCGGCTGATACCAGAGTGACATTTAAAATCCATCTGGGAAAGAAAACTAAAAGTCAGAACTAGAGCTGTCTTTCAAAAATAGACAAATTTCATTTATCCATGCAGACAAAAAAAAATAAAAAATCTGTTTATAATTATATCTTCTCAACTTTAACTTTTTGAGGCTTTCATCACAGTCAGTAAAATTCTCCCTTATGGCTGCCTCCACATCAAATGGTAAGATGGTCAGCCCTTTCATAGAGGTATTAGCACTATATATAAATATACATTCATTTTTGACCTTAGCATTTTGAGACCCATTTCTGTAACTGCCTTAGTTATATAGAGTCACAGTTTTCCTGTGAATACCAGTGTGCAAACAAACACATCAATAATAAAGGTGCAGTGTGAGTGAATACACAGAATTACATAACATAGGTCAACATCCACCATGTGCAGCAATGAAGAGCAAAGACTCACCTTTCATTCTGAGTCGTTCCAGTGTTCCAGAGATTCAATCTGCAAATGAGGCAGAGGGGGATTATTTATCCGGGCTGGAATGATGAAGAATGTAGCTCACACACTCCCATTAATGGAGCTGCTGCCTCCACTTAAGTTATCCCTTTTGCATGAGAGAATTCAATCTCACGTATGCATGACATGAGCCAGCTACTCTCAGGCTAAGTGAAACATACTGTATACAGGGATGCTTGGCACTTAGTCCACAGCATGATGGGGGAGTTTCTCATTCATATAATAATCCCTCACTTCTTTTCCAAGTAGTTTGCCCCAAAGGATTGAATGTGCATCTTATCTTGTCAGCTTTCATGTCTTTGTTTGCCTTTCTATTGACAAAGCTTTACATGAGTTAGCTGATACTACAGCAGAATTGTACCGCAACATTTCCCTGCAGCATCAACTATTTCCAGCTCTTTCTTTCCCCATTAAACTTTAACTGTCTGTTTATTTTATAGCCATGTCTCCCTGAGAATAAAAATATCAAATCTATCCCTATTAAATTAGTAACCTGACCCCATTTATAGAATACACCATGTTAGCTTCCATTATTCTATACAGGTCTTTGGTAATTTACAGCAATTGGCACAAAGCCTGATAAGCTGCCTCGGCTTACTACACGACTCGACCAATCAGGAGGCTCCAGGTCTATCCCAGGAAACACCTGCTCTATTAATCTGAGGGAGGGATAGAGAGGAAAAGAGACAGTATAGAAAAGTAAATATGTCTGTGTCTCTGTGACTACAGCAAATGTAGTTTTTGTGTGTGTGTGTGTGTGCGCGCAATTTTCTCTCCCAGGGGCTGCTTTGCATATTGCAGAATCACCCTCATGCAAGGTCACAACATCAGAGCCCTCACTCCATAAATCTCCATACAATCAATAATTTAGTCAACAGAATATGCATGGGAGATGGAAAGTAGGAGGTGAGTTATGAACATTGAACAGAAGAAATTGTACCACTTTTACACTATGACATCCAAAATCAATAATAAACATTCAAAAACAGCAATGTTTGGCTGTGGTTCAAGTGAAAACAAAAGAAATGTTGCTAAATACTCAGATCATTGTGTGTAGATATAATGTTAACCTGTAGGAAGTATAAGCAAGCTCTTGCATAGTTGCCCGAAGCATAGATTAATATTATCAATATTTTTGATTCCTTGGTCATGCTAAATAAAAGTTTAAGGAATAAAAGTAGGATTTGTTTGAGATATATACGTTTTTTAGTGCAGCATTTGGTTGCAGCGCAGCTCTGGACTGTGCCAGCTTTGCCTTGGACTTGAGACTGATAGGACATTTGATCTGCTACGTGACAGCTGATGTCCAACTCATTAACACGCTGTGGTTCAAAGTGGCTGCCACTTTAAAATGATGGAAGCTCTGATGTGACACCAAGAATTTTCAAGTGAAAGAGATGTTCAGTGAGTGAACTGTCAACAACAGGATATGAAACCAATTTCAAAGAGGGACTTAATAACATTTGAAGTGAAGTTGGCCTTTGACTAGAGGATTTTTATTTTTAAAGGACACCCGTCCATCAGTAATTCTAATAATGAAACTAAAAAAGACCCTTTGGGAAATTTTGAAAGGGGCCACTGGGACTACTGCCAAGGTGTGTACATAATGATGAAATTCTTTAGAGATTTAAAATAATTAAAACTAGTAGCATTATGATATTATATACAAGAAACACACCTACAACAAACATACATTTTTCAAGTATTTATTTATACAACAAAACAAACAGTTAGAGCAGTAGATGTTTGGAAAACTCAAATAATTGCTCTTTTTTTTGGCTTTTGATACATAATTTATCCTACAACTTTATCCTACAACTCTTTAAGCTGTAGGACCAGTAATGAATAGAAATTCATCCAGAAAAGGAATAAGGAAAAACAGTATAGCAACAATGCCTTGGGGCCTGTGATAAAGTTTTGTATTGGAGCATCAGTACATCTGCCCCATGGTCCTCATCAGGATTTTGATTGAGAGTCAGCTTCTATCATTATTCAAATTGTTCTAAAATGATTCAGTGATGCAGAGATAACAGAGCAGTCTCTGATTAGTGAATTGGTATCAAGTGGGCCTGGCCTGAGGCTCACAGGTTGCCACAGCAATTTGAGCTGGTTGTCCATGACGACAGACGCACTGCAGGCTGAGGCTGTCAGAATGTCAAGAAAAAGAGTGATTTTTTGCCTTTGCGCTGGTCTCACATTTGGGTGTATTCTGACAAAACGGTAGCTCCAATCTCGAGAGATGAGTGTTGCCGACCACTTGCTTCTCTAGTTATACCAACTTTAGTAACAACCGCACGATAGAAATACACATCGGTCTGAGGAGCCATAAACAAACCTCAATCAACAATCCACTCTATAGCCACAAATAATGCTCAGAACAGCACCTAACTTCATCAACAGTACATATAGGATCCTAGCCACAGTTCTAGCCACCAACCATCTTTTTAACTTTGCCTCATTTCTTTAGCAAAGAGACTAAACACAACTCACCTACTCTTTTCCAGCAGCCGCTTGTTTGTAGTGGAACCTCAAGCCAGTCCATTACAGACTGCTGTGGGGTGACACAGCTCAAGGAAGAACATTTACGATAATTTAAAGATATCATAAATGTTCTTCCTTGAGCTGCGTTGGTTGCGGTTTGTTTATGGCTCCTAAGACTGCTGTGAATTACTATCATGCGGTCGTTACTAAAGGTAGTATAACTAGAGAAGCGAGCGGTCAGCAACATTCATTTCTCAAAGGGGGTGTCTAACTTGGTGTTTGACCCTTTCTGACCTGGTGTGTTGACAAAACCAACATTACAACTTTTGAGAAGTGAGATGATGAAAGATCACATGCTACACTGTGTGCAGAATCAGAAGATGACCTGACTACACCTACTACTTGGTTGAGAATTGTCTTAATAACAGTATTTTACTGCCCTCTAGTGGTTTTTAAAAAGAACCTCAAATATCAGCTTGGTTGTGCTCTTATTTTAAGCTTCCAGGTCTGTTTTCTAGTCAGTGAGTGGAATTATCTAGAATAATATATCCATGTAGATCTGGGCATAATGTATAAGGATGTTTTATTCCTTTGTTAGGATTAAATTTTTTTAGTGGATTATATATTAATACAGATCGGAGCATTTCTATTGTGCTTTCGTGTTGATTAAGCATCAAAACAACCAGAAAATGTCAGCATTTAAACTTACTTGGAAATACTTCACAAGTTTCTGACACATAGTGAACTGAGTAGAACCACGAGTTTATTCTTGCAAACTAACAGACGGAGAGAAAAAAACAACTTTAAAACGCCTTAAAACGTTCTCAAAATCCTGACAGCTTTGTTTTTGGTCAAGAAATACAAAGTATAAACAATAATTCTGAATTTACCTTAAGTATTCTGTATTCAAAACCTATAACACAAGTTGGAGGAATCCTGTCTACCGCTTCATCACGTCAAACATCTAGACCATCTACTCGAGGGTTTACGGTAATTTTGCCAACCAGATGAATCATCGATTTCATAACGTTACTGTGAGCGAAAACACAAAAAGTTACATGTTTAAAGTTTAGTTTTAAAAAGTTATCATAGTTATATTCCTTCCCTACGCACAGACCTGAGACTTGCGAAGTAAAATGTGATTGGAAACATCCACAACCATCAAATCGCCCGGGTACGAACACACGGTTTGTTTCTAGGTGTACTACGGTACAGTGTTCCCACTGAGGTACAGTGACACGCTATTCCCACCGTGCCTTCAAGATCCAACATTCAACCTTTATCAGATGGGAATATGGTTAACGACCAAATGTAGGCTATAATTGCCGTCTGTTTTCATTTGTTTCATAAAAACTTCCCTAAAAGTTTCGTCGTTCCTCCTTCAACAAAGGGTTAATTTCCCCCGGTTTTCAGACACTCGCAGAAGTGAAACCGGAGCCGCCACTGCCTCGTTTCCGTATTTTCCTGCTGTATTTATACAAAGCCTGCTTCACTGAAAATTTTATCTGCGTTCATAGAGGACAGACTAACTTTCTTACTGAAAATCTCAAGTGCAAGCGTACAGGAAGAAAGACAGCAAAGACTAAACCAGGTAAGAACTGCAAAAATCAGTCTGTCAATGCTTTTGATGTAGGCCCATTCAAAATACTCAAACTCATAACTTACTCCTGTAACTGGAGCTAGGTGGCTTTTTTTGTAAATAATGCCGGGAGGTAACATTGTACTTTACCTCACTTTTAGTTGCATAATAGGCTGCAAAGTACAAAAAACCTCACAGGTCCAAATAGAAATCTTATTACAAAATGCTTTAAGTTTCATGGCGCATTACTTGAAATAAGTATGGCAGAATGCTTTAAGAGTCTTATCAAGGAAGTTTTGCGTACCACATTTACAGATATTTTTTTCTCATTACTATCGGTGTTCCTTTTTTGTGCTCTTGATAATGAGACATGACTTGAATGTGCAGGGCCCATCTCCAGTGTAAAACCCTGACAAAAGATGCTGCAAAAATGTTGAACTTCACTTAGGTGTAAAGTCAAAGTCAAAGTCACCTCACACATGAACATTGTAAATAATGACTTATTTTTCAGCTCCCAAGTGGCCAAAATGATTGATTGATGTAAGTCTAAGGCTTGTAAAGTTTTCTCTCTTTTTTAAAAACAGGAGCGGTTGAACAATGTCTGCCCCTCCTCGTCTCAATCTCCATCCAGCTGTGATCATCATGTGTTGTTTTATAATGAGTCTGCACAGTTATGTGGCCTCTCAAAAGAATACCTGCAAGGTGGAGGATGGCAAAGCCGACTGCAGCCACCTCCGCCTCAGTGCGGTCCCCTCGGACCTTCCTAGGAACATTAGCAGCCTGGATATGTCTCACAACAGATTGGCAAAGATCCCCCCTGAGTCCCTGACCCCCTACAGAGGCCTCCTGCACCTTGATGTCAGTTACAACAGTATCACAAAGCTGGATGAAGGCTGGTGCCAGACACTTCCTCTGCTGCAGATGCTGGACATGAGAAACAATGAATTGCATTTGTTGAAGAAAGAGGATCTGAGCCATTGTGGCAACCTGACAGGACTGAATATCGCTAGTAACAGGCTAAAGCTACGAGAAGAGCCGTTCTCTGCACTGCAGGTACAGATGACATTTACAGTGATGAGATGGATCGGCAAAGGCAGCAATACAAGATCAAACATTTTTTATACATATACGGTTATGATAACAGAGTTGGAATTCACTTTGTTAGTTGGCACCATTTAATTAATGTTCAGTGTAAAGTTATTTTACTCATGAACACAAGCACTACTGATGTTATTGTGCTTATCTGAGTATTGCTACATCATGCCACTCTATAATTCTGTTTTAATTTAATAACTTAGGCTCAGCACCATGTTGTCAAATTGCACCATTAACTCTTTTCTGTGATTTACAGAGCCTGAAATACCTTGATGTTTCCTCAAACAACCTGCAGTCAGCTCAGCTGGGCTCTCAGCCTCAGCTGCCCAGTCTGGTGCACCTCAACCTGGGGTTCAATGGCTTTACCACTCTGAAGACCAACGACTTTCTCTACCTTCTCAATCCAACCTCTCTAAAAGTCCTCAATATGTCCTCTGTGTCTCTTAAAAAGGTAAGAAACTTACCCAGAAAGGGGAAATGAAACACAGCTGAGTTTGAAGTGTAAAAAAATGATGGCGGCACCTTGCACTAACTTGTCTGTTTTAGTTCCCTTTTTTAAGTCTCACTGCAGAATATCTTTATTGTGTTTTTGTTGCAGTTGGAGCCTGATTGCCTAAAGCCTCTGTCAGCCTTGAATACTTTAATCATGGATGGGAGCAACATGGGGACTCTATTGATTTCCAAACTCTGTTCAGAGCTTTCACAAACAGCCATTGATACCCTGTCTCTGAGGAAGATGAAGCTCATCACACTCACCAACACGACCTTTAAAGGGCTGCAGAAAACAAACCTAACTTTTTTGGATCTTTCTCAAAATGAAATGGGTAAAATAGAGGGCGGCTCTTTCCAGTGGCTGTCCAGGCTTCAGACTCTTATTGTGGTACAGAACAACATCAAACATCTGACCAAGAGTACATTTCAAGGGCTCAAAAGTTTGAAAAAACTCCAGTTGACAAAAGCTTTGGTTAAAAGTCGTACCTCCTCCACCCCTATCATTGATGATTTCTCCTTTCAACCACTGAGCAACCTGGAGAGGTTGATATTAAACCATACCGCGATACGAGAAATCACAGAAAACACATTTACAGGCTTAACAAGCCTTAAAGAACTTGATATGAGCTGGGTGATTTGTACCTCACTCAAAAACCTCAACAGCAAGACCTTAGCTTCACTTGCAGGATCACCTCTGCAAAAGCTGAATCTGACGGCATCATCTGTGTCCCAGATTGGTCCTGGGAGCTTTTCAGTGTTAAGAAACCTCACAGTTCTTCTCTTAGATTTCAACTTTATCAGGCAAACTCTCACTGGCCAAGAGTTTGAAGGCCTGGATCAAGTTCAAGAGATCCATATGTACGATAACCATCAGAAAGCTGGTCTGTGCCCCACGTCATTTGTTCATGTGCCCAATCTGCGCGTCCTGAAGTTAGGGAAAAGTCTTAATGCGACCGCCACAAAGTTGGATCCATCCCCATTCAATCACCTGTCCAACCTGACCTTCCTGGATCTTAGCAACAACAATGTCGCGAACATCAAAGAGGGGATATTCAAAGGGCTTGTGAACCTAAAGGTGCTGAAGCTCCAGCACAATAACTTTGCTCGTGTCTGGAAGAATGCTAACCTGGGTGGACCAGTGCTGTTTCTCAAAGGGTTACAAAGCTTGACGACCCTTGTGTTGGATAGTAATGGTCTGGATGAAATCCCAGAAAAGGCCCTAAAAGGATTGAGTAACCTCCGTGAATTAAGCCTTGGCACCAATCTCCTCAACAGGCTCAGGAACTCCATATTTGATGATCTGAGCTCGCTGCGAGTTTTGCATTTACAGAAGAATTTGATCACGTCTGTGAGGCCTGCTGTGTTCAAAACGCCTCTCAGCAACATCAGTGTACTGAACATGGAGAAAAACCCATTTGACTGCACCTGTGAGAGCATCTTGTGGTTTGTCAGCTGGTTAAACAGCACCAATATGAGTCGTGTGCTCAGCCAAACAGAGCAGTACATGTGCAACACTCCATTAGCTTACTTCAACAAGTCAATCACAGAGTTTGATGTGCTCTCCTGCAAAGATATGACCCCATTTCAGGCTCTGTTCATACTGAGCAGCACGGCAGTCCTCATGCTGATTGTGATTGCTCTTCTGGTTCGCTTCCAAGGTTGGAGGATTCAGTTTTATTGGAACATACTGATCAATCGCACTTTAGGATTCAGCGATGCCTCAGTTAAAGAAGGCAAGGAGTTTGAATTTGATGCCTACATCATACATTCGGAGAAAGACAGCAGCTGGGTGGAGAGAAGAATGGTCCCATTGGAGGACAAGAACTGCAAGTTTTGTTTGGAGGATCGAGATTGTGTACCTGGAGTGTCACAGCTTGAATCGATTGTCGACAACATGAGGAAATCTAGAAAAATCATGTTTGTCGTCACAGAGAGCCTGCTCAACGATCCTTGGTGTAGAAGGTAAATGGAAACCCTACTGCCTTGTATTTACATTGTCAAAGAATATAAGTTACAGGCAGTGAGAAGTAATGTCAGGTGAAGAGTCCATTAGTATGAAATGATGTGCAGTGTGGAGGATGGAAATGTCTCACAGGCAGCTGTGGACTGTTTCTTCACCACACAATCCCACCTACTCTAAAATCCATAAAGAAGGTCACACAGGTAAATAAGACTCAGTTCGTTTCTGAGAGGGACTGTCTAAGGGAAAAAAAAAGTTTTCACTGCGTTTCTATTTGGAGATTTCCAGTGTTAAGCAAAGTGCAGTTCTGATGCAGATGTGTAGCCCCTTTCTACCAACATCCTTTATCCCTATCTGCTATGGTAGCTCAGCTCAGTGGGTCCTGTTGTTAGTAAGATACTGGGACTCCTGTATTCTGTTTGCGTCACATAACTCATTTGGGTCAAACTGAGTTCTGAAATGCTCTCTGCCCTCCTCCTTCCTTGTTTGTCCTTCTCCAGATTCACGGCACATCAAGCACTTCACCAGGTCATTGAAGACAGCAGGGATTCTGTCGTTTTGGTCTTCCTGCAGGATGTTCACGACTACAAGCTATCTCGCTCAATCTTCCTTCGCCGGGGCATGCTGCGTTCGTGCTGCGTCCTAGACTGGCCGGTCCATAAGGAGAGGGTGCCAGCCTTTCACCAAAAGCTGCTCATAGCACTGGGCATGACTAATCGATTGCAGGACTGACTGTATCCTCTCTGTGATAACTGGAAATTCTTTTTGCAATAGTAATGACCTTAGTGTACTGTTACATCTGCTAATATTTCACTTGAACAAAGATTGTGATGTTTGTTTAAACATATTTTTATTTTTCATGTTTAAGTTTACAAATCACAAAAACTGCACAAAATTAAACAAGAATATGGAGATTTAATTGGATACTGTATGAACTTAGCTCAGTATAATTGAATACTGTGTTCTGTACTGACATCTAGTGGTTTTACTGAAAAACTTTTTTTTTTTTTTTTGCAATTTCTGCTAGGAGGGGCTCTATGAGACACCAACACTATAATATACACCAGCATTTGGTTGTCTTAATCACTTAGAAGTGCATTTAAGATACTCTGTCAAAATCAAAATTACAAAAGGGATCCATTTGGGATAAACAGGCGAAGGTTTAAGAGCAATAAACTAGAAGCTGATTGTTTTTTAACACACTTTTACCGTTTTGATTATTGCCTTCGTCAAAAATGTGAAGGTGTTTCTTTTGCTGCTGTTATTTGTTAATGTTCATCTGCAAACCCAATGGCCATAATAAAAAAAAAATGTATATCCGAAAAACATCCAACAATTGTATTTGAAACAAAATTTCTTTTTCCAGTGTGACTGTGCATGTTTTCATTTCCGCATCCCTTTGTTCCATTCACATTTTCCTGTGTTTTGTTTTCTTGATTTTAAACATTTGAAAGAATTTCCGTTTCTCTAAATAATGATCAACAGTTTTGTCCATGCCTCTTGTGTGGTGCCTATCTTTCTCATGTTTTTGTCTCCACTTTTGAGCCCTACTTTGTTGTGACATTCATAAAGAAAATAAAACACACGTGTACTTTATTTTAAGATATTTCAAACCAAAAATGTGGCATGCAAAACTTTCTTGGTGAGCATCATGGGAAAAATAAGTAAAACAGGTGATGTTTAAGTATCATAATTTAATCTGTTTATCCACTGCTTTCAGCTTTTGTTTCCAGAACCAAGGTACAGAGTCCTCAGAGACATTTGCACATCGAACACTAACGTTAACTCTTTGCTTTCTGAAAGCTTTGAATTTTTTTACAGACATTTTGACCTGAATGATGACGGTCTTTTGCAGTGTAAAAATACTTTCACTTTTGATGATGACTAAGCTTCATTTTCATATTCAATTATTTTTTTTTTAGTCTAATTGGTTGAAATTAAATTTTTGTAAAACACATTCTTGAATCATCTTAAAAGGCAGTATTATTTCAGTGAATAACCTCTCAGTAGGTTGGTATGCCCTTCACAATAAACTCATGTTGATAAGCTGACCACCCAGACAGACACTGACCTGAACGTATTGATTCAAACTAAATGTCAGACTTTCAAGAAAGGAGAAACAGGGGTCAAATGTGATAACCTCTGTACTAACTTAGCTGAAACCTCTCAGTTTACACTACTGTAATCTACTGTAATAGAAATCCCATACTGGATTGAATGAAAATTTGATTTGAATAAAAAATATAAAGGTTTTCATAAATGTGTATTGAATGAACAAACAAAAGTGATTTGGAATGGTAACCTGTAGAGCTTGCTTTTTTTAATAAAATAATTTTTTGTTTAAAGTGAAGACCTGTTGCATCCGTAAAAGACCTGACTTCTGAGATAAAGCTGGTATTTATTAACAAACCAGGGTAGATGTGATTTGAAGAGCACTGACAAACACCGGGCAAGGAGAGAAAATGTAGGACAAAGGCCTTGGCCATGGACAGTCAGCCGTCATGGGGTAAATCATTAACATTTTTATTATATAATCTATAGAAACAATCACCGTCCGGCCAACCTATGGACGTCGTGACAAGCATATTAAACACTCTTGAACCCTCCCATTAAAGTCTCAGATTTCCTTCTATAGGCTAGTATCCACCAACATTTATGTAGAAGGGGACCCTTCACCCAAAAGACGGACAACAGGGAAAAAGGAGGGGCGTAATTGCGGATAAGCGTCACATACTACTGTAAAGGCATAAAAGGACAGCGTAGTTGTACTATTTGAGGACGCTTAGAAACTGTACAAAGCAGTTGCGGGTCAACATGGCAGTCTTACTCGGTAGTTTCTCGATCCCTTTCCTCGGAGTCAGCGTCTTCATCACCATTCTCACCTACATCACCTACAAGCTGCTCAACGACTACGTGCACAAATGGATTCAGATGAAGCCGATCCCTCAGCTGGAGGGGACTTATCCTATCATTGGAAATGCTCATCAGTTCAAAACTAACGCAGGAGGTAAGAAAACCAGCTGTGTGCAGTGAAATGGGTTTGTATCGGCTGGTTTCTGCAGATCTAACGTGAAAAAAACAAAAAACGGACCCATTGCATGTTACATAACATCCTTTTGTTGGTGTTTCTCCCAGATTTCTTTCGTCAAATTGAGGACTACACGAGAGAATTTGCCAATGCACCACTGCTAAAACTATGGATCGGACCTGTCCCCTTTCTGATTCTGTTTCATGCTGAAACAGTTGAGGTATGACATCTAATGGATGGCAGCAAGTCTGCCTGTAGCTTCAATGTGTGTGTCAACAGGCCCCATTGTAGGGAACATGTCTGTGATGTAACCAGATACCTCAGTTAATGCACAGGAGTGAAAAAATGACCTTTTTTTTCAATACTGAATAAATATGAGGTCCAAATAGTGACGTGACTTCATGCCAGTATGCAAGACAGCTACTGCTGACCTTTACCTTTCCACTTACCATGCCAACACACTCCATTTGGGTTGATATTCATTTAATTCCTCACTCAACTAATGCTGAGCCTGCAGTCTCTGCAGCAGCTATGCAACAATCACTGCTGCTCACTTCAGAAAGCATTTGAATAACTTTTTTCATGGTCTTTTTCTCCTCTGCAGCCAATTGTGACCAACCCTATTCACATGGAAAAAGCTATTGTGTACAGATTTCTACACCCCTGGCTTGGAACTGGCCTCCTCACTAGGTTTGTTCCAGGGCGTTTTCTTTCTCACAGTGTTGAAAGCCTGTGCGGACAGTTTGAGAATCTTGCAAACATAAAATTTAAACTAGTTGATTATGCAAACTCATTAAAAATTGAATAAAGCAAAATAAATTCTAATATATTTTACATGTAAACTTGATAAAAGGTGGGAAACAAGTCAAAAAGTTCAAGGTTATTTTCAGACTAAAACTTACAAAATCACAAAAACTAAAATGGCAAAAACATTGTTGTGAACACAACTGAAAATAAACACAAGGCTCTATGAAAAAAACAGTATTGCATGTGTAAAAAGAGTGACTACAACATATTAAAATTATGGAGAGAATTCTCTTTGTTTTTGTCTTTTACACACAGAAACTTCCTGCTGACTTTTGACAGTGAAACTGATCATTCATGTGAATATTTCATGAGAACATTGAAAGAACAATTGTTTCTCCAGCTGCTCAGCTTACACCTTCCCCCTCCCTTAGGTTTTAGGCATTAAAAATGAGTAACATTTTTAATCTTGTTGCTTATGGTCTTGTTTGCCTTTGTTTATCTTGAAAAGGCTTCTCTATGAATTTCAGTCTGTTTCATGAATGTAAAAAAAAATCCTCACTGGAGCTTTACTCCAGACCTCTGTCCCTGTGATGAACAAACACTGAAAACAGTCCCAAATACCTGGCAGAAGTACCTGTGGCTACAACACAGTTAACTTAAGTAGCTTTGATTTCATAGCACGACACAACTTTGACCAATCGCCTACTACCAAGGGTACTACAACCTTAGCTTATGCTATAATTTGTATTCCCATATTATATAAACTGTACTTGGATCTTGCATTTTCTCACCTTTGAATCTTCTTTAACTCCATCTCATTCGATCAGCACTGGCACTAAGTGGCGTCAGAGGAGAAAGATGCTGACTCCCACCTTCCATTTTTCCATCCTGGCCGACTTCTTGGAGGTGATGAACGAGCAAGCAGAGGTCCTGGTGGAGAAGCTGAACGTGCAGGCGGGGAAGGGTCGGTTCAACTGCTTCAATCACATCACTCTGTGTGCATTGGACATCATCTGTGGTGAGTACTTAGCATGTTCACAAGCAAATAATCATACATGTGCAAATAGTAGTTTTCAGTTAATGCAAATTCAATTGTTTTGAAAGATTTAAATAAATGTTTAATATTCAAATATTCTTCAATCGTTGCCTTTGCAGAAACTGCAATGGGAAAGAAAGTGTACGCCCAGAGTAACTCGGATTCTGAGTATGTGAAGTGTGTCTACAAGTGAGTTCTTTTTAAGTTCTTTACGGTAAAGACAGACAAAAATAATGTGATAATGAAGTCATGTTTTATTTTTTGGTTTGGTTCTGTATCTAACTTTTTGTCATCAGGATGAGTGACATTATCAGCCGCAGACAGAGGAAGCCTTGGTTCTGGTCTGACTTTGTGTACTACTGTTTTGGCGAGGGTCGGGAACACAACAGGGTGCTGAGGGTCCTGCACTCCTTCACATACAAAGTGAGTGACTGAGCGTGTGGGTTTTTGTTAATGACAACAATGACTGAAAGGGCCTAATCCTCTTTTTTTCTTTGTCTCAGGTGATAAATGAAAGAGCACAGTACATTGCCAACAGTGACTCAGACAGCGAGGGCGAAAACGGCCAAAAGAAAAGACAAGCGTTCCTGGACATGCTCTTGAAAACAGCAGACGATAATGGCAGCAAAATGAGCCATGAGGACATTCAGGAGGAAGTGGACACCTTTATGTTTGAGGTGGGTAGTGAGCACTTATAGGTACAGATGACCAAATCTGAGCGTCAGTGGTCTAACTGACAAAGTTAGGTACTGACAGCATAAAGCATAAACACAGAAACTGTGGCCAAGTTTGCTTGTACTTTTCTACGGCGGTTTCTCATTACATGGAGAAATCTAACTGTCCTCCAGTGTGGCTAGTGCACTTACTAGTGACATTTAACTTTTACAACCCACTTCAGACAAACTTAGGTATCCTATGACAAGCCTACTCGCATATGTAGTTTGTCTAATCTCCTCTTTCACACAAATTTAAGTTAATCCTGCTGTACTGTTTCGGCAATAAAAAACAAACATTTGCTTTAAAACGTGTTTCTGAAACACATTTCAAAAACATACAAACAAAGCTTGCCTTCAGGGGATAGTAGAGACCAAATTAGAGTTTTGAAGGGGGGTTAACAGAGGGGTAAACTCGTAATATTGACATACTTGTGCTTTTCTTTGCGTACAACCATTTTGCATCAAATTTAACATTTAAAGTTACTGTGAGGAGTTTTTTGACAAAAATAATGGACCAAATTTATTATTGAGACCTTCTTATGGTATTCAAAAGCAATGAAGACCAACTATGAGAAGTTGGACAACTTTGCATTGGGATTATTACTGCCTGAAAATTATGTGATGAGGTATGCGTCAGTGGAGCAGCTGAAGGAAAAGCCCTGATCGAACACTTTCTATGCTAAATTTTCTGGTTGTCAGAAGTCAGCAGGATGAGATATTTTGTTAGAAAACAACACTGAGGCATGTAGAGGACAAAATAAGCAAAGACTGCTTTGTCCACAGGGGGGTGCTTTGATTGACCAAAACTGACGGTTCCTCACAGGTGCTTTAAATAACATATTTAGTCAAATCTGAAGGTTTCTGCTGCTCCCAGGAAGCTCTGACGAACCAAAATATCAATTAGAGCAGATTTACTGTCATAAAAACTATGTTGTTTATTCTTTTTGCAGGGACATGATACCACAGCAGCTGCTATGAACTGGGCCCTGCATCTGCTGGGCTCCCATCCCGAGGTGCAACGCAAAGTTCAACAAGAGCTGGACGAGGTGTTCGGTAACATGCCCTCTCCCCACTCACCGCACACCTTCTCACTCCCATGACATCATTTATTTTCCTGCCTGAAGGCCCTTTGACTCTCCTCTGCTCAGACACATTTGTTCATTTCTATTCAAGGGGTGCTTATGCAGGGATGAGAGCTGAAATACATACACATACACTTGCCAAAATACATAGAGACTAATTGAATTTCTTGTCACTGCTATGTGGGTTTAACATCACGCATCATGTTTTTTCCATGACGTAAGCTAGCTGGTCTTGCAGCAATAACAGAAGCTACGTTTGCGCCAGAGGAGGACTTGAACTTGTCCTCAGGCATGAAACATCCATTTATTTACTTTATAATTGTTTATCAATACTAAGTAATTTGTCCATCCTCGAATGCCTGTACTGTAAAAATTGCTGCAGGGAGGACTCTGAACTTTTGTCTTATCCATCATCAAGACATATCTATAGGGCATGTAATTTAGACAAAACAACACTATTAGACTCTTATCTTCTGTAGAAAGTGGAGAACAGGTCACCGATATTAAAGCAGGACAGAGTGCATAAGAGGAAGCCTTTCCCTTTTTATATGCTTTCAATGCTGAAGTATTGAGCAGTACTTCCTGTTCACTTTGTAAAGGTACATCTGATCGGCCTGCCACCATGGAGGATCTGAAGAAGCTGAGATACCTGGACTTTGTGATCAAGGAGTCCCTGCGACTGTTCCCCTCTGTGCCTTTCTTTGCCCGCTGGATCCGTGAAGACTGCCATATCAGTGAGTTACAGATGAGTGTTGACCCCTGAATGAAACAGACATTTGTTGAGCACAAACCTTCACAAAGTGGTGGTCTTTTCTCAAAGAGGCCAAGTCAAGCAAATCCTCTTCTGTAATTTTCATTTTTTTTATTAAAAAAAAGTAGTTTTCCCGTCAAATAAGATTGATACCTTCATGCTTTTACAGCCATCTTGCACCAAATGTCTTATTAAACAATGGATAGCAACATGCGGCAAATTACCACTGTGGGTGGTAGTGGAGGGAATGGTGTTGTAAAGAAGAGAGTATTCAGTACAGTTGTAGGCCTCATAAATGTGAAATTATTTCCAGGAACTGCTTTGGTCAGATTGTTGAAGCAGGGGGGGGATTTTACAGCCACTGAACAAGTGAAACTAACTGGGACATATGTCAAACTTTACAACCAAAACAAGCAATCACCCTTTATTTACATCGCGCCCTTTTACAGTGAATGTTATCTGGAGACGCTGACATAAAAAGCAGGCGTGGACCGTACTCTGTTTTATCATCCACCTAATGAGACTCAACAACAAGAGGAGATAAGACGGTGTCTCACCTAGTAAGATAAGACTTTTTCTTATCTCATTCTGCCTCACCATGAGCAAAAGAGTTTTCAGCATTCAGCAAGTTCGAGCGGTAAAGAAAAAACATCCTCTTCTAAGACAGAAACCTAGAGCAGAACCATTGGCAACTTTCAATAACTGAGAGCGCCTGTTTTAAACCACCAAGCGAACCTGCTCGAATGGATCGAGCTGTCTTTTTGGTTGGTTAGATGGAAGGGGTTAGTGGCTTCACCAGCTAATCTCTTCTGCCCAAACTCTAGATCCAATGGCATAACCAGGGCAAGATGTTAGTGTCCACTGTGGGTGACCGTTACTTTTGTACAGAAGGAAGAGTTAGAGATAATCAATGTAAAAAAGAACAGGGTCATATTTCCCACTCTGACCAGGGTCTTTTTGTTTCTATAGATGGTTTTAAGGTGCCCAAAGGTGCCAATGCCATCATCGTCCCCTACGCCCTCCATCGCGACCCGAGGTACTTCCCTGAGCCTGAGGAGTTCAGACCTGAACGCTTCATGCCTGAGAACTCAGTGGGAAGGCCTGCGTATGCTTACATCCCCTTCTCAGCTGGACTCCGCAACTGCATCGGTAAGAGAAGTCCAGGTTTCATTTGTAATTTACTGAATCATCCGGATGCATTATTTTACTTTTAAGGGCTGCTACATCCGAACACAAAATCCACTGTTACACTCACATCCGCCTCTTAAATGCTCCTCAGGCCAGCGCTTTGCACTGATGGAAGAGAAGGTAGTCTTGGCATCTGTTCTGCGTAACTTCAACGTGGAAGCCTGTCAGACACGTGAGGAGCTGCGTCCAGTGGGAGAGCTCATCCTGCGACCAGAGAAGGGCATCTGGATCAAACTGGAGAAGAGGACACCCCAGGCTTCATGAAATCACAGTATTAGCCAAATTCCTCTCCCTTTGTGTTCTCTGTTTATGGTTTGTCCCTCCCAACTGAAAAACTGACAGGCACTGTAATGTTTTCTAACTAACCCTAGGGGAGTTATGTCCTCTGTGTTTGGATTGTAGAAATTTCTCATCCTCTTTGACATCCTAATTACAAAAAGTAAACCCTGTAGAAATAAACCAGGCTCTATATTTGTAGCTGTTGTTAGTATTAGGCAAAAAGCTACACAGGGGAATAAACTGGCTCTGTCCATCATCAACTGTTTGCTGTTTTTGTAACCCAAAAATGGAATAACTGTACAACTGTGCTTTCAATTTAGTGAAATGTTATTATTCTCTGTCATTGTTTGCAATTATCAGAGCCTGAATGTGCTCAAAGGCAAAAACGTAAACTTGGTGCTGGTTCACAGAAGGGGTGTGGCTAATTGGTTTGCTCGCACCACCTCGCAGTTTTTCAAAATTCGAGCCTCTCTCAGCAGTTTCACCCAGTAAGTTAATTTTTCTTGCACGTATCTGGTCTCAAAACATGTGAAAAAAAAAAAAAAAAAGAAAGTCCTAACATCATTGTGAAATGTCAACAGCAAGTCAGGAAAAAAAAGGTAAAAATCTGGGGTTTTTTGGGCTTTTTGCGGGGGGTTCTTTGACCATTTTCTTCTTATCCAGCATCCATCCTGGTAAGAGAGAACTGAAACATAAAAAACTCATGAGGTCCGGCACAAGCCAGCAAGGGTTAGCGTGTTGCCATTATACAGGAAGTAGTTTTTTTCTTGCCATGCGTGCTGATCTTTACCATACTAATGATGCATAATGAAGGTCAAGACCTGAACCTATTAATATGGTAATATTTCATCCCAGTCATCGTGCCTGCTGGTGGCAGTAGGAAATGCCATGCTGGCACTTCATGAGCTCCATAACTGTATTATTTATCTGCATAATTTCCCTCAAGGTATCCTTGAGATGTTGATTTTGATGCGTGCCAAAAACTGAGTTCTCAGTGCGTGGTCAGCAGAGTGCAGAAAAGTTGAATTTTGATATGATGTCCCACCATAAAATTTAAAACAGCTCATGCTCAGTCCTTCAGCGATGTATCTGCACGATATCCTCGGTGCTTGTAAAGGGTCTCCCCCGAATGCTTTCATCTGAATATATTTTCAAAAAAACAAGGCGCCGCGTACCGACAACAGGAAGTTACTGCCTTTATATAAAACTTTCAAACCTTATCTGGTTCACTCAGTTTCACTCAGTATTCTTCTGGTACATCTTAAGATCTTCCCCCTCACCCCCTAAGGAGCATACAAGTCTACGCAACATGCTGTTGCCCCGGCAATGCTGCACGCACCTTAAAACAGGGAGTATTTTTTTGGAGGGCTTGACATATATGTACACATCTCACACTGGAAGGGTTGCTATATAGGGCGTGATCTAAATGCGCCCATGATTTTCAAAATTTAAGCCCCTCCAACTTGTTTCAAGTAAAAATACGGCATCCACTGGGCTTATGCAGCTATGCTAAATCTACCAATGTGCACCAGACCCTAACAAACGCAGTGGTGGGAGGGCCTGTTCAATGCTGCTTGAAGCATTAATCATGTTTGAGATGCGTAAGGTACATTGATTGTTGTCGTGCATGCATGCAGCCAATGGATAAATATGACACTTAACACATTATGCTGCTGTAGCCAGGATCTCAGAGGTGCAGAGCTTCAGTGACAAGCTCTTTTACATATTCATAACATCTACAAACACCACAACAAACAGATGCCTTTAATTGGGGTCTTCTGGATGTTAATTTTCAAACTCTTGGTGGCAGTTTTCCCCTCTTCGTGACCCCTCACAACATCTCTCACAGTCTATTAATTACTGCGTGTCTGGTAGCTCATCCATATGCACTTGCACTCATAAGCCCTTTTCACACATGATTTCCTGACATTCTCCAGATCATTTCAGGACATACAGGCCTTGATATTTTCTGAAAATTGATGTTCACACATGCGCTTCACAGCGGGAGATTATCTGTGTTGGATGTGCTTTGACAGCTTGAAGTACTCTGGTAAGGTTGGGGTGGGGGATACTAGGTGGTTCATACAGGAGGAGGATTCATCTTTCATAAAGGGAGCTGTTTCTATGTTTGTATCACTCCATCATGAATACAGATATTTTCACATAGGAGACACATCTGTATGAGATAATTGTTGCAGGCGCAGTAAGTACCATGAATGCTTCTTTACCTTGAATGAGTTAATTAATGTGTGGCAACGGAGTCCTGTTGATAAAAGTCCAACAGATTCTCAATTGGTTAAGGCGATGACAGTTGGCTGGCTGGTCAAGAACAGTAATGTTGTGGTTATCAAACCATTTGATAGTAGTTATGATGCTGTGAGTGGGTGCAAAGTCTGTGGCTGTAAAAGGAAATCAGGGTACTCACAAAGTTTGTCTGCAGATGAATTGGCGGCTGAAGGTACCTGTTCTACTTGCAAGGGACTACATGAAATATAAAATAGAAATATTTGATGGATTTAAAACATAACCTGATGAGAAACAAGGTAAACAAGATGTCAGCACAAGTCCTATCTGTTTTTTTTGTCATTTATCACAATCAATCCCATCTGTATATCTGTAGATATAAACATGATTTATACATAATATTCAAGAATTTTTTGGCTTTTTTTGCTTCGATTTGGAGAGGACAGGATGGTGTACACTGCAGGAAACATGTTGAGAAAATGGGGAATGACCCGGGGAGGGAGCCACAAGCTGAAAGCAAACCCTGGCTCCAGGCAGAACCCACACATATATCACATGCGGGTAGATGGGCTCGTGGCACCCCAGAGATACAATATTTTAATTAAACCTATATATGGTATTTGTTGTTACACAAAGTTAGAGGATCTAAACGTAACAAAAATTGCAAAATTACAAAATTATTGCAACAAATGCTGTTGATTTATAGACTGTATACTATGGACAACTTGGTTCCGCCTTCCGCCTGTATACGGATTTGAAGCCAAAAAGCTCTCAGTATTTCCATGATTTTTCTTCATTTCCTGAAACCAACATTGCGCAGTAGCATTGTACGCATTCAGCGGGAGAGTCGCTGAGAGTCGCTGTGATGATGCTCGGCTCAAACAGCGTATCCCCCGGGTGAGCTACGCAATCTTTGTACGCCCATAGGCTGTATTGAGTGTCAGTCATAGAAAACACGAACCCCCTAATAACTTTTAAAAACTGAGCTGTTCAGAAAAAAAGAGGACTTCAGCACAAACCAGTCTTACTGTAACTACATGTCAACATCGCAAACAGCAGGGAGTAAAATGTATATTCTGTGTAATAAATGATTTAGATTTGTCCACAGCTCCATAAGGATGGCTGGAGGAGGCCTAGCTGACCTATACTGCAGCCCATCACTGGAGGGTGCTGTTCTCAGAGTGGCTTCACCCAGTGAGGAGGCAGACGGTGTCCATTCTACATACAGTCTATGTGTTGATTGAGTAAAGCTTAAAAGGCACTACAGCCTACATTTCCCATGATGCAATCAATACCTTTTATGTACTTTGAATACTTAGCTGAAAACTTTCATATCCCATAATCCTGAGTTTTCATTGCTGACTTTCCGGGAAAAACTTGACCATCCCAGACTAATCCAGGATGAGCGCTCTATGACGTCACTGTGACATCATCAGGATGACTTTCTCAGGCTTGACCCGCTTTTCAAGAGTCATTCAATACGCCCTTTGTTGACCTCTGCTCTGCACTTGCCCTCAGGTAATCCCTTCCGCCATGAAGTGTCATTCAATTCAATTTCTCTGGAAACTCAAGAGAACTTCATGAGATTGACCCCTTGAAGGTAATGAGTCATCAGTGACAGCCAACAATCACCGCGGCTCAACCGTTACGTCCCTTGTTGTTTCTGCTCCAAGGTTGGCGTGTTTTGAAGTATTCAAAACCGTTTTTATCACTGGGAAAGAACGTCTGAGAAAGTCTCAGTAATCACGATGACAGGCATCAGAAGTTGGCTTGAATTAGCTGCAAGACACAACAGGGCTACACACCACCAACAATCCATCATGATAAAGAAACATCAAGGGCAAGTGTGTCCTATTTAAATCCCTCACTCATCCTCGCCCACCACTCCTCTGCTCTCCAAGTGGCCTCCATGTCATGATTATCATTACATAACATCAGAGCTGAGGGGAAATGAATGAGGGGAAGTGGAACCACTAATGAAGCACAGCTTTAATGAGGCTCCTCCAACATTTTTCAGTGGAAATACACTCCTGTACGTTTGAGATTCAGTGTTTTTAAAGTTTTGAAACGCTACTTTGAGAGTGAAACTCTCCAACCTGTCACCACCCTGTTGATTGGTTGAAACTTACATAAGAACATAATCAGGTAAATGATTATAATGACCAAAGCTCTTCACAGTCTGAATCAGATCCAGGTCAGAGGGATCCATCGTAACAAAGCAGTAATCATAGCATGACACAGTTACAAATGACCCCATCCTTCATGTCACAGAGTGTTTCTGCCATCTCTCCTGCAGGGTTCACAGCACCAATACCGAAATGACACTGCTGATGATGAATTGCACGCTCCATTCTTTGGCTATTATTTGAATTATTGAGCACATCCCTAATCAATGGATGGAGCTCCACATCAAGCAGGAGGAGCGCGTTTAGCAGAGATTAAGATATTTGGTTTGTTTGAGGGTCATTTCGTCTCAGCTTTGACAGTTTTAACAGTAAAGAATTTCAAGTACATCACAAAGGGTTCTTTAAATTTCACATACTGAGCACTATATTTCTGAGTACATGTGTACAGTATTTTTATCCCTTCAAGATGCAGTCATTAGAACCAGACGTGCAAATCTATGGTTTGTGTATTTGCAGTGCTTTTGCTCTTCATGCCGTCCTCTTGGCTTTTTACAGCACGTTCCAACCCCTGTGTTTGTTTTGGACTTTCGCATGTGTTTTTGAAGTTGATGTTGTTCCTGCATTTGCAGTGCATTTTTTTCTAATGAAGATCATTCCGACAGTGCAGATTACTGGCTCTTGTAGGCCACCATATCTTTGAGTTGTGTCAGTATGATTATTGTACTACTCCCTCAAGTCAAAGACTCCCTGATCTGGGAAATATTTACAATTCCAGGTCAGAACACAAACAATATCCCATGAGAGGAGCAGACTGGGAAGCGTCACCGACTGAATGTTGTGTACTTTTACAGCCCAAAAACATGGCAGTAAATTTAAACATAACTGTGACA